GGTCGGCTCAGGCTTGTACGGCTCCGGCTCCGACTTGTAAGTGGTCGGCTTGTAAGGCTCAGGCTCCGGCTTGTAAGTGGTCGGCTTGTATGGAGTCGGCTCGGGCTTGTAAGGCGACGGCGTCGGCGTGTACTCCGGGACGTACGGCGTGGGCGTGATCTTCTTCGTCGTCGAGGTAGTGGTTGTTTCGCCGTATGCGTACGGCTCAGTCGCAATCACTTGCTGAGCGGCAAGCCCCACAAGGAGGATCGCTGCGGTCTTGGAATGCATATTGGCTTGCAAACTCAAGATTAGGTGTAGCACAAGGAAGTTGAATGAGGATAGATCTTGGGGGAAAACGAGGGTCTTTGGAGAGGGAAGACAGCGACTGGACAGACGGATGAAGAAAGCGAGCGAGATGGACAAACCTTCTGAGGGGTATGGGAGGAGGGCGGCCATTTGTATTGCCTTCATCGTGGGTCAATTCTTGCTCAGCCACCAACGTCCAGGCGGTTCTTTACATGCCCAGCGTCCCGAAACAGAGGTAACTGGGGCTTTGCTCCACCAGGAACATGGCACAAGTTGGTGAGGCGGCGACGTGTGCAAGACTGGGCGCAAAGCAAAGGCTTGGAGTGACGTTGAAAGTCGCGGATGTTGAGGCTGCAGATCGTGCGCGCCAACCCCGGCTGGCTCGTGCGCCGCGGGAGCCAAGGCGGCAACTATTGGCTCCCACTCCGAAGGATCGCGCGTGGCAGTCTGCTTGCTTCTGTCTCCCATCATTCGGCGCAGCTGGGAGTGCCATGGTAGGTGACGGTCTTGTTCTTGACATCGGACAATTTACGCTGTCGGAAAATTTCGACTCTGAAATGAGACTTGTCCGGCAGATGGAGCGAGGGACGTGAGCATCCGAGACAGCGACAACCACCCACGGCGGATGCCCTGCTCTCTCTTGTGATGCAACAGATCGCGGGCGCGAAGACGCATGTCTATTCCACCTGGCTGGCATTTCGTGGCGATACTGCGAATGTACCTGCATCGATGTCATCTCCCAAGGCTGCGCTGCCATGGCCTTGCGGGTATTTTTAACTTAGCCCCGTCCACAGCCTTGGCCCTTTTTCCACGTTCTCTGCGCGCACACCTTTTCTTGGACTGCCTTCCTCGTGACTCGTCCAATGCTCGTTTTATCCTGTCCACTAAAGCATGGCAGACGCATCATAATACTGGACCACCCTCCCACGCAATTGCTCGGCAGTTCACGCGCGGCCTCGACTCGCCAACACCCACGTCCAAGACTTTGCTTTTTATCGATTTGTTGAACCGTCCACCGAAGACCATTGTGTTTCCCCGATTTGGAAGTCGCCCGCATGAACATCTCGATTGATGGGCGGTAGCTTCATCGCGTGCTTGCTGCTCATGATTGCGGCCTTGCAACGAGATCAACCACCGCATTCTCCGTCTCCTTCCGCACCTCCACCCACCCGTCCTTCTCCACCCGCACGATCTTTCCATCCACGCACACCCTCCTCCACCGCCCCTCCTCTTCATAAAATTCAATCTTCACAGCCTCAATCTCCTCATAGCCTACCCTTGCCTTTTCAACGTGCTTGCCTGCCTGATATGCTTCCATCATGATCTCCATCGCTTCCTTGCCACTGACGTGCGCAAAATGCACCAATCGTAGTTGACCATCCAGCGGCCGACTTGAAGGCGAGATGGTGAAGGCGGCCTCAAGGTTGCTTACGAGAGTGGCGAGGATATAGCCGTGCTCGCTTCGAGCTACCCTTTCCCACTCTGCTTTTTCGCCGGTGCGTAGAGTCGATACTTGGCCCTTGTACGCATGCGGCATTGATTCCCCGGCGGGAAAGAGTGATTCGTTCGCCGCCATTTTGAAACGCTCGGCCCCGAACTTCCGATATTCTGCCGTGTCGCTGTCGGCCACAAGGGTCGCATGGAGGCCCCAGGAGCACACGACTGCCCCGTATGTGGCCGGCGAGCCGTGGTAGACGCCTTGCAGTGGCTGCTCCTCGCGCCCTTCATTGACCAAGAGTTTCGCGCCCGGAGAGAAGGTGGCGCGAAACAGTGGGAGCTGTCTGGGTAGTCCACACAACAGTGTCCGAAGTCCCAACGTCTCATCGTTTGCAACCACTGCACTACTTGCCAACGCATTGCCCGTTCCCAGCGGTAATAGAGCGATGGTCGGCTTGCGATAGCCTACGGTTGGGCTGGCTGTCACAAGAGTATTGACAAGGTCGACAACTCCGCCATCGCCGCTGAGTAGCACGACCAGCTGCTGTCTGCCGTCGTTGGCTATCGGCAAGATTACACTTTGGGCAAGCTGCGCAACGCTTTCTGCCGAAGTGGTTTCATGGACTGTGTAGCGATCTTCGGAAAGGCCGGTACGCATAAAGATCGGCTTTACAAGCTGCTCCCAGACCGCGGAAGCAAGGCCAGTACCTGATCCAGTTGAAACGATGATATTGATGTCAGATATGGTATTGGTGTTTGTCGCCAGCGAATGTCCGATGGAGGAGACCCTGGGCTGATAATTGTCGATCATGGAGTCCGGAAAGTCTTGTATGCTAGCGAATCGAGGTGCATGTGTCGATGCTTTCGCGTCTCCTGCTGTGGCCGAATCATTTGGCTGTGTCCATATCATAGTGTAGTCCCCCGTGGCTTCGGCGGACGCTGCGATAACGGCCACGATATGCTTGAAAGGCACCCGTATCCATGGTGCATCATTGCCTGTTTGGTAGAAGAAGCATTACTCTCACGTTCTGCGAACAATGGGCTAGAGCCTGGACGAGGCAGTATACCTTCTGCGCTGCCATGCACCCAGCTAATTTGCTCCTCATCAACCCGAACCGTCACCGCCCGCCCATCGACCTTGGGCTGCTTCGTCATAGTTGACATCTTTAGGCCGTCGTTTCAGCGACGGCGGTCTATGTGCCATGGTGAGATGCTTTGGGAGTAGCAAAGATTGGTCACAGGACTGGGTGTCTGATGATATCTACACCGTAGCTACCATCCCAGCAGCGGCGTTGACAAGCGCGCGGAAGGTGCAGCCGAGTCTGGATTTAGAATGAACCTCACCACCCTCCCACCCCAGCTCCCTGTATCACGACACCAAAAGGACAACTTGGAAATCCATCGCAAGAACGTCTGGATAGCCATTCACGAGGGATCGCATTCTGCCGCACCCCACGGCGAGCTCGACTTACGCACACCGAACCACACAGAGCCATCCGATGCGGTAGGAGGTAAGCGATGGCTATCTCCGGTTGGGGAATCTTCCTCATCATCCTGGTGCTTGTGGTCATCGGCGGTGTAGGGGGTTACGTCTTGTGAGTGAGCGGTGTGCTGTGCAATGATAGACTGCAGCGTTAATGCCAGCATAGCTATGCGCAATATCGAGCGAAGAAGCTCGGCCTTCCTCCTCCCAATCTCAACCCCTTCCACCAGCGCGCCGGCGCACAAGGGTCCGGAAGCGGTGGCTTCGTCGGCTGGATCTCCGACCAAGTGAATTCATTACGGAGAGGGAGGACTGCAGGAGGTGCATACGAGGGCGCCGGGCTCGGAGGAGGATCTGGGTACAACGAACGCAGAGGATTCGGCGCACTCGAGCCTGATGAGGCATGGAATGCGCGAGTTGATGACGAAGCCGGCGGCTACTACGAAGAGCAAGAGCTCGGGCTACAAGATCCTAGCCGCGGGCCATACGGTGGTGGAGGGTACGGGGAAGGGGGAGTCCATGACGGGCGGGGCCGAAGCAGATCAAGAGACGGTCGCGCAAACCCGTTTGGCGACCACGCGGAGGAGAGTAATGTGAGTCTGCGGACCGTCAGTCCTCGACCTGATGCGCAGGGGATGCAGCCACCACAGCGTCCGGGGCACAAACGAGGCGCAAGCAATCTAAGCGTTGCAGGCGCGGAGGACAGCCCGACGGAGAGGAGAAGTATGTTCCGGGAAGATGTGTGAGAGACGCACATGGGTCGGATGGGAGATGGAGAGCGCGAGGCTGGGCACCAGAGGGACTCGGCGCTCGAGCATGTCTGGACATGAAGCACTTGGGAATAAGACGACCGCTGATGACATCACAAGCAAAGCTAAGGTACATTTGTACTGTATACTTCACTTCACTGCGCAGCTCACGAGGGTCAGCGCGACACTGTCCTTCGGCAAGAGAGATCTTTTTTGGACCGAGTGTTTTGGAAGCATCGTAGTTGAGACTACGCAGCATGATGAGGCGGTCTGGCTTGGGATTGAATGGTTCGTAGTGGACAGCATCCGAATGTCGAAGCACCTGGGCAACAGAGATGACGCTTAATCATAATGCGCGACACACCTTACTGCCAGGCCGTTCAGATCCCACGAGGTCGCGAACGAGGAGGGTGACGCGTCAAGTCTCACCGCCATGCGTCGCTTGGTGCGCAGTTGAGCAGTCAATTGGCTCACAGATGAATGACAAACTCGACGGAAAAGGCCTGGCAATACGGGGTGGTGTGAGGATCAACGGTGGTGGATGTAGAGAGGAAGCAACCTGGTTAGTCGGTAGGAGAGTGCGTGCAGTGATGATGCTGAGATGAGCGAATGGATGCATGCACGCGTGGGACGTGCACGCTGTGTTTGTTTGGGGTAATGAGCCGCAGCCGTTTAGACTTTCGGCAGGAGCGTCGGGCGCAGCGGGCGTCACCACGACTTTTGACTATTGACTGTGCATGGACACATGAATCGACGGGGGATGGTGCATGGCAGCATTGCATGACAGCGAAACAGAATAAACATTACTCTTACCACCCGTCCTCGATAGCTCGAACAATTGCGACGATGTTAGAGCAGGAATTGAGGGAGAAGCTGAAGCAGAGTGGATGACAGAATTGCGTGCTTTCCCTACGGGCGCCGCGAGCCGAGCGCAGGGCGGGCGCGTTTGGGTGCGTTGATTGCAGGCGCGGGGCTGGCCGCACAAAAAGCGCGGGCTCTCAGCGTTTCCCCCAGCACCAGTTTTTCCCACACTGTTCTGTTCCTCACCGCAGCGCGCAGCACACAACTTCACTGTGAGAGCCACGCCGCCTCGTTTCTGGTATGTCCGCCTTGCCCGCGTCCAGCCTGACACTGTCTCGCACTCCCTCCTCCCCTTCACTCACATCACTCCCCAACTTTTCCCGTCCTTTTCACGCGTTTCCCCCTTCGCAATGCACCGCGTCACTGCTCCGTCGCCCCGTGTTTTGCTCAAACATCGCATCGTCGCGTCGTCTTCGTCGTCAACATCACTTCACCCACTGACCTGATCACTTGCAGTCACACCCACCCAACAAACTAATTCACCACTCTCATCCACCTTTCGGTAAGTTGTTTCCCCGCCCTCTGCGCATCAAATCACGCTTGCTCGTTGCCTGGAGGTGGTGTTGTGGCGAACGCGCACTTTGCACGCGCGCCTTCCATCAACATCAACCATCGTCCACCTCCACGTCGCACCGTCATCCAAACACCTCCCGAGCATCAAACCAGCTCATCGCAATCAATTTCACTGACGCGCACGTGATTTACCAGCTCAACCCAACCAAAATGCCTAAGGAAGCTAAGACGACCCGCAAGGTCACCAAGGGCAAGGCCGACGGTGGCAAGAAGAAGAAGGGTGAGTCTTGTCTTCGTTCCCTCCACCTCGCACCACTAACTCATTCGTCGTCGTAGACCCCAACATGCCCAAGCGTGGTCTTTCCGCCTACATGTTCTTCGCCAACGACCAGCGTGACAAGGTCCGTGACGACAACCCGGGCATCAAGTTCGGTAAGTGAGCATGGCCTCTGTTCCCCGCGTCACTGTACTCATCCCCATCACAGGCGAGGTCGGCAAGCTGCTCGGCGAGAAGTGGAAGGCTCTCACCGATAAGCAGAAGGCCCCGTACGAGGCCAAGGCTGCCGCGGACAAGAAGCGCTACGAGGAGGAGAAGGCCGCCTACACTGCTGTGAGTATCCTCCACCTGACTTGGGCGAGCAGTCGGCTTACTGACCGATAGTAGGGTGGTTCTGCCGGCGATGACGACGATGACGAGTAGAGAGCCCTCGGCCTTCCGCTCCAACGTGTCTCTTTGAGTTTCTCTAGTTCCTTGTCGGTGGAATGGACTTTTCACGGGTGCGCGTAGGGGGGTGATGGGTTATGGTCCGGAGGGGGACAGGAATGCGCGAGCCGGCTTACTTTTTTCACCCAATGGCTCCATGATCGCGTTGCTTTTCTATGGCATAAACGATGATACCAAGAGACTAGCGACGAGAGTCTACCTTATCCAGCCAGCCGCCGCGTTTCCAGTGCGAAGCGAGGATGTTGCTGTTCCTCCATCTCAATGCGAGAGTGTGCGGCCTCAGTTCAGATTCACGGAGAGCTCCATATGCTGCTCGCCTTCTTTCGTCCAGGTACCTACCCATCTTGCGCGTTAGCATTGATGCTCTCGAAGCAATGAGATGATTGCGCCCGATCGTGTGAAACGCAAGGGTAGCCAGCAAGGCGCGACACGTGTCAGAGCGTGATGCCCGTTTCAAATGTTCGTGAGCGGTATGGGATGGCATGCAGGGCGGCAAGATGAGACGCATCCCCGCGGGCATGATCCGGATCCGGAAAACAGGCACGAAACGATTGTGATTGGCTGGGAAGGCGAACCCCAACTGCACAGGGTTTGACGTAGCCGTTCGCAGGGTCGGTGATGCATGTTGGGGAAATAGTTTGGCGGGCGACACATGCACTTCCACTGTTCCTCATTCTTTGTCTTGTGGATCCTCATCACTCTCGTCTGTTTCTTCTTTTCTTTCATTCATCCGACTCATTTCCTTTGCCACCGCTGTTACGGCTGGCTCGGGGTCTGCTTTCCTCCACGACTCCTTGTTCGGTGGCGTACAGTATTGCGATTCTTCCCCGGTCGTTTCAGTACAGGCACGTGGCACACGACCTCTTCTGCTGAAAGTGGTGTGCCACGCCCTTCTATCCCGCCTCCTTCTCGTACACAAAGACTATCGCCGCAATGGACGGCACACCAGCTCGAGCTCTGTTACCCCGTCAGACTCAGGATCCTACCGGTAGCTACGGCACGGGCAATGAATTCTTGAGCCTCCTTTCCTCGCCCTTTGACGTCAAGGTGGGTGCGCCCTTCCCTCGCTCGGCTGCAGTTGAGAATGCTGACATTGTGTAGTTGGGATGGAACTCCGTCCTCTCCGCCATCATCTTCTCCCTCGTCTTCACAGCCGTCATCGTCGTTGGCTTCTGCTTCATCCGCCCCTACAACAACGTCGTCTATGCCCCGCGAGCGAAGCATGCAGACAGCAAGCATGCCCCCCCTCCCATCGACAGAGGCCTGTTCGGCTGGATTAAGACCCTCATCAAGACGAAAGAGCCGGAATTGGTGGAGAAGCTGGGATTGGATGCCGCAGTCTTCCTGCGCTTCCTTCGCATGATGCGCAACCTCTTCATCACCTTGACAGTGGTGGGTTGCGGCATCATCATCCCGGTGAACATGATCAGCTCGCCGAGCTCCGCCCTCTTCCTCATCCGCTTCACACCATCCTTCATGTCCAATAGCTCGCTTGCCTGGGCATACGTCGTGGTGTCGTATCTGTTCGATGGCATCATCTTCTACTTCCTCTGGTACACCTACCGGAATATCCTCCGGCTGAGGAGAGCCTACTTCGAGACTCCTGAGTATCAGCACAGTCTGCATGCCCGGACATTACTTCTGACAGACCTCCCACGAGCGCTTCGAAGTGATGAGGGCATTGTACAGATTACCGAGCGTCTCGGGTCGGCCGGCGCTGCGCCTCGACCTGCCGTGGCTCGCAATGTGCGAGACTTGCCAGAGCTGGTGGAAGAGCATGAAGAGTCGGTGCGAGAATTGGAGAAGGTGCTGGCGAAATACCTCAAGAACCCCAACAAATTACCCGCCAAACGACCAACATGCAAGGCATCGAAGAACGACAAAGCGTTCAAATCCGGACAGCAAGTGGACGCCATCGAATACTTGACTCACCGCATCAAAGAGCTCGAGGGCCAAGTCAAGGAGGTGCGCCTGTCCGTCGACCAGCGCAACCCAATGTCGTACGGCTTTGCCTCCTACGACAGCATCCCCGCCGCACACACGGCGGCCTATGCTGCTCGCAAAGGAACACCCGAAAAGGCGATTGTTCGACTAGCGCCCAAGCCGCAGGATCTGATCTGGAAGAATCTGGCGATGATGAAGAAACAGCGAGACTGGCAGAACTTTATCAATAACCTTTGGGTCGCCCTCCTTACCGTCGCCTGGATCGCACCCAACATTCTAATCGCGGTCTTCTTGTCCAACTTGGCCCATCTGGGACTGGTCTGGCCCTCGTTTCAGAGAACCCTGTATGCGCATCCAACGTTTTGGGCGCTGGTACAGGGTATTGCCTCGCCCGCCATCACAACCGCCTTTTATTACTTTCTGCCAGCCATCATGCGCAAGCTGGTCACCAGAGCAGGAGATGTCACGAGAACGGGCAGGGAACGACACGTGCTCGATAAGCTGTTCTCATTCTTCATCTTCAACAATCTGGTTGTCTTTTCGCTCTTCTCCGCCATTTGGGGCTTCGTCGCCGCCGTGATTCAGGACAGCAACACGAATGGACAGAATGCCTGGGATGCGATCAAGAACAACAACCCTTTCGATCGAATCATCCTCGCCCTCATTACAGTCACACCCTACTGGTGCAGTTGGCTGCTCCAGCGGAATTTGGGTGCGGCTATCGACCTCGGCCAGCTGGTGTCGCTCACATGGGGTTCCATTTCTCGTCGCTTCCTGAGCCCTACACCCAGAGAGCTCATTGAGCTCACGGCTCCCCAGCCGTTCCAATACGCCGCCTATTACAACTACTTCATCTTTTACGCGGCAGTCGCTCTGTGTTTCGGCCTCCTGCAGCCCCTCGCCCTGGCCATCACCGCGCTATACTTTTCCCTCGACTCCTTCGCCAAGAAGTACATGATTATGTACATCTTCATCACAAAGTACGAGTCGGGCGGCATGTTCTGGAAAGCGCTTTTCGATCGAATGCTCATCGCTACCGGCCTCGGAAACGTGGTCATCGCTTGTTTGGTGGCGACAAAGGGCAGCAATTGGATTGCCATGCTCGCATCCATGGTTCCTCTGCTAGGCCTGATTGGGCTGTTCAAGTGGTATTGCATGCGGCAGTTCGACGACAAGATCCAGTATTACAGCAAAGGCACAGGCGTGGCGGAAGAGGGCTTGATGAGCAGCGGCGACCGGAAACGGCGCGGAGGGGATCGTGCGGGCGTACGCTTCGGCCATCCCGCACTGTTCAAACCACTCATGACTCCGATGGTGTCGGCGAAATCACAGCACATGCTCAAACAAGTCTATAGTGGACGAACATCAATGGACGAAAGCGGCAGAGTTGCCGGCTTCAGCGACGTGTACATGGAGAACATGGACTCCTCCAAACCGGGTAGGGCTGCGGATCCGACTGCGCCTTTTGAAGTCGTCAGCGACAACCAGCTGGACTACGAGTACTGGAAGGATAAGCCGGAGTTCCGCGACGAAGCTGGTGGGAATGGAGAGCTCTTCGGTCGACCGCCCGATATGAGTCGTCCGGGCACCCCGAGCACACTCTACTCTGGCCACAATCGAATGAGCACCTTGGACTCCACTCCCTACCACAGCCGCGACCCGTCCCGCGATGTCTACGGCCACACCCGAACTGACTCGGATTCCGAGTATGCGCATGTGTACAATGAAGACGTTGGCATGGAATACCCACAGGGCTATCACCAGGCCCCTAATATACGAGAGCAGTCGCCGGTTGGAGCGAGAGCCGAGAGTCGCGAGCGCTTGGTCGCGAGTGCGGCGCGTATGGGCATGAGTCCGCCTCCGCCACCTCGAGTGTCTCGAGTGGCTGTTGGATCGCGGCCGGGCAGTGCATATGGGCAAATCCGATCGGCGGGGCCCGAGACGCCGTATTACTCCACTGATGAAGAAACCTCTTATGATTATTTCCGGAGGGGAAGGATGTAGATATGAGGAGATGGGATGTTTGCGCAGCGAGGTGTTTTCGTAGCGTCGATGGAGGCATTGCGCCTCTCGAGCTAGTCACGAGGATGATGTCTATGTCTATATGTATTTGATCGAGAGGATGTTGACCAGTCCATCCGCTCTGGTCAATGCAGTCGAAGATCCGCCCAAATCTCCAATACCATTGTACAAAATCGTAAAACATTCATGATGGCTTCCGTTCCGCAGCGCCACCAGCGCATGACGCCTTCACGATCGCCAGTAGTCTCATTTACAGTCGGGAGGCCGCACGCCTGTCACGCCGTGGTTCACGAAGGTCTGCTCGTATCAGCACATGTCATCGACGTTCGTCAGGGCCGTTGAATCAACCTTTCCAGCCTTCAATGTCAAACTCGAAGCGCCTCTCGCCTTCGCCATCTCTCAGCAGCCGTCCATCCTCGCTGTACATTGTCCGCTCCACGAGCAGTACTCTGCCTTCCGCGCTGACGAGGATGACGGTCTGCTTTTGCGTTCCATACGACCCTTCGCCAATCCTCACGTCAGCTTCTCCCGCACGCGGTCCGGACTTTGTGGAGTCACCGCCGTCGGCCGCCGCAACCTCTTCGCCTGATCGCCCGTCCACACTCGGCCCACCGCTAACGGGAATGAAGATGGAATTCCGCATGCTCAGAGCGTACGACTCCCACTCCTCTCCATTGCCCCGTTCGGGAAGCGTGTCGATGGATAGGATGGCGAACAGCCGCTCCACGAACTCCGCTTCGTCGCTGCTTGCGCCGCGCTTCACATCGGCGCCGATGGCCTGGCGTAGGAATTGCTCGCCGTGCACCACTTTCGGCCAGGACATGTCGCCGAAATGACTGTTGCTCAGGCCATGCGCCTCGCCCGGGTGTGTGGCGATGTGCACGAGATCGGAGGCGTCGGCAGAGCGATTAGACAGGATGGAGAGTCCAGGGAAGTCGCCACTATTTGGAGACGGGGCGCGTAGCTCGCCGAAAAGCAAGCTGAAGCCGCCGACATCCTGCACGCCAACGTCGTCGATCAATCGCTTGGCGAAGTGCTTGGAATCTTCGCGTTGTTGGGGAGCCGAGGTGAGGTAGGCGTTGATGATGCCGCCGCGGCTTTTGTCCAACGCCTTCTCGGCGCCGGGTTCGCGGAAGTTCGTGAGAGCTGCGATGCGGCCTTGCTTGGTGATGCCCAGCCAGGTGCCCCTTTCCCTTTTCTCCAAGTCCCGGCCGCCGAGGACGTGGGTGTTGGAGCCATCCCACCAGTCTGCGGCGGCTGTTGGGCGATGGATGAATTCGTCGCGGTTGCTGAGGAGGATGAAGGGATAGCGCGGGTGCGCGGTGGAGACGATGACAATACACATGGTTGGCGGGATGTGGTTTCGAGGAGACTAGAACGAGGTGGATCCGGTTTTATCGGTGGCGAGGACGGGTTGATGAGAATTTCTTGTTCGGAACAGTCGTCGTCATTGTGAGGTCGCCTTGAACGCATTTGTAATCGCCATTGTTACTGTGGTGGCGGAAAGTTGCAAAGCCTCCTTCGGAAGCGCGTGGACGGTGTGTAAGGGTGTACGAGCGGTGGTTTAATAGAAGCGAACGGCCTGAAGTCGAGCAAATGACTATGCCGTCCGTCGGTTTCGGAAGGCCCAACCCTACACGACTTAGCGAGTGGTTAAGTAATCCGCTAGACTGATTAGATTACGATAAGATAATGAAGTGTGGAGAAGCTCGGCGGGGCTGGGCGTCCAGCTCGCGTTTGTAAGGCTGCCATGACCAACCCAAGGCATCACAACACCTTGCCTCACGCATCTTGACAGCCTGACTGCGTCGGTCTGCTTCGAGTAATCTTTCATCCCGATCTCTTTTCCCCTCACTGCAGTCCGCCTCTTTTGCCCCTGTCGCTCGACCATCTCCGTCCCCCGCGAACACCGCCAGTCACACGACACCCATCGACATGTTCAGCTTCATAGCAGACTTCCTCACGTGCGTGGGCATGCATCCCAAACTGCTCTTTACATCATGTCCGCTGATAGGTCTACCTCTACAGCTCCGTCACGTCCATTCTCTTCCCCGTCTTCGCCTCCTACAAAGCCCTCCGCACTTCCGACCCCGCCGTGCTCACGCCATGGCTGATCTACTGGACCATCCTCTCCCTCTTCCTCCTCGTTGAATCCCAACTCTACTTCATCCTCTCCTACATTCCCTTCTACGCCTGGATTCGCTTCGGCGCCCATCTGTATCTCGTCCTCCCCGGCAAGCAAGGCAGCGTCTACCTCTACAAACAGTACCTTGAGCCCTTTCTCGAAGAGCACGAGAGACAAATCGACCGGATGATCAGCGAGGGTCACGAAAAAGCCAAAGCAGCAGGCCTGGATGCTGTCAAGAAAGTGATCGAGTACGTGCGCGTGCAGGTGCTGGGTCTGCAGCCCAAGCAGGCCAGTCCCGCCCCAAGCAGGAATGTCAGCTACAGCACATATCTCATGGACCGCTTCGCCATGCCCTCAGCCAGGCAGGGTCTGGCTGCCGCCGGGACAAGCGACATCTTTGGTCTGATTGGCAAGGCTCTACAGCAGACCACCTACCCAGACTCCACCACTCGTGAAGCAAAGGTAGAGGACCTGACGCAGTCTGGCAACCTCATTCCTCCCAACCTGGCTGGTGCAGAGAGGGCCGATTTTATCTCTACGCAGCGAGAGCGCCTGCGCACGTTGCTGCAAGCGTTTGACTACGAAGCATACCGTACCGCCGACCACGCTGCCACTTCTTCCATTCGCCCACCGCGCTCTTCCATGCCGCGACAGCCTTCTGGACGCAAATCCTACCCGTACCCTGACGACAATGCTCCCATGCACAAGAGTCGCAGCGAGAGTGAGTTTGAGGACCTGGCCTATGAAGCCATGCCCGATCCAGACGACTACGTGGTTAAGTCTCCTACTGGACCGTCGAGTCCCAGCGAAAAGGGGAAGCAAAAGGCGGCCGCTGGTGGCGGAGGCTGGGGTACATGGATGTACGTATATCATGAGAGTGCTCATCTCTGGTCCTTAAACAAGCTGCTAACTTTGACAGATGGGGCAATGGCGAGAAGAACTCTGTTGTCGAGCCTAAGAAAAAGCATTGAGTCCTCGTATCAATCTTGGGACCACGACCTGTACGAAGTACGACTTATATCGATATGGAGAATCTACGCAACGGGAAGGGCTTGGTCAGGTGGGCCAAGAAAGGTCAACAAGGCTCTTGGGCGTTTCGAGGTCGTATTGGGGAACTATAATAGGGTATCATGAACTTCATGGTGCAGCATTTCCATCTTCGGCCGTCCCTCTCCCATCCAACTCCGCGCCCAGCTCGTCCAAAAACGCATCCGCCTTCCTCTTCCCCCTCTCTGACCGCACTCGTTCAGTCTCCGCTCTCTCTGCTTCCAGCCCCTCCATCTGCCGTTTCCGCTCGTCACCATCACCGCTAAAGTGGAAGAAGCCCGTCCCTTTGCTCCTCACTTCTTTCCGACCATCGAAATGCTCCTCCGGCGGAGGCGTAAGTGACGAGTCGCGCTTCCGCGCCAACGCCTCCATCTGATCCACTATTACGGCGTCTGGTTGAAAGGCAGCGTGCTGGATGGTATCGCCGCGGATGATGTTCACAGGCGCAGACGGCCGGGCGGTGTACTTGTCGCTCTGCAGATCTTCTTGGGCGGCCATGGCGCGCCGGACGCGTGCGGCCTCGAGGCGCGTTCCCGTTCGCGTGCGCCCGAACTCGTCCGTGTAGGTGATGATTTCCCTGTCTGTTTCATCGAACTCCGAATCGTCATCGTCGTCATCTTCGTTATCCTTGTCGTTGGCATCGTAAGCATCCGTCCACTTCCGGTCGAAGTCGACGGTGTATTTCTCGTCCACGTCGTCCACATCGCCTCGCTTCATAGCGGCATACAGGCGCGCCTTCTCCTCCATCTTCTTCCTGCTGCGCCGCAATAACTCGCTGTCCACGCCCTCGCCATCTGTCGTGTGCTTCTGCTGGAACGCCGGACTGTCGGCGGAGTCGTCGAGGTCGAGCTTCGCGCGCTTGGCGGTGTTGCGGTTGGGTTTGCGGAAGAGGTCGTCTTTCTTGGGTTTGAGGCGGGCGGAGGTGGGTTTGGAGGGGCGGGCGGTGGGGGCGTTGATGAGGGAGCTGAGGTGGGAGGTGAAGGAGAGGCTGTTGGAGGAGGAGATTTCCTTGCCGTGCTTGAGGTTGTGGGGGCGTTGGTTGTAGAGGTGGGAGTCCTTGGAGGACATTGTCGGGGGTTGATGAGGGTGGACGTTCGGGGAGAAGTGCACATGTGAGAGGTATGAGGTGGTGCAGATCACTCAGCCACTCCACCCGTCCCTGCATCCCCGACCCCACCACGCACAATGGCCCGACCCCGCCATTGGCACGGAAAAACACCCAGCTATTTCTCCTTCTTCTCTCCCCCGTCACATCTCTTCATTGCACTCACACGACTGTCATGGCCGACGCACAACGAATCTACATTGCCATTGTCGGCGTCGGCGGCGTAGGCAAGGCCTTCCTCCCTCAATTCGCGCATCTCCAGAAACGCCTGGACTCCCAACAGCCCCCCGTCGACCTGCGTCTGATCCTGGCGCGCAAGAGCAACAAGCAGGTCCTCACCGAGCGCTACAATGGTCTCGACCCCAACTCCGTCCTGGACACGCTCAACGAAAGCAAGAAGCCCTACCTAGACTTCGACGAGATCCTCGGCTTCCTCGAGAGCGCGCCGGGCAAGGTGGTGCTGGTGGACAACACGGCGGACCTGGGCCTGGGCAAGCAATACCCCAAGTGTCTGAAGCGTGGCATCAGCGTCGTCACGCCGAACAAGAAGGCCTTTTCCGACACCTGGAAGCTGTGGGAGAGCATCTTCGACGCCGCCGCGCAGGGCGGAAGTCATGTCTTCCACGAAGCAACGGTCGGCGCCGGCCTTCCCGTCCTCAGCACGCTGAAAGAGCTCATTGAGACTGGCGACGAGGTGACGAAGATCGAGGGCGTCTTCAGTGGAACCATGTCGTTTCTGTTCAATGCTTTCATGCCTGTTGGAGGTGGAGGGGGCAAGTTCAGCGCGGAAGTGAAGAAGGCGAAGGACTTGGGCTACACCGAGCCGGACCCGAGGGACGATCTCAATGGCTTGGACGTCGCGAGGAAGCTCACCATTCTCGCGAGACTCGTCGGGCTCCAGATTGAATCGCCTACCTCCTTCCCCGTCCAATCGCTCATTCCTTCGGCGCTGGAGTCGTGCTCGAGCGGCGACGAGTTCATGGAGAAGCTGCCCAATCATGACGACGAGATGGAGAAGATCAAGGACGGCGCGGCGAAGGAGGGCAAGGTGCTGCGGTTTGTGGGGAGTATAGACGTTGCTTCCAAGGCGGTCAAAGTGGGCCTGGAGAAGTTTGATTCGGACCATCCCATTGCTGCGTTGAAGGGAAGCGACAACATCATCAACTTCTACACCAAGCGGTACGGCAGCAACCCGCTCATCATCCAGGGCGCGGGCGCTGGTGGTGACGTGACGGCCATGGGCGTGACGGGTGATCTCATCAAAGTTATTAGACTTTTGCAGGGGCAGTAGATGGGCACCGCTACAGTATCATAATCCTGTTCGGCCGCGAGGCTGAGGCGAAATGTCCAACAAGGGCAGTTTACAGGCTTGGCCCGTGCACCACTCGTGCATGCTCGCACCTCATTCTCACCTCGCTTTCCATCATCTTTCGGGTGTTGCCCACCGTTCCATCAATATCATGTCCAAACGAGGCCTTTTGATTTGCTTCGATGCTTTTGGAACCCTGTTCACGCCCAAGCGGCCAGTCCACCAGCAATATGCCGAGGTGGCGCGCGCAGTAGGCTTGCAGAACATTCGTGACGCTGATGTGGAGCGCACCTTTAAAGACGGTATGCTCAGCACTCGACGACGATTCCATTGATCAGCTGATGCATTTGCTGATGAGTCGTCATGAAACCGAAGCCTTCAAGCAAGAGGCATCGCAGCATCCGAACTTCGGCAAGGCAAAGGGGATGAATTCGGAGCAATGGTGGACGAATGTCCGTCCTCCCCACCACTCGTATTCGTTCGCAATACTAATACGCCGCCAGATAATCACCAACACATTTTTACCGATCGTGGGCAAGGACACACAACTACCGCGCGACCTGGTGCCTAAGCTGCTCCATCGCTTTTGGTCAGACGAAGGCTATGTACTCGTGCCCGGCGTGCGTCAATTCTTCGAGCAACTGCGGGAGTATTTCGACCAGGACCCACGCCGCCGTCGGGAGGTGCTCGTAGGCGTCATCACCAATTCCGACGACCGCGTTCCGGATACTCTCACAGCGTTAGGTCTCCGCGTGGGTCCGCTGCGATATGGTGGCAGGCCGTCGTCGGAAGGAGCCGAGACCAGGACCGACGACATCAATTTCACCATCATGTCTTACGACGTCGGGCACGAGAAGCCGGCGAGGGAGATCTTCGTGGCGGCGGAGCAGACTGCCAGCGCAGACGCTGGAGAGTCTCTTGACGACTGGCGGAAGATCTACGTTGGTGATGAATATAAGAAAGACGTGCTTGGTGCCACGAATGCCGGTTGGAATGCCGTCCTGGTTGGTCCCCGGGATGAAGTAAGCCAACATTCCGATGTCCAATGGCTTGATGAGCTTCCCGCTGGCGATGCATTCGAAGTGTTTGACAAATCTCCAGCGGTCGGAGTGAGCACAGTCAGTGAGTTCGCCACCTGGGTGACTCGACATGCTTGATCCTGCTTCTTCAGCCCTGTCTCCTCAATGCGAGAATGTCGGCGAGCCGCAGACTGTTCTTCCCGCCCCACCCCGCCACGCCGTCCGCAACGTCCGGGCGGACTTTGACATACCAGCCCCATGTGCGCTTGTCGAGGTCTTCAGGTGGCAATATCGTTGCCCAGGACTGGTACAGCAGGTCCAGAGCACGCAGAAGTCTGCCGAGATTGCTTTCCTTCTCTGCGTTTCTGGCTGCTGCTGATCGCTTCTTCTGGGTGTCGGTGGAGGGGGGAGCAGTGTCGAATGCTCGGAGAAGATACGATCGCGCCGACTGGGGGGTGTAGATTGGTAGGGCGGCGTTGGCGGTGCTACGGTGGGAGGCGGAAGACACGATGGGCGCGTGGTTGTTGGATTTTTTCAGAGCTTCGAGATCCAGAGCCCACAGTGCCGGTTGCTCGTCCTCTCCTACCTGTGGCTCATCCCCCTCGTCGGGCACTTCGCTATTCTTTTCTGCTGCCGAAGAACCGTCCACCGGCAGCTGATCTCCAGCCCGTTTCCACACATATCCCCATCGTCTCAACACTTTGATCTCCTTGCCCGTAATGAAGACGGAAGGAGTTCCTTCTCCAAACCCTTCTTCTTCGGCACTTTTGCCACTCTCAATGCCCAGGTAGACTGCTCTCGCTCGACTTGTGATGCTGATATATCCCTGTGCGAGACTCAGTCTACTCGACAGTGGCTGCGTCGGCATGGAATATTTCAGTAAGGTGAACACGAACGCCAATGCCAGCGGAGCACGATTAGTAAACAGCACGGTCTGCTCTAACTCTGCTTCATCGGCATCGCTTGATGGCAATTCCAGCGCAGCTTCAAGCTCTTCTGGAGAAGCAGCTGCAGCGGCATCGGCATCGGCTGCGAACAGTAAATCTCCCTTCTTCGCTTTCTTCTTGGGCGACGGCGCGGCACCAGCATCGTCGCCCGCCGCGCGTTTCTTCGCGGACCGCTTCGCCGCCGCCAGCACCTGCTTGCAGATTTTGTCGTCGTTGAAGATGGGGTTCAGCGCATCGACTTTGACCTTGGAGATCTTCTCGGCCGAGTCGAGGTCGGCGGCCTGGAGCTCCTTTACTTTGCTCATCGCCGTTGCGAGAGGCACTTTTGCATTTTGCGATAACAAGCGCAGGAGAGCCTGCAGGTTTGTCGCGCTCATTCTCGCCGAAGCATTAGAGAGGATATCAGATGTCCTTCACGCCAACTTCTCAAGTGGTCGCGGCAGAGTTGGAGGGAGGGATGTGTTGCGCAATTGGACTGCGTGAACGGCCAAGACTCTCGACAATCTTCGAAATATCTGATACTAAACTGTGTTTTTAATTGATGTAGCAACAAAGGATGATGTTGTGTCTCGGTTCATGATGCCGTGTCACTATCGATAACCAGCACGTGTCTCGCCCAACCCCCCCGCGTCTCCTTGACCTCACCTCTCCATTGGACACCATTCCAACACTTTCCACACCCACCCCAGCTGGCAATACGGCCAGTCTTCCACGCTTCTCCCTCGACTAGAAGCACGACCCAGAGACAGACGCGCATGTGAATCTCCATCCTCTGCACATGCAGCCAGCATCTCCCTCTCGCGCCCTCCTCCTCCATGCACGAAGACGTGAGCGGTAGCAGCGTCTCTGCGGCTCATGCTCGGGGGAGGTGACAGCGTAGATGACGACCGCTCAACGCACCGACGGCCTCCTGCCTCCTGGCACGGGCAAAGATGCCCGCACCATCTCCGCCGCCTCCTCTTACTCCACCATCCGTCCCACCCAGTCCTACGCCCGCTCCGCCACTGGTCCACAGCCCGGCAGCTTTGCCTCTGATCTTCGTAGTCTGCCCTTCTCTCGCGCCGCCGACCTCTCCCGCGCCGCCGACCTCTCCCGCACCGATGTGAGCAGCTATGGCGCGTACGACGCCAGCAATGACCTCACCACCTCCGAGCAGCGCCAGGCCGACTACAGGAGTAAGATTGAGAAGGAGATGAAGATGAAGGCGGGCACGGAGAATCTGCTCGAGGCACTCACTCTAAAGAAAGAGAAGCAGGCACGCGATCAGAGGCGCATTGTCGAGGCGGAGCTGAACACGTCCAACCGCAAGATTGCCCGCTTAAAGCTGGACCTCGAAGCGGAGATTGAGCGAAGTAAAGAGCGGCCGACGAGTCCCCGAGCCAGACTGTCCCAATTTTTCCGCTCTGCTCCCACCAGATCGCCCGATGGGCCGGGACAACAGCTAGGCCACGCAGAGGAAGAGTACGATCCGGAGCTGGAAAGCCCTACCTACATCTTCGCAGACATCCTGCAGTCGCTGGAAGCCGAGGAGCTCGATGCGGACTACTACATCAATCGCGCCAACGACCTCGTTGAGCTGTTTAAAAGGCACCCGACGCTCAAGTACGACTTGGCGTGGTCGATTTTCGGCCTTCGCATGCAAATGCTGCTGCTCAGTGACTGTAGAGAGGTCGTGGCGGCCGCGTACAGAGTCATGCGTTATGCCATTACCGATCGCAAGTCCCTCGCGACCATCCGAGCTCTGCAGACCGATCATCTCGTCGTCCTCTCATTGGTGAAGGAAGGCAAAGCGCGCGTCGAACGCGAACAAGCATTGAAGTTCATCCGAGCCTTCTTGGATGTGAAAGATGGCTGCAGTGAGATTCATCCCTCAGTTGCACGCGTCGTTGTTGCCGTCGCCGATCACTCCGACGATACCCTCCGGAGCATGGCTACGCTGACGTTGGCGGAAATGCTGCTGAAAGATCCGCAGCTCGTAATCAACGCCGATGGAGTTGGCGTGCTGGCGGATGCCATGGGCAGTGGCACATATCACGCTCCGGAAACCCTTCTTGCGCCTTTTGTGCATCTCATGGATCTGCCCGCACGAAGGGCGATGCTGGGCTCCGGCTACGAATTCAGCGCGGCATTTGCGACGTTCACCGAACCATATTCCTCCCATTTTGAGGAGAAGCTGACATCGAGCGCCAAAGTCATCGCTGCCATGTTCAAGTCGTGGCCCGGGCTGATGACATTGAGCTTGCACGACTTTTTGCCCGTTCGATCGGTGGTGTCCTCCCTCTACATTTCGAGCATTCCCGTGAGGGCGGCAACGTTGGATCTACTCATCGACATCTTGCGGGTGAAGTCGCCTTCTTGGTCGACGAGCTTCATCGGAGGTCGAAGACTGACGACATATAACCGAGTTACAAACCTGAGGATGCAGTCCAAGGACGCGAAACCCACCCAGTCCGATGTTCTGGTCGACGAGCATCAACGAAGTCTGGTCGATCACTTCATAGCTGTGGCTCTGGCTATTCTACTTCGCCAAGGGCTGCTCAAGGGCCTCATGCACGCCGAAAGCGATGCACCGGACCAAGCTTTCCAGCGCAAGACGTCGTTATTGATCGCCGAAGTCTTGCGATTGGCATCCGAACTTCTGCCTAGCTCGTGGAGTCAAAGTCTGCAATCCATGCCTGGCCTGTTCAACAATGCCATCAAGTTTGATGACGAAGACCGATTCAATGCTCTGGCTACGGTGTACCAAGTGGACAGCATCAACCGAACATTATACCGATCAAATCCGGAACACGGCGGGGACAAGGAAGGCTCGCAAGGAATTGAAGACGCCAGCGCAGCATCCAGAGCGCGAGCCACCAGCAAGACACAAGTCAACGCGGCTATGGACGAAGCCCTCTTCCGGCAGAAGATGCTCGATACGGGTGTTCTCAATTCTGTCAACTATCAAAAATGGGACTGGCCACTGATTCAAGACTTAATTGAGGGGCCCATGACCAACCCGCCTCGCTTCAACGACGCTCTCAAGAACGTCAAATTCGTGCATCGCCTGCTTGGCTTCCTGAGGCCGTTTAAGTTCCGGTTTTCAGAGGCGCCGAACACAAAGTCCAACCAGCGATATGTCCGCATGGGTTGCAGCTTGCTAAAATGCATGCTGCAGCACATGGAGGGGGTGGCGTATTTGACGACGTCGAAGATCATTCCGCAGATAGCAGAGTGCCTGGCTCAATTCGATCCCGTCAGCGGCATCACCTCGAAGACGCCGCTCTTCTCGCCCCAGCGACTATCTGAGACCCTTGTAAGCGGCTACTTCTCGATGCTCGGTGTCATGTGCTCGGACCAAAGAGGCATCCACATCTTGATCAAGTGGAAGATCATCAACATCTTCTATCACATTGTGGAGTTGAAGGACCGCGATGATCTCATTCGCGCGATGCTCACCAATCTCGACTACACGCTCGACAGCCATCCTCGAATTATCCTGTCAAAAACCATGGTGTCTGGATCCAAGCAGATGAGGATCACAGCGACTCGCCTGCTGCGTAAGTACGCCGTGCTGCCCATCCAGACACAAACGATCATTGGCGGAGGTGCGGCGGAGTGGGCCATACGCCTGCTAGTCGGGCAGTTGTACGACCCGGAGATTGAGGTGTGTGAAGTGGCCATCAAGATCCTCGAGGAGGCGTGCAATACCATGACCAGTCTGGAATATGTGGTCAGATGCCGCCCCGCGCTGGATCATCTCGGTGAGATTGGTGCTCCGCTGCTCCTCCGCTTCCTGTCGACATCCGTCGGCTACCATTATTTGGATGGCCTCGATTACATTACCAAGGAAATGGATGACTGGTTCCTCGGCCGCAACGATACCTACGTCACCCTCGTGGAGGCCTCGCTTGCGCGGGCACTGGCGGATCTACCGGAGAAGACGCCATCGGGCCTGGACGAACCAGTAGAGCCGCAAGATTATGGCACCGTGCCCCCTCACTTTTATCGGGAGCTGACTCGCACGGCGGAAGGCTGCGAACTACTCAAGGTCAAGGGGCATTTCGAGGAGTTTGCCGCCACCATCCAAGACTTTGCCAGGGAAGACGAAGACCCCGAGACCATCTTGAAGGTGAAGGGATGTCTTTGGGCAGTTGGAAATGTCGGATCCATGGAACTTGGCGCACCCTTCCTGGAACGAACGGACGTCGTGAAGTATATCGTGCAAATCGCGGAGTCGTCACTCGTCATGACACTCCGGGGCACCGCATTCTACGTCCTCGGCCTGATCTCTCGAAGTCTACACGGTCAAGAGATTCTCGCGGAGTACGGATGGGATGGCACGACCAACGCCGTGGGGGAGAGCCTCGGCTACGTCCTCCCATTGGACTTTGACAAACTCTTCTCCATCCAGCCCTTCACGGCCGCACACCAGCGAGAATCGGACGTCGCGCGGCTGCGCGTACGCACCGGCGCCACGTCCGCCATCACCGATGACGACCCGACCAATGCGGGTATTCTGAGTGGCATCACCAAGCTTGGCAACACGGTGCTCACCAACAAGTCGCTGGCGGCGCTGGCCGCGTTCAAGCACCAAAAGGCGCCTGGGTTCCACTCGCCTGCGCTGTTCAAGAAGGTGATGGCGCTGCTGGCAAGTTATGCGTATGGCATCTCCCAGCGGCGATACGTGATTGATCTGTTTGACAAGAGCGTCTTGCGCAAAATCGTATTGGAGGATGAGGAGGATAGTAGTGAGGACGAAGGGCGTTAAGACCGGGACTTTTGTCGTTCAGGGAGCCACGTTTGGCGTTTTTGATACTGGGGATTTATGATGGCCATGGAGATCGGGGAGGCGCTAGTGCGCATATGCTCAGACCTTTCCGCGTGCATGCAGATTTAGGTCGATACATCCCGTCTTCTCCCCGTCTTGCAGCATGGGAAGCTCGCAGACGACAGCAAATAGCTTTTGGCGAGATTGACTCGTCCTCACTCTGGGTACACCATTTTCCGCGTCACGCCGCCATCCACCACCACTTCCGTGCCGGACGCGAATTCGGCTTCGACGAGATACTCCACCGCGCGAAGGACGTCATCAACTCTACCCACGCGCCCCGTCAAATGCCACGCCTGATCCTCGGCCGTCAAGCCCTCCTCCCACTTCTGACCCCGCGCGTCAGCATCCTTGCACTCGTTCGTCACATTGATCCAGCCTAGCAACAAGGCATTACTCCGCACCCCGTCCTCGGCCAAGCTGACGGCCATGGCCTGCGAGAGGCCCAGCAAGCCGGCCTTGGTGGCGGAGTAGGGCTCGTTGTGCGGCTCGCTCATGACGGCGCGCGTGGAGGAGATGTGCACGATGCTGCCGCCGTGGGGGCGGGCGGGGGATTTGCGCAGCAGAGGCAGACAGGCTTGCGACATGAGCATTGGAGCGGTGAGATTAGTTTCGATGGATGTGTTCCAGTCGGCGAGCGAGAGGGCGGAAAGCGGGGTGCCTCCTACGCCGGATGTTGCTTGGTGTCGTTTAGAGGGGGTGTCGATGCTACAGAGGCGACGGCGGGGGAGAGAAACTCACAGGCGGCGTTGTTGATGAGGCAATCCAGGTGGCCGGAGAAGAGAGTCTTTGCCTTTTCCACGGCGGAGAGGATGTCGGAGGGACTGCGGACATTGCAGTTGAGAGAGTCAAAGTCCGCGCCGGCTTTGTGGGTTTGGGAGAGCTGGGAGGTGGTGTGGGTTAGTTCTTCGTCGTTGTAGTCGACGAGCAGGACTCGGTGGCCTCGTTGGAGGAGCAGGCGGGAGAGGCCGCGGCCAATGCCTCGGCCGGCGCCTGTGATGAGGAAGTTTCTTGTTGTGGGTGAAGCCATGAGGGAATAGGGGATGTCACGGGTTTGATGTTGTGGTATGATACGGGGGAGAACATGAAGCAGAATGATAGAGAGAGTTACGTCATGTGTAGACGTGGAGACCACCACTCATATGCCAAACAGTGAAGGAAAGGTAGGCAGGAAAGGCGGAGAAGTATATACAGTGATGGAGTTGTACTTGACCTGGATCGATCTCAATATTGGAGACGACTATTCGAGGAGGGGTTCATGTTGTAGAAAGGACCTTCTCGTGGTGCGGTAAGTGAGAGGATTCGAGGTGGCGTAAGGGTCACGTGACGTATCACGTGAAGAAGAAGGATTTAATTTCGCGCGACCAGGTGGGAAATCAGGCGCCGAGAGCGCAATCAAAAAAGGTTGGGCGCCTGGCGCGCCTTGATTGCGCAGGAGCATTGCGAGGGGAGGAGAAAGAGAGACACTCAGATACACCAGTGTGTGTGCTGGCACGCTGGATCATGTATACCCAGCCACTTTGCTCGCTTGGAGCAGAAATGCTTGGGTGACAACATGATCGTCAATTTGGTGAAGACGAGTGGCGGGAGGGTGCGGTGCGTTCCCAATTTTAGACTTTCGGCAAAGGCAAAAAGGACAGGACAGGGTGACAGGAGACAGGCAGCGACAGGCACGCGCACAGAAACAATGGCCTTGATGCGAAACAAAGAGTGCCGCGCTTGCCGTCGCACAATCCATGCACCCGCCCGTGTGTCGTCGGGTGTCACTTGTAGCAGAGATGCAGCACATATGTATGTCGCGTGCGCCGGCGTCTTTCATCCGTCTGTCTGTCACTGCCAGAACAACAAACAGCGACGGAGCGTCTCCTGTTTGCTGACGGCTTCCAATACGCAGCGCACCGCACCGGCAAACACGGCCATGCCCAAAACAGAGGCGCAGGTGGAGCCGCGAATCCGCCGCCCCTTCTCCTCCGACGAATCGAGACTCGGGGTGGGCAGGAGGAAGGAGCGCTAGCCGGCTGTTCCTGCATGCGACTGGCGCGCTACCTCGCCCGACCGTTGGTCAATTTCCCCCTCGTCTGCCAAATAAAGCAGCAGGGTGGAGCAGGTCGCGAGCCCGCCCAGCCCGCGCGCAGCATCCTCCGAGCCTCTGCAATTACACGCCCCCCGACCGGCCACTCACGCCGCCTGCTCGCGCGCATGGGGCCTCGCCGTCTCGCGTGCGCCGCCTCTAGCTCGCCTGTCTTCATCTCTCGCCCCAAACTCAATCCATCTCTCATTTAAGGCCGGCGTCGCCTGCTACTCGCCCCCGTTCCGTCCTTCTTACCCCTACTCTCTGTACATCAACACCCTCACTGCTGCTGCTGCCTTTGCTGCTGCGTCCATTCGTTCCTCGCGCCCTATACAAATCCACCCCGAGTCCATCAACTTAATCCACACCCACACACCATCAACATGCGTACCTCCGCCGTCGCCACCGGCCTCTTCGCCGCTGCCGCCTATGCCACCTCTGCCCCAACTTGCGAGGGCCCGCCGTGCATGACTGCCGCCCAGGCTCAGACCGTCGCGACCAACTTCGGCGACCTGATCTCCGCCTACAGCACCGCCAACGCCGAGGCCTACCTGACCGCCGACTACACCGACTACAGCTCCAGCGTCAACACCCTCATCGACTACGGCTGCCCCGCCGGCCCCGTCCCCCTCGACGCCCCGACCTTCACCAGCCGTGCCGCCTTCATCCAGGGCCAGGGCTCGCAGCCTGACATTCCCTTCAAGTATGTTTCTCGTCAGCCCTTGAAATTTTACAACTTCTGTGCGAACGAGTACTAACGACTATTTCAGCCAGGAGAACCTGTGGTACACTTGCGACACCGTCTTCATCCGCTGGTCCACCACCGTTGCCCCCGGCTCGCCCGAGACCGTCACCGGCATCATCGCCGCCGAGACCGTGTACAACGCCACCGCGGCCTTCCCCTTCCAGATCCAGGTTTGTCTTGACCTTGCCATCTTCTGTGCTCCCCGCTAACCTCCATCTAGACCGTGTACAGCGAATTCAACTCCGGCGCGTGGCTCGTCGACCTGGGCGTCTTCAAGCCCACTTGCCCGCCCCCTCCCCCACCCAAGAACAAGCGCTCCGTGGGCAGCAACCTTCCCGCGCGCATGGCATAAGCGGCTTCCCTTGAGACTTTGCATCGACATTGCATCCGGGTTACTTTCGTGTGGTGTTCCGTTGTACATGTGGGGGAGAAAAGGCAGCCGATGGGCAGCAAGGCGTTCTTCACAGCCGCATAGGCCCCCAGCAGACCAGCTAGGCCTGCCCTCACCGGGTCAGGGCGGGTTTGGTCGACTCTTTATTCTAATGATTGACTAATTACCTTTTTTCGAATGTCAATACCTTTTTGGAGCAACTAGAAGTAACCATTGACGGTGGCAGGAAGCAGAATTTGCTCGGGTATTTGATGGACAGTGCATGCTGTACATAGCGACGAGACATCTACTTTTTGCTCCGTTCTCAATCTTCATCCCCCTCCACAGTCATTGTCCTCTCCACGTCGAACCCACATGCCATCAATTCGTCTGTATCCGCGTGTCGAAATCGTCACGACGGATTGCCCTTCGTGGCAAAAAACCAGAGTTTGCGGGGACCCGCTTAAAAGAAGCTCAACATAAGCTGGCGATCGACATGACATCAGCCCCATGCGGAAGCACATATGGTTTTATTGCTGGTGGAAAGACACAAAAACCTTTGAATATTCCTCTGGCACGCTTCTTCTTCTTCAATTCCCAATCGCCACAAGAGTCCAACATGTTTTCACGAACCCGGCCGCGAGCATTCGCTGCTGCCGCCCAATCGACCCTCCGTCCCTCCCAAGTCCCCCGCACCACCGCCGCAGCCCTTCACACTCGCGCATTGACTCGACCTAATGCCCGTTTGGAAGCGGGTGCAACGCCGCGCGCACTGAAGACGGGATCTCCTGCCATATCGAAGCGTTTCGAGCACACCGCCGCCGACGGCACCCGTCGCCGCTTTGAGGATTTCGAGGTCTGTAGCAAGCTCTTGTCGGCAACGATGTTGCATTGGACTGACTCGATCTCAATCCGCGTAGCTTGATGGCAAGGTCTTCGTCGTCACCGGCGGAGCGCGAGGTCTCGGCTTGACGCTCGCAGAAGCCTTGGTCGAGGGCGGAGGACATGGTGCGTAGCCATTCGTCTTGCCTACTGCTCACCGCACGGCCCAACTAATTGTATCCTTCCCAGTCTACTGCCTTGACCGACTAGCGGAGCCCTCGCCGGACTTCAAGGCTGCGCAGGAGCTCGCCGAGAACCAGAGCTATGGCGGGAGCATCAGCTACGATCGCGTCGACGTCCAGGACGCCGAGAACCTCGACGCGGTCATCGGACGCATCGCCAAGAAGCATTCGCGACTCGATGGGCTGGTGGCCGCCGCAGGAGTGCAGAACGTGACGACCGCGCTCGAGTATCCCCCCGAAAAGATCACCGAGGTGCGTGTGCAGTGTCTCCCCGCCCCTGAGAACGTGTCCCGCTGACAAGACGCGACCACAGATGATGGACATCAACTACAAAGGCGTCTATCTCTCGGCCGTCAGCTGCGCACGGCAGATGGTCAAGTACGGGACGCCCGGCAGTATGTGCCTGGTCGGGTCCATGAGCGGCCTGATTGCCAACAAAGGCCTGACGTGCTCCGTCTACAACTCCTCCAAGGCCGCCGTTATCCAGCTGGGCCGCAGCTTGTCCATGGAATGGGGCAAGATCATCGATGGCAAGCCCATTCGTGTGAACGTCCTTTGCCCTGGAAACATCATGACGCCGGTAAGTCTTGCAAGTTTTGTCACTTTGGACAGTAGCTGATACAATTGTCCCAGATGGTGCGCCAGAACTTCCAAGACGACCCTCTGTTGAGGCAGATCTGGGAACGAGAGAACATGCTCGGTCGCATCTCGGAGCCGCACGAGTACAAGGGGGCGGCGCTGTTCATGTTGAGCGATGCATCCTCCTTCATGACCGGCGCGCATCTCGTCATTGATGGTGGCTATACTGCGTGGTAGACGAGGGTCGTACCAACGTCGATCTACTGGGCAGCGTCTGTAGTATATACATATACTTACTATTCAAACGAAGCATGCATGTGGAAGAGATGATATATGTCATATATAAATCTAGACCGTGTCGAAGTGCAGTGCGCTCGCTCTATATATTCGTATGCCACTCGTAATACCCCACGCTGGAAAGGCCTGTGAGGAATCACGAAAGCACAAGACTTTATATCTTCGCTGCTGCACTCGGTCGCGTGACGGTGCATTTGATTAGGCCGTTCGGGTCGCTCTGCGGAGCATACACTTCGGCGTCCTTGCCGGTATTCTTCAGTCCCTTGAACCAGCTGAGATCTGTTCCACTGAGTCAGCGTCTCCATGCTCCCCTGTCAGACGAAGGTATCATGAAAACTCACCAATTTCAAAGTAATGCTTGTTGGGAAGCGAGTACTCGACCGCCCGCACGCCAGGCGCCACGGCCAGGATCTGCTCGGCCATCAGGTACATTGTATTCTGCACGCTCGGACTGTCTTCTTTGGCAAATGTCTCCAGCGTAATGGTGCGGGCATCATTCCACGCACGATCAAACGCCTCCACCCGCTTCTTCACCGCCTCGAGGTCCCGGAAATCGTCCCACTGCCATCCCGCCTCGACCTCCGTGGACAAGATGCGATCGCGCGTCTCCGGCAGCCGGGTATACTCGTCCTTGTGATAGCCCCAGAACTGCGAACCCGTGCTCTTCAAGACAAGCAAGTCGGTGATGCCGCTGCGCACGCTAATCTTGCCCGGCCGCCGTGACGCCGTCACCTCCACCGTCCGCTTCTCGTCGCCGTCGCGCAGGAAGGAGTGAGGGTGCGGCTTGCCGTCGACGGGCATGCGCGTCCATTTGTGCACGACGATGCTCACGTGCGCCGCGTCGATCCACGCGTACTCGTCGATGTAGTGCTGGGCGAGGATGCTGCCGAAGAGCTCGGGCGGGTTGACGGGGTGCAGCTTCGCCATGACGTAGGCCGTCTGCTTTTGCGTGTCGGTGGCGACGATGTTGGCGTTGTCGGCTTTGGTCCACGAGGCGGCGATGTCGCCTTCGAGCATGGTGCAGACGGTCATTTCCGTCACGTCTTGCGTGCCATCGTCGTGCCGGTGGACCTTGAAGAGGCGCACGTTGTCTTTGCCGTAGCGTGCTTGACTGAGGGTCGCCATTGTGCTTGACTGAAGGGAGGTTGTGTAGGTAGAGTCGAGTAGAAGGGGAAGACAGCAGGCGTATGCGGGGTGGGCGGGGGACGAGGTGGACAGAGATAAGAGAAGATAGAGAGACGGCGCTCACCTGCAGGTGTAGATGAAGATACAACGGACGGGCCTATTAAAGCAAAAGTCGCGGCTCTGCCTTGCGTCGGACCCTGCCGCCAGACAATCGCTGCACAACGTTTATGTAAAGCATTGCATCGGAGCTGGACTACGGGTGGGACGTGAGGTTCATTCCACCAGCGGCCATCTCCGATGCCGTGACATCTACCCTAACCCTAAGGCGGTTCCAATGATACAACCACGAGATATATGAGCTCTAATACGAAGCCAGTTGCATACATCGTTGCCCGTAAATCCCCTCCTTCTATCCTTCAGCATCGGCGGGGTAATACTTCATAATCTCGGTCAACATCAGCTTCCTTGGCGCCCTCCTGCCCGTAAGGAGCTCAAACTGTGAATACGCCTGTTCGGGAATCATATCGAAGCCATCCAGGAATATCCAACCCTTGGGTGCTGCCTTCCGGATCTGCCGCGCCAGGGGAGAGACGGGGAAATCGTAGGCAACCTCGACAACCACCCCGCCTGTGGGACTCTTGAGCCAGTCGTCAGGGAGGGAGAAATCGGTAGACTGTCCGGCGGGAGTTCGTCGTGGAATGCAATTGATGATCATGGTTGGATGTCGGATGTCTCTCGGCCAGCTACTGCTGAAGGAATCGAGTAGGCGAACAGGGCCGTGGGTCTCTTTGTCGGGGATGAATTGAGACAGCAGGCCTTCGGACGCGAGTCGATTGTAATGCTCCACGAGATTCTGAGCGTGAGAGACAGTCCGGTTGCACACGAAGATATTTCGCACGCCGAGGGAGATCAGGGAGTACACTGCTGCTCGCGCCATGCCTCCCGCTCCACATACCAGCGCACTGCTCCATGCTTGGATGGTGTTGGCCGGTGACAAGCCCCTGCGTATGCAAGCACGCAGTCCTATCCAATCTGCCACATGTTAGCGCGTCACTCACCATCGCATCGGCGGATACATACCAGTGTTGAAGCCATACAGAGCTTTGACAGGACCCTGACGCCGACGTTGCGTGATGACTTTGTCCTCATCCGGCAATTGGCCACCTTCCGTGAAATCTCTGATGGGCACGACTGTATTTGCGGCACCGATCGCTTTGGCATGTGGACTCAGACCATCGAGTAAGTCAATGACGGCAGTCTTGTACGGTTGCGCTATGGCTGAGCCGCCGAATGTGATCCCTGCGCTGATTTCCTTAAACTCGTCCAGTGATTTCGACGATTTGGTCCTGTAGGTGTATGCCAATCCGCATGCCTCGTACGCTGCATTGTGCATCGCAGGTGACAGGGAGGCCTCTACATTCCCCCCATACACAAAGAACTGAAGAGGCTCCAGCGCAAAGGAGGAGAAGAGCGCCATGGTAACTTCTCGCGCTGTGAGTTGTCCATCGGTAGTCTTGGAGACTTCAGAGGCCGAGTCCACGTTTGGAGGCTGGACTGAAGTCAAGATCGTATTGAAGCATTTCGACGTACGGCCAGCCGATCCAGTAGCGAAAGCTATCAGTGGTATGGAGTCGGCGGATTCCTTTATTTTGCGGCGGAAGTCGTGAATCGAAAAGACATCATCCACATCGCGGGCGGGCATTGTGATCTTGACCATGTCGCATTTGACATCTCGTGCTCGCTTGTACTTGTCGAAACACTTGTCGTCCTGCCAACCTTTCGCGGGTCGCTGAGTGAAATCCGAGACACCCATGATCTTCGTGTCGCCGCGGGAGGCAATGAGCGGAGCAAGGTGAATATCATCGAGGGCCAGATCGATGGCGCATAATTCGGGCCCAAGTCGCAGACAGTGCTCCGCCATCTCGAGATAGGCTTTGGATTCCAATTGCGGACGTTTAGCACTCGTCATGTTGATGAGCATCGGCAAAGTGGTCGAGCGTCGCAGCATGGCAAATGCTTGCGCAACTTCGTGGTAGCCTTGACGATTGCTGCGCACATCGATGTCGATGGTCAGTTCAACGCAGTCCACGCCGACTTGTGCGTGGTCCAGATCGACGCTACGTCCAAGAACGTCGGATACCCCGAGGCTGAGGGCAAAAGTTCGGTCTCGGCTTGCCAACTCCATGTTGGCGAATGGCTCCACGGGACGTTGCGGAAGCCATCGGTCGAAGCCATGAAACACCTTTTGCACCAGTGCCAAAAAGTCACGCTCGACTGATTTGAGGGTCAAAAAGCCGCGTTCGGAAGACTGGCGCGTGACCTGAGCGCTTTCGGGCGAGGTAGTCGAGCCGTGATCGGTGGTCTCGGACAGATTGTAGAAGTCGTAGTTCGAACACGATCGAAGTAGTTTGTCGCTGGCCGCCAGGAGTTGACTGATTCTCTCGATTGTCAACGCCTTCAGATAGGACTGGATGCCGATCGCGTCACGGGTAACGTGGATAACGGGATGGGTTGCGGCATAATTGCGCAACAACGGAGCGCCATGGTTCTCGAGGTCGGAGATCCCACAGATGATCACAGCGTCTTGACTGTACCGTTCAAGGGTGTCTTTGAGAACCTCCGCGTGTCGTCGGTGATACTCTGCCGGTCCATGCAGCTTCCGGTAGGCAATCGAGGGCGTACCGACAACCTCCGCGAAGACCTTGTCAAGTTCAACAAGGCGACGGTTGTAAGCCGTGGCTGCGATGACTCCAAGTGTGCTTTTGCCAGCACCCGGAAGCCCGATCAGGACGAGGGAGCTGGAAAGGGGAAATCGCGTTGCCCGCAGGCCATTGCTGACTGAACCAGCCCTGGCCCACTCGGCCCTTCCATTGAGCGCGGCGGGCAATGGCGAGTTGGTCCGCGAGGAAGTCGCCGAAATCTCCCGACCGTGGACGCCGCCATTCATCTCGTGATGCGTGCGCTTGACGCCCGCATGGGCCGTGGCCATGGCGGTGCAGAATGCCGATGCTTGCGCGGTGGTGCTCGATGTCAGGGCAATCAAGTAAGGCACACACACGTGGGGAGGTGGAGGAAGGGGTGGCGGCGGAAGAAGACTCACCCGCGCCCCCTCCCCGCCCCGCACTCCTCTTGACTCCCCCTCCTCGCCCTCGCCCACGCCTCCACTCCATCTCCAGGTGCCCGGGAAAAGCCTGGGCCGGATGACAGGCGTCGCCTCGATCATGTGCTTGCGGCTGCAATGGTCAATGGCAAACGAACGGCCGATGCTGCGGTCGCCGACAAGGCCGCAGACAGCGACGCTGTCTATGTAAGCAAGCGCTCGCGCGTGTCGCGCGCCTGCGATCAATGTCGCTCCAATCGCGAACGCTGCGACGGGGCCAAGCCATGCCAGACGTGCATAACGCAATCGCGAGGATGCTCCTACGAGGCGACGCCGAAGAAGCGTGGGATTCAGCCAAACTACATTCGCACCCTCGAGGTCACTCTGGCCTGGCTGTTCCACACCTATCCGCAGGCGGAGCTCGGCTTGACGAGCAGTTTGACCCACGACGACGGCGATGCGGGTAAAGCCATAGGGTGGAAAGAATCCAAGACGGCCGAGGCCCTGCACCAGGCGTGGAGGAAGTCTCCATTACCAAAGCAACTCGATCAATTGCTCTCGGGCGAGCCGGTCACCACCGAAGGCGAATATATTGGAGGCAGTACGACCATGAATGACGTGAACAACACCGGCTTGGCCTTGTCTCCGCCATCTCGAACGACTTCCCTGGACCTGCATCCTCCCTCGAGAGCGGCTGCTAATCTCGACGAGATACTGACATCCAACCCTGGCCCCCGTCTCTCAGCGCCTGGAACTGCTCCCGTCCTTGTGAAACTTCCCGAGAATGCGTGGGAGTTATTAGAGTACTACTTCGCCTTCACCAATGCTTGGCTGCCAGTCACCGAAAAGCACATTCAGCTTAAGCTTATGTACACCTATCCCCGCGAGGGCCTGACCGGCGACCAGATTCGTGCACCGGAGCACGCAGAGCTTTGGAGTATCTTGGCCTTGGCGTCCTCGCAAACCTCTTCTGACCCCGAGCAATCTCGTTGGATACGAGACACAGCCGAGAGTCTGATCCCTACAGTCGGCAAAGACACCGCTTACGAGATTCCGCACATCAGAGCACTGCTCGTAATGGTGCTGCTTGACATGAGCGAGCAGCGTACACTGGCTGCATGGCTACGGATCGGCAGCGTCGTCTCACTACTGCTTCTCTTCCGACTTATGAACAAATTGGGACAAACAACGAAATGGTGCCGACATTTGCAGCTAGCCGCCTTTGTTCTGGAGAGCGCGCTTGCGTGTCACTTGAGAGTACCTACGCATCTTCGACACTCGTATGTCAATCAAGTAGGCTTTGTGGAAGAAGACGGGCTCGAGGAGTGGTCGCCGTGGTACGATCCAATGACTTATGCTCCGGAATCAGGCCTGAAACCTCCAATCAGGGCGCTGAGCACGCTGAATGCACTTGTGCGGATCGCATTGACCTCGCTGGCCAACAACGACACTGATCTCACCGGTGCTGCCGCTGCGGAAAGCTCGGCAGGGTCGGGTATTATGGTCGTTTTTTCTTTGCTGGAAAACGCCTCTTCCAAACACACAAGAGTGCAGCCATGCCTGCTCCTTGGCCAGACTGGGTACCAAGGCGTCTTGTCCACGACGGCGATGCAGTCCCATGATCAGAGTGACTTGGTCAGACCAACAGCCGATCAAATTAGTACGATGCTCTCTGGCATGACGCCTACACCGCTTCAACCCCTGGGTATCGCCGACTTTCAAAGTCCCCAGCTGAGAACGCATTCGCCAGCCGGTGGGCATATCGAATCGGTCCACGATGTCGCGTTACTGGCATATCCCCACGCAGCTACCTCTCAGGCTGGGTTTGACGGAAGCACATTTGGAAGCTTCCCAACGCCCGTGAATGTGTTTGAGGAGTTTGATGACATACTGGAACACGAGGATGCGGGTCAGCAGTCGCAATTCTATAAGAATCTTGGCTTTGCGCCCGATGTGGTACTTGCAGAGTTCTTTGGCGAAGACTACCAGCCTACGGACCCTTTACTCGCGTACTTGAATCCTTCACTATACGGAATGGAGCAGCGGTTGGCTGGAGGGACATCCTGGCCGGACGCTATCGGCAGGGGATGAGCATTATCATTATGAAAGTTCTATAACCTCAAAGCTGCGCTCTTGCTACCTGATCAGCAATCTCTCGACATGGCGACTGAACATGCGAGGCAGCAGTGAAGTCGTTCCGGATCCTATCAAACGATTGCCATGCTCGATCTGCGTGTTCTTGGGGCACCGCTGCACTGTGCTCTGTCAAGCTGACATTGAAGAGCTCGGCACTCACCCAGCCCTTGAATCCAAGGCCGGTGAGGATGGCATCGAGGATGGCTCGCACCGGTAGATATCCGCCTAAGGGTTCCTCGCCGTAGAAGAGCCTGCAGTTTCGGGACCAGCTCATCCGAGGCGGCTGCTCTTGTCGATAGTATGCATGCCCTTCGATCAGAGGCTCTGCAAGCAATGCACCGTCCACAACCTGGACGTATAAGACTTTGTCGACATCAACCTGCTCGACAAGTCGCTGGAGGGATTTTCGCATGGCTTGCTCGGCGTTGTGTGTCTTTCGAGAAGGCGCGGTGGGGTCGGCATAGACGCGGGCGGCCATGTTGAACGTGTCCAAGCAGATGCCAAAGTTCGGTCGGTCGACCTTTTGCACCACATTCCAAGCAGCCTCCCAAGTGTCGACATGTGTGCCCCACGCCAGTGCCTCATACGCGACACTGACACCGCTGGATGCAGCCAGGTCGGCAATCTCACGCAAGTCTCCAACAATCAGATCGATGTCTCCGCTGGCTTCTTCTCTTGACAAGGTAGTCGATGGCACCGAGATGATACGTGTGTCCAGGATCTTGGCCAGTCTGATCCAGTGTTTGAACTCGTCGACCCTCTCGCAATGAAGCTCGCGATCTCGGAGTCCTTCGTAGTGCATGAATGGCTGCAAGCACACGATTGATACTGATCGCTCGTTACATAATGATCGAATGCGTTTTGCAGCAAGCAGTTGTCTCTCAGCAGGCGAGTCTCCGGGTATGGAATGTGAGAAGTATTCAAGGTCTTCGAAGAAGAGTTCGATGTCGAGGCCGACTCTTGCCGCTTGGTCAAGTTTCGAGATAAGGTCATGCGCCCATGCTCGTCCGAGACTGCAACAATCAGTGAGATAATCGCCAATGAGGGAAATACTGAATGAGCTCACCTGTGACTGGATATAGCAGGTCGGAAAGACATGGTTGAGAGGAACGTGTCGACGATCTGGGCTGGTTGGCTGGTGGTGGAGTAGTTGTATGTGTCTACAATGTATGGTGGTGGAAGCCGATTTCAAAGGGTGGATGTATATCAAGGATACAGCAAAATGAGAACTCCGCAATGGAACGAGCGACTACATGTAGCTGGCGGATTGACATACATTCTCGATACAGCCTCAGACCTGGTGCGACTCGTCAACGCTGAGCCTTTGCGTTCCGAAGCCGTCATGGCAAGGACGCTGGGCTGATAAACATTTAGCCGGCCGAGGCGGGGTGATGTTTGATCCACGACTACACATCCACGAGGACAATCCTGCAACGATTGACGCGGTCTGTCTTCCGCTAATCCCGACATGATATCAACCGGAAATTGGGGCTATGCGAGATGTCCGTAGTGATATACTGTGCCCGGTTCGATGATGCCGTTCCCGGTGGAGCGCATCCTCAATGCTAATTAGCAAAAGCCGATGTACCTTACCAGCCCTGACTTGATAATGCGAAGGGTCGTGACACTACTGGTTGATTATACCGTATGAACATGGACCCCTCCGAACGACTCAAGGTCGCAGTCATTGGTAGTGGCCACATCGGGCCCAGGCATGCCAGCAGTGTTGTCAAGTGCAGCGAAACAGAGCTTTTGTGCTTCGTGGACCCGTCACGCAATGCTCAGGCCGTGGCGGATTCATTCCAGGTGCCTCTGTTCGAATCGATCGGGTCTATGTTGGCGGGACGTCACACTCCCGACGCCGCAATCGTCTGCACGCCCAATAGCACGCATGTGGAGGTTGCAAAACAACTGCTGGCGGCGGGGATTCACGTGTTGGTGGAGAAACCCATCTCTACCACTGTCGCCAGTGGCCGGGAGCTGATCGCCGCGGGCGAGCAGAGTGGAAAGCAGCTGCTCGTCGGCCATCATCGGCGTTTCAATCCATATATTGTCGCTACCAAACGAGCGCTAGAAGATGGTGCAATCGGAAAGGTCGTTGCGGTCTCCGGGGTGTGGGCGGCATACAAGCCCCCCGGCTACTTTGAGGCTCCTGCTGAATGGAGGAGGGCAACAGGAAGCGGTAAGCTGCATTTTCGGGGTGAAAACAGAAAGAGTCACATCATGACAATTGTTCGACAATAGGAGGACCGATCCTCATCAACTTGATTCATGAAATCGACTGCCTCCAGTACCTCCTCGGGCCTATCGTGAGAGTTTACGCCGAACAAACCGCCTCGCACCGCGAGCATCCAGTCGAAGAAGGAGCGGCGATCCTCCTCCGTTTCACCTCTGGAATCGTCGGAACGTTTCTCCTCAGCGACTCCGCCACGTCCGCTCATTTCTTCGAAAGCGCAACTGGAGAAAATCCCATCATTCCGAGGCTAGGCAAAGACGTCTACCGCATTTTCGGCACGGCGGGAACGTTGAGCGTGGGGGATATGAAGGTCACACGATGTGCTGAAGATATCGAAACGAGCTGGACGGCTGTTGTTGTTGAGAGCGGAATTGCTGTAGGCAACGAAGTGCCGTTTGATGAGCAAATCAACCACTTTGTGCGCGTGGTCAGGAACGGCGAGCAGCCTCGATGTTCAGGGCAAGATGGGCTCGACGCTCTGATTGTCTGTGAGGCCATTAAATTGGCCATGGTGGAAGCTAGACCTGTGGATATTTGAAATGATCAATTCTCTCGAGACCGTATTTCTTTTCGTGATATCGTCTGAACGCTATATATATCTGGCGGTTTCTATGAGACGACTACGCAACGGAGCTTGCTCTCTCCAATGTTTGGAGCTTCTCCTTTGCAACGCTCAATCCCGCCCCATCGGCATCCTGGCGGAACTCGTGCTCTCGCAATAGATCCTCGTCATGGATTTGATCGTGAGCCCTCCAGACCGGCCTGATCTCAAATAGACGGTCCATGCTTTCGAGCGGAATACCCTTCGTCTCGGGGATTAGGAAGAAGACGAAGAAGATGGACAAGATCATCATCGAAGCGAAGAAGAAGTAGACTCCACTTCCGTTGCGGCCCATGGTCAAGAACATCTGGGGCGTGAAGCGGCTGATGATGAAGTTCCAGAACCAATTGTTGGCCGCCGCAGACGCTTGACCCAGAGAACGCACGCTTTGATCGAAGATCTCCGAGTTGAGGACCCATGGAGTGCCGTTCCACGATGGAGTATAGAATGCGGTCCACAGGTAGAAAAAGAAGACCGCGGCCACGCCGCCCGAGCTGAGTGGCTGGGTCACTGTGTCCTTGGAGGAGGCGATTTTAATGGTGGAAATGTAGCCGCCGATGATCCACATGCATACCGAACCTCCAGCCGCGCCGATCATCAGGAGCTTGCGGCGTCCGAGGCGGTCAATGAGGAAGAAGAGCCAGATCAGGGTAAGGCAAGTCTTGACAACGCCGAAGATGCCGGTGGTGAGGAAGGTGGTGTTTGTGCCCGCGATGCCGATGGAGTGGAAGACAGTCGGAGAGTAATAGTTGATCGCATTGATCCCACTGCCGTTCTGCCAGAGGAACAGCATGCCACCGAGGAAGAATCGCCATTGCACCTTTCGGCTCTTCGCAACAGCCTTGAAGGGATTCCAGAAGCCCATGCCAATCGCCATCTGTTGCTCTTCCAACGCGGCGTCGAGGAAGGCCACTTCCTCAACGATGTATAGATCGTCCTGCGAGAGGTTGCGAATCCAGCACAGATTCTTTAGCGCTTGCTCCCGACGATTCTTTGAAAGCAGCCAGCGCGGGCTCTCTTTGATCCAGAAGGTGCCCAAGAAGAGAAGGCCGCCGGGAATCAACTGGACGGCGAAGGGGATCAACCATTGCGTGTTGCTAGGTGCCAATGTTTCGGAGATGCCGTAGTTGATCTAGGACATGTTAGAAGGAGCGTGGACGGGGATGAAAGGTGCCCATGCTTACCCAGAAGCCAACAAGGCCTCCGATCTGCCAGCCCAGCTCGTAGATACCAACGAGTCTCCCTCTGATAGCGGGGGGAGCAAGTTCGGCAATGTAGATGGGGACCGTCATCGAACATCCACCGACGCCAATGCCGGCTAGGACTCGACCGGCATAGATGAGGCCGAGTCCGCGTTGTGAATTGGCACCCAGCATCATCCCTGCGCCGAGAAGGAAGACGAGAGAGAAGCACCATAAGCTCTTCTTGCGTCCGAGGTAGAAGGCGGAGGCATAGGCGAAGAGAGATCCAAAGAATGCGCCCGCTTGGTACACTGAACGTTCTCTATCAGTATGTGTCTGTTGAAGTCGATCAGGTTCTTGTCGCCCACGTACCGCTCACGATGTTCGACTTGACAAAGGCCAAGTGAGAGTCGGAGAAGTTCTCGAAGCCGAATTCATCTTCGAAGGAAGGAAGAGCGAGAGTGGTGCCGATGAATGCACTGTCGTAGCCAATCTGTCTTGCCGTCAGAGGGTGACATGGATCAAGACCATGCGCTCTGCACCTACCATGCATGATGCAAAGGAGGCAATCGCCGCACACGTGTACACACGCCAGTTGTACACGGCCTTGGGCGTCGGCCTGTCTTCAACCAAGGTGAGAAGACCCATCTTTGATGCAATTTCTTCTCGGAGATGGGTAGTTGGAGTGTCAAGATGGCAATCCAACCAGAGATGGGGTGTGTTAAGTGCAGGACGAGCCGCGCATCTTTATAATAAGGCCTCTTTCCCCTCCTTCTCCAGGACGATGCCGCCGTTCCGCCACCGGACGATCTGGAAGCAGCGCGGGGATATGAGTTCTCGCATCTGGGGCGCGGGGGAGGAGGAAAAGGTGCGTGAATTGTGGGGTAAAGGAGTGCCGATGGAGGCGGAAGAAACCTCTTCCACCGGCCGATTACTCTTCCTTCCCTGCCCGGCTAGGCCCTTTTCCTTCCTTGATGATCATCCTGCCCCATGGTCTGGATGGCGAGGAGTGACGTTGAGAGGAGGAGGGGAGGGACTATGGAGTGGCCATATTGCCTCAATGCTCACTCCCTTCTTCTGTTGTTTCGTTCTTCATTTCTGTGAACATATTTTTCTTCGTTGGCTTGCCGTTGAATCCATTCCAGCATCCCTATCTCGTGTATACTCATACTCGTGCTACGGATTCGATCATAAAGCCTTGAAGTCGCACGAATGCAGAACCAAACACACAGTGCCGACATGGTACCATCCCAAGCCCCAAGGACGGATCACCTCGACGGCACTGGGTACCTCTTCGGCTACCCCATCGCCCACTCCATGTCCCCGCTCTTGCATCAAACCATCTTCACAGGTCTGGGCCTCAACCGAGACTATTTCCTTCTATCCTCGCTGGACATGGCGCACTTCCTATCACTAGTGCGGGATCCGAAATGTTATGGTACGTTACTTCAGTCCCGTATAAGACAGTTCACAATGCTGACATACTCCAGGATCGGGAGTTACAATGCCGCACAAAGTGGCCATAATACCAGAGCTGGACGCCATCACTCCCGAAGCTGAAGCCGTGGGCGCTTGCAATACCATCTTCAAACGAGGCTCTCAGCTCATCGGCACAAATACCGACATCATCGGCATTCGCGAGAGCTTCTTCCAGAACGTATCAGACAGCGTCTGGAGTGGTCGACCAGGTCTAGTAATTGGCGGCGGCGGTGCAGCAAGATCTGCAGTGTACGCCCTTGTCAAGTACATGAATTGCAAGACGGTCTACCTCGTGAATCGCGAGCGCCGGGAAGTCGAAGCCGTCATGGAATGGTGCACAGCTCATGGCTATGGTGACGGCCTCATTCACGTCGAGACAGTCTCGCAGGCCGAGCAACTCGAAGGGCCTGGCGCGATCGTTGCATGCGTCCCCAACTTCCCACCCAAGACTGAGTCGGAGTGGACTGCTCGTCGGATAACAGAATGCTTCCTGGCAAAGCCGCACAAAGGCGCAATCCTGGAGATGTGCTACCATCCAACACCGTGGACGGAGATTGGTGCTCTTGCTGAGAAGGCCGGCTGGCAGGTCATTCTGGGCACGGAAGCGATGATCTACCAGGGCTTCGAGCAAGCCAGATATTGGACGGGTAAAGAGCATGCCGAACTGCCAACCGAGGCTGTCAAGGAGGCGGTGGCTAGGGAATTGAACCGAGCACGACTATGAAGATGGCACAAAAGCTGTATTGCATCTTACCGCGGCGTGGCAGCTATTGCTACCACATAAACATCATCGGGAAGGCAGATCGATTCTGTGTTGGAGACGGCATCGGACTCGGATTCCGTGTCGATGCAACAACGGAGAGTCGAATAATCCTAGTCGCAGCATGACGGCTCAATGGCTGGAGATGTCGACCTACTTATCCCAAGCCCATATCACGCCTCATATGGCCCGGATGTAAAATTTATCAAGGAGGAGAAGAAAAGGGATCAGCAATAGTAGACTAGATAGATAATGCAGATCGATGACTCCGAAGCAGACTGTAACACTTTATTCAGACCAATGGCAAGAAATCTACGTCTTTTGGTTCGACACTACTCCACTCTGCAGCCCTCACAACGTACGTGATATGGTCAAGCACCGGGTTTTCTCCTGTATTCGACCTCAGATTGATTCGCCATTGGAACCTGACGCTGAGGGGGTTCAGAGCATTGGATCAAGCGTTCATCCGTGCCTCCATTGTCCTACAGGAACCCCGCACGTTCATATGTGACCCCAAATTCGACCAAAAATGGCTAATATCACCCCCCTACGGTCGAAAAAAATCAATTGCGAACGCTAGAACGTTGCCCACACCCTGAATCGAACAGGGGATCTTCTCATGACGTCCAGGAACGTGTGATTTAAATCACAGTGCATACGAGTGAGCTTTGATGAAGTTAGGACCGAAAATCGATGACGACATGCCCTAAATCGACACTTACACGCTGTACCACTAAGCCATGCGGGCCGCGCGAATATTAGATCACGCTAATGTCTATCATATATAAATCTACTAGAAATTGGGACCTCCGACCTTGTTCCGGGCGAGAGAAAAATGTTGGCGTATTCGACGAGGAATACCTCATATGGCATGTGATATGGCCAATCATACGGCATATGCTCTGTTAATGGGTTCCAATGGCTACAAATCTACTGAAAGAGCATACATGCATTGAATGCGGTGCTCAGTATACCCCCACGCGTTGGCGGGCGATCGAGAATCGACATACTTTAAGTAGAATACCTCCAATGGCTAGTCATATGGCATATGGTACGTAGTTTGGAGTTACAATGGCTGCAGAATCACTATGAGACATACATGAATTGAATGCGGTGCTGCGAATACCATCATTTCGACGGGCGAGACGAATCGGCGTACCTGTACCTTTTTCGAGGAATATAGCATATGGCATATGGCATGTGATTACATTCCAATGGCTACAAATTTGCTAGAAGAATATACGTGCATTGAATGCAGAGCTTTACATACGATCACGTTGAAAGACACGGAGTACAGTTCACCACGGGCGCCACGGGCGACAATGATAAGGCCGTTCACTTTAAGAGAGAGATACGCATGATTGTAACGACACGAGTCCAACGGACCTCCAATACCACGCTATGCAGTTGCCATTGTAGGCTCTACGCTGTGCACACATACCAATGTTGCAATCCATGCCCGGACCAAGCGGTCCTTCACAACGCCTTGATACCGTCTCGACATCATCACGCCCCATTGCGTTAATGCGCCTGCTCCACGAGCCACTCCATCACACTTTCGTAACAAAGGACATACTGCCTCAGACTCTGCACCATGCTCAAGCGTTGCCGCCGGAACTCCTCGACCGTCTTCTCCACCAAGTCCTGGTCTTCGCGCTCCACCCAACTCCCCTCCACGCCTTCCGGGCTGCGCGTCGGAGTTGTTGCATCGCCGCTGTCACTGTCACCACCCGCCGCTTGATTCGTGGGTGGATCGAGGTCCATGGGCGTGTATTCGCGCTCTTTTTGTGAAAGGCGTTGTCGTTTCAGCATGTCGATGACGGAGTCGACGGTGCAGAACGTGCCGGTCCGGCCACATCCGGCGCTGCAGTGGACCAGAATCGGCCGCTTGTTGGCTTGCTCGGGTTCGGCAGAGTGGCTCTTATTCGTGCTCCGCACAACAGCGTCGCACTGCTCTACCAACCCCAGCAGGTGCGCGGGATGCGCTGGAGCGCCGAAATCCGGCCAGTTGGAATACTGCAGTTGCGTAATCTCCCGGAGCGCTTCGAAGGGCTGCTTTTCGTGGGCGAGGGTGAAACGGCGCACGGTCACGTAGGGGTGGTCGGAGCCTTTCTCATCCTTGTCTAGCGAGGTCATGGGCAGGAGCTGTGGCCCAGTCGAGGTGCGCTTGGGGGCCGAAGGGCGATTCCTGCGATGGATGCGAGCAGGATCGATGGATGCGCGCTTCTCAGATAAGAAATCGAGTTGGAATGGTCCGTACTGTCCATCATCCCAGTAGTTGTGGGCTTTCACTTGGGGCCCTTCCTTCTCCGCCGTAAGCATGACAATCACGCGCACATCCTGCTGCCACACAATGTTCCAAAAATCCTGTGAATATCAATTAGCAATGCGTCCCTCAAAATGCTCAAACGGGCTGCTTACGTTGAACGTCGCAGGGATAGGGGCCTGCGTGGAGATATATCGTTTGTTGCTCCATGCGGCCTTGATGTAGCTTCCGTTGAAATAGTCATCGCCATGCTTTGGGAGCCCCTGCAGCTTCACGCGCGAATGCTCGAACGGCCAGATGTTGTTGTAGCGATTCTTGTTGCCCTTCTCGATACCCGATATCTGGGTCAATTTGCCGCTGGGAGATTGTGTCTTCGTGGGCATACCCTGAGGCGTACCGTACGACACGTGTCCGGACAGGGCATCTTCCATCCGCTTCTTCTCCCGTCGTTCGATTTGTTCAAATTTTCTTGACGCCGCCTTGCCCTGGTCTCGGTCGTCCGACACCTCGCGCAGCCATTCGGGAAAGTCTTTCTCGTCCGTGGGAGCGGCGCCGGAGGGGTGCTTGATGGCGATTTGCCCAACGCCCCCGATGAGATCCATATTTTGGCGGATGTTGCCGAAGAAGGGGTTGGCCGGGTTCTCCGTTGACGGCATGGGACACCCGCCAACGACTGGGGCGACCTCGGGACCGTCAGTCTCGATTGAAAGGCATACGTTTCTGTTCGAATCCGCATCGGCCCCGTCCTCGAGATGGTTCGGAAAGCGTCGGGCAAAGTCGTCCAGGCCGCCTTTGACGATATATGGAGTACCCGTGTATCCCTCACTCTGAAACTTTTTGATGGTGTTCACGCAGGTGTGCGCGTCTTTGATGGTGGAGGAGGATGCGTCGTACACGATGATGTACGCACTTTCCCGCCACCGCTCAAACTTCCGCCTCTGCCCGTTATCTTTGAAAGTCTCGGCAAGCTTGTGGACATTGAAGGACGGTCGTTTCAGCAATGTGGTGGGTATGCATAGATTCAGCGCGCCGGCGATGTGAGTTTTAGCATAGTGGGTGGAGACTCTCAGATCCAGTAACAAGACGGCGTCGTCGCTGGTGTCGAGAAGGTTGACTAGTTGTTGAGGAGTGAGGAGTAGAGCGGAGTCCGGCTCGTGCTGCGGAGCAGTCTGGGCGCGGGGTTTGTTAAAGCTCGCGGGACCGCACGAGTCATCCAAGGGAAGCGCAAATCGCGGCTGGGCTTGCAAGGTATTGTCTTTGTTTCTCAGTTCCAAATCGCTCCGGGAGAATACAGCAGGGGAAGCGCGCAGGGATTCTTCCGGTAGGAACTGGGAACCGGGCGAGAGTACTCGTTTGGGGGATCTTCTGCCCATGCCAGCCAGGTCGTGGGCATGCGAGTGTAATATTTCTCTCGACGAGCCCGAGCGACTGGAGGATTTGTTGAGCTTGGGTCTGGAGGTGGACTGGCTCGGCATGTTGAAGTTTGAGCCCAGGCCACCGAGATTGAAGGCCTTGCCTTCTGACTGTCGCTTGAACGCATCAAAGTCCGGATGCTGGTCGAGAGGGAGGAGGGTGGGAGAGGCGGCGGCCGTGGATCGGACGGCGGAGGAAGGAGGGCTCCATTGCTGCTTCGAGTGGTGTGATGGGTCGGTGGGGAAGGAGCTGTCTTCGCTGGCGTGGAAGGCAAAGTAGTTGGGACTCGGCGTTTTGACGGTGGCAGAGATGGCGGTATGTGGCGTGGTGACACGGCGGGAAGGGAGGGTTTGGGTGGGCGAGTGGAGGGCGGCACGTGAGTGATGTGACCGCGGCGAGGAGACGGTTTCCATGGCCGCTGTTTGGAAGATGGCGGAAGTGAGATGGGTTGGTGAAGAGGGAGTTATGGGGGCGACATGTTGTTATTGTAGCATCGCCACCTTGACCGGCCGCAGGCTTGGGGCTCGTAGGATGATGGGCAGACTGAGACTGATGAGCGCTGTCGTTCTTCGCCCCGGAGATCAGGGTCCACGCGCGCAAATGACGTAGCCGTGGCCGGGCAGTCTGGGTCTTTGTCACGCGACTTGGGTGTTGGTGAAAGGCGAATGGGCGGTTTGGAGACGGGCGGAGGGCTGGAGGAAGGGGTGGAGGGCGGAGGGCGTGGCGAAGCAGGAAGCGGTGGGCAGATGATGATGCAGCAATAAGGTGTGATGTGTGAGCGATGGACTACCGGAGTTTGGGGCGTGCAGGCAGGACCATCTCCACCTAAACCCAATCCGGTTGACGGGAGTGGTGCTTCTAGAACGACGACGACGCCCTGCTGCCCGCATGCCGCGTGCGGAGAATGGACGGTGACGCGCCACTCGTATACACAACCGCAGGCCTCATCGACGATCCATCATCCTCCCTTGCTGGCCCATCTCTCCACACTTTCATGCGTCGTGGTCTGGATCGCTCGAAAGTCGAGTCCCGCCGGAAATGACCTCGGTGGCGTCGCTTGCTCTTTCCGGATGCTCGCGGCCGCTTTCCAAAGCCTCTCGTAAGAATTCACCCTCTCCATGCCTTTTGGATATCAATTGATGACATACGGGGGAAAAATACTGCAAGGTCTTCTCACACATATGGACAACGCAGGTCCTCCCTACATACCTAGTACACGCGGTAACGATCCAAGTCTGGGTGGAAAGGAATGGCTCACGTGACGCCTCACACGTAATCACACACACTCCCACACCTCACGCAAGGCTAGCGCTTCACTCCATCATTGTGCTGTACTGATCAGAGCATAGTCGCGGTAAATGACCTGTACACCTAATGCTAAATGTAGTCCTCCTAACACCCCAAACCTAACCGAAACCATTCAAATCGTTAATGACAGTTTGTTGTTCATCGCAGCATCCCTTCATATCCAACGGTACACCCAAGTTGCCTTGCGATAAGAAGTGTCCATCTCCCCGAAAAATAACTCCAAACGCACTCCGCTATCCCAAAAGCAATTCGCAACTCGCACCTCGCTTGCAGGCTAGCGTATCCGCCCAGTCTGAACATGTAGCCGCGCCGCCTCTTGTACAACGGGGTCATTGCTGTCCACTTCCCCCGTGCTCGGCGCCAACCTGCGCAACAAGTCTCCCAGCCTCCGCCTGGTCCGCCGTGCCTCCTCCGGCGTTTCCGCCACCGCTGCCTGCTCTTCTCTGGCCTCCACCACAGGCATCTCCTCCCGGAGTCGCCGCAGAGCTGCCACGCGCTCTTCGCGGGGTATGAGCCCGGGCCGGCCGACTCCCATGATCCCCAGTACGATGGAGCGCCGGATCGTCATCCGTTGCCGCTCTCCCGCAGTATCCTGGGGCCCGAGAGGAGGCGCCTCGCCTTCCCGGAGTGCTGCCACCCCATTCTCAATGCCCTGCTCGGCTGTCGGCCGTAGGTCGATTCGGCAAAGCGGGCATGTCCCCGAGACATTCAGGAGCCACGGATCGACACATTCGGGATGGAAGCGATGGTCACACGGGAGCACTCGTTGGTCCTGTCCCGCTTCAAAGTCTTCCGTGCAAATGCTACAGCCTTGATGGTCGGGATGCGCCTGCGTGCCTGGGTTTACCGCTGCTGCGATGCCCTCTTCCACCGGTACCTCCTTGCTCTGCACATTATCCTGCTGTTTAGAGGCGGCAGGATCGCTGTTGGGCTCTTGCACAACGTGCGGCTCCCCATGCGCAGTGTTGACGGTTCCCATCTCCACCTCGCCGGGCTTCGGCTCCTCGCGCTCCCCAAACTTGACAATGGGGAGGGTCTCCAACATGGCGCGCGCAAGTCCCTTCGCCCTGCTCTGCCGCGGCCGGCCGATGATGTTTCGAGGCCCATATCGCTCGGGATGCCGGTGTGCTCGGACGGCGCCAGTCACGATGATGAGGAGGAAAAGGCCGGTGATGACGCCGGTGATGGAATACAAGATGATCATGGCGATTGCAGTGGTGGGAGACGGCGGCCCGCCGTCGTTACCGGGGTGGAAGGCGGGACTCGTGCCGTTCACGGTTGTATAGTCCACCGCGGCGTAGATCGTGCCGTCGTTGAACGGATCGGGGGTCGATGCCCGTTCGATCGTCAGTGTCGCATCATTGGCGCTCTTCATCGTGTATATCCAGCCGTACGGGCCGGTGTAGTCTTGCAGGTCGCAGTAGTCCGACTTTTGTGTGTAGAAGACCACCGCCTTGACGTCCGTCTGCGCGGCCTGCATGAAGAGGGTCATGGCGTCGAGGTAGCCGGGGGAGGAATCGCAGGAGATCAGGGTGATGTCCGTCGACTCGGGTACGTTGACGGTTTCGGAGAAGAAGGCGGTGCCCACCAAGCCATTTGGCTAGAAATGTGTCAGCGCCGGGCATTACATTGGTGTTCGTGAGAAGCATACGGGAATGGAGTTACGCGCGGCATCAGTCAGACCCAGGAGAGGTGCATCGGGCATCAGGCTGTTCCCGTCGGAGAGATAGAGCGTGAGGCGGTCATCGTTTTGCAGACTCTCCGTGGCGGCGGTGAAGTTGGCGGGCGAGATGGATTGTGAAGTGGCCAGCGACAGCGCCATGGCCAGCGCCGTCAGGCTGCTCGTGGACATATGCATGGTGGAGGAGTGGCGAGGGATGCTGAGGGCGAGTCGGACAGCGGCGATGGGGGTTTAAACGAACAAGAGGGCGGATGGCGGCGACATCATCACGCTTCGGCGATGGTATGCATTCGATGGCAGAGGATGCGGGATGGAGGTGAGGATGGAAGAGGCTCGGAGGGGTCAAGGGAGGCGTGCGCGGCCACAGCGCTGGCGGATAGGGAATCGTGCAGGGCGAGCGCGAGATTCCAGAGCAGAGTTCGGCAGCCCCACGCTTCAATTGGTGGGAGGGAGAGTTTGACGTCTTGGTGCTAACCAGCCGCAGCCAGTCCCGCCCGGCCGCAGCCGGCCCCGCCAGCTTCCGGACCGTTTCAAGACACGACAGTGGTGAACCGGGATGATCGCGTGTCTACCGGACGCCACGTCTATGCCACCAGTTTCATTCATGGGCGGCTAATGAAGACACAGGTAATAGTACTCGTTGTCACACTCCTTGTCAACTTGATCTCAATGTCCTAGCAGCATCTACGTGCATAGAGATGATAGGTTGCATCTGCCCTCTTGAGTCCATACCCATCACAAGGGCCCAAAGATCGACTGATGTGGACGGCTCTCGTCATGCTCAGCTTCGTCATGCTCACCACACAATCCTGGGCATCGAGCTGCTCGGCGGCTTGAATAGGAAGCGCGAGCTGGCTGCCCCTCGTTGTCCCCGTCATATCCGCCTTGCTCTGCAGCATCGGAGGGAGCGGTCGCGCGCGCAGTGCCTTCACACCAAGCAGCAATCGATGACTCGCAGATGAGGGTCGTGAGTAGCGGAGCGGCACTGGATGCCGGCGGAGATATATGATTGACCTGCTCCGTCATGCTCAATCTTCGCGTGTACTCCGCCCTCGAGCGGTCCGAGTTCCGTTTCCATTGAGCATTCGCCTTCTGCCTCTCCTCGTCCACAATGGCACTCTCTTCTTCCGTCGGCCCTCGCGCATGCTCCAGACAGGTCCGGCCGTGAGGGTCGGTCTTGTACGTCCGTTCGTAGTCAAACTCGGGACAGTGCGCTCCAGCCCTGCCGCTCTTGCGACCCTCCTCGCAGTACACGGGAAATTCGGTGAGTTTGTGGGGAGCGCCCCTCATCGCTTTGAACCGACCCTCTTCGCCTCTCTCCGAGATGGGGTTGGTGCAGAAGACCGTGTCGAAATCCTTCGAGTCGACTGGCGGGATTTCGTGCGTGCAGGTGTAGATTTCGATTTCCTGGAAGCACATCTTGGCCTTTGCCTTGTTGTGTAAGGTATTGCCGATTGATCGGTGAGATGGAGACGGTGAAGCAATGTCCGGCTGAAGTAGGTGCTCTAACCTGCTGCAGAGTGTCGCTGTTGGAAGACGTGGGTGGCTGTGTTCGAGGTGTAGGATGTGCAGTTGGCACTTTATATTATACTCTCCAGTCCTGTGCGTGTTTGCTCTTCTGTCGTACAGTGACCGATCAGGTGCGAGGCTTGTGGCTCGCGGTCAGCAGTGAAGATTGCCATGTGTTATTCTCGGTCCTCGACTGTGCCCTCGTTGAGCAATGTGAAAGCCACTTCTGTAGCACACGCCGAAGACCACCGCCAGATGGCGCCAGCAGAGTAAAACGGCATTGCACCTCCATATATATGCGAGGCTTCGTACTTTCCCAGCGCACCAACGCAGGGGCTGCTTACGGTGTCGTAGTAGCTGGCGACTGTGTGGTGCCCGAGGCCACTTGCTGCAAAGTTGCTTGCACTTCTGGATGTTGCGTTATGCTGCTCGTGTTCTCGCCCAATTTGATGATGTTCCCCTTGAAGGGGTGAGATGGCCCTTCGAAGCCTGCAGAGTATGCTGTCAGCATGAATTATTATGAACCGCTGGTTTCCAGGAAAGTGAGCACCTACATTTGAGCCTGCTCATGCGGTCATCCCTCAACCGATTCTTGGGCAACATGCCGCGAACCGCCCTTTTCAGCACCTCACCACCGCCCAACTTCTCCATCATCTTCCCCATACTGATCGATTTCAAACTCCCGGGCCGCGTAGTATGGCGATAATACAGCTTCTGCTCCATCTTCTTCCCCGTGACGCGCAAATCTTTGCAGCCGGTGCAGACAACGTAATCGCCGCAGTCGGTCGAAGGATCCCAGATGGGCTTGTGCTTGCCCATGAGGACGACGGCAATCTGGGAAGCCAGACGGCCGAGAGGGCGGGGATCGGTGGAGAGGTCGACGAGGTGCCAGGCTCGCGCGTAGGCAAAACGGGTCTGATGCTCCAGGTTAGGGATGAAACTCCTGCGCCTGACCTATGTCTGGGTGTTTGTGCATACCTTGCCGACGTATTGAGACATCTTTGGTAGCTCTGATGAAATCACAGCACGCAATGGTTGATGCCTGGTCGAAGTTCGCGGCGAGGTAAAGAGAAATGCAAGCGGTAGGTTTTAATTAAGGTACAGCTGACGGGAGTCGGGAAACCTGCCCGATTTTGGCTTGAGAATATGAACGAGAACATCACGGGTAGGAATGTGCACTTTTGTTCGTCTATTCATCTGATCGTAAAAGTCGTCTACATCTCGTATTGGTAATGTTCTTCCTTCAACAAAAACACCGGAGGACGATACACCTTTCGCCCAAGGGAGACGTAGTAGATGCTGGCCAACAGGACCAGCCCGCCGAACATCGCGATGCCCCAGTTCATGTCCGTTGGTGTCGGATTGGCCGTGAGTGGGAAAAAGGCAAACACAAAAAGTGGCAGCAAGAAGATCAGGCTGGCAATATTGACAATTGGACCAGCATAGCCAAGAGACCAGCGGCGACTCGGAAGCGGCTTTCCACTGAAGCGTCGGTAGAGGAGACAGCCGATGGTGAGGATGTAGCTCGAAAGTAGAGAGGATATGGTGACGGAGTTGATGGCGTTTAACGCGGTCGTCGACCCCAGGTTGATGAGCGAGACGAGGATGACCAGGACGAGGGAGACGATGATAGCGTTGAGAGGAATGTTGGCCGTGCGAAGAATCTGCAACCGAGTCAGCAATGACTTATGCCACACAAACCGACTGTACGTACCTTTGCAACCCAAGGGGAGCCCGGCAGACCACCGTCTCGCGCAAATGACCACAGCTGACGGGACGATGTGGCAATCTCGCTAATCACCGCGGAGACGAAGACGATGACCACTATGGCCGTCATGGTGTTTGTTGCAGCATAGCTCTGGGTAGCGTTGAAGAAAACCTGGATGAAGGGAAAGCCCGTCCTGGTGTTGAGGATGCTGGTGACGTTGCCCAGGGTGAAGGTCAACGTGATGACCATGACAAGCCCCATGAGGCCATTGACAATGACGCCAAAGAGAATCGCTTGCGGCAACGTTTTCGATGCGTCCTTGATTTCTTCGGCTGTCGTCACAAAGTCAACACGGGCTTCGAGCATCAGTCAGGGAGGGATATGGTGCTTACCCATATGCACCGCACAATCAAATCCCGCGAGTGAGGGGACCACGCCGCCCATGCCCACCATCACTGCCACTCCAGTACTGCTCCAGCCGCCTGCGTTATTGAATTGGGTAAACACTCTCTCTGCGTTCTCGATCGGCGCCAGGACCCAGAGGGGAATGATGATGACGAAGAAGCCGACGACATAGATCACCAGCAGGATGCATTCCACAAAGGCCAACCTTTTGGCAAGAAAGATGTTGAAGAAGACACAGAAGACCATGACTGCTATGACCAGGAGGGTGCCTTGGTATGGCTGAGGGCTGTAAGAGTCGTAGTTTAGCGTGATCATGCCTTGGATGATGGTGCCAGCGAGGAATGCAGTGGACGCGATCGACCCTTGCCATCCAGCGGCGACGAGGTAGCCTGTGTTCCGTCTCGTGAGTGTGAATCTCGGTGCGAGGATACGTATAAATGCTCACCACTGATGTAGCTCAGGTATTTTTGATATCGAGCTGGTGCAAACTCCTGTACGCGGATGGGAAACGGTTAGTAAAGCCTCTGATATAGTGTTGTAACGTTTGAGAATCTGCGGATGAGCGTCCCGAGGGCCATGACTTACGCTAACCCAATGGTATTCTGGAACAAAGGTCAGTGGACAGTTGGCACGAAGGATTGTTGGGCGTCAAGACTCACGGCCACCGGACGTGGGAGACATTGAAGCCATCTCCGCTATGCTCAGATACACGCAGATGAAGCCAAGCAGGCAGACGATGAAGCTGTAGATCAGACCGGCTGTGCCGCCGTCGGTCAATCCGAACTGGATCAGGCTGAAGGAGGGTCAGGATCATGGCAACAGTATCATCGGGCTTCCGACTCACCCAAGAAAAAAGTTCCACGTGCCGATAAGAGTACATCCGAATCCCAGGACTGAAACGAACTTGAAGTTTCTCTGTGTCGTTTTGTCAGTGAGAAGCATTGGGGTGGCAAGGTAGGCTAGGCTCGTTGGACTGACTCTGAGTTCCTGTGCCCTTCCCATGGCCGCCATCTCTCGATGATCCGCGGCCGTGCCCGCGTACTTGGGCTCGAGGTGGCCATGGTACTTGCGCGGGGCTTCGGCGTCGTACACACTGCCGGACTTGGAGTCCGGTGACTCGTATGCAAAAGGCATGGCGGACGGGTAGCAATGTAGAGAGCCTGGAGATGAGGGTTGAACGTCAGGTGTAAGAGCAAAAGACGGCGCGCGAGAGCATTGCACACGGCCAAGAGACGCGGTGAAACGTTAGGAAGAGAGTGGGTGAAGAGGGCAGACGAGCGATTTAGTGATGTGCGCGTTGACGTCTTCAACCACCTGCTGAGCGGGGATAGGATGAGCAGGTGAAGGTTACATGCGATTGCCGTGCAACGCACATGGCACGATGACGATCTCAGGGTCTGTGGTGCATGCCGGAGGCATGGTGGGTGGTGGCGATGCCCCGATGGCAAGCAACCCAGGGCCCTGAGTGGTCGGTGATTGACGTACAACCCTTCCCGATGCAGCCAACGTCATCTCGAGCTTGTGGCCGTCCAACGCCATCCGCGCTAAGCTGCTGTGCTGGCGGTGCTAGGGGCCGGCAGCGAGTGGGTCGGCAGAGCGGCACGCGGAAGGCGGAGAGTTTGGCGGCGTCGGGAGGAGCGTATGTGGAGATGGGCAAGAGCAGGCCAAAGTCAAAAAGCAACAAGCAATGATGAAATTCCCGCCCCCAACGGGTCAAACCGTCGAGCTAGGGGCGGGAGATGAGCCTCTACGACAGTCCATTGCCAGAGCATGTCGCGTTCCCGTAGGCATCCTGGCAAACACGACTGAGACGGAGGTCTCCCGTGGCCCTCGATGGGCTCCCACGAATCCCCGGGTGCGGAGCTGTCGAATGCCACGCATCAAGGCGGGTGGGTGGTGATCGTCGCGGCCATTGGCCTCGCCATCCTGCTCGTGTGTCTGGCGATCCGCGTGTACGTGCGCTCGTCGACCAGCGTCGTCGCGGGCGCGCCGGACTACGTCTTTGCGATCGCCTCGGTAGGGCTCACGCGACATTTCGTCCATTACGCACCCCACTGACCACCACTCCCAGCTCTTCGCAATCGCACACTCCGGCCTCGTCTTCTGGGAAGTGTCGCGCGGACTGGGAACTGCAATCCGCCTTGTCAGCCCAGCAAATGTACAGACGCTTCAAAAGGTAGGTCTCCGGCAAGTCGGCATACCGTGCATGCTCGACGAATTGACGTTGGAATGCAGGCATTCTTCGCAAGCAATGTCCTCTACCTCGTCGCCGTCTACCTGGCCAAATGCTGTTTCTGCCTCGTCTATCTGGCCTTGACTCCGGCCCCGGGCCACAACCGCGCCACCTACAGCGTCCTCGGCTTTGCCACTGCGTGGGTCTTTGCCTCCATCCTCGCCATTGGGGTCGACTGCGAGCTCAACCCGCCGTGGAGCGATCTTGCTTCGCACTGTACCGACCTTGTAAGTCTCCATGCTGGAACGCGCGACTTGATTGCTGACTGCGCACAACGTAGTTTGTTCGTTGGCAGATCATCACCGCGTTCGACATCATCATCGAGATTGCGTTGCTGGGTCTCGCCATCTACCTCGTCAGTGGATTGCAAACGCCACTGACCAGGAAGATTGCAGTCACAATCGTGTTTGGGGTGCGGATTATGTCAGTCATGTCCTCGTCCTGGGAAACACTAACCTCTTGCATCTGACGCAAATCGCAGCGTGATCCTCCCCGCAGTGTTTCGCCTCCATGAACTTAACCACCAGATACGTTCTCCAGATCCGACTTTCACCGCGGCTCCGACGGTCATTTGGGCGACGGTCGAAGTCTACTGCAGCGTCATTGCTTGCATCAGTTACTCTTTCAAGACCTTCTCCACCGCCGTCAGCACGAACTACGGTGGGGTAGGCATTCAAGCGGAGGTCTACGACATGGCCAACAACCGTACTCGCCAGGGCAGCGCGTTGGATGGGGAGCGAAGGTCTAGTGTCGCAACAGGCGCATCCGGGGTCAGTGCCGCAATCAAAACATTATTTTGGTCATCTCCAAATACTGAGTCGACGCAGCATGTACTCATCAGTGACGAGTCGCCTCAATCTTCGGATCCCGAGCGACTACAAGCTTCCAGCAAGAAACCTGGCTGAGCCGATGGAGCGATTCCAGGACTCTACTCACTACATGCAAAGAATGGACTGCGACCTCATCACGTCCACGGGATGCCAATCGTGTCAACTGGGGACGTGCCTGTTAAGAGCAGCGCGCGACTTGTCAACAGCCCTTGGAAGAGTGCTCGATGAATGGGGCCGAACAAGTTCCTCAGCAGGCTAATCAGTGTCTGCACTTCGACGGCGTATGTGTTTGATCGCATACCGATCCAGAGGCAAGCATGTTGAAGAGCGTAGTAGGGAATAACCCTGCTCCGTCTTTATTCTCCAATAGATGCATATCACTCAATGACAGTGTTGGGCATGGAACGATTGTAAATTAGCAGCATATACCGAATAACCCTTGCTCACCCCCCTGGGAAACACGAAGCCTTGCCTTGCTTACACGTGTTCAGGGTGGCGCGTTGCGCGGCTCGGCGCGTCTCCACTCCCAACCAACAATGAACCCTTAGAATGTTTCAAGAAAAAGGGACAAGTACGCTGCAAGCAATCTCGCTGCCTCGCATCATCGCATTGTCGCCAACATGCACAGCACCCCCGGCGCATCTTTGTCTATCCAGCCCCGACGGTGATCTTGTTGTGGACATCTGGTAAAGGACGGGCCTGCGGTCCCGAACGTCAAAAGAAAAAGATGCCGACATTATGGCTGTCCGACTCCCAAAGTGAGCAAGGCTGTCTCTGGGTTGCCGACACGGCCGTCTGCTCATCACGCTGACCACACCCTCCAGAGATCGGAGTGGCATTCTGCAGCGGCGGTAAGAGTGTCAGACACCCCCACCGCCATCCTCCTGACTCACGCCCAATCCCGCAGGCGCCCTCTTCCTCCTCCTCGGCCTCATCTTCCTCTTCGACCGCGCCCTGCTAGCCATGGGCAACATCCTCTTCCTCATCGGCATCACCCTCCTCCTCGGCCCCCAACGAACCTTCCTCTTCTTCGCGCGAAAACAGAAATGGCGGGGTAGTGCAGCCTTTTGGGCCGGCGTGCTGCTCATCCTCATCCGCTGGACCTTTGTGGGCATTCTCGTCGAGGCGGTGGGCATCTTCTACTTGTTTGGAGAGTATGTGCGCCTTAATACCTGGAATAAACATCAGCGAGGCGCGGGCTGACACGGTGAAATGTAGATTCTTCAAGACGCTGGCGGGATTTGCGTACGGCATTCCGATCATTGGGCCGTACCTTGCAAGAGGACTGCAGGTTGCGGGCGATAAGGCCGGGGCGAGTGAGAGGGCACATAAGGATTTGCCAGTATAAGTGCGCTCCTGGTACGTTGAGCGTGGTAACGAAGGAGGAACATACGACCGCCTAGAGCGAGCAATGTTGGGGGCAGGGGAGATGATGGACATGGAAAAAAGGACCACTCTGGCCCGACATTTATGCGATCTATCCAGATTCGCCGCTACGTATCAACGCAACAGACGTAGCGAACCCCTCGGACGCCCAAGAAATGCAATGCGATGCAGATGCAACGACTTCTGCCTCCCCTCCCGAGCTCCCCTTCCACCCACACCATCTTGCCTGACCCGTGCTGAATGTTTAATGCGCGCCATTGGCGGTCGGTGCTGCATGCCCGTTTGGCTGCTTTGCTTTCAACAGGCGTCTCGTACGAACCGCGTCCGCGAGCTGCTCGAGCACTTCGACAGTGGTATCCCAATCGACACACGCGTCCGTAATGCTGACGCCCTTTTTCAACGCGGCGAGCCCGCCAGCGTTAGGAGCGGGCGGCTTCTGGTTACCCTCGTTGATGTTTGACTCGATCATGACGCCCACAATCGCGTCCTGCCCCTGACGTATCTGATCGCCGACGACCTGTGCGACTTTGGGCTGGTTGCGATGGTCTTTTTGAGAGTTGCCTGCGAGGTACTGTCAGTGTCGCTCCCCATAAGACAGTAAGGGGGCGAGGAAGCTCACCATGCGAGCAATCAATCATCATCACTTCGCGTTGACCCTTCTTCTTCAACGTTTCGCGCGTCTTCTCGACGCTCGCTGCGTCAAAGTTGGTGCCAGCAGTGCCTCCGCGTAGAATGACGAAGCAATCCGGGTTTCCATTGGTGCGGGTAATAGCCGCCAGACCTTGCTTGGTAACACCCATGAAATGATGCTTCGCGGCCGCGGCACCAATGGCGTCGACGGCAACACCAAGCCCGCCATCCGTGCCATTCTTGAAGCCCATGGGGAAGGAGAGACCGGAGGCGAGTTCACGATGAAGCTGAGATTCAGTGGTGCGAGCGCCAATGGCACCCACGGAGATGAGATCGGCGAGGAACTGCGGCGAGATGGTGTCGAGCATCTCCGTGGCAATGGGCATGCCCTTCTCGGTGAGATCACAGAACAGCTTCCTGCTGACCCTCAGCCCTTTGTTGATCTTGTACGTCTCGTCGATGTCAGGATCATTGATGAGGCCCTTCCAGCCCACCGTGGTGCGTGGCTTCTCCAGGTAGGCGCGCATGACGACGAGCAGGTCGGCCTTTAGCTTGTCGGCCAGCTTGACCAAACGCGAGCAGTACTCGTTGGCGGTGTCGGGGTCGTGGAGGGAGCAGGGTCCGCAGACAACGAGCAGGCGGTCGTCATGGCCTTTGAGGATCTCAATGGCTTCGGTGCGGCCTCGCAGTACGGTGGGTAGCGAATTGGCGGGTGCGGGAAGTTCTTGAGTGAGAAGCTGAGGGGGAATGAGAGGATCGTAGCCGATGACTGTGCGTTCATCCATGATTAGCGCCGTCTTCTTCTCGGCGTGTAGTCAGGTGCGAGAGGAGGAGGGGTTGTAGACGAACCGCGGACGTCATCGCTCCCGCCGGTGAGGGCGTTGGCAGCCATTGTGGAATTGTTGGGCGGCGCAGTGACACGAGAGGTGGCGTTTGTAGGGTGAGGAGGGCAAAGAAGGGAAGGAGCGATGGGGGATGGCTTCGACTGAGGCCAAGCGTGCTGCACTCTACTTTGCTCTCTTCGACACGTTTGGAGTACGATGTAGAGGAGGAAGACGTGGCTGCTTGGGGCTAAAGCAGGCTGGAGTGGGAGAATGCAATGGCGGTAGAAGTCAGTGGAATGAATATGGATATGACTCCTCTGCCGCGCCTTCCATTGTGTCGAGAATCTCGCCGCCGAGCTTCGCAATTAGACTTTTTTGTCCCGCTGCTAGTCCCCGTTGGGATTGACGCGGGGCAAAGTGGCGGGGCGGGGCGGGCGGCCGCGAGGGTCCGGGGGGGTGAAGGGAAGAGCAGCGCGGCGCAACAAACCCGTCACACCACCACACGCTGAAACGCAGGAGCGTCCGCAGCTCCTGAGCGCAACTGTCACCACACACCCACCCCCCTTCACATGCCCCTCCTTCTCTCCCCATGACGGGCGCGGAGGCCTGGTATTTCATCTGCGAACGCGCTTGTGCTGGTCACGCTTCTGCTGCGCCTCCTACTTCTTCTGCCTCCTCTTCTTCTTCGTGTCGCCCATCACCACCGTTGAACGCGTGGTCGGACGGCGACTTGGACATCAACATGGCCGATACGCCGTCATATTACTTCGCTCTGTCGGCCGGCAAAAAGCGCTCTCGCGATGATGACGAATACGATGAGGCGCGCTTGGAGAAGGTAGTGAATCCTCGCCATCATTCCCCATGCGCAACACTTTCAGCTGACAAGCTGGTTAATTTAGAAAGCACGACCAACCTCGGGGGATAGCAACTACAGTGACACCTTTGCCCAAGCCCGGGACTCTGTGCTGAACACTCCCAAATCTCGGTCATATGCCGACGCGCGCAGGTTCGACCGCCTGCTGTACGACAGCGATGACCAGGACTCTATGGCCTCCGAGTACGGCAGCGCGCAGGACGTTGCCATGCCATCGGACGATGAAATGATGCAGACCGACGATGCGACCACGCCCATTGTACCATGCTACGACGCCCGCGCGTGGCAGTCTGTCCCAGCGCGCATTCAGCAAACCCACCGTGTGCCCACGCCAATCCTTCCCCCGCTGTCATCGCCCTCATCCCGACCCGGATACCGGGCCATGCAGGTGCGTACCAACATGAAGCACCACGTCCGGCATCGCCACCCGCAAGAGATCTTCAGCAACTCTTCCGACCTACTTGAAGTCCCGTCGCCCGTCGACGAAGACGAAGTCCCAACTCCCCCGTCCGCCGCCGAGGCCGCAGGCTCGCAGCTCAGCATGCTCACCGTCAACGACATGGACATTGAAGCTTCGCATGCCGCTCTGCCTACCATCGCCGTGGACCCATCGCAAGCATTGCCCTTCGCCGCCCACGTCCCTCGCAGTTTTGAAGCGGACTCGGCCATCGCAGATGGGTTTGAACCGATGGAGGGGAGCGATAGTCTTGGCGCGGGTCTGGTGGTTAGGAAACAGCGGGCTAGGAGCGGCGCGTTGAGTTCGGGCCATGGTTCATCCTCTCCCAGTCGCGCCGATGCTGGGCGCCCCGACTTGTACTGCAATGGCGCAGCCAGACGTGGCTTCAGCTTGGGCTTTCGTGCCGATTGTGAAAAGTGTCAGATGCGGGTGCCGGGGCATATGAATCACTTTGTGTGATTGTGCCATCTGGAGCTTTGCGTTGTTCTAGTTACGTTGGCATTGGGAAGCGAGCGTGAGATTGGGTTGGCGTGGAGTTCGACCAAGCGGACGGCGCAGATGGTTGGGACTCGCCTTTACCGTGGTCATGTTTATTCGTTCCAATTCAGATTGAACAAACGTCTCCTTTCGAGATTGGTCTGCCTCAACCTCGACTATGCTTGGCAGGTCTCTCATCACAGTCTCAAAGTGTTTGAATCATGCACGGTATGCGGTCGAGGGTGACTTAGTCAGCGTAGTTGCAACTCATGTTGGATTGAAGGACAGACTGAAACGGAGCCTTCAACGACACCAACACCGCAGCACGAGCATCAACACATCATGCCCGAATCTCGCTCAACAGAACCGCTCGTATGGATCGACTGCGAGATGACGGGCCTCGACCCTGACACCGACACCATCCTGTCTCTCGCCTGCTTCATCACCGACGCCCAGCTCAACCTTGTCGACGCACAAGGCTACGAAGCCATCATCCGCCACTCGCCCGCTCAAATGGACAGCATGGGCGACTGGTGCAAAGCCCACCACGGCGCCAGTGGCCTCACACAAGCATGTCTATCATCGACCACCGCCGCAGCCACCGCGGCCGAGGAACTCTTCGCCTACATTCGCCAGCACGTCCCGGAGCCGCGTCGCGCTCTGCTGGCGGGCAACACGGTGCACGCGGACAAGGCTTTCCTCCTCAAAGCACCGTGGAGGAAGGTGGTCAAGCATCTGCATCACCGCATTCTGGACGTCAGTGCGATCAAGGAGGCCGCCCGCCGCTGGGCGCCAGAGGAGCTGCTGCAGTCCAGCCCGCAAAAGGCCGGCAAACACGAGGCCAAGGCGGACATCTTGGAGAGCATTGAGGAAGCCCGGTATTACCGCAAGAGCTTTTTTCTTACGAAGACATGACGGCTCCGCATGGCCAGGGGCGCGCAGCCGGGGCCAAAACTGGAGATGCTACCACGGGAACGACTTTACTACACTTCTGATGATCAAAGGAGGAAGGAGCAGCCGTACGCAGTGCTTGGATGTCAGCGCCCATGCCGAGGGTATGACGATGCGATAGTCAGGATGTGTCTGGGTGGGAAGGGCTTGGCAGCATGGACCGCATGAAGCCTGTTGGCCGGTTGTCATTGGGTGTGAGGTGGACTGCAGAATCACCACACGACTCCGCAGATGTCACCGCATCGAGCTTCACCACGACATGAAGCAGTCAGCATGCGTCGTTCGGGATGTGGACCAAAATTTGTATTAGGAAAGACAACCCGCACGCTTTGACGTCTCCACTGCATTGGCCTTCTCCGGAGCGATTGTCGAAGCGGCGAGAGCGCGGCAGATGGGATCGTCTACGGATACTCTACATGTAAGATCTAGTGGCGTTAGGATTGAACGGCTAGGTGACTTGTGTCCAAGAAACGATCTACATGCACATTACCATACGACCCCCCTCGCATGTGCGAGTGACCTCATGCTTCACGGTTAAACTCCATGTACTCCTCCAACCGTTGGTGCGCCGTTTGTACCTCTCCACGACCCTCATTTTCCGTCACTCTTGATAGGGTCTTCGCCGGCTTTTGCCCGCTTGTTGGACTGCTCGCCGCTCAGTCCATACGGTGCATCGGACGGTCGTGCCTCACTCGCTTGTGCGGCGGCGGCCTGCAGGTGGCTCATCGCGTCGTGTCGCATGGGCGCTTCGGGCGGCGGCTGATGCTGCATCTCTCGCCGTAATTGCTGCTCGACTGTCGAGGGGGAATCGGTGGCGTTGGACGCGTGGTGTGCTGCGGAGGGAAGGGTGACGTGGGGAGGGGCGGGCGGGATGTCGGATTGGTCTAGGAGTCGGGATTGCAGGTTCACAATGTAGTCGCGGAGCTGGTAGTTCTCATTCTGCAAGGCGCGGTAGTTCTGCTCCATGGCCTGGAACTCCTTCACTTGCTCCTCGAGCTTCTTGATGTAGCCTTCTTTGCGTTGGCGGAAGGCGCGCTGCGCGACAGGTCAGTTCGCGCGGACGGGTGAGAGCAGGTACCGTTGTTGCCAGGGCAGCTTCGGGGTACGTACCTGCGCAGCGCGATTCTGGGCCGCTCGTTTGCTCGTTGACAGCTCTCGTTTGCCCTTGCGCGCGTCTGGGCTTAGACCGTCGTCGCCGGCACTCTGGTCGCTCATGCCGTACGCTTGGTGCGCTCCAGCACTGGGGTCGTACTGATCATGAGGACTGGCGGAGTCGGAGGGCTGGTAGGGATGCTCCAAGCCCGGTGGGGGCGCGCTGGAGGCAGGGTAGGGAGGAGGGCCGGAGCCGCTGGCGCTGTGGGAGAGTAGGTGTTCGCGCAGGCCTGGAGGAGGATCAGCGATGGTCGCGAAAGAGCGGAAGTGCATTTGCGCGACAGAAGCGCCAGAGGAGGGCAGGAGAGGAGGAGCGAGATGGAGTTGGCGGTATGCGAGCGCGGGCTTGATGATGACTAAATATGGCGCGCCGTTGGTCACTTACTCATCTCGAGATTGTTGCTTTGGGATTCCTGGCCGTCAACGTCAGCGTGCCCGTGGGGAGATGTGTGGCGGCAGATGACAAAACATAGCCGCGTCGAGCAGAAGGAGGCAGCGAGGATGGATGGGGAAGCAAACTGACCTGCGCGGGCGCGTGTTGCATGGTGGGCAAGCGGCGAGTGGGCGAGGGCGGGCGGACGGGCTCGACACCTGGGGAGGGTGGCGGAAGCGTCGGTCTTCGCCTGCCAGAGTTTTACGTCAGATCAATCAGACCGGCAACCCATGCGCAAGTCGGGACGGGGAGCGGACCGGTGTGGTCCGGCGGAGGGTGATGGGCGCGGGCGAGGCTGATTATGCGCAATCTCAGCCACCAGAAGCGACGGTCGTTGGTTCTACGAGAATCTGCATTCGAGCCAAGCAGGCGTGATTAGCCGCCCAGCCATCTCTCGCAGGACGCTCGCCTCCTGCGCCGATCGGTGTGGCGCGTGGCAAGGCCATGGGTCGGGAGAGGGGGGGGCAAGAAGGGCGAACATACCTGGGCCAGCACGGGGACGCGTTGCGTGTGTCGTCTTTTGCGAGTCTTACTCAGCAGCAGCGTTACCCTACCTTATGTACGGCGCGCGGGTAGTGTGGGTAACGGCGGGAGGAAAAAGGGCGGGCAGACAGAGGTCATGGGCAGGCAAGCTCGTCACCACTGCAGGCCCGAGGCCCGCCGCTCGCTAGTCCGCACGGACCCGCCCGCAATCCAACCAAACCTGGAAACGATTCTTTCCTCTTTCGGCGTGTGCCTGCTGCCGAAGAGATGATTACAAATCTCCCGCCCGCGCTCTGCTGCTGACTCCATGTCCATCTCCTGCCACAATGCAGCAGCAGCACCGTCTATTCTTGTCACCTATACGCTTTTCGTATTGATAATAATGGCTAGTCTGGCTGATCACTTAGCTAACACCTGCCTAATCAAACGCTGCCGAGGCTGCCCAGGAAAGGCACCCGTTTACATGGACCTTTCCACGCACAACCATCCTCTCGTGACGCGTGGACTGAGCATGTCGCGTGCCGACATGTCTCATCAAGACGCTGTGTCATGTGCGTTGCCACGAGACCACAATCTCCATGTTTTCCAATGCTTGACAATCATATCCAGCTCGATTGGATTTGCCATCATCGCCACCAGCCCGGCTTCCATCCCCATCCGTCTTCCACGCCCAATCGTCGTCCACGAGCGTGCCAGGATTCCCAGCCATGCTACGGTAGCTTCCAATCTCTCTGTGTCTGGATTTCGGTGTAACCAGGCGGCCATCGAGGGCGATCACACGCGACATCACGTTGGCACCATCCAGCCTCGAGTCCAACTTGCATGCGGGCGGGGAGGTGGGCACGATGATCCCCCCCGGGCATTTACCGTCTTAGGACGTGTTCGCCGCTGCGCGTATATCCATCATCCATCGTTATTCTTAGCGGCCAATGACGGATTCCAGGCGGCACGGATCATGCGTGCCGTGGATCGCAATACTATCCTTCTCCAGTGTTGACGCGGGACTCTTGGGTGACAGCAGCAGGTCACACCTGACGATGCGTAAGCTTGACACATGCGTGCAAAGCCTTGCTCAGTGACGCGCTCTCTTTCCTTGCTCCTCATTCACCGTGTTGGGCCATGTGCGAATCGACTTTGGCCATTGTAGATTTGGTGGCAAACTCATCAAAGCCGCCAGCCTCATCTGACCAGCAAATGAAATCGGTGGCGAACCATCATGGCCGGCGATGCATCGGATTCCAATCGTGCCAAACGCTCCAACACCATATTTGATAAATCTGTGGCGGGAGCTTGGAAACGCGGCATCAATGCTGTGTATTGACCTACCTAGCATTTCTCTCACTCGCTGTATGGGGCTCACGCAGCGCGCGGCGTATACTCCTCTCTCAACACCCACTTTCCCCGACCCCTCCCTCCCTTCTCCAACACCGCAATCGTCTTCAACATCTCCTTAAACTCCGCCGTCCTCTGCTCGGTCTTGCAAAAGCGATTGAAGTGATCAATCAACATCTGCGTGTACGCCTGGCCCCCCTGCGCCATCAGGTAGTCGCGGATGAGGACAAGAAAGTCCTTGCCCTTTGGCTGCTGCTCGCGTTCGCGCCGGGAGAGCGGAGTGTTGGACCTGCTGGATGAGGCAGTGGGAGAGGAGACCACACCCATCTGGCGTGCTTGCAAGTTCGCCAGGACAGATGCGGAAGATGGACCGCCTCGAGCACTGCCACCTCGAGCGCCCCCTCGGCCGCCACGGCGAGACCCCGGCGCCATGTCATCCGGTCGCCCCGCGACGCCGAACTCGCCAGTCCACGTCGGCACGCCGGCGGGGATGGTGCGCGCGATCTCGCCCGCCCGCTGCAGCTCTGCCGCAGCCTGACGAGCGACCTTTCTCGCCTCACGCGCAATCATTTCGGGATCCGCGCGAACCGCCTTTCGACCGTTGATGATTGCATCGTGCTCAAGAGCGCTGTGTACCCCAGATCGGGCAAAGATGGAGGATAGCATACGGTCGTCTTTGCCCGACGCCGGGTCATCTGTCCCGGCATCGCCACTGGCTGCCATATCCTCGCCGCGATACCTTTCTTGCCGGGATACACCCGTAATGTCCCCAACGTGCTGGCCGTTCTCATCTTCTGGTGGTGTTGGTAGGCCTTGCTCCTGCATGTTGGCTCTTGGGGCAGCGAGATTGACCTCTGTGCCTTTGAAGATATTACTGGTCTCGGTCTGCCCGCCCTCCAGAGTGTCGCCAAGCGTGAACAAATCGTGCAGATCCCTCAGCTGAAACGTCTGCCGCTGTTTTGGATCGCGCAGGATCTTATTTGTGAGGAATTGCTTGAAGATTTGTCGGTGATAGATCTTCTCCTCGATTGTCCCGGCGGTCATCAGCCGATAGATTTCCACCTCTCGCTTTTGACCCAATCGCCATGCTCGCTCCCTTGCTTGCATATCCGTGGAGGGATTCCAATCCGGGTCGTATATGATGACGCGATCCGCCCCAGTAAGATTGACGCCCAATCCACCGACTTTGGTGGTGAGCAGGAAAACATGGATATCGGGGTCGCGGTTGAATTCGTCAACCAGATCCTGCCGGTCCTTGATGGACGTGTTGCCATCCATGCGTCGGTATTTGAAGCCATCCATCTCTCGCACGAACTTCTCGAGGATGTCCAGCATGATCCGATGCTGAGCAAACAGCAACGTCTTATGGCCGTGCTTCTTCCAAATCTCCAGCAACGCCTTGACAACCTGCATCTTGCCCGATTTGCTGCCCATGCCGTACGCATAACCGGCCTTCTTCGACAGAGTTTTGTGCTCCACCAGGTCGGGATGGTTACAGATCTTGCGTAAGATGTCCACGCCATAGAGCGCTTGCCGCTTGCCGGCGAGGATGCTTTTCATGTCTTCGCTCTCGAGAAACCACTCGTAGGCGTCGTGCTGTAGTTTGGTCAGCCTGCAGAAGAGTACGCGCTCGCTCTTCTTGGGCAAGTCTGCAGCAACGTCCACTTTGAATCGCTGCAGAAGATATGGGCTAATCGTGTCTTTTAACGTCTCGGCGCACTTCATTGCCGTCTCCACTTGAAGGTTCGAGGCGTTTGCATACCCGCCCTGCTTGATCGGGATCTCGAATTGGTTGCGAAAATTGACCAACGTGCCGAGGCGCATGGGGAAGATGAAGTCAAACAGACTCCACAGTTCTTGCAGGTTGTTCTGCATCGGCGTCCCGGAAAGGATGACGCGATTGTGCGTTCGGAGCTCTTTGCAGTAGATGGTGATGGCGGTGTTGGGGTTCCGGATCTTGTGGCCCTCATCGAGAACTGCGTACTCCCAATCTACCGGTATGAGGAGCTCGGCATATGTTTGCAGGCCGGAGTAGGTGGTGACCAGAACATGTCCGTCGTGGAGGACTTTGTCGATGATGCGCTTCGCTGATTTGTGTCCCTTACTCAAGGTCTTACCACGGCTATACCCGGTCATCTCAAGATCATCTTCGATCCTGGCCTCCCTTTTCATGTCGAACATCCCGCTTCCAGAAGAATGCAATATGGACACTCGAAGCGGAGGCCACCAACGATGAAACTCGTTGACCCATTGCTTCATGACCGTCGCGGGGCAAACCACAACGATCGGTTTGGTAAGCTTGTCGGAGTAGTGCAGGCCAGCGAGGAACGAAATGATCTGAATTGTTTTGCCCAAGCCCATCTCATCGCCGATGATGCCGCCAACTTGTTGCGAGTATAGCTCCCACAGCCACTTTACCCCAGTCTTTTGGTAGTCGAAGAGCGATGGATAGATATCTCCCGGGATGCGGAAGCCACCTTCGAACTCGGTGTCCGTTCGACTGGGATGGGGTAGATGCCACTCTTTCTGCGTCCCGTCGCGCTCGTTGATCACATCCCCGTCTTCGTGTTCGGCTTCTTGCGGACCATTGGGTGCCTGGAGCTGTTGAAACTTCGATCTTGCGGCACCGCGTCTTCGCACCCAGCTGTTGAGACGTGCTTGATACACTTGTTCATTGCCATCATCTACGCCTGCTAGGTCTTCTTGGTCGTCTGCATCGTCATCCTCATCATCTGCCGAAGGTCTGATCATCACCCTGCTTTTGCCCCTGCGTTTGATACCCGGCGTAGTTGCGAGTGTGGGCTCCAAATCACTGTCTGCGTCGTCATCAACAGACTCATCAATCCCGGCGGCGTCAGCTTGATCTTCGCCTGAGACATACGCATCCGAGCCATCGGAGGGCGCGTTGGGCTCGTCGGACAGCGCGCGAATGGATCTTCGTGTCTGCAGTCGTCGCCGCTTCGCAGGCCTACCAGAAACATATTCTTCCTCCTGCAGCCTTCGCGCAAGCTCGGCGTCACCATCAGTATCTCCGGCCACGCTGGTGGTAGCAGAATCGGACTGGTCAAAACCGGGCGCACGAAGATTTCGATGCGAGATCGGACCTTCTCGTGTCGCCGACTGCTCGCTCGCCCCATCTTGCTTCTGTTCTTCGACTTCTCCACCCTCCTCTTCTTCTGCATCCAACAGCACGTCTCCTAGGCTGGATGAAGTCTTCAACAGTTGTCTGCCCATCTTGGAGAATGGGGTGATCTTGCCGGTCCGGATGAGAAATTCCCGCTGACTCTCGCCGGGCATTCGTTTGTTCGCGGCATCTTCATCCGCGGCAGCGTCTCCATCGTGACCGCCGGCCGCTGCATGTCGCTCGTTGATACGCTTCTGTATCTGCTCGAGGTCGGTATCGAGAGTGGCAACCAAAGCATTGTAGTGCTCAATCTCCGCACGATACTTGTTCTTGGTCGCATGGTTGCCGAACTCGGTCAGCTTTTGCTCGAGTCTCCGGATCTGTCCAAGCAAGCGATCCTTATCCGTCTGCGCCTTGCTCAGCCGCTTTTGATCCCGCTCTTCCGCCTGCTCGAGTAGGAGCTTATCGGCCTGCCGCCCAATGTCTCTTTCTAGATCGTCCTGATCGCGCACCCCAGCACCCAAGCCAGCAAGCTGTGTGGCCTCATCGTTGTCGAGGACAGCAGTATCAGAGTCGGTGATTGCCACCGCATTCGCTGTGCGGTGCCCGTCTTCTAGGAGGCCACCTTGAACGCCATCGTCTTCATCTTTCGTGTTCACGCGGTCGATGGGAGTCGCCATGGTGCGTAGAGGAATTTCAAGCGTAGGCCGGCGGCATTATGTACGGCTCGGTGGCGGGATGAGTCAAGATTCACTGGGAGTCTTGTACCTTGAACCCTGGTGGAGCCCACTCTCTTTCAGGCAGCGAAGTGAAAAGGCAGCAGAAGAGCAGCGGTATGGATGGTTTGCGCGGTGCGCAGAAGTGAGGCTCTGTTTCACAGCGCACTCGCTTTGGCCTTCGCGAATCTTCAAACGCCGCACGATAATGACGTTGGAGACGTTCACAGCGCCACATTCACACGTGCTCGGCCCGGGCCGTGCAGATCATCTCGACGGGAAACTTCGTCCTGTACCTTTCGCTGCATGATGTAGTATTGCTCTCACAATGAACCACTATCTATTCTGATGTCACTAACGGCGAGATCAACCCTCTCCAAAAGTCCTGCCCCTTCACCTTGATGCCCAGGAGCTCGTTGTCATTCTCAGTGAACTTCACTCCATACTCAGGATCCAGAATCGACTTGGAGATGATTGGGATGAGAGTGTCGAGGTCGTTGTTTCCCAGGGCTAGACGCTCAATCGCCTTCTCCACCTTGAAAATGGCCCAAACACGCCGAGGCGAAGCTGTGTGGGAGCAGATTTGACGAGACCATGACAGATATGCGCGAGGATGCTATATAGGTCACCGCCGTAGAGGCTCAATGATCTCCTGTCTCTCATCCACCCTCGTACGAGCTCCGTACGAGATGGCAGTATGTCCGGCGTGGTAATCCGGACAGAATGGGGCATTATCAATCAAGGTGCGGTGCATTCCGTGCTGAAGCCAAACAGCTGGTTCCGTTTCCGTTCCCGTTTCCCGTTTCCGGTGTTTGAGTGACGAGAAGGACTGCCATTGGAAGGTGGCTTTCGCCATCTGACAACTGACAATCTCCTGAGGCTGACAGTGGCGAATCGTGGCACTCTGGCAATTGCTACATGAGTGAGAGTTCAACGTTGTGCGCGAGCGCGTAAAGATGCGATCGGGTGCGGGCCGAGCCGAAGACTCCGATCACGAATGACGTGCGGACAAACAGCTCGCTGCTTTCAATACAGTAGTCTTTAGCATCTCGGAAACACGACTGCAGCGGTCTTACCTTCTCTTCCCACAGCGTGTGGTCAGGTTCATCAACATGGACGACTAGCTGCTACCTTGAATCAGTACGATCTCTCAAAGGACGATGGAGAGTCTGCCGCGGCGCCAGCCTTCTCAAAGGCGCTCGTCTCCCGAACAGACCTCCCCCAACCAAGCCTCCACTCACGCCTCCACGTTCCCCGCGCACACTCGTTCGGAAGACACGCAGCCGCTATTTTCCAATGGCATACAGCAAGAGCGGGACGCTGAGCAACAGCAACAAGAGGAACACGCACAACCTCCAGCCGTTGACAAAGATGCCGACCCGACGGTCAAGAAATGTTGGATATGTTTCGCAGATTCCACCGAGGACGAGGCTGACACGTCGCCATGGCGAGATCCGTGCCCTTGTGCGCTTGTCGCCCACGAAGAATGCCTCCTGGATTGGATAGCCGACCTGGAGGCGCCGAACAATCGGGGTGCACAGCGCGGCATGGCTTCCCCCAAGATCGAGTGTCCACAGTGTAAGAGCGAGATTCGACTGGCAAGACCGCGAGACTACGTGGTGGACGGGGTGAGGGTCCTGACAAGACTCGGCGCAAAGGTCACCACGCCCGGCGCTCTCGCTGTGTTGGGCAGCATGTTCTACAACAGCAGCATGCTGTTCGGCATCCATTCCACGTACGCCGTCTTTGGGGCGGAAGATGGCTTTCGCATCCTCTACCCACTCATCTCCTCCACCACCCGTCTGCCACTCGAATTCGACAACGCTACAGCGCGCGAACTTGGAGACCACATTCTAGCCGTCACCGCAGACCATCTAGCGCACTGGCGTCTCTTCATCGGCCTGCCGCTCATCTTTCCCGTGCTCACTCTCTCACGAACGACGCTGGCCGACTCCATCCTGCCCGTACTACCAATCCTTTTCTTCGCCACCCAGACTCCCACCCCTCAAGACTCAATAGAGTTCGGCCAGTGGCCGCCCTCGGCAAGCTTGGCCTTTGCCCTGCTGCCCTACCTTCGCGCGGCCTACAACGCGTACTATGAGAGGGTGTGGGCCGACAAGGAAAGGAAGTGGCTGAAGGAGATTCAGCCTCGTGTGCGAGAAGGAGAGGCAGAGGGGCTGGCGAACGCCGACCCGGATCTGGAGAACGCCGGGGGTGAAGATGGAAATATCTTTGAAGTGAGGATCGATGGGGGCATATGGGAAGATTGGGAGGAGGACTCTGATGACGAAGACGATGCGCAGCGGAGGGTGGCAGGTGGTGCTAACGAGGCTCCTCCAATACAGGTTCGTGGAGACGAGGGCCTGCCGCGAGCCCCCGAACCAGCAGTACAGGCAAACCCTCCACTTAATGCACCGCAGGATGGCGAGCCAGGTCTCGAAGCCCCAAACGCAGACGGCGCCGGCCCAGCCGCACAGGCGGAGCACCATCACCACGTGGCCGGGGCGGAACGACGCCTCTCCTTCTCCCCGACGGCGGTAGCAGAAACGGTGCTCGGCGCCATCGCCTTCCCCACCATCGCCGGCATTTCAGGGGAACTCCTTAGGCTTGCTCTCCCCCGCTCATGGACCACGGCCGCGCTCGGCGGGCCACGAGGAAGGATGGTGAGCAAAGGCTTGCTGCAACAGAAGTGGGGCAGAAGCTTGATTGGCGGGTGTTTGTTCGTGGTGCTGAAGGATTGCGTTACCCTCTACGTGAAATGGAAGATGGCGCAACTGCATCGGCAGAGAAGGGTGGTAGACTACCAGGGAAAGAGGACGAGGGAAGCAGACCCACCAGCGGCTTCGGCGTGATAGAATGTCTTTGTTCAGCATCTTGACGTAAGCGTGGCGTTGGGAATGAGAGGCTCTGGGGAAGGTCTTGCTAGACGTTGTTACGATAGGGATCGCGTTTGAAGCAATCCCTGCTCGCTGAAGCGAATCACTTCCGCTGATGGCGCGGAGGTTAGCCTCTTTGCATGTGCGTTTTGTCATCTTAATGAATATTCCAATGACCCCGGAGGTGTGCATGTTCTCCTAAACTCCGTGAATTCGTCATCGACGTTGAGACAAGGTTGTGGAGAGGCTGCACGGCCGTCCCGGCAGTTTGCGACCTCTACGCTTCCTCCGTTACCATTCATTGCCAATCGTATCCTAAACACATTTCTTTCGCTTGACTGAATAATCGCCAGCATGGAAGAGACAGACCCAAAGAAGCTGTTCAGCGTGGAGGGGATGGTGGTGGTCATCACTGGCGGTGGCACGGGTGAGAGTTCACTTCAAGTCCCTCAGCTACAAGCGTTGAACTGACGGCGAGTAATGCACAGGCATTGGGTTGATGATGACAAAGGCGTTTGCCCATAACGGCGCTGCAAAAGTATACATCATTGGCAGACGCAAGGAGAAGCTCGACGAGGCCGCCAAACTCTCGCCCAACATCATCCCCATTGTGGGCGATGTTACGTCCAAAGAGTCCTTGCTGCAAGCAGCAGACCAGATCCAAAAGGATGCCGGCTTCATCAACCTGCTCTGCTGCAACTCGGGCAATATGCCGCCGCCCGTCGGCCTCGACCCGACCAAGGTGTCGCTGCAGGAGTACCGCAAGAAGGCCCTCGAGCAGAAGACGGAGGATTGGGTGGACGGCTTTGCCATCAATTCCGTCTCTGTTCCATTCACCACCTTTGCATTTCTCGAGCTTCTCGATGCCGGCAACAAGAAGGGCAATGCGCCCGGGAGAATGAGCCAGGTGGTTGTCACGAGCTCCATTGCTGGTGCGTATCCCCGCGTGCATACACATCCCGTGGTTGGACTAACATACTCATTCAGGCTATCTACGTGTACCGAAGAATTTTGGCTGTTATCCGGCTACGAAGGTGGGTGATGCAAGAAGTACGTTGGAGCCTAACATATGGCATACTGACAATGAGTCCAGGCTGCGACAACACACCTGATCAAACACCTGTCGGGCGTCCTGGCTTCGTACAACATCCGGGTGAACGGGATAGCACCTGGCTTGTTTCCTTCCGAGCTGGCGGCGGGACTGATTGCCCAGGGCGGTGATACTGGCAAGGATCCTACAGAGGACGGGGCGTATGAGACGAGCTTCATCCCTGGACAGCGCCTGGGCAGGACGGGCGATATGGCGGGTGCGCTGATCTACTTGGCATCGGCTGCTGGTGCATATATCAATGGCAACATCCAGGTCATGGATGGTGGTCGCATAGGCATTTTGAACGGCACCTATTGAGCATCTGAGCGATGCCTGAGAATTAGACAGATTTGATTGGCATCCCGACTGCATAATGTGCAGTCACAGCAAAACACACGCAACACATTGGGATCCATCTTCGCCGCTACATCCAAATAATATTCTTCAGCCCATTCGAGTTGTACGGGAAATATTTGTGACGCACCCCGTGTTGTTCAACTTCCTCTTTGGGAGCATTGACTCAAGACTTTTCTCCACCGTATGACTCTTCATCCGATCCGAATAGAAAAGTCCAAGGCCTTGCACATGAACGTATTCGAACTCGTAGCAACATACATTGATTGAGCCAACCCGCAGATTCGTCCAACATGGGTTTCAAGATTTTGCCGTTGGAAGAGCAGGACATTCCACAGTTCGTTCGCATCGAACTGGAAGCCTTCCGATCTCATCCAAGAATCCCGATGGCAAGTGCAGCGTCAGATTATCCCACCACGACCACGTACCTGACACCGATTCACCATTCTAGCTATGGCCGAGAGGCTACACAGAAGATCTCTACGCCTTCTATGAATCAGAGAAACGGGAAAGCCTGCGCGATGCGAATAACCGTATCCTCAAAGCGGTGGACGAGGACACTGGCGAGATGACCGCCGTGTCGGAGTGGTCCTTCGCTCTCGACCCGGTGGCAGCACACAACCACAAACCCGTCGATCCCAGCGGTGGACCTCCGGCAGGCTGGCCTATCGATGGCAATTGGGAGCTTCGACGGTTCTTCAGCCTCAATCTGCAGAAGTGGAAGAAGGAATGGCTGGCGGGAAAGCCGTACATTAGTATGCTAGTACTATACACTACTCTGACAAGCTTGGTGAAGCTGATCGCATGGCAGAACTCGACTTTCTCGTCACAAATCCCGACTTCCATCGACGAGGCGCAGGGAGTCGACTGTTGAGCTGGGGCGTTGAGCAAGCGGACAAGCACGGAGTGTTGATGTGCCTGGAAGCGACTCCGACCGGCCTGGCTTTGTACAAGCGTTTTGGCTTCGTCGAAAAGGACGTCATCATGGCTGATATGCAGCAATTCGGATGGACTCAACCGTATGATCCTGAATCAGCCAAGCGGGTCTGGATGATCCGCCAGCCGCAAAATCGAGACTGAGGCTGCTTCGAGGATTCGAACTGCTTTCGCTCAATGTTACAGAGCCCATTCCAACCAACAACTCCTTCTAGCTTGCCGTCCAGGAAGCTGGGACAGTCGAGTCCGAAGATTCCATCCGCAATGCACCGCTGTAATCTTCGACAAAATCGCTTCGCTGCGCTCGCTCATCGCCGAGGTGGTACTTGGCTAGAGTCTGATGCAACTCCTCTCGAACGTCTCCAGCCGTCATTTGCAAAGCGTACAAGCGTCTGCTTGCCCAAGTGGTCACCTCACTGACCGCACTATTGATGTTGTCCCGAGATTTCCCTCCCGATCGTGAGCGTTGCTCAAGATCTCCCAAAGCCTTGTCAAGGACGATGCGGATTGTCATGATATCGCATCCCACTCCGCCGTAAATGACGATTGGCTGGCCGAATTGTCCGGGGAATTTGAGTGCCCTTCTAGCACGCGGTGCACGATCAAAGCTTGCCGATCGAAAACGGGGCATGTGAAGCTCCCCAAGCTCGTGCTTAGGCTGTCTCTTTCCCATCTGCAACAAGCGATCCCCTTCTGAAGGTCCCAGTAAGTCGAGTAGTCGCTGGCCCGCACTGCTTCCATACGCGTGGACTATCCCTTCGAGCACCACGTTGAACACTTCGGCATTGAGGTCTATCGTGTGTACACCACCGAGATGCTGCAAGCCCCTGCAGTAATCCGCCCAGCCTCGACCTTGTAACGAGAGGATGGCAAGGAGCATGGTGATCGCGCCTTGTCCGCGCCGCGGTCCGGGGACTGTCTTTCGAAGTTTGCCGATTTTGCCGTACTCGCCCGTGACCATGCCGGACAGAATCTGTTTGGCTCGGTCCAGGTTTTGCTGAGCATCTTCCTTTCCGTGCTCAGCATCGGCGGCGTGAATCAGCATGACCCGGATCACATGTGCCAGATTGATAATGCTCCAACGCGTGTGCAAGGACTCGTTCAGATGCCTCAAGGTCCGCTCTGCGGCATCCCAGCGCTGCAAATTGAGTTGACTCACAAGCAGAGACCGTAGCACGCCGCCTGGCGGAGTCCATTCATCTTTTGCTGCATGCTTGCTTGAAGCACTGGTGAGCAATGCCAACAGCTTGCCGTCTTTCGTTTCGGTGGCTAATCGTACCAAAGCAGGCAGGATTGCCGGGTGTCCATAGTGATGTGGCGGCAGGAGCGGTCCGTCAACCTCATCGCTGTAGACAAGCCACTGGGCGAGACTGTAGGACCTGGCATCAAGAACGAGTTCCATGAGCGACCCGAGGATGATAGGGGGAATCTGAAGGGTGAACATTGGATATTCGATTCCCGGAAAATTGCTGGTAAAGGTGTCCGCAGGGGGCGCGTCAAAATCGTTCTGCTGCCCACTGGCGCGCTGGAAGAAGTCAACAATCGCGCGATACTTGTTCTTGTCGGCTAGATCCTGAAGGCGATGAATGAACCTTGTCGCCGCTCTGATATCCCCGTGTTTAATCCGCGATTGAAGAGCCCGGTGAAAGAGCCCAAGGGCCGCAGCGCTTCCATCGAGGACGTAGGCTGGCAAATTTTCTAAGCTCTGCGGGCGAAGCTCTTCCCCGAGACTGGGAGATAGGTTGATCAATATCTCCAAGTTGTGACTCTGATTGACGATCGTCTCCTGTGCGTCGAAGTAGCGGAGAATGACGGCGTCCCATGATCCCGATTGAAGACCCAGGTTCGAACGTACCAGGAAGTCTCGGAGTGTAGTGAGGTGGCGGAGAACGTCTTTCGGGGGCACGCCTCTCTCGCCGACTCCTTGACGCACGGTGATCAGCAAGGCGTGCACATAAGCGTCTACAACTTCGCTGCTGACGGTCTTGTGGACTGTATGACTTGAGTCTTGCAGCCGATCAGGTGTCTTCAAGGCCTTGCCTGTGTTCGACACGTACTCAAGCTCCTCCCGACCCTGGCCATGCCCCGCTGCGTCAATGAGCGAGCTCCACGATACCGGCCTCCACTCTTGAGCACCAGGCTCCCGGTGGAGAGCCAGTAATATAGCAGCACCCTCTGCAATCCAGCCGCCGCGCAGGCAAGCCCAAAGAATGAGCTCAAGCCAAACCTCAGTCCGTGGGGCAGCTGCATCTTTGCGGTACACGATGCCGGGTGTGTCCGGCTGGAGAGACACGTGCTGACCATCGCTTGCGAGAGCCGCGTCGGCGACCAGCTTCTCACGACCCCTCCAGGCAGCATCGGACAGCGAGGTTAGGATCCGCGACGAAAGGAGATTGAGCATTGGAGGCTGCTGTAAGACTGTTGGATCGGAAGAAGGCCGCTGACGATAGATTGACTCCGGGACAATTTCCATGTGATGTAGATATGCAATGATCTCCAGGATTTCGGGTCTCATTTCGCCATCTGCGCACGCGATGGTCATCATTCCCAGACTTCTCCAGATTGATCCGACTATGTCGTGCCTTAACAACTTATCTCGGCCGAGGTTCTCAGGTACCAAACCCCCGGTGAGCTCGTCCAGCGACTGTCGGGTGCGCGGCGCCGAGACGAGGGCCAGTGCTGAGGCTGAATCGGCGGTCATGTCGTCGAGTGACGCTTCGGCCGTGGACTGGCACAAGACCGACTCAAGACGAGGAGGGGTCGATAGTGGCGGTGCAAACTCCTCAATGAGATGTTTGACCAACCAGATGACAGTCTGCCACCGATTTTCAATCATGCCCAAGTGAAAGAGGAGATCGACTTTCTCGCCGGCCGCAGCCTCCTTTTGCGATTCCAGAATAATGCGAGCAATCTCGTGGGAGTCAACTGTACTGCGATGTCCAGTCTGTTTGCCGCCTGGTAGAGGGGGCGGCAGTTGGTGGTTCAAAAGGCGGAGCCATGAGGCCAGACCGTGTGGCTCGACACCACCGGTTGATGGGGTGGAAGGCCAGATCTTCGTGGAGCTGGAATAGTCACAGCTCCGAGTCGCCGCGTCACCAGCATGAGGGAAGTGTCGAACCACGGGGGCCAGCGGGCTAAGAAGTGGGCATGGCCGGATGGTGGCAGCGCGGAACGCTCGTTGCAGCGCGCTCTGCCATCTCCGCCGCTGCAGACATGGTCGCATGAAGTCTCCTTACCATTTCACGCGACGTGGCAGAGCAAAGAGAGAGAGTGGTCGAGAACGGAGGCAAATCGCCAAAAAGTCATGAGGTAAGTGATGTCGACGCTAAAGTGAGGTGAAGCGGGAAAAAAGTGTGGCGTTGCGCCGAAGCGTGTGGCGTTCGCGATTTGCTGCCTGACGCTGAGTCGCGTTCGTGAATGGATTGGCTTGCTGCCTTAACCTCACATACACTCACTCTACTTCACCCATCCTTCCCTCTAACAACCCTGCCACCCTCTCTCGCACTTTGTCCTCGCCCGCTTTGCAATCTCTCCTTCTACACTCTTTTCTAATTGCAGCTTTCAGCTCACTTTCGACCGAGATCCGGCCTCGCAGCAAGCCTTGATTGACGTCAAACGCTCTCAGCATGTCGTACCGCGTCGGTAAGCAATCATTCAGCAGCAACGTTCGTTCGCCATGACCCACAGTCAGCGTTCTGATCCCATACCAATGCAGAGATCTCTCAAGGTGGCCGTGCTGGCTGCTCAGCTACCCACTGCAAAAAGGAAGGAATCAAAATCCAGAAAGGCGAGATTCGGCAAGGCACTCAAGTCACCATCCAAGGAAACACGACGATGAAATGGAGACACTGGTAAGCGTTGATACATCTGGCGCCTGAGTATCCACCCCTGACCTCACTGCAGGGGATGCGTCACACCGAAAGTGCTCTCCAACTGGAATGAGACGTCCGAAGGGAATCCTGAGCTCATCGACGGCTTCGAAGAGCTCCCACCCAAGGCGCAGGAGAAAGTCCGGCGCGCCCTCGCCCAAGTGCATGTCGACGATGAGGACTGGAATGGGGTAAGGCTGGACCAGGACGACCTTAACTTCACTTGCTGATCAGCATCTCAGGATGTTGAGGTGAATCGATACAACCCAGACAAGCCCATGCAAGGCATGTTTCTGAAGAAATCGGCGAAACAGAAGAAAGAAGAGGAGGAGGTCTGTTATCACTCCCCCCCTAACATCGTGTTCGCTGTCGCTGACTTCGATCAGTTGGAGAATGCGAGTGATGAAGACCCTCTGACGGAAATCGAAGACCCTCCGACCGAATCGTCTCCCGCCAAGAAGCAGGCGACAAAGAAGCGTGCTCGCGCCATCAAGGAGGAAGACGGACAAGAGGCCGAGCCAGCTCCGAAGAGGGGCAGAGGAAGGGCGAAAGCGAAGACCGAGGACGTTGTCAAGGAAGAGGGCGGAAGTGAGGAGGAGGCCGAAGCGGCGCCAAAGCGGAAGACTAAGGGACGCACGAAAGTGAAGAACGAGGATGCCAACGACTCCGACCAAGAGGCGCTGCCGGCGAAGAGGGGCAAGAAGTCGAAGCGTTCGACCGCCATCCTTGACGACTCCGAGACCGCTTCCGCTTCTTCTCCGGCTGCGAGAAGGGCGAGCAACAGGAAGCCGAAGCCAGAAGCTGCCGTCGAACCCGATCTTTACGATGTGCCTGATGCGGAGGAAGCGCCAGCGATGACCAAGAAGGGCAAGAAGGGGAAGAAAGTCGCCAACCAAACCGCGAACAACGACAACGCGACGGAGAACACCATTCCCGATGCCAAACCGCAAAAGCGCAAGGGCAGGAAGGCTGCGGCCACGAAGGACGACTGAGCCTTGACCGTTCTCGATCAAAGGAACGCCAAAGAGGCGCCTCAGTACAGTGCCTGCATCATTACCACACGTTGATGGACAGTGGACGTCTCGCTGCTGAGAAACATTCATAGCAAGGCAGTTGTCGTGCATTTACATAGCTGTCCCCACCCACAGAGATACCCGGCGCAAGCCAAAACCACAGTCGCGTTCATATGCCATTACCGAGATAAACGCTCTATCCCACGGTGCCTCCGAAATCTTTGCCCTGCGCCCCCATCATTGACCCCATGGCCCATTCGCCGTCCTCTCGCTTCCAAGAATCTTCATTCGGCCAATGCGGGTTCTTTACAAGGACCTCCTTGCCCTGCTTCGGATCAAAGGCGAATACGTATGGACCCGAGTCCGAAATGGACGACTTCCTCGTCTTCTCCTCGCCTTTATCATGATGATGGTGGTGTGTCATTTTGGAGAGCCAGCTTCTCCGCTTCCCGTCAGTGTTGGATTCGGTCCCAGCTGCGTCGTGGACAAGGGGGGCGGTGGAGTCGTTGTCTTTGGTCGAGTTGGCAACGTTGCTCTGGTATGCCGACGCGTCCTGCTGCTGGGCGTGGGAAGACATATTCGGGTCAGGTGGGAGGTGTTGATATGGATGCGAAGCAGAGTGATGCAAGGATGCTTGGCAAGGCTACGGATTATATAGACACGCTATACAACACATCGTCGGGATGTATTCATCGCCGGATCGCCGTGTCAGCTAATCACAGTCCACAGATGAGGCACGTGGACGGCACGAAGGGGAATTTCGGGAGCACACAGTTGACAGAGTAGCGCTCGTGACTGGCTTACGTGGATGTGACGCAGAGGCGACGCGGACGCGAGGGAGATCCAGCGCTCAGAAGATAGGCAGCTCGACGGCACATACCTGAACGGGCTAATGACGCAGCGGCAAATCACTAAAAGTCGCGCATCTAAGCTGCATTCAAGCCGAGGCGGTAGGAATACGAAGCTACATGCATTGGGTGGCGTAGCTAACCGGGGAGCGGTTCTGGTTGACTTTCCATTCGCTGGAAGCTCATTGGTTCCGAAGGCGCGACTAGAATCTGACCTTCGAATTGTGCAATTCGTTTACTGCACATCGCGTGCTTGTCTACTGCTGATGTCACCCGTGATTGGTTTACTATTCATCCAACCAATGGAATCCCGGCGCACCACCCAAGGGCCGCTTTCCATCGTGACAGAGCCTTGTCAGCGACAACCGAACTACCGCCTCCGTAAACGGCATTTCAGCAAGCTCAAAGATGCGTACTCAATTGACCTTCCTCAGGCGTCCTACGAAACCCAAGTTCATCGTCTTCCCTATTGCTCTCCTGCCTCCATAGTATGAGTTGGTGAACTGTGCGTTGCACAAATCGTCGCATGCTGTCAGTCTGATTCTTAGCAGAAGACACGAGCCGTCGGTGCCTCCCCTTGTGTACCAGCACGCGTCTTCATCGTTGTCGCGCGGCACTGAATCTTGTCGGCACCTAGCCCAACACTGGTTACATGGCTATTTTTTAAATCTGCACCTCGGTGATTCGTCAGGAGTTAGTATTGACTGCTGGTTGCGGATGATGCGTTCACCAGGCAAAGAACTAATGATCATCTTATTATCTGTGCGGCGAGACCGCCCAATTGTCTCGGAAATACATAATATGATACACGACGTTCGGGGCATTCTCGATTCAAGAAAGTCATTGCATCATCTCGAGAAATGCCGAAGGAATTTGGTCGCTGGTTGCCACCTTGGCCGTTCGCCTCCCGCTAGTCCAATGTAGCTCGACAATCTTTCCATACGAGGGCAGCCATCTACATCGTCTTCTGAGATACACTCAAGTCCCGCCGACGTCGCATCATGGACAATCCATGGGGTGTTTTCAAGTTCCTTGCGCCGCAGCTGCCATCGCTTGCGAACACGGCGATGTGGCATTCGTTGGGCAGGACGCCAACCTCATCCAAATGGGATCTCAGGACCGAGCTCACGGTGTCGGTGCTCCGTAACATGATGACAGGGAATCCCTCGAAACCGAAGCCGATCAGCGCAATCCAAGCGACAACTCTCAAAGATCCGGGTGTCAAAGGACGGACTTGGGTGGCAACTGAGAAGATTTCTGCGCCAAGTTCCGATCAGGAGAGTGTTCGGCAGGCGGTGTTCAAGGCGATAGACGATATGAAGCCATCGGACGCCGACAGTCTGTCTGACACAAAGCCGGATCTGGTCGACGTCGAGGTCGAATGGACGGGATACCGACCCGATGCCGGCAAGGACGAAAGGCCACCCGACATCCCAGAGGCGGAGAAGTACGAGCGATTGATGAGCGAGAAGACCAGGACGAGCGAAACGACAATACTCTACTTCCACGGCGGTGCATACTACCTCTGCGATCCCTCAACACATCGTTTGGCGTGTAGTAGACTCGCCAAAGAGAGCCGGGGGCGAGTGTGCAGTGTGCGATACCGACTCGCACCGCAAACCGCCTTCCCCGGCCAGCTCCTCGATGCTTTGCTCGTCTACTTGAGTCTGCTATACCCGCCAGCAGACTCAATGCACGAGGCCGTACCGGCTAGCAACATCGTCTTCGGGGGTGATAGCGCGGGTGGCAATCTAACATTTGCCTTGCTGCAACTCATATTGCAAATCAACCGCTCCCCTAACAATGCCACGGTCCGATTCCATGGTCAAGATGTCGAGGTACCGCTACCCGCTGGAGCATTTGCCAACTCAGGATGGTTCGACATCAGCCGCTCGATGCCATCGATCGTTGAGAATCTACAATACGACTATCTTCCAGAGCCGCATGACGACGATGCGAGCAAGCTGATCACCAAAGACGCGATCTGGCCTGCACAGCCGCCACGAGGTGACTTGTTCTGCGATCTCAGCCTCCTGAACCATCCCCTCGTCTCTCCCATGGTGGCGGAGAGCTGGGCAAATGCACCCCCGATGTGGCTATCTACGGGGCAGGAGTGCTTGCGAGACGAAATCGCAGTCGTGGCGACCAGGGCAGCATCCCAAGGCGTGAAGGTTGATTTCGAAGAGTACGAGGCGATGCCGCACGTCTTCTCTATGCTCTTGACGTCTCTACCAACAGCAAGCAGTTGCATGAAGAGCTGCGGCGACTTCTGTAGACGGTGTGTTGAAGAACCCGACACGGCGGAGACTCGAGGCACGTACATCTACGCCAAAACAGGGGTAGAAGAGCCGATTGCCCTGGACGAAATCAGCAAGGTCGCTTTCGAAAGAGCTAGAACTTTGGCTAGAGAGGCGAGGGAGCGACGGATGAAGGGTTTCGCAAGTACTCAAAGGTCCGCCACATCGCGGTCGACTCTATAGCCTGAGGCTCTCACACCGAATTGAGGTTTTTGAAGACTGCTACTAGCTCATCTTGGAGCCCATATCCATGCCATCGTCATCATCCCATATGCCATCGTCTCCGCCCACTTTTCTGCCAATCACTATCCCAGTCGCTGTGACACCGACCGCAGCCAGGAACCAGCTCTCGAACCAGCTATCCACGAACCTGCTCTCGAGAGGCGCGCCAAGAGCATCGTTGACCACGCTACTAAGCTCTTCTGGCAAGTTACTTCGCAGGAGGAGAGTGGAACTGACCACGTATGTCCCCGCCACCTGTGATATAATCAGGGGCAAGGACGTCTGCGTATGCTGGACGAGGCGCGGGAAGAAGCGAGAGAAGAGGTGAAATGTTTGCAGGACGGCGCTGAAGGAGGCAAGGAGCATGACGCCAGAGAGAAGAAAGGAAATCTGTCGTGACCATGCCGCGCGATCGAGATTGCTGTCCCAGTGGGTGGTGAGCAGAGCGAGGATGTTGTTGATCGGGTCGCTGGTGGCGAAGGAGTGGCCAGGCTGCCACCAACGTCTCAGGCTGCTGAAAGACGTGGCGCTTATTCGATAGGCGCAGTAGAGAGCAAAGCCAGTGCCGAATGCATTCAAGAGTCTTCCTGTCGTCCTTTTGGACCTCTGCTGTTCGGCGCGGCGCGATCGAAAAGTCGAGAGCGATTGGGAGAGGGCGAAGTACATGGTTTCCAATCCTGAGATCTCCATCTCCAGATTCTTCACCTCCTGCAAATCGGGATTGCCACGAATTGTCCCAAACACTTTACTAACAAGCCCTGCTCGCGCGGACGCCGACGATGTATCCGCAATCTTGTGTTTGAGGGCTCTCAAGCGACTTTGCTTGGCCGACAGCATCTCCTGTGTGGCAAGCAGGCCGGCCTCTTTGCGCGAAATGTCGTTCTCGTTGACCGTGCGGTGTCGGACGCCGAAGGTCTGCCACAGGGACGACACGGCGGCGAACCCGGACAGGGAAGCCATGAGCGAAATGCCGATGATGCCTATTCGTTCCAAGCAAGCCTCTTTGAAGGCGTGCTCGCTCGAATCATGACCACCTCCGTGTACGTCATGCAGCGTGTTGTGCAGGATTGATGCTCGAGGAATGTACCAGAACACGAGGAGCCACCCGGCTAACGTCGCCACTTCCAATACGAGTCGTAAGCGTGGACGCGACTTAGACGTCGACATGCTTTCGTTCGCGCCCACCACGAGCGTCCTCACAATGCTGTGGATCTCCAGCGCCGGCGTGACGAGGATGTTCAGTATCAACAAGAGGTTGAGCGTCAGTCGCAATGCTAGACCGCGCGCCTCTGGATGCAAAATGTCCACGATTTCGCACAACACGAGTTCTACGAGCACCGTTGACAGCCCAATGCTCGTCGAGAAGACCAGCCTGGCGACTTGCTTTGCCGTCGGCTGGGTCCATCGTCTTGTCGCCTTGGTGGACGCATTGTGATGGAGAGGCAATCCTTCTTTTGACAGGGGCTCGCTGCTTAAGAGGGGAAAGATGCGCTTGTGCGCGATGAATGTGGTGAGGATCCACGTCGAAAGGAACGGGAGGAGCGAGAAGAAGATGGCAGACATGGGCGAAGGCGCGGGTGAGGGAGAAGGGTGGGTGGCGTTGCGATCATCGTAGTTGTTTGCGGCGACTGTCACGTCTTGAGTTTCTTCTTCGAGTGTCCATTCGGTCTCCCCTGGGGCATGCACACGTGTGAAGTACGGAGGTGTCGAAGGATTGACGGAAGGACGTAATGGCTGGGCGATCTTGCGCTCGAGCCCAGATCTGATCTTATCTTATCTATACGAACAAACCTCAGGTTTCAATACACGCGGCCTCGTTGAAACACCACCGACTTCAGCTGAGCGATTGAAAAGCTATTATATTATTTTCTATGTACACGTACAGACTAAACGCTCTCCTTGCTCGGTGCGCGACTCGGCGCGCGTGTCGTCGCATTGGTGCTGATTGCCTCCGCACTACTCGAGCTCCATGACTTCTTACTTCGTAGAATACGATCCGTGCTCGGGAGATACGGCACTGGCGATGCTCGCCCCCGCTTCATCCGCGGCACAACGGGCGTCCCTTCCCATGCCGTGTTCTCTGGCAAACATTCGCCCTTCATCACGAGGGACAGACAGCCGGCTTGCGCGCCGTCAGACACGGTGCTGCCGGGCAGGCAGACCGACAGAGGCTTGACGCACGCCTGCTTGCCGATGACGACGCGGCCCACCTTCATCACCCGGTCCTCGAAGAGATGCGTCTGCGCTCCGCAGCGCTGGTTGACCATGGCTTCGTCTCCAATGCTGACACAGTCGTACTCGGTAATGTCGCTCGACAGCAACGTGACGCGCGATCCAATCTTGACGCCCATCAACCGGAAGCACCATGCCAAGTATGGAGTCCCAACCAGCTGCGCCGCAAGTAGGGGCTCCGCGATCGTCTCCCAGGTGCTCGTCACTGCTTCGCTCAGCCAGACGTTGAGGCTCCATAGCGGCCAGTCCGCTGGCTTGTAGCGCCCAATGAGGACCCACTTGAGCAAGGCAGTGAGGAACAAGGAAGGAATGGCGAAGAGGAACAGGTAGAAGGCCGACAGCATGACCAGCGTGTTCACTGCGCCGATGCCAGCGTAGCCCAGGTACGCAATCTGCAAGGAGAAACCGATGCTGAAGACGATTTGGGCACGAGGCAGGATAATGCGGATGCCTTCGATCAGCAGACGCGCCGCAACACGGCCTTTGGAGGGGTTGAATCGGAGCTGGTCCTCGAAACCTTCGATGCGATGTCGAGCGGGCATGAGGACCGGTGGAGACCCGAAGCAGGAACTATCCTTGGCCAGCGGCTTGTCGGCCGGAGGTGCAATGGATAGAACACCAACCAATGTTCCCGAAGCTAGTGTCGTCCCCTGGGGCAGCAGCGATGCATTTCCGGCAAAGGCGCGAGCCTCAAGCTTGGTCTTCTTGAGGGTGAGCTCGTTTCCTCGGATTTCGGCATCGCCGACAAGGACCGCGTCGGCAACAAAACACTCCTCGCCAATTTCGAGCAGCTCGAATGGCAGACCTCGAGCCGTCGACACCTCGGCTCGGTGGCCAATCTTGACACCAAGAGCCCTGAGGAAGGGAATGATGTAGAGCGTGGCAAAGACGGGGTGCAAGATATCGAGCGCGAGATCCATCACCCGGTCCACAAACCACTTGCGTAGATACCAGAGACTGTAAATCTTGAAGGTTCCTTCCTTGAGCCGGCCGAGGACGAGGTAGCGTAGGGCGGTGACTTGAGCGAAGACAAGGAGCTGATAAGCCAGGGTGATGGGCAAGGACAAGACGGCCACCTGGCCCCATTTGCCGATGCTTCTCAACTGGAGGTAGTCGAAAAGCACCAGACCGGGGATTTGTGGGACAAAGTAAAGCAGAGGCAGCGCAAAGGCCCCAAGCAACGCATTGCCCAACATAAGTGCGGCTGCACGGGCTTTCGAGGGGCGAGTCGCTGGTCCACGGGCGCCTTCGCCCTCTTTGACCTCCCGGTCGAATTGCGCTGGTGAGCCGTGGAAGCGTTGGTACTCCGGAATCGTCATCCCGTCGGGCACCATGGACAAAGCCCCAATCTCAGCGCCTTCACCAACGATGGCGCCTCCCTCAACAACGCTGTTCGAACCGATGATGGCGTTGTCGCGAATCACGACGTTTTTGAGAACAAGTCGCCCCCTTTCCACCAGGCTGACGGCAAGAACGACATCAGCGCCTACGACAACGTCGTCTCCAATGTCGATAAGATCACACGCTGCGCCAATCGCCATTGTGCCCATGTGGCAGTGGGTGCCCACCTTCGCACCCATAGCTCGTAATAAGAAGGGGTAGAGGGCGGAGTCGGCAACGAGCTTCGGGTTGGCCAATGCCGCGAAACGCTCGGCCAGCCACCAACGGAAGTAGTACACGCCGTACAACGGGTACTCGCCAGCTTTCGCACGGCCGAGGACGAGCCATTTGCCCAGGATGGCCAGGATGGCTAGGGTGGGTGGTATTGCCACGAAGACACCATAGGTCGCCAGAATCGCCCACCCGATGGTGGCATGCACAGCGAGGAAGTCGAAGATCAAATACGGCACCAAGATCTCGATTGAGTGAACGAAGAAGAAGAAGAGCAATGGCACAATTTGGGCCACGCCGCAGAGGACGAACTTCGTCTGCGACACCGGCAGAATGCTGCCCGTCTGAGGGCCGGTGCCATCAACGTCGTCCAACTCGTCCGCCGCTGCAATGGTGCTGTCATCGCCATGATCGGGTTCGGTAAATCGTGCGGCGATGTTGGCCGGGGTGCGGCCTTCGTAGATGTCCGGCATGCCAATGGAAGCAAAGGGCATATGTGCATCAGTGTCTGATTGCGTTCGTCGTAAGCGTGACACCAGGACGGCGGCCAAGAGGGAGTGGCCACCCAAATCATCGAAGAAGTCCATATCGGGCTTGATCCTGCCGGCTTGCGGAAAGATGGAGGAGAGTGTGCTCAGCAAGATGCCGAGGGGTGTATTTGCGTCGACTGCTGCGGTGGTTTCGGACGAGCTGTCATCGAGGGATCCATTTGCTGCTGCTGCAAGCTCGGCGATCTTCCGAGCGGAAACGTCGTGTAGGGCTTTGGCATTGATCTTGCCACTCGGCAGCCTGGGCATTTCGTCGGCGTCTAGGAAAAAGATCTCTTCGGGTCGCATGTAGCTGGGCAGGCGCTGCACAGCAAGCTGATGGATCAGGTCGGCATTGCGATCCGCCTCTGGCCGGGTCACGACAAATGCTTCCAAGCGCGCAGCATCTGTGCCTGGATTGGCCAGAATGACGGCAGCGGCCTGCACGCCCGAGGCGCTGGATACCAGCGACTCGATCTCACCCAGCTCGATCCGGAAGCCGCGGTGCTTGATTTGTGTGTCGATTCGGCCGAGGAAAATGATCTTCCGGTCGGCTCGCAGCTTCACTCGGTCCCCAGTCCGGTAGAGTCGCTCGTCGCTTGCCGGTGCGAGAGGGTGGGGAATGAACTTTTGTGCCGTGAGCTCATCGCGATTCACGTACCCGAGTCCGACGCAAGGGCCACCGATGGCAAGCTCGCCTTCGACGCCTTCGACCAGCTCGAGTGGTTCCAACGGAGCGGACGACCCGTCTTCTGCAATCGGTAGGAAGCAAACGTGGTAGGATGGAAGTGGTCTGCCGATCGTGACGGGTTGATTGGGCTCCAGCTCGTCCCACGTCGCAGTAACGGTGGCCTCGGTCGGGCCATAGGTATTTGTGATGCGCAGTCCAGGCCTCGCAAGACGAGTCACCAACGCTGGCGGGCATGCTTCTCCGCCCAGGTTGATAAGACGAACGCATGAAGGGAGGATTGAAGCGTTTTCGTCGGCCTGGGCGATGCCCATGATGCCGATCAGAGTGGGGACCGCATGGACGACGGAAACGCCACGACTCGCCCAGATGGCAGGCAAGCCGGGTGCGTTCCTGCATTCCTCGCGCGTGCCAATGGTGAGGTGTCCACCACCTGCCACGGTGATCCACATCTCTTCCACAAACATGTCAAAGGCCGGACTGAATCCATTCCACACGATGTCTTTGGGGGTGATTTGAAGGACCGCATTCTCGCTCAGGGCGAATGTGAGGGCGGCACTGTGCGGGATAGCAATGCCTTTCGGAGTGCCCGTTGTGCCGCTAGTATATATCAAATACGCGGCGTCTCGCGGTCTCGGCCCGCGGAGGAGTGATCGATCGATCGTTGTGAAGTTTGGGGTATCTGCTGACAGAGAGGCGAAGGTCCGGATCTGAAGCGAGCTCTTTCCCGCGGCAGTCAAAGCCATCTCGACCTGCTGCTCAACGGCGCGGGCCCTTTCCAAGTGGGCATCGTCGCAGAGGATGACGGTGGCAGCGGCGTCGAGGAGGCAGACGGCAGCTCGCTCTACTGGGACATCCGCGTCAAAGGGCAGCCAGGTTGCGCCGGAGTATGTTGTCGCGAGTATACTGAGGTTGAGTTCGATGCCCTTCTCGAACCAGACGGCGACGGTGGGGGCTTGATTGCTTGCTGCATCGCGGCATGAGTGGAGTGCCGCTAGACGGACGGCGAGAGATGCTGCAATGCCATCCGCCTCGGCATATGTGAGGGTGTGGAGGCCATTCTCGTTGGTCTGACACGAAAACGCAAGGCTGTTCGGTTGTGTCCTGGCACGATGTTGAAAGAGCTGTGGAAGGGTAGTGACGGACGGGGGAGGCAAGTGAGCGACGTCCAAGGGCGAGAGTCCAGTAAGAATCTTCGTGCTCGTGAGCGGCAGGCGAGAGTCGACGAGGAGTGAGTTATCCATCTCCAGTCGCCGGTGGGGGGAGAGTCAGCGCAGCATGTGTGTGTGTGCGAGTCAGAGAGAGAGAGAGCGTGTGTGTGTGTGTGTGTGTGTGTGTGTGTGTGTGTGTGTGTGTGTGTGTGTGTGTGTGTGTGTGTGTGTGTGTGTGTGTGTGCCTGGATCGACGTGAAGATCGACGTGGAGAAGGATCCTGTTTAAGGCTGGGGCTCTCGCGACTTTAATCAAGTAGGCACGCACATCCGGGGATCGTTTTCATCTAGTGGGTTGGGGCAGTGCTAGCCTGATGAAACGGTCCAAAGATGATGCCCACGCGAAGCGCGTGGCGGCAGTCCGGGAGGGAATGTCGGGTTTGTTTGCAATTACGAAGCAAAAGAGTTTACGGGTGCTATTTCGTACCCAAAGTTGGGAGTCGACCGGTCTGGTTTTTTTTTTAATCATCGCGTGAAACTCTAGGCCCCCGGCGCATTCCGCCTACATTGCCGCCTTGGGGGTGTGGATATACGGCCAGATGGGGTGACAGGACCGGGATACCTGCACGCAAGCGCAGTCAACGGGCCCCTTTCGCCCTCCCGAGACGAGTGCCGATGGTGGGCGGTACTGTGGTACACACGCTGCTCCCGCGGCAGAACAGTAACTCATCGGACGGTGGCGCAACGCAATAGCGGCGGGCTTGCGTTGCCCAAACAGCTGCTCGAGAATAAGGACAGTACAGTAAGAGACTTCCGGATGGCCAGGGGCGCTAGGGCTGGGGCGCACAAGGCTGCGAGCTATTTCCAGCCGACCAGCATCAAACGCCCCGGCCCCACCCGCCGTTGTGGTGCGACTCGTAAAGCAAATCATCGCGCATTCCAGTGGACGGACGGCCGAACGTTGCTCGCCTAAACGCGGCCGCAGCATTACGCGTGCGTGTGCGGGTGGTGGAGGAGGAGGTCACAAGGGGGCCAGCTGCAATGCCATTCCATGGGTGCGTGTGCCGGCTCGGGCGTGTGGCATGGGGGATGGGAGGCACGTTGTCCAATTTGCTGCGAAATAAACGCGAAGTCCGACGAGTGCCGCCGAAACAAGCTTCACCCAGGGGGCGCCCCGCGGGCTGGATCGCATCAGAGGCCCGGCCGTTGGTGCACGGCCGCGCGCAGCTGCGAGATTCCATGCAGGGAGGCCAGGCCGCGTAACGCGCTCCATTATTTCCTGTCATCACCCGCAAGTCCAATGATTTCGTCACGCTCGTAACTCGCGACGCTTTGCAATAATCCTCCTGAGCTACAGCCTACCCGCGCGACGGGTAGAGGCACGCCCCAAAGCTTGACTCATCAACACGTGATGCCGCCGACCGGGCCCCTCCCTCCAGTCCACAACATGCGCTAAAGTGATGAGCAAGAAGCCTCGTCTTTATGGAAACTGCCGAAACCCACCACTCCGCGCACGGCAACGAAAGCGAGTCCATCGGCATCGCTATTATTGGCGGCGGCATCTCTGGTTTATGCCTAGCCCTGGGTCTTCTTAACACCGCACCCCACCTTCACATCCACATCTACGAAGCCGCCGACCACTTTGCTGCAATCGGAGCCGGTGTGGCTTTTGGCATCAATGCCCAGCGCGCTCTGTGGAAACTTGACCCGCGCCTGGGCGAGGCGTATAGCAAGCTCAGCACCAGTAATGTCGATGCCAACACTCGCTCGCGGAAAGAAACCTACCTCCGTGTCGTCATGGGAATGGATCATGCCACCCTCCCGCTTCTGACGGCGGGGACAAAGGTTTCCGAGGTGTTTTGCGAAGGTGGGTTCAGTAGCGTCCACCGTGCAAGGCTGCTCGATGCGATGCTCGACTTGCTTCCGGACGATTTCCGAAACACACATGTCACGTTCGGCGCAAGACTCGTTTCCCTGCACGATGTACACCACGTGGACGGGCGTGGACGCGTCAAACTTACGTTTGCTGATGGCCGGATAGCCTGTGCTGACGCAGCCATTGGGTGTGATGGAATCAGAAGTCAGCTGAGACGGATTCTGCTCGAAGCAGAGGAAGCACAGCCGGTCTTCAGCGGAAAATATGCCTACCGTGGTCTGATTCCAATGGATAGGGCTGTAGCGGCACTGGGTGACTGGTCGGCTCGAAACGCCCACCATAGAATTGGGTACGGGGGTCATGTTCTTACTTTCCCCATTGACAAAGGCAAGACCATGAATGTCGTCGCCTTCCGAACCAAGAGCGATGGGGTCTGGCCGGCAGACGCCGAATGGGTTACAGCAGCTACCAAAGAACAAATGCACGCGGACTTCGCAGGCTGGGGGCAGGACGTCCACGCCATTCTGGACATGATGGAAAGGAGTGACATGTGGGCGCTATTCGACCACGCTCCGGCACACACGTACCATCGAAGCGGCCAGCTGTGTCTAATTGGCGATGCCGCTCATGCTAGCACTCCGCACCACGGCTCCGGCGCCGGAATGGCCGTCGAAGACGCCCTATTAATCAGCAGCCTACTAAGCGATGTTCAAGCAAGCTCGCAGTTACATTGTGTCTTCAGCACATTCGAAGCAATGAGGAAAGAACGAACTCAGAGGCTGGTGCAGCAGAGTCGGATGCAATGCATGATCTACGACTTCGAGGCACCAGAGATAGGCGACGATGTCGAAAAGATCGCCCAGACCCTACCTCATCGCTGGGACTGGATATGGGATCATGATGTCGAGGCTGAGCTCCAGACTGCTCGGACGTTGCTTGCAGATTCAACCCATAAGTCACCTCCATCTCTTGTCACATAGAATCTACAACTTCCTGAGCACTACCATCCTCCCCCCTTTTGTCTGCCCCTTGACGATCCCAAAGTCATCCGTGCTCACGATCTCCATGACATTCCGCGCTGCCAACGACTTCACTTCACTTTGATACCCGTTGCTCTCGAAGATCTCATCATGCACAGTGGCAACAATGATCCCGCCCATGGAAGTCACTCTAGCGAACTCTTTAAAGACCGTCGCTCCCACATGTCCCTTTGTCAAAGTTCCCGTGCAAGTAACGACGTGGTAGCTGCCATCGGCGTGATTAAGACGTTCGTTCAAGTTGGCCACTTCCAGATCCCGATACACCCCTTTGGCTCGCGCGACCTCCACCATGCTATTGGAGAGGTCTTTTCCATCGACGGTGCATCGACCGGCCAGTTTCGAGCTCGCGAAGCACTCTCCAACCAGTCCAGTGCCGCAGCCAGCATCTAGTATTTTGATCGTTCCCGCGATGTCGGAGATGTTGGCAACCACGGCATCTACGGTGCGTTGGGGCGACTCGTAATCCGAGGCGCGGAGGTCGTGATCGTAGGATGTGGCCCACTCGTCGTACAGGTCCCTTGCTTCATCTGCATCCTTCAACTTGTATGCTCGTTGCAAGTATTGGTTGCTCTGGCCGGATGCCGTGGTGGAGGGGTCAGACATGGTTACTGCAACTCTCTTCTCGCTCCGGAGGGTTGCGGATTCCTAACGACGAGGTGATGTGATTCGCTGGTGTCAATAATTAATTAAACCACCTAGAAGCTAGGCTGATGAGAAGCAGAGGATGCACGTTAAATTCAAGGGTGTGGAAGTGTAAGGCAGCTGATGTGAGCGGGTGCGGAGCGCCTCATAAAAGTGCAGCCAGCCAAGCCGCAGCCTATCGCCTGAATATATCAACGTGTTCGACAACATCTAAAGCAAGGTCCGAGGCAGAAGATTTAGTGGATACGACATTGTTTGACATTATATAAGTTATCTAGCAATGATCGATCTCATGCAACTTAGTCAAGTCGAGACTCGTCACTTCGTAGATGTCAAGCCTGATCAGAGCTTGAACTCGAACGTCGGCCGTTCCCAGCCGCCAGCATCGGGTGTCATGTCTTTGGTCGCGATGCTTTGCACAAGAGCAGTCTTGCGTGCGACTGCTTGTTCGGTACAGAGTTCGTAGACGGTGCTGAGATTGAACAACATCCCAGGAAACGCAGGCACCCGCGCTGCAAGACTCTCCAGAATGTGCTTTGCTTCGGCGATGCGGCCGGTGTACAACAAACCAACGGCCAGATTGGAAGTCGACAATGCGTATGTGGGACTTTTTTCACCACAGTCCTGCCATTGCTCTATCGCCTTGGTATAATCACCGCATGCGGTGTCGAAAATGGCCTCCAGCGACCCCTTTGCAATCGAATCTGGTAGCTGATCAATGCTTGTCCGTGCCCCGGCGACATCCCCACTTCCCAGTTGCAGCAGTGCTCTCCTGTAAGCCAGCTCGTGGGTGTCCACATCGGTCAGGGTGTCCAGATGGCGGGTGGCCGTCTCGAGCTCGCCCATCTCAACAAGCATATCGGCTACCCGCAGGCCGAGATCCTGTAAACGAACTGACCATACTTTGAGCTCCTCGTCTCGATTACTCGCTTGAGCGGCTTTGATATGTTGCCGTGCCTCAGCTGCAAGGGCGTAGAGGGACATGATACCCTTGCGCCCACCATCAGCGGCAGCGATGGAGTGCAAGCGGACGAGAAGAAGTCGCAACTCCCAGGGGATGACGCTGACCAACTCATCAGGCGGGGTCTTGGTGAGGAAGTCGACAATGATGATGGACTCATGAGTTGCAATGTCGCTTCGAAATATGAGGACTAGGCAGGCAAGGCGCGTGTAGAGCAACTGAAAGAGCCGAGGTGCGTCGGTGGGAGCACACTGTAACAGATCGAACAAAGCTTTCTGGGCTGCTCTTCGGAAGAGTCCACGTCGCAATAAGTCCTCTAGTGGGGCATTGTCAGGCGGTTGGTTTGGGGACTTCAAGAATGGCTCGGGTAGATCGTCAGTAGGAATGGGAAGATAGTTTGGAGGGTTCTGCAGGAAAGCCAAGTCGAATCTGGGGTGAGGGTCATCGGGGATGGTGGTGTCGAGAGACAAACGAGAGGCCGATTCGCCTGAATGTGTTGATGCTGCTGCTGATGGGACGGTGATGGAGGTGGCCAATGGACTTAAAGGACTGCATTCACGTTAGTCCGTTTTTCTTCAAGGATGTTGAATGGATGAAATATACTCGTCGGCAGCATCGAGAGGCCCTCTCGTCGATCGGCGTGGCAGGTGTCGTCTCACACTGCCGGTGGGCGACCTGGTCGAGTCCATTCCTTCGACCACGACACGTCCTTTGTTTGCACGTGCCTGCACGTGAGCTCGACGGTCTTATTGGGAGTTGGGGGAGGAGAAAGGGTCCGGAAGAGAGCAGCCGAAGCGTAAGGGTCGGCGCGTGATAGGTCCAGGCCCATCGTGCCTTCCCCGCCTTTGGCTCGCTGGGGCCAAGCCAATGCCGATCATCGGCCACCGATCCAGCAGAGGTTTCCCTTCGTGACTCAAGCACATCACTTTGCCTCTTTGATTTTTCCAAACCCTCCACACCACCCTCACACCTCCCTCATACTCCTCAACCACGACTGATTGATCTCGCCGTGAACATCGCAGCCATGCTGCACACAACTGCGGCCCGGAGAGCGGTGCAAACCCTTCCCGCCGCCCGACGATTCTCCTCCACCCCGGCCTGTGCTGCTGTGTCGCCATACCGCAAGTCGGCGCCCTCACATTCACAATCCCCCTCCAAGCGAAATGTCTCTGACACCGCCAAACGGCCTGCGCAGGCCGCCACGGCCACGTCGACCCAGCGCCCGATGCCCAGCCCGTCGTTCCAGCGCGACGAGGCGAGATTGCGAGACATCCAACCGCTTCAACCCTTTCGACAGCCCGAGATGGACCACAGCTTGGTGGGAATGACGGGCGGCCAGATCTTCCACGAGATGATGCTGCGGCAAGGCGTGAAGAAGATATGTACGTGGTCTGTCGCCACCCTCAAGCCCTGCGCACTACTGACACCTCACCCCAGTCGGATACCCCGGTGGCGCTATCCTCCCCGTCTTCGATGCCATCTACAACAGCCCCCACTTCGACTTCATCCTCCCGCGGCACGAACAAGGCGCCGGGCACATGGCTGAAGGTTACGCAAGAGCGTCAGGGAAACCCGGCGTCGTTCTCGTCACCTCCGGTCCTGGCGGCACAAACACCGTCACTCCTATGCAAGACGCCCTCATGGACGGCACACCTCTCGTCGTCTTCTCCGGTCAGGTGGTCACCTCTGCCATCGGGTCAGATGCGTTTCAAGAGGCCGACATGGTCGGCATTTCTCGCGCATGCACAAAGTGGAATGTAATGGTCAAGAACGTGGCCGAGCTTCCTCGCCGCATCAACGAGGCCTTCGAAATCGCCACGTCCGGCCGACCTGGACCGGTATTGGTCGATCTGCCCAAGGACATCACTGCCGGCACGCTCAATCGCCCAATCCCCATCACATCTTCCCTCCCCACCCACCATTCGGCCGCAACCCTGGCCGCGCGCGAGGTTGCTCTCAAGCAGCTGAACAGCGGGATCGAGCGGAGCGCCAGGCTCATCAACATGGCAAAGAAGCCCATCATCCTGGCAGGACAAGGCATCATGGGACACCCTGACGGGCCCAGGTTACTCAAGGAACTCTCGGATAAAGCACAAATACCCGTCACCACCACCCTGCAAGGCTTGGGTGGCTTCGACGAACTCGACCCCAAGTCCCTGCACATGCTGGGTATGCACGGCTCGGCATACGCCAACTTGGCCATTCAAGAGGCAGACTTGCTCCTTGCGCTGGGTGCGCGCTTCGACGACCGGATTACAGGCTCCGTTCCCCGCTTCGCGCCACAGGCCAAAGCCGCCGCGGCAGAAGGACGAGGCGGTATTATACACTTTGACATCATGCCGAAAAACATCAACAAAGTGGTGCAAGCGACCGAGGCCATCGAAGGCGATGTCACCGCTAATCTCGGTCTTCTGCTGCCGCACGTTGAGAGCAAGACGGCTAGCGATCGATCGGAATGGTTCGGCCAGATCGACACGTGGAAAGAACGCTTCCCATGGGCATACGAGAAGGAGAGCGGGCCCGATGCGATGATTAAGCCGCAGACGGTTGTGGCGGCGGTCTCCGAAATCACCGCAGCAAGTGGCAAAGAGACTATCATTGCGACCGGTGTGGGACAGCATCAGATGTGGGCGGCACAGCATTATCGATGGCGTGCTCCCCGAACCATGGTGACCTCCGGCGGCCTTGGAACCATGGGCTACGGCCTTCCCGCCGCCATCGGCGCAAAAGTGGCGATGCCGGACAAACTCGTCATCGATATCGACGGCGACGCCTCCTTCCTCATGACGCAGACGGAGCTCGGGACGGCGGCGGAGTTCAACATTGGCGTCAAGGTGATTGTGCTCAACAACGAAGAGCAAGGCATGGTGACGCAGTGGCAATCGCTCTTCTACAACGACCGCTTCGCGCACACGCACCAGCGGAACCCGGATTTCGTCAAGCTGTCGGAAGCCATGTACGTGCCGGCGAGGCGGACATCGAAACTGGCGACGTTGAAGGACGATCTGCAATGGCTGTTCTTCGGGAGCGGCGAAGGCCCGGCGTTCTTGGAGGTGGTGACAGATCAGAAGGTGCCCGTGCTACCGATGGTGCCTGGCGGCAGTGCGCTGCATGAGTTGATTATCTACGACGAGGCAAAGGAGAAGGCGAGAAGGCAGCAGACGCGGGATAGGACGGGCCGATGATGTGCTTTGATGCGTAGACGATGTGGGCTGTATACGTGATTTGCTGGCTTGGTGCTGGGTGGTGTGTGTTCTCAGGGAGCGGATTATCCCCCGTTTTGCGTTTGTCGAGTAAAAATAGCGAAATCACTTCCACTTGGCATGTATCAAATTACTTTCAAATGAAACGCCGAGTGTCGGGATTGAGCCATAGCGGCACACTGTGCACTCGCTCGAGACGTGCAGGAAAATGCTGGCCGCTATCCAGCACAGCCTTGTGGAGCTGGGCCGCGTTTTAAGGTTCGAGCTTGTTGACGGCAAGGCTAGGGGAATGCGACGGCACGAGAAGGTCGACGGTCGACTAATGCACGAGTCAAGGGAGACACGCCTCATACACGTCTCTAGCACACTATATTCGACCATGAGTCATCCATTGGATGTACCTTGGACGGAGATGTTCCCAAGTCGAAGCGAAAGGCTCGCTTGCTGCGGCGTTGCTATGGCCACCTCCCTCTCCCAAATATAGTTCGCGTATCTGGATTTTAGCCGCAACCACCACCACCTCTGTTTGGTCGTCGCAGACCACGACGCCAGTAATTTGCACCGCCCTCGACACAGATACCACACAGAACCGGCACAAGCGCCACCGACCGAGTCTGTCGATTCAAGCCTGCCCGCAACGGCAAGAAAGAGCGGACAAGGTGTTCGCGGAGCTGTATTGGGGACCAACATCGAGCGCAACTTCATCATTTCAATCGCACACAGTGGTCGCCATGCGGCTATCCTCCCTCCTCCCTCCAATCCTTCTCTTCGCCGCCACGACAACAGCCTGGCCGGCCGAATGGGATCCGTTAGGCCTCGCAAGACGCGATACCGCACCCAAAGTCAACGAACGAGCCGGGAAGCAGTCTCATACACAAGCACAATCCATTGCAGCGGTACAAGACAATGGCAACAGCGGCAGTGGTAGCCCCAGCGCAGCTAAGAGCACGCAGCATGCATCACAGACGGAGCAAGACACGACCATCACACAACCCGCTTCAAACTCACCCACTGCCTCAAACGCACCATCCGCCTCGAACCGGAGACCACCCACCACTTCCAAATACGAAACGACCAAGACCTTCAACGACGTCCTACCTCCCGGAGGCGTGTCGATGATCACTCCGGCCGCCATCCTCGGCCAGCAGTACTACAAGATCGGCAACGAGAACGTCACCGAGTTTGTCACGTTTGCATGGAACTACACCTCCCTCTCCGTCACGCCCAGTGCCGTCGATGTGCTGGCATCCTGCGCCCTCAACGACGTCACATACACCATCGCCCTGAACCAGTCCATCACGGGCCCCATGCAGACGGTCCTCTGGGACACGGGAGAATTCGACCGGACGGCCTCGATTTCCTTGGCTGTCGCGACATACACGCTCATCGTGTACGATTCGGACAGCTCACCTGAAGCTGTTGCTCGCGCGGGGTATCTGGGAACGTACAACCAGTTTGCTTTTGGGCTGTATACGCCCAAGGCGCCGCCGCCGTTGCAGGGTATCGTGTGCGCCACTTGCGGTGCTGCCAGTGCTTTGGAGAGACATACCGTCATGTTCTTGCTGGGATTGGCGGGGGTGACGGTGCTGAGCTTTGGATGGTTTACTGGAGTTGCTGGGCTTTGGTGAGGGGGAGGCATTGACGAGTTTTGGATTGGTTTCGCACAGCGTTGGCGGCATGGGTGGGTTCATCGGTGCTATTCTTTGAGGCGTAAGGGTGTTGGATCTTGGATGGCAATCGTCGAGGGACAGCAGACGAGCATGCTTTCTGTACATTTGTACATTCGGTACGACTATCATGACATATTTCACATCGACGCACGTCCATAAGTATACACATTCCAATCCCGAAGTCGGACTGATAGATGGTGCTATGAATCACGTGACCATGGAGCTTATGTAATACATCGCGGGGGCTTGCTGTCCGCGTCTTACCAATTCGTCTGGGATCTTTGGTCCATCACTTCTAAGAACACCTACATCAAACTCGATGGCAACGAAAGCTGGCGTAGGAGCTTGCGCTCGATATGTGTCCTCGCGCGCGGCGATAGCCTCTCGGCGGCCGTGTCCTACCGCCGCAGCATCGACTCGACTCCTTCACACGCCCGCAACGCCACTCTACCTAGACTTCCTTGCCCCGTCATGGCAGACGCCTACGACATCGAAACATGGCGGTTACACTCCAGCGCCACATCGCATCCAAAGCAGGCCACTCTCATCGACGAGTCGAAGGGCGGCCACAGCCATTACGAACCCGCGCAAAGATTCGTCGGGCAATGAAATGAGCATCACCATCACCCCGCGCGCCGCGCACCGTCTCCAAACCATCTCCGAAACCGACCAGAACCCCAACCTCGCCCTTCGAGTCAGCGTGGAATCCGGTGGATGTCACGGATTCCAGTACCTCATGAGTCTGGTGAGCACGGCGGACATCGACGCGGAAGAGGACACGGTGTTTGAGAATGAGGAGGTGGCGAGGAAGACGGGCGGGGAGTACAAGGCGAAGGTGGTGATGGACGAGCCGAGCCTGGAGCTGTTGACGGGGAGCAACATTGATTACACGATGGAGTTGATTGGGAGCCAGTTCAAAGTGACGGGTATACCGGGGGCGACGAGTAGCTGTGGCTGTGGCACGAGCTTTGATATTGCCACGTGAAGGTAGCCTTGGAGTACGCACAAATTGGCGGAGAAGTGTCACAAACCCCGGGGCACCCGCCGAATGGGGGTCGAGAAGATGGTGGGTGCGGATAGAATCTTCTGTCCTTCAACCCCATCCAAGTGCTAGCAGACGACTCAAGGCCGAAATGGGAAGCGCTGATTGGCTCGAGCCTCCGGTGCACACGTGTGGGGAGACCCTGGCCATCGCTGGTGGGGCCAACAGAATCATCTGGTGGGGCAGTGACGGCAGCGCAGCTCGACGGGGAAGGAGCGATTGACTTGGTGCAGCAAACGAGAAAATTGTTAATCCAAAACACCTTCACTGCCATTGACTGCCTCCCTTCTACACTCCACTCCCTCTCCTTACGAACTCTTCTTGCATACTACTCCCACTTGACTCACACCATGGGAAGCACCAGCGTCAGAACCGTAGAGGTCAAGCCTTTTGGCGATCAGAAACCCGGAACGTAAGTACACCTCCGCGACCACCACCACCACCACCACCACCTCACCTGCAGCACAGCTCACTAACTCCTCCTCCCACAGATCTGGCCTCCGCAAAAAGGTCAAGGTGTTCCAGCAAGCCAACTACTCCGAGAACTTCGTCGCCTCCATCCTCCTCTCCATCCCCGAAGGCGCCCAGGGTGCCGAGCTGGTCATTGGCGGTGATGGCCGATACTGGAACCCCGAGGTCACCCAGTTGATTGCCAAAATCGGTGCGGCATACGGCGTCAAGAAGCTGCTCATCGGCCAGCACGGCATCCTCTCCACCCCCGCCGCGAGCCACCTCATCCGCATCCGCAAAGCCACCGGTGGCATCCTGCTCACTGCCAGCCATAACCCGGGCGGCCCAACCGAAGATTTCGGAATCAAGTACAACCTCGCCAATGGCGCACCAGCACCCGAGAGCGTGACGAACAAGATCTACGATGCCTCCAAATCCCTCACCTCCTACAAAATCATGGACCTCCCCGACATCGACCTCTCCAAGATCGGCTCCCGCACCGTCGGACCACTCGAGGTGGAGGTGGTGGACAGCACCAAGGACTACACCGAAATGCTCAAGTCCATCTTCGATTTCGACCTCATCCGATCCTTCCTGCAACAACACCAGGACTTCAAGGTCCTCTTTGACGCACTGAGTGGTGTCACCGGCCCCTACGGTGTCGAGGTCTTTGAGAAAGAGCTTGGCCTGAAATCTAGCACGCAGAACTGCGTTCCCAAGCCTGACTTTGGCGGCCACCACCCCGACCCCAACCTCGTCTACGCACACTCGCTCGTCGAGGCCGTCGACAAGAACGGCATTCATTTCGGTGCTGCCTCAGACGGTGACGGTGACCGCAACATGATCTACGGCGCCAACTCCTTCGTCTCCCCCGGCGACTCCCTCGCAATCATCGCCCACTACGCCGACCTCATCCCCTACTTCAAGAAGCAGGGCGTCTACGGCCTGGCCCGCTCCATGCCCACCTCCGGCGCCATCGACCTTGTGGCCAAGAAGAAGGGTCTCCAGTGCTACGAGGTCCCCACCGGCTGGAAGTTCTTCTGCGGCCTCTTTGACAGCGATAAGATGAACATTTGCGGCGAGGAATCCTTCGGCACCGGCTCCAACCACATCCGCGAGAAGGACGGCCTCTGGGCCATCGTGGCGTGGCTCAACATCATCGCCGGCGTCGGCCAGGCCTCTGGCAGCACCCCGAGCATCAAGAGCATCCAGCACGACTTCTGGAAGATTTACGGCCGCACCTTCTTCACCCGCTACGACTACGAGGGATGCGAGACCGACGGCGCGAACAAGGTGACGGCGCACATGAAAGAACTCATCACCACCAAGAAGGACTCCTTCGTTGGATCCACCATCTCTGGCCGCAAAGTCCTCGAGGCCGACGACTTCTCCTACACCGACCTTGACGGCAGCGTGAGCAAGAACCAGGGCATCTACGTCAAATTCGACGATGGCAGCCGAATCGTCGTCCGTCTGTCCGGTACCGGCAGCTCAGGCGCGACCATCCGGCTGTACGTCGAGCGACACGAGACAGACGAGAGCAAGTACGGTCTCGATGCGCAGGAGTACTTGAAGGATAACGTGAAGCTGGCGGTGGAGCTTTTGAAGTTGCAAGAATTCGTCGGACGGACTGAGCCGGATGTCAAGACCTAGACGGCCATTTTGATCACGCAGCGATGAGATGTCGCGAGAGTAGACTACTAGATTCGTATCGAATGATGACATTTCAAACATTAATTCCCAATTGTAAGAAGTTCACCAAAATTAAGATGATGAGACTCTCATCTTTCTCATTAGATCTGCGTGCTAGTAGTCATGATATTCATAGATACATCTACCCCTTCCAAATGTCCCTCAAGTCTTCTACTTCCCCGACTTCGAAGGACTCTCGAGCGAAAACTCCCCCTGCCACAACGACTCCCACGCCTGCCCCTGCGGCTTCGGCTGCGTCCGCACCGGCGACTTCGCGGGCGAAGCCTTTGCAGGCGTCTTGCTCGGCTCCAAATGCTGCTGCAACGAACGAATGGACTTGGACGGCGACTTGGAGCGTTGTTGCGCCCGCGTTGCAGTGGTGGACGTTGCCGTACGCGAGTCGGTGCTTCGTGCTCGGGATGGCGGAGGCGAGGCAGTGGTGGGAGGAGGCATCTGTGAATCTCTCATTAATCACAGGCTCAAGGGTCAGGGCCCGAGGAGCAGGTCATGACGGCGCACCTGTTGGTTTATTGACTGGGCGTCTGCTTCGGTGGAAGTGATGCCCAGTCCGCTGCTGCCAGTGGCAAGGGGCAACGGCTTGAGTGCAGACTGGGAGCCGACAGCAACAGCGCCCGCGTTCGCCGTGGCTCCCGTCACCGGCGCCATGATCCCTGCTACACCCTTCTTCGTGGAGGCAGAACTACTGCGCCGGCTGTCAAGGGTCTTGTTAAGGCGCTCGCTCGCGTTGTCGTTGCTGTTCCGCTGCACGCGAATGGCTTTGGCATCGACCGCCGCGGCGGCGACTGTGCTTCTCCCCAGTCCGGGGGTGCTGGGTGCACCGCTTGCACCTCTTTCTTCTGTTGCGTGGATGAGCCACCACGTCAAGCCGTCCGAGAGGTCAAAGGGGTTGTCATCGTCCATGGATGATGGCGCACCCTCGGCCGTCTCATCTGCACTTCCTCGATCGGGCGGCTGAGGCATCGTTTTGCTTAGATCAACGACTTTCTGCTCGATCTTGTTGATGCGCGCGACGATAAAATCTCGATTGGCCAGACGCATGCCCTCCTTTTCCGCGAGAAAGTAGTGCGGACATCCGATATTGAAAGCCGCCCATGCCCCCTTCGCTTGGCCGCGCGTCGGCAAGAAGAGGGCCAAATCACCTTCCTTGAAGTCCTTGACGGCGATTTTGGCGTGCGCTTCACTCTTCAACTTAATCGAACGGTCTTTGTATGCGTCCGCTCGCTTGCCCGACTCCTTGGCTTCTTTGTTGTACTTCCGTGCCGTGTACTCAAAGTCCCGCACCCGCTTGACCACCGCTTCGATGCACGTATCGACGTTGAAGCGCGAGATTTGTTGCGAGAAGGCTTCGAATTGCGCATTTTCTTCTTCCATCGACGCGGCGTTTGACCATCGCAGAGATGAGAGGTCCGAAGGCTCCTCGATAGCAGACGACTTGCGTGATAGCGGGGGTGAAGCCAACGACACCGTCCGATTCAGTTGTCCTTGCGTGTCGATCATGGTCGTACTTGATGATAGCTTAGAGGCCCGCTCGATGGTCATGGTCTGATCCTGGTAATTTACCACCAGTCCCAAGCGCTCCAGTAACCTTCCCAGCCGTGAGTTCTGCGCAAACAAGCGATGAGAGAGGTCCTTTGCATGCTCTGCTCTTCTCCCCAGCCACTCGGAAGACGCTGTTTGGTCCTGCTGAAGAGCATCGTGCTTTTTCTGCAATCGCATCAGCTCCACATCGAGACTGTTAATATGCGAACGGGCTTCCGCCAGATCAGCCGAGAGTTTGCCAGCTCGAGCCTCTTCCTCGGCCGCACGTTGTCGCAGCACTTCAGATCCAGTCTCTCCATCTGCGAATTTGTTTCGCAGAAGGCGAAGCTGTTCTTGCTCCTCCCTCAGCTGTTGCTCCAGGGAAGACGTCTTGGCTTCCTCGCTGTCTAGACGCTCATGTCCCCGGCGCGTGTCGGCTTCGGCATCGGCCTGCTTCTGCACTGCGGCCGTCAACTCGTTCTTCTGCCTTTCATTGCTCGTCCACAGAGACTGGTTCTCCGACTTGGCGAGGGCGATAGCCTCCTCTAGGTCTTTGGCATGGGACACAGAGCGGCGAGACAGCTCCTCCAGCGCCGTACAAATCGCTGATATTCCCTCGGGGATCTCTGTGCCCGGCGAGAGACTTGAATGAACGGTTCCAAGCAGCTGCATACGTCCGGCTTCAACCTCTTGGTCTTGCTCTTTGTCCATGCGCATCTTTTGTAATTGTATTTCAGCCTCGTGTCTGGCAGTTTCGGCGGCGTCCAGTCTGCGCTCCGCGGAGGTCCTCGTGTGCAGCTCTCCTGCTGTACGCGCGGCGTGATCCGCGGCCTCTTGCTTCAAGCGAGCGACCTCCTGCTCGTACAGGCTGAGCCTTGCATCCGTTCCGGTCCTCTCGTCGTCTCTCGATCCCACGAGTCGCTCAATCTCCTCTTTCGCTTCTGCCAGCTCCCTCTCCAAGGTCCGTCGCTCGGCGGCAAACTCTTTTTGCTGTGTCGCCATGTTGTCCATCAGGTCGCGTTTGGTTAACGTGGCTTCTTCCACTTGCTTTTGAAATTCCGCATCCGAGTTTTTGCGGCTTGTCACTTCGTTTCGAGCAGCCTCAAGTTCAGCTTCCAGATCTACGACCCGCCGAGCGAGTCGCTCTTCCTCCATCAGTTGCATGGACTGTTTCCTTTGCTGACCGTGGGGCATCGACTCGTCGGAAGGCTGCTGATTGATGCCGACCGGAGACGGCAGATTGCGCTCGAAGCTAGAGCCGCTATGAGGTGTGAACATGTCTCCAGTGTTTGCTCGGCCAATAGTGGATGATCTGTGCAGCAGGTCTTCCAACTTCCGAACTCGGCTCTTCTGCCCTTTGAGGTCTTCCTCGAGGCGTAAATTGATCTCACGCAAGGTCTTGTGCTGCTCGTCGCCCCTCAGCAAAAGAGAGGTGTCGCCAAATGCGGCCTCATGCATACTGCCATTCTTGAATGCCTTTGCGTGCTTGATTTGCTTCCTCGTCGGCTTATCAAGGTCTTTGATGGCCTGATCCATCTCGTCTGTGAGTGCACATGGGCCATAGGCCTCTTGCAGCACCTTGAGATGCTCGTGCAATTCGTCACGTGTGACCATTGGCCAGCTGCCCCCTTCGTTTTGCAGGCTGAGTTCAATGCCCAAGACGCTGCTTCGCAAAGCGTCGGATTTCGCGACATCCTCGACCGTGCGAACCCACTTCTTCCGTCGCTTGTCCTCTTCGTCTTGGTAGGTTGCAACTTCTTCCTGCAGGGTGCCTGCGTCACGCTTCATCTTCGCGACCCACTCTCGCCGTCTGAGGGATTCGATGAGGAGCGCGCCATAGACGGAAGGGAGCCGGGAGACGATGCGCAGGGTGGAAAAAGCGTGCTGTCCGTCTGGAGGTGTTTCCAGGTTTTTAGTGTTTTGGAACAACTCCGCAAGATCGGATTCGATGCTGGCCAAATGGCGCATGTGCTCCATGGCGGTGTCCGCAGCGCCGTTCCGCTGTTGTTGCGCCCTTCGCACGGCCTCGTTCATCTCGACACAATATTGACTCAGGTTGGGCAGGTAGTTTCTGGTGTGCAGCAAAGCCATCTTCGAGACCTGCGTGACGGACTGCGAAGTGTTGGGAAGTGATTGGACGTGCTCGAGGTCCGCTGTCATTTTCTTCACCACGATCTCGATCTCCTCCAGCAACTGCGCAGGCTCCGAGGTATTGCTGGCTACGGAGTTGGCACTGATCTGGTCAACAGCCCGGAGCAGCTCGTCCCTCTCTTTGACGACATTGTCCAGGTCGGCTCGGATCTTGCCGACTTTGTCCTCGAAATCTGCGACCAGTGTGCCGGCAGTGTCGGCAGCGTTCTTGATGCTTGCAGCGTCCACGAATGCCTGTAGAGTCACCGCATCGCGTTGCTGTGGGGAGACCTTCGAATTGACCAGCAGTGGCTGGATGAACTTCATGAACTCCGCTCTCGCAGGGATACGCTCCAGGCGCTCCAGGTTCTCTTCCCAGTCCCCCGCGTGGATATGCTGTTGCTGCAAGACCTCATGCGCCCAAGACTCGGCCGTGACGAACTTCTGCTCCGCGCTCTTTACATGCTGCTGAAGACTGGCGACAGCCACGCCCAAGCTCCGCTCGATGATCAACTGCTCATCTTGATATTTCTCCGCCTGGCGGGCTCGACCGTCGCATCCGTTCAGCAGGCCACTAGCCCAGGTTTTGCGGAGACGAAAGAGATTCTGCCATGCTTGGAGGTTGGTCTGATTTGATATGGCATCTGGCACGGTGCCAGGGCTGAAATCGCGGGCGTCCGACGCGGCGAGGCTGGAAGTGGAGGGGGAGGTGGGATGCTGATTGTTTAGACGACTTGAGTCGAAGACGAACAGTTCCGTCTCGGTGAGAAGAGTTTGATTGCGGGCTTGCTTGCCGGAGGGAGTGAGAAGAATCTGATGGCGAGGGAGGATGCCATGCTGGCTGACCAGAGCCTTGAGGGCGTCGAGATCGGTGATGAGGCTGGGATCGAGGCTCAGACGGTCTCCTGAGTGTCCGATGAAGACTGTAATCATCGACATCCGCGCGACATGGCCCCCTGCACACGCGGTTGGGGAGAGGAACGCGTGTGTATGGCGTGGCGTCGAGGGTGATGGGCGAGTCAGCGTGACAACATGATAAGCCGCGAGCCTGCCTGGAGCTGTCGACGAGCCTAAGAGCCTAAGTCAATATCAAACTCTAATTTGGCGCTGTGTCATCAATTCCGCCGCGGCCCCGACCGAACCTTAAGCAAGCGCCGCCGTTTCGCATTGCTTAATTGGCCCTTCATTCATTCGTCCATGCGATGCGGTACAGAGACAAGCGTGCACTACGCAAGTGGAAGAACTGTCGTCCTCTGTCTTTGGACGGTTAAAAATATATCCGCCTTCGTCACATGTCATGTATGCATGATCCTATGTCCGCCAGGAGAGATACATACGAGACGTGCTCTGAAGTACGCGGGCCGAGCACCTGATTCGCTACGACCTTCTGGACGCGGCTGTCGACGGCGTAAGGGTTACCGCTACGAAAAGAGCCGCCCAAGGCGTCTATAAAGTGTACTACCAGATACTGCAAACCCCATTTGCGTATCATAGACTGCTTACACATCTCGCAAAGTGTTGTATCATCCACCTGTAGCCAGTGGTGTCTAGACTCCGTCGAGATTTCTTCTAACCGTACTCGCCCACAACATTTCCCATCCTTCTTACAATCTCACATCATCATGGACACGACAAGCAGGGAATACGCAATCCAGCAAGATTCCCAAGACCCTCTGCGCAGATTCCGAGATCAGTTTGTCATCCCCACCAAAGGCGACTTGGCCCGCAAAACCATCAAGCGCAATGCATCAGAAGACGAGCGACCATCCATCTACTTCTGCGGCAACTCCCTAGGCCTGCAGCCCAAACTCACCAGATCTTACTTCGAGCAATACCTCAGCACCTGGGCAAGCAAAGGCGTCTACGGCCATTTCAAGGAAATCGGCGACACCGATCTCGCGGCATGGCTGAATGTCGACGCCGACCTGCAAGCCGACATGGCGAACATTGTCGGCGCGAAGACGAGTGAGGTGACTGTGATGCAGACGCTGACGGCGAATTTGCATTTCATGATGGCCAGCTTCTATCGCCCCACCCAGGAGAGGTGGAAGATCATCCTCGAAGGCCATGCGTTTCCTTCTGATCACGTATGTCTTACCAATCTCATTCGAGAGACGTATGCTGTCAGGTTACTGATGCGAAAACTTCTAGTTTGCCGTGGAATCTCAGATCCAGCTACACAATCTGAGCATCAAAGACTCCATGGTTCTCATCGAGCCCCCATCCAAAGACTCTCCGTTAATACCCACCGAGCACATCCTGTCAATCATCGACCAGCACGCCTCGGAAACCGCTCTGCTGCTCCTCCCAGGCATCCAATACTACTCCGGCCAATTCCTCGACATGCCCAAAATCACCGCTTACGCCCAAAGCAAGGGCATCGTCGTGGGCTGGGATCTTGCTCACGCTGCAGGCAATGTTCCCACGCGACTCCACGACTGGAATGTCGATTTCGCCGTCTGGTGCACCTACAAATATCTGAACTGCGGCCCAGGCTCCATCGGTGGGTGCTTTGTACACGAGAAGCATTGCCAAGTGACGGAGTTGAATGGGGCGGGTGCTGGAAGCCATTCGAAGTTGGGCTACCGGCCACGTCTGGCTGGTTGGTGGGGTTCATCGAAGACCTCGCGCTTCGACATGGACAATGTCTTCGAGCCCATCCCTGGCGCCGCGGGTTTCCAGGTCAGCAATACTTCCGTCGCCGACACTACGGCCGTGCGTGCGAGCTTGGATGTCTACAAGCAAACGTCGATTGTCGAGCTACGGGAGAAGAGTCTCAAATTGACCAAGTATCTGGAGGACATGCTCGATTTGTTGGCTGTGGAGCAGGAGAAGACCATCGGACGCTGCTTTAGCATCATCACCCCACGTAACCCGGCAGAGCGCGGCGCGCAACTGAGTGTCCTGCTCAAGCATGGCTTTCTAGATTCGGTGATGGAGAGTCTCGAGGAGGCAGGCGTTGTACTGGATGAGCGACGGCCAGACGTCATTCGAGTGGCGCCAGCCCCGCTGTACAACTCGTGGACGGATGTTTTCGATTTCATCGAGATCCTCCGACAGGCGTGCAGCAAGGCTGTCAAGACTGCACCAGGAACGTCGCATAGCGTCATGGTGGACGGTGGTAAAGATTCGAAAGGCTGGAGCGAGATCAAGTAAATGGTTGGTGAGACATAACCGCCAATGGAGCATAGCATTCTCAAGGAGGCCAGGTTCTTCCTTCATCGGACATTGTTCGAATGGTATCTGCAGTCGGGTCTGTGTGCCGTGTTGCTCCATTGCTGAATTCCATCCCAAGAGGCGAGGCACTCCCTGAAGAGACAGACGTCAGTAAGAGGGCGGATGCGTCGCGATCGACAGCGGTGGAATAACACGTACCAACAAAATTCATATCCGCATCGAGTGCAACGCACATGGTCACAGCCTTCATACTTGTCAAGGCGCCATCCACAGCCCCCGGGGCATTGCTTGGAGACCGTTCCTATCATAGCCTCGGTCTTCCTTTCCTCTATAATCTTCCTCGATTCGTCTTGAGCTCGGGTAGAAGTAGAAGCTCGACTTTCGTACTGTCGACAAGTCTCGCCGTCATGCCACGCCATACGATGCTTTGTACATTGCCTATACCCGCAGGCCTCGCAGATCATGAATGGGTTCCCATCGACATTGAGCTGCCCATTTCCACACGTACGTGGGCTCAGGCACCACGCGAATTCAGGCATGCTTGCGAGTGCATTGAGTGTGACGCGCCGCTCGTATGCGGCGAACATCTGCGCGGAAGTAGCAGCCTGAATCTCGCGGTGCTCCATGGTTTGCTGACATTCCGGACATCGCAAACCCGCGCCACTCCTCGCGCCCAGCTCGGCCTCGATCCATGAGTTGAGACATGTGCGACAAGTCGTAGAAGGATGTTGGCATCGTGTGGTGGGAGGCTGGTCGGGGAATTCATGAGGCTGCTTCGTCTCAGCGCAGGCCATGCATTCTCGCGCGCGCTCATCTTCGGCTGGCTGATGCTTGAAGCCGTAGTCTTCGTCAGCCGCTTCGTCTGCTCCTTCACCGATCGCAACCAGCCCGTTCAACGGCTCCAGTGTTGTGCTCAGACACTCCAAGATGTCCGAAGCCCGCTGTCTCCCTTCCTCCTGCAACTCGGCGATTTTCCGTCGTGCATGACGATATCGAGTCGTGTCTCGTCTGACGGAAGTCTGCTTGCTGAATGCGTGCCAATCCACCAACCCCTCTTTCGCCACCCACAATGCATTGATCGCAGCCTCCATTTGTTGTGCTGTACTGCTGAGAGACTCCACAACACGTAAGGCATGTTCTCTGGTAAACTCGTCCGATACAGCGAGCAATTGAGCGATGTCCAGCTGTGCTTCTTCAAACCCTGTCGCGCTGAGATAGGACTGTCTGCTGAGCTCGATGCAAGCAGCCAGCTGATTCTCCGTGCAGCGAAGCAAAGCTTTTGCATCCTTTACGAGTTTAGCTGACCGGGCGGGGGGTCTCACCGGCGCGCGCAGAACTCCATTGTCGTTCGTTCGAGGATCACGGCCTGTTTGACGCTGTAATTGCTTTACGTTAGCTCTCGCAAGGGAAGGGGGAGGTACAATACGTAACAACTTACAACTGCCTGTCGCCGCTGAGTTGCAAGTTGGCGGCCATATTCGCTACGCCCCGTTCGTACGCTCTCAGGCATGCGATACTGGGCCTTTATGTCCTCCCAGCCACTTCCATCTTCTAACACTGGCATGTCCTCCCAGTGTTCCACATCATGGGCTTCAGGCTGGAAAAGCGAAGGCGGCGGCAAGTCCCTTCTTGAAAGCCGAACGGGCGCCGGAGGCCAGTGATCGGATGCGAGAGTAGGATGGGAGTTGTTGTTGAGCACTACCGGATGCCATTCAGAGTGACAGGCTACGGGTTGCAGGATACTGCCGTGGCCACGATCGTTGTCGTCCCAGGGAGGCTCATAGGCGAGACCTGGATGCGCTTGAACTGAACGCGCGACCGGATGTGAATCATTGTAGCTTGCGAAGGACTTGAATATGTTGCGCCGGCCATATTCCGCCCTGCTCGATGCAAGCTGGAGGTAGTAGAGATCATCAGTGTCGAAATTGCTGTCCTCGTCACGCACGCACCTCTGCTCCTTGTCCTTGCGCTTCGAGAATAGCTTCTTGAGCTTCATCTTGCCTTACCATCAAGATGGAGTAGACAAAATGGATGTGAAAGCCGCAAGCTGGATATGAGATGGTCACCGACCTTGGAGCGACGGGGCATGGTGGTTCGCATTTCTGGTAGGGCGGTGTAGAGGGGCTTTCGCCCCATTGCGGCCCCTCCAATCACACCGGTCTTCATAATGCACGACGTGCCTCTGTACCTACCGGGCTTGGTCGAGCGGGCGTGTGACGTGTCAGGCAGGCAATGGAGGTCATGTCTAATGCAGCCCTCATGTGGCTGCATTAAGCGGGGGCCGAAATGCAGGCTGTGCTACGAGTGACCCCTGAGTATTGCAGTATGGAGCTTTGGCTGCTTCGTCAAATGCGTCGTCTTGGAGCAAGTGGAATCATCTCGACATTTCTCCGGTGATGAAGTCGAGAAGGTGAAGGCCCGGAAGAGCTGGGCGAAGTACATGCCTCAGGCATCAAATCAGGCACCAATACTGGTGATGATCCCTTGCGAGACACTGGCCATCTGTCACATCTCCAGAAAACAATCATTGAGAAAGCCACTTCTACCCTCCAGCAGGATTCCACTCCCCTTCGTCTACCGGAGATGGCGCCTTCTGAGTAACGCTAATATGACCGCCTTCTGTTCCGCTCTCAACACCATTTTCACTTCACTCACCCACGCTAACTTCATCCGAGGCCAATCGCCCTTGTTCTCCTTTGTGGAGATCATCCGCGCCGTCCCAAGCTCACGCTTCCACATCTCCTCCATTTCAATCATCAACAACGCTCGTAGAGTGTCCCCCATGGCCCTCGCCGCCATCTTAAGAATCGGGATCATCCCCTTCCAACCCCTTCTGCCCGGCAGCCGATGCCTCCGCCTCGTACTTCTGCAGACGAAGCGCCTTCGCAACCTTGCTCCCCTTGCCCTTGTCGAAGAATTTCAGGAGTAATTTGCTCAAGTCGTCGCTGCTGAGCCCTGCATCGGCGGCTGCAAGACGGGCGACCATCTGGGGATGCGTCTCACGGCCGCCGCGGCGTGGCAGGCCGCGCTCAAAGAGAAGAACTTCCAGCTCGGCCTCCGTGAGGATGCTGCGGGGGTTTGCCAGAGTCTCTTTCGTGACTTTTGCTTTGATCTTCTTGGGGATCGTACCCTCGCCGTCGCTGCCAGAGCCTGGGAATCGGTCTTCATCGCGGTCACTGTGGACGCCGGCCTGCTCGTTCTCAGAGTCCTTATCAGTATCCGTGTCGTTCTCTTCGTCGCTGTCCGCCTCAGGCCCACCGTGCTTGTTGTTGAGATCGGCCCCGTTGTCCGTATACAAGGCGCCATTGCGGAAGCGGCGAAGGCTCTTGCCCATGATGCTGCGGTAGACTCTCTCCTCCAGCTCCCGGATTTTGCGCTTCTCACGGATCTGGCCCACCCACAGGGCAGCAGCTTCTTTCTCAGCAGCCTTCTTCTCCTCCTTCGCACGCTTCCTCTCCTCAACCAAACGACGGTCTTCCGCTCTCTCAGCTTCGCGCTCTCTCTTCACCTCCTCAATCGCCCACAGCTTCTGGTCCTTCAACTCCTGCTCCGCACGCTTCTTGGCTTCTAGAGCTTCCTTCTTACGTTCGCCTTCTCCTCCTGTCTCTGCACGTCTGAGACGAGCCTCAGCGATGCGGGCCTCGCGCAGCACCCTACGGCCCTCTTGATCCGGGTCGAGCTCGATTGGCAGAAGAGCAGTGCCATCGTGAAGCCCCTCCCAGCGCTCTTTGCAAGCCTTTCCCGTGTACTTCTTTTGAGCCATGCCGCGGGCGAGAAGGCTGGAGACTTCCGCCCACTTCTTTTCCATGACCTTCTGTATCTCAAGCTCATACTTCTCTTCGAGCGACTTCACAGTGTCCACCAGAATATCATCCTACGACGACGGTCAGTACAATGTGAAGACATTGGGAGGATATGTGTCATACCTCTCCTTCGTGCCAGTCGGTCAGTTCATCATCAAGCTGCTCATCATTGCGCTTCTCGACCACCTTGCGCAGCTTGAGGTAACGCTTCGCAATCACGCCAGGCTTGTATTGAGGACGGCCCTCCGCTTCGAGCTTCGCGGCGATGAAGTCGTTGGGGTAGCCCTGTTCCTTGAGCTCGATGAGACGCGCATCGTCGCTTCCATAGTCTGCTGTGATCTTCTTCGGAGTCGCGGCTTTGTCCCGCTTGACGTGCGCACCAACGGAAGGGTCACGGGACTGCCCGCGAATACTGTACGCTGGCGACTTGTCATTCTGTTAGAGGTCACGTCATCGCATTAGCGGTGTCCAACGCCGACCCAGCCGGATAAGGAGACTCACCAGACTATCGTCGTCTCCATCGTAGTCCTCGTGCATGGGTGCGAGGCCACGCTGGCCGCGGAGAGCTTGGCGGATGGTTTGCTTTGCTGCAGCGACGTCGACGCCGCCACAGAAGAAGTCATCATCCCCGGCGCCGTTCATCTTGAGAGTTGCCGTGGCTCGATGATGTGGTGGGTGTTGTTGTGAGGCTGTTGAAAGTGCTTGAGATGTGGTGCCGTTGATGGCGGTTCGTGAGTGTGAGAAGGGGGAGATTGTGGACGTGTAGGGGAAAGTTGTTGAAGAGACGCGGGCTACGTTGGGCAGGCAACCTCGTGACACCGCACTGATGTCAGTGCGTCGACCGTGAGTCTAACGTTGGCGCTCCGATTGGTCAATGTGCCATCGTTCCTTCCTATTTGGGAAAGGGCGGGCACGTGTTGCACGTGCATCCAAATTGCTGTGTCTGCCGTGCACACGGAAGGGCTGAGCCATGAAGTCCGGCTGCAGCCATGATTTCTGTGACCGTTTGCGAATGCGATGAGGACATGTCATTGTGCGTTGCACGTGAACGGCCGGGAGATGGTGGCACATCACGAACGTTGGCAGATACTAGAGCGGCAATGTCATCGCTAAGGCTACAAGAAGCAAAGAGTCCTGACTGTGCATATGATATACGTTCCAGAACACTTACGTTACGCCTCCTACCTGTACGAGGTTGTACGTCGCTGGCGGGTAAGGGATGGAGAGACGATTCTTGTCCATTATAGCAAGAGACGCCAGAACGCCCCGGCAGATGTCGTTTTGTGAGACTTTGCGCCTTGCAACGTACTCCTGACATCAGCAGCACTCTTGGCCACGGCATCGATCGAGGGCTGTCGAGCAGCAAAGCAGTAAAATGGATGAAGATGGGATACGAAGGGGAAGATGAGGTCGGGGGTCTGCCAAATTGACGTATTACATAAGCCGATCGCAGGCCGATGGCTTCTTTCCCTGTTTCCGTCACTGGAGCTCTCTCTCCTCCGGTGACGTACGGCTTTCTTGGATCAGGTACGGTACATTTGCACAGCGCTGATACCCAGTCGCGTGGTATTGGAGTACGGTAGGTTTGTTCGACTCTTCCTTTCATCACATTTCCTCGACACAGACAACATGGCTTCGAAATACTTCAGCCTCCCCTCTTTCGCCCGCTCGAAGCAGGACACGGAAGACACCGCGCAACAGCCTAGCTCGGACGAACCGATCCTGAAGGCGGCAGACGAGAAGATACTCGAGGAGCATGTGGCGAATGATGCACCGCCATCCGGGTTGGAAAACGTCACGGCCACCAAGATCACAGACGACGGCGAGGAGAAGCAGACATCGATGCAGGAGCAATTAGACGCCGATCATCCCACAGACCAGGCCGTCATCCCGGAAACCCAACCCGAGACGGATGAATCGACGCAAAACATACCGGAGCAATCCTACGACGAGATCATGAGGCAGAAGGCTGGCGAGCGCGTAAAGGCGCGGCAAGCAAAGAGACGGACTTTGGAACTCCCCAGTCAAGAAGAGGCGGAAGCGGCAACACGAGGAGGTAATGCTCAGCTAGCGGCGACGGAGGACGAGGAGCGGCCGCAAGGCGACAAGCGCACATGGACGACATTCTTGCAATCCATGCTGCCCAACACCAGCTCAATCACCAAGCTTACCGACTCGGACGGCAATGCGCAATCCTTGCAGGCGTGGAAGGAATACGCATCCTCCTACATTCCACCCATCCCTCCCTCCTGGAGACCAAGTAGCAGAGACAAGTCCAAGGACTCACGCCCTGCATCGCCTGTGTACAACGAGGATGGAACCGTGAACCAAGACGCCACGCGCGAGCGTGAACAGCGCGAAGTCTCCGCTCTACTCGACAAACTCTCTTTGTCGGAGATGAACAATCGAGTATTCGCCTTCTCGGGGGAAACGCAGAAGATCTACGAGCGGTTCATTCAGGTGCTCAAAGACACCATGAATGGTGCACCCACGGCCTACGAGGACATGGAGAAGTTGATGCGCGAGGCGGGGCCGAGGCTGGAGCAGCAGTTTAAAGCCATGCCGCCGTTTGTCCAGACGTTGGTGAAGAGTTTGCCGGCCAAGATTGGGGGAACTTTGGGGCCGGACCTTCTGGCGGTGGCCGGCGAGAAGCCTGGCGCAGACCTGAAGGCGCGCATGGAGGCGAGCAGTGCGGGGGTGGATGTGAGTGACAAGGCGGATGGGAAGAAGAAGCAGAAGAAGAAACGACGCATTCCGGGTCTCAAGACCTTATTGAGTAAGGAAGGGGCGGTGGCGAGTATGCTGCGGAACGTGGTCACCTTCCTGCAGACACGATTCCCTTTCTTGGCTTCTACAACGAGTGTGGCGATGAGTTTGGCGGTGTTTAGTGAGTTTCGTCCCACGAGGATGCTGACCGGCATTGCTAACGAATGTGCAGTTCTTATGTTTGTCTTCTGGTATTGTCACAAGCGTGGCAAGGAAGTGCGACTCGCACGGCAAGTAGAAGAAGCTGAGGGAGCGGGGGTGGAGGGTGAAGAGGACTATACGGCGGAGGAAGACGATGGGGAGGAGGAAGAGGAGGATGGGGAGGGTGCAAAGGAGGAAAACGAGCAGTGTCAGGCGATGCTGAAGGATGTCGAGGCCAAAGCGAACGCCCTGAACCAACCAGACCCACGAGAGGTGCCGCTGCCGGATGAGAAGGCGACTTCGTAGAGATACCCATGGCTTGATTAGGAGGTGTGTGTCTTACTAGGACAAATTCTGCTCATCTACTTCCGTCTTGTAGATTATGATCAAGTACTTCCTACGTGGATGAGCAGTGACGTGGTGCAACGTGAGGCGACAGGGGTCCAGGCGAGGCTCTGACGTACATGCTGTCCAGGAAATGTTACCCGAATGCACCACCACCACCTCTACTTCTCACCCTACACATTGACCAACCACCGCTCCGTTCCATCTTCTCGCTCACCACTAAACCTCCTTCTTTCCCCCTCCACCTACTACTTGTAAGCTCGACACTCCTTCGAAGAACGTGCAAGATTGCTTCCCTCACTGACCATCCATCGCCCAAGTTCATTCCCCCGCACGCGTCGCAACATCGTCTCCACCGAGCATGGCAGGCGGCGACCACGAAGGGGAGGGCGCGGCGGTGCCGGCAGCGAGCAAGGGATCATGGGCATCGTTCTTGAAGGTACGAGAGCACTCTGCTGCCACTGCTCCCAGCAATTCCCCCACCACCACCACCACCACCACCACCACCCCCAACATCTCCTCCATTTCCCCACCAGACTCCATCCGCCCCGCCTCTCACCGAAAACAAATACTCAAAGTTCTGCAGCAACTCGCCTCCTTCGATGGCGATCTGTCGCGCCTCACCGCCCCGGCCTTTATCCTGTCCAACACCTCCCTCACCGAGTTCTCCGCCTACTGGGCCGAAATGCCGCGCCTACTCACCGCGCCGGCGAAGGAGAAGGATGCGGAGAAGCGCATGGTGCTGGTGCTGAAGTGGTTCTTGAGCACACTCAAGCAGCAGTACGCCAGTCGGAACGAGCGTCTTGGGTCCGTGAACATGCCTTGTCCGTTGCTCATACACACACGCTGACTGCTGCTTTTGCAGATCCGAGAAAAAGCCGCTCAATCCCTTCCTGGGCGAGCTGCACCTGGGACAATGGGAGGACAAAGAGGGAACCACGCACCTGGTCAGCGAGCAAGTCTCCCACCACCCTCCCGTAACCGCATACGCCATCTGGAACGACGAGAAAGGCGTGCAGCTCGAAGGCTACAACGCGCAGAAAGCCAGTTTCGGCCGCACCATCAACATCCGCCAGGTCGGCCACGCCCTGCTCCACCTCAAGGAATTCGACGAACACTACCTCATCACCCTCCCAGCCCTCTACACCGTCGGCCTGATCACCGGCTCGCCGTATATGGAGTTGAGCAATTCCAGCTACATCGTCTCCTCGTCAGGCTACACCGCGCGCATCGACTACTCCGGAAAGGGCTACTTCTCCGGCACGCGCAACAGCTTCACCGCCTCCATCTACCCCTCCACCGGCGGCAGCAAGACCAGCCCCCTCTACACCGCCGAAGGCGTCTGGACCAATTCCTTCACCATCAAAGACGCCAACAAAAAGACCATCGACACCTACGACGCCAAGGCCGAGCCCAAAACCCCGTTGAAAGTCGCGCCAGTCGCCGAGCAAGATCCGCTGGAATCGCGTCGCGCGTGGGCCAAAGTCGCCGCCGCGATCGAGAAGGGCGACCTCAACACTACTGCAGCGGAGAAGAGCGTGATCGAAGAGCAACAGCGCGCTCTACGGAAGAAGGAAAAGGCAGAAGGCAAAGAGTGGGACGGCAGGTTCTTCTCGCGCACCAACAAGGCGCCCAAGTTGGACGCGCTGATCAAGGAGGTGCCGCACGGCTCGCTCGACAAGGATCAGACGGATGGCATTTGGGAGTTTGACGCGGCCAAGGCGAAGAATGCGAAGAAGCCGTACAGTCGGTTAAGCGCGGAGCTGGAGGAGAAGGGCTGGAGAGGATGGAGTGGTTGATGTGCATTGTTTTGATCCGATACTAGTTGATACCTTATGATGTGATGCGATTGTATGATACCTATGCTGAATCTGAGAAAAACGAGCATTACACGGGCGTATGCTTTTTGCGCCGGTCAAGGCTGTCAATCGAGTTCGAATGTCGGCAAAGCTCGAGAGGTGGACGAAGAAGTAAGGTATTTCCACAATGAGCGAACGTATCGCTCAGTCAAGTCTAGAAGTCCTACTCTACAATATTGTTCAAGGCCGCGTGAAGAAAAACGCCGCTCCAAAATGCAAGGACAGTCGTACTGCAGCCATCGTTCCACTGCTTTTCCGATGCTCCCCCTTCCCGTGCCCGTGAAACCCATAACTCCCATCTCTCCAATCGCCAACTTATCAGCGAACGTCCCGAGAATAAATAAGAAAGTCACTCCCCATCTCAACTCCGCCCCATCCGCTCCTGGCTATGCGCCAGACTGGCCAGCATGCTCTCCACCTGCGGCGCCATCTTCATCCAATTCAGCTGAAACACATCCACGCTGGGGTTCTTGAGCAGCTCCAGCACCATGACGATCAGGCCCCACGGGTGCGGCCGCGGGATCGACAGGCGCTCCCAGATGGCGCGCATGATGCACTGCTGCACCTCCTCCGCGGCGGTGGTGAAGAAGTGCTGCAGCGCGGTGGTGAAGTAGTGCGTGTGTGCGTTGACGTAGCGCACGTTGTTCACCAGCGCGCAGATCAGGCTGTACCGAGCTTCGGGGTTTGTCGAGTACTCGCGTAGGAGCAGTTCGAGGAGACGAGCGGCAGGCGCCGCGGCCGAGAAGGCGGATGAGGGTGCTGTGGTGCGCACGCCGATGTAGAGGACGAGCGCGTTGAGCAAGCGACGTTGCGGCCGGGGGGCGGCGCTGTTGAGGATGGCCAAGATCGCCGGAGCCTCGTCGCTGCTGTTGTCCGCCGACGAGCTGCAAACCCGCTCCAATGGCTCTTTGAGACCCGAGCTTTCAAGGATGTCGTCGAGAGCGGGAGAGATGGGAGGTTGTTGCCGCACTTGGTCCAGCCTGTTGATCTTCAACCCCGCCGTAAAAGGATCGGGTTGATCATTGATCGTCGCCCGAGTCACAGCACTGTTGACAATGTTGAACAGCTGCGTGAACAAGATTGGGATGCTACTGTTGAGCTGTAGCGAATTCTCGATCAAGAAATCGGGGAAGTCGTGATGCAGAACCAGCATGAAGCGAGTGACGCCTCGGTAGAACTCGTGGATCACCGGCGTCTCGACCACCTGTAGCATGTCTTCCAAGTTGACGAACAGGATGTCCATCAACTTGACGAATGCCTGCCATCCTCCATTGTTGCGGCCGTTTCCTGCCAAGAGCGCGGGAACGAACGAACGGTGACTGATCAGCGCGAGCCACGAGTATGCGAAGCCCGGGAAGTGTCGAGGCTGCACGACCTGTAGGGCCAGAGCGAGCACCTGAGACAGCTGCTGCTCGTCCGATGCATCGAAGTGTTCCCGCCGTGCAGAGTGCAGCTCGCACATGAGCGCCGAGAAGAGGCGGAAGTAGACTCGGGCGTTCCATTGCTCACGCTGCTTGTTGTGGTGCTCGCTCATCACGAGAACCACTAAGCGCAAGATGGCATCGAGTGCTTTGGCCGGCCTGGCGCGCGAGTCTCCATTGACAGGCGCGGCATACGCGACGATGTACACCATGAGTTTGGCGAGGGCATCGATCTGGATGTAAGGAGCTGCATGGCTGGCCCACGGCGCATTTGACACGCGTTCAAAGTACGTGCACGACATTTCGATGGTGGACCGCCAGAAGAGGATGGCATCGTCCGCGTCACCGATAATGTGATTCTCGTGCAGTTGCCGCACGAACGCGACATACGCGTGGTCTGGCGTATCCTTGCGCTGCAGACGGACCCACTCTTCGAAGATGTACTCCAGCTGGTCTTGCTTGCCCGTCTGCGGCGGACTGGGCATGCCGTTGGTCTGACGGACCGGCAGCTGCAGCTTCCCGAAGATCTCTCGGCCCAAGTCGAGAGTGGGATCTTCGGCCAGCCACTGTCCTAGCGCTTCGTACGTGAAGACGAAGTCTGCTCGAAGCACCAGCGGGTCCTCACCCAGGAGCAGCTCATCCAGCAGGTCCAGCAGGAAAGGCAGTACGATGCTGCGATGCGCTTTGATCGCCCGAGAGGCCAGCATGTCGATATGCTGTACATCGAAAAGCCTTTCAGCAAGGAGGGCAACCACAACATTGGCGTTGAACATCTTGTCGTCCTCCATGGTGGCGAGTTCGATGGTGAGTTGCCTTCCCGCAATCTCAGAGATCTTGCACAGATTCTTGAGCAATCGCACGAAGACTTCAACCTCCAGGCGCTTCTGCCCACCAGACAAGATGGGATACCAGCACTGTCGACCCGCTGCGATGGCGAGATTGTCTTTTTGTACGCCGACTGCTCCACCGACGAGTGCGACGAGTCGTTCAAAGGTGCTTCTGATAGGCGCATCTTCGCCAATCTCGTCAATACGGTCCTCGGGAGCCTCACGAGCGGCTTGTTGCAAGTCTTGCAGCAGTTCCAGAATACGGTGGCCAACATCAGGCGTATCGGCGTACCCATTCACCTGTCCTTGGGCTCCTGGCATGCCTTGCATCCCTCGCTGCTGCACCGTCTGCCTGGGGAGTGCAGGCTGTTCAGCTGGCGTAGTCAAGGTTGGCAAGTAAGTATCCGAAAGGACATCTGGGAGTTGTCGACTGGCATCTTGACTCTGGTTGCTGACATGTTGCGCCGGGGTGATCTTCGCCTGTCGGCCAAAGTCCTCGTACAGTGCGAGCTGTTGCCGGTTCAACCCATTGAGATCTTGCCTGTACGGCTCGGGAATCAACTGCGCCCATCTACTCACTCGCTCGTGATCACTGAATGGTTCGTTTGGTCGCTCTGCCGCGTGACGCCTTCTTGCCTCAACCGCCGGGACCAGCTGCGCTTCAATCTCGGCCAGGGAATGCTCTTCTGCAGCCCGTTCGATCAGACCGCAGACGGTATCAATGTTGTCATTGACGAACATGATAATCTGTCCTTCAGGCAACTGATCCGGAAGGCTCCTCGAGGCCAGGATCCTGATGTTGTTGGTGATGCTCATTCGTAGAGGCTCTTTACAAGTGACGAGTGCCAAAGCGCCGGATAGGGACTTGACCACATTGTGTGCGGATTGCATCATCTTCTCGATGTCGAGCTCCGTGGCGAAGTCCTTCAAGATCATCTGGGCTGCTGACACAGCGGCGATAGTGACAGACCTCTCAACGACCGGGGTGATGATGTCGCTGACGGCATGCTGTGCAGCAGTGACGAAGATGGTCCTCAGCTGGGGTTGCGTGACTGTACCAGCAGCTTGTGGAATCTGCAAGACATCCTCGAGGCTGGGCAGGCGCTGGACAATCTCCTGGGCCGTGAAGCGCTCGCTCGGCGCCCTCTTTGAAAGGCCCATGATGGCCATGTCACCAAAGCCGTCAGGTCCAGCATCCACAGCGCCGTATGGCTGAAGCATGTTGTTTTCGTGCATCATCGCCGGCCGTGATCGAATAACCTCCAACGGGGGAATGCTCTTCAACTCAAGCCCGAGTTCCCGGTAAAGCACTTCGATCTCAAACTTGAGCATAACCTTGAGCTCGCCGTACTCGTACAGCTCTGAGAGCACTCCCAGAAGCTCGACGAGCCATGGGTTTGGTGGCTTGAAGACTCTCGAGGACTTTGCATGCACCAGAGTCTTGCAGGTGAACGGAATGGCGAGAAGCAAACGTTCCGTAGTATAGCCTTCGATCAAGAGATCCTTGAAAGACACGTTGCGATGTAAAATCGGCTGATCTCTCGCGAGCGTCAGAGAACCGAGCCAATTTGCCAGATTCTTCAGATTGGCCCTTTCCGAAGCGCTGTTCATGGTGAGCTCGGCATTGAGCATCCTCTGGCAGCTGGCATAGGTCTCCCTCAACACCTCCTGCCACAGAGCTCGCTCATTGAAGCTGGCCAGGATCTGCAGGTATATGCCCTGAAAGTTGATCTGCGTCTTGGCGAGCTCCTCCACGAGGTAATGCGCGAACCATTGATGATGCTTGTCCTCTAGTGTGCCTCGCAAATCCTGGAATTTCTCATCGAAGTTGCGCTTGGACACGTTGTTTAGCACGAACATGACCTTGTCGCTGACATCGTCATTCGGATCTTCGTAAATCTCTGGTCTCAGCGGCGGATCGATGTGCACGCTCCAGAAGGGTTGGGCGGTATCGGTGGACTCGAGATCTCCATCAAGGGCTCCATTGGTGATGCCGTTGAACGCAACATCTCCATTGCCATCAGCGGCGCCTTCTCGTTGCAGCTCCCTCAATACTTCTTCCGCTTTGACGAATGCCTGCGTGTCTCGAAGAGTAGGTGTATGCAGAATTCTTTCCGCAAGGTGAGGCCACTCTCTTAATCGATCCAGGATGTGCACCATCGCCTGCAAGCCGAACCGATACATGGCGTCCGTCGTGGCATACTCAGACACTGCTTCGAACACCATGTAGATTGCTGCTTGCTCCGCGACACCAGAAAGGACGTTGAATGCAATCAAGCCACCGAAGAGGACTGCGGTGGTGGCCAAGGCCTCATTCGGATACTCGCCGAAACAGTTGTATTCATCGAACAGCCCTTGAAGCATAGCCGCGAACAGCTCCTGATCGGCCGCATCTTCAGAAACCTTCAGACGCTTGAGTTCGCCAACGAGCTGTTCGGGGTTGGTAGTGCCACCGTACATCTCCTTGTACCGTTCCTCCATCTTCGCACCTGCTTCATCAGGCAGAGCATTACTGTGCGCGCCATTCTCGTCGATGATTGCGTTGCGGCTGTCATCTTCTCCGTAGTTGAACAGGCGAGGGTACGTTTGCAGGCACTGACGGTACACAGGCCCGGTCTCATCGTCTGGCAGAGCATCGCCGAGTAGTAGGAGTAGCAGGTAGACGGTCTTGATTGCCAGTGGGGCAGTCTGAGGGTTTGCGCGCTCGCGCTGCACGATCGTCTCGTCCTCCATCTTGGTCTTCATAAATTCATGAATGACTCTTGCAAACGCTTGGGGGCCAAGATTGCGGATGTGTGGCTGGGCCCACTCTTCGAGGTTGAACTGCCCTTTACCATGCGCGTACGTGGCCAAGTCCACAGCGAAGCTACTTTGGATCGTGACAAGATCAGTGAGCCATCCCTGTTCCTGAGCGTGTTCGTAGATTAAGCCTAGCAACATCGGCTCGAGTTGGTAGAACTCCACGATACGCGTCGCCACCCATACTTTGTCGTGAAGCCAGAGTGCATACATGACGAAATCGTAGTTGTCGTGCTGCTTCAGCAAGAATGGATGGAACAGCTGCTTCAGCGCCTGCTCTTGTAGCGCGGCCCACGGCTTGGCGACCGCGGACGCAGCGCACACGAATATGGTCATGTTCGGGTTGATGATGGAGTCTGGAATGCCAAGCATCTGCGCATGGATATAGGTCTCCTGTGACTGGAAAATCATGGTGAAGAGTGCTTCTGTGGCATCCAGAGAGACCAGAGGATGCTTGACCGCTTGCAGCGCATAATTCTTGACGCTGTCTGATGCGCTCGCGAAGCCTTCGAGGGTGAATGCTTGACGAAGGTTGGGGATTTGCGTCACGTCGAGTTCCCGTGGTGATGTCGTCAAGAATGCGATAAGAAAGCTGAGTTGCGTTTCCGCAAACTGCCAGTGTCCACCCCACAAAGTTTGGATATCGAAGTTGGCGTACTCTCTCGCCAGTGGTAACAGCGCGTTGTAGAGTGCAAGAAACTGCGGTTTCGTGACGCGGAGCTGCTCTTTGTCGAAGGCCTGCACCACGTCCGTCCAGTCGATCTTGGGTGCCGCGCGATGTTGTCGCAGTCCTTCCACAAAGATACCTAGGTCATAGTCGCTGCTTTGTGTAGAAATCGTGAACAGTAGGGCGTTGGCCACCTGCACGTAGGAGATGTCGCGAGGTTCTGCGCCGGAGAGCATATCCTTGCACGCCTCGAGATTTGCTGTGCCGCGTGGGCCAGTCCGTTGCACAAGGCGTGCCAGCCCGCTCTCTTGCGAATCGAGCAGATCGATGAGCAGCATGGCCGACTGTACCGGGGGCGGTATACGAGTGGTCAGTCTGTTATACCGCATCCGTATCGCATAACTGAGACTCTCGCGGTGTTCGTCTCCCCAGTGTCTCGGCGGCTCCACCACCAGGCGCTCTATCAATATTGCCAGCACATTCGGCGCGACGTCGTCTGGGTCCGGGATTGGCGGGGACGAGAGGGCGGAGAGGAAGGGTTGGAAGTTGTTTGTGACGATGGCGTCGGCTAGAAGGGAGGTTAGCGCGCATCCTGCACATTACACGTGATGAACACACCTTTTGAACGTAGATCAGGCTTCGAAGCCGAGCGGATGGGGAGTGCCAGCGCCATTTTGGCGACAGAGTTGAGTCTGAAGTGATCCATAAAGGTGCTGAGGTCGAAGTCGCGTAGTACCTCGTTCTCGTTCGTGTCCAGACTTTGCGCAACGCGCTCTGCTTGCTGTGTGTCCCTCGATATCTTGGCCATCTCTTCCGCTAGCAGTTTGTACTGTCCAGCATTATCGCCGGCCGAAGATGCCGGGCGGGCGGAGGTGGAGAAGATGGCCGACGCATTGCTGATGAGCAAGCGGCGGAAGAAGGTTGTGAAGACGTCCATGCCGTTGTCATCGACGAGGCTGCGGATTTTCTCGGCCTGCGCGTCAAAGTTGCTCTCTTTGAGAGTGCTGAGGAGGATGTTCAGCTGGGTGGTGAGTAAGCTGGTGAGCTGACCTGACCCGCTGGTGGAGTGAGGGGTGGAAGAGGAGACGGGTGAGGTGGTGGATGAGAGTGAAGGAGACTGCCGGGCAAAACGTGATCCGGTCGCCGAGCTCGTTACACCCGCTGGAGTGGCCGCAGATGAAACGCTCGCTAGAGTGGAAGACAGCCGCGGACTACCCGTTGACGTGGGCGCTCTTGTGCGACTGCCACTCCCAAACTGCCCAGTCGCGTGACCCGAGGCGGGGGGCGAGGTGAGTGAGGTGTTGGAGGAGGTGGAGGACTGCCTGCTCGCGACCTGGCGAGAGGCACCCAGAGCCGCGGCGTGACTGAAGGTGAGGGTGGTGGGTGAAAGAGCAGCCCGCGAGGGGCTGCCGCTCGCACTCGGCGGCCTTTGGTGCGCGGGGGAGGTGGTGGAGATTGGGGTGAGGCCGCGACGAGAGGAGGCCTGTCGGGCAGTAGAGCCGGCGCTCCACGCCGGATTGTGCGGTCTCGTGCTCCTCGAGGCGGGCGAAGGAGCGGCGCTGGTGGTATTGGTGGGGTTGTCGTGGTGTGAGGAGGGGGGAGTTGGGGTCATCGAGGCGCGCACATTGAGAGCGATGTCTGGTGACGGGTCGGGGGGAGTATGGATGGAGGGGAAGGAGGTGCAGTGATATGGATCGGGGGGTGGGTGTCGAAATGTGTGGTGTATGCAGACCTCGAATTGGTTCACGTTGCGGGAAAGATCTCATTTGCGGCCGGGGTGCCAAGACTGGGCTTGAGCGGAGCCGCCACAGTAACTACCAGCAAACTTGAGCCACACCAGCCTCGCTGTGATTGAATTGATGACCTTTACCATGAATAACCATCTACGTGAGAACTTTGCAAATTTATAGATTGGTGAAGTCGATGGACTATCTAGCCAAGGCCCTATCACACTGTGAATGAGTCACTCACACTCCGGCGCTCCCTGGCGCTCTTCATTGCAATTGAACTCGCCGAGACATCCCAAAATGCACTAATTCAGGCCTGGAAACCCGTGCCAGGATCAGATGCCAGCTTCTCAACGACCATCTGTCTCAAACCAGGATCGCCTCTCATCACCCTCTCCAGCGTAATGTTTGCATCACTGCGGACCACCGCCCAAAAATTCTCCGTCAGTAAATCAACCATCCACCTCATGAGCTCACTCTCAGCGTCGTTGTCGTTGCGTTGCCTTTTCGACAGAAGCCCCACCACGCTCATCAGGGCTGTGGGCGTGTAGGGGTGAACAGCTTTGAGTTTGTCCACACAGAGCGACTGTAGATGCTCGAATTGGATGTTCGACGCTCTCGCGTAAGTCCGAGCGACCATGCCTGCTGCCTCGTGTTTTTCCTCTTGGAGCACCACGCCGTCGAGTCGCTGTTCTCCGGGTGTTTCGATAAGGCGTGGACAGAAATCGCCGTCTTGGAGGAATTCTGCAATTGTGATGAAGTCTTTAGGCGTTATCATTGTGTTGACACTGAGGTCGATGACGTTTCCGAGTCCGTCCACCATGCAAATCCGAGTGGAAAGATAGTCGCAGAGGCGAACAGCACAAATCTTGACCTGGAACGGCGTGCAAGATTCGCCCACGAAAATCGTGCACCACTCAAGGTCCGGTGGATTGTCATGGACGGCTTGCATATTCTTTACTCGATTGGCTTAGACCCTTGACTCGCGCTCTTCCTGATCGGTGCCGTTGCAGTCGGAGATATATAGGTCGGCGCGCGGCTTGGCTTCGCGAACGAAGAGGTCGTCATCGTCGGAACTGTCTACGAGCTCTGCGCTCAATGCAGACTTGGCGGAGGTAATGTCCGGGGTTGGTCGATGACTGTCTCGCCGTCCTTTGCCTGAATGGTATAGCTTCACTTTCTTGGGGGTGGAAGGGTGAGGTCCTTTCTTTTGCGTACGAACGAACGTAATCTCCTCATCGTCATCGGAAGTTGGTGCAGCACGCTTTCTGTCGATTTCGCGTTCAACCTTGCGCGCTAGAGATCGCTGGATGATGAAGTTCTTCCAGAAGGCGGGGGAGTGCCTGTGCCCAGCATCTGCTGTGAACGCTTTACGGCGTGCAGCTTCCAGCGCGTCTTGAGAAGGCTCTGCATCCTTGAGGTAGTCCGCAGTGAAGTCGAATGGACGGAGATGGACATCCGCAACCCAGATGCTGCGAGCTGTTAGTGGCGTTCATACGGGCGACAGTGATGTAGCTGAGTACTCACTATATGACTTTCCCGAGCAGGATGGCAGGGAAGACGTAGCTGTTTGGCCTGCTCCTCATGAAGGCCTCGGGCGGAGTTTCTTCATCGCAGAGCAAGACCGGCCATGATTTGCTTTGATACGGATAAATCCAGGTACTTCCTGGGACCTTTGCAATCATCTGCATGGCGGTGGGGAAGTAGTGAGCAGCGACGGACGGGAGGTAAGGTAGAGTGCCGTGCATTTTAGGCGGCGATTTGACGAGCGATGCGTCGTTGGTGGGGAATGTGGCGAGAGATTGCGTTCGCGACGGCTAGACCAGGTCGAAGAGATTGGTGCGCTATGAATGCATCACAGACGTAGCTGCAAAGGAATGGGAAGGTGAGAGGTTGAGGGAGAAGTGAGGGGGGTTGTTTGACAGGAAGTGGTGGAAGGTGTGAGAGATGAAGAAGAGAAGTTTGAGAGGGTAAGGTGGACCGCGTGGCAGGGAGTGAGCGTGAACACATGATTGTGAAGGAAACGTAAAAGCGTCAAGTGAAATCCACCGTATTTTGGAGCCTGTGACTGTAAGAGTGGCTCGTGTTTCGAAACGAGAGCATCACCGCGTCGTGACTCTTCGACGAAAGTCACATATCAACGTCCTCACCTCGGAATGCTCTGCATCGTATCTGAGTGCTGGAATATAGCACAGTCATCTGTCATGTCCTTCACCTTTGGCGCGAAGTAATGCGGAGGTGAAGTTGCCGACTCGAAGTGAAGTTCTAGGTTTTGGGCCAGCCGTGATTGGTCCGTGCGTCGGTACCTGCATCCGAAAAGGGAACATCTGGCATTCGCGAGGCCAAATGTCCGTTCACCATTCACTACGGACAACCCCAATCCCCGGGAGAAACACAGCAAGACTGCAATGTGAAAGGACCGGCCAACATGTTCTCATCACTCTCCAGCATGCAGCCGCGCCAGCTCGCGGCACAAATCCTCAACTTCGCCCTCGTCCTCTCCACCGCGTTCATGCTATGGAAGGGCCTCTCCGTCGTCACCGACTCCTCGTCCCCCATCGTCGTCGTGCTCTCGGGGAGCATGGAACCGGCCTTCCAGCGTGGAGATTTGCTGTTCTTATGGAATAGGGGGATGGATACCCAGGTGGGAGAGATTGTGGTGTACAACGTGCGAGGAAAAGACATCCCCATTGTGCACAGAGTGGTGCGGAGGTTTGGAGGAGGGTACGTTGAAACATCATGCCCCGTTGCTTTTTGATGCATCCAGCTCACGCTGAACAGGGACTCGCCATTGCATCTCCTCACAAAAGGCGACAACAACGCGGCCGACGACACGGAGCTCTACGCGCGAGGGCAGTCATACCTCGACCGATCGCAGGACGTTGTAGGTAGCGTGGTCGGCTACGTTCCCTTTGTTGGCTACGTGACCATCCTCCTGAGCGAGTATCCGTGGTTGAAGAAGGTGATGTTAGGGTTCATGGCCTTGACGGTGGTGATGCAACGGGAATGACCAGAGTGGGATTCAGCGAGGCGTCCGGGGGAGAAAGTACTTCAGCGCTGCAATCACTTGCCCTCCTTCCTCAACTGTCCCCTCACTTTCATAATCGCCTCACCCAGTCTGTTCTCTCCCCATTCACCTCGATTGGCTTCGGCATTGGCGGCATCAAAACCCACGCCCCAAATGCGGTCTACCGGTGATGTCTGCATGCAGTATGAGTCCACGCTCTACCGCCCATTCCGAAATGCCTACCTCGACCAGCTCCCGATCCCCAGTGTCCATCAGCTTCTGAAGCATTTCAGGATCATTCTTGCACTTCGTGAATTTGTGATAGTTGCCCTCTTCAACAATACGGCTCTTGTCTGCAATCAAGAGTCAGACTACGTATCGACACCATAGCATCATGCTCAAACTCACGATCATCCCATTTCTTCCGATCGAATCCTTTGGCCTAGTTGATGCGTCAATTCGATCATCTCAGTCTCCCTCCCTCTGCAAGCACTCACCCGTCGCCCTAACGCCTGATGTTCTTTCGGAGTGGTAGTCTCCATCATCTGCTTCGCAATGTTCTGAACGGCGTATCAGTCTGCACTATTCAAATGGCCCAGACATATGCCTACTTCGTCACCAAACAGCAGTGCCTTCTGAATCATCATCCACATCTCCGCCGTTTGGTAGGTGACTCCATCGACTTCAAACGGACTTTCGTACCACTGGCTCAGGAAGCCATATGGGTGCTCGAACTCGCGCCAGAAGAAAATTGGCCCGGAGAGAGCTTCGCCGTTGGACGCCATGTTGTTATGAACGTGAAGAAGTAGCAAAGGTGAGGTAGAGGTAAAGCGCTGTACGATACACACCAGCCCCGCCCTCGGACGTTCTGTTCTACTCTACAAACTCCAACCAAGCCGAATGCGCCTCCCTTGTTGTCCAGCAAGGCTTGTCTAAACCTCACTCTTTGACCCCCAATCCCCTTTAAAGACAACTACGCATACATCTATCCTTTAACACTGCTTCAAGTAATTACTCGGCACCAACCCGGGGGGATCATTCTTGCCCATCACCTCCGCCTCCCACCATCCATCGTCCTGGTGCCGTGTGACGGCCAGGATGTCACCCTTTGCAAACGACAATTCCTCCGGGATAGCTCGTTGATACATGTACATTGCGCGTGCTAAGAAGAGTCATGTCAGCCTTGAACACTCAAATGTTTAGGGGGGGACGACACTTACCATAATGTATTATCGGTTGCCCAGTCCTGGTATACTGTCTCTGCGCACCGACGCTCTGGCTCCTAGTCCTTGAGGCCGCTGGCTGCTGCTGCTTACCGCCATACTGAGGCTGATTGCCATAGTACTGGTTTTGCGGACGGCCATCGCGCTGAGCATACGGGTCCTGGCCGCCGGGCTGAGCGAGCTCCATCGCCATGCTGCCGCCCATCGCTCCATTGCTGCTCGTCGGACGAGGGTTGTAAGCAGGGTTTGGCGATGCTGCGCGTGGGATGTGATTGCCCGGGGAGCCTCCGCGCGAGTAGCTTCCGTAGCCAGGCTGCTGCTGCTTAATGGGACTGGTTGATTGTGCGCGCGGCCTGTTCACGGGCTGGCCTCCGTAAGGATTGGGCGATGCCGATCGGTATGGGAGTTGCTGTCGCTGGTCATTGTTCACGAACGGCCTGGGACTGGTTGATCGAGGTATCTCGACCCGGTTGCCCATGCTACTTCCCGGTCTGGACTGTGAGCCTGGCCTGGATTGAGAGCCCGGATTGAACATGTCGCGCTTCTGATTCACAAAGCGCTCGGTCGTCTTCTGCATTTCACGGCTCGTGTGTGCCGGTTGTGGCGCGCCCAGTCTGCTCATGGGCTGGTCGTAGGCTGGAGGCGCCGCCCCACGATTGGCATAAGGCGATGCACCGGGTGGCATACCTCGTCCATTGGCATCACCAGGAGCGGGGCTGGCCATGCCGTAATGCGTGTCCGCGGACTGACGTACAGAGGCTTGCTTCTTCACACCTTTCAATTCAGCCAGGGCTTGAGCGATTGGATCGAGTTCTGCAGGCGTGTCCTTCTTTGGTGGTGCTGGTTTGCGGCCATCTGGCGACGCGACATCAAAGACACTGTTGCCGATACCCAGCTGGTAGTCTGCACGAGGATCTACGGGCTCAGCATCAGGAGTGGGTTGCTGTTGCCATGTGTTTGCTCTGTTGCCTGCGCCGAACGGCGGCTTGGTTGGGCTCGGGTTCGCCGATCGGACCGTCGCTGGCGTCCACGTATTCCGTGCTGTTGGAGTCACGGTTACTGATTGTGACATCGGGTCCTTGGTCTTTTGGCTTCGCCTGCGGAAGGGACTGTGCGATTGGAAGAAGCCGCTCTTCTTCTTTTGGACCTGATGATCATCAACGGATGAGGCGTGAGACATGTTTGATCCATTGTACTGCTTGGTTGGCGATGCTGAGCCGCTCGTCGGTTCGAAGCTGGAGTAGGATGCTGGGTTGGAGTATTCGCTCTGGCTGTCTCGGCTCTCCGGACGCGTTGGCGATGGAATCGTACTGCGGTCCGATGGTGGTCCAGTGCGGCAGAACTGAGTCATTCCATCCACAGGGTAGGGATTGTGCGGAACCTCGATGTGGCTGACGTTGGACGTCTGGCTGGGGTTCAATGAAGGCGGCGCTGCACCGTCTCGAGCTGAGCGAACGTTGAAGCTCTCATCTCCTTGGAGAGAATTTCGGCTTGGGTTGCCATTCAAATCTGAACCATTGTGCGGCTCAAGGGTGCTAGGCTGTGGGGAGGAAGTCCTGTACGTCGGGTTCATCGCGCGCTGGAACTGTGCCACCGAGTAGCTTCCATCATCAGACTCGTGTGCGGACGCTGTGTCGTCAATGTCGCCTCGGCAGAAGTTGATATATTTGGGTGGGTCTGGGATCTCTTGCCCGGTGCCGTGGTCTTTGATGAACTGGGTGATGTCTTTTTCGACGTCGCAATCCTCCAGGGATAGTCGGATCTTCTCGCATGAAGCATCGTCGCTCACACATACGGTTGAGGAGACGTTGGCAAAGTTCCAGAGACTGCTCTTGAAGAAGTCGATGCGCTCCTCCTCCAGATCCTGGAATTTGTCGCAAGCAGCCTTCCATTCCCGGTTCCACTTGCCCGTTGTCTCCTCGAGAACCTTCACGGCCGCTTCGTATTCATTGCTGTTCGCCGACATCTGAATTTGCGTCTTCTCCAGCTTGGCTTTGTTCTTGCGCTCCTCCTGGCCCATCACCATGTGGCCTTGCGCGAGGTAGCCTTTGATCTTCAAGCAGTCCTGCTCGTATTTGTCTCGAGACTTGTTGACGGCAGCAGTCTGCAGGTTCTTCGTCTTCAACAGCTTTTCAACGGATCCTTGGATGATCTTCCTTCTCTCTTTGATCCCACCGGCGAACGCTGCGAGCGGCTCGTCCAACTCGGTCTTCATCTGCGCGGCCATCACCTGATGCTGCTTGGCCATGGACTCGATTTCGCCGCGCACGACGTCCAACGACATTCGCAGCGTCCCTTGTTCGCAGGATCCGAGCGGCTTTCGCGCAAGGTTGAGCAGCTTCTTCGCGTATTCCTCTTCGATTTGCGCTCGCGCTGAGTAGAAGGACTTGAGCTCCTCGCCCGTGACTTTCGCGCCCGACATGCGCTCGAGTAATGGTCCCGTTCCTGCATCTTGCAACCCCCAGAAATTATTTGCGACTAGCCTGTTAGTAGGTGCTGATTCCTTGAAGTGTAGAGGGTGCGGTACATGAAAGGGAGACTGTTGGCCCATCGGCCACAGTGCCAGGCATTGCGCCTGTTGTCGTAAGCGGATGTCGCTTCGAATACGGTGTTGCGCGTTTGGCGCTCGTGTTGAATGCTGACAAGTTCTATTGATAACGAGAGATGTGTCGTGTGTGAGATATGACATGAATGAGAGCGCTTCCATTGATGCAGTCTGCAGTGTGCAGCTGATACACAGCGGCTACAGCCGCGGTCGCCTAAGCAACCACCCCCGGACAGCAAAACAGGGCATGGCCCGTGCATACACCTCGTCGATTTGCTGCACTTCTTCACCTTCTCCCTCTCGTTTCATGACAGAAGGGGCTTATTATGTTTTACTAGCGTGGGTCATAACTAATAGTGCAGTCGATAACATCCTGACATAATCTTGAGCATTGATAGGCATAGAGTAATGAATAGACAATTGACTAATCGAATTTACACCCTTGTTGCTGCTTTCCGGTGCAGCAACGTCGACCTCGCTTAACCTGCCTCTCCATATTTCCCCACCTCTAATCGACCCCGCGCAGACGAGGAGTAGCAGAGCAGACGACCCACAACCGCAGCAATGTCGGCAATGATTCCGCGAGGACGATCAGGAGGTAGCTCTGTGACTGGTGGCTGGACGGGCGAGAGGAGGCTCCGCCGCGCTCATGTGATAAGGTGTGCCGAGCACCATCGTCATCGAAAGGTATCCCATTACTAGCCTATCTACCCCAGTGGAGGCGTTTAGATGTATTGTTTCTTTTGATCCAAAGGTTCCTTTTCTTCCTGTTCGTGTCATTTTTGACTTTCTTCATTGGTTCTGTGCGGATTGCAATCAATTGGATATCAACATACACCATACACTACACGTCCCTCGATTGGCACACAACATAGAATGTCCTTACGTACCGATATCTCGGCGGACACGCCCCGCGTTGCAGGAGATGGCCCGCAATACAAGGATGGGCTGGACGCCGACGTCTTGATCATTGGGTCTGGCTTTGCGGGTGTCTACCTGCTTCACCGTCTCCGTGACGAGCTCGGATTCGACGTCAAGATCTACGAAGCTGGAAAAGACTTGGGAGGCATCTGGTAATTGAAACCCTTCCACACCATCAATTCAATGCTTGACTAACGCGTTACAAGGCATTGGAACTGTTACCCCGGCGCCCGTAAGTTGTGGTGCGCAAGCTGCCCACTACACTCGCTGACTTTCACAAAGGCGTCGATACTCCGGTCCCGATTTATGAGCTATCCTTCCCAACCCTTTGGAAGGTACGATTCTGAGACGTCGAAAAAGAAGTCAGCTGCTAAAACAAACCTCAGGATTGGAATTGGTCCGAAAAGTACCCGGGTTGGAAAGAACTTCGGGAATACTTCGACTACATCGACAAGAAGCTCGACATTCGCAAAGACGTTGCTTTCGAGAGCAGAGTGGTCGATGCGCAGTACAGTAATGAGACGCAGAAATGGACCGTCAAGACTCAAGATGGTCGCACCGCTACTTGCCGCTACTTGATCGCCGCACTTGGCTTCGCGGCGAAGAGACATTTCCCCGACTGGCCGGGCCTTGAGAAGTTCAAGGGAAAGCTTGCACATTCATCTTTTTGGCCTGAGGATGGGTTCGTTTCCTCGTTGTTGAAGCAAGAGAAGCAGTGCTGATCAATTTTCAGTATCGACGTCAAGGGGAAGCGTGTTGCTGTGATTGGCACCGGTGCAACCGGCATCCAGCTTTCTCAGGAAGTCGGACAAGAAGCGGCTCATATGACTCTCTTCCAGAGAACGCCGAACATGTGCCTGCCTATGCGTCAACGCAAGCTGACCAAGGAAGAGCAAGCCAAAAGTAAAGAGGAATACCCTCAAATCTTCAAGGACCGTATGCAGACCTTTGCTGGCTTTGCGTTCGACTTCGTAGACAAGGAGACCTTCGATGATAGTCCCGAGGAGCGGAGGAGGTTCTACGAAGACCTCTGGGACAAGGGTACGTGCTGTGATGATCCCTTCAATCTTCCATTCCACTAACCATTAGCAGGTGGCTTCCATTTTTGGCTAGCAACGTACGTGGCATGCTTGAAACGTCCCTCATGCTCTGAAAACGCTGGTAACGCTACTCTGGGACATTGAATGCCTATTGGGGGTCCACTGGAGTGGCCCTTGGCAGACAAAGTTGCCGATACGCTAAAACATAGTACTGTCTTTCGATGTATCCATGCTAACTCCACGATTAAGGTACAAGGACATGCTCTTTCAGAAAGACGCTAATCGCGAGGCGTTCAACTTCTGGCTGGAAAAGACACGGGAAAGAATCAAAGATCCAAGAAAAGCGGACATCTTGGCACCAAAAGTACCTCCTCATTGTAAGTCACGTCAGACGCCATCCCGTCATCCATTTCCCCCGAGACTGTCGCCTCCCTGCCTCGGAACAGGGCAGCAGAGCCGAGTTGTGTTTGTCCATATCAGTTGGAAATCGGGTCAGCAAAATTGCTAGCGTCACGTGATCCCCCTGCTCCAGAAGGCTTTGCGGATTCTTTTGCCACAGACCGGCACTTACAAGTACTGATTGCGCCATACAGATTGGGGAACCAAGCGCCCAAGTCTTGAACAATGTTTCTACGAAGTTTTGGACCGCCCCGAGCACGATGTGATAGACATCAACGAGAACCCGGTCAAGGAGGTTACGGAAAAGGGAATTATCACCGAGGACGGCAAGCTCCACGAGTTCGATGTCATTGCCCTTGCGACCGGATACGACTCAGTGACAGGCGGCATGATGAACATGGGCCTGAAGGACGCCAACGGCCGCGAACTCCGCGACAAGTGGAAGGAAGGGACTTACACCTATCTCGGCATGACCTGTGCTGGGTATCCCAACTTCTTCTTCTTGTATGGTGCCCAAGGGCCTACCGCCTTTTCCAACGGGCCTTCATGCGTGGAGCTGCAAGGAGAGTGGATTGTTGATGCTCTCGTCAAAGCGAGGAACGAGGGCATCACTTACCTCAATCCCAAGCCAGAGGGCGAAGAATATTGGCGAGAAAAGATCAGGACGATCAACGAAAAATCCCTCTTCGTGCATACTAAGTCGTGGTACATGGGTGAGTGCTTCTGCAGACGTATAGAGCTCTAGACCAGTGTTGACTGTCGAGACAGGAGCGAATATTCCCGGTAAGCCCATTGAGCAGCTGAACTGGCCCGGAGGATTTCCACTGTATCATGAAGAGACGTACAAGGTTCTCGATGGCTGGCAAGGGTTCGAGACACAGGCCCCTGCGTAGATTAATTTGAAGGAGGGGAGCATATGTACACAAGGTAGGCAATAGTGAATGTATATCACGTGACCATGCCGAACTTGGCACCCAAGACTTGCGTCACCGTGACAAAAGTCGAAGTCATCACGATGTGCTTCTTCATCGAGGAATCGAGATCACTCTGCCATCAAACGTGTGTAGATACACCTTCCTACTAACCTGCAACCGTTCGGAGACATCTCCGGTCTATCCTACAATGCGACGGGGGCCTGCTCCGACCGAAAACCAAGTCTTTTCAGGCGTTCTGGGCGGGATTGAACGCCTCGCCCCGCTAAACATAGAATCTCCGATCGCGACGCCATCTAGTGCGTAATCCGAATCGCCGCCGGCATCTTTGGAACCCGCGCGGATCTACAGAACAGATTACCAGCATCTACCGATTGCCTGGCCTTTGTGCACGCTGCGGCATGTGAGTGTCCAAAACGCTCGTCACTGTAAAGGATAACGCCCCGCGTTCATATGATCCCCGCTTGGATGAGTGCATGATGCCTGCACCACCGTTCTACCTTACTTTGTTTCAGTTCCTTTTGCCACCTTCATACCAACATCCCCTTGCAGTCATCTAATCAGATTTCTTGAACCTTCTCCTCATTCACTCTACCTCCCACCCAACACAACACTTTGCGCCGCACACGACCATCGCACAACCATATCTCCATTGCCTCCTCACCACTCCATCCCCTCTTCCGCTTCGTTCACGCGACTTTGGCTTCCACGTCATCCGACCCGAGCAACCTAGTGTATCCGTTCGACACTCCACGCCCCACCACTCCCAACACCCTGGGTACACGCCCATCCATCAATTGCTAGTCGACTGTTCGGAACCACTGGCTGGTATCGATGGAGGAGCGGCGAAGACAATTTGAGACTCGTACGTGAAACGTTCGCAGGCTGTCGATCATCCCTCTGCGTTGCAAAGGGCTCTGTTCTTCACTCTGGCGTCTGTTCCAGAGGTCTTGATGAGTCGAGATGAGACCCTCTCCGAGAAGAGCACGGCGGTTGGATTGGCACCATATGAAGACGCGCGAGCGCTGGTGCGTTTAATACAATGCACGCAGTGCTCGCGCCCCCTTCGCCAACCCGTCACGCTGCCGTGCGGGAATGCGGTATGTCGTGCCTGCCTCCCAGATTTCCATGAGAGGGCCAACATCTCCTACCCCGATGTCCCGGCCAGACGGCGTGGTGTCATGTGTCCCTTCCCGGACTGTGGGCGAGAACACCCGGCATCGGACTGCGGTGTGGATGTGATATTATCCAAGGCGTTGGACTCGATTGCCGGAATAATGGCCGAGCACACCATGAGCGCCAGCATGATCACTACAATCATGGAAGAGATCAGGCTGGACGACACCGAAGCACTAGATGCGGACTCGGAGAAGCCAAAAATCAACAAAAGACCTTGGAGCCGACTGGTGGCGACATATGATATCGCCGCGAAAGGACAATTGCCCTACGAATGCGACATAAATTACATCCACAGCACCAGCACCAGCGATACCGGGCGGGCCATGGACGCTGCAGTGCTACAAGAAATCCTCGACTCGATGCACCGAGAAGTGGATTGCCAAATCTGCTACAATGTCCTACTCGATCCCGTCACTACCTTCTGCGGCCACACTCTGTGTCGGAAGTGCATGGCACGTGCTGTCGACCATTCCCTGCATTGTCCCATGTGTCGCAGATCGCTGGCCATTCCGCCTGTGCTATCCCGCCACCCAAGCAACTGTACCCTGATCAATCTGCTCAACGCAATGTATCCGGAAACGATGACCTCTCGAGCGGAAGCAGTCGCTACTGAAGAAACAGGAGGCGAAGGCGAGCTAAATACCCCACTGTTTGTGTGCACACTCGGATTCCCACATCAACCCACGCTTTTGCGGGTATTCGAGCCGCGATATCGTCTCATGATTCGACGGTGTCTGGAGTCAAACAGAGAATTCGGCATGCTCATGTACAACCGATACGGCGAGCCCCAAGGCGATCTGGGGCCAGTGCATTTCTACCACTACGGAACGATGCTGTATGTTACAAACGCGCAGCCGTTCCCAGACGGAACAAGCTTGGTTGAGACCCAGGGCGCATATCGCTTCCGCGTCAAGGCACACGACGTGCTCGATGGATACTCGATTGGATCCGTGGAGCGTGTGGAGGATGTGTCGTTGGCCGAGGAAGAGCGGTTAGAAGCCGAAGAGACTGCTCTACCACCGGCGGAAGAAGGCGACGTTGCAGGCCACATCGATCGAATGTCAACGCAGGAATTGCTCGAACTGGGTCAAGATTTTGTGCGAAGGATGCAGGGCCGAAGTGCGATCTGGCTTCGACAACGGGTCCTCGATATTTATGGTCAGCCGCCGGACGATGCTGCCCTCTTTCCCTACTGGTTCGCAAGTGTGCTTCCCATCAGCGACGAAGAAAAGTACAAATTGCTCCCCACGCGGACAGTGCGAGAGCGATTGAAGATTACGGCGAGCTGGATTCGCCGGATTGAGTCACAACGATGGTAAGACCTTCCCCCCTTCCATGTTCATACTGCCCCGCTCTGCAAAGACCGGAACACTGCAGGCCTTGCGAGTGACGCAAGAGTCGAGTTCAAAGCTTGTACCCTTGCTGACCGCTCGCGTTTTCCTTCAAGGGTCGAGGTGTCGGTGTCTGCTGATGAAGACGCGAGTGGGGCGGATGAAGAAGAAGAAGAAGAAAGCGTGCAGCAGAGTGACAACAATGAAACGAGAAGTGAAGACTGACAAATTTTGTGTGTCGATTGCAGGTATCAGAGCAACTCGTGTCGCGTCTTATGACTTGTGCTACACTACCTCGGACCGATGGCTCTCATGCTACTTGCTGTTGTCTATCACCGGTGGCAAGAGAGGGGCTAGTGTTTTGCGCGGTGAGAGACAGCGCGGCGACGATTGATGCCGACGAAGCGACGACCACTACTTGACGACAAGGATCCAATCTTGACTTGGAAGATGGGTGTCTACGGTGTATTATGGAGGGGGACAACTTGCATCTTACTGGCGTTTGCATCTCACAGGAAGAAGGTCATTTTTCGGACATCTTCTTACATACCAGAAGCTAGATTGTTAGGGCGCATGACTCGGCCGGGGCCATCTGTATGATTGAATGCATCGTCTTCTACAGTCCTATGTGTTCGAACCCCAAGTGACGGCAACGACCAGACTGGGACATCTCCCGTTCGAATGCAAGGTGATGAGCGACTGGGCACACATGCACAAGGCGCATGAGACGAGCACGGCCATCGGCCAATGTCGATTTCGGTGGCGTTCACCAATGCGGCCGAGACGCTGTTCACGAATGTGACGGGAAAGCGGTTCCGTCCCATAGCCATGGATCTTGGAGGAATGCGACCAGGCTCCTTGTCGAGCTAGAGACACGTGGGGTGTACTCCACCCTGGTCTGCTCATTCACCACTGTACTGTTGTGCCACGTTTCCAGCTATACAGCGAACGTGCAAGGCTTAGCGCCGGTGCCTGAGACCACAAATTCGGCCCATGCATGAACAACGGCCGAGACACAGGCACAGACGCCGACACAACCCGAATTCAATGCAACAAGCCACTCGGACAGCAACGTAGCAACGCTGGCGCGTGATTGAGCGCGCTATGGGCAGGCCTGGTCTGAAGCAATACCTTGCAAGGGTGATGAAAAGGGAAGGAAGTGGCGGCAGCTTGGCGCACGCGCCCGCCCACCCAATCGACCTCTCCTCCATCCATCTCTCGTCATTACGCGCCGGGCTGCAACCTCCGCCGTTCCGACGTGCTGCAGTCGACTCGACCTCATTCACCTGGTTCCTGCGCCCTCGGGCTCCACACGGTAATATAACGTCTGCATTTCATACGCTTTCGTAAGAACTTACACTTTCATCTTCATGCTACACCGCCGCTATCCTTTCTTTACCGCGTTTCTGTATCACTCGAGCATACCTCCACTATCCCTGCACAGGTACGACAGCGCCCGACGCGGCTCTTCTCCGCGCCCAAAAAGCGCCCAACCAACTCGACTTTCGTCCGAGATGCGCCTTCATTAAACCCACCCTGCGCATCGCTGCTGTCTTTGCGACCCCAGCGACAAGATGATGTCCCTCAAGCAGAGCATCGAGACCTGGTGCGCGGCGCTGGCAGCATACGACAACCACGAGTTCGATGCCTCGCTCAAATGCTTCGGGCAGATTGCCGACACCTCCAAGATCTTTTTCAACCTCGGCGTCATTAACGCAACGCTGGGCGAGCACGCCAAAGCCGTCGACTACTACCAGCAGGCGGTGCATCTCGACCAATACCTAGCCGTGGCGTATTTCCAGCAGGGCGTCAGCAACTTCCTCATGGGCGACTTTGAGGAGGCACTGGCGAATTTCAACGACACGTTATTGTATCTGCGCGGCAACTACCACATCGACTACGAGCAGCTGGGGCTGAAGTTCAAGCTGTACTCTTGCGAGGTGCTTTTCAACCGTGGATTATGTTACATCTACCTCCAGCAAAAGGATGCCGGCATGCAGGATCTGGTCTTTGCAGCCCGGGAGAAGCGCGTTCCCGATCACGACGTGATTGATGAGGCCATTCGAGAGCAGGCGGAGGGCTACACCGTGTTCTCCATCCCGGTTGGCGTTGTCTACCGCCCGAACGAGGCCAAGGTGCGGAACCTGAAGACCAAGGACTATCTGGGGAAAGCGAGATTGGTTGCGGCGCAGGAGCGGACGAGTCATAGCGATCCGCGGCGACTGGCTGCGATGGCAAGACTGGCAATTGACGACAGGCCGGAGGAGAAGCTGTCATATGCCGCGCTGAACTTGGTGAAGCCGGATCTCAGAAGTCGGTCACGACAGCAATCCGAGCCGCCATTGCAGCGCAACATCTTCCCGCCTACACCGCCTCCCGAGCTGGAGCACCCCGATCTCCTCCAAAGTCGAGCGAGACGGAAATCGAATGAGAGCACGAGCTCGCTTACCATCGGCCTGCAACAATCTCGCCCGGCTGCTGCAACACCAAGCCGACTTGACCTGGGCGTTGCGGCATTCCATCAACAAGTGCAAACAGAGAAGGCGCGTGCTGCGCCAAAACGATCCGAGTCCGAACGCCCGGCACCTCGCCGTCAATTCTCCGACAGTTCAGCAAGACTAGAAAGCAGTCGACAGCACGAGCAAGTGCGGAGGCAGCTTGACTTGCCCGAAGTCCGCATCCACGAAGATCCTGTGACGCCCTCTGACAACGATGGTGCGAATGAAGGACTGCTGCCCATCGGCCTCGGCCATCAACGCAACAAATCAAATGTCACCACCGGCACACGCAGCCAACCGACCATCTCCGAAGAAGACGAAGACGACGTGGACGACTACGACGACATCTCCGACCCATCTGCCGCACCACCTCCGCTCGCCTTCGAAATCATCCCACCGCGACCACCCCACCGCCGCCAGCCCTCCAAACGCGTGCCAGACTTCCGCAAAGTGCGCATCAAAGTCCACGCCGAGGACACGCGGTACATCATGACCGTGCCGAGCGTCACCTTTGCGCAGCTGGCGGAGCAAATCCGGGTGAAGTTTGGGCTGCGCGGGGGGTTCAAGTTGAAGGTCAAGGATGAGGATGGGGATTCGATTACGATGGGCGACGACGATGATTTGGAGATGGCGATGGGGTTTTGTCGGGCCGGGGCGGCGAGGGAGCGCTCGGAGATGGGCAAGATGGAGATTTGGGTGGTGGAGGTTTGAGGGAGCGTGATGGGTTCGACGATGGAGTCCTGTCGCTCGCAATGATGGATTCAGAGTTTACCGGAAGCTACTGCATGTACTTACGATGAGAAGCTCATGACTACCAGAAGTAGTAGTTGTCGCGCGCCGTGATATATGCTAATGCCCCATCGGCGATGCCATACTTCTTCTGACCAGGCTCCCAGGCACACACCAAAGTCAGGCAGCTCGTCTAAAAATGCCAACGTTACGAGAAGTTCACATTCCGTCGTGCCGTCCGCTGCGCATGCACGAATCGAATCGTCAGTACCTACATGCACGCTGCGAGCCAGCAATAATATTGTTAGCAAGGCTGCTCGATAGACAACTCCATAACCCTTTACTGCCCCCGCCTTAGGCCTTCTAATCCGTTGCCCGCCGAGGCAGCGCAGTGACCGGTGAAGCACGGCATCGCGATGGAATGCATCACGGAATCGGGCGGATACGGGTGGTGGTCGCTCTCGAAGCCAAGCAAGCATCGAGACAATTCTGCCTGCACCTCGTGGTCGCTGGACGCGGGGTCCGGAATGTACATGTGATGAAAAAGCAAGTGAGAGTGAGGGGATAGAGCAGGTCACGGGCGACAAGAGAGACAGTGAGACTCGGATCTCGGTTGGCCGGGCGTATTCGTATCAGAAATCACGACTCCCCGGCTCGCATGACTGCTAGATTGGGCTTTACAGATCAATCTCGACCTTCGCCTTAGTAATGCGTCATGGATCTTCCATCACACGTGCATCAGCCGGGCGCCGGATTAAAAATGCAATCCACGGCCGAAGCGGACAGCAACTTTTAGAGTTTGAAACTCTATGAGTCGATCTCGTGCCTGACCAATCACCGGCTTGGCGCAAATTGTGCAAACTCCGGAATGTCCGCGAGAAGTCTCCGGCGCCGACTGTGCAGGATGCATGTGCAAATGGGTTGTAGAGATGAAGGAAATCGAGATGGAACGATGGGAGTGATGATATGCTTCTCAAACACATTCGATTTGATGTAGCTATGTAGTACAATTGTATCCTTCTCCACCTCAAGCGCAATCGCGAGGGAGATTGTATTCCAAGTCATTGAGATGAGTTCCGTCCAGTCGTAAAAGATTCCAAAACGCTCGCTCTGCTGTGCAATTTCGCTACAACGCTGGGACAACGGCAGTAAATCGATGAAGAAACTTCCCTGCGTCTAGCAGGCCGCGATGAGCGGTTGCTGGGACGGTGAGTCGAGGAGGTAGTCTTCAAGCGATTGCTGTGCCTCCGACTTGAGGTCGAAGTATGCCGTTGTCGTGATGGCTTGTCGTTGTTTGTCGCTGAGCTGGAGCGGGGTGTCTTTGGGCGAGACGGGAGCCTCGTCGTCTTCTGACTCGTACTCGCTGTCCGAGTCGTCGAGAGTGAGCTCGGGCGGGGAGTATTGGGAGTCGGGGCTGCGGGTGAGGACTAGGTCCTCGTCCTCGGAGTCGATGTCGAACACGGCATCGTCGTCGGAAGTGCTGACGAAGACGGGAGCTTGCTTGATCTTGGGCGTGACGGTGAAGAGGTCGGTGTGCTCGAATTCTTCCTCCTCATCCTCCTCCTCCTCGTCGTCGTTGTCGTACTCCTCGGCGATGCTGTCCAACCATTGCACTCGTCGCGGCTCGGCGGGTTTGGCGGCCTCGCGGATGGATTGGTTGAGCCAGTTCTCGGACTCGCGCTCGGCGTCGGCAAGCTCGACCATGAGCTGGTCGAGGAGGTTGGCGTGGCCGACAAGGTATCGCAGACGGTGGTCGGCGTAGCCGGCCTCACGCGAGAGCTTGGTCCTCGCGGAGGAGGCGATGGCGTAGGTCTGGGTGAGGCTCATTCTCGCCTTCTTCGCGGGTCGCGGTTGGGTGGTGTGGTGGTGGAATGTGGTTTGGGCGACAATGGGTTCTTCGAAAGAAGACTGGTATCGAAGGTGGGAAGTCATGGTGGTGGGTATGAGTAATGGCGGTGATTGAGTCACAATGGTGCCGATGGCGCAAGTGGGTTTGATCGTGTCGATGCTTGATGGAGTGTTATTGTAGATGTAGTAGTGTGTTGAGATGCTGATGGTATGAAGAGAAAGAGTCGTTCCCATCTGGAGGGAGATGGAGGGCCTATTTGTGCTCGTCAGCCTTCCACGCTCTTTACGTGCTTACCACGCCCAAACTCCGTCTCCGGGTCGCTCACGTCGAGTTGGTCCGCTCCCGTTTGACGCACGCCTGAAGTGGATCCCTGCTAGCGCCTCCTTCGGGTCGGGGGTTGCACGGCGGAAGGGCTGTAAACTCCAGCCGCACCCGACGATGCGATTGGCCACTTGCTCGGACCCGGACAGGGCTTGCTTGCAAAGCAGCCCAGCAGCACCGATTACTACACTGGGCGTGCGGCCGAGAAGAAAGAGAGCCGGTTGTAAATCAGCCTTTTGACTCACTGCCCGACGGAGTAATGGTGTCTCCATTCTAGGTTGGCGGTCGTCTGTTTATCGCCGCTTTGCAATCCACACACACACACACGCACATTACCCGCATTCCTTTCCATCCGATTCCACGCTGACATTTTGCCCTCTGCATTCATTCCATCTACACTAATGCCTGTCCAACTTCAAAAGTGCCTACATACCGCGTACGTGGCCGCATTGCGTACGGTGGATCTTGCTCAGGTACTTCAGGCAACGGGATTCACTCGCGCTGCTCCGCCCATCTTGGCCCTGCGCGGCCAAGCGAGTGCGAAGCCCAAGGTAGTCCGAATCCGCGTGCCTAAACATTGAATTAGACTCATCAATGCCCAGTGGCGGTGCGTGCACATCTGCGCTCGGTTTCGCATCGAGACAAGCACTGCGACTCGCTCGCTCGTTCGTCCGTTCATGCACCAGCCCTAAGGCAGCCGCATTTCGCGCCCACTCGGATGTCAACCAGCATTTGCTCCCGAGGACTCATCGCTGACTCCCTCGCCCTATCACAGCCCCGCAATCTCTCCCTAAACGCCCCGCCTAAAACCCTGCCGGCCCCGAGGGCTTTGCTGCACCGGCTTGCGGCCGAACACAACTCCGTCTGCTTTCACCCATTGGCTTTCCCGAATTCCGAGCACGCACTGCCTAACTCCGACCGCTCGACTCGCCTCGCGTCACCAGCAACTCTCGGCGACCGTATTCCTAATGCAGTAACCGCTTCGTTCGGGCTTCTCGCGCTCTTTTTCTACAGCAGCCTGGCAACCTGTATGACTGCTGCGCCCGACGAACAGATGTCCATTTCCGCAGCAACCCCAAAACACCGGCACGCTTAGCGGGGCACATCATCGCTGACTCCGCCATCCCAGCCAAACTTCTGTTTGCACGTTGGTCCGCGTGGAAATTTGGATCGATGCCTTTCAGCCCGGCAGCCCTGAAGCACCGCCGTAGACATGATCGACACTTGCCCTACTCGACCTTTACTCAGCTGATAGCAGCCCACGTGAAGTATCTATTTCTTCCAGCGTTGATGTTGCCGACAGACAGCATTACCGAGGGCTTTTGCATCTTCCATCCACCATCTGTTGCCAGCCTTTCCTGAAATATAGCCGCTACCATAGGAATTGGAAGAACGTGTGTCTGACAGATCTGCAACCTCTAGGGCACGCATGAACCCCGTCATGTTCTCGAGACATTCTAAACGACGTGGAACAGCAGAGCACCACCATCAATCGGAAGATGTATTCCAGTCACCGCCGAAGCACCCGCACCGTGAAGAAAAGCCACCCCGTCAGCTATTTCTGCCGGGTCGATCAGTCGATTCATCGGACATTGCGCTTCGCAAGCTTCGATGAACTCTTTGGAAAGCGGCGTGCCTCGCAACAAGGGTGTGTCGACCACCCCCGGACACACACAGTTGATCCGGATGCCCTGGCCTCCATACTCGCGAGCCTCGGTCCTGGTCATACTGACGACGGCATGTTTGGCGCTGTGATACGCCGAAAATCCACCCAGTGTGGCGACGCCGGATAACGATGCAGTATTCACGATTGATCCTCGCGCAGCTCGGGGGGCGTCTGGTAGAGGCGACTGCTTCAGCATCGCTGCAATCTCGTGCTTCTGACACAAGTAGACCTGAAGCAGGAGGGAATTGTCAGCGGCTCGGTCCACGTCAGAGCTGAGTTCGAGATGCTTACCCCTTTGAAGTTGACATTGTGTATTCTGTCAAAGGTCTTCAAGTCTATTTCCGTCGTAGGGATATTAGACATGGCGATACCCGCATTGTTGCAGACAAATTCCAAGCGGCCGTACACCTCGATGCACTTGCTGATCATGGCCTTGACGCTGGCCTCGTCGCTGACATCGGCCTTGTGGATTGTCGTGTTGACATGTGCTGAGATTTCCGAAACCATCTTCTCGGTTTGTTGCAAGCCAGCCTCGGCCAGGTCGACCATGAAGAGTCGCGTACAGCCTCGTCTGACCAGTGCAAGGCATATTTGCTGTCCAATACCTGCATCACATTAATGTTATCGAACATTCAGCAATGAACATCACGGCCGCGATCATAGCCTGCGAATCGCGAGAAACTCGTGCTCTACTCACCAGATCCGGCCCCGGTCACAAATCCAACGCCGGCAACTATCAACGGATCCGCCATGTCTTGTCCCAGTTCGATGGGCAAATGCTGCACAATTCAGTACTGATTATCGGAGGAGAGTCCCGCAACAGGAGTATTTGCTTTCGACAAACCAGACAATTGGTGTCTGCCATCCTCAAGGTTGCGATGTGCACACACAACCCCGCACAGGATACCCTCGCTCCTCCGGCACGTCCGAGGCTATGCGAGATGGGCGACTTCCTACCACTCGTACTCGACGCCACCTGAGTAGAAAGAGGTCGAGTCTCCGACACCGTACTCTCCCGCCTTCCCAAACCCTTGACGTGTCTCGAAAAAGGACTCATGGCCGATATCTTGAAGGGTGGAACCGCTGTAGTCATTGGAGCAGCTTCCGGTATACACGAACGTCGTCAAACTTAGAATCATCTACTGACACCATCTAGCACTGGGAGAGGCAACCTCGCTTCACTTTGTTCGAGATGGTTGTCGAAAAGTGGTGTTGGGAGACATTGCCGAGCAACGACTTGCGGAGCTCCGCACTCGCATCCTTACTCAATATCCCGATGCCGAAATCGTGATTGCGAGAGTCGACGTCGGAAACGAAGACGACGTGAGCGCCTTTTTCGAACTCTCAGTGCAGAAGTTTGGCCGTATTGATTTCGCCGTCAACATCTCCAATGCGGAGCATCGCGGTGCACTTTCCATCGATGCCCCGTCCGAGGATTTCCAGAGCGCGTACGAGAACATTCTACGGCCGGTATGTAACGTCGTCTCAACTGTTGCCATCGAAGACCTGACCACCGAGAAAGACCTTCCTTTGTGAGCGAGCCGAGCTCCTCCAGATGTCGAAACAGGAGCTTCTCAAAGGCTACCAATGTCGCGGCAGTATTGTCAACGTGACCAGCCTCTGTTCAACCATTGCATTCCCTGGTTTGACAGCATACTCCGGCACGCAGGGTGGCATTCTGGGGATGAGCAAGACCGACGCCTTCGACTTTGGCCCGCATGGAATCCGGGTGAATTGTGTGGCACATGGGAACCTGGTCACTTCCATGCTGGATTCGGCTATGGGGGAAGAAGAGCGGCAAACGTGGGCTACCAAAACGGCGCTCCGTCGGCTTGGGCGAGCGGAAGATGTTGCTAATGCTGTTGTGTGGCTTTCTTCTCCGCGAGCTGGTTACATTACTGGCATTTCATTGCCGGTCGATGGTGGATTCGCCATCGCAACGGGGCCGCCTTGAGTTCTGCCTCGGTCACGCAAGCTGACAGTTCTCGAATCGTTTGTAGCTATGGCAAGGGGTTACTTGCAAAATCGATGATATGCTCGAGAACATACTCCATCTACCCAAGCCCAGATTCTCCGGTGAACAACTTGAAGCCTTTCGACTAGATCTGCAGTATGATTGGTCGAGATGCTCGGGCGCTAACGGAAGTCGCCGAATTGTCAGCGAATTGTCAGATCGCTCAAGCATCCACGCATCTTCACCACGATTACCTGTAACGAGTCTGAGGACTTGTAGCAGGTGGCACGACTGCCGCTTTATTTTATATATATACGAAGCTTCAACACGCTCAAGTCTGCCCCCAGACAAAAGGCTTCTCCCCCTTCTGCTTCGCCTCTACCGCCCCGTCATACGCTCCCAAAAACAACCACTTCAACTTCTTCGCCGTCCCCTTCTGGTGCCAATCGTTCGCCGAGTCCGGGTAAAAGTCTAGCTGCGGCGGATCCACAGTATCATTGTCGTGCGCCATCAGCGCGAGGATGTTGTCGTGGCAGTCGAACTCCCCTAGCCCGTCGAGCGTCCAGTCGGCCAACTTCTTGTCGTACGCAAAGGACTTGGTCACGTAGTAAAAGGGCTTGTCCGCAACGCCGTGCGCGTGCACCTCTTCCAGCAGGTGGCCCGGACATACGCCGCCTCGTCGCTTCAAGGGCGACGGGTCGAGTTCTTTGGGAATGGGCAGGTACTCTGTGGGCCGGAACTCGCCGCCGTGATGAGCTGCATCGCCACCCATGAAGATGAAGGTGTCCGGGCCGGTGGAGGTGCGGGCGAGGCCGCAAATGTGCCCGATTGTGTGGCCTGGCGTATCTAAGAGGTAGAAACTGCCATCGCCGAAGTAATCAAAGGCATTGAAGCGGCCGATCTTGAGGCCGCCGCCTTCTTTCTGAAAGTCGATCTCCCGCGTGTTGCGGCCTTTGAAGTCCGTGTCCAAGAGAGGCGAGTCCTCGCGTGTGGGATAACCGGGCATATGGGCCTCCTTAAAACCCGGGCCGACGACCAATTCCGTCGAGCCAGGAAAGGTCGATGGATCTCCTACGTGATCCCAATGGTGATGGCTCCAGATGATGCTCTCAATGGCCCCGCCGTCGACATCAACTCCATTCTCCTTCAGGATAGTCGCCACGTTCTTCTCCACGTTGACCCACCATCCGAGCCTGGCAATCCGCTCGTACGATCGAAGCTGGTCCCAGTCCTTGCGAATGCCCAGATCAAACAGAATGGGTTTGCGGGCCGGGTGTTCGATCAAGAAGGCCAGGCAGGGCCCCTCGAGGTTCTCGTTCCCGGTGTATTCGGGTTGGAGAAGGGTCTTCATGGGAAGGCGGAGCCGACATGTTCTAAAAGCACATCAGGCTTTCGTGTGAGTGGTCGCCCGTGCATGACCTTGATGAGGTGAGGGGTCGGACACTTACGCATCGATAACCGACACCTTGACGGTGTGGTTGGATTGGGGAATATTCAGGTTGGGTGGCGGTTTCGCCTTCACCAATGTCTCTGCCATGGTATTTTTTGCCACACGTATTTTTAGTTACTGTGAATTGCTCAGCAAGATGGTGCCACTCGCTGTGTATTTCTCTGATGTAAGGGTTGCTTAGGCTAATGCGCTTTACCAATCTGTGGAAACATGGGGAAATGACGGCATGAGGTCCACCGCCTTATTAATCCTTTAATCAATTCAATGATGCGGCGTGAACGTGCAGTGGAATCACCACGGCCTGTCTCTACAATCATTCAAGTACGAATTCCTCGAAGATTTAAATCATGCTTGATAATTGATGCTTAACAACCTCACAGCGCCGGTCGTGGGTATATGCGATTGCTCGATCGAAATGCCTGACATGTCTCCTCAGTCCCGCCGTCCTTACACAAATACGATACACCCCTTCAGATTGATGGCGGCTCGCCCTCATACTGCTCCGCCCCTTCTGGAATCGGCATGACCGCATTCTCTGTGTGGATGTGTATGCCGCCCTCCCATTTCAGCCCCTCGACCAAGCCGCCCTTGATCATCACCACCCCTCCCCCATACCCATTCTCATTGCGCCGGCGATGCAGCACCCTCACCCCACATTCCTTGCAAAAGTAGCACTCCACCTGCGCGCCGTCCTCATTCCCCGTGCGAGTGTAGATCTTCAGCTTCTCTTCCAGCTCCCCGTCCATGGGGAAGAGGCCTTCTGACGTGAAGACGGCCGAAGTGCCAAACGCCGACGCGGATTGCTTGCGGCATTGCGTGCAGTGGCAATGGTAGAGCGCTTGGGGCTTCTCGGAAGGCGTTTTGAACTGCACCGCGCCGCATTGGCAGCGTACGTCCATGTCGGACGGTTTGAGGGATTAGAAGGTGGTGGAGGTTGTCGCGGACATCAAGGTCGAGCTGCTGGACGACTTTCTTCGCTTCTGCTGCAGTTTCGGGAAATGCTTGGACAATCGATTCACTTGCCTTTGTCGCGTCTGAAATCTCGACGGTGAAATGACTACCTTATGTACTAGTCTCTTCGTGCGACACCGATAAGGAAGGTAGCTTGTCGCGATGACCGCACGCGATGACCGCGATAGGCGGCATTAGGATGGATGACGTAGCGCGTGGCGGGTAAAGTCGTCGGAGAAATCCATCGTCACGTGCTGCGCACCATCTCTCACGCAAATACCTAGCTCGTGGAGCCGTCTGAGGCGTGCGGACTTTGCGTTCGTCGTCGTCACTACATACAGCACCTTCATTACACAAGCAACTCGACACACAGCAAACTCGGAAACGGCTTGGTGTGCCACGTCGACCGTAAGCCTGCTTGCTTTAACGCGCCCCTGATAGTTCGCAAGGGGAAGTTGAAGGGGCAGATATCATGGCGTCTGCTTCTTGACTTGGTACGGGCAAGATTCCGCTGGCAGACTCGATTTGCTATATGGCTTTGCGACTAATCTCCCACCGAGACATGCGAGTTCGATGCGTTCGTGGCTGCACCGGCAATAGCTCCGAGTGAACTATGCCTTGCCTGGGTTGAGGACGCCGGCTTTGTTAGCAGCAGGCCGGTGGACGCCTACGTCGGTGGCGAGGCTGCGCAATCGGTCCTGGCGATCCCGACGAGCGGCGTTGGTGCCCTCGAGCGTTTTCATCAACGCAGGGAACGTGCCGATGATCAAAAGCAGTCCGGCGACGATCACGAAGGTTAGCAAAGTCGCGAGACTCTGACCTTTGGTGATCGAATTGAGACCAGGTAGAGTGTAAAGCTGTCCAATATAGATCCCGTTTCCGACCAAGAGCGATCCAAGTGAGATGTTGAGCAGTAGGGCAGGCATGGTCAGCATCAGGGCGGAACCGAAGGATGGCATTCTGAGCTCGTCTGCTTTGCCGACTTCATGACCCCCGGAGACACAGCTTCTCCGCAGGATTTCGAGAGACCTCTCCGGCGTAGTGAGCCACTCCTTGACCTCGTCACCAACAGGGAGACCGCTCAGCATGGTCTGGACGATGCAAGCAAAGTACACCGACAAAATCCCCGCGAGCACGCCGAGTATGAAAGCTAGCTGAACTAAGAAGGTGACCTCGCTGATATCGTTCAAACTGATCAGCTCGCTGACAGCGATTTGGGCAATGATGGCTCCCTAAGACGCTGTCAATTCACTAGGACCACACAGCATGTCAACGTTCGTCTCTTACCGCGACGCCAACCGTAGTGAACACGCTAGTGTACGAGTCTCTTATCGCGCGCGCTGCCTTCGAAGCCTCGTCCGGCTCGTGCCCGTTCGGGTCCACGACATGTTTTTGAATTGTCGCGAGGATGGGACGAAGTTGCAAGAGGGCCGTGTGAAGAAAGAGTGCCCCGAGGCGACCGTAGCGCTCGGTGTCGCGTTTAAGGTCCTTGACACATTGGGCTGCGAGTTCGGATATCTGGGCGGAGATGGCCATGAAGGACAGGAGCTCCGCAAGTTATTGTGCGGTGTCTTCGACCGTCGAAATGTGAAGGTGAGGAGTCATGCCATCGGGCCAGGGGAAGGCAAACGGCGATGAACGTATGGTGCGTGGGGGCCACAAGGTGACAAGACGTTGATTGGAGGGTGTTCTCAGCGGTTATGCACCTAATCACCCACGGCATCACATCGAGATTGGGGCCGATACGTGGCTTGCAACTTCGACGGGACAAAGTCTGGGTTGGTTTTCCGATGGGTTTGCGTGCCTGTCCTTGTGTTCCCCGTGTGCCTCGTGCTGTGTGACCGTGGCGAGCCATTTGTGGGAGTACGGAGCGACCATCCTTCTCGCCGGGAACGAGGGCGGGTACCCGGACGAGGCATGACGGCCACGGTCCTCCGTATATGTATTATCAGATGAAATGGGCGCCCGAATCGTCCAAGAGCCCTCACGTCGACCGATTCTTAGCGCGATGTTGGCGGCGACGGGCGGGACCGGGGCGCCTTTAAAATCGCCGGGGAAATCCAGCATCACGTGCTGTTCGCCATCGCTTCATCCCCAACCCAGCACCGCGAAGAGATGCGCAAGCAGAAGCGAGACGATGATCCCGCCGTTTGAAACCACCTTTGCCGTCCCGCTTAGTTGCGAGGACTGCATCAAAGATGTCTCGACCTCGCTCTACAAACTAGACGGTAATCCCACACCTCCCAACTCCACCTCCTCTCTACCCCCCGCAAGCTCATCCACACCCACAGGAATCCAACACGTCTCCGCCTCGCTCAAGAACCAGCTCATCTCCATCACCGGCACCGCCGCCCCCTCCACCATCGTCGCCGCCATCCAAGACACCGGCCGCGATGCCATCCTCCGCGGCTCCGGCAAGGCCGAGAGCGCCGCCGTCTGCATTCTCGAAACCCACTCGAGCGCTGTCTCGGAGTACGTGCGCGGCCTGATCCGCATGGTGCAGGTCAGCCCGACGATGACACTGCTCGACGTCACTCTCAAAGGCGTGAGCCCAGGCTCTTACAACATCTCCATTCGCGAGCGCGGTGACATCAGTCTGGGGCCGGAATCGACGGGGAGTGTATGGGATTATCTAGACGCACAGAAGGCGAGTCCGCCGCGACTGGCGAAAGGTGTGCTCGGCACGGTCGAGGTGGGTCGGAGTGGCATAGGAGCAGTGTTTCTGGACAAGCCGATTCAGATCTGGGAGATGATTGGGAGGAGTGTGGTGGTGAGCAGGAGGGGGAATACGGAGAAACACGATCGTGAGGATCCGGATACCCTCGTTGGCGTCATTGCGAGGAGTGCGGGGGTGTGGGACAATGATAAGACGGTGTGCAGTTGTAGTGGGAAGACGGTGTGGGAGGAGCGCAAGGAGCAGCAGGGGAGAGGAATGCTGTGATCCATGCGCATCTTCTCAGGGATGTTTGTTGACGTATGGCGATATTCAATCCATGTTAGAGGAGATAGATGCCTCCAAGATAGAGTATTTCTGAAGCGAAGAGAGGGTTCGAAAAAGTGGTCTCCGTATTCCAAATTTTCCTGCTGCAGATGTACGTCTTTGGCACTTCTCTGCCTGGTCAGGAGAGATGAGAGTACGACGAATGTGTTCCACCGCGTCCATTCTGTTCACAGGGCCTGAGAAGCTCCCAAGATGTACCTTCCTATTTGGGCGCGGTGCAAACAGCCTGAAGATTGACGTCACTGATCGTCCCAAAAATCTACTCCACTTGCATGGCGGGAAGTGGACTGGGACTGGACATCATTGAATCCGCGTGGTGGATACTCGTGGCAAGTCCCCGTAGAAGTCCTTTCCTCTTCGATAGATTCTTCTCAATTGGCATCTAACCCATCTCTGCAATCTGCATCAATCTCTTCTATTTCAACCTCTTTTGCTCCATCACAATGTCTACGAAGAAATACCAACTTAAATGGGGAATCCTAGCGACGGGCGAAATCGCCAAAAGCTTCGCAAGAGATCTGACCGTCAACCCGGAGACTCGAGGCCGCAAAGACATCGAGCACGTCGTGGTGGCCGCAGCCTCGTCCTCCTCCGCGGACCGCGCAAAGGCATATCTCAAAGAAGTCAACGCGCCAGCTTCTGCGAAGCCCTACGGCTCCTACAAAGAGCTGGTCGCCGATTCGAACATCGACATCATCTACGTTGCCACGCCGCACAGCCATCACTTCCAGAATGCCATGCTCGCGCTGGAAGCCGGGAAGAACGTGCTGTGTGAGAAGGCGTTTACGGCGAATGCCGCGCAGGCGGAACTCTTGATCAAGAAGGCCAAGGAGAAGAATGTTTTCTTGATGGAGGCTGTGAGTCTGCCGTACTTTCTTCCTCATAGGCCATGTCGCTGATTTCGTTCCGTAGGTGTGGACTCGTTACATGCCTATTTCAATCTATGCCCGCGACCTCATCAAGTCCGGCAAGATTGGCACCGTCGAGCGCGTTTCTTCTGATCTCTCCTTTGCCAGCGCGCCAGAGGATAACTTTGATGACAAGCATCGGCTCGTGAACCCCGACCTTGCCGGAGGCGCGCTGCTGGATCTCGGCATCTACTCCCTGACCTGGGTCTTCCAGACCTTGTACACCGTCCAAGACAAACCTCAACCACCCACGGTCCTCAGCTCCATAAGGAAGTACAAGCTCGGCTGTGACCAGCAGACATCAATGCTGCTCACTTTCCCGCGTAAGGAGGGCGACGCACACGGCATCGCCACCACTTCCCTCCGCGTCGGCATGGACCCCGCCAAGAACGGCGAGGCGGGACCTTGCATACGGATTCAGGGCACCAAAGGCGAGATCCAAGTCTTCCCGCCCACCTTCAACCCGCGGAAAAGCAAGCTCATCCTCGACGACGGCACGGTGGAGGAGAAGGACTGGACGCATCCCGGTCCCGGACCCGGGTCGGGCTTCTACAATGGCTTTGCGGGAGACTTTGGTCCCGAGGGTCAAGGCATGGGCATGTTCTGGGAGGCCGACGAATGTGCTGATGCGTTGCGAGAGGGGCGCAAAGAGGGGCAGTATGAGAGTTTGCATGAGTCGTTGGTGATTATGCAGACTATGGATGAGGTACGGAAGCAGGGGAACTTCCGATTGCCGGAGAAGGTGGAGTCGACCGAATATCCTTTGGACTTGTAGTTTTCATGTTTAGTGGATTGTTGTTCGTAGACTGGACGGCGATGCTGGAGTTTGTCAACTTGAAAATCAAAGGCTTATGTAAGCGATAGACCAGGCAGCAGCATCGCAACGAAAACAAGTCTAGCCCCTGAACAAACAACTCCAGGCCGAAGGGTAGCTCTGGAAATTGTTTTGTTGTGTCCAGGCATACACACGTGCTGACGTGGACTTTGACGGAGATTTTTCAGACTTTCCAGCCTTGCGACAATGTTGCTCCTCCTCCTCTTGGCGGCGCTGTCCCCCATGTTCATTGCCTCCGCTTTGGCCTTGTCGACCATTACGGCCACGGGGACCGACCCCGTTGTCACGTCCACCGCCGTTGTCACGCAGACCGGGTCCACGATCACCACCACCGTCACCTCCACCCCCCTCTCCGCCAGCGCCTCACCCCTCCGCTCCATTTCCGCCATCAGCACCTTTACCGCCCACAGCTCCGATTTTCCCCCCAGCATCACGTTCGCCGCCGCCGCCACGACTGTGACGCTGTTTTTCCCGCACGAAACCGGTATCGGATATGGCTATCTAGCCAGCGTCGTCGCTGCCGATGCCTGCGCAACCACGTACGGCTTAGTCTGTACATCGGGGTCTCATCTCGGTGGCGCCGACTGCCCAGCCCGCCTGACCGTACGTCTTTGCTCAGCTGAACGCAAGATCATCCGTGCTAATCCCGTCACCAGGACTACTTCACGTATGTGGGAACATCTATATTTTCCATCTCGACTCGCTACACCGGAGCGATAACGGTGGGCAGCTCCACGACCGCCGTATCAAACGAATACATCCAGGCCTGCAGCATCTACGGCACGACTCGCGCCGTTTGCGCTCTGACCCTGACCGAGGCGTACGGCGGCAATCTGCCATCTTCCTTTTCTTCATCTACAACCTCTACTTTCACTGGCGACCAGGTGCGCTTCGCAACGGTGCCCGTCACCGCTGGCGCCAGTAAATTGGCCAGCGCACGCTCCTCATCCTGTCTCGCCCCGAGTACGTCGACTTCAATGGATGCTGCTGCCACCACGGGTACATCGACATCGACATCGACATCTAAGGCGGCTGCTGCTCCGACAGGCGGTCTCTACAGGGCCCAGCTCTTGGCAGGAGCTGCTGGTCTATTGGTTGGCGCGTTAGCATAGCTTCACATTTCATGCATCTTTCCAACCACCATAGATGAGGCGAGGAAGTAGATGGACTTCCATTGCCGGACTGGGTAGAGCCGACCGAGCATCCATTAGACTTCTAGAAGTAGAGACAACAATCGCAAGACAAGTGAGCTTCCGATAAGGCTCTTTCAATAGATTCTCAATAATAATAACTTTGCAGGTGCTCATTATGCGGAGTCCATAGCCTCGTACCCGATCCCGAACGCGAATGCGAATGCAACCAACCACTTTGACTCACCTCGCACTGTAAGTTATATTGATCCAGACAAACCAGTCGAGACACATTGAACAATCACGACAGGCAGGCCACATACCACCACGACAATGGCCCACCCATTCCAGTCCGAGCGCCTCATTTACCGCGCCATAGAGAGCCCCGAAGATGACGACTTTTTCGTCCAACTCAGCGGCGACGCAATGACAAACATGAACTCGTCCATCAACATGGTAACGCCGAGGACGAAGAAGGAATGCACCGACCACCAGACGTACATCAAAGAAAAGTGCATGCTCGGCGTCGTCATCTGCCTGCCCGCCAACACGGCCGCGGCCAACGCGAAACCCACGCCGATCGGCGAGTTGGACATGACGCGGCAGTTCGAGCGACATGCGCAACACCGCAGCGCGGAAATCGGGATTGAAATCCTGCCCGAGTACCAGGGGAAGGGGTATGGGACTGAGGCCATCCAGTGGGCGCTCGACTGGGCCTTCCGCCGCGCCGGCATGCACAAGGTGGACATTGGCGCGTTTGAGTGGAATTATGGGGCGCGGAAGCTGTATGAACGCATTGGGTTCAAGCCTGAGGGAGTGATCAGGGAACTATTCTGGCACGATGGGAGGTTCTGGGACGACCATAAGTTCGGGATGATTGACCGGGAGTGGGAGGAGATAAAGAAAGCGAGGGAAGCAGGGAAGCAATAGTTCTAGAACTAGAGAGCCCCGGCCCAGCCAGAAATAGAGGGTTTCATGATACGAGCAACGCTCGAGTTGGTATTCCTCTGTCGCTATTCCGTGTGGAGGGCCCGGTCTCCTTTCTCAATGTCGCCGCTGTGCTTCTCCTCTGCGCCCTCATCGATGCCTTTCCCCTCATGCCCACTCGCAGTAATCTGAAGAGGATTATCGAGATAGTAGATGTTGGTCTCGTGCTCGTCACCGAAGAGCTTGCCCATTTCCTCCAAAGGAATGCCCTTCGTCTCGGGGAGAATGAAGAAGAGGATCACGAATCCGACTGCGGAGATGCAGATGAAGACCTGGTGTTGTCAGCTTGGGCATTCGACACGACTCGACGCAAGAAGTCCTACGAGGAAGAATCTCCAGCCGATGTTGGCAAAGGCTGTCGGGGTCACTTCGAGGTAGACCAGGTCTGACAGGGCAAGCACTGCATTCGTGATGGCCACGCCCTTGTCCCGGATGTGGTTGGGGAAGACCTCGGCGTAGAAGACGTTTCCGCCTAATCAGCGAGTCAGCAACGACAAAATGGCGTGGAATATATGCGCGACACTTACCGACGTCAACGCCTAGGTTGTAGCACACATTGAACATGTACAGTGCAGCCACGCCGAACTTGCTAAAGCCAAGGTTGTGCGGGTGTGCCGTGAAACTCGCAGAAGCGGCTGCTTCCAAGGAGAGGCAGATGCAGCAACCGCCGATACCGATGAGGAGTAAGATGCGTCGTCCGACGCCTGGGTCAATTAGCCGGCGTTAGCGATAGATAGAGACAGAAGCGACGTACGGTCAAGAAGTATGGCCCCTAGGAGGCAGAAGGGTGCAGCGAGAGACACCCACCCGACTTGGAAGTCGATGGTCTCGAGCGTGCCGTAACCCAAAGACGAATAGAAGGTAGGGCCATAATTGTTGATCACCAGAACCGCAGTGGACTGTCCACAGAAACAGTAGAAGCCGCAGATCAAGGTGCGTTTACGATACGAAGGCTTTGTAAACATGGAGAGCTGGGAGCATTGTCAGCATTGGCTTTTGGACAGGAACAGGATCTAGCTCGCAGCCATTCTTCACATACCCAAGAGGTCTCCAGCGTGCGATCGATGGCAATCTGCTTTTCCATTTCGATAAACTCCGCTTGAGCAAACTCATCATTCCCTTTCACAGTGTGCATCTTGAAGACGATATTCCGAGCTTTTTCGGCCTTGCCGTTGATCAACAACCATCTTGGACTTTCCGGCGACAAGAGAGTGATCAGAATCATGATGCCTGGGAACACCAGGTACACTCCAAGAGGGCCTCGCCAGTTCAAGTTGCCCGCAGTCGTTGCAAACCCGCGGCCAGTGCAAGCAGCGAGGAGATACCCAAGGCCTGAGTGATGGTCAGCGAGTGTCCTGCATTCGGGCTACAAGCGTTTCTTACCAATATGAACGCCGACGAGGCCGGTGTAGAAGCCTCGAAGATCAGGAGGTGCGAGTTCGGCAAGAAACACGGGCGTCGCAATTAAGAACCCCCACGCGGACATGCCAGAGAAGAAGCGGCCGGCCAGAAACATGCCTGTCATCACCTGTGAGTTCGAGGGGTGCTACACAACGTCGAGACAGCACGTACCGATTGTTTTGGAGCCACACATCAGGCCACCACCAAGGATCCCGACTAAAGCGTTGTAGTAGAACGTATTCTTGCGGCCAAGCTTGGACAGACAGTAGCAGGTAATGAAGCAGTTGACGAATGCACCGGCCTGAAAAACGCCATTGGTGGCACCGATGAGGGTCTGGGTTGTGCGTCAATTCTCTCTGCGTAAATGGAAATCAATGCAGAAGACCTACATTCTCTCTGGCATTGGCAACACCTTGAGCGTTGGCAAGATGGAAGTATGCCTTGAACTCGGGACTTGCAAGGCTGTCAAGGGAAAAAGACATGTCAGCCAGTGGAATTGATGATTAGACTCGCGTGTATACGAACGTGGTTGATATAATCGATGCAGGAAAGCCAAAGGCCAGCACACCGTAGGAGATGAAGTAGGAAGTAACAAAGTTGCGCCAATTGAAATGGCGGCCGCTGGTGTTGAGGGGTGCCATGCTGGGCAGACAGTAGAGGCGGTCTGAGTGCGATATGGGAGCGAAGTCCAAGGTGTCAGCCGTGTTATATAGTCATGCGGTCCCAGCGTGGCGACGAGTAGGCATCCTCGGGCCTCCACTTTCACAACGAATTGCTTGGTGAGCACCACGCCGTTTCACCCGGCTGAGGATGCGCTTCTTTCCTGCTTGGGGTTAGATGTGGAGTGAATCCTCGCATGTCAAGGGGCACTCCCCACACGTGGAATAAGCAGTGTGGAGGCAGCATGGCGGGGGACCTCGTTCCTGGGGTGGCAAGTCGGCTGTGTGCTACAGATCCCTACTGGAAACGCGATGCTCACGAGTTGATGTTGGCGCCGGGGGCGGAAAAGGCAATGTTCCGCCGGTTAAACTTGCGCCATGACGCAAGGCTTGAGATGTCGACGTCGGGCTGTACTCCGAAAGTACAACTGACCGTATCTTCTTCGTTTCCTTGGCCAAGTCACTGTTAGACCGGAGGAGAGAGAGAGTCTAGTCACCCTCCCCAATGCATCGTACGGTGGGAGTCGGTTATCCATAAAGCATTAACGAAAGTCTGCAGGGCGTGTAGCCGTTTTCCCCAGGGGTGGGTGTCTTATTCCCGGAGGCTGCGGCATTGCGTCCGGATTAGGAAGTTATTCGGAAATAAGGTCTGATTGTTGGATGTTGAGGTCCGGCACTGTCGCAGAACGAAACGACATGCAGCCTCGCACTGCGAACACAACGGTAGCGACAGCTTCAATGTATTTCAGAACGCAAAGCCTGCAGATGGAATTACAAGGGCGAAGAAGGTTCGGACACAAAGAGAAGCGCTAGTCTGATCAACAAGCGATGATGAAGGAAACGAAGCTGGGACTCGCACGTGAAAGATCGTGTGTCATATGAAGACACCTTATACAACGGCTCCCACCAGCAAACCAGCAGCTCCCGCCAAGAGCTGGGCTCGGTAGAGACCCCCAGTTGAAGCGGCGGCGGCCCCCGCAGATGTCGACGTACTCGGGGCGGGACATGAAGACGTAGACTTGATGCCTACCAGCTTGTTGGCTCCAGCTGTAATGGGGACCGTGGCAAAGACCACCTCGTCGCCTGTCAGAGTGGTGGTGGAATAGTTGATCGTCGCCTTCTTGCTGCCACCATAGTGGTAAGTCCTTGCACAAACGGCCTCAGTCGAGCCATGGATACTGCAGCCTTCCATAAAGGTCCAGACGCCGCCCCCAACGGAGAAGGAATGAGACATTGAAAAGCTCTGGGTGCCGTAGTATGTCACTTGTGGCTATCGCCAGTATTAGTACAAGGGGCGATGACGATGAAAAGAAGCCATGTCAGATGCTCACTGTGTATGAAGGCTCACAGAAGGGCACGGTTCCACCAAAGCTCCCGGAAGTGCAGGCAAAGCCGTAGGTGGTTGCACAGGGATCTGCAGACACCACGGTGGCGACGAAGCCATCGGCCGTCGCTTCTGGGGGCAGAAAGACGGTCACGCTGGCGCGATCAGAGGTTGACGACGCGCCGGCAGTCCCCGAAGGAGTGGCAGTAGGCGTCGATGGTTGTGCGAGAGCGCAAACAACGAATGCAGAGGAAATGACTGCTTGCTTGCGCATGTTGAGATACTTGCAATTCCAACGTGAGGACAATAGAGACACTGGCCGCGGTCGTGGATATATCTATGTTTCGACCTGCGACTTACCTACTCGACTAGGCGCGTGATGAAACTCGGACGGCTATGTATAGGACAGCAAGGAGGCTGCTTGCTTTGGGTGGTGTAGCCGCCGAAGTCTTAACAATCTCCAGCGCTTCGGACGCGCGCTGTGGTTGGAAGAGGAGCACGCCAAGCCAACGCTCGGGCCTCCCGACTCTCCTACGCTCCGCGCTTCTCCAACCTCACGTTGACGAAGGCAGCACCTGTCTCGGCCTAAGGCATAATTACGCGCTCAAACCGGCAATGAACCGTTTCGCCCTGCTTTCATATGTCGCCAAACCCGCCGCAGTCTCGACGCTACTGCTGCCGTGCGGCGTTCGCGACACTCTGGTGTTTGGGCTGGCGCGGAGAGAAGCCGTGATGTGTGTATGCTACGCAACGCCGACAGAGTGAGGAGTACCTGCGAGAACAACGAGCCGGAATCTGAAGACTTCGCTGGGGATCTATCGTGGAATGGCCATCAAGTCTAGAGCGAGCATGGCTGGCTTACAACATCATCCATCCATATGCTCTTCGGATCCAGGTACCCTCCCGTGGTGATCCGATTGCCCACGCATCATAGCCTGCGACGCTTGCTGTGATATTGAGAGGGGAATGCTGTTGAGTCTAGGTCATCGGATTTCCTGCACGTCTACCACGCTAACGAACGTTCCACACCCAATCCGTAAGTGACCCCAACATTGTCGGGGCGGTGCGAGCCGGGTCCTTGATTTTATTTTGTACCAGACGGACTATTTCAGGGTGATGCAGCATTTCAAACAGCCCTTTTGGGCGCTTACTTTCCTTCGATGCCCTTCATTCGTCTCTTTTGAAACGAGAGCGGCACAGCTTGTGGGAAGGCAATGAGCGCCTTGTCCCCTGCGCCGATGTACTTTCCAATCTGGGCTCGTACGGAGCCTCGACCTGAACATATGAAAGGGCAGTGGTCCTGGAGGTGTCGTTACACGTTGCGAACGCACATCAGCTCCAGGCAGCTCGTACATTTAGCATTTTACTGTACTACGCGGACGCTCTTCTCCATGGCGAAGCTCATCCTTATCCTCCTCTCAATCATCAGCCTTGCGCTGTCGGCAAAGCTATCGGCTGTGACACCGTCGATCACTGCGCCAGCCTCGACGCCTCTTGTCACCATTGCTCCTGCGCTGTTGGCAAGAGAAATCACCAGCTGTGCTTTGGTGAAGGCTCCAGCATTCACGATCGATGGCCACGCATACCCAGCTTCGTCATCGTGTACCTGCAATGGCGGCGTAGAAGCCGGCGCCAGCCGCACAGTGGGCAAGGACGGTGCTACGACGTGGGAGTGTGCGGCGAACAGTACTCCGATGCCCATCAGCACCGAGGAACCCGCTCCCACCCCGACCTGGGTCATTCAACTCAATATTGGGACACAGAAGGTACGACATAAGCCGGGGCGGTAACACGAATGTTTGCTAACATACTGTAGTTCATGGTGGGCGACTGGCACCAAGACGAGCTGACGCCACTGATGGGCATTCCGTGCGGTGTCGAAGGCTGCGATCCGAAGTACGCGCAGGACTTCCACTTCAACTGGACTTCGTCTTCCGAGGCTCTTAGTGATGGTGCTCTCGGGGCTGTCGGTGTCGCGAACACCGCACTCGGAACGGTGACGATGAGCGGCAACGGCGATGGCATCCAAGCTAGGATGGAAGCCATGCTGAAGAGCATCAACACCGCTGTATTGAAATCGAGTCAATGCGAGCAAGTCACCAGTCTCGTGCCCAGTCCTCTTCGCAGACGCTTTTCTCCGGGTACCGAGGGATACATCACCCAGACTATGTAGGTCTGACAATCAAGACACCGCTAAAGAATGACGGCTGACCTCGAATAGACCCCAATGTCATCTTGTCAATTATGTCTCATCCACGATCTACAACGGTCCAGATGTGAGCGACAGCCTTCCAGTCTTTATTTTTGTTGCTGACTGTGCCAATAGCCTCAGAATGCTACGATGGTGGCTTCGATTATGTTTGAAGGAAGCTCCGAGCAGCCCGCTCAGAACTTCGCCTGTGACGATTTGTTGCCCGTTATCAACACGGCTTTGAACTTCCTACCCCTTCCTGCCCTCACTGGTGAGTCGACCGGCTCGAACCTTACACTAACCTACATACTGACAAGGCTGTACGATAGTCGGAGGACTCACTCTCGCACAAGCCGTTTGCGGGGCCACCCAGGGAGGGTCCTGATCACTCCTGCTCAGGACCATTCAGGACCACCATCTGATCGCTATGAGTGCCTTGCTTTGCAGCGAGAAGTGGAAAGATTTTCCCTTTGACGGAGTTGGATTTGGGGTGGTCGGTCAGTTCCTTGCTGTGTTGATAGGGTTTGTAGGGGTTGTACTGTATGTAAAGCTACGAGGCACAAAGGCGTTGCATGATATGCGTGGAAGCATGAGCCAAGCGCGCACGCTGTTGAACGGTGCGTCTCGATTCAAGGTGGTTCAGCACAACGGTTTGCCCCGAAACTGAAGCTGCTTGACTCGCCTCCAATCGAGTGTTGTTGGATGCGTCTAGTCATGTCCACCAAATAATTTCACTCACAAGAGTTGAGCGTCACGCTTTCAGCAACGCCATACAAATGCCCCGACAACCTGTCGCGTTAGGGCGCAGAGGCCATGTCCCAGAATCCAGTCTCCATCTGTGAGATCAGTCAGTATTGGACCTCGGGTCGCTCGAGCAGAGGCCTTACCCTAGTCGCCTGAATGAAAATCTTCACCAACTCATTAATCCTCCTCGGGGATTGGTGCACGATGTGCTTCTCGATCAAGGCTGTCAAAGCACCATCGTCAGCCGGTGAGCGATTGGGATTCTTTGGAACATGACATACCGCAGCCAGTAGTTACGGCAGAACTGTAGCCCTCGTTGACGTAATTGTCGATCCACGTCTTGTACCGGTTTGCCGTGGCAGGCGGATCCGTCCTCTGCAACTCGTCCAGTCGCTTCGCGATGACATGGTAGCCGAGTAGGCATGGGAGCAGCGAGATCTGAAGGGCGAGCCAGTCTTCCGATTGGCCTATGTCGAGTACGTACCGAGTATAGGCGGTGCAAGCTGGGGCGTGTCGTAATTAGCGGAGATATCTTTGTGGCGGGAGCGCTGCAAGCTACCTTGACTCTCTTCGGACTCTTCGATTTGCTGCATGGTCAGACCGAGTTCCGCGCACTCGCGAATGTGGAGAGCCGTCTCTTCTCGAATGTGGAGGACGATTTCGGCGGCCTACAGGCGTACATCAGCTGGCTGTGTTGAATGCATGGATGGAGACGAACTCTCGCAACTCCATCGAGTGACTTGGTCTTGTATCCAGCCAAAGCGTTTGCGCGAGCAAAGTGGATCTTTGCGCCGGTCAGTGAGAGAACTCATGAGGGCCACGATGCCAAGGCTTACTAGGTAGATGTAGTCTTGAATCATGTAGTATTTGAACCACTCCAGCGGTAACGTGCCGTCTCCCATCTGCCGGACGAACTCGTGGTGCGTAAAATCATGCCACGCCGGTTTGACGTCTGCTCGTGATAATAGGTATTCGGTAAAGTTGCCACTGACGAGTGGCATCAGCTGAGAATTCTTCTACGGGCACCTCGACAGAGGACTCACGGGGTGAATGGTAGAATCTGAAGCGAGTGGAAGTGATTGATCGGACCGGAGCCTTTGCCAAGATTGATACTCAGTCGAATGCCCGCATCCACGTATCGACAAGCCGAGAAGACTGCTGCTGGTACATCGCGGCTCTGCGCGAGGTTGCAGGCGATCGCGGCTGCTTTGTATCAGCTTTACTTCCTTTCATGCACACAGCGGTTTGACCCTACAAGCAAGCGAACAGCCAGTGCCATGAGTATTCTTCGACTTCCGGTAGGAAAGGTCAAACACCTCACACACATCCTCGCCCACGAGTACGTTCACGACGATCTCCTTCTGCTCATCCAGGGCGGCGATTTCGTATTTCGCCGTCAGTGGAATGTGCCCACCTTTGAGGAGCACATACTTCACCCCAAGCCGATGGATGGCGCGAGCAAGGTCAATGAGATCGTCGACGTTGCGAATCTCCGATTGTTCGCGTCCGGATTCTTGAAGGATCAACTTGGCCTCTGGGATGTTGGGAGTCAGGATATAAGTCTCCGGTAGCAGATCATTGCACAATGTTTTGACGGCAGCGTCGGGGAGAAGCTTGGCGCCGGTCGTTGCCACCATCACCTTGCAAAGGTCAGCTGGGGGGAAGTGGTAGCGGAGAACGATGGTATACAGGATCAATGACAGACACGGCGATTTTGTGCTCTCGCAGTGCTTTGGCGACCATCGATACTGTGTCCGCCGAAGCCAACATGCCTACAGCTGTGAGATTCTTCGACGAAGGACGGAACCGAAGCGATGTGTACCTGTCTTGACGACATCGACCCCAATGTCACTGACGCAAGCATCGATCTGCCGCCGCACGAAATCCGACGGAATCTCATGAATGGCGTCGACGCCGAGCGTGTTCTGCGCCGTCAAGGCTGTCGTGGCAGTCATGGCATAGCAGCCATGGGCCGCGATAACCTTTTGGTCGGCTTCGAGCCCTCTGGCAAAGCCGCGTTAGCCTCGACATTGACAGGCAATCTCTAGCGACGTACGCGCCCCCCGAGCTGTCCGAGCCCGCTATCACCAATATTCTCTTCATGTTTGGAATTGATACGGGTCGTGATTCGTCGAGCAAAGTTTGAGATGAAGGCAGCTGCTCTGCGCTAGATCTGACGTCATCCTGAATCTTGTGTTCGCGGAGTGTAACTATCGCGCGAGTACGACGACGAAGCAAAGTCTATGCGTGTTACAGCATCGGAGTCCAATTCATGCCTGTCTTCCACCGAGAAAAAGGGGCAGCTCGCCAGGCGTTTTCGTCCAGTTCGTCATCAATGCCAAGAGTCTGAACACCTCTGCCCTATCAATCAGAGTCGTCAGAGGCATCGAATTCGGGCACATTCGGATCTGTTCAACGTTAGCAAGCAAACATGTCGGTGGTACTGCGAACGCATACCTCTGAGTAACTGGTAATCAAAGCGGCCATCCACTTTCGCCGCAATCAGCTCTCGGAGCAGGTCTTGTTCGTCGGACGCAATTGCTGTATCCTGATCTGCCATATCCACCGACAACACGAGCCCGGTATTGCCGGGTCCGAGCTTGTCGATGTATTCCATGATCCCCTCGGTGGTGAAAGTGGTAACACCGGAGAATGTGACAGCCTTGAGGTTTGTCAATGTGGAAATCGCGGCAAAGACGGCGTCGGAAATGCCGTAACCGCCGATTGTGAGCTCTTCCAGGTCGGGCAAATGCTGAGCGAGAAGGCTGATGTGTTCGTCGGTGAAGTAGTCGGTAATACGGGTAAGCCTCAGCTCGCGGAGTCCTGCCAAAGAGCAGAGTGATGTCATCAGGACATCAATATCATCTCGAGCCATGGTGTCGGGGTCGGCGCGCAGGTGTAGACGTCGTAGTGTCGGCTGCTCACTCAATGCACGATGGAAGTCGTGGTGGTCTTTCACCACGTACATAGCATCCTCCTTGGTGGCATTGATGTCCAGTTCTTCCAGCGTGACCCCTTTGTTGAGAAGCACTGGCGTTACCAGATCGGGAGCGGAGATGATGTTGTGGAAGCTGACATCCTTGAGCGAGACGCAGTTCCGCAGCCACTCCACGATTTCGAGGTAGGTGTCGTTCTGGGTGGCTTTCAGATCGACTGAAACTCGGTCCGAGGAGACGGCCAACGTTCGCAAGGCAGTGCAGCCTTGTAACAGGCCCAGAGCCAACACTCCATCTTCCGACAGTCCCAGTTTCAGGTGTTTGAGACTCTTGCTATGACTGTTCATTGCCAGACACGTCTCAGCACCAATCCCACAGTCGCCGTGGTTTTCAAAATAGGTAAGCTTATTCTCCGGCATACCTCCGATGAATGTTGCCAGTGCATGGTCGGCTTCAGTGCTTGAAGATCGATAAATCTTCAACATCGCGAGATTGGGACAGTGAGCATGTAGCAAATTGCGCAATTGATCGTCAGCAAATGCTCTGCCATCGAACAAGTCCAGTCTTTGAAGATGTTCGAGCCGGGGCGCCCAAGTGAGTAGAGCTGTTGACAATACGTCCAGGCCAGTTGGTTCGGAAATTGCTTCCAGCATGGGAGCATGCTGTGTGATCTCGTCCGCGATAGCATGAATGATCTTTGGCCGATCCAGCCGAACGATACGGGCCTTACCGATACCGCGGATCGTAAAGTGGAATCGAGCGAGATCATCCTTGAAGAAGTGCGATGCAATCTGGCCACGAAACTTGTCGTCTTCCAGCAGATATCCAAGATCTCGCAGGTCGAGGAAGCGAAGGTAGCGGCAATAGGGGAAGGCGGTCTTTCCAAGAGCAGAGAGAATAATCGTCCGCCAAAGGATCGACCACTTCTGTACGTTCAGTTCCTGCACTGGTAGAGGGAGACCTTCATTGCCGCCGCCTTTGACAGGTGATTCGTGGCAAGCACTTTGGATGGTCGTCAGTAAGTGGTGGTAATGAGAAGAAAGCGATGCAACACTTACCGATAGAGCGCAGCGACCGCGCCAGCCTCCGCGAAATGCCGGCTACTTGCTACACAACTGTAGAGTGTGGCAAAGTCTTGTTCGTTTGCAATCTGATCCGAGAGAAGATGCAGAAGGTCGACAGGCAAGGCGGCCATGATCTGATGGCAGCAGGACGACGTCTCGATCGAACAGTGTCAGAGTATCGATGGAGTGCTACGCGTCTGACCCTCCAGCACGCGTTCGTAAGATGCAACTTATGAGAAATGTGATGAGTGAAGTCTGGATGTTGACTTTACGTCAAGGCGTCGAAGGCGTTCACCCAGAGCGGCGTTGCGTTCTCGTGACACGCTAGTCCTAATTTGGCTATAATGGAAACTCTATCCGTCGCCCAAAGTCAACCACGCGACTAGCCAACTCGATGGAAATCAATGAAACATCCTCAATCTCGGCGATCCTCGAATTCTACGAATCGGGTCTCCAAATCGATGGTCTCAAGTCATCTATGGCGTATTTCATCTCGCCGTGATGGAAACTGAATGTCTCGACGGATAGCGTATACCACACGCCGAACCCTCGACACAGACTCATTCAATGGCGATCTTGACGTTCTCACTCTCGCCCGAGGCAACTAGCAAGATATACGAGTCGCTGATCTGCCTGGCAAAGTTCGGTGAATCGGTGTCATTAGAAGCTCGGAGCGACAAGGTAATCCTGCCCACCAAAATGTCCTTCACCTCGCAGCAGCTGAATCATGCTCGTCTGTAGCTCACGATCGCCGCCCTCAACCTTTCGAGAACGGCATACGCTGCATTTGCGCTAGACAAGAAGACCTTCTTCCTTGATTACCGTTTTGTCGCGACCTCGGCGAAGGGAGGCGATAAGTTCACATGCCAGCTTTTGAACAAGGTATATCTGAGTGTGCTTCTGGATCGACTGCGAGGCTCACCAGGCGAGGTAGGCTCTACAGTCTGTGTTCAAAGGACGAGCAACCGATAGTCGAGGACGAGAGACTTCCGTTGAGCGCTGCGATGTGAGCATCCAGGACCAACCCGACAAGACAGAATGCCGTATCATCGTCAAGATGCTATGCAAGCAAGGTTGGTTTGGCCAGCCTTTCCCTATCTCGATGCGGCTAATTCGCACTTGCAGGCGTGACGAAAACATACAAACTCGCCTATGAATCGGTGGAGGTGATGCATGCACTGTTTGACCGAACAGCTGCTACACAGGGATGGAAAATATCGGCCAGAGTGCTGCGAGAGTATATCGAGTACTTTGGCCCAAAGACTGAACAGCTGGACCTCCTGGCGCAAGATGGCAAGGCAATCTTCACAAGCTTCACCGAGAAGATCCAGAACGGTAAAGGTACGGACAGGGAACAGCGCTACTAAGCAGTTCAGCCAGCTAACCTGAAAGTAGAGGTACTCAAACAACCCCTCGAGACAGCCATCGCTATCCACACCGAGGACTTCGAAGACTTCCATGTGCAAGAGAAAATGCACATCACCATCAGCGTGAAAGATTTCAAAGCAATCGTCACCCACGCCGAGACGATGCGAGGCTCGATCAGCGCTCGCTTCTCCTTCCCAACCCGGCCATTGCAATTTAGCTATCAGAATTCTGGGATGCACTGTGAGTTTACACTGGCTACGACTGGTGATTATCGCGCGTCATCCTCAGCTCCAAATGCGCAATTTGTTTCGAATCGAAGTCGCTCGCGGCAAGCGTCAGCAGCACCGACTCAGTCTCCCAGCCGATCGGCGTCCGAAATGCCACCGCCTGCGCGTCCGATCGCGGCCAAGACCTTCGGCAGCCAGAGCCAGCAGACTTCGATCAATGCTCGAAGTCGGCAGGAGCAGCCATCCGCCGATGACAGGGGCTCGAAGACACTCTTTGTCTCTCAGGATAACGAAGACACCACTTGGGATCCGCCAAACTTCGAGCAAGACGAAGATGAAGAGATGCTGGGATGGGATGCAAGCAACGAGCATCCAAGTGCCAGTTTTCATGCGACCATTCGTGACAGTGGGACCGCGGTTCCGTCGCAACGACAGCAGGCTTCGTACGCGGATTTCGACAGTCAGGGTCTGGAGCCGACTCAAAGACTGTCCCAGGTAAGCGTACTGCTCGTTATAGTGATATGCCCGCCGACTCTGACGATGACAGTTGCACGGCATGTTCGATTGAACCCTCGAAGGGGTCCTCATCACCTATCATCCGTTTGGATGAAGCTTGTGGAACAGCCAGCAAAGACGTGCGACACTCGGCCTACCACCTCGATCGTGTTGTACGCTGCCTTGACATCTCCACGAGCGTCCAGAGGCGTCCCGCAGTTTCCATGCTCGCCCCAACCCCAGGCAGCTACTTGGCCATTGTTCATTAGCGCAAGGCAATGCTCGCTGCCAGCGGCTAGCGCCTGCGTCTTTGGCAAGTCTTCCGCTGGCAGCTGGCCATGATCGTTCCGGCCCCATGCTGTGATGTCTCCAGTACTCTCGAGAATGTACCCACTTCCCCACGAAGCGGCAATGCTTCTCCAGCTGTGGACGGAAGTTGGAGCATCGGCAGCAACTCGAAATCGATCGTCCTTGTGTGCTCCGAGTACAATCAAATCTCCAGTGTCCGGCCGACCAGCCACGATCGTAAAGTCCTTTCCGCACACCACCTGAGATGCCTTGAATGCGATGCCGGGAATCACTTGTGGTTGCCAGACGGCATCAACTGAGTCGCCCAATTGACCTCTCCTACCCTTTCCCCAGCCGTGTAGTTCTCCATTGGAAAGCAGAGCTACGGTATGCGCCATTCCTGATGTAATGGCTACGACGTCTGCCCCTGGCCCACCGAGGCCAGGAATCTGTTGAAGCGACTCAGCCTGCGTGAGTCCATGACCCAGGCCCAGCTCCCCATCGCTCCCACTACCGCAAACATAGACGACACCCGTAGAACTCAACAGAAATGTCGTAGACCATCCAGCGGCAACACCAACAACCTCAATCAGTTTCCCCGAAGCCTCATCAACGGGCAATTCGATATCGAAGAAATGCGTGACCTGCTTGGTGCTCTTGAGCCCACATCGGCCGTCTTCGTTGTTGCCCGTGACGCGAACTCCGCCATCGTCACATAGAATGACGGTGTGATTGCCGCCGGCTGCTAGTTGTTTGACGGTCCATGGAGCAGGATTGCCTTCGATGGAGACCAATTGCGGTGATGAGACGTCTTCTGTGTGGCCGAGACCGAGTTGGCCGGAGCCGTTGGAACCAAAGGCGTAGAACATTGGGTTGGGGATTTCGTGTCACAGTTGGTGTTGAGCGGTATAGTTTTTGTTGACTCACACCAACACATCTGCTTGTCACATTGCGATTGTTGGAACGGATACATGATGTGCCCGATGCGTACTTGCACCTTGGAAGTTTCACATGCTTGATGCCTCAGGCATCAACTTCAAAGCCGGCGATGAGTAAGCGATGCCAAGCCCGCCGCACGAATTTCGTGATCCACCACCGCATCAAACCTTTTTCGCCAGGCACGCACGTCGACACCACCCCCCGACACCACACACACACCACACACATCGTCAACATGTCAGCACCGCAATCCGTGCAGTGCTTCGGCAAGAAAAAGACGGCGACGGCCGTTGCGCTTTGCAAGCAGGGCAAGGGATTGATCAAGGTCAATGGAAAGCCGCTGTCCCTCGTGCAGCCGCAGATCCTCCGATTCAAGGTCTACGAGCCGGTTCTGATCCTCGGCGCGGACAAGTTCGGTACGTGCTGTTGTTATCGCTCGCTGGCAGGGCTCGAAAAGTTGGAGGCCGAAGGAGGTGGAGGAATTCAAGATGCACATTTGAGATGCCAGCGAGCGGTGGGATGCGAAGAAGAGTACGGTGCTAACACCTCATCACAGCCGATGTCGACATCAGAGTCCGAGTCCGTGGCGGTGGTCACACTTCCCAGATCTACGCCATCCGTCAAGCCATTTCGAAGAGCATCGTGAGTCCTCCCTGCCATTCGGCTTTTCTCGACGACGACGTGGTGTACTAATCATACGCTTGCCAAAGATCGCCTACTACCAGAAATACATTGACGAGCACAGCAAGAACCAGCTGAAGCAAGTCCTCGTGGCCTACGACCGAACCCTCCTCGTGGCAGACAACAGACGGTGCGAGCCGAAGAAGTTCGGTGGTCCCGGTGCTCGCGCGCGGTACCAGAAATCCTACAGATAAGGGAGGAAAAAAGATGCTGGAGGTGCGCTGGGGTCCTTACGTTGCAGCGATGGCATATTTCTGGTTCGATTGCTGCCTCCGCTGCTCTCGGATATGAGGCGTGAGTGGGTATGCACGTGTAGCTGAGGAATGCAACAATTGTTCGAAACATCAATCCTATGGCATGCATATGCTCCTTCACTGCATATTGAACGCCGGACACCTCGCTTCAAAGACAAGAGGCAGGCAAATACTAAACGCTCGTATCGCTGCTGTCATCAGCATCGTCCGGGACAGCCGATGTGGCCCCACCACTTCTCCTTCTCGCCGCAGCATTGCCATTCGTAGACGCCCTCCGTCCATCCCCTCCATTCCTAGCCGCCTTCTCCCCCACCGGCGGGGCATCGGTCCAAGCCGTCTTACACACCGGACACTGCTCGTTCCCGCCCTGCGCCCGGAACATATTCCTCACACACCCATCGTGCAGGCGCGCGGGACAGGTCAAGGTCGGACATCGCTGCCCCATTGAGACAATCTCTTTACACGCCTTGCAGAACTTGATCCTCTCCCGCGGTTCCTCGTCATCCTCGTCGTCCTCCTCATCTGAAGGTTCGTTGTACGTGTCGATCAGCCAGCCTCGCAGTTCCATCAGCGCCCGCGGTGTCAGAGTGTAGTAGCCCTTCGCCGAAAGCTCCAGCCAGCCTTCCGATACCAAGTCCGCCAGTACTCTCTCCGCCTGCGCGAGGGTAAGGCCAGCAGAAGCCGCTTGCCCCGCTCTCTGCGTCTGTCCTCCGGCCCCGGACTCCCTCCGCGCAGCAGAGTCATTCGGCGCCTTGGCCAACTTCACAGCCTGCATAGAATTGACAGCCATGACCTCCGCCCGCGCGGAATTATTCGTCTCAAACATTGCATCCAACACCCTCTTCACAAACGCCATCTCGTCCGCGGTGCGCAGCGTCGCCATCTGCGTCAGCGCATCGCTCGTCGTGTTCACCAGCGCGTACACCTGCAGCTTCGTGGCCTGGTGTCGCGTGCTGCGGATCTCGAGGTCAAAGGGCGAAATGTGCTCGTTGAGGGTGTGGATATAGTTGTCAAAGTCTTGCTGCGACACGTCTTCGACCAGCGTGAGGCGGGCGGGCGTGGCGGCTGTTTCGATTGCGGCGAGGAGCGGTTTGGCTTCGGGGTAGGTGATGGTTTGGCGGGAGAGGAGGGCTTGCAGGAAGGCGCGGTGGACGTTGGTGTAGCCGGCGCGCTCCTCGCCTTCGCCCGACATGATGGTTTGTTGCGCGGGTCGGGAAGCTTGAGTGAGGATTGATGAGATGGGATGGATGGATCAAAGTGACGTGGGGTTAAGAAAAGAAGCGGAACGCGTCGCGCGTTGTCTCGATTTGGACGCACGAACACTCCTCCATCTCACTTCCGACCGCTGGCACTCACAACTTCTTTTGATTGTTACATATGGTTCCCATGCTCGCAATGTCCATACCGCGAGCAGCATCCCAATATCTCCATTTGTGCATGTTCATAAGTCATCAGCTCCTCCGGGACGGACGCACGCATCGATACAGTTTCAGCCGCAGCCTGATTCACCACCCACGCTTGACACGGCATCACGAATTACCGCAATCGGCCTGGGAGGACACATCTTTGCTGATACTCGTGTGGTTAGCGGCAGCGTGTTCCACCATACTCGGCATCACGGAGTTAGGGCAATTCGACCGACAGGTCACTTCTTTGCTGTGATGATGCCTTTATCAGCCGTGGTCAACTCACCTTGGCATCACAAGTTAGGGCAGTTCGACGAGGGTGTCACCTCTTTGCTGTCGTACTTAAGCGGTCCGCATCCCGACGATGTGCCTCGCAATCCATCGAACCCCTAAGTAAATTCGCCAGTCCAATCAACCACTCCAAAATGCTGATTACGACCCCGCCGTCCTCGGCGGACTACGTGGTTGTTGGAGGTATGTGCGCGTGGCCCTCGCATTGCACACCACACTGACAAACTCGACCGATCAGGGGGCACGGCGGGACTGTCGCTCGCCTCGCGGCTCAGTCAACGGGACCCAAGTCTCGACATCCTGGTCATCGAGGCCGGGCCGGATCAAGCAGGGCACCCATTGACTGGAACTCCTTTTGGAGCATTTACCGCAGGGGGTCGGACATCGACTGGAGCTACAAATCTATCCCGCAGAAGCAGCTGAACAACCGCGTGATCCCTCTGAGTGCAGGCAAGGTGCTGTCCGGCGCGACGGCCATCAACTACGGCCTTTGGCTGCGTGGTCCAGTAGCGGACTACGCCAGGTGGGCCGAGCTGGTTGGCGATCGCGCTTGGAGTTACGAGTCTCTCTTGCCATACTTTCGTCGTCTGGAGAAGCACCATGACCCCGAAGCCGACGCGGAGCAACATGGCTTCGAGGGTGTCATGCACACCATGTCTCCTTCCCACTCTGATCCCATTCGCAAATTCCCTCTGAGCACATTACAGGAGGACGCATGGAGAGAGCTGGGGACGGAACGGATCCGAGATCAGAATGCTGGCCACCCTCTGGGCCTGGCGGAGATTGTTGAGAATTGGAGGGACGGCATACGGCAGCCTGTAAGTGCGATTTTGGACCTGTCCAATGTTCGCATCCTGCTCGGGACAACCGTCCATCGGGTGGTGGTGGATGATGTGACTGGTGTCAAGCGCGCCACCGGCGTCCAGCTGGCCAATGGCGACATCATTCAGGCCAAGCGGGAAGTCATCCTCTCCACAGGTTCATACCGGACCCCTCAAGTCCTCATGCTCTCTGGAATTGGCCCGGCTTCGGAGCTACAAAAACACGGCATCAAGATCCAAGTAGATAGCCCGGAAGTGGGCCGCAATTATCACGACCACCTTACCGTGTCCTGTTACTGTCAGTCTGCCCTTGCATGGATGCTGCCACTGTCGATTGCTTACACTGGTTTTTAGGGAGAGTCTGCCACCCAGAGCAAGGAGTGGCCGTTGGGCATCCTCTGTGGGCGGAAAACAAGGCCTTGGAGAAAGAGCAGCCGTATGATCTCCTTGCATATCACCAAGCCCCCCCGGAGGTGATTCGCGAAGCCCTAGCAGCCTCTCGAGTCGACGGCAGTTCGAGGGAGATGGACCGTCAGCAATTAGAAGCACCAAACCGCGTGCACACGGAGACCGTGGTTGCGTACTGCCCGATCGCTAAAATGGGCGCCTTTCCCTTCGACGGGACTATAATCACTTCCAGTGTGCTGTTGATGCAACCTACCTCCCGGGGCGTCATAACGTTAGCCTCTGCGGACCCAGAGGCACACCCTTTGATCGATTGCAGATTCCACACCACCGCTTCCGATCGCGCGATCGTGCGACACGGCCTGAGGCAGATGCTTCGATTGATGCAGGGTACCAAAGGTGGGCAGGCTATGGTTGAGCCTGTGGACATCCTAGCGCAGGGTGAATCTCATTTGCGGTTTGATACGTCCACGGATGACGACCTGGATGCTCGGGCTCGTGATGCAGGAGAGATCTGGAACCATCCCGCCGGCACCGCGGCCATGGGCACAGTGGTGGATTCGAAATGTCGGGTCGTTGGCGTTTCCGGCTTGCGAGTGGTGGATGCCAGTATCTTGCCTTTGCCGATCAGCTCGCACTACATGGTGGCCATCTACACGGTAGGAGCACGCGTGGCGGACTTCATAGCGGACGAGGCCTGACCGCATAGCTTGACATAGAATGAGAGATGACACGAAGCCGCTCGGACGGTTCCTCAAGCATAGCGCTCGTGCCATTTACCATCGTAAATGCTGGGTGACCAGGTTGCATCGAATATTGCAGGGAGGTGGTTGCGGGGTCAGGTTCACATGGTCGCCAATGTCAAAAGTGGAGATAGATGGGGGATGCTAGCCTGATAAAGCTAGCGCCATATGCAAGATTAGCTAAGCCTGACATCACCCGCATCTCGATGCAAGGCCTGGCGTTGTGCCCAGTTAAACAACGCGCGTAGGAACAGGGTTCACTCCACCTCATCATCTCTCCACAATGGCGTCCACGGCGCAGACGGTCAGAGATCTGCTGCCAATTCCCGACAACTTTGAGATTGTTCAGGACCCGGACCAGGAAGAAACGGCGAAGACGTTGGCCGACGAAGCCACTGACTCCCACGCCTTGGCCGTTGCGGATCACGAAGAGAAAGGCGTTGCTCAAATCCCGCACGACGGCGAAGTCAGAGACTTGGGCTGGAACAAACCCGACGACAAAATGGCCTCTCCTCTGGTTGGCGGCCTGCCAAACGAGGAGTTATGGATTCTGCTGCGCCGCTTCAATAAGGTAAGCAACGGATGCAGATGTTGACGATTTATGCCAGGAGGCTAATCGCTCGTAGCAAATGTACGATGTGAAAGAAATCACACGTTCGGCACCCGGTAATCTCGACCTCAACATTGCCGACGAAGAGGAGTTCTCTCCCGACAAGCTACGCGCGAGTGTCGAGCGATTGTACCTGACTGTCATCGTGGGCTTGATGGGCGCATGGAAGCATATTGCTCGTCTGCGCTCGTGGCGAGAATCGACCAGGACTGCGGCGTTCTGTGCAGCCTACTCCGTCGCATGGCTCCTCGACTTGATCGTCCCGTTGATCGCTCTGACCTTGATTGCTCTCATCGTCTACCCCCCTGCGCGAGACCTGCTCTTCCCGCCTGCTCCGCTTGCGCTGGTCGACTCCAAGACTGGAGGAGTCCAGAAGCCAAAGGCTGGTGTTCTTGGCTCCACCGACTCCGTCACAGGCGCGCCGGAGAGCTACAAGGGCGAGGCAGTTGAAGCAGAGGCCACGAATTTCGTCAACAGTATCGCTCATGTTGCGATTGCGAGCGCGAGCGGGAAGCATCCCGACAACCAGCCACCTGATGCGGAGGACGCACAGCCAGAGGTAACGAGCGACCACGTTCCGGATCCGACGGCCCTTGCTATGGGTGCTAGTGGTGCCAGAGCCAGCGCTGGTAGCAAGGAAGTCAGCAAGAAACACGACAAGACGAAGGTACCGATTGAGAATGCGATGTAAGTTGTCATCGTTCAACGAGCGCCTACGCTCACTCCAGCTGGTTTTCAAAGCGCTGACAACGTCTTCCGTTCAGGTGGAGTAAAATGAGACCAGCAATGCATGGGATTGCTGATGTTGTAAGTCGAGAGTTATGCAAAGAAGCCATGCGCTTTCACTGAACAAAGCACAGTGCGATACTTGGGAAGAGTTCGCCAATGCTCTCTCTCCTACACCGCCATTTCCCAAGGAGATCTATCGCCTCCGCATCGCAGGCCTGGTGGTTCCCCTTTTCGCTGCTTCCATCTTCATCACTTCCTACATGTTCACAAAAGCTGTCTGGTTCGGCGTCGGTTTTGGCTTCTTTGGTGACCCTGTCATCAGCCGTGGTCTTAATTGGCTGAACCGCAACTTCCCCCACTGGGAGAAACTGCTGGAGCTGCGCAACACCGTTCTCAAAGGCGTTCCTACGAATGCTCAGCTCACATTGACTCTTCTCCGTGAGTCGTGCTGCGGTCTTTCCAAGGAGCAAATTGACTAACTCCATATCACAGGCGTCGGCGAAGCCAACAAGTCACCTCTCCCACCGCCTCCGCGAGCAGGACAACCACCACCCGACGAGCCCGCCGACATTACAGACGCACACCTCCGAAGCGTAGGCGCCGAGCCCCCGCTCAACGCAAGCGAAGCCGAACTCCAACAAGCAATGCAGCACGACCCGACCACCGCCCACGAAACCGCCGGCCCGGACGTCGACCACGCCAAGCAATCCAAGCACAGCTCCAAAGCGTCCAAGATGCTCTCAGCCGTCAAAAGCAGCATCAAAGGGAGTGTGGAAACGGCGCTCGGCGCGGATCACTTGAAAGCAAAGGTCGGCAGCGAGCACTCGAAACGCCGGCTGGGGGTTGTGCCGCGCGATCCGACGAAGAATCTGTCGGGCCCGGTGGAGTTCAAGTGTCGGTATCGCGGCAGTCGAGGGCATGCGTATATTTCTGTGATGAGCACGACGCCGTGCGTGGCGTTTTCGGTGGAGAAGTCCATTACGACGGATGGCGTGGCAGGGAAGGGAGACGATCAACTGCATCCAGTGTGGTCGGTGGCTATTGGGGAGATCAAAGAGTGAGTGCGGCATCTACACGACTTGGGAGTGGCCTGCTAACGAATGTCACCCAGGCTCAAGAAAATCGGCGGACTCGGGTGGAAGTCGAAACTCGTCGTCGGTTGGGCGCTGGATCGTGAAGTCGCGGACGGGCTGGAGATTGTCGACAAGAAGGACAACCACTACATTGTCACTGCGATGGTGCTGAGAGACGAGCTGTTCAATCGTCTGATCGCTATGGTGAGTTTGTCAACGTGTCATCTAATAAACGCAAGTCCAGGCTAACCCGCAACTAGGGAGGGCAAAAGTGGGAATGTTGGTGAACGCGCAATTGAATTTGCACTTTGGGGTCAAAGAAATAGACAACAACGCGAGCTTGGGACATAGACATGCGTTCGTGAGATACGAGCGATGCCGAAGCATGTCATCCTGGCCTGCTACACATCCGATTCGCCTCCGATCGCCTCCGCAGACCCATTCCCCTCCCGCTTCTCTTCATCCATGACCATCTCAACATCCCCATGGGCGTCAATTACATGCTCTTCCTCCGCCGTCTCAAACCCCTCCGACGCCTCCGTCGATGCAGCAGCATCCAGTAAACCAGGGAAGACCGGCCGCAAAGGCTCGACCTTTGACGCGGGAGACTCCCGGCCTTGCTCTTCACCCTCCCCCTCCACCACCTCCTCTCCCCCCTCCTCATCCTCCTCCCGCTCTTCCAACGAGCTCAACTCGCTTTCGTCATCAGCACTGTACACGCTTCCCGGCGCGGAAGAGTCGACGGACATGAAACCACGCCAGTCCTCTTTGCTGTTGTCGATCAGAACTTGGACTCTGGGTAAGGGACGCGAAGTGGACTGGGTGGAGGGTGCGGGCTGGGCTTTCTGGAGGCAGGCTTCGGCGCAGGTGCGGATTTCTCGGCGTCCGACGCCGATCTTGCGGCGAGCGGGTGCGGTCGTTTCGGAGGCCGTGGCTTCTCCTGCTGCGGGTTGCGGCGTTGATGCCTGTGGAGTGCCGGCACCGGCGGCGGGAGTGATGTTCGCTGCCGCTGAGGGTTCTTGCGAGCCATCGAAGTTCATCAGGCTCGTCAGATCCATCATTGGGTTGCGTTGTGGAGAGATGACGGGCGGTGGCTGTGGTGCCGGTGGCGGCGGCGGAGGGCGGTTCGCTTCCTCTTCCCGCTCGATACGCTGCTTCTCCTCCTCCCATAGCTGCTTCCCGATGGTGTTGAACAAGTACGCATACGAATCGCCGATGAGATCATCAATCGGGCCCGTCTTCATCAACCCCTGATTGATCTTTTTCAACTCTTGCACTTCACGTAGGACATCGAGGGCAGGCGAAGTACCCGTCTCTTGAGCCTGCATCCACTTTTCCAGCGGCTCCTTGCGAAGCAAGAACTCGTCGTGTGCGATGGTGCTGAACGTAGACGTTTCCAGGCCCTCGGGGAGTGCGGCGGACTCGCGCATCAAGCGGAGATAGGTGTAGCAGAGGTCCTGCCACACAACCAAGTGCTCGAAAAAGTCATTGTGACGCCGGCGAATCCTTCGGGCCAACATCTCAAGATTGCTTCGATCCTTGAGCTGTTCGAGAATCCGGACGAAGAAGCGGGTGTAGCGCGATGTGTACACAAAGTGTCTTCCGGCTCTCTCGCTCTCCGGCCTCCAGACTTGTAAGACCATGGTCTTGGTGAACATTTGCTGCGTGAGTTCATGCTTCGCTCCCATTGCACCAAGTCGCGCGCTCGCTCCATCTGCGTCTGCCCGAGAGTCATCATAGATGATTTGCGCGGCCCGGGCAATCATCCGATGGTGCCAATTAGACTTGTCTGCGTTTCGCAGATTCTTGAGTACAGAGAGCACGTACGGCACCCATTCATCAAGGTCCTGCGGGAAGGTGGCGTTCCTGGCGTACGGTGTGTTTTGAAGAGCCTCCATCGCCTCCTCGAGCTTGATGCTCTCACGCATCACCATCTTGTGTACGGTGCTGAGTAGCTTGTAGTGAGGTTCGAGGACTGGTTCCCTTTTCTCGCGACTGTCCTTTTTGTCCGGTATCAACTCGATCGCCCGAATGAAGCTGGCAAGGACCTGTTGAGCAGCGGGCTTGACGTTGTGACTGCCGGCAAGAGTGGTAGAGGAAGTATGCATCTTCCACAAGCATTTGCCCAGAGCAAAATGCAGCATCCACGAGTCAGGCTTGCCGGCGAGGGCCTTCTGGAAGAACACCTTAGCAAGCTTCCACACCGTGTATTTATCGATCGGCTTGAATGCTTTCCCTTTGGTCATCGCTTTGCCCGGAATGGAGAAGAACTTCTCATTCTCCTCCAACGCAAAAGGAAGCATGCTGAAGGGCTCTCGAGACGATGCGTATAGTCTCGTTGCGAACTCGCAAAAGAGCTCAGTCATCTTCTCGGCTGTCTCGGGAGTCGGATCTGCAGATCGGTACGCAAGCGCCGTCGCCATTGTGTAGCAATGGATGGCAGCTCGTTGCAATGAGCCAATGTCCGGCATGCTGCTGTTCATCTTTTCCGCAGACCAGACGACACTTTCTTCTATCTTAGTGTCGTAGGCCTGGGCAAGCCGGAACCATGTCTCCCAATTGTCGGGACTATACTCCAGGTCTTGCATGAAGAACGCAATCGCAATATCGACTTCCTCCGTCGGCGTGGCTCCCGTGCGCTTCACAGAGCGGAATTTGGCGAGAGCGATGTGGCCCATGAGGAAGTACCAGTCTTTCGAAGCCAGAAGCGCATCTGCTTTCGGAATCGGAAGCACGTTGAGCTCATTGCCCTCGCCTTTGAGACAATTGTACAGATCGAGTGGGTTGATGGGGGACCGAAGAAACGCCCGCTGCACTTCCCTATTGCGCATGATGGCATCCGTCGGCTTCTTTCTTGGCGCGGCTGCGTGGACCTTGTCGATCGTGTCCTTGATGGGATGCTTGATCAGCTCCCTCATGGGCAGCTTCGAGGCTTGCAACATCAGCAGGTCAGCGGCCTGAAGCGCCACGCTTCGATCGATAAAGGCGTCCCGAATGCAGCCATGCTCCATCAACTCGTAATTGGGATTCAAGAAGCAGTTCAGGCCGTATAGATCATACAAGACTTGGGCTTGTTCGCTGTCGTATCCGTCCACGTGAGTCATTTGGAAGAACTCGTCCTTGACCAGACGCACAAAGACTCGATTCGAGCTGCCGCAGATGCCGCGAAGGCCGAGGTTTCGATGCACCACCTTAAGGAACTCGAACTTGTCCTCCGCGGGTGCGGGAAACAATTCGTGGAACTGAAAGACTGCGTCCTTTAGCAGTGAGTACAGAATAACCCAGATGTGAACTTGCATGTCGTGCACCAAGGAGGTCACTGTCTGGTACGAGGCGGCTGTGGACCCATTCGGCTGGCTGGGCGGTTGGCTCTGACCAATTCTAATCGAGTCCTCGAAGATGTTGAAGGCTTGAAGAAGCTGCGAGATCTCGCCGAGGCTGCCGATAGCAGCTTTAAGGCCATGTTCGTCGACACATTCAATCGCGTCCTTGGAGGTCTGCACGATCGCGCAGGTCTTCTTCGCCATTTCGTGTATCAGACGAAGTGTCTTGAGCACAGTGACTTGTCGATCCGATTGTTGCACATCGGAAGAGGACGAAGTCTTCAGGTCCTTCAACAGCAACCTGATCATCTTGAAGTGACAAGAGACCACCATCGGCTTGTACTCTATCTCCAGATAGGCATTGCGCAAACGCTGCCAAAGCATAATCCGGACTGAAACGCTGCTGTTCTCAAGAAAGCGTGTCAGTTCAGTAGAGACCCCGGGCATATCATTTCTTGCATCCTCCTCTGGAGATGACTGCGGCTCTGCTAATGACTCAAGGAGTGGCTCCAAATTCTCGATGATCGCAACTGGATCTTGAACGTCTTGGTTGGTGACTTTGTCGAAGAAGTCTTTCGTAGTCAGCCGAGATATCTCCTTCTCCAGCGCTGCGGTCGACAGCTCAGGCATGATGGCATTGTTTTGCAACTGTATCGAAGGCTCATTCGCAGCCACGAAGATTGCCCTCAAATCATGCATACACTCGATGACATAGTCTTGCGACACATCGGGATCGGCGCCAACTTGGAACGTAGTAGCCCACAAGAATCGGAGATTTAGTTCATCGCTCAGGTCGTCTGTTCCTCCAAGTTGTGAGCGGAGGCGGAGAACCTCACGGGCGAACTCGGACCAATGTTGAAGCCGATCGCGTTGCACTGCCACTGTATCTGCATCTACCCCGCTGTTGGGTTGCTTGATTAGCCAGTAGATGTCGAGGTGCAGTTCGTAGATGGTTTGGAAGAGCTCAGGTGGGCCAACATCTGATCGGATGCGCTCTGGGCTTTCCTTCCACTGGTCCACCTCCTCCCTAGCCAGATGTCTGAAGTCCTCGTCAAAGTTGACCAGAGTTCGAACAATCATGGTCTTCAGCTTCTCCGGCCATACGTACTCACGATATCTGCTGTGATCTAGGGTCAAATCCGCGCGTAGCAATCTGCAGATCCAACGCCATGCGACTTCTTGAGCCATGAGCCATTGGTCGTTGGTCTCGCCCAGAAATTCCAGTAATCCTTCATCTTGGGGCAGACTGGGTCTGGTAAGCATCTTTGACCCATTGGCATGCGGAGATGCTTGCGTAGATCCCGCCGAATCCAGTCCAGGGGTGGCATCGCAGTTTTCACCGCCACTGGTGAGAACGGACCCGAGCTGATCGGAGTAGTTGTTCAAGAGAGCGTGAATATCCGCCTTGGCAAGCTGTAGCCCTTCTTTCAACGCTTCACTCCCGTTGACGGTCTGCAGTGCTTCTGTTGACGAGCTTTGCAACTCTTGTCGGACATTCTTTCCGGCCTCGAATCCCACCACGCCAATCCTTTCGAACAGATTCCCGACGGTCTCAAACATCCAGTCATCTGCCGCTTGTAGCTCCGCAAGCTTTTGCTCCAGCTCCCAACGAGTGTTGGCATCGATGATGGCTTGTCTGCTGTCCTCGTTCATAGTCGAATCACGCGTGCGAGTACGTTTGCTCTTTGTCCGCCCTTCTTCCGGTCCATCATTAAGTCCAGCTACGTCTCCAGACCGCTTTCGTGTGGGCATGTTGATGCTCGAGGACCGGCGCGTTCGCATGGGAACATCATCGTCCTTTGCGCCCAATACAAGTGCCTCCATGGTCACGTCTGCGCATGCAATGCGAGGCTGGACTGTAGGAAGACCCTGGTCCAATCCCGGGAAGACTTCTTGAATCGAACTGGGTAGATCGCTCGCCGAATGGACACTTTCTTCGTTGGAATCCACCAGACGTGCAGGCTCGATCGCGAGTGACGGCCTCCGTGGTGATGCAGTGTCGAGGTCGAATGAGACTGCGAGACCAGGAGTCTTCACACTAGTGCCGTGTTGCTCCGCCATTAGCTGCCGAAGTAAGATCTCCCCCACTTCCGCCCACGTCTTGGGCACTTGGAGCACCGCTCTCCCAGCTGGTGCCAATGCGTCTGAGTCAAGCACACTCCTGAGCGTGATTTCGCGGTCGGTGATGGCCTGGTACGTGTTGAGGCGTCGCTTTAGCATGCTCGACAGGACACGCCGTTTGCCCACCGATAGTGGCATTTGCAACAATGAAAGCCGATCTTCCAGCTGCCGGACAAGATCGCGAAGCTGCTCCCCGGCCAAACCTTCGTCTAGCCCAGGCAATGACAGCGCGCTATTCAGACCATCGTCATCGCCATCCAACACTGCTTCAAGGCAGAATCTGGCTAGTCGCCGGCTGTCGAGGAGGGATCCAACCCCTGCTGTTCGTCGCCACAAATCGAGATCGGAGTCATCTTTGTCTAGGGCGTTCACAAAGTGCTCAAGTGCCGCAGTGGCATCGGCCAAGATCTGGTTGAGCGAGACATTCACTCCGTCCAGCCGTGCGGTAAGGTATTCCAGTTTGAAGTGCGCATAGTTCTTGTGGCTCAGATGAAGGATTTGAGGAAGCGTGCTTGGGCCAGTCTCCAGTCCAGGGGCAGGGAGCACGGCAAGGTCGCCAACCCAGTCCTGCCACAGATCTTCGGTCTCAGCAGACGGGCCATAGAGTTCCACACGCCTGAGCTCGGTCTGCGATTCGGGGTACTGGAAGATGTCGGACTTGAAGAGCTCCTCGTATGCTTTTGCTGCTAGTTCGAACGAGGCAGGGCCTTCTGAGTGGAGCTTCAGAGCATTCTGATAGAGCTTGAGCGCTTCTTCGATTTGCAGCTCCTTGGTATCATCGATCTCGATATCAGACTCATCGTCGGATTCAATATTCAGCGCTTTGAATCCGGACATGTTGATGGTGGGCCAGCGTCAGTGCTGGAGATTCTGCATCCGACATCGAGTCTACAAGGGTTGGATGAGTGGATTCCGACTCCAGACTGTGGTGTTCTCGTTTGCAGTGGGATGGATATGGGTATCGGGAGAGGAGCCAGGCAATTGAAAGTACATTCACGTGCCAGTCGCGTTCGACGCGGGTCGGAAGTGGACAAAAGTCTTGGCCCGAGGGACAGAATGCTTCGCCGAGCCGCCTGAACTCACTCACCGCAGGGCTGTTCAACGTCTCGTGTTCATTGCACATGATGATGTGGAGCGAGATCTGTCCCCCTTGATGCACCAAGCATGCCAGTCGCTTGATCGAACACCCCGAGCCCTCCCTCCTCCATTCGCGCCAAGATGGTCCAGACATACGTTCCAGAGTGAGTCTGTACTCGAGCGCTCGGCGCCTATTCCACGTTCTGCAATTGCAGTCCCATTGACCCAACTACGCAGACTCTACGAGGATGACGCCCACTCCGTGATTGACATCCGAAGCGACAGTCTCCAATCCCTCCGCGAGCTAGGCCCCCCAGACCTCGTTCATCTCACCCGACAAGGCACAAAGTCATCGACGAAGCAGGTACAATCTCCCCCAGCCTCACCATAGGAACAGCCATTGGAGTGGTCAAAAAGTCGGGACATTAGAGTCGCACTGGCTGAACATTGGCAAAGATAGGCGTATACCATCACGTTACCGGCGTTGACGCATCATCGTCCGCCAGTCTCGCCGCATACATCAACACCCTCACCCACACCCCAAACGAGAGGCAGCTGAAGGTCACATCTGGCCTGTACTGGTATGTGAGGGGATGAAATAATAACAACGGCACTCTCTGATTTCATGCTAGCTGCTACAATGCCTTTTCCCGCGTTGACATGCGAGTTGGCGTGCAAATACCCGGCACGGTAGAATCGTATTGTGTGGACGAACGAGGTCACAAGCTGGAAGCTACGGAAGAGCATTGGCTGGAAACATATCTCTGCTGCGTGCTGCGCGCGTACAGCTACGCTGACAATGGAAGCGGCGATGCGATCAAGCGAATAGCTGGCGTGAGGCGATTCAATCCGATCACGAGCACGGAGCAAGAGCACAAGTTTTTGGACGCGGCAGAGAAGCTGTTCTTCAGCGGTCAGGATTTTGATGGCCTTGAACTTGGTTCATGGAGGAAGCTGACAGGTTGAATAGGTTGGCAACTAGGATCCGATCCTGAGATTCAGGTACCAAACTTGGTGTCCAATCACCTGACCTCCGGTCTGCTCAACTACATAAAGACCACCGGCCGCTATGCTTCTGGAATTAACCTTTTCGAGAAGTTGCGCACACGAGATCCCGAGATCTCATCATTACTGGCTCGTGTCTACGTGTTGGCTGATGAAGAAGTCAAGGCGATCCAGTTACTGCGAGAAGCTGTTGAGGAGTTGCCCATGGATTATTCGCTGCTGGACTGTCAAGCCGACTTCTGTAATCGAAAAGGCAGAGCAGACTTGGCACTCGAGGTCGCGAAACGAGGGGTCATCGCCGCTCCTAGCGAATTCGGCACCTGGGCGAGACTGGCCGACATCTACGTTGCAATGGAACAATGGGATCTGGCGTTGCTGACGTTGAACTCTTGTCCCATGTTCACATACCAGGACAAAGACGCACCACGCCTGCCGGAGCCCTCGCGAGTGACATTGCCTTTGGCACCCGAGACCATCTGCGACGAGATCGATGATGCCGGCGCCACACCTGACACAGACTCCATCCATCCCACTCTTCGCCGGCTGGCCGCGGGAAACTATCGAGGGACCTTTCACAAAGCATACATGCTCCTCACCGAGATTACACAGAAGATCGGGTGGGATCAACTGCTCAAGATACGAAGTCAGGTCTTTGTGATGGAAGAGGAGTACCGCAGTGAGAAGCAAGCGGGCACTGGCACTGGCACTGGCAGTAGGAATGCCAGCACCGTCGCATTAAGAGGAACTGATACGCCACAGCCTAACGGCGACTCCGAAGACGCAGGTGAAGGCGAGAGCTCAGCCGCAAACGGCGTCTCCAGGCCAGCACAATCCATCACGCTGCAGCCCAGCGCAGAGGAATCGCACGAACAAGTCCCTCCCGACCCATCCCACACCGAATACACCCAATTCCAGCACAAACGCCTCTGCGAACGCTGGCTCGACAATCTGTTCATGGTGCTCTACGAAGACCTGCGCATCTACACCATCTGGCGCACGGAAATGTCGCAGTCACGTCAGGAGCTGACGTATCGCAAGACGCCGCAGGAGCTGGAGGTGCTGGGCGAGTTGGCGGAGCGGTTGCACCGGAAGGAAGAGGCGATTGAGGCCTGGCAGGCGTGTCTGGGGATGCGATTCAGTCCGAAGGCCATGCGGAGTGTTTTGGCCATGTATGAGAGGAGGGGCGACGTGAGAGGGATTGTGGGAGCGCTCATTCGACTCGTTGCGTGGCAGTTTAGGTGGTTCTCTGAGGTGAGTTCTCGGCTTGGGCGACTGTGTGACATGAGGATCGTGCTGACGGAATACGTGCAGTTCTCTCCTGACCTGCTGTATTCGATTCGAAGGCTCATTGAAGAAGAGGGCGCGGTCAAGATTCGCAGTATCATCCAGGCGACGCCGTTGCCACAGCATATCTTGGACCTCACGCATCAATATGCGGCGCTGTGCGCGACGTTCAGGAGTAATGGAAGTGATGGATGAGACGGTGGATCTGAGGAGGGATTCTCTGAGCGAATGCCAAGTTATCTCCCTAATATGACGACGCAGCTTGTGCGGGCGCCAAAACTTCAGCTGCCGTACTTGAAGGCTCAGAACCGATAACATGGCCTCCCAGAGCTGTCAGCTGAATCGAAAAGCATCTCTCCCTGTTTCCAGCCCTGTCATCACCACCTCACGCCCCCTGATTGCCCGCCGTCGCGCCCTGCACCGCACTAGCCTGCAAGGTGTACGACATGGGCTTCGTGTGCTCATACCGACACTCCCCCCGATTCACGCCCCCAGCCTTGACGCAATCCAAACAAAGCCCCCACAACCGAATGCGATGCGACTCCTGCATGCGCTCCAGCTCCTCCGTAAACCCAATCTTCACCCCCTCGCAAAACTCGCACTTGTCCACATCATCGTACTCCGGCTCCCGGAAAGCCGCCAGCTTCTCCACCAGCGAGCCGACCGTCTCGCCCTTCCCGTTCGCCGTGTCCTTCGTCTGCAGCCAGACGGTCGAAGGCCAGATGTCGGCATCGCGCAGGGCGCCGAGGTACAGCGTTGCGCCGTCGGAGTCGACGTGGCATTCGGTTGGCGGCTTGCCTTCGGGTAGCGATTCGGGGGTTGGAGACATTTGGGGGGCCCAGTCTATGTAGTGGCGGTATTGGTTGGAGAAGGGGACTATGCAGGGGTCGATCATTGTGTCGAGGTCGACGTGGATCATGGTGTTGGCTTTTGAGGCGCAGTTGGCGAGGAGGACTGTTGGGGTGGGATGTTAGTATTTGCCGGGGAGTCTGAGGGGAAAAGGGATGAGGGGACTACGTACGAGCGAGATGGTGCGTGTCAGCGGTGGTGGGGGCAGGTATCGATCGAACGTGAGCGTACAGCGACGCCTCAAACACCCAACGCGAAGAGAAGCGAGCGAAGAATGTAGCTTCGTCGAGCAGGAAGGCAGCCTCCACGATCCTCCACGTGTCGATCTTGTCTTTGGAGGCGTACAATCTGTCGAACCACTGCACCGTGGCTCTGCCGGCGGCGACGACGCATTCGTATTTGCGGGCGAGGCAGGCGATTTTGTGGAGGAGGTCCGGGGGGATGCGCATGGGCAGCTGGTCGTTGCGGAGGTGAAGGATGTTGGCGAGGATGTACATGGCGTCGCCGTCATCGTTGGGGACGGAGACGACGTGTTGAGCGGTGCTGGTGGTGACTGCTGTGTCGCTGTTTGCTGTGGCCGTCGCGAACAGGGCTTTGAAGACGGGAGATGCCATGCTGAGTGCATGGCTGGATACGCGGAGGCCGATGCTGTGGATGGTCAGTCATGACTGCGAGGAGCAAGTGCGTGTGTGTCTGCTTCTTCTACTCACAGCGTGTTTGGAGCGGTTGACATGCCACTGATTACCAACACCGCATCGCCATCCGGCACGATGTTAGCGACGTTGTCAGGAACTTGAGCCATGTCGCCCGGTTCGAGTGATGCTCTTGACCGCTTGGTCTCGCGCTGATCGGGTGGTGGTGAAGTACTTCTTGACATGATGGTCATGATTAAGGCAGTGGAAGTGAGTGCGTGTTTGCGTTCAGCGGTGGAAAGGGGTGGAAAAGAGGTGGCTGGGAGAAGTAGATGCAGCTCGCACGTGCACACGGGTCACTTCTCGTGTGTTCCGTGAGTTACCTACGCAACCCTGCATGCATCTCGCAGCGGAACGGCGGCGCTTTGATCGAAAGTGACCGTGGGCCTGGCATCTAGACAGACGTCGGCCTGTAAATCGTCGCCAGCTCCATCGGACTGTCTGCATAATGCCCCCTCTTCTGTGCTTGCTCCACCGTCCAGTCGCGTAGTCCAACAGACCTCACCCGACTGTTCTCATTCGCCACCTTCCTCGTCCTGAACGACTTCAGCTCCCACTCAGTCTTGCTCATCCTCTGCTCCACCTGCCCCTTCCTCTCCATCTTGTCTCTCCACTGCCTTCGCCCCGCTTCCCTCGCTTGTCGCCGATTTCGTTGTTCCGCCACCATCGTGTCAATGTCGGTGCGAGCGTTTTCGATGCTGATTTTGGCTCGGCCGATGGCTTGCGTCAGTTGTGAGCGTCGCGCGTGCCAGTCCTTGTACTCTTCGCGCGGCACGAGACCGCGGTTCATGAGCGTGTCGATGGCGCCGACCATGGTCTGGAAGAACTGCACAATCTCCTCCTTCTGCACCACAAGGTAGGCTTGGGGAGTCGTGCGCTCCTCCGTGGAATCTACCCCGTAAGCCATCATTGAGCGCAGATTGTGCACAATGGGATCCAGCCGGTTCAGCGCCGCGGCCAGTTTCGCCCCGTCATCGCTGGTCAGGGCTAGGTTGAGGTATTGCACCAGCGTGTGGATGTCCAGATCGGCCTGGGTTTGCTCCATGACGTCGATGATGGCGCGCGCGTGCGTGAGCACACTGTAGTTCTTGTGGTCCCTTGCGCAGACACCCATTGCAAGCCGAAACGTCTGATTCTTAGGCGCCACGCCCGCCGCCGCCATGCCTTCCTTCAAGAGAGCGGCGGCCTGAGCAGAGCTGCGGTTGAACGACATGAGTTTGAGAAGATTGTGGAAATTGTTCAGATCCGGTTTGACTTCGTGTTCGCTGACGAACAGATTCCAGTAAGCCATGGCCGTCTTGGGAATCCGGAGGGCGGTACACGCTTCGACGATGAGTGACAGGAGCATGTTGTCGGGCTTCACCCAAGGCAACGCCATCGGCTTTACGGCCCTGCCTGACTGCGCCTGGAGAGGTTTTATGGGCTGGAAGACTTTCGTTGCCGGCGCATCTTCATACCCATCACCTTCTGCGTCGACCTCGGCGTCGGCAAACGGACGAAAGTCGGTAAGCTCAACATCCTCCTGATTCTCCTCAGCAACGGAAGGGCGGCGGTCCTCGGGGACATGTCCTGCATGGCGCTCCGGATGGCCTAGCGGCGGAACAAGACGTTCGATGCCTGTAGTCTGCTGCACGAGATCGAGCACCTGGTCCCAATCCGAGAGTCGACGACTGATCAACAGCAGTGCCCCCATGCAGTGCACCAACCCCGAATCCACCTCGATCCTAGCCCGTCTCCACTGCTTCACGATTTCTTTCCACACCGCCCGACCCTCCCGCACCGCTTGCGCCCTGCGCGCTCCCAGCTGATCCTCGGTAATGTGCGTCTCGTTCTTCCCGAACGCGCCAAGCCGGATAGCGTTCAGGATGGTGGTGTATGTGATTTGATCCGGTCCGCCATCACCCTTGGGAAGCTTGGCCACAATGCCCCACAGCGCATCCGTGTTGCGCGCGGCACTGCACACCTGGAGGACGGCATTGGTGTGGAGTATGCTGGGTCTCACTCTGCTGGTGGGACTGCTCAAGCTGTTGTAGATGCTCACGGCCTTGTTGACATTGCTCTGTGCCACCGCTTGGCCGTGGCGTTGTGGACGTGCAAGTCCTCGCAGGAGGAGGGAATATGTGTAGGAGTCGGGAAATTGTGCGCGCTTCTTCATCTCGTTGTATATGGTAATGGCCTCGTCCACTTTGCCACGCTGCATGTGCCAGTCGACGCAATGGTTCCACGATACGACCACATTCTGTTCCTTGGAAGCGAGACGGCACAGGTTCAGCGCCTTCTCCGGTTGATTGCAACGCAGAACATAGTGCACGTGCTCCGCCAGTTTGATACGATCAGGCAAATGTGTCAACTCCCGTTGCAGATTTCTCATTTCCGATTGGTCCAGGCTGTCCAACCCTCTCGACTTGCCCTTTGATATTACATGGCGATCTTCCGAGGCAGATGCTACCTCAACATCTGCTCTGGATGCTGTAGGGGCCCTTCGAGAGAGGGCAGTAGAGGCATCGTGGCGAATGGTCTGGGAGGAGAACGGGCGACGAGAAAGGTAGGCATGCGTCCTGCGCAGCGACAAGTGCGGCTTGGGAGGATCCGTGAGGGCGCGGAGGCAGCGCTGTAGACACGCCTTGCACTCCAACATGATAATGAGTGTGTGAGGAGATGCAAAGAGTGATGGATGCGCATTTGGTACTTTTCAAAAGTTCATTCACATGCAACGGGCTCCACTCGGCGATATCTCGGGAAAGGCGCGGCAGATCGAATGCGCCGGTTGCCCCCACGACGACCTCGTGTTTACTCCGACTTTGACGTCTTGACTTCCGACCAAGTTCAAGGACCGAGTGAAGAAGTGTGCATCTCAGACGATTGGCATTCTACCGCCTGTCAGCACAATGGAGACTCAACGAAAACCCAACACCGCTCTCTTTGACGTCTTCCTGCGCCTCCGACCCAACCCGGCAACGGATCGCGAACGCTTCCTCGACGTCGAACATCTGGACGAACAACATGAAGCACCTACGCGCATTACGATCAAACCGCCTGCCAATGACTATCGGAAACGCTCTGTGGAGAAGTTCGCCTTCACGCGAGTCTTTGAGGAGCATGTCGGCCAGCGAGAGGTGTTCGAGCGTACGGGTGCGGTAGGGTTGATTGAAGGCGTGCTCGGAGCTGAGGGTAGAGAAGGCCAAGACGGTCTACTTGCGACATTGGGGGTGACGGGGAGCGGCAAGGTGTGTATTCTTCGAAGACGACGGCCATGTGGGCAGCGCACTAACCATGCCTAGAGCCACACCATTCTCGGATCCCGATCACAGCGGGGAATCACCCAGCTCACCCTGGATGCCCTGTTTCGCCACACCGCGCCATGTCTGGTCGACGTCGACAGCAGTCTGACAGTCCTTCAATCGCTCCGTGCAGCGGACGTTTCAGAAGCACAGCTATTCTCCGCCGCTGCCTTCTTGGATGCCATCTACACCGACAACTACGGTATTTCACGCGCAGCAACGCCGGCGCGAGGTGCTACACCTGCCAGGGGAGTCACGCCTAGTGTGGTATGTATCAAGTCCCTCATCATCAAGCTGTACCATTCGTCACATCCTATAATGCTCACATCTTACGACAGGAGACATCGCTATACAAGGCGATAGGCGGCTCCAGGCGTCATGCTCCACGTCTCTCTACATTACCAACTGACCCACCCATTGACGACATCGACATCAATGTGGATAAGACCGCCGAATATGCAATCGTCATATCCATGTATGAAGTGCACAACGATCGCATCTTCGACCTCTTAGGGCCCAGCTGCGCGGCAAAAGGACTGGGTCAGCAAAAGCGCCGCGCCCTCCTTTTCAAGCCCACCGAGCTCTCACCCGATCGTAAGGTAGTCGCGGGCCTCAAGAAAGTCGTCTGTTCCGATCTCGAAGAAGCGCAATTAGTCTTGGACGTGGGCCTGCAAGAACGCCGGGTCGCAGGCACCGGAAGCAACGCCGCCAGCTCACGCTCGCACGGCTTCTTCTGCATCGAGGTGAAGAAGAGGCTTCACAGCACCCGAAGTGGCCCTTGGACAAGCAGTGCATTGACCATCGTCGATCTTGCCGGCTCCGAGCGTGCGCGGATCGCGAAGACAGCAGGCGCCACGCTCGCCGAAGCGGGCAAGATCAACGAGAGTCTGATGTACCTAGGCCAATGCATGCAGATGCAGCTAGACCACGCAGCGGCAAACCCAGGCTCAACACCGAACCTCGTTCCCTTCCGACAATGCAAGCTGACCGAGCTGCTGTTCAGCAACATCTTCACGACCCAGCAGCAACAGCAGCGCGGAGTCAGCAAACTCCCGCAAAAAGCCATCATGATCGTCGCCGCCGATCCGCTGGGAGACTTCAACTCCACCAGTCAGATCCTCCGGTACTCCGCCTTAGCAAAGGAAGTCACCCAGCCTCGCATCCCCAGCTTGACATCTACCATCCCCTTCAGCACGCTAGGAAGATCTCACAGCCGGCCAGCAACGCCCTCCGCCCTCGCGGACGAACTCGACAACGCGCTCGCCGAGCTCGCGCGCGTGAAAGCCGATCTCGAAATCACGCAGATGCACCTCGAGGAAGAGACGCTGCGGAGGCAGCAAGCGGAATCCAGTTGGCAGGTAGCCGAGAGTCGGCTGGAGGAAGTTGAAGTCGAAATTCGAGAGGAGATGTGGAGCGAGATGGAGGTGAAGCTGCAGCAGGAGCAGCGGAGGTTCCTCGCCGCGCGGGATGCGGATCTGGACGCGCAGGATTCGCATCTGGATCGGAAGTTGGAGATTATGACGAGGGGCATCAGTGTGTTTGAGGATGACAAGGAGAATGTCGAGGGTGGGGAGACGGGAGACGAGGCAGTCACCAGAAAGCAGAGAGGGAGTGTTGTGTTTGTGAGGAACGAGGAGGAGGAGATGAGGCTGGCGGATTTGGAGGCGGAGAATGCGGCGCTGAGGGAGCGCGTGGCTAACCTTGAGCGGGAGAGGGAGGTGCAGCGGAGTCCGAGTAAGAAGATGAGGGTGTTGAAGTCCAGAAAGTGGGAGGGCAGTGGGATGGGGTTGGATGAGGTTTGAAGAGACTGGAGCCATGTTTGGATTCCAATTTCACGCTTTGCCTCGATTGAGGACGAAGTTACTGTGCAGATGTCTAAAAGCGAGCGTTTCGTAGTCTACTACTTCCGGCATGCCACTCTCCCGGTCAAAGAGCCAACGAGTTGCCCTCAAGACTCTCCTTCATTGCCGCCAGGCTGAACCGCCTCCTCTTCTTCTTCTTGTTGGCGCTTTCCTTCTCGCCTTGACCTCTCTGTTGGGCGGGAGGTGTGTGTCGCGGACTCGGCGGAGACGGGCTCCCCGGGCTGCTCGAGTTGAGAATGTCCAGGATTTTTCGACCGACGAGAGCATCTTCTGCTCTGTGCGCTGAGGGAGAGCGTGGTATAGCCGGCTGGCCTGCTGACGCGCGTGCGGAAATCGGCGATACGGTCGACGAGGAGGAGCTCGAGGAAGAAGATGGTGAGGAGAATGGCTCTTCCACTTCTTCCTTCTCCTCTTCTTCGCGAGCCCCGCGCTCATCATCGGTGCTCCACCCTTGGTTGTACTCTTCGTCGGTTTGCTGGACCATCGGTCTGGGTTCACGCTTGGGGCGGTAGCTGAGCGGGTATCGGTAGCGATAGGTGGGTTTCTCGTCCTGGCCGGCTTCCTGATGTACGCAGGAGCGTTAGCGCGAGAGCAGCAGGCTGATCAGTGGCGGGATTACCTCTGGAACATCTTCACTCCAGGTGATGGAATCGTTCCTGCGACCGCGATCTGGCCTCTTCCCGAAGCTCTTGGCGCCCTTGACGGCTGTACCTTCAGGACTTCCTGCCGCTTCTTCTGTGATGGGTGGAATCGTGCCACGAACAGGAACCTCTCGATCTGCAATACAAAAGATGATCAGCGCCAAAATCAATTGCCACATGGGGATGTGAGCAAGCCAACCTTTCAAAGGAAGCAGATTGGCCTTGAGGTAGCACTCCGCAAAGTAGGCCCAGTGCTCCATTTCGACGCTGCGCTCACTCGGGTGGAGGTTGTGGAATTCGTCCAACAGCGCGGTGGCGACGGCGGCATACTCCTCCTGCGAATGGCTGCCTTCGAGCAGGTAGAGCTAGTACCCGTTCATGGAAGCGGCTTTGACGCTGCTGGGCCGTCTCGTTGAGGAGAGAGAAGGCCCGGGGCGCTGGTTCTCCTGCGAGTTGCAAGACATGGTGTGTATTGTACGACGTGGCTGCTCCGGAGCAAACCTTTCGGAACAGTAGCAAACTTTTGTGAATGGCGTTTGTGGGAAAGAGATTGAACTGAGTTGAATGAGAATGGAATGCGTAGAGTTATGCGAAGACGATGTATTGCAACGGATGGATGAGAGATGATTGCCAGAGAAGAGAAGCTCGAAGAACTGAAGCGATGACCTAAGGTTTGAACGCCGTGACTACCTACCTTACGAAGAAACCGAGATGATCATTTGGGGTCTCAGTTAGACGGAAAGAAGGTCTCAAGAAGCGCAAGAAAGAACTGTTTGATGTCTTGCTCGGGGGAGTTTCAGGATGCTGCCTTGATGCCTGAGCCTGAGACCGAGCAATCACATGCCGGGGCTAGCCTGATCCGGAATGGCGTACCCGTCGGCGCTTGCCGTAAAGTTTTCGGCTTCCCTTTTCTTTGCGCCTCAGCTTTTTTTTTCTGTCGTCACCTTCCTCTCTCCCTCCTCACCTTCACCCACAACACCTCTCCCTTCATCTTCAATCTCTCATCACCACCGACCCAAACTCATCAACACTCCTTCTACCCCTCAACCCCACCACCCTCACTCTCAGCAACACCTTGCCTCAGTCACAGTCACTACTCTCGAAACACCACGTCATGGCCTACTCAAACGGCTACAGCGGCGGATACGGAGGCGGAGGCGGCCGCGGCGGAGGTGGCTACAGCAACGGAGGCGCCAACGGGTACGATAACTATGGATCACGAAGCTACGGCTATCAGGATGACTATTCGCATGGGTAGGCCCAAGATGAATATCCCCCTGGCACCACCGCGCACCATCCAGCACTTCTTCCTTTCCCCGAATCATTTCGCTGACTTCATCAATACAGATACGGACACAGCAACGGACACAGCAACGGCAACGGCAGTGTCAACGGATACTCTGGCGGCGGTGGATACGGAGGCGGTGGCGGTGGCTACGGCGGCGGAGCCGGCTTTGGCGGAGGCGACAAGATGTCGAACCTCGGAGCTGGCCTGAAGCAACAGCACTGGGACCTCAACACCATGCCCAAGTTCGAGAAGTCGTTCTACAAGGAGGACCCTGCCGTCGCTGCGCGCTCTCAAGCCGACGTAGACGCCTTCCGTCGCGAGAAGCAGATCGCCATCACCGGCAAGAATGTGCCCAAGCCGGTCGAGACCTTCGACGAGGCCGGCTTTCCAGGCTACGTCATGAACGAGGTGAAGGCTCAAGGCTTCCCTCACCCCACCCCCATCCAATCCCAGGGCTGGCCTATGGCTCTTTCCGGTCGTGATGTCGTCGGTATTGCCGAGACCGGTTCTGGAAAGACTCTCACATACTGCCTGCCCGCCATCGTCCACATCAACGCCCAGCCGCTCCTCGCACCTGGCGACGGCCCCATCGTCCTCATTCTCGCCCCTACCCGTGAACTCGCGGTGCAGATTCAAGAAGAAGTCAGCAAGTTCGGCAAGTCGTCGAGGATTCGCAACACCTGTGTGTACGGCGGTGTGCCCAAGGGCGGCCAAATCAGAGATCTCGCTAGAGGCGTGGAGGTCTGCATCGCCACCCCAGGCCGCCTCATTGACATGCTCGAATCTGGCAAGACCAATCTCCGACGTGTAACTTACCTCGTCCTCGACGAAGCCGATCGTATGCTGGACATGGGGTTCGAGCCGCAGATTCGCAAGATCATTGGCCAGATCCGTCCCGATCGCCAGACTTGCATGTGGTCCGCCACCTGGCCAAAGGAAGTCCGACAGCTCGCATCCGACTACCAGCAAGACTTCATCCAGGTCAACATCGGTTCCCACGACCTCGCCGCCAACCACCGCATCACCCAAATCATCGAGATTGTTTCCGACTTCGAGAAGCGTGACCGCATGCTTAAGCATCTTGAGGGAATCATGCAAGAGAAGGAGAAGAACAAGATCCTCGTCTTCACCGGCACCAAGCGCGTCGCCGACGACATCACTCGCTTCCTCCGCCAAGACGGCTGGCCCGCCCTCTCCATCCACGGCGACAAGCAGCAAAACGAGCGCGACTGGGTGCTCAACGAATTCAAGACGGGCAAGAGCCCCATCATGGTTGCCACCGATGTGGCTTCCCGTGGTATCGGTATGATTGCAAACCCCTCCCTCCCCTCCCCCACCCCACTTCATGTGATGTGATCCCCTCATCGCCGTGTCCCACATGCGGGATCTGTTCCACCACAGGCTGCGCTCTGCGCTTCACGTGCACATATAACCATTCGTGTCTAGGGCTGCGTGTTCCTTTGTTCTTCAAAGAAGGATCCTTGGAGACTTTCGACCGGTGAGAGCCCCTGCGCTTTCGCCGTCCTTTCCGTTTCTCTTGCTTGTTGCAGCAGCTCCACCCATAAGAGAAGCGGGATCTCGAGTCTTTCAAATGTTGCGTTGGTGTCACAGCTACGCGCGTTCCAAGGATCCCCACGGGAGAATAGTAGTCCACGGCCCTCAGGCACCCATTGGATGTAGATGTGTGTGTGCGTGTCAGCGTCAAGAACGCCTTGATCCATCAGACAAGGCTGCTCTACGGGGTCGTATACGAGCGCACCCTCCGACAGATCTCGCATCCGGCAAAGGATGGCTATTGCTTCTCATGACTTACCTCGATCGCTTCAGCGACTTTTTACTAACGTTGCTCGTATATTCAAGATGTCAAGGACATTACTCACGTGTTCAACTATGACTACCCCAACAACACCGAGGACTACGTCCATCGTATCGGCCGCACTGGACGTGCTGGTCGCGAGGGCACGGCCATCACGCTCTTCACTACTGACAGTATGTTGTCCCTTTTTCACACTCCACGTCATGCATGCGGCTAATCATTGTTACCAGACTCGAAGCAAGCGCGCGAGCTCGTGCAGATCCTCAAGGAGGCCAAGCAGCAGATCGACCCTCGTCTTGCCGAGATGGCTCGCTTCGGCGGCGGGGGCGGTGGTGGCCGCGGCTACGGAGGAGGTCGTGGTCGTGGGCGTGGAGGATGGACGGGCAGTAACACTGCTCCGCTCGGCGGCTCGCGTCGCTGGTAGATTGTGCACGATCTGCCTGGTTCCACAAGCACGATTCACCACGACCACCCGATGCATTTTTGCTATGAACAACACGGCGTTCAGGGCTAGACGGGGTTACTCAACATAGAGGATGGCATGGATTCGGCAGACGGGGCTTGCTTCTTCACAATCAGCATCGGCGTTGCTCCTTTTTTGCTTGACCATGCTCTTCCGGCGGCAGCAGAGATTTCACTGGCTGCTCTGTACTCTAGCATCGATAGATTGCTTCTACTTTGTGCTTTCTGACGTTCTGCTCGCTTTGGTCTGCGATTTCATCCTGTTGTCCACCGGCTCCGTCTCCCCTCTACTGAAGATCACTGCCTGACTCTGACTCTGATTCGCCCGATATCGAAGGCGGAGCCGACCGGCCTTCACATGACTGCAACGTGACTGTAGCATCTCCGCCGGCCCCTTGGACACAAAACGCAAATCGGACCCTCGAAAAAGGAGCTCGTCTTACATCAGGTCGATACCGGCTGGCCGGTTCTCCACGGAGTGAACTCCGAGCACTACGAAATACTGGGTCCTTTTTACTGGCAGGATTGTGCTTGTCTCACCGCTACAGCTTCATTCGAACAGGGATCGGTTGTTTGGTAGCTCGCACGGATTCTGGAGGTTGTAGCCTCGGCCCTTGGGGCAAGCGGAACAGCGGGAGTATTGTCCTTATTGCCGGTTGCTTTTGTTGAAGAGTATAGCTTGCCAGACCGTGGCAGCTGTGAGACAGCTGTGTATGTACCTGGTAAAGGATGGGGAGGTAATCTGATAACACGGATTGGACGAGATTCGCCCGTGGTAGTGAGCGAATCCACTTTCCTCTACTCAATCAGAGTCCCGCATAAAACTTCCCAGCAGAGCTACGTGTAGACGAGAGAAGCATCATCGAAGCCCGTTCGGGCATCGACGTTGCGCCTATCACAGGCCTTTCCGCTCAGGCGAAAAGGGGGATGGCCTTCAGCTTTCCCGTTTGGGGACCGTATGCCAGAACCGGTGGCCGGAGAAGGGCCGGAGGGGCCCCATCATCATCGACAGAAGTGAGAGGGTCGATGAAGGCGAAGGGTGGCATGACATGGCACAATCTGCGCGTACATAACGAAAACCTGCGCCATTCGGCAAATCCAGGCACTAGCAGCATGCAGGTCTAACGGGGGCCCCCGATTCGTGGCGCGAGCTTTTTATGGAGGTGCTTGCGAATGCGAGTCAAGGCGCTGCAGATGGGGGGCGATCAACGGTTCCGAGAGCTCGAAATGGATTGCTTTTGCGATGTTCGATTGTCGCTCTGGGCCGTTTGGTGCGTGGGGGGAAGGGGGGGCCGGGCAGTGGGGATTTAGCCGGCTGATTGGAAGTTTGCGCAAATCTCGCTTTTTACCGCTGGGGCCGGGATGAGGTGATCGTCATTGGGAGGAGGAGAGAGGGAAGGATGCAGATGGTGAAGAGAGATATCAGCGTGGAACGTACCCCTCTGGACAAAGGACGTCAAAACAAAAGTCCGCTGCTTTAGCACTAAAAAGCGACCGCGGTCTGGGGGGGTGTTCCTAGTGTGAGGGAAGGGGTGGTGGGTGGGTTAGTTTGCTGGCGGACAAAGTCTCGTCATCCTCCGGCTTCACTGCCGAGCCGTGCGGGCGCGCACTACGGACGGGCCCACGGCTAGGCATCGTCACGTTGTCCTGCATATTTTCCGAGATTTTCGTGATTTGGATTTGCGAGGGAAACGGGAGGCTCCGGCATTATGCTGATGGCGAAGTGGAGAGATGAGCCGTGAGATCTGGGTCTGGACGATGGCTGGGTTCGAGATTCGCACAATGATTTGTAGGGGGGTCTGGCGAATCAGATGCCGAACCCTTGTTTGGGGAAATGCAAAACAACGGTTATCTGATGTTCCGGGGGGATAAGGAGGATGAGATGAATGGAGCTTCGTCGTTTTTCCTGCGTAATGATGCGGACACATGACGAGCGCGTGGCGGGGGTATGTGCCCAATGATACCCTGTCGTGGTGTTTGCGCGGACCGCTGCCCCGAGACGTCGGTCGCGCGCGCATGCAGCTGTCGAGCAGCTGAGCTGCCTATTGGCGCCTGGCCAGCTCGAGCAACCTCCTTTTTCGACGACACTGAGCCTCGGCTGTTCGGTCATCCGACGTGCACAGGTGGATGTACAGCAGCAGGCGGGTGGTGTGGACCGAGAGCGCAGTGTGCCAGGGAAGAGGTCCGCGTCAGGTGATTCGAATTGGTCATGGCTTTCGAGTGGTGTGCAAGCCTTGATATCGGTCACGAGATGGTGCTAACCACAGCGGGCCTAAACCAACTCGCCGTGTGCCAGCCTTGCTACTCGTGTGCTAGTCTGTCCATGCACGCGCGCCGGCTTGCTCATGTCGACGGTGCTTGAATGGACGTCGGGAGAGGAGGCCTTACAGCTGCCTGCCTTTCCGCCGTCGCCGTCCAGATTCCGCCCTCGATCGACAGGCGGCGGCCCCCGCATACTTTCATCACATAGCCGGGCGGTTGCATTCGAACGCTCGTTTTCACATTGTCCCCTCTTTTTCTCCACGTCAAGCTCGCGATCCCTTGCCCCGTCTGCTGATGAGGAGGCATGGCTCTAGGCACAGATAGTGGGCCGCGATGCCTATCTCTCCTGATCAGAGTAGCGAGCGGGGCCAGCAACAGTAGACGCTTGGGGACCAGTGCTCGGGCACTCCACGTCCGTAGATAGGGACGTTCTTGGCACGTCACACGGGCGTCGAACAGACAGCACCGGCCGAATGCCACGTTCCCACGAAACGACATGCGCGTGCCTGCGTGCGTGCGTGGTGCGTGATGAGCCCCACGGGCCACCCATGTTCGCTGCCGGAGCACACAGTCCTCATCACAACATCGACAAGGTTTATTCTTGTTGCATTCTGCCGTTTGCTGGCCCGTCGGTCCAGCGAGCAGCGCGCGCGCCAAGCCTGACCCCCGTGAAATTCGGGGTGTCTGTGCGCAGATGCCGCTGGCTGCTGACTGGCCAGCCGTCGAGGCATCCAAGCACCTTCCAAACTTTAGCCGCTTCCTTTCCAATTCCCCAGCCCATCCACCGCGCCAGCCCATCCATCTGCGCGCCCCTCGCAAAGCTTATCCGTTGCCCGCAGTGCGCACGGAGGGTTTCCCGACACTCAATCTCTGCATCTCTGCACCTCAGCGCCACGGTTGGCCCTTGTGCTGAGCCAGTGGCCGAAGCTGGGCCCCAGCCAACCCACCATTCACACCCACCCTCCCAAACTCAAAAACCCTGCATGCTGTGAAAGGTTTTCGCACCTCCGTCTGGGCCTTTTCATCACTTGAATTGCCCCCTCTCGCCCGGATTCGCCGTGGCCGATCGACGGATATCTTCATCCGTCGTCATCGCCACTGCTGCCCATCTGCGCCGTGCGTGCGGGCCACGTCCACATCCGGCTTGGTCTTCCCAGCGCTATTCTCAGGTCCCGCTCCGGCATACGCTACTACAAATCACGCTACTCCCCCTTCACCCTAGCTCTCCCGACTCCCTCCAGCAAACTCTGCGCCGGCTCCTCCAAGTGCCTGCCATTAGGCCGTTTCCGTCCCTCCCTGGCCTCCAAGCTCGATTCGGGCAAGCCAGCAAAATAAAACCACCGACCTTCCACTCATCGCTCCCCCGGCCGCGCTAATCAACGCGGGTTCGGTTTGCGAGTGGAGACCCATCCGGCTGCAAAACAACCGCAGCTCCAGGTACAGCACCCGCCGCGCCAAAACAACAAGCTCTGGCCGGTCATCATCTGCCGAGCCCTTTTTTCTCCTCCACGCCGCGCCGTCTGCGCTTGCTTTGTTTGGGAGCCCGGCATTGGCGCTGCGTGACGGACAGACGGTGCATTCCTTCGACGGGCGTAGCATGTCCAAAGCCTATCCTCCATCCTCCACTACGACACGCACTACCACCACCAGCACCGCCGCGAGCACGCCCAATCACGACGCCTCGCTCAGCGCCATCCTAGCGTCGCACCTGCACCACGACCATCCACAGTACATGGATGGTAGACAGTCGGACTACACGCACCCAGGTTTGACCACTCCGTCCGCGCAGCTCAACGGCTATCAGCAGTCTGAAGGCTCCCCCGCAGGTCAGACATCTGCTGTGCAATACCACCAACAAGGTCCACTAGACCACAAGCCGCCCACCTATTCCGCGTCGGCCACTCCCAGCTCCGACTACGGCTCGCGCTCCAGCTCCTACCCCGAATACGCCCAGCGCGGATACGCCGACGGACAGTCGAATCGCTATCCCGCCCCCGCGACGCCAGGACACGCTGCTGCCATGGCGCAAACATCAAGTCCGTCTCAATCTCTCTCCGAAGCTCACAGGTTGCATGGTCGTAACCCCAGCAACATGACGTCTGACGGAGAAGTGCCCATAGATCCATCCATCGCGCAATCGAGCCCCTCCTACCCTCCCCCTCACAACTACTCCCCCTACCCGCCGCAACACGACATGCCGCAGTACGCGGGCCAGCCAATGGCGTACGGCCGCCCCGACTGGGCCGGGCAATACCAGCAGCCCATGTACGGCCACTCGCCCGTGACGTCTGGAGCAGGCGCGCCAAACATGGTCGCGCACACTCTCCCTCGACCCCCAGCGGTACGCGCTGTCCTTGATCCTCCTCGCATCCCGCATCTGCTAATACTTGCTTGGCTATCCAGGGCGGTCATCCCCTCTCTACGGTGTATTCCTTCGTTCCGATCCCTGGTGCGCAGCAGCACAAACGACCGCGACGACGTTATGAAGAGATTGAAAGAATGTACAAGTGCGGGTGGAATGGGTGCGAAAAGGCATACGGCACGCTGAATCATTTGAACGCGCACGTGACGATGCAGTCGCATGGGACCAAGAGGACGCCTGAAGGTGAGTGCCGCCAAGTTCGCGCAACATTCAAGCCTTTCCGGCCACGCCACACCTGCACTTTCCTTTGGCGTGGTTGCACGGAATGCATGTCAGACACGCTTGTCAGCGGTGCTGGTAGTGTGCCGCCCTCCGCGGGCGCTAGAACGCCAAGACCCTTGCGTGGTTAAGCCGTCTAGCGTGGCTTGTCGCGTGTTCCATCGCGCTAGAAGTCTTGACTCTGATCCACTTGCTAACTGCTCCTGCCTGTCGACAGAATTCAAAGGTTCGTACCACCGGGTCTTGACCTGTTCGGGAATGGGGCTACTTTCGGGCTGAGGTATGTTTTGCTGACACATTTATCGCCTTGCAGAAATCAGGAAGGAGTGGAAAGGTTAGTCATCGCTCGTCGTCGGCCAAGTGGCAATGCCTCCCACGTGCTAACATCCGCCGCAGCCAAGAAGAAGGAAGAGGATAATCAGCGCAAGCAGGAAGAGGAACGGCAACGACAAGACGCCGCTCGCAATGGCCAGGATTCGCAGCCACCGCCCGGCCAGTACGGACAGCCGGGGATGATGCCGCATCAGATGGGCGGTCCCCAGCTCCCTCCGATCGGCTACCAACCAGCTGCCCAAGGCCAGTATACGCAGCCGCAGCAGATCGACGGCGCCCCGCAGTACGCCAACGGCCAGATGTACGCCCAGGGGTATCCGCAGAGCCCATACGGACACGGACAGGGTGGCTTGCCGTATCAGCAGCATCAAGCGCCGCCTCAGCAGTACCATCAACAGTAATTGGTGAGTCCTCCTGCGCTCGAGAGGCGGATGCATTCTGCCATGTGACTCCCCGTCGTCGTTTCCGTGAGACTCCATCCACTGACACGAACACGACTCCAGCACTGCAACCCCCTTCTCCAACGAATCGGCATCGCGAGATCCAACCTCGCCTGCCATTCGTCTGTTTGAACTTTGTTTTGCTTTTCGCCGCATCAGAAACTCATTCCCCTTCGTGAATACCCTTTCACTCCTCCAACCATTTGCTCTCGTCCCTTCTTCTCTTTTCATGAGCACAATCACACCGCACTTCGACGGACTGCACAACGAAGTGGGCGGTGTCGGAATATGGGATGGCGGATAGAGCGTCGGGGGTTTAAGTCCCCGATTCAGATTCAGGCCGGGCCATGGCCTTTTTCACGGCCGCTGGAGGGCGGACGGCGGGGTGTTTGCAACGGCCGCTGGAGGAAGTCAAGGAAAGGAAAGGAAAGAAACTTCAAAAAAAATCAAGAGGTGGAAACATCCTCCCGGTGTGTGGGAATGGGGGGGATATTTTGAATATTGGGAGACGCCGGTGGACCTCCGTCGAGGACTCATCGGCTCAGTTCAGCTTCAGCTTCGGCATGCTCGGTTCTTTCATTTGCGTTTCTTGCTTTTCGTGCGCGAAGACGGCAGAGGAGGGTTGAGGAAGGAGAGGAGGATGCGAGTGGTGCAGCATCGCTTGCATTCGTTTCCTCTTACCAGCTTTGTGGGTGTGTGTAGATAATTGCATTCGAATGCCTGTCATGGGCGTTACATGTTGTCGATTTTGCTCGTGCGCATCCGCCGCTGTGACTGTGTGTGCAGAGTAGGAGCGTGAAGACGATAGGTGGCGACTATGCGAGTACATCGCAACTGACGAACGGACAAGCGAAACGACTTATATATGCACCTAGCACATGCACCGGAGCAACAAGCGCGAAAGCCTCCAGCCCACCCTCCCGATCCCAATCCCTGCCGAATCCATGTACAAACTCGCCATTACTCCACTGGACATTTGCCGACGCGGAAACAGGCGCAGCAGCGGTGGCGGCTGCCCCAACTCCTTCGACTAGCCTTGTTAGCGTCCACCGGCAATCAGTCATCAGTGAACGCCGCACCGGGTTGGTTTATCAGCTTGGGGATGGGCGCCCGACTAATGTACGCGCGGGAAGAAGGGGTTTATGCTTAACCACCCCAGGCGTGCGTCCCGGGTGGGTGGGCAGATCACTACGGGGCCGCCTCGCTCCGCGGCGCGCGGGATGTACCACATCACCTTTATGTACATCATGTTTGATCTTCGATACGAAGGTAGTGGGGGCCGGCCGGGTTGGCGCCATTCTACTACTGTATCTGGGCCCCCCCCTTCCCACCCGGCGCGCTGGACATGCTTCCGCATTACACAGCGCTAGTTTGCCACGACTAGGGGCGTGGGCGTGCAGTAGTCCTGAGGGTCTCGCACGTGTGCATGGGAAATGTGTGTACGAGCTACGTAGGAGCGCCGTACGCGGCGGGTAGACTAGCTGGGGAATACAATAAGGGCGACAAGCGTGACGGCGTGTTGGGTCCGGGGAGCGAGGAGTGGCTGCAGCTGGGCTTGCCCCCTGTGGCTGGCTGAACGCGCGCCCGGGGATCGCACTCACGCCCGTTGGTTTCGTGCATGTCCTGGCGGTGCGCGCCGCCGCTGCTCTAGCTGTGCACGGCGCCCCGCGTAGGTGGAAGGCAAAGCGGTTTGGGGGCGGAAGGTAGGCTGTCGTGTCGTTGCCCGGTTGGACTTAGTAAGCATTGGTGCGACTTCCTGATTGGGGCATTCCGAGCGACTTCGGCCGAGCGAGGATGGGACTACACTCTGATGGGTTCGTGCCGACGTCGAACGAAGCAGTGAGCCCTCTGATCTCGATATTGGCCTTGCGTTTTGGTCCTCAGTGGTTTGATTGGACGACAGACCCGGCTGTCCTAACCTTTAGCGGTGTGAGGCTCGACGTTTCATGTCCATTGGCAGAACTAGGGCCAAAACTACGACATATATCCCCCATCCCAACTCCGCCATGAACGTAGGCGTGCACCTGGAGAAAGTAGCGCAGATGCGGGCGAGCGGCACTTCGACGACGCGCGAAGGGCCCATCCGCCTCGCCATCCTCGACGACTACCAGAACATCGCGCGCCCCAAATTCGCCGCCCTGCTGCCGCGCATCGAAATCCACACCTTCACCTACACCCTCAACGCGCACAGCACCTCGGAACGCAATGAGCTCATCAAGCGCCTGCAACCTTTTGATGTCATCTCTTCCATGCGGGAGCGCACCGCTTTCCCCGCGGAAGTCCTGTCCGCTCTGCCCAGGTTGAAACTTCTTTTGACAACGGGCATGCGTAATGCGTCCATCGACATGCAAGCCTGCGCGGACCGAGGCATCCTCGTCGTCGGCACGAAAGGCAGCAAGATCAAACCACCCCCGACTCCGCCCTCCACTCAGGTCCTATCTTCGTCCCTGCAAGCAACCGCCGAGCAAACACTCGCCCTCATCCTCGGCGTAACGAAACTAATCGCACACAACGACGCGCACATCGCTCACGGCGGCTGGCAAACAGGCTTCGTCTCCAGTCTCGCAGGCAAAACGCTCGGCGTCGTAGGACTAGGCAAAATCGGCGCGCACGTAGCACGCATGGCAGCGTTGGGGTTCGGGATGAATATCGTCGCCTGGTCGTCGAATCTAACGCAGCAGCAAGCAGACGAGCGCGCGAAGGAAATCGGACTAGAGGCCGTGGGAATCCGAGTCGCGGCGTCGAAACTCGACCTCTTCCGCGAAGCGGACGTGATTTCCCTGCACTACGTTCTTTCCGATCGCAGTCGACGCATGGTCGGCAGCGAGGAAGTGGCGGCTATGAAGCCCTCTGGCGTCCTGGTCAATACGTCGCGCGGCGGCCTCATTGACGAACCGGCATTACTGGCGGCGTTGAAGCAAGGTCGTATCCGCGGGGTGGGATTGGACGTTTTCACCGTCGAGCCTTTACCGTCCGATAGCGAGTGGCGCACGACGCGGTGGGGCGAGAACGGCGCGGGATATGCTGTTCTGAGTCCGCATATGGGCTATGCGGAGGAGGACGTGATTCACGGGTGGTACGAGGAGACGGCGGAGAGTCTTGCGGAGTGGCTGGATGGAAAGACGCCGAGCGCGGTGATATCGTAGCGCTCTGCACGCACTCACACATAAAACGTACAGCATGGAGAGGAGACGCTTCAGGACTGCGTAGCATTGCGAATCCCTGGCTTATTCCTGCTCTAGCCGATATAGGCCTATCCTACCCATCTAGTCCATTGTCTCACTTAGCATGCAATCTGTCCTTGGGCCGGCCTAGTAGATGCATAGCCCCCAGTAAACCCAGCACCTGAAAACTAACGGGGCGTAGCAGATACGACACCACAAAGCAAAGGTCTGCCCGCTGCGTCGCCCACCCGCCGATACATCCGGAAATCAAGGGAGGAAAAGGAAAAAGAAGAGTCCGTCGTTCGTTCTGATGGTACAAAAGGGCTGTTTTGATCGATACTGCCCGGAAGGAGCTGCTCAAATCAAAAGTCCCAAAAGGATCTCGTGCGTCTGTCTGTCTAGGGCTACACTGCCGCCAAGCTGACGCAGCCAGCTGGATGAAGATTCCTAGACGTGCGTCGAGGGATTCAACTTCGGACGCTCCGCCTAGTGCGCGCCGTAGTTGGAGCCCCAGCCGCCGCGCGAGTTGTAGCTGCCATAGGTTTGGTTGAAGCTTCCGGCGCCGTAGCTGCCATATCCTCCCTGCTGCTGCTGCTGTTGCTGCTGTTGCTGCTGGGAGCCCAATCCTCCGAGTCCATACTGTCCCTGTCCCGCAAAGCCTGGGTAGCCGCCTCCGAAGCCAGACTGCTGGTTCTGGGGCGGTGGGAGGCCGGACTGGTTCGAGCCGCCGGCGCTATTGGCCGCAGAGCCCGGGCGCCCGCCTGGCTGGCCGAGGGCAGGCGATGAACCGGCCTTCGATGCCTCACTGAATGGCTTCAGCGAGTCGTCTTGCCCCGTCGCCATGCTCTGTTGACCATAGCCACTCTGCTGCTGCTGCGCGGCTCCCCCGTATCCCGAGCCGGAGCGCTGGTTGAAGGGATCATGCATGCTGGCGAATGCGCTGCTCTGCTGATGCGACTGTGCCGACCCACGGCCGTAGTCGTCCACCCCTCCAAGACCCGAGTTCACGCCGCTGCCGCTGCGCATACCAGATTGGTTCTGTGCGTAAGAGGCTGCGTTGGCCGGCGACGCGGAATGCTGCTCATACGACGATTGCGGACCCATGCCGTAGCCATGCGAAGCGCCGTACATCCCGCTGGGTTTCGCTGGGTAGCCGCCGTATCCGCCGAGTTGACCGCTGTATCCAAACTGGCTCTGATAGGCTGACGGATATGGGCTGCTGTAGTATTGGTGACCGTAAGGAAAGCCTGGCTGGGCTCCATACCCGCCTTGCTGTTGATGGCTCGGCGCTTGGTGCATGGAGGGCTGCTGAGTTTGCTGCGTGTTGGCACCCGTAGACTGTTGCTGACTGGCCATGGGTGGGTTGGGAGTGTTGTGGCCGGAGCCGGTGGTGTCACCATAGCGTGACTGCGCCTGCTTCGAAGGCTGGTCAGATAAAATGCTTTTGGAGCTGGTCTGCAGAGGGGAAGAGGGGGTGTCAGGGGATGTGAGATTAGTTACGTCTGACAGGGTCGTCACGAGCGATTGAGTTGGCGGCGGCATTGGGCCATTGAAGAGACTCTCATACCACCACCGATCCCTCTCCGCGAATCCAGGCGCACGCCCCGCGTCTGACACATCTCCACCGGCCGGCTTACCAGCCGTGTGCGGTTTCGATTGCATCTGAACGGACGAGATGATGCGCTGAATCTCGTTGAGTAGATATCGCCTCTGACCCTCGTTGCTGCAGCCGTTCAAAGCGGCGTTGAGATCTAGAAGAGATTGTGAGGTACTGACCTGCTGTTGGGCCTGGGATGCGAAAGCAGTGTCGTGCGGTCCTCCAGCGGCGCCGAAGCCGCTGGCTGATCGCTGCTGTCCCATCCCAGCGTCTTGTTGTCCTTGGTTACGGGCGTCCTGGGGCCCATACGAGCTGCCATAGTAATTGCTGTACCCTCCGCGCTGATGGTCGGCTGTGTAGTAGGAAGAGTAATCGCTCGGGGCGGATGAATGGCCACCGTAGCTGCCCTGGCCTGCTTGCTGCTGGTGCGGCTGTTGGACGTGAGAGCCATACTGATCGTACTGGCTCTGAGGACCTTGCTGATAGGGGTCATAGGGCTTCGCCTGCTGAGCGCCCGAGTCTTGCTGCAAAGCAGCTTGGCCATACCGTTGACTGTATTGGTTGTAGTTCTGATTGATTTGCGTCATTTCGCTGGGGCCGGTAGGCGCCATGGAGACCTCTTGGATCTGTTGTTGATTCTGTTGAGAAGCTGGGGGGAGTCCAGGAGCTTGCTTCGGCGTGGGTAGGCCCTCGGGCATGATCGCCTCGGGCACCTGCCTGGGAGCCGGAGGCAGAGAAGTCCTCGGTTGAGAGGGCGGCGAGTGCTGGGGCGCGTGGCGCGTCTCGGGCTCCTCGCGGTCGTCATCGACATCCGGACCAGGCTCGCCATTGATACCCATACTCCCGAATTGCACGGCAGCCCTGTCGACGGCATTGTGTCCGGGCATAACGACCGCCTCTTGCTGCTCAAGAACTCGGCGCTGGAAGCTCGCGCTTCTGTTGGGTAGTCCGGCAGCACGCTGTGCACTAGTCGCATAGCCACCGATGGGCGGACGAGCGATTGGAGCTTGCTGACCGGGTAGAGGCGTAGGGTTGCGAGGGTCGGCGGAACCAGCAGTGCTGGCGACAGTCAATGTCGCGGGTGGATGGGAGTCGTCTGGGAGGTGCTCGACGTTCTCCTCCGTCAAAGGATCTTTTGTCGGGGTGATGTCCAGTTCTGCACCATCTGTACTGGATAGCCTGTCTGCTGCTGACGAGTCGTCTGCGATCAACGACACTGGAGCATCAGGCGGAGGCCCGGTCCCTTCCGTCGGCTGATGAGATGCCGCTGGAATCACGCCAGCAGCGGCCAACTCGGCAGGCGCCTGCTTTGCAGTAGGGACTTTCTTGGGTGCTGGTGGGGCCGGCTTCTGTGCGAACATGCTGGCCCAGCTCTTCTTCGCACCACCTTCTGGTATCAAGCTGCTCTTTGCACCTTCCGAGGCCGTTGCGGGAGTGCCCTGTGAAGTCACTACATTTGCCCAAGCGCTTTGTCCGGCGTCGCCAGTGCCTTTGGCGGCATCGTGTGCCTTCGGACCCGGGTGTACTTCCGGCGCTGCTGCATGACCGCCGTCGTCATACGAGGTGGATTCGACAGTCGGGACCGATGTGGTGCTGGGCTCCTCAGACGATCCATTGACGGCAGCATGGCCGCCTCTGCCACCACGAATGCCACCTCTACCACGTTCTGATCCGCGTCCACGGGAGCCACGAGTACCTTCAAAGCCTCCTCTTCCACGACCTCCGCGGGCTGGCGTCTTCTCTGCCGCACCTGGCGCCACGGAGGTCTCTTTTACCTTTGAGCGAGCACGATCCTTGGCGCTCTTCACTTCGGCAAATTGGGACACATTGCCCTGGGCGATCCGCTCGACGGTGCTCGGGATGTCGCCGTCAGCCTCTTGGAGAGCGAAGACCAAGTCCACGTCGGTCCAGTCGGGGAACATGTCTCTGAGCATGGGCAGCTCGGTTGCGTATTGCTTCTTCATTTCGCCAACTTCACCTTCGTCTCCGAAGGAATCTTCGAAGGAAGTTGCGTCATTGGGCGAGTCGGACAGCGGCTTCCTGCCTCCGCGGCTGCTTCTGCCGAAACCTCCTCTGCCTCCGCGGTGTGAGCTCCTGCCTCGTGTGGGCGGAGGTCTCGCATCGATTTGCGACATTGTGAATGTATGTGATTCGGTCGAGGTGGTACGTCAAGGGTGTGGGGAAGGGTGTATGGGTGTCGACAAACGCAACACCGAGAAAGTGAGGTAGGCTGCCAGTCAAGCAAGCAGCTGAAGTGGGAAGCCTGAGGGGTGATGGGATTCAGTTGGCGGGGTTCGAGGGGTCGAATGACCGAGAAAAACGAGGAGAAAGAGGACACGCGAGCGCAGCCCTCTCTCGTGGTGGAAATCGTGGGGGACAAATGGGTGCAATGAGAGTGTGTGTGTGGGAGTTGTCCTTGAACAGAACCGCTAAAACAAAAGCCACCGCTGCACCTTCGCTTGGGCGCGGCCCGTCCCGAAACCTTGTCAATTCATGCACGTGAGCAACTTCAGCTTCACTTGGAGCTACTGTACTACACCTTCCGCCGCGTCCTCATCGCCACTTTCCGGGCTTGTGTTTCAGTGGGACTCGGTGTGCAGTGGCCGTCGAGATGACCGGCAGGCGACGTCGTCATTGCCATACAACACTACCAGTATCAACATGAAAGGGTCGGCGGTGGTGCAAGGATTGAAATCACTCGCATCCACACTGCACCCGCAGCTGCCGTTGAGCTCGAGGGAATCGCAACGACTCCTCACAGCCCTGACGAGTTCCTTCCAAAGCCAACTTGACAAAGCCTATCCGCGCCATGTGGGCAGCGACGAGTCGCAACTCAAGTCTGCGAATGGAAGCACCATAAGCACTCTCAACCGAAGTCATGATGCATCATCTGCCGCTCTTGCAGATCGACATCTGGCTGCGGTACTTACAAATCCGTTGTTATTGAGCGGTGCTGCATCCACCCGGAACGCCTTGACGTACGAGACGGCCAAGATCGAGCTCGCCCATCACTCGACGAAGGATCCCATCTCTTTGCTGGAGGATTATCATCAGAAAGACGCCGCCACGATTGCGATAGCTGCGATCTGTCTGGAAACTTTCGCGAAAACTCTCGAAGACTTGTCGGAAACGGATCGACAGGGCAGGATCGCTCAATTTGCAGCTGGTAAACGAGTCCTGCTATGGCTCTGGCTGAGTGGATCATGGAGGAGCGCACCGCAGAACATCCACGCTCTCAACCGCGAGTCCAGGCTTCTAAAAACACTGGTCCCTCTTGTCATTCGCGAAGGAGCCGAGACGTTTCTGTGGGATTGGTTTAAGATGGATGTGGCAATCGCTGTTCCGATCGCACCTGCAGGAAAGGAACCTGGCCAATTGCCCGACTCTCGACAATACTGGTGGAAGGGGCGATTATTAAGGGCCATCATCGCAGCGAAGATTGACTTAGACGGTCTTCAGTCGCCGAACGCCGCACTAGACGCCATCCTCAAGGCCGACGCCATCCGCCGCGAAGCAGTGGCGAAGAACAGCGAAGACACTCACAAGTTTCCCATCTTCGGAGCGGCCACATTCCTGTGTCAATACTTCTGGAGGTCCTCTGGCTGGGAGTCTAGTGTCCATACCGCCCTCTTCGACACGTTCACGAGCCGATTGGGACTTCTCGCCAAGCCAGGATTCACTCGAGACTGGCAACTAGCAAAGCTCCACCTGAAACACCCAACTCGACCGTCGCCCGAACAAGCTCTCGAGCTACTGAGGCGTTTGTATGACCCGTCCAGCGCGCGTTACACCCAGCATGCTCGCCAGATCTTCGAGCGTCCAGACAATGGCAAGGCGTTACATCTGAACTACGTCTTCATGCTCGAGACCGCCGCGCAGTTACGAGCCGGCGCTCGGACCGAGGATGCCGCTTGGGTGCTGGCGCTCATCCCGCGCGTCTATCCTGAGCTAGCGCACTTCACTGAAGCGGATATGCAACGGTTGAAGGAGGGAATATCGCCGACTAGCTCTGCGAAATTCGCCATACACGGCGCCCAAGGCACAACAGGGGGAGACATTCCTATCCTACCGCTGGCAGGAGTTCATTCATGAATGGCTTTGCACTCGCAATAACAGGTGCTGGAGGGTCGCTGAATGCATTAATGTTTTCGGCTATCATTACGCTATGCGATATCGTTGCACGATGCAAGGAGCACAGTATTTCACGTTACCTCGTGGTAACGGATGGCCACGAGCATGAGCGCGCCGAAGTGGAAGTGTGGCTCCAGGCCATCCTCCCCTCATGCAGTAAGAGTTGCTTGGAAACGCGGCGAGTCCAATCCGGGACTCAGATCCGCGTAGAGCAGCATGCCACACCTAGAATCCGCGCAGGTACAGGTTGAAAACTTTGGTGTCACTCCACACGCATGTTGCCTTCAACATGATGCATGGAGTGCACGAAGAGCAATCAACGCCTCCAGTTCTGTCCACCACGGTACCGGCGGTCACCATAGCGGCCATGCGGTGGCCCGCCATGCCATCCTCCGCCACCGCCGTACGCATACCGTGGATCTTCGTAACCCGAGTCGGGTTGCCTGGGCCGCCGGTCCTCGTACCTCTCTCCCCCGCCTTGATAACCTCTGGGACCAGTCGGGAAGTTGGCACGCGGTGCGCGGTCGTCTTGAGGAGCTCTGCGTTCCTCGCGAGCGCGGTTCTCAGCTTCGCGAGACTGCGTGTTGGAATCGACTTGCATGACCACGTCTTCGAAGTCGCCTTCTGCCTCCACAGCAGGGACTTCGGGCTCGACCGGGCGGGGTTCGTCACGAGGTGCACTCGACACACCGCTGTTGCCTTTCCAGTAGACGTAGAGGGGGCGACCATCGGCCTGGAATAGCGTCAGTACGAAAGGCCGCTACGCAGTCAAGTGCGAGCATCTCTCACCTTCTTTCCGTTGAACGTATCGATCACTTTCTCCGCTCCGCTCTTCTCCACGAAGCTCATCTCGGCGATGACAGTAGGGTTGGAAGCAACAAGCCTACATGCCGTCATCGGCCCGCCGACACTCAGCATGACACTCTCAATGTCGTCTGCGGTGGTGCCGGGGGCAAAGTTCTGTGCCACGACGAGGAATGGACCAGATGCTGCACCCTTAATGTTGAGCTCTACCCCGCCGTCGATGTCCTGCTCGTACCCATTGCTCCTCTTCTCGCGAACTGTCTCGGCGGCGGATTGTGTGTGTGCGAGACGAGGGCGGGCTTTGTCGTGCGGCGCGGGTCGGGTGTGGGCTGACGAGCGCGCATTCTGACGTGGGGTGGTCGAGCGAGGAATGGAGGGTGCGCGCTTCGAGGATGGTGTCAGACCGTGTGCGCTGTGGTTCGCGGGCGCGAGGTAGAGCATACCTTGGTTACGCCGATTCTGCTGGCCAGGCTCGCGCCTAGGCCTCCTTTTGGTCCACTAGGTGGCGCGCTGGCTCTGCCCTTCTTCCCGAGCATCTCTTGTGCCAGTTTCTCCAGATTCGCCTTCCTGCGATCTGCGTCGACGGACATGTTGTTAGCAAATGTTGGCACTGTCTGCGAAGAGTGACCCAACAAACGCACCCTCCTGAAGGAGTTGGTCAAAAAGATCTGCCTGCTTGCGATTCGCCATCTTGTCTCTGGTCTGGCGCGGTGCAGGGACGAGACCGTCCTGACAAACGAAGCGGTAGTAAGGTGGTGTGTGAGGCGACGAAGGATGAAGTGCCGCGAAACATTTATTCGAGCAGGGTTCGCGTTTCGCGCGCGATTCGTTGTCAAAAGTCGTGGTACTCACGTCTTCCATGCTGACGACCATCCGACCTTCAGACCTCACTCTAACCATCATACTTGAATTGCTTTCGAGTAAGAACGCAAGAAGCGCCTTGTTTGTTATTCTTTTGATGTTGCAGTCAGGGTGAGATATACATTCATTTGTCTGTCCTTCTTGCTTGCCTCCTCTCGCTGCAATTCCACCTCTCATTGCTCTTTCATACTTCTCGAGATCTCCTCTACTCTCTATCCAAGCTCCACCCAAGCTCCTCGCAGCCATGTCGAAGACGAGCGCAGGCAAATCCAAGAAGCTGTCGTCACAATCACGCACATCCGAATACCCTTCCCCCTTCGAGAAAGCACCGTCCACCATCGAGCCCTTCTTGCCGCAACTAGATCCAAGCCAGATCTACATTACTCACATCGACCGCCATCCTCGCGACTACAAGAAGCAAATCTTCTCTTTCGCCGTCTTTGTCAATGCTACTATCGCCGCCCTCCTTCTCTGGCGAATCTACGCCATTACCCCCAAATACTTTGCCCTCCTCCAGACCATCTTCGGCTATGCCAACAGCGAGAGCGTCGACACGATTCGTACTACGAGAAGCGAGCAGGTCTGGATCGTCCTCCGCCGCACAGGAATGATGGCTTTCGACTTCTTCGTATTCCGCCTCATCGGCCCGTGGCCACTCACCTTCTTCCTGGAACGGCCCGCCAATCCTGTTACATGGAGGTGGAATATTGGGTTCAAAGCGGAAGAAGTGGTTGTGCGCGTGAGCAGGAACTGGACCGGAGAAGATTTGATGAAGGGCACCAAGCGAGGGGAGGACTCCCCGTTCTTCAAAACGAGGATAGAGCCGGCGATTGAAACGCAATTCATGGAAAAGACGGGATACTTGATGATGGGCGGGAATTGGGATCTGGATTTCGGACTCATGCAGGATGCGCATGTTCTTTTGAAACAAGACAAGATGAAAGTCGAGGCCTTTGATCGATATGTGTTGGCGCATCATGAGAAAGCGGGCTGGTTGGCGTGGAAGTTTGCTACTGTTGATGTAAGCGGTGGTGATGTTGGTCTCGAGTTGAGGAAGGCCATGGAGGGTCTCGAGGACGAAGAGACTACAGATAAGACGGCATGAATCCGAATGAAGAATCTCCACGTGGTCAATGGCGAAGATCACAGACACTTGAGAAACGTACGGCGCGGCTGCTACAAGAGCGTCGATGCCTCTTTGCCGGCGCGAACCACGTGGGAACGGCCCACGGCCCATGCGTTCGCACTCACCTGCAGCTGCCCATGCTATGTACGCCGCTCTTACTTCATGAGACGGTGCGACTGCAAAGACAAACGCTCCTGCATCCGCCACGGGCTATAGTTTCAGCGCGACTACCTCATGTCGCTCACCTGGTTTCTATGGAGAGACGGAGTACAGCCTTTGTCAACATGAAGTCCTGCCACATCATCCCTCGTCCAACAGTGTTGATGTGACTCGCAAATCGTCGTTCCGCCCATCTCACCGGAAACGATTCCATCCTCAAGTCGATCGTCTCAGTCCAGCAACGGGAACAATGTCTCCGAAAGACAGCGGCGAGCCCTTGCTCGGCCGAGCAGACATAGCTTCACCACCCGCTGCGGCCAGTGGATTGAGCGTGGCGGACACAAATAGTGGCCTAACTCTGAGCAAAAAGAAATCATGGTTTGGAGGGCTGGGCAACGCCGTGCACAAGGTGGCATTGCAAGCAATGGCGGCGGTGGATCTTTTCAGGATTGATCCCCAGAACAAGTCTGAGTCGTGAGCGGTCTATTGTCTACGTCGTTCAGTCAAACAGCATGTCTGACGGCGACGCAGGGAAGGACAAACTCGAGATATCTCCGACGACAAGCCTGACCCTCGACAATCAAACGACACCGACGCACTATCAACGACTGCGATCAAATCCGACGATGAGCGATCTCACTCCGCAACACCAAAAAGCGCAAGGGCATCGCTACGCCAACACTTGCTCCACCACCCTTCGAAGCGACATCACAGACAGAGCAGTATGTTCAGCACTGTCAGTCGACGGAGTGGCGAAGCACTTGACACGGCCGGCTTTGAGAAACTCGAATCGCCCCCTCTACCAGAAGACTCGCCGAATATTTCAAAGCCCAAGTCCAGCATGGCAAGTAGCATGGTCAGCAGCATCAGAGGCCTGAGCATCATGCGAAGAGTGCCACACGACCGCGCCCTAGAGAAGCTCACATCGTTGGAAGACAAAGCAGCAAACATCCCCCTTCCATCATCCCCTATCAACATCCCTTCTGCTGCTCCCGCACTGAAGCTAGACCTAGGCCCCACTGGCCTCATGCCGGCCAATTTCAACCGCTCACCCGAGGCCAAACGGACGAAGGAGACGCTTGAGTTGACTGATCCCGCCAACATCACCACTGCAAGACCCACGTCGCACTTCCTCCCGATTGGATCTGCAACATCATCACCACAAGCGGGATCATACACAAGCTCAGGCAGCGATCTCCGCCCTTTCACGCCCAGAGAGATTCTCCATCTCAAGCTCACTCCGCTGGATGGAGGCGACATCAAGCCTGCCCCTGGGCCTCCGACGCCAATGCCCGGCACCAATATGCCTCTGGAGCTTGATGGTACCAGTGAGGAGCCACCGTCGAAGGCCCATACAGCCAACAGCATCGACTCAGACCGCTGTCAAATGTTCGAGCGGAGCGTCACACCGATCGATGAACCGAAGCGCAAAGAATTGCGTCCCATGGCTTCCCTCGATGCAATGGCCGAAGCGTGCACTCTCGCTTGCACTGAAGACGACACCAGAGCCGATTCGGAATCCTCTCTCGTAACGCAAGACGGCAAACCCGATTCCTCGAAGCTCATCGCCCCGCCCCCTTCGCGGGTCATGACTCCTCGACGTAATGCCACTTGTGACGCAAGTCTCCCCGCTTGTCCATCGGATATGGAAGAGCTCAGTCGCCAGCCGGCGAATCAGCCGAATGCCACCAATGTCCTGCCGGGAGATGAATGGATGGGTGATGACGATCCATTTGCTCCGAGGACCAGCGGCGACGGCGTTGGACCTCCTTCACCGGATCGAAGGGTCCTTCTGCCGTTTCGACCCAAGGATCCGAGTCCGGAAAAGGATCAGAGCATCGCCTCCATGGTTGAGTGTAGTCCACAAGAAGACGCACTTGGCGATATGAAGCCCGAAGCACAGCTGGAGTCTGAGAGCCCCGCTGAAGAAACACTAGCCGCTCAGTTGCAGCTTGATGATTCTGTTGTTTTGCAGCTGGTCCAGGCCTTGGAGCTGGAAGGTGCTGCAGAATTGACAGAGGAAGTTGTTGCCGACGATGGTGGTGTCGGAGAGCACGATGCTCTACCAAAGGCGCCACTGCATCCGGTGGGTTTCACCTTCTTCCCGAGCACCGAGAGCGAAGAAGCTCCTCAGGAAGAGGGCTTGTCTCCACACGGTGGTCCCCTGAGCCCTCAATGGCTTGACAGCGAGATGCCTACTTCCGACCTGAACCCATCTGCAAACATCACCGAAACAGCAGACATTACAAACATCAACACTGCCGAGCACAAGTTCTCCTTGACCAATTGGATGAATGACATACCCTCGGAATGCCCGCCTCCAGATCAGCCTCATACGCCATCACGCCGTCAGCAGATGGACGCGAGCGTTGACTCCTTTCCTTCTGTGGATGCGGAGAGAGACACTCCGCCGATCAGTCCGCGTTCCAGCGATACAGCCGGCCGGACGCCGAGTATGGGCGAGAGGATCGATTTCGATCTCGCTCGGTCTGAGAGAAACGGTCGCTATAACGCATTGTTTCACGAAGTATCCGTGGACGGCGCTGTGGACGGAGAAGAAGTCTGGATCGGACTTGATCCTCAGGATGAGGACAGGGATGTGCTGGAGGCTGTTGATCCCGAGGAGGACGATATTTCCCGCTCAAAACCGTCGCCTCGGAAGGATTCCAAAGTCTGTCCGGATTGGTTACGAGCATCGTCTCCTCTTCTTCCAAAGTCGGTTGAGACGAACGATGTGTCTCGCTCACCAGAAAGTTGCGACGAGCATTCTATCGCATGCGAGCAGCATGACAATGGGGCTCCTTCGTGGTTGAAGAACGACGTTGTCTCCACAACACCCACCAAGACTCCGGAAATCCTACCCTCCACTCCGACAGAAAGGCCCTCGAAATCTCCCGGCCCTCCTCAAGCTTCTACGTCTTCAGCCGCCATTTCCACTCGCTTGACAGTCATGGACCCCTTAGGCGGCCATCCAGCCATCAATCTCGCCGGCCACACCCCGGAGACGACTCACTCATCCACCGACTCACCTATAATATCTTCGCATCATCCTACAGGCACCATCGGACATCGAGTCACTTCTGCCGATACATTGGACGACACGCTGGATCTCCTCCAATCATCTCAATGCGGGTACGAAGGAGATGAGAGCAGTGCTGTTACTTCCCCTTCGCCGAAGAAGAAAGGGACGCCTGCTAGGTATCGCAGTGTGGGGAAGAGGGCAGGGGCTGGACGTGGATATGGATTTTGAGGAGGGGATGTGGTTTAGAGGAGGGATCCGCGTCAAGAGAGTGGTATTGTTACGGACGCTTTCATGGAGTATGAGTAGTACAAGGCTAGGCTGGTGGAGAAGGAGCAGAGGTAGGGCATGAGAATGCTGCGAGGTGTATTGTTAAGACAGCAGAAAGCAAATCCATTGTGTTCGAAAACCGATGCAAAACTAAGGTATCTTACTTCATTCGTTTCGTTCAATCAATCGTGAAAAAGATGTACAGAAAGTGCAGCGAGAAGTTGGACGAAGTTCGACGCGGAACTTTCTCCGTTGATCAATCGACTTCACCTCTCCCACATCCTCCACCATCTCCCACAATTCCTCACCACCCAAGGATGTGATGCACTCTGCTCGCCGCTGCTGGCATCGCGCAAGCAGACATCCCCTCCAACCAGCCTGCAAGCATGTGAGGGCCCAACACGCGCAGGCGGGAAGCCTCAATGCCATCACCAACACCGCTGCACCCTCCAATGCAGAAGAGCAAGGACGCCTCGCAGGCAAGAACGTAGCCATCAAAGACAACATCACCACCTCGTCCCTCCCCACCACCGCAGCATCCGGCATCCTCTCCACCCACGTCTCGCCTTTCGAAGCCACGGTCGTCAGACTCCTCCGCCAAAATGGTGCTACCATCACCTCCACCACCAATCTCGATGAATTCGGGATGGGCTCGCACTCCCAACATTCCGTCCACGGTCCCGTCTTGAGCCCCTTCACACGAGACGGCATTCCCTTATCCCCCGGTGGAAGTAGCGGCGGCAGCGCCGTGGCCGTCGCAAGTGGACAATGTTGGACAGCGCTCGGCACCGACACGGGCGGCAGCGTGCGATTGCCCGCCGCTTACGTGGGCGTGGTGGGCTTCAAGCCGAGCTATGGCTTGCTGTCGCGCTGGGGCGTCATTCAATATGCGAATTCGCTCGACACGGTGGGCGTGCTTGCGCGAAGCGTGGGAGATGTAAGAGAAGTGTTCGAAGTCTTGAACCAGCATGATGCTCGAGATCCGACCTCCCTTCCAGACTCTGTCCGCCAACGCGTGACTTCCAGCCGCAGCGAAAGACAAGACCATAAAGGCAAGGCTCTACGAATCGGCATTCCCCTCGACTACAACATCACCTCCCTCGCCCCCTCCATCCGCAAAACCTACACCACCCTCCTCACCACCCTTCAATCCCAAGGCCACACCCTCCACCCCATCCACCTCCCCACAACCCGCCTCGCACTCTCAGCCTACTACGTCCTCGCCCCCGCCGAAGCCTCCTCCAACCTCGCCAAGTACGACGGCATCCGGTACGGGCAGCGCAGCACCACAGCAACCGCAGACGCCTCGCCAGCAGAAAAGCTGCCGCTTTACGCCGCGACTCGCGCCGAGGGGTTCGGAGAGGAAGTCAAGAGACGGATCTTGCTGGGCGCGTACACGCTCATGTCCGAGGCGAGGGATAACTACTTTTTGCAGGCGCAGAAGGTGCGCCGGCTAGTGCAGCGGGATTTCGACCGGGTGTTTGCTGCGCCGAATCCTTTGCTGGATGCTGGTGGTCATGACATTGGTGAGGGCGAGCGAGAGGAGGATGTAGTCGATGTGCTACTCACGCCTACTGCGCCTACGCTGCCGCCTACGGTGGAGGAAGTGCAGCGCTCGTCGCCCGTGGAGAGCTATATGAATGACGTCTTCACTGTGCCGGCGAGTTTGGCCGGCTTGCCTGCTGCTAGTGTGCCCGTTGCTTTGCCCGAGGCGGTGAGAGAGGGGCTGGGAGAGGGAGATGTGCGCAGTGTGGGCATGCAGGTCATTGGGCAGTTTGGAGACGATGAGCTTGTTTTGAGAGCTGCGGAGGTGATTGAGAAGTTGTATCATTAGTGTCTCTCTGGTATCTTAGAATAAATCAAGACAACGACATCCCCGTGCAATCAAAAGTACATATATGTACAGACCAACCCAGACTCGAACCCGGGGCCTCCCCCCCAAAAAGCTTACAAAAAAACAAACTCCTTTTCAGGAGAGAAAGCAAGGCGAGACTCGTAGGACCCCAACAGGTTTGCATTTTTTGGGCCGCCGACCGATGGCATCGATTGATGCTATCGGTCATTGGTTAGATGGCAAGCGTGGAGGATTCAATATATAGTGATTGCGGTTCTGCCGAGATGGTCAGATGGTTGGAAAGGAGGGGACGGAGAGATGCGCAGATTGAATCATTCTAATCGTTCATGGATGTCTAATGGACATTCCTAGCATTGAAACTCCACGCTCACGCTGTGAAACAAAGGAGCTACTGCATCATCGTCGTGAAAACTCATAATCGCCCATCTTGCTAGCTCTCATGAACCTCTCCCTACCCCAACACTCCCCGCACTCTCTCCGAGCTTGACTTCGTCTTCCGCCCCAGCCATGCCTCGCCGACTACTAGCCGTGGTACTCTGGCTCTCGCTCCTTTCCCTCGGGGGCGCGACCCCGCCCACTCCGCCATCTGCAGCGGCCCAAGCCGCCACGCCGGTGGGGATGAATGCCGTACGTCCGCTCTCGGGAGGCGTAGTGACGAATGGCGGACTCGCGATGGCAGAGGTACCGCTGTTGTCTCTCGGGCGCGAAGGGCGCGAAACGTCCGAGTTGCTGCTATCGCGGCGCCGGGCGCGAAGAGCCATTTCCAAAGCGCGCACGCGCTGGCGAAGATTTTCGTTCTCCGCTTTCACGTTCTCGAGTTCGCTTCGGTAGTTTGCTGTGTCGATGTAGTGCGGGGAGGTGATGTGATGTGTTGGTGCGGCAGGTGTGCCTTGCTGTGCGGACATAGAGGAGTAAGAGGCGTCGCGGGAGATGGACGGGCGAGAGGGGACAGCAAAGGAGTAGGGGGTTTGACGGGGGAGGTCCAAGGATTGGCGGGCGGGGGTAGATGTGCCGGAGGCGGAGGCAGAGAAGGATGGCGGGCGACTGCTGCCTGCTCCCCCGGCTGCTGCTGCTCGATCAGCAGAGGCTTGGGATTGTGTGTTGTGTGAGGTGCTGGTTGTGCTGCCTGCGTGGGCTTGTGTGGAGGTGTTTGTAGCCGTAGATACGGTGGATGGAGTATGCGGGATGCTTCTGGTGCTGACGGAGCTAGAAGAGCGGTGTCGGCGGGAGGGAGTGGGGTGGGTGGCGCCGATGATTTGGTGGGTGGGGTTGGGATCGGAGATGTCGACGGGTAGGAGGGAGGCGGAGGTGGAGTTGGAGGAGTGCGAGGCGTTGGAGGCCACTGAGGCTGATTGGGCTCGCAGGGCGGTTAGTTCGCGGGTGAGGCGGTTGACCTGGATGAAGTGGGGTAAGTGAGCTGGACACATGGTGGTGATCGCGATGGGTATGGTAAGCGTACCACTGCTTCCTGCTCCTTCTCACATTCCAGGTACAACTCGGCTGCAGTCAAGGGACGTGGATGTCGCAGCGGCTCGCCGTGGAGCTCATTGCTGTTCATGACTGGACTGCGATAGAGATTGGCGGAGTGGGCAGCAGGAGATGGGTTTGTTGCTGGAAGGGGGAGAGGAGGGGGAGGCATGGGCTGTGACGTTCGTCTCGGTGTTGTATTGGAGAGAGGGGGAGATGCTGCCTGCTGGACTGAACGCGGTGACGAAGGCAGGGAGTTGATATCGGGTGCCATGGTTGTTGTCGTCCCCAAGCCTTCAATGCTGCGGTCGGCGTCACACCGAGTCGAACGTGAAGCCTGGAGGGTAGGATGAAGGGATCACATTTCGCGGTGTGTGAAGTAGTTTCACTGCACCTTCCTCCGTTTCAAGAGTTCGCAATCACTGGACGGGAAGGTGCATGAGGCTGTGCTCTCGGCTCCTGCCGAAATTAGCGCCAAACCTTCCCCACACTCGTCGCGCTCTGGTACTCGAAATCGCGAAAGCCCCAAAGTTGAATGTTTCCCCCAAATCCCATCAGACCAGACGATGCGTGATGTGGTTCGGTGACACTCGGAGGCAACGCTTCTGGGGCGTCGTCGCCTGCTTCCTTCTCCTCGTCGTACAGAATGTCACGGCGAGCGTGGGCGACCGCTTGCCCGAGTTCCAGAGTTGCGTCTCCGTACGGCTCCATCCCCGGTGATTCAGGAGAAAGTTGGGCAGAGGGAGGCTGACTGCAAGGCCAGGACTGCATAGCATCAAACTGCGGCGCTGATGGCCCGCGCATTTGTACGTTAATTCCATGGTGCTCATCTTCCCCGTCAATACACCAGACTCATATCCCCCTACAGCCCTTCAACACCGACTCCTCTTCTGGACCTGCCCCGCCGAATGTGACTACGTCTGCCAGCACATCATCACCGATGCCCGGGTGGCGCGCGATCCGCAAAACCCCTCCTCCGTCGTCCAATACCATGGCAAATGGCCCTTCTACCGCTTCCTCGGCATGCAAGAGCCCGCCTCCGTCCTCTTCTCCCTCTTCAACTTCCTCGCCCATGACAACGGCATCCGCCAACTGAAAGAGCACATCCCCTCCAGGTACCCGCTGCGGCGATACTATCTGATGTTCGGCTACTTCGGCCTCATGAGTTGGACCTTCAGCATGATCTTCCACACCCGAGACTTCAATCTCACCGAAAAGCTGGACTATTTCGGCGCCGGCGCGAGTGTGATGTACGGCATGTTCTTTGCGCCCATCCGCATCTTCCGCATGGATCAGCCTCGCCCGAGCTCGGCGGGCACCAACAATGCCTCTGGCAGCATTCTACGCCTGTGGACGTTCATGTGCGCCTCGCTGTACCTGCTTCACGTCTTCTACCTCTCCTTCATCACCTTTGACTACACCTACAACATGGCTGCTAATGTCGTGGTCGGCATTGTGCAAAACGTGCTGTGGACGTGGTTCTCAATCACGCGCTTTCGCAAGGTCGGCAAGCTGTGGGCCGCCTGGCCAGGTCTGATTGTCGCCTGGATCATTCTGGCCATGAGTCTGGAGCTGTTTGATTTTGCTCCATTCTGGGGGATGGTGGATGCACATGCGCTGTGGCATCTGGGGACTGTAGGGCCGACGATTTGGTGGTACAAGTAAGTCGACTCCGTCCCCAAGGGTTGATATGTGCACCCTTTTCGCTAACAATGGGTGTAGCTTCTTGATCAGGGACGCTCAGGAGGACATGCAGTATGCGAGATTGAAGGCGTGAAGCGGACGAGGAAGGGCAGCTTGATGTGTATCTAATCTAGTGCATGCAATAGTGATATGCATATCGGAACAAACTCCTACGCGTGCCTCATGCTTTCACACCCCTGCATCCACTGACATTTTAAGGTTTGGAGCCAGGAACTAAAATTACCGCGCCACCGTTCGCACCGCCACACCTTCTTGTCGGTAACAACCTCACCTCACGCATCTGCCCATGTAAGGTAGAACTTCTAATCCTTTAAGCGCCAAGTGATCACCCAATCCACAGCGGTGTCCGGAATGGTCTCGTTTGTCATGCGCTCAACGGCGACTGCGCATCACCCTCGCTTTGCGGCGGTCTGATGACAATGAACGAGCACAGTTAACGGCCATATCACATGAAGCAACAGTCAATCTCCTCGACACCTTGCTATCCGCGTTTCATGCATTGAGCAATCATGAAACGCCGATCCGCTACACAGTCCACCCCGCGCAAGCGCTACACCAACGACCCCTTCGAAGGCGTCGAAGAACTCCAGGAAACTGCACCTTCTGACGAGGAAATCGCTCGCCCGGAGCGTGAGGAAGATGACGATGATGATGATTCCGCCGACGAATTCCAAGGCGCAGCCGATGATGACGAGGAGGAGTTTGCGGACGAAGAGCCCATGTCTGGCATGGAAGATGACCTCTTAGACGATGATGATGCCAACGATGACGACCTATCCACGCCCAAACGTAAAGCCGCCAGGCGAAACTCAAGAAGCAAATTCACCACCGCCGATTTCACTCCCACCATCAGCCGACCCAGAACGCAGCGGCCCAAGGCTAGTCCGAGCGCCGTGCGGACTTATATCCGCGGTATCGAGGATGGCATTCCCCAGAAGCTGGCCAAGGCTAAGCGGAAACTGCTCTTGTATGGGCCTGATGAGCGCGACACCGGGCCTGTTGAGCAGGCCAAGTTGAAGTGGGAGTTTGATCCTACTTTGCCTTCGGCCAAGGTGGACAGGGACGGTCGTGGTGGGATGCAGAGGTCTTTCTTTTTGAATGATGGGGATTGGGCGAGGGAGAGGCTGCGATGGGATGATTGGTGGGAGGGACCGGATGGGGAGGAAGCATTTATGACTAGGCAGTCTACGTGGGATTTGGAGGAGGACGAGGCATTGATTTATATGCCACAAGCACCAGAGGACGGCATCCGGGTTCTATTGGGCCCGTTCCAGAATCAGCAGGAATTCGAGATCCCGACGGGAGGCAGTCTCGGCTTATCCATCCCCTGGAACGACACGACTCAAGCCGGCCTTCAACCTGTCAATAGCCGTACAAGAAGTGGCTATTTGCTGAACTTGGGCGCAAAAGTCCAATGCTTAGACTGGGCACCGAATCAGAAGGGCAAGGGGCAATATCTGGCCGTGGCTGTAGCAGGAGAGCGCTTCGCACCCGATTTCACAACAAGCGCGGCTTTCACCCCGAGCCTTCCCGAAGAATCTGCGGTGCAGATATGGAGGTTCCAGAGCACGGAATACGGCCTGTTTGATCAACATGTTGCGCCGCATCTCGAAACAGTGCTGTGCAATGACTGGGGCGCTGCGAAAGTCCTCAAATGGTCTCCTGTGCCCGACGGGGTCTCCAACGGAGACGCCGTAGGACTTCTCGCCGGTATCTGGGCCGATGGCTTCGTACGAGTCTTACGTGTGGCACAGCGGTCCAGCAGCGGCCAAGACACAATCTTCCAGCGCATTGAGGAGGCCGCCTTCGCCTCGCGGCCCCCGAACACAGTCTGCACCTGCCTCACCTGGATCTCGTCCGTGCGACTGGCAGCAGGATGCGCCAACGGCTGCATCGCAGTCTGGGATCTCGACACTCCCATCGACGCCGAAGCTGCAACAAACGCCCGCCCAGCAATCTACAGCGCTGTTGCGCCCACCTACATCCTCTCCATCGTCTCCTGCGCCCCCTCGCGCCCCAATCTGCTCCTCACTTCCTCCATGAGCGGCTACATCGCCATGTCAGACCTCTCGCGCGCCGCACAAAGCCTCGCCTCCCCCGCCGCCACAGTTCTCAGCAACCGCACGCGTGTCGGCGCCCCGCTCATAGTCTGGCACGACTACGCGCAAATCGGCCTGCACGTCGACGAAGGCTACGTGCTGCGGGGCAGTTCGATTCGCCGGATTTTCTCGACCACGGCGCTGGCGAAGTACCGGAGCAGTGCGATTTGTTTGGCTACGAGTGCCTGTCATCCGTTTGTGCTTGTGGGGTGCGCGGGTGGCGAGGTGGTGGCGAGTAATCCTATGAGGAGGATGTTGGAGGGGAAAGCGGGGATTTGGCAGCAGGTGTGGTTCAGTCATGAGTGGAAGAGGGAGGCGAGGGACGACGATGTGGAAGAGGACAGCGCGGATGAGGAAGAAGGAGGTCTCAGCCGGATGCTGGAAGGCTTCAAGGCGGAGCGCGCCATGCTCAACAGCATCGACCGCAACGCGGCGAATACGCAGGAGGGCACGCTGTTTGCCACCATTTACGAGGAGAAGAGCGCAGTTACGGCATTGGCATGGAATCCCAATCTGGCCGTCGGCGGCTGGGCGGCGGCGGGCATGGGTAATGGACTACTGCGAGTGCAGGATCTGGGGCTTAGGTGAGGGGTGGGGAGGCTGTTCCGATGTCCGCCTCTCATCATGATGCTGATGTCCTTGGGAGAAGGGAAAGCGATTGATAACCATCAAGACCGTGCCTTTATGTACCTAGGGTGTCCGGCGACAGATGGTGGAGTCCAAAGACGACTTGTGTTGCAGACGAGTCATGTCGGCAAAGGCGGCAGGAGAAGGCGAAACTCTGCCTTGCTAGCGGGTGGGTGAAGCCGCCGATCTGACCTCGTGGCTTGAGTTAGCCGCCTGGCAGCCAACGTGGCTCTCTTGACCCTTCTGTCAAGCACTCCACTCCATCGAATTCTACACAGCAGGCTACCGACAATTTCGCTGACGGGAGATGAGGATGCACCAACGACACCAATTCTGGCGGTCTTGCCGGAGTGGAAAAGGCAACACCGGTGACGGAATCTGCAGCAGTTGCCGCGGTAGTGGAGAGGATTGCAAGGCAACGAAAGACGTACCTTTTCCACGAGGGCAGAAACGCTAAATTAGCCCTCCAACTCCTCCATGTCCAGTGGGCCTGACGGATAAATGTGGAGCGGGCAACGATGCACGCGATCACTGCATACCCAGCATCCTTGCAGGTGCCGTATGCACCTTAGCCTCGCCGTCGTCCTACTATTGCTTGCAACCTTTCTGCCTGCTTTTCCTTCCATGAATCCTCATCTTGACGCCGCCTCCCCGCCTCAGCCGTCATGAGTTTCGCAGATACCTTCCTCGCCGGCTACGGCGAGAAGAAGGCGGAATCCATCGTCGTCCCAGTCTCTTCAGACTCTCCCGACCTCGACTATGCCAACGGCTTCATTGCGGACAACAGAGACGATCTCCAGCGACGACTCGGTAATCGCCAAATTCAACTCATCGCCATTGGTGGATCCATTGGCACAGCCTTGTTTGTACGTCTCCGCCTTCCTTGAGCAGCCTTGTCGTCGAACGCCAGTCTCACATGCACACATGTAGATATCCATCGGCGGCTCTCTGGCCAAAGGCGGCCCTGCGTCCACATTCGTTGCCTACACTATTTATACCCTGTTCCTGGGCTTGGTCAACAATGGCACCGCCGAGATGACGGTCATGATGCCTGTATCTGGTGGTTTCATCCGTCTCGCCGGCCACTGGGTCGATGATGCTTGGGGGTTCATGGCGTCCGTTCTCCACGTGTCTTTGCCGAACTTCCCCTATGAATAGCTAATCTCTCAGTGTAGTGGCTGGAATTTCTTCCTCTACGAGGCTCTACTCATCCCCTTCGAAATTACCGCCTTATGTACCGTCCTCGGATACTGGAGCGACCACATCCCCGCCGCAGCCGTCATCGCCGCCGCCATTGTGCTCTACGCCATCCTCAACATCCTCGCCGTCGGCCTCTATGGTGAGGCGGAGTTTTGGTTGTGCGGGGGCAAGGTCATCCTCATCCTTCTGCTCTACGCCTTCACCTTCATCACCATGGTCGGAGGAAACCCACAAGGGGACGCATTCGGTTTCAGATACTGGAGTCATCCGGGCGCCTTTGTCGGGAGGACCAGTCTCGCCCAGTTCGAAGGCTTTTTGGCTTCTCTGTGGGCCGCTTCGTTTTGTATCGTGGGCCCTGAGTATGTCTCCATGGTTGCAGGAGAAGCTAAACGTCCGCGTGTCTATATCAAAAGGGCATTCAAGACCCTCTACTGGCGCTTCGGCTTCTTCTTCATCCTCGGCTCCCTTTGCGTCGGCGTGCTGGTTCCAAGCAACAACAAAACCCTCGTGGACATCTTCGTCAAAGAGACAGTGGCAAGCGGCACTGCAGCAGCGTCTCCATACGTGATCGCCATGCAAATCCTGGGCATCCACGGCCTACCCAATCTCGTCAACGCGCTGCTCGTCACGTCCATCTTCTCCGCCGGCAACACCCTCACCTACTGCTCCACCCGCTCCCTCTATGCCCTAGCCCTGGAAGGACGCGCGCCCGCCATCCTCCGAAAGTGCACCAAGCGCGGCGTGCCCATCGTCTGCTTCTGCGTCATCATGGTCTTTCCCTGCCTCTCCTTTCTCCAGCTCAGTCACGGCTCAAGCCAAGTCCTGACTTGGCTCCTCAACCTCATAACCGCTGGCGGCATCATCGACTACATCGTCATGTGCGTCACCTACCTACGCTTCTACGCGGCGTGCAAAGCGCAGGGCCTCGACCGCCGCTCCCTGCCCTACTACGGCTACTTCCAGCCCTACGCAGCGTGGATCGCGCTGGTCTGGATGGTCGTCATCGTGCTGTGCTATGGCTACTACTCCTTCGACCCGTGGAATGTGCAGGACTTCTTCATCTACTATGCCATGATTATCGTTGCGGTGGTGCTGTTCGCCGGCTGGAAATTGATCAAGAAGACCAAGTGGTTGAGCGCGCATGAGATTGATCTGGTGTGGGAGCGGCCGACGATTGATGCCTATGAGGCGACTTTCATTGACGAGCCGGTTAGTTTCTGGCGGGAGATGGTGCAGCTGGTTGGCTTGGGGAAGAGGACGGGGGGGAACGATCAGCGTACTGCTAGTATATCAGCGTGATAAGCGCGAGTTTCATAACATTTGCGCACGTTCTAAGGACCCTGGTCCACCTGTCAAATCATTTCAGATGGTACTTTCATGATCGTTCTCATGGCATGTAGCGAGCGGAAGTCGAAGTCACGTGTGGACGAAGTGAATTAGAGTTCAGGTCCCAAACTCAAACTGCACGCCAGGCGAAAGTGTAAGGTATTGCCTGCACATGCATTCACCTCCCACACCAATCCCTCAACTCTACCCCTCGCAACCTCTCCATGGCGCCCTTTCGAGATGAAGCGATCCTCGTGAGTTCTGAAAACACAGTCTAGGTGGAAGTGCTACCCAGCTTACATATCACTCCCGCAGATCATCGCGCCTGGCTCGCATACCACCCTCGCCCAACTCGGGCTCCCCGAGTCCTTCACACCTGCGCGCTACCGACTGCGGTCGCGCATGTTCGCCGCCGACACAAAAGGCGAATACGAGCCGGTGAAGATCCGCAGGAAAGAGAAGAAGGCGCAACCTCCGCCCCCACCCCAAGAAGACGGCGCGGCGACCAATGGCGCAACCACAAACGGCGCGTCGCAACCCGACCCAGAACCCGCAGAAGACGAGGAATGGGAGGAAGACCATGTGTCGGAAGAGGGCGCCATCTGGCCCATCCAGAACGGGCGCATCGTCGACTGGCAGTGTTTCTACGCGCTTATGACCCACGTTTACAATACTGTCAATCCACCCTTTCACACCGCTATCCTGCTTATATCCGAGCCCGTGTGGACGCTGAAGGAGCACGAGAAGGTGACGCAGTTCTTCTTTGAGAAGTTCAAAGTGCCTGCGTTTGGCATGATGGATGCTGCCATGGCTGCTTCGTACGCCTATGGCGCGGCCACCGCCACTGTTGTGGACGTCGGATTCACCAAGGCGGATGTGTCGTGCGTGGCGGACTTTGTTCTGCATCATGTTGGAAGGAGCTTGGCGGTGCCGGATTGCGGAGGCGAGGCGATGACGGACAAGCTGGGGGAGTTGTTGCGGGGAAGGAAAGGGTTCACCAGGGCGGTGTGTGAGCAGTTGAAGAAGAGCAGTATTTGCGAGATTCTGTCCGGAGAGACGGAGATGCCTGGCGAGGAGTCGGCGGCGGATGCATCGGCCGCCTCGAACCCTGCTGCTGCTGCTTCGACTGGTGCTGATGGTGCGGAACCGGGACAGAGGAGGCCATCGGCTGCAGAACTGCCTCGTGGACCCGGTCCTGACACCGAAGTGGGCGAGGAGAAGAAACTCGAGGACGACGAAGGTGTATTGGACATTGCCAGCATCGTGACGAGCGGGAACATGAACGACTACCTGGCGCAGAAAGACCGAGAGAAGCAGGAGAAGGCGGCAGCGAAGGAGAAACGAGGCAGTGTGGCGCAGACGCAGACTGCCGCGAAGCCCGTCCGACTCCCCAACTCCAAACGCACCCGCAACACCTTCATCTACGAGGATGTTGCATTACATGATGCCATGAAGCAGGCTGGTATGGACAGCCAAGGAATGGCAGACATGCAATCCGCTCTTCAGGATGGAGGACCCAACAAGCGACAGAAAACGCCCGAACCCCAGTCCGCGACCTCTGATAGACCGGCCGACGGCGGCTTCGAGAACGCGACCGCTGCCGGTCCAACAAGTGGCATCCGACGCGAGGTGGAAGTCGGGCTCGAGCGCTTCCAAGCCGCATCGGGTGGTATCCTCGACAAACTCGCCGACTGCATCCACCGCACCATCCAATCGTGCAGCGACGTCAACAAGCGCGGCGAGCTGTGGGACAGCATCATCGTCGTGGGCAACGGGGCGAAAGTGCGGGGCTTCAAAGAAGCGCTGCTGGAAACGCTGCACAAGAAATACATCATCTCCCCCTCCTCCGCCACCATCTTCACCTCCGAGCTGCCCTCGAACTTCAGCACGCCCCTCGCGACCGGCGCCAACACGCCCCAACCCCAGATCCCAGGCCAACACCCCGCCCCGCACCACGGCGGCGTCAACCCGCTCCTCCTCGCCGCCACCACCGCCCAACACCCGCATTTGCAACCTTCCTCGTCCGGCCTCGGCCAGCACCCTTCCGCTCCACATCATGCCCTCTCCTCCTCCCACGCCAGCTACGGCCAGACGCCCACGAGCATCAAGCTCGCCAAAATCCCGGACTACTTCCCCGAATGGAAGGAGGTGGGGTACGACGAGGCGACGTTCTTGGGCGCGCAAGTCGCGGCTAAGGTGCTGTTCATTAACGATGCGGGGTTGAGTAATGGGTATATGACGCGCACGGGGTATAATGAGCAGGGGCCGAGTGGGATTCATGAGTGTATGCTGTGAGGGGAGGGGGTCCAAGGTGGTTACGCTTGTTGTTGTAGACGTCGTGTTATAGATGCAGAGTCATGTTTCGATGTACGAGAATTACCGTGCCGTTTATCTATTGCTCTTCTCATCTTGTTAGTCCGACTTGTCTCTATCAATTCTGCCACCGTCGGTCAACAATGTTGCACGCAAGGCCACACGCGCCGCGCTGGCCTTCCCAAAGCGGAATCCCGCCACTCCACTTCACCTCTTCCCTCCAATCCTTCTCCATTCCATTCATCGCCTTTCTTACACTTCAGAACAACACCAAAAATGATAGGCCGATAGCCAGAGGCGCACACCTCCGTTGACAAAAACTCAAAATGGCAACAGAGGCTTCCGAGCCCGCTCTTCCCACCACCACCACCACCACCACCACCACCACCACCGTCGAGGAGCAAACTCCATCATCCGCCACCAACACCGCCGCACAAACCTGGCAAGAACCACAATACGAAGCAGCGCTCGCGCACCTCGCACACCTCCAAGAACAGGTAGGCCCCATCCCAAACTCCCTCGCCACCGCTTATCCTCCCAATAAAGCGATCACTCACCTGTGCAAAATTACTGTATCTAATGAAACCCAGATCGACGCCCTCCGCCCCGCCCTCCGCTCTCTCATCACCCCTGTGCTACGCAACTACCAGTCTTCAGGGAACGCTGGTACTCCCGCCTCGAAGGCGCAAGTTTTCGCCGAGATTAAGGGGGCTGCGGCGCGAGTTACGGACAACGCGAGGAGTTTGAGAGAGGCGTGGGGGTCGGAGCGGACGGGGGAGGTGCTGGAGAAGGCGAAGGGGAGTTTGGAGGGGGGTGCTGGTGCTGGTGTTGGGGGGGATTTGAGTGCTGCGCAGGGAGTGGAGAGGTGGGGATGGAGATAGGTTGTGTTTTGCTGATGATGGCTACGTTGATTTGATGATGTTGGGGCGGTGTTCATCTGGGATTGTATGGGACTATTGTCTTCATCACGCAGCGCACGATATCCTAATCCTTCAGCATCCACCTCAATACACTCCCGCATTTCCCCCGACCCGCGCAAGCGCATCCCACACCCGCCCCGGCAACTTGAAGCGAATCAAGCCCGCGAAAACCATGACGTCGCGACTCGTATGCCCGCACCGCGCAATCGTGTCCTGCTGCGCGCCCGTCTCGAACTCCGCGGCCCGCAGCCGCTCCACGTTGCTGCTGCACGCCAGCACCGTCCAGAGCATCACGTAGCCCACCGTGCGGCTGACGGCGGTGGGGAAGCCGTTGAAGGCTTGCGCGGTTTGGCGGATGGCGGTCATGTTGCCGTTGACTTCTGTGGGGAGGATGCCGGATTCCGTGACGTCCTGTATGTTTGTTAGTTGAAGCTTCTTTGTTTTTAGTTTTGGGAGAGGAGGGGAGTCCGCTTACGTCAATCACTTTCGGCCAGTTGCCTTGCTCGAGTGCGCTGCGAGCGCTGGCGAGTTGGAGCAAGATCTTGCACGAGTCTCGCACGTCGCTTTTGATCTTGTGGTAGTACATTTGTTGACTCTCGTACAATGCGTACATGTCCCGCGCGAGCTCGATGGGGTCGTCGATAGAGGTGAGGCTGAGACTGCTGTTGGGCTGCTCTTGCTCCTGCGTGCGCGGCTTGAGGGGCGTCAACTTCGCCGCTTGCTCTCCCAGCTCGGTTGTCAGGGCCAGCGAGAGCGCGTCCATGACGACTTGCATCACTTTCTCGTAGTCCTCCGCCAAATGGAACAGGAGCGCCGCATCCGTTACCCGGCTTTGGTCTTCCGCCGTCCGGGCTGCGACTAAGGTGATGTGCTTCAGGAATTCTCGCTCGTCGCCGAGGCCAATGAGCTTCAGACGCTTCTCAATCTCCCCTTTGATGCGCGTTCCGTCAGAGCGGATGTCTCCCAGGAGTTGGGCGAACTCGCGAGTCTCCAGCACGACTTCCGTCAAAGCTTGGTGGCAGATGTCTCGCTGCGACACGCCCAGCTCGCCACCTAGATCGCTATTGAGGCAGATCAGGCAGAGGTAGTCGACAGCAGCCGTGGCATCTGCAGTTCGGAAGTCTCGAGTGTACAGACCAACCATGCTGCCGAAAGCAATTTGAGGTTGTTGCCGAGTCGTCAAAGTCAGCAAGTCCTCGCTGTTGCCGGCTCCGCTGACTCGCAAAAGACCATAAAAGTCCAAGGCGATAGCAAAGTGCGTGGCCGAAACGTAATTATGCGGATACAGATCCGCCACGGCCTTTTCGAACATGCCCGCCAGAATCTGCATGAAGAAAAAGGTCGTCGGCGCGTTTGCGACATCGCTGCCGGGGCCAAAGTACCTCTCGCCAATCTCCTTGATGGATTGACGCAGCTCATCCAGCCCGAAGGCCTCGTGTGCGAAGTCGTCGATACGATTGTACTCGCGTGCCAATGCGAATTGCAGCCAGATCCAGTCCATCATGTCGTTCGTGATGCCTTCGAGGTTGCGTTTCTGCAGCTCACAGCGGCCGACGACCTTGTAGCACATCATGCGGTACGGATCAATCGAGTCCTCGGGAGCCAGACGTGAGCGCTGAGAGTACTCATTGTTGATCTGAGTCTGCATGTCGGGAGGGAGCTTGTGGTCCTCGTTCGTGACATAGGCACGCAAGTAGCGGGTAAAGGCACGATCGATCTGGCGGAACGCGCTAGCGTTCTCGTCCACGTATTCGAGTGCTTCCTGGTACAGGCCGCTTCGAAGCAAGTAGAAGAGGACAGGCCAGCAATAGTCGCCTTTCACTTCCTGCAAGAGCTCCAAGTCCGGGCCCAGCTCCTTCCTAACGGCGCGGACGCGGACGTAGCCCTTGACTTTGGCGATGGCGGTTGGCACGCCGCCGATGTTGGCTTCCTTTGGGTTTCGTGTGACCGTCGACTCGATCTGGGAGTAGAACAACTCTTCGAGGAATTTGCGGGACCCACCGATGATGCGCTTTCGCATGCGAGTTGCGCCGTCGGAGTTTAGATTGTCATCGAGGTAGATTGCCGCGTACTGTCGCTCCTTGACAGCGTTCGGATCCGATGCGTTCTCCACACTCGCATCTTCGCCGGTGATGCGAATAAGTGCCTTCAAAGCGTGGACAAGCATGGTCGTGTCTTCGTTTGACGGCTCGGACTCGACTTCCGAGAACCTCTGCAAGACTGGGAAGACCTTCTCTTGCAGCCTCATCACGTTCAGCTCCTTCACCCGAGATGCGTAATTCTCTTGCTTGCCCCGCAACACACGGTCTTCGGGAGCAGGACGCATGCCATCGACCGGCATTTTCTCAGCGACATCGTTGAACACGCTGGCGCGCATGCCTCGTGGTCCCGGTGTGCCGATAATTGAGCGCGACAAGCTCGCTAGGCCAAATGTCTTCTCATTCCCTGACTCCCCATACCGTTCACGCCGAGAAGAGCGACCGAAGGCGCTACGCGCTCCATTCGTGCTCGCCGCGCCATCCTCTCCAGGCTGCGGTTTCTTCAAGCCGAAGTGCTCATAGATGCGCTGGCGATGCGCATCCCAATTGACTCCATGCAGCCGCTCCTCCACCATGGCGTTGAATTCATCCTGCGCCTTCAACACATGCGAATCCACCATCTTCTCGAAATCGCTCCGGTACTTTTGCGCGAGTGTATCTTTGACACCAGACGGGTATGAGAGCGTCGTAGCCGCGTCAGGTCTCGCCGCAGCGGTAGAGCCAGCAAGATCATCGAGGTCGCGTAGCGCTTGACCAGTGTTGACGCCAGAAGCAGAGAGAAGGTAGTGCGCCCTCGCATCGGCTCCGCGCGCAAGACCTGCAGACGGTCCGCCTTGCCCGAGATTCCGCACTTTCCTGGAAATGTCTTGCAAGCCTAGCTGCAGCTGGGGCAGCTCGCCAAAAGCATTGAGGCTTTCGCCAGTTTGTCTCTTTTTGCCGCGTTGGAGGAGCGCGTCGAAGTATGCGGGTTGAGCGGGTGGCGCATTAGGGTCGAGGAGGGGGATGGGTTGATCGTTGGTGGAGATGACGCCGGACTTGAATAGACTGCCATTGTCGTTTGGTTGCTGAGCGGCGGTGCTGGTTCCGAAGATGCTGCTGGTATTAGGTGCTGCACTCGCCGTCGTGGTGTCCTTGGGCGCGAAGAGCGACGCCATGGTAGATGAGATACCAAGACAGCCCTCGAGAGTAGTTGGAGGGGAGGGGAGGGGGGAGAAGGAGGATGTTTCAGGGTGGAAACAAATTCCCCGGTGGAGGTGAAGTTTGATGTGAAAGCGGACGTGTCAAGCTCAGGGGCGCGACTGCCTGGCATTAGTCGTGGGAAACATTCACGAAACGTCTATGGATCGGCTCGTGTTCAAGAACACAGGGCGAGTTGGATCGAGAGGATTGCAGTCATTATCAATATATTCGTGTGGAGCTGCGATAAAACTAATTCTAATAATACGCCGTCTTTCCCCGCTATACGCAATCATAAATCGCTCTTAGGATCAATCACTTCCTCCCAACGCCACTCCTTACACAACCCATACCAATGCCTTCGAGCACACACCTTCCGCCTGGTAGTCGGCAGACGCGAGGGACTCGGCGTGGATAATGATGTCGTCGACGTCGGATCCGCACATACGAGACCGAACCATTTTCGCGAAGCACAGCCCGTAGGCGGCTTGGTGGCCGTCGGCGTGGGCTTGGATGGAGGACTTGACGGTTTGGGGGTCGTGGAGGGGCTCGTTGTCGAGTCGCGGCAACGCCCAAGCCAGCCGGGAGTCTCACATGTTGTGCTTGAAGTGGGAGTGGTGGTTGTCGTTGTCGTGACGGTCGTGATTGCTGGTCCATGCCTGGCGGAGGATTTCGTGATCGTAGTGGTAGACTTGGTGGTTGTCGGATCTTTACATCCAAACCAGCCTGGCGTTTTGCACGTCGAGGTGGTGCTGGTGCTGGTGCTGGTGGTAGTCGTCTTCTTGAACGTTGTCGTCTCATCCAGACATCCCCACCACCCTGGTGTCTTACACGTCTCCGTTCGCGTTCTGGTGTATGTACTTGTTGGACGACTGGTACTGCTGGTGGTGGTTTCAGTTCCATTGCTTTCAAAGAACTTCCAGGCGAAGCAGTCGACGCAGTCCAGATGGGTGGTACAGTTCGCTGCAGTATCGTATGCCATCAACACATCCTTGATGACGCCAATAATGCTATGCCATCGGACGCTCGATCGCCAGTTCAAGTCATTCACCGTGTCGTAGGCACACTTCTTTCCGGTGTGGCACGCACTTTCGAGTGCGTAACCTGTGAGGGAACAGGGAGAGAAGGGGCCATGGCACTGTCCCACAAAGACCGGATCGGCAGTATGGCCGAAGTGATGGATGCCAACATCCGTCCTAGACTGATGCGCCCCAGCATGGTAGCCGGGCGGAGTGGGCAGTCCGAGACGAGACGCGGCCATTGCGTCGGGATACGCCTCGAAGGTGACGACTGGTAGCCCATATGTCAGACCTAGGAGAGTGCTCACCACGCCACCCAGGGAGTGGCCGGTCAGCCAGATCTCCGAATTGGGATACCTTTCCGTCACGTTGTGGTAGAGTTCCTGCGCGGCGAGATAGTAGCGACTCTTCCGCCTAAGCTGCTTCACGAGACACGTCTGGTTGCAGGTGAAGGTGTCTGTCATGCAGTCGCAAACAGGCGTCCACATGAGGTTGCCACCCTGGGCACAACAGCAGGATCCGAAAAGGTTGTCATTCTCCTTGTCCCGCTCTGAAGTCTCGTCTTCGAGAAGGATTGCCGTCGACGTGCCCTTTAGACCGATCACGATGGTGCTGTTGTCCTTGGTAGCGAAAATGTGGCCGCGCAACCCATCGCCCTCCCAACCAAAATCGTCTGACGTGTTGAAGCCTCCGCCAATCTCGTGCCACGGATCTTTGAGCCGTTCTTGTACGTACGCGTTGGCCGCCGCCCACGCAAGGGTGATGACGGTCGACTTGTCCGAGATGTCTGGGCCGATCACTTCATCGGTCGTCCAAGCAGAAGAGGGCAAAGATGCGGCTTGTCCATAAGCGAGTGCATGGTCCAACAGCCCATCAATCCTCGAGCGGTTTCGATCCGCCAATCTTTCTATTGATGATGACGTGGTTCTTGCGCGGAGCGACTGGGGTACCACGATGTGGCTGTTGGAGTCCTCGTCAGCCACCCGGACTTGGGCGTTGGCGGGGATGTCCATGTATCGGTGGAGATTGGGGTGCTTGGAGACGCCATGGTGGTAGATGCTTCTCAGTGTGAACTCCAGCTCCCCTCGATCTTCGACGTGATGCGGCGCATTGTCGTCCGGGATGAAACCCGGCGGCGATAGGAAGTAGGGATCTGTTGGCGCTCGAGGTGACTCAACGGCGCTCACGAGGCCGTTGAAGCCGACGAGCCACACAGCGCAGGCGAGGAGGACGTTACCGACGCGGGGCATGTTGGTGGAATCGCGAGTCCGTCGGGGGGTCCAGGAAGGGCATTGCATAGGTGGCACGAGGGTGTGATGGCGAGGGCGAGTGGTGAAACAGGCGTCAACAGAGAGGCGGGCGACATGTGACGAGGAAGCGACGGGATGGCCCGCCAGCAGACGTCACCAATAGCGTTAGCGCGTAGATGTGGTCATGCGGGGGATTTCCGGGACCGGGAGATCGTCACGACGTCCCGCTAAAGATAGCATTTGGTTGGTGCCTGGGGCATGTGAAAGGCTGCCTGCTTCGTCTCAATCTCCTGCACGCCATGCTCTGACACGCCATTGCTTCATTGATTGCTGCCTGTGCTGTCATCAGGCGACGACGTTTGCAATCATTGAAGGCGTGGTCCATCTTCCGTTCGCTTCCCACCCTCTGCCCTGCCTCGCGGTAGACGAGAGCTTCCTCCGGATGCTACGGGAGACTCCACTGGAGCAATACGTAAGCTTGCTCACGTACATGTAGCGAACAAAGCTCGTCCTTCCACCGACATCTCCCCCCTACATCGATATGGCAGAAGGGATGTCCACGGCATCGACTGCCAGCCGCCCAAAACCTCGCACGCTCAACTCCTTCCCCCGCTTCGATGCCGAGCTCACCAGCCCATCTCGGAAGCAAAGAGCCCATACCTTGCAAGAGCGTGGCATCCCCGCCGTCCCGGCCGCACGGACAGTGGATGATTCTACGACACACAGCAGCAGGAAGCATGTGACGGATGTGTTCGAAGTTCAGCACGACGAAGGGGAGCCCGCCGCCACTTCGACGGGCACCCAAGGCCCCGAGCCTCAGCAGCCGAATACCTTCGACGACCTGCCCATAGAGATCAAGAGTCTGACAGAGCGCTTCTTGGAGAGCTTGTCCGCCAAAGTCCATCCCACCCCAAGGTCCGTTGAGGATCTCTCGGCCCTGTTTCAAGACTTCTACGAAAGAGCTGCCTCGCACATCGCCACACACATCGCTTCGCTTTCTTCAAGAATTGGCCGGGACAAGTCTCCTGCACCTTCCAATAACGCGCGCACCGTCTTAAAGTCTCGTTCGAGAGCAGGATCGGGGGCTAAAAGATCAGATGGCTCGCCCAACCACAGCGGCGGTGAGATGCTCACGGCCTCGGAAGTCACGGACAGGAAGCGGGCACGGAGATTACTCGAGCTGAAACGCCTCGGCATGGAAGAGGCTGTAGAGCGACAAGTATGTGAGAAGGTGTATGAGAGGATCTGGAAGCACAAGAGCTCCGATGACGATGCGAGAGATGAAAAGTTGCGCTCGAGGACTGCTGCTCTGGCACTCGTTGGCATTGGGCTGAAAGAGCTGCACGTCGACTCTCCCACCAATGAAGACATTCGCAAAGCAACCGGTGAGAAGGAGGATGAGATCCACCACTCGCTCGCGGATGCCCGCGAGGCTTTGCAACGTATGGATGACGAACATCATCCGCTCGGAAAGCTGCAACACCTCACCGCTGCGCACAAAAGCATTGTCGATACACTATCACAGCTGTTTCCTTCCTCCTCTTCCGCCGACGAGATCCTACCCACGCTGATTTACACCCTTATCACATCTCCGCCCGAAGGCATCAATGTCGTCAGCAACCTGAACTTCATCCAGCGATTCCGAGCCTCGAGCAAAGTGGATGGTGAGGCTGCATACTGCCTGGTAAATCTCGAAGCAGCCATCTCGTTCCTCGAGACCATCGATCTCAGCTCCCTTCGCGCAGATGAGCTGCCCCAAGGACCCCCGAAATCGAGCAGTACAGACTCGTTCGTGGCAATGGGTAATGCGACTACGTTATTGGACAAATCGACCACAGGGTCGGTAGTCCAGCCGGACGTCACACCTGTGTCGGTTACAGCACGAGATACCAGCAGCAGCCCGCACGAGGCGCTCAAGCCGCTGCCATCACCGCGAACTCCTGGCACAGAGCGACCGAGTCTGCTACAGCAAAGACGCATATCCGCAATGATGCAAGCGCAGGCCGATCGCATTGAAGCCGGCCGGGAGAACTTGCTAAACACGGCCGACAAGATCTACGACTCTATCAACGGCACGCTAGAGAATAGCTTCCAATTCGTCTTTGGTCGATTCAAAGACCAGCCCGCAGGTTCATCGCCTCTGCCCAAGACGCTCGAAGACGCGAGGAAACTCGTGAATTCGCCGCGAATGGGCGAGGAAGACGAATCGTTGGCCAACAGTGGCTCCAACAGCCCGACGATCGATGACCCTCTCGGTTCCGGAAGGCGGAGCGAAAGGGTTGTCGAGTTGATTGGCGGTAGCAAGCAGCCGCGGGATCGAAGTGTCGACAGCGCCCGTTCCATCGGAAGTGGGAAGCGCGTGCTCTTCGCTGACGGACAGGCACTCAAAGACAAGCCGAAGGAGGAAGTCATCACCCCAACAGGCACCTTGTTCTCCACGATCAACCCCTTGAATCGCTTTCAAGTCCCCAGCTTCGCTCGCTTCGGCCGTGCCGGCAGTATGCCTCAGACACCGAAGGATCCATCTCCTGGCGTGGAGAAGACCAGTCGACTAGGCGATATCATCGAGTCCCCAGTGACGAGTCGTGACGGCCCTGGTGGCGGAGCGTCGCCGGAGAAGGTCCAGAGCGGCGTGAATGGTAGGGACGAGGATATGAATGCCCGGGAGACTTTAGCGGAACTAAGCCGACTGAAGCCGCCGAAGAAACGGTTTTTGGAGGTGCAGAATGTCGGAGAGCTGAAGATTGCCGAGGTGGAGGAGTTGCTGGTGGATTACCGCCGGCTTGCCAAAGCGATTGCTGAGGCGATTGCGCAGTAGTGGAGGCCTTGCTTCGGCAGATGTCTGTCGACATGGCGAGATGTAGTCGCAACGTAATCCGCGCCATATCACGCCTTCTTCGGTGCTCCAATCTCCTCTCACTGCCCATTAGACACGATCTGAGCCTCCTTCCTCGCAGGCCGATCCCCAAAAACCGTTGTCCCGACTCGGACTTCATCACTGCCCTGCGAGATAGCCGCTTCAAAATCCGAGCTCATGCCCATACTCAGCTCCAGTTCCGCCTTGTCCACGCCCAACTGCTCCGCAATCCGATCCCGAACCTCGCGCAGCGCCACAAAATCCTCATTCACACTCTCTGGCGTCGTAGCCTCCTGGCTCCGCGCAATAGCCCCAATCGTCATCAAACCCGCGAGTTGCAGATGCGGACACTTCTCGCGGATGTGCCTGCTCAACTGCACCGCCTCGTCGGGCTCGACGCCGCTCTTGCTGTCCTCCCCCGACGTATTGACCTGCACGAGCACGCGCAACTTCTGCTCTAGCGTCTGCTTCTCCGCCAGCGCGGCGCGGCCTTTCTCCAGCGCGTCTGCCTTTTTCGCGGCGTCGACGCTGCTTACGCAGAACAGGTTGGCGACTTGCTCTGCTAATGGTTTGCACTTGTTCGTTTGCAGCCCGCCGATCATGTGCCACCGGATAGAGCTGGGAAGGAGTGCTGCTTTCTCCGTGAGCTCTTGGGCGTAGTTTTCGCCGAAGTCGCGTTGGGCGTGCGTGCTGTTGTGCAGGGCAAGGATGTCGTTTGCGGGCTTGAGTTTGGAGACGGCTATTAGGCGGACCTGGTTGTGGTGTCAGGACGCTCAATATAGCGAGGCAGAGTAGAGAGAGTGTGTGTGGTACCTTTCTGCCATTGCTCACGCTCTGGATCCTGGAGTAGACGTGGCCGATGTTCTCGGCCAGTAGCTTCGCGCGACTGGGGTCGATGTGCATGTTCTCGCCGTTCGTCTCGGTCGATTCGGACATTTCGATGTGTTCGTGCTTGTTCTTGTGAGAATTATAGATTCCGAGAAGTGACGTGCACATCAAGTTGAAGCACGGGCCTTCTCGAATTTGGAAGGCTGCGTTCGCACTTGCCTTTACATCTCACGTTTCCATCCACATACGGAAACTTGATCCCGCTCATCGTCCCGCTGCACATTCCAGAGGGCAGGGCATGATGGCAGAAGGCGTCAGCGATGGCTTGGAGAAGCTCTCGCTCCTTTCGTCAAAGCTGCACACTGACATCGACGAGCTTCTGGACCAAGAGCAACCACGCAAACGAATCCGCACGTCCCGAGAGGAAGTCAAGGCCAAGCTCACACGGGACTTCCTCACGCCATCTACAGCATTCACCCCGACATGGCTGGATCGCTTACAGCAGAGATGGGACGCACCGACAAACTACGATAACCTCTTTGCCCTGGCCACCACCCAAACCCGGACTGTCATTCGTTTCACGAGAGAGGGACTCGAGGGCCGCGTGACCGGGTACAAAGAAGTCACCGTCCCTGCCAACAGCGCCACTGCAAAGAACTCGACTTCGCTTCTACGCAAACCGGCGAATCGAGCGGATTTCGTGCGTGGCGCCGCGGGCTTCTATCCCTTTGCCCCTGGTGGTCTGGATGCTGTCGAGGCGACTGCGGCGTATGAAGATGAAGTCTTGCTGCAAAACGGGGTGGACCAGGCTCCTAAAAGCAAGTCTTTGGATCGTGTGATTGATTTTGCCGCCGAAGGGGGTCTACTAGAAGTGCCTCCGGGCTTTGCGAGAGGCCTGCGCGTCCCTGAGCTTGCATCGTCGGATGAACAGGCTGCCAAGGATGTTGAAGAAGCGCTCGAAGAAGAGCCTGCTGATGCTCCACCTCTTCCGAATGGTGAAGCACTGCCCAAGGAGAATGGTGTTAGCGCAGATGATGGTGATAGTGGCGAAGAGGAAGAGGACATCGATGCACTTCTCCCCGTGGAATTTCCATCGCTGGCTCCGCATGGACCTCTGGCCATAGCACGAAACAAACATGGAGGACGGGAATGGGCTCATATGGTCGACGTCAACAGAGACATCCCCAACTTCAGCGACCTCGTTCCGGAAATGGCACGCACCTGGCCGTTCGAACTGGACACTTTCCAGAAAGAAGCCGTTTACCATCTGGAGAATGGCGACTCTGTCTTTGTCGCCGCACATACTTCCGCAGGCAAGACGGTCGTTGCTGAATACGCCATCGCCCTAGCAGCCAAGCACATGACCAAGGCCATATACACTTCTCCCATTAAAGCATTGAGCAATCAAAAGTTTCGCGACTTCCGGAACGAATTCGACGATGTGGGCATCCTCACTGGCGATGTGCAGATTCGGCCAGAGGCAAGCTGTCTCATCATGACCACCGAGATCCTCCGAAGCATGTTGTACCGCGGTGCGGATCTAATTCGAGACGTCGAATTCGTCATCTTCGACGAAGTTCATTATGTGAACGATCTTGAGCGTGGCGTCGTATGGGAAGAGGTCATCATCATGCTGCCCGAGCACGTCACGCTCATCTGTCTCTCCGCAACGGTGCCGAACACTCAAGAATTCGCATCGTGGGTGGGACGGACGAAGAAGAAGGATATCTATGTCATCTCCACCCCTAAACGACCCGTCCCATTGGAGCACTACATATGGGCGGACAAGAAGATGTTCAAAATCGTGGATGCCAACAAGACGTTCATTGAGAAGGGCTGGAAGGATGCGAACGATGCTTTGAGCGGTCGTGATAAGGTCATTGCGGCAGAGGCGAAAGCCAAAGAGAAAGAGGAAGCCGCCGCGGCTGCTGGCCGAGGCGGTCGCGGAGGCCGTGGTGGTCAACAACGAGGGGGTGGAGCAAATCAGCGTGGCGGGGGCAATGGACGCGGCGGCCCACAGCAGAGAGGGCGTGGACAGCCTTCCAGCCGTGGTCAAGGCAACATTGCTCGAACGGGAAGAGGTGGCGGGCGAACGACTGCGGCCCAGGATCGAAATCTGTGGGTGCACTTGGTGCAACATCTCCGGAAGGAAGAGCTGCTGCCGTGCTGCATCTTCGTCTTTTCGAAGAAGCGCTGCGAGGAGAACGCCGACGCTCTGTCGAATCTTGACTTTTGCACGGCGAGTGAAAAGAGTGCGATTCATATGATCCTGGAGAAGTCGCTCGCTCGTCTGAAGGCGGATGACAAGCAACTGCCTCAGATCCGGCGTATTCGAGAACTGCTCAGCCGCGGAATTGCTGTGCATCACGGAGGCCTTCTACCAATCGTCAAGGAGTGCGTGGAGATTTTGTTCGCCAAAACGCTGGTGAAGGTGCTCTTTGCCACCGAGACGTTCGCCATGGGCCTCAACCTCCCTACCAGGACCGTCGTCTTCTCTGGATTCCGCAAGTTTGATAACAAAGCTTTCCGAGATCTCTTGCCCGGCGAGTACACTCAAATGGCAGGACGTGCGGGTCGAAGAGGGTTGGACACCGTCGGATACGTCTTGCTGGTCACACCTGGAGCGGAAGAAGCGCCACCGGCTGCCCGACTGAGACAGATGATGCTAGGCGACCCGACCAAACTGCGTTCACAGTTCCGCCTCACCTACAACATGATCCTGAATCTCCTGCGAGTCGAAGCGCTCAAGATTGAAGAGATGATCAAGCGCTCGTTCTCCGAGAATGCCACACAAGCGCTGCTACCTGAGCATGAGAAACAGATCAAGGTGTCGGAAGCCGATCTTGCAAAGGTCACACGGGAGCCTTGCGGCACTTGCGACAAGGACATTGACGCGTGCCACCAGGCAAGTGTTGACTTTCAACGCCTTACTGCCGATCTTTACCTTTCCATGCTGGCGACTCCAGTCGGGCGTCGCATGTTCCAGCCCAAGCGTCTCATCGTGTTCAGAGGCAAGAACGACGTTCGAACGGCCGGTGTCTTGCTCAGAGAAGGCGCGAGCAGAGGAAAAGCTCCCAGTGTGCAGGTTCTGGAAGTCGTGTATCGCAACGCCAGAAAACGCCAGGACGCCGACTTCTTACCCTACCTTCCCCGTTTCCGCCGGCGCTTCATTCCTCTCCCGGATACTGAACGTGACATGCAACTCAGGTTGATGATGATACCGCTGGAAGACGTCGAGGCCCTGACGAGCTCGCACGTCAAAATCGATGTCGATGGTGTACTGAAGAAGGACCCAACAGCCATGGCTCAAGCAAAGAGCGAGCTGCTCTCCACCTGCTCTTCTTGGACATCTTCCACGTGGAATGAGCTCGATTGGTATAAATACCTCAAGGAAATGTCCCTTCGCACTCTACTTGACCAACGCACCGAGGCCGCCGACACCGCCCAAAATTGCGAGTGCATTCATTGTGCTGACTTTCCCAAGCACTTTGCCATGGCCCACGATCAATGGGTCATCAAGGACAAGATCGACTCTATCCGCCAACTCATGTCCGACCAGAACCTGCAGCTACTCCCCGACTACCAACAGCGCATCTCCGTCCTGAAAGACCTTGGCTTCATCGACGAGAACTCCCGCGTGGAGCTGAAAGGCAAGGTGGCCTGTGAAATCCACTCCGCCGACGAACTCGTCCTGACTGAACTCGTGCTGGAGAATGCACTGGCCGAGTTCGAGCCCGAGGAGATTGTTGCGCTGTTATCCTGCTTCGTCTTCCAGGAAAAGACCGAGTCAACACCCAACATCACGCCCGCGCTCGAGCGAGGCCAGGAAGTGATTGTCAAGCTTTCCGAAAAAGTCAACCACATCCAGACGCTGCACCAAGTCATCCTCTCCGCCGACGACTCGAACGACTTCGTCTCCAAACCCCGCTTCGGCTTGGTGGAGGTGGTGTACGAGTGGGCGCGCGGCATGCCTTTCAGCCGCATCACCGATCTGACCGATGTGCTGGAGGGGACGATTGTGCGGGTCATCACGCGCTTGGACGAGACGTGTCGCGAGGTGAAGAATGCGGCGAGGATTATTGGCGATCCGACGCTGTTCAACAAGATGCAGACTTGTCAGGAGCTGATTAAGAGGGATATCTGTGCCACGGCATCGCTGTATATGTGATGTGCTGTATGGAGATGGAATGCTCGGCCATCGACTTCAGTAGCTATAGCAAGGTCGTAGAGACTTCAATTCTACTGTATAAGGTGCATCGCGTATCGTGTGCGTTCCTTCCTAAACCAGACAAGCTCCGCGGGCATTCCCGTGGACCCTCAATCAGGCACGTCCCTGAGCTCTCTCCATCAAAAAGTTGCGGCCTCGAGCTCTCGCGGTTGCCTACTCCCTTTCTCTCCAACAACACCACATCCACGACAAATCAACCAACTCCCCGCCAACAAAAGACACAACCAAACATGGCAATGAACTTCGCCCCCTACCAATCCAGCCCCCCCGAATCCGAACGCGCCAAATCGCCTCCCCTCCGCTCACCCACCACCTCTCCCGCACCTCCCCTCTCCCCACACCCCCAACGCAACCTGAAAACTCCCATCCTCCCCTCCTCCCGCGGCGGCGGCGAAGAAGACCCCTGGGCCGCAGCGCGCAACGCCCGCCTCCCCTCGCCCTCACAATTCGCAGACGAGACCACAGGTGGGTACACGGATCTCGAAAGCGGTGAGGCGGCGGCCGCGGACCGGTATGCAAACGACTACATAGGGCACGGAGCATGGCGACACAGCGCGACGGCAGGCGTAGACGGCGCAGGGTTTGAAACGAGTCTCGGCTTCCCGTTACGGCTGGAAGCGTGTCTGGCCTACTTGCTACTCCCGCCGGCAGGAGGCGTGGTGCTGCTCCTCTTCGAGCACAAGAGCGACTACGTACGCTTCCACGCTTGGCAGTCGGCCATGCTGTTCAGCGCGGTGTTTTTGCTGCACGTCGTTTTCAGCTGGACGGCGGTTGTGAGCTGGATGCTGTTTGTGGGGGATTTGGGGCTCATTGTGTACTTGACTGCTTGTGCGTGGCGGAATGCCGGGACGCTGGATCGGGTGGAGGTGCCGTTTTTTGGGCGGCTGGCGAGTAGTTTTGTGGATGATGAGTAGGATGTTGCTACTACTGCTGCTTTGGGCTGGAGCTGGAGCATCTTAACACACGCTGGGTGAAAGCGCCATGCAAGAGTTGGATCCAAGCCGGGGTAACAGGAGTTACTCCTGACCAGCGACGACGTTTGTGCATGAAGAGGACGAAAGCGATCAATTCGCGGCATACAACGCTAAACAACGCTATCATTCGGCTTCAGATTCCGCGATCGCATAAACCGATCCGACGACTGATCGGGCAAATCAACAGGACTGCCCTCAGAATGCGTCCCCCCATCAGACGCCTTGCGGTCGACTTCACTCTCACTAGGACTGTCTTTCCGCGACATGTCCTCCCCAAACGCAATCCTCTGCATGGGGTCGTGATATGGCGTGCTGGAGGTGGGATGCGGAGTTCTCGCGGCCGATAACATGTGCCTGACCTCCGTCGATGTCCAGCCGCCTTCGTCGCGATCCTCTTGTTTTTGGGGCCAGAGGATGTCTTTGACGATGACGGCTCGGATCATGGTGATGAAGATGGCGATCCACGCAATGACGAGAAGGACGGTCAAGACGCAGCCGAAGATTCGAATGGGCGCGCTGTCGAGTGCTTCCGCGATGGCGTAGGTGGCAGTGATGAGCGCTGGACATGCCGTCAGGTCAGGCCGTTTTCGATGGAAATGCAAGCAGAAAGTGAGACTCACCGGTATTGGGGAAGATGTAGGAATACCACGTCATGGCGAATGTCATCTTCCGGTCTCGCACACACGAATAATGCGCGCCGACGGAGACGATGAAGAACCACAGCGCCAAGCCCCAGAGCCAAAGGCCGACCCACAGCGAGCAGATCTTCGACACCTGGGCGAAGAGATAACCATTCCCCATGTAATCGGCAGGCACGACATCGGGCAGGAGATGGCCCATCGACACCACGCCGGCGATGGTGAAGCCAGAGGGACCAACGCTGACGAACATGCCGGGTCGCAGCGTCTCGCGGGGGAGTTTGCTTGTCATCAAGCGGTAGATGTATGAGGCGTAGATCATGAGCGACACCATGAAGCCGATGCCTTGGAATATCCACCCGCCTATGATGATGTCGACGGCGCGGGGGTGGAGCATGTGTAAGGCGAGTTGGCCGGCAAAGGGGCCGACGATGAGCAGCGGATAGGCGGGAAAGATCCAGACAGGAGTCATCTGATCGATGGTGAAGGTCTGAGTGGACCATCTACCGCAATCTTAATTAGTTGATAACGACTATAAATCTGGCAAATCCACACGTACATGGTCAAGTAAATGCTCGAGCTGAGGATGACGGCGAACGCGCAATACACCCAGAACACGACAAACATGGTGTCGACCAACCACGTCCCGGCCTTACCGGGCGTCGTGCCGTACTGGGTGATGTTGAGGAGGATGGTGCCGGTGCTGATGATGCACGCGGGCACGAAGAGGACTTCGGTCGGGTGGGTGATGGACGCGATGAAGAGAGAGGGGTAGAAGTGGAAGCGCAGGCAGATCATGGTGATGTTGAAGAGGAAGAGGAAGATGTTGAAGAGGAAGACGATGACGCCGAGGGTGTAGAGGCCGGGGAAGCGGTACGGGGCTGCGTGGGACTCAATGTTAGACGCCGTTCATCATTAGTGTATGGAATGAGCGGATACGCACTTTGGTAGAGGACATTGGCCACGCCTCCTGTTGCCATCTGCTCGTTGTCCATCAGTACTCATTCGTTCCTCACGTTGCCTGCATTTCCCTTACAGTCATGGTGAACCAGGTCCAGGTGAAGTGGCGCACGCGCTGCTTAAAGCCGAGATTCATCTTCGCCAGCGTGCTCTCGATGCTCTCTCGCCGCTCCGCCGACAAGCGCGCTTGAGGGCGATGCGCTGCGCCGCCGCATCTTGCACAGGTCTCGGTTGCCATTTGATGCGAGTTTCCGGGAAAGAATGAGGCCTCACCCTAGTCGAGGAGCATAGTCGGCTGGCCGAGCGTATGGAATAGTGGCTGAACGGAGGCAGTATGGTATAGCGACGTTCGTTGTATCCAGCCCGCGAAGCAGTCACTCCATATCCGTCGGTGCCGCAACTTCGTCGTCCAGAAGGTATTCAAAGCCAGCTGGTAAAACCCCCACGATCCGCCCAAGCTAGGTCGCCGTGGCATTCAGAGTAGACAAGTACGAGACAAAGGGAAAAGTGAACAGAAAATGAGAAAGATGTTCGAACGGAAGTGGAGTCGAGGACATGCGAGCGGGAGGATCGGCTCTACACGCCACTTCACCCGAGCGGCAGCCCAGACATCGTCAACCAGCCGCGCGCGGGGCGGGCGGAAAATGTTCGCGAGTTTGCGTCAGGTAATTGGGAATCCTACGGGGTTGCAGGCGGTGCAGGGCACGAGTGAGCGACGCCTGCCCCCACTCGGCGTGGGCCCAAACCCCGGAATTGCCCTCGGGAGCAGCGGAAGATAAAGTTTCGGGGTTCAGATCAGAAAGCTTCGCTGCAACGTCATGTCCGCCGTCTGCGAGGCCTGGAAATTCACTCACTGCGGAGAAGAGGAGAATAGGGTGTTGTTGACAATACACAGCCATGCTTTACTAGTTATACTGTAGCTAATAACCTTTCGATGCGCAGACGCCTTCGTGTCTCGTTGTCGCTTCCGTACCTCCCACATTCCCGCTCATAAGTAATACGCCTATCTATGCTCCTCGTTCCAGCAAAACGCCCTGCTCGAAGCGACAGCAGAAGCGAGCAATCGAAGCCATTCACCATCCTCGCAGCCAGCGGCAAGATCACCAGAAACTGCACCACCCGATGTAGTGCTGGCACAGATTCTCGAGATTCGTCGCCTCCGCCAGCAACTTCTCCACCTGCCGGTTGACGCCCAGCTCGCTCTCCTTCTTAAAGTCGCGGCCCGTCAGCTTCTCCTTCACCCGGCTGAGCACCTGCACTGCCCGCGCATTCTGCACTTCCTTCTCCACCTGCTGCTCCCCATTGCCATTCGCCTGCGTGCTCGAGCGGTGCCGGGGCCGATAAGAGCTCCCAGGCCCGCCGCTCGTGCCGTTCGGTGCAATCGATGAGCGGCGCCCGGCATCTGGACCGGGTGGTTGCGCGATGATGGAGTTGCGGCGCTCCGAGGGGAAGGAGGGCTCAGGTGGATTATCATTGTTGCCCAACCGCCAATTAAGCAGAGGATCGTGGATGAAGGCTTCCAGCACAGCCATGAGAGATTCCTTGTTCTCGCGCAACAGCCGCATCGCGTGCTCGCACGTCGTTCGGAAGCTGCCTTCGATGTTGCTGACCTCCATTGCGAAGGTGAGCATGCGCGTCAGGCGGAAGGGCACTCGCTCGGGGTACTTTTCGCGGTGCATCGCCACCTCGAAACAGTCGCCGAAATCGATGTGGATGATCTTGCCTGTGATGCGATCGAGCATGAGATTCGAAGGATGTCGATCGCCCAGACCCAGGATGTATCCCACCATGGACATGACGGCGAGCGAGCGAGTGTAGTTCGTCCGCCGGTCGAGCCACGATTCCGAGCTCTTGCTCTTGAGCCACAACACTCGGTACAGATCCTGCCCCGTCGTATTATCGAGTGCGTACCCGAACACTTCCACTTTTTGCATCAACGTCAGGTTGTCATAGTCGGGTGCCATCTGCAACATAATCCGATGCTCGATGTTAAGGAGGATTTTGCGGCTCTCGCGATATTCACGGATGAGCACGTGCAGAGTATCGCTGTTTGGCACCCATCCAATGAGACCTGACTGAGTCGAAAGGGGAATCGCAGAGAAGCGTTGAATGTTCAGATGACGCTTCAGGCATTCCGTATCGGTGGCAAGGAGGGTATTGATAAGCCCGAAAAGCTGCATGATGCGCTCGTCCTGGCGGATGTCTTCGTGGCCCTTGAGTAGGTATTCATGCTTCAAACCATCCGTGCCGCGTAGTCCCAGCTTCCGAGGCCGTTGCTTGGAGGAAATCACGGTTGCCACGGGGTCGAAAGACTGAATGCGAATGATCGGCTTTCCACTTTGGTAGGTGCCCGGCACGACAAGGTCCAGGTCGTGCGCATTCTTCAGCTCCGGCGAGACATATTGCAGCTCGAGACTCATCAACTGCGGCAACTGTCGTGCAATCCGTTTGAAAACGCCGTAGTACAAGTCCCATGCTTGGTTGAGCTCGCCGACTTCCTGCGTAGTCTTGTACGCTTCGCACCATTGGCGAGCATCGTTAAGGTCCCGGCCAAAGCTTTGAATGAACGAGATCTCGCGCAGAGTCTCGGGGCCCTTGCGCAGCATCTCGTGCAGCGGCTCGAGGCAGTCCAGCATGCCCTGGATGTTGTGGTCACCGAAGTACAGGCGGGACGCTTCTTCCAAGCCTTCGTGCCATTGTTCATGCCACAGCACGGCGATACGAATGAGTTCGCGGCTCACTACGGCAGCTTGCTCGACAAGTTTCGGACTGTGCTGGCGCATAGCCTCCATCACACGGCCTGCAGCGCGCGATCGCGTCAACGTCTCCGACTTCATCGAGACTGTGAGCGGATACACGAGGGGTTGGGGGTGCGCTCGCCCAACATCGACGAGCAGCGCGTGCACCGCCTCCCGAACCAGACGATTCGATTGGTTGATGCGAGCGATGAGCTGAGGGAGAACCTCGAGCCAGGTATCCACAGAGACGGTCGAAATGCCCTGGGTGACCGCATGGGTGACCTCCTGGTGCGAGCCGTGCGCGAACCACATGGTCAACAGCCGCAAATTGTCCTGCAACGAGCTGCTCGACGACAATGCTATTGACTTGAAGAAGCCCTTGATTGCAGGGACAACGTGGTCGTGGACAATGTGCTGCGGGACATCGGCCTCTTCCCGGCCTGCTTCCGACGTGAGTGCCGTAACGACCTCGAAATTGGCCAGGGCCCAGGCATGCCACGCCTTGTACCAGTTCTCGTTGTAGCGAGTCGCCGCATAATACGAATGCAGGACATCGCCTACGTGGTCGGACTGCCAGTCGCCACCGTGCCGTGCAATCTGCCAGTCGCCTTGCTTGAGATAGCAACGAGCTAATAACGTCCTTGCGGCATCCAAGTCCGCTTTGTCCTTTGCGGACGGCTGTCCAGTGGTGGAGCTGAATGGAGTCTGGTCGCCATTGATGCCATTCGTACCATTGATGTGTGCGGAGGACGTGCCATTCACCGACCCGTTCGCGAACTCCTGGCTTCTCGTGTCGAAGTCTTTCCTCAGCTTATAAACGAACTCCCGCAAGGAAAGCAAAGCTTTGTCGTGGTGACCGGTGGCCCACAGATACTTGTACACTGCGAATTGAACTTTGTCCGGCGCGGCACGGACCTTTTCCATGCCCTCTTCGTCCACAATCTTGTACTCACTGTTGTTGCTGATGCCCAGCAGTGAGTTTAAACTCTTCTCGGCGAGTCCATTACGCTCAGCCTTGCGGCAAATGGCGGCAAACTTGATATACATGTCGCTGTTCTCCGGCGGCGTGATGACCAGAGCGCGGACTTTGAGCATGCGCTGCCATACGTCGACACTACGCTGACACCCGAGGAGTCGCTTGGTCCACGTGTGGCGCATCCGCTCTTGTTTCTCCTGGTCGCCGGCATGTTGCTTGTAGGTGATGATTTCTTCCAACTCGGCCAGCATTTGCACCCGTACAATCACACTATACGCCCTAGCATATGACTCTCCCAGCAATGCACTGAGCTCGGCATCAAGTCCATCGCGGACTTTGGTGATGTGAGCATGCGCGTCCTCAAACTGGTTGCGGTTGATGGATAGAATGGCGCCGAAGAACGACCGATCTGGCGAATTCTGCTTCATGACGCCGAGATAGTTGTCCATGAGCTCCCACTGGCCCATGCCCCAAGCAGCAGCGGCAGCAAGAGGAGCAATGTGCTTTCTTTGATCCGAACTTGCATTCATCCATTTGTCTTCGGCGATGGAGCTGAGCGTGTCCCATTCGCCAAGGGCATGCAAACAGCGCATCTTGCCCATGATGACATCGAACCCTGCATTCTCGCCTTCCTCGCGCTCTCGCTTTTGATACTGGTCCAGGGCGTCTTCCCATCGCTGCAACTTCTCGTACCAGGTCTCTCGAAGATCGACATCCGTGTAGCCCCTAGCCTTACGGAGGATTCCAAAAGCGGCATCGGTCTGCTGCAGTTGATTGTTGATGCTGATCAGAGCTTCCACGGCAGCGGCGTTCTGATCCGCATTGAACTCGAGTTCCTTGTAGTGCAATGCTTTGGCAAAGGCGTGACATTTCCCGGCGTACATTCCTAGCGTTCGAACGTCGATGGGCAGAGCTTTATCATCGTGCTCCATGAACTCGGCCAGATTGAGCAGGATTTGCAGAATTTCCGGCGGGATGTTGGATGATGTTAGTGCAACTTCGATCGAGCGTACCAGTTCCTCTTGATACTGGTCATAGAGCTCGGTCCAGCAGCTGACAAAAGCCGAGTTGAAGAGGCTGCGGGCCAGAGGAGGATAGATGGTGGCAAGAGGCGTGCAGGCTCGCAAGGCTTGCTGCGGAGACTCTTTCAATAGCTCGACAGAGAAGCGACGCATCCATTCCTGCCAATCCTCCCGTGTCGATTTCTGATTCGCCTCCCAGGCATTCTTGAGATGCTGCTGATTTACCGCAAGCTTCTTCGTGGCAATTTCCGTGGGATACTGGTCGTCATCCTCGTCTCTGTACCGCTCCTCCGGGCTCAAATCTTGTGGCAGAGAATCACCTTTCTTCAGCTTGTTGATGATGGTGGCGTACTGTGAGTGATGTATCTTGTGCGTGAGAAGCACTTTCTCAATACTGGGCACAAAATGCAGATAGTCCGGACCAAGCTGGAAGACGAGAGCACACAGTGTGTCCAGTGCAGGCTGCCGGAGAGATGATTCGTTCCCAGCAAGCACTCGAGCGAGGGGGTGGATGATCTTGGCTGCAAACTCCGAGATGTTGACTTGCTTGCTCAGCTTGCCAATCGTTTCGATCGCAACTCGTCGAATGTCGCGGGGCTGGAATCGATCGGTGTCAAACATCCGCACCACAACAGGCACGATGAGGTGCATGTACTCTTCAGCGCTCGAGCCGAAGATGAGGAAGGCATGCAGAACTCTCTGACACGCTGCTTTGCCTGCATCTGACCTAGTATCCCCGTCAAGCACACCGAGCATGAGTGGCAGCACTCGGGCGAGGTAGATCTTGAACTCGCCCTCAAGGCTTCTCGCGATGCTTTCGATCAGACTCAGGATGGTCGCTTGAAGTGTCGTACCTCGATGCCAATGATCTTGGACCGCATCGAGGATGAGTCTCAAATGTGGCCGAATGTGCTGCCGCACAATCTTGACGAGCAAACTGAGCTGGTTGAAGTAACCCTCTAACCGGCCATCTGGAGCGTCTTTCAGCACACCGACGATCCCTGGAACCACGGTATTGAGATACGGCACGCATTTCATGCCCATGGTGGCGTATATGTTCATCACTGCCTCCACGACCGCGGAGTGGTATTGCTTGAGAGCGTCGTCCTTGAGCATGTGAATGAGAGTGTTGATGACAACGGTCGGATAGTAGTCCTCATTGCTTGGCGTGATGCCTTTCATGATGAGCGTCACATCCGATTCCGCCTCCGCCTCAGCTCTGAGGTTCGATTCCGGCGAGTCTTCGATGACCTGCTGGTGCTTGTAGGGGTCCAGAGCACCTAAGATGCCCATGAGGCGAATTGTCTCGCGCCGCAGATCTCCCGGCGGCTCGTTCTTGACGATGTTGACGAGAATGGTCAAAAGTTCCGTGTGCTCCAGGTACGGGTCGATGACATAGCCGCTGCTGCTGGCCAGCTGGCCCAACGTACAAAGAGCCGTTTCTCGTTTCTTGGGAGAACTGAGATCCTGCAGACTGCGGATGATGATCTTCATCAGCTCTGGAACGTATTTCATCATTTCCTCTCCACCAACTGTCGCCAGATCACCGAGTGCGCGGAGCGTGGTGGCTGCAACATCAGCGTTGGGATCATCGGCCTTGGGGAGCAGGACTGTGACCATTGGGTCGACGTAAGGCTTAATGAGCTTGGTGCTGGCGCTCACAAGGTCTGATATGAGCTGTGCAGATTCTCGCTTGTTGTTCGCGCTGTTGGAGTATTCGATCTCGGTAAGTAATTGGATGAGAACCTTGCGGAGTGAAGGGAAGACGTAAGCGGGGTTGACGGCGGTGAGCCGGCCAATGATGCTCATGGCAGCTTCTCGGATGGCAAATCTTTCGTCGTTCAGAGCGAGGAACAGCGTTCGAACGTTCTCGGCCTTTGCCAAATGACGATCAAAGCGAGCGTCCAGCGACACGAGGACTGTGAGACGGATGTCTGCAATGGGATCCGCAACGCCGACTGTGAGAAGCTTTTCAATGACATCTGACACAACCTGAATGGCGTGATGACTTGTCTGGTGTACGATCGGATCTCTCACGAACAGCTGGCAGCATGTCAAAGCTGCAGCCTTTCGTACTACTGGATCATCGTCCTCGACGTAACGAATGGCAACATCGCGGACGAATTCGTTAAGCACATGACCGCTGAAGTCGAAGGAGCCGAGGGTGTGCAAAGCCAGAGCAATCTCATGGTCCTTGTGCTCTTGGTGTTGCGGGTCTCGCTGATCGCGCACTTCTTTCGTGTAGATGGGTGGCAATCCTTTGCCATGTGTGGGATGACCGAGGGTCTGGAATGGCTGCCCACATAACGTCCGGCTGAGCAGATCCAGCAGCTTCTCCTGGATCGTCGATTTTACTGGGGGAATGTAATGTGCCATGTCGACGAGTGCTTGTGTGAGAGCGTCAGAAAGTCCACAGGCAAAGATAGGATCGAGCAGCGCCTCCATGTATTTGCTCAAAGTCTGGCCAACGGCGATGGAGATCATGCTGATGCACTCGAAGATGGGTGCCTCGTCCGAGTGTTTGCTGCGGTTCTTGACGGAGAGTGCGTCTCGGATATGAAGGAGGATGGTGTCAAGATATGGTGCAATTTGCGATCCAACAGCATGCGCAATCTGGCCGATAGCCGCGAAGGCGATGTTACGCTGCCGCGGATCCTTCAGAAGAGTCTGCAGATGGGACATTGAGCGGGCGAGATAATTGACACAGAACTCTTTCGGTGCGTATCCCGCGAGGATGGGGATGATCTCGACGACCGTACGCCGAATGGTTGGATCGCGATGTTCGCGATACTGCTGAAGAAGTGTCCGCTCGCACGCATCCTTGTAGCGAGCACCGTGCATGAACATTCCACCTTGGACGAGTAGCTCTTTGTACGCCAGAAGCGATCCGTGAATGGACTCGACAGTGTTTCTCCGGAAACCATCTTGTGCGGCTTCAAACATGCGGGTTAAACACGTAGTCCGTTGCTGCGGATCCCTGGCGGAGAGGACCTTGAAGCACTGGCTGACAGTCTCTGCCGCCACCTCGCGTATGGCGTACTTTTGGTCCCGCAAGCCCTCCCATATGCTGACGAGGATGCCGGGAATGTATGGGTACAGCAGAGTCGAACTATTCCTGGCCAGCTCTCTTAATATCAACACCGCGGCGAACCGTCTGTTCTCGTTCCGCTCCGACGTGAGCCATTCGAGGGCGTGCTTAACTTCCGCCTCGACAAGTTCCGCCGTGAGGGCACCGCCAGGCGTCGCCAATCGGCCCAGACACTTTGCCGCAACCACCATCGCACTGGTATCATTGCCCTCGAGCACTCTCTTGAGGTAGTTGCTGAACTTGGTCACCTTTGCTGCCGCATCGTCTCCCTTGAAATCGATCAAAGCATTCAAGGCGTACAGGCCGCCGGTGCGTTCGTGCGTGTCGGTGCCGCCCATGATGAGAGCGACCATCCGGGTGTTGACATCATTGTAGTAGCGCGCGAACTCGGCGGGCGGCAGTTCTCTGAAGCAGGAATTGACCTGCTCTCCCAGTCTTGCCGCCGCATTTTGGCGCGTGTTCTCCGACCGGGCTCGAAGGTCGTTGAAGAGGGCATCGAGGCTATCTCTGAAGGTTTGCGCCATGATGCCGGGGAGTGGCGTGTAGGTTGGGGGTGTGGGGTGTAGCGAAGGACTAGGACGAGTCTCCTTCAGCCTCCTCGTCCATATTCACCATCGCTGCCGCCCTTCGTGGTTGGGAAGAGGGGGATTGGTTGGGGTTGCAGAAGTGGTCATCTGGACATGAGGTCGGCTGGCCCCGCGGCTCTTCCGAAGCTTGGACCAATTGAATTCGGAACACACGCGGCTTATGTAAGGCCTGATCTTCGACATCAAGTCCATCAGGCTCTCTCATTCACGCGTTTCCTTCACCACCACCATCTTCACACTGACCACATTGAACATGCACAGGATTATGCTGACCTAGTTTTAGTCACTGAGAACAAATGAAGTAGGCGTCCCATGACCAAAGCACCCATCAGCAGTCATGGCGGAAGGCGACATCCCCAGGGAGTTTCCCGATGTGAATCAAAAACTGGCAGCGCCGAAGATGTTGTCTGCCTTTGAAAAGGAGAGACAAGCCGCCCAAGCAAAGGAAAAGCGAGAGCAAGCAGCGACTGCTGCAGCGCTAAAAAAGTTCGAGGATGACTTTGGGGTTGATCACGACGATCGTGGCCGCTCTCGCCTGCAAGACTCTGGCTTCGATGGTCCTTCTCATGACCCAAGAAGTGGTCTTACTGGTGGCTTCGGCTCCATGCCCGGTCAACCGCCTCCCAGCATGAAACGCAGACGAGCGCTCGACGAGATGAGGGAGGCGCAAGAAGCGGAACGAGAATACGACATGATGGATCTCGACCAGTCCAGGAGCGACCCGAGACATACTTCGCAGCCAGAAACCCACCACGACGACAATGATGATCGTGTTGACGACACTCCGCGTCCTACAATTCAACTGTCCTCTCTACCTCCCACAATGTCTATCGATGGAGTCAAAGCACTTCTAAAGGACCATGTCAGAGTTCACACCGTACGCTTGGTAGCCCCGCCGGGACTTGATGAGTCAACGTCGAAGGGGTCCATAAACGCCATCGCAACTCTTGCTGCAGACGTACCCTCGGCACAAATTAACAATGCTGTCAGTGCAATCAGTGGCAAGTACCTTGGCTGCGGCTTTTATCTATCCGCCTCTCGATATCTCTCATCGGCTGCCAATCATCCAGCAATGTCGGAATCGACAAGTGCATCTTCTTCAACCCCTTTCGGAGCGGAGCAGTCTCGGGGCCAACCCTCGCACTCATCTCTGCGCAATGCGCCACCTCCAGGGGACTACGCAGGCTTCGCACCTCCGGCGTCTTATGATTCTTACTCTGGTGGAGCTGCAAACAACTCCGACCCGCCAGATGCGACGCTCACCGTTCAACCACCTGACAGTATCGATGAAGTCCAAGCAATTCACACAGTTGTCGACACTCTCCTCGGCGAGCCCGATCCCGAACGCGCTCTCGAAATCGAAGCAGCACTCATGGCGCTCCCGGCCGTCCAGCAAGATGAGAAATTCGCATTCCTCTATGACTCACGCAGCGCCGGCGGGATCTACTACCGCTTTCTCCTCTGGACCTATGAAGATCCCGACGACGCCGCAATGATCATGAAACGACGTCTCTGCGGACCAGAAAGAGTGCACGAGGATCTGGCGATCGATTGGCTTCCGCCGTACGTCCAAGTGCCATACCCGGGTCTGAAGGGCCTCGAGCATGTTGTCCACGACGCCGACTATTTCACCAGCGATGAGGAAAGCGAGGGTGATTCCGGCGAAGAGAGACGCTTCAACATGGGCAAAGAGGGCGAAGGTCAAAACATCACGGAGGAGAGGAAGTGTCTGAGTCCGTTGAAGAGAGCCAAGCTGGTGCATCTCCTATCACGACTCCCTACAAGCAATGCCCGACTCCGAAAAGGCGATGTCGCCCGAGTGACGAATCTGGCCATCAAGGAAGCTGGAAACGGTGGTGCAGAAGAGATTGTCGATATCCTACTACTCAACGTGGAGAAACCACTATCGACCAGTCTCGCCGCGAAATACGAGTTCTCAGATGTCGAGCAAGATGACGAAGACATATACGAGCCCGACGAGAATCTCTCCACCCTCGACTCCGGACTCTCTCAACTCACAAAAGAACCCAAACCCCAAGAAGACCCATCCAACGCAAAACTCGTCGCCCTCTACATCATCTCCGACATCCTGTACGCCTCCACGACCGCCGGCGTGAAGAATTCCTGGAAGTACCGCACGCTCTTCGAAGCCGGCTTCCGGCACCAGAAAACGTTTGAGCGGCTAGGAAAGCTGGATCGGGAGTATGCGTGGGGGAGGATGAAGGCGGAGCAGTGGAAGCGCAAGATCCTCGTGCTGCTGGACGATATCTGGAAGAAGCAGTCGGTGTTTACGGATGAGGTGCAGCAGGAGCTGAGGCTGGGCTTTTTGGAGCCGCCGTTGAGTGAGGAGGAGAAGGCTGTTGCGCTGGCTGAGGCGGAAAAGGAGGAGAAGAGGAAACGCGACGCGATGTTGGTGGAGAAAGCTGACGGGGGTGAATCACCTACTGTAGTGGCGTCATCCGAGCATGCGAACAACGGCGCTCTTCATGCTGCTGTTGATGACACAGACGGCATTGCGAAGGACGACGGTCTGGCCGATAAGCGTGCCCAAGTGCAACACAATCATCAGCCACTCGGCGGTCTGGATGGCGCGATGGACGAAAAGCCTACGACGGCTCCTCACACCCACGACATCGCTGCGACGGACGTGAGTTCTGCGAGTGGCAGGTCCACGGGCCCGCGCAAGAGGATGAGAGCGGAGGACATGTTTGTGGACAGTGACGTTGAGTAGGTCGAGGGCTTCTCTAGTGCAGAGATGTATACTCGCGACAACGTTAGCACACCTAGCTAGCACGTCACAGCTTATTCGGAAATAAGGGTGCATCACGGCCACCTCGAAACAACTCCAAGTGCTCCTTTCCCATCCACTGCGCCCTCGACTTGGCAATTCCTCCTTCTAGCTCCTGCACGCGATTCGCTTGCACAAGCATCCCCGAGCCATTGGCTTTCGTCCCCTGTCCCATCAGGTTGGCCACGACCAAAGCCACCGTCTCCGCATTGTTGATAGGAACTCCCCGCCCCGACATATCCTGACCCCAATCCTCCAGCGTCTGCCCTTCTTTCCGCCCGAGGATGATAGGCGTCAATGTAATCCCAGGCGCAACAACGGAAATGCCAATCCCGACTTTGAGACAATCGGACTTCAAAGCTCGCAAGTAGCCCACGACGCCGTGCTTCGCAGCCGAGTAAAGCGGCGCGCCCGCCGACGCCAGATACCCCGCCAAAGAAGCCGTCATCACAATACTGCCTCCCTGCCCTCGTCCTGAGCCTCGTCGCTGCGACGTCTTCGCGTCCATGTCGTTGCGCAGATGGTAGACCGCGAGTTTCAAACTGTCGCCCACGGCGCGAATGTCAACGTCGATCGTGCGCCTATCCGGTTCCTGCAATTGCCCCTGACGATCAGTAGCATCCGTGAAGATCTGCTCGCCCATCTCCGCCAGGCCGGCATTGACGAAGACGCAGTCAATGCGGCCGAAAAAGTCTGCTGCGCGTTGGAAGGCGGAGCGCTGCGAGGCCCAGCTGGTGACGTCGCATTGGAGATACAGAAAGCGAGGGGAGAGTTTGAGTTCTTCTACACCTGGCGGGTTTGTGGCGAGGTCCACGGCGACGACGTTGTTGTTGTATTCCCTTTCGTGCAGGTAGTGGGCTGTTGCGAGGCCGATTCCGGAGCCGCCGCCTGTGATGAGGATTGTTTTGTTCCGCGGGGGATTGGCGGTTTTCGGGGTGAGGGTGAATGAAGGGGATGCCATTGTTGAAGCACTCTCACGCTTGGCGTATGCGATTGTATTTGTTGTTGTAGAATGTTGTCGAAGAGAGCAATGGCTGATGAAGTGATGATGAAGTGGACCTCGGCGTTGGAGCTCTGGGTGTGGCCTCAGGCAACAACATCTGACACGCAAGGTCGTTGCAGCCTGAAGGTCATCAGCTGCCACAGCAAACAATTGAAACCATCGCCTCTCCTTCTGATGATGCTCTGAAAGCGTTTGCTCTCTACCATTCCGCACTTCGCAAAACCACTCTCAACCCCTCACAACCATGACAACACACGAGCCAGGCGTATACGTCGATGCCAAAGGCAAGAAGACCTTCGTCCCGCTCGAAAACAACCCCGAAGTCTTTACAGATCTCGTGCACAGACTGGGCGTGTCCTCCCAACTAGGCTTCCACGACGTCTACAGCATCGACGATCCCGACCTCCTCGCCTTCGTTCCCAGACCAGTGCACGCCTTGATCTTCATCTCCCCCGCAGATGTCTACGGCCGGGTTCGCGCCAAAGACGGCGGCACCAAAGCACTCACGTACGACGGATGTGGCGAGCACGAGCCGATCGTATGGTTCCAGCAAACCATCGGGCATTCTTGTGGTTTGATGGCTCTCATCCACAGCGTTGCGAACGGACCGGCGAAACGTTTCGTGCTCGACAACTCCCTGATCGACAACCTTTTGAAGGAAGCGATTCCGCAGAAACCGGTACCCCGCGCTGCTGTCCTGTACAATTCGGCCGAGCTGGAGAAAGCGCATATGGCGTCGGCGTACAAGGGCGACTCCGTCGCGCCGAGCTCAGAGGAGCCGAACGGGTATCACTTCATCAGTTTCGTGAAAGGGAAGAACGGGCATCTCTACGAGTTGGAGGGAGGCTGGAATGGACCGATTGTGAGTTCGCGCGGGTTCCAGCTTTCCATTTGATCCCCACTGACTCCACTCATCAATTAGGATTTGGGAGCGATTGCGGAAGACGAAGATTGTTTGAGTGAAAGGGCGCTGGAGTTGGGTGTTCGGCGATATGTCAAGGAGGCACAGGGGAATATGGAGTTCAGCATTGTTGCTTTGGCCACCAAGCCAGAGTCCGAGACGTCTGTCAATGGCCATTAATGGATGGGCTGGATCGGATGTTGGTGCAGGACTTCAATAGGCAGGCGGCAGCTGCTTTTCACTCTCTCGTTCTGCTACAGCAAGAATTGATTCCGCGGAACCAATTCTTAGCTATTCGAAAGCATGATATCACGATCAATGGATGAAATCGATGTACTCTGATCTAGCATCATACTTGATTAAAAGACCCCACCGTGATGAATTGCAAGCCGGCGCCGATGCCTGCGCGGCTGCCTGCCCGGCCGGCGCACACTGTTGGCCGACGCCGAGCTGCCGCGCGTGGACCATGACTTCATCCCAGCTCTATCTCCGAATTTCTGGGTGTTCACAACGGATCGCAATCCACATAAGGACCCGACGAATATCGGGTAAGGTCTGCTGGAAGCGACTCGGACCCGAGCGTTAATATTTGTCGAAGCAAATGGTATAAAGAGGCGCCGTGCGCGCCGTCCAAGTAAGGTATCCCATCATCTGTTCTGTTTCCCAAAATCACAATCCTCACACGCATTGGCGCAATGGCACCTCTCTCCATCCTCATCGTAGGCTGCGGCATCGCAGGCCCGACACTCGCAAGTTTCCTCCTGCTATCGCCTCTCGCGGCAAAAGAAAAGCCTCACATCACTATTCTCGAGCGCTCCCCCGCCCTCCGCACCCAAGGGCAGAACGTCGACATCCGCGGCGCGGGAATGACAATTATACGCAAACTGGGACTGGAGAGTACGATACGCACGTGTCTTACGGGCGAGGAGGGCGCGCAGATTGTGGACGCTCAGAATCGCGTTTGGGCTGAGTTTGGCGTTGATAGAACGGGCAAGGTGCAGACTGGGACGAGCGATATTGAGATTCTGCGTGGACGGCTCGCCGAGATTTGTTATAAGCGGAGCAAGAGTGTTAGTGAGCAAGTGGTGCGGCAGGGAGGTGCAGGGGTGGAGTATGTGTATGGGGATTATCTCGAGACTATTGACCAGGATGGGCAAAAGGTGCATGTGACCTTCAGAAACAGCGGAGAGAAGAGGAGTTTCGACTTGCTGGTGGGGGCGGATGGACTGCAGAGTCGAACGCGCAACATGGTCTGGGGCGCAGAAGGGGAAGACGACAGAGTGCGACAACTGGGCTTGTATATCGGCTTTTTCAGCATCCCGAGTGCCGCCACCGACAATGAGTGGCGACGGTGGTTCCACGCTCCCGGGAGGAAGGGCATCATGCTACGGCCCAGCGAGGTCAAAGACCGACGTACCGTCTCCATGGGCGTCATCAACGAGGAAGACACCAGATTCAAGGAGGCCGCAGCGGACGGTCGGAGAGGCATGGCGTTCCAGAAAGCGCTGCTCAGGGAGTACTTCCAAAACGAAGGCTGGGAATGCGAAAGGCTGCTCCGAGAGATGGACGCCACGTCCGACTTCTACTACGACATGGTCGCGCAGGTGCGCATGGACAAGTGGAGCAAAGGGCGAGTGGTGCTGCTCGGCGACGCGGCATACTGCGCCTCTCCCATTTCCGGCATGGGCACCACCCTGGGCCTCAATGGAGCCTACAACCTCGCTGGCGCTCTCCTCCGCCATCCCGAGGATCTCCCCGCCGCGTTCTCAGAGTACGAGGAGGCCATGCGGCCAACGGTTGATCGCGCGCAGAAGTTGGCGCCGGGCATGCCTCGTCTCATCCACCCGGAGACGGTGTGGGGAATGTGGGTGATGCGCGCGATCTTGTGGACCATTTGGTGCTCAGGCTTGCAGTTGCTCATGTTCAAACTTGCTGGGCCGCCGGCGAACGCGGTGCCGGTGGTGGAGTATGGGTTTCGGGAACTGCAAGACACGCCAATTGATTTGGAGAAGTGAGGTATTAATAGTTAGTGGTTAATGGCAGGCCGACGTGGCATCTTCATCATGCGTAGCGCGTATCTGCCGCCATTGATTGCCTTCGATGCCACTTGATAATGGAACGCGGAGCAATCACCGGCGAGACGGGCAGACAGGGTTGCGGAGCCTCATATCGCTTATCCCGACAGGGGAAAGCGTTGCTCAATCAGGCAGTGGCATCCTGGTTACATTACCTTATCACTTGGATATGCCGCGCACACCAGAGAGAAGACGAGGTCTGTGAGATGAAGAATAAGCCAAACAGGGAAGGCGAGCAGAATGGAAATTGTTGCGGAAGAGATCTCAAAGTCCTGTCCGATTGAATTGGCTCTGCTCAAACGAAACGACATTCAATCCCCATCAACCACGTGCGGCGGGGAGGCCGACGGTAGCCGAGCGCGGGGAGGAATTTGATGAGGCTCAGCCGCCCTGACTGGACTTCACGCTGAATCTTTCTTGGCAGTCAAGAAACGATTATCTCCCTTCCTAAACCGGCATCTTTCCTGACAGACCTCAACTCTTGGTCGAAGGGACACTTCACTTTCACCTTCTCTGGACCACCCCCGGTTCTCCTCTACTCCCACTTGGAACAACGATTCTCAACCTCCTTGCTTCACCATCGTCAAAGGCTACGCAGCCTGGCGGAGCATGAAGCGCGTCTATCTCAGCATCCTCTAACCCACCACACTCGCCCTCAACATGTCGGCGTCTGCAGCCGCGCTGCGTCTCCGGGCACAATGGCTTGCTACTAGGAAGCCCTTGTCAAGCCGTTGTCTCCTTCTCGCCCGATCCTCGCCGCAAGCCTACAAATCTCACAATCGACTCGTCCGCCCATTCTACTCAAGCTCTACCCAAGACACCCTCAGCACCGAGCCCCACGGTCAAGATGGCACCTCCATCTTTGCCCCGCTGGATACGTTTGCACGTCGACATATCGGCCCGACTGCATCGTCAGCAGAAGAAATGCTACAAGCCCTCGACCCACCGGTCAAAAACTTGGACGACTTCGTCAAGTCCGTCCTCCCGCCCGATATCGTATCCGGAAGACCACTGAAGATCGAAGGGCCGGTTCTGAACGGCGAGGTGGCGCGCACAGAAGAGTCGGGATTTTCGGAAAGCGCACTTCTCGAGCGCCTGAAAGAGATTGCAAGCCAGAACAAGGTCTACAAGACTTATATAGGATGCGGGTACTCGGGCACCAGAGTCCCAGAGGTGATCAAGAGGAATATTCTGGAGAATCCGTCATGGTATACCAGCTACACCCCCTATCAACCCGAAATCAGTCAAGGTCGTCTCGAGTCCTTGCTCAATTTCCAGACCATGGTCTCGGACTTGACGGGACTGGACATGGCAAATGCTTCTGTGCTGGATGAGCCCACCGCTGCTGCGGAAGCTATGACGTTGTCGGTCAATGCTCTACCGATGGCACGGCAGAAACGGGCGAAGAAAGTCTACCTGGTGTCGCATTTGTGCCATCCCCAGACGATTGCGGTGCTGGAGAGCCGCGCGCAAGGCTTTGGCATCACGATCGAAGTCGCGGACGTGCTCAAAGACGATAGCAAGCGGGTGAAGGAGACCGGAGAAGATCTCATTGGTGTTCTCGCACAATACCCCGACACACTTGGGGGAGTCCACGACTTCCGATCTCTCGCGGACAACGTGCATAAACTCCAGGGCACCTTTGCCGTCGCCACAGACCTCCTAGCTCTGACGCTACTCACACCACCCGGCGAGTTTGGCGCAGATGTGGCATTTGGTAATGCGCAACGATTTGGTGTCCCGTTCGGATTCGGTGGACCGCATGCAGCCTTTTTCGCAGTGAGCGAGAAACACAGACGCAAGATTCCTGGCCGCCTGATTGGTCTATCGAAAGATCGCTTGGGCGACAAGGCCGCCCGTCTAGCATTGCAGACCCGAGAGCAACACATCCGCCGTGAGAAGGCAACGAGTAACATTTGCACCGCGCAAGCGCTCTTGGCGAACATGAGCGCAATGTACGCTATCTACCATGGGCCACACGGCCTCAAGAGGATCGCGGAAAAGGTTGCGTGCATGACACAGGTTGTTGCCAAAGGTCTGGAACAATCTGGTCTGGAAGTTGTGCATCCTGTCGCCTTCGACACTGTTATTATCAAGAAGTCAGGTGCAAAAGGTTTCGTCCAGAAGACGGCACAATCGTCGCACATCAACTTCCGAGCTGTGGATGATGATCATGTCGCCATCTCTCTCGACGAGACCGTTGGAAAGCCAGAGGTTGTGGCAATCTTGAAAGCCTTCACGACCGAGGATGTGGATTTCGACAGTCTAGGAAAGGAAGTCAGCGCAATCGCGAGCGTGCCGGAGGCGTTGCAACGCACATCGGACTACCTTACTCATCCAGTGTTCAACTCGCACCACTCGGAAACCCAACTGCTCCGGTACATGCATCATCTCCAATCGAAAGATCTTTCTCTGGTTCACTCCATGATCCCACTGGGGTCGTGCACGATGAAGCTGAACGCAACCACCGAGATGGTACCGGTGACTTGGCCGGAGTTCTCTTCCATCCACCCTTTTGCCCCCTCGGACCAGAGTCGAGGCTACAAGCAATTGATTGAGGAACTAGAGAAGGACTTGGCCGAGATCACCGGGTTTGACGCTGTATCGCTACAACCCAACTCTGGTGCGCAAGGCGAGTTTGCAGGCCTGCGAGTCATTCGCAAATACCAAGAGCAACAGCCCGGCAAGAAGCGAGACATCTGCTTGATTCCCATTTCTGCACATGGCACCAATCCCGCTAGTGCTACCATGGCGGGCATGCGCGTCGTGACCATCAAGTGCGACTCTGGCTCGGGCAACCTGGATATGCAAGACTTGAAAGCCAAGTGCGAGAAGCACAGCGAGGAGCTCGGTGCGATCATGGTCACCTATCCCAGCACCTTTGGCGTATTCGAGCCCAAGATCAAAGAAGTGTGCGAATTGGTGCACCAGCATGGCGGGCAGGTGTATATGGATGGCGCCAACATGAATGCTCAGATTGGCTTGTGTTCGCCAGGAGAGATCGGAGCGGATGTGTGCCATCTTAACTTGCACAAGACGTTCTGTATCCCGCACGGAGGCGGCGGGCCCGGCGTGGGACCTATCGGAGTTGCGAAACACCTCACACAGTTCCTTCCCGGCCATCCGCTTGTTGCAAACGTCGGTGGCGACAAGGCCATTGCACCCATCTCTGGCGCGCCATGGGGATCCGCCAGTATTCTACCCATCAGCTGGGCCTACATCAAGATGATGGGCGCGAGAGGACTGACGCACGCCACCAAGATCACTTTGCTCAACGCCAACTACATCCTCTCCCGGCTGAAGCCCCACTATCCCATCCTGTACACCAACGACAACGGTCGCTGCGCACACGAGTTCATCCTCGACGTGCGGAAGTTCAAAGAAAGCTGCGGCGTCGAGGCCATCGACATTGCGAAGCGCCTGCAAGACTATGGCTTCCATGCGCCGACCATGAGCTGGCCGGTGGCTAATACGCTGATGATCGAGCCGACGGAGTCGGAAGACAAAGCGGAGCTGGATCGCTTTTGCGACGCTTTGATTTCCATTCGCAAAGAAATTGCGGAGGTGGAGGAAGGGAAGCAGCCGAAGGAGCAGAACGTGCTCAAGATGGCGCCGCATTCGATGAAGGATTTGATCATCTCGAAGTGGGAGCGGTCGTACGATCGGGAAAAGGCGGCGTACCCGCTACCGTGGCTGAAGGAGAAGAAGTTTTGGCCGAGCGTGACGCGGTTGGATGATGCGTACGGCGATATGAATTTGTTCTGCAGGTGAGTCGCCCCATTCTCGACAAACATTTAAGGAGTCTTGAGCTGATCAATGTTCGCAGCTGTCCGCCGCCCGAGGAGAGCGTGGAGGGGATGACTGGCGCTGCAGCGCCCGCTCCTACCTGATGTGAGTGCAAGGCTTTGCGATCGCACGTTTCAACAAGACCCTCTACCTGGAGCCATACCCGATGAAGCGTGTTCTTTCCCAGCAAGGCGTTGAGGTGTGTGGCATCTTCAACAATGCATCGGGTTCTATTATATCTAGACCTGCTAAAATTACACGTTACTACTTAAATCGCGTGCTTCTCCCCATCGCTCCTAGTTCAATCTGCGTGCTTCCAAACGTCTTTTTTCAAACGGAGCAACGAGGCACTTTATCACTCGGAATCCTCGGAACAAGACCATTTCTTCCGCACCACGCGACCAAGATCGTCAGGCACGCCTTGACTTGCTGCTTTGGTCCTAGTCTCGCCAGTCTCTACCCCGCCGCCCCCCACTCAAGCCCATCCCGCCGCCACGCCGTCTGGGAAAGCTAACGGCTCCACACACGTCACACGTCACTTTCTGCTTCGGCCCTATTTGCCGTCCGGCGGGCGGAACGTGCGCTGTCACGGCGCGGACCCAAGCTTTGGAAACAGGTTCAAATGTCGATGGTCGCCCGGGAGTATAGAAGTTTTCCTGATCTCTGGGCGAAGTAAGGCATGAGGCAGTGAGTCTTTGTACGAACTGTTAAAGACGCCTTCTTGGGTGAGTGATCCTTTTTCGATCTGATGTTGTGCAGAGCAAGGTGCTTGCCGTCGTCACGAGACTAGATTGCGTGAAGTAGATGAATGCCTGTGCTAACACTGTCCTCCTCAAGAAAACGCAACCATGCTGTGGCGAGCTACCCTCGCGGCCCTCGCCGCGCTGAGCGCCGTGCAGGCCAAGATCTACGACACCCAATACAACGGCACGACATGGGACTCTGAGACTTGGGTGCTGACGACGACAAATCTCATGCAAGGCATCTTTCAAAGCCGCATGTCCCTCGCGAACGGTTACCTAGGCATCAACGTCGCTGCTCTCGGCCCCTTCTTCGAGGTGGATGTTCCGGTCGCTGGCGACGATATTAGCGGTTGGCCGCTGTTCGATCGAAGGCAGACGTTCGCGACTATTGCGGGATTCTACGACTCCCAGGCTACTACCAACGGGACGAACTTCGAATGGCTCTATCAGTATGGAGGCGAGAGTGTGATTAGCGGTGTCCCTCATTGGGCTGGCTTGCATGTCGAGGCTGGCGGCGATGTCCTGACTGCCAGCACGGATGCCAGTCAAATCTCGAACTTCACATCGTCCCTCAGCATCCCCGGCGGCGACATGACTTGGAGCTTTACGTGGACTCCTAGCTCCGGCCCGGCGATTGACGTGCAATATCTGATGTTCGTCAATAAGCTGCACGTCAATCAGGCCACGGTGACTGTGAACTTGACGGCGAAGGCAGACACCAATGTTACTGTCATTGATGTCCTTAATGGCGACTGCGCCGTGAGATCCGATCTTGTTGGGAGGGGATACGAGACGAATAGCTCGGTCATCTGGAGCGCCGTCAGCCCGCATTGGTTGAGCGATGTCAAGGCTTACATCTACTCCACCCTGGCCGGGGATCAATACACCAACAACTCCACCCGAAAGCAATACACGAACGAGGCTGTCATTGGCGGCAACAGCTCCTCCATCGCACAAGCTGTGAACGTGTCATTGAAGGCGGGCCAGGCGGCCACCCTCACCAAATACATCGGTGGAGCTTCCAGCGATGCGTACAACGACCCACAGTCTGTCGCGAGCCAGGCATCAACAGCTGGCTCCCAGACCGGCTTCAACGCTCTATTCGATGCCCACGCCAAGGAATGGCAGAGCATCATGACGTCCGATAGTGTAGAGGACTACACCGACCCTAGCACTGGAGAACTCCCCGACGACCCGAACGTCATCTATCTGCAGATTGTGGCCATTACATCCCCTTTCCATCTGCTGCAAAATACCATCGGCACCAACGCTTTGGCTATTGCGAACAATGACCATCCCATGGATGTCAATAGCATCAGTGTTGCTGGTCTCGGGAGTTCATCTTACGCTGGTTGGATTTTCTGGGTATGTTGAGACTGTCACCGTACATTGTCGGTTGTTGTTTGTTAACTTGCAAATAGGATGCCGAAGTTTGGATGGCTCCTGGTCTCGTCGTCGCTTACCCAGAAGCTGCAAAACAAATCGCAGCCTATCGCGTCCAGAAATTCCCTCAGGCGCAGGAAAATATCAAGACGGCATACCAGTCCAGTCAAAACCACACGCATTTCTCGCCGAACGGCGCGGTGTTCCCCTGGGTTTCCGGTCGATACGGAAACTGCACCGCCGGTGGACCATGCTTTGACTACGAGTACCACATCAACGGTGACATTGGCCTCGAGATCTACAACTACTACGCCGTCACTGGAGACTCGGAGTATTTCCAAAATGAGCTGTTGCCCATCTACGACGCGACCGCTCAGTTCTACTCCGATCTGGTCAAGTTCAACGAGACGGCGGGAAAGTATTTCCTCTACAATGCGACCGATCCCGATGAGTATGCAAATTTTGAAACGAATGTCGGTTACACCATGGTCCTCATGCATACGCACATCGACAACGCCAACACGCTGCGCGAAAGCTTTGGTATGGAGGCCAACCAGACGTGGGCCAATATCTCGGCCGAGATTGAAATCCCGATCGACCAGTCTGCCGACATTGTTCTGGAATATCAGACGATGAACGGCAGCATCCAAGTCAAGCAAGCAGATGTAGTGCTCGTGGACGACTTCTTGTGGTGGCCCAATCCCTACTCGCAGTCAGATCTGAGTTTCTACGCAGGACGCCAGAGTCAGAATGGGCCGGGGATGACGTATGGAGTCTTCGCCATCGTCGCCAATGCCCAAAGTGACTCCGGCTGCGCAGCTTACACCTACGACTTGTATGGCTCGCAGCCGTACACGCGAGCTCCCTGGTTCCAATTCTCGGAGCAGCTGCTGGACAACTTCCAGCAGAACGGCGGCACGCACCCCGCTTTTCCCTTCTTGACGGGCATCGGAGGCGCACATCGCGTTGCCATCTTTGGCTACCTGGGCCTGCACCTGCTGGTCGAGACACTCAACGTCAATCCCAATCTGCCACCTCAGATCCCGAATCTGACCTATCGCACTTTCTACTGGCAGGGATGGCCGATCAAAGCCGCCTCCAACCAGACGCACACGACTCTCACTCGCCCGACCGGCGAACCGTACAAAAGCCTGTCCACAGCAAACAGCAAGTACGCCAGCGCCCCGATCCCCGTGACAATTGGCATCAGCGCAGCCTCGCTCGCCGATAACGGTACAGTGTACGAGCTGCACCCAGGCGGGACCATTACTCTCCAAAACCGCAACACGGGCAGCATAAAGACCGTCCCAGGCAACATCGCCCAATGCCGCCCCGTGACATCCACACAATCCTACGAACCAGGCCAGCTGCCCATCAGCGCCGTCGACGGCGCCGCAAGCACAAAATGGCAGCCCACACAACTAAACCAAACCTCCTCCATCACCGTCGAGCTCAGCGAGCCCTACGCCCCCATCACGGAAATCCGCTTCGACTGGGCCCAGAACCCACCATCAAGCTACAAAGTCACCTTCTCCAACTCCTCCAGCGGAGCGGACGCCGTGCCCGTCACGAGCAGCAATAACGTGACTGTCAGCAATCCTTACGTCGCGGCCAAGGCGGCGGAGATTCGGCCTTATATGTCGAATACGACGAATGTGACGCTGAGCAAGGCGGTGTATAGTGGCCGGTATGCGATTTTGGAGATTGAGGGGAATCAGGCTTTAGTGGGGATGGGGGATGCGAAGAATGGGACGGGGGCTTCGGTGGCGGAGTTTGTCATTGTGGCGGATGGGGGGAAGGAGGTTGTGAAAAGGGGCGGGGAGTGTTTTGCTTCGTAGTGTGTGTACTTAGTGAAATAAGAGAGAGACTGTCCTCGTGAGACTGAGCGCGGTGAGACGAGGCTACATGTTGCAGAGAGTTTAGGGTTTAGCGTGGGCCCACAAATCCACGGGGCTACCGGGCCGGGACATGTGCGCAGCCCGATTGAGAAGGTGAACAGCGCCACTACATTCTATGCGTCTCAAAAACAACGGCGGTAAAGCGACTGTTTTTCGAACGTGTCAGAAATGCTTTTCTAGCACAACTCACGGGACATCAATGCGTTTGGATTGGGATGCTGCTGCACCATCGCCGTTCACGGGCCTGAGCGTCTGCTGATTTGGGACGGCCGCAGCAAGCTGAAACCGGGCGGCTCGATGCTTGGGTGGCCGATGCACTCTGCAGTGTTCTGATGTACCCTGGCGCGCTGTCGACCGATAGGAGCGACCTATGGCTAGCGAACAATCGAGTAGAACGCTCGAAGGACGATGCGATCTCATCCTCCAACCATCATTGCCGTTGTGAATGGCCTATCCGTTTTACAGTACACGCGTCCTCGAACTCGTCAAATTACAACGTGTAAGGGATTTAGCGCAAAGATCATCGACGGCGTGGCATTTGCATGTTGCTTTAGTGCAGCCTTCCGCTATTCCGTTCGCTCCCGTTCAGCACGTTGCCCCCTGGACGCCTGTAGACTGGCTCCGCCCCTGTTATCATCCCGAAGCGTGGTCAGTAGATGATTCTGCCTCTGCACTGTTTCTAAGATTGAATGTGGCCACAAACAGATCGTACTCTCAGATCCACAGTTGTAGGGTGTTCGCAAAATCATTCGATGCGAAACGTAGAGACCAGGATGCACGTGGAAGACCTGGGATGCATAGTGACCAGCCTGCAGCCCGTGTTATCCCGCTATTTCGTCTCTGAACGCTGAGTCTTAGAGTAGAAGGAGGATGATAAACCACTGCCATTGGTGGCAATTTGTCTTTGAGCTGTGATCCGTACGAACAGATGTCGGATGCGTGCATCTTCAACGAGCCAGCTCGCATATTAGCTTGTTCGGCTGCATGAGTAATATGCAACCCCTGTCTACGTCCTGGTTGCTATCCTCTAAGCGCCTGTTCCCCCATCCTTGGTTTCCTATCGTGCTGTTAGAGGTATATGAATCTCAACACTCACCTAGCCTCAACACTTCAACTGCGTTGCAACCACACTCATCCCCACGCTTATCACAATGGCTCACGAGCGCGCAGGGAATATCGTCATGCTAGGGAGATGCGTGGGCATCAAACTGGCAAAAGGGATGCAGAGGACGCCGGGAAGCTTCATGATCCCCAACATCAAACGAATGAATGTCGGCATTCGCAACATAACATCCACCTACTCCTCCCATTGGCAAGCTGAGACGGAATTGGACTACGATCTTGATAGAGCGATCTCTGACCTGTTCGATGTCGAAGCGCCCCGTTTCTGGGGACGGTCGGAGGAGAGGTGGGAGTACCTGGCGGACGCACAACACGACCCGCTGGGTGGGGTGTATCTGCGCAATCTATACTGGCCTGAGGATGCGGACAGGTATGTTGCATATCGACTATGTTTCGCGAATGGGTTGTTGTTGCGGCGTTCACATGAGGCAGTCTACTTGTAGGTTTCGTTGATTTGGTGGTCATGAAGTGCCGGTATAGAGTGCGGAATGACCAGAACAGGGCGGCCAGGATGTTGACCTATCAAGCCGCAACATTCTCCGCCGTCGACGTGGACGACGCCTTGGGCAGTCATAACATTGAGCCTAGTCTGCAGAGCGAGGATCAGCCATCGACTGAGACATGTATTGATCCAACGATGCTGGATCCATCAATCGGTTGCGCCTTTCCTCCGCCTGTGGCACCAATGCTCAGTCATGAGGCATGGAGGCAGACTGAGGAGGAGGTAAGTCGCAGCACTTTCGATCTTGCTAGTCGCCAGACAGCAACATAGACTGATTCTGCATAGTTCCAACGCTGTGTACAACCACTGGTGGCCAGTCGACTCTCAAGTATGGGTGCCGCATCCCGCGCCAGCCCTGGTCACAATCCGCAAACTGCCAATACGGAGCCCCAGGGCAGTCTCAATACCACAGACACCCCCCATGCTCTCAGCTCTGCTGATTCGCGGGCAGATGCTAAGCTGGAGACCGCGTTGCAGGGCTCGCAATCTAGTGCAGTAACTCAAGTGGTGCGAGCCGACCAGGAGGACACGCCATCTGGGAAACAGTCCGAGCTTGAAGAGTCGGGCCCAGAACAGCCATATGCCACACCACCAGAACAGCTGGAGCAACATACTGTGCCAGGTACGTCTCAGCCTTCACTTGTGGTCAGGCTTCCAATAGCCCTCTCGCGCGATGGTCAGTGAAAGCCTCGCTTCTTCTTCGTCGCATGCCAAGCTGACATAGCTCCAGAACCATCGTCATGGCGCGAAGGTCCAGCAGGAACCAAACGCGCACGTTCCGACAATATCACGGTGGCCAGGGCGGAGAAAGCTCAATGCATCGCCACGCCATCTAAGAGAGTGGAAGACTTGAACCCGAAGCTACGAGAGCTTGCCGAAGAGGAACGCCTCGTGGCCGAAGAGAAGCGCCGCACGGCTGAAAAATGGTCCGTCATCGAAAGAGAGAACCAAAGCCGACTGGAACGCAACGAGAGACAAAAGCGGACATCGGAGGAAGCGGGTGCCAAAGTGGAGCAAAGGCGGAAGCAGCGAATCCAGCAGAGGAAAGACAAGGTCAACAAGATGAAGGAAGAGCTAGAGAAGTTCCGAGAGACGATAGAGACGTTGGATGGAGAATTTGAGGCGGAGAGAGAGAAGGAAAAGTTGTACGAGGCGGAGTTGCAGGCTCTGGAGGAGGCGATTGACTCTCCTGGAAAGTGATACCGCGTGCACCTCGAGTCCTCGAGCTCCGTAAAGGAGCGAATAGTTTGTAGTCAGGTTGCTCTTCTACCCAAGTCAATGTCCAAAACTTTCACCATCCTCCTCGGCTCGGAATCTCGTCGTAAAGTCTGCGCGGATTTCGCCTGGAAGAATGGCAAGACCGCCACGTCGACGACCCCACCGAACAGCCCTTGTATGACTTCCTTTAGATAGCCACCAGTCTGTTGAAAATCCGGGAAAGCATTGACTTCCAATAGCCAAACCTTGCCCTCAGCATCAACGAGAAAGTCCACCCCAAAGATCTCGAACGCGTTCGGGAGCGGCTGGAAATGCGTACTCATGCTCCGAGCTGCCGCTTCGAAGACCTCTCCAGTGATGGTGCAGATCTGCTTGAAGACATCTTCTCTCCAGTCGTCTTTCGTCGCGGCGAGTGCGGGGATAGAGAAAGGGAGCGACCAGAAAGCGTGCACGCTGCCTTCCCGGTCGCCGTTCTGCAGACAGGTGTTTGTCAGGTGGCTGTTCAAATCCTCGTTCGGCGAGGTGACGAATTCGTCGGGCCATCTGTACATGGCTTCGGCAAAGAGAGCGAGCATTGGTCGGTACACGTAGACTTGCAGCGCACCCACAGCCAGCACGTAGGTTCGGATATGGAATTTCCGTTTCGCTGACGGGTGTGGAACGTTGAGTAGTAGCGGCGGATGAATGTATGGCTGCGCGACGAAATGGCGCAGTTGCGAGGTTAGAATGCCATCCGATTCTCCGTTTTCGTACGAGTCTTTCGCATCGTCGCTGCTACACGCTTCGTCGGCCTCATCGTCGGAGTCTGGAGGATCCCATTCCTCGAAGATACTTTGCAAATCTGCCTCCGAACTGAACAGCCGCACTCCTTGACCGCGATCGCTCATCCCTGGCTTCAATATCCACCATTCTGTCGCCTCGGAGAAGTCGTTATCCTCGTTGCGCTCCCAGCTGTCCTTGAGCTCGTAGGCTTCGACTAACGCGTCATCCAGGAACTCGGCATAGTCGACTTCGAACTCCACGCTCGGCTTGACGTGCTTTCCCAGCACGCTCTTCGGATGCTTAGCCAGCCAATGAGAGATGGTCCTGGAGAGATAATGTTTTCGAATGAGCGCTTTGCGGATGATGTAGCTGTTGGCTAGGCACGTCCTTGGATTGGCAAGCAGTCCCTCAAAGTCGATGGATTCGTACTGCCGCCATTGCAGTACTCGGCTCGTGCTCGAGGGAATTTCTGAGTGGTCCTTGATCAGGACTAAGACTTCCGGTGGGAGCCTCGATTGCAGCGCGGCCAGGAGAAGCGGCTGCGCGTAGTCGTCCTCATAGTCGACGATCGCGAAGATCTTTTCCGCCGCCATTAATGTTTTCCTCCGCGGTTTGAGTGCAGGTAGATGTGGAATGGAGAGCGGTAGGTAGTTTCATAGAAATTTCCCAATCAACAGCTGCCACGTGCAAGGGAGGAAAGCTGACTAATCAAAGCCATGACCACGCCTCAGGCTGCAACTTCTTCACATGGCCGTCAGGCTGCCACATCACTCCCGTTCTCAACATCACCCTCTCACTCCCATTCGACAGTATGGCCTTACTTTCACTCCCCGATGAGCTCCTATCATCGCTCCCGGGCTATCTGGACGACATCGAAGATTTTGTCAACCTCTCGTCAACGTGCAGCCGACTCCGATCGGCATTGGACAGGACGCTTCCGACAGAAATTTTGCGTCTTGCAGCCGCACAGGCAACAACGTTCTTTCGTCCCTCGCCCTGGTTCCTCGTCGCAGCCACTGCAAGGGAGCTGGGAGATTGGGCCCGTCAAAGCGATGCAAACGAAAACGCACTTGCACTAGCCTTCCGCCCCCACCGCCATACACTGGATGGAGTGCTGGATCTTGCCGTGCAGCACTGCGGCTTGACTATGCAACGCATCCGGGAGCTGCATAAAATGCGTTACGATGTAATGGGCCCCGTGGCCGACCGCATCGACGAACTTTATGCTCCGATCGCAGACACAGGCCGTGCAGAAGACGGCGAAGAGAGCCCCGACGATGTGAGCAGATACGGTAACCTTTCTACGGACAGTGAGGAGGTGTTCTTGCTCTATGTCATTTACGGAGAGCTTTTCGGGCCCGACCTCCATGCCGTACTCCGTCCCGATGCCTCAGCGACTGCGCGACGACTATCTGTGCTGACGAGAATGGAGTATGTCAAGTACTGTTGTCCTGGGTGGTTCGTGACCGTGTTTGAGCGTCCCGACCCAGAGATCAGAATCTTGGGGTCGGGTCAGTGGGGTGATGGCGGTTACACACTTTCCAATCCCCGCGACAATGTCGTCTGGGCGTTGCTATGTACCCAGCAAAGCCGGCGGTGGAGAAGGCATTGGCAAAGCATTAGCAAGGCAGCGGGATGCGATTTGACCGTCTGGGATGATTTGCAGGAATACCAGGCCCTGGACTGGCGACGCAAGCTTTGGCTCAACGTGCTGCTATTGCAAGGGTTTGAAGGCTTTGAGATGATCAGCCCTGTCATATCCGAAGACGAAAGGCTACGGCGATGGGGTCCAAGGTTGCGAGAATGGAGCACAGCGATAGCATCCCTGGAAGCGGAGCCTCCAAGGACTCCAGTTGGACGGAAGACCGTCCCAGTGATTCCCTGCTTTTTGGCAGAGGTGACTGCTTCGTTTGACCTCCACACTCCTCCGAGGTGGTCTTAATTCGAGCCTGGCGATGCTGCGATGCCTAGTGTGTTTTTTGTTGCGATTTTGTGCAGGACAGTATTGAGCTGGAGCGTGTCGTGCGTCTAGAGGTCACAATGTCCAATGACATCGAAACAATTATCCCACGTGCGGTCAACTCAGCCGGGATTGATGCGGTAACTTGCTTGGGTGCTCACTCGGACTTCTCGCCGGTCTCTGCTTGATGTCGACCTTTCGATATCGCACATCATGAGCCGGAAGACACATATATTACTAACAACGGTGGATTAGTCGACAGCTGGAACATAATACTCTTACAGTGACAGAAAAATACAAATACTCTTCAGACATGTCTGCCCCTCCAGCGCCTTTGGCCAACGGAACGAAGCCCGGCTCGGCCGCGGACAAGGCTATCGACTTTTCAGACATCGCCTACATTCCGAGCACAGGCGTACACAAGCTCTTCGAAGCGCCTCTCGTGCTCGCAACGGCCGAGAGTATCAAAGGCTACGGCCACATCGTGCCTGACCCGCACAACTTTCCAGTCGAAATCGTGCGCTGGCCGGCACAAGGCTGGCGCCCTGTGGACGATAATTCGGGCGACCAGGGCGGAACCACTGAAGGCATCTTCGAACTCTGGTGGAAGGGCGATACGCTGTTTGCACGCAACAATGCCGTCGGCGACAATTACTTGTTTGCGTGGAGCACGTTCCCCGAAGAAGCGGCCACTTCTGGACCAGCGAAGCACCCTCGGGACAAGGCGATGATGTGGCATGCGAATTACCACCCCGACGGTGGGCAGATGTTCTTCCCCCTGAACGGCGAGAGTTTCATTGTGCCGCTTGCGTTGCCTGGGGACGATGTGCGGCCGGAACAGTTCATCTCGTTCAAGTGCGAGGGCGGGATGGGATTGTATATTCATCCGAACATCTGGCATGGTTCGGTGATTCCGCTCGATGATCACTGTCGGTTGCTGGATCGTCAGGGCAAGGTGCACGCGCGTGTGTCGGTTGACTTTGCGAAGGAGTTTGGCGGCTATCTCTCCGTCCCCCTGCAGAGTGCATGAGTCTTCGTTCAGGCTACATCTGGATGTCTGGAGAGGGAAGTTTAGGGGATGTTGGCTTTGGCTCTGCAATTCCTACAAGTATCATTGGCCATGTTAGGCATGCCATCACGGAATGGCAGGCAGCGGTTATGTTGGTGCCATGAAGAGGCAAGCTCCGCGTGGTGACGGCGAGGGTACAGCAAGGATGCGGAGAGAGTACAGCTCAGTGTACCTCCATTCCAGCTCGGTGTATCCTTGCGAGCCTCGCGGATCCCATGTCGGTGCACCCTAATCTCAGCTCGGTGTATCCTCATTAAAGATCGATGTACCATCCTCAAAGCTCGGAGGACCATCATAAAAGCTCGGAGGATCATCATAAAAGCTCGGAGGACCGTCTTAAAAGCTCGGGGGACCATCCTAAAGGCTCGGAGTACCCTCGCTTGCTAGCAGGCAGAGGTCAACAACACCAACCTAGGACCTATGGCGACCAACTTGAAACCTCGAGCGACCTAATCTGGAACCTCGGGCGGCCAACCTGGGACTCTGACCTACTCGGGTGACCAACCTGAAAGCTCCGGCGACAAAACGAGACTCCGGCATGCTCGGGCGACCAACCTGAAACCTCGCGCGACCAACCTGTGATCTCGCACGACCGACCTACAGCCGCGGACGACCAACCCGAAAGCTCGCCCGACCAACCTGGGACCTCGGGCGACCAACCTGGGACCTCACTGCCACCAACTCAAAAGCTCGCGCCCACCAACCCAAAACCTCGCTGCCACCAACTCGCACTAATCGACACAGGTCAACAGCACCAACCTGGGACCTCGGTGCCACCAACCACGTAGCTCGGCGTACCCTAATCAGACCTCGGTGTACCCTCGCCTGCAGTAGATGGGGGTCGACAACACCAACATGGGCGCTCGATGTACCGTGACCCCCTGCACCGAGATTTTAGGTTGGTGTGGATGAGCCGGAACCAGCATCGAGGCTACAGTATCTCGTTGCGCGTTACTGTGAGAATCCTGCTGTACTATGGCTATTGTCGCTTTACGTTCGCGTGATGATGGCTGGGGCTGTGGCTCGGAGTACACTGCGGAGAACTCGGTGTACCTTACGCACGAGGCTCAGTGTACCCGGACTAGACGTGACTGCACTTCGCGACTGATTATGGACCGACTTGTATACTTTAGCATATCTAGAATACCGCTATCAGCGCTGCACGCCTCTCCGCAGTCGTCTGCTTTTTGGAAGCTTCCAGGTCCTTTTCCTTGAGGTACACGAAGCTGTCGAAGCACTTCTCGCCCAGGACCTCCTTCAGAAGCGCATCCGCCTTGAACGCTTTCATCGCCTCGCCCAAATCGGCCGGTAGGTCCTCGGTGACGCCAAACTCCTTCCTCTTTTCTTCCGAAAGCGGCTCTTTGATGATCAACACCGGCAGACTCGGCGTAGGTACCTCTTCGTTATCCTCGACGCCTCTCATTCCGGCGCCGATGATGGCCGCTATCATCAAGTAGAAGTTGGCAAAGGCGTCTGGCGGGCGGATCTCGAAGTGGGCCTCGTCGACCCGCCGCACGCAGGTCGGCTTGTTCTGCCAGCCCCAAACGATTGCACCACGGCCGAATGATGTGTCGCGCTGGTAGCTTTCCACGTTGGATAGCATGAGTGCGCACAACGCGCGGAAGTGTTTCAGCACGCCGGCCAGGAAAGGGGTGCCGAGCTCGGGTCGTGACATGGACAGGTGCGTGTGCTGCCCCGTGGAAGGTCCGGTTTCGAATGGCTTGGCATGCATGGTGGCATGGAGGCCATTCTTCTTCGCCACCGTCTTGATGGTCTCGCGAGTGAAATGCAAGGCGTCGACGGCCTCAAGAGGAGGCAGCGGGCTCAGCGAGATTTCGTACGTGGAGTATCCGCCTTCTGCTAGGAATATCCACACGTGCACTCCAGCGGCTTCCAGTAGGCCAACGACTTCCTCCACGATGTCCCTCCAGTGGGGAACGTGTACTTGCGCGGAGAGCCATACGCCGCTGGGGCTGGGGACCGTCCCGGTGGCATCCTTCGATTCAAGGAGGATGAACTCAATCTCAACGCCGACGAGAAAGTCGACGTGCTGCTTCTGCTTCGCTTCATTGACTACTCGTTGCAAAATGGTACGCGGACACCGATCCCGCTGCACCTCCGTGCCTTTCCCCTCATTTCCGGGCGTACGCTCCTCGACACTGCAAAGCACTGTGGCGGTGCCGGGACTGGCTGAAAACTCCGTGAGCGACGTCCAGTCTGGAATCCAGACATCCTCACCCGGAGTAATGCGTTCCAGAAGCGAAGCGCCGGATTGCATGCAGATACAGGTCAAAGGAGTGGGAGATCTGACGCCGGCGTTGGGATTCGCGGCCATCTGCAAGGCTCGTGCGACCGGGGTGGAGCGGACTCGGAGCACGCCGCTGTAGTCTTGGAAGTAGTAACCTGCGATGGCAAGTCAATTGGGCACAGCATGTCGATAGTGAAGTGGACCGCTTCGTACGGATGAAGCGCACATTGGGGTGTGCAGCAAGGAAGGACTGTACTTTAGAGACAGCCCCGTGATCCATCCCATTGGAGGGGACGACTATCCCGTTTGCCGCCATTGAGGTATGCACTCCCGACCTTTCCACGACGGACAGGGAAGCAAGGAAGGCGGTCGTAGGCCGGTTGCCTGACGGCGAGAGCACGCCTTTTAAGTATCAATAGTCAGACACAGTCAGCAGGCTGCCACTACCATATTGGTAGTCAGCGAGCTGAACGACTACGACTCTATGTAGCCACCAGGCTGCCTTCAAAAGGGACCGAGGGCCTGAGCGTAGCTGACACCCCGTTTTAATTGATTGGTTGAAATTCCTCCTTTGCCCTAGTTTGGCCGAGGGGCAGGGGGCTACGCGATTTGAACTGCATTGCGGGCAGTCTAGTGCTTACTACTGGCTCTCACCTGGCACTTGTCCATTCTTGCACGGCCTTCTCACCTCACCTGCTGAACAGGAGGCTCTACATCCATCCGACCAGCTTTTCCCGAATGAATCTGCGGGGACGACGGCGAAACCGTCCGACCTACCTCGCCGAGCCTTCCGCGACAGCATGCCTCCGTCAGCCCGCCAGCCGCAGAATCCAGAGGCACGGAGCGTCGACTTCTCATGAGCAGCACGCCACTACTCTCATCCGCCATGATGCGTAACAAAGGTAAATATCTTGCAGCTCTCCAAGTCCTTGGCACAATAATGTCTCAAGGCAATGACGGATGATGCTGCATAATTACGGATTCCATCCAAGAGCCTTGCCCTGATCGACGCATGACAAGTTCTTAATCATCACCGGCCTTCACAAACACTTACTCACCTCAGCCTCTTTCTCCGGCCTTGTCACTTCTCCCTTCCATATAAACAGCGCATTCTGCTCCGATGTCTTTTACTCACAGATCTTCCCTTCTGCCTTCCTTCCACTCTCCCGTCTACTTCGATCGAACAGCATGGACTCGTTCAGAGATTCCCCCTTTGGGCAGCTCATTCGCCTGGTGACGCGCAACAAGGTCTTGCTCTATCCCGAGGAAAGACCGGACTTCATCCTGCCATGGCAAAAGGCTGCCAAGGAAGCAGATATCACCACTGACAGCACGCGCAATAACTCGGTTGCACCCGGTTCCAACGACAACGACAACAACAATGCTACCGCTCTCCCGCATCTCGCTCTTCCTGCAGACGAGAGCAATCTGGGCACCAACGGAGAACCGGTCGAGTCGAATACTCTGTCGAGAAACACAACCATCACAAGGACTCGAACGCGAGAGCAGACGATGCCCTGGACGACGGACCGAATGGAAGTCGAGCAGCAGGAGGCCATCGAGCGCCAACAAAGCCAAATCATCATACCCCAAAAGACAGAAGACGGCGTCATCCTGGTCGACTGGTACACCACCGACGACCCCGCGAATCCGCAAAACTGGCGACTGAGCAAGAAAATCTGGGTGACGTGGGTGCTGTGGGCGTACACGTTTGTCGTCTACTGCGCCTCCGCCATCTACGCGCCCGCCGAGCTAGGCGTGATGCAGGAGTTCCACGTCGGCATCCCCAAAGCTGCTCTGGGACTGTCGATGTACGTTCTCGGGTATGGATTCGGGCCCTTGCTCTTCTCGCCGCTCGCCGAGATTCCCTCGCTCGGCCGCAACATCCCGTACATCACCTCGTTCACGCTGTTCATCATCCTCAACGTTCCCGCCGCTCTGACGCCCACCTACGCCGGGCTACTCGTGACTCGATTCCTCACTGGCTTCGTCGGCTCGCCGTGTCTAGCTGCCGGAGGTGCAACGATTCAAGACATGTATTCCTTCCTAGCTCTGCCGTATGGCTTCGCAGCATGGACGGCAGCCATCTTCGTCGCGCCCGCCTTGGGTCCACTGCTCTCAGGCTTCAGCGTCGTCGCGCTTGGTTGGCGATGGAGTCTCTACGAAGTGCTCTTGATGACTGCACCTGTCGCAGTAATGCTGTGGCTTGCCTTCCCGGAGACCTCTGCAGCCAACATCCTGCTGCACCGAGCGCAACGCCTGCGAAAGCTGACGGGCAATCCCAGCTACAAATCGCAATCGGAACTCGATCAGGCGAATATGACGACGCGGCAGGTGGCCACAAATGCTCTGGCTAAGCCGCTGCAGATCATGTTTCTCGACCCCGCGGTCTTCTTTGTCAACATCTATACCGCCTTCATCTATGGCGTGTACTACTCGTTCTTCGAGGCTTTCCCGCTGGTCTATATTGACATTTATGGTTTTTCCCTCGGCATTCAGGGTGTCGGTGAGTTGAATGGAGTCCTGTTCCCTCCTTTTCTGATCATGTACTTACGCGGCGGACTTTAGTGTTCGTGAACATCGTGGTAGCATGCATCATCGGCATCGCCATCTTCTTCGCCTACGTTCACTTCTACCTGGTAAGCCACGACACTTACCTAGCCCCCACAAAAGAGAAACCTAGCACTAACATGATCGAAACCAGAACCCCGACATCCGCAAACGCGGCCCTCGCGCACAAGAACACCGCCTCGTGCCCGCCATCTTCGCCTCCTTCCTCCTCCCCATCGGCCTCTTCATCTTCGCCTGGACATCGCGGCACGACATCACCTTCATCGCCTCCGTCATCGGCATCGCCACCTTCGCCACCGGCGGCTTCATCCTCCTGCAATGCGTCTTCATCTACCTGCCCCTCACGTACCCGCAGTACGCGGCGAGCCTGTTTGCCGCCAACGACTTGTTCCGCTCGTGTATCGCCGGCGGCTCGATTATCTTCGCGCACCCGTTGTATGTCAATCTCGGCATTGGGCCGGGCGTGTCGTTGCTGGCGGGGCTTTGCGTTGGCGGTGTTATTGGGATTTGGGCGTTGTGGTTTTACGGGGCGAAGTTGCGGGCGAGGTCGAAGTTTGCGATGGCTTGATGTGACAATGGGTTCTGGGCACTTACGATCGATTCTAACGATTTTCTCACCTGTATGCAGCCTCGTGCCATTGGTTTACTAGAAGTTATTTCAGACTCGGTCTCTTGTCAGTGCTATTGAAGGAGATCTTTGCCGTAGTCTGCGTGTATCTGGGCCACACGAATAACGTGTAAGCCCATAAGCAGGTCTCCAACGAATACATCGTTTCAAGCGTCTTCTCAATCACAATGGTGCTTTGTAATTGTAGGCATACTTAACGGTGTGTCTCATATGCCGTAGTGTTCGTCGTATGCCATAGTGGATCTCATATGCTAATTTGTGGTGGATCTCGGTGAGACTCGGAAACGGGCAAACCCCGGCCATGATACCACAGCTCTTCACAGATCTTACCGCGCTTGGATTAAGCTTTCATGGGCACTTGGTCGTGAGTCAATGTGAACCAATCCTTGTCACTCGACCCGGAGCTAATTGTCATCCGTTAATAGTAGGGGTATGATTTTCGCTTCGCATCTTCCGGCGTACCTGTGAAAGGTCGTGGGTTCAATTCCCACAGTGTCCATCAGCTTGTGCTGTATTTTTGGTGATTTTTGGGGATTTTCTGCGGTCTTTTTGCCATTTGGGGTGATGATGTAGGGGTGATATGGGTGGTATGGCGGCCAATGGCACAGAGAAAGTGAAGAATCGCGTATGGCGATCGGTAGAATGCTCGAGAGAGGTCTCAAGAGGATCATACAATCACGTTATTAAGCACGATGTCGAGATCGTGATACGTACTCAAGCCAGGCATATCACGTTGTCACGTGCCATTTTTCTTTGTCGACTTTTAAGGAAGTTCAGTATACTCTTCTTACGATCGTTTTCCGCTGCAGGCACGGTAATGGCAGTGGACGATGGCTAATGATGAGAGGGAATCCAATCGAGAAGTATGAATTTTTGGAGCTTGCCTTGATTGATGGAGAAACTCAAGTAGACCGGAGTCGAGTGGGCTCGGCTCCATGGACTGAGAGTGTACATATTCGATTTATCTCCTTCTGTATCACAATCGCTGTTGGCATGCTGACTGGCCATACAACCGCCCTGCGCGCCTGAGGCACCTGAGGCAATTTTGGCATGATCTCTTACCTAAATGGCTCTTTTCGTTGCCGACGTTTGGCATACTTCCATGTGTCCACTGCACACTTCACTTGCGTTCCTATGCTTCTACACTCATACTGTCGACCTTTTCCTGTGGTCTTTGAAAGATGTCCGAGTCGGCTGGCTGGCTGCCCAGCACATCATACCCAAGATCCGGGGGTCTGGACCAATTGATCGCGTCATCGCAGGCATGCCGACCCTGAATCGGCGGAAAGTAAAAACGGGCGGTAGACTTGGCCCGACAATCGAAGCGGCTATGATCCATGATACGGTAAGCAGAAACATGGTTGCATCTTCCTCTCCTCAACCATTCGTGCTCTCAGTATTTCTTGCCTCCTCCTACTACAGCGCCATGCGAACATGATCCTCGTGCGCTTGCTGCGAAATGAACTGATCCCGACCTCTCCTCTTCCTCGGCATTGTACATAAGACACCCAGCACCGTCTACTCCTCCGCACCGGCGACATGACGGCTCGCAACACCTCCACGCCCCTCCCCCTCTCCTCCATCCTCCCACCCCTCATCTTCGGCACGGCCACCTTCAACTACCAATACAACCCCGACCCCTACGAACTCGACACCACCGGGCTGGTGCACAAAGCGCTGGAACACGGCATCCGCGCCTTCGACACCTCGCCCTACTACGGCCCCTCAGAAGAAATCCTAGGCCAAGCGCTCGACACGGAATTTGTGCGCGCCAACTTCCCGCGCGACGACTTCTTCCTCATCACAAAGTGCGGCCGCATCGCCGCGGATGAATTCGACTTTTCCAAGCAGTCCGTCTACCAGAGCGTGCAGCGGAGTTTGCAGCGCCTGCGCACCAAGCACCTCGATCTCGTGTACTGCCATGATGTCGAGTTTGTGCCGGAGGAGGAGGTGATGGAGGCTATTCGCGAACTGCGCCGCATACGAGACGAGGAGGGCACGATCAAGTACGTGGGCATTTCGGGGTATCCCGTCGCGGGGCTGTGTTCGTTGGCGCACCGGGTGTTGCGTGAGACGGGCGAGCCGCTGGATGCGGTCATGTCGTATGCGAATTTCACGCTGCAGAATACGTTACTGGCGGACAAGGGGATTGAAGAGTTGCAGGCGGCGGGGGTGGATGTGGTGCTTAATGGCTCGCCGCTGGGCATGGGGCTGTTGCGGAGGGAGGGGGTGCCTGTGGGATCGATGGGGAATTGGCATCCGGCGAGCAATGACTTACGAGCCGCAGTGCGACGAGCGAGCGACTTTTGCGATCGGCACGACGAGAAGCTGGAAGTCATTTCCATTCGGTATGCACTAGAGAGCTGGCTGACGGCCGGCGCATCAGTGGGGTCAAGAGGAGACCCGGCGTCTGGAGTGCCGTGGACGCGGGAGTCCAACGAACAAGTTGGAGGAAAGCGGCTGGGAGTGAGCGTGATGGGCGTGAGCAAGATGAAGGAGCTGGAGAAGACGATGCAAGTATGGCGCAGTATTCTCGACGGCATGGAAGGCGGAGCGGAGACGGCGAGAAAGGCGGGTCGATGGAGTCGAGATCACGAGTGGAGTCTGAACCGCCAGCGCGCCGTGCAGATTCTTGCAGACGGCATTCGAGAGCATCTCGATGAATACCTGGATTACACGTGGGAGTCGCCGCCGCCGGGCTTCGTCAACATGAGGGGAGTAGATAGGACGAAGCTGAAGGTCCAAGGCGGCCAGCAGCAGCAGCAATTATGGATGACGCCGGAGGGCAGTCCGCAGCCTGAAGAGCAGCCGGTGGCGGCGTTGCCGTTGCGGTGAGGCTGAAGATTACATAGACATTAGATGCAGCAGCGCGAGCAGTCAAATCACATGTTTGGCGCCCAAGAACTGGTGGTACCTGAGCGTGTACCGGTCGGTCGGTGAATCATCAGCAGCCGAGTTCGGCACGGGAGACGATCACGTCGGGGCGATCAGCACGGTCTGACGTGCGCTGCGAGCAGCAGTTGCGTAAGATGGAAGCTTGATTTCCATTTCCCATCCCTCATCCGCACGCAACCGGGGGTCATCGTTTGTCATCTGGTCATCGAGCAGAGAGGTGTAGTCTGGATGCTGATATCCTCCATTCGTGCCCCCTCCCCCTCTCGCCAACTTCTTCCTCTCATAAGTCGAGGGAGTGGAAAGCGATTAAAGTGGTAGTTGATCTGCAGATTGGATTATCGTGGGGCATTTGGATGACGAAACGCCACAGGCCGAAGCCACAGCACAGCATCTCCCCCCATCCTCCTCTCCTCCACCGCTGCACCACCCAAACCTTGGTTCTTGGGCGCCGCGCCGCGATTGTCTCATCCCTCGCTCAGCGCCCTCGTCGCCTAGCTCACGTGCTCATCCCCCCATGCACTGCATCCGCTGAACACCCTACCACCCGACCACCTAAATCAATGCAGTCCCCCGTCCACCACCCGCTCCAGAGTGCGCTTGACGGCCGTGGCATCGCCGACTGAGGTGGTCGAAGCACAACAACACCACGCAACATGGGCAGCAGCTCGTCGAAGACGAAGACACCCGCCCACGCCCGCAACGCCAGTAGTCAATCGCAGACACAAGGCCTGCAATCCGCCCAGTCTGCTTCCGTCCCCACCTCGACTCCGCCTCCTCCGCAAGCACAACTCCTCTCTCACCGCGCCGGCCTGGCCCATGCCCACCGCGTCCCGCGCACAACCAGACCCGACCTCCCCTTCCTCGGCCTCGTGGGCCAGCGCGAGAATGCCACCCCCGACAAGCCGCGGGAGACGAGGCAGGAGCGGGAGGCGCGGAAGTTGGAGAAGGAGCGCCAGGCGAGGCTGAAAGAGCGGGAGCGGAGTATGCGCGAGGAGAGCGTGGATGGCGGGTATCTTGTCACCGTCGGTGTCTACACGGGCGTGGAAGACTTTAGCAAGCCGACAGTGCGGCAGTTGCAGGTGAGTGAGGACCAGGTTTACTTGTATGGGGTATGCTGATCATCATCCAGATCGAACGACGTCTAGCTCCTTTCTGGCGTGGTCTCAATGACCATTCCGACTCCTGGACAGAAGCACAGCTCGTGGCGGCAGCGCGTGGACTCCCTATCCCCGCTCCCGACGAGATCCCGCCTGAGATGAGCCGGACAGCTTCCCAGGCATCTTCCATCCAAAAGGCCTCCACACCAAATCTGGATTCTTCGACTCTTCCCATCTCATCACGTTCGCAATCCCACGAATCCGTCCAATCCGGCACTCCTTCACCGTCTCGTCTCGCCTTTTCCTCCTCTGTGCCATTGTCGGGCGCGAGCCCCTCTTCTTCCACTGCTCAATTACTACGTGGGCGAGCAAAGACACTCGCTTCACTGGCGACAGGCTCGAAAAGCCACTCTCCAGACATCACTCCCCAAGAGATCCATCTCCCCAAAGACCCATACGTGAATGGGCAACCCGTTGAAGCATATCTCTACAAAGACGCATCCGAGTGTCCCATCTGCTTCATGTACTACCCTCCTTACCTCAACAAGACTCGATGCTGCGATCAACCCATCTGCTCCGAATGCTTCGTACAGATCAAACGCCCCGATCCACATCCGCCAGAACACGAGCAGCCCGGCCAGCAACGACCACCAGAAGAAGAGGCGGAATTGCTCGTCTCAGAGGTCGCTGCGTGTCCCTTCTGCGTCACACCCGAATTCGGCATAACCTACGAACCGCCGCCCTTCCGCCGCGGCCTAGCGTATGCGAAGCAACTCAACGGCAGTCCCTTCGCCAATCCCACCTCCGCCATGTCATCGACGACCTCCCTCAACGCGACCGGACGACGCCGGACCATCTCGATATCAGCGAATGCGCCGCAAGTCATCACCACCGATCGCGTACGACCCGACTGGGCCAAGAAGCTGGCCGATGCGCGCGCGCACGTGCTTCGGAGATCGGCGGCTGCTACTGCTTTGCATAACGCGGCCTATGTCCTGGGAAGCCCGGAGAATGCGCAGATGCGGAATGCGCTGGCCGGTTTCCGACGTCGGAGAACGCTGGAGAGTCATGGCGTGGGTGCGCGAATTACCCCGGGTGGCGTCTTGCTTTCTCCGTATGCACACCCTACGCGAATCGGTAGCACTGATGGCGAGGAGGGCGGCAACGACATGTATGCTGCTCGCGGAAGCTCTCGCCGGAGTCGGGTCGATGCGCTGGAGGATCTCATGATGATGGAAGCCATCCGACAATCTCTCGCTGCAGAGGACGAGCGGAAACGCAGAGAGGAGAAGGACGCGAAGAAAGATGCGAAAAAGAAAGCAAAGGAGGACAAGAAGGAGGCGAAGCAGGCGTCGAAACTGCGGAAGAAGAGCGGCGCCAGCTCCATGCCGCTCTACCAGGCCGAGACGAACGACAGCTCGAGTTCCGGCGCGAGCATGAGTCGCGAAAACAGTACCATGGGCGGCATCCCCGAAGAGGAACAGCAGGTGGAAGGCAAGGGCAAAGCGCCCGTGCTGGACTTTGCCGGCTTCAATCCACTGACTGAGCCGACGTCCACACTCAACACCGAAATGCGGGAAACAGATCACCCTTCTCCGTTGTCGGACGATAGCAAGAAAGACATTGTAGCCCAAGACGCGCAGCGTCATCTAGAGGAATCGCGCGCTAACCTCCAGCCCACCGCGCGCCACACCATCCCCGACCCCAGGGATGGCCGACCGGCTTCACATCTGCGACAGACATCCGAAACACACTCCTTCTCCTCTTCCATTGGCGACCAGCAGCCCTCTCCAGGTTCGGGCCCCAGCAGTCTCCGAGCGGAATCCTCATTCCCCTTACCTGTAGCAAGCAGCAGTGGACCCGACCCATCAAGTACAGCACCACAGCAAGACCCCACCACCACCACCCCGCCATTAGAACCCATGCCCAACTTCCGCTCCCTCACAGCAATGATGGAAGACGAAAGCAACAAAGCGTCCTCCTCCCAAAAGCCAGAAAATACAAGCTCATCTCCCCTTCGCCCGCCGCCTCCGACTCTTTCCTCCTCAGAAGGAGGCAGTAGTTTCGGCGCCGACGACCGCAATGACTCCGCCAATCGCAGCCGCGGCGATTCGGGGAATTCGAGCAGTAGTAGTGTGTCTCCGCCGGGGGCGGGAGGACATGAGGTTAGCGGTGGCGGCGGCGGCGTTGTTGGCGAGAGCAAGGGTGTGGAAGTTTTGGAGAGGATGCAGGAGGCTTGAGGGAGGGGAGTACGTGACTCTCACACATGACTCGAGTTGTGCTTGTTTATGTGACGAGATTTTTGGATTGCGATTTTTGCTCTTCTTAGCGGGTGCGAATAAATACGGATTGGGCGGGTAACGTTTGGGCCGGGCCTTCTGTTATCTTCTTGCGGTCGAGGTGGTGCTTCTTTCGTGGAAATGGGAGAAGACGGAGTATCATCTTCGCCCGGGGAGCAGGAGGCAAATGTATCTTGGATTCCAGCAGTGGAGTACATTTTCCTCTGGCTTCAACTGATGTGTGGCTTTTCCGAGCACAAAGGTGGTTTGGTCAGACGCGTGGGAATGAGGGGAGGAATGACTCGAGAGTCCATTCGATCTACGTCTCATTTTCTGGTGTGAAACGAGCTCTCCAGTCCCGTCCCGTCCTGTCCATCTACTAGATGATACGGAAGTTTCGCACGCTCATTCCAGCATCCTCGCATTTATTCCGTCGCGCATTCGTACAGATATATCACTCCAAAAGCCAAAAAGGCCACCGCGCCTCCAATCGTCACTGTACACCTCTGTTAGCCAGAATTCTTCCCTCACATCCACACGAATCTTCCAGGAGAAAACTCACCAACTCTCAAACTAACCTTCCCCGCCAGCGCCCTGCCCCCCACAACCGCCAAACCCGTACAGCACGCATGCCCGAGCAGCGCGCCCAGCGTCACATTCACCACATTCTGGCCCGCGGCCATGGCGATTGTCGCGATTTGCGAGCGATCGCCCCACTCGCCCAGGAAGGTCATGATGAACGTCTGCACCCACGCTGGGCTGAGGACGAGGGAGCACAGGTTCATGAGGCCGGAGAGGGAGGGTTTGCGCGCGCCAGATGGGCTAGGGGAGCGCGAGAGCGGGGGTGAGGGGCCCGCGCCGTTGGAGCCGGGGATTCTGATCGTGTGGGTTTGGTGGTTGTTGTTGGTGCTGCTGCGGCCGCGGCCTGCTTCGAGGGCGTAGGGAGATGTACCGCCGGCGGCAGAGGAGCGGCGGCGCGAGGAGGCGCGGTCGTGCGCTTGCATGCTGTGTTCTTTCTCTTCCAGCTCCGCTTCGACTTCTTGCATTTCTTCGCCGACGCCGGCGTCGCGCGGCATGGCGAGGCCTTCGCGCAGCATTTTCGCGCCGAAGATGAGGAAGAGGATGGCGGCCGCGAGGGTGGTAAGGCGTTTGGGCAGCAGGGTGGGGAAGACGTGGCCGAGGAGGGCGGAGAGGACAGTCATGACGGTGAGGGCGGAGAAGGCGGCGGAGAAGACGAGGAGTTGCGAGTGGCGCATTGCCATCAGGGCGGCGACGAGGAAGGTCTTGTCGCCGATTTCGGAGAAGAGGATCATGGTTAGGGAGAGGACGAAGGAGTGGAACCACTCGTGCCAGCTTTCCGAGTCGTCGGAGAGCAGGTTGGTGAGGAGGGGCGCTTTGGTGGTGGGGTTGGTGCGGGCAGACTGGGGAGGTTTGGGGTTTGTCTTTCCCTCGGTGTAGGGCATGGTGTCTTTTAGCCAGCCGTTGTTGGTGCCGTCCACGGGCGGCTCCTCGGAGTCGCGCGTACTCTTACTGCCGACGCGGTCCGGGAAGGGGATGTCATGTGGGCGGTCGGGGAGGTCTTCAGGCCGCTCGAACCCCGTGAGGTATGTGCTGCTCTTTTGCGACGAATCGGCACTCTCGTCGAAATCCGCTTCGATGAGTTGCTGAGGCGGCGCGGCCTTGGGTTCCTGCGGGGTGTTGCTTGTGGATGTGGCACCGGCTTCTTTCCGTAATCTCTCCTTCTCACTGATGCCGCCTTCGGTGCCCGTGGTACCTTTCTTGGGCGCGACGCGAGTATCGTCGTTCATCACTCCGTCATTGCGCGCAGGAATGTCTTCCAGCCTCCACCGCTCGTCTGCGCTGCTTGCAAACTTGGCCAATGATTCGGGCGGGGCATTCGATGCATCTCTATCCACCTCATCAGGCGTCATGTCCACAAAGGGCCCGGCATGTGGTTTCCCATCCAGCCCATCTACGGGCGCATCCTCCGTCCCTCGCCAAGGTCTCGAGCCCGGTACATTTTTCACGGCACCAGCCTGGTCTAACGGCACCTCAGCTTCCTGCCGCGCCTGCAAACTGCTCCCGTCTCTTTTCCGTAGTAAAGGCTGCCATTGCGAAGAAATGTCGTGGGTAGCGCTTCGGACCAGGGATGGAGCGAGGAGGAGTAGGAATGGCGAGACTTTTCGGACCTTCATCTTAGCTGACAAAACGATAATGCTGCTTCTCAGTCCCGTGCCATGGTCGTTGGAGTATTGCTGCAGGGAGACTTGGGGGGTGTAGTCTTGGGAGGTCGATGGGTTTCAAGAGCGGCGAGATTTCAGGAACGCGAGTACGTGGAATTATCAAAAGAGGCCAGAGCTGACGTGATTAAGTTAGGCGAATAGAGCGCTAGTGCTCTTTGGGGAAAGACGGGTTGAGGGTGGGGATGAGAGAGGATTCAGGGGAGAAGAAGGCATCTCTCATACAGGGAACGAGCAAGGATATGAAGAGTTGTGAGTGTGCACGATCAAAGCTTTGCGAGTGTGTCGTGCAATTCACATAGTGGCAGATGGTTGCTCGACTCGATGGACAGTGAGGAGCCTGGCGAAACATCTTCTCCTGAATTGACGGGTCTGTCGCACACATCACGTGTAGCGGGCGGGCACCTGATAGTTTCAAGGCACAAAAGCGTGCAGCACTCACGGGAGCGTTGTTAGGCAGCATGCTCTTGCGCGTTACACAAATGTGTGAATGATAGAAGATACTCGTCGCGACACGTGACATTCACGCCAATCTCAATCGGTCTTAGCGTGTCAACAAGACAAAAGGGCGCTCCACTTCTGCCCCCATCCTTCCTCCCTACAATCACAACCCTAACCCGAGTGAATTCGACCCTAAGCCTTGTTGCAAATCCACCACGCCCATACCAACCCGCTCCATCGCGATCAAGAGTGTCGTCGCACCCGCACAAAACCAAGAGTAGCTCCAGTAATGGCCAAGGTGTCGTCGGCGCGCCCGGCGTTGCGGCAAAGCGAAGACGATGCACCCACAACAAGGGTGACGCGTTCCACGCGCTCCGAGAGTCGCGAGCCCGATAATGTTCCCCTTCGCCCTCGTTCTCGTCGTGGGACGGATGAACAAAGTGATGCTCCCGTACCCAAGAAACGGGCGGGCAGAAAGGCCAAGGCGGCGACGGGTAAGTGCTGTTGCTGTGTTCGCAGACCTCGCCCTCACCTCGTGTCCACACTTTACGCTCTGGCCCTAACCCTAACCCTGCTGCACAAGGCTGAGGGATTGCACTTCATTCCTCACCACCTATATCATTCATGACGTGTGACCCGATGCTGACTGCGTATCTGCTAGATCTAGAGCCTGTCAACGAGGATGCAACCTTGGAAGCACAGCTTCAAGCAGGCATCCAGGAGATCGATGATGCCCGCGCTGCCGTCATCGAGGCTGCCCGTGGCACTTCCGCCTTCTCACCCAACACCGTCAACACCACCTTCTCGCAAGAGGAGATTGGAGGCCTAGACCCCGATGTCATGGCCGACCTCCTTCCCCGTCTCGCTGACGCCGCAAATGACCTTTGCACCCAGCTGCTTCCCGCCGACCCCAACGCCCGCGCCGTCGTTCGCCAGGAGATTCGCACCGATGGCTCCAGGTACAACAAGATATACAACACTCGTCTCCGCACGTTTTCCGTCAACAAAGAGGGCTTCGGAAGCACCGAATACATCCAGCCCTCCATCGTCCTGCGCGCTCTTCTCCGCGTTCAAAACATGCAAGACGTCCCGGCTGGCTCGTGGCGCCCGGATGCCATCATCCACAAGATCAATCTGGCCCCCATGCTGCACACTGTTCTTGTTTTCATCCCCAACAACGCCAATGTCACCCCCGACCAACAACACGCCGTTTTGGGTCTGGACCATGCCTTTGGCCCCGCTATTGCTGGGCCTGGCTTCAAACAGCCCGCCTTTGACCTGTGTCTCCAGCTTCTCACCCAGCTGGCCCTCATTCGCTTGGATGCTTACATCAATTCGCCCGCGTTTGCCCCCCAACGACTGATTGCGGAAACCTTCTACGAGTACAATGAAAAGGGCGAGCCAATCTTCCGGCACTACAAAGCCTTGGACATGGGCGAGATGGATGACGACGAGCTTGAGGACTACAGCGTCGCCATCACTACACTTGTTGAAGATGACCTCGGCTCAGCTTTCGATGTCCCTGGAATTGATGCTCTCACTGCGCTTGAAACCCTGCGGGAGAAATACCCGTGGGAGGAATTTGTCGAGGCTGTGGTGGAGTATTATGGTCACAGAAAGGCAGAGCTTGATGCGCAAATCGCAGCGGTGGGCGGTGTCGACCGAATTGTCCTTGAGTTGGGAAGCGAGGTGGAACAGAGAGCAGCTGTCCGAGCGGCGGAGGCCAAACGTCAGACCCTCTCTCGACCTAACCGCACGCCGAAGAAGGGGTTCGGTGCAAGCGCCATCCGAGCATTGAAGGCGCGAGAGGCACGCCTGAGTGCAAACGCTGCACCAGTGGCGTCCACAGCACCTGTCGCCCCTGTCGCGCCCATGCTCGGCTCCTCGGCTGGCTTCGCTGCGCAGCATGCCGCCACGCAGAACGACGACACTTGGTTGCGGCCGGAGGAGGATGACGTGGAGCCCGCTCAGCCTCAGCAGCCTCAGCAGCCTCAGCCGGCCGAGAGGGCGAGGTCGACTCTCATGGCCCTGGAGAACATGTCACAGCGCCAGAAAGGAGCCAAAGGCAAGGGCAGGTTCATCGACCCGCAAGCCGGTGCAGTCCGCGTCTCCTTTGACGCCAGTCAATCCCAGGCGGACCCGTCTCATTCCCAATACCCAGCATCGTCCGTCCCGGAAACCGGCCCATACTACCAACAATCACAGTCTACTCCAGCGAAGCGAGCATTCGCCAACATAGACGAGGACGAGGAAGAGGAAGAAGAATACGAGCCGACTCAGGACCAGGGATTCGAAACCGACGCGCGGGATGCCACCGCCGCAGACCAGAGGCGCAGACTGGCTCCACAGCAACGCGCCCCGGCACCAAGGGTCTCAGCCGCGATCACCCTCGCTCCCCCGGGCCCTTCCATGTCCAGCCCGTCGAGTACCTCCAAACGCCAACGCAAAAACCCGGGTAGTATCATCCCTCCCCTCGCCACGCCGTACGACCCCAACGAAGACCCCGAAATCACGGAAATGGAACAATTGGAGCGCGCGAGAGTCGCCGCGCGCCACCACAGCGTCATCTCGCGCTCGCAGAAGCCGCCTCAAGTCCGCACTCCGTGGACGGCGGCCGAGGAAATGGCGCTCCAGTATCTCATCCGCGACTACGGCGAGACCAAGATTGCGTACGCGGAGCTCAAGTCTCACGACTCGAATCGGACGGGGGGGCCGCTGCTTGGGCGCCGCTCGGCGGAGGACATGCGCTTCAAGGCGCGCAATATGAAGCAGATGTATTTGAAGTGAGTCGTGTCCGCTTGTTGATTGTTGAGAGGAAACGTTTGACTGACTGACTGTTGAATTGCAGGGGCCGCCAGGCTCTCCCGCCCGGCTTCGACAATATCGTCCTGGACAAGAAGGCTATCGACAAGCTGCACAGCATGGGCATCCCTTACGAGCAGGACCGCATCCGTGGCGGGGCGGGGGTTGATACGCAGTGAGAGGGTAGTGCTGGGTCGGTGACTTGTTGAAGGGCTTGCTCAGGTGGTTTTGGGAAGGAAATTGAAGGGAAGGGATACTGTTGCCCCATGCACTATACCCTTTCTTCTCAATACTCGTTATAATCCACTTATCCCCCTGCACCCGCCCATGAGTGAAGATCGGTCAATCCCCCCTCTGCAACCCCACCATCACCCCACGGCTCAATACCCCCTTTACATCCTTCGTCTCCCTCTGAGCGCCGGCGGCGGCAGCCAACCGCGCCCTCGCTTTCTTTCGCCTCCTGTGCCTTTTGTTTTCTTTGGACAGGACTGCCAGTTCTAGCATGCCTGCTGTCTCGACTGCTTCTCGTGGGGACGATGGTGAGGCGATTGTTGTTGTGAGGAAGTTGTGCGTTCGTCGGAGGTAGGAGCGGAGGGTTGTGTAGAGGGATGGGGGGACTGGATGGTTTGGTTTAGATTGGACTGTATAGAGAGGTGTGATGGAATTGATGTTGTTGATGCCGTTCTGGAATTGGAAGGGGAACGCACGCATTCTGTTCTGCTTTCTCTCTTTGCAATTGTGTGTCTTGTTCGTATGGGGTGGAGTGTATGTTAGAAGATGGAGATTTGGTGAACGAGGAGTCGTGTGGAAGGGTTTGGTATCATGTCGTAGAGGCGTTCTACCTCTCGAGGAATATGGTTGTGTTGAAAAAGGATCACGAGCACCTCGCTCGCACCTGGCTTGCCCTTTTGCTCCTTATCATGCCTTCCTTCCCTCCTCACCCTATGCGCCAGCCATACAACAACAACAACCCGAGAAAGTCTAAAGCTTACTGAAAGACGTCGCCACCGCGCCTCCCATCTCCACCAACGTACTCTTATTCTGCACCCAATTGTCCAACCCTTTACGTCCATTCTCCACCCCCAACCCACTCATCTTCCAACCCCCGACCGGCATCTCCGCCGGCGACTCGCCCCATGTATTCACCCACGTGATGCCAGCGTGCAGCTGCGCGACAACCCGATGGCCGAGATCGATGTTCTTGGTGAAGACGCCGGCGGCCAGACCCATGGTGGTATTGTTGGCGCGCTGGACGAGCTTCTCGACGTAGCCTGGGCGATTGTCGGCGTAGGGGAGGATGCAGAGCACGGGGCCGAAAATCTCGTCTTTGGTGATGAGCATGTCGTCTGTGCAGTTTGTGAAGACTGTCGGCTTCACCCAGTAGCCGTTAGCGTCGACGGTGGCGGGGAGAGTGGGTTTGCCTAGTCCGCCGGCCAGGAGTTTGGCTTTGTCCGTTTCGATGCCGTGCTGGATGTATTTGGTGACTTTGTCGTGGTGCGTTTTGCTCACCAGGGGCCCGAAATTGGTGTTGGGGTCCATGAGGTCGCCGGGCCGGATGTCGGCCATTTTCTGCAGGAGGCGCTGCTCGAAGCTGCGCAGCATGCTTTGCGGGACGAAGACGCGGGTGCCGTTGGTGCACACCTGGCCGGTGGAGAAGAAGTTGGCCATCATGGCGCCGTCGACGGCGTTGTCCAGCTCGGCATCGGGCAGGATGATGCACGGGGATTTGCCGCCGAGCTCCATGGTGACGTATTTCATATTGGAGGCGGCGGCGGCGGCGACTTTGCAGCCGGTGGAGACCTGGCCGGTGAAGGAGACTTTGGCGATGGCGGGGTGGGAGGTGAGCAGGCCGCCTACTGCGCCGTCGCCTTGGACGACGTTGAAGACGCCGGGCGGCACGCCGGCTTCGGAGTAGATTTCGGCGAGGCGCAGGGCGTGCAGCGGGGTGAATTCGGAGGGCTTGTAGACCATGCAGTTGCCTGCGGCGAGACACGGGGCAGACTTCCACAGGGCGATTTGGATGGGGTAGTTCCAGGCTCCGATGCCCGCGCACACGCCGAGCGGGGCTTTGGTGGTGTAGAGCCAGGCGTCAGGGCGGAGCTGCGTCGTCTCTCCATTCAGTCCACCAGAAGCGACGAGGTTGGCGTAGTACTCGAGCACATCGGCGCCAGTGACGACATCGACGGCGCTGGTTTCGGAGAAGGGCTTGCCGGTGTCGTGGGTCTCGACGACGGCCAGCTCGTCGTTGCGTTGCCGTAGTAATGCCACGGCGCGCAGGAGGATGCGGGAGCGCTCCATGGTCGTCATGGTGGACCAGACGGGGAAGGCGGCTTGGGCGGCGGTGATGGCGGCGTGGACGGCATGCTGGTCGGCTTTGCAGATGTCGGCGAGCGGCTGGTTGGTGGAGGGGTCGATGTCTTGGAAGGTGGTGGCGGTGGTGTGTCGTTGGCCTCCGTAGTAGAGAGGCTGCTTGTCGTACTTCATGGTGATGGCGTTGCACAAGCACCACCACTCTTTCCTTCACTTCGCTCTACCTCACTCTACTTTGCCTCCGTGGATGAGTCTCATGAAGATGTGATGTGGCACGGAAGTTCTGCCGCAGCTCCACCTCTCTAGCGTGGGGTGTCGCGTGGTGCAGGGCAAGTCAACGAATCGTTCATCCTTCGGGCCAAGCCTCTCTCGATCAAAGAGAACGGAACCAGGGAAAAAAAGCATTCAGGGTGGAGACCTTGACAAACCCTCGTCCTTCTATCGTCTAGACTCTCGCGCTCTTCCTCTCTCTTCCTTCCTCTTGTACTGCTCTCCTCTCTCTCTGTCGCCGTATTTCCTATTCCATCTATACCTCCAGCTATCCTCTTCCATACAGCACAAGCAAATCTACATCTCCGCCGATCTCGCTCGGCGAATATGACCACCACCGAGCTCCCCGCTTCAGACGTCAACGCCTACGACTTCCTGATCGTAGGCGGTGGCACTGCGGGCTGTGTAGTAGCCTCCCGCCTCTCCGAATACCTCCCCAACAAGCGCGTCCTCCTCATCGAAGCCGGCCCGTCAGATTACCAAGATGACCGAGTCCTCCTACTCAAAGATTGGCTGAGTCTGCTCGGCGGCGAACTCGACTACGACTACCCCACCACCGAGCAACCCAATGGCAACTCCCACATCCGCCATTCCCGCGCAAAGGTCCTCGGCGGCTGCTCCTCCCACAACACCCTCATCTCCTTCCGTCCTTTCGAGTATGATTGCAATAGATGGGTGGAGCAAGGCGCCAAAGGCTGGGACTTCAAAATGTTCACCCGCGTCATCGACAACCTGCGCAACACCGTGCAGCCCGTGCATACCCGGCATCGCAACCAGCTGTGTCTGGATTGGGTCAAGAGCAGCTCCAAAGCCATGGACATCCCCTTCATCGAAGACTACAACCAGGTCATCCGCGACAACGGCTCCATCAAGCAGGGCGTCGGCTTCTTCAACGTCTCCTACAACCCCGACGACGGCCGCCGCAGCAGCGCCAGCGTCGCCTACATCCACCCCATCATCCGCGGCGACGAGAAGCGGCCCAATCTCACCATCCTCACCAACGCCTGGGTAAGCAAGATTAACGTCGCCGCCGACAAAGTCACCGGCATCAACATCACCCTGCAAGACGGCACCAAGTACACGCTCAAGGCCAAAGCGGAAACCATCCTGTGCGCCGGCGCCGTCGACACCCCCCGCCTTATGCTCCTCTCCGGCCTCGGGCCCAAACAGCAACTCTCCGACCTCGGCATCCCCGTCGTCCACAACCTCCCCGGCGTAGGCGAGAACCTCCTCGACCACCCGGAAAGCATCATCCTCTGGGAACTGAACAAGCCCGTCCCGCAAAACCAAACAACAATGGACTCCGACGCCGGCATCTTCCTGCGCCGCGAAGCGCCCAACGCCGCCGGCGCCGACGGCGACATCGCAGACATCATGGCCCACTGCTACCAAATCCCCTTCGTCTTCAACACGTCGCGCCTAGGCTACGACAAGCCCAAAGACGCCTTTTGCGTCACGCCCAACATCCCCCGCCCCCGCTCCAAGGGCCGCATCTACCTCACCAGCGCCGACCCGGCCGTCAAACCCGCCCTCGACTTCCGCTACTTCACCGACCCCGAAGGCTACGACGCCGCAACGCTGGTATCATGCTTCAAAGCCGCGCGCAAAATCGCCCAACAAAAGCCCTTCGCAGACTGGATCAAGCGGGAAATCGCGCCCGGCCCGGCGATCCAGTCCGACGAGGAGCTGAGCGAGTACGGGCGGCGCGTGGCGCATACCGTCTACCATCCCGCCGGCACGACCAAGATGGGCGATGTGCGCAGCGATGAGCTGGCGGTTGTCGACCCTGAGCTGCGCATTCGCGGTTTGCGCGGCGTGCGCATTGCGGACGCTGGTGTTTTCCCTGAGATGCCGTCGATCAATCCCATGCTTACTGTGCTTGGCATCGGCGAGCGGGCGGCGGAATTGATTGCGCAGACGTGGGGATGGAAGGGGTTGGAGAAGCAGAAGCTATGAAAAAACGACACCGAAAAAGTGCTCCGCTATTTCGAATGTGGTTCTTGGGTTATTGGATACGGACTGGGCGTTTTCTAGCTATGCGCTTTGCTTGCCCTTTGTGCAAAAGATACCCCACCGTTTTCTTGCGTTGGAGCGGGTGCTGGTGGCGCGTTAGTGCTGTGCTTCCAACAAGCACCTTTTTTCTTCGACTGGATCTAGAGGGCTGAGATCTAGAGTACATATTGTCTGTAAGCTCCGGCCTTGCTCCGAGTCATGGGGAGGGCCGGATGCGTATACACGGGAATACAGTCGCGTTCAATCCAGACGTGTCCGAGGCTTCGTTCAGGCGTCGCTGGAAATCATGTAAATCACCGCTCGTGGTTGGCCTTGCAGCAGGTGGAAAGCACTCGTGCGATTTTGACGTCTCACGCGTGTTGGTGGTCGGTCTCTCCAAGATATCGATAGCGCAGCCACGCTGTCGAGTAGAATCCGGGAAGCAGCGCATCGGGCTCCTCTATCTTCATAAATCGCAATCCAGTTCCTCATCACAGCCTCACCGCTTCGCGTTAGCCGGTATGCTGAAGCCCCTCGTCATGAAATCCACATTCTTGCCCGCAGCCGCCGACTTGTCCGAGAATAGACTGCGCAGATTCTCGTTGTCCGTTTTGCGCTTCTTTGCCTGTCCCTGCTCGGCAATCACTTTCGCCGCGAGCGAGGCCGTCGCTGCGTCTTTGATGCCCCCCGTCGTGGGCGCTATCTCGGCTTTCGTCTGTGCGCCGTTGACGGGTGTTGAAGTTCGTGATAAGTGACCGTTCGTCGCACCAATCTTCTTCTCGTCCTCCGCCACAGCAGCGCCATCCTCCTCCCTCTTCTTCCGCTTCTTGCCACCCCCTCCAGCCTTCTTCAGAGAATGCGACAACCCATTCTCCTTCAACGTCTTCGCTCTCAATGACAGCCTAGCAACATCCAGCTCCGCCGTCGGCAGAATAGGAATAACATCATTCGCCGCATACGCCGCGTCGCACACAATGCACTTGTCGCCCGAGAAGACCTCCTTAATAGCGGCAGAGGAGAACGCGTGCCCGCACGGAATCAGATACACAGCCTTCGACCCAGCACCCAATCGATCGCCGGTGACGGGACACTTCCATTTCGTCGTCGCCTCGCCATCAGTAGAAGAAGCACCCTCAAACCGCACCTCAACCACATCCCGCAAACTCCTCACCGCCCCCCGCGTCTCCACCTCCGCCTCCTCCGCTCGCCGTCCCTCGACCAGAAACTCCAGAATCGTGTCCTTGTTGTACAGCTTGCCGGCGCAGTCGGAGACGACGGGCGCGGAGAGCGGCAGGCGCGAAATCGGATCCGTGCTCCAGTAGTATTCTTGCTGCGAGTGCTGGGTCTCTTTCACTTCGGCGGTTGTGCGGGCGCGGGCGGCTTCTTTGACGAGTTCGCGGCGTTTGGGGATGCTGCCGCCGTCGTTGCCCATGTTTGCTTTTGTTTTATGAGTGGGTTGAGATGCGGGGGTTGGAGGGAGATGGGTTCATGGAGGAGGGTTTTGGCAGGTGAAGTTTACGCTTTCACGCCACTTGCTCGGCTGCGTTGCCCGAATTTGATTGGAGGGGAAAATGTGCAGTACAGACTGGAAGGTAAAGTGCTTGGAATAAATGCTTCAAGTGATTCTTCACTTTGCTACTTCTCGACTGTCACTCATGATAAAATAAAGTAAGAAACTTTCTGCAGACTCATACGAAAGGGCGCATCAGCCATCCTTTCAGTTCTTCCCCGAGCCATGCTTATGCTTTTTGGTCTTCCCGCCCCTTTGTGCTATGGGTCAGCAACAATCGTCCAATTCATAGGTGAAAATCTCCCGCACTCGAGTGCTTACACGCCGGTGGCGAAGCCAATGCGCTGGTTGGTGGTGTCGAAGACGGCGTAGTAGTTCTCGAGGAACTTCTGGCCGATGATGAGGTTGACGCCGCTGCTGCCGCCGTTGGCGAACCAGGCGTAGTACTTGCCGCTCGCCAGCCCGAACTCGGAGTACTGGTCCTGGGGCACGAGGTACTGCGACGGGGTGAGGCTGAGAGTGGTGGAGCCAAAGGTGAAGTAGAAGTTCTGCGTCGGGGCCTTGGAGTAGGTAGGAAGGCCGGACTGGCTGCCGGTGGTGCCGCCGGAGGCCTTGAGGAACGCGTTGTACACGCTGGTCGGGAGGTAGATGAGGGTGGTGCCGGTGTCGACGATGCCGTTGCCGCTGCCGAGGCTGGAGCCGCCGTAGGAGAACTTGTTCACGGCAATGCCCCAGTAGGCGGAGGCCTCACCGCTGGTGAGCTTGGGGTGGTAGCTGATGCTGCCGGAGTACTTGGACGGGTCGGTGCCGCCGAGGGTCAACTCGCCGTTGGTCGAGTCGGTCGAGCTGCCAGGCTCCGGGCGGAAGCTGACGCCGAGCACCTCGGTCGGGATGGAGCCTTGGCTGTAGAGGTTGTTCATGAAGGTCGGGACCTCGTTGGTGTTGGACACGGTGCCCTCGGTCAAGTCGACCGGGCCGAAACCGATGATGCCATCGACACCGCTGAAGCCGGACGACGTGCTGGCCGAGCCGATGGATTGGCCGTCGACGGTCTCGCCGCCGAAGCTGACGTTGTCGGTGTACTCCGTGCCGGAGAAGGAGCCTGAGCCGTAGTCGACAGAGACGGAGTTGCCGGTGGACTGGCCGCTGGACGAGGGCTCACACGCGTTTTGAGCACCGCACCAGGTGTTGGAAGCTATACATCGTTAGTAAATGGGCCATGATCACCTGTATTCATGCTGATACTTACATCCGGTGTCGACGATGAGCGTGTATCCGGTGCCGCCAATGTTCACTTCGGCGACGTAAGAGACATCCTCGTTGGTGACCGCGCCAGAGGACTGGCGGGGCTTGAGGCTGCCGACGCGGTTGTTGAATTTCGCCAGGCGTCGCTCACCAGCGGCAAGAAGGCCCGAGGTCGACTCAACGTTCTTGATCAGGGTGAGGGGGACGGAGATGACCTTGGGGGAGGCGGCCGGGGCAGGGGCAGCAGCGACGACGGCGGCCGCGGCCAACACAGACAGAGAGGTGAAGGTGTGCATGACGGGCAATTAAGAGCCTGACGAAGCGAAGGCGATGAAAGAGTGTTGGAGAATGAGTGTGATTGCGAGTTCGAGGGAAGCGAAATGCGATGGGAAAGGAAGTCGTTGTGAGGGAGAGATGGGAGACTTTATACCTGCACACCCCCAGCAGGCAGGCGACAGTCGCATGCCCATCCATCCATCACAAGGCCGCATGGCGGCATTAGACACTGGTCATGGTGTGTGTCGATCAGGCTCTCGCTAATCACGGGTATATCAAATGAAGGATGTGGGCCGACGGCAGAGGTACAGTACGTGGGGGGTGTGTCGTCTTCCGTCCTGCCCGGATTGTCGTTACCCCGGGGGGCGCCTCCAAGCACTACCAAGGCGAGTTGGCGGGTGCTTGAGTGCGCAATCGCTAAAAGGCAGCACATCACCTTCCTGTTGCATCCAAGTCCCTCGGCTGCCATACACCGCGCCACTCTAGTCTGGTAGACGGGCTCGCGCGCCATTAGCCAGCACGTTTATCGCTTTAATTTCCGTCTCGCGTTTCAGCCTTGCGGGGCTCGCTCTACCGAAGGCCATGGTTGCAATCTATCTATTAGCCAATGCAAAACTGCTATTGCTCTGATCAAGGACGAGCAAACCTGTTTTCACTCGAGTAGAGTGCGGAAACGGGGGATGCCGTAAATCGTTTAGCAGCAAGTAGGCGGTTAATGATGTCTGCGACCTCCCGCTTTCGGCCGCCGATCCGCTCCGGGTGATCGACGGCGCAGTGCAGCGCGTTGGGGGCCCTCTCCGAGGCTCTGCTGGCCTTGCGGAGGAGGGGTCGTGTGGTCACTGTGGCAGAGCAGCTGCCTCGGTCGAGTGTCTGCTTTAGGGTGGGCGGTGGCGCGTAAGTGGCGCTTAATTGCGACTTTGCGCCGGCTGCAGCGGCCACAGGCGCCTGATGGAAGCTCTCCAAGCCGTTAGGGAGATGATGGTTCTGCGTTGTCACGCGCGCTAGAAGCTCGCTGGAATCGAATGTGGCCTAGGGGCCGACAGGGCATTGGACGACAGATGATGGCGCGAGATACTATCGAATTTGGTACATGTGAGCACTGTACTGCAGTCGTATCGCGAGTTGCGGAGTCAAAGTCAGGTACCGACCTACCGAGAAGGTTTCGCGCCAGGGTTCTACCGAGGAATTCCCGGGGAAGGTTAGACCACGCGAACTCTATTGAGGCTAACTTCGATAAGGCGCCTGTACTGTCGATCAATGGCGTTTAGGGAAGGCGGACGGCAGGGGCGGACCTGTGGGGGTGGAGACGGGGGAAAGATGTCGCGAAGAAGCGTCGAGAAGGACTGGGGAAGTACGCAGGAATGGCTTGATTAGACGACAACGGCGGCGGCTTAAGCCCCTTGACATCCCACAATCTCCCCAATCTGCCACAAGGCAAGGCCAAGGCCGAGCGGCCTCGCACCGAGATCAACAACGAGGTCGTTCGCGTGATCGCGTATGGGTGGCAGCGGCGTGGGTCACGAACAACTAGTGACAGTCACCCCACCACACCGTGGAACACGCCATCAAACATGTGCGTGGAATACTCCAGAAGACCGCTGCAGACCGGCTGGTCGCGACGGCATTCGAGAAACCTGGTCGGCCTGCCTTGCCCTGTGCGTTTCCACCGTCCTTTGTCTCCGCGGGCTTGTGGAACCGGTCGGTCACGCAAGAAGGTGGGTTTGCATCTTTTCGACGCATCAAGCCCAGCCTTGCCGTTGCTGTCTTTCCTTCCAAATCCACACTTGGAAAGCATGGGGGTTGCGCGACTTTGCAGCATACTTGACCTGATAAGCTGTGGAGAGGTGCATTTACCCGCTCGGCGTCCTCTACACCAGGCATCTTCCGTGACTCTCCTTGCAGATGGCTGGCGACGTTCGTGTGCTTTAGCGTCAGTCGTGCCCTGTCGTCGTTGGACGATCCCGAGGTCTTGATAACGACCGGCGGTACATGCCGAGTCAATTGCCCACTGAGGATGCCACAGCGCTGGAGATTGCCGAAGCGCACTGAAACTGCGTCGGCAGGATCTTCCAGGACAAAGGAATACGCTGCACACGCACACTTGCAATGCTGTTCACTTCGTAGTCGAAGAGTACAGTAGAGAGTAGAAGCGTGAGGTACAGGTAAGGTGCCTTCAAAGTTCATCATTACAGTCAGCGTGCAAAGTCTATTGCACCTCGGCACATCCCCGGCCGCGCCGCGACCCACCTGTCCAATGCACGATTTTCCACCAGCTGAATAGAGCCTGCATGAGAGCTTGTAGACACAGCCCTTTGTCCGGTGGATTGCTTTAGTCGTTACTCATACCCTCCATCCCGGCCCAAGATGGCGTGACGAGCGATCGGGAGTTGACCGTCTTTCTCCGGCAGTTGGAGAAGACATTGTCGGCCAGTCATGGAGGCGGGAAGCCCAAGGCCGTCGCTTAAGCGGCGGCGAGTCTCGAGCTCCGCGGTCGATATGCAATCGACCATCAAACAGCCGGGCGCAATCGAAATCAACGTGCAGGGCGCGTACATTATCGCCCACGAAAAGGACGAATCTTTGCACTCCCACGGCCCCAGCACGCGTGCTACATCCCGACCCAATCCGGACGGAGAGGAGAAGTCTTATCAGTACCACAAGCGCGACATCCGCCTTCCCAACCACAATGCCGTCGTCAGTCACGTGGCCGCCGACATTGGCGGATCGCTGGCCAAAGTCGTCTACTTCTCGCGAGAAAACGGGCATGCCAAGACGGGCGGCCGGTTGAACTTCCTCTCATTCGAAACGGAGCGCATCGATGAATGCATCGAGTATCTCCGCCAGTTGCAGTCGAAGCATATGCGGGTAAATGGATCCACCAAGGCCGCGGAGCTCAGCGTCATGGCGACCGGCGGCGGCGCCTACAAGTTCTACGATAGAATCAAGGAACAACTGGGCGTCGACGTTGTGCGCGAAGACGAGATGGAATGCCTCATCATGGGGCTGGACTTTTTCATCACCGAGATTCCGATGGAGGTGTTCACATACGACGACACGCATCCCGAGAATGAGGTGACGTACCAGGAGACCTCGTCCGACATCTATCCCTATCTGCTCGTCAACATTGGCAGTGGAGTGTCGATGATCAAGGTTTCCGGCCCATCGCAGTTTCAGCGTATTGGGGGCACGTCACTCGGAGGCGGCACCCTTTGGGGACTGCTATCGTTGCTCACGGGCGCGCGGAGTTTCGACGACATGCTTGCAATGGCGGACAAGGGCGACAACAGCGCGGTGGATCTGCTCGTTGGAGACATCTACGGGGAAGGTATGGGGTATGAGAAGATTGGGCTAAGGGAAAAGACGATCGCCAGTAGTTTCGGCAAGGTGTTGAAACGGAAACGAGAGGCGGAGCGGAGGGCGGAAGACGGCAGTTTGAGTGATGGTGATGGCCATCGCACCAAAGACCCGCCGAACGGCGCCGCTTCTGGATCGTCTAGCAACTACCTCGTTGGCGGCGGAAGAATGTTCAAAACGGAGGATATCTCGAGGAGTCTACTCTACGCAATCAGGTGAGTGTACGTCAGACTGATGGGAGAGGCCGCAATCTGACAAGGAAACAACAGTAACAACATCGGACAAATCTCGTATCTGCAGTCGGAGAAGCACGATCTTCAACGCATCTATTTCGGCGGGTCATTCATCCGCGGGCAACGGCAGACCATCCACACTTTATCCTACGCCATCAAGTTCTGGAGCAACGGAGCCAAACAGGCATACTTCCTCCGACACGAGGGCTATCTGGGAGCCACGGGTGCGTTCCTCAAACGGAAGCCGGTGGACTGGGGGAGGAGGGGCAGTGTGGACGCCATGGAGACGGGTTGAGTCATTGTCGGTTGAGTGACATGCCGACACTGGCGATGTGTTCACTTCGCAATGGACGGACCGTGAAGACGCCGACCCATTCCAAGACGTGTGGCCAATATCTCACCGCAGGCGATTGCCTGGGCCGAGACCGTACGAATCGGGAGTGAAATGAGGGTGCCTGTTGGAAGTACACGGAAGACGCAAATAGACAGGCCTGATGTAGTCCGGAGGCGGAGACGGGATGATGATAGCAAAGGCCGCGCCCCGAAACACTTGGCAACTACGCCCCCCCTTCCCTCAGGCAACTAGAGTATCAGGTTTAGGGGGTAGCTCAGGGATGGAACAGTGTCGTCGTAAGGACTGCTGGCGAAGTTCTGAGAACTACACCACCGAGCAGACCGCGGATGTTTCGAGAAGGCACGATGCGGCAGCTGCCGAACCCTCGCTTAATCTGAATCTGGCCTAGCGCAGCGCTGACGCACACACCGGCAAAACCGGGGGAGGCCCCTTTGTTGGCCCTTGCGCCGCGCCCCTGTCGCAACGTGTCCTCTATAAACTCGCTGCCTGCCCGCCCGTTGCCCGATCGTCTACCTGTCCTCATCGTCCCCTCCAGCCAAATGCAGGCCTCTTCCTGCAGACAAGCCCAGCATGGAGACCATCTCTTCTCACCATTCTCATTCCGCTCTGCTCTCGCCACATAGCCCCCTCGACACCATGGCCTCCTCCCCCAGCCAGCCCACCTTCCTCAAACTCGAAGATCTCGACAACTCGCCGCCTCTCCTGACCTCCTCCACCTACGAGGATGCGTCTCTGACGTCGACCGCCCCGCAAAGGGTCGTCGTCCACTCCAAACCGGCCAAGAAGCGAAAGTCATGGGGCCAGGAACTGCCTGAGCCCAAGACGACGCTGCCGCCGCGGAAGCGCGCGAAGACGGACGATGAGAAGGAGCAACGCCGCATCGAACGCATTAAGCGCAACCGCGCGGCCGCACACAACAGCCGCGAGCGCAAGCGACAAGAGACCGACCACCTGGCCGTGGCCCTCGCCCGCGCCAACGCCGAGTTGCAGGCCTATCGCACGCACTTTGGCGCCCTGCCTTCTTCCGTCGTCCTTCCGGAAGTGACACTCAGCACTGATGGGTATGTGTCACACGTTTGGCCCACCACCCCTACTGAGTCTAGCTAACATCAAACCAACAGCGCCGATACCCCAGCTCCGTCACTCTCTGATGCCATGTCATCAAGACTGTCTGTCGACAGCGGCACAACCCCGCCCACCCCCGCCGACAGTCCTCTCGACCAGCTCATCAAAGAGGAACCCCTCGACGCCAGCTTCCCACTCTTCCCCATCACCGAGGAGGAGGAACCCAAGTCCACGCTCCCGCTCTCTCTCCCGCTCCCGCAACTCGACCCGACACAACATTCTGCAGCAATGTTGTGCGACCTGCAGTGTCGGTCGACCTGCCCACAGAGCACGAGCAGCAGCAGCAGCAACAAGAGCAGCACGACCTCCTCCTCCTCCAACAATTTGGCAATTCTCTTCCTCAACCTCCTCACCCTCAACCTCACCACCACCTACCGCACCCTCCTCCTAGCTCTCTGGAGCACTTCGCCTTCGCGGATCACGCGTATGATGCAAGCTTCAACTCCCCCCTCGACTTCTCCTTCGACGACTTCCTCCACGACGACCCCCACGCCGCTAGCGGTGGTGTTGTCAGCCTCGACCTCGGCTTTGGCGCAGCGTAATGCAGCGACGGGCCGCAGCTTCGGAGGGCGGCAACAGCACGGCGCTCGACTTGTAGCGCTTCTGCAGCGGCGGGTTCTTCGGGAGGGCGGTCCGAGAGCGACGAGTGTCGAGCCGGGGCAGTCGCGGCATTGTACTACTACTGCGGATTCGGTGGCGTTACGGGAGCGTGATGGGAAAAGTGCTTTGGAGGACAGAGATCGGGATGGAAGCTCGATGGTAGAGTAGCACATTGGAAACCTATTACCGTCGTTGGTACCTCATAGGAAATCAAAATGGCAATGGTCCTCACTCTCAATTCAATCTATTTCTTCTCTTTTCATGCTATAACACTACCAATGCCACATACACTTGTAATTCAAAATTCGGCTCCCCAATCGATCATACTCCACCCGTCCAATCCACGCATCATTCGTCATCCGCAACTTCCCAAACACACTCGCCCCCTTCCACACAATCACCGCGGCATCCATCTCGCGCGGCGGCGGCGCCACCAAAATCTCCTTGGGATACTGCGGCATCGCCATGCGCAGGCGCGCCTCGAGGTACGCGCCGAACTGCGGCGTCTTCGAGCCGCCGCCAACGAGCATGATGCTGCCGAGGAAGTCGCGGCGCTTGCGGTCGTCGGCGCCCGCGGCGCGCTCGATGGAGAGGAGAATTGCGTGCTCGAGGGGCATGAGGGGCACGGCGCGGTCGAGGAGGGAGATGTCGGGTTCTGTCGTCGTGGTGAGGGAGGGGCCGTCGTCGGCGGTGCCGTCTAGGTTTGTGATGTTGATGTCGACTGAGGGCTGGGGGGTGCCAGTTGGGTGGTCTTCGGGGGCGGGCGAGTTGGCTGCGGAGGAGCGCGGGGTGCCGGTTTGGTCGTTGGTGGTGTTTTCGCCGTTGAGGTGGGCGGGGAGGCCGGAGAGGAGTTTGGGCTTGGTTGGGGTGCTGGTTCCGGGCATGGGGGTGGCGAGGAGACGGATGGGTTTCGCGGGTGCGGCGGTGACGGCGGATGGGATGTTCTTCTCGACGTACGAGGCTACTGCTAGCTGTGCGGCGGAGACGGGGTCGTTGCGCTTGCCGTCGTAGATGTCTACGGATGGGGGAATGAGGCTGCGTCGGCCGTCGAGCTTGTCGGCGTTGTTGAAGATGCTGGGTCGGAAGAGGCCCATGGGCGCCAGCACGCCTTCGTCGTAGAGCTTGAACGTGTACTTGCGCGTCTCCTCGTTGTAGGTGCGAAGATGGAAGTCGTACATTTGCACGCTGATGTTCTCGTCCGACATGGAGCAGTACTTCTCCTTCAGCTCCTCGGCTAGCAGGAAGTCATGGCGTCGCATCAGGTTGAAGTCGCTGTAGTTGAAGCGATCGAAGAGCATCATCTGCACAAACGTCTCGGTGATGTCGTAGCCGCCGTACTTCAAGTTCACCCGGCAGTCCTCAATACACATGCCGTCCTCGACGCAGCAGATGCTGGTCTTTTGTGCGCCGACGTCGACGATGCAAGCCGTGCTGAACCCCGCGCCAAAACTGGCGGCAATGGACTCTTGGATGAAGCAGACACGCTGGAAGCCGAAGTCGCGGATCATCTCCTCGAGCACCTTGCTCACGAACGCCTTTTCGTAGAGATCGGGAATGACGAAGACGCAGCTGTATTGGTTCCAGTCTCTCCTTTGTGTCAGACCAAGCTCCGATCTGATGCTCTCCTCGAGGATGAGGAAGAAGTCGCTGTAGAGCATGTTGCGACTGTCGTAATCCTTCTCATTGAGCCAGCCGTGACGGACAGGCCATGAGAGATGGTAGCGTGGTTTGGATTTTTCTGGGATCCGCAACGCGGCGGCACCGACGAAATAGTTTGGGGCAGTCCTGGGATCTGCGGGCAGCTCGGTCCAGTCGATTTGGACTGGATCGTTGTGCATGGAGATGAGGTCGGGGGGATTGGTGGAATTCCACTTCGTCACGAGTTCTCGTGAGTTTGGCAGTACACGGCGCTTGTTCGCTCTTCTGGAGACTTTGAAGTCGGCCGCCATGCTGTTGTACTCTCTCGCGAACTGCAACTCGTTAGATGGAATGGATATTCTGAAATGCACATTCAACATACGTCTTCACCAAACCATTCTTCGGGCGGTGCATCCTCATCGTCCAGCTTGAGCCTTTTCGGGCGGGGTTCGCTGTCTTCGGCTTCGGAGCGATTGGCTTTCCTCGCAATGACCATCGGCACGGTCTTTGGTAGTGCATCTGTTGCAAGTCCTAACCGCAAATTCTGACTGCCAATATGGATAATGATGGTTTTGGAGCCGAAATTGTCGCTGGACAGATCGTCCATCTGCACATCCTCCTCGAGATCGGCGTCGGCTTCGGCATCGGGCGCACCATCCTGACCACCATATGCTCGAGCGCGGTCAATGTCGACGGCGGCCTTTTTGCGCGCGTTGAGCCGCTCTTCCTGTTGAAGCCGGTTGGCGAGGATTTGGTCGTCTCGTTTGAGGAAATCACTATGCCATTGTATCAGTTGGCCTGCTCTACTTGATTGCGATGATGAAACGTGGTGATAGATGATGCGTGAAGCTGCCCTTTTTGAATGGAATGTGATGAGTGGATGGGGAATTTGTTGATGTCTGGCCCATTCTTTGCGAAGGCGTTGATTCGCCATTCCATCTGAAGATAGCACAGAATGGGAGGAAGCGTGATGAATGGAAAAGCACGCAAGACGCAAAATAGATGACACTGGACGTACGTGTAGTAGTTCTTCTGATTGATCATATTCACCTGCGGCCAGGAGGTGAATTCCATATTGTTGTCGGTGCGCTGAAGCCCTGTCCCGCAGTCAGTATACAGCAGCATTGGCCAAAGTGAAGCGTGGCCTCGAACGAGCCCGGCACATACCTTCCTCCCTAAGGAGGGCTCGGCCTGATTTTTTGCCCACCATTGTTGCACAGGCATGCAGTGGGTGGTATGGAATTCAACGCGGTGTAGAAGTGAATTGAGGCGGGGTGTGCCCCTTCACCGAGATTTGAGTAGCGGCGCGCGTGCAGAGGACGGATATATAACAGTTGTGAGTCCACGCAGACAGAGGCCGGCAATGCTATCCTCTCAAAGTTCGCAAGAGAAGTGAATGCTCTTCGTCCTCATATCGCGAGCTCATCAGACGTTGACAAGTGGAGTGACAAAAGTCGTGGTATCGATCTCCCCGCCAGCCCACTTCACGGGGGAAACAATGCCATATTCGTATCTCGGTCACCTCCTCCCCACACCCTCGTCTGACATACCAATCACCCTCGACTCTTTGCAAGCGCATCATCTGGAGATTGCAATCATGGCGGGTACGTGATGCTGTCCTCGCGCCTTCCTGTCCCTCCAAACAAGCAATATCCTCTCGTGCACGAGTTTGCTGACCGCTTTCCAGACTTTGAGAACATCGCGAGTGCGTGAAGCCCCTGCTCAAGAGATGGTACACAACCTGACCAGATCCCCAGAGCAATTCGTCGAATTCTACTACAAGACGTTCGACCAGGACCGAACAGCGCTCGCACCCCTCTACGTTAGCCTTCCCCCTTTGCCCTCCCAGCGGATAGCCCCGAGACTCCGTTGACACAGGTGTGTAGAGAGATGAGTCGATGCTCACATTCGAAGCCACTCCTTGCCAGGGCGCACCGAGCATCATCGAGAAGCTCAAGGTAAGAGAAGATACAATGGGAAGCTGGTCCAGTAGCAAGAAGAGAGGCGCTGAGGACCTGTCATCCAGGGTCTGCCTTTCTCTCAGATCGAACACCAAGTCAGCACGGTCGATGCACAGCCGAGCAATACGAGTGGCGGAATCTTGGTTGTGGTGAGCGGAGCGTTGTTGGTGAGTACAAACAAGGTCATGCGTCCAGCTCCGCGCCATGCTGACGCCCTTGGGACTGTAGGTCGAAGCAGAGAAGCGGCCGATGAGCTATACGCAGACTTTCCAACTCCTGCCCAACGGACAAGGGAGCTATTTCATCTTCAACGACTTGTTCCGATTGGTCTACCCGGCTGCATAATTGGCAGTCAAGAAGAAGGCGAGACGACACGAGGGGATGCAAGACGAAAAGGCGGATGGGCGAGGGAAGCACTCGCTTTGGCATCGACCCGGTGGTGGGCCAGGCAGTGTCAGTGGCCGATACCCTGGTAGCAAGGTCTGGCATTGGAAAGCCTGGTATCTGAGAATAGCCGGTGCAGCATTTCATTAGCTTGGCAATGCAGCATTGAAGAGCACAGTCGTTGTGTCGTTTGGAAGGGATGTCTTTCCACCTCCTGACAAGCATACCGGCGCATTAATGTACTCTTTCTGTGCTGTAGTGATTCCACCGGGGCTACATCGACACAGCCACAGATATGTTACGTCAGCCATGCAGCTTCAGCCACACCGAGCAAGCGAGACCCTGAGCAAGTGGAAGTGGTGAGACGTCGCGACAGGCAAGCAACATTCGACTCTCCAGGCAATCGCTTTCCTGCATCAACCCCCATCCTCCCCTTTGTCTCTCCCGCTCGCCATTTCCACCACCTGCATCCCCTCTTCGGACCAGTGCATGCACACTCACACGCGACCCGTCTCCCGCCGCACCAACCTATCCCCGACGCTTGTCTGGCGTTTCTGAAAGAGCCACCTTACAGCAGTCGCGCGCATCCTCCACTACTACGTCCTCAGGACTCATCAGAGCTCGCATCTACGCGACACACGCTTCAACATGACTCTTGCAGACGAGTTTAGGACGCGAAACTTCAGTACGCGCAGCCCTGCCCCTCCTCGCTCGACTCCATGCTAACGACTCGGTGTTCAGGTATATATGGCCAATGGTATGCCTCCTAGATTCTTAACCCCCCTGCAGCCCTCACTCACCATCGAATCAGGGTCGGAGTGCTTTGCATAGTCCTCTGCTTCGCCCTCGGCATCGCCAACCTCTTCCACGTCCACTGGGTCATCATCTTCAGCATCATCTGCCTGTACGTCTCCTCCCCCTCCCCAACCAATCCAACACCACCTCCACTAACGCGCGTGCCTCACCCAGCGTCTCCGCCTTCATCATCCTCTTCATCGAAATCCCCCTCCTGCTCCGAATCTGCCCCACGTCGGCGGGCTTCGACAACTTCATCCGCCGCTTCGCCACAAACTACATGCGCGCCGCCATCTACCTCGTCCTCTCCATCGTGCAGTGGTTGTCGCTGATTGCCAAAGCTACAAGCTTGATTGCCGCTGCCGTGTTCCTTCTCATCGCCGCGGTGTGCTACGCGCTGGCGGGGCTGAAGAAGCAGGAGTTTATGAGCAGCAAGACGCTCGGGGGCCAGGGGATTGCGCAGATGATTGTATAAAGAGCTCCGTGGAGGGGGAAGGGGGGGTGTTTGTTATGATTTCATGAACGTTGTTGCCCCGGCGGACGAGGCAGGGTGGTGAGGAAGTGATATGACTTCGGGAGTTTGACTTGGGAGGAGTGGCTTGAGCACGTCTTTGCCGCTGGATTGTATGGCGAGGGCGGCGAAGGCTTGCTTGATCTCTTCTATTGGAACACGATACCAATATGCCTTATGCGAAAGGTTGCCTTTTCCCTGATGGACCATGCCCTTCGACGTTCCAGCTATCCCTACCTTGCCGGCCTAAGCTCTGCTATGCCTTGGCTGTGACCTACTGAAGTCCGCGTGCAAAGCGCCATGAAAACTAGGTATTCACTCCGCAAGCAGACCCACCGTCGTGAACCTTCCATTATCTCGGGACTCGAATAAGACGAAGCAGTCGACTTTCCCAACTGCCTCTTCCCCCTGCGTGATAAAATTAACATTAGCACCCGACGACAGCGAGCCTTACCGGAGCCTTCTTCCCCGCTTAAACGTCACCCTGCGAGCAACCCTACATCATCCCACCATGTCCCCCTCCACCACCACCACCCACCGCTCCCCTCACGACACCTCCGCACGCAAGCGCTCCCGCTCTCGCTCTCCCAGACACTCTCACGAACAAAGTCAAGCCTCCAAACGCCCCCGCTCCACCTCACCATCTGCAGCCCAGCAACCGCACCGCAAACCGCATCGCCATCATCACGACAGCAAACCCCCCGCCGCACAACAGCTCCTCCCCTTCCAACGCCAGCCCTTGCGCAAGCGCGACTTCGACGCCCACCGCGCCCTCTTCGCGCACTACCTCGACTTACAGAAGGACTTGCGCATCGAGCTTCTCGAGTCGGAGGAGGTGAGGGGGCGATGGAAGAGTTTCGCGGGGAAGTGGAATCGTGGGGAGTTGGCGGAGGGGTGGTATGATCCGGGGATAATGAAGGGAGTACAGGTACAGGTACAGGGAGAAGGGAAGGGTGCTGTTGCTGCGCTACGGCAGGAGAAGAGGGAGGAAGAGGAGCGGGTAGCTGGTAGCGATGACGATGACGATGGATATGGGCCTGCGTTGCCTACTTCTGGAGCTGGAGGAAGACTGGGACCTACTGTTCCTTCGCTCGATGATTTGCAGTATAGATCAGAGCTCGCGGACGAGGACCGTCGGGATCGCGTGGCGGATCTCCGGTATGAGCGCAAGCAGGACAGGCAGAAGCAGAAGGAACGCTTGGAGGATTTGGTTCCTCGCGCGGAGCCGGGGTCGCGAGAGCGACAGTTGGAGAAGAAGAGGGATGTCGCTGCTTCGAATCGCTCGTTTGCTCAAGCTAAAGAGGCGGGCGTGGAGGAGGTGGGAGACGGGGAGCTCCTGGGCGACGATGGGGTGGACGCGTTCAAGGCGAAGAAGCGGCTGGAGGAGAAGAAGAGGAGTGAGAGGGAGATTCGGAAGGAGGAGGTGCTCCGAGCGAGGGCGGCGGAGAGGGAGGTCAGGTTGGCGGAGCACCGAAGGAAGGAAGAGAAGACTATGGATATGTTGAAGGACTTGGCCAGGCAGCGGTTTGGTGCGCGGGATTAGAGAGCTGCTTAAGGATGACGACTGCTATCTGGCTCTTACTCCGACGGCTCAGCATTGTCTCGACGAACTTGGCTACTCACCGGTCAGCACATCAGCATTCTACGGATCCACAGAGGATCAACAGCAACACCACCCACCTCATGATCCCCGCCCGGACTGCCCCCACGACTCTCCACCCGCTCACCGCCCTCATGTCTCCCCTGACCATTCCTCCCCTCAACCCAGCTCAAATACCAATGCTCCAACCAAGGCAACCGCAGCACCTCTCCCAAACAGCGATTAAGCGGCACAACCTCGCGCTCCGCATTCGGCGCCCCTTCCACGCGCCTCAAACCCCTCATATAGCACTCGCGATGGCAAACCGGCACCCGACGCAGCACAACCGTGCAGCTCCCCGCCGACGCATCCCGCGCCTCCTTCTCCAACCTATCGCGCTCCCGCTTCCAACATCCGTTATGGCAGACGGGCAAGTGGTTGAAGTCTGCGGCGTGAAGCGGGCCTTCGCCGGAGAATTTGATGCAGCAGTGCGCGCCGTGGAAGCAGGTGTGTTGGGGGTATTTTGGGATTTTCTGGGGTTTGGTGAGGGTGCAGGTTGGTGGGATGCTGTGGAGGCTTGGGGAGGGGAGAGCGGTGCCATTGGACTGTGGTTGGTGTGGGAGGAGAGTGTTTGTTGAGGCCCAGTCGATTGCTGAGGGTCGTGGAGGGGAGGAGGGTCTGGTATGTGGACTGGGCTTGATGGGGCTGGATGCTAGTGAGGTCGCCATGGGTGATGGTTGTAGTTGTAGGGACCGAGGATGAATGCGCCTCTTCTCTTGCACGTTTATGAATGGCGGCAAGCGGTGTCTTTGCTGGCTCCTGGGCGCCGCTTGATTCCCCTACGTCGTGGAGATGATGGTGCTGGAGCCGTACCGGTGACGAGAAACACAACTTGCATAGAATACAAACTCGAATTGCTCCTATCTCTGCAAATCAGAACTCAAGGAAAGGAAGTCGCCGACGAAGAAGCAGCGCTGTCCCTTCTCCAAACTCTTTGCTGTCGCCAGTATCGCTTGCCGCTCCCTCGCTAGTATCACAAGAACCATCTCGTACTCATACACCCCTTCACGCAAACACTTCATCATCATCCCACATCGAACCCACATCATCCACAGCGTCAACCACACTCCTCGCCGCCCGCGCCGCAACAGTCGTCGCAGCCGTCTGCCAACTCCGCCCAAAAGCCGCCGTAGTCTGAAAGGCAGTCCGAAACCTCTCCGAACTCATGCGCGACAGCCGCGCCTTCTCCCTTGCCATCTCCTGCGCCAGCTCCACCGGGTCAGGCATCTCGTTCCAAAAGTAGAAAGGATCCGGATCAAGCGATTTGAAGAACTTCGCCACGCTATCGTACACGGGCGTCCAGTACGGCTTCCACAACCACTTGAAGGGCCGGAAGAGGATGGTGGGAATGACAAAGGGGAACTCCGGGTAGTCCGGGCCGAAGGTGTCGCGCATCCACGTGTCGGAGCTGTAGACCTGGCGGCAGTAGATGTCGCACAGGAAGAACTCGGTGATCCAGTAGAGCCCGGAGATGACGACGAAGAGGCCCAGGCCGGTCAGGCGGATGCGGATCATGCTGCTGCGGTCGTAGACGTAGAAGCACGAGCGGAACTCGACCCACAGGGATTTCCAGACGGAGTGAGGGCGCATGCTGCCGCCGCAGGACTCGCAGCGGATGATGTGGTGGGATTCGACGGGGGTAGATTTGGTGGGGGGTGCCGCTGCTTCGAGTGGGGTGGGAGATGGGTCGTCTTCGTCGTGGACGGTATCGATTTTGTTCTCGACTCGTCGGAGACCTCTATTTGCGTCTTTGATGTTCGTGCGAGCTGTGCGGAGGTGCTTGTTCATCGCTTCCATCGCCAGTGTGTCTTGTCTGCGGTCCTTTTCCGCCTGCGAGAGTGGACGCTCGTGTCGCGGCTCTTCTGTTTGGGCAATCTTACTTGTCCCTGCACGTTTTGAGGCCATGCTGGAGTCGGTAGGCTCGAGATTGGGATGCACAATGTCTTCGAGTGACTGAATCGTGCTGTCACCGAGTTGCTGTGACTGTCCTAGGTCCTTGGCTTCTTGCACAATAGCCTCAAGTGCGGATTTGGAGGTGTTGGAGTGGTGTTTGGTGTGCGACGGCTTTTCGTCTACCTGACGGTTTCCAGGGCCTTTAGCTGGCAGCCAATGCTGAGCTTCGGGGTTGAGCTTTGTGTCGACCCAGGCGCCAGTGACGACTGGAGTCTTGACCTCCGTGGTAGGCTCATGGGGCCGAGACGCTTGATGCTCTCGAATCGGCCTCTTTGACCTAGAGATGTCGTGGTGGTCGATGTTGTCTTTCTCTTTGGCGTGAACGTCATCATCAAGTCTGTTTGCACGCTCAACGTCATCCTCGTTCTCCTCGTCCTCTTCAGCTATCGCCTTCCTTTCGACGCCATCTCTCGCAGGGCCGGGCGACATGCTCGACACTCGAGCAAGCTTTCTAAGCAAGCTCATAGAATCGTTGCGTTGCTGCGCAGGCTGCGAGAGGAGCCGTGGCATCTGCTTGTAGGCCGCAGGCTGGAGAGTGCCACTCGTACCAAAGCGATTCTGGGAGCTTAGACCGTCATCCTTGGCGTCGCCACCGATAGGCACATTCTCTTTGTTGCTCGTGCCATGCGGTGCGCGTACTGGGATCCTGCTTGGGCTTCGGGAGTTGCCCAGAGATGATGTTGATGGCGGACTCATGAGGGGCGCGCGACGCTCATCAGCAACAACGCGCTCGCGAGGCCGAGACCCTGATATCCGCCGGCGCGTCGCGTTTGGCAGTTGTTGATCGAGCTGATCGAGAGCGCGGGTAGTGACAGCCTGACTTTCGAGCAGTTCTATCTCTCGTCGTGCAAGGTCGTCAATCCTGCGGTAGAGTTTGGGTGCCGGGGTAGAGGTGAGCAAAGAGTTGGAGGTGAAGTCGGAATCTTCGGAAGGCATGAGCGTGGTGTTCATGTGTCGTAATGACGAAGGTGTGGCTGTGTAACCAACGCCACTCCGCCTCATCGACGGCGGCGTTTGCTCGATCGATTGCAGCGGCACGTCGGATGAGAAATCGTCCATATCGCCAGGCTCGGAAGGCGTGGCGATCTTGCGCAACCAGTCGGCCTGCTTTCGCGCTCTGCGACCCCACTCTCTAGGTACGGTGACAGGCAGGTCAGAATCGTTGCTCCCAGCACTTCCTGGCCGGTCGTACGTCCGTGTTGCAGCATAGTCCGCTTCGCGCTCCTCACGCACCAGTCGCTCAGCTATGCGTGGGTTCGGCCGCGCCTTCCTAAACGCCGGCTGCTGTCCTCCATGCAAGGCGTTATTCATGCGGCGGAGATCGCGTTGATGCTGCAGCAGCATTCGTCCAAATTCGTCGGTCTCGTTTTCCAGACCACTGATGTCTGAAACTCCAGAACCAGACCCTGATCCAAGAGTGTCCTCGTCGTGCGCCTGGACTTTGTCCATCGCGCCAGCATTCAATGCGCGGTGGTCGATGGTGTTCAGGGATTGGTGTCGCTGATGCGCCGCTTCGAGTCTGCCTTCATAGCTTCGCGCGGGGTGCATGTCCTTTCAGCGCGTCTGCAAACACCTAACAAATGCTCCCATTCCAAGAACTCCCGCGCGTGGGAATGTCATCGCTCTGCGCAACGTCACGTCTCTAACTGTCGCGCGTGTTGATGTGAAGTTGGCGTTGTTTAGGTCTGACCCAGCCAATCATTGCGCTTGTCGCCGCACTAGCCCCGACCGGGCACAGGGGTCTGCACCTTGACTAAGCAGCCAGGCACGACCAACGAACATTGGCCCGGCGGAACTTACGTAGGCAGACTTCGCGGCCGCAACTACACCTCGCATGCCTGGATTGCACCCAATCCCGCGGTGACGGAAAAGCAAGCAGACATGGCCAACATCAACTGGCGGACCATCAACATCGATGCGCTCGAAGCCGAGTCGTCCTACAATTTCGACCTCTCCACCCTGACGCCTGCTGTCCAGCCCGTGTCCACCGCAGATGTGCAGGCGCTCTCCGGTCAGATCCGGCAGCTTTCAAGAGGAGGTGACAATGAGGGTGCGCTGAGGGGAGCATTGGAGAATGCACCGTTTGGGGCAGATGAGCAAGGAAAGGTTGGTGGTCCAATAACTCTCGCACAGCGGGTGCTGCCTGCATAAGATGCATCTGCTAAACCTCACACACAATCACAGTCAATACACCTCTCCGTCGTCACCGAGATCCTGCAAAACATCCGACAAGCCGAGATGACGCCCATCCTGCAACGAATGTACCAATCCGAGAACGGGTCGGAGGTCTGCGACACTCTCATGAAGTACTTGTACAAGGGCATGGCGCAGGGTGCACCATCGGCCAATGCCACGACGAATGCGACGAACGCTAGGAACGTCACGCCGCAGGCGACGGGCTTCACTCAGGCTGGTGGCAGGAATTTCGGAGGAGGGGAGGGTGGTGGGCAGGCGATGAGTGTGCTTTTGAGTTGGCATGAGAAGGTTTGTTTGCCCCTGTTGATTCATATCAGTGACTACATACTAACGCGGAGTACAGCTGGTTGAGATGGTCGGGCCCGGAAGTATCGTGCGAGTCATGTCAGATCGAAGAACCGTCTAGACAGAAATATTCAATTCAGATCCTTCCAGAAATCTTAAGCCTATCCGCCTGGCAAATTTCGATGAGACGGTGCATGTGCTGTAAGTAAGATAACCAACTTTGCAATCTTCACGCGTCCGCATCTCGTTATTTGCGGTGTCCTGAGGCGCGGCAGGCACGGATTAGACTTTGATGGGTCTGTATCACATGGTGGCGGGGCAGTCGCGTCTGCCTGTTCAAACTTCCCAAATCTCCTCCCAACTTCCTTCACTTCATTTACTTCCCTCATTCTGCACAACGGTGCTCAAATACCTCGCACAAGTCACCAAGATGGCGGGCAAAAAGCGTAAAGCGACGGAAGAGGGTGGATCGGCGGTGAAGGTAGGTCACTCTTCTGTCATTGCTTTCCTGCACAAGACACAGTCGCTGATCTGCCGCAGACGACCAAGAAGACCAAAACCACCCATATTGATGAAGACTCCACCGAATACCACTTTACACGCGACCTGGCTCCCGATCTGGTTGACAACCTGGCTGCCAGGTCTGCCTGTCAAGCAGTCATCAACACCACCGAGCTGCTTGAGCAAATCTTGCTCCGGCTGCCCATTACAACTCTCTATGGCGTAAGCCGAGTCTGCCACCGATTCTACGATGTGATGCAGAACTCCAAAGCGCTTCGACAGCGTATGTGGCTGCAGATGGAAGATCTGCGCGAACTGAATTGGATCATGCCGCCTCCTCCCTTGGCTGTGGGCCCGCGGGAGATGTTCGATGAGGGCACCGTGCAGAAGGACGACCCACTCGGATTGGCCCGAAAGTTCATGCCAGCGAAACTAAATCCATTGCTGGGCGTATGGGGTGATTCGTGGCAGACATTTTACTCGCACGGTACTTCTTGTGCTCTCGCGTTTGCACTGGACGTACGCGCTCAAGGGTCCTGGCGAGACTTGCCACTCGCACAACCTGCTTGCAAAGTTGCTGTGGGCGAGCTGCGGTGCAATGCGCTCAGAGAGGAGGGCATCTCACCAAAAGTTACCGTTGTGTCGGAAACTGGGCTCACTCTGGGAGACGTCATTGACGGAATATTGAAATGCCCCAATAAATTCAGGCGCTCAGCAAGGTGAGCCGGCCCACATGATCGCCTTGCGATGGTGCAGACCTGCTCGCGAGGTTCATTTCTTGCACGGAGGACTGACTAACGCGATTACTCCAAACGCAGGTTGGAGCAGAAGAAGCCATACGATGTGGATCCACTCGCGGTATGCATAGCTCTGAAGCACATCGTCATTCCCACCCACGTGGAGTTATCCATGATGGGAGTCGACATGACCATTCTCAATGCTGGCCCCGCTCTTGCAAAAGAGCTGTGATGCCAGCATTTCGCGACACGAGCACCTCGCTGTCGGGGCGGTGAAAGCGGAAGGTGAATCAGAGTTGTGACGAGAGCGCGAGCGGACAGGTGACGGCGGAGCATGGCTGCTGATTCGCAGGCGGTATCACTCTTGGGCATGCTTCAATGCGCGTGGTGTAATGGGGGAGAGATGGACCGCAGCCTTAGCACCTGGCACCAAAATCAATCGCATCTGATGTTTAGTCAGCGGGCCATCACGGCCCACGTCACGTTGAAGCATGTACTTTGTTTTACCACGTCGCGACACTCCCCCCCTCGACTCGCAATGAACAATGCGAGCATTACAAAGAGCATGCGCAATACCGAAACCAATTGCGCCATGTGCTGCTCTACGGCGACTCCCAGTGGCTCCCTTCGTCCCTTGCCACAACACAGCGAAAAGACTCCGATCCAATAACACCCCACCTCAACAAAAGTTGCCCTTCGAGGGCTACTACGAAGACCTCCTAGATGCACCTCTGCACTCCATAGCACCGCAAACAAAGACCCAACCCGCTCCACCTCCTCCCGAAGACCTCCCCAAAACAGAAGAAGAGGAGAAAATCACCCGAGCACGCATTGTCTTCGGCTCACGCCTTGCCGGCCCAGGCGAGCGCAAGAAAGAAATCCGCGCCGCGAGCCAGAATGTCGCGGGCATCCTCGTTCCTCCCCGCCCGGAAGAACCGGATAACTGCTGCATGTCAGGCTGCGTGAATTGCGTGTGGGACATGTACCGTGACGAGCTGGAGGAGTGGGCGGAGCAGAGTTCAAAGGCGCGGGTGAAGTTGCAGCAGCAGAGACGAGATTCTGGGATGGCGGGCAAGGGGGAGAGTGACATGCCGGGCCATGTGGCTTCGAGTATGGATGAGGATGGGGGTGGGAGTGAGGCTGGGTGGAAGGGGATGGAGTCTTTTGGGGAGGGAGGGGCGGATTTGTTCGCGGGCATTCCGGTGGGGATTCGGGAGTTTATGAAGACGGAGAAGATGTTGAAGGAGAGGCATAAGAGGGAGCAGGCTGCCGCTGGGTGAGGATGGCCAATTCCACTCATCAGGCCAAGCACGAGGTCTTTGCGGTGACCGAGTCAATAAGCCTCGAGCTGCCTGAAAGACGGCGGAGCTGCGAAGCGTTCTTCGAGGGAACAGCTCCAAGCCACTCGGCAGGATAGACGAGAGCGGCACGCGACATCCGCGCAACGAGCAAGCCTTCATCGCTATCAGCCAATCTCAGAACGAGACAGGAATCTAGCGGATGATTTCGAGGAAGAATTTGGCTCAGTGGGCAATGATCTGACAGTCATGAATCTGTACATATATGAGCAGGGTATCTCTCTATACACGACGCCATGCAAGCAACGAAGAGCAAACTCGATCCGTTCACACCCACAAACGGGAAAGCGGGATCGACGCGAACATCTCATCGTACAGCTTCGCCAACCATCCATTCGCCGCGCCAGCCCTTGCGACCACGCCGAAGCTGCCCGCCATCCACAACGCCGTCAGCCCAGCAGCAAGCCCATTGACAGTATACCACCTCCGTTTCCTGACAAGTGCCCTCTCTTGACCAACAGTCGTGACCTGATCCGGAGTGAAACCAAGCCACTTCGCCCAACCCCAGGTCATATGAAAGCAGCCTACAGTCAGCAGGGCCGTGAAGCCCGCAAAAGAGATGGCAGGATGTCTTGCGAAGGCATGCGACACATAGCTGAGGTTGATATTCGAACTGCCGCCGGGGAAGTCGTTCGGAACCGCGCGTTGGAGGTAGATGTGTCCGGCAAGCAGAATTGTGAACTGGAAACCCAATTTGCTGATCCCCGATACTGCGGGCCAATAGCGAGCGGAAAAGAAGTTCTTAGCCCCCTTCGTCTCACTGTCTCCGTATCTCTTTGCGTTGAGGTTCCTTCTGTACACGCGCATTGCTACGCTAGAGAGGACGTGCGCCCATAGCGGGACGATAACGAGAATAGGCTCGAAGGGAATGCCCTGGTAGTAAGGGCGGGTGAGGAGAAGGTAGGGTTCGCTGGCGGGCACGCTTTGCGTGATGAGGGGGATGATGGAGGTGTTGGTGATGTGCGCGAGGCCGAAGGCGGAGAAGGCGTAGGTGGAGTACTTTTGGATTCGCGAGAGATACCAGAGCGTGGTGTGGGAGCCTGAGAGGCCGAGACGGCTGCTATGCGCGGTGGGCGGGAAGTAGCCTTCTTTGAATTCGATGGGCGTTTCTTCTACCGGTGAGGGCTCGATTTCGGTGAGGGAGTCGGCGTCTGCCATGGTTTGGTTGGTGATGGTGTTGGCGTGAGCAAGAGTGGAACTGTTGACTTCTAGCTACAACCAGGTTAGGAAGGTAGGGGTCTTAGGTAAGCAAGGCCGTGCTTCACGGCAGTTCAGATGGAGATCTAGACCACGTCTTGGATACCTACGGACGAGTTGCGGACCAATGCATTATATTTGCTCCGACTTCGATCCGGCCTATAGATATGTCCATTAATGATCTACTACTCCCAGCGCGGCGAACTCAATCGACCACTCGCCATCATCTCAGTCTCCCCGGTTAACCGCGTCCCTTGAACGAAACATAGCCATGCAGAACCAGGCTTCTGTCCGCATCGCAGGCGAGCCCAACGACGGGAACATCGACCAATACGAACTCATTTCCGCTCGCCGTGCTCTGGCTCTTCTCAAGGGAAAGTTGGGTCAAGAGCGGCTCCGTGAACTCATCAAGGAGCAAGTTGCTGAGGGCAACCAGCTCTTCCGCGACCACGTCAAGCGCTCCGCCGGCCGGACAGAGACCGGCAAAATCACAATCGAAGCTACCAATCTCTCAGTCGCCGACTTCTCTGGATGGCTGAGCCGCGCGTTCACAAGACAGGATGTCCTCATCGCCGCGCAACCCGAACACTACGTGATGGACATGGTTGATCCCAATGGACCACATGTCGTGGAGACGCTCGGCGATGTTATAGTCGGCTTCTACATGGGCGGTTGGGACCAAAGCCAAGTCACTGGTGAGAACGACGGTGTCGATCGACGTCGGTCGACTCTGAGACTTGATGACGACGGGACCGTACTCGGCTCCGTGTCTACTGCTTTTCTCGATGCTCCGCATGGCATGTCGGCCGAACTTTCGATTACCTTGCCGGCTACGAGCGCCCCTGATGCCATTGAGCAGCATTTGGAGCACTTTTCGGTGGAGTTTAGGAGCTGGATGCTCGCGGCTGCGGCAGAGAAGCAAGGCGGCGGTGGCTGAATTGCTGTTTGAGCAGCGTATAGCATGGCCTGGAGAGACTTATCACGTATACGGAATCTCTTAATCGACCGATTCGAAGAGGCAGTCAAGAGCAAGTCTCAAAGGCCTTACTTTTCCATGTTCTGACACGGATTACGTAAACCAACCAGGCTGCCACTCCGACCCCTCCCAAGGACTTGAATCATCGACACATCGCTCCCGCTGTCCTCCACGTGAACAACTCGCACTCCCGTGCAGCGTCGTACGCAACGGACAGTTCACGTTTGCTGGGGAAGGAGCAAGCTTCGAACATGGAGTTATCAGCCAGGACTAGGGTCCTGGAAGAGCCGGCGTTGCTGTACCTCGTCCTGCAACATCTGTCACAACAAGAGCTCCTGCGCGTGCAGAGAGTCTGCCAGACATGGAGAAGCCTCATATCGGCCGACTCGAGACTCCAAGCGACAATGTGGCTACACCCTGGTATTCCCATCGACCGCGTTGACGTGGCTACCACAGAGATCAATCCACTTCTACACCGCGTGTTCCAACACGTATTCGACCAGCGTTGCTTTTGGGATGATTTCGCCACCGCTTCGGCCGGGCTGAGCAACATTTCACCGTTCATGGACATGTGGCTTGCAGAGTTTACTGGAAACAAACGTATCCGTGAAATCATGACGTACCCAAATGCAAGCTGGAGGAAGATGATCCCGTGTTTTCCAGCGCCAGATCGGTTTCTCGTGCATGTGGCGGGCGACGAGCGAGGCAAGTTGTTGTCGCTCAACTTCAGCAACCTGAACACGCCGGACATGCGGCCATCTCATCCCCCCTGGCTCACTTTTGGCCTGCTATACGATATTGCGGAATGCGCATGGCACCAAGCAACTCCGTGGCGCCTTCGTCACATCGAGTTCGACTTCCCTAGCGCTGCATTGCCGCTGAGGTCTCGCGAACACTTCGTTCCAGCGAAGGCAGTCATCTCTGATAAGCTCCGTGCGGCCGCGAAAAGCCGTGCAGGGCTTGTGAGACTTCATCTGCAGCCTGATACCCGATCGGAGGCGGAGCGACGGCAAGTGCACGATGCAGCTGTTGCAGAAACAGACCGAGGATGCAGAGAGGCTGCGAATGAGCCAGGCGCCTGTTGCGCGTACGACCCCCTCGCCTGTGACGTGCATATCTTCACAGATGAGTTTCACTTTGCTGATGCGCTTTCGCTCGACGAGATCGAATGGGACGAGATACATGAGTACGACATGCCTCGTGAGGAGATGCATGAGACGCCCCAACCTGTGAGGCCTAGACGGCGCTTCTTGGGAAGTGGCCTGCGGACACACAAGATGAAGTTGCGATCAGCTGTGTAGCCGCCACAAATAAACACATTCTCCAGGCTCTGTCGCTGCATTATCGGTCCGGGTTAGCGATAGAACGTCGAATGCTCTATCATGTTTACAGTGACCCGAGTGTAAGGTCCGTGGAGTAGTGAAGAGCAAGTCTCCAAGCGTCCAGTCACTTTACAATGCTTCGCAAAAAACCTGTCGCATGCCAAGCCCGACGGATTCCCTAGTGTCTGTCAGCTAAAATGGTCTCAACCAGCATGTAATCACCTACTACACCTCACTGTCGCCCTCACCGTCGCCTCACTGTCGCCGAATGAGGCCAAAGTAACCCATACAAACACCGTATACCACTAAATCTCAGGTGTTGTTTAGTTCTCGTGTTTTCAATGCCTCGCGTTAGTGCTCGCCTGCCACCAGCAGCTTGTCGGCAGGTACAGGCCTTGCTTGAAGACACTGATCTAAGTGCTCTGGCTATTGCCACCAGGCTAGCGGTGTGTAAACGGACGATTGAACGGATAAGGCTGTCCTTCGAGCTGTTTGGCCAGCCATATCCACCGCCAGTGAACTACAGGGGACGCCCACGAGCTCTGACTGCCGAGTAGGCAGCAGTAGGTGTTCTGCGTTACGTCTATCGTCTCGTCCATGGCTAACCACTCTCGCCGGCAGTGGTTACTAGATTACCTTGACAACCACCCTACGTCCTTCGCAGACGAGCTCGCTCTCGCTATATTCGACGAGTTTAGTGTTGATGTCGCTCCGAAGACGATATACCACTATTTGCAACGCGCTAGCTGGTCTCAGAAGGTAGCGAAGCAAAGAGCGAGGCAGTAGAGCGAGCTCCTACGAGCGCTCTAGTCGACAAAGGCTACACACTGGTCTGCTCACCAGCTCTGCTTCGTGGATGAGAGCAGAGCGAACGAGAAGACAGCTGCTCGGCGGACAGGCTAGTCACCACGAGATCTGGCTTGTTCAGATATAAGGCGTGTGAAGCGCTCTGAAAGGTGGTCGCTACTACCAGCTCTTACAACCAACGGATATCTGCCTGGCTCGCTCATCTTACAAGGCTCGGTTACGAAGGAGGTGTTTGCTTAGTGGCTATTAAATCGTGTGCTGCTGCAGCTGTCGCTAGGGTCGATTATAGTGATAGATAACGCGTCTATCTATCACAACCTAGAGCTAGATGAGCAATTAGTAGCGTGTGGTGTCTAGATTGAGTACCTGCCGCCATACTCGCCGGATCTTAACCCTATTGAACTGACCTTCAACACTCTTAAGTAGTGGATGCGATCACACTGGGTAGAGTCACAGCTGTATCCTGACTTCGCAGACTTCCTACGTGAGGCTATTAACCACGCAATCGGTTCCGATGGCCAGAGGTACTTTAATCACTGCGGTTACGAGTGATGTTAAAGGATGAGGTTATTGAGAAGGTGGACGAGCTGCTCAAGGCTGCAGTAGCTACTGAGGCTTGGCACGCGCTTCACAACAACCAGCTGTCGGATTAAGGCCACCACTTTACAACCACGCCATTATATTTCATATGCATTTGATACATGGTAGTATAGACCATCCCCTATCATCTCCAACTCTTAGAATCAAAATCCATGTGGTGGTTGTGTTGCAATCGCGAAGGGGGTGTAAATCCGACTTGTTCGCCTCGTCAAGCTCACGATGAGGACACTTTTCGCCACTTCTTCAAACAATCCTTCACCTTTTGAAACTGTCCGACCTTCAACCTCATATCCTTCCACTGCTCTATCGTTATATGCTTGATTCCATCAACATCCTATCCCTCTAGCTCCCACGCGAACCTCATATCATCCAAATCTAAGCAGAAGCCTTACTAGGAGCGCTAGGCAGCGCACCAGTTGAGAAATCGATCTATACGCTCGAGCGGTGCAGAAGAGCTTGGTTGTGAGGACGGCAGCTCAGGCGCAGGCGGCAGACCATAACCACTATATGAGGAGCCGTATGCTAGTGGTGCGTGGCCTACAAACACCTACTGGATTGGTTGTCCACCTTCTCGTCGCTCTAGTGAGCGCTGGCTCTTTTTGTGGTTAAAAGACTGCCCCCGGAGCCGCTCTCTTACAACAAACAAGCTGGCAACGAGATCAATATTAGGCTCCAAGTGTGTAAGCCTGTCGGCAGCGATCTTAGCTGTCCACTTCTCAAGGATGTCCTTCGTAAGGGGACAGTGTTCCTCTGCGGTGTTGTTCTGCCACTAGCAATATTTGCCCTTGGTGTAGTTAGGACAGCTCTGTTTATCGCAGCTCTAGTGGCTCCGCAGTGAGAAGCTCCTGTCCCCTTAAGATTCGAGAGCCTCAATCTAAGCAGCTGCAGTGGCCTCCTGACGAGTGGTAGCAGTTTGTCGCTACTGCGTTAATCGTTGAGTTAAGGCAGGCGGCAGCGAGCTACTGCGGATAACAGCCTGCTGATCCTTCTCGCAGTGAAACCGAAGATTAAGGAAGAGCACCTTGTGGCCTTCGTTATACTAATCCACTAGCTGCTTAACAAGCTCATCAAACTCCTTAGGCAGATCGATATCCGTGGCTATTCGATCAAGCTTAGGCTGACGTTTATAGCCTGCAGTAGCGTGTACACGGATAACACTGCCTTACTTATTGGCCTACTCTCTTGCTTGCTCCAAAATCAGCTGGTCAGCAGTGAGCTTAACGTGCTTCGAAGCCTTCACAACACGGTTAAACACTGCATCCTAGTTGCCTCGAATCGTTACCTGCGACGCCTCAACAATAGCAGGAGCAGCAGCAGTAGTAGTAGCAGCAGCGGCTACAGGAGCGGCTATAGCAGGAGTGGCAACGGACTGCTCGCCGTCTGTATCACTTTCAGCGGCCTACAGCAGCGCGTCGTCCAGTCGATTCGAAGGTGTTTTAGTGTGTTTGATTGCCTTTGCAGCGCGTCCGTCACTGCTATCCACATGGCCTTTTCGTTTGGCAGCCGTGCGAGAGCGTGTAGGCGTGGCGAGAGCAGCAACCACCTTTGCAGTTGGCCTTGGTGTACGCGTCGGACGCGTCAGCGAGGCCATTGAGGCAGTAGGAGCGACCTGAGAGCGTGGTAAGAGCCTGAGAGCCAAATAACACCTGGGATTTGGTGATATACACCTTTTATATAGGTTACTTTAGCTTCAAAAGGCGACAGTAAGGTGTAGAAGACGATTTCATGCTGGCTACGACGATTACACTAACAAACAACAAGGGAATCCGTCGGGCTTGGCATGCGACAGGTTTTTTGCGAAGCATTGTACCGACATGGATTATGTAACCGACGCGTTTCACCACAGCTCCCGACCTCACTCTTCCGCAGAGGCCTTGGGTATGGGTTCAACTCGACTCCATCCACTCTCTGCTCACCGCACATCCACCGCATCGCAATTTGCATGTCTTTCTAGCAGACTAAGACAGGTTACAGGTGTCTCGATACGTTGGAACCCTTCATAAGCCTCATTACTTTTCACGCAATCGCCTATCATGGCTCCAGTGAGTCGCGACAGATCTCCGTCCACAATGAACCGTTCATACTAATCACTTTTCTCAGAGAAGCTCAACGCTTCCAGAAGCATTGACAGAAAGCGCCCGAGAAGCACGCAAGGCCTTCTTCTGTGAGCATCACCCCCGCTCTCTGAACCTCACTGCTACACCCACTGACCGCCACATCCCAGGCGAACTCTGCGGAAAAGGCTACACGCGCATGAACGAATTCGAGGCCCACGAAGGCTCTTACGACCACCAACACCGAAAAGTGTGCCCCTCCCACCCCTAGCCCCATTCTATCTCCCCTTGACTTCTCCTACCCCCGTCTCTCACTCAAACCACATCCCGCTTACCATCCCCACCTCCAACAGCGCCTAAAAGAAATGCGCCAAATGACGAAAGACCCCGCCGCAGCAGCCAAGCGCGCAGCAGAGCAGGCGCGCGCAAACGAAGAAGCCGGCATCAAAGCAATCAACCTGTCCTCCATCACGTCCGGTGCGTCCGCCTCTTCCGGCGCGGCGAAGAAGAAGCCCGTGTTCAAGAGCACGCTGCAGCCGCAGACGGCTGTTGCGCTGGGGCTGGGGCAGGCGAAGGCGTTGACTTTGGGCGAGGGGGAGGATGGGGATCCGTCGGGGGCGGGGGAGAATGGGTGGGCGGGGGATGCGTATGATCCGCGATTTGTGGTGGGGTGTGAGGATCCCGGGTGTGGGGTTTGTAAGGATGGGGTGGGTGATTTGGGGCCTGTGGTTGCTGAGGCGGAGGCTTGAGATTGGGACTTTTGGAAGTTGTTGTCGAAAGGTTAGCGAGGCGTTGTGGCGTGGGGATTTGAGGTCAGTCATTATATTGAAGCGATAGCGGTCCCTGGGCTGGAATGGGCTATGACTGCTTGAGGACAGGACGATGAGCCGGGACAAGAAGTGGATCGTTGAATGCAACTCGCTACTACGCAAACAGAAACGACGTGTGTGGTACTTATCACGCAGCCGCCTCGACAGCTGCAGGCAGATCAGCCTTCGCACTCGGATCGATCACCGCCCTCTTCTCCAATATGGCTTCTCTCAATGCCTCATCAACATCCGCAACCGTGACATCGAGCTCGTCAATCTTCTCATCATCCGCCGCCTGACTGAACGCCATTTGTCCCACGTTTCTCTTCGGCCGAAGTGACGTTCGCTGCATGATAGGGTAAAAGTATGCGCCTTTTTGCAAACGTTGCGTCATTCCAGGTACGGCCCCGACTGTTTCGTCGGGATCGTGTAAAGCCAGCGCGACGTGGTCATCGTAGAAGCTCGCTGGGTCACCGCTTTGCTGGTATGTTTCGTACGTCCGTAGGCGCGAGTATTTGAAGAGACGCCGTCCATCCGGGCCGTCATCGGTGTAGAGCTCGTCGTCATCGTGTTCGGGATCATTGACGTCGAGCTTCCGCTTGATCGAGCGCACGGATGTCGCTTCGAGTGGTACAAAGTACTCGTAGTCGTCCTCTGGAATGGGTTGCGGTTTGGTGGAGGAGCTTTGCTTCCACTCTTCGTTCCGGTGGTTCCATCTTGCGTATGCTTGCTCATCGTTCTTCTGCCGTAGGATGGCGGCGTCGAGGCGGTGGTCGTAGCCACGCGAGGAGGCGAGGGGATTGGTGATGAACTTCGCTAGCATGAAGCAAGCGGTCGAGGGCAGAGCGTCGAGATCGGGCAAGACGGGGTAACTGTCGAGGAGCTGCAGGCTGGGTTTCGAAGGGTGTTGGGGATTTGTCCATGCTTTTGCATCCGCCTCCGAGGGTTTGGCACCCTGGATGTTGGTGGTACTGTCTTCTCCCTTGTAGGCGTCACGGGGATATGCAATGTCGAAGCCCTTGATCACGTTTCGGATGATGTTGATGGGATCGTCTTTGTTCATGCTCGTCTTCCTCCTCTTCGGATCGTTGCGCAAGCGAAGGAGGTCTTTCGAGGTGGATGATGTGAATTGCTGGGGCCCTTGCGAAGAAGTGTACTCGGTTCGGCGCAAGAAGGACACCGAGCCGGCGATGGCAGCGCCTTTGCCGAGTGCCCCGAGTGGTTTGAGGAGCTCTTTGTCGGCTGGATGGAGCTTTATAGGGCCTGGACGGGCCAGAATTGCACGCTCATCTCCGTCGAACACGCCCGGGATGCCGACCAGATCAATGGGCATTCCCAATTCTGCGTCTGCCTCGATATTGAGCGGCTGCTCTTTTGCCATTCTGGATGCATAGCCGGCGCTGGTGTAGTCGGCACCTGCCAGACCAGTGCCAGGGATGTCGAGGAATTTCGGGGGTAGAGAGGGAGGCGGCAGTGAGTTGTCGTAGCGCACGCGCGCAATGTAGTCCTGGTGGACGACTTGTCCCGACTGCCGGCTCGAAGCCATGATGTGCAGCGGAGGATGGTCGCTGTTGTGTGGACAAAGTGAGGGCCAGATGCGCGACGAGGAAAAGGTCGAGAACCGTCAATTCACGCCGTTGCACAGACGAGCCATGTTCGTGAATTCTTGGGTGAAGTTCAAACAAAAGTGTAGGCGGACGGCTCAAGAAGACTCAGTGACTAAAGTCGTGGCCAATCCAGACTGCACTCCCATGCGCCTCGATGGAATTGCACCTTTCATGCGCCTTTAGAAATGTCTTTACAATAAATCTTTGCTTTCAATCTTTCGCTACACCTTCCATGTTCCCCTCTCCCTTCGCAAAATAAAGATTGTGCACGTACTCAGTACAGCAGAGATGAGTAAACTGAGGAATGCAAACATCTGCAATCCCCAATAGATATCACCTCCTTGCCTTGCCAGGATGGCACCCTGGATCGGCAGCCCTGTGAGTGTGCCGAGTCCGACAACGAGTTGAAAAGTGCCAAAGCGCTGTCCGAGCGTGGCAAGCTCGCCAGTCTTTGCAATGCACGGCATGAGCAGACTCACCCACGCGCCGCTGGGAAAGCCGTACACGAGTCCGAATACCATTAAGCCAGCGTGGGAGTGGTGAAAGTCGAAGGGCAGCCAAAGACACAGAATCGCTATGGCCGATGCGAATGCCGAGAGGGTCACCATGTTGAAGTAGCCGACTGTCGGACTCGATCAGCATAAGCAGACATACGCGCTGCAGGGCCACTTACATTTGTCCCCTAGATACGGAGGGAGAACGCGACCGAAAACGGACGTCGAACTAGGCCATGTGTCTTAGTACAAGCAGGTAAGATCACTTTGCGTATTGGCACTTACTTCACCAGGGAAATCAGATAGATGGCAAGATCGGTGGAAAACCCGCTGGCGACGGCACTGGATGTGAGAAAGTCGAACGGCGCCCAGAGGCCCCACCTAGATGGCGAGTGTTAGTCTCAGGACTCGAGTCGAGTCGCGACAATCACATGCGATGCTTACATTCCAAAGAACGCGCCAATGGTGAACAATGCGAACGTCTTCTCTCGGAAGAGACCAAAGTCGAACCACTTGGTCTTGACGTCCCACTTCTTCTTCGGGAGACGACTGCGGACCAAGGCGATGCATACTAAAAGCAGAAGGCCAATGAACAGAGCGAGGTATCGCAGTGCTCCATTGAAGCCGACGGCGCTTCTGACATTCAAGAAGAATGGCGGAAGTATGACCCCACCTGTGCCCGTCTGTGTTAGTCCAGTTCGCTGTTAGTGCAGATCGGCGAGCTTACCAAGACCAGAGCCAGCGGCTGCGATTCCAACGGCCAATCCTCTTCTTTTGACGAACCACTGCCCGGTACAAACGAAACAGGCGCTGAAGATCGCCCCGGCTCCAAGGCCGAAGCACAATCCCTGCGCCAGGAAAATCTGGTAGTACGTCCGACTCAGACTGGTCATGCAGAGGCCAAGAACCTCAAGGATCGCTCCGGGAATGAGGAGTGGCAGCGGACCGTAGGTGTCGATGATGCGTCCAAAGAGCGGTCCTGGACTCCACATGAGACAGATCTGGAGGGCGAAGATCCAGGTGATGTCGGAGGGAGAGTAGTTTCTGAGGTAGCCTTCCTGGTAGGTGATTTGGAAGATGCCAATCACATTCAAAACACCAAATGATGCAAAGACGCCGAAGAATGCTCCGATGCAGGTGAGCCAGCCGCGCAAACCCTCTTCTGGTGGAATGGTTGGTTTGGCGGGCTGAGCGAGTCCTTGCTCCGCGGACGCGAAGTCTCTCACGCAGGAGCTCGCTGCTGGATTGTCGTCGCCAACTTTCTCTTTCTGTCCGTCGTCAACCATCTCACACCCTCTGTATGGCTCGCTGTCGGTCCCGTCTGCAGACATTGGCTCTCTCATGTTTTTATCTTCTCTTTGCAGAGTGGGGAAACTTGATTCAGACATGGTAGATAGGGTAGTAGTCAATTAGTCGGCGAGACATTTAATGTGGCAATGGAAGGATACAGCTTAAGTATTGACAACACACAAAGACAAGGCATGTGATACTATTCCGCCGCACGGATGCGCAAGGGCGTAAGCATCAATGTGTCGATCTGCTTAACAATGTCACTCATGTCCGTCGCGTGAGGCTGCAATGGCCGGTGATGTCCATTTAGGCTTCCCCGCTGACGATGTTTAACTCCGTTCAACCAATAGACTGCCATAGGATGCTTAGAAATTATCTGCGAACTAACGTCCGGAGTGAAATGCATATTCCGCCAAACATCCGCAACATCCGCAAACATGGGTCAGTTGGGCGAAGATCATGCACAAAACGTTTGTTCTGCGTGAGTGGGATACACTTTTAGACAGAGGTAGAAACATCACTAGAGCCATCTTGGATCACCCATTCACCCACGCCCTTGGCATGCAGCAGATTCGTGTCGAACAACTCCACATCCACATCTTCGGGCTTAAGTGCGAATGCCAGATCGGTGCTTCCAAGAATAATGCCTTCCGCCCCATCGTCAATCATCTTCTCTGCAGACGATATGAGGAGCTCACGAAGCTCCTTGGTGACGACGCCGCGAGTGAGATTCTTGACCAGCGCTTCGTGGATTCTGTCTCGAATGCTCTGCTCGTCCGGCACGAGTACCTCGACGCCGAACTTGTCTCGCATGCGATCCTTGATGTAGCCCTCCTCCATGACCGCCTTGGCCCCGAGCAGTCCAACCTTCCGCTTTTTGCGTCGTAGGATTTTCGTGGCGGTGAAGTCGGCAATGTGCAGTACTGGAAGGCCGCTCTTCTCGACCACTTCGTCGGCGACTTTGTGCGGATAATTCGCACAGATCACGAACGCTTCGGCCCCTGCGGCTTTCATGGGATGGATTGCAGAAGTGAACAGGTCGATGACCGAACCCCAACGTCCTGCGTTCATGTTCTCCAGAAGCGGCTGAAAGTTGAAGGAGTGAAGGATGATGGACGCGGACTTCTGCCCTCCAAGCCTTTCGCGAACATGGTCGTTGATGATCTTGTAGTACAAGGCAGATGCCTCGTAGGTCATACCACCTAGGAGTCCGACGGTCCTCATACTTGCTGTTGGTCTTTCGTTCAACTGTCAAGTTGGTGCAAGGTCTCCAGGACTGGGGCGATGTTGATCCAAAGGGAGTGATGGATGTGATTCAGTTGCTCCGTTTCATCAGCTATATGTAGAGCATGTACGAGTATATGTGACTCCGCCGCTCAGCCGCTCAGCCGCTCGGAACAGGAACTGAGAGAGGCTGGAGAGGCCAGCAGGAAAGGCTCGATGACTAAAGTCGTGGTCGGAAACTTCACATGTCATTCCAACCTCAGCGATGTGTGCCGCGTGCTCCTCACGCTATTGGCGGAGGAAACGTCTTGTCTTGCCCGCTCTTCTACTCTTCGCGTGCATCATTTGGTTGGAGACGGGCGAGAGATGGTCGCCACATGTACCTGCAGGTGATGGATAGCTCGACCGACTAGCCCCAAACTCTCTCCGCGCCATGTCGACCTCCCTTCGACTCAACGCCTCCCTTTCCGCCGCACCAGACGCGAACGTGAGCGCCACCACTGCTCTGAGTATGCTGGGCGGACTCCTGCTCGGGCTGCTCACCATCGTGCCGAGTGTGCTCTACTGGCTGATCGGGTTCCTGACCCTCACTCTTCCGACATGGCTGTTTACTTTCTTTTCCACCAGCTTGACTCTAACTCTGAACATGACCACGATCCTCTTGGTGGTCCTGGTCTTTGTGTCCACCATCAGCTGGTTCGTCCGGTATCGTTTCCTCAACATCTACTCGAGGCTGCCGCCAGAGCCACAGAGGAAGGAGCCTCAAGTAGAGATCTTCCCCGACACTCGTGAATCCGACACCAAGCCGGGACTGTCCAACTACTTCGATGAGTTTCTCAGCGCCATCAAAGTCTTTGGCTATTTGGAACGGCCCGTCTTCCATGAGCTCACGCGAACGATGCAGACGCGGAAGCTGATTGCCGGCGAAACAATACTACTGGAGGAGGAGAAAGGCTTCTGCTTAGTAGTGGATGGTCTCGTTCAAATCTTCGTCAAGTCCGGCCGGGAAGTCGACCACGACTCGAGCAATGAGAACAGCTTCAACGAGGACGACCATCATGATGAGCGGGACCACGGGAATCGAAGCTATCAACTGTTGACCGAAGTGAAGAATGGTGCACCCATGTCTTCCTTGTTCTCCATCTTATCCCTCTTCACAGATGATGTCCAAATGAGAGCTGGAGAGGAAGACGATCCGCAACACCGGCATTCGACTAGCAGCTCCAAAAACGACGTACCTCAGCGTGGTGATGCAACTCCTAATTCCATCGGGGAAGGATCGTTTCCGTGGAACGCTGGCTCTCGTCCCGCCTCAAGCCATCGCAATTTGGCGTCACTCCATGATCCGCCGGGAAACCTGAAGGAGCCACCACCTTTGCATTTGGATGGCGGTCAAGAGGACACTACTCAGCCACCGAGCCGAAGGGAGAGCGTGTCACTACCGACCGCAAAGACTAAGAAGGCATTTTCCGTACACCCAGACATCGTGGCCAGAGCGACTGTCGACACTACCATAGCTGTGATACCTGCCAGCGCTTTCCACCGGATTACGAAAATCTATCCCAAGGCAACCGCACACATCGTGCAAGTCATTCTGACCCGCCTGCAACGCGTGACGCTATCCACCGGCCATGCATACCTTGGCCTCACTAGTGAAGTCTTACGAACTGAGCGGTTGATGGACCGCTACACCACCTTTGACCTGCCAGACTTTCTTCGGGGCCAGGCATTACAGGCATTGAAGGACAAATTTCGCAAGGACCAAGAACGCATCGGTCCAGAAGAGAGCATGAAGGGCATTGCTCTACATAATCCACGAGTGGCTGATCGTCGGCGTCGTGCTAGTAGCAGCCTCCGGCGAGATGCTGCGGTTCACGCGAAAATGGTGGCGAGCAAGACCACTGGCGAACCCGAGGGCGAGAACCATGCTATCAGCCCGGGGGACCTACTTACTAACAGCTTTCACGAAGCACGGCATCCAGGTAGGAAAACGCAGCCCGGTAGCTTCTCCCAGCCATATTCGACCCCGCATGCTGGGCAAGGCGTGATGAACGGACAGCCGGGACACCAAAGTGGCGATTCTTTCAATCTGTCGGCAAGTCCAAGAGTGCAAATGCACCGCCAGGAATCCATGGACCAGGACATGCTGTTCCGTGAATGCATCATGGAATGCATTGCCAAGGCCATCGGCTTGACGAACTCGCCAGCCTCGAAGCGGCCGACATCTGCTGCACCATCTCCGTGGTTGGTGTCTTTCGACTCGAAGCGACAGACTGCCGTCTTCAACAACGCCTTTGGTTTTATCGATCCGTATGAAGGCACGGACGACTCTTCATCCGCGGCTTCAATATCGGCTTCGAGCCTTGGAGGTACCTCCAATCTGATCGAGGACCTCAAGAATGATCTGGAGATTGTGTTCTTTCCACAGGGCTCGATATTGGTCGAAGAAGGCGAGCGCAACCCTGGCCTCTACTACGTTCTTGACGGCTTTCTTGATGTTAGCTCATCTGTCGATGACCATGATCAACACCATAATGTCCTAGGGACGATGCCCTTGGATGCAAGCAGTGCAGCTGATGCACCGTATCCCCAAAACCAGCGGCGAGGATCCGCCGCGCGGAAAAGCGGATCACGAGGCGGAAGAGAACAGTCGCGACGGAGAAAGCAATCCAACAAAAGCTTGTTTCTTATCAAACCCGGTGGGCTGGCCGGTTACTTGGGCACCGTGTCGTCGTATCGATCTTTCATCGACGTGACCGCCAAGACCGATGTCTACGTTGGCTTCCTCCCTCGAGTAGCCATTGAAAAGATCGTGGAGCGCTACCCGATTGTCTTGTTGACAATGGCAAAGCGGCTGACCAGTCTGCTCCCGCGCCTCATCCTTCACATTGACTTTGCTTTGGAATGGGTGCAAGTCAACTCTGGCCAGGTGCTGTATCATCAGAAGGAAGAGAGCGATGCGATTTACATTGTGCTCAACGGACGCCTGCGATCCATACAGGAGAATTCCGACGGAAAGATGAAAGTCATCGGGGAGTACGGTCAGGGTGACAGTGTTGGCGAGCTTGAGGTGCTTACCGAGACTACGCGACCTGGTACGCTGGTCGCTATTCGAGATACGGAGCTGGCCAAATTCCCCAAAACTCTCTTCAACAGTCTGGCGCAGGAGCATCCCGGAATCACAATCAAGGTGTCGAAGATTATCGCGTCTCGGATGCGAGCACTGATCGAGAATCCAATGAACGAATCCTTCATGGAGAGCAAGCTGGCCGTGTCGAGATCTCAAGCAACTTCCAACTTCAACCTACGGACCATCGCAATCATCCCGACTACAGCCGGTGTACCTGTCATTGAGTTCAGCAACAAGCTGCACGCTGCCCTCACGCAAATTGGCACCATTGACGGCATTACGACCCTCAATCAATCTTCCATCCTCAACCACCTCGGCCGGCACGCATTCAGTCGCATGGGCAAACTCAAGCTATCGCAATACCTCGCAGATTTAGAGGAGAAGTACGGTCTGGTGTTGTATGTCGCCGATACCAGTGTCGGGTCTCCCTGGACCGAAACATGCATCAGTCAGGCCGACTGCATACTACTCGTTGGACTTGCCGAAGGCTCACCCAGCATTGGCGAGTATGAGCGCTTCATGTTGACGACAAAGACCACGGCGAGAAAGGAGCTAGTCTTGCTGCACTCGGAGAGATACTGTCCTTCCGGTTTGACACGTTCGTGGCTCCGCAACCGGCCGTGGGTCAATGGCGGCCATCACCATGTGCAGATGTTCTCTCGAACGGCACCTGAGCAGCCGGTGCACGGATTGCCCAAGCGTTTCCAGAATGCCCTCAAGCAGCGTGTGCAAGTGCTGCAGGCTGAAATCCACAAGTATACGTCCAGGCGTGTTCGGCAGACTCCTTTGTATTCAGCCGAGACGCCTTTCAAGGGCGATTTCCATCGTCTTGCAAGGAGGCTATGTGGGAAGTCGGTTGGGCTGGTCCTAGGTGGCGGCGGTGCCCGTGGCCTCGCCCACGTCGGAATCATTCGTGCTCTCGAAGAAGCAGGCTACCCCATCGACATCATCGGAGGCACATCCATCGGCGCCTTCATCGGCGCCGTCTACGCCCAAGACGCAGACGTGGTGCCCATGTACGGGCGCGTGAAGAAGTTCGCCGGCCGCATGGGCAGCATGTGGCGCTTCGCCCTCGATCTCACCTACCCCTCTGCCTCCTACACCACCGGCCACGAGTTCAACCGCGGCATCTTCAAAACCTTCGGCAACAGCCAGATCGAAGACTTCTGGCTCGACTTCTACTGCAACTCGACCAACATCACCAAGTCGCGCTCCGAAATCCACACCTCGGGCTACGTCTGGCGCTACGTGCGCGCCTCCATGTCCCTCGCCGGCCTCCTGCCGCCCATGTGCGAGCAGGGCAACATGCTCCTCGACGGCGGCTACGTCGACAACCTAACAGTGTCCCACATGAAATCCCTCGGCGCAGACGTCATCTTCGCCGTCGACGTCGGCGCCCCGGACGACGACCGCCCGCAAGCTTACGGCGACTCCCTGTCCGGCTTCTGGGCCAGCCTGAACCGCTGGAACCCCTTCTCCTCGCACCCGAACCCCCCCACGCTCTCCGAAATCCAGGCGCGCCTCGCGTACGTCAGCTCCGTCGATGCGCTCGAGCGCGCCAAAACGCTGCCCGGGTGCCGCTACATGCGCCCCCCGATCGACGCCTACGGCACCCTGGATTTTGGCAAGTTTGACGAGATTTACCAGCTCGGGTACCAGTTTGGGAAGAAGTATTTGGCGGATTTGCGCGAGGAGGGCGTGTTGCCTGCGCAGGAGGAGACGGAGGAGAGGCGGAATTTGCGGCGCACTATGGCGCCGAGGCGGGCGAGTATCTAGATGGGAGAAGTAGGGAGGAGGAAAATGGGGTGGATGGAAAGATTCAACATCGTTGTTTGCATTGCGTGTGGTCTGCGAGATACCCCGATTTTAGTGTACTGCAGTCCGAATCTATTGATGTGCATCGAATCGTGCTAGTCATGCAACAAGGCCTGAGTGACGTGCCTGGACCACCTGACAGCCCTACTACGTGGGTCCGAGTGAGATCAATCACATACAGCACGAGTTATGCGGCTTCGGTGATTTACGTTAAAGGCAGACCGATAGTACCTCATTGTGTATTTTCTGACTATTTGTACAACTAGCTGATCCTTCTACGCCCCTTCTTTGCTGCAAGACTTTCAAAGTGTCCATCTTGTCGGCACTTCGGCCAGATCGCAAGTAACGTCCATCTCTCACCAGCGTCTCTATGGCAAACTCATAAAGAGCTGCAGCATCTTGGGGAAGTTCGGAGTACCCAAGCCAGTGACGGGATCCTAGGAGTACGTCAGTCCATCAAACTCATCTACAAGCAGACTCATGACAACAACTTACCCATCCAACCTCAGTGTTGAAACCGTACGTGCCGCAGCCGGGGTTACCACCAGCAGTAACGTCGTTGAGCACGTGCGGGTTGGCGTACAGCGTGGGATTGACGAAGCCGACGGAGCTCTTGCCGGCCTTCATGCGCTCGCCGTTGATGAGGCCGAGCAGCGCCGAGACGGTCGGGGCGGCGCAGCTGGTGCCGAAGACTTGGGAGAAGTTGCCGTTGACGACGATGCTGAGCCAGGCGCCGTTAGAGGCGATGTCGGGAATGCCTTTTTTAGTTGAACGGTCAGTGCATGGCGGGGTTACGTCTTGGGATAGAAACTTACCTCTGGCGTTGCCGGAGTTGTTGTATTGGCCTGGGTAGTTGGGGGCGTACTTCTTGTTGTACGCGGTGACGGTAGACTGCTGGTAGGAGGGGAGGGGGAAGACGTTGGAGAAGCCGCCGCTGGAGCTGAAGACGTTCTTGCCGATGGGGTTCGCGCCAATGGGGAAGTCGGTGCCGACGAGGCCTTCGGGGGTGAGGTAGAGCTCCATGGCCACCTCGGGCTGCTGACCAGCTTTGATGGCGGCGGCAACGTTGTTGGTACCATTGCGGATCTGAGTCGCGCCCACGGCCAGGACGTAGGGACAGCTGGCGGGGAAGTCTGGCACGAAGATACCAGATGTTCCATCGGTGACGTTGCCATCTGCGGTCACGCATTGGCCTCCGTAGCCGCCGACGCCGTAGTCTCCGCTGGAGTAGGCGAAGGTGACGCCCATCAATCCCAGCTTCATGTACTCGTGGCATTGGCGGACTTCATAAGAAGCGGGCAATTGGTACTCGCCGTAGCCGTAGGAGGTCGAGATAACTTTGGCCGGCGCATAGGTGCCGCAGTCTTCCTTGCCCTTGTAGGAGTGGGGGCCTGGGTAGGGATCCGGGTACACCGCGTCGAGTCCGGGGGTATCGCCGCCGTCGTAGGTGCAGTAGCTGGCATCAATGGCGTCGAGGAAGTTGTTGAAGGAGGTGTTGGATGCTTCCGCGAGGTCTCCGACTTGGTAGAGGACCACGTTCTGCGGGTACAACAGACTCATGGCGTATTGAAGGTCAAGCGACGGCTCACCAAGGTATCCGAAGGAGTTCGTCGTATTGTAGCCTCGGAACAGGTAACCGCCGTCGATCGAATCGAACTTCGGGGCCTCTCCCACGGCTTGCGGTTCGTAGGCCTTGAAGAAGGTGTTCAGGTCGGATTGGAGGAAGGTCTCCGGGGTGTACTAGGAAGTCACGGGTTAGTGCTTTTTGCCACTGCAACAAGGCTCCTAGGCTTTCTTACCTCGACGATGCCAACAGAGTTGCCCTCGGCGGGAGTGAGATCAGTAGGCACGTCGTACAGCAACCTGATGCAGTAAGGCGTCACGAACGAGTCGTTGCAAATGTTGCTAGCAGCCGGGTGCGGGTGCCACATGGGGTTGTGGGGGACGGGGCCGGGCCAACCGGGCCAGCCAGGCCAATGCGGGCCTCTGTGGTTCGGGCCCGGCCACCACGGGTTGCCACGCTTCTCGAGCTGGTTGCCCTCAGCGTCGTACATCTCGATGGTGTTGTCTCTGGTCTTGGCATCGAAATGGACACCCGGGGTAATGAAGTCGACGTGAGACTGGATGTGGGCGGGGAGGCTGTACTCGTCACAGGCAATGTGACGGGTGCCGGTAGCAGCATGTGTGAAGACGTGGTACTTGGCGTTGAACAGAGACTCGGCCTCGCTCGCGGTGGCCTGTGGTCGAGAGTTAGCGGTAGTCAACCCGACGCTGAGTATATGGAATTTACGTGGAACTCCAGCCAGTTCAGGCCTTCAGAGAGACGGTGTCGAGTGGAGTCGATGCCGCCTTCGACCAACCAGTCATGGACGGATCGGATGGTGTCCTCGCTGGGCTTAAAGGCATCAATGACCTGCGCAGAGGTCCAGTGTTTGCCATAATTCGGGCTGGCGGGGTCGGAGACGTCCATGAGCCAGCCATCTCCATGCTCCTACATCGGATTGTCAGTGTGATCATCTTCACCTATACGTTGGCTAGTCTGCGTACGAGATTGCCCTGCGTCAGACCAATGCGGAAAGGAAGGATTGCATTGGAGTCCAACTGGGTGGTCTTCGACCACTGGCGGTCGGTATGAATGCTGCGCTTCTCATGGACAACGTGGGGAGATGCCAAAGCACCCAAAAGGAGAGTAGAGAAGGAAAGGAGCGTGGGGGCGAGCATTGTGAAGGAGTCTTCTGCGTAGACCCTATGAAACGAGCGACGTGTACCCGAAGGCGGAAGAGATGATGGGAAACAAGACCGACTCACGATGGGAGGCCATCGCTGCTTTTATCTGCCTCATGATCGCTTCTCATCGGATGGCTAGAGGCCGTCCAGAGGGACTAGACCCGCACGAGAGCATAGTCACCTTCCTATTGCGAGCAACTATCCCAGATGAGCCGCGATAAACAAGGACGGTGCGCACGCGAGGGGGTTTGTAGCAAGGGCGTGATGGTGTTGGAGCGAGGGAGGACGATGAAGTTCTGGGCTGGGAGCAGCGTGGTGCACGCACCCGCGACTCCACCCTCCCCACACTCATCTCTCCCCAGGGTCAGTCCAGGCAAGATAGCTTAGGCGGCTTAAGCTACAACAAGCATCGCGCTGGAGATTGCTAATTTATGCAGTCGCACCAGGAGGCTAGAGTACCAACTTTGGCAACTAATCGCGTCCAGCAACACCCCTCTTATCAGTATAGGCATTCTACTCCGCCGTCCTATTGCAAAGTCGAGAATATCAATGACGACTTGTCTACTGCTTATATCATACGTCTCCTCCAATACAACTGGTTGAAGGGGAATCAACTCATCTCACAATGCTTGAGCAGACCCGCAAGTCTCGTTGATAGCGTGCTCCTGTCGCCGAATCATTACCGGCGCACGCTATAACAGCATGGCCGGGCTAACCGAGCAAGACCCCGGAATACGCTATACTGTTGCGCCAAAGGAGACATGACTCGACGACGATCCCACTCCGGGGACTCGCCGCGCGCAGACCACGTTTCGTGCGATATCGTGCTCTCGTAGTACAGACTAGCGCACGTGAAGACCGGAAGATTGCGAGATTTCCATGCATCGAAAGCCGAGCCGTCGAGCCAGACTAGAAGGCTGGTTTGAAACCAGTGGAGCAGCGGTTCGGCAGCGTGTCTGATGTTCGGGTGAAGGGAGATCCATGTCTTCCTTCTCCGTCTGCTGTATCTTCTGCAACACATCGAGCACGAAGAGGATATCCGCAGCTGTTTACAGTATTCCAAGAGACAGTTCACGTAAGCGTAATCAGGCTCTCGGCTCTGGGTGCAGGTAACAACCCAAGTGAGGGGAAAGGCGAGCAGCCAAGGTACCTCCACAGATGCCAGATCAGTATCCCTACAACGCCTCTCCTCACCTTCCAATCCATCCAATTCAACAACTGTCCAATCCCGTATTGAAGTAAAGTAATTAACGTCAAACAATCACCTCCATCACACAATGTCCTCCTCCTCCCCCATCGACTGGCACCTCCTCAAAGACCGCTCCGTCATCATCACCGGCGGCGCCAGCGGCCTAGGCGAAGCGACCGCGCGCAAGTTCTACCAGTATGGCGCCTACATCACCCTCGCCGACCTGCAAGAAGACGCAGGGCAACGTATCGCCCAGGACCTCGGCGAGCGCGCAACGTTCGTCAAATGCAACACCACCGACTGGGAGTCGTCGGCAGCGGCATTCAAGCACGCCGCGGAATTCGCCCCGTCCAAAACGATCGATGTAGCTGTCCTATTCGCCGGCGTGGATGGCGAGCGGAGAGGCCTCGTGGATCTCGTGCTCGATCAGCCGGCTCCGTCTTCCGCTGCTGAGGCTACGCCTGCGAAGCCTGCGTACAAGGCGCTCGAGGTGAATCTTATTGGCGAGTACATGTCTACCTACCTGGCGCTGCACTACTTCCGGCTGCCGTCTGCGTCATCATCTTCCGGCGGCTCGTCAGCCTCGTTGAGGAAATCGCTCGTGCTCATCTCTAGCATGACGGGCTACATGGACCTCCCCTACAACACTGGGTATGCGACGTCCAAATACGGCGTCCGAGGCTTGTTCCGCAGCATTCGCGGCGAGGGGAAGAAGGTCAATGCGAGGATCAACAATGTCGCGCCCGGGTATGTGTTGACGCCGTTGACGAAGAAGGTGCATCAGATTGAGAATGTGGAGGAGCCGAGTAAGGCGACGGGGTTTGTGTTGCCATGGACGCCCATTGAGACGGTGGTGGAGGCTGTGGGGAGGTGTGCAGTCGATGAGGGGACGGATGGTAAGCTGTCAAATTGAGATGGAGATGAATTCTAGTGCTTTTGTTGACGATCTGATCTTGTCTAGGTCGTACACTCCTTTGCATGAAATCGGGGAACTTGGATGCGCAGGAGGATTTTGCGCATGGGTATGGAGGGCAGAGGGTTTGTGATGTTCTCGAGCAGGAAGGCATCACGGCGCTCTTTCCTGCCCTGTTTCCTAAGTAGTGGTGGTCCACAGCAAACCGGGCTTACAGACGTCTGCTGATAGACCAGCTTGAACTCTTCCTGGACGTAGGTCAAGAATGAGAAGGCGGTCCAAGTCCAAAATCCAATCCCTACCCGGTCACAGTCGAGGCGCGAATGTCCTCTTCTGTCATGTTGGTTGCGCGATACTTGGAAATGAAGTCGTCCCGGTTGATGTAGCCACCACACATCCTTCGCTTCCCCGTAAAAGCCGTCCGGCCGTGCAGACAGCGCCAGTTGTCAAAAATCACAGGCCTGCCAGGCTGGAGTTGGAAAACGTACTGGTTCTCCGGCTTGCTGATGAGCGCATCAAACTTGCTACACAAGGGTCAGCATGAGACTCTCAACTGCAGACAAAGGCTACTCTTTCAACACTCACGCAGCAGCGGAATACCACTTCTCCACCGCAGTGAAGTTGCCGTCGATGCCCGCGCGGTCGGCATTGTTCCAGCGTACCTGCTCGAGAAAACCCATCCTTGGGTGATGAGACAGGACTGGCACGGCATGGGAAGGCTGGATGCTGATCCCTTCGTTTCCGCTCGCATGCCCAAGCACACCGTAGGTACTCAGAAATCTATACGCCTTGGGGTCACTCTCGTATAGCTGAGCTGCAACGCCGAAGCCATCCACCAAAGAGCTCTGACCTCCGCTGCCATCGGTGTGGGAGAGGAGATGAAGTGCCTGTAGGCCCGTGGGCTCGGTGAAGTAGGTGTTGTCGGTGTGCGGCTCAAGGCTTTCATTTGTATAGGCTGTGTCTTTGGACGACAGGTTGGACGTGAAGTCGTAGAAGCCGCCTACGAGCAGACGGATGAGTATCAGGACCATGGCAAAGGGGAGGACATCTTACCATAGTGCGTGTTTCGAATCGGCCCGATCATTGTCAGGAGAGATTCCGTTGCTTCTGGTGTGGCAGGCATGCCATCGACGAAACAAAATCCATACACGCGCTGGAGATGGGTCAATAGCGATCAACAAAAAAGTCGAAGCGGACATACAATTTTTTGAAGAAGCAGACCAACTCCTTCTTTCTCTACACTCGCAAATTCGACGCTTGGGGGATCAGACGATATGCCAGCGTTCCACATCGTCGGTCTTGACGGATGTCAGCCATCCTTATCGTGCCGGATAGGGCCAAAGTCTCACTTACTGCACTATTCCGTGTCTCTTGTAGTGGGTTTCGGAATGACTTCGCAGCCGTAGCTGTTCTTGGGTGAATGTCGTTTGGTGTTCATCGCCGACTAATCATGCAGGAAATCATCAACATTAGGAGAATGTACAGGGAGGACATGGTGGTTCGTACAGGTGACGTGAATCAGGGCGCCTCCTTTGCTTGTTTCTATTCGTGCAATGTCGCAATTCACAACGCCCTAGAACTAGTCAGTGGTTGCAGACGGGGGATAAGATGATCAACGATACCTTGAACACGTTCATTTGTCGCTGACCGGTCTCTGGATTACGGCACTGGTTACAACCACAATTATCCCTGCAAAGTCAGCACGTGTGCTACAGCTGTTATAGCGTATCCGCAATCTGACCTTAGCCATCTACCGGATCTATCGAATATCAGTACGGTAGACTAGACACGGGGAAAGCACACTTCCATACATCGGTATGTATGAGGCATCTGCAGACGATTGTCCTTGCACCTCAAGCGAAGTCCGATTCACTCGAATAAGCCGGTCGTGCGCTCCTGACAAGACGACAGGGACTGGTCGCTGTGTACTCTCGGTCATTCAAATGCTCCGACGGAGTTGACAGGCTGGCATGGCTTACAATCATCCGCGCATGCTGCCTCTCCAATGAAATTCCTTTGGGCCAGGTATTGACTTGATCTGGTGCCTGTGAGGCATAACTTGCTGACCAGACTTGCGGGAGACGCCGCGGATTCGTCGTCTTCCTGGCAGAAGAAGACAGCCTGGTGCGGTGGTGTCAGCGGCAGGGAAGCGAGGCGTTGCTGACTGTTCACATACTGCGCGGCGCATCGCCGAGAAAGCGGTTCTCCTATCATGATCGTATAGCGTCCAGGTTCTCGACGAACCGTGGACGGCCAAGTATGTGTGCTCTCGTTGAACTCCGTGGGGTGAAGTTCATGTCAATGCCACGAGATGGGATGTGCCGGTAGGGTTCGGCGGGACGGGCCGGGCGGGCATGGAAGCTCGGTCCTCTTCTAGATGTGTCGCAACACTCTGGCCGCCTCCAGCTGCTTAAACGTCCACATTACCTACACTTCTTCGGCGTCATCAACCAGTCTCATCATCGCCATCTCCGATCAGATTCCGCTCACACCTCCTCCAAACAAGTCGATCGAAGTCAGAACCTATCGAATTCATCGGTCCGCCGCGTCTGCCCGTCATGTCTACGTTGGAAGACCTAGGTTTGTGCTCTCTTTCAAACACGATAGATTCATCGACTGACGTGTGTTGTTAGATGATTTGGAGCGTGATGGTAAGAAGGAGGATCAAGACGACAAGGACAAGGATGAGAAGAAGCCCACACAATCCTCAGACGCCGACATGAAAGATGCGGAAGGCCAAAAGGAGGAGGACGAGAAGAAGGAGGAAGAGGAGGATCTGATAGATGCGGAGATCCTCAACTCTAGCACACGAGACATCGTTGCGCGGAGACGACTGATCGAGAACGACACACGCATCATGAAGAGCGAGTTCAACCGCCTCCAGCATGAGAAGCAAGCGATGCATGACAAGATCAAGGACAATGTGGATAAGATTGACAATAATCGGTAAGACTTATCCTTGCGCAGACTGTGTTCAAGAAAGCCCATCCCACTGACGACTCTTGATACTAGACAACTACCATACCTCGTTGGTAACGTTGTCGAAATCCTCGATCTCGACGTCACTGCCGAAGCGGCCGAGGAGGGCGCAAACATCGATCTCGACGCCACTCGCGTTGGCAAATCAGCAGTCATCAAAACGAGTACGCGCCAGACCATCTTCCTTCCTCTTATCGGTCTCGTAGACCACGAGAAGCTCAAGCCCGGGGATCTCATCGGCGTGAACAAGGACTCCTATCTGATTCTAGACACCCTTCCGGCGGAATACGACAGCAGAGTGAAGGCCATGGAAGTGGATGAGAAGCCTACGGAGAAGTACACTGATGTCGGTGGTTTGGACAAGCAGATCGAAGAGCTTGTGGAAGCTGTTGTGTGGCCGATGAAGGAGGCGGAGAGGTTTAAGAAGATCGGCATCAAGGCACCAAAAGGTGAGATCCGCTCATGCCACTGAAGTCACCGCCGATGCTAATCCTACCCCATAGGCGCGTTGATGTACGGTCCTCCGGGTACCGGCAAAACCCTCCTCGCCCGAGCATGCGCCGCACAAACCGAAGCAACCTTTCTCAAACTCGCTGGTCCGCAACTCGTACAGATGTTCATCGGAGATGGCGCCAAGCTAGTACGAGACTGCTTCGCGTTGGCGAAAGAGAAGGCACCATCAATCATCTTCATCGACGAGTTGGACGCGATCGGCACAAAGCGTTTTGATAGCGACAAGAGCGGTGATCGCGAAGTGCAGCGAACCATGCTGGAACTCCTCAACCAACTCGACGGCTTCGCCTCCGATGATCGCGTCAAGGTCTTAGCAGCCACCAACCGCGTCGACGTGCTCGATCCTGCCCTCCTCCGATCCGGTCGTCTGGACCGGAAGATCGAGTTCCCGCTGCCCAACGAAGAGTCTCGCGCCCAGATCCTGCGTATCCACAGCCGGAAGATGACGGTAGACGATGCGGTCAATTGGCCCGAGCTGGCAAGAAGTACGGATGAGTTCGGCGGTGCGCAGCTCAAGGCGGTGTGTGTCGAGGCTGGCATGATTGCGCTGAGGACGGGACATTCGAAGATCAGTCATGAGCACTACGTCGATGCTATTGCGGAGGTGCAGGCGAAGAAGAAGGACACGGTCAACTTCTACGCTTAGACGTTGGAATAGACATTCATGTGCATGGCATGGCGCGGCGTTCGATTTTCTCGTCAGCAGATTGTAACTGTACGTACTGGCTTGTCCTTCGTGGAGATGCCACGGAACGAAGTCAGATCATTGCGTGCTTCCAGTCTAGACCTATCATAAGGAGTCACAAATTATGAGCTTGAGCGGTTCCAGTCTCACCACAAGTCCATGTCTGCCATGGCGTCTTCTTCGTCTGCAAAGTCGTCTTCTCTTGGTGGTGTCCTTCCCGTGGCTTTGTCATTGCTCATGGGCGCACTGGCTTGCTTTGCAACTGTGTTCGCTTCGGGCTCCTCGGCGAGTAACGCCTCCAGCTCATCATCGTCTATGTCCTCCTCTTCGAACGGTCCCCTCTGTGGCGGAGGCTGGCTCGCCTTTTGAGTTGTTGTAGCGTTGGTGTTCTCCGCCAACAAGGCATCCAGCTCATCATCATCCGGAGCATCGATTGATGTTGAATGCGCCGCCGTCACCACACCGGAAACCCCTACCTCTTCAGCTTCCGCGTCTGCCCCTCTGCCTGTATCGCCCGGAAGTCCACCACTCATCCGCACCTCCTCTTCCTCCACCGTCGTCTCGTTATTCCTAAACGGCTTCGTCTCATCAATCCACGCCTTCCTCATAACCTGCAACCGCTTCTTATGCCCCACCGCCTCCACCATACCCAACGCATCCCTAAACTTCGCCTTCGGAAACAAATCGTCCAGCCACAGCTGGTACATACTCAGCAAGTTCGCAATATCCGTAAACTCGTGCCCCTTGCCGCGGAACTTGAGGCGCGTTTTGGAGATTTTGCGGAGGCGCGGGATGCCGTTGGATGAGAGGAGGCGAGTGTCGTCGAGTTTGGCGGTCGGGCGGCGCGCGCGTTTGATGCGCACTTCTTCGTCGATGTCTTTCGTTGTGCTTTCTTCGGCTCGTGCATTGCTGCGGTTCGCGGAGGCGTTGTCTTTGTCGAGTGGGAGGTCTTTGAGGAAGTCTTCTACTGCGTCGTCGAAGTAGGTCGTGAACCCGTTTTCGTCGTGCGAACTTGTCGTTGGGTTGGTGGTTGTTGCTGAAGGCATTTTGGGCGCAAATGTGCGGTCTCTCACGCGGTGAAATGCGAGATGTGTATGTCTCGTGTGCGAATGGTTGATGGTTCTGGCAACGCGGTTTGGGAGACGCGATGGGGTCCGTGCGTCGCATCTGATTGAACTTTCTTTGGCTGCGCCGGACTTCACTGCGCAGACACCAAGGCCACCTGAACCTCAGTTTCCAACAGCATCGCACAACAGTTGCCGACGTCAGCCAAAACGCGCCATCTACGAAATCCACGAGAGTCGAAATCGTGCAGGGCCGAAAGCGCTGCCAGCCACGCTCGCCAGAACCTGCACGCAAACAAGCACAAAATTCTATACTGATGAAGCTGGACTGCGACTTCTCCACCGGCCTCCGTCTTCCTTGAAGGATGACGATGGCCACGGCCGCGCAGCTCCCGTCTGTGGTGGCTGTCACAGGCCGGTTGCAGGCCCTCCTGGAGCACGCGCGGAGCCTGAAGCCAGAAGTAAGCGTTGAACCTCCGTTACCCACCCGTGAGATTCGGAACGCAGCAGATGGACTCCAGGACGACTTTGAAGAAGATCACGAGCAAGCTTACAGAAATACCACTGTTGAAATGGCGGCGCGCGAAATCTTCTACGCTTTAATCAGCTCTACGGACATTGACGCTCCCGCTTTTGTGGAAGTATGGAACCTCCTCGACATATTATTACTATGTGGAGACCTCGGAAGGTGCACGCCGGAGCTTGTGTGTTGGCTCATCGAAGAGCTCCTGGACAGCCAAACCACTCGCGGATGCAGGACTGTCTTTGACTACCTCGAGTCGCGCCGCGAAAGGCTTGCGCAAAAAGACTTTCACAAGAAAAACCTCGTCTTCTTGCGAGCATGCAACGAGCTCTTACGCCGGCTCAGCAGGGCCGAGGATGCCATATTCTGTGGCCGGGTCTTCTTTTTCCTGTTTCAGACATTCCCCCTCGGCGACAAGAGCTCCGTCAATCTTCGCGGCGAATTTCATGTGGAGAACACAACCAAGTTCGAGGTTCAAGATGATGCCACCAAGCAAAATGGAGATCAGATGGAGGTGGATGTGAAGACGGCCAAAACTGAGCCTGATACCCCGAAAGCTGCTACGCCTCAGCCTCCAACCAAACCTGGCGGCAAAGCGATCCCAGCCAAAGCGGCTCCCAAGAAGGCGAAGGAGGAAGTGCTTTCTAATAACGAGCTCTACCCGATGTTTTGGCGACTGCAACAAGACTTCTCCGACCCCACCAGACTCTTCACAGACGTCAATTTCCAAGCGTTCCAAAGGGCCCTCGGCAGCACGATCGCGAAGTTCAAGAGCACATCGACAGTGGTGCAGACCAAGGCCACAGAGGATGGCAAACGAGGGACGAAGCGCAAATTGGGAGAGCACAGCGACATGGGCGTCGAAAGCAACGGTGATAGCGACCACTTCGTGGACAACTACAACCCCAAGTACTTGACCAGCCGCGACCTTTTCGATCTAGAGCTGAGCGATCTCGCATTCCAGCGACACATCCTGGTGCAAGCGCTCATCTTGATTGACTTTCTCGTCTCTCTGACGGAGAGAGCGAAGAAGACGCTGGCGACTTTGAACCCCACAAACAAAGCTATGCTCCACAGCTTCACTCTCAATGAGGAGGACACGAAGTGGGCCACCGCCACTCGATCAACCATCACGAGTTACTTGTCCTCGACGCAGGAAGGGAGGCTTTTCAATCGCATGGTCGAGACAGTATTGGCGCGTGATAAGAATTGGGTGCGATGGAAGATCGAAAGCTGTCCATCCATCGTCCGCGATGCCATCTCTGCCGAGGCCGAACTGGAGGCTCGCAAGGGAGCGCAAGAAGCGACGAAGATCCGGCGCGTGCCCGAGAAGCCAGTCGGTGCGATGGACTTGTTTTTCTTAGAGGAAGGAAGCGGTGGCGGTTTGGAGACGCTGAAAGATCCCGCGCGATATACGATCCCGACTATCGAAGAGCTCATCGACGGCATCAAGAACGACGAATTAGATCTAGACATGGCGATGGATGACGATGAGAAAGCCATGCTGGAGAATGCAATGGCGAATAAGCGATGGCGAATTCTGCGGCAAGCGAGAGCGGGTCGATTGGGGCTGTTGGACCGCGTTGAGCCTGGGAAGGATCTGGATGCGGTGTTTCGGCCTGTGAAGGAGGACACTCCGAAGGAGGAGGCTACGGATGAAGCCGAGGTGGTTTTGAATACGGATTCGAATGATGGCATCGAGACTGCCGATGGAATTATTGCTACGGAGGCAGAGGCCGCAGAAGGCATTGTTGCGGAGGAAGTCGAGGCCGCTGAAGACAGTGCCGAGGCGAATGTCGAGGAGACACCGGCTGAGAGTGAAGGGAACGGCGAGGCAGACTCGTCAATGGCAATAGAGGAGACCTCACAACCAGGCACTGCGACGGAGACGGCGGTGGATCCATCAGAGGCTCTGTCAGAGGTTGCTGATGAAGGCACTGCAGTGCAGTAGAGTCGCACCAGACCTTCCGCTACCGAAGTTGAATCTCGACCATTCCTTCTGATATTAATTAACACACACCCCAGGTCGAGCTACAAATTGCCATTTGCAAGCCCGTGTGGGCTACCATGTTCAATCGACCTTGCACGCTACACTTCGAACATTCATTGCTTCGGTAAAACTTGTTGCCTTGGCATTCAGGACGGCCGAACAAGGTGAGGTAAAAGTCCAAGCATGGCCGTTGGGAGATGACCGTCATGTCGCATGCACGACCGTTAGGAAAAGGCGGGCCTCGCCGCATGTCGTCAACGGCACAGCTGTTTCACGATCAAACACCGACCGTTCTCGTTTGACACACTTCAAATCTCCGCGTTACTTGTTTTGCATGCCATGTTAAATGACGGCGGCCCAGTTCGCCAACGCGCCTAAAACAATCCTTGCTCGACTGGCGCGCGCAGCACCCGGCATAGCAAGAATTTGCGGCTGAGAGAAGTCGAATCGAGCTGCCGCCATAGGAAGGTCGCATGCACTTCACCTTCAACCGACCGTCGATCAGCACTCGGACGAAGAGATCGACACTGTCTTCCTTGCACGTGGTGCCCATGTAAGTTCCCACTTTCCGACCAAAGCTGCCTTGGATGGGAAGTTGCTCCGTTTCCCACCATCCATCATGCTTGCAAGGGTGCTCGGAGCCGGGGAGCTCACCTCGACACCCCGGGGATGAGGCCTGACATGCAGGGACGCGCGACCGTTGGGCGTCTGTTTCGCCTTGGGTCACCACCCTACTCATCCACAGCCCTCGTGAACACTCGAGATGCCGCGTTTCCTGGTCGACTCGCGCTCCCACGGCTGTCCGTCTGGTGAGTGTACAATCCAGACTCCTGGCCGCCTTACCGAGATGACCATCACCTGCCCAAAAAGCATCACACGCCTGGATGTCGTGCTAGTCGCATTGATAGTAGAAAGGACTCGGACAATTACGGTGTGGGGCCTGCCGCTGCTGGCGCTATCACACGCACCTCTGAAGCATGAAGGAGCCACCCCGGGGTTCCAATATGTCCAGATCCGGCTATTCCTCACGTTTGAAATGACCCCAGGACCTCTTCCTCTCAGCCACCGGCATCAATTCGGCCAGGTCGAACCGAGCGGTGGGTGCTACTACTGCAGGTAATCCGGCGTCATGCTTTGTTTTTTCCCTGCCCTCTGCGCGGCTCTGGGCCTTTCCGTTGACGCACGGCGATCCACTAGGCATGTATGAGGGCAGACCTCCGGCCAGGCATGGGCTGCAGCCGTCTGCATGCTTTCCGCGCCTGGCGTCTACCGCGACGGGGCCTTGTCTGTTATCCGCCTGGCTGGGGCCGTAGTCGGTGCGGTCCTTGATCCCACTTCCCGGCAATAGAGTTACATTGCTTTGATATTGGGAAGGACCCCGGACTGTTGTCGACAATCTCATCATCTCCCGTTGTTGTTGCTACGGCTTCCTTTTCTGCTTAGCGAGGCCGCCTGCCTTGTTGCATACAGGTCAAGGACCCGCATTCATCTATATATCGTTGCCCAGCAGCCTCGTGTCGCGGCCCGGCTTTTTGCGATGCTTGTCGACCACCTCTGACACCCCGATTGCGCTTGCTTGACAGGAAGACGACATCCGACTTGACCGCGAACAATGTCAGCAAGGCACTACGGTGCTCTGACAGGACGGGATCTCAACACTGCACCTTTCCTCTTCCCATCTTTTCAATGACTGGAGACAAGTCAATCCTGCCTCCGTCGCCTCCAGCCAGTCCTCGAATGCCCGAGACCAGAAGTCGGACTGTTGACGCCCGGTCACGCTCAATCGTTCCGCTGGCCGCATCAGCGGGAACAGTGGGCGAGTGGCAGTCGGCCTCGAGTTATTCCTCATGGGAGAGACAGCCTGTCCTCTATCCACCGTTACAGACCACGCACGCAAGCTTGCAAAACGCTCTCCTCGTCGATCCATTCGTTCCAAGCTCCGCACGTCGGGGCCATCGGCTATCTTACGACAGTTATGGACATCAAGAAGGTGAAGACGACGCGCACGGGGCGTATGGAGTGCGTTTACATCGACTGACCCGACTACAGGAGCGTCTTCAATTCCACCCATCTCTTGGAACGAGACTGCGACAGACCCTCGCGCCAGCGATCCACCACAGCGTGTCCTTGGCCAGGATACAGAAGGTACAGTCAACGAGCCAGACGAATCAACGGCTCCCAGAACCGTGACGGTAGCGGAATTGAGGGAACACAAACGAAGATCTCAACGATTTCGGTTCATCTCCCTGCCTCTCACAAGCCGTCGCAAACGATGCTGACCCCTCTCATCAGGCTCACGCATAGTCAAACGCGCTACCTCATGAGCGAATTCGCCAAACAATCGCACCCCGACACTGCTCACCGTGAGCGTCTGTCGCGAGAGATCCCCGGACTTACACCCCGACAGGTGCAAGTTTGGTTTCAGAACCGGTAGGCCACGACTGCCTTCCATTACCCACTCGACGGCAACAGCTAACGATGAGGATGTGTTCCAGACGAGCGAAAATGAGACGACTAACGACTGATGACCAAGAACGCATGAAGAGGTCGCGCGCCCTGCCCGCAGACTTCGATATGAAGCAAGCACTGCACCCTCGCCCGGCTCCTCCGCTGCGATCGAATTCCGACCCGGCTGCTGTGTCGTCCGCATCGGCGCATTTGTTGCCGCTGAGCGGGGGGGAGTGGCGGTCGCATTCGACGGCCTGGACGAGCTTGGCAGGGCAGGAGACGAGCGGAAGAGAAACACAAAATGTGTCGAGTGCGGGGACGTCGATGCCGTATTTGACGGGCTCTGCGTTGGCGACGAGCAGTGCTGTTCCGTTGGGATCGGCTTCGAGTACGATGTACTCGCCTCCGGTGTTTGGAGCGGGACATTCGAGGACGATGAGCGCGAATCTCGATGCGACTCGACATGTTCCGCTGACTCGGAGCGCGTTTGCTCCCGAGGCTAGATATCAACAGCAGCAGCAGCAGCAGCCGCCGCAACAGCAGCACCCTGGGAGTTGGGGCAGTGCTACGCAGATGATGCCTGGACCAGTCACCACTCCTACTACTACTATCACGCGCGCTCGAGCCCATACTTTCGGATCGATGTCGGCAGAAGGGTATATGTATGGAGTGACAGACGAAAGATCTCCTCCTTACGGAATGGGGGGAAATGTGAGGGCGTTGGGTAAGGAAGCAAATGAACAGACTGAGTATGCGGGTTCATCAACACTAACACGTTCGGCAGAAAGTGAGAGTCCTTGGTACACGTATCACGCGCCGTACCAGCATCGGCCGCCCATTGCTTCGACGCCAGTGTCGGATAGGTATCTACAGTATCATCACACTACGCCATCGACGTGGAGGAATGAAGGCAGTCGAGCAGCACCGGGATACGAGGCACATCCAGCGAGGCTTCAGAGACAGTCATTTCCCCGACCAAACGATGGGGCCGGGGAGCAAGTATTCGATAGCCAGGCGTGGACAGGAAGATGAATGGCTTATAGTACACCTCGTGCCTCTGTCCTGGTCGCGTCTACATTCTCTGCCTTGTTGTCAGTCAAGTTCCTGAGTGACGACGATTGGCGGAGAATATATGCGCGTGTGGCGGTGCGCGCGGGTGGCAAGCGTGGCGTGGGGTGCAAGTCCCCGCGTCACCAGCCAATCAATCCGACAGGGATGCTGGAAATCGTCTATGCATGCGGCATGATACGCTGCATGCGGCGCGGGAGGAAGGGCGTCGCCTGCGAAGCGGCAGATGGAGTGGACGTAGCCAAGCTCGCGGGGGGCTTGCATGAACCCATGGCCACGACTCCTTGCCCCCGAAGGATTTCTTGGGGACAGACAGGACGGTGCAAGTCAGTAGTGAGGCTAGCGGGGGGAGGTTAAGGGCGATGTGTTGTGGATGGGGAGGAGGGCGAGGCATTCCCGGATACTTCACCCGTGCGTGCGAGCGTGAGAATATCGATGATACCACGCTGCATGTGAGCGTGTTCTTGAACAGGTACATGCACAGCTGCCGTCTGCTCCGTATGGGATGGCAGCAAGCAAGCAGTAGCCGCATGTGATTGCGGGCTGTTGGTCATCCATTCGATGCTTCGCCCGTCTGGTGTCACCGTGGACTTCTGACTCATCGCGACACTGCCATTCGATGCCACAACCTGGCCTACCACGTAATATTGTCGCCTGTTCTTTGTGACGGATGGGGTTCGGTGCCGGACGGGTCGAAAATGGGAGATGCTGCTCGCCCCACGTATTCGAGCGAACGTCGCACCGTGCGCCTTTTCGCTCCGAGCAACAACTAAAATATCTCCCACCCGCCGTTTGCACTACCTGACCATCCAGTGTGTCTGGTATTCCACTGTCAACGTGACCTCGCCTGTGCAGCTGCATTTTCCATCATCCGCCAACAAGGCATATGACGAGGGAGAGCCGCTAGTGCCAAGAGCCGTCGAATCTAGGGGCTGCCTACCCGAAACCTTAACCGGGCTTGTGTGAGAAAAATTCCCCAAACCCGTTCCCTTTTCCAACCCTCCCATCATCTCCTCTGTCCTAGAGGTCGCGTGTCTGGAACTCCCATCGACACAGACACCATCCCGCATCGCATTCCTCGCAACCCCCCGTTGCAGGAACTGCCCGATCCCCCCTTCCTTCACCCTCCGTGTCGCGCCCCCGCGCCGTCACGGTCGAGAAAAGTCTCCGGCCTTCACTGCGCACGACGACTCGCAAGGCCTCGCCCCTCTCCACTCCCCGTCGCCACGACGTGCGAAAGCAGTCCCCTCGGCGCACCGCATTCGACTCCGACTGCCGCCCTCACTGTCACTTACTGTGTAACGACTGACTGAAACCGCTCCAACTGCCACCACGCCACGCGCCGGTTGTCCGACTTCAGTCTACTCATGACCAGCATCGTTCCCCCAACGTCCGAGCATCCATCCACCACCACGACGCCCAACGAAGCGCCCGCCCCCTCTACCGCCTCCGCATACCCCACATCCACTCCAGGAGCTGTGCCGGCACAGCAGCCTGCCCGCTCCTACGCAAGCGCAATCACGGCCACCACACAAACGCCCCCCGCTCCGGCAGGAGTCTCCGCGCCCTCCCAGAATGCAAAGTCTGCCACTGCTTCGCCGGTGAATGGAGTCACATCGTCCCAGATGGCGCAAGGAGGCTCACAAGCCGTGAGTGCCGTTCCCAACGGCGCTCCAAACACCGCAGACCACGGGAGGAAGCCGTCCGTGGTCATCAACGCTTCCGGCGCCACGGGTTACACCCCCAACGGCGGCCCCGTCAGCGTCAACGCTCGTCCTGCTATCAACTTCGGCTCGATGAATTCACAAGGCTCGCCGCTGCCCAACGCCAGCCTCCCACATCAGTCGCAGAATGCGTCCCTGGCGACCCCACACGGCAATCCTCGTGTCATCTCCCCCTCTCACTCGCCGTCTCCCATCCCGCACCAGCCACCTCTCAGCAGTGGTGGTCGCCTGACCCTGTCCGGCTCACAGCCGAGTCAGAACAACGGCGTGACGTTCGGCAGCTTGGGAGGTGACGCTGAGCAAGTAGGTCCACACCGAATGATTTTGCTGGATGACCTCATTGCTAACCCCGTTTGCAGTCCCGTCAAGTCCAAATGCCACAGAGCCAATTGGGCCCCGGCATCCCCATACATGAGCGACGACAATCTTCGCAGTCTATGCAAGGCGACCCGAGCGCGATGAACCGCAACTTCGTCCCGCCCAACGGTCGCGGCCGCGGCTATCCCCAGCCCATGCCTTATGGTGCGCCTTCACCAGCGCAGAACTTCCGGCAGCCGTCCAACCCATCCAGACCGATGCCGCAACAGCAGTTCCAGCAGCAGATGGCTCCCGGCTCACCCTTCCAGCAGCGCGGGAGGAACAGCCCCGCCGTCAACCCTGCTCAGCCTAACATGCCGCAGCAGCAGATGTCGGGCAACCAGCACATGCAATACGGAGGCTACCCAGGAATGGGACCTCAGCAGCATCCTGTAAATATCCCCTTTCTTTGTTCGCGTTGCTTACGAGGCCCATCCTGTTGGACACGGACCAAATTGTCGCCGTCGGCATCCCAGCTCGATAGTGCACCTGCAGATTCAAAAGATCCAAGACTAACAAATATGACTTCACAGCAGCAGGGCATGTACCCACACTTCGATCCGCAATCCGGCTACTACCCGCAGTACTGGTACGGTCAGCAACCGCCGCCGAGCCCCAGATACTCGACTCCCTTCAACGCACAGTCGGGTGCGCCACCGTTCTACCCCCCTCAAATGTCGCGAACCGCGTCCCAGGCTTCTGAACGACCACCTTCTGCAATGGGCCAACCTCAGACGCCTTCAATGCAGCAAGCACCACCGGCGCAAGCTTCTGGCAGTGCACAAGCGCAGCCTCCACAGTCTTCTCAGTCCCAATTTGTGAAGCCGAAGAAGTCGAGCGCCATCAAGATCACCGATGCGCAAGGCAACGCTATCAGCTTCGAGAAGCCGAAGCCCCAGCCGACTGCAGCTGCAGCTGCAGCAGCTGCACCGTCCGGTGCTCCGCTGATCGTGTCAACACCGAGCAATCCCACGCCGCCTCCTAGAGTGCCGAGCGCCCAGCAAAGTCGCCCTGAGAGCAAGCCGCCTACCAAGTCTGCCGAAGAGACCAAGACTGCTTTCCAGGAGCAGGTCAAGAGGCAGCTGGAAGAGGAGAAGCGGAAGGCTGAGGAGGCTGAAAAGGCCAAGCAAGGGCCCGTGGCTGAAACAAAGCCTGCCGAAGAAGCGCAAAAGGAGGTTGTTGTCGAGGCTTCCGCTGAAGCTGAGAAGGCTGCTGCGGTTGATGCTGGTGACAAGCAAGCCGCCGAGAGCGCAGAGGCGGCTGTTGAAGGCCTTGCTCAGAAGGATGAGAAGAAGGACGAGTCCAAGGACGAGCCCAAGGAAGAGACCGAGGACGAGCGACTCGAACGGGAGATTGCGGAAATGGAAGCCGCCGAGCGTGAAGAAGAGGAACGCGAGCGGGCTTTCCAGGAGAAGAGGAAGATTGAGAAAGATGCGGCCGCGGAGAAAGCGAAGGAGGCAGCTGCCAAGGCGGATGAAGAGCTCAAGCGACAAGAGCGCGAAGCCGAAGAGCGTGAGGCAGAGAGAGAGCGGGAACGAGAGACCGCTACTGGCGGAGAAGCTGATGATACGGCCGAGGAGTCGTCGAAGGACATGTTCGCGGCGCTTAAGAAGCCCCAACTCGGACCGGGTGCCTCTGCGCCAGACAGTGGCACAGAGACACCAATGTCCGAGGAAGCCGATCAGCCTCCCACCATGGCGCCGCCAGCCCAGCCTGCCGGCAGCGCTGCTGCACGACCGGCTGCCGCTAAGCCCAAGCCGAATCCTCTCAAGCTCGAGACCGTCTCCAAACGCGTGGAACCGTCGGAGCCCACTCCTGGTATGCAGGCGCTCAAGTCTGCTCGCTTCCTCGACCTCAAGGAGGAGGCCAAGTATCCCGACGGCTTCTCGTCGCCCAACCTGGCGCTCAATCAGACCGCATCGCGCAACGCTCGAGCGTACGACAAGGCATTCTTGCTCCAATTCCAGAACGTCTTCAAGGAGAAGCCGTCCGTTGATTGGGACCAGAAGATCCGCGAGACTCTCGGCCCAAGCGATGACGCCTCTCGATCTGCATCGGCTCGCACTCCGTCCAGCAACGTTGGCCGCTCAGCATCTGGCCGTCCTGGCGCTGGCCAACCCACCAATAGCTTCGGCGGCTCCATGGGTAACTTTGGCGGCGGTCCAGCAAGGACGCTGCCGGTCGGCACCACTTCTGCGGAAAGATTTGCACTCGCATCAGGTGCCGCTCCTCGACCGGGTATGGGCCCCATTCCTCCAATGGGTCGCGCCCCAAGCCAACTCGGTGGCATGGGTTCTGTCGGCATGAGCCGAACGAACTCACTCCAAGCAATGGGCAATATGCAAGGGCCTAACTCACCGAATCGGGCGAACACCCGTGGAGGTGGCCGCGGCAGTCGCCGTGGCGATCGCACGATGAGCAAGAGGGAGGAGGCCGAGATGGCGTCGAAGATGCCGCTTACTGCTCATATCGAGGTCGCTCCGCTCCAAAAGAGCGGTACAGGCTGGAAGCCGACGAGCATTACTCAGACCATCCAACCACAGCACGATGTGAGCGGGAACATGCTGCCGGATATGGTGCAGCGCAAGGTCAAGGCCGCGCTCAACAAGATGACACCGGAGAAGTTCGACAAGATTTCCGACCAGATCCTCGAGATTGCCGCACAATCCAAGAACGAGTCTGATGGCCGGACATTGCGACAGGTCATCCAGCTTACGTTTGAAAAGGCTTGCGACGAGGCTCACTGGGCTGGCATGTACGCGCAGTTCTGCGCCAAGATGTTGACTTCCATGAGCACCGAGATCCGCGACGAGACGATCAAAGACAAAGCTGGAAATCCCGTGGTCGGTGGCGCCTTGTTCCGCAAATACCTCCTCAACCGATGTCAGGAAGAGTTCGAGCGGGGTTGGCAAGTCAATCTGCCCGACAAGCCGGAAGGCGAGTCGCAGGAAGCGGTCTTGTTGTCGGATGAATACTACGTCGCTGCCGCCGCCAAGCGTCGCGGTCTGGGATTGATTCAGTTCATCGGACAGCTGTACAAGCTTCGCATGTTGACGGTGCGCATCATGCACCAATGCGTGCAGAAGCTGCTGGACTTTGAAGGCGACCCCGACGAAGCGGCCGTGGAGAATCTCACTACACTGCTCCGGGCGGTGGGTGCCACCATGGAGGAAGACGAGCAAGGTCCCGGCCTGCTCAACATGTACTTCGATCGCATCGACGGTGCTTTCCTGAAGAGCAACAAGCTGGCCAGCCGACCGAGATTCATGATCATGGACTTGATCGATCTGCGAAGGGCACACTGGAAGGGCAAAGACGACGCCAAGGGCCCGAAGACCATCTCGCAAATCCACGAGGAGGCCGAAGCCGCTGCCGCCAAAGCGGAACAAGAGCGACAACGGCAGTCACAGCGCGGTGGTCACGGCGGTGGCAGAATGCCTGCCGGTCGCGGCGACGCCCGCAACTTCTCCGGCAACATGCAGCCCCCCGTCGATTTCCAAAAGTCGTACATCGGCATGGATGACCTCCGCAAATTGCAGAACCGGGGTAGCACTCCTCGCCAGCCTGGCGGTGGACTTGGCCCCGGTGGCAGCCTCGGTCCCGGCGGATCGATGCTGGGTCCCCGCGCTGGCAGCCGACGTGGCAACCTTGGTCCTTCGTCTTCGGGCAACACCACCCGTACGAACACGCCTCCCGTCGACAGCAAGGACAAGAAGGAGGAGACAAATGCATCCCAGAATGCTTTTGGGTGAGTCAATTATCCATCTCCCACTGTCATCTAACCACCCCATGCTAACACATCCACAGCGCCCTCGCCGCCCTCGACCCATCCGGTGAAGCACCCGAAGATGCAGCAGACCCCCACGCCTCCTCCGTCGCCTCGCCGCTCGCCACGACCAGCACTCACGCAAACACCCCCGCGCCCGAGACCAGCACCTCGACATCGACGGCCGCGGCGGCCGAGGACGAGAGCGCGACTAATACCACCACCAACCCTTCTGCTGCATCGACTACTTCTGCATAGATGTGATACCCTTATAATCCCCGGCATCGAAGCGTTCCGTTTGCTTCCGGACATCTTCGGGTCGAGAGCGCCCCCCTTTTCATTGTTTGTATTAACATACCTCGCTGTGCTTTGCCTTTTATACTGGCATCACTTTTTGCATTTTGGGGGTTTCTCGAGGGCCCAAAAGGAGGGATGGACGGGAGAGAGCGACAAAAGTGTGAGAATTTAGAGAGAGGAGGTCGTGTGTGTGGATCTTCCCGTGGGACTTTGCTCTTGTGATAGAGGACATTGTCCGTCGGTCGATTTGATCGAGGCGGAGCGGATCACCATTACACCCTTTCCATCATGGCGAGAGGCGTTGCTTTTGCTTTTTCCTCTTTCTCTAGGTGTGTGAATGGAGGGAGATTAGACCGTCGACTGCTACCCTTTGCTTCTTCTGCTGTGGTTTTCGCTTCTCTCTTTTCCCTCTTGGCTTGCTTTCGCCTGACTCCCTCCCTCGTCTCTGTTGCGGAGATACGAGGGAGGGAGGCAGAGGACGAGGACTGGAGTGGGAGAGGAGGACACGCGAGAAGAAAGGAAGGACGGAGGAAGGCAGGAAGGGGACTCTGTACATATTGGATGAGTTGGCGGGACGGGACTTTTTTAATCGAGAGACTTCTTCTTCTTCAACCTTTCTGCTCTCTTCTCGACGTCTGGCTCGCGAAAAGTCCCATTGAACACAGCTTGTGTATGCCTTCCTCGCCTCCTACGAAGTGAACTCGGTGAGTAGAAGAAGCCATTGAATCACGTGACGTCGATTTGAATCTTAAACCCTAATAACCATGTCGAGACTCACTTCACCTTTCTCAACAACGACAACTCCATAACGACTCCCGCTGCAACCATGTCGTCCTCGCGCGCCCTTCCGTTCGTGCGGTCTGTCTGGGAATCTTTCCGTGCGAACTCGGGTTTGGAGCCTAGGTAGGTACACAATTCCGCGTCCCCTTGTGAACCCCATTGGAGGCATTGGAACTGATCGGTGCCTTATTGAATGATTATGCAGATTACTAGACAGCGTACGTATTTCCCCGGTCCCCCTCAGAACCACTTGAGATCTAACATCCACTCACCCAGCTCCGCATCACCGGCGCCCGCCCCGGCACCGTGAACTTCGAACTCGACATCGAGAAAGAACACACCGTACGTTCCTTCCCCGCCCCAACCTCCCGGACGCACACGACTCGCAATCAGAACCAGAACCTACCTAATACGCAACTGCACAGAACCGCCTTAAAATCCTGCACGGCGGCACGTTGGCGTGCATGACGGACCTCGGGGGCTCGTTGGCTGTGGCGTCCAGGGGGCTGTTTGCTACGGGGGTGTCGACGGATTTGAGTGGTGCGTTGTCTTTTCTTGGGTTGCCCGCTCTCTTTGAGGTGTTTTTGGGCTGACGAGGGTGTGTTGGGTAGTGACGTATCTTAGCTCTGGGGGCAAGGTGGGCGATACTCTGAGGGCGGAGGTGAGGTGTGATAAGTGTGAGTTACTCTTCTGGATGTTCACCAGCTGATTGTGGCTAACGATGAGGTGCAGTCGGGAAGACGATGGCGTATACTTCGATTCGGTTTACGAATAGCAAAGATGAGCTGGTGGCGAGGGGCAGTCATACCAAGTTAGTGATGCTTCTTTCGTTCGCATCCCGTCGTCTAGCTTTACTGATGTGCTGCGCAGATACATTGCCATGGCATGGAAGGACGAGAAGAACATCACTGAGGAGCTGAAGGAAGAGAAAGCATGATAGAATCATCGTCCGCCCTGCATTGTGACGACGAGGGCGTTGTAGATAGCATTGCACAGGGCCTACACAACCTCAGCATCATCCGCCGTCTCATCTTCCACAATCCCCCCATCATCCGCCGCCGCCTCCTCTTCCAACTCCTCATCCTCAACTCTTCCCTCCGTCCTTGCAGGCGGCGGAAGCCCCTCACCCCCCTCCTTCAAAGCCTTAACCTTAGCCTGCGTCATCTCGAACACATACTGCCCCAAGTGCTCCAAACCCTCCATCTCCACCGCCTCCACCACGTCCCCAACTCCACGAGAAGCAGGGAACATCTCGCCCGTCACCAACGACAACTTCCTCTCTCGCTCCAGCAGTCCCGCAAAAGCCTCGCGCAACTCCAAACTCGACTCAAACACCTCCGCCCGCCCAAACACATACAACCCCAGTCTCGCACGGGAAAGCGCAACCGTCAAGCGGCGCAAATCGCGCAGGAAGCCAGGCGACTTGGTGCGCACGAGACTGAGGAGGACGTAATCGTTCTGCTCGCCCTGGTACTTGTCCACCGTGCCCAGCCAGCCGGGCATACCGAAGAGGCGATTCCCTTTACAGCGGTGCGTGAGGACGTCGCGGATCAGCGCTTTCTGCCCGGCGTACGTGGCGAGGATGCTGATGCGCTCGGCGGGGTAGCCTAGGAGGCGCATGTACTGGTAGAGGGCGACGATGTACTCTGCTTCGCCGAGATTTTGGAGGAAGTGCGGCGTGGGCTCGCTTTCGCCTTGGCCTTTGTAGCTGGGCACGTCGATGAATTGGAACTCGTGGCGCAGGCCTGCGTTTGCTTGAGCGAATTCGGGCGCTGTGGAGGTGAAGGGGAGGTTGGTGAGGTGTGGGTAGCGCCATTGATAGAGCGCGGCGAGGCTCGGGCGCGAGCGGCCTTGGGCGTCGAGGTTGATGTGCGGGACGCCGAGGCGGATGAGGCGTTGGAAGAGCGACTGTTCCATGCCGGCGTACGCGCGAAGGGCGGCGTTTTGCACCACGGGCGAGTTTTGAAGGTGGTCGCCGACGAGCACGACTCTTTGTAAGGGATTCTGTGGCGGTTGACCGTTGCCAGGGACGTGTGGATTCTGCATGACGAAGGGGGCGACGGCTTCGATCTCTGTAATCTGCGCCGCCTCTTCCATAACCACGTTGTCGTAGCGGAACCCCAGTCGTGCGATTTCCTGCCTGCGCATCGCGGCGTGGGTGGAAGTCATGGCGATGATCTTGGCCTCTTTGGAGAGGAGATAATTCGACTTGTCTCGCTGCGAACGCAAAATCTCAAAAGGTCGGATGTCCGCCAGCTCATCGAAGATGCGTTGGATGTGCCTCTCGCAGCCCTTCGCAATATCGATGACTGCTTCCAGACTCGCTTCAGCTGGAAAGAGAGGCTGCGGTGCATCGGAGAAGAAGTTATAAAAGGGGAATTTGGCCACAACATCCTCACGACTTCCAGACGCCACATCATCCCAGAAGCGCTTCCATCGCGGACGGACGTAGACTTCGTCAAAGTAGCTGGCAGTCTCGCAACTACTTCCATGAGCTCCTGGGGCACTGATCGAAGTCGCGAGTCTTTGCACTTCAGCCAAGTACAGCGCCCCGCGTTCCACGAAGCTCTCCACTCTTCCAGCCTTACTAAACGAGCCTTCAGTGGTCAATTCCTCTTCCCCATGACCCAGGCGGAGCAGATGCTTCTCGTCGATGTCCAATGCCGCGATCTTTTGGAACAACTGGTTGAGCGCTTGATTGGAGTGGGCGATGAGTAGTGTCCTTTGTTGTGGGAAGTTGTGGTAGATGTTGCTGATGATCTGCGTAGCTACATCCGTCTTGCCTGTTCCGGGTGGCCCGACGATGACCGTGAGGCCAGGCTGGGTTCCGGACGTGATGGCTTCGACTTGTGCGGACGTGAAACGGACGGTATTGGTTTTAGGAGCGTCGGTTGGGTATGGCCCGGCATTCAGTGGCGTATACGTGGAAACCTTCAGTCCTTCCGCGGTGGTAATGGTGGTGGGCTCGGGCCCATCTGGCTGATCCCTTCTCCTCTTCTTCCCTTGTTTCGGTGCGGGGGCCTGCGCAGCTTCGACTTCAGTTGAAGCAAGCACATAAGGCGGCGTCAAGCTGCCCTCCGCAGATGGATCCGGCTCAACGTTCTTTCCCGGGAAGGACTCGATCAGATGTTGCCAGTTGAGAAAAGTGTCACGGTAGTCAACGCTCTGCAATCGATTCGGCAGTCGCTTGTAGCTCGCCGACGCCGGATCCCCAATGCCCAGGAAGACATCCTGGAGCCACAGCGGGAGAGGTACGTCCGCCATGATCAATTGTCGAATACAACCCAAGACATGTTTGAAGTTGTTTTCCCGTGATCTTCGGCGAACGATGAGGTTGATGCCATCGTAGACATCTCCTTTGCCCGCATCTGCGCGCTCTTTGTCGTGCTTGTATGCCTCGGCGTCTAGCCTGAGCATCAGACGTCTTTGCCTTGGGCGTGAAGATCCGTGCCCATCCTCTCGCTCCTCTTGATCGCGTCGCAATACACGGCTGTTCTCATCGAGCATATTAATGACTTCGGCGGATCTCAAGGTCTTGACACCCGTCTTTCCCAACGCACTAGTATTTGGATGTGCGTGCTTGTGTCCATTTGTCAATTTCAGGCCTGAGCGGTCCTCGCTGTCTTGCACAGCTAGCAGGAAGACCACATCTCCCTCTCGCAAGCCTTCCCATTCTCTCCTTAAGCCCGGCTGCAAGCGAGACACATCCAAAAGGACCTCCACTTTGACCTCGGCAGGGACATTCTCGCCGACTCTCGCGGGAGCGGTCTCGATGATTGCCGGCTTGGCGATTGGAATAGCCATTCGAGAGAAGCCATCGAATCTGACCGTCGTTGCCCCACTACTCTGTTGCTGGGCGCGAGGCTGCAGACGCTTGACAGTGTCCTCAACATGTTTGCGGATCTCGAAGAAGGATTCGGTGCGGTAGAGGATAAACGAGCGGTAGAGGAAGTCGCCAAGCGTCAAGTACTGTAGATTGAGCTTCGGCAGAGCGAGAGGGTGTGAGCCAGTGTACTCCTCTGTGCGAAGCAGAGACGCTTCGTAGAGGGTGTGTTCTGTGGGTAATATAGGAGATCCATGCTGGACCTCATCGGTGTAGAGTGGTTTTCTTTCAACGTGGGAGACCAGCATTTCAAGGAGGAAAGCGCGATCTCGGACCACGAGCGACTTCTCGGGGTATCGGGTCCGAATGCCCAGTTCGTGACAGATCTGTACCAACTCCTCATCACTGAGAGGCTTGAGGTGGCCAAGCAGTTCGTCCCGATGTGCCAGCGAGCCGAAGTTGGCAAGAGCGAGGATCTTGAGCTTCTCCGGATGCAGTCTCATCGCTACCTTTTGCAGGCGAGCGACGCGAACATTGCTCATTTCATTGTGTTCTCGCAGGCTGAGTTCCCTGCCCGTCTGGTCCTCTACCGGGAAGTTCGAATAGTATTCCAGAAGCCGGTATTGGTCACGAAGCAACGCCGCGCCTTGAACGTCATCGAAGAAAGGGCTCAATCGGATGGCAGAGAGGACATTGAGATCCTGAAGCAAAGCCTTGACGTATCGCCTGGTTGGCACCTGAGACTGCAAGTCACACAGCAACTCGACGAATCGCTCGCAGTATCTCAAATTCTCCTGCTTGCTCGCCGCATCCGCTTCAGCCGCGTACAGCTTGTCGAGAAAAGCGAGCAAGAGCGTGTACAGCCAGTGCCTCTCAAAGGTCAACCTCGCCTGCCCTTCAGCGTCCGCATTCTCGAACTTCTTGGCCGCTGCGCGCCACGATTTCTGCGATTGCTTGCTCTTGACCACATGCCTTTCGCGCGCAGCATCGCTGTGCAGGTTGTGCCATATCGCTATTGAGACCAAAGGCGCGCATTCCTTGCGCACCAGCGCACTGTCGAGGCTTTGGAAGGCGTTGACGATGAAGGCGAGGAGGTGTGTGGACAGCGGCGCGGAGAGGGAGGTGTCGATGCTGAGGTAGAGGACTCGCCTAAAGAAGGAAGCGAACTCATCCGGGCGCTCGGCGAATAGTGGCCAGACGGGGAGGTGTTCGCGGCGCTTCGTGTTGACCAGCAAAGCCAGCAAGAGCACGTGATGGTTCGAGCAGTCGTCGCTGTAGCCCGGCCAAAGGTATCGCTCGAGGGTCTGCAGCTGTTCGAGAAGGAGGAGGGAGAAGTAGGAGAAGCCTTCGGTCTGCAGAGCAGTCCATAGCTCCTTCTCAATCACATCTGGGAGGATTTTGGAGGTCGATGCGGCGAGCCAGTTGGCTTTTGCAACCTTTGCAAAGTGGTTGTCGCCGGTTAGATCGGAGAGCGACGGACGTCCGGTCGACGCAGCTTCTCCGTCCATTGTCGGGACATCAGCGAGAGGATAAGGGGAGGAGTGCAGTGTGAGAGCCGCCTGTCGCGCTTCATGTTTCATTCGCGAAGGTCGAAACTTTTCGAGATTGTGGCGCAAACAAGGTTGTGGCTGGTGCGGATGTGGCACCGCCGCAGAGAAGGAGCTGCTCTCCGCTCTCCACTCCACACCCACCACACTGCATCCCTCCTCCTCCTCTGCCCCGAGGGACCGTCCACAACCACAATCCACCGCCATTGGGCATCTCACACAGCCACAATGGCCGCTCAACGACCCTCCGAGACCGTGTCCACCACCGAAGGCCCGGAACTGGGTCAAACGTACCGGCGCCCGGTCATTGCCAAACAGCTCAACACCGACTACCCAGTACGCACAGCCTCTCCTTCCTGCCCCTACCCTTTCTCCTCCACCGCCTAGCCCTCCACTAACACCCCTCTCCCCAGCTCATCGACTCCGACCCCCACTTCCGCCGCGTCATCGGCTACGCCCGCCCCAGCGACTACTACACCGGCGCAGCCTTCGGCTCGCTCATGCCCGCCGGCACCCTCCTAATGGAACGCATCTCCCCCACCGAAGTAGCGAAACCGGGCTTCGCCTCCGTAATGCGGCTCTCCGGCTTCCTCGGCCTGACAGCGGGCTTCCTGCTCTTCTACCAGCGCTCGGCGCTGCGCTTCTACGGCTTCAGCGAGAACCGGCGCGAGATGGAGATGGACATGCGCGAGATGACGGACAAGGTGAAGCGCGGGGAGCCGCTGTATGGCGTGAGCGGGATGACGGAGTATATGCAGGGGGTGGCGAGCCGGCAGAGTCGGTATGCCGGGGTGTTTCTGCATGTCATGCCGTGGTTCAACTTTGTGAATCACAATCAGCATGGTGTGGATACGTCGAAGTACTATCAGAATGCCGAGAGGGAATTGGAGGCGGAGAAGCAGAGGAGATAGGTGGGGGAGGGAGAGGGGTGAGGTGGTGAGGATGCTCTGGCAGTATTCTGCTGGGTGTATAAACGCTTGTCCACTGGTGCTATAGGTGGTAAATGCTACGTTTTCAATTGCATCACGCTCATAGTTGATCAGAAGTGTCTCCTCGCGTATTTCAAATGCAAGACGCGATGAGATATGTAATGGGGTCTATCCTTGCTCAGATCGGAGTAGATGAGGCCTGTATGACAATCCAATGCCTTACGCTCGCCCACCCGCCCACAAGCATCGCCCCAAAAATTCCCTCAGCATAGTCCCCGTTGGCGGATGGAAAGAAACGTAAAACCTAACGAATGCACACGAAATGCCATTCTCATCTAAGAAAAACTCAGAAAGCTTTTTCCCATCAACCCAGACAACTCCAGTCATAGTATCTACCGACTCTACTCGACCGCGTCTTCACTACCCACCACATTACTACCAGCGCCAACAGCACCAACCGCACTCCCCTCCTCGACAGCCTTATCAGCAGAAGTCAACTCCGTCTCCGACTTCAACTCAGCAACAGGCGCCAACTCCCCATCCCCCCCATCAGCAGTAGCCTCAGGAGACGTAATCGCCGGCCCGGCGCCGACCTCCGCCAACTCCGCCTCCAACTTGGCAGCAACAGACTTCTTCTCCTCGGGGGAGGAGGAGCTCTGCTCTAACGCCACGCGTGCGCCCTCGGCCAGGGTGACGGAGGGTTTGCGGAGCTTGGGGAGCTCAGGCGCCGCGTCATCGGCAGCAGGGGGTTCGGCGAGAGGGGGTTCCTCTGTGTTCACCGCTTCGTTCGCTGAGAGGACTTGTTCTAATTTGTCTGCAGCTGGCGCTGAGGGCTCTTCTGCCTCGGCAGTGGCTTGGAGCTCGTCGTTCTCGTCAATCGACCACATGTGGCGCGTCATGGAGAAGGAGAAAGCCGAGGGTGCTCGGGAATCACTGTCCACCGCTGCAGCAGGTTTGCGTCTCGCGGGGCCCTTAGCCCGGCTCTTCCTCGCGTCGGCCAGGGGCGCCTTTTCCACTTCTTCGTCGGCGCCCTCCGGCTCGACCTCTTTCGTTTTGGTAGGCTGAGGCCCGATCTTGAGACGATTGTTGAGATCGTTCATGAAGCCCGCTTTGAGCGCTGCAATCTTCTCCGTGCCCGGACGGGTGGGAACGACGGGCTTGGTCTTGGTGACGGGGATAGGAGCTTCGGCTGCGGCGGCGGCTTCGGCCGAGGGGCTCTTGGTCAGCTCTGCGCCGGACGCGTCGGTGTGTTCTCCACGAGAGGTCCTCGCAGGGCGGGCGGGAATCGTAGGTTTCGGGCGATCTGGGATGGGCGGAGCTCTGGTCTTCTCTGGGGAAGAAGGCTGGTCTTCGCTGGCTTCCGCAGACGCTGCGGCACCCTCCTCCTCGTTCTCCACGACATCGCGAGGCTTCACTTCCTCCGCAAGCTTGCTCCTATGCTTTGGCCTGGTAGGAATCGAAGGGCGCATGAGCTGGGAGTAGCCCGTTGAAGCTCTGGCGTTCGCATCATCCTGGCTGCCCGGGATGGCAGAGGTAGTGGGTCTGTCATCGGGCATGCTTCTCGTGTCATCCATCTGCGGGCTCCCAACGGTAGTGGAATACTGCAGAGAAGAAGGCGTGTCTTCCCAGATATCCTTGCTGGGGAAGCGTTGAACGCCCGGGCGTTCACCGACGGCTCGCGAGGCGTAATGCGGTTTAATCAACGTCTTCTCATCACTCGTCATCCCCGTCGAGCTGTGTGTTTTCCGATTCTCCTCTTCCTGCGGCGTTTCAAAAAGCGCAGAGCCGGTAGAGGAAGTGGCAGGCTTTTCTTCCGTAATGTCAGGCGTCGAGACAGTGGTGGAGAATTGCAAGGACGACGGGGTGTCTTCCCAGATATCCTGACTCGGGAAATGATGAAGCTCAAGCCCAGGACGCAGCTTCTTAGCCTCATTGGTCTTCATTCTTCGGATGGGCACATTGTCTTCGCCTTCGGGAATAAGCGGCTCGTACTCCTCGATTTCCTCGAGTGGCGTATGCAAAGCCGACACATGGTGCGGGTCTTCGTGAGAAGCCCAGCGATGCAGGTTGCCGCCGAGATAGTCTCCATGCACACTGCCCGGTCGACTGGACGGCCTACTCGGGGGGCGCCCGGCGCTGCTGCGGCTGTGCGGACGGTCGTAGGCGTGGTCACTGTCGTACTCGTCATGGTGATACTCGAGATTCACGGCTGGCTGCATGTACAGGCTTTCATGGCGCTTCGAAATCTCGTCTGAAGCCAGAATGGGTGTGCCCGTGCCACGTTCCTCAAACCACCCGCCGGCTGCCGCCGTATTACCGGCATTTGGGCCGAAATCTACAGCACCGTCCGCGGGGCCTCCTCCAGTGACTTTATTGTGGGAATATTCCGGCGCATCGACATGAATCACTCCATGATCCCCCGCAGCAACGGCTTGCTCATGGCCCTTCCACGGGAAGCTGGTGCGTCGCAAAGGCGACTCCCTGGCAGGTTCGGATCCGCTCGATGAGCGCTTGGTACGCTGCTGAGTAGGCGGGGCGGATGGTTTGGGAGAAATCCGGGCAGCGTATTGCTCGGAAGCATGATAGCCAACCTCTTCGCCAGGAGTGCCGATTGGGGCCGGACCTGCACACGTTAGTCTCTTGATCAAGTGGGATGCGAGTTCTGGCGGACATACCCATGCTAGTGTTATCAGTCTGTGTGACAAGCCTGTTCAGCTCGGCGCTGCTCAACGCCGACTCCGGTCTCGGTCGGCCATATGCATGGTGCCCTTCCACCAGAGCCTTGTCCGGGTTCTTGGCGTACCAGTCTCTCTCGAACTGATCGTGAGGCTCGATGCCATGGCTGTGGAGTCCATAGCTGCCCGGAGGGTTAAAGTCGCGAACGCCACTCCTCCTCCTCTGATGTGCACGGTTTGAACCGTCGTTGAAGAAGCCGATGCCCGGGGCGTGTTGGGACATGGCTTGACCGGGAGATGGCGCCTGCACGTCACCTGCATTGGGGTACAGAGGGATCTGCCGACCGATTTCGGGAATGCCGTGGTGATGCTCCTCCTCGTACATACTGGCGGGCCGCGAAGAGCCATGCGGTGTGGCCGAGGTGGATCGGGTGAAGCTAGGCTTCTGCCTCAGCGGCGCCGGCTCGGTCACGATACGCTTCAGCTCGTCGCTTTTGATGTCCGGAGTCAGGCTGCGGCCGGATGCCGGGGCTTTGTGAACATCATCAGCGGGCTTGGCCCTTCCGATGCCCATTGCGGCTGCCTGTGTGGAATCTGTCGAGGTGACGGTCGAGATGCGGCTGGTGGCAGTCGACTGCGGCACGGAAGCTCTTGGCGCATGCAGGGGCATGTCCTTGTCCACATTGATTGTCTGCTTGGGAGTGGTAAGGCTCGATTCGGGGGTGAGGCTTGCGTATTCTTCTCCTTCTTGCCCGACGGATGGGAAGGAAACGCTCGGAGGGCGGGGAGGGAGGTCGGAGGGGTGGAGGTTGGAGTGGGAAATGCGCTTTGACAAGCGACCCATAGGGTCCGGAAGCTCGTTGAGAGGCGAGCGGTAGTCATTGCGGTTGGGGGAGGGGTCGGTCTTGCGGAGGGGTCGAGGGGGCACGTGAGGCATTGCATCGGTTGGGCCGGCGCTGACATTGGCTCGCGTAGGCCGAGCTGGGACGATGGGAGTCGACATGTTGCTGGAGCATGCGATCAATCGACGAGGGTAGTTGGAATGTTGCGTTGGTCAAACTGTGGGGAAGAATCGATGTCAGTGCCGGGCTGGCGGGAAGGTGACGCTTTCGTCATGCGGGAAGAGGAAAGGAGAGAGGTAAAGCGTGAAGAGGAGCTAAGTCGAGTGGGCATGCGGTGCATGTAGTGCAATGGCAATGGCAGCCTCCTCACCGCCAGCACGGCTGAGTGTTGGGATGATCGGCCATATGCAGGTACTGTGATAAGAAGAAGCGGTCCTCACTCACCAGTGGGGCAGCGATTGGGGATGCAACGCTTCAGGAAGGAGCAGAAATGACGATAAGCGGTGCAAGAAGCAGAAGACTGGCGGAGATGAGGGGTGGGCAGTGGTCGTCAGGCACTTGCGTCAAGTGGATGAGTGGGAAGGGGGAGGGAGGAGGCTGCATCTGCTTTTCATGGAAAAGCTGCTGCGGCGGCGGATGGCGTATGCGCATGATCCGCCGCGTTTACCCCAGAGCCCAATGCCAGCCGATGCCAAGCCCTGACACTCGCGCTAAACCTGGAATACCCGTATCACGTGTGGACAAAAGCCAATCGGGCGGCAGTCACGATCGCTTGGGCAAATCAACGGTGAGTGATTTATGCATTAGGTTCCTTCACATGAAGAAGGCCAACGTCCTTCAATATATCACGCACCTCATATCCGGCAAAGTGGAAACGCGAGCACGCACGAGTAATCACGCGTTCTTGAGGCATTTTCAATGCCAACCATTCTATTATGCTGTCATGCAGGACACTTCCGAGTTCAGCTCTCCTCCACTCATATCATGACGCCGCCGTGACACCATCATACCCAACCTGCACCCTCCCTTTAACATGCCCCCAAAACTCCTCAATAATGCTCTCCTGTCTTTCACCGCCCCTCACAGCAAAATACCGCCTCTGATCCAGCTTCGGCTTCCAATCCCCCGGGTGCGAACCCACCATGCGACCCCCGGCCTCCTCCAAAATCACCCAACCAGCACACACATCCCACGCCCAACATCCATTCTCCCAGTACATGTCGAGCGCCCCGCTCGCCACTCCGCATAGATTCAATTCCGCGGAGCCCAGACTGCGTAACCCGTGCACCATCGCGCCCCCGGACTCCTTGCTACCTGCCAGTGCTCGGAAGGTGTTGCACTTGACTTCGTAGTCGTTTCCGTCTCTATCGCTGCCCCACTCCACCGCTACCAGGCAGTGCGTGAGGTCTTGGAAAGCCTCTGGTTCACGGAGCGGGAGGCGGGCGTGCTTGTGCGTTGCATCCGTAAGATAGGAGCCCTTGCCTTTGATCCCAGTGTAGAGCGTATTAGTATAAGGATTGAAAACAACGCCAACGGCGGGCTTCTTCTCAATCGCCAGACCCAGCGAGACGCAAACGTAATTATGCCGGTGGAAGAAGTTGTTCGTGCCGTCGATGGGGTCGACGACAAAGGTGGGCTTGTCGGTCAATGCGTCGCCCTCTTTGTACGTCTCCTCGCCCATGAAGAGGAAGTCGGGATATCGTTCCTGCAGGCGGGTCGAGACCATCTTCTCTACTGCTCGGTCGGTTTCCGTCACTAGGTCGGCGGAGTTCTTCTTCGTGCCTGAGCTGGCTGCCGTGGGGACGGCGGCGGTGATCATTTCGCCGGCCTGGTGCGCCACTTCGACGAGGAAGTCGTGCACTTCCTGTAAGTTGACTACACTCATCTTGGATGGGTTTGCAGTGCTGGTTGTGGTTGATGGATAGAAGTAAGTCGAGAATGTGGATTCGAGTGATTCGAATACCATTTGTTATCGATAAGACTTTTTAGAGGCTCATGATGGAACAGCCTGACAACCGGGAGCCTGTGCACGAGCAGGCATAAACGCGGAGAGATCTCGAGAATCAGTAATACAATCCAAAGAATCCCCGTAAATCTCGAGATACAAGAAACTTTTCCCCAAGCATCTAACCCAACACCCCTTCATCCAAAATCAAGAGCCCTCTATCTCTCGACTCCACGTAATCTCCAAAAAGAATGTCAAGACTACACCCGCTTCCGTTTCCTCTCATCCGAATGCCCCTCATCCTCGCCATCCCTCTCCGCCGTATGAGCCGGGTTGAGCAAAGAATGCACATTACTCGCCATACTGCTGCGCCGCGTCGGAGTCTCCAAGCTCTTGAAAGGGTACCGAGCGCCGGGAAGCTGCCAACCGGCATCATTGCTGTTGTTCGCGTAGCTGCCGCCGAAACTGCTGGTGAAGGAGGGAGCGCCGGCGGGTTCGTGGGGTGGGGGCGGGGAGGGCTGTCTAGAGGTTGTGTTGGCCGGCGCGGCCGACGCCCCGGGTCGGGGGAGTTCGTATTGCGCGAGCGCGTCGCGGATTTGTTGGTCGCCTGGTTGGGCGTTTTGGCGCGGGGAGGAGGGCCAGGCGGAGGAAGATTGGCCGGAGGCGTAGGGGGAGCTGTGCTGGTTGAATTGTGATCCTCCGGGATTGCCGCCAGGCCAGATGGGAACGCGGATGTCGGCGGAGGTGTGCCTTCGCGCGAGGTTGATTGGCGGGGATGTCGTGTTTGGTAGTGGCTGGTGCATGGGCGGAGGCGGTGGAGGTGGGAGGTACGTTGGCCGGTTGAAAGAGGGCGAGAATGCGCCGTTGCCCACTCCGATCGAGCCGTATCGCCGGGGAGACGTCTGTGCATGAAGGGCTACGGGCGCTCGTAAAGCTGTGGGCGTACGGGCGGTCTGCAGAGATGTTCGTCGCGACTCGTCAAATGGGCGCTGTCGTGGCGAAAGCGGCAATGGCAACTCCATTGACAAGTTGCTCTGGGTGAAGAATGGATGTTTGTTGGAAAAGTGTGATTGCGGTGAATCACCGACCGTCCGAAGCCTGTCCATGTGTCGAGAAATGTCCTGTCGCATCGCCGATACGTCTTTGTGAATCGAGTTCTCCGTGTCGGGGACCAGCGACAGCAAATGTGAGCATAACTCCTGGTTCCACTGATGACTTTTTGACAACCCTTCAAGGAGGGTTTGACACTTTGCAGTCACGGCAGTGTACGCTTCCTCCGTGCGCGAGAGTCTTGTGAATAGCTCGTTGTTGCTCCATTCCATCATACTCAAGCGAGTCTCGATGGGATCTTGTACAACAGGAGGCTCCATCGGCGCTGCAGGTGGCGGCGCTGTGGTCATTTTCGGCGGCACGTTGGCGAAGGAGTCGCGGTGGATGAGTGCGTGGCGGGAGGCCCTGCGTTTGATCTCTCGCAAGCCCATGAGGTCGCCCCGTTTGAAGTTGTTGCCGCCATGTTTGAACTCCCAGAGCGGCGTTTCCGGAGAGCCAGTATGAAACACGTCGCTAACTATACACCGTGTAAGTATTTCGAACTCGCCAGAGGATGAGAGGCTAGCACTACCTTTGTGAAATCCGTACATGTTCAACTGTCTAACAAATGATGAGATGTTGGTGTGTTTGAAGTATTGCCTAATGGCAGGTCAGCATTGTCGGTGACAAGGGGGGATCGACGCGGACTCACGATAACGCCTTTGAAAACTCGGTGGAAGGCGACATGACGAAGCTGTCATTGGAGCCTGACCAGGAAATAAGATGTTGGATGTGTTGATCTTCGAGCATACTGCACACTTGTTAACGATACAACAATTCTGACTTGAAGGGATTGGGTTTGCCCGTACTTGTATAACTTGTGGATGAACGCCGTCTGTACTACCTTTGGTTGCTGCGCAGCGGCGGCCGCGCCGATGGGCTGGTTCGTGGCACCATTGGTAGATGTCGGCGCTTCGTGTTGGGCGGCGGACGCGGTCTCGGTGGCCTCGTCCCCCGCCGGACCGCTTGAAGTTGGCGGAGCCATGTTCAGTGTCTGCACAGGCGTAATGTCCATAGAATCCTCGGGATCTGTAGCGGTATCGCGCGGGGCGGACGAGGGCAGAATTGGGACGGGGTTGGCGAGATGGGGGTTGAAGGCCGGTCCGTCGGGGTGGAAGGATGAAGTGCTCAGAGTCTCGCCAGTGGAGGCCATTGACACGGAGTGATAATGGGAAGCGCGCGATTCATCGGAAGCTGGCGTGATTGTGACCCCTCTGCGACCCGTCGGCGCTTGACGCAATATGGAGTTGACCGCTAGGGGTGGCGGTGGTGTGGTATGCCGGGCGTGCCACGCTCTCTTATTCCATTGCTGCCGCGACTCTTCCTCCAGCCCCGCATTCGCGTGTCACCTCTTGGCTCTGGGAGATCGTCCCAAGTCGGCCAGGTGGTGAAGGAGAGAGCGTATGCTGACGGACCTGTCAGGACATCCGAAGACTTTGCGATCGTAGGGGAGCTCTAGGGCGCGCGGTGGTAGGAGGAACAGACTGACGAGGGGCTTGTCCGACAGCGCCAGCGAAGGATGAATGCGGAAGTGTCAAGGATGGCGGCACGCAGGGATTTGCTGGCCTCGCGTTCCGCGGCGGAGATGATCAAGTGGTAGGAACCGAGGACAGACAGCGTGGACGACGTCTAGGCCGACGTTCGGAGGTTTGGAGAGCTAATCAAACGCCAGCCAGGTTCCAATAGGGCGGTGCCTGAGTTCAACCTGCCCCGGGGTCCTTCCAACTCTAGCCAACGGGCCGAAAGCTTAATGAGCCAACGGCAGTATCGATGGGCTGCTTGCGCACATGCACCCATGCTCGCTCCTTCCCCCTTCGTGTCACCAACCTTCTGCACTCCAAAAGGGGAATCATCTTTCCAATGCGGAAGACAAGACGCTCCCTCTCATGCGACCCACATAATTGACCGGATGCTGCTGAAACAGGTCGACATGCTCGTGCCTTGCATGCTGTGTCATCGAGTCTTGTACCCCGACACCCCTCAAGTGGACACGCTTTTCGGGACAATGAGACTCATTCCCTGCCGATTGTCTTGAACAATCCATGGCAGCTCCTTGAAGAAAGCTCTCGATGGCCGAAAAGCTAGTCGAAGCCTTCTCGGCCGTTCCGCCGGAAGACCGCACTGACGCGTGCGCAGTCTCCCTCCTCCAACTCTCACTCCGTTCTACACTGACAGGAATTAGATTATCGAAGCTTCTATGTGTCTTACACCCAGCGGAGCGCTCGCATCTGTCCAAGATGATGGCTCAGCAAAACGACCCCATGTTCGCGCTGCCGATTGACATCGTCCTCCAAGTCTTCGAGTACCTGGATGTCCTCGCAATTTGGTCGCTTCGGAGTGTGTGCAAGCACTGGCAATACGTTCTCTCTTCGGAATCCGTTGTCAAATCCGCGCTTGCCAGATGGCAAATGCATGACGAGGCCGACACCGCCAGTCCTTCTCAGCGCACTGCCACTTATTCGACGGAGAGCAGAATCCAACATCTACGTGCCTTAATCACTGGAGACCCTTTCGAGGAGATTCCATTCGACAGACCGGGTCTAAAGATTCCCTTACACCTCCCTCAAATGGCTGCGTTCCGCTTCTGCTTTAAAGGGAGTCGCTTCGCCTACATCGCAAGTCGACCTCAGAAAGGCGACCAGGTGGTTGTCCATGATCTCATCACCGGTGAGTGCCGAATATTTTGCAGTGAAGCCCGTGGAACCATCAGGGATGTGGTCATCACCACCAACTTGGTCGCCTTCGTCGCCTTTGATGGTTATCTGTACGTCTCGCGATTTCGCGACCCCGGGACTCACTGTGACCGCATTCGCATCCCGTCATCCAAAATGTGTAGTCTTGCGGCGGAGAAAGACTCGATTGCACTGCTTCTGACTCCCTACACAACTCACACGATGACGTCGGTCTTGGATCTGATCTTGTACGATGATGTTACGCGACAGTCGCGAAGCGTGGACGTGTCAAAGCAACTTGAATACATGACGAAATACGACACGCATTTCTGCACGTCACTCGTGCAAAGTGACAGGAAAGTCATCGACTTCTTCACCCTCAACTCTGTGGACGAGCGGAAGCACGAGGGGCTGCACCTCGTGCACTCCCGACTGTCCTTTCAAGGAGAGCAGGTCCGCGGGCAGTCTCGATTGTATCTGGCAGAGCCACGGATGTATGGGTCCCGCCCTTTCGTCCTAGCCAACCCGCATCCCACCGGAATTCGAGACCAGTGCAGACTTGCTGTTGGTGAAGTTCGCAGAACAGGAGCCCCGTGGCTACTCAAAAGCGCGAGGCTCTTCGATTGTAAGCACGGAGAATTTATCGACGGCCAATCGCCACCGGACAACCCGCGACCGGAAGACGGGTTTCCGGCAATGAATCTATTGTGGAAAGCGAAGGCCCACCAGCCGCCCGGTGAAGAAGAGTGGATGCCATATATGGCTTACATGAACGACACTTTCATGGTGAGCCTGGAATGCACCGAAGGGCTTGCGGACCCTCCGCGCACAAGGCTTCGGGCCTTTTGCTACGATCCTAATGTCAAAATGGTGGGACGGCGGTGAAACCAGTCGATGGATAATCTGGATCTGTACGACGAGCGGAGGACACCACCCTGGTCGGCTTGTCTTGTTGCGAATCCGGTTTTCGTGGCAGCTGGTGGTGGGTGGGGCTGGATGACGTTGGAATGCACTCGGACTTGGATTCGCGCGCGTGTCTGCCGCGCGACATTCAAGCAAGCCAAAACAAGTACTCGATAATTTCGGTTCTTCAATTGAAACAACACCTTGTGTATCAATCACGTTCAATAATGGCCGAGCAAGTGAAGAACATGAAAGACGCGGTGATGGGGCGAGGAGGTGCGCGCTGACTCGAGAGCTTTCCCTCGCATCTCCACCTCCGCTCGCTGACGAGGCTGCGCTAGGCGGGCTGCAAGAAACGTCCACCATTGTCGGGGACACGATCGCCGACAACTCAGACACAAGGAGTGGGAAATCGAAGAAGGCAGATGATGCTTCGGCGTCACTTGGGCAGTTTGCGAAAGGTGAGTTTCTACGTGCTGCTTGGAGGTCTGACGCAGGCGGCTAGAGGTACGGTCGTAGGTTCGAAGGGCCCAATAACAGACGGCACGAACGTCAAGGCGGATCAGCAGGTTGCGAATCAGCAGACGGGGTCGGCGGATCATTTGGAATTGGGGATGCGGAAGGAGGGTTGAGTGCAGTCTGCAACGATGTGCAATCGGACCTATACAACACATATCTCACACGTCAAGCAACCCCCCACCATTCTACCTATGCTTCCACTGCGCCTTCTGCTTCTCCGCAAAAGCCTTCATGCCAATCTTCTGATCCTCACTCCCAAACAACCCGTGGAACACACGCCTCTCAAACTCCACGCCCTCCCGGATGCCCAAGTCCTGACTCTTATTCACCACCTCCTTGCACGCCTTGACGGCAATCTTACTGTAGCCCGCAATCGTCTCCGCCGTATCCAGCGCCCCCTCCACACACTTCTCGGGCGTCTCAAACACCCTCGCCGCAAGCCCCCAATCAAACGCCTCCTGCCCACTGAAATTCTTGCCCGTCAAAATCAACTCCATCGCGCGGCTCTTCCCAATCGCCCGCGTGAGGCGCTGCGACCCTCCAGCACCAGGGATGACGCCGAGCTTGATCTCCGGCTGCCCGAAGTTCGCTTTCGCATTGCAGTAAAGGATGTCGCACATCATGGCGAGCTCGCAGCCGCCGCCGAGGGCGTGGCCGTTGACGGCGCTGATGATGGGCTTCTTGATCGTGTTGTACAGCTGGGACCAGTTCTCGATGAAGTCGGCGCCGTACGCATCCGCGAACTCTTTGGGTGCCATCTCTTTGATGTCTGCGCCGGCGGCGAACGCTTTCTCTGATCCCGTGAGCACCATGGCGCCGATGGAGGGGTCTTTGTCGAGCGACTCGAGCGCTTTGTTCAGCTCGACTATGAGGGGGGTGAAGAGGGCGTTGAGGGCTTTGGGGCGGTTGAGCTCGACTGTGGGGGTGGTGTTAGTTTTGGTTTGCAAGGTGGGATGATGATGGCAGACGCACTCATTGCCACGCCTGTTCGCGGCGTGGAGACTTTGATGTATTCGAAGCTCTGCTCGGCGACGCTGGAGTAGTTTCGTACGCGGAGGGGGACCATGAAGCGGCCGAATTGGGAGGCGCACGGCCTCATTGCACGAGCTGCTAGCATTTTGAGTGGATGTCTTGCTGGAGATCAAGTTCTGGTGGTGGTGTAGAGTAGGACAGTAAGCTCCATCAATGGCATTATTTATTCCGAGCTCGACGTATCCGAGGATATTGAATGCCTCAGGCAGCCATCCAGGGACACGCGGAGTGGGTCCGGGAGGCTGTCCAATCAAGGCTCGTTCGTCGCGGGACAGGCGACGCCTCGTCTTCCCAAAAAAATATTAAAGGGTCAACGTGTCAACCGCGATCGACGAGCACGTCCTGTACGCGCAACCCGCCACGCCACGTTTTCTCATCCAGTACTCCAGCGCGACACTCTTCCACGCTGCTGGTGCTCTACATACCTTTCCCGCCCATCAGCATCATTCAAAATGGATGCACCCGAGCCCGAGACGCCGTTCGCGGCCGTGTCGACCCAAGCTACCAAGCTGGGCCGCATATACCAGAGGTCAGCCATTCGCATTGCGCTCGTTGATGAGCGCGCAAACTACTATACCACAGTATGCTGACATTTCGCTAGTTATCTCGACAAGCAAGCCACACTTCCCACTCCTCCACCAGTCCTCCGACTAACAAAACGACCAGATCGACCCCTTACATTGCCTACAGATGGATCGGCTTCGGCGTGCTGTTCCTCATGTTCACCCTGCGCATCGTCTTTGCGCAGGGCTGGTACATTGGTAAGAAGAGCCACACACACACATCCACACCTCTGTCCCCAATCTGACCCCCTCTGCCTCTGCAGTCGCCTACTCCCTCGGCATCTACCTCCTCAACCTCTTCCTCGCCTTCATCTCCCCCAAATTCGACCCCTCGCTCGAAGCCGACACGGACATGGAAGACGGCGTGCCCGCGGGCCAGGACTCGTCGCTGCCCACCAAGAACGACCAGGAGTTCAAGCCATTTGTGCGCCGCCTGCCGGAGTTCAAGTTCTGGCACTCGGCCACGCGCGCCACGCTCATCGGCTTCCTGTGCTGCTGGAGCGAGATTTTCAACCTGCCCGTCTTTTGGCCGGTGTTGGTGATGTATTGGTTGATTCTGGTGTTTTTGACCATGAGGAGGCAGATACAGAGTATGATTAAGTACAGGTGAGCGACGAGTAGAATGAGATGGATGAGTGTGGGTTGCTGACTGACGTTTCGGAACAGATATGTGCCGTGGGATTTCGGCAAGACCAAGTACTCTGCGAAATGAGGAGTGCGACGCGCATCGGTCATATTGCTTTGAGCATAGCGCTAATGGAGTTGGGACATTAAGACCATGCGTATATTCTTTTTCTATCTTCTATTCCGTCTCTAGGTCATACCGCCCAGGAACGCCACTAAGCACAAGCCCCATCTCTACATCTCGACGACTTGCGGCGGATTTAGCAGCTCTCCACTGTTGCAGTACATCAGACTCGCAAGCACCATCGTGGTGCTCTCCGCGCTCCGGCCACCCCAAACACGATCCCAGAGCACATTCGCCCCGCCGTAGCACAGCACCTTCACGATATCCAGCCAACCCCGAGGATCCACAATCCCCCTGACAAAACCATCCGACCTCGCACGCGCCTGCTCAACACACCGCTGCCTCTCATCCCACCTGACAACCTCCCTTCCTCTCTTCAACCGCCCCACATAATCCGTCTTACCTGCATGCACATGCCCGAACACATGCAGCCGCGGCCGTACCCTCCACACCTCCGCAAGTAAGTGCTCGCACCCCAACGCAGCCGGTAAATCGAGATGGTACTTGGGCGGCGCATGCGTAACCAGCACATCTACATCGCTCGGCACCGTACCCGACCACGCGTCCGAGCCTCGCGCATACCGAAAAGCGTGATCGTCCTGTCCGTCCGCAGGCGTCTGCGGCGCGCCGTACACGCGTAGTTTCCGGCCGTTCTTGAACGATAGATCGACGGCGCTATGCTGCAAGTACCAGATGCTTTTCCAATTCACAAAGCCATCATCTTGGTCGTCAAAGGAGAGCGTTTTGCGACTCCGCGGATCCAGAAAGCGGTCGTGGTTCCCTGCAATGGCGATTTTGTTTTCGTGAGGCAGACTAGCGAGCCAGTCGATTTGGTCCTGCAGTTCGGCCGGGTGGCCTATATTTGTGAGGTCGCCGGCGTGGATGAGCAGGTCGCCATCCGGGATTTGAGAGGTGGTGAGGCAGTGTGTGTCGGAGATACAAACTATGCGGAGGGGCGTGGAGGGGACTGAGGGGGAGGTGTGGAAGACGGTTAGGAGGAGGTCGAGCAGGCGGATGAGGGTTTTGAGGGGTTGGGTTAGGAGAGTGTAGAGAAGGGAGGGGGGCTCGTAGATATTCGCCGGGGCCAGGGGTTGCAGGAGGAGGTGGCTCATCCTGAAATTGTCCTCTTTTGTGTGGTTGTGGTTAGAATATGGCCGAGTATGGTCGTTTCTTTCCATGTCGATGAAGGTGTTGATGTGCTAGGCCCAATCGGGCAGTTTCGAGTCGCGTACGTCATTGGTTGCTTGGAGCTTGGAGCTTTGCATGTGAACCTGGAAATCAGCTCGACTTGCACTTCACTGCACTCCATTCCGTCTCAATGATCTTCCCTTGACTTATCTTCCTGCGCTCACACTCTGCATCTGTTGCTTCCTCCCCTAAACCCGCCTGCTTTTCACCCTCCCTCTCTAACGAATAGCCCTTTGCTCTACTCCAACCAAGATGGCTAAGAGCCAGGCTGGGACGGAAAACCTGGGCGTCGACTATGTGGTGGTATTCAAGATTGGCGATACAGGTATGCTCCAGTACAAGCTCATTCCACACCATGCAACAAACCCTCACCGCCAGCAACAGAAAAGACAAAAGCAGCACAGCTCTTCGAAGAACTGGTCCAGCGATTATCCAAGAGCGGCCTAGCCACCGAAGTCCGCAACGGCAACAACCACACCCTCCTCATCTTCGTCAAGCTCTCCAGCGAAGAGCACCTGCTCGCCGAAGTCTACCGCAGCCGCGTCAGAGATTGGATCCACGGCGTCCGCGCCTCCGAACCCCCGCAAGATACCCGCGCCGCTCTCGAGCAAGATCCCCTAACGCAAGCCGAGCGCCTCCGCACTATCCACGGCCTCATCACCCATCCCCAAAGCGAGCATGGTGCTGGCATCACGCCGGGCAAGGGCCGCTGGACGAATGTGGAGAGTATCTTTGCCCTGCACGACCACGCCTATAATAAAGAGTGGATTAAGAAGTGGAGCACACAATACCTGCTGAAGCCCGAGGATCTCGACGACATTCGCGATCGATTTGGCGAGAAGATTGCCTACTATTTCGCCTTTACACAGTCCTACTTCACCTTCCTTACCGTTCCCGCCGCCATCGGCTCCTTCACCTGGTTGGTCCTTGGCCATTTCAGTATCTGGTATGCCGTCGCTGCTTCCTTGTGGACGGTGGTCTTTGTGGAATGGTGGCATCATCAAGAGCGTGACTTGGCGACACGATGGGCTGTACGTGGTGTGAGCAATATCGATAACAAACGACCAGAGTTCGAGCATAAGCACGAAGCCACCGATCCGGTCACCGGCGAGACAATGTACATCTTCCCCACGCGCGAGCGAGTCATGCGTCAACTGCTACAACTCCCCTTCGCCATTGCGGCAGTTATCGCGCTGGGAAGTTTGATCACGCTATGCTTTGGAATCGAGATCTTCATCAACGAGGTCTACTCCGGTCCGGGAAAGTCGTACCTCACATATCTCCCGACTGTCATCCTGTGCACAGCCATGCCTTTCCTCAGCGGCCTCCTCACACAAGCTGCTACGAAACTTACCGACTACGAGAACTACGAGACCGAGGCGCAATACGAGCGCAGCTTGACCTCAAAGACTTTTGTGCTCAACTTCATCACCTCCTACCTACCCCTCTGCTTGACCGCCTTTGTTTACGTACCCTTTGGTAGCGTCATCGTGCCTTACCTGGATATATTCGCCCTGGCCTTCAAGCCCGGCAGCAAAGACATCAAAGCCGAAAACGACCCCACTCTCTTCGAAATCAACCCGCAGCGCCTCCGAAAACAAGTCATCTACTTCACTGTCACCGCGCAAATCGTCAACTTCGGCATGGAGGTCGTCGTCCCCTACCTCAAACGCGAAGGTCTGATCAAGTTCAAGGAAATGCAGCTCAAGCGCACCGGCACCATCAACGCCGTCACCGCCGACGACCCCGTAGAAGAAACCGACTTCCTAGCCCGCGTACGCAACGAAGCCGACCTCGACACGTACGATGTCTACGACGACCTGCGCGAAATGGTCGTGCAATTCGGCTACCTCGCCCTCTTCTCCGTCGTCTGGCCCCTCACGCCTGTTTCCTTCTTCATCAACAACTGGATTGAGCTGCGCTCCGACGCGGTGAAGATCTGTGTCGACATGCGCCGCCCCACACCCTGGCGCGCCGAAAGTATCGGCCCCTGGCTCAACGCCCTCGCCTTCCTCTCCTGGCTCGGTAGCATCACCATGGCCGCGCTGACGTACATGTTTTCCAATGACGGGCTCGGGCCTGATGGCAAGCCGAGCGATATCAAGGGCTGGGCGCTCTTGCTATCAGTCTTCTTCAGCGAGCACCTGTACCTCGGCGCGAGGTGGCTGGTCAGCACGGCGATTAGCAAAATCGATTCCCCGGGAAAACAAAAGGCGCGGAGGGAAATGTACGAGACACGCAAAAAGTACTTCGCCGAGTCGCTGCGCGATACCGACAAGTTGGCCTCGGCGTCGGGGATGGGCGAGGGAGAGAGTGAGGGCCGGGAGGAGATTACTCGTACTTCGTTGGAGGAGGAGGCTAGGGCGGCGAGCTTGAAGTCTAGGACTCCGGAGGCGAAGTTCTGGAGTCGGCAGCGGGGATGGCAGGATGCGGCGGAGGTGGGGCGGAGGCTGATTGAGAAGGATGTAGTGGAGGAGAAGGCGGCGAAGGAGAAGAAGGAGTTGTAGGTGGAGGGTAACATACGTATATCGTTAGCGTTGGCGCCATGAGCTTGATTGTATATAAAATGTGATGCTCTATTTCGTCTTTACACATCTATGCAAATGCTGCTCGTCTCGTTCATGACCTTTCCTCCGAGCGCTGCACTTCGATGCCATCCACCTCTTCGGATTTCGAGGACTTCTTCTCCCCACCATCAACTTCACTTCCCTCCCCAACAGACCTTCTCTCAACCCCATCCCCACCTCTCCCCATCTCAACATCCCCCTCCCCAACTCCCTTCCCCTCATCATCCCCCTGCTCCACCACCGCCTTCGCCACAGCCCCATCCCCCATCCCATCCGCACTCGCGCGATCCCGCTTGAAAATGCTCAACCCCCCGCGCCACCCCACCCACCGCGACTCGTACGGTCCGCGCGCAAACGTAATCAGCAGCGCGACGCCAATCGCCGCCACGCTGTAGCTCTGCGCCGCTTCCCACCCCGCGCGCGCGTAGATGTGCGCGCCGATCGAGGTGCCCATCAATTGCCCGCAGAAGACGCACACCATGAAGACTGTGTTTACTCTATTGCGGGCTTTGGGCTCGATGGAGAACTGTGGTGACGTGTTAGTGGGTTTGGTAGCGGATGGAAGGAGGAGGGGGTGGGCTTACGATTGAAGAGCGATTGGCGACTTGTGAACTCTGCAGTCCAATGTCGAGAAACCAGGCCTGCAAGATGGGACCTGCGACTGTGAAAGAGCCGGTGTAGGCGCCGATGCAGATGCCGAGCATGCACCAGAACATACCCAGGATGACGGAGAACCAGGGCACGAAGCGGTCGATGATGTAGCGGCCGTACAGCGGCATGAGGAACATGGCAGAGATGCCTATGAGCGCGAAAAGGCCGATATCCACGGAGTTGTAGTTGTACGGCGGGTCGGCGAGGAGGAAGGTCAGGACGGTCCAGAAGGAGGTGAAGGTGGAGGAGGTGAAGAGGGCGACGAGCGAGGCTTGCACGAGCACGGGGTGCTTGGCGACCATGACGAGCATGGACCACAGCATTTTGAAGTAGTTCATGCGCTTGTTCGTCGAGGGGTAGTCGGGCATGAAGAGCCACAGGCTGGCGAAGATGGCGTACTGCAGGCCGACGGAGAGCCAGTAGACGTAGCGCCAGGAGACGTAGAAGGCGACGATGCCGGACAGGAGGCGCGCGACGAGGATGCCGAGCACGAAGCCGCTGACGACGATGGAGAGGGCTGCTGCGCGGCGGTGCGGAGGCGCGAGATCGCCTACTAATGGTAGCATGAGTTGCGGCGTGACGGTGGTGAAGCCGATGATGAATTGGATGCCCGAAAAGACCTCGAAGGACTTTGTGACACATAGCCCAATGCTGCGCATGCCCTCGTCAGCCTTGTGTCCTCAAATACCTAGGAAACCCCATATCAACGGAAGACATACCTCACAGTAGCAGTCACAAAAACCAAGCTCAACACAAAAGGCCTCCGCTTCAACAAATCCCCCAAAGGACACAAAAAGAACAAGCCCCCCGCATACCCCGCCTGCGCAACGGTAGGAATCTGCGATACCTTCGCATACGGCACGCCAAAGTCCCGCGCCAGGATGTTAAGAATGGGATGGGAGTAGTACAGGTTTGCCACGGTGAAGGAAGCGGCAAAGGCGAAGAGGATGTTGAGCGGCATGGAGAATTTCGGCGGCGCGTCCGTGTCCCAGCGGCAGTTGGGGGGGACCCAGAATATGCGGTCGTAGAGTCGTCTCCATCGTGGTGAATCTGGTGTGGCTACATCGCGGTCGGTGGTGGTTGCGCCGTCATCGGAGGAGGGCTGGACGACGACCGCGCCATCGGCTTTGTGATCGGTCTGCCCTTTCTCGCTCATTGTGAAAGATGGAGGTGGCGAGAGCGAGATTTCATGGCGTTAATGCTAGGAGAGAGAGAAAGCTGGACATAAAATCGGGGTATGAGATAATTGATATACCCGGAAGACAGATGCCGGCGCGGGCAAAAAGAAGAGGCGAAGTCAATGAAGTACATTTAGAGTTGCCTCGACCAAAAGCTTAATTTATCTCCGCCAGAGCCCATCCATATTGCCGATCATGGCCAATTGCCCTTCTTTATTCATCCTGTTCTGTTCCAATCCTCGTTTCGTTTTTGCTGTTTCGTGAAGTCTTCCCAAATATCGTGTCTCGTCGTGAATTGGCAAAAGCTCCCAGACGCCAGTTTGTCGTGAAAATCGAATCTCATCTCCGGCATTCATCTCCAGGTTCTCCAGCAACCGTCAAGATGTTTCTTTCTCTACAACAGGGGCACATCCTCCCACTCTTCCCACTCTTCTTCATCGTCGCTCTGATTTTTGGCAGCAGGAGCCGTACCGCCCTTCTCGCATTGAGAGACATTCGCATCAGATTCTGCATCCTCGTGCTTGATCTCCACCAGGCTGTCATCGTCCGATCCGCTGTCAGAGAGTGCTTCGACAGCAGCCGGCCGAGGGACGATCTCGAACTCGCCATCTGATACCGGGCTCTTCTCGCGAATGGGCAACTTGGATTCCAAAGTGGTAGCGACGGCGATCTCGGGCTTCACGGGTGCAAGGGTGTCCGCAATCGACCAAAGTCTCTGCTTACTGCCGGTCTTTGAGCTCCCCGCTTTCACGTCTTCCCACAGTCCGTTGCCTGTCTTTTCGCTGAAGTTTTGGCGAGGTCGCAAGAGTAGAGACGTCGGTGTCGCTCTGTCAGCATCTTCGTGCGCGTGCACGATCTTCGCGAGGCGGATCAGACGGTCATTCGATGACAGCCGACGCTTGCTGCTGGCGCCTGAGTTTTCATTTTTCTTTTCCGACCCATCGTCCGCCTCTTTGATATCTAAGTGAGGCCAGAATGTCGGTGCAGGTAGCTCTGCCGGCTCTGCCTTCATTGTCAGCGGCGTCTCAGGCCTCCTCCTCTTCATCTGGCTCTTCTCGCCCATGGCGTCAAACTTGTCATAGGTATGGAAGCGGAAGACATCGCGGTCGAAGCGCGTGGCGCCGGGGTCGTCTCGCGAAGCGTAGGTATCTGGTGCGTAGGGTTTGAAGGGGAGTTGGATGATGGCAGTGGCGGCTGTTTGTTAGGTCAGTCTTACTTCTCGTCAACGTTACGAGAGACCTGGGGGATTTACCTTCGTGATCGAAATTGCGCTCCCTGCTGTTCCTGCACAGTGCTTGATGGAATGGTCGCAGGTCATACGCCAGCTGTTTGAACTCGTCGTCTTGTCCGAGATTGTGCTCCAGGAATCGTGACACGCAGTAGTCGATGACGGTATTGATCAGTCCCTCGTGGGTCGGTAGAGACCCGTAGAGAAAGCGAATGGCGGCACACAGGTCGATGGGCTGATTGGGAGACGAACAGGCAAACTCGCATTGTCGGAAGACGTTGGCGTATGCTTGAGTCTTGAGCTGCTCGACGGCGTACATATCTCCGAGGTGATACATCTGGCAATGCAGCAGGACTGAGGTAGGCACGTCGCCAGCATAGCTCCCATTTGGCCCAGCTACTCGATATGAGTCGGTGTGGAGGAATTCGAGGAAGGGGATGGCGGTTTTTGTGGTGAGTGTTTGGAGAAACAGCTGCGGGCCAGATCTGGATTGCTCAAAGGCAACCGCAAGGAGTGGACAGGACTGTTCGATGGCCTTGAGGTCGACGTGTGAGATTGACTGGGGATTGCCATGCTCGTCCAGGAAGGTGAGAGTGGCAGTGCCCTTTGGTGAACGGTCGAGAAACCACAGTTCATGCAACGGGGGCGGCTGGAGGCTGTCAGTGATCTGCGGAGACTGAATTGCGTCTCTTGTGCTCGCAGGACGCGGACTCCATCCATCAGAAGGGAAGGGATAGCGAAGTGGAGCGACGGCATTGCTGGGGCATTGCAACGGCCAGGACTGATCGCGCTGATGCCATCCGAGCATTTCGTTTGCGCGATTGCTGGATTGATGTCGATTTCTCAAGCCTGTAGGGGTGGGCCTCATGTAAAGATCGTCACTCGCGTCCGAATCAGAGCTTGACCACCGGCGCCGCTGCGGTTGAGGCCTGTGAGGAAGGTCTTGTCCTTCGGTCTCCCACCAATTTGTATGTGTGACGTGGGAAAGGAGAGAGCTGTCAATCTCGCGGGAGAATGTATCGGGAGCGTCAACGGAGGAGACATTCCAGCGCGCCATTTGTTGGTCGCAGTAGGCGGCGAAGCCGCTGGGGTTGGCCGACATGGTGTCGGCGGGTGGTAGCAGGTGCGTCGGAAGTACACAGGGCTGTATATTGTTATCGAGTTACATCGAGACGGCGAGGAGGGGTAGAAGAGCGATGAGAAGTGAAGTGAGAAACAGGCAGACGAGAAAGAGTGAATGGAGACGGACAGCTCGGCCTACCTCGCCGTACGTTGGCCCCTCCCATCGTTTAAGAGCTGTACAAGGCAGCCTGGCGGGGCGTGAAGGTGGCGCAGGCGGCAGGAGACAAACGACTGGAGACGAGAGCTCTCGTGTCTCGTTCCAGTCAGCTCGCCGCGCGCCGCGTGACTAACTCGTTGATCGAGCCAATCACCTTGTCAGGCCCCCCTTCCTCTGCCCGATCAGACCGGTGAGTCGTTTCACTCATCGCTGGTAAGACCATTGACTCAATGGCTTCCATTGTCTGGGATTGCGGAGTTCAGCGTGTGAGTCGGAGAAGTGACGGCGTGAAGCGAGCGACATTTGCGACTCAGTCACAAGTGAGTTTCGGCCTCAGGCAGGCGTGGTCGGGATGCGGCAACGCCCGCCGTACCCTGGTCTGCTTTTGCCTGCCTGCCCCTGCTCTGTGCCTGTGGATCCGCTGCACGCCGGAAGCACGAGTCTCAACCACTCCCATCAACATTGATTGCATCCACACGTGCTCTCCATGTAAATCAACCACCCTCCAGCATGTAACCATATCCACGCGCAAGCCCAAACACACCATGGGCACCTTCTCCATCCTCCCCGAAAGCCTGTCTTTCATCGAGACCTGGCTCGCGCGCATCTTCGTATGTCGTCCCGCTTCCCGCCCAACATGACGCTTCGACTGATAATATCGATCGACACAGTTCGTCCTCGCGCTCCTGACTCTTGGACCGTGGTTGATCCTCTTGGCATACGACTTGCTGCTCTACATCTGGCGCTCCGTGACTTACGAGATTCCCTACTTCGGCGGGCGGGCGCGCGGAAAGCGACGCCCGCGAGTCCCTAGTCTCACCGACAGATCTCGGGGGCATGTGCGCAATATCAGCTTGCCGAAGATGTTTCGCTCGCATGACGAGCAGGCCCAGGAGATCACTGGAGCGTCGAGGAGTGATGCAGTCCCGATGGTTCAACCTGCCCGGCCTGCGTATACTTCGACACACGATGATTGAGATCACGCGATTCGCATCTTATCTACGCCAATGACTGTGAAATACGCACACGCAACTCAGGCGATGCCTGACGAGAGTATAATCAGCGAACTGTCCATGCTGAGCCTACTGATCGATATGCCGTCATCACTATCCGACACAACAATCACCGATAGCGAGATGGGCCCTTATCGATGGATGCCGATCAAACATTTCCGAGCGCCCAGTGCTGTACGTATGACTATGAGACAACGACATCTGAGCAATGATTGGGGGACAGGCAATTCGACGAGAGAAGGACAAGGATATCAGCAGCATGGCTTGGCAGAGAGCCCTTCGAAAGACCATCAGCAATCGAGGTATTTTGATGAATCATCCAACCCTCGCAAGACTAAAAAGACCGCTGGGTGAAGCATGGTTCGGGAGTGATTCAGATCATCACATGGCGATGAATGACGGAGTTGCCAGTTTCACTTTAGTGTCCAAACACTCACTGTACGGATCACCTCATGCGTTCTTACTCTCATTCTTGTCTCAAATCAGCGCATAGAGTCTACTCTGTTGCTCAATGCCATACAATACGTGAAGTCGGAGTCTCACGATAGTCATATGCGTGCAACGGCATTTGCCTTCCGCATTTGGAAAGCGCAAGCGCATCACACTACACTCCACCCCATTGCTGCACCCGACGCCGGGGGTTCGGGCTCATTGACTCACTTGGCCTTCCAATACATGCTTCCGCTCTCCGTCTCGTTTCACAAAGCGTACATGTATGCCGACACGGGTTGTCTGCGTCTTCCTACATCGGATTGCGTCCGCTGCGATCCGAACTGTCCTTTTCTGAGTCACCACTGGCCTGTACTTTCACGAAAATGTCGATCCAACTCAACGATATCAATTGGCCATTCCTCGCCCCAGCAATTGCCCTTGGACTATTTCTCGCATGGCATCTCCTCTCACGATGGAGCAATCTCAGCACATCACGAACAAACGCCTCCACGAACGATCCATACCAAGACATCGAACCCCTCGACTTCCAAGACTGGACAGCAATCGAGCCGATGAAGATCCGGCCGTTCAGACCCAAGTTCTACCTAACAATGGGTAAAACAAGAATTCAATTCGACGTGCGTTCCGCACTCACTCAGACTAATTCCTTACAGGCCTCGAGAACTGCCCGTTGTCGGAGTACCTAGCCTTCGACAACACGTACCTGGAGCGAACAAAGATCCGCACAGCCGTGCTGAACGACCATCCAAAGGAAACGCACGACTGCAATCCCAAAGTCGAAGCGGCCGTCCTAGAAATGTACGAATGGATGTTCGGCACGTATCTGCCTAAACGACTGCCAACGCTATTCAAATTCGTGCCACGAGATGCTCTCCCCTCTGAGCCAAAAGGTGCCGCTACCAACAGCGAGAGGTATCTACACAACACGATAACGGGAGAGTACATCCCTCTTCAACCCCCCTCAGCAAAAGAAGCCCTCCGCACGCTCGGCCGAAACGTAGACGACGACATCCTCATCCTCCTCCCGGGCTCGGAAGCAGAAGACGGCAGTCCCATCTACCACCTCGAAGCCTACGTCTGCTGCTTCCCCTCCGGCTTCTCCCTCCCAGAGAAATTCGGCCTGCCATTAGTAAGTCGTCCCTCACAACTACCGCACGCAGCACGTCGCTAAAACGCACGTGAAAAATGACAGGCCGCAATCCACGCCCCAGTCCCCAACTACGCCCCCAAACTCGCCAAATCCATGGACCGCTTCTTCGCCAAACTCGAGACGGGGCGCGCCGTCCGCCGCGCAAACTGGTCCATCACAACGGACGACAAACTCTACACGCAAGCGGGCAACCATCTGTACGCCAACGGCGAAACGGCAGAAAACACAGCCATCGACAAAAACGAAAAAACTCTCGACGTCCACGCCCCAGATCTAGACGCTACCATCGCCGAGCAAAAGAAAGAAGTGGAGATCGAGAAGTGTCGGCTGCGGTGTGAGAGGCAGACGTTGCATCGCCTTCCGCGGAGTCGGGCGCTCGTGTTTGCGTTCAAGACGTTTCAGTATTTGCTGAAGGATGTGAAGGGCGAGGAAGGCGGGGAGGTGGGCGAGGCGTTGGCGCTGGCGATTGAGGGGTTGGATCGGGGGAATTCGCCAGAGATGAAGTTTTATAAGCGCGGGGTTGTGTGGGGGGAGAAGGTGGTGGAGTTCTTGAGGGGGTGATTGACAGAAAGAATTGTATGGGGGACATGGGCAATTTCTCGACGGTAGATGGGCGAGTGGACTTTGAGCTCGACGACGATGCGAAGCCTTCTTTGGAGATGGAGGGCGTGAGATGGTTTACGCCGTCGAGGCTGAACGCTCGATTGCTCGTAACATGCCAGCTGCAGATTGGCGGTCGAGTTTGGCATTCGGGACCAGACAACCAGCATCCTCGCCCGCGCGGAGCGCGTCTCCGGATGCCATTGTGAACAGTTCCAACCCCGTCACGATGCCGGCGAATGCAAGCCGCTCCACACCATGCTTCGCGAGCACGACGAAGAAAAGGCCGAGCTGGAGCGCAAGGATGATGCGCTGGAGATGAAGGTCACGAAGCTGGAGAAAGCTCTCGACAAAGCCGAGGGCAATAAGAACGCCTGGTTCTTCGCTTTCTAGGCTCTGCGATAGTATCGTAGCGATGGCGCTGTGCGCGCCGGATTCCTGCTCGTTAGCAGCAACACCACGAGCAAACAGATTGAGGAAAGTGAGAGAGGGACAACAACATATGAAGAACTGGATACTTGATTCGAATCGCGCGACGGGGTAATAGTAACCAACATCAGCGCCAGCAGCCAACAGTTCACCCACACCCGAGCCGTCCACTCTAGCCAGCCCCCGGGCCAGCCGCTGGCCGATACCATCCCGAAGGAGGACCAGCACTGGGCGGCATCAGGTGGCGGCATCGAGGGTTGGCATCAGAGCGAGGACCCCCGCTGGCCGCCGGTACACAATGCTGGTGCCGGGCCGACCGTACCCGGCGGGAGAAGTAAGATGGTCGTGGGGGTGTGAAGTATCCAAGTCCTTCGTTTTTCAATCGCCTTCCTGGCGAGATATGCTCTTTGGGCCAGCCCATCTGAATTGCCATACAAAAACCCAAACCCACTCCCTAAACGCCATGCTTCGAATCCGTGTTGGTGAAAGTGAAATATCAGACACCGTTGACCATCTCTGTGTTAGCGGAGGCGGTGACGATGCTGAATTGACCGCCGGCGGCGGCGGCGTTGAGCTTCTGCTCGCGAACGGCCGTGTTGTCGATCATGGTGGCGATTTTGACATCGTCGTCAGTTCCCTGACCGGTCTGGTAGTTGGCGCTGAAGCCCCACGACCATGCCTTGCCCTCTTTGGTGACGGCAATGTTGTGGTCGGTGCCAGCGGTGATTTGGAAAACATTGCCTGTGATGGCGGTGACCTTTTGCGGCACCTTGAGGATGCGGGGTCTGCCGCGATCGTCTTTGCGAAGGATGTCCTCTGGCAATTTGGAGAGTTCGTCGACTGGAATGCCTGCTTGGTCTGCGTCGACGCGGCCCCAGACGAGACAGTCCCCGGATTCTGTGGCGGCAATGGCGTGCTGTCCACCTCCGGCGATGCTGGTGACGCCGATACCGCTGAGCGCGGGGACGCGTTGGGCTGGGCGAATGGTTGCATCGGTGTCCCCTTCCCCGGTTGGGATGCCCGTCTGATCCATGCTGTTCAGACCCCAAGCGTACACATCTCCATTCTTGAGAATGGCCCAGCCGTTGTAGGTGCCGACCGCAATAGCAACTGCTGCCTTCTTTGGGCCTTTGGGTAGTCCGACGTCCCGGGGCTTCAAGCCCTCGGCCTTTGCCGTTCGTTCTATGACACGGCGGCCGAGCTGATCTTGTTGACCGCAACCCCAGGAGTGCACCCTGCCCTTCTTGTCGAGAGCGAGGCAGTGATTCATGCCCGCTTTGATGGTGGTGATGTCTTTGAGACCGTTGATGAGGATCGGGCGTGTGGCGATGTGGACTTCAGGGGTAAAGCCGATGATACCGTCATTACCGCGGAACGTGCCCCATCCGTACACTTTGCCATCATCGGTGAGGGCGAACGAGGCCGAGTCTCCGGCGGTGACTTCTGTGAAGCGGGTGCCTTCGGCCAGCTCGGTGGTGGACCAGTCGACCTCGGCCGGGGTGGCCTCACGTGGGTTGAGCCCATTGTCGCCGGGGCCGTCGTCATCGTCATCACTGTCGTCTGAAGCTGCGTCCACATCTTTCAATCCGCCCTCCCATGCTGTATCTCTGCCGAGGGCACCTTGATCATTAACGCCCCACGTGAGGATCTTGTTGTCGTGAGTGAGCACTGCATTACAGTTAGTTGGTGATACTGTGGAGACAGGATGGTAGGGGTACTCACCAATAGTGTGCATACCACCCGCAGCTACTTGTACAGCGCCGACTTTGTCTGGAGTGAGGTATGGGTTGAGGCGAGGACGCTTGACATCCTTGCTGGGAGGCTTCTTGGTGTTGCCGAGGCCGAGCTCGCCGGAAGAGCCTTCGCCGAAGACGAAGACATTGAGGGGCTGAACGGGGGCATCGTTGATACTTTCGCCGTGAGTGAGGGCTTTGGCCTTTTTGGCAGGGGGAGCGACGTCATCGTCCGCCTTGCGCTTTCGCCCTGCCGCTGCTTTGGCGGGGGGTGGGGTGACGGATGGGGTGTGGGCGAGGCCCTTGGGTCCTTTGCCCTTTTTGGCGGGAGCAGCGATGGGGTCAGCCGCCTTGTGCTTCTTGACCACCGCTGCTTTCGCCGGTGCTTTTGCCGCTGCGGCCTTTGTAGACGCCTTTGCCGCCGTGGCTTTGGCAGGCGCCTTTTTCGCCGCTGCTCTTGCAGGTGCCATTGCTGATGATCAGATGGACTTGAGTGTTCTTGATGTTTGTTGGAGAATGGGTGTGTGGTGCTTGCCAGAGGCTTGCCTGGCTGGATGAGGAGGTTAGCAGTCGCTTGTTGTTCCCTGCCACCCGCCCGACACCTACCCGAGGGTTGCTTGATGGGAGGTGCTGGTTGCCTGAAGTCGGCTCGTACTTGCTTGACGGGTACTGCGTGCCTGGAACTTGCCAGAGACTTGCCTGCAGCTTCCCTGGTGGGGAGGTTAGTGCATGCTGGACGCTTGCTGCAGCTGGGCCAGCACTCACCTGAGGGGTGCTTGGAGCTTGCCTGATGCGAGCTTGATGCGTGTTTGATGTGTGCTGATGCTTGCTGAACGCTTGGAAGATGCAGATGGAATGCTGGTCGATGCTGCTGCTGCTTCTGTGCTTGCTTGAAGGTGGGAGACGGAGAAGGACCAGAAGCTCGAGCTTGGGCAAGCGCGACGCGAGAATCAACAAAAAGTTTTAGCCCGGAGCTTAATTTAAGCTTAAGTAACACAAATCTCGGGCCGACACAAGCGCGCCTTGCAAAAATGCTGGGATGAAGAATGTCCCGAGCATGGCCATTGATGCAGAGTCGCAGATAAAACGTTTGTGAATATGACAAAGCATGAACAGAATACGGACATGAGAATGAGACCTAATAATACGGCACTACTGTCGACTTGACAAGACCTGGTGAAGACCCATTGAAGATTCCACGCAGTCTCTGTATCGCGAACTCCGACGAATTCTACAGTGCAGTCACTGAAATCTGCATGCATCCACAGCCTTTTGGCCTTGACGACGCCTCCACGACCCAATCTCCGTATATGATGAGTCATTGCTGTCCATAAAACCACGCTATTACGCTATAGCAAGCAAACGTCGGTGCTAGATGAGTAATTCGGTTGGTAGTCAGGCTTAGTGAACACCATGGCCAGGCCGGCATTCACATCCAATCCCGAATTCCGTCTTGAATATAAAAGTCCTTCCATCGCTGGCAACTAGCAGGTCTCCACGAAACAAGGCCGAACTCGAGAAATCACACATCGATCATGACGCAACGCCTGCAGCTTCCCGATGGGCGAACCATGGAGTATGCCATCCTCGGCGGCCAAGGCGCCCTGCCTCTCATCTTCTTGCACGGCACTCCTGGCTCATGGATTCCCGCCCCCGGCCTTGAGGCTACTTGCAAGCAAAAAGGCATTCCTCTCATCACCTTTTGTCGTGCGGGCTACGGTGACTCCTCGCGCCAAGCTGGCCGCAGGGTTGTGGATGCAGTGAAGGATGTGCAAGCTCTTCTCGACCATTTGGGTTACAAGAAGTGTATTGTGGGAGGCTGGTCCGGCGGAGGTAAAGCTACTCTCATTTATCTCATGCCATTTCTCCTTGCTAATCCTCTCAGGCCCCCATGCGTTGGCTTGTGCAGCTCGCCTGCCCGCATGCGCCGCCGTGGTAGCCCTTGCCACCGTTGCGCCCTACGATGCCGAGGGCCTCGACTGGCTAGCTGGTCAAGGCCAAGACAGTAAGTGTCCTGCAGCTCCCAACCCGGCAACATCTAAATCTCTACAGACGTGGAGGAAACCCAAATGTCTCAGAAAGGCGAGCAGGTACTCCGCGAATATCTCCGGCCGCAGTACGATGAAATGCTCAAAGCAACGACCGCCGAAACGCTGCAGATACTCTCATCCATCTTCCCCGATGTGGACAAGAAGTGTTTGCTGGAGAATGAAGAAATGGCCGAGTTCTGGGAAAAGGGTCTGCAGCAGGCGCTCAAAAAGGGCATTGACGGGGTCGTGGACGACGATCTCGCCTTCATTGAGCCTTGGGGCTTCGACCTGGCCGAGATTAAACGCCCGGTGCTTGTCTACCACGGTAACTTGGATTTGATGTGCCCATATGCCCACGGGCATTGGGTTGCCGGCCATATTCCCGCCCAGCACGTCACGAGAAATTTGAAAGAGGGCCAAGGCCATCTGTCCATCTGGCTCGGCAAGGAAGGAGAGATGCTTGACACGCTGGTCTCATTGGCAAACAAGACGACCACGTGTTAGAGCTATGGTGCTTGTTTGGCCATGCAATGAGAGCTATCTAAGACGAGCTGCGTACTCTCGCAAAAGAAACTGGATATCGAAGCCAGCCTTACGATTGTGAGGGTGGAGAACGAGCAGTGGACCAAGAAACGCCATATCAGCAGCTCCGCAAAATTGTTTCTGGAATAGGTAGCTAAAGACGCCATATAAGCAAAGACTGTCCAAAAGTCTTGAGAACAACCTGATGGAGCAATTCACATTGTCCGCAACGAGTGGATTCCCCTCCTCCACTTCAAAGCCTCGGCCCCTCCAAAGCCCGATGTCGCAGCAACTCCACCACGACGACCCTACACACTGCCCTCGCTCATTCATGACGACTTCACAAACAGTTTATATTGTCGATTTAACTCAAAATGGCACCCAACATCCCCAAATTCTCCGACCTACCTCTAGACAAAAAAGGTCCCCATCACAACGCCTGGGGCCTGTAAGTCTTCCAAACGCACCCCGCTATATCCAGTCCCTAACCCTCCCATCAAGGTACGGCAAAGACGACGAACTCGGCACGCTGAACCGCCTAAGCGACTCAATCGTCAAAGCGGCCGCCGACGAAATCACGACCGGCGTACGCATCAACATCGACTGGCCGCTCGACGCGCAAGGCGACCTGCCCTTCTTCGGGCGTCAGCAGTTCCACAAAGAAGTCTACCAAAAGGCGCCGCGCATCGTCAACGACGACGTCTGGACTTTCAACACGCAGTCGTCGTCGCAGTGGGATGGACTGCGGCACTTCGCGTACCAGAAGGAGGCCAAGTTTTATAATGGGTTGACGCTCGATGATATTCATGGGACGAATGGAGTCGAGAAGACGGATCTCCTTGGTATCGGCGCTGTAGCTGCGCAGGGCGGGATATGCGGGCGAGGAATCCTGCTTGACTACCATGAATGGCGCATCAAGCAGGGGCGCGCACACGACGCTTTCGACACGGCGAGCATTTCCGTCGAAGACCTCAAAGCCGTCGCCGCCTCGCAAGGCACCGAGATCAAATTCGGCGACATCCTCATCATCCGCTCGGGCTACATGCACGCTTACAACCAACTCTCGCGCGCGCAAATCGAAGCTTTGCGTCAAAAGACGCCGCTGCGCTTCACGGGGATCGAGCAGAGCGAGGACATGATCCAGTTCTTGTGGGAGAACTTCTCCGCTGCGGCCGGCGATCACCCGAGTTTGGAGGCGTGGCCGACGCAGAAGGAGTATGCGCTGCACGAGATTCTTTTGGCAGGATGGGGCATGCCGATTGGGGAGCTGTTTGATTTGGAGAAGTTGGGCGCGCATTGTAAGGAGGTGGGCAAGTGGAGTTTCTTCTTGGTTTCCCAGCCTACGTATGTGCCCGGTGGAGTTGCCAGTCCGCCGAATGCCGTGGCGATTTTTTAAAAACTGGAAATGACAATGGGGTTGAGCATTATGTTGATTAGGTAGGATAGCTACAGTCGATCCAAGTCCAGACGCCTTCGCTAACGTTGTATCAATGGGTATCAGAGCAACTCGAAAAACCCCTCACACCTCAATCTTGGCGTGGCGGAAATACTTCATCCCAACCCAGGCGACAGTAATCCACACCCACGCCACAACGCCTGTCAGCACGATGAGCGCGGGATAGTACCCAACAAAGGGTAATGTGCGATCATCTGACAACTCCGGTGGCGCCGACGGCGTCTCGCCCACATCCCATGCCCAACTCCACACCCCAAGACAGCTTCCCATGCCCACGGTGAAGGTGAGCCAAGTGACAAAGAGGATAACCCAGCCCCAGTACACGGTCTCAGTGTAGTCGTGAGGCTCTTGGTCCACGGCGGAGGCGGAGTAAGCCGTGACGGGGATGTTGCGGGAGAGCGGGGAGGAGCGTTTACTCCCGCGACTGCGATGTCTGGTGGCGGTGATCGAATGGGGTTCCACCGGGAAGTATGAGGACGCTGGAGAAGACAGAGATGCGGCGGTGATGCTGGGACTTCCGCTGCTCGGGACCGGATAGCTCTTAGCTGGTCGGGAGAAGGTCAGGAGGTCGTCGTCATCCGTGGTGGAGGTGTAGCTGGTTTGACTTGTGGGCGACTTTACATCCACGGGACTGCCTAGCTCGCTCACTTTGCTTTGAGGCGTGGTCACTGGGGGCGCCAGGTATTGCTGCTCTGTCAGAAGGGATAGCCGAGTGGCAGAGACAGCGGGAGCTTCGGTCCAGCCGCTCTCACTACTACTAGCAGCGATTGGATTGTCGTAGGTGAAACCTCGTCTGGTGCTCAGCGGAAGCGGGTCAGACGCCTTCTTCTTTTCTTGAGGGGGAAATTTGGTATCCTGCTGTGCGCCTGATTCGCCGCTTTTCACCTCCTCGTCGACTTCATGAGTCTGCTTGTGCTGGCCCGTCCTCAAGATCGACGGTCGACTCAGCAAACTCAAGCTGCCTTTCCTCTCCCGTCCCTCTGTGATATTCCGCTTCCCTCCCAGCAGCGCCGTCTTCCGCAATGAGCCTTTGCGCTTGCGGGCCTTGCTGTGCTGCAACGCCGCGCTTGGCTCATCATCGTGTTCCGGCGAGAAGGGCGAGTCATCATCTTCGACCGACTTGCGACTGAACACGCTCTTAGTCGGACTCGCGGGATCCTTGCTCTTCCCGCCTGGTGTCTGCGCGACCGCACCCTCTTCCGACCCGCTTCGCAAGAAATTCAGCCGTGAGAAGAGATTCGTGGATATGGATTTTCGGTGTCCCGAGCTTCTCACCGGACCACCAGCAGGAGGAGCGACAGCCGTGGGAGACGAGGGGGCAGATGGGGAGCTCCATGGGAAACGCATGACTTCGATTGGCGTGGGTCGGCCATCTTTCTTCCCTTTGACGACGGGTATCGCGCCCGAGACTGTTGTCCGGCGGTCTCCACGCTCACCGCGCTCGCCGCGCTCGCCCTTGCCGCCGCCATTTACCACGGGCTTTCCATTTTCCATTCCCGATTCGAGGCAGGCTCATTCGTCCATGGACCCGCCTGCCGAATGCTACCGCTGCGAATCTCGTCTCATGAGGGCCGAGTAGAGCGGTCAGGATGGATCTAGCAGTGGCCGAGAAGTGTTAATCGCAGAGAATCCAGTAGTGATAGTTGGTGTCATTGGCAGGTCGAGCTTGTAGAGAGTGAAGTGTACGCAACACCGTGACGTGAAGTGGAGCTATGCCGAATTCGGACAATTCGACTCATAATGACCTCGTCCCTCGCGCATGTACAACCTTCTCCTCTTGTCGAGCGCCTCGATGCGCCGTCCGACCCTCATGCTCTCATCCCTCACGAACAACATCGACAGCCACGACAATGGCTTCCTCCAACCCCCTCCCTACTCTCAACGCCCCTCGTACCCCTCCACAACGACCTGCAGACCGTCCCGCTCAGACCCCTCCAGTACTTCGAGGGTTAGGCCTCTCCAATACCGACAGTCCTTCCATCACGACAGACTACGACTATGACATCCGACACGGCATCTCCGACTCTCCAGCGAAGGATACGCTTGCGCCCAGCTATGGTGATTCGGCATCGTCGATGCTCTCCCCTGCCTTCTCCGCTGGATTGAGTCCAAACGCAGCCTTCTACACTCCAATGGCCCCGCAGACACCGCATACGGACAACGGCGGTCGTCTGACCCCTTCACAACACCGAGAACCGGTGCGCAATCCGTTCAACTTCACGCCGGTTCAGTATGTCGCGGGCAAGGACAAAGCGGCGGAGGCATTGGGGCGAAGAAAAGGACACAAATACCGCCATTCTTCTATACACGCGTCGGCGATGGACTCCATTATCCAGCCTCCTATGATGAAGACACCACTGGCCGTGCCCGCTGCGCTGCCCATCCCAACCCGGAAGGAGGTGTGGAGGAGTCTGACATCGAATCAAACGTCTCGTATGGCGTGGTGTTTGTGTCACTTTCTGATTGCGGGCTACGTGCAGTTCAGCGGCGAAGGAAGTCTTGCCATGACAGCGCTATCCCGCTTGTTACTCTTCGATGCCGCTGGGGCGACAGTGTGCGTGGTGGTGGACGTGATGGGCAATTTCGAAGTCTGGAAGCGCAGCTCCATCAAGCATCCATTTGGTCTCGAGCGTGCAGATGTTCTCGCTGGATTTGGAATGGCCGTGTTCATCTCCTTCATGGGACTCGATATCATTAGCCACGGGATTGAGCATTCCCTTGAGAACGTGGGCACGCACACTGCGCACCACTCGCACAATCATACCCGAGCGACAATGGGCAACATCGACATTGCTAGCTTGTTAGCGGTTCTGAGCACACTCATCTCCGCCATCCTGCTCAAGAACCACAAGCGCATAGGCAAGGCAACCAACTTCTCCGTCATGGCCGGCTGGGGTAAGATCCTGGGTAACCCTTCGCACGTGTTGACGCTCTCCTGCTCTGCCCTCCTACTCATCCTACCCTTCCTCGGCCTACAAAGCTATAAATACTTCGACTTGCTCGTCAGCGTCTTCATAGCAGGACTGATGGTCGCCTTTGGCCTGCGTCTCGGCACGTCGCTCGCGTCAATGCTGCTCATGAGCTACAAATCTCACGACAACAAGAATGCAGTTCGTGCAGTCATTGGAGAGATCGAGGCCGAGCCGGGGGTGACGGCGGTGGAGGAGGCGAAGTTCTGGCAAGTGCATTACGGACTGTGCATGGCGAATTTGAAGCTGCGCTATCGAGGCGGGGACGAAATGGCGAAGATCAGACAGCGCGTCACGAGTTTGATCAGGCAGAATCTGGGCGGGAATTGGGAGATCTCGACGCAGATGACCGTGGAGGGGAATTAGATTAGACTGTTCTGTTCGATTGCTTGGATGAATGATACCCACTGCTTCGCGCGGCGACTGCATAGCTCCACGTGGTGAATCACGCTACCGGCTTTCCCTGCGGACAGTATGCATGAGCCCACGTGGCGCCAATCGAAGAATGTAGGCCGGACAGCACAACTAGGCGCATTGTGGAGCTCTACAGCTGTCAGTGAGCGTGCCGGCATCGGGCATCTGGCCCGCGCCAAACCAGATTCGGCAGTTGACTGTCGACAAGAGTCATTCCCCACCGATCTTGACCTTCATATCACGTATCCGTGACCGACACATTGGTATCGACGATGAGCTGTTGTGGCCGCGACTAAGGAGAAGAGGAATCCCACCTCTGCGTACGCCGGTACTGCCCATGTGTGATGGACGCCTCCTTTGATGAACCGATCACGTACAGCCGACATCCAGCTCAGCACCACGCGGTCCCGTGATGGGGAAACGCAGTTTCGATTTCGCCGCCGTGAGCATGGAGGCAGATTCGTCCTCGATCAAGGAAGGCAACGTCGTCGAGACGAAATCGTTGGAGTCCGGCGAGACGGTCGACTCCACCGATGCACAACTGCTCGCGCTGGGATGCAAGCCCGAATTGAAGCGTGTGCATACCTTCTGGACTTGTGGGTGGCATCTACTTCTCTCAGTCTTTTGTACGGCGTGATTCGCTGACATGACGGAAACCAGTGATGGCATATCAAACCACCATTCTGTGCTCATGGAGCTGCAACATTGTCCTATTCGACTTCATCTTCACCGTGGGAGGCGTAGGGAGCCTCGTTTGGGGAACGTGAGTGACATGCAATCCACTAATGAATATCGATGTTGGCTGTAACTCACCCGTCAAAAGTCTCATCGTTGGCATCGGGCAGACCCTGCTCATGGCTTCCCTCGCCGAGTACTGTGGCATCTGGCCGACTGCAGGGGGGCAGTGCTTCTACACACAGATGGTCGCGCCACCGAAGATGCGCCGCTTTTTGTCTTTTGTCGTAGCTTGGTCCATTCTTGTTGGTGAGGTTTCGACGAGCTCCAGCTGCGCGCTGAACAGTGCCCAGATCGTGGAGGCATTGGTGCTGATAACACATCCCGAATTTGACTGGAAGGTATATCAATCCGTCTCACAACCTGCGTCAAGGAGGTCATATGCTGACCACCAGGTGTGCAGGCATGGATGACCTGGCTAATCTACTCCGGTTTCCTCATCGCGCCTACCCTCTCCAACCTCGGCCCGATCTTCCTCAAACGCCTCAACATCTTTGGTGCATTCTTCAACATAGGCAGCTTCTTCGTCTGGGCTGTCGTCTTCCTGGCGTTGGCGCCCAAGAACTCGGCTTCTTTCGTCTTCACCCATTTCATCAACACTACCGGGTGGAAGTCTGACGCGTGGGTCTTTGTTCTGTCCATGTACGCCCCGATTTACGGACTCTACGGGACGGATGGGGTGATGCATTTGGTTGAGGATATGAAAGATCCGGCTCGTGACGCGCCGGTAAGTGTCATGCTGCTTCTCGTACGGGGCCTGTATGGCTGACTCTCCATTTCAGCGCGTGATGATTTGGGCCATGGTCTGGGCGACGATGACCGCCTGGCTCGCTGCTATTGTCCTGGGCTTTACGTCTGGTGGCTGGGAACATTACTTGCACAATATGCAATCTTACGTTAACTGGTTTGTCGGCGTTACTGACTCCGTCTACGGAGGCGGCATCTTCTGTGCCATTATCATGATGGGGTTGAATGTAAGATCTCCCTCTTTCATGCGCATATCCTTTCTGCTAATCACCGGTCTATAATAGTATCTGATCATCACCAACATGAATGCAGCCGGCAGTCGTGTGGTCTGGGCCATCGCCAAGGACGGCGGCTTCCCATGCTCGAGCTACTTCGCGCAGCTGTCGCCTCGCTTCAACGTACCAGTTCGCGCCAGTCTCGCGTTCATTGCCATGAACTTGGCAATCGGTACAAACTAGCACAACCCCCTTTTCCGTCTCGTGTCCCGGCTAATCCAGAGCAGGCCTTCTCGTGCTTGGCAGCGATCTTGCTTTCTGGGCTATTATTTCTGGCGGCGGCGTCGCGTTCCAGGTGGCATATAGCGTGCCTATAATCTGCGTAAGACGTGTCCAGTACTCTATGCGCACACGGTGGAGCTAATGGTCAGCCCTATAGGTGGTCTGTCGCGGCCGCAACATCCTGCCTCCCCGTCCGTACCTCAATCTGGGCCGCTGGGGCTTTGCAATCAATTTGGCGGTGCGTCTCCTAAACATTGCTGGCCTCTCTAGTGGATCCGGATCTGTTCCTAATTTGATCGCAGGCGCTTGCATGGGTAATCGTCACCCTCCTCTTCTTCACTTTCCCCGCGTACATGCCCGTAGTCGGCCACGTAGAGGACATGAACTGGGCCGCCGGACTCGTCGGTGCGGTCCTCATCATCTGCGCCCTACAATGGATCCTATCCAGCCGCAAACACTACCTCAAGACTTCCAACACCGCCACGGATCGCAGCGTCACGACGCCAGAATCAACACATGCAAGTGAAAAAGTGCCATGAATCGTCAACATATCTCAACAATCAGACACTAACAATCGACGCCCCGCTCTCTTCCCTCTCCCTCGCAAGCACGAGCCAATCGCGCCGCGGATCCGCCCACAGCTCCTGGCAGAACGCAAGCACATCCGCGTAATGCTCGTAATGCGAGTCCCGCGTCAGCCATTCGAACATGTCCACCACTTTCCGCTGCCAGACGGGATTCTCGGACGCCACGATGCCGGCGATCAGAAGCGGCCAGGGCAGATTGTACAGCTGGACGGTGATGTTTTGGAACTCGTCGAGGATGTCGAAGAGGCGCTGGGCGCTCGTGGGCCAGGGTTCGTGCACGCGCCCTAGGCGGAGTCGCTCGCATGTGTAGAGAAGGCCGGCGTGGTGGTAGAGGTGGGCGGTGCGGATGAAGTCTTGGCGGAGCTCTTTGCTTGCGGTTGCGATTAGGGGCCCTGCTGCGAGGAGGGTGGAGCCTAAGGCGAGTTCGAATTGCCTTTGGAAGTCGGGGATGATCTGTGCGCGGGTGTAGACAGTCGGGGAAGGGGATCTTTGGAGGGAGAGGAGAGTCACTCTATGTAGGATGTGAATGTACTCTCCAAAAAGGACATCGTCGTCTCGTTTCTCGGGCAGAATCGCGGCATCAATATGTTCGACGTTGGTCAAGGTCGTGCAGGCTAGAACTTCGTAGATCGCCAGTTGATTCTGGAGAAAGTCGATCAAAGCGTGTTTCCGCGCTTTGCCGGCCCGTAGACACCGGACGATAGTTCTCGCCGCTTCGCGGTGTGAACGCGCCCCGGCCAGGTTGGAGGAGACGAGCGAGTGGTTGGAGAGGATCAGCATGGACGCCAAGAGGGCTTCTAGCCGCTCGGTGTCGGGGAAGTCCACATCGTGCGGCGCCCGCGTTGCGTCGGTCGTCTGCGCGACAATGGGCTTGATCATCTGCGTGATTTCGATGATGGCGGTGTTGCTCGCTTCGTCGGACAGCGCGGCGTCGGCGCCCATCAAGCGCATGCACACGGCGCGGATGGCCATCATCAGCACGGGCTGCCGCTTGGCGAGGTGAGGGATGGACCGCTTGTACTCGTTGCCGTCCGAGTCGAGCCAGACGTTGCTCGGCGCGACGGTGGAAATGTAGAATTTGAGCGTCTCGTCGTCCTCGGTTGGCGACGAGAGCTCGGTCATCTGGAAGGGTGAGGTGGTGGTGGACGAGGATGCAGGGGCTGTTTGTGGCGTCACGGACGATTCGTCCTCGCGGGAGTCACTGCGCTTTCGCTTCCTTTTAGCAGGAGGTGAAGGCGGGTAGTGAGGGACGCTGAGGCCTTTGGAGTGGCCGCGCACTGCTATGGAATTGGTCCACCGGAAGGGTTTCGGTCCATAGCGCGGACACTCGATGCCCCCTTTCTCGCATTTCTTGCACGAGGGCAATGTGCGGTCGCAGGTGATTCGGCGACGTTTGCATTCCCGGCAGCCTGTGATGGGATCAGCTATAGTCGAGAAGGCGGCCTCTTCAGTAAGTACTCACCCGTACTGGGCTCTTGTGGGGAAGCAGCCTGGTGGAGGGACATGGCATCCAGTGCAGGCACCCTTGCCCACAAGTCACGTGTACACCAATGTGTAGGCAATGGCAGATGATGTATATCGATGCACGACGTTGCGCCAGATGGTCTCCGAGAGCGGGGCCACGTTTGAGTCTCCACGCGGAAAGCAACCAGGTGGCTCGGCCGGTGATGGTTTGGTCACTAACCACCCCGAAGGGCCCGAAGGGCGATCACCGCTGGTCTACACCACAAGTCGATGAGCGGCTCGAGGTTGACAGGCCTCGGGCGCCTATCCGGACGGTAAGGTGTGGAATCTTGATGGCGCGTGCAGATGTCGAGATTGCGGGCGGGTTTTGGCGGGCGGCGGAGAACGCCGCATGCCGCGACTCGCTCGACGGGTTAGCAAAGGCTTTAAAACCCATCGATCCTCCGGTACCTGCATTTCTTAAAGATAAGAGGGAACCTCGAGAATCTTGAGAAGACTTGGCTCAAAGAGACATCCAAGGCATCTAGTTGGCATGGCTGCATTGCACAAAACCATCTACATCGGCCCGTTCGTGCATTGTGCGACCCTAACGGAGTTGGATGTCTGTCCCAATGGCACGATAGGCGTGAGCGAGGACGGCAAAATCGCATTCATCCTTCGCGATCGGCAAGAAAGACAGGTGCCGCAAGGGCAAGGGTGGGAGGAGGCGAGAATCGTCAGGATACAGGATCACGGCTTTTTCTTCCCGGGTTTCATAGGTTTGTTTACGCCGCCTGAGTCGCGCTGGGTGTTCCGGTACTAATAAAGGAGGATAGACACGCATATCCATGCTTCGCAGTATCCAAATGCCGGAGTCTTTGGGAGTTCAACGCTGCTGGACTGGTTGAACACCTACACTTTCCCACTGGAGTCTTCCTTCAAGCATCTCGACAAGGCCGCTCGAGTGTACAACCGAGTCGTCGCGAGAACCCTCTCCCACGGCACCACGACCGCATGCTACTACGCCACCATCCACGTCCCCGCGACGAACCTGCTAGCCGACATCTGCCAGTCTCGAGGACAGCGCGCGTTCGTCGGACGCGTGTGCATGGATCGAATGAGCCCAGAGCACTACCAAGACGAGAGCACGGAAACCGCCATTCGCGACTCGCAAGCTTGCATCGACCACGTGAAGCAAATCGACCCGCACTTCGACCTCATCACCCCCATCATCACCCCCAGGTTCGCGCCGTCATGCACCCCGGAGTCCTTGACCGCTTTGGGCCATTTGCACCAGCGAACCGGCGTGCCCATCCAGACTCACATCGCGGAGAACAAGCCCGAGTGCGCTCTCGTGCAAGAGCTCTTCCCGGAAAGCAAAAGCTACACCGATGTCTACGACTCCTTTGGCCTGCTGACCCCGAAAACCATCCTAGCCCATTGCATCTACCTAAGCGAAGAAGAGCAACATCTAATCCGCACCCGGGATTCCAAAGTCAGCCACTGTCCCGCGAGCAACACCGCGCTTTCATCCGGCACGGCGAAAGTGCGCCAACTCCTCGACAACGGCCTGACCGTCGGCCTAGGCACAGATGTCAGCGGCGGCTACACCCCCAGCATCCTCGCCCAAGCCCGCGAAGCACTCTTTGTCAGCCGTCACGTTGCCATGACTGAAGGCAGTCAGGCGAAACTCAGCGTCGAAGAGGCGCTGTATCTTGCGACTCGTGGTGGGGCTCAGGTCGTGGGTCTTGCGGACCGGATAGGCGGGTTTGAGGTTGGGATGGATTGGGATGCGCAGATGGTGACTCTGTCTGAGGTGAGTGAGAAGAGTGATGAGCTCGATCAGGGTGTGGGGCCGGTGGAGATTTTCGGTGGTGAGGAGTGGGGTGTCAAGATTGCGAAATGGGTGTACACGGGCGATGATAGAAATACAGCAGCGGTGTGGGTAAAGGGGAGGTTGGTGCATAGTAGGGGCATGTTCAAGGCGTAAGTTGCTTTTCTTGTAGACGGCAGGCCGCCCGCATCTATGGCTCTTCAAAGCTCCAGCGTTCCAATTCGCCCGCCAACCTCGCCCTCCCTACTCAACGGTCCATCATTCAGGCGTTTCGTCAGTGTAGTCAAAATGTCCTCAAACCCCTCTCCTGGCCGTTGTTTAACTAATGTCGCGACTCGGGCATGCATCGTCCTGAGCGCATCAAACTTCGCGCTGGCAATCTTGTATGCCGCGCTCTCTGCATCTCCTCGGCCGCCCACGAGGTTCGAGAATGTCTGTGGCGGCTTCAGCAGATAGGGCAGACTGTACTCTAGCGATGGCGGGGTGAGGATTGCGAGTGCTCCGCTGTCTGACGTGGCGATTGTGGTGGGAAGAGCAACATCTGTCTTTGTGGCCCAGTTTGCCGTGATCACGGCGGTCAGACAGCGAATAGCGGCGAGGGCCAGATCTTTCAACGCCACGGTGTCCGCATGAATCGCAATGTTCCGCCAGAATTGTGGATTGTTGGCGAGGTAGTGGAAGTACAGGGCTCTTGCAGACGCGGCCTCCTTCTGGTCCACTTCGTTTGCGGTGGTGAGTGGCGAGCTGGGAGGGAAAGAGACGATCTGACGCTCCGGTCCATGAAAGATCGTCGCCAGCGTATTGAGGACATCGTCGTTGGATGCTCTGGAAGGGAGGAGAGAGAGCGGACTCTGGTCCCACGCTACAGTCCCTTCGCGAGTCGGCAAGAGAATCTTCCGGGGCAGGCTGGCAGCAAGATGTAAGTCGTGTTTTGGCGACTCGGCGTGCGCCCATTTCGCAGGGGACAGATCGAACACCCTCATCAGACGTTCATTGACTTGTCTTGCCATTCGACTTGCCAGATAGTGGTCGGGAAAGTATGATGCGTAGGTTGCGATGTAGTTTGCCGCCGGCCCATACAGGAACATGGCTTCTACAGGATCCACTCGGACCCCCGGGAGCTGCAAGTAGATGGCAGCGGTGCGAGTATGCACATCGTGTGTGATCAGATAGAGTAGCGCGGGAGACTCCTGGGCGATCGACGCATCGGCGACCGGTGGCCGAGTAGTGCGCAGAAGCTCGGAGTAGAAATCGATGAGACATCGATTCATCAGAACGTCATCTTCGTAGTCGACCATTCGTAGCACGGCGAATTCAAGCAAGCCCTCCTGAACGCCGTATGCGGCTTCGACATCGGGATGATGGCTTCGAGAGATTGCACTCCAATCCATGGCACCGACTGCAGGTAGCCACTCCATCAACCGAGCCTGAGCAAGTGTCCTTTGATTCTTACTCAGCTTCAAAGTAGAAGGACCGGTGTGAGAGCAAGCTTCAAACAGGGTGGCGTAGATGTTTCGATCGCCGAATATCCGTTTCCATACTAAGCCTTGTCCACCAGCAGGTAGATGGGCGTCAGGATGTGTCTGGATTTCTTGGTCGACTTTGAGGAGGTCGAGCAGGAGGGTGGATGCTTGACTGGCGATGCCGGTGTCGGGCGTACATAACCATAATCTGACCAGCGCCAGCATTGTATCGAGCATGCTTGCGACATGAGCAGCGTCGGTGGGTTTCCGTGTGGCCTTCTCCAGTATTGAGATGATGAGGCGGTTGAAGCTGACCATGTGCTCTCCGACAGCAAGGCCTTCGGTGTATGGTAGACTGCCGAAGTTCAGAATGTCGGAGTATGAGAGGTCATCGAGAAGGTGGAGGAGTATGTTGACCGCGGGTGTTGGATCTTGTTGCAGTTCAGGCAGCAGCCCTGCGAGTGTCTGGATGAGTACGAGGCGTTCATTTCCTTGGAGAGTCTTGGGTAGGATAAGGTCGGCTTCCTCCAGCAATCGAGTGTCCAGAGGTGTCGACGGTGATGCCTGCACAGACTGGAGATGCTGCATCAAGCGATCTCCAAGCTGGTTCGACTCCGCCATTGTGAGCTCGTGTCCAGATCCGGTACTGAGGTTTATTGATCCGATTACAGCATGGGTTTGAAAGAAGTGCGAGGCGTGGAAGGAAACAAGAAGTGTCGTCAGTCATTGCTGGTGCCTCAGGCAGCAATGTGGCTTTGACTTTCCGATTTGGCTTGCGGCTTGCGTACTTCACCACTTCATCACTCGAAACGACGACCACCTTCGACGGATTGGAAGACTCGCATGCTGGAGCGCACAAGAGGAGGATAATGCGGTGAGCTATCTGTGAGCCTGATACGTCCATCTATACCATCGACAGTCCGCACAATGGCATCAACGTCACCGCCGCCGCCGCCGGCGGGCGAAGACCAGGCGCGATTGTTGGAAGATGCCTTGTCCGTCGTCCGCCAGCAGACGGCCATGATGCGCAAGTGTCTCGAGTCGCCGGGCAAGCTGATGGATGCGCTCAAGTGCAGGTATGTCTCTCCACACTCCGTATAACATCCCATCGTGATCCGTAGGCTGACTGCTGCCTGACAGCTCCACTCTCGTCTCAGAGCTACGAACGAGCAGTCTGGGCCCAAAGCAGTACTACGAGCTCTACATGTCCGTCTTCGATGCCCTGCGCCACCTGTCCGTCTCCCTCCGCGATTCTCATCCCACCAACCACCTCGCCGATCTCTACGAACTCGTACAATATGCCGGAAACATCGTGCCCCGACTCTACCTGATGATCACCGTGGGCACCGTATACATGGGCATTGAAGATGCGCCCGTCAAAGAGATTATGAAGGATATGATGGAGATGAGCAGAGGGGTACAACATCCCGTGCGAGGCTTGTTCCTGCGATACTACTTGAGCGGACAAGCGCGCGACTACCTTCCCGGGGGCACCGGAGACGGGCCGGAAGGCAACCTACAAGACAGCATCAGCTTCATCCTGACCAACTTTGTCGAAATGAATAAGCTGTGGGTGCGGCTGCAACATCAAGGTCATTCGAGAGAGCGCGAACAGCGCACAAAGGAGCGCCAAGAGCTACAACTGCTCGTTGGAAGTAATCTTGTCCGGTTGAGCCAGCTGGTGGATCTCGAGACATATCAGAGTGTCATCTTGCAACCTCTCCTGGAGCAGGTTGTGCAATGCAGAGACGTTCTGGCCCAGGAGTACCTCCTTGAGGTCATTACTCAGGTTTTTCCTGACGAGTACCACTTGCATACGCTGGATCAGCTACTCGCCGCAACCGCACGGCTCAATCCGCAAGTCAACATCAAAGCTATAGTCATTGCACTCATGGACAGGCTATCAGCTTACGCCCAGAGAGAGTCGGAAATGAAGTCACCGGAGGAGCGGCAGAAGGTCGAGAAGGAGTCCGTCTCTTCATTGATGGAAAAGCTTAAGCTGTCCAAGGATCAGCAAGAAGCCCCAGTTGCACCCGCAGGAAATGGCGAATTTTCTGCCGAGGGTGAAGCTTCCGACCATGCAGAAGGCGCCGCGGTTTCTGGAGCTACAGCAGATGCTTCAACCTCCCAAGACTCTGAGCCCCACACGAATGGAGAATCCGCAAAGAAGAGTGGCGTCCCGGAGCACGTGAAGCTGTTCGAAATCTTCTACAAACAGGTCATGCAAGTCATCAGCGTGCAGAGACTCCCTGTGCAAGACATCACCGCCTTGCTCGTATCTCTCGTCAACCTGGCTCTTAACATCTACCCGGAGCGACTTGACTACGTTGACCAGGTCTTCCAATACGGCACCAAGGAGGTGTCGCGATTCACCAACTCCGCCGACTTTCACTCGCAAGCAACACAAACCAACCTTCTCACCTTGCTGCTGGCTCCCGTCAATGCATACTTCTCTCTGTTCACGGCGCTGGCTCTCCCGAATTTTGTCCCTCTCTTTCACGCACAGTCTTACCCAACTCGACGAGCAGTCGCCGGCGATGTTGCACGGAGTCTCCTACGCCACGAAACCAAAATCACCACCGTCGAGCAGCTCGAAGCAGTCCTCTCAATTCTGTCCGTTCTGATAAAAGAGGGTTTGCAAGCACCAGCTAGCGTTTCTGGCGGTCCGGTAAGACGAAGCCCAGCCATCGAAGCGGAGGACAGCACCGAAGAACAAGGCTGGCTTGCGCGGATAGTGCACCTTATCAAAGGCCAAGACAACATGACTCAGTTCCAATTGCTGCAGAAGACTCGGACCGCATTCGCAGAAGGCAATGATAGAACGAAACACACAACCCCGGCACTCCTCACGCAATCTCTGAAGCTCGCCCGCTCCTTCAAACGAAGAGAGCACCTGTCCAACGACGACTACGCTGTGCAATCCTCGGCGCTGTACAAGTTCATGCACACCATGATCTCCTCCCTCTACACGCGCGTTTCTGCCCCCGGCGTCCCCGATTTGTGCCTGCGACTCTTCATCTCCTGCGGCCAAGTCGCCAGTCAGTGTGAGAACGAGGATGTGGCGTATGAATACTTCGCGCAGGCCTTTACCATCTACGAGGAATCCATCTCGGACTCGCGATCGCAATACCAAGCCATTTGTATCATCGCAGGTGCCTTGTCGGGCTGCTCCAGTCGCTTCGGCAAAGAGAACTACGACACGCTGATTACCAAGGCCGCGCTACATGGGAGCAAGCTGCTGAAGAAGCCGGATCAATGTCGCGCCGTGTGCTACGCCAGCCATCTATGGTGGGCAGTGGAAAGGACAGAAAGACAAGAAGGCGACAAAGAAGTACGTTGCCTGACCCCCCACCCCTTACCACCTCAATCTACTAACCCACCCCCAGCTCTACCGCGACGGCAAGCGCGTCCTCGAATGCCTGCAGCGCGCCCTCCGCGTCGCCGACGCCTGCATGGATACGGCCGTCTCCGTCGAGCTGTTTGTCGAAATCCTCAACCGCTACGTCTACTACTTCGACCAGGAGAATGAGGCGGTGACGATCAAGTACCTCAACGGCCTGATTGAGCTGATCCACTCGAACCTGAGCACGGCGGAGAATGCGAGTGGGCTGGAGGGGCCGCGGAAGCATTTTGAGCGCACGTTGGATTATATTCGCGGTCGTGAGTATCCTGGGGTGGAGACGAGGCCGAAGCAGGCTGTTTGATTGTGTCTGGTTGATTAGGCAAGATCAAGGCGAGGTGTTTGGGGGCTGAGGGCTGTATGTGGTCTCGCACACTCCTGGTAGTCTTGTCTGTAGCCATCGCATTGACGTCGGTATTCGTTCATGACCCTGAGGAATGTTCCAGCTTTCACTTCAGAGTTCTCCACTAGCGTGGCAGCTCCTTCGTGTTGCGTAGTCTCACTTGCGTGCCCAGTGCTTGCTGAAGACGGCTAGCCGCCAGCCTGGTTGATGATCCGAGTATGACCAAGGTGCTCCTCCGATGTCATCGCGGCCATTTCTCCTGGACAAAATCAATCAGATCGACAAGATCCTGACACTCCATCAACCGCTTGCGCTCCCGTTTCGTCATGTCAGGCATTCGGTTCGTCATATCCGCCATATGATGCAGGACCAAAGCATACGGGATAGGATACCGCACCGCGAGCCTCAAAAACGCACGCACGCATTCCGGCGGAGTCGTCTCGTAGCCAGCGAACAGCGCCGGGTTTTCCAGAATGCCTCTTGCGGCCATGACGCCGTCGACTCCCGTTAAGGTGGCGATCTTCTTCACATGATGCCGAGCGTATGCATCCCCGTTCGCGACTACGGGAACTGTGGCTGCGGCTTTGATCTGCCGAATCGCATCGTAGTCAGGTGGCGTGCTACTCCGCTGCGAGCGCGTGCGTCCATGGACAGTAATGTAATCCACCCCAGCGGCTTCTACGACTTTCACCCACTGCAAAGTGCGCTGCAGGTCCTTGTGAATGCGAATCTTCACACTCACGCTTCGGCCCATGGGACTTAGTACGTGCTTTGCAGCCCTCACCATCGCCGCCACAGATTCCGGATCCTCCATAAGGGAACACCCGATCCCCTCCTTGATGGCCCAGGACTGCGGACATCCGCAGTTGAGATCCACGCCGTCGACCCAAGAGGCTATGAGCTGCGCTGCACGGGCGAATTCAACGGGATCAGAAGCGGCGAATTGCGCGATCAGAATGCGCGGTTGTTGAGGAGGGACGGCGGTGCGCTCTAGCTCGCAGGTGGTAAAATCGCTATCCCGGGCGATGGCGGAGCGGTTGAATTCGTGCGCGAGCATCATGGGGGTGTAGGTCACGTCGACGTCGTAGGAGCGGATGAGGAGGCGGAAGGGGAGTTTGCTGTAGCGGACCATGGGCGCGCAGACTTTTGGACGGTCAGTGGGGACATTAACGTGGAATGGTCGAGGCTGTATCCTACTATGCAACGGTCGCCCATCCTTCTTTGCCTGTTCGAAAAGGTCGAGTATTCTGCGGGCTCCTGGTCAGCTCGAAAAATTGAGCAATTTCTGATGCATGCAACTCACCGTGGTCGCTTTTGACTCGCCGCGTCCGTGGCCTCGTCGTCATCTTTGACGGCCATGGATGCGCCTATTGTGAGATCATGTATACGTGAGGCGAGGTTGTCGGATGTATATGGTCGCAGGCGGGCCGGCTTAGAAATATTGCAGAGTGGAGTTGATGGTGCGCTAACAGTAGTCAAGACACACCCAACCTTAAAGACTCCTACCAACCTCACTGGCACCTTCGTTCCTCCAAACAATCAGAACTTATTATTGCCGGTGTTTAGGAGATGTATTTCCACTCTCTACACTGCGGGGTTGTGCAGTCGTATTGGGAGGAATGCTGCATCCTGCTTGATGTGTGGCAAAGTAAGGGTACCTTAGCATGTGTGAGCAAGGCTCCAGCCTCGAGTGGGCATAACACTATAGTACACCAAAGCTCCTGGAATACGAGCACTCCACCGAAGAATCTCAACTTCTGCCCACTAACCCAGAGAGATCGCTGAGCATATCAATCCATGCCGACATTATCGCTCGATTGCAGCTATTCGGCGAACTTCTGCAACGAAGGAATGTAGTTTCCCCAAAGGTGGCAAGGCGATCTCTACTCCTCCGCGTCGACATCGGCAGCTCTGCGTTTCCTCTTCCGCTGAGGCGCAGGGCGCGTCGGTTGAAGCTCAGGGTGCGCCGCCCTGTACTCCGCTCGCTCTGCCGCCCGTCTTTCCATATAGTCAACGAACTTTGCCTTGTCCATCACCTCCCTCTCCAACCCCATGGCCGCCTGACACTTCGCTTTCGCCTCGCCCAACGTGCGATATCCAGCAAGTACATCCTTCAGCCGTTCCATTAGAGAGTCGAGCGTCGATGCGATTTTCGCCTCGGTGAAGTCCTGATCGTCCGCCTGCCGCAGCGCCACGATCATGTTCAATAGACTGTTTTGCATCGCGTCCGAGCACTATTTGAGGACGTCGTCGACTCCCTTGAGGGCTGTCTGATGCACCTCGAGTTTCTGCTTCCCGGCCGCATATTCAGGACCGAGGCCTCCCAGCACATCATCGTTGGCGCATCGTTGCGACATGGCACTCTGTGCGCAAGAGCTGGAATTGTAGTTGCGATCTATTTGGGAGTGCAGTGTCTGATCGAAGGGTAATTCGAGATACGCGTTTCTTTGAAAGCTGAATGCGACGCCGACGCGCAGTCAATGAGGGGTCCTTGAGGAAGCGAGAAGGATGGAGGAGGAAGCAGCGCCGATTGGTTGTCGGCCAGAGCGCCATGGATCCCCATGGGGAAACGCGTGCTTAGTCACGCGCGTAATGGACCAGACAGAACGTCATGCCTTTGGGCCGCATCGCTTTCCATACATCAAGGTCCTACACCCTCTTCTCATCTTCCTCATCACACTCCCGCCTCACCAGGCCACACTACAACCAAAATGGACCCCGGCTTCCTCCGCCTCCCCACGGAGATCCGCCTCCAAATCTACCACTACCTCCTCCTCCCCCAAACCCCCACCGACCTCCAACCCGCCCTGCACAAAATGCAGCACTCGGACCGCGACTCCTTCGACTACGTCAGCGGCCGCCGCTTCAGCGACCGCATAGTCGCCCATCCTGACCTCGTCAACCCGCACCTGCTCATCCGCACCGTCAAGGGCGAAAGCTACTCGGCGCGCTATACCGGGAAGCCGGGCGGCGAGCGACATTTGCGCACGAGCTATGATGAGAAGGATCGCTTTCGCGCGAAGTGCGCTATGACGACGTACTATTGTCTCAATAACGATTTTCTGCTGGCGCATGTGGGGATTATGCGGGTGAATAGGCTCGTTCATTCGGAAGCGGTGGGCGTGCTGTACGGTGCTTATACGTTTGATTTCGATGTCCATGTTGAAGCTATGCGGCCCTTTCTGGAGGACTTGACACCGCTAGCACGCAGCTGCATTCGAAGCGTGCGCTTTGTGAAGCGCGGATTGGCGTACGACAAGGAATACGATCGAATCGAATGGGGCAACACCATGCGATTTCTCACTTTACCGAGCGCCGGCTTGCGTATTAAGCGTCTGGAACTGGGTGTGGTGGCCGGGAAACCAGGAGGGGCCAGTGGCACCGGTTGGGATGGGGTGCTGACTTACTCTGCGGATGATTTCGAGGCCCTGCTGAGCGGCGACGGGATGGAGTGGCTTCGGGATTTGGTGGAGCTTGCTAAGACGTTGGAGGAATTGACCGTCGTTCCTGTGGTGGAGCACTGTCCTCCGGCGGACAATAGCAGGGCCATGTTCAATTTTGTCCGCTTCTCCGCCAGTGTCGATGCGGGATTCGCGGAATTTCTGCAAAGGCGGGTGATGGGTGCGTGAGATGACGAGGAGCGCTCAGATGAAGAGTGCTTGCGAATGCCATTGTTCCATCTACCAAAGCTTTGCAAATGTCAATATCCTCGCGAAAATGCATGGCTTAACTCTCCTCCAACGCCAACGCTTTCCATGCCCCCGAAACACATCACACCTTCAACCAGAGTCCCAACACCCCCTTCGCGTAGTTTACTATCTCGTCGCCTCCAAGCTTGCTGTCGCCATAAACCCGATCAACAAAGCTGATGGGCACCTCCGCGACGCTGTATCCCTTCGCCTTGGCACGCACCATCATCTCCATCTGAAAGCTGTACCCCTTGCTCTCCGTGCTGTGAATAACATCATCCAGCACCGCCTTCTTATACAACCGAAACGAGCCCGTCAAATCCGACACCCCCGGCTGCAACACCGTATCAGCAAACAGATTCGCCCCACGTGACACCAGCTTCCTCTTCAAATCCCACCCATACACGCCTCCATCCCCCGCGTACCGCGTCCCCGTCACAATATCGTAACCCCCCGCTCCTCCTCCTCGCTCCGCCTGCTTGGCGATCATCAAAGGGATGAATTTCGGGTGGTGCGAAAAGTCGGCGTCCATGATGATGACGAAGTTGCCCGTGGCGAACTGCAGGCCGTGCACGTAGGCCGTGCCGAGGCCGAGCTTGCCGCTGCGGGTGTGCAGTTTGATGCGGTTCGCGCCGTAGGCTTTGATGAGCTGTTTGGCGATTGTTTGCGTGCCGTCGGGGGAGCCGTCGTCGATGATGAGGATTTCCCAGTCGAGCTTGCTGGATTGTGTTAGGGGTGATGGGGGTTGTGGAGGGTGGGGGGCCTTACTTCTCGGTGAACATGCGTTGGAGGAGCCAGACGATGATGGGGAGGTTGCGGCGCTCGTTGTAGGTGGGAAGGAGGACGGAGTACTTGTTGTTCTTTGCCATTGTGGGCGTGAGAAGGCTTTCGGCCTAGTGGGCGGAATGGGTGATGTGGAGTGGTGAAAGGAGTGACGGTAGTTGGTGGTGTTACGCGTAGGGGAAGCGCAAAGTGACACGAAGTCAATGGGATGAAGTTGAAAGGAGGCCGCGATTTGTGGTGGCCTGAGGCATCAACCTCACCCCCCAAAGCGTGTGTGCACACAAGGTGAGTTCTTGCAATGGAAAGATCTGAGTTTGATGTGAATCAAGACGAGAATATTCATTCTCTCTAACATTATTCATTATCTAGACCTGTACGTTCTATTCCACTCCGCAGAGTAATGTCCAAGATCCGCAATCTATCCCATAAATCATCCATAAGCCGGGCTGGCCCTGTAACACCTCGCCCGAACGCTCGTAATATATCAGTAGTAATCATATCGCTCTTCTATCCCAGAGTAAATCGTCCAAAAAGCCGTAGTAAATCAATACACGTTAGAATCGTAAATTTCATCTTCTCTTCATCCGACGTTCATTGATGCGAGTGAGATCCACGAGTAGGTTGCGCGGACTTGCTGGACGCGCTGGCTGCGTTGGCAGTCGAGGAGCTCGGGATGGCGGATGAAGCGCTCTCGTAGACCCATGAGGAGGAGGAGTAGATGGCCGTCTCCGAGGCGGAAGTGGGCGCGACTGAGGCGGAGGTGATTGTCGAGGCTGCGTCGACGGTGAAGGAGGAGGATGATACTGGTGCGGACTGGCTGCTTGAGCTGCTAGTTGTGCTGGAGGAGGAAGACGAGGAGGCGAGTGTCTCGAGCGTTGTCTTTGAAGGCTTCGTTCGCTGTTTGTGGGAGGTTGTCGCAGATGCTGTCAAAGTTTGAACGGGATGCACCTTCGACGAGCTGGATGTTGATGTCGACGACGTGGAGGTCGAGGTCGACGAGCTCGAGGAGGATGATGAGACGGCGCTGACCAACGAGGAGCTGGAAGTAGCGGACGAGGACGGAGTCCACCAGACCGTGGGAGAGGGTGTCCACCAGACCGTCTGGGAAGGCGTCCACCAAACAGTGGTCGAAGTTGAGCTCGAAGCGGAAGTGGATGTAGAAGTAGAAGTAGAACTCGACGAAGAGCTCGCCAACGAAGTCGATACCGCATCAGCAGTCGAAGCAGAAGTAGGCGCAGGCGGCGTAAACGGCGGGGGCGGGCCAAACGTAAACGGATCCCGCGTGCGACTCTGCGGCCGTCCAGGACCAAAAGGCGGCGGCGGCGGCATCTCCGTCTCCGCCGAGGCCGTCGAAATCGACACCGGCCCAGGTCCCCACGCCATACTCGAGCTCGAGCTCGAACTCGTCATCATCGTCGTTGTCGGTGGCGGCGCCGCTTCAACCGTCACTGTGCTCGGCGCCGCGGCTACCGTGGCCGTCGCAGTCGTCTGCTGGATGATGGAGGTGGTGGTTGTTTCTGTCTCCTGCGAGGTGGTGGCGCGCGTTGTGGTGAGGTAGATGGTTGTGGTGGGTTGTGCGGCCGTGGAGGTGCCGGCGACATTGACGACGGAGTAGGTCGTGCTTTGCTGTGGGCGGGGGAGGGCGTGGGTGGTGGAGAGGAGGGAGGAGGAGGTTGCGATCAGCGCGAGGGATCGGGGAACGCGCATTGTGAGGGTGGGGTGGTGTATGTGTATGCAGGATGGAGGGATTGTGGTCCGTTGCGATCAGGCTGTTCTGTGATGTGCTGAGTCGTAGCGGTGATGGCAGAGGATGATTTCGTGAAGATGTCAATGTTGATGTTGATGTGTGAAAAAGTGTCCAACGGCCAGCGAAGGCCGTGCGTGCTTTTGTGTAAGCCATGTTGTTTACCGCGGTGGCTGGCGATAGGAATGATTGCTGGACGAATTTTTGTTGGCGAAGTCTTGGGACGAGGCTGGAAGTAAACAAATGGCGGGGGCGAGGCGGGGGGTGGAATGACGCGAGGTTTCGCAAATACGCGGTCGGGATGGAAAGTGCACGCTAATCTCAGCCCGCAAACAAGGCTGTGCCCTACCAAAGCCCCACCCTACGTGAACATGTTCCCTGCTGATGACACAAGAACAAGTATTATTCCGGAATCATCCCTGCGGACAATGAGGCCAGACTGCTATTTACAGTGTCGGCCCCCACCATTAACGACGAATACGAATATCCACGGTTTGCCACTTGTCATCATCACATGTCCGCCCCACTGCTATACCGTACTCAACCGATCATCCGGTTGTTCAACATCTGTCTGTCACCCACTCCACTGTTCGGAGATATTGCATTGAATCCGGGGCGAACTATCCCGCAGCTGAGACAGTCGACGTGCCAAGTCGTCATCTAGTCGTGCTGGTGCTGCTAGCCACGTGACAAATGTTCGTTCCATGATATGCATATGCTAATATTCAAGACATGATCCCTCAATGTATCTCCCTCACACCTTCACCCAAAGCTTCCACTGTCCCTGCGTAAGCCTCGTAAGCGCCAACAAAACCGACGCAATAATCAGCGCCGTCCCCCCAAAAATCCACACATACTCAAACTTGGTCGCATTCAAAATCGCCCCGGACACCGGCGTGCCAATCAACACGCCGAAACCCGCGATCGCAAATCCCATGCCCATGCGCGTGCCGATGAGGCTGCGGTTCTTGGGCCCCGCGAGGTGCACGTAGATGGTGCCCGGCAGGCTGACGAGCGTGCCGGAGAAGAAGCCGTAGAGCGCGATGACGACCATCACGGACGCGGTGGAGCGGGTGACGATGAGGCAGTATTGCAGGATGCCGCAGACGAAGGCGCAGGGGAGGAGGACGTTGAGGGGCCCGATGTGGTCGGCGATTAAGTTGCTAGGAGGTGTTAGGGCAAGTTCGTGCGGTGGGGTTGAGCAGGGAGGACTCACGGGATGATTCGGCCGAATGTGCTGGCTGCGTTGAGCACGGCGAGGGTATAGAACGCTAGATTCGCATCCATGATCTTCGTTTGCAAACAGTACAGCTGGATGTAGTAAAATGGAGCATATAATCCAATAAAAGCGATGGTGGTCCCGAGGGTAAAGCAGACATACGGCGCCTCCTTCCACGCCGGAAAGTCGAAGAACTTCCTGCGCGTAGCGGGGATGACGCGCACGCGGAGGACAATGTTGGACACAGCGAGAGTGGCGAGGGTGATGAAGCCTAGCACCCGCGTGGTCCAAGGAAAGCCAATGTGCGGCTGCAGCTTGTGGAAGATGATGGGATACAGCATGCCGCCGATACTGCTCCCCGCGGCCGCGAGCCCCGTCGCGGTGGCGAGTTTGGTGGTGAAGTAGGTGGAGAGGATGGCGACGGCGCTGACGAAGAGACACCCCATGCCGATGCCGAGGCAGATGCCCTGCGCGAGGAAGACTTGCCAGTACTCGTGGCACAGGCCGATCATCATCTGCCCGAGCACGATGAGGAAGGAGCCGACGAGGAGGAGCTCGTGCGCGTAGCCTTTGTCGTAGATGGGGCCCGTCACCAGGCCGGCGAAGAGCAGTGCAAACGCCTCGATCGACCCGATCCAGCTGATGTCACTCGGGCTGGAGGTGCGGAGGAGGTCTGCCTCGTAGAATGTCTGGTAGATGCCGAACTAGGTATAACCATGAGCCAACGACCACGAGAGTATGAGGAAAGGCAGAAAGTCCCACCGAATTGAGGATGCCCCAAGTATTGAAGAAGACGAAAAACGCGCCGCAAACCTGCAGCCAGGCCTTGGTGCCGCCATTCGGCACCGACTTGACATTGCTGATGGAGGGCTTCGACTCCACAAGCGTCAGCGTCGCCCCGTCTTTCTCGACGTCGTTGTCATGCATAGAGCGCGTGGCGGAAGAGGATGGCTCGAGGTCGTCGCCCTGCTCGTTGACATGCGAGTGGCTCGCCTCCTTCTCGAGCTCGTGCTTCTCCACCTCCTCCGAGACCGAGGAGCGCGACATGTTGGGCGCTGGGGCTGTAGGTATTCCTCGAGCGAGCAAATGCGGGCGAACGGGCAGACCTAGATCCTATACAGCGGCGACTGCATGTCCCTCGCAAAAGCAAACGCGAGAGGTCGATAGTGATAGCAAGAAGTGAGATTCACGTCCCAACCCGACACTCTAAAAAGGAAGCAGAACTAGTCCAAGTCGCCTGCGCTCGCAAAATACAAAGCATTAATAATAGAGAAAGTGACCCTTTTCCATGATCAACCCCAGTCTGCCACCAACCACATCGTCACAGTGGCCGGAGCGGATGGGTTTCCGCCATCGTGCCGCTTAGCCGGCGGCGCGAAAACGTGGAGTTTGGACGGGGATTCGGCAGTTTGCGCGGTGAGTTGCATCGAAGGATTTAGTTAGTGGGGAGAGCGTAGTTTAAACGGGTAGAAATCGGGCGACTCTCGGTCCTCGTCATTACACCACGTCAGTCCCTGTGCCGTGTACTTGCATGCCTGCAGGAGGCACGAATGCAGGGCGGGAAATGCCACGAGCGCGCAACGTGAGCTGCACGTGCGAGATTCCCGAGCTCTCGGAGTTGTCTTCTCGCGCCAAACCAATCGATGTTTTGGCAGACATTTCAGTTTCTGCGGAGGAGAGGCGGGTGTATAGTAGTTCACTGTTCGTTGATATAATACCTAGGTAGGTACGGGAATACCAATATGTCCGGCTTAGCTACTATGTGATAATATGCTGCCTGCAGACAACCAGCCAGCGTGGCGTGATCAAAAGCAGGCAGCAATGATGATCAGAATCAACAACCCCATTCTGACCTCCTCCTCCTCCACACTCACCCCCTTCATCCCCCTTTGCCTCCATCGAGTAGTCCAAGAAGAGCATCAAAGGCCCCATGAACGCGAAGCATAAACACAACAGAACATTCCATCTTCACCCGTAACCCGCATATGTGTCCTCCGCGCGCGCGCCATCCAAGACTCCAAAATCTGCATCCATCCATCGTCACTCGCACTCCCATCCACTCATCGAATCCATCAATAAAGCAACGCAGGTTCTTGTAACAACACGCAAAGCAGATTCCAATCCAAGGCCGCGTCGCACATGCAACGTAAGAAAGTTGCAAACTCCCATCGTATAGTCGCTTTTGCCCTTCGCCCCACGCGCTTTTGTTCCGAACGAAAAAGAGAAAAAGCAAACAGGAACAGCAAAACAGAAAAAACAACACGCAATTCCAATCGCTTGCTATGCAAGGCTGCTGTGTAAATGGTGCATTGCCGCTTCGCTCGCTTCCCTTGCCAGAGAAGCAGAAAAAACCGAATGTAATCAGGGGGGGAAAAGTTGACTCCTTCAATTCAGCGAGCCAGCCTCATTGTTCTTCTCCGAGCATGCCTCGGAGCTTGGCGGAGTATCGACATCCCGCTTGATCCTGGCAATTCGGAACCCGGCGGGCTTGACATTCGACGTCTCCACAAACTCCTCCAGGTAGAGATTCCGGACGAGTTGCGAAGATGCGTCTGCCAAAGGCGTGGACGACGGCGACGACAAGCTGGCAGTATACGCCTCGAGCGCCTTGGTGCGGCGCGCTTCTCGCTCGGCCACGACTTGGCGCATGATGCTCGCGATGGTGTCGGCGCCCAAGCGTTCCGCGATTCCGTATTGCTCGAGGACGGATTTGAGGATTGCAAAGGGGAGGGAAAGGAGGACGCTCGAGACGGTTGTCGTGGTGAAGGAGGGGCGTTGGTGGTCTTCTTCGCTGGACATTTCGCCGAAGCGGATCTGACTGAGGCGTGGATCCGATGGTTTGCGGCTGTGGTCCTTTGAGGAATTGGGCAAGGCGGGGAGACGCGGGCAGGATGCGAATTGCGGCGCTGCTTGGTCGAGGTAGAAGTTGTCGGGGAAGCAGGACGTCAAAAAATTGATGATCCGTTTCAAAAAGTCGGTAGACCAATGACCGTAGGTGGGCCGTGGCACAACTGGCTCGCCGGCGCGGCTGGGTGACTGGTCGCTGGACGAGACGCCGCTTCGATCGTCACTTCCATCTTCGACCTTGAAGCTGTCGCCGAGCCCGCCATCCAGCGCGAAACCCAGCGCGGTGCCTATGGTGTCCCAGTGGAGCAGGCCCGCCGCCACTTGCACCCCTCTGTCTCCGATGGGGCCATTATCCAGCCACCAGCCGCTGGCAATGTATCCGACTGCGGTTGCCATGCAGTCCACGTTGGAAGGGTGATCTTCACTGCCCGCAGATCCCGGACGATGATACTCAAGCAGCGGCACGGGACAGCCGTAGAAGAACTTGAGAGCCTCAACGAAAGGAGCCACACGCAAGTATGGGCCTTCCAATTGGATCACGTGGACTGACGGAGACTTCGCGCCCTGAGCCTTCGCGAAGAGTTTGAGGAATTTGAAATTGGCAGCAAGGACGACTCTGTGGGCGTCCAAATTTACCTCACCCTCGCCAGTGGAATCGCGAATCGTGAGACGACAATCGGTGAAAGCATCGAACGCCCATTGGGACCGCATGTGTCCGCCCAGTCTTTCCCAGGCTACTCGATCGGCATCGGTGGTGGGCTGCATGCGCGGCCAACGATGCCCAAATCGTGATGGCGGCGTCAAATGAGATGGAAGAGCTTCTGGGCGAACATTGCCCTGACCCTGGAAGGTTGCCCCGGGCTGGGGAGGTGATACCATGCCGGCAGTCTGAACGGGATGGTTGATATGCGAGGATGACTGGCCGTTCTGGTGGACATTTGGCCGCTCCAGCGCTGTGGAGGAGGTGTTTGAGTCGGATCGCGAGGCCAGTGCGTGCCCGTTCATCTGTGGAGCTGCAGGTGGGTTGAAAGCATCTTGCGGGCCGGGACGGTAAGACACCGGATGCGAGTGCGATTGGTGGTGAAACGGTTGCGCGGGCGTGGTATAAGGTGGTTGTAGCGCGACCGTGGTGTAAGGTGCGGGACGGGCCTGCCAACTCATGCCGGGTGGGCCATAGGCGGGATTTTGAGCACGGAAATGCGGGTGATCGGGGGCTTGATGTGGGTAGCCCTGCTGCACGAAGTACTGCTGCTGGGGGTGCGGGAAGCTTGCGCGCGACGGTGAAGCGAAGCGTGGACTTGCTGATGGTGGAGGGCGCGCAGGGGAAGAGTTGTTGCTGACGTACACAAAATTGCCCGCGCTGGGGTGGGATGGATGGGCGTGCGGGTGGAGGTTGGCTGGAGGGTTGAATTGCGACGGAGATGCTGACTGGTGGGTGTGCTGTTGTGCAGATGGGACGAATGCGGGGGGAAGTGCATCCCGCATTTGACGGCCGTCGAATCGGCCGCTCATCTCGCGAGATGAGGTTGGGCTTGAGCTGGAGAGGGGCGTTGGAGAGTCGGGCGCTGAAGGGTTGAATGTAGATGGGGAGTGGGAGTTTGAGAAGTCGGGGGCAGCACCGAAAGAAAGGGAGAGGGCGGCACTTCTTCTCGGACCGAGCGAATCTGTGTGCGGCATGACCACGGCACCGTTGAGCGTGTTGGTACCATTGGCGCTTTCCTCATTCGTCGCGGCAAGCGCATGCCCGTGCCCGCTGCCGTTGGGGATGGTGGAGAGCGGGAGGGGGTGCTGCTGACCATTCACGCCGTTGGTGGTGGTTGTATGGCCATCGTGAATTGCAGGCGCAGGCGCAGCTCCTCCATCTTTTGCCACAGTCTCCGACTTCGGCTTCGGCTTGGAGGATTTTGATTTGCTCAAGGCGAGGGGAATGGCGGGCACTACTCGCTCTACATTTTTACGGGGATTGGACTGCTGGACGGGAATGGCGGGTTGGTTCGACGGCATGTCCTCGCATGCGCCGCGGGTCGGTGAGACGGGCGGATGCGAGTTCGGACAGATGGGAGCAGCGCACGGAGGAGGAGGTGGTGGTTGGGAGGATGGAGGGACTCGTCGACTCGTGAGGCAGCGGGAGCTCTGTGCGATGGGCGACAGCGGAGGAGAGCGAAGGGAGGGTGTATTGGGAGGCGGTGGAGGAGAAGAGCTTGAGTGTTTGAGGGTTTGTCATGAGAGCTAGTGGATCGGAGTCGGCGGTCGTTGGTCGGCAAGTTTTGAGAGTGTGGGGTGTCGACCCGCCAAGCTCGGACCCCGCGGAGCATCTCCGCTCTCCGCTCTCTGCATGGAGAGGGCCACGTGCAGCACTTGGCCACACATTTCTCTTCTTCATCAGTCATTACAGCCGAGAGTGAACGGGCATGTTGAAAGCCCTTCTCAAGATGTGCATCGACTGGAGTGTGCTATGCGCAAGTACCCAAGCATCGGCAGGTGTACATCGACCACCGCCCCTTCCTTAAGGCTTCACCACGTCGGGATACAGAAGTAGCAACACCATCTGCCGGTAGGTCTCGGCGGGCATTGAAGATGCCATTCCGTTGTGGCGTCCCTTCTTTGCTTGCTTCAAGTCTCTTCATGCTGCCCGTCTCAATTCCATCGTCTCCTTCAAGTCCACCTGAGAGTTCAAGCATATTCCCTATCTTTACACTTCGTCCAGTCTTCAAACCCAGCGCGAACGCTTTCCCTATAGTCCTGCTCTCGTAAAAGAAACTTCCCGACATCATGTTTGGCGGCGAAGACTTACCAGTGGCACCTCGAGACCGACGAAATCAGCAGCGCAGGTCCAGGCACGGCCGAAGATCTTCGTGTCACGAATGGGGCTCGTATGCCTGCAACACCCTTGACTTGAGTGTCCACTCACCCGCGGAGCCTTTTGGTAATCGCTTCAGCTCTGCTTGTTGCTCAATGGCAGCTGACGAAGCCCAGGGAATCGATTCGCAGTCCTGGCGCAGTCTCCCCACCGAATGAAAAGAAAGAGCAGTCAGCACGCGTCTCGTTCGTCCCATCGGCCACGAGATTCTCGTCTCTCAAAAGAGAGAAGAAAGCGCCGTGATCCCAAGCGCTCGAGAATTCAGTCTGCAGCAGTGCACATGCTGGATGAACAACTATCACACGACATCGGCCGGACTCTCGACAGAGCCAACATCCAGAGGCCGTCATCCAACTACGTTCTTTATCCGACTGGCACTCCTCCGAAGCCTGGTCTTCCACCGGCACCTTTTTATGGCCCCACCGCTCCATATGAGCTACCTGCTTGGAACTTCGCCAACGAATTCCCGCCTTTACCTTCCAGGAATTGGCATCCGACTCCACTCCACCCTCATCTTCCCTCTTGGTGCCCCGAGCTACCCTCTTTCACGAGGCAGAGACTGACGTGGAATGATCTGCCGCTGTTCTTCGATCTATCCGCACTGCCGGATAAGGGAGTACCATCCAAGCCGCCGCCCTCAAGGTGCCAGGACGTGCAGCTGTGGCAGCCCAGGTCATATCCTGAACCCAAGAAACAATCGCGTTTCTTCCCGCCTCCTGCTCCCGTCAAGCCGAAAATGAAGTCTCCTTCTCACGCCTGCAAGCTTCACAGTCTTGATCGAGGGGTCGAACACGATACGCCAACATGCCCACCGAAACTCACAAATGCCACGAACTTGGAGAGCGAGCTGGCAGCTAGCAACAGCACACCCGCGAATCTCTGGCACATCCTAACAACATGCCCTCCCCCCGCCTCTCGTTACAATACCCTCTACCACCCATGGAACCCAATCTACGCCGCCCCTTACGGCACCTTCGACCATCGACTCGAAGCAATCGGCCGTCCCATCGAGCTCGCCAACACCGACCTCCCCTTCGTGCAAAGCAACAGTCTGACAGGCCTGGCAAACTCCCAGGCCGACTTCCCCTTGCCACACGTCGACGACCTCGCGCTGATCTTCGACACGAGTCCGCCGGTGAACGAACCAACAAGACTGAACGAGCCAATGGTAGACCCTTACTACCCTTCCAACCATGAAGCCGATCTCGCGTCCCTGCCGCCCCTACCTCCTTCTCCCGAGCCAGAGGTAGCGCTGCCGGTACTGGCGGTCAACATCCCGGCTACCTCATTCTACCCCGGGGGACACGTCTACCCCGGGGGACACGAAGTCAGTGATTCAGGGCCACAGCAAATCGACGCCCACTTCCGCAGTGAGGAAGCGCTATTCAAACCACCGGCTGCGCTGCCGAGCGTAGCGCCCGCTCCTGTCCCATCTCCGATCTCTGAGGACGGAGAGATTCTCGACGTCGCGCTGTGTCTGCAGATGGTCGGGCGCGATGCGGAAGAGAACTGCAGGGCTCAAAGTTCCAACGAAGCGGAGACGTCTCTGTCGACTTCTGTCGTTCTTGTGGACGACGGATGGGACATATTCGACGAAGAGGCAGACGAGAGCTGGGACTGGCGGGAGGATACTTTTTGCGAGGCGTGGGAGGCGGAGTGGGGTGTGTTTGTGACGGGGGAGGATAGTGGGTATGAGAGTGAGGGTGTGGATGGATGCGAGGAGGAGGATGCGGTGTGGGTTCAGAGGTGGAGGTGGGAGTGTGGGATTGAGAGGGAGCCAAGCTGGATGGCTCATGTGGCTTGGTAGGGGTCTGAGTTGCGGAACATGACGGTGGTGGATTGAAGGGATGTGTATGCTACATTCGAAGCCTACCTTATACCTGAGGTCCCTCACAATACCACTCCACTCCACTTCACCCCTCTCTCCCCCTGACCAGCACACAACCCTCTCCCACCGCTTGAAACACTTTCCTCACCGCGTTAAAGCAATCCGACTAGGCCGCGCCCCCTTCCACCTCGTCCCAGTAACAGGCAAATCCCTCGCAATCAACTCCTCCTCAATCACCTTCCACCTCCCAATCGCCTTCTCCTTATGAATCGGCGTCTGCCTTCTTTCCTTGACCGTCACATTCGGCGCGTACTCCCTCAGAGTCATCATCTCGGCCGTTTTGGCCAGCTTCTTGGGCGCCGCTTTCGTTTTGTAGGCTGTGTAGAGGTCGGCGAGCGTGCGGGCGGAGGAGATGGTGGGGTCGCGGAGGCGGTGGCCGGTGAGTTGAGTTACGCGTTTTGTGATCTGGATGCGGCGGGTTAGTGGAAGTGGAATGGTTGTTGTGGGTGTCGGATGGGAATGCTTACGGCGAATTTGACCATGGGGTCTTGAAGGGGGATGGCTAGCCAAGGCTCCTTTTCCATAGTCTCGGGGTCCAAAGTGTGTGACGCGCGCGTTGCTGATGCAGTGGACGTAGATCCCGGGCCTTGTGAGATGCGCGAAGCAGCGTAAGCCCATTTTTCCAGCGACTTTGTACCATCGGTAGGAAGTTCGAGGACGACGGGGAGAGTTTGCAGCCCGAGATTGGCGTTCAAAGCATCCTGGCCGATTCTCTGCCTGCCGCGCACTTTAACGGCGACGTAGCGCAGCACTTTCAACCACTGCTCGTCCTCCAGTTCAGCGGGTTTGTGGCGGTTGAATCTGTAACCGCAGTCAGCATTGCTTCGCACGGGATGGGGTTCTCGCAAACTCCACAGAAGACTCACCCTTTATACTTGACGCCCTGATCCTTCTGCGCCTTTACCCACTTCTCACCACCCACGCGCTCCAGCTCATCCCACTTGTTCGCCATGACATATTCAGGATTAATCGAGGGATCATAGACAGCAGCGACCTCATATCCCCTCCCTTTGCGCTCTCTCCCTTGCCCCGTGCGCTGCTTCTCCGCATCGGCCTTGGCCCGTTCTTCCACCTGCTTCTTCGCCTGCGCCTCTTGCTCGGGAGCCTTTTTGCCGCCGAAGAGGCTTTGCTGGATGCGCTTGAAGAAGCCCACGTCTGCGGCGAAGGGGCGGGTGGTGTGGAATTGACGGGTGGCGGCGTGCGCGCGACAGGCGCGGCAGACGTATTGAGGTTTTGCGGAGGAGGAGGCGATTAGGCTCAGTGCCTGTTCTGCTGCGCGTATTCGAGGCATCGTTGGTTGTTTGGAGAGGCGGATGGAGAAGATGCGGCGTTTCAATGTTCGCAAAGAAGTTTGGAGTGGAAGTCCGAGCTCCGTAAAAGCTACCAAAAAATATCGCTGCCTCAGGCATCGATTAAGGTATGCTCACACTCTAGTATCGCTCATGGCATCTGATCATGCTATACCCTCTATCTGATCGCTTGAATTGGTGTTCATGCAACATGGTATCATCATTTATTTCGCCCAGAGCCTCTGCGTGCATCTTGTCTGCGCGACTAAAAGACGGGAGTTCGAGGCGTTACAAGGCTACCTTAGGCATTGCATCTCCGCAAATCCCACTCGCCGGGCATGGAAGAGCTGGAAGCGCCTATTTCCACAGCCACGACCGCGCACCTATAGTCAACTCGAGGAGGGATAGCGGAGCGAGTGCGTAGCGCGTTCCAGGCCGGCCAGGGATGTTTGGTCCCGGGCTGTGACAGGGCCGACCACCACTCTGCTCCGAACTATGCGGCAGCAAATCCACGTAAGTCCGCAATAACCCGTTCGATTGCCATTTATGCCCTTCGAGCACATCGAAGGATGTTCGCAGTTGAGCAATGGCCTCAAAGCTGGTCTCCCTCACTTCCCCTTTGCTGTAGCCTTGCCAAAAAACGAACTCAGCGTCTTCATCCCACTCCTGTCGACCTTCTCCAACGCCTTTACGCCACGACTCATACTCTTCTTCTTCAGCTCCTCTTCCTCCTTCTTTCGCTTCTTCGCTTCCGCCTTCTCCATGGCCTCTTCGTCATCGAGCGCGCTTCGTTTGCGGCTGATGTTGTCGCTGAGAGAGCGTAAAGTCTGCGCTTCCTTGCGGAGTTTGTCAAGGTGAGCGAGGTGGGTGTCGAGTGGGGTGAAGTCGGTGCCGGAAGAGTCGGATTTATTGATTAGAGACGTCAGGCTGGCGTGGAGGCTTTCTGGAACGTAGGAGCGAAGCAGGAAAGTGAATGCTGTGCGGATGCGAAGAAGATGCTGGATTTCTTCATCCGTTGTGGACGGAGCAGACGACACAGACGTTGTGGTCGTAGCGCTTGTGCTTTCCGTGTGTGCAGTAGATTGTGAATCCTGTGATGTCGAAGCCTCGCCTTGCGTGGTCGTGGTCGCGGTCGGATCTGCATCCACAACACTAATGCTGCTGTCTTCTCTTCTTATGCTCAGGACCGGCGCAACCAGTGCTTGCCTCACAAACTTTTCATCCATGGTCGCGGGGAGCCCCATCTCGACCATCTTCTTCGCCTTCGTGAGGAGGACTTCGAGCAATTTGAGCTTGGAAAGCATATACAGCATTTCCTGTCCATCGTCCATCGAGTCGCAGATTTGCTTTATCCGCGATTCGAATATTCGTTCCAGCCTTCGCGAGGTATTGTTATTGAGGACGTCTTTGAGATGCGGCGAGGACTCGATCAAGCGCTGCAGGTAGTCGGACAGGGAGAGGTAATATTGCCGGCCGCTCTCTTGGGCATCCTCCACCAGCGCAGGCAGGAGGAGGAATACCGGATCTACGGGCGTGGCGAGCATGAGGTCGGGAGTTTGTAGCACATAGCCTTCTCCGTCTTCATCGTCTTTCAATGTGCCTTGCTCTGGGGCGAGCAGCCAACTGCGACATGCTCTCTTTGGTGCAGAGACGCGGGTGAATTCGAAGCATCCTCTGGTCGGGCAGGCAAGGTATCGGCATGGCTTCGAGGTCGCAGGATTGGGAAGGGATATTATTCGTGCGTCAGGGGAGAGATCTTTCGGCAAGATGAACAGCTGCGGCGCATTGGGAACGGATGGCTCGAGGGTCTTGATTGTTGAAGTCGTGGGTTCCGGTTGGCTGCCTTTTGGCCCCGCTGCCTTTCTTGTGCGTGTTTTCATGGTGATGCTGATGTGATGCTGCTGAGTATGCCGGATGATGCTCTCAATATGATGCACCGTCAAGTATACATGTCAATGGCAAATGCACGTCGCGGGAGAAGTTGTATGGAGGTGCTCGCGTGAGAAGCGATGACGGCGACGCGTCGCGCGTCCGCGCTTTGCCTAAAAAGTTAAATGGAACCTCCGGCGTTGCACCACGACAACCCCGTCTCTCGTCGGTGCCACCATCTGCTAAACATATCACTCCACCCATTGTCCTGCCCCGTCATCGTCAAGTCAAGCTGGTGACGGCGAAATGAGACGAGATGGCCGTGGTGCGCGAGTCTCCCCATGCCAAACACTCGCCCGACAAGAGGGACACCCAATGGCCCCCCAAGTCACCCTTTGAAGCCCTGCTGTCCTCGCCGAGCGGGAGGCGAAAATGGCAGGATCGGAGGAACAGACTGGAGGCTCGCGACACCTCACCATCACCGGTAAAAGGAAGGGCCGCGGCAGCTATGGTTTCGGCGGACGAAGACGAAGGTGATGAGGATGAAGAGACGTTACGATTGAAGCTGCAGGCCATCGAGGCGAAGCTGAAGCTGAAAAAGTTACAGAAGGAAAAGGAGGACCAGAGGAGTAATGTCAGCACATCTAGGCTAACAAGAGCTGTCCCCTCGCCAACAAAGTCTCCGAGTCGGCCGGTGTTACAGCCACATGTCAATCGAGCGCCAGCAGAAGTCATTCAGGTCCCCCTCTCGCCTACGAAAGACCGATCCATTCCTCTCGGGGAGCACAAATCCCCTGCTCGCGCCCGACTCGGCCTCGATACAACCATTAAAGCGGACGGCGTATCCCTTAAGCGAGCAAGAGACGGCACACATCTCAGGCGAGCAAACTCTGCGGCAACAAGCACGACATCTTCCACGCCCAAGCCCAGCTTCAGCGAGCGTCTGGCACAGAGTCGTGCTGATGCACAGCAGAGCCGGGTAAAGCAAGAGCGAATCGACAATGCAAGGAGCAAAGGGTTTGGGAGTGCTGCGCAAGAGCCTACGCCGCGGTGGTCCTCTCCATCCACCACTTTGCATAGTTATGACTCGTCCGGGCTCTCATCTGCACACCAACCACTCGCCCCTCGAAGGCTTGACCCAGCGGCCAACATCATCCAGAGTTCCTCGACTCGTACGCCGCAGGCTTCTCGGGCACAGTCGCAGAGCAATGGCCTGCTCCCTGCGGGCGCAGGGGTCCAACCCGACTCTCAGAAGAAGGTCGGCTCCTCTGATGGCCAGGATTCCACTGCCGGCTTCGACCCATTCACCGAGCTCCACCTCAGCAAACGCCACATCCCACACGTCGCCATTGCGCGCGAGATGAGCGGCAAAGAAATCTACACGCTTCCCCGCCTCCTCAAAGAAGTGAAAGCGCCAACATACGAGCCTCCCGACTGCGAGAGCGACTACGTAGTCTTTGCCATCCTCGCCACGAAATCTCAACCGTTCGATCAACGACTAGCGCAACGCACCAGCGACGACCGTAAACCACAAGAAGATGCTGACCAGCCGCGGAACAAATTCATGGTTCTGCACCTCACCGACCTCAAATGGGAAGTCGATTGCTTCCTCTTCGGCACCGCGTTCGACCAGTTCTGGAAATTGACGCCAGGCACCCTGCTCGCCATCCTCAACCCGGGCATCATGCCTCCCAAAGGCAACCAGAATACCGGCCGCTTCAGCCTGAAACTCGGCAGCTCCGACGACTGCGTGATGGAGATTGGTCTCGCACGGGACTTGGCATACTGCAAATCAGTCAAGAAAGATGGCCAGCTGTGTGGGGCGTTCATCAATGGGCGCTCAGCCGAATTGTGCAACTTCCACCTCGACATGCTAGTGAATCGTGAGGGACGCAAGGGGAGAATGGAGGTCAACACCATGTGGCGCTCTCATCAAGATCGAGAGGAGTTTCGTCCTAGAAGCCACGCTCGAGCGGAAGGCGGCTTTGATAGACAAATGATCGACAAGAAGAAGAATGTTCGCTCCTACCACCCTGAACACGGATATATCTATTCCGTCCCAGGAGGAGGAAAGAGCGCGGCAACACTCCTCGACAAAGAAGATCTAGCCCCCCAAGACGCAGAAGCAAGTCGCCGCCGCATCGCCGCCGCGCAGCGCGAGCGCGATCTAGCGAAGAAACTCGCCAACATGGGTGGCAGCATGGGATCCGAATACCTACGCTCCAATCCCACCAACGCCCCCACCTCGTCCGACCCTAACAGTATCATCGACGTCTCTGCAGCAGCAAAGGCAGCACTCTTCGACAAACCCTCTGCAGCGGATCTGGGGCTCCTCGCCAACAAGGCCGACAATCAGCACCTCTCACCCGCCAAAGACCGCAAGCGGCATTTTGGACTCGGTGCGCTGTCCAAGACCAACGGCGGCCGGGATGCGGTGGGTTGGGGCGGCGCGCGGAAACCTGGCTTGCTTGCTGCTCCTCGGGAAGGGAGGTTGGGGAGTCCGGAGAAGGGGCAGACGTTTCTTGGAGCTGAGAGGGGGGTTGGAGGGGTATTGGCGGCCAGACGGGATGGGAGTGTGAGCCCGAGTAAGAAGCGGGCCCGTTTCGTGCTGGACAAGGGGATCCGAGAGCCTGGAAGAGAGAGTCTTGGGGAGATGATGATTAAGGACCGTCTCGCGGTTGGGCTTCACGACAATGACGATGACGACGACGACGAGCTGGATATTGTATAGGACATCGACTTAGACTCCGTAACATTTCCTGAAAGGCGATGCGGTGCCCATTGATCCCGCGCTAGAGTTTATCCCCGGAAGACGACCGGAGAGCGGCACGGAGTCTGGTCAAGGAGAATCCCGAGTACACTTGGTATCAGAACCATTCTCGACGTCAAGGGCTTGGACGTACGTGATATGAGAGACTGTTTACTACCAAGCTGCTCACGCCGGTGCCCTTAACATCTTCGCGTACTTCAGCGTATTATTACTCGAAACCACATCAGCAAGGCTGGGATTGAGGCATGCAATCACAGCCGTCTTGCACGGCCGGCTGGCCCACGGATCAAAAACGTGCTTCAACACCTTTGTCAATGTGCTATGACGACTGGGGATGTGCAACTGTCTCAGCTCTCTTTCGGATCCGCGTGACTTCAGTAGCGTGTACTGCGCTTTGCCTCGAATGCAGTCTTTGAGCACGGACAGACTAATGTTGATTTCTTTCGTTTCGCGCCTGCGATCTGCTCCGTGTGATGTGACGTCTCTGGCCGCTTCCGATCCCGCCAAATCGACTAGGAAGAGAATGCCACCGGGAGCGTCCGGGGTAGTATGTTTATTGCAGATGCGGACTCGACAGATACTGTGCGAGCGCGACGAAGCGTCATTTCTTAAAGTCGACGCGGTCCGGCGGTAAGTCGCAGCTTGATCGATCAAACTCAGCATTTCCACCGCCGAGCCGACTTGACATTCTTTCGCGCCGGCCAGTTGCATATCGCCCGCCGAATCCTGCCACACGGAAATCGGCTTGCGGGAGTCGAGCAAGTCGAACGCCGAATTGCCCGCAAGGTCGACAATGGTGACGTGGATGTCTTGTTCGGCGAGGACTACCTCTTCCGTCAGAGACACGGCGACGAGTCGTTGGAGCTGGCTGATTGTGTATGTCTTGCCGGAGCCGGTTTGTCCGTAGGCGAACAGGGTGCCGATGCCGCCTTGACGCGCAAAGGCGACGAGCTCGACGACGAGATCCGCGTAGATGGTTTCGGTGGTTGCGGTTTCACCGTACACCCGGTCTACCTCGTGCTTGGAAGACTGGGTCTTGTCAACAGGGGCGAAACAGCGGGGACGTGTAGCAATACCTTCAGCACTGGTCGTCCGCGCGGATGATTATGCAGATCGTGGAGGTAGACGGTCTGTAGTTCCCCGGGCGTATGCGTGGTTGTTGGATAGATAGCGCAAGGAAACCCTGCCGCATGGTCCTCTTCCAGCATCGGTCGGATGCGTGCCGCAGTCACAATATCCGATTTGTTTAACTCCGGTCGAGCTGGTTGCTCCACTTTGTCAGCCTTGTGGCGGCTAAAGTGTGCTGCGGGAACGGAAACATCAAGCGCTCCCACGAGCTGTTGGTATAGTTTGGCATTGTCTAGATAAAACTGGTCCATCGGTCAGGTATGCTAAGGCTGGAAAAAAAATGCGGTCGATCAAATATCCATTGAGAGGAAAGAAGGAGTGCGGCGAGACGTCGCGCCTTAAAACAAAGGTGGCAGCCTAACGTCGGCCTTGGCGTTGCTGCCTAAGGCCATTGCTGCAGCCTTGCACATAATCTCATCAAGGACTCGACGGATCACGGGGAATCTGATCGGACATTTAGCTAAGGGCTATATCTAGATAATCTGAAAAACGATCCCGCGGTTTATTGTCGACACACAAACCCCTAATACCCCGGTGGAGCCGCCGTCGGGCTATCATAGACTCTCACGGCATCGACTAAGAACGCCGTTCCGTCGTAATCTAACAAGTTCAAGACCACCTTGCTCCCTTTCTTCAGCGTCACCGGAAACGGAGCCATCTGCCCAAAGCTCGTCCCGAGAGTCGACTCCATGAGAGCGTTCCCTGGAGCAGCTTTCCCGTCAACGGTCACACCTATCTGTTGAAAATCGTTATTCGGACCAGGATACGTGTACACGATCTGCAGCACTTTGGCACCCGCGGATCCGTTCCAAGTGAATGAGAAATTGGTGGAGCTGGTCATGTTGGCCGCCTTGCCTCCGGCGCAACCATCGCCGCAAGCTACCAGAGTTTTCCTTGAGGTTGTCGACATCTTCGCGGTGATTAGTTCATAAGGCAGATCGGTCCACACTCCTGTGGCGGCATCGAGAGTCCATCCACCAGTGTAGTGGATGGACAGGCTGTTCCCTTTGTGTATCACGGGGTAGAAAGCGTAGGAAGATGTCGCGAGCTGGTTTCCATTCCAGTGGTCACCGAGATAAAGATAGAATTGCTGGGAGGTGCCATTGATGACAATGTCGTATGTGTTCTGGGTGAGATATGTATATGCGGTGTCGGGAGCGAGAAGAGTCGATTTCGACCAGGGGCCCGACATCGAGGACGCGACGTAGTACGCGTTGTTCGTGGGAGTCCTGGCGATGTTATTAGTACGAATCAATATTGTATGCAGTTGATCTACCTCACCATCCGTTCTGAGGGCTCTCGACAAGGTAGAATTTCCCATCAATCTTGAACACACCCGGAGCTTCCTCATACACTCCGTGGAACGTATACAGCGTCTTGGAGACGTTGAGATAATCGTCAGTAAGGCGGGCAATCGACAAATCGGCATTGTTGTTCGTAGCGTAGATGAGGTACGCCACTTGAGTATCAGGATCTTTCCAGACCGTCATATCGCGGCTCTGGTTTCCGAACGGCTGGAAATTGCCTTTCCATTCGTATTTCCCATCGATCGTCTTGCTTGTAGCCACGCCAACAGCAGCCTCGCTGTAGTCGGCGTTGTCCGCGTGCCACCACATGACGTACTCGGAGTTCTTGTCGTTGTACAAGACTTTTGGCCGCTGCAGAACCGACGAGTTCGAGATGTTTGTATTGGGGATCGGCGTTAGGACGGGGCCCACGAAGTCCCAAGTTGAGAAATCCGCTGACTTGTAGCAATTCACCGCTTCGAAGTGAGCGTCGGCCGCTTGTCCGGTCCGATCTGTTCCAAACCAGTACCAGTCGCCGCCACCGTTGCCGGCCTGGATGATACAGCCTCCGTGGGCTTGGATGAGGTCACCGGCGGAGTCGGTCATGTTCATCAGTGGGAAGAATGTTGCATTGGCGGCGTAAACACTCGGCAGAGAGAAGCCAAGAAGGGAGAACACCCCCAAGGCTGTGCTTGTGAATCTCATTGCTGCCGTCTTTACAATGTGGCTTGGATGAATACTGTGGGAAAGGCACAAGTTATGCAAACGAGGCTGGCGAGCACTTATTAAGGAAGTCACCCACCGGGGACCCCACGGGGCCGGAGTGGTCCACATCCCGAGGCACGGCGATCCTCATCTCGAATAGGGACGAACGCAGCAACGTCACGAGTCGAACAACGACACTACGGACGCATGAGATGCCGTCGCTTGCGCGTTCTGATCTTTCCCCTCATCCAATCTTTGGGAGCCTGTGCCGAATAGATTCAGAATCTTGGCTGCTCAGTGAGATGCGGCCCTTCCCTTGTAACTCCATCGGCGGTCGCTGCAAAATTACGCCGACCCGGGGATTAGATCGGGCTTAAGAATTCGTCAAGTCGGTATAAAACAGAAGTCATGTTGCGCTTCAAACAGACCAAGAACGACACCAATCAACAATGGCGTCCTCCCTTCGAACCGTAATCGTGACTGGCGGCAATGGCGGCATCGGTTGGGAAGCAGTCAAAGCCCTGTACACCTCCGACAAGCCATACTACATTTTCATGGGCAGCCGCTCGGCAAGCAAAGGCAAAGAGGCCAAGCAGCTCTTGATCGAGGAATGTCCTTCGGCCAAGAACACCATCGAAGTGCTGCCTCTCGACATTGACAGCGATGAATCGATTGAAACGGCGTTCCAACAAGTCTCGTCCAGTCGCGGCTCGATCGACTGTCTCGTCAACAATGCCGGTAAGCCAGTACATGATCGTCTACCCAAAGCAACGTTCGGCTGACGGCTACCCAGGAGCCAACTACGACATTGCGCACCTCAAAGGCGAAATGGGGCTCCGAGACTCCTTCACAAAAGCATACAACACCAACGTGGCCGGCACACACGTCATGACCCACACCTTCATGCCTCTCCTGCTCAAATCCACCGACCCTCGACTCATCTTCGTCGCAGGCCTGGCTAACATCACTCGCGCGGCAGAGAACTATTTCCCCGCCCCCAAAGTGCCCGCCGGCTGGCCGAAGCCCAACCCCGGATTCGAAGTCATCAGCTACCGCGCCAGCAAGTGCGCGCTCAACATGCTGATGCTGGACTGGAACTACAAACTCCAGGCCGACGGCGTCAAGGTGTGGTGCGTTGGGCCCGGAATGTTGGCGACGAATCTGGGCGGATTTGGTAAGGAGAAGGCGGCCGCGATGGGTGCTGGGCATCCCAGTGCGGGAGGTGATATTATCCGCAGGGTGGTTGAAGGCGAGCGGGATGCCGATACTGGCAAAATCGTGATTAAAGACGGGGGCATTTCTCCGTGGTAAGGGGGCGACGTACGCCCATCTGACAGCGAGCGCATTGGCCTGCTAATATGCCGCTGGGACAGCGCCTGTTCTAATTCAACGTGTTCCATGCTCCACAGTTCCCATTCCCCAACACAAAGGCAGGTGCGGCATCCGACTGAGTGTCTACTTCACCATTCCCACCACTTGCCTGCCCAGCGTCACACGAATCTGCCGCGAAGATAACACAATACTCCCCTCCCTCGTGCCATGCCCAGTACGCTCCTGCTGGTTCGAGGATCGCGGCGACACAGCAGTCGTAAGCCGAACCACTGGCACCAGGATTGATCCCGAAAACCGTGAGGCTGGCGTCCGGCTGGCCATTCTCAATCGCGAGGCCAAACACCTGATCCGCTCGATTGGGAGTTTGGCAGGCGCCGTACACGCTTGTAGAGCTGGTGAAGGAAGTGAAGATGTCTGTTTCGGTGGATGTGGTGGTTGCCGTGGACGTTCTGGTCGCGATGTGAGCAGCTTTGGCCTGGAGCGCACATGAATGCATCTGACTTACGTGGTGTCTGTTTCCGTAGTTGTCATTGTGATGGTCGTTACGGCTCCGGGTGTGATTGTCTAGATATAGTTCAGCACGGAGCCGTGAAGCAAGTTCGCAGCGAGGAATTAAACACTTACAACTGTTGCGGTCGATGTTGTTGTAATGGTAGAAGTTTGTGCCGTGGCGTGTGATGTAACCGTGGTGGTAGTGGTAGTTGTGGTACATCTGCCCCAGTAGTGATAACAACAAGCGTCACCATAGTGCTGCGGTCGTCCCCGTAGTCCTCCTCCTGGGGAAGACTTCTTCGATGAGGCTCCCAAGGAGGTACCGAAGTCGCGCATAGCTCTTTTCTCGTTCGGATACGCCAGTGAGTCGTTAGATCCAGGCAGCGTGGTTTGAATTGGCAGGAAGCCAGCGGACGCCGGGATTGTACTGGTTGAGACGACGCTAGTGGTGGTCGACGTTGTTGCTGTATCTGTCATTGTGGTGGTATCTGTCTCAGTCGTCATTATCGTCGTCGTGGTCGTTGCAGTAGCGGTAGTCGCGGGAGCAGTCGACGTGGTGCTTGAGAACGTGGATTAGTGCAATGCTTGTGGCTACTGTCTCATCCCGAGATGCTTACGTTGTTGTCGAGATGACAGTCGAGGTCGAAGGGGTTGGCGTAATCGTAGTCGTCTTGGTGATCGTGCTGGTTTGGGCGCACGACGTTTGTATGGATGACCAATGCGTCCAACGCGATTTTGGTGGGTTCCAGAGCAATGTCGTATCTAGAGGGATGTGTGCACGGTCAGACAATGAGATGGATATGTCAGACGAGGCTACTGCCTAATGCCAGGCACTCACAGCATTGAGTCATCGAAGGCTCTGAAGCTGGATGGCCGTGTCCATGCCGTCCTGGCTGGGGACTTGCCGATGCGACGGAGACAAGGAGGTAAACGAATGCAAAGAGTGAAGGAATCGAGTAGAGGCCCATCTTGCTGAACAAGGGAAGCAAGAGCTAGGAGACTTGCGAAAGTCGAAGAAGAGCGAACCGAGGGGGACTTATCAAATACATCCGAGTAATTAAACAAGAAGAATCGGAACCTACAGACCATCCTTAAGAGGAGTTCAGGAGAGAGACGGCGCATCGGGCAGGGGTGGCCGACCTCTGCGCATGAAGCCTGCACGAGAATACGAGTCTGGACGTGAATACGAGGTCGACAGATGAGGGCTTGCTGTCCGGACCAATCTGCATCACTACATTAGTGCACGGCTCGAAAGCGAACAAGCCTATGTAGGGTCAGTCGCCCCTGTTTCTATCTGCAGGTATGTAACTCTAATTGCCTTTGAGCCGAGAATGGTACTTCGCCCCTGAAAGATCGAAAGCCGCAGGCCCGTGTCCGTGGTGCTTCTCTAATGTCAAGAACGCCTGGTTGTTCTATACAGGCCTTTAGTGATTGTATTCATCGCTGGGGTTGAGCTTGCACTCCACGGGGTCAAGACGACGCTATAAAAGGTAGTTCCAATGCACAGTGAGGGGTTAGTGCACGTGAGTTTCGATGTAATCTCCGCTAACGTTTGTTGGAAAGCAATGTACGATGCATCAGTCTCGTGCTTATACGAGCTGCGAGGTACGTACTGAGGCTAGGGTGTAGGGTGGGCGATGCAGGTGCTATACGCTTGCGATGCCCAAAGAGAGTGACTACGGGCGGCCACAGCTTCCCCATTCGGCTCGCGAATTCGTGGAAAACGGCCACGATCGACCCTCGCTTCCTCGTCGCAATGACTTGACGTCTGAGTGTTGTATGCAACAGCGGCAGACCTTCATCGCCGGCATCGTACTCGAGCGCTTGATCGACTGAATTGATGGGATGACCCCACCTCACGCTAGCATTTACATGTGCTCTCTTCTAGGCAATTACTTCTTCCGTCACCTCTGCGAAACGGTTACCAACATCACACAATTGTTGGGGAAGCTCTGACCGACAAAGAACCAAAGAACAACCCAGAACCAAGGTATTCGCCACGTCGACGACGAAAGGAGATACCACATGAAGACTCGCAGTGGGGCAAATTTGCAGAGGATAGAGGAAAAGGTCTAGATCTGCGAGAACCTCGCCACGTGAATCGAGCCATTCGAAAGCAGGGCATCTATCCCACAGACAGTCCGAGCAAGCCACCATTCAAGTGCATCAAGTACATGCTGCCCGAGCGCGTTAAGCGCACGTCGAGTTGTCTGCCCATCTCATCATGATCAAACTGCTGGAGTAGCCTTTGCCGCAGGCATACTCGAAGGAGAAAAGTAGTAAATGGAAGGGGGACCATCGCACACCTAATGTTCGTTGTCAGCGGCTTGAACCTCTCAAGTACGGACGGGGCATGGTTGGGCATACGTAATAGCCCTGAATGTTTTGACAGATTTCCACTTGCAACTGTCCGGGCGCGACGGTCTGGGCGACACACGGACAGCTCAGGTACTCGGATGCGCATTGGATTGTTCGCGAGTTCGGGCAGAACGGCGGTGCCGTGGTTGTTGGCGCAGATGTTGTCGTCTGCAGCGTGGTGTTTTTCTTGGACTTTGTGGGTGTTGAAGTCTGTTTAGTGGATGTGGATTTGGTGGAGGTGGAGGTGGAAGTGTGTTTGGTGGAGGTGGAGGTGTGTTTGGTTGATGTCGAGGTGTGCTTGATGGATGTTGAGGTGGTTGAAGTCGACTTCTTCGACTTGGGCTCTCGTTTGTCAATTACACCGCCAGCCAAGACGACGGGGATCAAAGCCACGAGAAGCAGTGTTGGGACCTTCATGATGAGTTTCTGAAATGCAAGAAGTAGTTTCGATGAGGGTTGGATGGCGAAAGATCGACATTCATCGACGGAGATGAGGGTATATATATGTTTAAGCGTGAAAAAGGCGTCGGGCACGTTGCATAGCAGATCAGGCCATGGAAGGGATCTAGAAGACGCCACGGTCAGCCATATCGAGCGCAAACAGCCACATGGCTCCCCGGGCCTCGCCAAAATGTTGTCCTAATGCGGCACTCAGCTGCTGACCGCCAGCCTAATGCAGCTTTCAGCTCTACTGCTGGCCGCCGATGCTCTACGACCGCGGCCGGCGAGCCCGAGTGGCGTTTTGTTCTGGAACATCCGGGCCGCGGAGCGCCTGGCTGGTGTGGTTGGATCAAGCTTCCATCGCCGAGACCCTGAGATTCTTGATTGTTTAGCGTGAGTTTCATCCCGCGAAAAACTGCCAGCCGATGCCTCACTGGTGGGCTTTCTTCCGCCACGTTGGGAGTGGCGTGCGCTATGCTCGTTCATCAGGAGATGTGGCTGTGAGGGGAGGGCGACTCGTGCCGAGTAGAGGCTCTCTTCAGATGTCCAGCTCTCTGTGACACAGGAATGAAACAGAGAAGCTGTCTGATAAGACGATTGGAACGCATGTGCCAATCTAAGTGCTGACATTGCTCATCCCACAAACTTGGTAACCAGTTTGCCAGAGACGCTGCGGCCAAAGATCTCAAGCCACACCTTGGGAATCTCCTCGAAGCTCGCCACTCGCACCGTCTCCTGCTGCTCGTCCACAACGAGCGTGCCGTCTTCCACAGCCTTGATTAACAAGTCCGCAGCCTCGCTGCGCCGATTCCACACATCGTACACGACAAACCCTTCGAGCTTGATGCGCATGCTGACGACATCAAACCAGCTTTTCACCCCATATGCCTCCGTCTTCGGCTGGTTGTACATGCTGATCAGGCCACACACGGCGACGCGGCCGTGGCGCGCCATCCGTGTAAGCAGAAGGTCTAGCGTCGACCCTCCAACATTGTCAAAGTAGACATCCACCGCTCTCTCCGGACCCTGCGTGGCCTGCTTCAGGTCGGCAACAAAGTTGGGATCGTTGTAGTTAAGGCAAGCATCTGCCCCGAGCTTGCTGACCACCCACTCGCATTTCTCCGCCGAGCCCGCGATCCCCACCACGTACTTGCACCCGATGTAGCGCTTCGCGAACTGCACCGCAATGCTCCCAATGGCACCGGCCGCGCTGCTAATGACCACCACATCGCTCGGCTTGGCTTGCGCGACCACGACCAGGCCTTGCCAGGCCGTGAGGCCCGAGACGCCAAAGAAACCCAGGTGGTGCGAGGGACTCAACCCTCTCGGCAGCGGCTTGGCCAACTGTACATCCTTTGAGCTCACAATGAAGAAATCCGTCCAGCCTGTCATCGACACAACGAGATCTCCAGGCTTGAAAGCCGCGCTTGTCGATTCGAGGACTTCGCTGACGGTGCGCGCGCGGACCAAGTCGCCTTGGTTTAGGGCTGTTGCATAGAGGCGCTCGGGCTCGAGGTCCTTGTAAATCCAGCCGCGAGGGGCAGGGTCGTTCGACAGGAATAACGTTTTGAGTAGAACCTGCTCAGGATGCAGTGTGCTGGGCAAGGGCACGGTGGCCATTTCAAACGTCGCATCGGGACCGGTGAGTTGCGGTAGGTGAGTTGGACGCTGCGCAACGCGCCATTGCCTGGTAGATGTTGGCCAACCGCTCATACTCGATCGATAGATGCCAAAGGCTCCTTTGCACTGTCTTTCCTAGTGGCAATGGACGTGATCTCTCGGCCACGGGTAGATGCAGGGAAGAGGGAGCAGTCCGGTATGGATGTGGCAAACGAACCAGTCCGCGACATGAATGCTATCCGTAGGCTTCGGACATGAATTTGATGGAGTTTCTGCTTGAGCAAGCGTTAGCCGGAGTCCCGGGTTTGACAGCGCCGAATCCCGTGATGGCCTCACATCAGCGCAACAGCTTTATTTGCATACCTACTACTGTTAGCCTACCTTGGCTGACGGATAAAGTCAAATGCAGACAGAGCTGCGACTCTATCCCTCGCTGATGTAGATCAGCGTAAGCTGACGTGCCAGGCATCAGCTGTGGGACCTCAAAAGGCCCCTCAGCCCGCATTTCAATGGCCATCCTCCCAACCCTACTCGGAAGCAGTGGATTTCCCATTGAACAGAAAATAGGAAGCCTTCCATTTCTTCATCAAAACCACCATATACCTCTCGACATGGCGGAAGCAGCCCCGCACTACGGCACCCTCCGCTTCGACATCCCCGACCAATCCTCCACGTCTGAAGAGCGCGGCCTCTTTGCGCCTCCCGGAGCGAAAGAGGTGGTGTACGAGAAACTCCCGCTGCACAACTTTCACACCTCCCCCGATGTCGTCAAGGGAGGCGCAGGCCTCGATGTGCAAGGCTTCACGTGGATCCAGCATCGCTCGGTGCTTCAAAACTCGGACCAGTGGCTTGAGGGGCAGAACATCGAAGCCACATATCTCGCCGAGTGCGAGGATTTGATTTGCCGGGCGACGGGGGCGAAGCGGGCAATCGCCAACAATGCCTTCTTTCGTCGTAGGCCCCAAGATGACATGTCGGATCCGAAGCATGTGCATCTCCGCGATACGCCGTTGGACAAGGCAATCGGCCAGCTTCCCCGAGATGCCAATTACGGTAAGTCTTGATGGACAAGTGGACGGCGCGAGAGGCTGTCATTGAACTAAATGGCCATAGTCTTCGGTCGGGACGCGGCAGAGTCGTCGCTGCCGCCGGCGAGGATGGCTCACTCGGACTATTCCGTCACAGGCTTGCGGAGCTCCGTCCGGTACTGTCGAAAAGACATTTGCGAAAAGGCAAGCGAGGCACTCGAGGCGGAAGACGAGAAGAGTGCCCACATTCCTCGCTACGCTGCGTACAGCGTGTGGCGGCCGATCAAGCCTGTGAAGAAGGACCCAATTGCCCTTTGCGATTGGCGGACGATTGACAAGCAAAACGAGTCTACGACTATCGAATACCGCGCTACCAGCGGCGTGACCGAGAATGGCGAGTACATCATCCAAGGCCTCATAGGTCTTCCGCCAAAACACCCCATCAAGCAGAAATGGTACGTCGAACTCTTGCGCTGCCCACGAGGTGCTGCCCAGCCGCTAACCATGCTCGTCGTATGTGTAGGTATTGGGTGCCGGAGCAGAAACCCGACGAGGTGGCGATTATCAAGTTTGCGGATACTGCTGGTGACACCGACCAAGACGTCGCTCAGGGCTGCCTGCACCTAAGTCCTGTGGTCGAGGGGACAGAAGGTGAGGCGGGCAGAGAGAGCATTGACGTGCGGGTGTTTGCATTTTGGTAGCTTGGTTGCTTCCAGGTGGGATCATTGGGAGTCAGATGCTTCTTATGCAACATCGACGAATGTATACTTTCCCTGCCCCTCTGCTCCTGGCTCATGAAGAGAAGCTGTGTAGGCCTTGTATTTGACGAAGCCAAAGACTGTATACAAGGCATGGCTGTAAACCACAGCCGTCGCGTTCGGATAAGAGCTCAGATGCGACTTCTAATGACCCCAACTCCACGACGCCAGCGATCCGAGATCACGGAAAGCGAAGAGCGCCGACTACATGCATGAAATTCACGAGACCCGTCTCTTCACGAAGCAGAGCTCTGCAGATGTACCTGGTTCGGCTGCACAAGCAAATCCTCGCCCGACGCGGCCTAGCAATCGGTAGTCGAGCTGCTGTAGATTTCCGAAAGGAAGGAGTACGAGGCATAATTTGGACATTCTCCAGGTGCCAAGCCCGGGTAGCTGGCTGAATAGCCGTACACATACGACACCGTGTCGTCCGCTTGATTGAAGTAGGTCGGATCGGTGTTTTCCATGACGTAGAGGACACAGCTCCATATTCCCGTGGCGATGACTTGAGACAGAGTGAACGACTTCTTGTCGCTGTGATGTTGTACGTTAGCAAGCCAGCGCGTTGCCCAGGTTCCATCATGTTGGACTTACGGCCCGTTTGCGGCTTCGGCTGCGCAAGCAGCGATGGCCTCACACGCTGTATCGGTGGAGGGATACGTGCGCGTCTCGGCCAGGCGTCCGCCCGGGTTGACCGGGTTAATCGCGACGCTGCATCCAGAAAAGTAGTTGGTGTAGACGATATCTATGTCACGCCCATGGAACTCCTCGTAGCGATAAGTGCCGGTCCGCCCGTCGAGCGGCCCTCCCTTGTCAGGCAAATTTTCTGTCATGCAAGGGGGTGGAGAGAGGGCATAGGCGGTGGCGGTAGATTGCACGGTGGTCGTTATCGACGACGGTGTCTGAGTGATGGTTTCCGAAACCGTAGATGTCACCGTTTTTGTCGAGACCGAGTTGGTGACGACGGTTGTTTTCCGTACCGTGTGTGTGTGAGCTGGTGCAGTCTTCCTTACCGTCGTGGTAGACTCCGCAATGTGCAGGCAGCTACATGCCGAGGAAAGGGCGGCGCCGGGCGAGTAATGAGAGAAGCATGAAGGCTTAGCCTTGGGCGAGCTGTCGCGCTTAGAGAGTGGTGCAGGGCAGGTATCTGTGGTCGATGTAACAGTAGTCGTGCCGCTGCTGACGGTGATTGTCGTGATAGAGCCTGGCACTGGGACGGCGTTTGTTATAGTGACTGTGGTTATCCTAGAATCGGCGTGCAATTGTCAGAGATGGAAAGAGAGATCGAATGGGCGCGATTTGTCACTCACGACGCTGGCGCAGTTACATGAGAGGTGATTGTCGTAGTTGTGGTTCCAGCCCATGGGGTCGTTGCTACGGTGCGTGTCGAGACGGGGATGGACAGATAGGATGAGCAAAACGCCGTCGCAGCAGACTGCGCTCTTGCGAGGGTGACAAGCTCATTCACGTCGGAACAAAAGTTGTTGGGTGAGTGAAGTCCAGACCAGCCTGGGCCAGGCAAAGCCGTAATGATGCTAGCAAGACCGGCAAGAAGAGCACCCACGCTAAGTCGTGGGAGCAGCATCTCCGCAAATGGGCTACGGCAAGTGCTGTAAGAGACAGTAGGGAAACAGGCCGGCAGAAAAGGTAAGACTCGTCGCCAGTGATCTTGCGGTGGGGAACGGTTGCTTATAGAGCTTCCTCTCACACAGCGTAGGGCCAAGGCGCTCTAGAGCAGCCACATGGACTACCTCATGACGGCTGCACCATACGGCGCTACCGAATGGGCATAGTGAAAGGAGAAGCGCCGTCCATCGCGATCAACCTGGCCGAGAAGAGGATCATGGGAGGTGAGCAGGCGCAAGGGCGGGCCGGCTCGCAATCTCGCGGGTAAACAAGATGCAGCCGTCCATGCAAGCAACGCATTGAAGAGGACGATCTAGAGAGCATGGAGCCAGTAAATATGCGCCAAGAGTTGTTCCGTGCATGTGCCGCGAGCGCTAGCTAGATGAAGCACTCACGCGGCTCCGTTACGGCCGTAAGACCACCGTGGACATGCTGTAAGACACGTACCTTTCTTCAATCGTTAGGGTCGCAGAGCATGTGCAGACGCCGCAACAACGAGTACAAGAAGTGTGCTTCTAGAGGGCCAACAGAGAGAATTGCAATACGTGAAGAAGCGTCTAAGGCTTCTTGCTGCGGGCCTTTCCTCCGCGCTTTCAAACTCTCATCACCGCCACAAGGCTAGGGCGATCCTAGCCTCCGCGGAGTCCCCAACTTTTCCCCTTTACAACATCTTGGCGTACTTGGCACGCTGTATGTTTGGCCAGCGGAGGACTCCGTGCAGCAATCATGCTTGCTCTGGCTCGGCTCGAAGGCGTAGCTCCTTCTGACCTGTGCACTCCCCGCTAAGAAGCACCAGGCCTGGCCACCCAAAGCTTGCGCATGGCCGAGAAGATGTCTCCATGCCATCCCCAAACCCAATGCCTCCGCCGCTTGTCTGAGACGGCATTCCTACTCTCCCCTTCCATTTCATTAGCCATGCCATGACGCTCTCCCTCGTGCTCGGTCTCCTTCTCACGCCTCACTCAGCATGTTGTCTCCGATCCTGGCTCTCGCTTCCTTGATTAGCCTGGCAACGTGTGAAGGACCAATCCACGACTATCCTGATGACCGCGATCTTCACTCGTTTGTGACGGTGCGTTTGGCCGCGATGCCGATTTTGCGTACAGCCGGAGCTAACAGCCACACAGCGACCCGATATTCGAAGTCCACGCTTCAACGTTTCCGTCTACAAACCAGAGCTCGTAACTCCCGGCTACTGGTTTACAGCCCCATACGTGGACCTGAAAGATCGCCTGCCCACTGCCCTGTATTCCCCCGGCCAAACGGGCCCGCACATATACGACGGCCGCGGAGACCTCGTGTGGTGCGGATCCCACTTATTTGACGACCGTCCCACCTTCGATTTCAGAGTTGCCCATCACAATGGATCGCAATACCTCACATTCCTCGCGCGCGAAGACTTGCACGAGTTTATCTCCCCGGGAGGCTCGGGCCATTTTCTCGACACCTCGTACAACTACCATGGGCACCCCGTCTACCAACCCAACGGCCGAGGGATCATGAATATGCATGAGTTCAGGACGATCGGCGATGGAAAGCGTGCCCTGACTGTCACCCACGAATCCAAGTTCTTCAACATCAATGACGGGAGCCCCATGTACGACATGCAAATATTTGTGGGCAACAACGGCTTTAGCGAACTCGACCTTGCTACGGGCGAAACGGTGTTCTCGTGGTGGGCTTTGGACCACGTTCATATCTTTGAGACCGAATCGGGGCAACCTGTAAACGCCGGTACTCCTGAAAGTCCGTGGGACTTCTTTCATTTGAATTCAGTGGACAAAAACGCCGAGGGTGACTACCTGATCTCCGCTCGTCACACGAGTACCATTTACAAGATCTCTGGCAAAGACGGCTCGATCTTGTGGCGTCTGGGCGGTTCAATATCTGACTTCACGCTGGAAGGATTCAACATGAGCTCCCAGCACGACGCTCGTTGGGATACCAGCGACGACACCGCGACGAAGCTCACCTTCTTGAATAACCATTCCGGCCGGCGCGTCACCACGGCTACAACGTCTTCTGCGGTGGAGGTCGTCCTGAACATGACAACGATGACCGCGAGACTTGCAAGGCAGTGGGATCGTCCAGATGGCCAGTTGACAGACTTACGCGGCAACGCACAACGCCTGGATAACGGCCATATGTTCGTGGGCTGGAGCGAGAATTCGTACATCACCGAATTCACAGACGATGGCCACGTGGTCATGGACGCGCAGATGGCCAGTCATCGATTCAGCACCTATCGCACGTACAAGTTCAACTTCACCGCGACTCCCAGCGAACCTATCGCCGTCAAGGCCTTTGTGTACGGCGTGCGTCCGGAAACAAGCACGACAGTGGTGTATGTGAGCTGGAACGGCGCAACCGAAGTCGTCCAGTGGAGGTTCTGGGCGTCCGCTTCGGACGGCTTGGAGACTGTTGGTAGTACGGCAAGGACCGGCTTTGAAACCATGTTCATGGCGAATGGTGCTTTCCACGAAATCAAAGCCGAGGCTTTGGACATTAATGGGAACTCCCTGGGCTTCTCGGATGTTGCAAGTGCTGAGCTGCCCGTGTCGTGGGAGTTGCACGACACTGAACTCCAGGAACTGGGCGGACAGGGTGCAAGCGCGCCTCAACGTTTCCACAGCGGCATTGCAGGACTCGAAGAGACACAGACCTCAACGCCCGACGTTGAGACAATCGAGAGTGGTGACGAACGAGAAATCCCAACCTCCACGGGGTTCGAATCGACACTGCCAAAACTGATTCAGCAGGGGCACAGTGTGACTGTTGTCTGCGCATTTGCGCTCATGGGCTTCCTGTCCCTGGCTGTCATCGCCAGCCTGCGAAGACGACTCAAGCGACGGCGATACCACTCCAGCTCGCGAGGGAAGTACGAACTCCTGCGCGACGAAGTTTGACCGGAATTGGGGGTCTGCACAGTCCACTTTCTGCTGCTTAATAGCACAATGCTTATGCACGCTTTCAAGCGAGAGTCAAGCACGAGCAAGCTGAAGTCCATGAGAGCCAACCTATGGACGAGGTGCAGTGGAAGGAAACTCATTCGACTTGTTCTCAACAGCTCGGCGTGCCTTGCCGGGGCGGTCTCGCTCGCTTGATACACGCAAGAGCGGTTGTTGGACATCCCAATCAATCCACATCCCAGCTCCGCGCCATGGGAAAGAAGATCGAATGACTTGACAGAGGCGTGCGCGGGAGATAGATGCGCATAGTTGGATAGCTTTATGTTTATCATGTATATCTATTCAACTGATCGCGTCAAGCTATGACTCGCCTTTTCTCTACCTCACCGACGCTTCGTCTCGACGCTGTGTTCGAGGATGCTAAAGGTACTGCTGACTGAGTCGAGATGCACCATCGTGTTGAGAGGGATAGTGAGAACCGGAGTGGTATGTCCGATATCGACATCGACCAGAATCGGGAAGTCGGTACCTCGCGTCTGATTCAGAATAATCTGGCGAAACTCGTGGTTCTGCTCGTCATCGTAATGTGCCGGCCTTCCGACCACGAGGCCCTTGATGGCAGTAAAGACGTTCAGGTTGCGAAGAGACGCCAATTGTGCCCGAACTTTGTCCAGCGGGACGCCCTTGTTGCCATCTTCATTCAACGATGTCTCCAGTAGCAGGATTTTGTCCTGGAAGTCGGGCCAGAACTTGGTGCCAGGTAGATTCATGAGCGGTTCGAGACAGCCTCCGAAGATCCTGCCGTTGGCCGAGCCCGGGCGAAGCCAGCGTCAGCCGGGGTTCGGCTTCATGGTCGATGCGACGTCAGACTCGGGCGGGTCGTCAAAGACGCCCGTCACTACGTCGCATTCCGCAGCAATTGGGAGGGGGCCCCCAGCTTGCTGTCCTGATGCAGTCACAACATCGAAGAAAGCCTTGATGGTGAAGCTGTTCGGCGTTCCGGAGCCACCGAACGGATCGATGACCATGGGACCGTAAAACGTGCGGAGGCCGGTTTGGGTGAAGATGCCGCAGTGAAGGGAGGTGATGTCCGAAAAGCCAACGAAGATCTTGGGATTGGAGCGGATGAGCGGGTAGTCCAGCATGGGGAGAAGCTCGTGCGACTCGGCGCCTCCGACCGTACAGATGATCGCTGTCACCGCGGGGTCGCGGAATGCCTCGTGGATTTCATCGCAGCGTTGCTGCACCTGCGCACCGAAGTCGAGGTCGTCGATTGGGGTGTAGATGATTCGGACTTGGTAGCCCTGATCAATCAAGAACTGCTGCCCGCGAGCAAGGTGGTCTGGCAGGAGGGCATTTGGGCGAAAGGCTGGAGAGATGACTGCAATTGTGTCGCCTTTGCAGAGCGGTGGTGGGAAGAGACCGGTTTCTTGCTCCATGCAAAATTCTTTTCGACTCCTTCACGAAGTCTAATGAGCCGTTTTACTAGGTACTTTTAGCGAGACAGAAGACCGCCTGAATTTATAGATTCGCCAGGAGGGAGTCGGCATTGGGAGAGCGGTGCCGTTAATTCAACAATGGCCGGTTCCAGATTCTTGCTCGAGTCGATGTGTCAACTCCGGTCTCCAATCAAACTCCGGGCCTTCATTTAACTCCGTTGTCCAAGTCAACTCCGTACTCGTACAGACACATCGCTTTGGAGGTATCGAGGGGTATGAGGAGCGAAAGCAAAGAAAGAAAACAATCGAACCGTCTGCTCGGTGCTGCAAGGCAAGGTAGTATATTTAGGAACAGCCCTGTGTAAATCTGTCTAACTGATCTCCGCCTTGCAAACTGTGGGATCAGACCCTGCAGTCTTCGTGGGGGTCGTCAAAGCTTACTCATTCATGCTGTACTTCACCGTTGATGCTCCCGAGCTCCCAACCTCCGCTCGTCTCGACTCACCTCTGTTGTTGGCAGTGTTTTCCAAATATATTCAATTCGTCACACTAAGCTTCAACGTTCGGAGACAGATGGCAGAGAACAGGTGAACCCGTCCGATCTCACATACTCAAGCTGCCAATCGGATGAATAGTACTCAGGTGGGAGACCACTGGGGAAGTCCATCTACTGAACGTTCCTTTTTTTTGCTCTTCCCTTGCAATTCCTTTTGGATCTCTTAGCGATGCTCACTTCAACGTCTATCGATGCCTGATAAGGTAGTAGGCGGCGTCTACATTTGCTCCGGTTCGTAAGCCGCGAGGTATCGGTCAGGAAACATGATTCCTCACGACATCCGCACCGAATCTCGACCATTTCGCTCCACAGAACCTGCCGCATCAATGTAGTCACACGACGGGTAGATCCAAGCAGTCCAAATCGTGCTAATTGGACATCTCGTGGAACTCACCGGGCAGCAACAACCCCACTCCTTCCACCGTCATCCGCATGAAATCTTTGTCATCTACATGGCTTACTACATACAGCTCTAGATGCATCTGACAACCAGCCTCTACTGCTTTCGCAGCGTTCGTGTCACCATAACACCGGCGATATGCTGAATTACCAAGATTGAGGGTCCAGCTTGTGTTGCCACAGCATGCAATGACGGCAGCCATCTTGCAACGTGGCAGCGTAAAAGTCCCTCCGAGGGGTCCGGTATCCTGTCGGTCACACATGTGGCTTCGATGTCGCCAGAGCGGGGCTGGTGGACGCCGGAGGCTATGGATCGTGCATGTTCGTGGATTCTGAGTAAGGTCCGCAATATCGCGCGAGGAGAGATATAAAGGGCGTCGAGACTGACGCGCTGGCAATCACATCCCGCCATTGAGACTGGATACGTTACCATGCGCCACTTCTCCATCTTCCTCGCCATCCTAGCCCGCCTTGGGTCGGGGGTAGTTGCTCAGAATGTTGCCAATCAAAAGGTAACGCATGGCCTCGGCCTCGGAGAGTGCGGACGACTAATTGGAGCGTCAACAGATCGAGCAGCTCCAAGCTGATATGAAGGACACCAACGGCCAGATTGACACCACCGACAATGCAGTCCCGGCCAATACCTCCAATTCGCTTCGAGCTGGCCCACGAGGCTACAATCTCCTCGAGGACACATCAGTCCGCAAGAAAATGATCCACTTCGATCGTGAGCGGGTCCCCGAGCGCGTTGTCCACGCACTTGGCCATGGTGCATATGGTCAGTTTGAATCCTACGGAGACTGGAGCAACCTGACTATGGCTTGCTGGTTGCAAGAGGGAGCCGTCAGTGAAGCGTTCACTCGCTTCTCCGTCGTCGTGCCAAGTATGGGCGGAAGCGAGAATGGAAGAGATACGCACGGCTTTGCCACGAAGATTTACAGCCAGTGCGGTAATCAGGATCTCGTGGGCAATCACGTCTCATCCTTTTTCATCGACGACGGCGCCGCCTTCCCCGATCTTATCCACGCCGTGAAGTACGAGGCCAACAAGGGGTTTCCGACGGCCGGCACGGCTCATGAGACTGCTTACGACTTCTTCAATCTCCATCCGGAAGGCGCTTTCCAGCTGATGAATGTGCTCTCTGATCTGGGTGAGCAGCCTTCCCATATCCTCACGAGGGTTGTTTGGTGCCGAGCTTACTGGTCGCAGGAATTCCTCGTGATGTCCGCCACATCGCCGGCAACGGCATCCACACCTATCGCTTCATCAATGCTCAAGGCAACTCGACGCTCTTCAAGTGGTATTGGCAGCCGGTGCTAGGCCTTCGTTCTCTCATCTACGACGAAACACAGAAGCTGCAGGGAAAGAACAACAATTTCATACGCATCGACATGTACAACAACATCGCGGCTGGCATCTACCCTGAATGGGAGTTTGCAGTGCAGCTCTTCCCCGATGATGGAACGTATATGTACCAGGGCTACGACCTCATCATCCCTACCGTCATTGTTCCGTTCGAAGTCAACCCACCCATCAAATTGGGAAAGCTGACACTGAACCGCAATCCAACCAACTTCTTCGCTGAGCCCGAGTCGGTTTCATTCGCACCATCGAACGTAGTCGATGGAGTCACCTTCGTGCCGGACCCGCTCCTTCAATGGCGACTCATGGCGTACGACGATACAACAACGCACCGGCACGGCTCGCCAAACGGCTACACCCTGCCGGTCAATCGCCCCATTGCTCCATTCAACAACAACTATCGCGACGGCTACATGCAGCCATACCTCTACGAGGGAGACTCGACCTCAACTCCCAACGACATCGGCGGCGTTCAGGAACCTTCGCAGAATCAAACGCTTGAATACATCACCGCGGGGGCAACGGCTGGGTCGGGCCCGATAGGCAGATACCGAGCTCAGTACGACTGGTACGGCCAAGCCCGGACGTTCTGGGGCGCCATGGATATCTACGCTCGGCAGCACACGGTCGACGCGTATCGCTTCGAGCTTGGCAACATCGGTGTCCCGGCGGTGGTGCAAAGATACGTTGACCAAACTCTGAACAATATTGACAACTGCCTCGCCCGCCGAGTCGCCTACGGTGTAGGTGCAGAGATGCCAGCTATCGGATCCGGACCGACGACGAATGTCACCAACAGCACCACGCCTTACCCAAGCTTATACCCACTGAACCCCGGCCAGGAGACAAACAAGAGCAACGCAGGTCTCACCGTTGCTGTGGTAGCAGGAGACAACATGTTCGGCCCCGCAGACATGCAAGCCATGATGCCGCTGCTCTCCGCGCAGCAAGTCGGCCTCGCCGTCGTAGCACCACGTATCGGCACGCTGCAGAGCGGCGTGACAGCCAACGCGTCCTTCACCACCACCAGCAACCTCTTCTACGACGCCGTGTTCTTCGGCTCCATCCCAACTCGACCATTGCGCTGACCAACGGCCCCAACAACAATGCCATGGCGTTCGTCATGGAGGCGTATGGACACGGCAAGGCGATTGGTGCGCTTGGGTCCACGGGCCAGAGTGCTCTTGTGGCGCTGGGCATCGCGGGTCAGCCGGGTGTCTACTCGGGCAGCACCTCCGACGTGACGCAAGATGTGCTCACCGCGCTGTCTGGACCGGTCAGGTTCTGGCAGCGTTTCCCGACCGACAATGTGACGGCCATCTGTGGTTCGTCTCAGTCTCAGTAGCTGTCTGGATGCCTGCCCACCGGATAGCCGGCACTCGGAATGGACGCGACGCGATGGCAACGTTAGCGCACGTGGCTGCGAGGGATGCGGGAGCTGTCGCGCTAGATCCTCGCCATGGACGCCTCCAAAGCTTAAATCAACCTTTTCGCTGCCCAACTCTACCCCTATCGAAGCCTTTCGCGTTGTCCTTTGCAAGTACACTGTGAACAGTACGCGCTTGTTCCATGGCCTTGACGTGTTCCGCGACCGGCGGGACTCCGTTGCACCCCATGATCATCTGTCTTCGTGACTTGTGTTGCCAAACTCCGGACGGTTGGCCAACGGCCTATAGAAGATGCACACTCGTAATTCTAGAACGACGCGCGGGGCACGCAATTTTAGCGACATTAGGGGGTTTGGATTAGTACGATCTTATTTCCGCAACGTCCGCTGCTTAGGTCGGAAGTGTTAGCAGGGGAACTGTTTTCGCGATTCTTCCATTCGACACACATAACACCGCGTTGCAAGATGCAGTCACTCGTTTGTAGCCTCCTGCTCCTCCTGCCCTTGGCGGGTACAGCCTTCGCGGCCCATAAAGTCCATGAACATTCCCCACGCGATACGACATATTGCTACACGCAGATGTGGCCTACACAGGGGGCCTTGCAATACACTCAATGGTCTACCACGACCACTTGCACCAAGCAAAAGACCACGACAGTCACTAGTATGTGTGCGTCGACTCTGCAGCAAAGGCATAAGGAAGTGACAATTCACATTAGCAACTTCAACCCCACTCACCGTCTCTACCACGACCTCTACCATAACGACAACGTCAATTGCTCCATCGACAACAGACACGGCCACTATCACTTCTGTCCAAACAAACACCAAAACAGATACTTCGACTTCAGCGGTATGCAAGAGATGGTGCAGTACCCCAACGCAGGGCTAATTTAGATCGACGTAGTCCACTTCGACCGTTTCTACAAGCGTGACAGTGTCCTTGGCATTCACGCCCATTGGTGAATCGCTTCCAGGAGCATCATATGACCCATCTGCCGTCTACGCACGGAAGAAACGCGACCTCGACGCGAACGCCAACTTCCGCGGCTCCCACTATTCGAAGCACCATCGTCATCCCCAGCACCATCGTCATCGCCAGCATGGTTGGCCAGGCCCAGTACACTGTTGGCATCATGCTGGCGTGTGCGTCACATCGACGTCGACCGCAACGTCGATAGTCATTGCGCCCACCTCCACCCAACTTAAACGTGCGACCACCACTTCTACATTTATTACCACTCCAGGAGTGAACACAACAACGACACTCGTCATTCCCACAACGAGCACCACGACGACAACCGTAACTTCTATTTCGACGACCACAACGACCTCTACCTCGACTACCGTCCCGATTGCCCCCTCCGCCGCGTGTGAGACTGCGGCATACTCGAACTACGCCAACTATGTAGCCGGTGGGAAGGGTATCGTGGGCCTGGCTCCCAGTAATCTGAATACCACGTCAGTAGAATCGCCGGCGAACGGCTCGGCCTTCGAGTGCTGTGAAGCGGCCTTGGCGCATCCTTTGGCGTCAGTATGGGCCTGGTCGCCTCCAGAAGGAGAGGAGAGTCCTGCCACGTGCTATATTTATCAGTTGACATCGTGCACTGCTGGACAGGCCTCCAGCTTAGGCAATGTCGCACAGTACTTCGAGGATGGTGGCAATCCAGATTACGTGCTAGGAAATGCCGCTTGTGGAGAGGTGACTGTTCCGCTACAACTTTAGAGGTGGTTAGCCAGACTCATCGCCATGCCCGGCGGAAGGGGAGGGCTAGAAGAATGGCTTGTCAGGCGGAGTGCGCAGGCGGCACGAGGAACAATATTGCTTTATGCCGAGGGGTCAACAACGGCACTGGCCCTCCTGTTGGAAGCGTACGATGGTGTTGAGAACGCGAATTGTGGACGTGTTGAGGATGCCGTTGCGTCGGAATCCGAGAAGGCTAGAGAAAGTCTCGCGACAATCAAAGATATTGAGGGAGTCTGACAGCAACGTCGGCGTGGATGCTTTGCGGACTATCTCCGGGTCCTCAGACAGCCGTAGACAGTGCGGCTGGGAATACTGAGATGCGTTAGGTAGGCAGCCGGATTGCATCGGCCGACGGCCAGCCACGACACTTCGAAAAATCACTGCTCGACACCGGTTTCCGAAAGACCTCGAGCACAAATCTACCCTAGACAAATCAAAGCATCAGTACAAGGCTTGGAGCGCTTGCCCAACGAAATCATTGAAGCCATTATGAAGCTTCTGTGGAAGGCCGACATTCTCAGCCTCCGCAGGACAAGTCGCAGGTTGTGTGCCGCGGTAGCACACGACCATTTCAGAAGCTCATACCGATTGAACTCGGGACGAGTCAGACTCACTCGCCAAGGTCTGCATACATTTGTCCGAGCCATGACTTCGCCCCTGTTTGTGGACTGCTTGCACACCATAGAGGTAGTGGGCATTATGGACGACACGGAGCAGCTTCATGACCATGTCGAGCGGGAACATGGCAGCGACGAAAGGTACGAACAGGCAGAGGAGGGTATAAACATCCCCCAAGCGCGCCAACATGATCAGGATGACCTCTTGGCCTCGGAGGAGCATATCCGCCTCCTTGCCACTGGCTTTCAGAGCCTTGCTGTGTCCGGAACGAAAACTCTACACGTTCGTGCCGTAGGATATTGCAATGCTTGCACCGACAGATGGGATGCTACTGCCAGGACGTTTCACATCACGATGCGCGCCATCGCCGAAAGCGGACTCCAGCTGGACAGGTTGACGATTTTCTGGTGCGACGTTGACTGCAGTCTGGCATGCTCCGAGCTTGACAAGGTCAATTGGGAGAGCCCTGCGTTGATCGAGTGCATCACCAATTTGAAATCGCTTTCGCTGAGGCTTTCGAACCCTCGTGAAGAACCACTTTTGAAGACATCGGCTGAAGCGGTCGATGAGGAGAATCTTGCCGGCCTGACCAGGCTCCTGCGCCATTGCACTTCACTGGAGTCGCTCGAACTCCGTTACTACAAACTCGCGTCTCCCTTTCCATCGACAGCGAGCGCGAAACATCTCGAGCAGATTGCCGACACCGTCAAACTACCGCTTCTGAAGACGTTGAAACTCCATGATCTTGTCGCCCGCGAGCAGGCCCTATATTCTCTCCTCAAAAGCGCAACAGTGCTAGAACAGCTTGAACTGAATAACGTCGTGCTGTGCCAAGGAACACCTAGGAGGTTTCTTGACTATTGTTCGAGAGAACAAGGAACAATCCGACACTTGTATCTTTGTGATGTCTTCGAGCACCAACTTGAACATTCATCCATCCGCCATCGGCTCAAGTTCATCGAATCGCCTTTGCGAGGACGCTCGAGGAAGACACTACTGCGCAGGGGTCCGCAGGTCGCGAAACCCATCGACTATGAAACGATACAGGACGGAACAATAAATGATACTGCTCTTGCTGACTGGGAGGAGCATGAGGAATATCGATTGGAAGATGGGCCGCTGTGAAGCCGTCGCGTAGGTGAAACCTCGAAAAGAAAGTAAGAAATCAAGCTTCGCTGGTTCCTTCTTGCGCGGATATCTTCTTATTCTCTAAGTCGAGGTAGTTGTGGTCCTCGCAGTACTTGTTCAGTGGCAAGAGGCGACGCGCGGTCTCTCCAGAAAGGCGAAGGTGACATCCCGCCGAGTGACGAGGACCTTGCGCCCTTCGAAGTCCAATGGAAGGAACGATCGGAGACTGTCGAAGGTATAGGAGCCTTGCAACTCAGCGGGAGATGTCCACCGAAGAGGCACGTTGTCCCGCTTGACCAGCTGGACAGCATCGACGGCTTGAGGCAACTTTCGAGATGCATGTGCAGTCATTGTCAGACCGGTTCCGTAGTTACCACGAACATGCAAAACGTATACCATCATCTCCTCAGGGTTGTAGAGAGATGAGCGCACCTAGTTAGTTCCAAGCCAACATATCGCACTGCACTGCTACCAACCAAGCATCCTGCGCGTCGGCCCAAGCTGTCGCGGCACGAAGCGTCTCGTGAATCTCAGTCTCGCTAATGCCGGCATCCAACCAGGCCTGGTAGAAAGGATCTCCCGATTTCGACTGCCCGGCAGCGCGTGCGGCCAACCACTTCCGCGCTTCTGGTGTTGAGTACACCCGGAAGGGGTGGTTGATAAACGCTCTCCTTCCACTACGATGCGCGTGGCCAACACCCTTGCCCTCCAGCGGCCAACTGCAGGATCTGAGCTCTTTCCGCCGTTATTCGGAACCCCAACTGCCATGGACTGCTCGTATCGGTCTAAGCCTCGCGAACGGGGTCTCCACATCACGAACGAGACGGTGATGCATTCGTTACGAGTGCTTGCCGCTCGTGTCTAGGGCGGGAAATATTGCTTGACCAAATCAATGCCCGAACAACTAAGATCGAGAAGACAGACGGGAGCATGGCAGGATTGCAATCGTGATTGAGTACGTTCTATCAGACTTTGCACAGCAGCGAACGCTCAATTGAAACCATCACCTTCCTCCCAGCGCCGTTTCGACCTTTCAGCACGAATCCTAGGATCCCTGCCCCGTGACCGTGCCTTTGCGACTGTCGACCAGACATCGGCCGACATGTCTTGCATCACAGCTGTCATTCGATCTTGCCTCGCCAGCGCCGAATCAGCCACCTGCTCTCGCGGCTCCGTGTCTTCTATGTCTTCCATTGCCCTCACCTGCTCTCGGCTGAGTTTCACCTCTGCGTAGAGCTTATCGACCCCGAGCAGGAGGTTGTTGACCCGATTGAACTCTGCGTCGTCTTCAAAGCATATCCCGAAGCCATCGCAGTAACACACATGCTGATCCGGGCAGTAGATATTCTTGCCAGTGAAGATGAAGTGCCAAAGATATTCCCAAAATTGGCCTGTGATCCCCAGGTTCATCTTCGTGTCGAACATCCACTGCCGCAGTCGGATAAATTCTTCACGCGGGACTTGCAGTGCCCGGTGCCGGGAGATGGCGAATTGGCCGCAGCAATGCTGGGCCAGCACCTCGGGAACAGGGTCGTTGGGGAAAAGCGACTCCCAAATGTCTTGGAACTCGCGCCACGGTCTTCCTTCGGTTGGGCGAATGGTTGCGGGGCAGGTGCCTTCGTCCCAAGAGCCACAGTGCAGATTCATGTAGCCTTCCCGGATCACGCGGTGGGGGCTGAGTCGCCGTACCATCGTCGGAGTGTGTTCGGCGAGGAGCCAAGGGTTGTGGTGGGTGAATTCATGTGCGTGTACGAATACCATCACTTCCGGCAAGCGGTCGTAATGGTCGATGAGGTACGTGAGGTACGCCATGACCTCGTTGCCTTTGTTCATCGGCACCGTGAACTCGGCTTGGGGGTTGTCATTGATGTAGCGATGTACATCGACGTTATCTGGCAGCGTTGATGTCCAATTCGTGTCCTCTTTCTGAACTGATGCGATGATGAGCGCCTTGCGATATACTCGATGCGGCTCGGGGATGCTTGTCGTATACGTCCGACGAGCAGAAGGGTTCCACGCACGCTCGACGTTGTTGGAGGCGCCGCGATCAGTCGTAGAATGGGGGAAAAGGATGATGATCAATGAAATGAGCGTTGCCCCGAGCAGAAAGATAGGCCATCGAGTGTTTGGTGATTGCATCTTGACTGACGCCGGAGCCAGCGGAGTGAAGGACGGCAGGAGAAGCAAACTTGCCGGAGCCCACGAGCGAAGGAATAATGTCACCGCGCAAGAGAATAAGATGTGTAATCGGCAACGATTGCCGACTCCTGGAATCGCATGAACTGCCGAAGAGATGGAGTGAAGCTCAACGATCACAAGGCAAACTCAGAAAATGCAGTCTAGGCAGGGATAGCCCGGCGCAGCGTACCTGGTCGTCACTTCACACCCCGCTGCACGCTTGATGCAGCCAACATCCCCTTATCCATGTCCGAAGCACGTTCATGGCCAGTTCGGAGGTTTCACCGCATCATTGACTATTTGAAAGGGGTCGAGACTCGTCGCGGCTGATAAGATTTGCCCGAGTTGGAGATGAGACTTCTCCGTAGGGGTGAGCTACGGAATAAGGTACACGGGTCTACCAGACTCGGCGTCCCTGTCACAGCTGTCAGATCCTTGTAATAGGTTGGAACTTATCTCCGACCCGCTGGGTCGATGGAGAGATGACGTTCATCGTGTCGAGTTTCGTCTCCGCAGCGGCGAAGCCACCGACACTTAAATTGCCGCGTCAAGCGCGCCCAGCGGTCTGCCGCGACATTCCGTGCGTGCATCCACGCCCGCGCTAACGTTCCGAAGGCTAGGTTGGTTTGAGAGAAGGCTGAAAGTCTGGTCCACATAGCGCCGTACGCCTGTGGGTTGATGTAAAGCCTTGTAGCTGCAAATCGCCGTGCCGCGGCATCCCTGCGTGGTTGAGCCTTCAATGGGTTGGCTAGTTATTGGAATCTCTTATCCGCCATGTACCGATACTTTAGACAGTAAGCAAATGATGCGTTAAACGTGGGGGTGATTATGTCTTCCACTCGCATGTCCTTCTCGACACCATTGCCGAAGACATTTTCAGGTTCTGCGTCGAGAGCATTGGACAGATTCCGGAAGTGTTCATCTCAGGCTCGAATACTGCTTGCCCACCTATGCCAACGGAGAAGAGGCTCTCATCAGCACGCCCAAGGCCAGGCGCATCGTCTGCTCGTTTTCTGCTCCACCGCAGGACCATATTCACCTCTTTGCTATGGGGGCTCTCGACTCAAAAGACCCGGAGAAATGGGGCGCCGCAACATCACGACCTCGAGTGTCACTTCTGCGGTATGCGCGGTTCCGTTTGAAGCAGATCCTCATCGTGCTCTGCGCGCTCGTGTTGATATCCGGCTTCGCAGCGCACAATGTCCATCGCCAGGACGCAGTCAGACCGGGTGTATCATGGATAGAAGCCAATGGCGTAGCATTTTTGCGGGGCAAGAGCAAGATGGGAGGAGACCCGAAGGAAGCGCTACCCGTCAATCACCTTCCAGCCGACATGGACGAGTTCGAATCGCTCGCGACCAGCATCGCGAAAGACTACGATGCGAACGAGATCAAGTATCGCGAGATCTTTGCTCTGACTCCTGTGGATCGCAAGCTCATCCCCGTGAATTTCAACCGTCAGTCGGTCATCGATCCGATGATCCTACCTCACCCGACCGAGCACGACATGTGGATTATTCTCGCTCGCCGTGCTCGCCCGTCGGGTGATGGACTTTCATGGGATGCGGATCGTAATGACGGTGAGCGGGCAGAGGCGGAGTCTACGGAGGGCCAGTTCAGCGACGACGAGTCCTCCGAACGAACGTCACTCAAGCAGGCATCGAGGATTGCAGAATTGGCCACGGAGGGGTTGAGAAAGGAAGAAGACGGCGATGACCAACCAACGCAGCCCACATGGACTGAGGAAGAATTGTCCCGGGCAGAAGCAATGACGAAGGCGTCATCCAAGAAGCAACCCATCGGAGAGCAGCATGCCGAAGATAAGCAGAAGCGTCACCTTCACCGCCGAGACGAGCACTTCATCGACGAGCAGATAGTGTGTCCTGCTGCACGGTGGAACGAGCACGATGGCTTACTAGACTGCATCTCGGACATCGCGCCGATTCCCCAGCCAGCCATTGTTGATGAGGCCTGCAGAGGAAAGACCGACGCTCGTGTCTTCTACGGGCCGGACGTTCCTTTTGTGACCTATGGACCTCGCCACGACGCCGAATGCTCCGGTGGCTGGACTCAAGATGCACGCTCCATCCTCTCGCCCTTTCATTTTGAAGAGTTCCTCGGACCGCGCCACTTTCACAACGCCACGCGGATGGGCCATCTAGAAGATCTCGCACCCGCGGATTCGAAGTCGTTCTATTTCTGGGACAGTCGAGGCGACATGTTCATTCAACGAAGTCTCTTTCCACGGCGGGTACTCGGCAAGATTCATGCAAATGGAGCCGTGAGTCGAGATCTTGCGCCGACGAGCAGGCATGTGGACCAGGTGTGTTTTGGGACTGTGGTGCCCGAGTTCGCGCGAGGCAGGGAACACCTCGAGCAGGCCACCAACTCGCTCTCCATCACAATGTGCGAACGCACAGATCCCAAATGTGTCGTTAGCGATGACACCACCTTCATCGCGAGCATGTTCCACATCAAGTCTTCGACCGACGAAAAGCTCTACAAGCCGTACGTGGTCTTGTTTCGGCGGAGTGCGCCATTCTCCTTGCACGCCATCGCTGCAAGACCGCTGTGGGTGCACGGGCGGCCGGACGTCTACTCTATCACGAGTATGAGTTGGAAGGGCCATTCGCAAAAGTATCACGGCTACATGGACGACCAAATATTTCTCGGACTAACTCTTGGAGACTCGCAATCTGGAGCTATCGATGTCCATGCGAGGGACATTCTGCAAGACCTAGACATGTGCTGAGCGTGTATGAATTGCTTGCAATTGTTTCATTCTGCGCATCGAATTAATCCCGAAACAGCGCAGGGAAGTGCAAGGTCTTTATCGCCTGGATATTGGTGCAGCTTGAAAGCGCAAACACAAAGTCATGAATTATCATAGACGAGTCCGTAGACTCCAAACGAATATGTTCTGACATATGATGAAGCACAAAGAGAACTCCCCCGCTTCCCTCGTTACAATGCTAAGAGCTGTCCCTAGCTGTCTCCAATCCCAAAACGCATGTTGAACATCTCTTCCATATCATCGGATCCTTCCATCGCACCTTCTTGCTCCCCCTCGATGCCACGAGAGGGATCAATCTCGGGCTCAGCCTCCAACTTGGTCTTCGTCTCATCATCTTTTGAAACCTGCGAGTCATCTGACAATTCGTCCTCCATCTCATCCGGCATTCTGTCCGGACCCTTGTTGTTCAGTTCGATCATCTTGAGCTGCTCGTCCCCGGGAAGAGATGCGAAGAAGGCGGTGTTGACATCCCACAGATCCACACACTCCCGATCCCAATTGCACTTCTCCACATTTCCAAAGACGGGATGCAGTTGTCGATGGTGTTGCGAAGGCCAGTGGGAAGCATGGTAGTGATGCTGCACCATTGCACCTCTGCCCCGGCCATTGCCCGAATTCGAGTGACCTGATCCGGCCGCGAAGGCTTCCGACGTCAGGACCAAGGTGCGCGCCACCAATCTAGCCTCGAATAGACCGTGGAACATGTCCCACGACACATTACTAGCCATCTGTGACATCTCGGCGAGGACGGCGTTGGTGAACTGAGATGGGCCGGTGGTGGAGAGCACATCGTCAAAGGACAAGACGATTTCGGATATCGGCACGCCCTGTCTCGTCGCGAGCGCCTTAATGGATGCCATGACGTTCTCGATCAGTCTCATCATGACTGGCAACCGCGACTTGCACATGAAGGTCCATTGCACAAAAGACTGCGACTTCGAGCCTAACACAGGATGATCCTTGAAGGCGGGCTGGTCGGTTTCGATCCCAATCACCATGTCCACATCCGCTTCTGGATATCGCGGAGGGATGAACGACGAAACGGGCCGCACGGCTTCGACATCGATGTCTGTGTAGACACCGCCCTCGACATACATGACGAGATATCGGATGAGATCAGCCTTGATGATCGTCGTCGTGAGAGAGCCATACATGTCGACGATATCTGGCCGGTTGAGTCCGTAAGGTCCGTACTGTTCCTGCACCCACGCGAGCGCATTGCCGTCGGTCAACACTTCGTAGCGGTGCTGTGGATTTAACAGCATCCATGACCTTGAGCGTTCCATGTCGGTCTCTTCGAAGCGGGTAGGGTCGACCTTCCATGTTTGCCAGATTTTCTTGGGGAAGGGTTTGGATCGGTCGAGGGGCAGGGTATGGTGATGCAAATCTCGCGAGAAGTAGCTGGCGGAAAGGAAGAGGCCGGCGCCGATGATACAGAAGGTTGCCAGCTTCCAAATGGTATGCGCCGCGAAAATGCTCGCCATCGCTGGCGACGTGTGATGTTTTCTCGTGGCAGTGTTAGCTGTAGGACGCTGAACGTGCCAGGGGAGAAGATGAGTGAAGGCTACTTTCCACATGCTTGGTTTCTTATCGCCGTTATCGCCAACAGACGCCCGATACTTCTGGTATTGCGCTTATTTATCCGTCTTCTCAACAGTCTGGATCGATTGTACAAGGCTGCGTACCTGCCAAGCAAGCAGGGTTGCAGGGGCTAAGTTAGCTCCCGGCCCGAGCGGGCCTACTAAGGAATTCTCCGGCTGCGAGCCATGTTCGGGAATCGTGACGCTGGCATGTGGGACGTCGGGCTGTCGTTCCTGGATCTGATGAGAAATACCTGCGCGTCTAAGGAGTATTGAATGCGGCATCACAGGCTATCTCGGCCAACGGACTGAGTTGGGACAAGTACGCATGCCGCCATGGTTGGCTATGCTTGCGTTCTGGACCCCGGACTCTAGGCTCGATCTGCCGAAATCCATTGGCAACTGCAAAATTGATAGGGAAGTGCGGGTGAGCAGCACCGCCGTCCGAGTTGGGCCAGATCTGTGTAAATCGGTGAAATGGTCCCTGTTGATCTATTAGGCGGCTCTCGTAAACTGCGCCAGGCCCATAGAGAGCAACGACCATGGTTGTGAAAGGAGATAGTGTGTACCAGAGACTCATGTGTTATCTCAAAATGATTTGTGTATATGGTACCCGCAGAGAGACAATACCCAGGAACTCCTCAACCGAATAAATACGAAAGATTAGACCGAGGAGAATTTCTCGTTCAGGAAGGCGCGTAATGCTGACAACCATCGCCAGTTTCATGAGCGTTGAGAAAGTCGAGGCTCCAAGAACAGCGTTAGTTCACTCTCCTGGCCGAGTGGCTGTCGATCAAGGCCAATGGGTAGGCCTTGGAGAGACAGTGACCGGATGCGTGGGTCGACCTTTGCTCGTCGACTCATGCGTCTTGGTCTTTGTCGTTTCACGCGTGTAGGTCTGTGTGTGGGCGCGCGTCTTAGTTATCGTAGTCCAGGGCTTCGTGCGCGTCTGGGTGTGCGTCTTAGACTCCGTGGTGACGGTCGAGTGGCCGTGCTCAGCCGTTTTGTAATGCCACAAAGACGAATGTTCATGCCCTCCGTCGCGCCAGTGCTCATAGCTTCCCTGACGCCAGTGCTCGTGCCCTCCCTGGCGCCAGTGCTCTTGTCCTCCCTCGCGCCAATGCTCTTGACCTCCCTCAACCCAACGTTGACGGCCGTCTGTGAAAGCGTTTCGCTTCACAAGATCGACTTTGCCGCAAAACTCCATTGCGGCCAGAGAGGCGTCTAGACACATTGATATCAGTGAGCTGTCAACAGAATAGCGAGGTTGATACTGACTCTCTTGTGTCTCCACAGAGCACGTAGTCGTCGAGCACTCCTGAACGGACGACAGGAAGACATCCGAGTCGCAGATACAATAGCTATCCGTGGGCTTGCAATGGGTAGCGACGATAGCTTCTCCAATACATGATGCCTGTTGCATGTTAACACCGACTCTATCCGACATCAACAGCACCTTGTAGACTCACGACACACTGCTGCACCGACGCTGCCTCCGAGGCGGTCGCAAGTGCAAGTAAAACGAGAGCCTGAGTCTTCATAGCTTCTCGTGCCTTCTCGTGTGTATGAGAAGCTGATATGAAATGAAAGTAAGCAAGAGAATGTGATTGAACGAATGATTGGAGTGTAGATGGGCACAAAGAACTGAGGCAAGTCACTATGATTTTGATCAGTGGACACACCCACGGGTCCTGCCCAACCTCGGAACCATTGGGAATCGATTTTGACACAGCTCAGATGCTCTAACCCCTTGCATGGCGTTGAGAGTACATTAGATGGTCATTGCTCGTGCCCCAGTGTTTTGCTCATTACCATCCTGGCTCTGCTCTGCACGACCGCGTTTTCTGCATGCTTGGCCGCTCTCAATTCTCGCATGTGCCGACAGCAACGCTCTGGTGACACCATTCCGTAGTTTCGATAGTGCCATACCGTCACTGAGCGGTGATCTTTGCGCAGTTGTGTCCGCAACCTCAGGCCTTCGGCGGTCGAAGCGGTACCACAAGGCTTCGCTGTGCGGTGTGCTGTCCGAGGTATGCATGACAATGCGGGCCTCAACGAACCATCCCTGTCGGCGATACAGCTGCATTGAGCCTGCATTAAGTTTTCCTCGAGATTAGCAAGTGGCCTCGTTTCAAAGCCATTGCAACCATGGGTAAGAGCCCTTCTGTCATCGAATTCTCCGGCTCAAGACTCCGCTATCCCATCGCCGAGGCTACATTCGCGCCTTCGAATCTAGTGAAACTATGATCTCCATCTTGAGTCTTAGTCCGCCACTTACTTTAACATCTAGACCATCCTTTTAACAAGTGTGGAGCGCTGTAAGATGCATGCTGCCAATATTGAAGCAGGGGGAGCCGCATGTGCGAGGCTAGCAACTTGCTGACAAGGCTGCCAAGCTACTACCCAATTAGTTCTAGTGGGAGCTGTCTGGATGGTTCACACCAGAGGCTGGACCCGTTCGGCAAGTTGCGGATACGCGGCAAGGGTATCCTTGTAGATACACGACGCCTTCGTGCTGCATCGCTCCACTGATAATGCGAAATTTTGCTGCATCTTCAATGGTTGCATCATCATCTTGTTATCGGTGAGGCATTCGGCTTGGCCATTCTGAACTGCCAATATTGCAGGGTCTAGACCTCCATCACAGATGATCGTCGCGAATGATCGTCGCAGAGGGCGTGCGGACCCCGTCGTGGCTTATTCCGACGTGCATGCCGTCCATTAATTTGCGGAGGGGTTTGCCTTCCGCCCTATGCCGTTGTTATGGGTCCGGTGAATGATGCCCGGGCAGGCGATTATTGACGGCAGTATCGCCGATCAAGATCCGCTCACTCCAGCAAAGGCGGTGCTCGATAGCAGTGATCTGACACTTGCATCATGAAGGATCCCACTCAAGCCGCCGTTGCCAGAGAAAGGATTCCAGTGAGACGCCACGAATCTGGCTGACCCCGTTTTTGACTTCATACAGCTCCGGCTCGAAGCTGGCTTCTCGCCATCGCGCAAGCAGCGCGCGCCAGTAGCACGCTTCGGCTGCCGGCGTAAGGTATCGATCTCGGAAGGTGCGCGCTGAATTCTTTGCGATGCGATGTGCAAACTCGTCGTCCGCTAGCAGCTCGTCCATCTTCTCTGGTAGGTCTTTCCAATCCCGCCGTACCCGAACATAATTTTGATTCGGCCCATCTGCCTGCAACAGCCCGTACCAATGCTGCTGCCAATCAAGCTCAGGCATAACGATAACACTCTCGCAGTTTTGAAGATACTTCAACCGACCAGAGTAGCTCACGCCTTCGACGTGGGCGAGATATTTGTGCGTGCAATGGTCTGGCATGGAAAGGTGCTTTGCCTCGACGTCCGTACGACTACCCCAATCCATACCCTGTACATCCGACCAGCCGTGACCTTTGCTGGCATCATACATGTCATCACGCCACCATCCGGAGAGTCTACCTCGCCATAGTAAGGTCGGATTCTTGTCTTCCCAGGCAACGTGATTTGGTCCGTCCTTGCGGTCAATGGCAGCGGCCAGGCGTCGCACCTGGTTGTAACTGCCGACTTTAGGCTGACTCCATGTCCAGTGGCCAAAATCTGGGATCAACCATAGGTCGGCCTCTTCGTTCTGTCGCGCTGCATAACCCCATGCCGGCACATTTGGAGGGAGATCGAGGTCGAAGAAGACGAACTCGACATTCGGCACTGGCTCAGGCGCGGTGATGATGGCCCGATACATGTCCAGCAAAGTAGCCGTGCCCCTGGAGAGAGTGTTACCGGGTTTGGCGTCCAGAATGTAGACCTGAAACACAACGTCAGGAATAAGCAGCGCAGAGCTGATGCAGAAAGAACCTCACTTCGCCCTCGTAAACAATGCCATGGTAGCTACCCTCCATCGAAGCTAGATCTGCAAGCGCTTTCGGTGTAATGTGTGCACCCTTACGGCTCCATGGGGCATGTTCAGTCCCTTGGAACAATCCTGGAAAGAGGTCGTAGCATCGCTGCGTGTCGAGCATGAGATTCCGACTGTCCAAGTCTGCATACCACACGGAGGACGAATCGCCTTGGCGTGCAGGAGAGGGTGGAGATGACAATGGAGTCGGCGATGATGTAGGTGACCAGGATGCACCAAAGCCCAGCACAAGTAACAGACATGTGACACCTAGCGAACCGGCGACAAAATACCGTCGCTGAAACCAATGCATGACGCAAACAAGACCCCCGGGTCGTTGATAGTTGTTGAAGAGAGTTGACAATGCGAGAGATTTCTTCGATGCATCGAAAGTCTAGCTGACCCACTAGGCGCAGAGCAAGGCCAGACAAGCACGGTGGGAGGGTCCAACATCGCAGATCTTGACCTGGGACTAAGATTGGGGTTGGAGGGCCGTGTGCAGCCTGGGCAGCAGAGTTGCTGCTCTAAGTTTAGGCTAGCTAGAGGTGTGGAGGAGCCCGCAAGGAATGCTAGACCAGGGGTACCGCTGCTCGATCTAGCGCGTTGAGGCTACCGTGCTACCGCCCACGTGCTGTCCGACCCGGGGGCCAGAATTAGAAGTACGCTCTCCCATGGGTAGCATCCGGCTGTCTATTACTTTGTTGCGACTTCATTTGCGGTAAATCGAGTCGCATTCTTCGGTGCGATGTCCTCTGTACCATTTGCAACGAAGACATGGTTGGCCTGTGTGTTTCTGGGGATTCTTCTCGTCATCCAATATCATTTTCTTGCGGTATCAACCACTCCACTACACTTCGCACCCAAGTTAGAAGCCTCGCCGCTAGTGGAGTGGGCATTTGTCCCGTCTCGCGATGCCGAAAATCCTGCGCTCAGCTCCGATCAATGTAAGAGAGTTGGCCGTTCTCTACTCGCACCTCAGCACCAATTAACCTGCTACAACAGGCGACAAAGCGTTCCCGAAGCTTTACCACGAAATTGACAGGGCTGTTGCATACTGGAAGGAGCGAAGCCACAAGATTGGGCCGGCAGACTTCAACATCGAAGACCGCGAGGATGGCGATATGGCATCTACGGTGATGATTCACGACAACAACCTCATCCTTACAAACGGTGGGCTGGCAGGCAGGCGTGGGCGCGCTACCCTCAGTATGCTGTACCGGGCTCTCCAGGGTGCGACTGCTGCTGGAGAAACGTTGCCAACGGTAGAGTTTACGATGACTCAAGAAGACCGGTCGAAAGTATCGGGTACTTGGTGGGTACTTCAGTTCCTCATACTTCTAGCCGAACGAATGCCGGAGAAGTAGCATACCTTGGCCTTCTTGATGTAGCACTAACACGTTTAGGAACGAAACGACCACGGTGTTTGGCGCTGCTCGCGACACGAGTAGCGACTTCCACCAGCGGATGTGGGTGATGCCGGATTTCAACTGGTTTGCCGATCCACCTCAAGCAAGCGGATTCCTGGAAATGCGACGAAGAGCGGCAGAGCGTGATGCTCCACTGGTCGCGAAGATTGCCAAAGTCTTTTGGCGTGGCCACATGTGGACAAACCGCCCCGTACGAGAGGGATTACTGGCGGCGGCAGCGGGTAAAAGCTGGGGGGACGTTGCTGGAATTGACGAGATCGACGGCCACCGACACCCAGATCAGATGAAGAACGAAGACATGTGCCGCTACATGTTCACCGCTTATACGGAAGGCGGTAGCTGGTCCGGTAGGCAAGCTCATCTGCAGCGTGTGCACCGTATAGGCCTTCACTAATCGAACGTGGAATTCCAGGCCGCCTGAAATATCAGCTTAACTGCAATTCAGTCCCCATCGTGCACGAGTTGCAGTGGCATACCTTCTACCATCACCTTCTCGTCCCGGACGGCTCTGAGCAGAACTACATCAGTGTTGCGCGCGATTACTCCGATTTGGAAGAGAGGATTATGCCATATTTCGGAGATCCAGCTTCGGCGCAGCGCATAGCCGACAACGCCGTAGCTCAGTTTCGCGATCGTTACACGTCGCCGGCAGCAGAAGCGTGCTACTGGCGCCGACTCATCCGCGGCTACGCCGAAGTGTCGTTCACCCCCGATCCGTACGTCAAAGTAAAGTCGAACGTTTCGGGCATCGAATTCCAGAGCACGGAGATTAGAGGACAGCCATTTGAGGTCGTTATGTGAGATCGTCTGCTTTGCATCTACGCTCTGATACGTACTGACTCCCCTGCAGACTCTAGGTCGGCGAGACTGAAGACGACGCTGCCCTTTGCAATGCCGACTGAAGACAGACTCGGTGGATATTGTCTTGCAAAGATCTCTACGGGCTACGTGTCAATCGAACGCCAGGGGAACGTGCTACATTCAGAGCACTCATGCGCGAGAGCAACTCAGCAACGGCGCCGAGCAGTACCCATGACTGAAGTCAGGTTGAGCTGTCAAAGCCGGCCACGGTGAGAACACCGCGATCTTTGATCTCTTCACGGAACATTAGAGCGATGTTCTTGTAATGACGACTGTACTCGACTCATAGTGACGACTCACAGCCTTAGGAGTGACACGAAGGCGGCCGCAATGCCAGACCTCAGAGGATGATGAATTGGAACGGAGCAGGGCATCTCCACGTAGCATGCAGCACTCCATTCGTCATAACATAGAGAGTCGACAACGTGCGTACAAATTCGCATTAGCGAGCGAACTCCATCATCACACTTCTTTCGCCTCATTCGCCCTCTTTTCTCGCCTCTGATGCAAAGTCGCCGAAACCTGTCCGCTCATAGCATCGTCAACATTCGGCAAAAAGAAAGAGAGCACAACAGCCACGCCCGTAAAAGCCAACGTCGTCAGGAAGACGGTCGAGAACGCCATTGCGTTGGCTTTCTGATACGCTTGCTTTCCGGCTGTGGCTATGCTCGGCGTAAGTCCTTGCACGCCGGTGAGATTGCCCGTGGTTAACCCGGTCAAGAAAGCCTCGACTTGAGAACGGGGCAGGCCAGCTGCAACCAGTGCAGGAGGTACGACAGCCGGGATGGTCGTCGCGAGACGATTGGAGAGCACGGTAAGGTAGATCGTCGAAGCAAAGGTCGAAATTGTGCTGCGCATCGATGTAGCTGCGCCGAGTGCGACGCCAATATCCCGCTGATTCGCGATGTCAATGCCTGCATTGACTAGCAGGATGCTCTCTAGCCAGCCAATGAAGAAGTTGCCCACGGCCATTAGGGCTGCCGCCCTTGCGAGGTCACCAACACCGCACGATGCGATACCGGCGAGAAGGCTTCCGCCAACAAGTAGGCAGACAATACCCTGGATCTTCGTCTTGCCTACGTGGCGAGCCAATGGCCCAGCTGTAATCTGTCCAGCAACAATGGTAATCCCTGGAATGGTATTCAGCCAGCCGGCACGCATCGAGGCTCCGCCGTCGTCGGTGTAGAGAACTGCGACCATCTGAGGCCAGATTATGGCCATGGCGTAGTAGACAGATGCCCCGAGACCTAAGTCGACGGAAACGGCTACCCAGGAGAACCTCTTGAACAGCTTCACGGGCAGTAGAGGCTCTCTGAGCGGAGCGTATATCTCCCAGAGAGCAAACGCGACGAGGACCGCGACGCCGACGACCAGGAAACTGATTACGATGGCTGAGTCCCAGGGATACACCTACGAAGCTGTTAGTGACAATGTTGGGGATATGGACGGGTTACATATCATACCGTTCCACCAGAGGAGAGTCCCAGAAGAAACAAGACGAGGCCGGCGGTGAAAAGACATGCGCCGAGAAAATCAAAGTCTTTGAGCTGCTGTAGCTTCGTTCGACCCGAGAACTTTTCCTCGAACGTTGGCGGGAAATAGAAGATGGTGTAGAGTATCGCGGCCGTAGCGTTGACCGCAATCATCAGATAGAAACCGCTGTTTCGGGAGTCAGTAGAAGATGGGGATACTCCACATCAGACGACTCACCCTCTCCATCCTGCCGAAGTCTGAAGCACAAACGCTTTTGAGACCGCGGGTCCGATGCCAGATATCGGGACCGACCAGAGATAGATGATACCGTTCATCAGGAAGCGATGTTTCATAGGAACCAGCTCGTTGGACACCAGAGTAAAGGACAACTGTGCCGCCGCTGCTACTCCAATGATGCTCACCGCGCCGATGAGGACAGGGATTGTCTGTGCCGTTGCAGCGATGATGGAACCGACGAGGGCGAGGGTAGAGCCGCCAATCATGAACCAGCGACGTCTGGGAAGATGTCAGTCAGGCTTCGGACGACGCGACGGTATGTCAACTCCTCACCCAAATAGATCACTCAATCTCCCAACGAGCAAGAGTCCCACCGCTCCGCCCAGAGTATAGACGAGCGACACCCAGTCAACCACCGACCCGGGGACTGGTCCAATATCGGCATTTATGATGCTCAGATTAGGCGCAGCGAGAGCGAACCCGCCAACAGCTCCGGCCGAAGCGAAGCCCACAGCGCATATGGTGCCGATGAAAGACGGGCTCTTGTAGTAGCCCTTTGGCAGTTCACTCGAGTCCGCGATGAAGCCATGATCTTGCGGATCTTCGAGAGGGAGTTGTTCGAGATGCGTTCCCGCAACAGTTGCTCGCTCCTTGTCGTTCGCGCTGTCTGTCTGCTCTGGGCGACCCATGGTACCAACTTCACGGTGCAAATAGCAGACTCAACATTCCAATGGTGACGAGAAGATGGGCGAGGACGTAAATAGTTTCGCGGCTAATGCTTGCCATAGCCGCATCCCCGCCGGTATCGGTGAATGCCGAAGCGCAAGGGGCACTATTTCACGTTGTTCGCAGTCCGGGGTGAAGTGCGGAGAATTTGGTTGGTTGTGGATAACCTCGGCTTCATAGCCTTGCGCCAGGCTGGGTGGAAAAAGTGAGAAGTATGCCTGAGGAATTACGTCTTTCTACGATTAAAGCTCATCACTTCCTCGTCGTCACTGTTCTCCATGCTCGCGCATTGACGGCGACATTCTTCCCCTTTTCGTCTGCCGTAAAGATCAACTGATCGACCGGCACAAGGCCATAGCTCAGAACGGTGATCTCCGACCAACTCTGACAAGTCGCATCCGCGAAGAAAAACAATGCATCATCCTTCGCAACCTGTGCCGGCGTCATCGTCTCGTAAACGCCCTGCCACGCCGTATCAGAGCCAGCCGTCAAATCTGTGGGGTACAGCCGCAGCGTTGTTTGACCAGGCTCTGCGGCACCCATCTCCTGCCCGATGGCACCAACGATGTCGCCCACGCCATTGATGCTGAAGTTCGTCACAAGCAGTCCGGGCCCATCATCAACTGACAGTGTGATTCGGTTCCAGCCGTATAGGTTCCTGCGTAGACTCCTTTGCCTGCGCCTTGTTTGCCGCTTCCAGCGCAGGCACAAGCGCAATGGGATAACTTTTTGCCCGATTTTGAAGCGATTCTACACCTGGCCCAGTCAGTTATGGATGGACATCCGGGAGAGGGTGAGAATGAGGGCATGGTATTGACTTTTCGCTAGACACCGGGCTCATACCGCCAACCTACTTCGTCATATTGAAGTGCCGGGATCCAAAGATCCGGAGGCAAGCTTTGGACATTTTGCGAGCTCGCAGACAGCAAGAGGGTGCTTGGAATAGTCTGGTGGCGGCAAAGATGGGCGAGGCGATTGTTCAGTTGGAAGAAAGGCGCGTTGCAGTCGTGGAGCGGGCGAGCGATGTACCGGAGTGCAACAGGCTATACCAAGCGTGGTACGATCTTTGGCGACAGGAACGGCAGTGCTCTACTGCAAGCGTCGGGTGTTTGAGCAAGATGAGAGTTGGACCGACGAGTATCGGAAATATGTTGCCTAGCGTACGTCTTGAGACAAATCAATCAGTGTAGCTGCCGCGCTCACGAACACAGTCTCTAATTCCTTATTGGCGCTCCTCCAGCCGGCCAAGCGCACTCCACACGCAGTCCTTTTCGAACACTGCTCTACAGCCCGCTCTTCAGAAGATTGAGATCGTTCTTGATGTTGATATCTTCCAAGCCCGCAATGTTAAGTCCTTCAATCAGCGACACGGCAAGCGGCTCCAGGCTCGCGGCCAGTGCGAGGGGGTTCAGCGTGCTGTTCAGCACGGTTTGCTGAGAGCAGCCCTTGGCCACCGTTCCTGCGAAAGCCGCGTTCACGAATTGGAGGGTGCTTGGTACACCAAGAAGCTCGGTGGTGAGATGACCTGCAGCAAAAGAGTGAGCAACCGGGTGGCACCAGGCTTAGGGGGTAGCAAATTTACCGCCATTCCCAAAAGTGGTGAAGTGCACCGTCGCACCCTGGTCGCACCAGTTGTTGTACAGCGTCGAGGCATTGAGGTAGGGGATAATCTCGTCGTTGCGTGCGTGGTACAGATAGACCGGTGCAACGGGCGTTTGATTCGTGTGGATGCCCATGATGTTTTGTTCGAAAATTCCGCTGATGGTCGGGTCGTACAACAGGCCCTCTCCCAACGTTTGGAATTTAGTGGACAGGATGGACTGCTCGGCAAAGTTGAAGATATCGTTTTGAGCGCAGTTCTCATCGGCATATTCGACCTTGGAGCGCCCGAAGGGGGTGATGATTTTGTTGTAGAGGGGCTCTAGCTCTGCTTGGTATGCGGACGGCTTAAGCTGTCCAGCCACTGTTCATGGTCAGCTCGTCTTCGCAATGTAATACCCGGGGCGGTATGTGAACGCACAAGCAGCAGGGAGAAAGCCGCTGAAGAGCTCGCCGTCAAGGAAGACCAGTGTCCCGGTAAGGTTCCTGCTCACAACAATCAGCACGTATTCGATTGTGTACAGGACAAGTCGGAGAACAAGCGGTGAGCCGCGGGTAAATCAAGCGGAATTCCCGCAGAGATAGTCAGGTGCTCACACACTTTGCCTGCCGAAGGGTCTACGTACGCAGGTGTTCCGCCAGACGCGAAGCCCTTGATGTTCAGCTCCGGCGCGTAGGTGCTCTGCAAGCTAGCCGTCCTGGTTGCATGACGAGAGAGTTAGCCGGCATCTCGGGATCATAGGGTTTCGTCGATTGTGCTTTACCATCTGCAGAGAAAGCGTTAGAACATCTTCCGTTGATTAAACTTCCCACAGTGATCCTTACCCAGTGGCGATAGCTCCGCCGGAGTAGCCGACAGCCACGACTGCGGGCTTCGACGTAGTGAATCCCAAGGAGGCAAAGCTGGAGACGGCACGGATGCTGTCCAGCACGCCCATTCCGGATAGATGTCCGGGGGAAAATGCAGCGTCAGGACCTGCTCACTCTCAGCATCGCAGTTCTCACACGCCAAACACTCAGGGACAGACCTTCATAGTCGGGGGCGGAGACGATATAGCCCTCGAGGATGTAGCTCTCGAGAATCAGGCTCTCGAACGCCACGATCAGGTCCGTGTTGTTGTTCCCAAGCTGGTAGTTATACGACGGGTCGCAGACCGTGTCCGAACTGTCGTAGGCGGTCTGGAAAGAGACGAATTTATCAAGTGCGGCACCGAAGGGCTTGAAGACGGTGGTCACGGTGGCAATGGCCGAGCCATTGGTGGCGGTCGTCCGATAGAGCAGCTGGTAGCCTTGGACGGGATTGGGCACGAGGCCGAGGAACGCAGTCTGAACGGTGCGACTTCTCAGCACTGTGCCCGGTGCCTTGGACGCGAAGCCAGCGGGAGGCGTGTAGAACGGATCCTGACTTGGTGCCACCAGCGCCGTCGCTGAGGAGAGGAAGAGCGCGCCCGCGAGGAGGAAATCGAACAATAACATCATGATCGCGCGAGGGTAGCGGGGTGGGGACGAGGAAATGCGAAGGTGCGAAGGAGAGGGCGCGACGAGGCACCCTTATGAGAGGAACCAACCTTCAGGGGACATTCCCACTATCACGTCTTGCCCCAAACCGAGGCCAAATATCGATTTGCAAGTCAGGTACTCGCGAATTCTGCGGTGCGCGTTTGAGGACGCTCCGGCCGCAAATTGCAAAAGGCATGAACCGTTCAGACGGTTGCTGGATTGGGGAAAGTGACTCCAGACAAGCCGAGGCAAGTTGGCAAGTTGGGGCGTGCTCGTTTGCCATTGGCTGTGAGAGGAGCAAAAGGGTGTTGTAGATCCGCACAGCATCATCTATTCGCGACCGGTACGCTTACGAAAGGGAGGATCCTCGAATGCGGAGAAGATCCAGACCGGAGCAACGCCCTGTTTCGGTGTTGTCCGGTCCAGCACCGCCAGGTTCAGTCCTATAAGTACCATTTCCCTCCTGGTACATACACAGCATCCCCTCCTATCTCCACGCAATGGTGAGCTAATGCATAGCTATGCTTTACACTGGCGTTGTTAGGTTGCATAAGTATGTATCCTCTGCCTTGTAGCAGAGAGCTCTGCCAGGTCCGGATGGAACCGAACAACGACTTGCTCTGCGTTGGCCGTAACGCTGGTCCACCTTTCCGATGGCCATAGCTCGATCCGACATCCACGTGAGTATATAAAGACATCTCTACGACGTGCCCAAAATATTGAAACCCTACAACACCTCGAGAATTACTTACGCTCTTCGAGCAACATCAGCAATGTTCTTCTCAACCTTCGCCCCGATCCCGCTGAGCCTCATCGCCCTCGCCGCCATCACTGATGCCTCGCCTTCACTGCATCAGTTGGCCCTACGAGATACGATGGCCTACAATGTGCTCGACGGGCAAAACTTCCCGGATCCCAGCAGCATCACCATTGGCGGCGTGACGTACGTCTTCGGCACAACGACCGCCGGCCTGAACATCGCCATGACAAAGAACAAGAATTTCGACGATAGTGGCACCTGGGACCAGACGCTGGAAGATCCCTTCCCGACCGACAACGTCCCAGCTTACAGCAATTGGGCGACTGCTGATACTACTTGGGCTCCGGACGTCAGCCAATTGGTAAGAGCATGTGCTGCTGTCCCGTTCCCACCACGCGCATTCAAAGAAACCGCAAGCAAGGCGCTTCCATGCTGATTCGGAGCTCTCGACTTTCCAATAGACCGATTATGACGGCTCATTCGCCATGTACTACGCTGCCGCTTTGAAATCAAACTCGGCCGTACACTGCACCGGATTGGCGCGGAGCGGAACTGTGACCGGACCGTACAACGACAGCTCCACCGAGCCCATGATCTGCCCCGAATCTGCCGGAGGGGCGATCGATGCTTCCGGGTTTCTCGACCCCACCAGCAAGCTGCGCTACGTGGTGTACAAGATCGACGGGCCGGCGGCGAACAATGGCGGCTACTGCGCCAGCACCTCGTACACGAGCCCCAACACCAGTCTGATGCTCATCCAGACCGAATCCGACGGCTACACGCGAGTCGCCGGGCCCGTGAATCTGTACAACAACGATGGTGTGGCGGACAGCTACAACATCGAGGCACCCGTCATCCGATACAGCGGCGGAACGTACTTCCTGTTCTTCTCTTCCGGCTGCACGTCGTCCAACTCCTACACCGTGTCCTACGTCACCGCCACGAACATCTGGGGTCCATACGGTGATCGGAAGCTGCTACTCGGCACCGGGGACGATGGACTGTACGGGCCAGGAGGCGCCACGCCCGACTCCGCCACGGGCAACTTTGTCTATCACTCATTGGAGCAAAGCAACAACATCGGTGCTGGAAGACAGCTCAATACGGCTAGTTGGGCTGCGAACGGAGATTCGATTACACTTTCATAGCCCGAGAATTCATTGCAACCGAGTCTTGCTACTGTCGAGTCCCGCGATGTTCCATCGGTCTCCCAGGTATCATCTCCCGTGGAATGCAGTGGCGACTTGACGTGCCGTCAAGCCAACGAGCTTTCGACCACAGTATTCAACGCATCAAGCCTGTTGCTCGCGCTATGCAAGAGCGTTGAAACGGATGATGAACAGCCGCGCTGAGCAGCCGGGTGGAAAGTCGAACCGAGTACTGCTCGAAGGCTAAATGACGCTCAAATGGCGACCTGGAGTAGAGTTGTGGAAAAGCGCGCACGCGGCCAACCGGAAATAAGGTCCGACGAGATACTTTACAGACGGGATGAGGTGATGTTGCCAAGGCCAATGCGCGCCCGCGTTCCGCTCTTCCCGGCACTGGCAAATGCGGGGACGGAAAGGCGACTGACCTCACGCTCTAAATGCCGAACATAAATCATGGAGCTGCCGTAGCATCGCTTGAGAGAAAGTGGTCCCTACCCGGTCACTGGCGCCTTCTCCATCAAAGCTACGGAATGTACCATTCAGCAACCGGGTGATGGTTCGAGGCTAGTTCTCAAGTTCTCCAGTATCAGCTGCGTTTCGCCTCCACTTATAGCGTGGTGAGATGATACTCCATCGAGAAATGCGACCCTACAACGGCTTCTCCTGCTTCCGAACCATCGATGTGATCGCTAGTGGCAGAGATGTGCACTCCGTTTCCGCTTTCTATACAACCACGGCGTGCTAACCATCAACTAGTCGGCTGCGTTTCCTCTAGGCCAGACCTCGTGCCCGTCAAGACTTGCCATGCGAGCTGCACATGTACACAGTGGACCCGATGATCGACGTATGAATCTCGCGGATGAGGAAGTATTCGTGCGCCAGCCTCGTGAGCGCAGTCACCGGTGATACAACGGATACATCGCATACGATCCAATCATTCTCTCTTTCCTAAGCACACTTCGACCATGATGTTTGTTATTCCAGGAATCTAAGCTACTCTCCCATCGAGAGTGGAGCAGGATCACTCCGGAATCACGGATATGTCTGTGCCGACAACAGCTGCTACACTGGCCAAGTGCGCTCCTTGCAACATGACGATGCCCCAAAACCATGCTAGCACTATCGAGTTTCACGATTGGCCAACCCGTGTCTGGTATCGAGGTGGAGGCGAGCTGATGATGCAAAGTGCCCGGCAAGCCAGCATTCCGATCGAAGATAGTCCTTGCCAGAGTGAGGCATTTGTGCTCCTCAGTAGAGTCCAAGACGGGCTTGAGGTTGCATCAGGACCGCGAGGTTGTATCCAGATCGAAGCAAGATTTCAATGATGACGAGGATCCTTTCGACGACCGATTCAACTCCTATGCTCTGGATGAGAGAAGCGAGCGAGCCGGAAAGATATATGAGGACCATACCATGCCTCCTGAATGATCCGTACCACATCCGCATCAAACATTCTAATCACGTATCCTTATTCAACCTCAGTATCAAACATGAAGATCACATTGTGCCTGACAGCGTTGCTGTTTGGGAGTTCTCTGGCCAGTCCTCTTGTCGACCGCCCCCTGGCCAATCCTCTTGTCAGCCGCTCCCTGGCCAACCCTCATATCGGTCGCACCGGTCCATACAATATCACGACAGAAGATGGGCTCTACATCGAGGTCGGCACCGACCTCGTTAGACACCAAGCATCCCAGATCTATCCGGAGCTGCTCGGGGATGAAGCCTTAGCTTTCACGTCGTGGAAAGTAACCGCTGGCGCTGGGAGAGCCGCATATGTAGCGATTGGATACTACGCATTCATTGACCAAGGCCAAGTCATCACCGATACCGTTAATGCTTGCCACGATGCAGAGGGCAACTTCAGCTTCACCAAAGAATGCGTCAACGGTGCCGCTGTTTCACTCCTTCAATACGGATTGCTGGGCTACTACGGAAAAAGCGTGACAAGCGCGAATACACATGTGACGGTCATCTCTTTCGCGGCAGCGAGGGCTGCTGCCGGTCTTGCGAAGCCTCCAGCCGCGAATTCCGCATCCAGCCGCGCCAAGCGACAATCAGACAACTGTTACACGTTGAGTCAGGTGGGAATTCCGCAGACCACATTCACAGGCAATTCCGGCGTTAAGATGACTACTATCAACGACTGTCCGTACATCATCCCCACAAAGAGTCTCGCAGGCTGGCAAGCAACGATGGGTCAATCTGGCGGCATCGTCGACTTGATGTTTGCCAATGGCGCGTGGGCAGTCCAGATGTCTCTCTGCACACAGGCATTTAACAACGTCGAATTGGATGTCAATGTTCATGCGTCATTTGAGATCACAGACAACATCACCGACTGTGAGGATCAAGTCTCGGGGCAAGGCATCTGTACGGCCAGTGAGAATTAGGCTACGAATGGCACTAGATAGCCTCAGCAAATAGGGACATTCAACATCACCCTTCTATACAAAGGTAAGCGCTTCTTCCTGAAGACTACACCCCCTGATCCTTCTTTAATCCTCGAGTGAGAGGGCTGCATTTTGTCGACTTGGGATGTGGGCAGATATTCAAACTGCACATTATGAAGCAAAGACGCATATAGCTTGGCTCGTATCTCTATAGCTACATACAAGAAGCATACCGCACGGTGAGATAAGTATTCGGCATGTCCTAGTCGACAAAATTCGGCTTCCAAAACCACTCCTGGCAATGCTTCGCATGCCCGCCCTCGAGATCGCGGTTCGTCATCCTCGTCGCCTCCGCCGTATCCCTGGCGAAGCGTTCGACTAGACGGGAAAATCGTCGCTGGTAGAAGGCACAAAACCAGTAGTGTTGTCCGAATGTCGACATCAAGTCATCGCGAGTCCCTCTCATGACTTCTTCGAGCACGACGGTGTCTTGTGTCAAGTATTCAGTGCAAGCTACCCAACTCCTGGCAAATGATACACCCCCCAATAACGTCATAGAAGCGGTAGAAAAGGCACGCTACGTCAACTGTAGGACAATGAGCGTCAATTCGCATGGCTGCAGTGTCCACTAAAGCCAATCGATATCGTTGCGGGCGTGTGTAGCAGTATCTGAGATTGCGCACCGCGACTCTAGCACAGCTCCTTGCTCGAATCGAATCAGACGACTGAAAATGTGCCTGGCTATCGTGGAGTGCTCGTTTGCCCGCACTACAAACAGGCAAACGAGCGGAATGTCACCCTGCCCTACCCGAACGGGAAGCAGGCTAGTGTTATGGTCTAGTCTACGGAGCGCACCCAATCTTCGAAGCTTGATCGTATTCAGCCTTGTATCGGACAAACCTTAGATTGACGTCGGGAAGTCGAAACCGAGGGGCCCCGCGCAAGTTCACTGATCTGTATGCTAGTCTCGCGTAAACGCGCGAGGATCAGTGGCTGTTGTCTTCGTCTCTGCTCGAAACACCGAGACGGTCTAACTTGTTGCTGAAGTATCTGCTGCTTCGGGCTAGCATTACGCATGGATATGAGATGGCTCGCACGCTGAGATGGTCGTTCTACCCTTGACACAGGATTGAATTGCAGGCTGCGATTGACTCGAGCTCAATGTGGTCATTCACGTTCGCTAACAGAAGTAGAAACCACGGCGTGACATTGGGTATCAAGCCACAGACGTTGCAAAGCTGGCCTAGACACATGCTCTTCTCCTCGTTCTTACTGTACGTTGCGCTTTCTCATCGCTACCGGACTCCTTCATTACTACAACGCCAATTTTTCGCAGCTTTTGTCCACACTTTCATTAACCACGAAGATCATGAAGGCAAAGCCATGATTCTCGACGACAACGGCAACCTAGTATTGACAAGCCCCTGGCACGGGGAATGCATTTACAATTTGATGGTGCAGACCTATTGAAGAGAGCAGGTTTTGACGTTTTGGGTGGGTAAGGCGGCTGACGGTGTAGGTCCTGATGCGGGCTATATCGTAAGACAGTCCTCACGCTGGCCCGTTCACGACTGCTAAATAGATTACAGCTTGACTCTTCATACTCGACAATCAAGGTTGTCGGAGGTCGAGAGCAGGCCACACACGTGGACCTTCGCGAATTTACCATCATCCCCGATGGTACGGTTCTGACGACGGCTTACGTGGAGACTAAGCACGGCATCGAAGGACCCGAGCGTGCGACAGAGCGGCCTCTTTGGGATTGTGTACTGCAGGAGATTGATATTGACACCGGCGATATTCTTTTCCAATGGAGCGCGCTGGACCACGTCGACCTCGAGGACTCCTACATCGACCACAAAGCGAAAAGTCTTACACCCGATCTCGAATTGCCCGATTGGTTCTATATGAACAGCATCGACAAAGACTTGCGAGGGAATAATTTGATCTGCTCAGGCTTCACGTATAGCATATACTATATCGACGGGACGAATGGCGATATCCTTTGGATACTCGGCGGGAAATGCAACATGTTCGAGGACAAGTCTGGTGGCCGGGCATTGAACTTCAGCGGCCAGCACACTGCTCAATGGGGTGAAGAGCCTGATACTATCACCTTGTTCAATAATGACATCGCCATCAAGGAATCGCAGCGTCGTGGCATGCGATCGGTTATCGATCCAGACGCAATGACTGTTAACCTGCTTGACGAATATCCCAACCCGTGGTAATTCCGGATCGACACGCAAGGATCAATGCAAGATCTTCCAACGGCAACTTCCTCGGCTTCGGTAGTGTTCCAGCATACACGGAGTTCTCGCATGATGGCGACCCTTTGTGCGAAACTCACTTTGCCCCGGCCACGAGTTTTGGGGACTTCACGGTGCAGTCATACCGAGTGTTGAAGTTTGCGTGGCGAGGATACCCGAAAGTGCCCCCGGCTGTCAGCGTTGTTCAAGGAAATGATGATGGGCCGTGGCAGGTTTCTGTAAGCTGGAATGGCGCAACAGAAGTCAAAAAGTGAATACTTCAGGAATCAGATGATGACGAGCTCCGTGAGGAATCCTGGAGGACTGTCCAGACCGAGCCCAAGGTCGGGTTTGAGACAACATTCTCCATAACGAGTCAACGCCCTCGCTACATTCGAGTACTGGCTGCTGGCGAGAACGAAACCCTGGGAACCAGCGAGATTACTCGAGTATCTGGGAAGGCCACAAGCCGATTCTCTGGTTGGAATTACGGACAGATATCGGGGTTTTCTGGTTTCTGCTGAGTCTACTGGGATTTGCGACCATGAGCACAGTAGTAAGCGTGTTCTACGCTGGGCGACCTTTTCGGCATAAGCGACTATCGATTGAGGCTGATGACGAGTCCGCCGAGGACGCACGAGTGAGCATATCCAAGAGTTTTGCCCATTAGGCGCAGGAAACCCGGCAACACTAGCTGTATCTCCACAGTGTTCTGCTAATCGGTGCGTAACGATCTTTTATCAATGCGAAAACCAGTTCCTTGACTCGTATGTTTCTTAGTGCACTCTAAGGCCTTGCTCTTCGACCAATTCCCAGTATGCTCGGGCCGTCCACTTTCGAAACCTCTTGCCGAAGATAAGCATGACAAAGGTAAGACACCATACAAAGAGACCCAAGAATGTGAGCAGGATGAATGCGTCCTGTACACCCAGGGCATCGATCATGGGAAGGATGGCGTACGCGAAACCAAAGCCTGTTCATCGTATGAGCAACAAATTATGTAGTGAAGCTGGAGCTGACGTACCAATAGTGTTTCGGATCAATACCACCGAGACCAGGCCCTCACCAGCAACCTCCTTGTAGCTGTCGAGGATGTAGTTGTACGCCACAGAGGAGCCCATAGGTAATGTGACGCAGAAGAAGCCCAAACCGAAAGCCAGACCGACCCAGTGGATGTGGTGGGCAGCACCCACGCCAAACAAGAGGCAGCCGAGTGGATGAACAATCAGCGCAATGAGGAAGATCCATAGACGATGTTCTGGCTCGAAGACACCGCCGTTGCGACGAGCCATGTAGATGGCAACTCGGTCGCTGAGTGCTCCGCCGAAGTAGCTGCCGAAAGTGACGCCAATGATGCCGGCGACGTAGAAGACGCCGATGATGTTGGCGCTGAAGTTGTAAGGCTCTTTGCCCAAGATGGTTGGTAGTGTGCCGTTGACGACGTTGTACCAGGAGAGTGACATGGCCACAAGCAAGCCAGAGTATAGAATTGCCGGGAATCGTAGAATCGCGATGGAGATGTAGGCATTTCGCCAGACGTTGGATTTCCTCCTCCGGTCGTAGCCGCTCAAGATACTCAGTCGTCTCCAGTACGGCTTCGGCGTGCCTACGATGTCCGATGCACGGTCTAAAGCAGTCGTTCCAGCGTCACTATTGTGCCCCATTGGTGTTTCACCCAACCTCTTCTCGTCAGTGTATTTGGCTTCTGCCCTGGGAGTCTCGACATCGTCTGTATCGACTTTTCCATTTCCAACGCCGATAGTCTCGGCAGAAACCACATCAGGTCGGTAGAACGCGGTCTCCTCGAAGGTAAAGAATAGCCAGACGAAGAAGGCGGCGCCGATGATGCAGACAATGTACTCGATCCACTGCCAGCCCAGGGCATCGGCGACAAAACCTGCTGGAATACAGCTCAAGAACGACCCGCTGAACAAGATCCAGACGTAGACGCTCAGCCACGCTCCTCGTTCGTGACTGAAATGCAAGTCGGCCACGACGAGTTCCAGCAATGTCTCGACCGGTCCGGCAGAGATACCCATGAGAGCGCGATTGGCATACCATTCGCCTGTGGTGGTGCAGTATGCCTGCCACAGCGCCTGGACGATGACCAAGAGGATCGAGGCCAACAGCACTGGCCGTCGGCCATAATTGATAGCGAGAGGCTGCCAGATCAAATTGGAGTAGCCAATGAAGAGGAAGTAGATGCCAACACCAGTGTTGATGTCGGCGACGGGAATGCCGGTTGCCGCCTGGATCTTGAGATTGGCCGGTGTGTAGCTGGACACCATGATCACCACACCGAAGGTGTAGACGTTATGGCCCAGGTCACTGACGCGCTTGCGCCATTTCGACCAATTCAAAGGGTCATCAGGGTGGTCCGATGGCTGCGGGATCAAGATAATGTCAGTCCGCCTAGCATCTCGACGAATGCCAGAAGTGAAATGCGAGTCGTCAACTTGCTGGACCGTTCCTGGAACTGGGAGTTCAGCCATGTCTGCGAGTACATGAGGAGAGTATCGTCACAGGCGCAATGAATCGACGGAAGAGCATATATCATTCACTCTGGATGAGCCTGCAACGTTCTGCATAGCTTCATATCTTGGTCTCACATTCCGTCTTTGGTGCGACCGATATCTCACGAGACCAATCAGCGCGTCCTGTGCAGGGGGGAGCCTTGCGGTGAACAGCGACGGAGGAAGGCGACGGAGAACGACGATGCGGCTGTTGGCGCGAAGGAAGAACCTTGACTCGCGGACGTCAGCGCCAGGCTATTATGCTTTTACCAGCGGTCAGCTCCTTACATACACGGGGAAGGTATCACCAGTGTACGGGGAATTGACACTGCGTGCTCTTTGATACAATATCGCTCTCGAGTCGTGGGGATGCGGCCTTTTGGGGGTTAGTGCTCCCATCGAAGCAGCCAATCCTCGAGTCGCCAGCTCGCCTGTCACGATGGCTTCCACCAACAGAAGACGAGCAGAGCGCGGTCAGCGCGTCCGGCGGCGAGTCTTTGCATGCGACAGATGCCGTCGGCGAAAAATCATGGTACACATCACTAATTGTGGCGGAAATTGACGGAAACTATCACTGATTGGCCGCTCTTATGTGCACAGTGTGATGCGGCCTCGCCTGCATGCTCTTCGTGTGCCGATGCAGGCGCTGAATGCAGTGCCTTTGACGACGGCACAGCTCAGCCAACTCCACGAAGCATCACTCAGCATCTGCGCCAACGCATTGCCGCGATCCAAAGCCAGCGTAGCCCAAATGGCGTGGTGCAGCACCCTGGAGTCTTACTGGAGACGGTTGGCATCGCACTCCACGATACCACGCCTCCCTTTCTCGGACTCGCCCAGCGCTCCCGCCTTGCTGGCTGCGCTCCATCTTCTACGCAGCTACCATCCAGCAAGGGATACTCCTCGGATCTGGTGGACGTTGGCAGTCCGACTTCTCCCATGTTTGGTGAGCCTCGACAGCGCGTTCTTACGCTCGCTGCGGTGCCGATCTATGTTGCTGAGTTCCTCTTTCGGACGTACGTGACTCGTATCATCCCGCAATATCCCATTTTCCACGAAACTCAAGTAGAAGATGCATTTCGGGGAGTTTTTGGCCAGCCAGCTAGTGGTCCAATCGTCGACGCAAATCTCGACGGCCGTGACGTCTTTGTCGTGAGCATCATATTGGCCATCTCGTTGTCGACCGCTGCTCGAGTGAAGCACAAACGAGCTCACGCTCTCGCGACCGGACTGTTTCGAAATGCGGTGCTACGGGCCTCTGCCGCTCTTACAAACGACTTGCCCGGCTTACAGGCACTCCTCTTGCTGATACAGTACGCGTTCTTGGATCCCGCCATTGCCAATCTCTGGCTTCTCACTGGCCTCTCAAGCGAAGCTTGTATCGATATGGGTCTGCATCGGGAGCTTCCCCCGTCGGCCGGCCTCGACGTCCTCCAACGAGACCTGCGTCGTCGCGTCTTCTGGTGCGCTTGGGAAATGGAGGTGGCCGTCTCGGCCGCTTTCCACCGCCCACTGCGGACGCAACCAACATGCATAGACGTATCTTTTCCGTCGGAGTTCGATGACCATGCTATTACGGAGGTCACTATCGATACGACCGCTCGCAGGACCAAGGCCGTCTCTCGCCGAATATGGCTGTTTCGGCAAGTCGAGGCAAGCATAATATCCGTCTTGTATCAAGAAGGGCCATTACCGGAAGGAATGACGCTGGAGACATGGATGACGAACGCCGACAAGGAAATCAACGAGTGGAAACTCGAAGTTCATCGTGCGGCCGAGCAATATCAAGACGATGCAGGTGCGAGTTCGCAATGGAAGGAGATGGAACTGTACGCCAACATCGCATCCATGTGGATTCTCGTTCAGCTATACCGTCCTTGTCCCCGGATCAAGGCTCCTGACCGAACTAATCTGGCCAAAGCCGCAACTGCAGCAGTCCAAGTCGCAAACGGGTATTGGGAACAACAAACCACCCAGTTCGGATACCTCAAATATGTCTTTCATCCGTGCCACCATGTCTTCTCCTCAGCCTTGGTCTTTCTGCAAGCTCTTCAGCACAGTCAAGCGAACATGGCCGCCTTGTACTCCCTCGAGGAGATCGCAGAGCAAGCGAACAGCTTTCCGCGATTTTTCACGACGATCGCCGAGAGATGGCCTGCAGCAGCTCGGTGCTCGGAGGAGTATGATCGGCTTCTTGGCCCCATTCAAGAGGAATTTTCCAATTTCGTGCGGAGGAGCGAGGCTTCCACTTGGGCTTCAGCATTGTCTGACAACTCTGATGGCGCAATGGAGATCAGACCTGATCTTTCCGATTCTTTGAATACGTGGCCTATGATGTACACGTCGATGCATTCGGCTGGCTTCGATAGCATCGATCCGTCTTGGTCGGTACCGTACGACTGGGATGATGAGTTTGCATTTGGAATTGAGCTGGAGAGTTTGACGTGAGGCGAAGATGCACAGAAAGATGAACTATGGGTGTACACGATCACATAAAGCAGGCGTCTCCTTGAATAGGCCACTGTCGGGAAGAGGGACAAGGCAGAAAACTCGAACAGGCACAATTCCGCCACGATCACTCTGAAACGAAACGAATTTGTCGAATTTCTTCACCAAGCCTCGATTCAACGGATACCCTTCGCCACGTTTGCAATACAGCACGTCGAAATAAGCACATCCTCTTCACACCACTCGACTCACAGTATCCTCCATCTTGTGGCACCCGTTGGTCCCGGCGGCAACCTGGCTTGGAGTGCTGGAAAACGACGGCGGAACGTCCATACACGGATTGGACGTGAAGAAATTGCGTGGGCGCAAGAGGACGCTCATTGGCTCTGCGGGCATGACTGGGTAGTCTTCCGGGGCAGGAAAGTGGACGAGGCCGAACGTATGCCAGAGGACAATGTCGGTGTTGTCAAGACTGCCATCGGGGTCGGCTGCAATCCACGCCGGAATGCCCTCGGACGGCTCCCCGGAGGTCTGGGGAACGTGTCGGCCAGCGGGGTAGATTTGATCGTCAGAGTCTAGATCACATCGGTGTCAATGAGCGAGGACAACATTATTGCGTAACGGGACGGGATGAACTTACACTTAGTCACATGTACAGCATGACGAGCGAATCCAGCCCGCTTCCAGACGAGGCTGTTCTCCTTGGGTAGTAGGCGGGGGACTTCGCGACTCACTAGCTTGTAGGTGACGGGTTTGTGGCTGTAGGGGTTCAGCTTGTTCGTGTTGCTGATATCCCAAGTCCTGCTGGTGGTGGCGTTGTAGTCACTTCTGCCAGTACTCATGGTGTCAAGTTTCGTCTTCTTGGCGTAAAACGCATTTCCGTAGTAGTTCTCATCGCTGCCGAGCGCGGCTTCGCTCGGCACAGCATCCACTTGGAAGACGGTGTTTTGCGGACCATCGACATTCGGATCGATGCGGAGGCAGAAAAGATGCTGGTGGTTGTGGGCGTTGACGCCAGGGTACACCTCCGTTCCCCATGGCGCAGCCGACTCGCCCGGACCCATAGCGTAAGTATTCAAGATGCCCGTCAGCTTGATCTCGAGCTGCACCGTGCCGTCTTGGTGGAAAATCCAGTAGACGCAATACTCATAGTTGGCAGCGGTGAAGACATGGCTGATGATGAGCTTGCGAGCGCGAGTGACGGTGCAGGAGTCGTCACGAAAATCGGTGTGTTTGAAGAGAATGCCGGCGTCTTCTTCATGGATACAAATTGCATTCTTAATCGTCTGTGATGCCCCGGCCTTGTTGACGAACGCTGCGTCCATGTAATGGATGGCGCCCTTGCAGTCACAGCCGAGGGACAGAGAGTTGGTCATGTAGCCTCCGCCATACTCGCCCAGATCAAATGCATGCTTTCGATGATGCGGGCGTTCTGGATTCCCATATGGAACGACCATCTCGGCGAGTGACAAGCGCCAGAAGACGGGCCGGACATTTCCCTTGTCGTTGAAGGTAATGTTGGAGAGTACGATACCCTCGCGGTAGTTGAAGCCAACGTGTACACTCCAATTTTGCCACTTGACCGTCCTCCCTTCGACTCGAAAGGAGACGCCTTCCGGTTGGGAGATGCTGAGAGGCTTCAGGTCTTCGCGGAGGCCCTCCGCTTTCTGGACTGCTTCCGCATGGTAATTCGATGGAGGCGCCTGGTTCAAAGGCCTGCGCACTTCCGGAACATCGATATGCACGATCTCTTGCGTGTCGGAATTGAAAATCGGACAGAAGTCGAGAGGATAAGTGTATTGGCTGTCGTCCACAGACGGGCGGTAGTACATTAACGCCTGTTGTAGTCGCACGCTCGACCCGAAGCGATCATCATAGCCGATTGTCCAGGGGTCGCAGTAGACTTTGTGCATGTCCTCAGGAGGAATGCCGAGGATGCCACATTGCTCGATGACTTTCGGATCCCGTCGCGCGCAGCCTTCTACAACTTGGAGGTCTTCCATGGTGATTAGAGGCTGCTTGCCTTCTGCAAACTCCCATTCCAGAATCTTGTGCTTGTCCAAGTCAACGAGTCCATCGAACACTTTGCTGCCTTTGCCGATGGCAACGATGTCTGCGATACGATGCGGGCATGGCTCAGTCTCTGGCGAAGCCATATACCGGGTCAGGTCGTCCTTTGGAGGTTCGTGTAACGTGACCGCATTGAAATGGACGTCTGGATGCTCCTTGCGGACAATATGAACCGCCGCTTCAATCTCATCCGTGGTAAGAGGATCGAGGGGGAAGCTGGTCGTCGATGGGAACCCATTGGTGTGAAAGCCATTGGTGTAGGGTTTATGCTGCTGAGCGTTCTTTGTCGTCATGACTGCGAGACTGTGGTGATATCTTCAACGTAGTGCTTAGAGCATCACAGAAGAACGGAAATGTTTGAGAACAAAGCTCGAGCGAGAATTTGAAGTGATATTTCCATTTGAGTTGGCAGTACCACGGTGATATCGCTCTGCGATGGACGCCGGCCACGCGCATGAGACAGCTCGAGACAGCTCGGGATGGTAGTAACTACCAGGTAGCCTTATCTCAAGCGGGGGAGGAAGAGCTGGGATGATTGGCCACAGCCACCCAATGCAGAATCCCGCGGCGATAACGATGCCTCGTAAGGTGGGACTGCCGCAGGCTGCCGGACGACTGCGACGGAGGATGCCGACGACCAGCAACTTCCCCCGCGCGTCAGTCTGGTAGGATCGCATAAGGTGGGGTACTCATTGTTGCTCAGCCGTACCGTTCTTCATGGTGTCTCGATCGCAGACTCCGATGTCCGGCTTGCGCTGCTAACGACCGAAACTTCCTTCGTGCATCTAGGCTGATTCATATGATTGTGCAGAGTTGCAACGGCAGATTTCGATTCTAGCCGGATGACGATACAGAGACACTGACGTAGTTGTCGTGGTGTAAAGGAGGAATCATGTTCGCACGTTGTGTCGCGCCTCCCCGCAATCTCCCCACACTTCCCCACAGCTTCCCTCTGCAGACGTGAACTTCTCCACCCCAAATCAGTCATCGTCTCAAACGACATCGGCAATATCCAATGTTCAGCCCATCATGATCCAGCGCCATGGCGACGAGCTCATCCAACGCGGATTCTCCTGATGATGCCGTCGAAATCTCCAGCCTTCTAAAGTTGTTACCCGCCTGTGACCGCTGTCGCAGTCAGAAGAAACGATGCGACACTCGCTTACCTGCATGCGCCAATTGCACGCGTTCGGCCACGGAATGCGCCTTTCACGACCACGTGTTGAACGAGAGAGTCTCGCGAGAGTGCGTATGATACTTGCGTTACAGTCATATGACCATTTTGGTTCTAACCACCGATCTAGGCATATCGAGGGTCTGCTACAGCTCCTCAATCAATTGCAGTCATCGCCTTCCCGGGAGGTCAACTACGCCTCGCCGCTCCCTTCTTCCGACCCAACATTCCACTTCGTCCGTGTGCGTGATGCATTTCGCTTTACCGGACCACGAGCGCAAGTCGGCGTTCAAGTCCCGCCATCGACTCTATCGACATCAGTGCAAAACATAGCAACATATCCGCCCCTGGAATCTTCAATCCAGCTCGTCATCGGCCTACAGATGCACCAATTCCTTATGAACAAGTACATGACAGTGATACACCCAGCTTATCCCATCCTGGAAGGGTTCTCGCAAGACGTCCGTCCCGCTGACCGCGATATGAGTCCCTGGGTGCGCTTCACTCTCTACATGGTCTATGCTATTGGATGTCATTGTTTGCCGAAGAACGACAGCCGCTTTGTTCTTCTTTCGGAAAGTTGCTACCGCGCTGCACAGCCGCACTTTGAGAGCGTCATGGCGGAGCTGGACATCAAGGCGCTTCAAGCTGTGCTACTGTTGGCTGTGCACTGCCTGTTTGATCCCCGAGAAGGTAATATTGGACAGCTGATTGCTTTTGCCTACCGCTTGGAAATCGAAATGGTGGAGCAAGGTGGAGACGAAATGGGGAATGCTCTCTCTCGGCTGCGGAAGATAATCTTCTGCTTGGGCAACCTTGTTGCCAGCACGCTTGACAGGCCTGTCGGCTTTCATATCTTTGATACGGTATCAGCAACACCGTTGACAAGAAATCTTCTTGCAGTTTCACTGACGGGCGCGGTCTAGGACGAGCCGATTTCATTCGAAATGGAGATAGAGGGCGATTTCCTCTACTCCCTATACACAGCACAAGCTGCAGCTCGTCAATCGCGGACGTACGATATGCCTTCGCGCAGCGAGCTAGAGAGCATAGGATGCTCGCCACTGACTCTAGCCGCAGCACACGAGACTATTTTCCTTGTTCAAACAAGCGCCGCATCGGCTCTGGCTCTTCTTGCTGTCTATACTAGTGCAGACCACGTCTTGAACGTGTTCACTTCGCATTGGGCGTTCAAAGCCACTGTGGTTCTCATGTCAAGCATGTCTGCACAGGAGAGGCAGACGGGCTATGTGCAAGGGCTTCAAGTTCTGGAACGCTGTGCCTTGAAATGGCCGAACTCAGAGGCCTTGCGGAACGTGATTAGCGAAAGTTGGATTTCGAATCCCTAGCATGACCCATTGTCGGCGCAAACGACAGCGGTGCCAACGTATCGGAACACTCCGGTCGGACGAACAGCTTCCAAAACCACCACGCTGGAGACGAGCTACTTCAAATCCACACCTCCTTCGACCACAACACCAGGGAAACGGCCACTCGAAAATTCGTCGGCCATCTGGTTCATCGTCATCCACTCCACACCTTCGTGCTTGTTGATGTACTCGATCAGTCTGCCCTCCGTGTTAGCAGCTTCGAAGATCGATCGTCGCCGAGGTCGTGATAGCGTTCTTACCGCTCATGCATCAAGATCACCTGTGGCTTCCCACTCACTTGCGGGTGGATGCTCATGGGAAAGATGAAGGTGTCGTATTCGCGGTAAGCAAAGTCAAACTGTTCTTTCCACAGCCTTTATTGACACTGAATCAGAAACTTTGCGGCCAATCAACGTCAGAATCAGCATCACGAACCTCTCGACTACGTGGGTGTCCACGTATCCTTGTGCCCAGGATTTATCCGGGATAGGCTGCAGCGGGGGCCAATCGTCCAAGTGCCAGTTTGCTGGTATTTCAACGACTTTGGACGGCTTGATGGTGCTCATGGGATACATCCACGAATCCGCCGAGTTTTTGATGTTCGTCTCAATCCAAGTCTCGGTGTTGTCGGGAGCATAGTACGGTTGCAAATCGTGATGCATAAACGAGTGATCGTACACGATCCCCATTTCCTGCAATTGCCCGATCAACTCCTTGGACGTCGCCCAGAGAGGCGCGGTGTATCCGGCGGGTTTTTTGCCGCAGAATTTGGTTATGCAATCGATGGAGCGCACCAGGACATCTCGCTGCTGTTGCGCAGAGAGATCGGCGATACACTCGTGAGTGTATCCTATTCATACATCATCAGTCTGTTCCGCTTCGAATGCCCATCGGCTACCTGCTTCGTGGTGTACACACCGTGGAGACCAATTTCATGTCCGCCGTCTCGCACCTTGCCTAATTGCTTGGGGAAAGACTCGATGCTGTGGCCAGGCACGAACCAAGTTGCTTTGATTCCATACTTGTCGTACATCTTCAGCAATCGATCGATGCCGACCGTCGCTCCATAAATACCACGAGACACGTTGGTAGGAGTTTGCTTCGAGCCATCACAGGTATTGATCCAGTTCGCGACAGCGTCAACGTCAATGCCGTAGCCAACCAGTACTCTCTTCTTGCCCATGGTGCTCGATTGGCAATCAGATCTGTCAGTCACAAGTGTTGATATGGCTTGCGAGGTTGCAGACTGCAAATGGGGAAGCTCGTCCTTGATATACTTGCCAAACAAACTTTGGCGAGTACATCTCTGTTGTGTGCCAACCAGAATCCTCGTTATGCGGTTGGTAGCAGACGACGTTGCATCGATCCGCAGATCACCTCCGTCGCGTATCTCCGTGATGGAAGCTATGCTAGTCGGGCTTGCACGTCGGGATCTGCGTCGTGAGCGTCGCACAACTCCGAAAAGCTGAGATGGGGTTCGCCGCCCGACACCATTGCGCGCAAGTTTAACGAAAAATGATCGACAATCCACGCCGATGGAGCCTTCTTTTCACACTCTGGCCACTGTCTATCTGGAAGGAATCATAATGCAGGCAGATTGCAGGCATATGAGTTTCTTTGGGCCTTCTCTAATCATCTTGAAGGTCGCCTTATTTGGCTGTCCAGCCGCCATCAACAGTATATATAGACCCGGTGACGAAACTAGCATCGTCACTGAGCAGGAATGCAATGACATTGGCAACCTCTCTCGGAGTGCCAGCGCGGGCCATTGGTTTGGACCTGGTAATTGCATCTGCCTCCGCTTCTCTCCCGACACTCAGCTCGGCGACCATGGGGGTTGCAATGACTCCGGGGGCAACGGCGTTCACCCGAATGCCTTTTGGTGCGCAATCGACAGCACACGTTCGAGTTAGCCCGGTGACGCCATGTTTCGAGACAGCATACCTGACGTGCTCTGGTCAGTCTTGATCAAGGGAAGGCAGTAGAGGTAAGAAAGATCATACGCTGCATGTCCCGGAAAACCAGCGACTCCAGCCGTCGAAGAAGCGTTAACAATGGCGGAACCGGGTTTCATGACCGTAATCTCTTCCTTCATACAAAGCATTACGCCAGTCAGATTGACACCGATGATGCGGCCCCAGTCATCCTCGTCCTGTTCCTCTATCCACGCTTTCCCCGGCCGTTGTCCGATGATGCCAGCCAGGTTTGCAGCACCGTCGAGCCGGCCAAATCTTTGGACAGTCGCTTCGATCCATTGGCGTACTTCGGAGGCGTTGCGTACGTCGCATCTCATGGCCAGGACATCCTGTGAGCCGATGTCTTTGACTGCATTGTCCAGATTGGCTTGGACTACATCGCAGATGCTGACTTTTGCTCCTCGCTCGATGAGGAGCTTCGAGAGCGCAAGACCAATGCCTGAAGAACCTCCAGAAACCGCGACGACTTTTCCCTGCATGTTGGAGATATGGTTGGAGATTCAAGATCTGTTGGACAAAAGATCACAAGAGAATGGTGAAGTGTTTTGGTCGGATGAATCCCTGGTCGACAAGGCTGCTGACCTTATCTATGCCAAGGCCGTCGCTGAACTCCGTTCAAAGCTACACCAAGCTGTCTCCCTGGTACGCTATGCATAAGCTCTACGGGATAGCTATTCCCGTGGCAATGTCACCGGCACGGGTTTGCCCGCGGACATGCGCGTTGGCCACGCCACCTTAGGCCTTCAGTGGCAGATGCTGTACTGGTCCACTCTGCCACCAACTACGAGCAAGAAACAAGAGTGTCAGCTTGCGTCCGTTTCGAAAGCCTCCAGTTTACTTTCGATGGGAATTATCTGGCCCTAGCAAGCATACTCGGCAGTACGGCCAGCTTGCCTCCAACAACTTACATTCGATCCCGACTTCCAGAGATGTTGCAAATATCATGTCAAGGATCTCCCCACGAGGTAATCACTCCTGGAATAGACAAGATAATAAGCCCAAGTTGACGAGACACCATCGCGAAGATCGGCATCAAACATGGCTCTGCAGCCAAGGCCCAGATCCAGAGCTGCATTGCCTTCTACGCCGATGTATTCCAAAAGACGGCCAAAATGGACTGGAAGACGGTCACGACACACGCACGTCGCTTTGAGGACAACATTGCACAGAAGTGGCCCGAATATCTGGAGGAAATGAAAGGTGCGTGCGACATAGAGCTGCGAGCACTGTGCAGTGCGGCTGACAACAATCCGAAGGCGTCGCTCATGGATCAAATACGGATGTGCTTGATATCGTAGCCCTCAATGTACGCACCGAAATCATGTTCGGCTGCCATCACCCCGTCAGTGACGGTTGCACCGCGTTTTCCTGGTACAATTCCAACGACACGCGCAGCTTCCTCGGGCAGAACTGGGACTGGATGGAAGCGCAGAAAGCAAACCTCATTCTACTCACAATCGACCAGCCGGGCAAACCTACGATCAAGATGGTCACGGAAGCAGGCATCATTGGGAAAATCGGACAGAACTCTGCGGGCGTGGGGGTATGTCTCAACGCGATTCGAGTGAGCGGCGTGGATGCCACTCGGATTCCTTGTCACCTTGGTCTACGATTGGTGCTCGATTCCAGCTCGCGCGAAGAGGCGGTGAGCCGATTGATGGACTGCGGTGTTGCCTCGCAATGCCATATGCTTGTTGCCGACGAGACCGGCGGCATAGGACTAGAGTGGAGTGCGAAGGACGTAGCGGTTTTGGACATGAACGAGCGTGGACAAGTGTTTCATTCGAATCACTACATCAAAGAGCACCCAGGGCTGGACGTCAAGCCCTGGCTGGCCGATTCAGACTTTCGACTTGATCGAATCGAAAAGCTCTGCAATTCCGTTTCGGGCTCGCCTTCGACCGAGGGATTACTCAAGGTGTTGGAGGACGAGAAGAACTTTCCCGCGTCGATATGTCGTAGCGCAGAGGATGTTGCTGGCATTGCTACATTGTTCAGTATCGTGATGGATCTGAGGGATAGAAAGGGAGTGGTAAGGCTGGGCCGGCCGTCGGAACCAGAAGCGGCATTCCGCTGGTCTTTCTAGCTTCGATTGGGATGCTCATGATTGCATGGGTGTCTAGAACAGCGTAATTCTAGCCCACAAATTTGTACATGAAAGGCAGAAAGTGCACAATCAATCCCCGAATCATCAACAAAGGCGCTTGCCAAGGAAAAGCGACCTTCCCGTTTGAGTTGATTGCCACACTCTTCATGTCATATCGACCAGTATCGTCATCAGCAACCTCCAACATTCCGCCGCCCAGGTCCAAGAAAGTGCATGGTGTCACGGCGTGATCCAAGCTGATGACGTGACCTTTTGGACTGTCGACGGACAAGGCTCCGGGCTTGATGAATGTCACGGACACGAGCGCGTCCTTTGATCGTAGATATTGTTCGGCCGCTTTTAGGTCGTCGTAAATGTTGGAGAAGGCGCGGTACAGGATGTTAAGGAACAGGTTGGACGAGTCGTACATCAATCTATGCTCGGTGGAAGCTGATGAGAGCACGACCAGCTTCGGCAGTCGTTCATTTGGATGCGACGCTTTGAGCTCTTCCAGCGCAGAGATGACTTTGTGCGCGGTTTCCTGTGCGATAGAGCAACCCGGCTGGTTGCCGGTAGCTGCAACAGCAAGGAATGCAGCTCGGGTCCCGCGCAGGCAGTCGGCCAAGAGCGCGGAGTCTGAAAGACTGCCTTCGAACACCTTTACGTTGCTTGCTTTTGCGATCTGTGGCGATAGTTTCTTGAGTTTCTGTCTCGAGCGACAGTAGGCATGGATTTCCCGATTGTTGTCCATCAGGCTCTGGAGGACGGACTGGCCAACGTTGCCAGTGGCGCCCAAGACTGCGTAGGATTGTGCCATCGTGTACAACTTCTTGTTTTGGTCTTGCTTCGTTAGAACTTGTCTTACGTCGTTGAAACGCCTTTTGCAGGAAGGGATGTGTATTTGTCGACATCAACTCGTCATGAGCTCACCCCGCCAGGCTTTTAATAAGGTTCGCGGATCCAAGCTTATGACTTGCTGGCGAACTGACTTAAGCTTTCATCAAGGGAAAGGCCGCGACGCCTCAGCAGGCCTTCTTGCGAACGAACGAGAGCATGAGAGAGGCGGAACTTGCTGTTGATCACCGCGGTGTTTGCTAGATGTCGTAACGGGGACTACGATGTTCCGTAGGACGGTCTTTTGGAGTGCCGAGGCCGGTACGTACGGGCATTTCTTTTGTCCGTCTGCATACGAGGCTTGAAGGTTCGGCAGTGCAGCCTCACCGACACCCTTCGTGCTGTATTGTCTGTCGCGGAACAGAGGACGCTGAGTTTTGTATTGAATGGCTCTCTCTAGCCCTTGTGTTGATTAGGTGATCTGTACTTTCACGTCTTCATATTGTTGATAGGTACTGGAATATTACACGTCATCCGACCTTCTACCAGGTCGTAGACTATTAGTTTCAATCCATCCGGAAATTCTAATTGACCGTGCCGGCTTTCGCGGCCGCTTGGTACTCTGTGCTGTAGGGGTAGTCTGTGTATCCATCCTTGCTCACGGCCTTGTAAAACGTTGAGCGATCATATGGGATGATCGGCAGGCGATGCTTGAACCTAAACACCAGATCCGGGTTGGCAATGTAATGTCTCCCAATCGCCACCAGCATCTGTTTGTCCGCGTAAATTTGGCTGGTTGCAACTGTGGCCGTTTCGTAATCGAAGCCCCCGGCCAGGATGATAGGAGATTTGCCACTACACCAGATCTCGATCAACGAGTCGTTGCGGCGCGTGAGGCGGTGGTAGGTCGCGTTCGTAGGGTCGCCGCTCGTGCGGCTTTCGACCAGATGAAGATACGCGAGGCCGAGATCTTTAAGCTCGGTGATGACATGCTCGAACTGAGAGATTGGGGTTTGAGGAGTGTTGTCTTGTTGGAAAGTCCAGGGCGATAGGCGAAGAGCCACTTTTCTGGGGTCTCCAACTGCGTCGACAAGGGCTTTTATCACATCAATGCAGAACCGAGATCGACCCTCGATCGAACCGCCATATTCATCGCTCCGCTGGTTGCAGCATTCTTGCAGAAATGAGTCCACAAGGTAGCCGTTGGCAGCATGGAGTTCAACGCCGTCGAACCCGGCCGACATGGCGTTGCGGGCACCACGGGCGAAGTCTTGAATGCGCGACTGGATTTCGTCGACAGTGAGTGCGTGGTACTTGGCCGACGGAGCGCCATCGACCTCGATCGCACTTGGGCCGCAAACTCGGTGTGGACCATCTTGCTCGCGCGCGAGGACTTCTGGAGACGCCCTGCGGCCCAAGTCCCACAGCTGGAGAAATATAAAAGAGCCCTTTGCGTGGACGGCATCAGTGACTTTGCGCCATGCGGCTATGTGCTCGGTGCTCCAGATTCCGGGGACATTGTCCATGCCTCCTGCACGAGGGCTTACTATGGTCGCCTCTGCGATCAACAGAGTTCCCGGAGTCGAGGCGCGCTGCGCGTAATATTCTGCGCACATGTCCATTTGTACATGGTTCTTGTCGGCACGAAGTCGGGTGAGAGGGGCGAGAACGATGCGATGGGACAGCGTCGCTGGTCCCAGCTTGATGGGAGAGAACAGGCGATCTTGTTTGGCCATGGTGTTCGATCAGGTTTCGAGATGAAAGAAAATGAGGCCGTCGCTGCACATTCGGTTACGCCGGGTACATATAGTATTGCCTTGCTCAGCAGGCTTTTTTTTGATTATAAAAGTCAACGGCGCTTCGGCTTTCTGTAACCCCCGGGTCTGCTTCGCAAAGCTAACCGCAAACGTCGACGAAGAAGATGAGAGGGCTTATTGATATCAAGGGAATAGGGCCAAAACATCTGCAAGACAAGGCGCTTCAAAGAAATACTCATACTCACATCGCGCTGTGGCAACTCTTGCAGGAGCAAATCGATGGAGGAGGGGTCGCAGCTCATATTTGGCATGAGAGCATCGTTTACAACTTCGGACGACCTCGTCGTCTAATCACTCATCATTCGTGACAAGGTCACCCTTCCACCATCGGCAAATCGACAGGCTGTTGTAGCGCCATATCCAACCAAACGTCCGCATCAAACCCAAACGACTCCAGCCAAGAGTTCCATTCCAAGTCTTGGGAAGGCAAATTCACGACTTCGCCGTCGGCGGTCACGGCCATGGACGTGGCCGTGGTTAACGGTTCTGCCATACTGCCCACATTCCCGTCCAGGACTCGATCCAATCCGGTGGAGAAGATGAGTTGCGCCTGCTTGATCATGTTGTAGTTGCCCTGCCCAATCTCAATGAGCCATTCGCAGCATATCACAACGGCACTGATGTCTTTGACTAGGGTGGAGCGGCTGAGGACGATCTCCGACTGAGGCCAGCGGGCTCCACGGAAGAGCTCGCTGAGCAAGACCAGACTGGCTGGCATCGTGTAGTGTACCATCTGGGAGTTGGTTAGCGAGGATCCACGGCGTAGGACAGCAAGCATTGTTGTCAACACTTACGGCCCACTCAAAATCGTTGCGGTGAAGGAAGATTGTGGCTCGCTTCTTGAGCATCGAAATTACGATATTGACGATTTCGTGCGAAGTCCGAACGACTTCGTGGCGGTATTTCTCATGGCAGCCGACTAGCCTCTTGAACAAGATGAACTCGGTATAGCAATACTCCAAGCGGAAGAAGGCAAGTGGCGAGGTGGTCGCAGGCGGGACGTGATCATACTGGGCGACGTCGAATCTCAGCTGTGGAGGAATAGACTGCCAGGTGTCTCGCAATTGCGACAATAATTGGCTGAAACAATGTTAGTATGTAGGCACGTGGGAAGACAACAGCGATCCTCACTTGGCTTTCGCTTCCAAATCCAACACCATCGTACCATTTGAGAGCAACAACGCCTCCTCGCGGATTGGGGAAAGCAGTGCCATCACTCTCGACCGAGCGGCAGGATTGACCTCGCCATGCATGTTCCACCCGTTCTCGTCCAGTCGTGACTTGCTCTCCTCGAGCTCCGCAGGCGTGGCAAAGAGAACGGCATTCGGGACATCAAGCGGCAGTATCGCGGAGAAGTATTGTCGACTGAGGAACGGAGGGCGACCAGCAAAAGTCGCAATGCCTTTATCGTTCTCATTTGCTAGTGCCAGCGCGCGTCGCCGTAGCTCGAGCAGGTATTGCGGGGTGGCAGGATCATCGTGGACGCCTCTGTGGAAGTCGAGGGCAAAGATGGTCGACGCCAAAGTGGCCAGGGCGCGGAAAGCCGGGTAGGAGTTGTCCCCGAAAGACCAAGCTGACATGCCGTGGAGAGCCAACTGGAGCCACAAAGTCATATCGTTGGGCCCGAACTTTTGACAAAAGGCCTCGCATTGTACCGCACTGTTATATGCCTGATCGGCCATGGCGTTTCGTTGTTGTCTTCCGTAGCCCGCCAGTTCGGTATCGCCAACGAGGAACATGCCGACGGTGGTGAAGTAGAGGCCGATCGCCTCCCATCGCACTGTGTCCGGGAACCACGCTGCAGCCAAAGCACCATCTGCGGGCGAGATGGGGAACTGCAACGTATTGGCCGTCTCTTCAAAGATGCGCGACGATGCGTGGAGCAGATTGGCTTGCGATCGGTCAGCTTTGAGGGGCTGTAAAGTGCGGACAACGGCGAGAAGAATTGGCGGGACGATGGGACCGAGGACGTAAAAGTGGTAATCGCTCAAGAACCGAGCAGCCAGACTGTCCAGGTCGATGTCCCAATCTAACAAGAGTTCTAGGATGCCGGCACCGTCGGAGATAAGGGAAGAAGTGGCCTTGGCCGGCGGCGAGGGAGCAGCGACGCCCGTTCTTGTGACCATTGCGCACGAGCTATCATACGTCCGCTGTGTGGACATGGCTCCATCGTCCGCGAGATCTATCAAAGAGTGCTGGAGGCCGACAAAACCTGTTGCTCGCTCGAAGAAGGTGTCGGATGCGGGACTAGACACTGACATGGAGGCCGGTGTGGCTGGGACAGATGACCGAGTTGTTGCCGGTGTCCTGATAGATACAGACTCGTTAGCAGGCATTGTAAGAGTAGACATGGTAGGAGTGAAATACGGTGGCTGTTGTCTGGATACTGATTTTCGCTGCGCAGACATGGGCGCGGGATGATAGTAACATTGGTCGGAAGAGAAGCCGCGTCGGACGCAGCGCGCGCACACTGGTCTGCCGTGATCGCAACGGTATTTGTTCTTTCTGCACGGCTCGCACGCCGCCATTTGGCCATTTCGGCGGACGGTCTCTGGCATGTCGATGCTTCTCGCGAGGTGAAGTTGAATAGAAAGGACGTGGATGGGAATGGCGCGAAGTCCAAGTTATCAATGCGGACGAGGACCAGCTGGAAGTTACTCCGACTTTGGCCCGGAGCTCCGAGCGGTTACTCCGACTACTCCGATCTGCATCCAAGACTCCGACATTCTGCGAGATCGAGATCGGCGAGGAATATTGTGTTTGGACGATAAGTCTAGTGGAATTCATTTGGCATCTAGAGTCATATGCAAGTTCTATGCTTCGCCGCCCTCTTCTGACTGCTTCTTTTCTTTGATCGACTTCCACTCGATCCCAAGCGCGCACACTCCAATCACGCAAGACAGTGCCAGCGAGATGTAAAACACGTTGGACAATGTCGCACTGTACGCTTCAAGCGCTTGTTCGCGATACTTTTCCGGGACAGAGCGGACGACATTGAGCGCGCCTCCGCTTAGAACGGTCGCGGCATCGAGAGTCGGAACGGCTGCTTCGAGGTTGCGACTCAGTCGCGTGAAGAAAACGTTACCGGCGATCCCCAGAATCACAATGCCTCCATTGGTCTGCAGAAACGCCAACGTAGTAAGTGCCGTAGGGATTTCTGAGCTCTTCAGGGTAGCTTGGACCGCGACGTATGGTGGCTGAAAGCCGAGTCCGATGCCAATGCCGTACACAATCTGATAAATGATCCATTTCACGGCGGGAGTGTTGGGTTGGAGAGTAGTCATGAGTGCGGAACCGACGATTTCGAGTGCTGCGCCGAGCAGGAGAGTGGGATTGGCGTATCCGATGAAGCTGGTGAGTTTGCCGCCGAGCAGCGCAGTGATGGCCATCGAGACGGCCAATGGAAGATACATTATACCCGATCCTAGCGTTGTTGCTCCGCGCACTGCCTGGAAGTAGATGGCAATCTGCAGAGTGTCAGCGTCAGTGGTCATAGACAAGCGATGTCAGATCAACTCACGTAGTATGCAATCACGGACAAGGCTCCGACGTTGCAAAACACCACGATACCGGACAAAGCAACGGTGCGCCGTCGAACCATTTTCAACGGAACGATGCCGTTGTCCCCCGCTCGATATTCCGCGTAGATGAACACCAGGGACAAAATGCCTGCAAGGGTGAAGAGGAGAACAATCCTCCAATTGGCCCAAGCATATGTTGTCCCTGCCCATTCGAGGCCAAGCACAAGACACGGTGCGGCCATGAGGATGACAGCAGAGCCTGGTAAGTCCATGCGTTGTCGCTTCTCCTTGCCATTCAGGCCCTGGTACTCTGATATGCGGATATCTCCAACGCAGAGAAATACGGTGATCATGATGAACACTGTGATCGGGATGCAGATGTAGAAGCAAAGGCGCCAATTCGCCGCGTGTGCGATGGCTCCGGCGATCAAGGGCCCGGTTGCGAGGGCGGTGCATTCGACGCTTCCCATAGTCGCAATGTACAGCGGTCGCTGCTGCAGTGTTGTTGTGTGTGCAATCAGACTATTTGGATCGTGTCAGTGTCATGTCTCGTGCAAATTTGGCGGCATACAGAAGCCTTACATTGACCCTCCGGCGAAAACGCCCGCAGCTCCCAACCCACTCAGTGCTCGCCCAAAAATGAAGACTGGAGACGTGGGTGCGGACGCGGTCACGATATTTCCGACGAGGAAGATGGACAACGAGCCTAGGAACATCCTCTTCATAGAATAGAAGGAGTAGAGTTTGCCGTATATCAACAGCGTACCGCTCATAGAGAGCAAGCTGTAGGTTATTAGCCTCCTGAAACGTTGCCTGTATTCCCTCACGGATGTACTCACTATGCAACTGCATACCACCCGATGTTCGTGAGGGCGTTGAAATCGTCCGTGATGACTGGAGCAAGAACGGCAAGGCACGCATTGTCCTGTCTCGAAGGTCAGTTCTCAGTCGTCTTGAAGGGTGCGCAAACCAACGCACATATCCGACCAGGAAACATCCGAGGAGGATGCATGTGTATAGCAATGCGAATTTGATGCCCTTTGGATGGTTCTGGTCCTCCTCTTTCTCGTCGATCTGCTTTGTCGTGCATGCTTCTCCAATGTCAGGCTGTGATTCTTCGTGGCTCGTAATCGATGCCACCTCTACGATCGTTGTTGCGAGGGCGTCGACTTCGGCTTTTGTCATGTTGTTCGAGAGGTGAGGTTTGTCAAGTGTGTCGGCTGAGGTTGTCATCCTGGCAAGGGTTTTGTGAAATATGGTAAAGTTCAAGAAAACGTCAAGGGCAGTCCGTGGGAGAGTATTGTTTTCTCCAGACAACGGGTTTGCGAGGAATATATAGTCCTCGCGAACCCAAGGACATCCCGCCAGCGATTTCGAGCTCCGATGTGGATGCCAAACCATGATTGGCTGGCGAGCAGGGTAGCCTCGTTGAGGCCCGAGATGACTCGGACTCGGACATCGGAGTAAAGGCGCGTTATCATCCGCTGCTTACATCTCAATCTCTACCAGAGTGTATTAATCTGCTATCTCCACCCCATGACGGCCCGACTGCTCGTCTACACGTCTCTTCTACACATCAGCAATACTCTGCGAGAAGCTGATCAGCCTCGCCGACTCCTTCGTCGTGTTTTGCCAGCTATGCATCGCGCCCCTCAAAACACCACTATCGCCCGTGCGAAACACCTTCGTCTCGCCGCCATCGAGATGCAAGGTAACCTCGCCCTCCAGCACATAAAACACGCCAATGGTCGCCAACTTGCGCATCGGACTCTTCAACCCCGGCGCCAGGCGAAGAATAGAGCCACATGTTCCGCCCGGTGGACAAGCAACACCTGGTCCAAATCCGGCTTCGCGATCGCGGGTGTACTGCTCGAGATCTTGCTCCTTGTTGAGGCTCTCTGGGAATTTGTGAGTCGAGTAGAGGATCGTCATGCTGCCCAAAGGGATGGGAAATTCGTTTTGCTTTGTTGCGGTCTTGTTGGAGAAGACCGTCTTTCCGTCGGCACCATGAGTGGTGATGAAGTGGGCCATTGCTCTTGTATTTTGGTGTGTCTAAGGTCGATGCTATCGTGCAGAATCGCTCACTTAACGGGCCACCGTAGAGGTTATAAGCAGCCATCTGACAGCATCTTGGTTTGGGGGCGTTTATCATGACGACTGCTAACTTCGGCCTTTGCCGTCATCCAGTAGCCATGGCGTGTGGTTCGGCAGGCGCGATTTCCAATCGTCCGGAGTCTCAGCCGCATGCAGAGATGGGTTGCGGATTTCTAAGCAAGGCAATCCAACGGTACGTTCTCCTCGATACGTTGTGCCGTCATCGCAACAATTAGGGCGAGTATTTGCTTCTTACCGAACGAGGAAGAATGGACTGAGAGGCTGGGGCAGTTTAGTTCGTTGTTCCTGTCGTTCAAGCTATTCAACTCGACATATTGGAACGACTTGTTGCAAACTCCATCTCGAGTCGATTGAGTGAGGGCGATTGTCCCATGACTTTTTTGCAGGATTCAGCCAAAGCGCGCCGTCCATCTTTCACGTCACCCACGGAGCGCTCGGATTCCCTACTTTCGTGCCTTTGACCTCGCAAAACCAATCCATCGCATCCGGAATGATATGATTGCCCTTTCCCATAAACAAACATGAGCCACAATGCGACTTTCCGCGTCGCGGGCCCGTCAGAAGACGAAACCCTCGCCCGCATCCTGTACAACTCCTTCCGCCTCAATTGGGACGTCAACTGGTGGCAACAGTTGTCCGACAGCCTCGCCGCTGTGTCTCCAACTCGACCTTCATCGCCAGAGCAATTGACGGCGTCCCAAAAAGCCCGTTTGCAGTTCTACCGGTCATTCATCAGCGCGGTACGACTAGTCGGAGGGATTATCACAGTCGCAGTGCTACCCGCGGCTGACTCTGCGACCGTGTCATCCCTTCCCATCGTCATACTTTGCTGGCTTCCGCCGGGGGTCCATCTCACCACCTACGCCATCATCCGCAGTGGCTTACTGCTAAGCATACTTCGTCTCGGACATTTGATGGGGACTTGGAATCTCCTGTACTTTGAGCACAAGATCTCGCAGCTCTACGATCGTACCCTGCGACCACTCGGCTACAAATCCCGACACGATGGTGCCTTTGTGCAGATCATCGGCAAGACTCCTACGCCTGCGAGTAAGGGTGTGGCAGTGGAGCTACTACGTTGGCAAATACAGCAACATAAGCAGGCGAATCGACACGTAACTGGACCATTACCGGTCTTCCTGGATACTACGGGCGATTATCAACAGCGAGCGTACGAGCGGATAGGCTTCCGCGAATTGGGGCGGCAGAGACTACGCATCGCCATTAATGAGGAGGGGCTGAAATGTAGTACTCACTCCGACTTCTTTCAGCGGGTTCTTTTTCTGGATGCAAGAGACGTGGAATAGAGGGAGTATGTTCGCGGACGAGCGTGCGCGAAAGGCTGAGTGTGATCGACGATATGTGATTCGTTTGGTCCAGCGCAAGTGTGGCCGTGCAGGCGATTGATCAAGATGAATAAGGCTGCAGTGCAATCAGCGCTGATGTCAGGGCCACACTTCTCCCTCCTGGCTCTGGCCGAGACACTGCACTCTGAAGGGCCACAACTTATTCGGGGAAGACTCCTAGACGCCTCTGCAACGCTCGAGTCATACCTTAAGGGAGGAAGATGATCTTGCCACACGTAAAACGAGAACGCGTTGTGACAAAGAGACCAGGCCACGATTACTGCAAGACTTGCCGTTGGGTGTACTTGGTAGCGTTGGATGAAGTGCCTCCGCTCTGCATGGCGGACTCGACACAGCAAGGAAAAGATCAAGTGTGACGGGACCCGACCGGAGTGCCGCGGCGAAGGCATCCGCAGCATTGTCTGCGAAGGCTACTCGATCCTGGACATGAGGATCCGAGAAGCACATCCCGTCGTTGAATGCGCGCAGTCTGCTCTTGCCCCTCTGCAGAGATCACGCGCGGCAGTCGAGTGTCGTCTCGGAGACCCGATCACGGGACAGGAGGCCTATCGCACGCAATTGTTGGCCGTATTCTTGCAAGACCGCTCCCCGAAGAAGGCCTCCATCGCCCCGTACATCTCACACATGCGCAACGCCTCGCTGCCCCATCTGTGTGCCACGTACGCTCTCTCGATGCCACTCCTGCGCTATGCCGTCGACACCCTCTCCTTAGCGCATCTCGCAAGCAAGCTCAACGAGCCTTGGATCATCCATGCCGCCTCTGATTACCGGGGACGCCTCATATGCAAGCTAAGAGACGCCGTGCAGTCTCATCGACCGGCTCCGCGTCAGAAACAGCTCAGGGGAGGTGCCGAAACCGGCTGCTCTTCTCCCTCTCCGCAGCAGCACGCGGCAAACAGCAATGCGCAAAGCATTTTGATGACTATTCTGCTAATGAGCATCATGCCTCCTTTTGCCGAGGACTCAGATGCCGTACGCCGGGAGCAGGCAGCGCATCTCGAAGGTGCGATGCAGTTTCTCGCCAGCTATGGCCCCCTCTTTCCTCACGGGATACGAGCACCTTGATACCGTCATCATCCGCCAACTTCAGTACCAACAAACCAGCCTGTCAATCACGCGCCGCAAGACTCTCGAGTTTCTCAATCCCGAATGGACGAAGATACCACGCATGCTGTTCGAAGAAGAGAATGCGATGTACAGGAAGTCGGGCTGGGTCGCCAAGGCTAGCGCAGCCTCGCGGTGGCACCAGCCCACTGCGGACCAGCCCCGTCCACTCGACCGCCAACTCATCCGCGACTTCACATTACCATTGCCGAAATGGCTACAGACCGCCGACCGCTTCTGCGAAGGCTCTGGTCGACACTCGCGGACAGCACTCGACGCCATCTCTGCTTCCGTCCGGCGCGCGCATGAGATCTGGGTAACCGCGATACATCCGGCGACTCTCGACGCGCCGCGAGCGACCTTGCACCCCATGGTCACCCGCCGTGACGTCCACCTGTTCGACCCCAACATCGAAGAGCACGCCTACATGCTTGAAAACCCGACAGTCATCACGGAACACTACCGCTTTACTGCGGGCATGTATACTATCCCAAGCGCGAATGTACGCTTCACAAGTCTCCTTAGCGACTGTGCGATTCTCAAAGTCATTTACTCGGGAATGGAGCGCGACAGGCTAGGCCCCAACTGGACAGGGATATCCAAGGATACCGTGGAGCGCAGGGCGCGCGTGACCGCCGTCGAGCTTTGCCAGCACGTTCACTACATAGCTTATCGCCCCCTCACGGCCGCAAAGTTCTCCCAGGCCCTAGTGACGGGCGCGAGGGAGTTCTTCGAGTGCGCGGGGCTCGAAGCGGAGGCGCAGTGGCGCGAGGGCTGTCTGGCGGCCATTTCAGCGCGCATCCATCGTCTGTCGACGCAGCCAGGAGGCGCTTCGCTCTGTCCGCTGATTAACGAGTACGAGTTGGCGTGCGAGGGGTTTCGGTACAAGTAATGCCGTTCTCCGCTGTGCGCGATACTCGCATATCACGACGCTACCCATTGTAGTTTTGAGTGGAGAAAACCGGTTGGAAAATCCAGCGACTTTCTCAGCATATCTCTGATGACGATCTGCGTCCGGCAAGCGTGATAGTCGTCCTTGCGTCACAGCAGGCTTGAGAGTTCGCTGTCTAGCGGTCGTAGAAGCATGCGGCAACCGGGATCTGTGCAGTGAGTGATGTTTGATTGTCGGGATCTCTCGGCATGAGCTCACCCTACCAGATTCTTATAGTTCTCGCAGTTGCAGAAACACTCCAGGTTTTGCAGGCGACGGAAAGCCGGTCGCGACACAAAACCGGCCATGGAATCATATTCGCAGGGCTACTACGTACCATAAGAAGTGTACTCACTGTGGGGCGTGACCAGCCACTCACGATCCGTCTCACTTCGTCGCCGGACGTTCGGGCACGTAGCCTGACACTACGCCGCACTTTGTCAAACCCCGAAATGTCCGTCGTACGTATCGCGTTATTGCACAATCGTATTGCTGATATGGTACAAGTATCATAAGTAGCAATACTGGATGAAAGATATCTTTTTCCACTACACCTCAACAACATCACACCCGACCATGTTAGGAAGCGAGCCTATGGATCAAGATTTGGAGGCGAAAGAGGAGGACGTGAGCTCTACAATGGCGACGAAAGAGGAGGATGTGAGCTCGAATAACGAAGAGAGGCATGATGAGCAATCTCGGTCGAACGTGGTAGACTGGGATGGGCCCGACGACCCTGCCAATCCGCAAAACTGGAGTACGACGAGGAAGTTGTTGTTCACATTCAGCATTTCGCTTTGCACCTTCACCGTCTCGTTTGGCAGCAGTGTCTTGTCTTCGGGGACAGAAGTGCTCTCTGCACAATATGGCGTCAGCCCGGTCGTCATCACTTTAACGCTCTCGTTGTACGTGTTGGGATTCGCAGCAGGTATGTGCCAATCATCCCCGCTATCAGTCATCGATATTGACAATGTACTTGCCAGGACCGTGGGTATGGGCTCCCCTCAGTGAGTACAGAGGGCGATGCGAGCCTTTCTTGATCGGATATGTCGGCTTCATCTGTTTCACCGTCGGCGTGGCGACCGCCCAGAATCTATACACCATCATGATATGCCGATTCATGCAAGGCGCATGGGGAGTATCGACCATCACCGTCGTTCCGGGTCAGCTTGTCGATGTCTGGGATCAAAGCCGTCGTTCGCTTGCCATGATGGCGTGGGGTGCAACGATTGTGGTTGGACCAACGGTGAGCCGATTCCCCGCTGCCATGGTCACTGTTATCAATACGTACTGATGATGTACAACAGCTCGGTCCAATCATCGGAAGCTTTACGGTAAAAAACGAAAGTCTGGGATGGCGCTGGACCATGTGGTTCACTTTGATCATAGCCGCAACCTTTCTGGTTACAACCTTGATCGTGATCAGGGAGACCTGGGCGCCGGTGCTCCTGCAACGAAAAGCCAGGCGTCTCCGACAGGAGACTGGAAATTGGGCCATCCACTCCAAGCTGGACGAGCAGCCGACCAACATTAAACAGCTCCTCCAAAAATACGGGCTCAAGCCCATGCTCATGCTCATTCACGAGCCGATCCTCGCGGCAGTCACCCTGTACCTCGCCTTCATCTACGGCATCATCTACCTCACCTTTGAGGCATATCCCTACGCCTTTGGCACCGTACGAGGATGGGAGGACGGCGTGTCAACGTTGCCATTTTTGTCGCTTGGCGTCGGCTACTTCAGCGGCTTCGCAATATCCTTCTTGATTCAGCAGGCGATCAAGCGTCGTAAAGCCGCTACTGGACAGGCGAGCGTACCCGAAGACCAGCTTCCTCCGATGATTGTAGGCAGCTTCATCTTCATCATCGGGATGTTTTGGTTTGCCTGGACGTCCAACCCTCACATCACATGGGTGCCTCAGGTTCTCTCTGGTGGATTCATTGGCGCGGGCATCTTCATGCTGTTCTTGGCATGCCTGACATACCTGATGGAGTGTTATGCCGCTTCCGCCAACAGCGCGCTTGCCGCCAACACCATCGTTCGGAGCATGGTGGCCGCGGGCTTCCCACTGTTCGCCACGGCAATGTACCACAATCTCGGCGTGCCGTGGGCCAGCAGCGTGCTGGCATTTTTGGCCATTGCCATGACTCCGTTCCCCATCATCTTCTACCTGTACGGCAAGAAGATTCGCAGCTGGAGCAAATATGCATTTTAGACTAGACGGGAGGCCCCAGATGCAATAGATAGAGAGATATCAGCTCGGAAAGGGCAAAAGAGAAAAAGATAGAGAAAAACACGACACGCGCGTATCTTGGTGCAGTCATACAAGGTTGTCCGCTTACATGCATTGCTCGTATTAGCCTCTCGGATTCCGTGCGACTGGCACGCGTCAACTGGCCGCGCCCAGTGAATGGTGGCTTAGAGTGCCTGCGGCTCTACCATTTGACTATGCATGTATCTGTTGCCAAGTGTTCCAATCGCTGCCGGTAGCAGGTACCCCGCATGGAACTTCAATCATCCTGATCTTGACACCCTCAGCTTGCAGCGACTTGTAGGCGGCCAAATCGTGTGGGTCGTTGTTCCAACCGCCAACGTCGTGTTGTCCGTAAGCGGTTTCCACTGCAGCTGCTCGAATATTGCTTTGGAAGCGCTTGCATGATCCGTCTCGTGTTCTTCGCTGTTCATGCATGGCACCCCATAGCCCGGATGCGCGGCTACAGACACACAAGGTGGTTTTTACCTTCAAGACACCCCGATCTGACCCCGGGACTAGATAAAGCTTAACAGAATCAGGCTGCTGCAGTGCCACCGCCCCGCGAATCACCATCTAGACGCTACTGCACGTTCAGCAGACACACAACAGGACGTCCATACAGCATACAGCGAACACGAGGTAGCATCGGGCTCGTCCAGAAGGGATCACAATTGCGGGCGACGAGCTCGGACTCGACTCTCTAGCGTGGACGTGCATGCACGCCGCGAGACTGATCTTCATTCCAGCCTTTCATCTGCAGGAAAGCATGCCGTTGCAGGGTAAAAGGGGGCGTCTGGATCTGGCGTCAAGAACTCGTAGGTATAAGTACCTTGCGGCCCAGCGGACAGGAGCGACGCCTTGTACAGCTTCCCTGACCCGCTGTTTCTATCATCACCATGCTCGTCTTTCTGGGCCTTTTCTTGCTCAGCACTCTTGCAACGGCCGACTTAGCAGCGGTGTCGTGTCCTGCCCAAGCTAGCTGCACTGGTTTCGTTGGCAGTATCGCGTCTGCCCTCAAAGGCTATCCGCAGGCCTCGACTTTCTGCTCAGACAAATTCCCAGTGCCCAGTCAGACTTGCACGTCTGTCGCTCCTACATTAACGATTACTGTTACAGCAGTAGCAGCTACCGCGACTACGACTGTTGCAACGAATACGATAACGTATGTTTCTCTCCTTAGCACGACGTCGCAACTTAGCTTACCTCTGAGCACAGCGACACCGCTAGCACGATCACGAATACGGCTACGATCACTGTCACGCCTACGATCACCACCACAACTGTCGAAACAGATAGCGAGACTGTAAGGAACGCCCGAGACTTTCGGACCTACCGTTTCGACAAAACGTGACCAAAGCTCTACGCTAACAACCGTGATAGGACACAACGACGGTCACTGCGACTATTACTTCCTACCAGTCCGCGATCAACAAACGCGACAGGCATGGCGAACGAGGTGGCGACCCTCGATCGTCGAAACTCAAGAGCCTCCAGTCGGAGGCATCGTCTTTCGTCGGCGCTGTCTGCACCTGCCTCGAAACGCCAGCCTCGACGACTGCCACGATTACACCAACTACAAACACCACAGTGACGCCTACTGTGACTACACGCGTCACTCAGACGACCACAAGGTAAGAGATTGTCATATAGCAGCGGTGTGAGTTCCTAATCTGGGCATGCAGCACCATCACCCCTACCGTCACGACTACGTCAACCTCGACCGCAGCTCCGGTGACAATGACAGTCACAATCACCAACACGATAGCGACCACGACCACAATCAAAACCTCAACTACCGTTGCGGCTCCAACGTGCTCTCCAAATCCGAATGCACTAAGTGAAGCACCGCCGTTCCCATGCGGTGACGGCACATGTCAATTTACGCAATACGAATGCACCGTCCAGCCTAATGGCAATGTGTGCCAAAACCTTTGCTTCGCCAATCCAGACTTCGCCGAGGCTGGCTACTTTGCCAATCTGGGACAATGCTACTGCTACTACGGCTGCTGCACGTAGTACGTGGGCCCGCCGCACCCGACGACCCTTCGGCGGAGATGTTTCGACTGGGACCGAGGGTGGGCACAAGAGAGGAAGGCTGTCTTCAAGGAAACATTTGCACACATCACGCAGCGGAGATGGACGATCTTGGGTCGCCGGCCAGTACATCGGCCAGAGATGAGAATAACGTGTCGCACTTTGATTTTGTTGATTTGGACATGGGCAGGATTCAATTTCGTATCAACACTCTCATCAGACTATTTTGCTGATTCACTCACTTCTGCTTTACCGCTCAAACACGCGCGCTGAGTGCATCCTGATTTATGCAATGGTCGAAGATGTGTTGGTTCAACGTATGGCGGCTCTCGGCCTGCGCTGACAGCGTCACTCCAGCTTCTCCTGGTCCTCCCGGCTGTATCGCAGCACGACTTACATGCCGGTCGGCGGGAGGCGTGCAATCAGGGTGGTCTGTACCGAGCGAGAAGCGTGCGGAGACACGCCAGATAGGCAACAAATGCGTGAATCTGGCAGGGTTGCGTATATCGGTGGAGATTGGCGATTTGGCTGGATGCCGGGAACTGCGAGAGACAAGAAGGGGCTAGAGGTTGATGTGAGGCTGCTCAGAGTGCGCGAGTTCTCCTTGGGATACTCCGCACGGCCGACGTGCACTTCTCGAAGATCTTCACGACGACCGCAATCAAGTTTGCCTTCCTGCCACGGTCAGCCCGCCGCAGCCGTGTCCTGGGATAGAGCGTTCCGTTTGAGATGCCCGATTCTACTTGGATTCGCCCGCTGTGTTTGCTTCCACGCATCGTTGTTTTGGGGATTACCGATCGATGGCATCGATCTAGTGAGGAGAAGTTAAGCGAACTTAATTACAATACTTCACCGACGAGGGAGTTCTTAGAAATCCAAGTATACGCATCTCCGTTAAATGCTCGTGCAGCGCCTCGTATTGTGGGCGATCGCGTCACACTGCTGCGGGCTCTAGTATTGTGAATGTGGTGGAAACTCACTATTCATGTGCGACGCATCTGACACTCGCACCTGCCGCTTCCCGAATCAACTGCAAACGCACCTCAGCTTTCAATTTCCGCCTTCTCTCTTCTTCTTTTCCTTTCTCTTCTTCCTCGCCAAACCTTTTCCGCTCACACGTGTCTGCCTCACGCCTCTTCCCCCCACACCTTTTTGCCCCAAGCCTCCCAAACCTTTCACCAACACGCACGATCCTCCGCCGACAAGTGGTCAACACCACCATGTCAGACCTCAATCTGGAATCCGAGCTGTTCGAAAAGATCGTCTGGACCCTCATCCGTCGACCTCAGCTCAACCGCCTTGAATTCCAGCGCCCCGTGCAAGTCGCGAAAGCCGAAACGGAGAAGAAGGGAGCAAGCGTGCAAGTCCAGCTCGTCCAGCTCGTCCAGATGATAGGACGCGACGAGCACAACAACAAGATCGAGTTCGCCGTGAAGCACACCCCAGGCGGAGACTGTCCCGAGGAAGGCGATGAGCTACACGTGAGCTGGGAGATCATGACCCAAGGATCCCACCCAGTCCCTTACTTCTCGCTTCAAGACATCGGAACCTGGTCCAACTGGGAATTGGTCCTCCGCATCGGCCTCAAAGTCCTCTGGAAATCTGTCAAGATGAATATGTGGCACTGTAAGTACTTACAAAGCCCACCAGGAACCAAGACGATGGACAAACGACGATCCGGCGCTCTTGCGAATTATGCCTGGGGCGCAGCAATATACGCTTATCTCATGCGATCCACATGGCCCGAGGTTGAAAGCTTCGTTCCGCGGATGGGGCTCGCCCATGTCGTCGAAGTCAGGCTGAATCACTTCGAACAACGTGTTGTTTGCACACCTATTCCAGAACCGCTGGCCAAGCTTGAGGGACCACGGTACCAGTTTCGATTCACAGTCGCGAGGGCCAAAGAGCTCCGAACAACAGAGGGAGATGTCACGCAGCGTCTTCAAAATGTCGACGCATCATGGCAATCCCTTGACTTCGAGTGGGCATTGGGAAAGCTTTCGGGCGCCGATCTGGAGATCGCCAAAACGCGCATCCATTGCGATCACTGCTGGCTCCAGTGGAATGTATGTGGCCAATCTCCAGTTACGATGTTGCGATGCATCTTCTAGAGCTAACAATTGTAAAGTCCCCGATCGGTTATGGCGGCCCACCCAGCTGCGAACGCATGAAGGACAAGGATGGCAACGAGACGAATAGGTGTAGAGAGTGCTTCTTGAAGGGCATTCCTTGCAGCTGGACCCGGGAAGATCACCTCGGCGGACCTGGACATTTGACGAAGATCCCGGGTCGTACAGGCCAAGGCAGCAGGGACCTGAGCGGCGAATTTCACAATCTGCTGATGAAGTCGCTCGTCACCCAGCCTGAGCAGAAGAATGCGACCGAGACAGTCCCGATACCGGACCCGGAATTCATGAAGACGAGTGAGATGAACCAAGGAACGAGGGGCGAGCCGGGCGGTCTGGAGATAGAGGAGGTAGCGGTCGGCGGTTGGATGCGTGGACACTGGAAGTAGCGGTCGGCGTTGGGTGGCTAGTGGAGAGTAGTCTCACGGAGGATTGTTGTGGTACTAGAAGATTCGGGGCGGTGCGGAAAGGTGTTTCAGTGGTCTTTGCTTTCTTTCTGGCGTACTGGAAGGGGCGGAGTGGAAGTTCAATGGGTTTTGCTTTCTTTCTGGCGTTCGGGTCCGGGGTGATGAGCGGTTGCGGGTGCTACAGACTGATACCCCAGCAAGCGACTCAGCAACTTGCGGTTTTGATTAGGCAGTCCACTCGAGCAGGCTGTAATGAATCTCATTCCACAAGTTATCGAGTGCCAGTAGTATTGACCGCGGAGTAGGCGAGATGTAAAGCTCGACGGGTTTTCCGACGAGTTCGCTGCGTCTGCGCTGCTGCTGAATCAGTACCGATAATCTTGAGCCCCGTTCAGCAGTATGTTAGTATATGCCTTTATCGCTATGGCTATCCACAGACCTCAGATGCCGTCCATGATAAGCAGTTCGAGACGCCAGATCAGCATATCTCCGTGTAATAAGTGCGCATACTCGTGTAAACTGGTACTTATGGTAGGGATCGTGCTCGCAGCGCTTAGCTTGTGTCTTTCCGCCCACAATGTATGTCCCGAAACCTGTACTTGTGCAAAAGCTTCTCCAAAATGGAAAAAATGTAGGAAACCGAGCCAGGCGGATACATCAAAGAAGAAGACAACCCCCAAAAGATTAACGACGAGGATGGGACCTAACACGACTTGTTAGCATTTTGTAAAACCCGCCAAAATTGCATGTCACTCACTCGAACCCACAGTCTTTGCCACCGGAAAGCAACGCGTTGCCATTACGCCACCCCGCCAAGAAAACGTTCGGAACATCCCGAGATCTTTTAATTTGAATATCAGGAAGTCAAAATTGCGTCCGAAAAACCCCCGGAAGGTGTGCGATGACGAGGTGCAGTCTCACGTGACTGCGCCACAGCATGGCAAAAAGCGGGGCGGCTTTCGGCCGGTCCCGCTTTTATTTTTGGTGCGGAGAAGTTTGCCGCGGGCTCGGAGGAATAGAACGAGATCTCGAGGCTCGGAGATGTTTCATTTCTTCGCATACACAAACAAATGCGGCTCCTCCAAAGGCGCATCTTCCCCCGTAATCCCCGCCTCAAATACCTGAGGCTTAAATACAGTCACGTCGTGAGACTGCACCTCGAATCCCGCATCCCGAATGCACGCCATAGCCTCGTCGGCCTCCAAACTCGACACAACCGTGCGTCGGCCCAACCACACAATTTCATTGCTATCATTAGAGATTGGCACAGTGGCGAACACAAAGACACCCCCCGGCCGCAGCCAGCCATGGATCCGGAGAATGTACCCTCGAATCTCCTCCTGCGAAAAGCCGGCAATCATGCTAAAGTAAACCGTGACCGCGTCCAGACTCCCATCCTCAACCTTGTAGTTCTTCACATCAACCTTTTCAAACCTCGCATCAGGCACATTCGCCTTCGCAGCCTCGATCATGGCGCCGGAGACGTCGATGCCCGTGACGTCGTGGCCGGCTGCTGAGAGCGCGAGGCAGACTGGTCGCCCGGTGCCGCAGCCGATGTCGAGACACTTTGCAGGTTTGCCACTCTCGAGCTCGGAGAGCAGCCATTGGATTGATGCATCTTGTGGTGCCACGCCTTTCCATGCGGTCTCGTAGGCTGGGCCGATGGAGTCGAAGAGTTGCTCTGCTGTGAGCGGGGCCATGACTGCGCAGATTTCGGACGATACGATGTCCAGCAATTGTCTTATTTTCAAGGTCTGTTCGGCGCTGCAGCAGCTGGTGTAGCAGCGAATAAATATCACGCCCTCGAGAGAACTGTAAGTGGATGTCGAGGTGGGAAGTTATTCCCAGTATATTGTTAATTTCACAATCGCGGTGTGCACTTGCGGAGATCGCGGTGAGTCAGTCCAGCCGAACGACTTGGCTGGCAGGGGGCGCGCCTGCAGCCTTGCCACGATCTACGAAACGATGCGAAATCATCTGCGTTCGAATACTTGAAAGAGTTCATCGACTCGCAAAAATGCATCCCCCGTCGTCTATACCGCTTACCGATCGCTTTTCTCTCCGCTCTACAGGACCCCAATGTTCGGAACGGAGGAATGCAGTGCGTGCATTCCAGTCCTCGCAGTCCAGACCCGTTCGATCTCTTCCATACGGATGCGGAATAAGGAGCGGCTTTGTCCTACAAATTATCGAGAACCTAGGATTGACACGAGAGTGGTTTACTCTACCCAGATACACATTGTGTAGTCAGCGCGGATCTTCTCACCGCAATGGCCAACTCAACAGGCAGCGAAAGCTGTCCCTACCCCTTTCTGAACCAAGCGTTATACTCTCAGAGAGCAGGCGGTGAGCCTCGTCCCTCCCTTCTCATACTACTCCCTCTAATCCCAAGCCCTCGCAACAGACACGCACGCCACCTTCTGCGGCCAGATTTCGCCTACCCTCTCCTGCTGCTTGCCGTGCCCGCTTGAGCAATGGATCTACTCCGACTCCCTTCACTTCTACGTCAGGATTGCGCAGTGGTTCAACGTGCCGGCGTTGTGTTGCCAGGTGTTCCTGTTGCTGTCGTTCGCGGTGTTGCCGCGGGAGCGAACGCAGGTGCAGGGGAGATATCTGAGCGTAGGGTTGTGTGTGGGGTTGGTGTTGTTGGAGGTGAGTCGGTAGAACAAGGTGGATCACGAGAGGATCGTACGAGCTGACAAGTTCGGGATTCGAATAACAGCTGGCTTTTATCGTTCCGCTGGGCACGCAGCCGGACGTCTGCTACAATGCCATTACGCCGCGCGACATGTACACCAGCATGTCGTGCGCGTGGACCGGTGCGCTGCTGGAAATGGGAAGCATGGCGGGTTTGGTCTGGAGTAAGCTGCCCAAAAACCAACTATCGGTTGTCAGTACTAACACAAGAACACCACCAGTTCTCCTCCGCTCCCTCTACACCCACCTTCGAGTCTGCTGGGACATTGAACTTACCACGCCTCGCTTCAAGTGGATCGCCCACGCCCTTGGCTGGGGGCTTCCGGCGTTCTTCCTCGCCATCTCCCTCCCCATCACCAAGCTCAGCTACCGCTTGACTTCCACGTGTCTCCCGAACCCTCATGAATCCTTTATTACGTGGTTCGGATGGCTCATCGCCTTTGCCCTCCTTGGTGCACTCATCCAGTTCGCGACGACAGGCTTCTGTCTCGTCGTATTCTTGCGCAGCTACATGTCCGCCAGCAAGGCGCCGTCTGGCCCTCGCTTCGGCAATTCGACGCAGGGAACCGCGACATCGGCACCACCGTCAATCACCAGCACCAGACGGGTCGCATGGCGAAGAGTGCAGCAGGTGTTGGCATTGCAATGGAGGAACATACTCCTCAGCTTCGTGGTGATTGTCGACGTGGTGTATTCGGGCATCGTCTATGTTCTGATGACGAATACGGAGGACAAGGATAACTCATCGACGCAGACGAATCAGATCAACGAGTGGAGCAGTTGTCTGATTGAGAGCGGCAGAAACAAAGCGGAGTGTCTGGAGCTGGCCAAGCCGTTGAGATTTGGGGAGGGCCAGGTTGTGGCGACGTTGTTCATGGCTTCGGTATGTGTCATTGACTTTGATGTGGTTGGACCCGCAGCTAACCTGCTCGCAGCTCATCGGCATCTTTACCTTTTGCCTCATGATCCGGTGGTCGATGATCCAAGGCTGGTGGGAGTTGATCCGGCATCCGCTGCGGAGGGACAGTGTGGATTTCGAGCTCGTCTCTCACAGCCCCAAGCATATGTCGTTGACGAAACCCCTGGCTTCGGAGAAAGCGGCATCAGTCACAGACGTCCGACCGAATGAAGAGGATGATATGCCAAACGACGAGGAGGTGAAGAAATTGTTTGGCTGGAAGTGAGTCACGAGGCGAAGGGTTTGCGAAGGAAAGTGGAGGACGACATCCTATAGCGTATGTAGCATGAATATTAGCAATCAAGGTCAGAGCTTTTGGATCACCGAAGACGCGCCCAGCACACAAGGGCAACAGTTGCTACGGGCGGGATGCGATCATCTATAGTCCAGATCTTGACATCCTGCCGAAGCTCTACAATGGCTTTTGTGCGACTCGAGACCATCTGCAAGATCCCGTTCTCAGTTTCCAAAAGTTTCAAGAATGTCATATCGAGAGATGTGCTTACTGGGTAAGATAGAAGCCGAACTTGGCAGAGTTTTCCCTCAGGTCCCGCACCGCATTTATCGTAAGGGTGTTCACATCTTCGGCAGACATGGTCGAGGGTGGGGCGGCCATTTTAGGCGCGACATTGACCATGACATTGGCGACAGTATCGGCAAGTAGAGTGCTGATCCTCTCCCTTCCTTTCATCTCGGGGCTCGATCGGGAGAGGTACCTACAGATCTATCATCAGTAAACCGCATGAGGGGGAAGAACCAAGCACTGGCATTACCAATTACACAGTCTCTCCTCCACCATCTTAAACCCGGCATGCTCCAAACGCTGACCCATCGTGTCAATTTGTCGCGTGTCAACCCCGTTGCCTCTAAGAAACTCGGCAAAACAGCGAAACCAGGCCGCGAGATGAGATGCTTCTGCCTCAGCACTGCCATTGCTCATCAGCTGAAGAGAGGAATCATGCGACTCAAAATAGCCCCCAGGCTTGGTTGCCTGAAAGGCGTGATCAATCACCACTTGCCAGTCTCGGATGGCAGTCGTAAGCAAACGAGCAAAGGTGAGGTCTACCGTGCCCTGGCCTTTGATGAAGGTCCATGGTTCTTCCACGTTCGCCTTGGTGAAGTGACAGTTATGCAGGTCGCCTTCCATCGGAGGATTGAGATCCACGCCTATGACTTGGATTGCCGGATGCTGTCGCGCGATGGTTCGGCCCCACAGTCCGGTTCCGCAGCCCATGTCGACGACGAGTCTCGTGTTGGGCGAAATGGGGGCAAGATATGGCGCCCCGAACTCCAGCTCCCACATCGACGCTTGGTTTTCTGAAGACGTTGCATGTTAGGTGTCCGAAGGCATGATCTGATCCAAGATGATCCTCACCGAGACGTGCCGCCTCCTCCGCCGACTGGTAGAGTCAGCTAGAAATGACGATTGAGAGCATTAGGGACACGAACTTCTTGGGCGTTCGGCAGGGGATATGCTGGTATCTGCGCCATTGCTATCGAAATCTCGAATTTTCGCGTCTGTCAGTATGCTGTGGAGGATAGCCAGTTTAAAGAAAAGGAGCAATTGTGAGAAGAGAGACGACGAGCATTACTCAAATGTCGCCGCCGTGCTTACGGGGTGAAATCATGAGGCTGAAATTATGAGCCGGGCTGCCTAACGCGAGGGGAGCAATTACCATTATTGCAACACAGCATGATGCTGCCCTGAGGCAGTAAGTACAGCGTGGTTGAGACCACATCTGGCACTTCCGTGAGTACGTACCAGCTGACAGTGAGCGGGGCGATGAGGTGGGTATATATGGTAACTCGGCATGACAAAGCCGGCCAGAAGCAACAGGCGCAGACTAGTCGAAGCAGTGATTTAGGGCAGCCACACAGAGGATGTCAGCGATCGCGAGTGAGTCTTCGATCCACGTCAGGTACAGTGACGAAGTGCCGTCAGCAGCGGTGCACATGCTTTAGCCAGAAGATGCGGTGAGGGACGGAAATACGTGAGGCGTGGGCGGATAAGCGACAGGCAGACAGAGCCTCGTGTTGGAGCCAACGAGAGGGATTGCGTAGGTCATTAATAATAGCGCCTCGACTAGGGCGGCATGATGCAGCGTTGCAGGAAAAACGTGAGAGTTGAGGGGCTCTCGGCCTGCAGGCCGGATGAGGTCGGGTGGGTGGGCGGGCATGTGCTGGGCGGGCGAGCGACTTTTTGGCATGCGGCAACGTGCGTCACGCCGTCTCAGAGTTTTCCTGCGCCGCGGCCAAACCTGCCAACCCCCCACGAGGAGGAGTATAGCGTGCGGTGCACGGGTGCGCGAGCAATCCTTTTTCCCTCCTTCCTCCTCCACCCCTCCATCTTCCTTCCAATACCTCTCATCCTCTTCGGCACGGGTCAGGGTGGCCTCATTCCAGCGCACCGTCATTCCTTGCGAGAGCCGTTGGACGAGCCTGTGCGGTTTCGAGCGGCGCATCCAATCCAATCTCGCGCGGCATTTATCCGGCTGCCCGAAAGGAGGTTTGAGTTTGATTGTTGGACCGAGCAGCAACGCGAGAAACAGAGCGAGCTGAGCGTCAGCCATCATCCTCCATTTCCAGCAAATATCCCTGGAGCAGCGGTCGGAGGAATCGAAGAGGAAACGCGAGTCACCGTACGACGACTGCAGGCAACAAGACGCTACTGTGTCTTCCCGAGCACTGCCCTCCCTCTCTCGCCGCTTCCCGGAGGTTTTACGTGGCGAAGTGCCAAGCCCCGATCGGACCCTGCTGAGGCAGGCGCTTCCCGCTGTTTCTCGCCGCTCACCTCCAGAAAAACTTCCTCCTCACTCCCCATCAACCACACCTTTCCCTCCCAACCCGCCTCCCGACCACGTCTTCGCACCCCTGAAGTCGACAATCGCAGGCTTCACTGTCTGTGATCCACTTTAGTGGCGTGTGTCACCCTCACCCTCACCGCGCATCGGCCCTACGTCTCCTCCCTGCCTGCACCCGACACCCCGGACCTCTTCGCTGAGTGTCCACACTGCGCGTCTCACCACACCTCGCTGCCTGGAAAGCGCCATCGCGTTTGACCTTCTGCGCCTTCTCTCTTCCGAACGCGCAACGTCACCTCTGCCACCCTTCTTCACCTCACCCGACCTACCATCGCAACTTTTTCCCTGCCTACACAGCGACGCGATACGAACACCTCACACCACCAACCTTCACCCCATTCATCCACCACTCGAAGCCGATATTCATAAGACGGAACAACCTGCATGAGTGCCTGCCAGTGAGATCCCGCGCTTTCTTTCACAGCGTTTGCACGCGCCTTTCGGTGCACTGAGGTGCAAGAAGCGGTTGGTTGAGACATCATCCTTCCTCACTACAGCCGTCTGACGCTGCACAGGTCGTTTTTCAACGCCGCTCCTTGCCTTTTGCTCCTCCCTCGCCATCATGCCTGCCGTTTGCCAACGCGCCATGGCCAATCAGCTGCCGCTCACCCCTCCTGACTCTGGGTCCGGGTACGGATACAGTTCGATGCACTACGCTCAAGATTCCTATGCGCCACATCAGACCATGAGCCGGAACCGTCACGACAACAACTACGACTACCAGCAGTCATACATGCAACAGTCGTTGGTCGGGCAAGCGCCCCCGCAGACAGCGTATCAGTATCCGCAAACCGCCTACCCATCAGCCAACGGCCTGCCACCCATCACAAACTACTACGAACCCATCGGTGCTCCCATCCTTCCGCCGCTGCGCATCCAGGATACGGTGTCGTTCTCTGATGACTATCAGCGCCGACTTCACCAGGAACAGCAGACGGCCGCAGCACGTGAACGGCAATGGCCCGCTGCAAAGGAGGAGAAGCCTACGGGTGGCGTGTCTGCGAAACTTGATTATGAGATGGAACGCATGACGGACTTTGTGACGGAGGCTACCCAGTCAATGTAAGCATGCCTCATCCTCCGCTCCAATGCTCAGAATCTAACTCCATCCACAGCTTCCAGCATACCATGCAAAACCCGCCTTCGTTTCGGAAGTGGGTCAACCAAGTCCTCTCCGCGACGCGACTCCCTTCGGCAACCATCCTGCTCAGCCTGCATCTCCTCAACGATCGTGTGGTCAAGAACCCCGACTCCGTCACGCCGGGCGAAAATCAGATCTACCGCTTGCTCGCCGTGTCGCTTATCCTTGGCAGCAAGTTCCTGGACGACAACACCTTCATCAATCGGTCATGGTCCGACGTCACCGCCATCAAGGTCACCGAGCTGAACTTGATGGAGATGGCCTGGCTGAAGCTGATCCAATACCACTTGCACATCGATCCCCGCGCGCAGAACGGTCTTCACACGTGGCTCGATGCATGGAAACAATACGAGGCAAAGCACGCCGCGAAGCAGCAGCAGGCGGCCAGACTGTCGCCTCTCAACGCGAATGCCTACCGCACTCCTGCCAACCGCGAACGCTTCTCGCCGTACCCCACTCCGTACAACGGCACCCCCAATCAGGCATACACGCCAACGACATCCCGCTCTTCCCAGTTCGGACCATCGCCCTACGTCGCGGCCGACCCATGGGGCCAAAGCAACCAGCACCCGTTCGACGACTTCTACAAGCGTCAACGTCGCTGGCCTACTCTGACCGAGATTGACGACGTCAATCGGAGACTGTCTGCAGAACGTGCCCGACAGTCTGCACTTGCCTACCAACAGCAAGCGGCCCAGGCGTCTTACTACAACTCTCCAAGCTACGGCTCCGCATGGGACCAGCAGGCGTGGAATGGCGCACACCGATACGACTGCGGTTGTTCTTCGTGCACCTACCACCATCGCTACCCCATGTCATCCGGCTATACTGCTCAGGCCGTCATGGGCTAGCAACGATGGCCAAGATCTTCGATCATGTCCCTCGGACACCGACGGGATATCCATTGCTTCGACTCTCTGCAGCGTTCAAGCTTCTGCTTCTGCAAAAGTGTTTCGGCTCACCGGCAACGAATGAACGGACGTACGTACGAACGAACGACGAATACTATCGAGCACTCGCATGGCTCCTCGCTATCATGTTCACGATTCGCACCTCGCGTCACCAAAAATATATGCCTCGGCCGTGGCCTCCCCACAACTAAGTCTTCTTCATCTGCTTCACCGCAATAGACTTCGGCTTCACTTCTCAACCTCGTTTGGACTTGGGAGCTGGCTTTACCCCATTCTTCTACGAGTGCGCGCAACGCACAGCGGTGGTGCTTCTTTTCTTCTTTCAGCACTACGAATACTGCCTTCATCCCCGATTTTTGCTTCAGCATGGCGTTTCAACAAAAGAATAAGCGGGGCGCCTGATTTACATTGTCTTTGCTTTTCGGCGATTAAAAGGATGCGCAGGAGGGAGTCAGCGTATCATGGGTTTTATTTGCTTGTCACCGGCAGGGATGCGGACGTGGGCATTTCGGTCCACGTGGAGTCTTTCTGAATTTCTAGAGTATCGGCCTTTCTTCTCTCTGGCTACGGATGGTGGGAAACGGGTTGCTTTTCGGGATGGGCTGGATGGACGGGACGGGATGGGATCAACACTCGGTGTTGGTGGTTGGAGGAAGACGGGTGGGATCTTCTTATTGCTCCTCGAAGATGAGGAAGAGGGGAGGGCAGGGTGCGAAGAACATAGTACCTATTACGACTCCCTTTTTTTAATGCGGATCGGCGCTGTAGCCATCAATGTCCACTGTGGGCTTTGATGGTGCGCTTCTTGCAAGATCCGTCTCTTATTCCTCTCCTCTTCTCATCGTACTCCTTCTTTTGGGCGGCAGCAAGGCCGATGCGGGATGGCTGATGGTGTAGGCCTCAGGCGAAAATACCTCGGCTTCTCTGCCACCACAGCTCCCCGCCCATGTGCCGAGTGTATCTCACTTCCACCCATCTGACGTTCTTGGACAACTACATCATCTAACCCGCTCAATCAACGCCTCCCACATCGCATACTTCATATCCGCAATCATGGCCGAAGCGGCTGGATACGAATTCCCCGCCTACCCCGTCAAATGGCTGACGAGAGACGTGCTGCTCTTCGCCAACAGCATCGGCTGCACCAGAGACGAGCTGCAGTTCATCTACGTACGTCCCTGGATCCTCTTCACGGAGGCAAGCACTGACGATATTGCACGCAGGAACTGCACCCCAACTTCAACGTCTTCCCCACCTACCCCATCCTTCTCCCCTTCAAGCGGAGCAACCAGGAAGTCATCGACTTCTACGCCGAGCAGGCGAAAGCCGGCAAAGGCCTGCCGGGCGTGCCGGAGCTCGACCCCCGGAAGACGGTGGATGGCGAGCGACACATGACCTTCTACAAGCTGCTGCCTTCCTCCTCTGAGGGCCGCAAGTTCGAGATCCGCTCGAAGGTCATTGGTGTTTACGACAAGGGCAAGCCGGGCACGGTCGTGGAGACGCAGAACGACCTCGTGGATGCCGAGTCGGGCGAGCTATACAACCGCGCCATCGGGTCGGGGTTCTACGTTGGCCAGGGCGGCTGGGGTGGCCCCAAGGGACCCAAGTCGCAGAGCTACCCGCCGCCGGATCGGAAGCCGGATGCGGTGCACGAGCAGCCTACGGGCCCGGAGACGGCGCATTTGTACCGGCTGAATGGCGACTACAACCCCCTCCATGCCACGCCGGAGCCGGGCGAATCGCTTGGATTCGGAGGCGCAATCATCCACGGCTTGTACTCGTGGAACACGGCGTGCCATCAGCTGCTGAAGCTGCTAGGCGGCAGCGATCCCGCCAACATCAAGGAGTTTGCGGCGCGGTTTGCGTCGCCGGTCAAGGCGGGCGACACGTTTGTTACGCAGGTTTGGAAGACGGGGAAGAAGGACGCGGAGGGGTGGGAGGATGTGCGCTTTGTCACGTCGGTCAAGGGAGGTAAGGTGTGCTTGAGCAATGGTCGGGCGAAGATGAAGGTTGTTGGGCTCAAGAAGAACGAGCGGAGCAAGTTGTAGGTAGATACATACCTGAGCTGATGAATGCAGGCGTTGTGTGTGGCGTTGCGCATTCCTCGATGTCTTCTAGAAGGCCCAAAACGGCGAGGCAGCGTCTCAGCCACAGGCTTCGAGGGTTTGCATGTGACACGGCATGTCATCGAGCCTTGGTTCAGCCCCGACTTTCCTCGCGTTGAGCAAGTGCTAAAGCGTGCGCAATCATCTTCCACTCATGTTGGTGAAATGGCCGAGGGAATGAATAGTAATGGGGACGCAGAACGAATAGTGGAGACCGGCACTTGCCTTTCTTGTCCTTGCTTCACCGTCTTTTCAGAGCACGGAAGAGGGCTTCTTGGCAAGGCAAAGACTCGGCGGTCTATAATAAACGCGGGTCCCGTGCCGGATGCTTACCCGGTGTCAGATGAAGGAGGGAAGCGAGCGGGCGAGCGAATGTGATGCATCCAGAATCCGATGATACGCCACCAGCCACATTTCACCTCTTGAGAGCCCGACGTCCGCCTGCAGCGAGCCCCACGTGTCTGGCTTTTTTCGCCCAATTCACCGCCGTGCAAACGCTGCCCCATTCACATCTCCACATCTCCCTCCTCCTCCTCCGCCCTGCCTGGCGCATTTACTAATCTCCCCCTCCTTGTCTCTCCCTCTGCACCCACTCTGCGTGTTGTGTGTGCCTCATCACCCAACGTGGAGAAATCCCTGCTGCAGCCCAAGGGCCGTCAGTCTCCGGACACCACACGGCCAGCGTCACTCCACCTCGGCACCCCCGAGCAGTTGGCCCCAACACGAAGGCCGCCGCCGCGAAGAGTCGGACATCTCGCGACCAAGTCTTCCAGCGCGCTCCCGACGCTGTCCACGATTGTCGCCTCGGTGTCCACCAGCGTCCCCGCCAGTCCTACCGCTGCCCATCCGTCCGGCAGTTGGTTCCGGCGCAGCACGAGCTCCATGGCGGCTGCTGGCCCCGACGGCCACCCTGCCAAACCCTCCACCGCCGCAGACATGCTGAGGAATGCCATCTTGCACAGGTAAGCAACAACTCTTTCGTTCTCGTATCTTCTGCCTGCCCGCCGGGTGTAAGAAGGGTTGTCAAACGCCACCGCGTGCACTTCACTGCTTTGGGACTGGGGTGGGCGGCGCGGCAGAATTTGGATGGACGTGGGGCCAACCGATCTTCTTTTTGCATCATCACCACCCACACCTCTGCCTCGGGGCGCAGCGGTACTCTCACCTTCGCCAATTCGCTCGCCATCCCCAGCTGCACGTCCCCACTCTCTCGCCTTCATCTTCCTTCATTCACATTCCCCTCTCACATCTCTCCATCTCGCAAATGCTCCATCACCCCTCCACCTAGCCATGCCGAGCGCTGACCTCCTCCGGCCGTTCAGAAAGCCGCAAGACGACGACCACCACAACCCCGAACACACCGGCTCCGATGCTTCTACTCCCCCACCCGCCCCTTCCACCCCTCAGCCCGACTTTAGCGACAAGCGACTGCCGCGCCTGGTGAATAGCTACTTTCAGGTTCGTGACCCTCTGTGCTTTCGTAGCAAGAGCGCTGCAGACCCTGCAAACCCTGCACCCCAACACCACTCCCCACACCCCTCCCACCCTCCATCGGAGCAGGAGCAGCCCGACCAGCGACCCATCATGGCAACCGACGACGATGCGAGCCCCGCGCCCATCTCGACAATCCCACCGGCCGACCTTGCAAAATCAACAACTCCGCCACCGCCTTCATCTGGTGCAAACATTCCCTCCCAAACCGCCCCTCCTACCCCACCCCTCTCCAACTCTTCCTCCTTCCGCAATATGAACAACATCACTGCCAGCGGGGCGTTTGCCATCCCACCGCTCTCTCGCAAGCGTTCCTGGAGCCAGCGAAAAGGCAGCTCCTCCGCTCCATTCCACATCCGCCGGCACACCATGTCCCATCCCCTCTCCAACGTCGTCACCAAGTCGGTGGTCTCCGGCCACATCTCCAACCCCTCCACCACTCCTGCTACTCCCGTCCATGCCCTGCAATCCTCTGTTGATTCTGCGCAAGACCGACAAGGCCGAGTGCTAACTCAAGGCGCCGAGCGCCACTCTCAGAATACTCCTCCTCAAACTCCCCGTTCCGGCTCCCTCTCCCACCCACCTAGACATGGCGAAGACAGCCCCTCTCACATCCGGGCTGCGCAAAAGTCGAGTCGGTCCAGCTCGGGCGGATCGAATCGCGCAACGATTGGGCAACTGAAGGGGCAGCTTGAAATTTTCATCGAAGAGGGCAGAGGCTTGAGGCCGAGTGTGGAGCCGTATGTGGTGTGTATATTCCAGCTGAACGAAGACATATCGGCCGGCCCCAAGGAAGATGAGATGGATACATCAGGCCACGCATACCACGGAGAGGAGAATCTGGCCAAGGGAGTTGCAATGAAGAGGCTGGGCAGTGGTCAAGGCACTCCAATTTCCATCCCCGGATTGAAGAGCCGACAGAGCAGTCAAACGAACATTGCAGACATGAAGAGAGGCCATATGCGCCCCGACAACTCAGAGACGACCGACCCCGTCTGGAAGCATACGGCGACTTTCGATGTGGTGGGCGAGAATAACGAGATCGACATTTCAGTATACGATCGCTCCAACAACGAAGCATTCATCGGCCACATTCGCCTTCCCCTCGTCCTTGATGACTACGAACATCAGCATGAAGATTGGTACAAATTGCAACCACGCGAGGGCGAGTCAGACCGAGTGACGGGCGAGATTCGCATGAAGATTGCCTTCCACGCCACCGGCAAGAAGACGTTTGGCCCCGATGATTTCGAGATTCTCAAACTGATTGGCAAGGGTACTTTCGGCCAAGTGTTCCAGGTGCGGAAGCGCGACACCAAGCGCATCTATGCGATGAAGGTCCTTTCGAAGAAGGTGATTGTGCAAAAGAAGGAGATTCAGCACACCATCGGCGAGCGTAACATTCTGGTTCGGACGGCAACGACTGAATCCCCGTTCATCGTCGGTTTGAAGTTTTCTTTCCAGACCGCCGCGGACCTCTATCTCGTCACTGACTACATGTCTGGAGGGGAGCTTTTCTGGCATCTACAGAAGGAGGGTCGGTTCGTGGAGGCGCGCGCAAAGTTTTACATTGCAGAGTTGATCCTGGCTCTGCGACATCTGCATCAGCACGATATCGTCTACCGCGACCTGAAGCCTGAGAACATCCTGCTTGACGCCAACGGACACATTGCCCTGTGTGACTTTGGCTTGTCAAAGGCAAACCTGGCCAAGAACGACACAACCAACACCTTCTGCGGGACAACAGAATACCTCGCGCCAGAAGTCCTGCTCGATGAGCAAGGCTACACCAAGATGGTCGATTTCTGGTCGCTGGGCGTCCTTGTCTTCGAGATGACCTGTGGGTGGTCCCCCTTCTACGCTGAGGACACACAGCAGATGTATAAGAACATCGCCTTTGGCAAGGTGCGCTTCCCGCGAGACGCACTGTCTCAGGAAGGCCGCAACTTCGTTAAGGGTCTGCTCAACCGAAACCCCTCACACCGCCTGGGTGCGAAGGGCGACGCCGAAGAACTAATGGCGCATCCCTTCTTCGCCGACGTGGACTGGATCGCCCTCAGCAAGAAGATGACGCAACCTCCATTCAAGCCGAAACTCAAGTCGGAACTTGACACGAGCAACTTCGATCCCGAGTTCACCAATGCCCTCACCGACGGCAATAACTCGTCTCTCAACGCCCGCGCCGCGGCCCTCGCGAGCGGCATTAACTCCGACAGCACCCCGCTGAGCCCCACGATGCAGAACGCGTTCAAAGGCTTCACGTTCGTCGACGAGAGCTTGCTGGAGCAGCAGTACGGCGACCGCAACTCCCTCGCGATGGACGGCAGCAACGACTCCAGTCGCATCTCACGCACATTCACCAATAAAAGCGGAGATCGGATGAGTGGGATTGAGGGGCCGCTGAATGGAGCGGATGGAGAGTTCAATCACGGCATGCTTGACGACATATAAAGCGGAGGACGGACGACGAAAGAGCAGCGAATGACTTTTCCTCTTCTCAAACTACACTTCACCGCTGGCGATGTGTCTATTCCGTGCAGTATCGACTTTGATTCCCGGCGGCGTATCGATATCCGCCGAGGAGGGCGAGCAATCTTATCAACTTTCGAATGTGCCTTGACTTTCGAATGTGCCTTGATGCAACAAGGCGCTTTGAGGCGGCGACGTGCTTTTGTTTCGAAACGAATTCTCAAGATACGAACAGGAGGCGGAGCGCATTCGGAGCAACGAGCGCGTCCGCCGGCACTCTTTTTACTAATCCAGCGCGCTTTGGACGATTCACCTTCCCATACAAATACCCCCCTTGATAATACCCGTCACGCGAAGCAACGGTAGTGACGATGAGACCTCGGCATGGATTTGTGTTTTCTCTCTTTCATCGATGGGCGGGACGTTTGCAAAAGCGGGTTGCTTTTTCTCCTTCCCTCCCGGAGCGTGGCATGGGATGAGACGATGGTGGGTGTATCTGCGAGATGCTCCGAGCGAATACGTACATGTAGCTTTTAGGCCCGTGAATACGGGACGGTATGCAAAAAGTTGTAGCATGTTTAGTTCTGTCATTGTTTCCTGCGTGCCTCGAGACTGGAAGCCCGTAGCCCAGCGCGCGCAAAGCGCATACCACGACTTTTGACCCCGCAACTTTTTATGACCCGTTCGCGCTCGCGTCTTCACCTCGAAACATTTCCCAGTGCCAACCTCACTCACTCAACAGCCTCGCGCAAATCCACCCACCATGCCGTTCCAGAAGGGGAATAGCTACGGAGGGCGCAGAAGTGCTCGCTCATCGCAGATCCTCCGCCCCTCCTCCCCTCAACAAGAAGAAGACGATGCATCGGACGAGGAAATGCGAGACGTGGAAGACGGCGAGGACGACACGGTGAATGGGACGCCTCGAGAAACCGCCGCTGCAGCCGATGACGATGACGATGACGATGAAGAGGACGCTGCGACGCCCGCGCGCGACGACGATGACGACGAGGCCGATACGCCGCCTACTGTTACCCTGATACCGCGAAAACGAGGGCGCGGGCGGCCGCCTGGGAGTGGGAAGTATGGCTCGCGTCGCGCGGCGCGGGGAGACTCGGTGGAGGGGGGCGACAATGATGCGAGTGAGTCGGGCACGCCGTTTCGCCGGAAACGAGGACGGCCGGTGGGGTCGGGACGAGGGGGTGGGAGAGGAGGATTTAGAGGGAGGAGGAAGGGGGTGCAGCCTGAGGCGCCGCGCGTGGTGGATAAAGAGGGGAATGTGCTGGATGTGGTGAACGATGAAGCCGTCGTGGACGATGACGACGAGGGCAATACAAAGGTGGACGAGTTTGGTCATCTACTCGGGGGTCGGGAATACCGCGTGCGCACCTTCACCGTCATCGGGCGAGGCGAACGGCTCTACATGTTGTCCACGGAACCCGCGCGCTGCTGCGGCTTCCGCGACTCCTACCTCTTCTTCACCAAGCACCCCAAGCTCTACAAAGTCCTGCTGTCGGACGAGGAGAAGCGCGACCTGATCGACCGCGAAATCCTGCCGTCGAGCTACAAGGGGCGCAACATCGGCGTCGTCACCGCCCGCTCCGTCTTCCGCGAATTCGGCGCGCGTATCATCGTCGGCGGCCGCAGAATCACCGACGACTACAAAGTGACAGACGCTCGCGAAGCCGGCGAAGTCGAGGGCGAGCTCGCGGACCCCGAGGATAGAATCCCGGAGAAGAAAGAGGACTATAATCGCAACCGCTATGTAGCATGGCACGGGGCGAGCGAGGTCTACCGCTCTTCTGGCCCCGTGGGCGGCGGCGCGGTCGCGCATCCCGGCAAGCCTGGCCCCGTCGGCAAGCGGAGGAATAACATTACCCTGCAGAACTGGCAACATCTGCACGCGAAGGAGGCGAGTCGCTTCAATGCGGCGCTGGTGGAGGCGCGGCGCGCGAACCTCGACGGCGTGTACGATTCGAATACGAACTTGATGCTCTACCCGAAAATCATGCAGCCGACGCACGCGAGGTGGGAGTGGGTTGCTCCCTCGACGGGCACAGAGCATGGCGACGACGAGAGGAAACGTCTCACGAACGGCGATCACACCAACCACCCTTCCGCTACAATCTTCCCGCCCGTCCCGCCAGTCGTTTCCCGCAACTTCACCGTCCTCGACACCTACTTCTCTTCCCCGCCGGTTTCGCAGCCTGGCTACCCGGGCCCCGATGGGCACGTTGCGGACCCCAGTTCGGGGCCGAATGGATTGTCTTCCATCTCTGATGAGCTGGTTGCGGAGCTACCTGAGGCTTGTCGGAGGGCGTTTGAAGTGGAGAGGGAGAAGGAGAGGGCGTGGAAGGGGCAGTGGGGGGCTGAGGCGCAAAGTGGATCGCGAGGGCAGATCAGGATTGGGCTGGTTGGCCATCCTGTGTAGAGGAGATGTCCTAGTGAGAAGAGGAGGTGTGCTTGTAGTGCATTGTACTTTTAGCGATTGCAACAGACGAGACCAGAGTTCAGGTCCTCTGTTGCGCAACGAATCAATTCCAACGCCTCTGAAATGCTTGTATATCTATACCCCCAATCATCACCATTAAACCGACCATTCGCCGTCCTCTTACGCATTACCATCATCCCCCTCTCCCTCCTCCAACGTCCGCCCCACAGCCTGCACCTCCTTATTCAACTGCCTCGACCACAGCGCGCGATACTTCCCCCCACGATCCCGCATCAACACCTCGTGACTCCCACTCTCAATGATCTCACCATCCTGCACCACCAGAATCAAATCCGCATGCTGAATCGTCGACAGCCGATGCGCAATCACAAACGTCGTGCGGCTGCGGCTTAGTCTCTGGAAAGCCGTTTGGATCGTCGCTTCCGTCTCGACGTCGATCATGGACGTCGCTTCGTCGAGGAGGACGATTTTGGGTTGGCGCAGGATGGCGCGCGCGATCGCGACGCGCTGCATTTCGCCGCCGGAGAGCTTGACGCCGCGCTCGCCGACGGTTGCGCTGTACCCGTCGGGGAAACTGGTGATTTTGTCGTGGATCGCGGCGTCGGCGCACGCGGCTTTGATTTCGTCGTCTGTGGCGTCGAGGCGCGCGTAGCGCAGATTCTCCATGATGCTGACGTTGAACAGCGTCGGGTCTTGCGGACACATGCCGAACGCATCGCGTAAGCTGTCGAGCGTGACTTCGCGGATGTCTTGGCCGTCGATGCGGATAGAGCCTGCATTGACGTCGTAATACCTGTACAGCAGTTTGAGGATGGTGCTTTTGCCGCCACCCGTCTCGCCGCAGAGTGCGATGGTTTGTCCCGGCTTGGCGACGAAGCTGATATTTTTGAGCGTCGGTTTGCGCGGGTCGTAGGCGAAGTGCACGTTGGTGAATTCCACTTCGCCGTGCTTTATGCTCAGGGCGGGGGCGTTGGGGGCGTCGGTGACGGTTGCTTTGGTTTGGAAGAGTTGGAGCAGGCGTTCGGAGTCGGTGAGCATTTGGGCTAGGGCGCGGATGCTCCATGAGAAGGAGGTGAGGGGCGCTTCGATCGAGGCCCAGTAGGCGCTGAGTGTAACGAGACTGCCGACCGGGACCGCACCTTGGGAGACTCGGTAGATGGCGAGGAAGATTGCTGCTGTGCGGCCGAGCAGCATGATCAGCGACTGTGCGCCGCCTCCGAGATGGTACGCAAGGTAATAGCCGATTTCGGCAGAGGTGTGCTCGTCGATTGTCTTCTCGTATTTCTCACATTCGTAGCGGCCTCGGTTGAAGTGCGAGACGGTGGTCCAGTTGCTGATGGCTTCATTCTGCACCTTCGCCTCATCTCTCCAAGCCTTGTTGTAGCGACGGCGCCGCTTGATACTCCAAGCGGCCGTCTTCGTCCCCACCCAGATGTAAGCGACGCCGACGACTCCCAGAATGAACGCCATATAGATGTCGAAAAGCTGAGTGACAAAGACCAACGAAATCACGAGGTCGATGAAGATGGGCGCTACTTCGAAGAGGGCGAAGTCCAGCAGACGCTGGAGACTGTGTCCTTGATCGACCGCTCGGATTAACTCGCCGGTGTTCTTCTCGTTGTGAAAGTCCATGGAAAGTGTCATGATGTGACGGAAGGCCGCGGCGCCGATGGCTTTGTAGGTGAATTGGTCGATGTACAGCTCCGCGCAGGTCGAGATGACATAGACTCCGGCTCGCGAGTTGAGGTAGGAGTACAGTGCCCACAAACCAAACGCTTGCAAGGGCAGATGACCATGGCCATTGTCTTTTGTCAATTCATTTACGATGATGCCCAACTGTCGAGGTACGAGAATATTGAGGAAGCGTTGAGCAACGAGAACCAGCCCAATCAGGCCCAAGCACAACTGCACGAATCGGTTTCCGGACGGCCAGAGCATGGGAATGAAGATTTTGTACTCTTTTGCGTAGTTCCACCAATTCCCGGCGGCATCGAGTCGCTCGCGTTGCTGCTTTTTGACCTTGTCGGCTTCTTCGGGCTCCGAGTCGTAAGAGTCGAGGTCGGCGGCGGATCCAGCGTCGCTGTCTTTGCTGTGAGTGCTTGCCGAGTCGCTCTTAGGCTTATGCGCACTTCCGTTCGCCGAGTTTGCGAGCAGCGGCTCGTGTTCGCCATCGAGCTCGGTTTTGAATTTTGCTGATCGAAGCTGGAGCGTATACCAACCTTCAGAGAGACACAGGATGGCGACGAAGAGAGTCCGGCTCGCTTGCAGGGCTCCTCTGTAGAAGGCAAAGTTGTCGTGAGCCGGAGACAGACTGATTTGTAGTGCCGTGATTGGTATCTCTAATAGCATGGCCAGCGTGAACGCGGTTCCATACGGCCACCACAAGACACCACGGTGACCATGAAGAGCGAGCACCATCCATCCATACGCAAAGAGTGAAGCGAGGATGTAGACCACGCTGTCCTGTTTCGCCCAGAATCCCCGCTGAGCCAAGGATTGGACGAAGAAGGTGCACGCTTGTGCTACCAGAGTGAACACAACGAGCAGCAGTAGAATGGTGGTCAAGGAGCGTCGCTGCGCAGTTGTAGGATCGCGAGACCGCCGGTGGAGTAGGCAGGCCGCAACAAAGCCGGAGATGATGAAGCTTGCGAAGATCGCGATTGGTGCGGCCCAGTGTAGGACAATGAGGGCTTTGGCGGCTCCGCTGTTGGGCCTGGCTATGATGTCCTCGTAATTCGGCGAGGGCTTTCCAGCCATGTCGGGATTATACGACCAGGAGCTCGCCATCGCCATTGTGGCGGTTGGAATGTGAGTGCAGTACCCTCCACGCTGCTTGGAACATGCAATCAATATGTACACACGAGAAGAGATGACTCAGATGTAAGGCGGTCGAATTTCAGCCTACGGCCATGTGCAGGAACATTGCAAGTGGCGTTCGTTCAGTGCGGGAAGCTGGGCGGGCTGCGCCACATTTGTACGACGGATCCAACAGTCTGGGCTCAGCATCGAGTCAGTGTCTGCATGCGGATTATGACAGTCGAGAAAAGCAAGGGTACTCCGTATAGTTTAGGTATGATTCACGATGGAAATTATATATAGTTGCCTATCCCGCATGAAGACCGGGGAAGCCAAAGTAAAATTCCCCGGAATCCCTGTCGGGCCGATGAAGGAAACATGCATGTCGAAGCGATCATGACATTAGTGTCGCTTTGGCCGGCATTAGTTTACGAGAGGTATCTCCTGCTGTGTAGTAGAGCACATGAAAGTCATGAGCCTAGCTCATCCAGAAGCAAAATGTTGAACAAGTAGCGATGAAGATGAGGTGAAGTTGAGGACGGACTCATCCGGCTAGCGTGTTTCCCATTGCGGCGGGTTTTGTTGGAGGAGATCGGGAGCATGTGGAGAGATTTGATGGTCGACCACTGGCCTCTGCTCGACAACTCTTCCCTCCCGAGCGAATGGGAACTTGATCACGCGCGCTCTCAGGTTCCGCCGATTTCATTGACAGGAGCAGTCGTGTGAGAACAACTGATCGCACTGTCGAAACATGGAAGTCCCGACCAAGTCTGCCCTCGCAGACATCTATCCAGAGGACGCAGTCGAAAGCCAATCGAAACGATGGCGGACACTCCTGAAGACCTTTCAAGATACCTACGGGAAGGCGCCGGACTTTGTCTCGCGCAGTCCGGGGCGAGTCAACATCATTGGCGAGGTATGGCCTGCTTACCTCGTTCGCGACAATGCCGGCCTCTCTCAACTAACATACACTTCAGCACATTGACTACTCGCTGTACGAAGTGATCCCCATGGCCGTGACTGCCGATGTACTACTCGCCGTATCCATCCACGAAAAGTCTTCCGGCCCAAGCACCGTGCGGCTCACAAACGTTCATCCGCAAAAATTCGAGAGCCGGGAATTCACCATTGCTGACACTGGAGACGTACACATCGACTCCTCGACTCTGGAATGGACTAATTACTTCAAATCCGGTCTGGTCGGTGCTACGGGGCTTCTACGGAAAAAGCACTCCAACTTCAAGGCAAGCGTTGGAATGGACATTCTGGCCGATGGCACAGTTCCTAGCGGGGGTGGACTCTCCAGTAGTGCGGCGTTCGTCTGTGCCAGTGCACTCGCAGTGATGAAGGCGAACGGAGCGGAAAAGGTCGACAAGAAGGAACTCACCGAAGTGGCCATTGTTTCCGAGCGAGCCGTGGGAGTCAACTCCGGAGGCATGGATCAATCGGCTTCCGTCTTCCCTCTCCAAGGTTCCGCGTTATACGTCTCCTTCGTGCCTCAACTTTCTGCAAAGAACATCCCTTTCCCCGAGCTGAAGTCGCCCTTGACATTCGTCATCGCGCAGTCCTTTGTCGCGGCAGACAAGCACGTCACTGCTCCTGTGTGCTACAACCTGCGAGTCGTGGAAGTGACACTGGCAGCTCTGGTTCTCTCCAAAATCTTCGGCATCAAGAACCTCCCCTCGGACGCCGGCCCACTCGGCATAAGCTTGAGAGGCTTCCACGACACCTACATGCAAGAGAAGCACGGCATCGCAAACAACCACTCCACCTCCAAAGCAGAATTCCAACAGCAACTACAAGACCTCGTCGAGAAAGTAGACCAATACCTCCCGCAAGAAGAAGGCTACACTCGACAGCAGATATCGGAAATTGCCGGCATACCGGTCGAGGAGCTCGAGGCAAAGTACATGAAGAAATTCCCGATCCGCGCGGAAAAGTTCAAATTACGGCAGCGCGCTTTGCACGTGTTTGGTGAGGCGATTAGGGTGTTGCGCTTTATGGATCTGTTGTCGGCGCCGCCTCCGCAAACGGATCGCGAGAATACGGAGTTGCTGAAAGCGCTGGGTGAGCTGTTGAATGATACGCAGGATTCATGCAGGGATATCTATGAGAATTCGTGTCCCGAGTTGGACGAGCTGTGTGAGTTGGCGAGGTCTGCCGGGTCGTATGGAAGTCGATTGACGGGAGCGGGATGGGTGAGTTGTCTTCCTGAAGAATCAGGCTGACGTCCTTTGATATGACTAACCGTTTCTGCAGGGCGGTTGCTCAGTACATCTCGTACCCGAGGACAAAGTGGAGATGGTCAGACAGAAGTGGATTCACGAGTACTATCGGAAGAAGTTCCCCGACATGACGGACGAGAAGCTGCGAGAAGCAATTGTCGTCAGTAAGCCGGGGAGTGGGAGCTGCTTGTTCGATGGCATAAGTAACATTTGAGACGCGGGGTCTGGCATTTGAGGGTGTTGAATAGAATACGTCATCTTCACCAAGTATCAATCACCGTTGTTGGTGCTGTTGGATGTAGACCACGGATGGTGTACGCGCAGCCTGACGCTGCTTAGTCAATGACGCTCATGGGCCTCAAAGCTTCACACTTCATCTCGTCAACCTCCATCGATCCCCATCCACATCTCACCACATTACGCACCAAACTCACCAACACACCCATCATGCGACCCCTCCACATAGCCCCCAAACTCCGCCCCCTCCTCCTAACCCCGCGCACAACCCCCCTCCACCTCCGACTCGCATCAACCACTCCACCCACACAAAAAGTCCAAACACCACTCCAATCGCAAAACAAATCCGCCCTCTTCCCCGAAGGAGGCGCACAACCACCCGAATCACAATACCAATCAGTCCAAACACCACTCCAATCACAATCGCCATCAGTCCAGACACCATTCCAAACACAAGCGCCCCCGAGACCGGTGCGCCAGACTGCGGACGCGTGGGTGTTTTGGGCGGGCGGGCTTTCTGCTGTTCTTGGGGGGGTGTATGTGTATTATTATTATTTGTATCGCAAGGAGCATATGGAGAAGAAGTGGGCGCGGATGGTGCAGGAGGCGCAGGAGAAGAGGACTGCTGCTGGTGGGAAGGGCGCTTGAGATGAAGATCTAGGGTGTTGGGGCAAGAGATGGATTTGGAGAATGAGCTGTACAGGGGACATCTAGTCTCGAATCAGGAGATGAGCCGTGTGTCTCGTATGTGGACGGACTGCGTATCGCACGATATGCAAGCTACAAGATGGCGTTCGGTCACACCACCGAGCTCGCCGCAACGATATCGCAATATCGACCCGGACCTGCGAGCGGCTATCGATTCATGATGAACTCGCCAAAATCCCACATTTCTCCCCCTTCGAGATGTATGCCGAGATCCTTCGCCAGGCCATCCAACTGGGTCATCGCAATCCACTCATTATCCACGGTCGATGGGTAGCCGAGGAGGCGTGTTTTGTGCCACTCTGACTCGCCCTCGCCATCTACGTTTGCCTTCTTCTCATTTTCATCGCGGCGATTCAAATCATCGTGGCCGTTTGCAGGCTCAGCGTGCTCTTCATCATTCGAATGCTCTTTGCCATGGTAGCCGCGGTTCCTTTCGAACTGTACCAGTTGACGACGAGCACGCCGGAAAGCTCAAGATGCCGAATTGAGTCCTGATGTCGACGGAGAAATGCATTCAGCCAGACGGCGCGAACATTCGTGGGCCTCGTCCAGAATCCGATGACCTTGAATGTGTGCAAGTGCGGGAACGTGTGGTGCGCGAGTACAAGACCAAGTACTGTCCCGTGCTCGTTACTTCTCCAGATTGTGCCGTCCTGCATCAGTTCGGGGTAGATGCGGAGATATTGAAGATTGCAGGCAGCTCGAAAGAACTCGCGCCATTCGCCAGATGCTGTCCTTTCGTAATAGCGTCCTGTGTCACAGTCTTTTGCGCTCAACGTGAGATGCGTGAGTTTGGGCGCGAGCTGCCGGAGTGGTGGAAATGCACTGTAGCAACCAACTCCATTGATCCCGTATTCGGCTTGATCACTCAGTCCGTTGCCAATGTTCAGGGTTTTGATGGGTTTTTCGCACTCAGCGAGCGCTTCGAATAGATGATTCACGCCGTTCATCACAAGGTTGCGGTCGCTGGCAAATCGGAATGCCAGCCGTGTACCTCCGTCTGGACTCTTGTGTACATCACGGGCGGGGGCGAGGTAAAATGGGTCTTCATTGAGTCCTGGAGAGTCGATCTTATTTTGAACACGCACTGTGTGTAGGCTGACCAGCTTTAGGAGGCACGTTTTCAGAGTCTCTTTGGTTCCATCACGCTGCACTTGGTGTTCCGCCACGACGTCTCGGTATCGCTGCCAGCTGGCCTTCAGGGATGCCGTGTTGCACTCGAAGTCGCTCGGCAGCTGAATCTTTCCGTCTGCGACTGCATCCTCGCAGACGACCATGTATTCTCTTTCGGTCAAAGCATTCATTCGTTTCGAGTCGAGGATCTCTGCTAGGAAGACCAACTCGGTGATCTTACTGGCGGCTTTTGCATCATTGGTAATCTTCTGGAGACTTGCCAAAGACTTGGCGGTTGGCGCTACGTAGACACGACTGCGCTCTGCCATGATCAGAGGAGCTTTCAATAAAGACTGTGGAAGTAGTGAGGAGGCAAAGAGTGATCTCGATGCCGAGCTTGAACAGACTCTAAAGTAAGGAATATCGGCTTGTAGTGGTGAAGATGAGTTTTAGGATCAAAAGCGTGTAATAGAAAGGTGTCTCCGCCTACCTTCACATGTGCTCACTGCCAGGCACATGTCAAGGCTGAAGGCAGATTCACTCACCTGTCAATTGCGCGTGTGACTACGGATTGAACGCCAGCTAGAATGAGGCATGACGCTGCGACCGTCGAGACAAATGCTACTCAGTGAAAGGATGTATCGACGAAAGAAAGGGGAATACGAGATTCACAGATCATGAGATGGCGTAGGTATGGAGGTGAGGCGATGCATTGGAAAGGTTAAGCAAAGACAAGCTTTCGATTAAAGATGCTCCGGCCGCGCCACGTGCATCACATGCCCGGCTGTTTCCCAGAATGGCAGCCACGTTTGTTGGCGCTAACAACCGGCCCACCCAGTGACGTGAATGCTCGACTTTGTTTCTCCCATTCCTGGCATATCCCACCCCCCCCCCCCCGTCCATGTACCTGAAATGTCTCCTCCTCTAATCATCCTTCCGACGTATACCTAGGTACCTACATACCACAGACACTCCTTTCCCCCCGTACAGATGTCGACGGCCTCGCCCACGCCGGGTCTGGCGCGCAACCAAACCTTCCGCCCTGAGCGCGAACCTTTTCGCTACACCAACACCCTCCAACTCGACAACAACAAGATCTCGGGGCCATTCTCCTTCCTCAATCCCACCAGCGCGCACTTCCACCCTGCCAAGCTCGACAAAGCATCCAGTGCATCCCAAACCCCGTCCGAAGAGGAAGATGAAGCAGGGCAGTCCAAGTCATCCCATAAGAGGTCGGGCCATGAAGTGCCCGCGTCGAATGTCGCCTTCAAATGGACGTCGCGAAACAACCGCAAGGGCAGACACGCCCTAGTATACCAGCCGCCCAAGGAAGGAGAGGAGGCGAAATATCTTCTCCCTCCGCCGACTTCCAGCTTCAACGAGATTATGAAAGGGCTATGGCGAATGCTCACTTACTACCCCATCTGGGACGTCAGTTTTAACGTCGCCTACGTCTTCACCTGGGGCTCCATCGTCTGGGTCATCAACGCCTTCTTCGACCTGCTCCCCTACACCAACCCCTCCACAAACTTCCCCGGCGAAACGCTCGACGGTGGCGGCATTAGCGCCTTCATCGGCGCGACCATCTTCGAATTCGGTAGTGTCCTCTTGATGTTCGAAGCCGTCAACGAGAATCGATCTGGCTGCTTCGGATATGCTCTGGAGCAGCTGTACGAAGAGCACGTCAGCCATGGAGGGAGTGCAGCCACCACCCGCCTCGTAGCCAGCAAAGACGTCTGCACGCACCACCACCAGAACACGAAGAACTTCGTCGGGAGCCCGCGCCACGATTCCGTCGCGACCGCCAGTAACGCCGCCGGCGTCGACGACATCGACCCTACTCCCAAAGGCGCAAAGTCGTGGGTCTGGTGGCCATCCTGGTACGAGCTGCGCACGCACTACTTCCACGACCTCGGCTTCATCGCCTGCTCCTCGCAAATGTTCGGCGCAACGGTCTTCTGGATCTCCGGCTTCACCGCGCTCCCGGGCATCTACAACCACCTCAACACGCCCGGCCTGCTGAACGGGGCATACTGGGTGCCGCAGGTCATCGGAGGTATGGGCTTCGTCATCTCCGGCACGCTGTTTATGCTTGAGACGCAGAAGCACTGGTGGCTTCCGGCGCCGAAGGTGCTCGGATGGCATATTGGCGCGTGGAATTTGATCGGCGGCATTGGCTTTACCCTGAGTCCGATCTTTGGCCTTTATGGTCCGGCAACTTGGGCGGAGGAGCAAGCGGCTGTGTCGACTTTCTGGGGCTCGTGGGCTTTCTTGATTGGGAGTGTGATTCAGTGGTATGAGAGTCTTGACAAACATCCTGTCGAGCAGATGGAGAAGGAGGATCAGCACCAATGAGCCGGCGATTACCTGTAAACTCTAAGCGTTTGTACATATGCCTATGACAATAAGCCTGCTAAATCACGACGCCCCTCCGCTTGCCTCCGGCCCAACCTCCATCTCACTCACCCACCGAAAAATACTCCTCGCATCCAACCCCTTACACCGCTCATCCTCCATAGCCGCATGAAACGCCCCCTGCAAACTCGGGCCTAACGTCATCTTAGCCCCAACATCCCGCGCCCCCTTCATAGCAAGATCCACACACCCCGCCGCAAGCTCAATAGCAAACCCACCCCGATACCCGCGCGACGCCACACTATCAGCCTGCACGCCGGGAACAGGGTGATTCGACATAGTCGTCCAGCTGCGCCCGGAACTAGCATTGATGATGTCCGTGAGTTTCACCGGGTCGAGGCCGAGGCGCATGCCGAGATTGAGGCCCTCGGAGGCGGACAGCATGTTGCAGATGGAGATGTAGTTGTTGATGATTTTCACCGTAACGCCGCTGCCTACGGGCCCGCAGTGGAAGAGGGAGGTGCCGGTCATGCTTACGACGGCTTTCACGGAGGGGAACAGGGCGTCGGGACAGCCGATCATGTGGGAGAGGGTGGCTGCTTTGGCGCCGAAGGGACCGCCCTGAGTACTGGTTGAGCATTGGTGATGCAAACCCAGTAGAGGGGGGCACTTACCGATACCGCAGCATCGGCAAACTCGCCCAGGCCGCTTTCGAGGACTTTGCTGCCTGCTTCTCGCGAGACCACCGGGTCGATTGTACTGCACTCGATGAACAACTTTCGCCGCTGGCTCGCTGTGATGGATTTGTCGGCGGAGAGGAGATTGTTGTCTCCGAGATAGTAGACTTGTCGCACGTGTTCGCTTTGAGGGAGGATGGTGATTATGATGTCCTTTTCATGCAAGGTGTTAATGTACAGCCTTGCGTGGCAAGAGCGAATACGGAAGTGAGACTCAACGCAATGCTCCGTGATCTTTTTGGCAGAGTCCAGGATCGTGACCTTCGCTTTGGCCTTACTTTCTTGGACGAAACGATTGAGAACGGCGGTGTTGACATCGTGGATGAAGAGCTCATCATCTGCGGGGATTTTGGCGTGGATATTTGTGCACATGGGATAGCCCATGGATCCAAGGCATGGTTCGTCTGTTCAGCTGAGGCTTGATGATGTGAGTAGAGGGCGATGATTTACCGATGAAGCCATACTTTGTCGCCATGCTGTAAGCTTTCCTTGCGCGAGAGAGTATTGTAATAATGATCAAGAACAATAATATCTGCTCGAGAGTTGGAAGGGAGAGATGAAGCCTGGGAGGTGTAGACACAACCTACCTTCTTCGGCAGTCATTGCCGAGTGCGGGGCATCTGTGGAAGAGTGGCGGCTGACGTTTGCTTCATTCTGAAAGATCTCATACGAGCGTGGTACGAACTGCGTAGCAGCAATCAGAGGGTGCCGGATCACCGTTTGAAGGCTGTGGGCTCTTTCTCGGTCAAGCGAAGGTCCCAAGTTTCCGCCTCGGATTGAAGAGTTGAGCCGGCCCGGTGTCTTCGCTTCTCGCCCTGTTCTCAGATACCATGCACCGAGCGATGGCACGCCATTTGTCTCCGTCATGCGTGGGCTGCTGATTTCCCTCACTGTTCCAGAGCAGCGTTGCTTCTGTGCCTCCTGAAGTAGCCAGGCGCCAAGCCTGAGAAAGGCGACTCTCGGGGTGCGCTCTTCCAAACGCGTTCCATCTCCGAATGCCATGGAACGATGCCCGTAATCAATGAATATTCATCCGATGATGATGCTCAAGTCTTGCGCTTGCCGGTAGTAGTTGATCTTGCAGGCGTGTGTTCACGGGCCGAGAATGATGTGGTTCCATCAGTAGCATCGGCTGGGCACAATGCTGCTTCTCCACGCCGTTTGTGAAGCGCTTAGGCACCGCCTGGTCATGTAGTCGCGTTATACTTCTCTCCTGCATCCCGGAAAAGGGCCTCTTGCGCAGCGATAAGCTCATCATTGGTCATGCCGGATTGTTCGATTTTGGATTGTTTCTTCTCCCTCGACTATGATGGTTTTTTGTTAGCGAGACACTGGTTTTGGAATGCATTATGTCACGAATACGCTGGACAGGAGTACGTACCACCTGGCTGACCCTGAACTGTTCGGCAACTCGCAGTAACTCAGGAATGTAATCCTCAAATCCCAGATCTTGCAGCGCCTTTGTGATATGCTCGCACGCGATGGTCTTCTTGGCATCTTTCTCCGCAATATCGTTGGCTTCGGAAGACAGCATGGTGATGAATTCGACGCAGCACTCGATCAAGAGGTCGCGGGATTCTTTGGCGAAGGTCATGGTTTGTGTTGCGCCATCTGCGCTCGTGGTCGCAAGTTCGAGGGAGGGCGATGCGAGGACTTCGTTGATGATCTTCTGTACGGTGGCTGCGGAAGGAGACGCCTTAGCAACCTCTCACACAAGCAGAGTGGAGTTGGTGGCAGGGTAAGGTGATGTGGGAGATGTGCGTACCTTTGGGCAAGGAGAGGTCATCACTGCCTGGGACGGTGTCAGCTATGTTTCGCAGAGTTACCGATGCTGGTCCGACGCGCAGATCAGGCCTTCGCGAAAGCTCAGACGGCATCAGTGCATGCTTGCGTGCCTTACCTCCAAATTCCTTGTCGGACATGATGGGATATAGTGACGGTTGTGAGATTGCGCTGAGCGAGATGAACGCTCGACAAAGTGATGCAGGAGATCGGAAAAACTCGAATGCGCGTGGGGAGTCGTCGAGCAGGCTGGCCTGCAGAGGACAAGGTGGTGGTGGAGGAGAGATATATGGCGGTCGTGTCGCGTAGTCATCTGCGGTTCGCCGCGGGAGTGCCAAGAGTGGCCCGCGCTTCGTCTTCATTCCCGCCTTCCAAAATTTCACGACAACATTCACTCTTGTCAACCTCCTTGGCCCCCACTCGCAGCATGGCGCCGGACACCGAGCCATCATTTGTCACCAGAGGTACGTATGGTATACTCACCCCCCGTCGCACTCTTACATGATGACAAGTTGTCGCCCCTATCTTACCCACGATGGTGATTGACTACGCGGCGCCAAACCGCAGGCTGATTCCGATCATTGCACTGAGACTATACTTCATATTCCCTCAAGGATCATGCGCTGACAGAGGACTGTGTCTTCAGATACTTAGGCATAGCGTCATTCTCTCGCGCTCACGCGCATCATGGTGCTTCAGCGCTGGCCGCTTTTGAAATCGGTATGTCTTCAAGCCCATCCTCCTCTCCTTGCTACCTGATGAGACAACAAAAATGTACTATCAAATTCCGATCTCTATGACGAACAATCTTTGGTTCGATTACCTGAAATGCCTTTCCTCCCGCGCAATCTTCATCCGATTCACTGCAGAAGGGAATATGCTGACCAGCTGAAGTACGGTAGGGATATCATCGATTACTTCGACCATTTCCAATTCAGTACGTTCCTCTTTCTATTCTGTCCGCGTTCTTATGATGCAACGACACATTCCATGCTAAACCTGAGAGGCTCTTGCAGCCTCCTGCTGAATAACATGTATGCTTTTCATCTTTCAACTGAAGACCACACATTCTTGATTGTCTATGACTTGTTGGCTACGGGGAATCACAGGCTAACATAATGCTGTAGCTCTCCCCAGCACGATTCCCTCACATCTCTTGATATGCCTTCAACTCGCCAGCATTCCAATCAAGGAAGTGGCCGTTCAGGTCGCGTGGCGGGTCCAGCACCAGCTTCGCCATGACATGACCCGGCAGTTCTGCTTTCAACAGATGTCCGTCGGACTTCAAGCTGGCAAAGTGCTTCACGTGTTCTTCGTCCATGACTCCATTGTGCTTCTCTCTGACTTCTCTCTGCATCTCCGTATCCACAACTCCCGGTCGTATGGCGATGCTTGTAATCTCTTTCTCCTCACTGCCCAGCGTCATGGCCAGGTGGTTCATAGCCGCTTTGGCAGCACCGTATGCACCCCACGTTGGAAATCCTCTCGATGCCGCGCCGGATGAGGTGAAGATGATGGCGCCCTTGGAATCGCGAAGAGCGGGGAGAGCAACTTGGACCAGTGCGACGGCCGAGAAGAAGTTGATGTCAAATGCCTTGCGCCAGTCTTCGGCTTTGGCATTGGCCACTCGCGTAACGGGGTCCAGGACACCGTGGTTGATTATGACGCCGTCTAGCCGCTGCCAACGGTCTTCTGCGAGCTCGACTGCTTTGCCACCTAGTGACAGGTCTGACGCATCGCCAGTGAGGACTGCCACCTGGCCGGGGTATTGCTGTTCCAACTCTTTCAATGGCTTCTCGCTGCGTGCCGTCACCACCAGTCTGTGCTTGTCGGCGTGGGAGAGAAGGTAGTGGGCTATTACCAGGCCAATGCCTCGTGATGCGCCCGTCAGAATGATGACCTTGCTGCTCTTGTTCGACATTTTCGGAGGAGCTGTCGGAATTGTTGAAGGAGGAACATAAAGTGTGTCCCCGATGCAAGTGTGCACTTGACTCGACCCCACAATGGAGTTGCCCCGCCTATGGAATCATCGGTGCCTGAGGTGGCCAAAGTCTACAGCAACGTCACAGCAACTCCAATCATTCGTCCCCTTCGGTCTAAATAAATCCTATATCGAAGTGGTGAATGCACAGATCAGCAGTAGGTCTCAGATCATCCTGCTTGTTTTCAATTATCCATCATCCCGACCGTACACTGTCCCCCTTCACCGGATCAGTGCCCTTGTCCACAATGGCTGCGGTGGCGAATGGTGGATCGACCACTGCCGTTGCGAAAGGCTCCTCTGAAGGACCAAGCACTGTCATCATAGGCGCTGGCATTATCGGCAGTGCGACAGCGTACTATCTCGCCGGTTCGGGAAACACGAGACCAGAATCTATCCACCTGGTGGAAGCGTCGCCGGAGCTTTTTGCTAGTGCATCCGGCAAGGCTGGCGGGTTCTGCGTTTCGGATTGTGAGTTTGCTCTTCCTTGCTCGACATGTTAATACTGCTGACACCGTGCATAGGGTTTGAGACTGCAACTGCTTCCCTGGGTTCGCTGTCGTTCCGATTGCACAAGGAGTTGGCGGATCGACATGATGGCTTCACGAACTGGGGTTACAGCCGGAGCACAGCGACGAGTTTCGTAGAGGGTCGACAATTGCACACCACTAGTGATGACTGGTTGGCGGAAGGAGGCAGTCGAGCGCAGCAAGCGGGCGAACATTTCATCAGCGATGCCGATGGTGCGCCTGCATGGCTGACGAGGGGCCGAGGCAGCCGGAGTGAGATAATTGGTGATGAGGGAGGAGTGGCGCAGGTGTACGTCCATCTCGCCCGACCGGTGTGGATGTTCAGCGCTGACAGACACCAGTGATCCCCTCAGATTATCTCAATCGCTTCTCCGCCTGAGCACTTCCGCCGGCGTCAAACTCCATCACCCAGCAAAACCTACAAAAATAGACACCGACGAAGCCGGCAACATCACCAGCGTCCAGATCCAAACCCCCGACGGAGCAACCCAATCCATCCCCTGCACCCGCCTCCTCATCACAGCCGGCGCATGGACGCCCTCCGTCTTCACAACCCTCTTCCCCTCCTCCAAACTCCGCCTCGGCATCCAGCCCTTAGCAGGCTACAGCCTAGTCGTCAAAAGCCCCCGCTGGACGCGCGAGCTGGAATCCAAGGGCTGCCACGCCATCTTCACCAGCATGCAAGGCGGCATCAGCCCCGAGATTTTCAGCCGCGTGGGCGAGGAGATCTACGTGGCGGGGTTGAACGATGCGCAACTTCCGCTGCCGGAGCTGGCTACGGATGCGAAGGTCGATGCGGCGAGCATTGCTGAGCTGCGACGGATTTCGGAGAAGTTGTTGGGTAGGATCACGGCGGTGGCGGGGGCTACGGATTTGGAGGTTTTGAGGGAGGGGCTTTGTTTTCGTCCGGTGACGAGGAGGGGGGTGCCGATTGTTGCGCGGGTACCGGATGGGAAGTTGGGGGAGGGGATTGGGACAAGAAAGGGGAGTGATGGAGGGGTGTATGTGGGTGCGGGACATGGTCCTTGGGGGATTAGCCATTCTCTGGGGACGGGAAAGGTGTTGGCGGAGATGTTGGAGGGAAGGGAGTTGAGTGCTGATGTCAGGTGGTTGGGACTGCAGTAAGTTTTTGATTTTCAGACGCTTATAGCTTGGAAGGCACCCATTTCGGCGCTTTCTTATCTGCAAACGCTCGCAAGCCAATGCCCAGGTTCTCGCCTTCTCGTAAGGCGGTTCCATACCGTAGCTCCGTCTCCTGACTCGCCCGCTCCACGCTTCCACTCTCCCAGCTCTGCCGTAGTCCGTGCCGGGTAACGATGATCGAATCCGGACTCAGACTCGCCACCTTGGATGCCAGCTCAATCGCCTCTGGCAGCAAACTCTCATGCGTCTTCGACACCTTGTTCACAATCAAGTACCGCGCCGCCTCATCCGCAGAAAGAAACCTCCCGCTCATCGCCACTTCACTCGCAATCGTAATGCCCGCCAACCGCACCAACCTCGACAACCCGCCAGCACCAGCATATAATCCCCGCATAGCCTCCGGGAGACCGAACGTCGCCTTCGGACTGGCAACAATCATATCGCAGCCGAGACAAATCTCAAACCCGCCGCCCATCGCCCATCCATTGACGGCGGCAATAACAGGCTTCTTCCCCGCTCGTCTGCTAACCCCCATAAACCCGCTCGTCGGATGCGTCAACAGCTGTCGCTCCGGGAACTTCACCTTCTCCCCTTTCGCCGCGCGCTCGCGGAGGTTCGTGAGGTCGCGTTGCTCGATGAGGTCCTGGCCTGCGCAGAAGGCTTTGCCTGCGCCGGTGAGGACTGCGATGCGGAGGGAGGGCTCGCGGTCGAACCAGTGGAGGAGGGCGTCGGCTTCCCAGTGCGAGGCGTAGGGGAGGGAGTTCATTGCTTTGGGCCGGTTGATGGTTATGAGCAGGACGTAGTCGGCGGGGTAGGAGAGGATGTAGGTGGGCGTTGGAGGGGGCTGGGTGGAGAGTTCGGTGCTCGTCATGCTGGGCGAGATTGAGAGGATGACGATGAAAGCGTCGATGGGTTTGGGCTAGGAGTTGATTGTTGGAGTGAAGATGGAATGAAGCGACCGCGAGGCATCGGATATGGCATGGAGTTCGTAGAGAAGCCGAGGCTGAAAGTTGGCGTGCCACGACTTCTGGCATCCGGGGCCCCGCAGTACAACACTGCTGTCTGTCTCGAAGAATAGACCAAGACAATCAAGTGGTCAGCAAGGAAGCCGATATTGATTCTGCAAGTGACAGCTACGCCTGCGTCTGTACTTCCAGCCTGCTGATACCTAAGCTCCTTCCTGATCTCGCATGCAACACGGCAACACCCATTCAAACGAAAGCCATTCCACCGTTGACCGCCAGAATCTGACCACTGACCCAACGGCTCGCGGGACTGCTCATGAACGCAATCGCGTCCGCAATCTCCTCCGGCTGACCAATACGATTGTGAGGACTGAAGCCAGCGATTGTCTTCAAGACTTGCTCGCTTTTGCCTTCAAGGAAGAAGTCGGTGCCCGTTGGACCAGGGGCGATGGCATTGATCGAGATGCCTTTGGGGCCCAGAGCTTTCGACAAGATTTTCACCATTTGCTCCTGTCGGGCGATTACAAGGTCAGCATGTGTCTTGTATTCGACTGCCCTCCTGATCTCAACTTACGACGGCTCCTTTGGTCGAGCAGTAGAGCAGGTAATTTGCAGTTACTGTGGAAGCATGACACTGAGTCGTCGATATCATGACAATGCGGGCGCCTTCTTTCAGATGCGGCAAGGCTTTCTAGAGCACGACGACCGTTAGCACATTCTAACGCGTAACGGAAGCATTGTCGTACCTGAATGAGAAAGTAAGGCCCCTTGACATTCACACGATACGCGTCTTCAAAGTCCTCTTCGCTGGTGTCTTCGATGCCCTTTGTAAGCAGGCGGCTCGCAGCATTGGGTATCACTCTGTCTTTCATCATCAGCAAATCGACTCGGCGAAAACCAAGAGCAATAATCGTGGTCACGACTCACACATCAAGCCTGCCGAACTTCTCAATCGCAGCCTGAATCGTCTTCTCGGCCCCTTCGATGCTGCCCGCATCCGCTTTGACTGCGATCGCGTTTGCCTCGCCGAGTTGCTTAACCAACTCGTTCGCGGCATTGGCGTCGGATGAGTATGTGATGACAATGGAGGCGCCGAGTTTCGCGAGGGCAATGCATGTTGCACGCCCGATGCCTTTCGAGCCGCCGGTGATCAAGGCGACTTTGCCTTGCATTGGTGACGTCATTGTCGAGTTGTTCTGAGTGGCTTCGATGCTTATAAGAACGCTCAGGGTGTGTGAGGAACGACTTTATCAACAACAAGGAAATCGAGCAGCGTGCAATGGTGTTTGAAAGAGTCGTCCATGGCATCCTCCACCACGGTGCTTATATATATGCCTTCAATGTTACGGTACGCATAAGTCAGCCTCACAGCGGACGGACTCCGGCCGAAGCCACGGAGCGGCCAAGAACATGCTCCGCAACGCGGGCCGACTTCGCAAGGCTGGAGATACGGCTCGAACCCTACATCTTCCTCCGGAGCTCGCCAGCCATTGGACATGAAACTTCGGCTAGGCTGCACGAGTCATTTCCGTACATGCTTTACGGACGAGACACGAGAAGGCGGACAGTTTGATTGCGTAACATCATCAATGCGTTTATTGAGAATACAGACATGCGGATCTACTCTGCACAGGGTTGGGTATCTCCATCTCCTCAATGGGCATCCACAAATGTGAACCACGGCGTGATGTCGGCGTAGTTTTGCGAGCTGATCCAGAGGGCGTAGTTGCTATCACGCGATAATCGTCAGCGATTAAGGTTGATTCGGTCCATGCACAATGGTAAGATGCTCACCCCTCTGGATACTGGCTACCCACGTGCCACTCGTAGCTGCCATCAATGGGAACGGCCTTGACGTCCTTGAAGATGTGGTCCACTTCGTTCCAACCGGTGGACGTCTCTTTGACGAGAAGCATGTGGAGGGTCTGCGCGAATCGTCAGACTGGGTGTGGATAACATGAACTTCTAGGACAGCGTGAGCTTACCTCGTCGCAGTCCACCATCCACTCGACATTGACTGTGCTGCCCAGTGTGATCTGATCGTTGATGGGGCCGAGGAAGACTTTGGCGCTGGCAGTGGCTGCCGTCGCAACAAGGGCGGCGAGAGTGGCGAACTTCATGTTGGTTGAAAGGAAGGTGTCGTTGAACGCTATGGTATGCGGAAATGCTGATCAAATGGTGATGAGGCGGGCAATGATGTGCAACGAACGTCGCAGCATCGCGAGGCTTTATACAACAAGCCCGATCCTTGTTGCCTGAACCAGCCACCCTCCTATTTTTTATTTATAACCGCAACCCTATTAGATGCATAGATGAATCGCTCCTCGCTTCTCGCTACCCTCCGGTAAATGCTAACTTAGGCAACGGGATTTCGTTAGCGACCGGCTTTGTCAGACTCGTATTCAAATGCGAGGGGCAAGGCGCATTGTTGTAACAGCAGCGCCGGTCCTTAATATGGATGCCTTGCAGTCTGCTTTAGCGTCTTCCGACCTTTGTCCATCAGCAATGGAACGCCATCTGCAAAGCACTGGTCGCTTACAACGGAGACGTCGGAAACACGACCACGTGAGCAGCTTTGATGATCCGCTGGCGACAGCCCTCTTCCTTCATCGAAGCCTGCGACTCCGCCACTCCCGAAACGATCGAAATCGACGTACATGCAGTATCGCAGATCAGACTACCGCAAATACGGCTTTGTATACACCACCGGCCCGGCATACTGCTTCCTCGCAAACAACACGTAGTACCCCGTGGAAAACACGAGTATACCCACGTAAATGACCGACGACCAATTGAAATTCGCCGGCACCACCGGCACAGTCACCGGCCACGGCAAAAACGTAAGGACGAAGAAGCAATAACAGAGCGCGAGGAAATTGATCGGGATGCCGAAGCGTCCAAGAGTCCATGGCCCCCTCCGCACTCCGCCGCCGAAACACCTCCGCCAGAAGAGACACGTGCAAGAGATGGTGTAGGTGCTGAAGAGCGCGAGCATGGTGAGGGAAGTGATGGCTTCAAAGGCAATGGTGCTGCCTAGCGTGATGAGCGTGAGGAGGACGATGAATGTCCAGACGACGAACACGGCGTTGACGGGGTAGGTTCCGCTGCGGTCGACTCGTGCGATCCAGCGACTGAAGGGGAGGCCGTTGTCGCGGGCAAACGCGAAGATCTGGCGCGAGCAGGTCGTCATGAAGTTGATTGTGCCGACGATTTGGAGCAGCACGAGGACTGCGGCGAGGCCCTGTCCGCCTCCGATTGAGCCGGTGACGCGGGCGAAGACTTGCAGGTACGGAAGTCCGAGGACGCCGACTGGCGAGTTTTCGGCGGCGTTGTAGTCGACCAAGCAGAAGCAGTAAGTGATGAGCACGACCATCGTGGAGAAGCCGTTGATGAGATAGCTCGAGACCATGATTTTGGGGACAATCGTGCTCGCGTGCTTGGTCTCTTCGGCCATGTGCGCCGTAGCGTCCGATCCTGCAGACATTATCAATTAGCGAGCGGAGAGAATGCTCGATCTTCTCTCCCTCCTCACCAATTATTAGGAAAAGCAAGTTGCTCTGACCGACAAGCATGCTCAATCCCAGACTGCTCCAGCCGTCACCCTTCTGGAAATTTTGAAAGACCTCGGCGGCAGTTAAATGCGTGGGCAGAACCCACAGCACAGCAATGACAGCTACGAAGGCTAGAGCGAAGACGACAAAGATGAAACTCTCCAGCTTAGGGAGGTATCGAGCCTGGCAGGGCAATTAGACGATGGCTCGGGCTATGGTACGCATGGCAGGCGAGCTCACCAGAAGAGTATTAACTAGGAGGCCAGTGGTCGCAATCATCACGACGAATAGATAGCACTGATATGGTCGCGGGTTGAAGTCTGGGTTGGCGAGGAGGATAAGGCCCTGCAGGGTGAACCCGGCAGGATACATTCCGCCCGTCACACCAGAGAGCCATGCGAGGGATGCCAGCCATCCGGAGTAGTAACTGAGTATCTTTTGCAGGCTCCGTGGCGCGAATTCCGATGTCCAGTGGTATTGACCGCCTGCCGTCGGCGCACTGAGACGCGTTAGCATTGTATAAGCTGTGTAGAGTCGAGATGGCAAGTGAACGTACATCGACGACATCTCGGCCAAGCACAGTATGACCAGGAAGAGACCTGCAAACTCGAACATAAACATGGCGAATACGCCGCCGGTGCCTCCATTGTATAGTCCGTATGTCAAAGTGCTATTCGGAATCAGTACTGAGCGCTGCAAGTTTCAAGCCTGGGTAGAGCATGATCACCTGGGAACGTAGACCCAGCCCGAGATGGTCAGGACGGAAAAGGCCAATATGAAAAGGACGCGGAAGTTTCTCTGCGACGAACGATCAGATCCAATGGTTCAGTGAAGAAGAATGAAGTGTGCGTGAGATACCTTGAACACCTGCGCCTTTCCAAGACGTTGCATGTCCGCCTCATCGAGCGAATCTGCGCTACGCTCTTCGTAGGACTCGATCCCGACATCCCCCTGCTTGAGCGTGTCCACTTTCTCGTCGGCCATGAGGGTATGAATGAATTGTGCGTGAACGCTAAGAAGGGAGAGAAGTCGCTGGAGAGGAGCACGTAAAGAGAGAGCGAGCTCAAAAAGGGAGGATCGGCAATAATTCAATCGTGAAATCTAATCAGTGCTCTCTTGCCAGACGAGTAATAATGCCATCCATAGAAGGAGTCAAGTGGTTTCTGCATCAGGAAGGTCATCGGCATGTGGAGTAAAGGCGATTGCTGTTAACGTTATACGGCTTGGTGAAGACGAACCATTTGCGCTGTCGATCTTAGCAAAGATTAGTCAAATGTAGCCTCTGATCTTAGGCAGGGCATACTAACACCTTACTCTTGTGCGTGACACTTGACATCTTGCAACTACACTCGACTTCGGCTCCGTTCAAAAACGACCAAGTGGACATTATGGCCGTTTCAAGCAGCTCTCAAGCCGGGCTGGACACCTTCGAGAAGCTCGAGATCGAGTACGAGCACGCATACGGCAACAATCCGCTCAAGAAAGCATGCGTGGAGAAGGCGATCCCACTTCTCCCGCGAGGAGGACGAGTGCTCGACGTAGGCTGCGGCACCGGCAAGCCCGTGGCGGAAATGCTCTCCCTCGCGGGCCACGAGGTACTCGGCGTCGACATTTCTCCTCGCATGGTGCATCACGCGAGCGCTCGCGTCAAAGGCAGCTTCATCGTCGCCGACATCCTGACGTATGAGCCGGAGGGAGAATTCGCCGCCATTTTCATCATGTTCTCCTTGCTACAATTGACGTCCTACGCCGAGTTCCACGACGTTATGTTCAGATACGCCAAGCACGTCCAGCCGAATGGCTACTTGGTGTTCGGCACCGTGCCGGCAGATAACTACGTGAAGAATGGAGAAGACTACGATGCGACGGGGACCTATGCCGTCAACTACCCCGTACCATTCATGGGCGTGCCGGAGTCCAATCTGGTCTTCTCAAACGAGGGACTGGTCCGGTTTGTCTCCTCCCTCGGTTTCCGAGTCGTCCGCAATGACTTGGGCATTTTCAAGCCGGACGACAAACGGTGCGAACCCGAACACCAACAGTATCTGGTCGCTCAGAGAGTCGGGGATGGACAAGTGCGAAGGCCGCAGCCAGACCCAACCCGATGAACGTGCAAACGGCCACAACCCGAAAATCCGCTTCTTGGCCCTACCGACTCTGTCTTTGAAGCACCCCAACCAGCATTATTGCTACGCGGAGAATCGCTTGGTTGGAATTCACCGGCCGAGTGGACCGGGAATGATGTCAGCCCCGCAGCGCTCCCCCAGAATTCCCGCTGAGCCAATCCTACAGCCTCGTGCTCGAGTTCACATGCTGGTTATGTTGCAATGCCACTATACTCCAAATGAAGGCGAGGAACCGATGGCCTGCCCTAGCTGAGCAGATAACTCGCGAGCGATGACGAGACGGGCGTGGCAGCTCCAAAAGATGGTATCCCTACCCGCGTGGATCCGGCGCCTCAGCTTATAGGCGCGCCATCTCACTCCCGCCGCTCGCAGACTTGCATTCGTTTGCGAAATAATGGCGTCGACTACTCATTCCAGCTCCAAATCATCATGGGACAAAGCGAAGATTGGCGGCAAGCGGTTCTTCGACAAAGTCGGCCAGGGCGTGAATAGAGTCAGCGAAAAGGCCGGCGCCGAAGCCTTCTGGCCCACGTCGCTGGACAAGGAGTCGGAGAAGGCGGCCAAGATCCTGCGCAGTTTCTGCATCGATGGCTTCAGGCCGGGGAAAGACCATACGACGCTCGAGCACATTGCTCCAGAGGTGAGCTTTCTCACGTGCCTTCCTAGCAATCGTGCGCAAACTCATCTCCGCCACAACAGATCTTCCGCAACGCCCGCGGGGTAGCCGTCTTCACCGTCCTGCGCGCAGGCTTCCACTGGTCCGGCGCAGGCGGCAGCGGCGTCGTCGTCTCCCGCCTGCCGAACGGGCAATGGTCGCCTCCGTCCGGCATCCTCATCCACACCCTCGGCTGGGGCCTGATGGCCGGCGCCGACATCTACGACTGCGTGTGCGTCATCAACGACGAAAAAGGCATGGAGGCCTTTACGCGGGTGCGGTGCACGCTGGGCGGCGAAGTGAGCGCCACGGTCGGCCCGCTGGGCGCCGGCGCCAACGTCGAGTCGCAACTGACGCACCCGGCGCCCGTGTGGTCGTACACGAAGTCGAAGGGCTTGTACGTGGGCGTGCAGATTGACGGGACGGTGATTGCCGAGCGGACGAGCGAGAACGAGCGCTTCTATGGCATTGAGGGGGTGAAGAATCGGCAGATTCTGGCGGGCGAGGTGCAGGTGCCTGCGGGGAGTATGGTGCAGTTGTGGGAGACGCTGCAGGCGTGTGAAGGGGGGAAGCATGATCAGAGTCGACTCCCGCTGCCGGGGCGCGCGCCGAGTGATCATCAGCTGAATCAGCCGAGAGAGGAGAGCCAGCGGGAGTTTGACGAATTGGGGCATCATCCTGAGGAACGAATGGACTCGAAGGATGCAGGAGGGCGAGTGTGATCGATTGCTACCGCTGTAATGCTCGATGTTGAAAGTCATGCCCCGAAAACGCCTCGCTAAGTTGTTCAGATTCGTTCACAGCCGTTTCATCGTCACCGGTTCGCCCGACAAACCCTACTCCAGATCTCGACAAAGTCCTTTGCATCTATCACTCATGAAATCAGCACAAAAGCCCCATGTTCCACGCAAGCAACTTTGTCCAACGAACCTTCATCAGTCGTAAACTCCAAGATATACTCCCTCTTCTCATTCCTCTGCGGTTCATAGCCCCCCAAAAAGACATACGGCGGCGGCCTCACCGCAGCAAGACTCACAACCCCATCCCTCTCCAAACACACATGGTCCGGATCAGTGGCATACTTCGTCAGGAACGCCGTCCAAAGCGGTACATCTTGCATGGGTCCTCGGTGCGCCGAAGCCTCGAGGCGCACAACGCCGGAAGAGCGGTCTTTGTACATGCGCAGGGCGTGCTGCATGCGGTCGTGTTGAATTATGCCGCCGAATTCTTGCACTTCGTCTTGCGCTTCGCCCTGGCTGGATCGCGGCCCTTGTAGCTCGACGTTCTCGATGAGGTCGGGGTGGGAGACGGGGCGGGCGTCTTGGTGTTTCATGGCGACGAAGGTGCAGTAGAAGAGGACCATGCCTGGGTCGGGATTAGATTCAAGATTGGTTCTACTGAAGGTTGCGAAGGAGACAACATACGCTCGTAGGAGGTGAAGTTCAATCTCGCCCACAGAGTGTATCGGCCGTTACCTTTGGCGCGGCATAATTGGAGGGTAGAAGCCTCGCGGATGATTTTGAGATTGGTGAGCAGGGCACAGTAGTGTGATTGTTTGCCTCGTGGATCTGTCGTGGTAAGTAGGATCCGAGCTCGACTATCACCAGGGCGGAAATAGAAAGCGGCGTGCAATTGGCCGTCATCGAATGTCCTAGGTGATGGTCAGCACTGGCACCTCACAGCTGAGGAAACAACCCTTACAACTCCAGGGCTGAATAGAAGTCGTCTCGCCTCAGGTGTCGAATAGCTTCATTGTCGGTAGAGCCCAGACAGGCGGAGGCCGCGGTCCTATCGTGAATCTGTCAGCGAAAGTCCGCAGAACGGCATTGTCATCCAACGAACAGTCGATCTTCACGGGCAAAAGCGTTGGCTGGAATCGGACGGTCAAAGACATTTTGACACCAGTGCACGATGGTTGAGGAAACCACGGTGTTGCTTGAGTTCCATGTCGGGGTGGATTGGACAGTGCGAGAAGAGGTGGATGTGCGTGTTGGAGAGCTAGGCATGGTGGGAGGAGGGTCGGGAGCTGTAGGAAGACGGGGCAGGCGCGGGCGGCGAGTGTAGTCGCTCCAGCTTTCGGAAGAAGAAACTGGTGAGCTTGGTACGACGAGGTCAAGTCGATCGGAACGTGATCGGCTCGGGCCTGGTCGGAGTGGGAGTGCTGCTGTTGCACTTTCATCAGTTAAGGGACGAGCACCACTCAACCATACTATGTGTTCATCCGCTCTCAGACCCGACGTCTCTCGAGTAGGAAACAACGTACCTGAACTGCCAATCAACCTCCTTTCTTCGCGCAGGACAGACACCTTTTGGGCATCCCACAGCAAAAACAGATCTTCCCTTAACACCCCCGCATTCAACGGATGTCTTCGTCCATGCAGGACATCAGCCTGCAGGGAAAGAAACGCATGGTATAGGTCCAGCCGCTCGGGCAGCCCCATGTCCTCTTCGCTCTCCATCTGACGATCCATCTCACCCCAAACCACCGCGTAAGGCCGATCGCGGGATTCCACGACCATGTCGAGGGCCGAGTCCAGGGTGCGCCGAAGACTCGGAAGGAGTAGATCGAGATCATCCTGGACAGGGAGGGGCAAAGGCTCATCGCGCTCGACAATATCAATTTCGCGTAGGACGGCGCTCAAAGCGAAGAGCCTGCTGATGCTCCTGGTAATAGAAGTAGCCAGACGCGGTAGCTGGTTGCGAAAGAGGCGGAGGCCCTGCGCAACGTCTTCGGTGGCGGTAATGTAACTGACGAGTTGACGATCGCGAATCGCCATCTGCATCTTGACGGTTCTTCGGAGTTGCTGCCGTCTTTTGACATATCATTCGCCCAGGCCGTGCAGGTGACTAATAAAGCGAGACTGAGAGGGCGAAGACTCCCATCATGCCTGGCACGTGGGGGGTACGGAAGTCAGTAGGTAGACGAGCGAATCCGAGTTGGCCAGATGACGAGATGACTGTTCAAAAGGTAGCGTTTCGTGTAACTGAATGCTTCGCTGGCAGCGCGCAGGGCATGAAGTTTGCTGACGGGCCTCTTTTTTCGTTGGAGAGAGAGAGACGTTGGAGCCAATGGCGGGGCGCAATTTCCTCACCGGTTATGCACGATTAGAAGCAGAAAGGACATCGACTCATAGGATTGAAAAGACATGGTCTTCTTTTGTTCAGCATTCTGAAATGTAGTGTTTGTTGCCTTGCTAAGAAGAAATGATGTGAGAGGACACTTAACTGTCGGACCTATGAGATGACTGGATGCAGGCGGCAAAAAACGAGGTGACTAACAGGCGGCAGCATCCTTTGAAGGCCGTCAACTCCGAAACCAACAATTTATCGAGGGGAACAGTACCTTGTTTGAGACGAGACAAGATGGAAAAGAGGATGAGGTGCGGAGGAGAAGGAAGAGATAGGCGCCTGGGCGTGGCAAATAATGCCTCAGGCGCGCCGAGACTCAAGGCTGCGGTTCCAGTCCTTCGACCCATGCTTGGGGATAGCATATGATGGCATACGAAAGATATTATCGTCGTCTGGAAGCCGCAGTTATCCAACCACGTAAGCAACAGCAAAGCAACACCGAACAAAAACGGGGTATCTCGCAGCTCAATTCCTTGAAGAACGCCCGTCGTCCCTCTCATGATCTGCGCCGTCGTCCACATCCCCAAACCGAAAGGAGGAGACAATCGTAGACGTGAATGCAACCCAAAACAACAGTCCAACTCCGGAACCAAGCAGTCATCGTCAACCACTCAAACAAACTCGTAATCCTCGTCCTCGTCGACAAGAGGGACGGACAAGGCCTTGCCCTTGCCCTTCCCCCGCTTGCCCGTCGACGAAAGGCCGACACTCTCGCCCTCGGAATCAATCACATCATACTCATTCTTCACCAGTTTTGCCGTCTCGCGCTCTTCAAACTTCTCGACAGCCTTTGCAAGCGCCACGTTGAGGATCTCACTTCCGCGGGAAGGGCCGCGGGCGGCGTCGAAGGAGTACATGATCTCGGTCTCGCTGGGAGGGGACGAGGAAGCCTTGTGCGAGTCGTCGTGGTCGGAGCTGGAGTTGGACGAGGAGTCGTCGGAAACGGCGTTGGCGGTGCTTTCGCGGATGTCGTGTTTGCGGGCGATCTTGGTGCCGTGCGCGAGAGACGCCACGGCGCCCTTTGCGTCGCGTCGGCGGGCGTTGAAGTAGCTGAGAAGAGCGTGTCAATCGAGGGGATTCAGGTAGGCAGTGAGTCGGGACTTGGACTACTTACGTTTCCGAGGGGTGCGAAGGACGGGGATGATTAGGTGCACCGCCGACGCGTTGCACGCTTCCGAGCTGCCACTTGTGCTTGCGCGTGGCACTGCGCTTGGAGTCTTGGGCGGCGCTGCGGAGGTCGGAGGTGGAGAAGGTTCGCTCGGACGCCATGTTGCTGGCGCTGCTGGCGGGGGTTGTGAGATGCGCGTTGAGTGCCGCTCTCGCTGTTGGTGAGCTTATCGGCGTTGAGAGCTGCAGGGAGATCGTTGGAGGGATGATCAGTTCTTGGTTGAAACGTGACGTAGGTTTCGCAGGTTCTTTGTTGAGCACGAGTTAGATGTGCCACGCAGACGGGCAGGAAGTAGATGTGTGGAGGAATCAAGAGGCAAGAGTGACGACGGAGGTCAGACACGTCGCTGCCGGCGCGTAAAGTACGGTAGGATGATGCGGTTGAGTCACGAGGCTATCAGCGCGACTGCGCCACGTGCGATAAGATGCCGAGACCGCGTCGCCGCGAGCGGATCAGAGCTGGCCGTCGGTGTCTGCTTTGGGGATTGAATGAGAGCAGGACAAAGAAGAGATGGAGGAATCAACAACACGACAGGTCCGTCCCTAGGTATGACTGTTCACGTCACGTCCTTCTTGCATGTGATTGCCCCGCGCGCCCGTCCAAGCTCCCTCCTGCCGTGTGGAGTAGCTTCATGCATGTGGTTATATCCGCGTAAGGCCGAGGCTGAGGTAAGAGGAACATGCCTTGAATGGATCAAGGCTGCAGGGCACATCCTCTCGCACCCTGGAAGACCATGGCAAGCACATCCGAGAAACTGATCGTCATCATTGGCGCAACTGGAAATCAAGGATCTTCTGTCGCCAAAACGTTTCTTGCCGCGGGGGCTTAATAAGCAACGGATGACGGAACGTGGTCTCAGCCGCGCCGCCCACCGTGCCGCCTCCGTGACCGCCTGCCGCCGCCCACAGCTAGCAGTCACCCGAGCGTTCGGTCCAGGCGGTGCTGTGATTGCGAAGGGATGCATATGATTTGTTCACCTGCTTGCTAATGCTCCGTGGGACGCCTAGCACGGTTATGTCAGCGATCGTGAAAGCGGGGGGGGCGGTCTTGCGAGGCGCCGGACGAGATCGATATCCTACCGACCCGGAGGCTTATTGCACCGAACGGACAAACATCGAAAGTCGTATAAAATGAAATCGACGTCCCCTTATAGCAATCCGAGACATCCGTTGTCGACATCATGCCTGAAGCGACGTCCAAAACAATGAAGGCGTGGCAATTCGCCTCCGCCAGCCCGACGGTAGAGGCGAATCTCAAACTCAACCTGGCCGCACCTGTCCCACCTGGTCCACTGAAACCCGACCAGGTGCTTGTGCGAGTCCTCGTCGTCGCCCTCAATCAAGTCGACTACAAATTCGCAGAAATACCGTATCTCGGACGCCTCATCGTCGGCAGCCCCTCGACGCCCGCCATCGATTTTGCAGGCCGCGTCGCGGAGCTTCCCAAAGGTGCGGCCGCGGGACTTGAAGTCGGCCAATTGGTATATGGCCGATTGGAACTACCGACAAAGTTCGGCACACTGGCAGAGTACACTGTTGCTCCGCGCGGAGGCTGCGTGCCGATCCCATCAGGCGTCAGCCTCAACGATGCCGCCTGCGTTTCGTCAGTTGCCCTCAGTGCCTACCAGTCCATCGTCCCGAAAGTGCAGCTCAACGCCGGGAAGCGCGTGTTCATCAACGGCGGAAGTGGCGGATGCGGAACGTTCGGCATTCAGATCGCGAAACTATCGGGCTGCCACGTCACGGTGACCTGCTCTACCCCCAACGTGGCGCTGTGCAAGTCCCTCGGTGCAGATGTGGTGATCGATTACAAGCAGCACAACGTCGTTGCCGAGCTCAAGCGGCAGAAACGCTTCGACCTGGTCGTCGACAATGTCGGCGAGCCTGCCGATCTCTACTGGACTGCCCATGAATTTACCACCCCCGGCGCCCGGTTCGTACAACTGGGCAGCGGCGCCGTCAGTGTTGGCTTCATCCTGGGCAACCTGTTCAAGACCCACGCGCCAACTTGGCTCGGCGGTGGACAGCGGCCGTTCGAATTCCTCAACACGGTCAACAAGGCCGAAGATTTCGCCCAGTTAAGCCAGTGGTTGCAAGAAGGCAAGCTGCGGACTACAGTGGATGAGATATTCGATGTGGAAGTCGACGGGCCGATCAGGGCATATAGCAAGCTGAGGACAGGAAGAACGAAAGGCAAGATCTTGGTGAAGATGTGGGGGGAGTAGCGAGCGAACTCCCTCTAGTCCTGCGCCTCCGTAGCAGTCAGATCATCAGGCAACTCGTCGGGGAACCAGCCATATTGGCTAAAGTCTATCGTGCGCTCCCCCAGGCTGCCCCGACCAACCTCCACTCCTTCCCGCGCGAGAGCTGCTTCCTGTCGAGCGGCGCCCTGAGCTCCTCTGCAATCCCACATTAATACCCCACGAGAGATTGATACATCTTATGAGAGCGTGGCCTGGCCTTACCTTGGACTAATCGTCCCTTTCGAGTTGATGACTCTTTGCCATGGCACGGTGGAGCTGTTGAAGCGCGCGTCGGGTTGGTCGGTGGTGTCAGGGAGGTACTTTAAGCACACGCCGACTTGGCTGTTGCATGGTTAGATATGACCGCCGGGCTGGATTTGACGCCCAGTGACAAACCGTGGTCGTTCGGCTGGGGCGGTCAGTTGGAGGCATACTCTGAATGCTCTAGAATGGTGGACTTACGATAGCCCAAGAGACTTGCGATATGTCCGTAGCTCGTCACTCTGCCAGGCGGGATCTGTTGGATGGCTTTGTAGACGGCAGTATACCACATTTCCGCCTCGTCGGAGCGTGCCATCTTTGCGCTTCCTCGCGCATGTCTTGACGTTCAATATCGCGATTGCTCATGAGTGCAAGACTCACCTCCGCCTCGTGCATTAGCCTTCCCGCTCGAAGCTCGGAGCACTCTCGGCTGCTCCACCGAGAACTTCTGGCCTCGACCTCCAACCATCTTCCACAACCTTCACATCAACAATGCAAACACCACCATGGGGCTCGCCGACTACCTCGCCAAAAACTACCTCTCGGCAGATGCGAAGGCGTCCAAAAAGCGAAAGCGAAAAGACGCGGCGAAAGAGGCAGGCGTGACGATAGCAGACGACGACGCGAGGGAATGGACGAATACGCCCCAAAATGCTGATGAAGATGACGAAGCGCCTACAATCTGGGGAGACACACTCGCCGGCGGTCTCAACAAGCCCGCGAAGAAATCGAAATGGATCAGAGTTGGAACTTCCGCTCCCACCAGCGCAGAGCAGGCGAGCGCGGACGCTATCCTAGCAGAGGCACAGGCGGAGTCCAAGGCGCGCGCTGAAGAGGATAATGATGCACCGGCGATAGTAGGGGAGGATGAGGGGCCTACGATGGCTTCAGGGGCCATGGCGGGACTACAAACAGCCGATCAGGTCACGGCGGCGTTGAAGAAGAAGGAAAAGGCGGAGCGCAAAGCGATGCAAGCCGCGGGTCTGGATCCCACGGGCAAAGCGCAGGAGACTATCTACCGCGACGCTTCTGGACGCATTATCAACGTCGCTATGAAGCGAGCGGAGGCGCGCGCGAAGGCAGAGGAGGAAGAGCGCAAGAAGGCGGAGGAGCTCGAGAGCAGGAAAGGCGAGGTGCAGAAGCGGGAGAAGGAAGCGCGGAAACAACAGCTGGACGATGCCAAGGTCATGTCTGTGGCGAGGTATGCGGACGATGAGAAGATGAACGAGGAGTTGAAGGAGCGGGAGCGGTGGAATGATCCTATGGCGCAGCTGATTGCGAGCAAGAAGAGTAGCGGGACGACTGGGAAAGGAGGAAGGAAGAAGAAGGGTGGTGGCAAGACGTATGTGGGAGCCTTCGAACCGAATCGATATGGAATCCGGCCGGGATGGAGATGGGATGGCGTGGATCGAAGCAATGGGTTTGAGAGGAAGTGGTTTGCCGCGAGGAACAGGCAGCGGAATCGTGAGGAACTCGAGTATTCTTGGCAAATAGATGAATGAAAGGATATCTATCTGGTATTCGCCATCACCATGGCGCCCTGCCAGACGGAAGCGACCGATTGATTCGGTTTCTCGACGCGCCGTCTCCACTGGCTCCGTTTCCTAGCCACCCACAACGAGCAACGGCCCAATGACACTCGGAGAATATTCAAGTATACACTGCCTTGGAGACGATCTCGCCATACTTGCGTCCAAGGAACCACTGACCATCCATGGTCGGATCGACGCTCTGAAGCTTGAACAGCCGCCCGTAAGCAGTCCCGCGACAATCCAAATCGCACGTCCCATCGCCGCTCGAATCCGGCTTGACGGTGCAGTTCAGATGGGTGGGGGTGGCGGGAGAGAAGATGAACGGGAAAATGCCACCATAGACCACGACACTCTGGCCGGTGTCGGCGTAGAGACCGACTTGGGACTTGGAGCCCTTTGGGGCTTTGGCAATCATCAGGTGGCTGGTGCCGTGCTCGATGGTGTATTCGAAGCCGGTGGTGCTGCTGGCGTTGTAGAATGCATAGCAGCCCCCGGCGTCATTGCATCCTGAGCCGGGTTCGAGGTACTGTCCAGACGGATCCTCGAGGCGAAAGATGCCGTGGGGATCGCATGTGGCGGTGCTGCCTGATGATGGCAGGCTGCTCGCCAAAGCGAGGCAAGCGTAGAGTGCAGTGAGGGTGCGAAGCATAGGCATGATGGACGAGTAGGCTGGCCAGATCTAACGAGGGATGAAGGGCGTATGTGATAACGGGATGGACGCTTATAAGTACTCCGTCTTGCACAACGGAGGTTGAATCGGCGGAAAGTAAAGAATAAGGGCCGATGCATAGTTACGCATGTATAGAGTGCTAGTCTACCAAAGTACTCATATCGTTAAAAAGCGGCACATGTGCAGCCGTGTTCGTGGAGTGTGGTACTAATATAGGCGTGCTGACGAAACGGTCGCTTAGAGCCTCACGCGCAGGTATCCGGGATCACGTCAAGGGAAACACTGCCTTGATAACAATCTCGCCATACTCGCGTCCGAGAAACCACTGACCATTGTCCGTATCGACGCTTTGGCCTTTATAGGTGTACCCCATGGCAGAGCCGCTACACTTCAAGTCGCACGTCCCATCGCCACTCGGATCTGGCTTGACGGTGCAGTTCAGGTTGGCCGGGATGGTAGAAGAAAAGACGAACGCAGTCACCTCGACCTTCTTGTCGACGTCGGCATAGAGGCCTGTTGGAGTCTTCGAACCATGAGGGACTTTAGCTATTTCCAGGTGGGTGGTTCCCCTAGCAATGGTGTATTCAAAGCCAGTAGAGCTGTTGACGCTGTAGAAGGCGTAACACCCCGCGTCGGTGCAAGGAGAGCCTGGCGTAAGGTACTTTCCGGTGGACGGATCCTCGAGGCGAAAGATGCCGTGGGGATCGCATGTGCCAGCGCTGCCTGATGATGGCAGGCTGCTCGCCAAAGCGAGGCAAGCGTAAAGTGCAGTGAGGGTGCGAAGCATACATGTAGGCATGATGGATGAGTCGGCTGGCTGAATTCAGCGAGGGATGACGAGCGTGTGTGAGAATTGGATGGACGCCATGGCGGCCGAGCTGCCCTTTAAGTACCCCGTCTTATAGGGTAGATAGGACGGGAGTTGAGTCGGCGCATAGTAAAGAATAAGGGCCGATGCATGGTTACGCACCTCATGTATAGAGTGCTAGTCTACCAAGAATCCATGTCGTTAAAAGCGGCACATGTGCAGCCGTGGTCGTGGAGTGTGGTACCAATGCGTGCTGACGAAACGGTCGCTTAGAGCCTCGCGCGCAGTTCTGCCTCAGGTATCCGTAAGTAGGCCAATCAAAACCCCCACTCATGTCGACGGATACACCGCCTTGACCACCGTCTCCGTAAACCGCTTTCCAGCATACCACAGGTTATTCTCGAACGTCTCGACGGACGTGGCCAAGAGGACTGGCCGCCGATTATACGTGGACTCCATACACTTCAAATCACACGTCCCATCGCCGCTCGGACTCTGCACCACGGTGCAGTTCATGTGGGCCGGGATGCCCGAAGTGAAGGTGATGGCGCGAGGCTCTTGATTGTCCACCAAGATGTCGGCGTAGAGGCCGGTGACGACTGATGAACCGGGCGGCACGGCGGCGATCATCAGGTGGTTGGCTCCCTGGGCGATGATGTATTCGAAGCCGGTGGTGCTGTTCTCGTTGAAGTATGCATTGCACTGGTCACTTGGCATGGTGCATGTGACTGGGGCGAGGTAGGTTTGGGTTACGTTGGCCATGAGTCGGAAGCGCTTGTGAGGCTGGCATGGATTGACGTCTCCTGTTGGTGCGCCGCTTGACAGCGCGAGGCAAGCGGAGAGGGCGGTGAGGGTGCGGAGGAAAGACATGATAATGTGGATGATGACTGATCGAAGAAGATGAAGGACGAGTTGAGATGCTTCGGGGAGGGTTGAGGAGGTTGAGGAGAAACAAGATGCGATACGAACCAGGCCTGGACGACTATTTGTACTCGACGGCCATTGTGAAGGAAGTAGTGCTAGCATCGCCTACATGTCGGTAGAATGCATCCTCGTACGTAGCGAGAGAGGTCCTCTACCATAATGCTGGCGAAGGAATGCATGATGATGACTTGGAACATGAGTAAAGAAGAAGATAACTCGCAGTGGCAAGCTCCTGTGCCTGTGCGTACCTATGTTGTCTGCCGCACTAGCTCGCGTGCGGACGGCGCGCAGGAGAGTAGCGGGCATACGCTTTGCTATTGGCTTGTCTGAAGCTTTTGGAAGAATGGATCTGCTTGGTAAGGCGGTTATATTGTCTAAACATGGAGCGGGATCTGCAGGTCAATTCTATCTCGACATCGTCTGTCCCGAAGTGGCTGGCATTTGGAGCTTGGTATATCGTGGGTATCATTGGATCGATGTAGTAGTACACGATCAGCACAATCCCGCAGGCTTTCTGTTAGTCACGTTAGATGAATAAGGTAGTGTACCTGGACGCATTGGTAGAAACCTGGAAGGCGGCCCGGGTGTCCGTGGAGAAACGGTCGCTAGAAACTCGCAGGCAGCACAGTGCTGCCTCAGGTCTCCGTGATTCCGCGTGTTCCTGCATCACTCGGAAAGTGAGTGGAGCGATGATGATGCACACTCATCTACCATTTGAACACTATCGCCAACTGCTTAGAACGAGTGATGAATGGCGGCTCGTAATCACGTGGAGGGATGAACCTAGCTCGCATAGGTGCTGCCTTATCGATAAGGCAGCAACAGTCAGTCCTCCGTCATTCCAGTCGCTTTAAATAGCATAAACGCCGTGCATTCGAGACCTCACGTCAAGGGCTTGGACTGACCACACGTTTCACCCCCAACACCTTGGTGCTTTCCTTTCACCCTTTCACTTGAATGACGGCTTTCACAGTCAATCACTCATGTTCATTGCCGTCTTTACTTGACCCCGAGTCACAACACTCCCCCACTTCCAACTTGCTCGAAACACCAGTCCAGAGGCAGCTTCGAAGATGGCGGCGAACAAACGTATGTTACGTGACCTGCGAGGACTGACTTGGCCATCGGTTCACTGAGACTCCGACGCAGGCATCATGAAGGAGTTGGGCGACGTTAATACCAACCCCCCACCCGGCTGCAAAATCACCACCAAAGACGAAGACATCTACAATTGGGACGTCTCCATGGATGGGCCCGACGACTCCATCTACAAAGGCGGCAAATTCACCATCGCCATCGTACGTGCGCACCGCATCTCTCTTCCCGCCGTCACGCCGACTAACCAATGACCTACCAACCCTCCAGGTCCTCCCCAAAGAATACCCCTTCAAACCCCCCACCCTCTCCTTCCGCACCAAAATCTACCACCCCAACGTCACCAACGACGACCGCGGCGCCATGTGCCTCGGCATGCTGCGGGCGGAGGAGTGGAAGCCGCCGAACAAGATTGCCGACGTGCTGAAGCTGGTGCGCGCGGTGCTGAGTGCGCCGCAGCCGGATGATGCGGTCGAGGCCGGCATTGCGGACCAGTTTAAGAATGATCGCAAGGGGTTTGACAAGACGGCGCAGGATTGGGTGAAGAAGTATGCGAAATGAGGGGGAAAGATGGTGGAATAGGTGGGCTCGAGAGGGAAGGGGTCTTGGTTCAGTGGGGATCGATTATGGCAAAGGGAGTGCATTTCCTGGGAGTATATGATTACGAGGAAGAACGAACTCTCGGAGAGAAGACTTGAGGTTGCGATACGGATGATAAGGAACGGCGCTCATGCAGAGAGAATACACGCTGCTGCATAGCGCTTGGCGCTTCATGAGCTTGAGACAATGACGAGTACCGCAAGCTACCAACTTGTGGGTTAGAAAAGCAATCCCGCTGTAGAACTCATTTCCGTCTCAATGTCGAGTCTCGTATGTCATTTGCTGTCCTGATAGACAGTCCAGCGCAAACCACGATCTTGAAATGTAGAGGCACGTGCCCCAGGCGTCCGGGGACCCTGGGCTGCGCCGGCCCATGACGGAGCTCGAAGGTGGGTCCGAGCGTTCCAGGCTTCCAAACGGTTTCTAGCCAGACCCGGACAACCTCATCATGCATCACCGTTTATTAATGAACGCGCTCCGAACGCGTCCGTGAAGCTCCGACGCAAGCGCTCGATTTCCCGCATCCTTGCTTCGTGCACCAACCCCCCGGTGTCATCAACGTGCAGGCAATTTCGGAAGTTCCACGGGTACCCACCTTTGCATCCTTGTCCGTACCACCACCACCAAGCTTGCCGCTGGCTTGTGTCACAACAACACCATGCCAGCTGTGGAACCGGCGGATTCGGGCGCTTGCAGTGCAAGACTTCAGCGACTTCACCGGGTCGCGAGGTGATTGCATCGAGCCGGCAGAAAGAGAAGATGGGCGACGGCAACACCAGCAGAAAGTATGGTGCGGATTGCACCCTGTCCGTCGCCGATGCGGTCAGAGAAGCGATGGCATCGACCGTGTCCACCCCTTCCGACTTGCCTGCTCCGACGCCTCACCTGCCCCTACGAAAAGCTTCGCCCGAGCGACTGCAGGCCAAACGAGCCACGCCCAAACCTCTTTGGACACCCATCGAACACCAAGTCCGCGGCTTCAATCCGACACCAGTACAGGCTGTGCCACTCATCAACACGGTGACGGCGAGTTCGGAGCATGCGTTTGCTGCCAAAGAGGAGGGGAGGAAGCAGGCGTTCAAGCCGCCGTTGTTAGGTGCGCGAGTCTTGCAACAGGTGCACGAGGCGCGCACCGAGGCAATCGAGACACCCGATTCCAGCCCTACCGGTCGCGAACGGCCACCCTCATCGCCGCTGTTTGCGACCCCTCCGCCCTCGCCTCTACGAGCAAAGGCTAAGAGCTTACGAAGCTCAAAACCTACGACCGGCGCTTTCAAAGGGCTGACCAACCGTTTATCGAGTCCGACCAAGGCGAAAGGACCGCCTCCTATTCCTGGTGAAACCCGCTCCTCTGGGTCGGTGGTGCCCACCATGACTCTCGACCACGGCCGAGAGTCGTTTCCATCTGCGGTGGACAGCGGTCGCTCGGCCGTCACCAGCAATTCCAGCTTTCGACACACCGGCAGCATTCACACCGAGCACAGCAGCCTGACAGCACCAAGCTCCCATGCCGACGAGTTTGTGCAGGTGTATCCCGACTGGCCACAAACCACGCCAGACGAGGACATGGATGATGAGATCATTGATCTGTATGTGCATGGGTTCGAGGGCAGCACTCGACCGAGTCTGGACACGGCGGCACAAGCAGGTGAAGTGGAGAAGTCGGAGAAACGGCAGTCTTCTCAGCGCTCTCATCTGAACGTGGACAAGAAGGCCTCTCTGCTGGGCCACCGACGCAGTCAGAGCGCGAGCCTTCTGGAACGCGGGCGAACGTCGGAGGATGGCTTCCTTGTCGTTCACCCACCTAACCGCTCACATACCTTCTCCCGGATTCTTTCAAGTCCAGTCACGGGGACCGGTGCCAACAAACCTTCAACAGACAGCGCTCGGGTCCAACGTGACCGCTACGGCTTCAAGAAAGCCTCCCTATACATCACGGCGGAACAGTACGATGCGTGGAACGTGAATTACACCATGCACCTCGAACGCAGGCAGAAGAAGTGGCACGCGCTGATGAAATCGTACGGCCTCAACACTGAGCAACCTTTCCGCTTCCCGCCCAAGAGCGACAAGATCAAACGGTACGTGCGTAAGGGCATTCCGTCTCATCTTCGCGGGGCGGCGTGGTTCTGGTATGCCGGTGGGCCCGGCAAGCTGGCGAAAGATCCAGATGTGTATCAGCGGGCGTTGGAGAAGGTGAAGAACGGAGAGTTGAGCGACAACGACAGAGAGCACATTGAGCGCGACTTGAATCGCACGTTTCCGGATAACATCCGATTCAAGCCAGATCCTGTGCCCACGGAGGAGGCCAAGGCAAGCACTGGCGGAGGAGGGAGTGAGGAAGTGCCAAAGCGCAAGAGGATTCGTCACTCCGTCGAGCCCGAGACGCCCATGGTGCAGGCCTTGAGAAGGGTACTGCAGGCCTTTGCGGCGCACAACCCACAGATCGGATACTGCCAGTCGCTCAACTTCATCGCCGGTCTGCTCCTCCTCTTTCTAGACCAGGACGAAGAGAAGGCATTCATCCTCATGGACATCGTAACGACCACCCACCTCCCCGGCACACACGGCATCGCCCTCGAAGGCGCCAACATCGACATTGCAGTCCTCATGAACTGCGTCAAGGACTCCCTACCCGCCATCTGGGCCAAACTCGACGACAACGGCGGCTCGTACCTCGCGCAAAACATCTTCCCAGGAGCGGAAGCCCTCCGCCTCCCGACCATCAGCCTCGCCACGACAGCATGGTTCATGTCTCTCTTCGTCGGCACGCTCCCCATCGAATCCGTGCTACGCATCTGGGACTGCCTCTTCTTCGAAGGCAGCAAAACGCTCTTTCGCATTGCGCTCGCGATTTTCAAATTCGGAGAAAAGGCCGTTCTCGCTGTGCACGACCCCATGGAGATTTTCCAGGTCGTGCAGACCATCCCCCGCAGCATGTTGGACATCAATGCGCTGATGGAGGTGTGTTTTCGTCGCAGGGGAGGGTTTGGGCATGTGAGTCAGGGGATGATTGAGGGAAGGAGGGAGGAGAGGAGGGCTGCTGTCAGGGCGGGGATGGAGGCGGGGCTGAAGGAGGGGGGTGGGGGGAGGGTGAGTGTTTGGCGGGGACGATTGAAGAGCATTACGCCGAAGATATGAAAAGAGCGGGAATGTTGGAGGCGAACAGGCTTCTTTCCTCATGCAATGTCTAACAAAGGCCTCCCCCCGAACTCCAAGCTAAAGCACACAAGCAAACACCACCACACAAAGGAACATGAACACATCCCTCAACCCCCTCCCTACGAGCTCGCGCCTTTCCCTTCAGGCTGGTAAACCGGCAACTTCTCCTCCCTCTGCACCGGCTGAGGCGGCTGCGCATAAAACGTCGACGCCCCCGTCGCGCTCGCCTCGCACCGCCCCCCGCACATCCCACTGCACCAACTCTGATGCTGCGTCTGCCCCGCCACGCCGTTGCAGGAAGCGTTGCATTGCCCGTTGCAGTAGGCTTGGTGGGAGTAGCCGTTGTTGTCGCGCAGGCCGGCGGGGTGGGGGCCTTGCTGCTGGGCGTTGTTGGCTGGGTGGCCGCGCTCGTAGGCTTTGATGCCTTGGTGTGCGACGGCGTAGAGGGCGCCTGCTGCGATGCCGGTTTTGATGAGGCCCATTGTTTTGATTGATTGGTGGTTGGGGTGGAGGGTGGTGGGTAGGTGTGGTGTGGTGTAGATGTGTGATTGTGTTGTTTGATGATGAGAAAGCAGGTCGAGGAGAAGCGAACTGGACACACTACTTATATCTCTCCTGCTGCCTGCTGCACTCCAACTCCGCCTGCAAAGCCCCGACGACGACGACTGCGGGCTCCAGCTGGCATCTGCGAGGCTGTGCACCGCCCAACCCTAAATACGAAGCCGGTCCGTCTCTCGCTCTCGTCTTTCGGAGCGTGTGGGCCAATCAGAGGAGATGCTGCGCCTGCACCTTGCTCTCCTGCTCTGGTGGCCTTCTAATTTTCGCGCATGGCTGGACTCTTACGTCCGTAAAGTCGGATTCGCTTTCGATCGGAGTTGCTGGTGAAGGCATGAGGAAAGCACGAGAAGGCTCGTTGTTTTGTCTTACTCATTCTATCACCGAGTGACTTCGTGAGTACCTCTTTGGTAGGCATGAGCCACTCTCGGCCTGACTTTCTTGAGGTGGAGGAGAGCGTAGGCAACATGATCTTGCGTAGAACACATTTGACCTTGCGAGTATCGACATGCCAAAGAAGGAATGTCTGCCTTTTCATTCCATGCATTGCGGTCATATGCAGTTGATTACGTTGTTATCCTAGCGGTTGCCTCCAGCCAATTTCAACCCTACTGTTTGTCATCAGAGGGAGAAGATATTCTCCAACTTCTTCATGCTGTGACAAGAACTTTGGACACAGCGAAGCGATGTCCTCCGACGATGCCCTGCGGCCTGAATGGCTTGCCGTAATCCAGCCCATAGCCCATGAAACCCTCAACGGGACTTGTTCATTGACACTTCACCAGTTCGAAAAAGACCTGGGCTTCCGCCCTAAACTCCACGGCCCAACATACGAAGACATCCTCCAGCAAGCCCAAGCCAACGGACCACGCATGCTCGAAGTCCTCACCTTCCCCAAACCCGACACCACTCTGACAACAGCATGGCACGAGACGGCGTCCGGCGTTCGACTGAAATCCTACATCCCGCCGACGTACCGACCTGACAGGCCACTGATCTACTACATCCACGGCGGCGGATTCGTCCTCGGCTCGGTTGCACAGGACGATTCGAAGGTGACGCCGCTTTGCACAGCGACGGGATGCGTGTTTGTCAGTGTGGAGTATCGTCTTGCTCCGCAGCATCCGTTTCCCGCGGGATTTCAGGATTGCGTCGAGGGTGCGGCATGGTGTTTAGAGAATGCGGAGAGGCTGGGTGCGAGGAAGGGGCCGATCATTCTGATGGGGAAGAGCGCAGGGGGCGCGTTTGCTCTGGGGACTGCGCTGAAGTGGATCGATGAAGGCCGCGGACAGGGTGTCTTGGGCGTGGTGGCTTGTCAACCCGTCACCGTTCATCCGACTGCGGTGCCTGAGCGGCTTCGAGAACGGTATACGGCGCACGAGGAGAATGCGGAGAACACGACCAATACTCGAGATGCGATGCGCGCGTTCTACCGTGAGTCTCTCGCAGCACTTACTGCGGACATAGCTGACTCCATCATATCAGGTCTACACAACGCGCCGCTCGATGATCCTTACGTCTGGCCACTGCTGCACTCCAACTTGAAGGCTCTGCCTCGAGTATATCTGAATGCGTGCGGCGCGGATACCCTTCGAGACGATGCGCGCTTGCTCCAGGAGGTGTTGCAGCAGACTGGGTGAGTTCTAGAATTGTTCACGGCTGCGGTGGGAGAGCGTGATGCTAAGGCTGCGACAGAGTGCCCAACCGATTCGACGAGTTCGCCGGACTTCCGCATTATTTCTTTGCATTCCCATCTCATCACACTACACAGCTTCGAGAGGACTATTATTCGCGGACAGCAAAGGGGATCGAGTGGGTGATTGATGGAGTGAGCAAAGGCTGAATCAGCTCTGCCGAAGCCCTCGGGAGATGGCGGGGAGGAGCTCCACACTCCCGAGGCTAAGACGCTCGACTTCACGCCCTCCGTGAGGTCATTGGCGATTCCTCTGTAGACCTTCTGCGCATTGCACATCTCCTTGTTCCCTTCTGCTCTCAATCTCCCACATCCACAACCCTCGCGACCATGGCGGGCGAAGTCAGGCAGAAGATCGACCAGAAGGCGCTGGAGAAGTACATCAGCGCCAACGTGCCGGAGATCAAGCCTCCCCTCCAACTCAAGCAGTTCGGCTTCGGCCAGTCCAACCCCACCTACATGCTCGAAGACTCGCAGAACAACAAATTCGTCCTCCGCAAGAAGCCGCCGGGGAAGTTGCTCTCCAAGACCGCCCACCGCGTCGACCGCGAATACCGCGTCATCCACGCCCTCGAAAGCACCGACGTCCCCGTGCCGAAGTGCTTCTGCTGGTGCCCCGACGACTCCATCATCGGCACCGAGTTCTACATCATGGACTGCCTCGAGGGCCGCTTCGTCACCAACCCCGCCTTCCCCGACGTGAGCGAGAGTGATCGAAGGGAGATGTGGAAGGATGCGGTGCGCACGCTGGCGAAGCTGCATCGGGTCAATCCGAAGGAGGTCGGACTCGAGTCGTTTGGGAAGCCGACGGGCTTTTATAATCGGCAGATCAAGACTTTTGGGGGGTTGGGGAAGGACCAGGGTGACGCGAAGGATAAGGAAAGTGGAGAGCCTGTCGGCGAGTTGCCGCACTTCAAGGACATTACGAAGTTTTTTGGGCAGCAGAAGTATCAGCCGAAGGATCGCGGGGTGCTGTATCATGGCGACTACAAGATTGATAATCTCGTCTACCACAAGACGGAGCCGAGGGTGGTGGGCATTTTGGATTGGGAAATGAGTATGCCATGCCCTCGGAAACACTGCGTGGAGATACAAGATCACTGACACGGAGCGAACAGGTACCGTCGGCCACCCGCTTGCCGACCTATGCAATCTGTACACCCACCCACCCCTCCCCACCCCTACCCAAACAAATCAACCCAACTAACACGCTCCAGAATCCAACCCTGGACCATCTCCAACGCAACCCCCTCCTGGCCCCGCATCCACGCCGACAAAGCCTTCCTCGCCCCCTCCAGCCCGGACTCCACCGCCTCCAAGTACCCGGGTCTGCCGACGCAAGAAGAAGCCGTGAAACTGTACAGCGAGACGGTGGGCTTCGACGTCCCCGACGAGGAACTCAGCTGGGCCAAGGCGTTCGCCCTGTTCCGCGACTCGATTATTTTCCAGGGGATTGCGGCTAGGTATGCGACGCGGCAGGCGAGTAGTGACCAAGCGCAGCGGTAGGTTCTATTCAGCCGTTCTGTTTTGGGTGGGTGGGTTTGCTGACTGTCGATGTTGTGTGTACAGGTATGGGGCGGAGCGAATTCCGTTTGCCGAGATGGCGTATGAGATGGTGAAGGAGGCCAAGGCGAAGCAGTCGAATGAGGCGAAGTTGTAGAGGTTGGTAGATACCCATGGACAGACGACGAGGCGTCGGAGAAAGTCTTGTAGTTTATTGGAGAAAGCGTTTGGTAATTTTGCAAATCATCAGGAGGCTCGAGACTACAGACGGCGTCAATCGAGCGGAAAGGGAAAAAAATATGTGAACACCACTACTCCGCCCCATGCGTACTCCCCGTCCGTCCCATCCGCTCAATGTTAGCCAACATCCTACTCTTCCCCGCCGCCGTAGAAGAAGGACAAGCAGAAACTAAACTCCCACCATTGCCCCTCGCCGACCCCGGAATCCCACTACCCCCAGCACCCGGCACCCTCAACCCAGACGGAGTCGGAAGGCCCAACGAAGGCCGCGAAATGGATTTGCGAAAATCCTCCACGACGCTCATGGCCCGCATGCCCTGCGGCGTCGCCGGCGGCGGCAGCTCGCTCATCTGCAGCGCCAGCATCTCGTCCACTGCGGCGACCAGCTCGCCTTTCTCGATGCGCTCCTGCTTGAGCTCGCGCTGCAGGTCGTCTTGCTGTTGTTTGGAGGCGGACATTTCGCACTCGAGGCGCGCGATGGCGGCGTTTTGCGCTTCGAGTTGGGACTTGAGTTTGCTGTTTTCTTCGCCGAGAGAGGCTTCTGTTGTTGATGTTGATGTTGACGTGTTGGAGATGGGACCGGTGAAGGTGGAGTCTTTGGAGGCTTGAAGGTCCTCATTTGCTCGCTCCAGCTCTGCCACGCGCGTCTGCAGCTCGGCTGTCTTCTTCTCGCTGCGCGCTTCGTAGCTTTTCTTCAGCGTGGCTACCTTCCGCTCGTGTTTCTCTTTGTAGACGGAATGCAGTTCGCGGCTGACGGCTTCGATCTTCGCGTCGATCTGTGCGTTCACGAGGCGCTGTATTTGGTCCTCGGTCGCGTTTTCACCGTCTGCAGAGGCGCTCATTCTCGCCGCGAGAGCATCTGCGAACCGCTCTTCGGCTCTGACGGCGCGTGATTCGGCATCGTCTGCCCGCCGTTCGGACTCCTCCAACTTGCGATTCGTTTCCTCCTTCTCCGCTTCGCTGTTCAGCACTTCTTCTTTCACCGTCTGAAGCACGCTCTCAAACTCTACGCCGCGCTTCTTCCAGCTTTCGATCTCCTCCTCGAGGTGCTCGCGCTTCGATTTCTCCTCGCGTAGGCTCTCTTGCGCTTCGCCTACCCTGCGTTCGGCATCACCTACGGCTTTTTTGAGCGAGTCCACCTCGGCCTCGCGACCTGATAGTGTGGCTTTGAGGCTCGAGATTTGTGACAGGTAAGACGATTTGAGAGACTCGAGTTCGCGGACTGTGATGGTCGGGACAGAGCGCGGAGTAGGTGCTGGCGGTAGCTCAAAGTCGAGAAGATTGAGGAGGTTCTTGTTGGGTGTGCTGGTCTGGTGTGATCGCGAGCTGCTGGACTTGTTGGGGGATCGCTGATTGTTGATGTGCTGTAGCAAATTCGACTCGGTCTGGGACCTGGAAGATGAAGTAGGCTGGAAGTTCGTGGTCACGCCTTCGAGCTGCTGGGTGAAATCTATGAGGAAGCTACCCGTCTCGTCCGCCCGTTTTGAGACCGTTGCCGGTGTCTTCTGTCGTCGTGGAGTGGGTGACGGAGACCGAGAGGTGGATGAGCGTTTTCGAGAGGTGCGAGGCGTCGGTCCTGAATCGGCACGGGGTGTGCGGGTGGCTTCGCTGCGGCGCGTGGGGCTCTGTTGCCCGAGCCTCGCAAACAAAGTCATGTCGGGGATCTCTGAGAAGGTGCTGTAGCAGGTGTCGTCGGTGTACATGTTGTCTGTGGCGGGCATCATGGCGTTTCGTACGTCAAGGGCGGCCTGGAAGTTGGCGATGTTTTGGGACGGGGTGCGCTCTGCATTCTCGGCCCGGCTGCTAGTTCTGGGCGTGGGTGCTTCACTTCTGCTCGTCCTCAATGGAGTCTTGGTGGGTGAGACGGACACCTTACGCGCCGATGGAGGCGGTGGCGGCATCAGTGTCGAATCCCGACTGCTCTTGAAGTTGTCGGCCCTGCTTGGAGATCGATCGGGTGCAGCATGTTTATTGGGTGAAGCGAACATTTTGGCAAGCGTAGAGTCATGCTCCAAGACATTCTCTTTCTCGTCTTCCATATTGAATTGTACGGGTGTGTGCGATCCCATTGTGGCGGTGTCAACCTCATGCTGCGGGCTCTCGGCATAGAGCTGTTTGTTTGGACTTGAGCGGCGGTTGTCGACTTCTGCAACAAAGGGCGATGACGGCGGCATATCGAACTCGATCATGCTCGGTTCGACGAGCTGCGCAGAAGGCGAATCCATCTTCGACTGTCTGGCTGGGAGGGTATGCGACTCGTCTTTGCTCTGTCGAAGAGCCATTCAAGGCGCGGCGACATTGATGTTGATGAGCGACGAGGGCTGGGCCGAGCCGCTGTTGCCCTGGCGACGCACATGATTGGCTCATCACGTGCCATTTGGGGACCGACATCGCCGCTGGCCTCTCCGGAGACGCATTAGCAGCAACGACGCTTCCTCCATCATCCTCCCAAGATACTCGTTCTTCGCTAGCCCTGTGTGTAGCAAAGTATACGGTCACGGCGGTGTATGTCGCGCTTTAGAAAGGCGCGGCAGTCCAGATCCCCGCCTTTCGCCTCCGCTTCGCATCGACTTTCCGAATGCGGAAACTCTAAGACGGCGTAGTGGGGCCTGGGGCAGCTCCACGAAGGACCCCTCCACGCATGTGCCATGCCATACACCGTACTTGCGAGGAATCAAAGCCGTTCCGATTCGATAAGGATATCTGGGGCTGGCTGGAACTGCCTTCTTCAACCTCTCCCTCTCGACTAACCTTTCGAGGGTCTGCTCTTCTCATTCCTCCCTCTTTCTTTATCTCCACCTCCCTTATCTACATACCTGGTGAATCACCCCTCTTGCCCGCCATGGTACCACATCCCTTCAGCGCCCTCACCATCGAGGAGTGCGACATTGCCCGCGATGTCATCTTGCAAGCCCACCCCGGCGCATCAGTCTACTTCCGCATCGCCCAGCTCCTCGAGCCTCCCAAGGCCGAGCTGACCAAGTTCCTGGCTGCCGAGCATGCTGGACAGCTCTCTTCCAGCACACCTCGCCCGGCTCGTATGGCGGAGGTCAAGTACGATGCCATCGAAGCCGGATCCAAGGTTCCCGTCTACCAGGAGAGCTGGGTCGATGTGGGCAAGAAGGAGCGAGTGAAGCACGATGTGATTAGTACCGAGTTTCACGCCAGCTTGACCTTGTAAGTGTAGCCCCTCGCGTTACCAGACTCCCGCCCTTGCTCACCACCGTATTACCCTAGCCCGGAGTTTCACACATTTGTCGAGGTCTGCGAGGCTTCACCTATGTTCAAAGAGAAAATCAAGGAGTTCAAGTTGCCGCCAGGCTTTGAAATCGTCATCGAGGTGCGCCCGCTCTGCTCTCGCTTGTTCTGCCGACTCAATGCTAATGTACCTCCAGCCGTGGCCATATGGAGGCCTTGATGACTCCGACGAAAACCGTCGTTTCTTCCAGGGTCTCATCTTCGCCGCTGATGCCAGCAAGAAGAACCTGGACACTAACTTCTACCCCTACCCACTGCCAATCATACCCATCATGGACTGGGCGAAGAAGGAGATCATTCGCATCGACGAACTCGCCACTGGTGGCACGGCCGATCCTTTCCTCGGCAAGACGCACACCGCTGGTGTCCTCGATCACTGCAAATCCTCCGAATACGTCCCTGAACTGTTTGGCGAGGAGAATCTCCGGAAGGACCTCAAGGCGCTGAACGTCACCCAGCCTGATGGCGCCAGCTTTACTGTTGGCGAGGGCAACTTGATCGAGTGGCAGAAGTGGAGGTTCCGAGTCTCATTCAACCCCCGTGAAGGAGCGGTGATTCACGATGTGTGGTACGACGGGCGCAGCATTGCCTACAGACTGAGCTACAGCGAGATGGTGAGAGCGTACTCGTGCTTTTCGAAATCGGTACCACGCTAACTGATCGCGTCAGACTGTGCCCTATGCCGACCCCCGACCACCTTACCACCGCAAGCAAGCGTTCGACTTTGGCGATGGCGGTCTCGGGCACTGCTGCAACAACCTTCAACTCGGCTGCGACTGCCTCGGCGTGATCAAGTATCTTGACGGCGTGGTCATGGAGACTGACGGCAAGGCTCGAAAGGCTGACAACGTCATTTGCGTGCACGAACAAGACAACGGCATTAACTGGAAGCACACCAATTGGCGAACTGGACGCGGCGTCGTGACTCGTCGTCGCGAACTCGTTGTTCAGTTCATCATCACCCTTGCCAACTATGAATACATCTTCGCGTACAAGTTCGACCAAGCGGGAGGCATTGTCATGGAAGCACGCGCCACCGGTGTCGTCTCCGTCGTGCACATTGACCCCGGCAAGACGGCCGACTGGGGTAATGTCGTCAGCCCCGGCGCATTGGCGCAGAACCACCAGCACTGCTTCTGCGTGCGCATCGATCCCGCCATCGACGGCTACAACAACACCGTCGTGTACGAAGAAAGCCACCCCATGCAGATCGACGCTGTCCAAAACCCCAACGGCAACCGATACGAAGTGCGCAAGACGCCCATCACCACCTCCACCGGCCTCGACATCGATCCGCTCAACGGCCGGGTGTTCAAAGTGCAGAACCTCGACAAGCGCAATCCGATCAGCGGCAAGCCGGTCGGATACAAAATCATCCCGCCTGCGACGCAGAAACTGCTTGCCGCACCGAACAGCATTCAGAACAACCGGGCGCTGTTCGCGCAGCATCACGTCTGGGTGACGAAGTACAAGGATCACGAGCTGTATGCCGCCGGTCGTTACACGTTGCAAAGCCGACATGAAAGCGGCGGTGTGGCGGATGCGGTGAAGCGGAATGAGTCGACGGTGCAGGAGGATGTGGTGTTCTGGAACGTGTTTTCACTCACTCACAACCCCCGTGTCGAGGTAAGTTTGGCATGCACTTCGTCGATGACAATGGTCGACTAATGATTCTTGGTAGGATTGGCCCGTGATGCCTGTGGAGATTACGCAGGTTTCTATCGTGCCCTCCGACTTCTTCACTGCCAACCCGTCCATCGATGTGCCGAGCAGCAAGAACAACGGCAGCCAGCTGGCGGACTGCTGCCCGACGACGAATGGCACCAACGGGGTGAACGGACACGCGAATGGAGTGAATGGAGTCAACGGGACCCACTAAGCGGGGAGAATGGATGGCCGATGAGTAGTGGATGAACATGAAGGATTTTCGATAACATCTACGGCGATTTATACTTGTTTGATCTGGTTGATAGTCGATCAATGCACCCTTGAAGTCTTGCTCGTGTCGCTGGAGGGACGTTAGTAAGCTTCCCCAGTCCCCGCAAACCACCACATGGCTCGGCAGCCTCGGCATCATCCGGTAGCTGGTCGGCTGCATCCCGATCGTCATCGCTGGTTATATTGCCTTGAGCCTCTCCCCCAGAATGTAAATCTGCACCGACCGTCTGCATCTTAACCAGACCATTGGGGCCACCGTCTTCGCAAGAAACACGACAAAGATGGTCTTCAAATCCGACTTCCCGGATCTCCACATCCCCAAAGTCAACGTGCTCGACTTCCTCTTCCCCAAAGGCGAGGCCATCTCCGACCAGCCCGTGTGGCACGATGCCAAAAACCCCAAGACCAACCTCTCACCCAAGCAACTCGTGCACTGGGTCAAGCGGCTGAGTCTAGGCCTGGACCGCTTGGGCGTGAAGCGCGGCGAGGTGTGCCTCATCTACTCGCCCAACCACATCTTCATCCCCGTCTCCTACCTCGGCATTGTGGGCGGGGGGCGCTGCTTCTCGGCGGTGAATCCCATTTACACGGTCAACGAGGTCGTGCATCAGCTCAAGAACACCGAGGCGGTATGTCTGTTTGCGCACCCGGATATGGTGGAGAATGCCGTGGCGGCGGCGAAGCAGGCTGGCCTACCGAAGGAGCGGATCTTCCAGTTCAGCGACCGGAGGTGCTCGCCGAGGAATGGCGTTAAGGATTGGTCTGCGATGCTGGCGAGCGATGCCGACGCGGAGAAGTACCGCTGGCCGGAGTTCAGCGCTGAGGAGTCTGTCAAGACTGTGGCCACGATCAATTATTCGTCGGGCACGACTGGTCTTCCCAAAGGCGTGTGCATCTCTCACCACTCGTTGATCGCCAACGTGGAACAAACGGTCTTCATGCGCTACTACCCAGGCCTCAAGAAGGGCGAGAAGCCGAAGGAGCGATGGCTGAGTTTCCTACCCCTCTACCACGCCTATGGCCAGCTCTACGCCAACCTGATGGCCACACGCCTGCTCATCCCCACCTACATTATGAAGGCTTTCGTGTACGTCGATTTTTTGCAGCACATCCAGGACTTCAAAATCACGCATCTGCAGGTCGCGCCCCCGATTCTGGTGATGATGAACAAGCGGCCGGAGACGAAGAAGTACGATCTCAGCAGTGTGCAGAGCGTACTGTGCGGTGCGGCCCCGCTGCCCAAGGAGCTGCAGGCTGCCGTTTCGCGGGATTTCAAGGTGGGCATTCAGCAAGGATGGGGCCAGACGGGCGAGTATTCCTAAAGCAGCGTGCCAGCAAACTTTCACTGACTTTCGTTGGCAGAGGTTACTTGCGGCTCGATTTTACAACTCGATCCATCCGACGGTACGTTCACCCACACACTATCCCTGTACTTACCAGGCTGATCACGAATCCTAGACGGCAACGTCGGCAAGCTCATCCCAAACACCGAGGCCAAACTCGTTGACGACGAGGGAAAGGAGGTTGGGTACGATACGCCGGGCGAACTGTTTATCCGCGCGCCGAACGTGTGTCTACGATACTGGAAGAATGAGCAAGCCACTATAGACACGATATCATCTGATGGCTGGCTGGCCACGGGAGACGTAGCTGTGTGCAATAAGGATCATCTGTTCTGGATTGTCGACCGGAAGAAGGAGGTGAGAGATGCTGCCGATTTAGTCCCTTAACGTTCCTCGCTAATATCCTCACCTAGTTGATCAAAGTCAATGCCCTACAAGTGGCGCCCGGTAAGTCCCCGCCACTCTAAGATGGTAATATGACAACTCTAACACCCTCCCAGCCGAACTCGAAGCCGTCCTCCTAGAGCACGACTCCATCGCCGACGCGGCAGCAGTGGGCATCATACTGCACGACGAGGAGTGGCCGCGCGCGTACATCGCGCTGCAAGAAGAAGCCAAGGGCAAGGTGACGGAGAAGGAGATCCAGGAGTGGATGAAGACGAAGGTGGCCAAGCACAAGCTGCTCGTGGGCGGGGTGAAGTTTGTGGACGAGGTGCCGAAGCTGGCGAGCGGCAAGATCCAGCGCAAGTTGATGCGTGAGTGGAGTAAGAGGGATGCGCCGGAGGTGGAGAAGGCGATGGGGTCGAATGTGAGGGCGAAGTTGTAGACGGCCTCACTGTAGTCGATCAATATTCCCCTCATCCCAGAGGTGTCAGACGTGTCCAGCCTTGCCAGGCTGCAATCTCCTCTCAGCGTCATCCTCGCCACCGTAGGAGGCAGCATGTGGCTGATGCGAGAGGGGTGCTGCGCCACTTTCGCGCATCATGCATGTCGGCAGGCGCGGATGACGTACGTTGCGTTGCAGCTGCATGTGCTTGCTGGTTCTGGAAGGGGTTGGAAAAATATCAAGGCAGGCACAAACAGACCTTCTGTCCCTTCCGTACTTCTTCCTACAAACACTTGAAGACTCTTCCATCACCTCTTCAATTGAACAACTTGACTCCAGTCCTCTCTCCCACAGTACCAAACTCATACACGAATCCCAACAATCATCTCCACCATCGCAATCATGTCGAACACCGTCCACGTTCAGGGCATCTCCCACCAAACGAGTGAGAAGGAAGTCCAGGACTTCTTCAGCTTCTGGTAAGTTCACTCTTACTTCCAAACACAGCAGCAGTGCTGACAGGTCAATGCAGCGGCAAGATCTCCAACATCACCGTGAACAACAACTCCGACAACGCCGACGCTCCCCGCACCGCCGTCGTGCAGTTTGAGAAAGAGACCGCTGCCAAGACCGCTCTGCTCCTCGACAACACCCAGCTCGGCTCGGCCTTTGTGCACGTCACCTCCAACGCCGCCCCGGGCGCCACCTCGACCTCCACCTCCGCCGGCACCACCGGTGCAGCAGCAGCAGCGGGCACCACCAGCGACGAGCACGATGACAATCTCTCGCAAGAAGACAAGCCGCGCTCGCGCATCCTCGCCGAGTACCTCGCGCACGGCTACGTGGTCAGCGACAAGGCGATCGAGCGCGCCATTGCCCTCGACCAGCAGCACGGCGTGAGCAACCGCTTCATGTCGGCGCTGCAGAACTTCGACGCCAAGTACGGGGTGTCGGAGAAGACGGCGCAGGTGGACCAGAAGCTGGGCGTGTCGGACCGCGCGCACCAGGGCTGGCTCGGGCTGAACTCGTACTTTGAGGCTGCGGTTAACACGCCGACGGGCCAGCGCGTGCGTGCGTTCTACGACCAGGGATCTAAGCAGGTGCTGGATGTGCACAACGAGGCGAAGCATCTTGCGTCGCTGAAGACGGGCAAGCCGGAGGGCTCCATTCTGAGCGGCGTGCCCTCGGCTGAGCAGGCGCAGATGGAGAAGGTGCAGATTGATGGCAAGGGTGAGTGATATTACTTTCTCCATGCACTTTTGTGTACGGGCAGGGGGCTAACTACGAGACAGAGCGAACCAAGTGCAACTGCGGTGGTGCGGACGGCAAGTGCCCGTGTGAGCCCGGCAAGTGTGCGTGCACGGGATGCTCCAAGGCGTCGTAAAGATACGATGAGCGAATATGAGGATGAGGAGGAGAATGCATGAGGCGTTAATGGACTTTCCTGGCGTTGAACCACCGCCTGCTTACGTTGATGCAAAGCGGATGAGTGGTGCTCAGTAGTTAGATATGACCGGTCTATGACTGAAAGAAAGAAGCAAGTGAATCATCCAATCGTCTGCCGTGAAGTTTTTAGTATGTACATGGTCGTGCACGAATACGAAGAGTCCCTCAAGTCTTAACTAAATAAGGTCGAAGCCGGGGGCGCTCGTCGAACAGGATGCATGCGAGATGATGTCTTGAGATCGGTCATATTGCTCTTCGCTCCCGGGAGTTCCGGGACATTTGCCGCCGGCTTATTATGCATCTACATCTCTGCAGCAGACTGATCCACATGCAACACCTCACCACACCAGACGCGCAAGCGAAAGGGAGGCTGTGTAGGTGAGGGCGAGGGCGAGAGCGAAAGCCGTGTTTACCGACGGCCGAAAGTACCTGAATTGGTGAGAGATTAGCCTCGCAAACTTGGCTGAAAAGGGCATCGCCTCTATCTGCATTGGCCGCGAGCCTAATAAGGACGGAACAGCCGCCCGCCACACGCAGCCCGCAGCGTCGCCACGCATTATCTGCTCCAGACTTTCCTCACCTTTCTTTGCCGCGCCGAGCCCAGACGCCGCTTGGCTCGACGCTGCCATCTACGCAATCTGCCCGCGCCAAGCAGACTAACCTCCATAGCCCATTCGACCTGCGACCAACTCTCCATCCCCAGGCGCATTTTCTCCGCGAATCTATTTTGCCCCCTCACATCTATCCTACATCGCACCGCCTTTTCGCTCGCCTGCTCTTCTTGGACTGCGCTTCTCCCTGCTTCTCCCCTTTCGCATATCAACACCTGCTGGAAAAGCAACATTCGTGCTGCGCAATGCCATACTGATCTCCACTGGGCACGTTCCAACTTTCACTCCACTCCTGGGACCGAGTGACCGCGTCCAACGCCCCTTCTACATGCCACGAGGGGCGCCCACCCCGCCGTGTCTCCGGCCTTGATGCGTTCCTCCAGGCTCTGCTGCTCGTCCAGGTCGCCCACCTTTGCGCGATGGCAGCGCATCGGCACATTCGCCCTGCTGGGCCTCATCGGCATCATCCTATCACTGACCTTCATCCACCGCGGCATCTTGCCCATCCTCGCCTGGCTCCTTCCCGGCGCCCGCAACTTCTTCTATGATCTCGTCGTCTACGGCTCCTATCCTACCGCGCAATACGTCTCGTTTGCGCCCCGGTCTCCCGATGGCATCTTCGCGCGGCGGGATGAGCGATGTGACGACGGCATGGTTTTCATCGGCCCTTACGACAAATCGGTGGAGAATCCGGGGCCCGTGATTCAGGACTCGAATGGAGAGTTGGTGTGGATGTCGGAGGACTTTGGCCAGGTGACCAACTTTCGCGTGCAGCGCTACCAAGGCGAGGATTACCTCACCTTTTGGCATGGCGAGAAGCACGGCTCGTCCGGCCAGGGCTCCGTCGTCATGCTCGACTCGACTTACACCGTCGCTCACGAGCTTCACGCCGTCGGCCACGGCTTGAAAGCCGACCTTCACGAATTCCAACTCACCGAAGATGGAACGGCGATCCTATCGATTGTCAACGACACCACCGCAGATCTCCGAGCAATGGGATGGGGTCACCCGCAGGATGGTTGGATCACGGATTGCATTTTCCAGGAAGTCGACATTGCTACAGGCCGACTTGTGTTCCAGTGGAGAGCATCGGACCACTTCAAAGCCGAGGATTCATATTATTGGCATCCCTTCGGCGGCTATGTCAAGGAGATGCCGTTTGATTTCTACCACATCAACAGCGTTGAGAAGGATCCGGACGGCAACTTCCTCCTCTCCTCCCGCCACTTCCATCACGTCCTCTACATCAATGGCTCCTCGGGCGAAATCATCTGGATCCTCGGCGGCCATCGCTCCACGAATCAATTCACCGACCTATCCGACGGAAAGGCTACCGGCTTCCAATGGCAGCACCACGCCCGCTGGCTCTCCTTCGAAGACAAAATCCTCAGTCTCCTCGACAACGGCATCGCCGGCCCGCTGCACGTCGACGCCCCTTACAGCAAGGGCCTCATCCTCCAACTCGACACCAACAAATTTACCGCAGAAGTCCTGCACGAGTACATCTCGCTCGGCAAAGCGCGAGCCGCGTCGCAAGGCTCGCTGCAGCGCCTGCCCAACGGCAACATGCTGATCGGCTGGGGCGCCACGGCCGCCTGGTCCGAACACACAATCGACGGCGAAGTGGTGTGCGAAGGCCACTTCGCCGCCTCCTGGAGTTTCTGGTGGGAGCGCGTGAAGAGCTATCGCGTCTTCAAGTTCCACGGCTGGATGGGCAATCCCGTCTACCCTCCGAGTGCACGCCTGAAAGACGGACAACTGTACATGAGCTGGAACGGCGCGACCGAAGTGCACTCGTGGGAACTGCACGGAGTACGGCGGCAAAGCGAGCCCAACACGAACGCCTTCGCCCCCAACACCGGCGAAATCCGCGAGCCCGTGTTCGAAGCCATCCAAACGCAAGAAAAGCGGCACTTCGAGCAGTCCTTCGACCTCGCGCCCTACGAGCGCGAATTCGAGCATTTCCGCGTCGCCGCCCTCGACGCCAACATGCAGGTCCTCCGCGTTTCCGAGCTCGCTACCCCCGTCGAGGACTCGTACTCGGACTCCTTTGCCGTCGTCACGGCGATCTGCGCTTCGGTCGTCATCCTCGCGGGCATTTTGTGGCTTCTGAATTGGTGGACTCGACAGGGGCCCGAGAGCGCGTGGGTGCGGTGGGCGGGGGCCAAGGCGCCCTCGCTGTTTGGGAGGGAGTATCGGTATAGTAAACTTTAGCTGGGTGATGGCGTTTGCTTGCGACTTGGCGAGTGTTCGTGTCAGTGTAGCGTTTTTTTTTCGAAAGGCTTGGGAATGTGTATGTGGGATTGCATAGTGCGAGGCTGGGCATGAGCTGTAGCTTGCATAGGCAGATGTACGAAGATGAATCTGAGAATACAGCACCAAATGTTTTTGGCACAATTGATATGTCTGTCATGATTCCTCCATCCCTGCCCTGCGAAGAGAGTACTGTAAACGCTCACACAAAGCTCTCGAAGCATCAGACCTCACTTCATCCTGCGCTTGCCACCATCACGCGGCCTCATCGCCACGTCCATCATCTCTCATTCTCCCAATGCAAACGTCACGACAACACCGACTCAGCCTCCCCGTCAAGTAGCCCTGCCTCCCACAGCTCCCATCTCGACACCCTCCCTATCCTCCTCAGTAGGGAACACAACCCCACTAAGCCACAGCGAACTCTTCTCCACCACCACCGACCACTCGCTCCCATCCGTCCCCAAACCCCCCGGCATCCTCTTAATCGCATCCCTCACAGCGCCCATCAAATCCCCAAACGTCACGCCCCTTTCATTCGTCACCTTGTCCGTGATGAATTTCCTTAATCGCCCACTGCCATTCCCGCTCCTGCTGCTCCTGCTTAGAACATCGCCCTTTCCCACCCTCTCAACGACCCATTCGAATGTAACTTGTTTCGACGCAGGCTGACAAACCAGCATCCCCTCGCATATCCCCCCTTTCTCCTCCGCATTTGCGCCGCTCATATCTGGCCTCGCCCTCAACAGAACAGGCTCAGCTCTCTGCACTCTTTTCGTAATCCCGTCCCTCATTCCCACCCCTTCCACGCAAAAGAAGACGGAATTGAGCGTGGCGGGAAGCGTCCACAGGGCTCCAGGCATCTCGCATTCTTGTGAGGTGCAGAGGCGCAACGTCTTTCTCTTGGCGTCGAAGAGCCAGGGGGTGTGCTTTGATGTTGGCTGGGGAGTGAGGTAGACTTTCCTGCGGAGGGGGGTGGAGGTGAGGATCACGGCGTTCCAGTGGCTGTTCACGCGCCGGGCTGCGAGCAGGTTCTGGGGTTTGGGAAGGTGCAGGAGGATTGTCTCGAGGAGTTCTTGGGTGTTGAAGACGGCGTTCTGAACTAGGCTTGTGGTCGTGGCGCGCGTGAGCATGGGGTGGGTGTTCGAGGGGTTTGTCGTGAGGGTTTGCTTGCGGACTTGAGTGTGCTGGATGCTTTTGTTAGTAGCTGCTTGTTGTCGACGGTAGGGAGGCAGGAGAGTGGGCAGGTACCTTTGTTGAGTGACGGCTGACAGCAGCTGATAGCTGCTGGTGCTCGGCACGAAGGTGTTTGCCTTTCATTGTCGGCATGTGGTTGACAATTGCTGTATGTCTTTCTTGCGTGTGATACAGAAAGTAGAAGAAGGAGATAAATAAGGGCTAAGAAGCACATGTGTACTTTGGAAGGCATGAGGAAACTTCACTTACGGGGTGATGTTGATGGAGACCATATGTGACGTTGAATCGGAGAGAAAAGTGAGGGTGTGCGTTTGAAGTGATATTGATAAAGGGTGGTGGATGGTCTGCTACCGACTCACCCGGGGTAATAATATCGACGGTGAGGACCAAAGCTGTCGCTCATACCCGCCCACCAAGATGGCGTTCATTCATCCGTCAGCAAAACCTGTCGGAGTGTGCTCACATTGATATCAAGCAAACCGAAGCTCTCAATCCCTCACCCCAACAATGCCCAATCCCACCGGCTGACCAACCCGTGCCCTCTTCGACGGTCTCTCATCATCACGGCTTGCGGAAGCTTTCCTCACTTGCCCAAAAAGCTTCGTCTGCTTCAGCTTGTCCCCTCCGCTGCTTCCTCTCTGCAGCACACCACTGCCCGTGAAACTCCCGCGCGTTGGCTGTGGATGCTCTCGACTCGATCGCAGCATCTGCGAGGCCGCGCGCGAAGCCTGAGATTCTGAAACTTCGTCCTGCTCGATGATCTCCGTCTCGGCCTCGCTGTCATCGTCGTCGTCCTCGGGTGCGGAGACGGTGCCGTCGGATGGGGGGCCTTGTGAGTACGGAATCGGGAGAGAGTTCTGAGAGTAGACATCTGGGGTGCGCATCGCGCTGGTTCGAGGCAAGGGCGCGGTCGACGGAACTTTGAGCTCTGATTGCCGACCGTGTGGAGTGTAGTAGAGCGATGAATGCTGTCGCTTCTGCGAGTGGCTTGGGGTCGCGGGTAGACTGGACATGCTGTGGGTGTTCCTGGCATGGCCTTTCTTTGTGTCGCTGGGTCGGTGGGCTTCTTGGCTCGCCATCTCGGAGGCTTGCAAAAGAGCGGCGAAAGGCTGTGGTTGCTCTTGGCTGCTGACACCACTGCGCAGGGGATCATTGTATGTTGAGCGCGGCGTGCTGTCCACTCGGGAAGAAGGCTGCTGCGCTCTACGGTGTCGCTGCATATGTTGACGGTGTTCTTGAATGCGCTCACGCATCAGCGTCACCTTGTCGGTCAGACTGGCGATCTCAAAGTCCTGGCGCATGATGACCTTCTCGTTCTGCGCTTGCTCGTCTGCAAGGTAGTTGCGCTCTGCCGTCAGTTGTTGGATCTCGCCGCACATTCGCTGGTAGAGGTCTTTCTGGACGGGAATCATGCCCTCGACGAACGCGGAAGGCTGGACGGGGGTGGCGGCGGCCTTTGCTTGCTCGGCCAAGTGAATCACTTCGTTTTCGTATTGCGACATGCGAGCCTCGACGGCCATGCGCTCGATGGCGGCGGCGCTTTCCTGCGACAGCATCTGGTATTGCAGCTTGTGATGCGCCGCGCTCATCTTCGCTTCTTGTAACGAGGCTTGCAGGTCGGTGACTTTGGTACGCAGTTCTTCCGGTGATGCAGCGGCGATCTGGTCGGGGGTCATCGTGTCTGCAAAGCCAGCTCGGACGCGAGAGGGTTGCGACTGAGTGGGCATTTCGTTGGTGGGCGGCGGGGTGGAGATGTGTGAGATTGGCGGGGTCGGGGTGCGAGCCTTGCCGCGCTGGGAGGAGGAGGGAAGCTGGGTAGACGGCGGGGGAGTCATATGTTGGGTGGCATTGTCGATTCGTCCGGCTTGGAGTTTCGCGACGGCTGCCGTGCTGCTCTCGGGCAGGGTTGCATGTGGAGGGTTTGGTGTGACGGGCTGCTCAATCTCCGCCGCATTCAAGCTGGACAAGCTGTCCTGCGACAGCTGTGCTTCATCCATTGCCCCAAGAGCGCGAGCGGTGGGGTGGGTGTGCTGTGGTATTCCAAAGTGCGCTCCAAGACGGGGAAACGTGGTTCAAGACAGCGCGCACGAGTCAAGTGTCGATCAAACGGGCGGGATGCCGGGGCCGCGGAGGTACAGACAGGGTCGGCGCGCGGTGTTGGAGGTTGCGCAAGGAACGGGAGGAAGTGACAACACTCTGTGCATGCAGCTGAACGAGTTGTGCGTGTGGAAGAGAAGGATGACGAGGGAGAGGAGACGAGAGAATGAGAGGATGGTGGAGCGACGGACAGAATGAGAAGGCGGGAATGTGAAGGCGGGCGTTTTGGCTTCCCGCCACAGATCCCCGGCTCGTGCCGCACTATGCCGCATCCCGTTAGCGCCAACACCCTAAAACCCCCCGGCCCCTCTCCAGCACTCGCGGGCTCAGGTACAGAACTCTTGCCGAGCCCCGAGCGCAACGTCTTCGCAATCTAATCGTGCCCGACCGTTGATGACAGCGACGGCGTTTCACATCTGCCGACTCTGAGATGGAAGGGTCCGATGATGATCGCTCGTCTCCTCTGCTCACTCCACCCCCGGCAAAACCCACACCACAGCAATGGACGAGGCGGACCAGCCCACCACCGCCGTCAACAAGCTGTCAGGCATCCCTCGACCGACTAGGTTACCGGTCTTGAAAGCCAAATCTTCCATTCCAGTTCCACAGAGATCACAGAGCATCGCAGAGGCTCCACGGCCTGGCAATGCTCCGACAAAATCTGTAATCCGTCCCCCCGTTCCGCCATTCGCGCAGCCACCTCCACCTTCCACGCTTGTGCCAAGAAACAATGGCTCCAACTATGCGCCGAACAACTCGACAAGGAGAGTCACTTCACAAGGAACTGCCGTGAAACCGACTGCTCGCACAAATGCGCGCGCCCCTGTTCCTTCGTCTGCAAAGTCTTCCCAGAATCTCCAAAACACGGAGAGCCATGATCGACTCAGCTCACTTGACACCACCCGCTCTGCTTCGCGACAAGGAGCAAACGATGAGCCTACGATTGAGCATGCGGCGACCACACTCGCGCCAGATATTCTCAAACCCAAGAAGACCTCCCGGCCATCCCTCTCCGACCGAACCATCGAAAGTCTCCAGAGCCTGCCATCAACCCCGGGCGACCGCCGACGGTCGAATTTCTTTTCACCCGAAAGTCTTATGGGCCCACCACCACGTCCCGCTTCCAGCGTGAGTCGCAATGGCGGTACCGCCAACAGTAGGCCGGGCACCAGTGACGGAAATTTTGTAAAGCCCGGATTGCCGTCGAGTGCAATCAAACCTCCTGCGAGTGCAAAGGCAGCCGTGCGATCATCGAACATCGGCTTGGGCGATCCGTCAAGTACCCCCATCCGAAGGAATCTTAGCAGTAGTTTCCAGCGTCAATCAGATCATGGGAAAGTCGAAAGTCACTCTTCGACCAGTAAGGCCTTTGCAAAGCCTGCGACTCCATCTGCAAACCTGGACCGCCACCCAGCTCCGAAACCGAGGCCGCTGAGCAAGACCTTGATTGAGAGGCCTACCAACGCCCGCGCTTCCCTGTCGAGCGCGTTTGGTTCTACAATTAGCGATGTCAACAAAACTCCGGCCAAGACTTTGCGATTGGGCTCCCAGCAATCCACACATGGTCATGAATCTGCCGTCCCTAAAACTTCGTCCGCAGCGCTCAGGCAACAAATTGCTGCAGCTAAGGCGGCAGCTCGAAAGGAGAGCGTCAAGCACGACTCAGCTCTTGGGGACGTAGTTGTCTCTACTAGCCAAACCAGCTTCGATCTGCAGCTGGATCCCTTCAATCAGGCTCCTCGGGATGAGAAGCATATCCTGAGTAATCGCATCAATGCTGCTCGAACGGATGGAAAACTCAACATAGCCGCAATGGCGCTGAAGCAGATCCCCGCCGAGGTCCTCAATATGTACGATGCTGCAGCCATGGAGGAGAGTCGCGTAAGCTGGGCAGAAGCAGTCGATTTGACTAGATTCAACGCCGCCGATAACGAGATCGAAGAGCTCTCTGAAGCAGTCTTTCCCGATCGAGCAGCTGCCGACTTCGACATGGACGACCAGACCGAAGGCAATCAATTTGCTGGGCTGGAAACGCTTGATCTGCACGGAAATCGCCTCTCCCAGTTGCCAATCGGAATGCGGAGACTCGAGAGGCTGACGAGTCTTAATCTCTCCAACAACCGACTAGATAACTCTTGTCTGGAGGTCGTTGCACAGATCTCAACTCTCAAGGACTTAAAGCTTGGGAATAACGCCATCTCCGGCGCCCTACCGTCGTCGATAGCCCAGCTGAAGCGATTGGAGAGCCTTGATGTTAGGTCTAATCGCCTGTTGAGTCTTCCCGATGCCCTTCGCGAGCTCATGAGCTTGAGAGTGCTCAATGTCTCCGGGAACCAATTGACGGCGCTACCGATGGCTTCGCTACATGGTGTTACGCTGACCGACATCGATGCGAGCAACAACGCACTCATCGCATCCGTCTTTCCCGTCGGCGGCCGGGGCGGCCATCCAACGTTGCAGATTTTAAATGTGGCGAACAATTCGCTCGCTGCGCTCACTTTCGACGGCGAACTGAGTCTGCCGCAGCTTCGCTCGCTCGACGTGTCATATAACAAGCTGACCGATCTCCCGCCAATGCACGACTGGGCACAGCTGCATACGTTTCTCGCCAGCGAAAATAAAATTGCGGACATACCCCCAGGCTTCACCGCTCTGCGCAAGTTGCGGAACGTGAACTTCACGGGCAACGAGCTACGCTCTCTCGACCCAGAGATCGCACGCATGGATGCTTTGGAGTCGCTCGTGCTCGCATCGAACCCTTTGAGAGAGAGGAAGTTCCTCACGCTGAATGCTGGAGAAATCAAACGAATTTTGAAAGCAAGACTCGAGCCGACAGAGGGAGCAGGCGCCGATGCGGGCGAACAAGACACAGGTCACAGCGCAGAAGGGGACAAGACCCTCGACAAGTCGTCCAAAACGACGCCGTGGATCTTGAAAGCGCGCGATGCCTTGGATCTCAGTGGATGCGGCTTCACCGACGATGTTGATGATCGTCTCGGAGCCTTCCTGCAGCATCACGAACCCAAGCATATCCATCTCCAGTCCAACACGCTCTCCATCGTACCACCAGCATTGAGCCTCGCGCATCGACTCGGCTCCCTCGACCTCTCAGGCAACCCACTGCAGCGCGTCTACCTCTCTATCGATCTCACCATCCTCTCTCTGCAAGAACTCAATATTAGCCGATGCAATATTATCACACTCGACCTCCTAGTCACCCATCTGCAAGCCCCGCGCCTTCAAGCCCTAGACATCAGCGCCAATCGCATCCCCGGTGCCTTGCCTGATCTGCACGCAGCCTACCCAGCTCTACGCACTCTCGCCGCAAACGATAACAAGTTCGCTTCCGTCACCGCTGAATCATTGCGAGGATATCACGTTGTGAACCTCATGAGTAATGATATCGCGTACCTGCCTCCGGAGGTGGGTCTGCTCTGGGAGGAGGGTCTACGAAATTTTGAGGTAGGGAGGAATGTCTTCCGCGTGCCGGGGCATAGGGTTCTGGAGAAGGGCACGGAGGCTACGATGAGGTGGTTGAGGGACAGATTGCCTGCAGCTGATGGAGACTAGGCAGGGGTTGGGGGTGATTGAGGTGGTGCACTACTGCTGATCACGAGTATAGTGCACATATTTCTGTACGATGGACTTGTGTCAACGAGACGCCAAAAGGCGCGAGTACAGAGGTGCTGGTCTCTTAGCTGGCCAACGTATCCCATGCCGTGTTGGTTACACTCGAGCAATATCATGCCAGCAGGTTACAGGAACACAAGTGGGTTTGCTGCAGACCCTGCGGTGTAACGGGATGAATAGCACATGTATCTTCCGTTAACGCCGAGCTCTCAAGGGGATGTTATAGATTGGCGACATTCACCTTGCCATAGCCATCAAAATATCTCCCTGAAGACGACAAGCAGCCAACACGTCAAAGCCTCAGCTAGGCCCGTCCACTTCCACAACACTCACCAAGATGTGCGCAGTAACACGTACAGTCCGCTCCTCTTCCTCCCCCCTCCATCACCCACTAACCCAACTCCCCTCCAAAAAGTCACCGTCCTCCCAACCTGCAAACACGAACTCTCAACCGTAACCTTCTGCCCCGACGCAACAGCAACCCACCAAGCCTTCCTCTCCATCCGCGCCAACAGCAGCACAACAGGCAGCAGCCGTCAGAAAGACCCACCACCCGCCACTTGCACTAGAAGTCTAGGCTGGCTGCTTTACAAACAGATCGCCGGGCCGGTGGGGTGTACGGTGTGTTTGCGGTGGCTGGAGATGAACGGGAAGGAGATGTTTTGTGATTTTGGGGGAAAGGGGAAGAGGGTGAGGATTGAGGTACCTGGGGTTAGTGGGGATAGTAGTGGGAGTAGTGAGGAGGAGGATATGGAGATTGGGGTTGGAGAGAAGGCTGAGAGTGACGAGATGATGATGGCGAGGTTGCAGGCTTCTATGTCGCCTGAGGCGATGATGAGGGGGAATCCGTGGTTTGGTGGTTCGCGGGTTGGTGGGAGGAGACTGTGAGATGGGGTGTAGTTGGTGATGATCTGCTTTTTGGTTGAGATGCGTCGCGCTCAGAGCAGAATCATGAGGCGCGAGCTGGTCTATTTCTTTTTTAACGGCAAGCAGGTGGGAATTGGAACGGCGAGCCTCCTCTCCAGCCAAGTTTAACGCCATGCATGCCATGCCTCTGATATCCACCGTTCTCTAGGCTTTGCTTGCGGCCATCTTATCGTGCTCATCGATGTCGCTGTAAATGTTGCTGTCAGTGGACTGGCCCAGGTATTCAAAGAAGATGCATGGTCAACTTACGTAGCCTCCCAGGGATAGTTGATCCACACATCGCCCACCGTCCGCGCGGCAATATACCGTCCCTCACTCATCATATCCTGCGGAAGATGCCCCCTCTTCGGCTTATCCTTGTTGTGCAGGACAAAGATGGAAAAATTCGTCTTCTCCCCCTGCCTACCCGACATCTGCGCGGCAGTCGCAACGTCCTTCTCCAGCTCCGTGACAGCATACTGCAGGGTAGTCCGCGTGTCATCCACCTCATCCACAATCAGCACATTCTTCCCGATCAAGTTGGCCATCTCGAGACTGCTGAGATCGAGCCATTGCGTGCGAGTGACTTTCGTGCCAATCTCTTCGACCTGCGGGTCGGTGCCGATCTGTTCGTAGAGCGAGAGGCCGATGGCCTGGATGGGGATGTTGGGGTTGCCGTCGCGCTTGAGGAAGGAGCGGAGGATGCGCGCGGGAACGTAGCCGCCGCCGCCGATGGCGACCATCAGGTTCGGCTTGAACTCGGAGAGGATCTGGTCGGCGGACTCCTGGCACAGCTTGTGCACCTGATCTGCGTGGTCGGGGATGTGAGCGTGGGCAAATGGGGAGGTCGTGTGCTTGGATGCTGCGTACTGTACGTAACCCACACTTTTTCCACCATCTTCGAGGATTTTGGCGGGAATGGACTGTCGGAGTTGCAATTAGCTTGGCCACCAGTCGCTGGGTGTGCAGAGTGACATACCTCCAAGGGGAGAGGAAGGACAACTCCAAGGCTGTGGGAAGTGTGGTTCATCTTTTTTTTCTATGTGGCCCGTGCGTGCGTAGTTGATCCCCGCACTGCTGCCTCCGCTTTGCCTGTACCTTGCATGGCTTCACTTCGTTGCACGTTATCACTCTCGACGACAAACCGACACCGATGTCGAACCTCGCAATAGACCATCGTAGGAGGCGAACGGATGACATCGCTTTGGGGATAGAAGTGCAGTCACGAGGGAGAAGAGGTGGGTGATGCTGCTTCGCGGGCATACGTGGGAGAACACTGCCGGCGTGCATATTTGCCTGAGGCACAAGCGGATGAGAGAACCGCCCTCCTTGTCGTACTTCCAAGCATGCTTCTTGAGCATCAGCCGCGGCCCTGAGGCATCCAGCCCAGACGGCCTCGCCGTGCTGTACAACGCTCCAGGCCTCGGCCAAAGCGAGACCCTCGCTTGATCTCACCACGTTCAAGATGACCAGCAGGCAACAAACCTGCGGTCAGTATGCGCATCGCACACCGAGAGTACCTTGATCGATGGAGAATCCACTCATGATCCTTCATCACTCTTCATCCACACCGACCTGCGTTTGCATCAATAACCAGGCACCAAGGGCGACACTCGACCCGAGTCCACGATCCATCGCCACGGTGAAGCCGAGAACGCACCAAGGCGTGCACACCCCGACCGCTCAAGCCCCCATTTCAACATCACCCAACGGGAACGAAGCGATCATTAGGCAGAGGGCCGAGACTTGACCGGAGTCCACGACATGCATCTCAGCGATGAGGACCACGCCGTTCGTCGCAGAGACCAAGCTCGCGTTCCAACACCAATCATGCTGGACGAAGCGATCATCCGAGACGAGTGCAAAACTTGGTCGTGGTCGCCGACGTGCATCTCAAACACGAAGGCGATCATGACCAATGTTCGTTCGAGACGCAGGTGAGGCGTTTACGACGTGGCTATCCATGCCAAGGTCAAGTTCAGGTGGACGAAGCTCGGCCGGAGTCAGCGATGTGCATCTCGAAGACAAAGATTGTGACAAACCGTGGCGTGCGCAACGCAGCCGCAAATGCCAAGGTCAAGATGGAACACCATTTCAAGGCATCGCAGGCGATCACCAGGCACAAAGGCGGCGGGCGAGACTCGGCCGGAGTCTTCGAAGGCCATCTCGAGGATGCAGCCTGCGATGCCACCGTGGCGTTTCGCAACACAACCGCAACTGTCAACGCCAGGTTCCAACACCATCCGAAGAGCACAGTCGCGGAGGTATGACAAGCGAGCCGCCCTCGTCCACAAGGCTGAGTCCAGACGTCCAACCACGTGGTTTTGACCACGGTTCGACCTACTTGCATCATGATGTGCGGTTCATCCCAAGCCAACGATCCGCAGATACTCAAGCCACAGCCTGCACTGTCATGACTGCAGAGCTGAGCGATGGATGGATCTGGGTCTAGACCACGGATGGGCGTTATAGAGAATCGGCGAAGGCTTACCAACAAATGTCGAGGAATCGCGTTGGAATCGAATAATTCCCCGAGATCACCAACCACCCTTCCAACTACTACGCCGTACGCGTGCAGGCAATCTTGACCGATCGGCTAAGTTGCCAGGCAGAATTTGTGGGAGGCCTGAGAGAGTCTCGAGCCAAGCCAGCAGAGAGGCGTGATGACAAACGGGTTGTTCCACCCGAAGTGCGCGCGCCTGGATCCTTGGCAAGGCCGCAGGCTCGCAGCGCTTCGCTACGCGCGCAATTTGCACCGGCACAGTCGTGTAAAAGGACGTGATGTGGATAGCAATGGCAGTCAACGAACCCGACGGTTGACGAGACCTGGATTGCCGGCTGCTCGATCTCGGCGCACGGCGCTGCCGGTTACGCTGTTTGAAGAAATCTTCGGCGGCTACGAGTTTCGAAGATGCTAGCCGCCCGCCGAATGCAGCACCGCAGTGGGTGATGAGACGAGTGTGAGGTGGAGGATCAAACGTAAGGGTTGGCAAAGACACGACGTGCTGCCCCGCGCTGGGCACTGTGATCCGTAGTTGCCAAAAGTGGAATGCGCTCACAGCTCAGCTGTCCTGCGGCAACTCACGTGGGGGCCACGAGAACACCTTCAAGTTGCCTCGCTACGACTGGTCAGCTTCCCCGGATCAATTCGAATTGGGAAGCAAGTATACAACACTGTTCAACGGGATGTTGAGTTTTACGAGTCAGAACCTCGAGCCTCTCGTCGAGCGCCTGGAGGAAACGCAGGGCACCGGAGAGATTTCGGCTCCGAAGGAATCGAAACGTGCTCACATCATGCACTGTGTCAAAGACTCCGTACGCTGACTGCGGATGCTGCCGGATGATGAAGTATGCGCCGCCAAACTCGTCATCTTCCCGCCTCGACATCAGCAAGAGGCGAGGCTACGCCACACCAACAAAGCCAAGAGTGGCAAGGCGCCTCTCGTGAGACGAAGAGAGCTGGTGTAGCGGCAAACCACCAAATACGAAGTGGTGGAGTGGGGCGAGAAAAGTAATGCGGAGCCGGACTTCTGACTTGGAGATGATGGCAAGCCTGGCACGGCCTAGGCTCCTCAGCCCCCGGTCTTAGGCACTGGAGACGAGGCAGAATTCAGGGAAATCATGCATGGAAAGAGGCTGCCATTCAGGCCGCGGCAGGGCAGCGGGCTTCCTCAACGCAAGCCTCTCCACGCCCGATCAGCATGGCAAGTGTATGTCTGCCAAGATCGCAGCGAGCGGGCCAGCCCCGGCAGTCTCCTATTGTGGAGTCGCCGGGCGAGCCTGGGAGGCGTGAGTTCAGCGCAGCCACGCTCACGTGATGCTCGCACAGGCAATAATCAGACTGATGAGGCCCACCCCGTGCATTTGCCACAGGCCCTCGAGCTGACAGAAATCTCGTCATGACTCACGCCCGACGCGATTCGAAGGACGACAAAGCTTGGCACTATCTCCTTCCGGCGGAAAGTCTACGGTGCCGCGCCCCAGCAGTAGGTTTGATGATGAAGGGCACATGATCTGCGCCGACTGGGATCAAGCCGTTTTGCAGTCGATGCACTAACAGTCCCACGATGGCCAATCACCGTCGACCAGCTTGTGCGGCAGGGAAACGCTAGATGCTGCTGAGGAGACCAATCACCGTCGAATGAGTGGGGCGACAGTTGACGCAAGCCTCACTTTTAGTTTTGAGGCAGAGCACCCGGACGAGAAACGATCAGGCAGCCAATCAGGAGGCGGGATGGTTGGCTCAAGACACTTGTCTGCAAGCCCCTCCCCCGGCAACATCATGGTGGATACGAGGGTACGTACGACTTGGTACGAAGGCTGCCGGAGCGCAGACCATGGTTGCTTGGAAGGGAGAGCATTTGCGGGTCTCACACCTACCGCGAAGCGCTTCGGTTGGTCCCAAAAATACTTCACCTCACGCTTGCAGCAAGGGATGCAGTCCGTCGCGGGGCCAAGGAAGATGCAAGCTGCTGGGCGACCCACTGTTGGAAAAGTCTCAGGCGAATAAGGTTGCAGGCTATCGATGGCGCTGACGAGGCCGACACACTGCGTGCCGTTTAGCCCTGCCGTGCATAATCAATCCTCCGCAGGCCGGGATGCTATGCAACGCCCCACGGCACGGCAGCACGGAGGGGGGTGTCTCACCGGCGCGTGGGGCATGATCGGTGCTTGGGTGCAAAGGCCGATCGCGTGCATCGCTGGCCTCGCCCCTGCTCCGCCATCATTGGCTGCGTCAACCTGCTCGCATTCCTGCCCCAGCACGCAGGGTTTGAGCTCTGCGGTTGGCTGGGCGCGTGCCGCAGCATCCAATCGCCAGCCTCGACTTGCCACCCCATCTGCTGCGCGTTGGCACGGCATTCCGCGACGCCTTCTTCCGAGCGGCTCGCGCGTTGGGACCCCCCTTCCAGATGCCGTGCGAAACGAGCGCGAGGCTGCAACCACTCATCATGGCTCCACTCCGCTCACGAAGGCGCCCGCAGTGGCGCTTGCCCATTTAATTCGGCGAACCAGTGATACGGAAGCGAGCTGGCAAGGATGCGATTTCGAAACCGCGGCGCTAGATCTCTTCCGGCCTAGGCCGTGCGCGACAAAATAGGCGCGTCTTCACGGCTTGCACTAGCCATGCGGGCATGACATGGTTGACGCAGCTAAATTAATGAAAACTAGGGGCCGTGCGTTGAGCGATCTAACGTCGAGCTTGCGAGAGATGGAGATGTGTCGTCTTGCCAGCGTACCCGTTAAGGGACCTCATCAACCCTTCATGCTCCGCCGCCGCCTCTCAAAAGCCTTGGATGGGCCGCACGATCGACTGGCCTAGGAATCCTGCATTCCACCCCTCGCAATCCCAAACAAACCTGTCCCTTCTTCTTCTCCCCCCCTCACACACTCCTCTTACATATCCACTTTAAGAGGATCTTCACTCCCTCAGCTTTCTCTTGCCTTCGCCCCGCCCTTGGCTTTCGACGACCTACCTCAACTACTGTCCCCTGGCACCTAATACTAGACGACTCTCCCACCGGCCACACCGTTCTTCACTTGCTCCATCCACTCCCTCAATTTTCCTTATCTGTTTCGGAGTTCTGACCTTTGCCGTATACAACTCGACCTTTCACCGGACTCGATAACCCTCCTCGGATTTTTCTTTGAGTCTGTTCAACTGCTCATGTTTGATCGTCGCCGTTGAATTTCCGATACTCCAGTTCCTACTTGGAGGCCACCGGAAGCTTCCTGACTATGCTTCCAACTCCTCCGGCTTCTCCCCAACCATCTGGTCGATATAGCCCAGATGAGAGGATAGGCCAGGTTTTGGCAGGTCGGATCCAGTTGACCGGAGTCCTTGGAGTTGGCGCCTATGGAACCGTTTACCGAGCGCAGGACGTGGTCACAAGGATCCAGTATGCCGTCAAAGCCTTGAACAAGCTCGGCCTCGACGACCGACAACGCACGTTCCAGAAACGGGAGATTGAACTGCACTACCTTGCCAGCGAGCATTCCAACGTTGTCGGCGTGCACAAAATCGTGGATGCCCCGGACTGCACGTATGTTGTCTTGGAGTACTGCCCCGAAGGAGATTTGTTTGCCCGGATCACCGAAGACAACGATTATGTTGGCAAGGACCCGAAGGTCAAGGCCGTGTTCCTGCAGATTCTCGACGCTGTCCGTCATTGCCATGCCAAGAACATCTTCCACCGCGATCTCAAGCCTGAGAACATCATGGTCTTGAACAACGGATGGACTGCCAAGCTTGCCGATTTTGGACTGGCTACCCGGGATCACATCACTTCGGACTTTGGATGCGGATCGACATTCTACATGTCACCAGGTAAGCACCCGTGTCTCATTCCGAGTTACTCAATCTGGTCTGTTCTAACACCAATACCAGAGTGCCAACAAGCGAACCCGAAGCCATTCGCATGCTACGCATCTGCCTCCAACGACGTTTGGTCCCTGGGAGTGATCCTCGTGAATCTGACCTGCGGACGCAATCCCTGGAAGCGAGCCTCGCTGGATGATTCCACCTTCCGCGCGTTCATGCGTGATCGCAACTTCCTGCAGTCCATTCTGCCAGTCTCGGACGAGCTGAACTGCATTCTGCAACGCATTTTCGAAGTCGACCCCAAGCGCCGGATTTCTCTGGATGCACTCCGGGAAGCCATTTCCTACTGCCCGCAGTTCAGCCAGGACCCCATCGAGAGCCTGCCTTCCAGCCCGGTTTTCTCACCCGAGGAACAAACCTTTGATTCTTCCATGCTCACCTTTGATACCGGGCTGAAGCCGGTGCCGCAATTGGATCCGCTGCCGGCTCAGCAGTATCCTCACCACCCTTTCTCTGGCCCTCAGTTCAACTGTTTCCCTTCGTCTGCTGCCAACAACCCCACCAACAACATGCTTACACCCCCGGGGTCCAACGGGAGCAGTCCACGGCACAGCCAATACGTCCACTTTGGCGCCAAATTTCCTGTCCCTACGAACGAGAGCGGCCTGACGAACCACACTGGAATGTTCCTCCCGGCCTTTACGTCTTGGCAGAGATGTACCAATCTGGTCCCCAACTTGGCCCAGTATCCCTGCTTCAAGAACATGGCCGTTTTCTAGTTTGGCCGTCGACGACTTTTACTTCACCCGACACCTATCACTTGACCAACTTTTACTCTATGGATGGTTTCCGAATACGATGAACGACACGAGAGATTTTGTTTGGATTCCTGGCCTGTTTCGAGCGTTGGAGTTCCTTGAGCGATTGACACACACCCGGCTTGGTGGATTAGAACCTTTGTTTGGAGCGAGCGAGCGTTGATTTGGGGGGAGGACGTGGGAACCCGGGAGGCCGAATTGTATACACGGATCACTGGGAAACTAGACACCGACGGAGCTGGCCGGCGTGCCACCTGCCCGTCGTTGGGAGGGAAATCTGGTTGTTTGCAACCTGGTGCGGACCTCGCTCGTTGGAGCTGAGCGACCACATACACTCTGCTTTCGCTACACACGATTGTACCATAGCCTTGACAGTACCTACCTACTGCCTGAATGAGCATTACCCGGTCCGCGGCACTGCCCGGACCTGACCAAACGCCCCCACGCTCCCTCCACGCTTTCCATTCTCTTGGCGCTTCCACATCACGATCTTCCGCCAGAGGCATCTCATCACAAATCACCTGGCCACATGAGCGCCAGCCCCCAGCCTTCCGGGCGTTTCCCAACATCATCAGCTCGCCACCCGCCCCTAGCCTTGTCGCGTGAGCTAACACATCTGAAGCGCACAGTAGCGCGGTTCTCTCGACGAAACCTTACGGCCGATCCAGCAAGCCCCCCAACAAAAGGTGCCAGACAGGCTTGAAGCGGCCTCGTGTACGTACCTACCCTAAGACCATGCAGGCGCTCGTCCCGTGCAGCAGCGAACCAGCGACGCCAAGCCCTTCTAGACTAAGGCCAGGCCAGGGCAAAGGGCGCACGCTGATGACACGACGCATGCAGGTGAGTGCTTTCGGCCTGCCCGCCCGCCCTCGCAGGTAGGGATCTACAGACCGCGGCGTATCGTATTTGCATGAGGATGGGAATGGGGTGACACACCCGTGCGTGATGAGGGGCCTCGGCGGCGTGATGCGGGAGAGTGTGGTTTCTTGGCGTGCGGGCTCGAGTTTCCGCTGACGTGGTTCAGCCTTCCTTCCATCTTCTCGGGCGCCATGCTTCCCATCACGTAAACAACGGCAAGGCGAGAAAGGCTAATGTGGGGACCAGTCGAGGGGTGTGAAAGTTACGGTGAAGCCAAAGTCAATGGGAGAGTAAAGCTTGCTGGGCGCGATGCATGGTGATGAAACTCACCGCGTCAAGCAGCAAAATCGCTCAGGGACCGTTACTCACGCTCACTGTGCGTAGGACCGGGTTGCCCAATTGGTAACATGAAAGAATTGACGAAGTGATCGACTTGAGCAGTGCCTGAGTGGGTTGGTCCACGATCTCCAAGGGCCAGTTGGATCGCTAATTGATCGCTAATCGACGCGGCTGCGAAAAGTCCAAGCGGCATGATCCTGGGACTGTGCGAAAAAAGACCCTCGGATCATCGCTTCAGAACGCGACACCATCATCGATGCTGACACACGTCGCACAAAGCGCGTATCCAGTAACCTGATCTTGGACTGCACCGACCCATCGACGCGGGCCTGGCAAAGACGGCACGCCCACGAGTTTGGGCCACCACTCTCGTGTGGGTCGGCAGCAGCTGCAGCAAAACAAACTTCTCGGAAGAGCAATGATCGACGCAAGGCGACGTCGACGCGCTGACGGTCGCAGGAGGATTGCGCTTGGGTGAGACCTGGTGGTGTGTTCCGCGGTGCTGCCGTCTCTACCGAAGCTACCCGCCGCTCGTCTCGGCAGCTCGTGCTTCCGTGTGGGAGTCTCTAGGTTGGGGTTGTGCAGGAGTTCGAACAGCTCCTGTGAAATCGGGTGGAGCGTGGTGCGGTCCATTCCGTGATGACTGAATACGGAAATCGCGCCGATGCGATGATGTGTCGAGGGCACCAAAAAGGGAGGGCCATGAGAGTTGAGAGCAAGAAAGGGCCTCCGAAGCCTGGAAAGTCACGTGACTGCTTCAAAGCTCTGGGCACCGACTTCAGCCTTGCTTCAGCCCGGCTTCTTCGGTTTCCTCGGTTTCTTCGGTTTCTTCGGTGTCTTCAGCCTCTCTCTCGCCTTTTTCATTTCCTTCGATTCGATTCACGAGTCTCTCGTATCTCTTTAGGCCTGCTTTCTCCTACATGTCGCCGCCAATAAATGGAGGAGGAAGCCGATGATCCGCCCCGCCCGACACCTGTTCGACGTGCCCGGCTGGTGTGTCATCGATGCCATCAGAAAAAGATCCGTTGCGACCTGCGGCGCATAGGTGCCGCATGCAGTAACTGCCTCGGCGCGGAAGCAAGCTGCGAGTTCCGCCCCTCTGGCAAAGGACATCATCGTAGAAAGCGTGGAAGCGATGTTCGAACATCGCACGGCATTACTGCGAGCTCTACTCAGGTGGAATCGCCGGCGCCCCAATTGCCATCGATTGTCGCGAGTGGAGGCAACTACATCCGTGCTCTATTGGGACATCAATTTGGACATGAAAACGATAATAACAACAGGAGTGAGGCCGCTTCATCTCCCACACAGGCAAGCGATAGGTTCGCTCCTGGCACGATTCGAAGTTTCCTCGAGACCTACTCCGAAATCTGCTACACCTGGTGCCCGATCATCGATGTTGACAACTCGACGATGACGGCCGGCTCCTTGTTGCTGGACCACTCGATCGCAGCGGTAGCCAGCATCATCAGACCGTCCGTAATGCCGGGCCTCAATCTTTGGAGACAGCACTACGAGCGCGCTCGCCATCTCTTCCATGCTGAGCGACAGAATGATGCTTTAGTACTGGTCAAGGCTGCGTTACTGCTCTCATACTGTGACAACGACAGGTCAGGAAGCCGAACGGATGGTAGTTCTTGGTGGCTTGGCGTTGCTGTTCGTCTCGCGCAGGACCTGCGCCTGCATCGAGCCCCTCGTAATGCGACTACCACGCCGGACTTGGGGTTGCGAAAGCGGATCTGGTGGGCTTTGTTCGCTCGTGAGCGAGTGATGGCGCTGTACCAAGGGCGACCATGCACGATCGACGAAGACGATTGTAATCTGGGATTGCCACTGGTCGCCGACTTCCCCGAGAATCGCTCTCGTGAAGGACGTATCTTCGTTCACTGGATCCACCTCTGCCGTATTATGGGACGGCTGAACAAGCACATGTCCACCGCGCGCTACACTGGAGTGAGAATTCCGACGCAAGAAATCGCAATCTCTCTCACCGCATGGCTGCAAGCTTTGCCCGTTGATCTACAACTCCCCATACAAGAAGCACACACGGCGCCGCTCGAACGCGACGTTCACCTACTGCATCTACCCTACCTGACAACCGTGGCACTCATGTATCTAAACACAACAGGCCAAGACGTCCCGGAGGTCTCGGCGGCTGCGGTTATGGCGGCCGCGTGCACGGCTCGCATCATTGGAGACCTGCTCCTTCGCGACTGCGCGTCTGCTCTCCTCGAAGACTGCGGCTGGTATCTCACTATAACCGTGACCGCTTTGATGCATATATTACCCGTACCGTCGCTTGCAGCGCACGCTGCCGCCGACATACACATACTTCGCACAGCACTCGAGCGAATGAGCAGCACTTGGTCTTCAGCGAAAGTCCTTACCACCGGTTTGGACAAGTTGATGGACCAGCTTCTGACGAGTGCCGCTGACGAACGCGCCGCACGTATGAACCCATCTTCCGCCGGCGAAGCTGCTGCTTTATTCACACCTAGTGCGCGGAGTTTACAAGATCTCTGCGCGCATGATGGGGTGCTGTGGGCCGACTTCTTTCCATTCGCAACCTCTCGCACGAGCCCGTTGGTCGAGGCGCTCCTAACCGAATGCCAAAACAGCTATCCGGAGTTATGGCCGAGCTTTGACTTTGACTTTGATATCAATTTCGATACATTGTGGGATGAGGTTATCACCGCTCAAGGGGCCTTGTTCCAGGACGGGCCTTGAAAGTACATTAGATTACTAGGCCTGCTTCTGAACCACGTGCGCCCTTCCACTTGCAGACGAGCATCTGCTCGCCGAGATGTAGGGATCGTGATGGCCGGCTTTTACGGCTTCCACGGCTTCTAATCTTGTCACTGCTCTCTTCGACATTGCAATGACCAAGCACGCTCTCGATGTAGTAGAAGACGAAAGACTCCTAGATGCAATGAGAAGATATAAAAGCATCGGGTCGGCCTCTGGGTCTTCATTCTGTCACGCAACTTATCTCGAGGCATACACTACCATAAGCACATCTTCACAATGAAAGCCGTTGTCAAAAAGGAATTAGGACAGGTCGAGTTGGTGACCAACCGACCAGTACCACAGCTCCGAGAAGGATACCTCCTCATCAGAACCAAAGCCGTGGCCATCAATCCCATCGACTGGATGAAAGCCGACGGATTCCCCGCGCCGAATACCCTGCTCGGGCACGACTATGCCGGCATCGTCGAAGAAGTCGGACCCGGTGTTACACGAGCATTCACCAAAGGAGACCGTGTCTTTGGCTACACACTAGCCGGCGACTACCGCAACCCAGAGAACGGCGCATTCGCCGAGTACATTGTTGCGAAGGCTGACTTGCAATACAAAATTCCTGGGGGCGTGCCGTTTGAGAAGGCTGCAGCCTTGGGCGCAGCTGTCATGACGGCGAATATGGCTTTGTTCTTGAAGCTTGATTTGATCGGGGAGCCGGACAGGGCGGAGCCGAACAGCAAAGGCGAGTTTGTGCTTGTCTACGGGGGTAGCACGTCTTCTGGTGCCATGGCGATCCAGCTGGCCGCACGGTAAGACGCTCGCTGCTGGGTGTAGCGGGCGTTCATCCCTTGCTAACTAGGCATTGCGCAGATCCGGATACACGGTCATCAGCACTTGCTCGCGACACAATTTCGAGAGCGTGAAAGCACTCGGCGCCTCGCACGTCTTCGACTACAAAGAAGCCAACTGCGCCCAAGCCATTCACCAGCTCACAGCCAACCAACTTCGCCTAGTCCTCGATACCGTCGCGGTCCCCCAGTCGGCGAAGCTCTGCGCGGAAGCCATGTCGACCGAGGGCGGGCGGTACGTCCAGCTACTCCCAGTTCCATTCCCGCGTGCCGACGTCGAGGTCATTTTCATGGACGCCACGACCACCTTGGGGGAACACTACGAGTACGGCATGGAGAGGATCCCGGTTCCGGTCGACGCCGACGCTTTCGCGTTTGGAAAGGCGCACGTGCAGACCGTCGAGTTGCTGCTGCAGCAGGGGGATATTGGGGGCCACGAGACGGAGATTGGTGATGGCGGGCTGGAAGGAGTGTTGGATGGAATCAAGCGCATGCGGGAGGGCAGGGTGAGCGGTAGGAAGCTGGTCTACTTGGTCGAATAGATACACGAGTTACGCGTAATCGATCAGCGAGCAAGGCTGTGCGGATAGAGGATGTACTTGCATGTGCCTGTGATGCCGTGAAGTTGAGTCAGTCGGCAATGTTGCCGTCTGTACCGAAGCTACATGACCTCAATGGCAGCTCATGGCTGCGCGAGTGATCTCGGTGCTGTGCATTGGGGGCCACAAACACCTTGCATGCGGGATCCCGCTGCGCTGCAGAAGCAAGAGTTTACGATGGGATTGCCCGGAAAAGGATTGGTGTGGTCGCCTGTCGTGTTTCCATTCTCATTGATCCTCGTTCTATGCAGCCTTCCGTGCGTGTCCGATCCAAGCCATACAGTAACAGACTTTCCCTTGATGTCTCATCATGCATGAACCGCCAATCCTTCCTTCTTCGTCTCCCTTCCCTTCCCTTTCCCTGTGCCTCATCATGCATGAACCACCAATCCTTCCTTCATCGTCCCATTTCCATTCCTTCCATTCCTCTCCCTTACCACACCCTCAAACCCAAAGCCCACCCTTCCACCGCCTGCCCATGCCGTGCTTGTGCAGAAGAGGAATCGCGGAAGAAATTAACTTACCTGGGAAGCTGTATCCACTTCATCCGCAATGAGCGTCTTTGAGACTTGCTTTAATGCATGCTTTGATGCTTGCAGCTGTAGAACAACCTTGATTTTGTTTCATCAGTACTGAACTGCCGGTACGGAGTAAGCAGCGGCAGCGACAGCAGCAAGCAGCTGAACCGCAGTCTGCTTGCCCCAGCCGCTGCGAACCAAATTCACTCGCTCGTAACACGATAGATACTCCCGCAAATCATACCTTCCGCGGCACCGCGCCCACAACCTTCTTCACCGCCTTCTCATGCGTCGGCCTGCTTGTCGAATCCTCGAAGAAAGGATGCTTTTTGGCATCGTTCGGATTGATCCTGCGCACGGGGTCCAACTGCAGGCACTTGTCCAGCAGATCAACAAATGCAACATGCTTCTTGGCCTCCTCTGGCGTCATGCCTTTGGTGTTACCGGACAGGCGTGAGCGGAGGTCTTTGCCAGGGGCGGTCTTGTTAAAGTTCAGCTGGCGGAGGCCCACCTTTCCCGTGAGGTTGTCTCGCTCCTGCGAGAAGAAATTGCCGTCGTTGTCAAAGTGCTTATCTGCCAGCGTGGAACGCTTGAGCAGACGGTTCGGGATGCGACCGCGGCACTCTTGGATGACGCGCAGCATTTGGTTGTTGTCCGCTCCCGCGAAGAGAATGCGACCGGTGTAGAGCTCGAAGAGTGTACACCCGATCGACCACATGTCGATGGCATAGTCGAATTCCATGCCGAGAATGACCTCCGGGGCGCGATAGAATCGAGACACCAGGTACGGCGTGACTTCCGCATCCCTTGCGAACGAGGCAGTGCCCAAATCACAGATCTTGAGCCAGTTGCGCTTCTCGTTGACGAGAATGTTGTCCGGCTTCAGGTCGGCGTGGAGAATCTCAGACTCCTTCAGAAGACCGAGGGCAGAGAACATCTGAGGGGCATAGGCCTTGATAGCCTCCGACGTGATCCCGACATTGCGGCCAAACTTCTTGAGTACTTCACGGAGATCTGCGCTCAGGTTTTCAAACACCAAGCAGAGATGGGCCTTGTGGTCGAAGTTGCGGAGCAGGCGGATGATGTGCTTCTTGTCTTTCGGGTCCTGCTCGTTGAGTAGAGTCACCATCTCCATTTCTTTCTGGCCAGCTTTGTACATGGTCTGATTGTTGCATGCAATCTTGATGGCGACTTTGAGTCCGGTCTCGGTATCAACAGCCCTCACCACAGTTGCGAAGGTCCCTTTGCCGATTTGTTGTTCAACAGCGTAACGACCGTCCAAGAGCTCGCCGAGAATGATGCGGTAATGACCGTCAGGATAGTCCCAGTTGTCCAGGAGACTCTCGTCGAGGGCCCGAGCTTCTTTGATGCCTGGGCCGGGTGCGAACATGTCATCGTCGTCATCGGCAAACATGTCGAATTCCTTGACCTGCTCCGTCTGATTTTCCGACTTTGCAGTGGAGCCTTGGAGCATTGCGTTGTGAACATCGGAGATCTGCAACTCTTGCCGCTTGTGATCCGGGCGGTCTTCCTGCATATCAAGATTGGGGTCATAGTCAGCAGCTGATGGGCCTTCTCCGTCAACGTCTTCGGCGTGTCGGCGGTCAGCCAGCTCCTCGTCACTTTCGACAGCGAATGCAGCAGGCGAGCTGGGCAACGAGCCTAGTTGTGGTGTTTGTGGGGAGCCCATGGATGTGGGTGGGGAGTGCTGCTCGGATGGATTGGCACTGCTGTCATGAAGTGGAGTGTCAGGCGCAGATGGCATGCTTTGCTCGAGTGCCTGCACAAGTAAAGGAGCGCTGGTCTTATGCCTCGCCCGAATTTCCTCGCGTCGCTTGCGTCGCTCTTCGATGAGCTCTGCTTCCGAAAGGGTTTCCGTGGGTTGCGCATCATCGCCATCGTCATGTGAAGCTGCACTAGCCTTGTTATGGTGAGAATTGGCGGTGCTGAGAGTTCCGCGGGTATCTGCTAGAGAGACGTGAGCCCGTTCATTCGACTTGGCACTCGAAGGCGTATGCTGCATTTGAGAAGGGTTGTATTTAGCACGTTGCCGGTCAAAGGATGCATCGAGGGTATACTCGTCGTTGCTCGCTGCAGGAACGAATCCAGATGGTGGCCCTGAAGATGAAGGCGACTTCTTGTGGCGGAAGGGGGAGCGGCTTCGATCCCGATCTGAATCCCGTCCACGATCGCGGTAGGGTCGATTGCTTCGGTCGTCGTACTGTCCTGGGCCACTCAACCGCTGTGGCTTGTCGAGGTCGGAGTACGGGCGTCGGCCGCGAGCTCCGCCATCTTCGTAACGAACTTTGAAACGTCTTGGGTCCGATCCTCCGCCGTTGCGACCGTAGTGGTCCTCTTCACGTCTCCTCTTCTCTCCACTGATTGGTTTGTTAGGTCTCCAAGGTGATCTTGACCCGCTCCGATCACGACGGGGCTCGTAGCGCCCCTTCGTGGATGTTGTCGAACCCATGCCGTCACTGTCATCACGAAAGTGAAAGTTGACATCGTTACTCAAGGCCATGATTCCATCGGAGTGCCGAGAGCGAGATGAAGACCCGGCATGGAGTCTGGTCGATGGGTTAACGTTGGTGTCTCGTGCATGTCTTGTGGTCGAGCTAATTGCCTTCTCCTCCTCCCCGCTGTTGACTTCTCCTTCCGAGCGAGACCAAGACGGACGCCGGCTCATCTTGCCAATTGTCGCTGCTCAGTCAAGCTATCCCCGAAAACGCCGCCCTGCTTCAAGAAGGTGGTGGTGCACTTTGTTAGCCCAAGTACAACAGAGGATATGGTGTTGTGCTTTGCACAAGCAAAGCTGAGGACCTCACAGGTCTTCGCAATGTTGCCCAAAGGGACGCCGGGCACCGCGAGGTGTTCGAATCGGCCTGCCAGGCGAGTGGCAGGTCCGCGCGATGGACGGAGAGGGAAAGATGAGGTGAGTTTGCGATGGCAGTGACGTTGTGAAGGTGGTGAGAGCTGGCGATTGTGAAATGTGAAGCAAACGGAAAGCGAGGTTGGCGCGGCTAAACTCCGGAACTTGGCAAACTCTAAACGGAGATCTCCCTTCACCACATCTCACATCACGACGCTCCACAAGAGGTGACAAACACCGACCGCAGCGACTGGTAACAGCCAAAACTTCATCCTGTCCGTCTGGTACACCACTGAGCCATCCCTGGTTATTTTATGGGCCTGCTGCCCTACTGAATTCACGGTTTCGGTCTGTACCGCAGTCGTGTTTGACTACGCGCCGACTTGTCCGCAACCGCTGGCCACGGTGATCGCACGCTGCTCGACCAACAACACGCCGTCCCTTCCCTCTGACTACTCTGCGACAACGACTTGTAACCTGGTGGGACCTCATTCGCCCGCCTAGTGGACTGTTATAGCCATGACAGCCAACTAAGAATAGTCCTCCTAACCCAATCAGTCTCCCCCGGACAGATGAGCACCGCATCTGTTTGGTCTTGACGCCGAAACCGACACCTTTCATCTTAAATCAGTCGCGCGGCATTGTCTGACCACTTAGTAACAGCAATTGGTAGTTGCTTTGGACGCGTCCAACTCCTTGCATTCGACTGGCCCTGGTTGTACGCTTTGCTGTTTCACCCCCCTCCCATTCTCCACACTACCGTAACATGCTGAGACCTGTCGAGATTCTGCGAGCCTTGTGGTCACTGGCCATGCTATGTCGAGGTATAAAGATGCTGGCGCTGCTCCTCCTCTTCTGCTCCTTTCATCCCTCTTTCAAATTGCTGCTCTATTTCCCAGCATTGAACTCTCTTCCAGCGTTCTCTTGTTTTATCATCGTTTGGATCTGTGATCCATACATTCGTTTCTCCGAGTGTGTACGCCTTTGCAGCGTCCCTCGCATTTCTTCCCTGCTATTCAGCTTGCGGACTCCCTCCACGCATCCGGATTATGAAACTCTCTACACTCATTCTCGGCATTGCCGCCCTCGCAACCGCAGCACCAGCGGACATCGACAAACGTCAAGGCCAATATGGAGGCGGATCCAACTGGGGCTCCAGTTCAGTAGCTGCTGCCAGCTCCCCTCCAGCTTACGGAGGCGGTGGATCACCGGCGACCCCGGCGTCTGCCGAAACCCCAACACCGCAGCCTTGCACCTGTGCCAATTCGCCGCCTCCTTGCGGCGGCTCTTCACCAACCGGAGGTGTTTCACCAGCTTCAGCTCCGTCTCCCACTCCGACTGGCAACTCGCCGCCCGCACAGAGCCCTCCATCGTACGGCGGCAATTCGCCTCCTCCATACGGCGGCGTCTCGCCAGCATCAGCTCCCCCACCCAGTCAGACCGGTAATTCGCCGCCCGGTCAGGGCCCTCCATCATACGGTGGTGGAGGCTCTGGAAGTCCCCCTGGCAACTCGCCGCCTGCTCAAAGCCCTCCATCTTATGGCGGCGGAGGGTCTGAGGGTTCCCAAGGCGGAGGTGGGCAGCAGTCGGGATCGTCTCATGGCAAGTCAGGCCATGGTAAGGGCGTCGGGACCCAGTCTGGCGGCGGCAGTGGCAAGCACTCACATGGTGGTGGGTCTGGAGGGGGATCTCAGGGGGGCGGCGGCTGGTCTGGTGGATCTTCAGGCGGAGGTCAAGGCGGTGGCCAAGGGGGTGGTCAAGGCGTTGGTCAACAAGGCGGCCAAGGCGGAGGTCAACAAGGCGGAGCTCAACAAGGTGGAGGCCAAGGCGGTGGCTGGTCTGGCGGATCTTCAGGCGGCTCATCGCAACAGGGAGGAGGCCAAGGTGTCGGTCAACAAGGCGGCCAAGGCGGAGGCCAACAAGGCGGAGGCCAACAAGGCGGAGGTCAACAAGGCGGAGGCCAACAAGGCGGAGGCCAACAAGGCGGAGGCCAACAAGGCGGAGGCCAACAAGGCGGAGGCCAACAAGGTGGAGGCCAACAAGGCGGAGGCCAACAAGGTGGAGGCCAACAAGGCGGAGGTCAACAAGGCGGAGGCCAACAAGGTGGAGGCCAAGGCGGTGGCTGGTCTGGCGGATCTTCAGGCGGCTCTTCGCAACAAGGCAGTGGCCAAGGCAGTGGCCAAGGCGTAGGCCAACAGGGCGGTCAAGGGGGTGCCCAACAAGGCGGTGGCCAACAAGGCGGTGGCCAACAAGGCGGTGGCCAACAAGGCGGTGGCCAACAAGGCGGAGGCCAACAAGGCGGTGGCCAACAAGGCGGAGGCCAACAAGGCGGTGGCCAACAAGGCGGAGGCCAACAAGGCGGTGGCCAACAAGGCGGTGGCCAACAAGGCGGCGGCTGGTCTGGAGGATCCTCGGGCGGTGGTCAACAGGGCGGTGGTCAACAGGGCGGCCAAGGCGTCGGCCAGCAAGGCGGTCAACAGGGCGGCGGTCAGCAAGGCGGCGGCTGGTCTGGAGGATCCTCGGGTGGCGGGAAACAGGGCGGCGGTCAACAAGGTGGCCAAGGCGTCGGCCAGCAAGGCGGTCAACAGGGCGGCGGTCAGCAGGGCGGCGGTCAGCAGGGCGGCGGTCAGCAAGGCGGCGGCTGGTCTGGCGGATCCTCAGGCGGTCAACAGGGTGGAGGTCAGCAAGGCGGTGGCAAACAAGGCGGCCACCAAGGCGGCGGAGGCAACAGCGGCAAGAACTCCGGAGGCGGCAGTGTCGGAAGCCAATCCCACGGTCACGGCGGAGGATCGAACTCCGGCGGTAGCAGTTCTCAAGGAGGTGGATCGTGGGGAGGAAACCAAGGCGGCGGCAGCTCAGGAGGCGGAGGGAGCGGAGTTGGCTCGCAAGGAGGAGGGAGCGGCAGCTCTCCCCCGTCATACGGCGGCGGCGGCGGCGGTTCCCAGGGAGGGGGCAGTGGTGGCAACTCCCCACCCTCCTACGGCGGCGGCGGCGGCTCCGCACAACCACCACCAGCGACAGCCGCCAGCGCCCCATCGCCGCAAGCCACCTGCGACTCCACGACTACGACGCCCGTGGCGCCGCAAAGCGCACCGAGCTATGGTGGTGGAGGAGCGCCGAGCTATGGAGGGGGAGCACCGACGACTACGCCCGTTGCTCCACAAGGTGGTGGCTCTGCGCCGCCCGCGTATTCTACTCCTACTACGCAGCCGGCTTATGGTGGTGGTGGCGGAGCACCGCCGCCGACGACGACGACGTCGCCTGTTTCGCCGCAGGGAGGGGGGTCTGCGCCTGCTGGGTACTCTGCGCCGGTCACGTATGGTAGTGGAGGGGGTGGGTCTTCGCCTCCGTCTTATGGAAGGCGGGTTTGAGATGGGAGAGGACGGAACACTCGCTTGTTGAGGGGATTGTTGGCCGTGGGTAATGGATGGATGCAGACACACGCTCATTATTGAAGATAGATGGAGGAGTCTGGACATGTACTTATATGGCGACGGCATTGGCATTGAGAGGTTGGGAAAAAAGACCAATTCACACACATCACATCTCATAAGGTACACGGATGACATTGCGGTATCAATGTGACTGAAGGAACACTCACTCCCAGCGCCCAAATCGTAAAGCATTCAGGGGTATCATTTCACTCGTTCCCTTCCCCAAAGCTCACCAGAACGCCGACGCAAAACCCGAATCAATTCACCCGCCATGCACATTCGCTACTCCTCCACTTCCCCTTCTTCCACATCTACCTCCTCGACTTTTGCTTCCCCATTTCGCGCGCCTCCTCTATCGACTTTTCCGGCAGCGTCGGCTATCGCAACATCCACTTCGGCCTTCAAATTCGCATCTCGAACCCTCTCCGCCTCTTCTCTCAATTTGGGGTCGCCGCGCGGAGCCGCGGGATCCAGAGGAGTCGCCTGCAGCGCGCCACTTGGATCTCGATCACCCTCGTCTAATCGCTGCCGCTTACTCTCCTGTACATCTTTGGCCACGCCGTTCGAATGAGGATGCGCTTGCTGCTCGCTCTCTCGCTCTCGCTTCACCCCTACAGAACTGGCATTGCTCTGTCTCCGCTCGCTGTAAACGGCGGGCGGGTTGAACGGAGATTCACCGCGGCCTTCATCTTTCAGCCTCGTGCTGTCGTATCCGTCTCCCGCACCGTCAGTGGATAGCGCAACGTAGATACTCCTCTCGCCATCCGAGCTATTCGCGCCGGGGCCGGTGGAAACGCCATTGACTTTGTTCGACGACGGATCGTAGCTGGCACACATGAATTCAATTGCTCGGCGAACGTCCTTTAACCGTACGTGCTGCGCTTCCCACCATGGTCGGCCCTTGGCATCGTCGGGGATGGCAACGTCACAGTACCTGCAAGCAGCGTGAAGGCTGGCGATGGCGATGGTGCGGCTGGTGCAGAGGAGGCAGAGCTGGGTATTATTACTATCCGTCACGAAACTCCAGGCAGCATTGCGCAGACGCTTGTTGTGCTCGAGGCCGTAGAATTTGAGCAGCTCGAAGAGCTGGCGGTGCGGGCTTTCGACGGTGAGATCGAAGCAGAGCGTCTCCAGCAGCACGTCCTCGTTGTGCAGGATGCAGTCGCGCCAGCGCCACCAGTCCTTGCTCTGCTCGTCGATGATGAGGTTGGGGTTCTTTTGCGCCACGCGGCAGAAGGCGAGGATCAGCTCTTTCATCTTGCGGCAGCTCTCCTCCACTTTCGTGGCGAGGAAGAGCGCCGTGGCGGCCGCCTGGTACTGGTGGAGTTTGGGGATGCCGTTGTGTTCTTTTTTCAGACTCGCGCGCATCAGGAAGCGCTGGAAGAAGATGGCGGCGGTGGAGAGGGTGAGCTGCGGGAGCTTCAACATGATCCCCACCTGCACGATGAAGTTGACGCCCTTGGCGCGTAAGTCCTGCTCTTCAGCCTGGCTCATGCCATCCTGAATGGAGGGCGTATTGGCCAGCTCGGCCTCGGTGAAGGTCCATTGCGCCTCAGCCTCAGCAAGCACGCGGTTGGGGGATTTGGGGCGTTGGCGAGTGGCAGGATGGGAGGAGGGGAGGTGATTTGTGTTGGAGGGCGGGGGCATGGTGGCCGCCGCGGGTGGCTAGGCCGCGCCTGGCGTTCGCGGACGTCGTGACTGGGGATCTGGGCCGGGGGAGATGGCGAGGTGTGGTGTTGGAGATCGAAGATCTGATCGGTCGATGCGGCGCAGGAGTAATTTTAGTCAGGGTTTCTGCCGAATCCGATGCTCGTGCCTGCGGTTGGAGAGCATTTGCAAGAGAGGACGCATGGGATGGCGCAAGTCGAGGGTGTCAGAGGATATGACGGGGGGAGATGTTGGTATGTATTGTCCTCCCTCCCACGAAAGGCACCGAACGAGGCGGATTCATGTAAGAAACCACGTGCCAACGGAACCAGCTCCGCGCGCGTGTACAGTAGCACTCATTGGGCGTAGTTTCAGTCACGGTCAGGCGAGGCGAAAGAGAACTCAAAAGTTCGATGCACTTCACATGGGTATTTGCCGTTGAGAAGTGCAAACACGCGCCGCGCATCCGTTGAAGCAAATCTATCGCACGCCTCTTCCAAGCCAGCAATCATGCCGTCAGGACAGGGTGGTGAGTCCGCCGACAAACGAGACACTCCACAGCACTTTGTCACTGACTCGCAAGCACAGCCGGGACCAACCCCATCCACAACAAGAAGCCGAAGAAGGCGGCCAAAGAGGAGGACGAGGATGACAAGGCACACAAGGAGAAGCTAGCTGCTGGTACGCGGGAAAAACGACGGAGGGGTGGAGTAGGTGGCTGATGTGACGATGTTACAGACAAGAAAGCGAGAGAGGAGATGGCCAAGAAGGCGTCTGGCAAGGTTAGTGACTCACACCGGCTTCCGCGTGGCAGTGAGGGGCAGATGTTGATCTTTGAGCAGGGCCCGATGAACACCGGCCAGCAGGGCATCAAGAAGAGCGGCAAGAAATGAGGGAGAGCGGATGGCGCGTAGCGATGGGTCACGGCCGATGGCGATGAGATGCGAAGGCAGTGAGGTGTGGCGGCAGTGAGCGTAGAGACAGCGTCAGGGTGACGGGAAGCATGAATTTGATACTCCTCAGCTGCATATCTACTCAAGAACATTCACATTACCCTCTGACTCACTATCATGCGGTGATGAAGCTCTTGAACCACATGTACAGCACGCAACGCAGAGTGACGTGTACGCAATCAACACAGCACAACTCCTGCCCCAAGCAACATGAAAGCACGACATCCACGCAAAAGCAAACCCTTCTCCAGCCCCCAGCAACTGCAAAGCAGTGATGCCAAAGACAACTGATGAAAGGGACACATCAAAAATTGCACCGCCCAGGGCCCCGTGGGACGCTGGTGGCGCCCCTGCCCACGATGTGCAATGAGGCAGAAGGGCGCCAGGAAGATGAGCGTTCGGGAGGGCTCACTCCACAGCAAGGTAAGTTTAAGGAAAAGAAGAAGAAAGAGAGGAAAGGTCGGAGCTGTGAGTCTGAACTTATACACGTCTCCGCGCTAGTGGCTTGGCGTTTGGGTGTGCTCAGATATTTTAGCTGGATTCAGATTTACGCGCGTGCTCAGATATGTTAGCTGGATTCAAATGTACGCTTGTGGTAGCCTGAGGCAGGATTTTACGTGTGCAGACTGGTTTCATGTATGTTGGCGGTGAAGACGCCCAAACTCCACGCTTTCAGTTCAAATATCATCCAGCATCCTCACTTGCCAGCTCATAAAACAAGAGATACACCTCCCGCTGCATGCCCAGCACCTCACTCGTCTTACACTCCTTCACCTTGTCATCACTAATCCTCCACCATCGATCCGGCCCCTTCTTCCTCCGCATGCGATTCGCAGCGCTGGACAGACTCAGCGATCTCTTGGTGTTGCCTGTCGTGTCCACCTGCCGATCTTGTGGAAGCGGAGGCAGGCCAGGCGTGGGCATGGCTTCCAGCGGGATGTTCGGTGTTGTGGTAGTGCTCTGCGATGCTCGGCCGGGCTCAGGAATGGTGGAGGCTGAGGATTGCGATGAGAGTGTGCTGGGAGATGGGATGGCCGGTTCGAGCGGCGCTGCGGTCGTCCGTGGCGAGTTCGCCGACCCATTCAGCCTGGAGCTCGTGGGGCTCCTCTCCGTATCCAGCGCAGTAGATATCCGGGGACTCGACATTGGGCTCGGCCGATTGCCAAAGATGCCGTCTGTTCCCATAGACGTTGGTGTGGAGTAGGGCGCGCTTAAGAACTGCCGCCGGAATGTCTCGTAGTGTCCACTATTATGGCCGCCTTTGTGCGTTACAACCGCGAGCAGACGGTAGGTGTTGCGGTCCAGCAAGCCGCCCAATGACAACGTTTCTGGGAACGCCACTTTCGCCGTGTTCTTCGAGGAAGACGAGCCCACGTCCCACACAGATCGGCTGAGATGAAGAGACAGGATTCGCGGAAAGTTCGAGATGCGCATGTGCCGAGATATCCGTCGTTTCGGTGCTGTAGACAGAACGGGAAGTTTGACATCGGCGGGAGGCTTCTCGGGATCCTCTCGTAGCGCTGCTTCGAGTTTCTCTCGATTTGCTTCCAGGGCTGTCCGTTCCGGCTCAGACAGGGAAGACTTGTCGAGTTGCTTGTCGAGAACTTGCAGCGCATGGTCCAGTCTGCATCGGTCGCAGGTGAAGTCGTCAATGTGCTCCTGTTTGAACATCCCGTCGAAGCAGGAGTTCAGGGATCCGGCGCTTTGCGGAACGTTAAGGGTCAATGTCACGAACGAGGAGACGTGGGGTTTGGGCTTGAAGTGGCAGTATGAGCACTCCACCTGCGACTCCAGTTTGCCTTCGAAGGGAAACGTGAATTGCTCTTCGGCGTCGGTATCGTCGATATCTGGTGTCTGGGAGCTGTCGCCCCGAGCGGTGGCTGCAGCTTCCTCCTTCGCAAGTCCTGCATCATGGTTTGGAGCCATCTTGCTGTCCCTTGGGCCGTCTGCGACGGTAGATTTGCCATCCTCCAAAGTCGTGGGTTGGTCGTTGCTCGATGGCGCTCCCCCCACCGCTACCTTCTCATGCCCATTACCCTCACCCCTCCTACTCTGCCTCCGCACCCTCCGCCCTGCATGGTTCTCATCACTCAGCCGCTCGGCAATCAGCTGCAAAAGCTCCTGCGCATCCTGCTGCGAGCGACTAATGCGGGTGCGAAAAGCCCTCTCGACCACCAAAATGAACGGCTGCGCACTGATCGTCTTCTTGTAAATCGGCCGCTCGTTCAACGCATCCAGCACATCCTTCAACCCCGCCGTGACCAAGCCCTGCTGCAAACTCAACAACATCCACTCCGGCACCCGACTCCCGCCGCCGCCCGCCTGTCTCTCCTTCCGCCGCTGCTCCTCGACCGCCGCGGCAATATCATTGTACATTTCCGGCCCATCGAGTTTCCGGCGGTGCACTTCGCGAATCAGGTATAGCCGCAGCTCCGGCAGGCCGGAGAGGGCTTGCAGTACGCTGTTGATGAAGCAGTCGTTGGCATTGTTGACCAGCCCCACCACGCCTTTCTTGCGGCTCGCGCGCGAGCTGTTGGCCGCCTCGTCATCGAAGAAGAAGGTCGGGCCGAAGACGTAGACGAGCGTGATGGCGGCGAGTGAGGCTCCGGCGGCGTATGTAGCGACGGTTAGGGGTCGGTCGGGCATGTTCGCCTACTGTCTGGGAGGTGGAGAGAATGGTGGTACGCGAGCGACTGTTTTATGAAGGGCGTTTGGCGTTGATGGTGCGCGATCGTCCGTTCCAAGCTCTCCTCCGTCTCTTCTCTCCGTCCATCCTTGCCAGGGTGTACAAAGGGGTAGCAAGCTCTTCGAGGACAAAGGACCAGCACGTGGAGGGTAGGAGTCGGCGCTAGAACTCCCGGTAAAACGCGATGTTGCCGTAAGCTTTTGTGCAGATTTGGATGCAACCTTTACCCATTGGGCCTGCGATGGCCACTGCGGAGTCGTCCCCCGCGCCGCCGGATTTGATTAAGAAAGCCGCGGCTCTTCCCGCCGCGATGGTGGACTTCATGTTTTCTGTCGAGCTCGGGAGGTCGAATCGACCATCTGCATGTGCAAGCTGCCACAATGTCTCTTCCATTAAGGCCGCGAAAGGTATCGCAATGTCCCGGATGTCTACGCAGCTATGCCTTTGCCCTCTTCTCCGATGGCAAAACGTCTGCATTGCCCTCCTCATTGCGCCAGCAGATTAGGGGAAAGAAGAGAATGGCCAACAACTCGGCGACGGTGACCGTCAAATTACTCAAAGATGTCGAAGCATACGGCAAGTCCGGTAAGGACAGCATCACAGCAGATGTCCACGCCCAAACCTCTCTAACAAGCACGCACAGGCTCCTTCGTCCCCATAACCCGCGGCGCAATGCGCAATTCCTGGTACCCCTCCCGCATCGCCGAGTACGTAACGATGCCGGAACTACAAAAGCTACGCCTCAGCAACGTGCCCATGGAGCGCAACTTTGAATTCATCACCCCGGAAGCACTGCAGCAAAGGAACAGGAGGAAGCGAAGAATCATGAGCGAAGAAGACATCGAGCATGACCTCGCACAAGCCCCCGAACAATCGGCCGACGCATCCTCCACGCCTCGACGATTCGCCGCAGCAAGAGCTCCCGAGATAGAGAAAATCACTCCCCAACGCAGTCTAGAGCTCGTCGAGAACTTCGTCCCGCACCGCCTTGAATTCCTTCGCCAGCCTGCACCCGAGAAACCCAAACCCAAGAATCCCATGCCACAATTCCGCGGCGCTGCAGGCGACTTGATGGCTTCACGGTTACACTCGGAAGACGGCAGGCTGCGCGCTATCTTCGGCTCGGTGACGCCGCAGGATGTGCTCGCGGCGGTGCGGGAGGGGATGGCGCGAAACGATGAGGCGGCGAGGGTGGTGTTGCTCGAAAGCGAGATTGCGTTTGTGGATTTGCCGGATGTGCTGGGAGCGGAGGCGGGGAGGGTGAAGCATTTGGGGGATTTTACGGTGGAGATTAGGGCGAGGGGGGCGGAGGGGGCGGTGAGGAGGGTTGTGAGAGTCTTGCCGCAGGAGGAGAGGAAGGAGGAGATGGTTGTTGAGGAGGTTGAGTAGTTGTTTGCGGATGCATGGTACAAATTCATACAACGATTTTGCGGTGCACGATGCCGTGATACTACGGAGCCCTGTCCCAATACCAGCAACGAAGGAAGAATATCGACACAATCCCCGCGCTCACCACACCTTTGAAGCGCATACTTATCACCCCTGCCCTCTTCAAGTCAACACAGCCAATGGGTGAAATGATGGCGGCGAAAAGAGAACTGACACGTCTAGTCGATCCCAACCCTCACTGCCCATCAGACAGACTGCTGAAGCGCTGGAGCCTCCTCCCCATCCGAAGCCCGCGATCCCAGCAAGTCATCACTCTCTGGACCAGCGGATGCAGCTTCCTGCACCGCAGGCCAGGCGTCATCATCATCAAAATACGGCGGCGGAGGAACATCACCAGCCTCAGGCTCTCCGCCTCCTCCCTCTTCCTCCCTCTGCTCATCCACCGATGCATCAAACCTCACCACAGTCTCCCGATCCGGAGGAGGCGCCCAGAGTTCCCATCCGTAGAAGGCATTCAGACGCACAAGCACCCGCCCCATCAGGGCATGAGTCTGGTCCGCGAGCCTGAGCAGGCGGGTGGTCACGATGCGTGTGCGCCTTGCTTCGCGGTAAGAGAGGTATTTCTGCAGGTTTAAGGCGAGGATGCTGATGAAGATGAAGAGCAAGAGGACGGTGTTAAATGACGGCTTGCGCGAGGCTGGGACTTGGAACTCTGGCTGGGTGGCATTTCCATCGATGATGAGCTTTTGCTGGTTGTGCATTTCTGGTGATTGGGGGGATGGTGTGTTGTGTTGTTGTTGAGTACGATGACCCGTTCGGGAGTACTGAAGAGTATGCAAGCGAGTTGGAAGAGTGTTGGATACGATTGATGAATGGATGATGTGAGAGAAGGATGGTAACCGAACGATTCAAACAGCCTCTGGGAGGATTATTTTCTGTCATGACATAGACAAGAGCAGGGGAGGATAAGGAGAGTGCAATGTGGTCGCCGAGGAAGAAAGAGAGAAGAAGTGACCAAGGTGAGCCCTGATGTATTGGAAAGAGAAGGCGAGAGAACTGAAGGAGACTGCATATCGAAGTGGAGCAGCTACAAAGAACCTCAAAGATCACTTGTATTCCAACACGAAATCTTTGATTATCGCTCGTCTTCGTCGGATCAAATGGTGCCAGGCATTAGGGACAGGCAGTCTTCTGGCAGAAACCGAGTCAGTCGTACCACGGCTGTACAAATCAGAAAGTCATTGCCTGTATGATAGATTAAAAACAAGGCCGTCCTCGTCCTTCCTTTTCATCCTTCTAGACCCCCAGTCATCTCCCAGCGAAGCCCTAGCACGCAACGCCCGAGCGCCTTGCCGTGCCCGATCGTCCTCCATCATTCTAGCAATGCCGCCACCTGCTTGCAGTCACTCACCTCTTATTCCAAGAGGAAGGCTTCGCCCCTCTGTCCATCACTCACGCAACCCCTTAACAACAATTCTTCCCCAGCCCCGCCATTCCTCCCGCCGCGCCCCCAACCTGCACACCCGCCTGCTGCTGCTGCGCCTGCGGTTGCTGCGTATCGACAATGCGCTTCTTGATGTCGCTCGCGAGGTTGAAAAAGGCCTTTTCCACGTTGATGTTCGCCTTGGCCGAGACTTCCATGAAGGGGATGCCGAGCTCGTCGGCGAGGGCCTGGCCTTGCTCGACGGAGACGGCGCGCTTCTCTTCCCAGTCGCACTTGTTGCCGATGAGGATTTTGTTGACGCCTTCGGTGGCGTGTTGTTCGACGTTGGAGAACCACGTTCGGATGTCTGTAGAGTGTTAGCTTCGCCATGGTTGTTGCCCTTCCTCATAGACGCACTGTTAAAACTCCTCTCATCCGTCACATCATACACCAACAAAATGCCCATGGCGCCGCGGTAGTAGGCGGTGGTGATGGTGCGGAAGCGCTCCTGCCCCGCCGTGTCCCAGATCTGCAGCTTGACGCGCTTGCCGTCCAGCTCGATGGTTCTTATCTTGAAGTCGATGCCGATGGTTGTGATGAAGGAGGGGGTGAAGGAGTCTTCGCTGAAGCGCAGCAGACAGCACGACTTGCCCACGCCCGAGTCGCCGATGAGGAGGAGTTTGATCTGAGGGCCGGGTTGTTAGTTGGGTGTAGAGATGAAGGGGATGAGATGAGGAGGGGTGGGATGTTGAGGGGGTGTGGTGATTGCCTGGCACAGTATGGCTCAAGCACCACCTCCCGTTGGCACGTACAAGAAAGTCATAGTTTCTCGTGCCAGCCATGATGGTGTCCGGCCGCCGTCGCAGGCACCGCTAATCTCCTCGTCTCGTCTCCTTCAATAATCGCCGATGGGTAGGTGGGTGGAAGAGGGGTGTGCTTCCAAGACTGCCAGCTGCTTTGTTCTGTGATATTCTTTGGGCTGTTGGGTCGAGCGGTGAATAGAGAGGCGGGAGTGGGAGTGCGGCGGAAGTAAGAGTGGTGGTGATGTGGTTGTAGAGAGGACGGAGGGAGAACGTAAGTCTTATGCGGGACGTTTCAACCGCAGCACATCCGTGATGCGACGACCCACGGGGCAGCGAAGTTGGCGGGCGCTCGGGAGGCGAGACCCCGAAATGCCAAGCCTTGCACGTGGTTGCCTCACCTCCCTCCATCTCTCTTTTATTAGCATCGGCAGTACATCATGCCTATCGCTGAAATCAAACACGAAATAGAATAGGGGGATAATCTATGAGTGTATCTCATTGCTTTTCCCATTCCATCCATCGGGATCGTGACCCAGCGCCGCGCTGCCATATTGCTCTCACCACCCATAGCACATAATCACGCCAACCACCTCCCATAAGCCCACCGAATCCTCTCCGCCACCTTCTTCTGCTTCTCAATGCCCGTCCGCACATCACACAGCTCCTCCGTCTCCTCGCCAAACTCCCGGAAAATCTGCGTCGGCATGACCTTCTCCGCCGCCAGCCTTAGCACATGCACCTCGCACAGCAGCAGCCCCTGATCCTTGTAATGCAGCTCCCCGAAATCCGTCGGCGCGCTGTCGACGAGGATGCGATCGATGTTGCGCAGCTGGCGGAGCATTTTGCCCTGCTTCTTGGCCGCTTTGGAGCCGCGCTTCTCGCTGAGGGAATTGCGAAGGGAGCGGGTTACGAAGTAGGTCACGAGGATTCCGGGCGTCAGACCGACGAAGCCGAAGACGAGTTCTTGCGATTTGAGCAGGGCGTCGATGCCGCCCATTGCGATTTCGATGTCGACTTTCGTCTTTTGCACTTGGATGAGGAGCGCGCGGATCAGATTGCCGCGTACGGTGCCCATGAAAGGTGAGGAGAGGTCTTTCTCGTATGCCCTGAGGACGGGGGTGAGGTCGCCTTCACGCACTTTGGCGCGGATGTCTGCGATTTCGACATCGGTCAGTTTGCCGCCCGAGTCGGTCGCATCGGCTGGGTTCGCAATGGCAAAGTCGACCACCATGCGTTCCAGGCTGTCGCGATCGCCTTGCAGCGAGCGTTTCGACATGATGCTGACTTCGCTGCCTTCGTCGTGTCGGATGGTGCCAATGACTTTGCGGGTGGGTTCGACGACCCAGTTGCGCCAGAAGTCGATGATGGTTGCTCCGAGGTCTTGTATCCATTGGACCACCTCCGCCTGCCGGTTGACCAGGATGCGCAGGACCGTGCTCGAGGAGAGGATACCAACCGTGACGGGAATCCAATAGCGTATGATACGTGACGGCTTCCCATGCTGGCGCACTAATGCCTTCGTAGACACGTCGTACTGAGGCAAAGCCAGAGTCAACACTCTCGACAGCCTCTCTGCCACGATTTCCGGCCGCAGCGAACCCGCATCGCTACGATCCGGGTCCTCCGAGTCAGCAGCATACAACGGGTCGTCCTCGGTCAAATGGGCAATCGCAGTATCAAACTGCTCCACTGGCGTCTCGACATCATTCGCCTTGGCCAACACCGCCTCCATCAACACCACAGTCCTCGCCACCGCACTCTTCCACTTCTCTCTCCCATCCCTCTCCCCAGGACTTGCAAGTCCATCCCCATGCACACTCTCATTCGCCAGCCCCTCTCCAATAAGCACGCCCAACGCATTCGCATTCCGTAGTCGAATCCTCCTCAACGCCTTCTGCTTCTCCCGCACCTCATTCCGAATGCGCGTCACCGGACTGAGAATCTGCGTATGCAGCTCCTGCACACTCCTCTCGCGCACCACCTGCCTGACCAACCCATAAAACTCCCTCCAGCTCTGCCTCACCGAGTTCCCCGCCTCCCGACCCGCAGAAGCAAAATCTCCTCGATCACCCGCTGCTCTCGCCCTCACATCGTCCCAGATTTTACTGCCCCAATCCCACAGCCGTAGAGGCGAGACTTGCGCGCTGTAGAGCGCCGTGTACCGCTGCGAGCTCAGCACTTCATCCCAGTACCACAGGTCATCGGCGATTTTAACTGTCGAATTGAGGATAATCTCAATCGCGAGGCCGTACACCAATGTTGTAGCTTTGGACGCTAAGAGCCATTCGAGCTCCGTCTCAAAGACATCTTTTTCCGCGGGTGGGGTGGCTTGCGTAGATTGCGAGGCTTCAGGTTGTGCAGAGAGGGCGGAGAGGTAGTATTGAATCTGGTAGGAGGAGAGGAGGGCGCGCCGATCAGAGACGCCGGGTGAGAGGGCGTGAATAGCAGCTTGGAGGGATAGAATTCGCGTCGAATGGCGGAAGGAGTCCCTGAGTGTGGAAGGGGAGGAGGAGGCGGAGACGTCCAAGGGCGCGGCGGAGGAAGTGGAGGAAAGTTGGACGCGATCAAGCTGGGCGTCGATGCGCCGCACTTGATCGAGCACGAAGCTCATCTCGCCTGACAATAGACGGTGGCTGTAGACTGGGTTATTTTACGTCAGCATGAGTGTGTGACAAACGTGGTGGTTGTGGCTGGAAGGTGGAAGTTGTCGGCTTGATTCCGGTGCCGTTTTGGGAATTGGACAAACAGTGACGTCGAGCCAAGATTCTCCAGGCCATGTCGTGTCTTCAGTGTCCCATTGATATGAACGATTATTTTCGTACACAAATCTGAAGGAAGCAATACAAGAGTGTTGATCTAGCAACATGCGTGTCACTTGATAGGGAAAGAGCAACGTGGAAATGTGAAAGCACATTCGAGCTGCTCATCCACGCATACCGCAGGATGAGCCATTCATTCGTCTCTCTACAAATCTGCCGTGAAGAACTGAAGGATATGCACAATCTAAAAGCAACAAACCCGCCCATCGTTCCCATGCTGATCGATGAAGAAGGTCAGAGAGAACACCCCGACGCCTTACGAGGGAATAGCCAACAGCCGCACGGATGGCTTTCCAAAAAATCAACAGTAGCGCTCCGGAGTCCTGCTCGGGGAACAATCGTATCCCTTGTATCCACCGCACCATCTATTGCACCTTCCTCAACGCGGCAATCCTCTTTTCTCTCCGCCTCTTGACCGCCTCGGGGCTGTTCTCGGTGTCGCAGATGTAGTCCCACCACCTGAACGAGCTGGAGTAGTTGCCGATGAACTTCTCGTGATGCTTGTCGTGGAAGTCGGCACCACCCCACCACGGGAACCAATGGCGCATGCTGATGGGAAAGTCGTAGCCAGAGTGGGCGTCAATGGCCTGGAACAGGCGCAGGACAATCCACATGTACATGGTGAAGACGTGCAGGTCGCCAGTCAGGGCGCACCAGACAATCGGCACACCCACGGTCCCCAGGCCGAGAAACGCGACCTCGATTGGTGAAGCATATTCGGCGGCCATTCCAAAGGGCGCGGAGTATTGATGGTGGATCTTGTGCACGTACTTGTACATGGGGCCCCAGTGAAGGAAGCGATGTTGCCAGTAGTGCCACGCATCTTCGAGGACGAAGAAGAGGGCGATCTGGAAGGCCATCTTCCAGAGTGGCGGGAAGGGGGCGGAGATTTTCATGCCGCAGTAGTGGGCGAGGGGATGGAAGAGCCAGATCTGGGGTAGTTCGACGGTGAAGTGCTGGAGGAGGACGAGCTTCGCGCAATTCCATTGCTCTTTTGCCGAGGGTACTTTTGCCTGTTCAGAGCCATCGTCAGTCCCGAGTTCAATCCACCATTAATCGTGGAGGTGGCGACTCACATCTTGAATCTTGTACTTGTTCATTGACGGCATGCAGTCGATAATGATCCACGGAAGACTCCGCCCAAAGTATACCAGCTCATGCATGACGAAACTGAGGATGCCGGTGGCGAGGGTGTCGTTGTTCATGTACGCATACCACGCCTCCCACAATCGCTCAAAGTAGTTGAGTTGTAGTTGTGTCTTGGAAATCTCGTAGAACTCGTGCCAATAGGTGTTCTGCGTGTGAGGGAGCATGACGTCGGCGATGGCGGTGTAGGTGGCATTGTTGCTGTTTGAAAATGGGTCAGTGAACAGTTGGAGGAGGAAAGTGGCGGTTTCTTTGTTGGAAACACGGGTGAAGGGAAACGTACAACACCGAGCCCATGGAGAGCGTGGTGGCCATTGTGTTTGCCTCTCGAGTGTGGTGGGTTGTGATCAAAGACAATTCCAGAGAGAGGAAGGTGTCAGGTTAAGGGAAGAAACTGAAAGACACACAGAGATGCAAAGAACAACGCTCGCAAAACCAGAGCATGCTCCCTAACGTTGAAGGCGGTAGGGCAAAAACGCGTGACGCTGGGGATAAAAAGTGGCGCGACTTTCAATTTCTCAGAGTCGCATGAGCCCACATTAGAGTTTTTGAGGGGCAGTGGCGATCTAGCGCTAGCTCAGGGCAACGTGAACTAAGGTAGCTCAGGGTGAACGCGAGTTTGAATCGGAGTCTTGGCAGGAGTGAGGCATTTGTATTAAGCCAGGGTAGGGGACTTGCACGTGATGTGGAGTCATGTGACCGAAGGCCTCTGCGAGACCAGTCCATACAGTTTCATGTGTTCGCATTACATTCGTTTACTCTCTTTTCGCAGGAGCTGGCTTACATCAGGCTATACAGATAGACAGACAGCGGTCCTATACTTCCCATTCTCAAAGCACGACCCTTCCCACGGAACGAGCAACACCATTGCTGCCACCCCTAGCGGTGGTCATGCGGATCCTTCGAAGCACCACAGCTCCGACGCAATGCATGCGGTCAACGCTGTTGACGGAGTCCGGGATCGTGCCGAAATTTTCTGCGCGCAAGAGACGCGCTGCATCCAGGAGGCTGCGCTGCTATGGTCCGTCGCGCCTACGTCTCCCCGTTGGTTGATCCACTCCCTGGCTCACCGAGAAGGACACTCAAGATCATCCGATTCCTCGAAGAAGATGCGAAGATCTGAGTTGTTCTCATCCGATTGACATGGCGGTCGGTTGACGAGGTGTTGTTGATAGCCTCGCGGGCGGGGCCAGCTTGGCGCAAGGCCAAAGTTCAGGCATGGGGCTGCTGGCTCGCGACTTCCTCCCTTCCTCAACTTGAGACGAGGAAAGTGCTCCCTTCAGACGAGGAAGGTGGGAAAAGCCAAGGCGCCCACACGTTGGGATTTCGAGAGTAGGGTCGAGTTAGAGTCTTTTGTAGAGCACCGTAAAGACATTGTCAAGTTCATTTGTCGTAGCCATGCACACGGAGTTGACGTTTCCCGCGCGCCGTCTGCCCGACTGGGACAACAGCTTCGGTATGGGTACGCCCTGCCGTCGCTGGGAGACCGCCATGGATGTGGAGGGCGACGATCCGGCCCAGTCACCTTCCGACGCTCTGGCCTGCGATGATCCCGTCGCCGAACGGGATCAGATTCGCGCAGAGCTCGCCGGGGATGGGTTAGGGGAGCCTGACATTGAAGTGGAGGTCTTCGTCCCAGTCGAGGCCGAGGACGAGGACGACGCGGCCGGGCGTATGTTGCAGCATTGTCGAGCATCATCGTGACTTTCTAACCGTCTCGCAGCGCCGAAGAAGAAGGGCAAGAAGGCCGGCAGTATGTCGCAGAGGGTGCGTACCGTAGCATGGCAAGCGTTGACACCGTGATCAGAGAACGCCACCACCGCCGCCGCCACCACCCCCTCCTCCTCCTCCCCGCCCTACCCCTTGTTCGCCCCGGGGGCCCCCTTCGTCTTCCCCTTGCCGGCCTCGCCCTCCGCCCTCCTCTTCTCCCTCCTCTTCCCCTTCGCGCCCCCGCCCGCCTTTCCCTCGCCCTCGCCCGCCCCCGCCCCCACCACCACCATCACCACCAGTACGAGCTTCCTGTTGAATCCTGGTCCCAGATGGCAAATGCTAATGTGTTGTAGAACGGTGAAGGAAGAAGAAGACGACGGAAGGTAGTTCCAGGACGATTTCGACGGTATGCTTGCCCAGTGAGATGCTGACTTTGATTCAGCGTCGTAGAGCTGCAGCAATCTTTGCGCGCGTTCTTGGTTCCGCTGTAAGTTACTCGTTCGCAGTATGCTCATCTCGTCAGCAGGATCTAACAAGACTGCGCCATGTCGACGCAGATTTCTAACCAAAAAACCCAAAAAATCCAAAAAAAAAAGCCTTCGCGGGTTGTCCGATCTATCCAGATTATTCGGCAGTGAACACTCGTGTTCCCGGGTCTAACAGGCCGCATCCGACACCTCCGCGAAGCACCGTATCGTTGAGCGAATTCCTCCGCACAGCACCAACAGCGGCTGTTACTCCACCAGTGCTGAAAAGCGCCGGCCGCTCGCCGCAACCCTCCGAAGGCCGGCAATGGGCGAGAGGCCTCGACTCGTGGGATTGTCCCATACCGCCGAAACCCGCACAAGGTATCTCGCGGGGCATGTACGCCATTCTTGTCTTATGTATTGCTGACATACATCCGTAATAGCGATCGAGTATGCCATATCTGAGCCGACCGTGTGGCAAAGCGAATTTGCTGCACAAACTGCACAGTCCAAAGGAGAATTCCGCAACAGGACCAGCGGCGATCGATCGACATGCAAAGAAGTTCCTGCCACGAATTAGCCTCGCTTGTTGGCTCGCGATTTGATCCAGACCCCTCTACCTTGCATGTCCCCTGGGTACGACGTTTCGGGAGCTACACGCTGCCTGCACAATTCGATCGAAGGCCAGCAACACCTGCGGGTTGTCTGATCTAGGTGGAGGGGTGGGAGCAGGGCCGCCGCAACACCATTCCGAAGCCCAGCACCACCTGCGGGTTGTCCGATCTAGGTGGAGAGACTGGACCAGGCCACCGCAGCCCAGTTCCGAAGCCCAGCAACATCTGCGGGTTGTCCGATCTAGGTGGAGGGGTGGGAGCAGGCCCGCCGCAACACCATTCCGAAGCCCAGCAACACCTGCGGGTTGTCCGATCTAGGTGGAGAGACTGGAGGGCTTCATCAGCGAGATCAATCCGGGCCGCATGTTCAATGCACAAGACCCCGCACAACACTGTGCAATCCTGGACGATGACCTGAGCCCTGCTCGAGCAGACGCCGGAAGTCGCCAGACTGCAATATACAACTCGCCGACATATCGCCACATTTATCCGCCATTTCCTGCCTCTTGTCTACGCTTCGGTGGTAGCCGCACGGCACAATTTGATCGCCGAAATCTCTTGCATCGGAATCGTCTTTGGATCGGAATCGTCTTGGATATACGCCTGGTGTTCTGCATCATGGACACGGCCAACTGCGAATATGTTTTTCGATATCGAAGGATCTAAAGGCAACGTCGCTACGAACGCCTGCAACACATCAGTCACCGCTGGATACGCCACTTTCGCTCGCATCAGAGTCAAAACTTGGATCGATTTGCGTCACCGATTTTGGACATGGATTTGGGATTATGCTGTGGCACGCCCACCCGTTTGGACCGAGTAGATGGGTTGGGTCAGGAGGAGACGGCTTGAATACGCGCCCAAAGCGCCTTTGGGAAGTCGGGCAATGATGAAGGGAGGAACCCGGAGGCTTTCGCCTCGGCCTGGGGAAGTGGTTGCCGATCAAATTACGCTTTCCGGGGGCCGCTCGCGAGTGCGCACAAGTCGTCAATGCAGACGTCACTCTTTGAGCACTCAAGTCATGTTTGTACCAATACCTACAGATCGCAACAACGAGCCGTCTGTCAAGTCTTGACCATCTGATTTTCGCTCCGAACCCTAACGGATGCGCTCTCGAGAAGGGCTCTTTCGATTCTCTTCACCAGACCCGCCGACCTTCACGACTTCTGAAAGGGGCCAAGGTGACCAAGTATAGCGCTGGTGTAGGGATTTGAGGTGATAGCCGCCCCATGTCGAAGTCCAGCCTCTTGACGATGGTCATCTCCATAGCATGAGGGCAATGTGGTAACCATCTGAGTACACGAGCCTTACTGCCCACTGAACGATTACTGCCAGACGCCCTGCAGCTCCCGCTTTTAGCACTGCCAGGCCTACAATGCGGGTAGTTGCAGAATCGAAGAACCAGGCATGTCACACATCGCGGCACAACTCCCAAGCAATCTGGTAGCAATGCCCGCCGCTTATGGCTCACCTCGCCGTTACGATCGACTTCTGCTGGCGCTGGCGACGATTCCATTTCACGCGATGATACGAGCGCTCCGCGGAAGTGCACGTGCAAGGTCGCCCGCCACGTCGCTCCGTTTGCATGTGCACTCATGCACGGTGTGTTGCACAAGTTTGGTCATTGATTCGCTAGATTCACCTCTTCCCAGGCTCACTTTCAGCCACGGTCTTCGTTTCACCCCCTTCCTTTGAGTGTAGGCGCTTCATGCCCTTCGCAAACACCCTCACTTCTTTGTTAGCTTGCAGTCACCCACCACATTCACTGCATCTCCCTGGTGCCTATCTACAAACTCCCCAACTCCTTTGACTTGTTCCCCTCCTTCTCATCTCCTATCCCAGCGGTCGCTCTGCGCTATCCCCCCCACCTCCTCGCCAACATGGCGATCCTCGATCGCGACAAGATGACCGACGAGCGCGAAATCAAGAACCACTTGTTCCGGTTCAACGGCCCTTACGACTTCACCGATCTTGCCAAGAACATCATCCCCAACTCGCCGGACGACTACGGCGTCGTCTACGGGCTGGCTTCGAAGCAGGGCTACGTCAGGGTTAGGCTTTTGTCGAGGGAAACCGATCACGTTGGAAATGTCCCACTCCACATCATCGACATCTCGACAGCCATCCGTGGAGACATGAACTTCAACTACAAACAATTGAGGACCTTCAACCCGACAGACATCAACACTGAGAAGCTGATGACAAGAGAGCATGTACAAGGCGGCACTGGAACCCATTTCAGTCTTCAGAAACACGTGGAAGTCTTCCTGACTGGTGTGGTCCAATACAAAAATCGGATTCCGGAGCTTGAGCGGTACATCAACTACCTTGGAACTCAAAAGAAGATTGAGCACACGGTTCAGTCATTCATCTACAACATCAACAAGGCTTCGAATGACCTCGTCAGAGTCCTGAGCAAGAAAGACTTCACCATCAACGACGTCGAAATTGCCACCAAGGAATATGGCAATGAGACGCAGGGGATCTTCGACAAAAGTCTTGTGCAAGGAGTCTACATCATCATATACCGAGATTTTGACCCTTCGGACTTTGAGCACGCCAGGCTCGACGGCGTTGTCAAAGACAGCGAAGGTGGGGTCCTCCTGGGATTCGGCGATCATGCTATCTATGTCGGCCAATCGGTCAACATGGCGGTTCGTCTAGGATCGCACAGATACGATATGTACAACAGTTCCAAGAAGGGCTACGGGGGAACCCACTACTACGTCGCCCGCCGTGCCAAAAAGTGGAGCGCAAGGAGACTCCTCAATCAATACGACGCCGAGGGGGGAAACGCAGTCCAGGCGGGCCTACTGCTTGACATATACGAGAATGTCTTCATTGTCTTGCTCAGAGCATACCACAACGGCGTGCTCAACTGGAATACAGAGACGAGGACTGGGGTAGAGAATGTTGAGGATGCCATCACCAAAGACTATTCTCGGAAAGAAAGGTGCCTCTTGTTTGACGATCTCGCAACCGCAACATCTCGGCAAACGGGATATGCTGATCCCAAGGATCCAGATCGCCACAACGCATTCGGGGTGAAGACAGGGTTGAATGCTAGCAGCCCTATGACTGAAGGAGAGCATGAATTATACTCGAAGAGGATCTGGAGTCTGATTCGCAAGCCAGAGATCAACCGTCTTGAGTTTCACCGCTCGGCCTTGATCGCTGGAAGCGCTAGCAAACAGATGACTTTGTTTGACTTGTCGTATAAAGAGAGCTATACCACTATAGCTACCTTCAGGATCCAAAGACCACCCGGCGACGATTTTCCCAGTCCGGGGGACGAATTCTACGCAGTGTGGGAAGTCAGCACAAGAGGATCGCATCCAGTGCCATACTTCCGCATTCAAAACATCGGCTGCTGGTCAAACTGGGGATACGCTCTGCGACTTGCGTTCAAGATAGTGTGGAAGAGCAAGAAGACCGGCAAATGGCGCACGAAATACCTTCAAAGCGCAGGGAAGCTCCGCAGTCACGATGCGAAGCGTGCTGGCTCTTTGGCCGACTACTGCTGGGGCGTGGCAATCTATGCATACCTCATGCGATCAGCGTGGCCGGAGAGGCAGAGTTTCGTTCCAAATTTCGGTCTGGCCCACGTCGTCGAGGTCACTGTCAACCAGTTTGAGCAGACCGCTCATTGTGTCCCAGTCACGGAGCCACTACAAGAACTGAAAGGGCCAAATTACGAGTTTTCTCTCGCTGTCGCGACGATGAAGCGGCTTACCGTGCAGGTTGGGACTGTGACGCAGCGGCTACAAAACGTCAACGGCCCCTGGCAGTCGCTCTCATTTGAGTGGGTAGAAGGGCACACACAGAGATACATCGACAACGCCAAAGCGGCGGGCAGCACTGCTGAGTCCGCGAGGGACGAACTCTCCAGGTTGAAGAAGCGCACCATGTGCGATTCGTGTTGGCTACAACATAATGTAAGTAATTGCGGTCTTAATGGCCGTCTTGTTCACTAACAACCACACAGTCCTCGAAAGCAGGCGGACAGGTGCAATGCACTCAAGTCAAGAAGTCTGACGGCACTCTAATGAACTGGTGTGAGCCCTGTCGTCTCAAGGGGATTGCATGCAGTTGGACTCGAACGGATTGGCTTGGTGGAGATGGTTTCGATGAACTGCTACCAGGGAAGGCGCCCTCCAACCCACAATGCAGGCCTTTACGAGGTGCATTCCACGATCTGCTGCTCAAAGCGGTGCTCAAGCAGCCTCGCGCAATCGATGCAGCCACGGCAACATACGAGACACGCGACCCTGACTACAAGAAAGTAGTGGGCACAGCGGAAGAGGGTGATGATGATGATGCTGATGATGGTGGCGAGAGGCAGGCAGATGCTAGTAAAGGCAAGAAGCGCAAAGAGCCGGCAAAGAAGTGAGGTGTGAAGATGGGATTCGGGAGAGGATATCCTACTCGAGAGGGCGACAGACTACTGGCATGGCTTCATAAGCAAGGGCACTCGGTTCGTACATGGGGGAGGCCGAGAGGAGAGCGATCGCCATCATCATCACTTCACGCGATGATGGTACTTGCGCTTGCAATCCTCTTGGTTGCGGATTTGTTTCTTTCAATAGCTCAGAGTAGAATGCACGAATGGTACGTACCCTCATTCTCGCGTGGGCAATGTGTCTGCCGTGCAGTGGCGACGGCCTCGTAGTGGCGTCACTGCGCGTGAAGTAGATGGTACTTCTGCCGGCACAACCTTGTACCTCGTATGCTTGTCTGGTTGGCATATCCAACCATTAGGTAAGATTCTTGACGAGAGTGCGCGCACGGCTGGCTATTCCCAAGCAGCAACACGAATGCAACGAAAGCGACAGTCTTGCACCAACCTCATATAATCGCCCAGACAATTGCACGAAGCTCAAAGAAAAGCCATAGGCGGAATAATCTTGCACGACCATCTAACAAACCCATAGAAGAGGGCAATACCTGTGTCTGTCTGTCTGTCTGTCTTGTCTGTCTGCAGTCGACAACGCGACCAACCAACCAACCATAATACCGTATACATCCCCCACTCCCATCCTCAATCTTCCCCATCCCATAACGTAAAAGTGAGTGTGAGGTCGGAATATGCACAAGAAGCACAGAGTCTCATCTTGTTGTCGTAGTCATCAAAAACCACCCACTCTGCCCTCCCTCCCTTCCATCCCACACTACCGCCCCGAGCCCGAAGACTTCTTCACCTCCGTCGCCCACCCCTCAATCCCATCCCCCTTACTCCCCACCTCAACCCCCAACTTCACCCCCTCCATCCCTTTCGTCTTCTCCAAAAACGGATGATTCGACATCCCGCCCGCATTCGCGCGCTCCGCAGGAAGCAATTCCAACATCGGGATCAAAAAATCGGCAATGCGCTTCGCCTCCTCGACAGAGAAGTGGTACTTTTCGCGCAGCACGTCGGGGAGGGCCCAGTGGCGCAGGCGGTGGATGTTGCGCAGCTCGCCCTTGCGGTTGAAAATCTCCTGCGACCACTTGCCCGCCAGACACAAGGATTTCGGGAACGTGCCGAGGAGTTCGATGATTTGCGCAATGTGGTCGTCGTCTTTGCCGTATTTCGTGCCGGATTGCGGGTCGAAGAGGTAGTCGCCGGTGATGAGTTCGAAGACCTGTGATGCCTGTTAGACGAGGAATATACTTGGTTAGCTGGGGGTTACGCACCATGCATGCCATGCTCCACACGTCTGTGCTCGCGCCCCATTTCGCGCCCAAGATGACTTCGGGCGAGCGATACTGTCGAGTCTGAATGTCGTTGGTGAAGTGATGTCCCACCCAGCATGCATTGCCGAGATCCGCAATCTTCACCGAGATGATTTCGATGCCGTCGCCCTTCTCCAATTCCTTCGGCTGGACATGTGTCGTCTTGTCGAGGTCAATGTCAGATACATTATTGGCGAGTATATCGCTGCGTCCAAGAGTGTCAGTCGTCGTCATCAGCGATGCATCAGGGAAAACCCACGCAGTCTTTTCCCGCTCCTTCTGCGAATCCACCTGCTCCAACTCCTCCCCGCCCGACTTGATCCCCAACATCTCCACCATCGACCTGACGGCCTTGGGAGGGGTGGGGGGATTGGAGGCTACAACGGCACCACTCATCTCAGCACCACCACTCGACGAGGGAGATTGGCCATGGATGGCTTCGTTACCTTTGCTGTCGCTCATGATGCGGTTCAAACTCTGCGTGCTGCCGGGGTAATTCGTAAGGTCGTTATTGGAGAAGGAGGCGTTGAGCGGGCTGGGCAGCGGCTGGCTGCCGGTAATGAGCGTTCTCCGTCGCCGCCTGCCGTTGCGGTGGTCGTCCTTTTCCTTGTGTTCGTCTTTGACGTACGTCTTGACAATCTGCTCCACGTCGCCAATCTCAATCAGCACGTTCTCGGGCTTGAGGTCGGTGTGGATGATGCCGCATTCGCGGTGGAGGTAGTCGAGTCCGAGCAGGACTTGTTTGGTGATTTGCTTCACCAACGGCATGGGGATGCCACGGTGATTCCATCTCTTGATCAAGCCGAGCAGGTTCTCGCCCAACACCTCAAACACCATGCACACATGCATGCCGTGCGGGCCCTTGTGGTTGAAGGAGTCCAGCAAGCTGACGACGTGTCTTCGGCCCGGGTGGTCTTTGTTCGCCTCCACCACCTTGTTGAGCAGCTTGATTTCATCGAGCGCGGTCTCGGTATAATGAGCGGCGGAGCGCACCACCTTCAGCGCGACGTGCTTGCCGGTGGTGTTGTCCTTGGACAGCCATACAGTGGAGAAATGGCCCCAGCCCAGCTTGCGCACGACCGTGTATTTGCCGTCTTTGTACTGCTCGCCGACCTGAACCGGGTGGTAGCCACCCTTGCAGTAGTCTTCCGAGTCTTCCTCGTCCGCGGTATTTTCGGTGGCTTCATCGCCCGATGATTCCGAGCCGGAGGGGGATTGATGGAGGTCGTGGCCGTACGCCGCCGCCTTTTGGTGGTTGAGGGGGGAGTGTTGGCTTTGCGCGCTGCTCGCATCAGTACAATTGCATTTACACGGACAGGAGCAGGAGGGCCTACCTGTACGGATTGCCGCCGGCGCCTTGCTGCTGCTCGGTGGTGATGATGGGCTTCAGATCCTGCTTCCTCCGCTTCTTCCCGTTGCTGCCATTGGAGGAGGAGGAGACGGCATTGCCGACCTGCTTGGCTTTATTGATGGCCGCCTTTTTGATGCCCTCGGTGCCGTTCATGATGTGCTGGCGACGGCGGCAGGGGGTGGATTAGGTGGCGAGTGGATGCTAATCCGGCGGTTTTGGCTTCGGCGGTGTGCGCCGCATGGGAGGGTGGTGACGTGCTTGTTGGGCGATGCGCAGCTCCTTCACTTTCTCGCGGCGGCTCTGCTGGCAGCGTGTGCGGGGGACACCAAGCGAGGGTGGGAGGGTGGATGATGAGGAAAAGAGGTCAGGAGCGGGTGGGAGCAGGGGGAGTGGCGAGGAATACGAAAGCAAGCGGCAGGAGGGGATGAAGTCAACGTGAAGCCAGCAAGCTCGGGTTGGAGCGAGCGAGCGAGCGGATGTCAAAAGGCAGATCCTTGGCTCCGCCGCCTGAACTGCCCGCGCGCTTTCCACCAGCTGCGCGCTCCTTTTCTGAAACTAGCGGGCGAGGATCGATCTGCGTTGGTGCTGCCGAATTGCTGGAGTTCGCTGGGCTGGCTCCGCTGCCGGCCAATCGAGTGGGCGGAGAGGATGGAAAAGCACGCACAAGCTGGCGCGCTGTGCAGACAAGCCTCAGCTGGGGGAGTGGAGGGCGGAAAGGACGCGGAACCACGTCGGTGGTGTTGGGATGAGCAATATGGAATATGTAAGCACCAAGGGCACGTGTGACACTGTCTAAAGTAATGTTGGATGGATGCATGCCCAAGACCCAACGTCACCTGTCCGCTGCCCGATAGACGGAGGACGGGCAAGATCTTGATGCAATACGGCAGCTGACGAAGGTGGCGTTGCAGCCAATGCAGCTCTTCGGCAACCACACATCATGCACCCTGGCCCTGTCCACGGGACTTGTTGCCAGCCTGATTGGGGAGTCATTCACCTTGCCCCCGGACAACTCATGCTCACTGGCCACTCGTGACTTGCTCCTGGCCATCAATCATCCATCATGCCATGCGTCCGTTTCACTTCGCAGTAATGGCAGCCATCCACCTTTGCTCGTCTTGCCTGTAACCACACTCGTCAGCACTCATCCACCATAGCAGCAGCACGTAGTCAAGACTTACTTGTCAAAATGCAACAACATCCCCAACACCGGCACCAACTGCACCTGATGCTTCTTCTCCTTCTGCTCCAAAAACTGTAACAGCACATTCTTCAAATATGCCGAGTCGACCGCCTCCTTCGCCCCGCCGCCTCCATTCGACAAAGACGCCACGCGCGACGAATCCGTCGACGATCGCGATGACCGCACCTCCTGCTGCTGCTGCTGGCGCTGGAAGCGCGCACTCGTCTGTAACCCCCGCAACTCCTCCGCCATCGCCTTGCTGGACTTTTGCAGCTTCTCCAGCTTGCCATCCCGCTCTTCCACCGTCCGGCGGAGCTCGGCTTTCTGCTTCTCCAGCTCGCGCGCCTGCCTCTCTCCTTCGTCTAGCGCTTCGCGCAACTGTGTCATTGCCGTCCGCACCTCGGCCAACTCTTCTTGCGCCTGTGAAGCCCGGCGTTCCAGATCGTCTCTTCGACTGCGGTACTCGCGTTCGCGGCGCTCGGCGTCTTCGCGCGCTTCGGTGGCGCGACTGGACTCGCGTTCCGCATCGCGCAGCTTCGCTTTCAGCTCTTCAATCTCCCGCCCCTTCTTCCGACTCAGCGTGCTGGCTTCCATTTCCGCTCGGTCGCGCTCTTCCGCAGCGAGATCCATCTTCTCCCGCGCTTCTTTCACTTTACTCTCCGCCCGTCCTTCCACATCCGCCAGTAAGCGACGCATCGTCTCGCCTTCCCTCCCGCGCTCGGAGAGCAGTCGATGCGCATCGCTCAATTCCTCCTCAAGACTCTCGTTCCTCTCCCGAATCTCCTTCATCTGCGTCGCCAACTCGCGCGACTGATCCTGCATGCTGTCCACCAAACTCTGCGCACTCGCCTGCTGCGCCTCTTTGAGCTGCATCTCCTCCCGCACGCTCCTCGCTTCGTTGCGGAAAGTGTCGACCTGCTTGCGAAGCTCGTCCACACTCGCCTTGGAAGCCCGGAGCTCCTCTTCCATCTTCTTCAACTCCGTCTGCGCCTTGTCTCGCTTCTCCACAGCCTCGTCCCGCGTGCGCTCATTCTGCTCGAGGTCCTTGCGTGTGCGCTCGCACGTATCTTCCAGCGCCTTGCTCCGCTCATCACCCTTCTTCACCTGCTCTTTCAATCCTCCAATCTCTGTTTTGAACGCGGCGATCTCCGCCTTCAAGCTCTTCTCCTTTCCTTCCAACTTCTTCACCCCGGCACTCGCCTTCTCCAGCTCCGCCTTCACCCCCGCTACGTCCTCAGCTTCCTGCTTTAGCCGCCTCAGCTCCGGCTGCACTTTATTCAAATGCTCCCGAAGATCCGTCAGGTCCTTGAAACGATGCTGCGCCAGCTGATTCGCAGCCGCAAGATCCGTTTCCAGGCCCATCGCGCGCGTCTTCAGCTCGCCAAAGTCCTTGCTCAACGTCGCGTGCTTGGCATCCAGCTCTGCGCCGCTCGCCGTCTGCTGCGCCTTCAGCTCTTCAATCTGCTTCTCGCTCGCTTCCTTTGCGACTTGCAGCGCTTGACTCGCTTTCTCCGATGCTTCCAGCTTCTCGGTGAGTGCTTGCAGTTCCGCTTGTGATGCAGAGCTCGTAGACTGCGACGTCTTCAGCTCTTCGATTTCAGCGGCCAGCTCATCGCATCGCTTCTGAAGACCATCGCGCTGGCTCTCAGCCTCTTTCAGACTCTTTCGCACCCGCGTCGTCTCGACTTCCAGCTCGTCGAACTCAGCCTGCACTTTCTGCCGATGCTCGCGCAGCGTCTGAAGCTCGTGTTTCGCGGAAGTGGACTCGGATCCAGCCTCGATCATAGAATCTCTCAACGTTTCGATTTCTTCCTTCAAGCCCTCTTGATCTTCCAGCTTCTTATCCAGTCGCTCAATAGCAGCCTCCTGCTGTCCAATTCGGTGGTGCAGAGCCTGGATCTCCTCATCCTTTTCGCGGATCAATTTGATCTTCTCGTCAATCGTCTGCTCTCTTTCTTGAATGGTTTGCTGCTGCGCCGCGTGCTCGTCATGATACGTCGCCCGCTCCGCGCCCATTCTTTCAAAGTAAGCTTTGACAGCTTCCGGTAGATTTCCGTCCCCGGTCTTCCTGTGGAGCACTTCGCTCATCCGCGCGGGGTTCTCAATCAGATCTTCGACTGTCAGCTGAGGTGTAGGCTCCTCTGGTACGGGTGACGCGATCGGCGATGATTCGGTTGCATCCTTCTTTTTGCCCTTGGACTTCTTCTTTTTCTTCTTCTTGGCGTCCGAGACAGCCAAGTCGCCGCCGTCAACTGATAACGAGGGAGTACTGGCTTCAGTCGGTTGGGTCGATGCCTCGTTCTGGCCGGTGGTCTCAGATTCGTCCTTGGCCAAAACCGCCGTGCCATCGCTCAGTGCTGGCCCGGCGTCCTTCTCACGGGGAGTCTCCGGCACAGCGCACTTCCCACAATCCAGAATCATCTGATACGCATCGTCGCGATCCTTCTCCGTCTTCTTCAGTTGGCTGCGCAGACTCGCAACAGCAGCTTCATGGCCCTTCTTGCTCTCCGCCAAGCGCTGCGCATCATCGCGCTCCGCCTCCGCCTGCGTCGTCTTCTTCTTCCACGCATCCACTGCATCCTCGTAGCCCCTCAGCCGCGCAATCAACTCACCCGACGCATTCGTTTCCGATTCCAAGCGGTTGATTTCGAATTTCAACTCCTGCGCCCGGCCTTCGGCGATTTGCTTCGCCTCCTCGGCTTGTCTGACTTGGTCGCGCAGGGCATTGACGACGTTCTGGTTGATTTGCTTCATCTTGTCTTCGCGCTGGAGGTCGGTTTCGCTCTTGGGGTCTCCGTTCGACTGACGATATTGTTCCGGAAGATCATTGACCAAGCCTTGCACCCGCTCTTCTCTCTCCTGTGTTGCTTTGATTTTGGCAGACAAGGCGTCGATGTCGCGCTGTTTGACGGCCACTTTGTTCTCCATTGCGCTCAGATCCACCTGCGAAGCTTCGAGGTCCTGTCGTAATGTCGCATTCTCATCCGAGAGTTCGTTGATGTAGGCGGCCTGCTCGGTAATCTCGCTCTGTTGTTGCTCGATCTGAGTCTTCTGCTCCTCGACAGTGGCTTCCAGGCGTGGCAATTCGGTTTCGTAGGAGAAGAATGTCTCATCCTCGGTTGCCTTGTTCTCTGTCGAAGTCGCCTGGGTAGCCGTGCTTGGCGATTCTTCTGCCTCCTTCTTAGCCTCTGTATCGGCTGGCTGTGATTCCTTCGCGTCCTGTTTCTCCTTGCGAAGGCCTGCAGCCTCGTCAAATGCATCCTTGGCCTTCTTCGCCGCCTCCTCAAGCTTGACCTTCAACTCATCCCGCTCCTTCACCAAGCCCTGGTTCTCCGAGCTCACCCGCTTGAATTCTTCCCGTACCATCTCACTCTGCACATTGCGCTGGGTGAGGAATTCCACCAGCGCGCCTGGATCGGAGATCGAGGTAAGCGAAGTGTGTTCGCGCAGGGTGGCTTCGAAGGGCTCGATCGAGGCGACGCGCGCATGGGCGGTGCGGTAGTTGCGCAGGAGGTCTTGGTATCTGTTCGTCAAGGTCTCGAGCTTGGCGAGTTTCTTTTGTACTTCCTCTGGCAGTACATCCTCTTTTGGTGCCGCATCCTTGCCTGTGTCCACTGACGTCGCGGGAGTGTCGGGTTGCTGCTGCATGCTCGTGCCCTCGCTCGCCTCTGACTTCTTTCCTTTGTCGTCCTCCTGCTTCTCCCCATCTCCCTCCTGCTCGTCCAATATCGGCCCGAAAGCATCTTCCTTCACAGGCGCGGGAGTCGCGACACGGGAGATGTCCGACGCATCATCTCCAATGACAAAGTCATCCGGATCCGGTGTCTTGGGCGGAACTCCACCATCTCCATCCCTGGCTCTCAACCGACTCGCCGTCCTCCTGCCCGCAGCCGAGTCTGCGTTTGAGGCATTGCGTTTACCAGCCGCGCCGCCCGCTGCTCGACGGGTTGCGGAGGAGGGAGGTGTCTTGCCTTGCTGTTGAGCCTGCTTGGCCTGTTCATCCGCAATCTGCTTGTCGAGGAAACTGCCAAACTCCGATTTAAAACGCTGCGGACTGCCAGTCAGCGGAATGCACGCGTGCATCTGTCGGGATTCGGTGCCTTTGCTGTCGTACCTGAAACATCGTTGCGCCTGTCCGCCTTTGCTCGCGCTAGGAGCATTGTATCATTGGCGGTGATGCTGTGAAGACAAAAGAGAGAAGACACGGAAGGATAGGGAGGACGGTGTTTCATTGTTCGTGCCACCTCGCATGCGCTGTCGTTTCGTCCATCGCTCGCTCCGAGCTCGGAAAACGTCGGCGCTTGGACCTCCAAAGGCCAAAAGTAGAAATTCACGATCTTTCGTCCGTCGACGACCAACGACTACATACAAATCAATACATACCCAAATATGCCTACGGAGTTGGAGGAGGTAGGTTAACACCATTGAAAAAAAAACTACAGCACCAGTGCTAACCACCGCCGCCAGCTCGTCGAGTTCCTCCACCATGGCAACACTCAGATCCGTCAAATCGGTATGCTCGAATATGTCCTAGATCGACCAGCATTTTCTAATCACATAAAAATGAATAGCCGCCGAGAATCTCGTGGGCTACTCAACCGCGCAACCGGCCTTGTTCAAACGCAACCAACTCGAACCGATCAAAGACCTCAAGCTGCTAGTCAGAGACTATGCGCCCATTGCGAAAAATGCCATCACAATGCTAGTTAATCTTTCCGACGACAGCGAGGTCCTCGAGAATCTAGTCAGCGACGCAGAATTTCTGGAGACATTACTGCAAAGAGTGACAGTACGTCGATTGGCCCTGTTTGAATCAACATCCCCCATACTCACACACCCCCCAGGACGCCAAAGAACCCCACGCAGACCTCCTCTGCATGCTCCTCGCCAACCTCGCCAAATCCCCGCAAATCACAAACCTGCTCACCCTCAAGCGCGCCGACATCCCCAAACCCCTCTCAACAAGTCCCCTAGCCATCGACCAGCTACTCGACTGCTTCGTCAAAGGCGCCAAAGGCAGCTACAACGAGGCGGCCAACTACGACTACCTCTCCTACCTCTTTGCCGATTTAGCCAAAGACGCAAAGGGCCAGGCGTACTTCCTTGCTCCGCGGGCGGAGGACGAGGGCATTGTGCCGATTACGAAGCTGATTGTCTTTACTGAGCACTCGTCGACGATTCGGAGGCGCGGAGTGGCGAATACGATTAAGAATGTGTGTTTTGATGTGAATGCTCATTCGCGCTTACTTGCTTCTGAGGGTGAGGCGGGTGTGGAGGAGGGAGAGGGTATTGGGTTGTTACCGTATGTTCTGCTGCCGCTTATGGGGAGCGAGGAATACGGCGAGGACGACACGGAAGGCATGCTGGACGAGTGTCAGCTTTTACCCCCTGATAAGGAGCGGGATAAGCAGGCCGACATTCTCATTACGCATTTGGAGAGTCTCCTTCTGCTAACCACGGAAAAGGAGAGTCGACGGCAGCTGCGTGCGGTGAAGGTGTATCCGATTGTGAGGGAATTGCATCTGCAGGTCGAGGATGAGGGCGTTCGGGAGGGTTGCGATCGATTAGTGCAAGTGCTTATGCGGGCAGAAGAGGGCGAGGAGACGGAGGAGCCCAGTGTGCCCAAAATCCAGGAGATTGAAGACGAGGATGAGGATGAGCAGATTGTGGATGTTGTTTAGCTACTACTGTGCATGAATCCCTGCCGTCAGGGCTGTAAGATCCATCGTTGTGCATGCTCGCAGGTCGCATCAATCACTATCTCCCAGCACAGCCTCAGCAGCGCCCATCGCAGTGCTCTCAGCCTGCGCCTCGTCCCGCCTCCGCTGCACATCCTCTAGCACTCTTCGTGCTTCATCCCCGGAAATCTCGCTCCAATTCTCGCGAGCCGGGTTTCTCCTCTTAGAAGAGTTCTGCGAACCTGCGCCGAGGGTTGGGAAGGAGTCGTCGTCGATCACGTCGAAGCGTTGCTGAGTTGCCGCGGCGCGAGGAGTATGAGATGCTGCGTGAGCGGCCCCTCTTGGCGTCGAAGGCTTGCCGCGCGGCGCATCACCGAGTCGTGGCTTGGGAGAGGTTGGCTGGCTGCCTCCATCTCTGACGTGCGAGTCCTGTCCGTTTCGAAGAGCCTTGTGGTCAGGCAGACCGTTTGCGGTAGAGTCCTGTGGCGCGTTCACTTTCGCTTTTGGCTGCTGCGAAATCTTCTGCACTTCTTCCGCCTCCGTCAAAGCTGCAAGCAACTCGCCATCATGCGGCTGCCTGCCCTGACCCACTGCCATCAGGATTCTCTTCGCACGGCGAAACTCATCTCTGATAGCCACAATACCCATATGAGTGACGGTGCGCGCGACGTTGTGACCGAGCTCGAACGGATCCTCGATGCAGAAGAGGTAGCGATGTTGCACTTTGCGGCCTTCGCCCTCTTCCGTCACCGCTTTGACCCAGCCTTTCTCTTCCTTGGTCAGGAGGCCACCAGGGGAGCGCAGGGAGACGACCTCTTGCATCCACCTGAATGAAGGTCCGGGTTGGCCGGCGTAGTAGTGGTAGAAGCCTGTCAGTAAAGAGCCAAGGGGTTCTTGATTGGTGGTGATGAGGCGCGCAGCCGCAGCTTGCATGATCTTCTCTTCATCGCGCCAGAAGTGCACATTCCACCCTTCCACCATGACCGCTTCGTCTTCACGGGCAACGCCGAAACCGTGCGGGCGCCACGGGGACTGAAGGTTCGGGAGCACGGGAGGTTGAGCAACATTGGTGAGATAATGCAGAACCATCATCACATAGCCATAGCTCGACAGTGTCCCGGAGTATGAGCTGTTGATTTTGCGCTGCTTTGCCCATGACTTGACGAAAAGCACCATCGGCCGGACTCGAGGGTCGCAGAGGGAGTAGCAGCGGAGTAACTGCGTGTTGTGGAGGCCGAGAGGGTTGAAGAAGTTGATATCGCATTGTATGCCAACACCAGACTTGGGCATGTCGAGGGGGCCGGCACGGCGCTCGCGCGTCCATGTCTTGGAATCGTCTCGTTTCGACTTGTGCTTGTCGTTGCTCTGTGAGGCTTCTGATGTCCCCTGCTGGGACTCTGGCTCAGGATGGTCTGGCTCAGCGCCCGGTTCAGCAGTTTCTGGTTTTCCATCTGCATCTTGAACGCTCGCCTGCGCAGTACTCTCCTGCGGAGCTTCGACGCCACTAGGAAGGTGACTCTCTTCATTTCCTAAATCGGCAGCAGCCTCGATGGCACCACCTTCGACAGCCTGCTCTCCCTCCTCACCTCCTGCGGGATTTTGCGAAGGATACAGGTGTGGGTACTTCGCCTCCACCGATAAAGCGTCCCATTTCGCACGCTCCTCTCTCAACTTCTCGAGAAAGTCGATGCCAGGCTTCTCGCAGACCTTGATGATGGGCACTCTCGTGCGAGAAAGCAAGCGTGCACCAAATCCGCTGTCAAGCAGTTTCTTCTGCAGTAAAAGCGGCAGGCCATCTTCAAGCTCGGAGAAGCAAGGGCCGGCCGACAACTGATCTTGAACTACTATGGCAAGATCCATGTCCGAGCCAGCGGTTGCGAATCCGGACTTGAAGCTACCGAAGCATTCGAGAGAGACTCTAGGGAGGCGGTCCTCGGCTGCAGCAGCAACTTCATGGCACAGCTTTTCGAGGGTGCGTCGAAAGTGTTCTTTTTCGTCGTGCTCCGATGCACTCATTTCGACGATGCGAACTTCAGTCGTGGCGAGTCGTTCTAGGTATTCCACTTGTCTAGAGCGATTGTCAACTGGCTGGTAGACTGGTCCTCGCATTGCAGGTCCATTGGGGTTGAAGAGCTGCTGTGGTCCGCCATACGGCCGGGGATGAGGTTGGGCGTAGGCCCTACGCTGAAAAGCATTAGGGTCGAGCTGCATGTGTTGCTGTGCTCGTGATCGCTGTGGGTTTGCAGGGCCAGGGCTGCCATACCCTCTTGGGCGATTGTCAAATGGCTGTTGATTCGGACGGAAGTGTTGAGGTTGGGGTTGACCTTGACCTTGGTATTGCGCTCTCTGATTTCCGGGAGAAGAACGCTGATTGGGGAACGATTGCGGATGGGCGAGATGATGCCGCGGATTGTGAGCTGTTTGCGGCGGTGCTTGCTGATAGGATTGTGGCTCTCCATGATAGCCATTGCGCTGTCCAGCCGGCTGCTGGTGTGGTTGCGGGTGATGATGCTGATGGTTGCCGGCGTTGGGCGGCGGCATGGAAGGATTGTTGGTAAGCACCATCCGGCGGATCTGATCTTCCAGCCCTTCCGGCTGCTGGCCAGGTGGGTTGTCCATGATTCCGGAGAACAGACGCGGTGCTCAACGACAGACAGACAATTCCTATGCTTCCTCATCAAAGCATCATCGTAGATCGATGCTCTCTTGCTTCGATGATGCGAACAATCGATGACTCGGATGTTGCGTGAATCTGGAGTTGTTCCAGCAGCTCATCCTCGATAGCTTCGCCTCGTCACCCGTCTTCCTCGCAAGTCCTCCATTCACCAAGCGCGAGGAGAAGAGTGGCAGCGTTTGAATGACGGATAAATTTAAAGATTTAGAGTTTGGCGCCAGCGGAGGGCTAAACCCCGGACGTCACCCTCACCGTTCCTGCAGGCATTCATTCCTCCTCTCTGGATTGCACGAGCACGTTCTCGCCGTGTTGCCGCATTCTTCACACCCACAAACTCTTTCACCGCGGGCATACACCCCTGACAAACTTGTCACCAGCAAGCTACGCGCGAGCCATGCTATCACCACTCACGGGATAACATTCACGACCACCTTCCCGTCACGGCGCCTACGTACCCCTCTCTACACAGCATCCTGCCTTCTGAACTCGCCGTCCAGCCCAATCCCGCACACAATTCCCCCCCAATCGCATACAATGAGTGCCTCGCCGTCCAAGCCGCCGTCGGGGCCTAATTCGGTCACCCCTACTCCGAGCGGACCGCCGCCGCTACGCAAGAAGGCACCCGCGAGCATCTTCACACAAAAGAAGAAGCCGGTCAAGCGACCCACGCCAGGGACAAGCACAAGCGCTCCGAAAACTGCCAGCGCGGCATCCGCGACGAATGGCAGTAAGCAAAGTGCGGCGAAAGAGACGCCAGAAGAGGGGAAGTACCAAGTGTTCCCGATTGTGGTGTCGAAAGATGCCTTGATGCAAGGGCTACACTACCATGCCATGCGCCTGCAATCGCGCTCAGACAAAGAACATGGCGGCACGATGATGATCAATCCCTATGATGAAAGCCAGTTCACCCGCCCCGTCCGTCTTCACCGCCGAAGTGCTCGCGACAAGATGGAGACGCTGGAGCAGTCCGATGCAGCTTCGGGGGTGGAAGACAAAGAACGGGAGGTGATGAATGCTAGGCGGGCAGAGCGGCAAGCGGAGAGGGAAGCAAACCAAGCCCTCATCGCTCCAACTGGTGCAGAGACGAAGAAGCGCACTAAGAAGAAGTCGCAGAAGAAGGTGGAGGATGTGTACTACGATGAAAATGACCCGAAGCAGAGACAACGTGCGCAGCTCCGCTATGAGGAGGCCCGGCCGTGGCATCTGGAGGACTTTGACAACAAGAATGTGTGGGTGGGAAGCTACGAAGAACCACTGACGGAGACCAGTGTGATGTTTGAAATCGGAGAACAGGGCTTCAAAATGGTTCCCGTGGAGAGGTGGTACAAATTCACACAAACGAACAGAGTCAGCGCCATGGATTCCGATGCGGTAGAAAAGCACATGGGGAAGAAGTTCAAGGCACCAAGGTGGTTCTTGGGCACTCAGGAGGCAAATGATGATATGCGGAGGCAAGCCGCTATGGCGCAGAGGCAACACATGGCGGCACAGATGCGGAGGTTTGATGATGATGACGCCCCCAGGACTGCAAAGAGGGAGGAGTATCGTGCCGATGTGGATGAAATTGATTTCGAATTCAACGACGAGTTCCAAGACGATGACGAAGGCTTCATCTTCGGAGATCAAGAGGTGGACGAGGCGAAAGAAATAGAGAAGAAGATTCGTGACGAGATGCGCGAGGCCAATTTGGGTGGCACGGGGGTGAAGGACGAAGATAAAGATTGGGATGCGGAAGAGCAGAAGGAGAAAGTCAAGGAGCAGGAGGAAAGGCGCCGAGCGAAGCGCATTCGCAAGCAATTGATCAAGAAGGAGCGCAAGAATGAGTACGATTCGGAGAGTGAGCGCAATGAATTCTCGGAAAGCAGCGAAAGTGAAGACTCGGAGGAGGAGCGTGAGCGGGCGGAGGAAGAGAAGAAGCAGCAACAGCAGCAGGAGGAAGCTCGGAAGCTCGGGGGAGACAAATCTGGCGCTTCGACCAGAGGGACAAATACTCCCAGCGGCCGTTCCGAGAAGCGAGATGTGTCAAAGCTGCTGGCTGCGTCGCTCAAACGTCCTGGCTCTCCCGACCTTTCCGAGCTTAGCGGGAACGAGTCCAGTCGGAAGAAGGCCAAGGGAGTTAATGGTCGGGCTCTATCCCCTAATGCGCCCAATGGCGCTCGTTCGCTTTCTCGTGAGTTGTCTCGACAGATCTCACCATCCATCGATGGTAATGCTAACCCATGTCCAGCCGACTCTCCCAAGTCTAAGCGCGCTCATAGCGCAGGCTACGGCTCCGGCAGCGAAACGGACACATCGCGCACCGGCCGGCCGAAATTGCGCCTCAAAGCCAGTCCACCAGGTTCTCCCCACGAAGGCTCTCGCGCAGGCTCACCCTCGGGCAGCAACAGTCGAGCACAAAGCCCCTCGCGCAAGACCTTTCCCACGCTGGAGGAAGTGCGGGCGGCCATTCCAGCCGAGGGCATTGCGATTTCTGAGTTTATGAAGCTGTTTAAGCCACGCATCGCGGCTCAGGAGCAACGACAGGCGGACTTTTTCGCGCTGGTGAAGCAGGCTGGGCGACAGGATCCGGGGAGCAAGAAGATCTATCCTAGGGAGGTGTGAGGGGTTGTGCCTTGATTAGAGACAGGCGTGGCTTGTCCTTGTTCTCCTGGTCGTGTTCGCAATGGATTTCCACATTCTGGTGTGTTTGTTAGAGCTGGAACGAAGCAAGGGGGCTCATTCTTTTCAATCGATATATGTAACCTCACCCGTCCATTATCCACACACTCCCCCTCTATTCCCCTCCTGCATTCGTCAACCATGGGCGACATGGACGATCTGTTCTCGTCATCATCCTCGCCAGGCACAGGCACAGGCACCGCGGCCCGCCAGCCAATGGCAGTTAGCGAGCAAGCCCCCAGCCCCGGACCCCAGACTCAGGCCAACGCGGATGGCCCAAGCTCGCCCTCCTCGCCCAGTCCTACTCCATCTCACCATCCCGCCTCTCGTCCCTCCGCACCACCACCTCCCTCCCCCACAAACCCTCCCTTCTCCCCCTCCAAAGCAGAATTGGAATCGCATCCCGTCCGCCAGCGCCTGAGTCTGCTCCACTCCGACCCCGACACTACCCCCGAGAGCAGCGCGCCTGCGATCTCCCTCGAGCTTGATTCTTGGCCTAAGCCGCCGGCAGGATCTGCGCAGACGATTGAAGAGGAAGGACACAGCGAGAGTGAAGCGATCGACATGGCTGATTCTGAGATTCAAAAGGGCGATGCTGGTGAGTGTTTGCGCTGTTGCTTCCTTGCCATCCTACCCGCCGGCTGGATGCGTTCCCTGCTCCCTGGCGAGGTGTATGCCTCAGGCATGAACTCTGCTTAGTCATGTCTATGTCATATCACGTACGAGCAACGACTAACGCGATAATGCACAGCCTCCTACTCCTGGGGTGGAGATAAGAAGGGCGGCACCGTGACCGAGGTTTCGAAAGATGACAAGGTCGAGATGGAGACTGCGCGCGGCAATACTGTCACCAAGGAAGCCAAGGAAGGCGATCCTGCTGTCCGCCTCGAGCGCGAGGGTCACGATGTCGTGAAGAATGTTTCGGAGTTGACAAAGGAGTCGGCTGGCGACACGCACAATGAGGGCAAGGGGCAGGTTACGGTTGGGGAAGCCAATGGTGAAAAGGCGGAGGAGAAGAAGGAGGAGAAGGCGGAGGAGAAGAAAGAGGAGAAAGCTGAAGAGAAACCTGCTCAGGTCGAGGAGAAGGCCGAGGAGAAGAAGGAAGCTCCCGAAGCGACGCCCTCGACCACCACTGGAGAGAAGCGCTCTGCCGATGTGGCTCACGGATCGGCCCAGGAGAACGGCGAACAGCCGGCGAAGAAGAAGAGCAAGGAAGGCACCATGTCGAACTTGAAGAAGGAGGTCAAGAAGCGCATGCCCAAGAAGGCTGCCACCGAGTCCGGCGAGCCGAGGCGCTCGGGTCGCGTGGCTTCCAAGGGCTCATAGATATCTATGCTCGTCCGTGACATGATGCGAGTGGCAGTTTCAAAGGGCTTTTATGGACGACACCCGGGGCGCATAGGCCGGTGGTGGTATGAAAAACCGCAATGACGGGAGGGGTCCTTTGCGATTGTTTCCGAATTGATTGCTTTCCAAGCTGTCAATGTGTAACATAGACGAGGTTCAGGATGCGTGATATTGATGACAACATGTTGTGCCGGACTCTACGCGGCAACAAATCAATTACCGGCTATTTCTTGCGAGCCGCCATCCATGGAGTCCTGGTCTTATCAGGAATGCGTAGATGTGCCTCATCAGGTTTGTTCATAAAGCGACTCGAGAGGAGTGCCTCCCGATATTGCTGCCTGAAAGTGAATAAGGCACCAGTTTGCTTACTGTATCGAGAAACGCCCGTTTATGTCCGACCGTCGTTGATTACGTCGACAAGGAGAAGGCCTTGCAATTTACTCGCCACATCTCTATCTTGGAGCGAAACATGGGTCTCCGGAGAGCGCAGGGAATACTGGCAAGATGATCCACGGGCATTGGTAGTCCTGCACCGTACGCAGGCACAGGCACGAGCATCCTCCGCTGCCGCCGCGGTGGCCATCATCGCTATGGAGGCGGACCAGCGGTATGCCAACCTCCCGCCTATCCCCACCTACGACGAAGCTATTTCAGCACGGCCTGCGCAAGATCACCGAGGACCACAGGAAGTCAGTGACGATGCGGAGAGGCAAGGCTTGCTGGGACAGTCGGGGTCGAATGCACATCGCCCCCCGACTGTAGAGTCGGCGCGGTCGAGCGAGGAAAGCGACCTCGGCCTGCCGGAAGTGGTGTTTGGAGAGGATGAGGAAGAGGATGAACACCGCCGGATTGAGGAACTCGACTACCTGGATCCCGCGGACAGCGATCCGTCCAGGAGACAACGCGGCGTCTATCACCGCGCGCGATTACGCAGGAACCTCACCAAGCATCTCGCCAACATCTCCGCCACCTTCTCCTCCATCCGACTCCCTTCCTTCCGCTCCTTCTACTCCCCCGTCAACTCCACCACCGGCAACTCCAGCGACGACGAGCCGGCGTCTACCGATCCACCCGCCCCTCCTCGCAGCCTCTGGCGACACCCCTACCTCGTCATCCCCGACCAATACCGCATGTCCTTGCCCATATTCGCACGTCTCTGCGGCCTCCTCACCATCGCCGCCGTCATCTACGTCCTTTTTGCCCTCGACATGTTTCCCGGCACACGCCCGCGAATGGGCGCACACTATGATCCCGAAGCCGTGCAAGCGTTTGTCAAGGACAGTGTGAAGCCCGAACGGATCAAAGAGTACTTGCGACACATTACTAGCTACGATCATGTTGCCGGTACGGAGGGCGATTACTACCTTGCGAGCTGGATGCAGGAGCAGTGGATGGAGACGGCGGGGTTCGATGAGGTCGCCATACTGGATTACCATGTCTATCTCAATTACCCCACGCACGAAGGACGGAGCGTGCGGATTGTAGAGCCGGAGGGGAAGAGATGGAAAGCGCAGCTGGAGGAGAATCTGGTGGATCCGCTTAAGCAGCAGACATTGGTTTATCATGGACACAGCAGGAGCGGCGAAGCGACGGGACATCTTATCTACGCCAATGGAGGGAGTCGACATGATTTCAAATGGCTGAAGGAGAATGGCGTGGAGACGGAGGGCGCGATTGCGCTGGTGCGATACTATGCTTCGCAAGACGATGCCGCGCTCAAGATCAAAGCGGCGCATGAAGTTGGCTGCGCGGGCGTGCTCATCTACTCAGACCCCGCCGACGATGGAGCGGGTAAGGGCGAGGTGTGGCCCGATGGACCCTGGCGGCCGGCGGACAGCGTGCAACGAGGGGGCGTCGGCTTGACGAGTCTGATCATCGGCGACCCACTCACGCCTGGATGGGCGAGCAAGAAGAACTCGAAGACGGTGAGCAAAGCTAGTAGCTATGCTCTCCCTCAGATTCCGTCGCTGCCTATGCCGTGGCGGGATGCGCAGATCCTGATCGATGCACTTCAAGGCCAAGGGGTCGAGGTACCTCCAGACTGGGTTGGTGGCACGAATGGTGACGGGGCGTGGTTCTCTGGCAAAAAGGGAGGCACTGGCGCCGTTCAGGTCGAGCTGCGTAATAACAACGACGAGAACGAAAAGCAGCAGATCTGGAATGTGCACGGACTGATCCAAGGGCTGGAGCAGGCGCAGGAGAAGGTGATTATCGGCAATCACCGCGACAGCTGGTGTTTCGGCGCCGTCGACCCTGGCAGCGGATCGGCAGTCATGATGGAGGTCATCGACATCTTCTCCGCCCTGCGAATGGCTGGCTGGCGACCGTTGCGCAGCATCGAGTTTGTCAGCTGGGATGCGAAGGAATTCAATCTCATGGGCAGCACGGAGTATGTGGAGGAGCGCTCCGACTATCTCCGCGACCACGGCATTGCATATCTCAATGTCGACGCCGGCGTGTACGGATCCAATTTCCATGCCGCCGGCAGCCCGCTATTCCAGAAACCGCTCTTACACGTGCTGAGTCGTGTAGATGACTCCGCCAAGAACGGCACTCTGCGACACATCTGGGACGAGGAATCGAACCAACTGGGCACCTTGAGCGCAGCAGGCGATCACGTCGCTTTCCAGTCCATCGCCGGCACGTCGTCCATCGACTTTGGCTTTCGTGGCCCGCCGCATGCCTTCCCTTACCACTCCTGCTACGAAACCTTTGACTGGATGGAGAAGTTCGGAGACCCGGACTTCAGCTACCACCGCACGCTGGCGCAAGTGTGGGCGCTGCTGATCCTCGAGCTCGCCGACCGCCCGCTCATCCCCTTCAACCTCGTCTACTATTCTCGCCAAATCGAAAGCTACATCCACGACCTCGAGCAGACCGCGCTCAACCTCTACACAGCAACATCTAACGACAGCAGCACCACCATCACCCCAGATCGCCTCAACACCACCACTACCTTTAGCATCTCCCCGCTCCTCACCGCCGCCCAAAACCTCACGCAACAAGCGCAAACCTTCCAGAAATTCGAAGACGAATGGTCGCGCAGCGTACGCTGGGCCGGCGGCCTGGAATCCCCCGCCTTCTCGGCGCGAAGACTAGATTACAACGAACGGATCGCGCGCTTCGAAACGGATCTGCTGGATTTGCCCGCGGGCAAGCACGACAAGGGCCAGCATGGCATTCCGGGACGGGAGCAGTTCAAGCATATCGTTTGGGGCCCGAGGGTGTGGAGCAATGGGCAGGAGGGCAGTAACTATTTCCCCGCTGTGAGGGATTTGTTGGACGAGGGGGATTGGGTTGGGGCTATGGAGATGGTGAAGAGGGCGGCGGGGATTTTGGAGCGAGCGGGCAGGCGGTTGGTGGAGGAGTGAGGGCGTGAGTGAGGGATTATTTTTCTTGCGCATGGCGTTCTGTGTGTACAGTAGTTTTGGATGGGGCCTAAGGCATCGGCTGGGAATGTCCATACTCTTGGAAATGGAGTCTGTTGAAATTGGAGTTCGTTAATGTGGAAATTGTTTTGATCGTGCTGCAGCACTGTTCCAATGCGAGAAACGAGTGGCCGTGTTGCTGGTATGAAGTCCACACATACGCAAGCCACTCGCTCCTCCAGGGTCCAGAACACCTTGCCCCCGTCCTGCCAGAAACGGAAGAGGATCTGGGGGGAGCGAGTCTCAGATCTCCTCCTGAAACCCAACGGGCACAAAATCGCGGGTAGATGCACGATGATTCGCCGGTCGTCTGGCGTTTCCCATCGCCCTGTTGCCGGGCCATTGGCGGACCTTCGCTTCCAGGCTTGCATAAGACATGCGATGTAGTGACCCCACCGTGTGCACTAGATTGCATAGCAGGCACAAAAGGTGGACTCTACTCTTCCCCGGTGTCGATTAATACATGACGGCGGCGCACTAGATTGTATGCGATGATTGATCGATGATTGATCGCATGATAAGAGCTTGACCGATGCTCCGCTCTGTAGCTGTGTCGGATCCACCTGCTTATCATTGAAGGGGCATGATGTTGATTCGCTGTGCGACATCAGCTGAATCGATGCCTGTCTGGCCCCTTCTGCCTGCTGCAGCCTCGGCGGTGGCCAAATACTTTTGCTGTACTTGTATCTTGTACTTGGGTCTGCGCGGGTACCTACATACAGTATGCCCGCGCCGTCTCGCGTCCTCGAAGGTCATTGGTCGAAAACAAGGTTTGGCTAGGGAGCCTAAGTCATGCAAGCGTGGAAGCGACAGGGAAGATCCACGCCGCAAGACCGGATGCACCTTCCGCCTGGCACCAGGCAGCACGGCAGGAGCAGCTTTCCCTTTCGAGATCCAACGAATCCCAGCGGGCAGCTGCCTTGGGCTTTTCGACGTGTCGCACGGCAACGAGCGAATGGGGATGGAAAGGTATGACTCCGCAGCGTTGGAGGGTGTGTGGATGGTGCGTCGCGTTTGCCCACCTGTCACATTTCGTCGTTGTGCCCGCTTTTATCCGGAATGTGCTGGGCGTCCAAGAGGCGCTTTACGTATGTTTCGCGAAGAAAAAAAGCTTGGGGCGTGGAGCGGCTCTTCCCCGGTTCGTAGCTGCCCATCTTGCGACGCCGGGCCCTCCTTGTGCGACCCGCTGGCTGCATCATCGCCATCACATCCCCAACATCGCTGCTGCCATCCTCGCCACGCTTGCACCTTGCTCCTCATCACCCTCTCATCCCTCGCTTCGACGCCCGCATCACACTTCCGGCGCGCATCACCCTCGCCACCCGCACCGCACGCCGCCCGCTTTGAGTTGCAGTAGCGTGCTGCAACGTGCAAGGCCGACAGCTTCCCTGCCGCTGCATCTAACATTCCTCCCTGACCGCCGCCCGTCGTCGCCCAAGAAACATCGCCGGCCTGTTCGGCTCGCGACATCATCATCATCATCCCCGTCGTCGACTTCATCGTCTTCATCACATGCTCGACTGTCGGCTTCACTGAGCTCACCACCTAACCTGCCTCCACGACTCCTTCTCGCCTCCCTGCAATCATGCCGTACAACACGAGGTCCGTTTCCCGCTCCACCCCTCATCATCACATTCCACTGACCAGGCGCAGACGCAAGAGTCTCTCCCTCGCCGACCTAGGCGTCGTCCTGCCCAAGCGCAGTCGCGCCATCTCCCATCCCTCCCCACCGAGCACCATCGCAGAAGGCGATGAGTCCGAGCGACCCGCGAAGATCTCCAAAAAATCTCATGTCTCCTCCGCCTCGCCCCCGCCGCGGGCGTCCGCACGAGGCGCCATGAGTCCACCGAAAGCGATGACGGTCAGGATAAAGGATGAGAATCCAAAGCAAGAGCTTTCGCCGCCTCCATCGCCGACCACCGAAGGTTTCGCACCAACAAAGGTCAATCTGGAAGGGGTGTCAGATGATATCGTCGTGGCGACGATTCAGCAGCTGGAAGAGACGGGCAACCGACCCATCTTCGTCCGCGAACTCGCCGCGCTCTTGCCGGCCAAGCTCCATTCCGTTGAGAAGTATGCGCCGTCCGACGTCCATCGTGCTGCGAACTGTGCTGACATTCTTCGAAGATCCGCCAATCCATGCGCGCTCATCTCCTCCCGACTCACCGCATACCTGCATCGAGCCTGGCCGACTATCAGTCCGTGTCCGCTCGCCAAAGATCTTTCGCCCGTCCATCCGCGCCGCTTGTACTTCTACCTCACCACCATGCCTAAGCAACCCGTTCCGCTAGCCATGGATCCCATCTTGAAACCTCACCGCATCATCTCCCCGTCCCTCTCCTCCGCCTCCGCAGCGGATGAAGACGACGAGCAATACAACCGAGCTCGGCAAGCACTCTCGCCCTCCCCTGAGGTCGACCTGTCCACTCCCGAACTCGACAACGAAGACACCGAGCACCCACCAACCCCCGGCGCGCCCTTCTCCGCCCGCAACTCCGTCTCGCGATCGCGCGCCGCTTCGAACTCCGATCTTACCCGCCACCGAAGGGCAGGTAGCCCTCCCCTGGAACGTGAAGAGCGTGACTTCAAGCAGACCGCCAATGCGCTGCACGAGCAGGCGCTGCAAAGGCGCAACAGCCAACAAAGCCACTCCACCAACCCGACCAGCCCTCACGCCTCCTCTTCTGGCGCCGACGGCGAAGAAGAGCCAACCGTGAGCATGAGCATCGAGGAGGACTCGGAGGAAAGCCGGGCGCGCAAGACAAGCGAGGACGCCGCCGCCCTCTTCGGTCAAGCCGACCACCTCAAACCCCTAGGACCGCACTCCGTCCTCTTCAGCAGCCCCCTTCTCGGACCCCAGAATGCGCTTCGCATCGACACCGGCTCCCTCCACAGCAAATCCGAGAAAGCTGACGAACCGATGGAGAATCTGAATCTGGATCAGCACCGCGCCACTACCACCGCCGTGGTCTCTTCCAAGGATGACGTCGTCGAAGTGATGCTCGATTGGGACGATCTGCAGAGCCCGGAGAACGTGGAGATGGCTGAGCTGGAGGATATGTTTGATTCGTATTGATCTTGGGGGATTCGCTTAGGTGGCCCACTCGACTCATATGGCGCGCTCTCGAGTGTGCCTGTCGACGCTCCTCTGGAGTTTGGTTTGCGTTTTGCTTCTGTTTGTTCTGTGAGAATTAGAAACATGTGACGGCCGAGAAAGATTGTGAGAATGAGAAAAGGGAGGGGGCAACAAAGAACGAAGTGTGTTGTATTATTAGAATGAACGTCCGAGGTGGGCCTGAGGTGCTGAGGATGAAGAGCGCCGGCTTGGATCTCGGAGGTATATGTATGATTAGCTAGCTGGTGCTGACCGTTTGCGAGATGGATGCTGACTCTCTGCTGTGCGGAGGTGGCTCCTTTTGAGCATTCGGTTGGCGCCGGAGGCATTATGAGACTGTTGTATCATTATCCAAATCACTGCGCTGTGATGCTCCTCTCACTCGATGCCCGAGGGTAGTCGTTGCCTGGTAGTGACACGTCAGCACTCCTTGATCACTATCACGAGTATAGAAAGAGGTGTAGAGTATAAGTGCAATCATCAGTCGAAGAAATCGTATCATTCAATGAGCCCGCGAGGACTCTCCGCCCCGTCTTGAAACATATTTTGATTTTTGTGTGTCATCAAGGTGCTGAGGGAGTGGGATAAGGGAAATGCGCAGCTCCGATACGTACCCAAGAGACCCTGGTGGTGTTGGCTGATGGTGTCAGAAGTGGGACATTCGGGTATCAGAGAAGGATGAGTGATTCTCTTGTTTTGGACATTGCTCTCGTCATCCAAGTCCCAGCCAGCTCCGCCAGCTCTCTTTCGGAGCGGCAGCAGCTTGCAAGTCAGCCGGAAGTCTAGCACCCCGGTTCTTCTCCGCCTCTTGCGCCCGCTTCACAAGTTCCGGATGAGGCCGTAATTCGTACACCCACGTCGTGCCGACATGGTGTCGCTTCTCGCTCACCACCTGCAGCCCCGCGCGCTTGGCCGCGTCTTGCACCAGCGCGCCAATGTCGCGGTTGAACCAGCAGCCGTGGATTTCGGCGTGCCTCTGCGCCGCGCCGTCGAGGATGTTGTTGAGCCATGTGCGGTAGCTGCGGCCGTGCTCGAGCAGGAGGATGCGCGCTTCCGGGTTGGCGAGGTTGAGGTGCCGGATCATGTTGGAGAGCAGGGCCTCTGGGGCGGGCGTGCTGCAGAGGCCCATGGTTTGGATGATGGTGTCGTATGCGCGTCCATTGGGCGCAGGCGGCATGGGTTCTAGCGCCGAGCTCGTGAGGAAGCGAACGGCCAGGCCGGGCTTAAATGGCTGCTCTCGCAGCGTGGACGGCGTGGACATGGTCGACCCGTACAGCACATTCCACTTCTTCTTGCACACCTCGATCATCGGCGGGCTGAGATCGACAAACGTGAGACTCTCAATCGCCGACTCCGCCCCAACGTCGTAGTACCCCAAATTCCGCCCGGTGCCACAGCTGACCTCCAGTACATGTCCGACGCATTGCTGCGCGAGTTTTTTGCGCATCCGATTGATGCCCATCAGCACTTCTGAGACGCCGACTTCGCTGTCGAAGTTGTCCGCTGTTTCGTCGTAGCGTTTCGACACATCTTGCTGCTGTGCGATGTTGGATATGGCGGGGTTGGTGCAGGGTCGCCGGGCGGAGACGATCAGTAGGCTGATGTACAGGCCGATGCCGCCGGCGGTGATGCTCAGGAGGACCCATGGGAGCGCTCGTGTTCTTGCGAAGGGGGATGATGGTGGTGGTTGTTGTCTCACTTGTTGCTTTGCGGGGAAAGTGGTTGGACGGAGGGTGGATTGAGGCTTTGCATATCGGCGATGTTGGGAATTGCAGGGGCGGGGCGCCCTGCGCAGCGAGGATGCTACATGTCGGGCATGAGATGAGCGTAGCATGAGCGTCGCTACGAGTGCTCTTCAATCTCTGTTTGAACGTAGGCGGCCGAGTATGTGATGTCGATGAAATGGACGACACGAAGACGTGTGGGAATTTCGACGTGACGTCGAGGCATGGGCCAATCATGAGCAAGACCATATCCAGTCAGCATCCTTCAGCCGACATGGACCTGACCAGACGAGTTTCTTTCCATTTCCATGCTGCACGACTCCACTCCTGCGCCCTATGGTTTTACATCTTTACACGACTTAAGGATATTAAACCGACCGCCTTGGTCATGTCAATCGCTTCATTCATCGCAGCATCTCCGAGTCAATAAATTGCTCCCCTTCGTCCAGGGTATCATTCATCAGTGCCAACCAACATGTCCAGCATTCCCTCTTCAATCCTAATCGTCGGATCGGGAGTCTTCGGCCTAGGGACGGCGTATGCCCTCACACAAAGGCCAGAATTCAAAGACACTAAAATCACTCTACTCGAACGCCTTCAATTCCCCGCTCACGATGCATCATCCGTCGACTCATCCCGCATCATCCGCGCCGACTATCCCGATGCCGCATACTCGCGACTCGCAGCTGAAGCACTGCAGATCTGGCGAGGAGACTTTGGTGCTGACGGCAGGTACAATGAGTCCGGCCTCTGCATCGTGCTCGGCAAATCAGACTCGGAGCTGGGCAAGGCGTACATGGAAGGCTCGCTGAAGAATGTGCAGGAGAAACTTGGGTTGAAGGTGGGGCGTAGGGAGGAAGGAGGGCAATTGACTGTCTTGGAGAATGAAGCTGCTGTCAAGGAGATTCTGGGCAGTATGGGGGGCGAGGTGGGCCAGAGCGGCTATGTGAATTGGACGTCGGGGTGGGCGAATGCGGAGGCGGGACTGACGCATATGCGAAAGCTGGCAGAGGCGACGGGGAGGATCGAGTTTCGAACTGCAGAGATCAAGCGGCTCTTGTTCGAAGATGGTAGCGCGGTGGAAGGTGCGGAGCTCGTGGATGGACAAACAGTCAAGGCAGACTTGACCATCCTGGCAACCGGAGCGTGGAGTCCGAAGTTCATCGATCTCCGTGGCATCGCGAGTGCTTCCGGACAGGTGCTATCCTACTTCAAAGTCTCCAAAGAGGAGCAAGCACGGCTCGGGGGAAATCCAGCATTGTTGGACGAGAGCTACGGCTTCTACATCATCCCGCCCCTCGAGGGCGAGTTGAAGATTGCCAGGCATGGATATGGCTACGCCAACTTACAGACAATCCCGCATCCTGAGCGGCCCGACTCTGGTGAAACTATCATAGTCAGCCTGCCTCGGACGAAAGAAGATGTCCATGGACTGGGCGTTCCTCCCGAGGCAGAGCAAGGCTGCCGCGAGTTTGTCGCAAGTCGCATACCAGATCTCGCCGACCGGCCTTTCTCCAAGACGAGGATCTGCTGGTATACCGATACGCCCAATAGTGACTGGTTGATTGATCATCATCCGAAGTACAACGGACTATTCGTGGCCACCGGGGGATCTGGCCATGGATACAAATTCCTCCCGGTGATTGGCGAGAGAGTGGTCGATGTCTTGTTGAGGCAGGATAGAGATGAGCTTGGAGCAGAGCTGAGGAAGAAATGGAAGTGGCCAGAGAAGAGACATGCTTCTGATCACATCTGGACAGACGACTGGAGAGGTGGACGAAAGGGAATGATTCTGGATGAGGAGTTTGCAAAGTGAGAGAAATGTAAAATGATTCGGGATCTACCGTGGAGAAAGGGAGCCGACTATTTGTCGTCGATATCAAAGTGATGTATCGCAAGTAGTGAAGTGATGGATGCGAGGCTGAAGTGAATGTACCGTTCGTCTCGTGAATGCACGTCGGCTGCGGCTCGGCCCGCTGCGGACACGTTGACTCTGCGGCAACCGAAGCGCCAAGCCTCCGTGCCCCCCTTTATATTGGCAAAGTTTTCTTCACCACCACACTTGCACCTCTTCATCCCCGGCACGCACGAGCCACATCGACCTCATCACCCCCATCATCAACCACCGCTCCTCCCACCGTCCCAGAGGAGTGTGCTCCGGTTTTTGAGTGCCGCGCTCCCTCACACGAGGAGTCTGCCGAGCGGCACCGCGGTCGCGCAAGGTCTTATCGCCCGCGTCGCCTTCCTCCAACGGCGGGGAGGACACTGGTTTCATCACTTCCGACCACCTGTCCATCACTCCGCCATCCGTCCGACGTCCTTGCAGTGCTCTTCGGTGGTCGCGAGACGACGGCGGCTGGGCCGAGAGAGGGTGGGCTGGTAGTAGGCATCGGAAGGCGCGAGAGTTCGGCTTCAAGAGTACACAACCACAGGCAACGCCGAAGTTGGTACCCTCTGTCATTCTCCTGCGTGCGCTTGCGCGTCATGGTAGAAACGGCATATTGACTTTTGTCATCTAGGCCATGGAAGCAGTTGTGCAGCTTTCCAACCCCACTACGCCGCTTGAGGCCAGCCGCTGGCACTCGACGATGGCCGTCGACATCAACGGCGCTGCGCCTGGCGCGGTCAACGGCGACTCCACACAGACCCCACCCACAGCCGCAAACGGCGCTGCGAAAGACGGCGCGCAAAAGCCTGATGGGCAAGACACGGGGAATGTGTCGGGCATCGTGCCTGTGCTGCAGAACGTCGTGGCCACCGTCAACCTCGACTGCCGTCTCGATCTCAAGACCATCGCGCTCCATGCCCGCAACGCCGAATACAACCCCAAGCGTTTCGCTGCGGTCATCATGCGTATTCGTGAGCCCAAGACTACCGCCTTGATCTTTGCGAGTGGCAAGATGGTTGTGACGGGCGCCAAGTCCGAGGACGACAGGTATGCTTTTGCAGAAGCCTGTCCGTTGCATCTGTAGCTGACTTGTCTGTGCAGCAAACTCGCCGCACGAAAGTACGCGCGAATCATCCAGAAGCTGGGCTTCGCCGCCCGCTTCACGGATTTCAAGATCCAAAACATCGTCGGCTCTTGCGACGTCAAGTTCCCCATCCGCCTCGAAGGCCTCGCCAGCCGGCATCACATGTTCAGCTCCTACGAGCCCGAACTCTTCCCCGGTCTCATCTACCGCATGATGAAGCCCAAGATTGTCCTGCTCATCTTCGTCTCCGGCAAGATCGTGCTCACCGGCGCGAAAGTCCGTGAGGAGATCTACCAGGCTTTCAACCTCGTGTATCCCGTGCTTGCGGACTTCCGGAAAGCGTAATTGCTGCACGGATGGCAGGGATGAGGGGAGATTGTGGCGACTAGGAGCAACACACTCGAGCATGGGTTTCCAAGGAGTTCAAGGACATGCACATGAGAATCATCTTTCTCGGTTGGGCTCGGGGATGGTGTTGAATGTGCTTGCTTGCTTGCAACTCGGAGATTACGGGCCAAGATGCTCGAAAGCATCAGACTGGGACTTTTTGCGGAGTGGGCAAGATTTCGGGGGTTGGTGCATGAATAGGGAAAGGTTATGGTAGAGTCAGAATGCTTCATTGCTTCATCTGGCTTGATCCCTCGCCCTCCTTTGGCCTCATAGCCAGACGACTGTTGCTGCGGTCTATCTGCTTTGCCCTTTGCCTGCACCCTGCACCCTCCGCCCGACCTTGCCTTCGTTGCGTTGCGTGCTTCTTCTTTGCTGAATCGAAGCCCTCCACCATGTGCGCGCGCCCAGAGTGACTTTGAAGACACGGCGGACAGACGGGCGCCTTGTACGTTATTGTTATAACACAACCTTCCGACTGTATAACATTATGAGAATTGTATATTGAAAGGTCATGAACGCAATGTCATCCAGCACTATACGCTACCAGACCATCGTTACGAAGGATTAAACAACGAGTCTGCATGAGGTGAGGCGCATTAGTCGAAACAAAGATTTGATCAACACATCATCAAATCATCAATGACCACGATCACAACTTCATACTACTGGCGACCCAATCGTCCAACTCTACAAACAACAACACGAAAAGACTACTCCTCACATTGCCAATTCTCCCCGACCCAATCCTTAATCACATCCGTCATACTCTTCCCCTCGAGCGCCGACCGCGTATTCTCCACCCCATAGCTAACGCCCAAATACTGCAAAGCCAGCAGGACCCAGCCCTGCACGAATTCGTTGTAAATGAGATCGACGCTCTCCGGCGTGCTGTCGGCAGAAGAAGAGAACCCAATCTCCGAGCCGACGCAATTGGGCACGGCGTAGAATTTAATGGGCTGGTGGATTGTGTCGTCGCCGCCGTCGCCTGCGTCGTCGCGGGTCGTGTAGCCGGGAACTTGTGGCTCGTCTTTGTCTTTGTCTTTGTTGGCGTTGAGGAAAGGGATTTGTTCGTCGCTTTTCACGGATGGGAAGGTCTGTGTCGTTGGTACGCCGCTCTGCGCGACTTGCGGCAAATGCGGGACCAGATCGTCAATTCGATGCTTGCCACAACCTGGCTGGTCGCTGACGAAACTCAGCAGATCCTTCAATGGAATTGGTCCTTCGTTATTCAACGTTTTGAGCACCTTGCTCGCAGCTCCGTAAGGAACATTTTGAAGTTTTCGGAAGCCGCTCTTGAACGGACAGAGGAGGTAAGTGGCGTCCGTGGTGAAGGGCCCGCGGAAGATATCGAAGCGTAGAGCGCCGGAATTGGTGATGACAATGGCCGGGTTGGAAGAGGAGTTGGAATCGCCAAAGGTGTCGGGGAGTACTTCGTCTGCAAGCCAGGTGAGGAGGCTGTCATTGGAAGGGTAAGGGGCGCGGTTGAGCCAGAGATCGTGCGGTGCACAGCCGAACGTTTGATCGAGTTTCAGTTCGCTGCGGGCATCTTTGATTTGTTTCGAGACGTTGCGGCCGAGCTCGGTGTCGAAGGTGGATTTGTTGGTGGCGGAGTGGTGGTGCAGAGAGTAGAGGTTGTTGTCGATGTACATCCGCTTATACGTTGGATTCTTGCGTGTGCTGACCGCAACATCCTTCCCGCTCGAGCTGAGGCCCGAGATTGACAGGAAGCCGATCGTCTCCATGTAGCGTCCGCTCTCGATGCCATAGGCGCTGTCTTCCCATCTCCGGTAATCGCGGATGTGCGTGTGTCCTCCGAAGAACACGATTGGAGTGTCCCATTTGACATCGCGGATGGCCTTGTATACGGCGTCGAACTCCTGGGTGTTTCGCACTGGCACGTGTCCAGCAACAAGAAAGAGATCCACCCCCATCTCGCGGATCGCATCCTGGAACCAGGCTTCCTTGACGGTATCTTCAACCCGCTGAACAAAAGTGTTGTCTGCATTTCCGCTGAAGTCAAACAAGAATCCAAATGCCAGCACTCGGATTCCCTGGTTCTTCGTCTTGAACTTGCGAAACCTCTTCGCAAGGGGCACTAGCTTCCCATCTTTCGGATTCCGCACGTCGACATTCGACGCAATATACGCATCCTGAAGCCCCGGAACTACATCATCGTATTCCCTCAGACTCGTGGTGTTGATGTACAGCTCGTGATTCCCCACCGTCACTACATCGAACTTTTGCTGCTTGACAATGTCGAAGGTATATTTGCCTGGCGGCTTGCTGGTGTCGTAGAGGCCGTTGCCTTCGACTCGATCACCGGTATCAATGAGGAGCAGATCGGAGCCATCCGCATCGGCGCGGGCGTGGAGGTGCTGTGCGAAGGAGATGTAGTCGCCCCAATCGGCGGAGTATTGGGGTTCACGGAGATGGCCGGCGTGCCAGCCGTGGGTATCTGTGGTGTGCTATCCATCGTAGTGATTAGTGGATACCTTGAGAGTACATAGGGTGGATGCATCTTACGAGAAAGTTAAGCTTGCCCCATGGGAGCTCGCGGAGAGGTGCTTCGACGGAGGAGGGCGCAGAGGGTTGTTTAGAAGCGGCGAGATGGGTGAATGCGAGGAGTAGAACAATGCGATCCCACAACATCTTGTTTACAAATCGACTAAATGTGTAGGCGTAGGAGGGCGACGGACTCGCGACAAGATGGATTGTGAGTCGAGGGGCACGAAGGCTGGGGAAGCGCTTACATGACGTTGCTGCGATGCACGGTCTAGTCCCGAATAGGAAGCGCAAGCTGCGACGCGCTTCTCCAAATTCCAAACCTTAATTTTCCTCCAACTTCCATGCCCAAAACAACCACTTCTTCTGTCTGCCGTCATCACCTCGCTGTGGCAGCAGCGACCCCGTCACAATCGCCATGTCCTCACCCGCGCGTGACCGCTCCGTCACCCTCCAAGACGAGCCCCCGCGCTCTGCATCTCGCGGCCGCTCACGCACCCCCGCCGACGCTGCCCTCAATGGAAACACCCACAACTCCCGCCCCACCGCGCGCTCGCGCTCTCGCTCACCTTCGCGCGCCCGCACCCGAAGCAGAAGTCGCAGCGCCGCCTACCGCGCCCGCTCCTACTCGCGCTCCCCATCCCACTCCCGCTCCCGCTCTCCCTCCATCCCGCGCAGCGCCAAAATCGTCATCGAGAAGCTCACCAAAAACGTCAACGCCAACCACCTGCGCGAAATCTTCGCCACCTACGGCCCCATCTCCGACCTCGAAATGCCCATGAACAAACCCTTCCTCACCAATCGCGGCATCGCGTACATCCTCTACACCGCGCCGAACTACGCCGAAGCGGCGATCGCGCACATGCACGAGGCGCAACTGGATGGCGCAGAAATTAGTGTAAGTATCGTTCTTCCCCGTCGCAGATTCAGTCGTAGTCCGCCAGCGAGGAGGCCGCCGCCGGACAGATTTGGGGAGCCCCATCGTTTCAGAGAGGGAGGGGCAGGCAGGGGTGGAGGAGGTGCACGTGGGGGTATTCCGCCGCCTGATCGCGCGTATGGTCGTCCTATACCGCCGAGGGCATCGCCGGGTTACGGAAGGGGTGGGAGGAGTCCGCCTCGAGGACCACCGGGATCATGGCGTGGAGGCAGAGGGGGTGGCAGCGGCGGAGGGTATCGGGACAGGAACTACGAGGACAGGAACGTGTACCGGCCGCGCAGTCGATCGCCGAGTCGAAGCCCACCGAGGAGAGGCAGGGGGAGGAGTCCAAGTTACTCGAGTCGCAGTCGGAGTCGGAGTCGGTCGCCGCCGCGAAGGAGGGAGGCGAGTCCGCCGCGCAGAGGAGGGAGGAGGAGCCCGAGCTACGACAGCTACAGCAGTCGGAGTCGCAGCCGGAGCCGGGATAGGGGGAGAGGCAGACGGTAGGAGGACTATGACTTTGCCTGAGGACGGAATGAACGCTACGCACGAGGAGGGGAGCGACAAAGGGAGAGTCAATGCTCAACCGCATGGGTCGGTCAGAGACATTGGCGACACGAAGACACGAAGGAAAAGAGTCTGGCCTGCGAGCACTTGGCTAGATTCAGGAAATTCGAGACACTACTCGAGCTCAGCTCAAGCGAATAAGTCGAAAAGAGAAAAGCAAATACCACCACCACTTCTCTTCCCCTCCGCCAGAAGAAGAGAAACTCAAGAAGAAAAAGACTTGCAACGCCCCCTCCGTAACACTGCAAACCATCGTATAATGATTTGATCAGATGTCTATGCACATATCCGCTGTGTTTTCAATGCTCGGCCCTCTTCAGCTTTCGCTCTTCCCACCTCACCAGCCTCTCCGGAAAGCTCAATATCCCGCTTTGATGAGGTAGTCGCCTAGCTGCTCGACCGTATTCGCCGCCGCGCCAGGCTGTACGTGCTCCGGGTAGTGCGTGACGAGCAGAGCCTGCGTAGTCTTGACAATAACCACGCCTTCTCGACCCTGTAATCCCACAGCATCAGCGAAATCCCCCAAAAATCCCTCAGAAAAAAGAGTCTAAGATGCAACCCACCTTCTTCCCATAAATACTCCGATCGTCGGCTTTGAGCACGACGAACCGCTCGCCCGCAATGTGCAAGCCGGAGCTCTGCACCTGCTTCACGCCCTGCGCGTCGCCCTTGTCCTTGTACGCCGCCACGACGGCCTGCATCTCGCCCGGCGTGACGGTGAAGGCGGGCGACGTGGCCCACACGCTGTTGCCCTCGCTATTGAAGATTGCCGCGCGGTCGAGGTTGCCGGTGCCGACGAGGCTGGTGGTGGGGAGGGGGTGTTAGTGGGAGGGGATGATGGAGGAGGGGAGGAGGGGTGGTACCTTGTGTCGATGTAGGCTGTGAGAAGACATATGTTAGTTTGGGTATTCTACATGCCGACAGCAGAGCGAGAGAGATGCAGCATCTTCTCCGACTCCCCAGCTGGCTGCCATGAGGGAGAGTACTGGACTGCCATACCTTGCCAAGACATGATCGATGAATCGTGAGGTGAGGAAAGCAGCGGGGTAGAAGCAATCCGACGTTCGAAGATGGGTGGGGAGAAGTTGGAATTGAACACGAGATGTGCGTAGTGTGGTTGGGCAAACGGGGAAGTTTTTGACGTGCGACACGCCGGACGGGTTGCTTTTAAGTTGAGTGTGACGTTGCCGGGCGGCACGAGCTCGCATTCGGCGTCGGAGCGGGACGCTTCACGTGCGCAGGGGAAGTGATGGATATTTATGTCTCCGCCGATTGTTTGCTTTTCTTTTTGCTGGATCTTGGCAATTGACAATACAAACGAAGTAATACCTCCCATTGTCGATGCCTGCCAGCCTCATGCCACTTCGACACGCACATTCCTCTCCGATCCTCCGCCAAGCAGCAAAGAAGTCGATGAGAAAAGACCCCTCTCAAGCGCCGAAGCAGCGAGAGGGGCAGTAAGGTAGGAATGGCCTGCGCTTTGCAAACGGCATCAGCAGCAGCAGTGATAGCAGCAGGCATTCATTCCGAATTCGCGAGGATGTGAATCCAAGCGATGTTGTAGCCCACAGTAGATCAAGAAGACCAGAGATTGCTGTTTGCCATCCGCTGCAGTTAGTGCAAATCGTTAGTAGCTCAACGTCACAGCCCACCTGTTGTCAGAAGGTGAAAAGGGAGGGTGAATACTTTCATTTCTCAATCGACAGCAAGCAAGCAAACAGCCTGCCGTCTCGCTCGCGTTGCGGCGATGTCATTCCTTTCGTAGTAGTAGTACAGGGGTATCTCTGGTGGTCAAAAGAAAGAAGCAGCCACCCATCAGAAGCGCGTTGAGCAATCTCCTTACCGCGGTGACAACCATGCGCCCCTCACTTGGCCGACTTTGCTGCCTTTTTTTCAGCCTTCGCCTTGGCCGCCTGCTGCTTTCTGGCGGCGGTCTCGGCTGGAAGCACTTGCTTGCTCAACTTGGTGACATCACCGTGGCTCATCTCAGCTGGAATCTCTCCCTTGAACATTGGATGGTTCTTCTTGAATTTTTCCGCACGCTTCGCGCGCCTGTGTGCGAGTCTTGCCTTGTTGACAGCCTTTGATGCTCTGTGGCCCGTCAGTATCCACTACTACCTTGAGTACGGGTCACACGGGGGTATCGCGATGCTTCTACAACCACGAGGGACGAGGTGGGAGGTCCACATACTTTGTCCTGGTCTTCGCATGCTTGGCCCCGGGTTGCTTCGAGTGAACCAGGGACTGATCAGGTTTGCCAGGTACGTTCGGCGCCGGGCCTTGCTGCGGTTGAGTTTGCACCTTCGGAGCCTGCGCAGCCTTCTGCGGAGCATTCGCCGCAGGCTTTTTTGCCTTGGCCTTGTCCTTGGCGGCCGGCTGCAGAAGCATCGCCGACGGCGGCGGCGGGCTGACAGGGTGTCCACGATGCAGCAGACTCAGCTTGTTACGCTGATGCATGAACGAAGAGTAGTTTCCACCCAGAATACACTCCAGCATGCTGCCCTGGAAAACCTGTCCGGCCTCGATCTGCGCGACATGCTGGGCAAGGGCGGCATGTGCGCTGCGGAAGACGGCAAACACGTCGCCGATCAGTCGAGATCCACCCGAAATGTCGTTCGTGGGTTTGTTGGGGTCGGCAATGGTGAGACCTGATGCGTTCTGCTTCGGCATGGGATCGTACATCTTGTCAAAGTAGCGGATCGGGTTTGTCATGTCGATGCCGGTGCTGAACGTGTTGAACTTGTTGCCATAGAAATCGAGAAACGTCAGGAGCAGGTGCCCGTAACGACAGTCGGGGTTGGGGGGCGACGCTTCCGGCAGCAACTCCAGCATACTCACGACCAAACAAATGATCGAAAAGCCACCGATGCCGCCGGTGAAGACCTCGTTCAAACCACGCATCGCCACCAGCTGTTTGATCAACACGACCAACACAGGCATGGCAGGGTATTGGGCCTTCCAGTATTGAAAGGTGTCGTTTGCGATGAGCCCAGTATTGTTCTCGAATGAAATGTCGACTTTGATGCCGGTGCGCTGGTCGACGTACTTGATGATTGGCACTTTGGCTCGGGTGATGGGAGTCGAAGTTCCCGGGGCAGCGATGCCAACGTTTGACAGGTAGCGACTGAGCTTGTGCATTTTGCCTCCCGACTGGCAGTAAGACTTGATACCCCTGTTCATGTAGCCGGGGGAAACTGCCACAAGGTCCATGTCGGCAGTGGGGAGGTACAGGCCGGCCGCGAATGAGCCAAAGCAGCGGACTTCAACGTCCTTACCGCCATCGCCGTGCATATGGCGGATGGACTGCTGTACCCGCACAATGAGGTCTCGACGGACAGCCTCTTCGTAGCCGTGCGGACGGACAAAGTCGAAGAAATCACAGATTTCCAAGTGAAGGCTGCATCACAATTAGTAATGGTACTAACAAACGTCACCGCGGCTACACTTACCGAGTGATAGCATTAGAGGTGGTGGAGTGATCGGTGATATACCAGGGCGCAGCATTGATACCGTCTGCCACCCACTCTGGCAGGACTGAGCCGACTCCGACCGACTGCTGCTCACCGCGCTTTCTCTTCTTGCCTTTGCTCTGCTCAACAAGGTTGGCCGCGATCTCTTCGTCGGTGGGCATAATGAGGCCGTATGGAGGGGGAGGCGGTGGGCCCACCGGGTCATCCATGCTGCGTGTGCGAGGACGGTGGCCAGCTGACGTTGATGTCTGTGGGTGAAGGTTGGAAGTGCCGTTTGCAATTTGAAGTGACGCCTGGTTGTGGTTCGGGAGCTCCCGCATTGAGGCAGGTGCGGAAGGCGCATATCTTGGCGGAAGGGGCTGACGTGCGTCTGTGACAAGACTCACCTCACCGTCCTCCGATCCCTCATCGTCGTCGTCGAATGAAATGAAATCGATGTTGCTCTTCACCGCGTTGCCAGAGTCATGTTTCGACGCGGCATCGACCTTGGCCTTGCGTATGACTTTCACAATGTCCTTCTTTGGGCCACCCGCGGCGTCAGGAGGTGGCAGGGAGGTATACGGGTCGGGGTTCGACCACTTTGGTACCGTCGGCTCAGCTTCAGACGCAGCCATCTTGATACGCTTGGCACGCGATTCTCCGCCATCATCAGAGTCTTGCGTGAGATCGACAACGTCTACTTCACCATTCTCTTCGTCGCCCGAGTTCAGCTCCATGAAACTGACGTGACCCTCCGTGTTCATGCCATGCAACTGCTCCGGCGTGCTCCCGCCATGCACCTTGTTCAAAATGTCGCGTGTGTGAGGTTTGCGGCTCCGAAATCCGCCGCGGCCACGATCGCCACCACGTCCTCGAGCTCCGTCATTGCGCCCTCTTGGGCCACGCTGGCCCGGGGCTCGGCGGTTGTCATGTTTGGGGGGTGGATGATAGCGATCTGGTGACGGGAAACGGGGTGCTCCGGGAGCTCGGAAGGAAAAGGTGTCTTGCGGACGCTCTGGTCGAAAGGAATCTCTTGATGCGGCGCCATGAAAGGTGTAACCGCTGTCGTATCGATCATAGCTTGAGTCAGGTCTTCCTCCACCGTAGGGAGGAGGCGGCGGCGGGGGCGATCTTCTCTGTCCACCATATCGGTCGTACTGTGCAGGATAGTCAAAGTACGCGTCGCGGTGATCACGAGGCTCGTAGGAGGGCCGTGAGCTGCGGTAGTTGGGTTCATAGCGGTCGGCCATGATGACGTGCGATGAAAAGTCTCGACAATCTCAAACAAGAAAGGGAGAGAGAACGAAATGCCACCAGGGATCCGAAAACGCCGAATTACACGCCCGCCATGAGTACACGAAGGGAAACGGAGGGCTGTGAGAAGTGGAATGAAAATGTCGAAATGGAAGCGACGCTTGCGGCTTAGGTAAGGCACGCCGGCCAGATTGGCGCTTGGACCAACAGCTACATTACATCATTGGCCTGACCACCGTAGGTGAAGGTATTCAATCGAATGGTCCTAAGACATGGGTAGTTGAGATAAAACAGATAGACGAAGAGTATGATGATTTATGGCGTCCTTGATACAGTCTCAATCTTGCGCAGCTGCAACTGCTCTCAAACCGAGACGTGAGGCCAAGGCATTCAGACTGACAGTCCTGGAGCCTTTCAAGATATGTCGCGATGCCCAAGAATGCAGAACTTGTTTGCGGCAATCACCCATCTATAGCCATTGAGTACTCTAGATTAGCATCGAAGATGTTCCTCAGCTCATGAAACTCGACAAGGCGACGTCTCCACTCTTGTATCTTGCGGAGTCTCGGTAGAAACAGATTTGGACGCCAGCTGCAGATGCAGCTCCTTCGAACGATCATGTACACCCTCCAGAAGCGTGGCCAGATCCCCCAAAGTCATACCATCGGGCTCAGCTGGGCGACTTGTGATCTCTTCGTAATACGCGTCGAGGCAATAAACGCGGATCGGCACGTCCACCGACACCGGGAATCTCGCCAGCTTCATCCTCCTCCACGAGCCATCCACGACATCCCCAAAAATGCGTCGATTCGACCTGACTCCGAAGGCGGTCCGAGAATTCGCGATATGAGCTTCGGAGGGGAGTTTCAGGGAGACATGGACGATGATCTTCCAATGCGTGCCGCCGTTCCGAGGTGACTTTGGCGCAAGACATTCGACGCGATACGTGAAAGGGCGGAACTCGAGGTGCGACGTGTAGAGTAGGGGGTTCGGCACTCGAGGCTTGGTGTACTCCACGGGATGGTGGATGATGTCCATCCTGCGAAGGAGGATGGTCGAGCCATTGATTGTAGTATGGAAGCTCCGATTGACGCGCTGCAGTCGGAAGAGGTCTCTTGATGTCAGATTACATCGCGAGTCGACCAGGATCTGCTCCCAGATCTCATTGGGTAGTCTATCCGCTGCTGATGGCATTTTGATGTGAATGGACAGTTTTGTTGGAGTCGTGAAACCGAGACGAGGTCTATTCTCGTCTTATCGATAGTGCGATGCAGGTGCGTTGGTTGGCCAAATGAAGATCACCCCATGGGGATGCCCGCGCTAGTCCAGCCACGAGGCCCAGTGGCGCCTAAGCCGTATAAAACAAACGGTGACTCTTCTGCTGCTCTTCTTCCTTCTTCACCGCTGCTGGCAATATTACAAGGCCCTCACATGCTTCGTTTGAAGTGGTGAGTCCTTGTCCGGGCGCGTCCGATCCAAAAGCTCTCACGCTTTATTCACTCTTTTACCCTCCCCTCCGCCCAGCCCATCTCTCGTTTGGGAAAGCAAACAATCGCCAACTTCGAGACATCACGGAGCGCATTCCCGGATCTCTCGCCGTCGCAGCCATGTTCAAAAGAAGCTTCCATGCCTTCTCAAAGGACAGAGTTGAGAAGGCGAAGATCCCCAAGCGCTCGTTTCGCGATGTCACGAGACAGAGGATGCGCGAGGCTCTGAACAACCCGGCAATCTCCCTCGACGCATCGCCTTCAATGAGCGATGCCTCGCCCAAGGTCAACTCGTCAATCGTCACGATTGCCGTGGGCAGGGACAAGAGGCTGTTCGCCGCGCATGAAGACGTGCTCTCCCGCTCGCCTTGGTTCGCCGAGAAGTGTCGTGAGCACTTCTTCGAGCCCTCGGGCAAGCGTTTCGACCTTCCCGACGAGGAGCCGGAGATCTTCTCGGCCGTGTTGGAGTTCCTCTACAAAGGCGACTACACTCCCCGCCTCCTGCACGACAGGAAGCGCGGCACGTGGTCGCTGGAGGGTGCGACATTCACCGCCGAAGATCTGACCACCACCCCTCGATCCGACCGTACCGCCGCCACTCCGAAAAAGTTCGTCGGCTTCAACGAGTCCGCGACAATCTTCCATTCCGGGGTAGGCGACTATGTCCTCCGGGATACCGTCGTCTACTGCACTGCCTTGCGCTTCGGCCTGCCCGAGTTGCAACGCCTTGCTCTTCGTAAGCAAGGCTTGCAATCCGGCATCGACGTGGCGACCATCCTGCGCAGTGCACGCTTTGCGTATGCAAACACGCCCGCCAGCGACTCGAGGCTCCGCGCTCACTACCTCGCCCTCATCATTCGCAGCCGCAAGGTCTTCAAGAGAAGCGGCACGATGCAGATGGAGATGGAGAAGGGTGGCACGCAACTGTTCTTTGATTTGTATGTTGCGCTGTGTAATCACATCGACGATCTTATGGAGATAGGGTAGGTGGAGCATCTCTTGTGTCTTGCGCTGTTTATACTAATGATTTCCAAATAGCCAAGGTCGATCTCCAGTCGTCGATACGTGACGAACACAACACAACAAGACATCAATGCAGCTCGGAGCACCGAAACGAAATTGGGAACCCACTCATCTCACTCCTTTACACCACCATAATTCAGCAAGCAACGTTGCTCTTCAGACTGTCAGACTGCTCCGAGCTAGCATAGCTCTCTCACCACTCCTGTCGGCGCAAGGGTTATCGACTTCTCTCAGCATTATTCACAGACTGGAAACCCACGCACACTCGTTGAATGGTGGCTTCAAGGATATCAGCAGAAGACTGGACTCCACTCTCACTTTCCGTTTCGGAGCACGCAAAGAGAACAAGAATGGACATGTGTGTGTGTCTTTTTGCCCCTGCTCCAGTGGTCTTTCTCCTATCTCCTCTTCGCTGAGAAGTGATGGAGAAAGACCACAATCACCAGCACCAAGCGACTGCCTTCGCAATCTCTTTGGTTCGGCTTTTGATTCTCGACATCAAACAGATTGTCGACCCCTTCCGCCACAGGACTCGCTCTGGCGAAGGTGCTTTCCGTCTCGTCCTTCCCGCCCACAGGCTGGTGCGAGAAGGATAAGGTGGGAAGCACGACTTTTTGGCCTCGACGCTTTTCTTTCCTTTCCTTTCGGGGAGGATCTTGCGAAACCTCCACTCAGAATGTTACCTGCGGATGTTGGTAGTGTTAGGTAGACTGAGCAATGTGAACCGTCGGCCACGAATTTCTCTCTGGTTTTCTTTCGTTATGAATATATTATGATCCCAGTAGAATATCGAGTTCCTGCCCCTCCCTCTCACGCACAAACCGCCACACCCTATCCATAAACTCACTCACCGCCCTCTCGCGACCCGTAGGCTCCCGCTCCGGCACCCCCTCCCTCAAATACGCCACCTCAGGCAGCGCCTCCCCAGGCAAACTCCACCTCACCACACACCCCCTCGGCACATTCGCCTCCACCCGTCTCATCTTCCCACACAAGCGGCGCAAATGCGGCACCTCGCCCTCCCTCAAAAGCCGCACCCACTCCCCATCCCCCACCTCCCGCAACACCAGCACGCCCTCATCCAACGGCCCGATAAAAATATCCCGTAAACTCACACTCACTTCCTCCAGCGCTTCGCACTCGGCTAAGAACCCGCTGATATTCCCCGCCGCGAACCACGAGAGGAACTCCTCGATGTTATCGAGGTAGGCGCACCAGACTTCCACCATGACTTTGCGAGTGAGCACGCGCCGGATCCATTTGTCGGCGAAAGAGGCTGCTGCGGGCTGCGGAGGCGGAGTGGTGAAGTGCGTTTGCACGTGGAAGGCGAGTTCGCTGACTAGACTGCCTCGCCGGGTTTTGGCTGCGGGCTCGAGGTCGAAGTACAGGGCTGTGTGGGAGTAGAGGAGCGGAGCGGCTTCTGTGAAGATTTGGCGGGATGTGGCTAGCCAGTGCAGGTTGGACTGCGTGGAGAGGAGGTTGAGGAAGTGGGGGGTTGTTGGCAGGCAGAGGGCGTAGATTTGGAGACGGAGTTCTGTAGGCAGGCGGGCGAGTTGGCCCAAGCCGGAGGAAGATGACTCGTCCATGTGCTGGGTATTTCGGGTTTGGTTTTCTGGGGCTGGGAGGAGTAGAAATGATGGTGTTCTTTGGAGATGGATGCTTGGGTGGATGAGGTGACGTTCTCCATATTTATCTGAATGGGCGATGATGTGCTCTGCGAGTTGGCACGCCATTTGAACCTGCCACAGAACGACGAGATGGGCATAGAACGGCTCTATAAAGTATTCCCTTGCTTGCAGACGAGGATGATGTCTTGCATGTGTCTTGCCATTGCATACTATACACCTTTACCACAATCTATAAGAAAGTCAAGCCCACCCCAAAACTCAACCCCTTCCGCCCCTCTTCTCCCTTCCTCACAACCAGCGGTAAGCTGAAATTGACCTCGAACCGCGCCGCCGGATGCGCATATACAAGCCCAATGCCCGCCGCACAGCTGGGCAGGCCATTGAAAAGCTCAGCAACAGTCTGCCGCACGCTGCGCGCCACCTCGCTGGAATCCATTGCCTGGTCTTTGCTGTCTCCTTTGCGGGTATCGTTCAGCGCGAGCAGGCGACCACCGTTGATGAATGCTTGTAAGCGGAGGGGAGTGTCTTTGCCTGTGCGTGGCAGCGGGAAGTAGAGCGAGGCGCCTCCGGCGGCGTAGACGTCTCCTCCCACCGAGTCTTCGCCGTCGTGAGGACCGAGTCCATTGAGACGGAAGCCACGGACGTCGGTTGGCCCGCCGAGTTGGAAGCGATCGTTGAGACGGCTCTGGGATGGACTGCTTTCACCAGCTAGGGTCAGAGGGAAGAGCAGACCGCCTCGAAGGCCGGCGGTGAAGGAGATGCCGGAGTCGCCTTTGATTCCAGGAACTGGAACCGGCAGGGCGACTTGAGAGTCCATTTCGAACTTGCCAAATGCCACGTCACCTGCCAATGGGCCGAGGCCGGCAATCTCGGAAATGGTCTTGAATAAGTAACCTCTGCTGGGCATCATTGGGATGTCTCTGGTATCATTCGTCCAAGTGTGCGTGATGCTGGACTTAAAGCTGTCGCCGGCATCCGTTCGAACCGTCGGGCTCGCCTTCTCCGCCAGACCCGTGATCTGTCGCCAGAAGCCGGAGTAGGTGAAGTCGTGACGGTGACCCGGCCTCGTCTGCCATAAGATTCTTGTGCTCCCTCCCTTCAGCGCTTCTTCGTGTGAAGCCCACGGTTTGAGGGTACTGCTCGCTTGGCCACCAATCTCCCACCTCAGATCGGGATTGGAGAAAATGGGAGTGTCGTAGTAGGCATTGTATGCGCTCCTCGTGCGTGTGCCGAGACTGGCATTGGCATTGAGACTCTCCGCGCCACCGAACAAATTGCGCAGGACGACATTCAAATACGCGCTGCCTTCTAATGTCCCCGCTTCCGTGCCTGTGCGGATGGTGTACCTCCCTCTTTCCCTCACCGTCACAAAGACGTTATGATCAGTTGGCGTCGAGGTAGCCTCCGTCTGATCAGGTCGGTCGATGTAGGTGCTGATGGGTTGATGGAAGATATCAAGACGATTGAGCTTGTCAACTGCAGTGCCGATCTCGGTGAGAGCATCGCGAAGAGTGTAGGGGCCGGCCCCGGGCTGGTTTCGGTCGAGGAGGGGTTGGAAGATGCGCTGCAGGAAGGAGTGGCGGGTGTTGTTGGCGCCGATGACGCGGACGGAGGAGACGGTTACCGGTCTGGAGGAGTTGATGTCGATGAGCTCACTCTCCCGTTGCCGCGCCTTCTCGGACTGGCCTTGGATTCGTTCAGTGACGGCATTTTCGCGTTCGGCGAGGACTTTGGGATCCAAGGGTTGGCGAAGTTGCGCAAAGATCTGGGCATGTCAGATGAGAGTACGGGGTATTAGAGGATTGCGGGACTGGTCTTACGCTGTCATCGAGCGGCGATGAGGCCATTGCCTGTTATACAGTCATCTGAAGCAGGGAGGATGTCTGTTCCCAAGTTTCCCACCGCGAGCAGTTGAAGCTTCAGAGCTTGGATCCGGTGTGCGTAGATATCGGACCGGCTGCATATATGAGCACGGTATGCCTTACCTTCAGTCTCGCCTCAACTCCATCTTCACTCCACCACCGCAACCGAAACACTTTTCAGCGTTTCTTTGCCCTTTCTCATGTCATCGTTGCCATGTATAGAAGACTTGACGCGCACGTACAACATGACGTCGGTTCTCGTCATGCTACACTGGCGGTTTGAGCTGCTTTCTTTGTTCCGCCTTCACATTCCTGATCGTCATCCCCATCGACCGCATGCAGCAAGCCATCAAAGACCTCGTCTGGAGTGACGCGGCGGCTCGGGCCTATGGCCGTGGAGATCGAGTATACTGGTGTATTTATCCTAATCACGATCTCCAACAATGCTTGTACGACGAATGCCAGCTGAAGACGTCTGACCAAACACAAAGGCCACTGCCGGTATAGGTACCCAAGCGGAGACATGACGCACCCGGCACAATGGATCTCAGCTACCACGGAGTGGCTTAGATAAGTACGATCGTGCGGATGAGGTGTTTCAATTGTTTCTTCACTCTCTCAACCTTGCACTTTACAGCGTATCTCGATTCTGCGCATTCGTTCTTACTTATCTGCATTCCTGGCGATCTGCTACACAGTGCAAGTGTAGAAGAACTCCATCAGCGATCATGAACGCAAAGACCAACAAACAGCTCCATTGGAGCCAGCGAGTCGCCCTCGTCCGCCACAATCTCCACTCTGCCAGCCGCAGCGGCGACTTCCACTTCTTCAAAGCTCTCCAGGCGAACGGCTTCACTGAGGGTACCAATCATGTGGCTACTTTGGTCGAAGAAATCGGGGACGACGCGGATGTTGTTCTCGCAGCCATGGACGACCTGAACTCCGGCTTGGCTTACAGCCACCAAGACGCCTTCAAAAGCGTTTACGACAATCTCAAGGATGGCTTGCGCGAGGGTGACATGCCGACAATCAAATTCAGCCTCTATGTCGACATCGCCATTCAGAAGAGTGTAGCCGACATGGCCATTGACAAAATGGCCTCGTCAGCTTTGGCTTTGGTCCAACAACAGCCTGTCTCCGCCCAAGAAGCCGCCGCCAACATCTGGATCACCGGTGCTACGGTGGTCGCGGACTGTCTGGAGGTCTCGCTCAAAGAAATGGACAGCATCGAAAGCAAAATGGACGACTTTATCCGCCTCGAAGCCAGCTGGAATACCGTCAAGGCCTCGGCCATCTGCGCCGTGACCGTCCTGAAAGGCATCTTCCATCTCATGGACTCCAGCAGCCCCCAAGACACGCCCAAATCCCAACGATCCTCCAGCATCGTGAGTGCAAGCGGTGTCATGCTCCGTCGCTTGTCCAACGCCTTCGCCGGCTCCACCACTAGCAGCAGCAGGAATTCCAGCGTGGTCTCTACGCACGCACCAGTGACGGGCGCGCACGCCGGGAACTCCTCGCTCAGCTCCAACAGCAACGGGCCTGTCTACTGTACTCCAAACTACATGCGCGGCAGTGGCAGCTCGACTCAGAGCTTCCCGAGCAGCACCGAGTTCAAGCAGCACAGACTCGACACCATCCCTCATACGCCTGGCTCTGGGCCGGCTGTGGACGATCACCCGGATCCGTTTGATACCAGCGTGCCTCTACCTGAGTTGCCGGCGATGCCCGTTGCTCCGCTGCCGACGATGAGTCTGGAGCCGAGAATGTTTGTTCAGACTGCTTTCTAAGGGGGAATCACGTCAGAGTGGATTGGATGGGGGGATGCAAGGTCATTCGTTCATGCCGAAAAGTCTACACATGCTTTCATATATGATCGTTTCATAAGCACACATCTCAATGTAACGCAAATTTACAATGACAATCAACTCCGCCCAATGCTGCCGCGTTTGCATCTCGAATTTCAACTTGTTTAACTCTCGACCTTGTCAATTACACGAACTTTAGATACATCAACACTTCTTCTCAACTCTGCGCCATTCAAACGAGGAAATCTTCAATGGCGCCCAACATATCCATCCGCGAATACATCCGCTGGCTCCCAGACGAAGCAAGCGAACCCACCAGCACTTTCGTCCTCACCTCCGCCGAAAACAGATTCGTCGACATCCGCATCCTCAAAGCCACAAACGACTCTCAACCGCACACCCAAACAGAAAGTAAGTACCATTCAGGGCTTCTGCTATAATGACTAGGCACAAGCTAAACAACCCAGCCGTCCTCCCCTTCACCCGTCTCGACTGGGCTTTCGCCGGCACATCGTCAAGTTCCATCCGGTCAGATCCCAACGACTCTGGCAAACAAATCGTGCACTCGCAATGGCGCCACTGGGTCGATTCTCGCAGTGCGCATGCCGAGGAGATCGTGGATGAAGGCGACATGTTTCCTCAGCTGGACGGGACAACGCTGGAAAGTGGAGCAATGGTCAATCCTGCTACAGGACGCTTGACGCAGTACGAGGAGTGTTGGAGGGATGTGGAGGCTGTTGCTACTGAGGCTACTGGCACTGCTGATGGAGAGGGCAAGGCGATGTGTGCTGTGCTTGTACTGCATGATGATGTTAATGGAGCGCGAGGGGTGGTTGTGAGGGTTGGGCAGTTTGTCCAGGGCATTCTCAGGGTGGGAGGATCTGTGAGTTTGGAGAGATGGGCTTGGATGAGGGATGGAGGGTGGATACGGGAGGTGAAGATGGGGGATATGTGGTTGCCTTGTGGTGTGGTGATGGAGGGGGAACGGGTGAGGCTTGGAGGGGAGGTGAAGTATGGGGATTTCGCGTGGAAGGTGGTGGAATTGGGGGAGGTATAGCTAATCGATCAGATTGCATTGCTTTGAGCGAGTTCCCATGCTACCTTAGCCGTTTCGTCAAAAGATGGTTGATAGAGACCGAGAAGGCTGAGCGCCGTGTGAACACGGCATGACGTTGTCGCCTCAGGCACACATTGACCCCGAGCTTTGCACATGCGCAGCTTCTCCAGAAATTCCCCGAGCAGAGACGACACTTTGCATATCCCACTTCATCATCTTCTTCGACTTTCTGATCTGCCAACGCCGACTCTTTCGCGGACCCTTCAACACTCTCGACTTCCCCACCCTCTCCTCCACCATTACCACAATTCGAATCACGAGTCGTCCTCACACACACAGGCCAACATGGCCTCCTACGGCTATCCCCAACAACCCCCCTCGCAATCCTACTCCTCCCCCAACAACCTCAACTTCTACCAGTCCACCTACTCCAACCAGCCCGTCTCAGGCCACACAACTCCCTTCCAAGCCACATACGGCGCGGGCGGCGCACAGTCTGGGGGTTACCCCCAGCAAGCATACGGCGGCGGCAGCAATTATGGCTTCGGAGGCTTCCCCGGGCAGCCTGGCGCAACGGGACAAATGGGGACGGGACAAGGAGGGCTGAGGACGGGGTGGTTGGCTGCGTTTGGGACGGAGGGATATGATGGAGAGCCGCCTTTGCTGGAAGAGTTGGGCGTGAATTTCATGCATATTCAGATGAAGGTATGAACTCTTGTTGAGGGTCACGTGGTTGGACCTTTTGCTGACGAATAGCTTTTGCCAGACACTCACAGTGCTCAACCCGATGGCCCGGATAGACAACCACATCATGGACGATGCTGATTTAGCTGGTCCATTTCTCTTCTGCGGCCTCTTCGGCACCTTCCTGCTTCTTGTAAGCCGGCCCCCTGCCCCTAAACCAAGACCACACCACTAACTCTCGACCAAACAGTCGGGCAAACTCTGGTTCGGCTACGTCTGCGGCCTCGCAGCCCTAGGCGCAATAACGCTCAACTTCATCTTCAGCATGATGTCCCCCCCGCTCTCCCAAGACGAAATGCAAGCCGCGCAGAACTCGTCCAGCTCCTACCACGCCTCCGCACAGCTCTCCTCGACCCTCACACTCGGGCGCAGCTCGTCGGTGTTGGGGTACTGTCTGCTCCCGCTGGTGTTCGCGAGTCTACTCGGTGTTGTGTTGCCGCTTGATAGCTTTTTGGGCTATTGCTTGGTTAGCACGGCGATTGCGTGGTGTACTTATTCCAGCTCGGCGATGTTTTGTGTGGTGGGGAGGATGGCGAATATGAGGTGCGTATCTCTATCCTGTATCTTTGAACGAACGATGACTGACGATGACGAACAGGGGACTTGTCGCATATCCGTTAGCGCTCTTCTACGTGGGATTTGGCATCATGGCGATTTTCAGCAGCAGAGGAACTGGGCATATTGATGCCATGAAAGCGAGGACATGAAGGGGACTGTGCCCATGATTTTCAAAACATGCATTTAGCGCTGTGTTGCATAGCTATCGTACGCCAATTCACAGCGACAGTCTCATCGCACTTCCTTCTTCCGCGTTGTGTCGCTCACGCCTGTTGCATATCATTCGAGCCTTCTGATAGCTAAACATTGTTCAGTGTTGCCACAATGATGTGGCCATCGCCGGTGATTTGTTCGCTCCTCGCCGTCAGAACTGTCAGAACCCCGATCGATTGTACGTCTAGCGTGGACGTTTGGTTGTGGGCAGGGGGTAAACGCCGTACGTCATCCTCGTCAAGTCCTCCTCCTCCTTTGCCAGGCGCTTGACAAAGTTGTTTCGAGTGCGAGTAGTCATCGCCACTTTCCTCAAAGACAGTGCAACAGCGTCACGAGTCTTTGCATTCGGGATTCGGGCGGGTTGCTCGATGATCTTTGATGCCCATCCGTGGAAGTGTGTCTCAAGGTCGGCTTCGCTCATTCCCTTCATCCTGTACTCCACCGAAAAGTCGATGAGCTCACAGAGAGACTTGCGAAGATTGCTAGAGCCGTACCAGATGCCTGGATTGGAAGAAGTCGTGATTATCCTCCTCCACGCGAGCCTGAAGCGGGTTCGGCTGGGCCAGGCGAGGTCCATGTTGAAGATGAGCTTGGCAAGGAATATCCAGGCACCGATATCTTTCCACATGATTGACGTGAAGTGCAGCCGGGCATGGATGCGCAGACGGGGGATCCACAGTTGCAACTTCTGCATCGCAAAAGCACACGCTTGCTCGCACTCGTTGCTTTTGAAGTAGATCTCGAAAACGGTTCCTGAATAGTGGATCGAGCCAGCTTCCGCTCGGATTGCCTTCGACACGCGGAGGAGACTGGGTTCTGGTCCCATCCATTTACGCCAATCGCTTCGTGGGTATTCAGGTGGGAGTCTTGTTTGGACTGATCGACCGATGGAAAGCTCGTAGATCGTGTTTCTCAGCTCGCCCGGGAGGTCGAAGAATCGGTTGCGGGCTGGACGTTCGATCTTCTTCAGGCGCAGCTTTACTTCCCTGGAACATATTAGCACTGCTCATGCGGTGTTGGTTACCACCAGACACACCTGTCGTACTCGATGGCGCGGTTGGTAGTTACCACAGCCTTCCTGGCGACTTTCTTCTGATAGATGGTCATTGATTGGTAGCCCTCAATGTCCGCAACCTCTGTGATCTTTCTCTTCTTAGCACGAGCCATGATGTGCTCGCAGGTCTCCGGGTAGGAGTGGTGTTGGCCGACGAACGAGGAAAGGGAGACGGAGGAGGAAGGAGGAAAAGTAAGAAGTATTGTTGCCTGACGTGAAGGTTGACCAGTGACGTCGTCAACAGTCACGTGACTCCAGACAGTGAATGAGACCAAGCAACCGCCTCCAAAGGTGTCGAACGGACATCAACCAAAATTACCAGCCCAACGTTCCCGGAGCGCCCTTCACCCAAGTCGGATCAATATCACTGCTCATCCAGCCACCATAGAAGTCCGAGCCCTGCTGCGACTTCACCTTTTCCCCATCCACCCAGCATTCCCATGGCCCAACATACAAGCTCAAGTAGCCTTTGATGTCTTTGAAGCCTGGAGTGGGATCATCGTAAGACCAAATGCGATTCTTCACCACTTCGCTTGGGTTGGTCGGGTTTGCCACTTCGTAGTACGTGGCTTTGCCTTTCCATTCACACCACGACGATCTGCTCGTCTTTGAGAGCGGTACTTTCATGCTGGACGGAGGAAAATAGTATGTTGGCGGATGAAAGGTCTCTAGAGCCCAGTAGGCCTCCTTGGTCTCGGCGATGAGTTCGCCGTTCCACTTTACTTGCAAATGCCGCGAGATCTTGTCGCAAGATGGCGGTCGCGGGAAGTTGCGAGGGTTGAGCTTTGTTGTCGTCGACATGGCTCGTTTCAGCATTTGTCGTTAGAAGTGTCGTTGAAACGAAGCAGGCGTGGTTGGAAGCAATGGACGACGTCAGCATCAGGCGCGAGGCCCTGTCGAATCGGAAGGCTTGCCGTCCAACCCTGCTCGCCGCCCTGGCGCTAAGATAAGAACAGCAAGATAAGCGCAACCGCCGAGCGTGACGCATCTTTTAATTTTTCGGGCGCGGTTGGGAAGCCATTGAACATTCACCATTTGTTCCTCATCCTCTCTGATTCTTTCCAATACTCTCACCACAATCATGGCAAAAGAAAAGGTCTGTCTGGCTTACTCGGGCGGCTTGGACACCAGCTGCATCCTGCAATACCTCCTCGATGAGGGCTACGAAGTCATTGCCTTCATGGCCGATGTCGGGCAGGAGGAAGACTTCGAGGCCGCGAAAGCAAAGGCTCTGAAGATCGGCGCCAGCAAGTGCTACATTGAGGATCTCCGAAGGGAGTTCATCGAGGAGCTGTGCTACCCTGCCATTGCGTGCAATGCCATCTACGAGAACGTCTACCTTCTCGGCACCTCTCTCGCCCGGCCCGTTATTGCTCGCGCGCAGATCGCCGTTGCGCAGAAGGAAGGCTGCGTTGCTGTCTCTCACGGCTGCACGGGCAAAGGCAATGATCAAGTCCGCTTCGAGCTTGCGTTCTACGCCTTGCAGCCGACCATCCGCGTCATTGCTCCCTGGCGAGACCCGGTCTTCTACAACCGCTTCAAGGGCCGAAACGACCTGCTCGACTACGCCGCCCAAAAGGGCATCCCCGTCACAAGCACCAAGAGCCAACCGTGGAGCATGGACGAGAACCTTGCGCACTGCAGCTACGAAGCCGGCATCCTCGAAGATCCCAACACTACTCCGCCTGAAGCAATGTGGAAATTGACCGTCGATCCCATCAAAGCCCCCGATGCCCCCGAAGACTTCACCCTCATCTTCGAAAAAGGCCTCCCTGTCAAACTCGAATACGACAACGGCAAGAAGTCCGCCACCGACCCTGTCGACCTCTTCCTCACCGCAAACACGATCGCTCGCCGCCACGGTGTGGGCCGTATCGACATTGTCGAGAACCGCTTCATCGGCCTCAAATCCCGCGGATGCTACGAGACTCCTGGGCTGACAATGCTTCGCTCCGCTCACGTCGATCTCGAAGGGCTGGTCATGGACCGTGAAGTTCGCGCGCTGCGAGACCAATTCCTCACCTTCAACTACGCCAAACTCCTCTACAACGGTCTGTACTTCTCACCGGAGCGTGAGTTCCTCGAAGACAGCATCACCGCGTCGCAGAAGCATGTCAACGGGGCTGTGCGATGCCGCGCATACAAGGGCATGTTCAGCGTACTGGGCAGGTGGAGTGACACGGAGAAGTTGTACGATGAGTCGGAGAGCTCAATGGACGAGATTGGCGACTTCGCCCCGACCGACACGACGGGCTTCATTGCTATCCAGGCCATCAGGTTGAAGAAGTACGGCAAGGCGAAGCAGGCGAGTGGCGTGGATCTGGTGAACGGCAAGTAAGGGGAACCTACAGGGTGCTTGATGAGTGCAATTCGTTCCAGCAAAGGCGTTGGTGCTTGTCAATTTCCTCCCGAAATGACGATATAGACAATCGCTTCGCAATAGAACAAAACAAATTTCTACAAACTCGAAGATTCCGCGACCCGATGCATCTCATCCAGTCTTCCCCTCCCATCTCTCACGCCCTTCTCCCAGCCAGCATATGTTTCGCGATAGAATTCCTTTAGATCCTTGCTCTGGGCAATAACTCCCGCCAATGCAACCGCATCCTCAATCGCCTCATTCGCCCCTTCACTCCCCAGCAGCGGCCCCGCATGCGCCGCCTCCCCCAGTAGCACTATCCCCTTCTCCGCCGCCGCATTCAGATTCGCTTCCGGGACGAACAAAGTACGCATCAACCAGTTCAACAATCTGTCCTCCTTCATTGCTTCAGGTTTGAAGATCTCAGTGAGAGCAGGAGGCAGGCTATCCAATTGCGTGATTTCATTGAAAAGCTGGTCTGGGATCTCCTGTGCCCCGGAAATTGGCCTTGTAGGTCTGAAGAGAGGATCTTCACCGCTGTTGGATAGTGCTGGCCGAGAAAAAACGTAGCTAAGACTCGCTTTGTCTTGGGTGAGTTCGTTAATGCTGATTTGAAGGAGGGTGTTCTTGTTGCCCGTGCGTGATTTGTGCGTAAGAACCGACGACTCGCGGAAATGGGATGCGTATTTGCTCTGGAAAGTGGCGGCACTCAGACGTCGTTTGCCGTTGTACACTGCGTACGGCAGGATATCGAATTCGGTAGAGGGCGAGATAGTCTTGCGGATTTGCGAGTGCACTCCATCTGCACCGACGATGATTTGAGACGTCGCTTTGCTGCCATTTTCAAACGCCAGGCCAGAAGGTGAGGAAGCGGAATCGACCTCAATCAGTTTATGCTCCCACCGAATGTCCAACCCCTCACGAAGCAGCTCCTCGAGTTTCAACCTGGTAGCTCGGAAAGACGACGAGCCATGAGTCGACTCCCCACCCGCAGTACCATCTACACTCACTCTCTGCCGAAAACCCCTCTCGTCCAAGTCCAGAACAGGCAGAATTTGTCGATACGCCGCCGGCTGGAGAGTGATCGAGTACCCATATCGAGGTTTGAGGGCGTCGCGCTCGTACAGCACGGCGCGGATGCCGTGTTTGAGGAGGCAACGGCCGAGGACGAGGCCAGCTATGCCTGCACCTACAATTGCGACTTGGGGCGTTTGGGCCATGGTCTTGAATTGGGGTGGAGGTTTTGATGAGATGGGATGTTGGGGAGATGCCGAAAGTGGAAGGTAGGGTTTATAAGGTTCTGGATATTGACGTCGTTGACCCACTTGTCACAGCCTTCCGGCTAATGCGAGGCTTATGTAAGGACTCCATGCCACCTTGACACGCCGTGAGAGGTTTGTATCTTCTATCCACGATCATCGCGATTTGGCTCGCGCCGCTCCTCTAATCTGGCTCGAATATCGCACGTAGCCATTGCGAAGATAGCTCAAGTTTCTGCGTCTTCTACATCGCGAATGGCAGTCCAAACGGTCCGCGCTGCAGTCTCGGAAATACCGCCGAATGGAGCGATCGTCTTTTCAAACTCCTCCTGGGAATGAATGGCAAGTTCTTTGCAGATGATGGCAGCCTTAGAGATGATCCATTTCCACTCGTCCAGTGGATTCGACACGCAATCCGCGACTGTCAGCGCCCAGAGCAACAAATCAAGACACGGATACCAGAGTAGGAAACTGATAGCATCCTCGAGAGCAGTCCTCAGCTTCGCCGCGCAGGAACGCTGAGTAGGTGTCTTTGGCTGCGCGACATCAATTGCAGGGCCGCATGTGAAGTATAACGCGAAGCGGACGACGTTGAATGTCAAATAGCTGGGCGTGTCCGTAGGGCCGGGGGGCGACACGGACAGCAGGCCGTCCTCGAGCGAGCAACTATCGACATGCAAGAGGTGGAGCTTTCCGGGGCAGACTTTGGCACCATCTTGCCCGGGGTAGGGGATGTGAGTGTGGAGTAAGTGGCGTTTGATGGCGAAATAGGATATCCAGTCGCCGACAATAGCCATGTAGGGTTCCGAGACGAAGACGCAAGGACGATTCTGGGCTGGCATCATATGATTGATGTGATCGTCGGTTGAAGAGGTGTTACCAACGGTGTCATTCATGCTCGTTCCCTTGGGAGAGGTTGGGGCTGCAGTTGATGATGGTCGTCGGAGCATGATTGAACAGAATTCTAGAGTGCTATTGGTGCACTCGTCAGTGCAAGCTCAATCAGGCCTCGGTAGCTGTGCGATATGCATACATTTGAATGCCAAGCCGTAAAGTAGTGGGGATGTCCTGAGGCGAGTCTAGAGAGTCCATGATTGTTACCAGGCCCTCGGCGTGGACTCCTGCGGCTGGAAAGTCCCATTCGCCACACTAGGATACTAGCCATCAGTCGAGGGCGAAAGACAAGCACACTCGCACTCCTTGCATCGTTGCTCACCTCGAGACGTAAAAGGAGCGCAACTGCATACGCGGTGGTGGGCCCGACAGTAGAGGGCTTGTTGAGACGCTTTTGGACATGAACCATAGTCTGGTGTCGGTATTCGCTGGCGATGCGGGCATGATTGGCCTGCTTTTGGCCCACGGAGAGAATCGAATTGGAAAGTCCAAGCAAGGCGTACAGCACCGCCGGATCACGCATTGCGTAATCCATCAAGTCCTGTTTTGCAGGTTTGAGCGTAGCCCCGGGCCATACGGTGGGTAAGACGCTGGTGAAGTCTGGCGTGTGGACGAATCAGCATCGCATCTGGCAGATGGGCGGAAGAGAGAGGCGGAGAGTCACAATAGGCGAGCAGGCTCTGCATGCTCCTGGTCATGCGGATCCCGAGGGTCTGGAAGGGATCGAAGTGCAATTCACCGACTTCCTTCACCCTGCGCATGCCCTTGCCATGATACGAACATGCCAGTTGTTTGTAAGTGCTGGGTTTGGAAGATGCAAAGTTGGCCGGGGTGACCAAGACGAATTCGTTGTTGTCCGTCTGCTGGATCTGGCTACTTTGGACGTGAGAGAAGATTTCGAGGCGCTCCTTGCCGTGCGATCGGGTCAGGGATGCGGATTCGGCCGTCTTGTTGACGAAGACGAAGGCTGGTTGAGATGGCATGGTCGACGAGCGACAAGGACAAGAGATGCAAGAAGGGAAGTTGCCCAGGACCGAAAAGGCTCGGATGGAGAAACGGGAAGCTGCCCGGGACAGGAGAGGCTCTTGATGCGATATTTGTGCATCGCACCGTGCGCCGCTGCCGGGCATCGTCAGCCCTACATGTCCTCCAGATCTTCGGCCTACATTGTGCTGTTCCGTCGATGGTGATGGTGTTGCCAGTGGAGACGTCGGCCAAACCGCTATCCGCCTTGCCCAGTTTGGAAACCCCAACTACCCGAATGGGACAACTGAATGAATAAGCAGTTTGGCGGAGATAGTGAAGCTCAGGCTAATACAAAGTATCATCATTTCAGGACGACCGCATGAAGGTTTAGGGCTAATGGGTTTACCTTTGTGAATGCTGACACCGCAGACGCCACCAACTGCCGGTTCGGTTTGTTTCCAAACATGCACTTGTGCTCCCCTCATCCTCGTATCCATCGTTAAGTGCATACCCGAGACACAACCCCATATCCAGCACACGCCGAACGATGCACCCACCGAGAGTCTGCGGAGCACGAGGCTCGGTCGCACCACAATCGGGCCCGCAGCTCTTCGGCCCCGGTTCCGCTACGAGGGCTGCTTCAAGACAACGAAATTTCCCAAAGCGGAAGGTGAGATCGACGAGCCCAAGCGGCTCCACTGCGGCACAGCCCTACCCGGCGAGGCTGCCTTACGAAAGCCTTTGTCACCATCGAGCCTTTGTCACCATTGAACCATTCCGCAAAGAGTACTTGTCCATGCTGCTTTCAACCTGAGCACTCCGTAATACATGTGGATGTTGCACGATATCGTCCTTCTCGGAGTTGACAAAGCTGGACTCAGCAGACTTACGGCCGGGAAAACTCATTTAAGGCATAAGGCAACTCCACCTCACCTCGATCAGACCTCTGGCCATCACGAGACTATAGCTCACCTTCATCATGACCACCATCATCACCCACCCAATCAGCGAAGCTCGTCATGAGCAAGCCTTCATCGACAGGCCGCCAGCGGCCAAAGACGATAGCTCCCTGTCAAATGACCTCCTGACAGATGCCGTCACATCCCTGAAATGGGGTCGCATGGGTCGAGCGAACACCCTGACCAATGTTGTATCGACGTTCATGGTTCTTTGGTGTCCCGTTTGGGTGACGATGAACTGGATGTCGCTCGAGTATTTCGATGGCTCTCTCCCTGCTTTGATCAAAGCCTTCTGGACAACCGACGACGCATTGTCTATGATCTGGCGGTACTTACCGCAAGCTTCCTGGACCGCATCCCTGGCCTATGCTTCATGGCTAGCTTTCCAAGCCTTGCTGTATTATGCACTTCCAGGCAAGACGAGTTTCGGCCAGCGCACCCCTGGCGGATGCAGACATCGGTACGAGATCAACGGAGCTATGGCTTGGGCCATCACACACTTGCTATTTGCCGTGGCCGTCGTGCAGGAATGGCTTGATCCCGCGTGGATTGCGAAGAACTGGGCCGGCCTGTTTGTCGCTGCCAATGTGTACGGCTATCTCCTCGCTGTCTTCGTCTTTGTCAAAGGCAGGTATGCACCGACAAATGTCGAGGATCGCAAATTCAGTGGTGAGTCTTCCTTTCCTCGCCGGAGTGACGCATCTGCTCACGCGTGTCTAGGATCGTGGGCGTATGATTTCTGGATGGGTCTGGAATTGAACCCCCGCATCGGCTCTCATTTCGATGTGAAGCTGTTCCATAACGGCCGTCCGGGCATTGTCGCGTGGACTCTGATGTAAGCGACTCGCTTCCACAAGGTACCGCAGCATCCAGCTAACATCCCATTTAGTGATCTCTCATTCGCCGCATGGCAGTACGAAAAGTTCGGCAGCGTGAGCAACTCGATGTTGATCGTCATCGTCCTACACACCGTCTACACGTTAGACTTCTTCTTCAACGAAGACTGGTACCTTAAGACCATGGACATAACGCATGATCACATGGGAATGATGCTCGCATGGGGAGACGCCGTCTTCCTCCCAAGCTTTTACACCATTCAAGCGCAGTACCTTGCATACCATCCAGTACAACTTAGTACCCCGGCCTTCATCGCGCTCATGGCATTGGGCATGGGAGCATACGCTGCCTTCCGAGCTTCGAACAGCGAGAAATTGCACGTCAGAGAGGCAGACGGCGATACCATGGTCTGGGGCCGGCCGGCCACGGCACTGCGTTGCAATTATTGGACGGCGGATGGGAAAGAGCACCAATCGTTGTTGCTGACCTGCGACTGGTGGTCCATCGCTCGACATACCAACTATACGGCCGACCTCGTCCTCGCGTGGGCAATGTGCGCGCCGTGCAGTGGCGATGGCCTTGTCCTGCCGCCGTGGACGTACTTCATCTTCCAGTTCGTCCTGCTCAACCATCGGATCATCAGAGGGGAAGAGAGTTGTCGCAACAAGTACGGGGAGAAATGGGAGGAATATTGCGAGATCGTGCCGTGGAGATTGATCCCCGGGATATATTGAGCTCGGAGGTTGCAGGTGGTGTAGGCGAGGAACATGGAGCATCGCAAGCCAAGGGTCTAGACATCTCGGGCGGAGCGCGAAAGGACCATCATAGATTGCATTGTGTCTTACACAAATGTCCCGTATAATAGCATTATTCGACTCCATCCAGCTTGAGGAAGATGCAGCACCGTTCAGTTTCACCGGAGTGGAGGTTGGATCTGAAAGACCATACGCTCAAAATAAGGTTGGGGCTAGGCTTCCGTCGCCGCGAACGATCCGAACCTCGCGATCTAAACCTCATCTGGTCGTTGACGTGGTCGACGCTCGGAACCCTGGAAGTCTTTATCTTTTCGCAAACGCTTCCGACTACACGCCACCTCTTCCACCCTTCCTCTTCGCTTCTTGTCCTACCTGGTTGTATCTATATTGAACATGGGGTGGTTTTGGGCAGATCCGACGCCTTTCCCTCCCCGCGCCACTGCGTCTCTTCCACGAGGGAGTGCAGAACCGCCGGTATGTCAAACTTCCGCAATTCGCCGCTGATTGAGCCGTTGTATTCTAACAGCGTCGCAGGCTGGCTGTCCTATGCACAAAGCGTCCTCTTCACCACTCCCCACTCCCCCGAAGGACTCGGCATGTCCCTACACGCCACCCTCCAGCGACACCCCCGCTTCCTCCGCGCCCTCCTACGTCTCCCGCCTCAACCCTCTAAACTATATGCCATCTCAGCTCTCCAATGAACGTCAAGCCCCCGAACAAACCGTCTCCCTGCCCCTTGAGCGCGAAAGCTCCTCCATCCCCCGCGGCGACGGCTCAGGAACGTGGGAATATCCGTCGCCTCAGCAAATGTACAACGCGCTGCTCCGCAAAGGCTACACCGACACGCCTGCCGAGCATGTCGAGACGATGGTCGCCGTGCACAATTTCTTGAACGAGGGCGCATGGGAGGAGATCAAAGACTGGGAGAACCGATTTGCCGGCGGCCTAAGTCGCGGCTGGGAACTAAGTCGGCATGGTGAGCGCGGTGCTGCGCGACAACTGGCGCTGGAAAGCCTGCGCCGCAGTCGAAGAGGCGAGCCGGATCCCGCGGAGCCCAAATTGCTGAAGTTCATGGGCAGGCCGAGCGAGCTGACGCCCAAGGCGCGCATGATGAGTTTCATGGCTTGGCTGTACCCTTCGAAGTTCCCCGACAACCCGCCCTTCGATCGCCACGATTGGTTTGTGCAGCGAAACGGCCCTGGCGGGAAGGAGAGAGAGGTGCGGTATGTGATTGATTACTACTCTGGGCCGCCGGAGCCGACGGGCGAACCGGTATTTTATCTGGATGTGAGGCCGGCCGTTGATGGGCCGACGGCGGCGTGTGAGCGGATGATGCGCTGGACTGGAGATGTTTGGTACAGGGCTTCGGGAGGTAGTGTGAGAGAGGAAAAAGGAAAGGGGAGAGGGTGAAGATCGATCTACTACGGCTTTTCATTGGGATGGTTTTCAGCGATGGCGTCTGGCGCATGAGGTTCAAGGGAATTGTCCCGGTCTCTGCTCCACCTGTATAGATATTTGTATGTCACGCCATGACGAGTTTGTTCGACGGAAGGTGCTTATGTTTCCAGAAGTATCCCTACGCCAGGTTCTCACCGGAACACAGTCAGAACGGCGAGCTAGTATAGTTCGCGCGTCATTGTCCGCCGCCCACCACCTCTGCACCAAGCACACTGCATATGCCGTCAGCATCGTGGGAACCAGATGACGGAAAGTTCGTACAAACCTCAGTTTCCGTGCAACCGTCATCGTGCTCCACACAATAGTCCGTCCGGCAGAGCTGGCAGCGCCGAAGGCAAAACAAGCTACACGCCTCGCACGTCCGCCCGCACTCCAGACAATCCCGATGAACGCCCTGCGGCTGCGAATCAGCCCGGATTCCCACCTCCGTTTCATGTGCAACAAGAGGGAGGAGTAGCAGCATCAATCATCCCCACATGCCATTGCTCCCCGCCCCGCTCATCATTTCGGACACAAGACAGTGCTCCGTGCAGAGCTTGGAATATACCTTTATTTGCGGGCCGTCGCCCTCGTAGACGGTGCGTGTGACGTCCTCCCAGCCGCCGTCGCGCAGTTGGTCGCGCAGCTCGAGTTGCTGCATTTCGGTGCGGAGGTGAATGCGGGATCGGGGCTCTTCGTAGCACGTTTCGCACCACCAGCGGTTGCAGCGTTCGCACCAGCGCGCGCGGAGGCAGTCTTCGCATCGGAGGAGGAGCGGGGGTGGTGGGGAGTCGTTAGTGAGAGTGGCTTGTTGGGGGCGTTGTGCTGCGTGGACGGTGGATGAATGGGATGGTGCTGGTGATAGGAGCGGCAGAGTTGACTCTGAGGTTTCGCCGAATCTGGCGGGGCCTTCTGGACAGGTGCCGCAGCTTTCGCATCCTGTGGGGCCCAGAGCGACGGTGGCGATGGTGGGTTGGAGGAAGTCTTTGCTGTCTACTTTAGTAATGTCGTGGCGCGGTCCTCGACACAAGACGGCGTCGAATGTTATCAAGTCTTTGCAGGCACGTATGGTCTCGGGCCAATCGGACAAAGGGCGTTTCAGAATTCGTCCGGTGCAGCTGTACCATCTTGTCTCATCATCGGAAATGGTGGATAGTAAAGCTGTAGATGAGCGTTGATTCCATTCCGCGCCAATCTGGGCGCCCTCAGAAGTCGTCACTCCCATGGCTCGGGGTTGTCGTTGTTGTCGTTGCCAAATAGTCGAACGAGTCGAATCCTTTGGTCCGAAGAAGTACAGCGCTTTGAGCTTGGGGCTCCCTTCGGGCCTCGTCGGTCGGACAATATATCGCAAGACTTGCTGAAGCTTCGACTGGTTGAGATTCTTCGCTTCCCGGATACTGAGGATCTTGACATTGAATCGGTCTTCCGTTACAATCTCGCGCACCAAATCCGCTGGTACGGAGAGGCCATCGAGGACCAGAGTCTGCACATTACGAAGGATTTGTTTTCGTTGCAGGCGTGAGAACATACCCCGCAGCGGACCCGAGTAGAAATCATCTTCCGTTAGAGCCTCATCCATACGCTCGGCTCTCCAAGAGATGCCTCCGATGTCGATAGGAGAGGAGTCGATGATGGCCGACTTCACTCCGCTCAAGTCGAGATGTCGCCATGGTTCCGGTTGTGTTGTAATAATTTCTCGAATGTCTTTGGATGTTTGAGACAATCGAAGGAGACTCTGAAGGGAGAGATAAGGAGCGAGTTCTCGTAGTATTACCGAATTGGCAAGCAGGTCGATCAGAGATGCTGGGAGCTGTTCAATTTCGGCCATTTAGAAGGACAGCTGAAGTCGATGCATCGGCCGAGTGAGTGGATGGGTTTGTTCAATTCTTGCAGCCCTGCATTAGAGCAATGGAGGATGTTGGTGATGTCGTGTGATGTGCACGAGGTGTAGTCGATGGAAGTTAGTCTCAGGAATACCCATAGCGGTATATTCGAGCACGGTTCTTGCGCGTCACGCGTCAGCCTGAGGCGATGACATATTCACTCGCAGTCGATGCTTCGAGAATCTCTTTTGCCTCTGCAAGGTCAGTACCGTCCATGCACCACGGCCACCATGATCCACCTCAAATCATAGTCACTGACATCTCCTTCAGACATGATCGCACTACTCCACGACTGAATCTCCCAAACTCGCCTCACTTCAACGTCGAACATGACCGACTCGCCGGGGCCAGCGCTACAATGGTCCGGGCAGTTCGTCACGTCTTCAGCACCTCAACGACAGACTCTACCCGGTGACAAGATCACGCTGCCTCCGTCGGCACTCGAACAACTGCTCTCCGCATCTTCCCAGCTCGCAGCGCAAAATGCGCGCCAGAACCTCCCCACCTACGACCCTTTCAATGCGTCATCCTATTCTGCCCTCATGCAGGCCGAGTCGCAGTACCAAGACCAGCGTCAGCAGCTCCCATACCCTCTCACTTTTCGATTGGTGAATCCCGTCAACGGCCGAGTCGTGTATGCGGGGATCCGTGAGTTCACTGCCGACGACGGCGAGGCTGCGCTCAGTCCTTTTTTGCGAGAAGCGCTGGGTCTACGGCACGATGGAAAGGAGCAGAAGAAAGACACTGGTATGGAAGATGAGGATGTGAACATGGAAAATGGCGGACCGAGTCATGCCATCACCGTTCACGCAAAACAACTACCCAAAGGCACATTTGTGAAACTTCGACCGCTTGAAGCAGGATACGATCCCGAAGACTGGAAGGCATTGTTGGAACAGCACTTACGGCAGAACTATACCACTCTCACAAACGGCGAGATCTTGGCAGTCCCGGGTAGCAGAGGTCTCAACGGCATCAGGGAGGAGTTCAGATTTTTGGTCGATGGATTCAAACCCGAGACGGACGGAGTTTGCATTGTCGATACCGACCTCGAAGTCGATATTGAAGCATTGAACGAAGAGCAAGCACGCGAGACGCTAAGGCGAATTGCCGAGAAATTGCACAAAGCCCCAGGCACAGATCAAGGGAGTTCGGCTGGCGGAGACATTGATATCTTCAAAGCACAAGAAGGCCAAGTGCTGCCCGGTGACTACGTGGATTACAACCTGTCCTCCTGGGATCGCGCACACCCGATTGAGTTCGAATTGACGTTGCAAAACGATGACGATGAGGTCGACCTTCTCCTCAGTCCATTATCACCCACACAGCGCGCGAAGCCTAGGATGGACGAACACGTCTTTGCAGATTTCGAAGGCCGGCCGCGGAAGAGAATACGACTGGAGCCGTCCAATGCTGACCTTGAGCACGCCGAGGCTCTGCAGCTTTCTGTACACGCATTGTCTGCCAGCGAATTGCAGTCGAATGGGGACAATGTCACCAATGGAACCACTACACATCCAATACACTATACGCTACGTGCATATCATCCAGATGGCACCAAAGCAGTCCAGAACGGGGCCCAAGCTTCAGATGTGCCTCCCAGTCCCGACGACATCCGGTGTAAGAACTGTCATCAGTGGATTCCCAAAGGTAGCATGGTCCTGCACGAGAACTTCTGTTTCCGGAACAACATCCTCTGTCCGCACGGCTGTGGCCAAGTCTTCCAGAAACGCTCCCCAGCATACGAGCACCACTGGCACTGCCCTCACGATACCTCCTTCGGCAACACTCCGCTCGCTCATACCAAACACAACACTCTCTTCCACCCCGCGTCCGTCCTCCGTTGTCCCAACTGCGACACGCAAGAGACCTTCTCCACCCTGCCCCTCCTCGCCCACCACCGCACAACTACCTGCCCCGCTAAACCCATCCTCTGCCGTTTCTGCCACCTCGTTGTACCACAAGAGGGCGACCCCGACGTGCCGAACGCCGAAGCCCTGCTCTCAGGAATGACACCTCACGAACTAGCAGACGGCGCACGAACTACAGAATGCCATCTGTGTAGCAAAATTGTACGTCTTCGCGACATGAGCACGCACCTCAAGAATCACGACCTCGACCGCTTGGCGCGCGCGCGCCCGATTCCGTGTCGCAATGTCCTCTGCGGCCGCACGCTGGATGTCTGCTCTAAGAGTGGCGATACCCGTGCGGGTACGCGCATGGGACAGGGCCCCGGCAACGATGTGGGGTTGTGCAGCGTGTGTTTCGGCCCGCTGTATGTCAGCATGTACGACCCCGAGAACAAGGCTTTGAGACGCAGAATCGAGAGGAAGTATTTGCAACAATTGCTCACCGGCTGCGGCAAGAGCTGGTGCCGCAATGAATTCTGCAAGAACGGACGCAAGAATTTCGAGATTGGCGGAGGCACGACTCTGACGGCCAAGGACGCGCTACCAATGATCAAGCCTTTTCTCGACGGCTTGAGTCATGCCGGTGCTGGTGGTACGCCGTTGCACTTCTGCGTTGACGAAGGGAGCCAGAAGCGGAGAACACTTGCCGAGTTCCTGGCTGCGGAGGAGGATGGGCAGGGTGGAGTGCGTGGGCGTGGGTTTCGATGGGAGTGGTGTCTCGGTGCGCTGGAGGCGGAGAGTGGGAGTCTAGATGCTGCGAGGATGTGGTTGAAGAATTACGCTCCGACGAGGGCGGAGGAGGAGCGGTTGTAGTGGCGAGGCGGGGGGGTTGAATTCATGTAGACCTCGAACGCCGAAACGTTTACCAGCCATGTGTCTATCAACGCGTACAAGAGTCAAACTCGACGGCAGTACAGCAATCACTCCTAAGCACCAGCACCTCGGCCTGATAGACCAGCAAAGCTCCTTGAATAATAAAAACGATAGCCAAGAGAAGAGCGAGCAATTTCCAGCACATGACGGCTTTTGTCGTGCTTGCTGCACGCGACCTTTCCTCCCGAGACTGTCGAATTGTTGCAGGTTCGCGCAAAAGTGCGCGTAACTCTTCCTGGCTGCAGTTGCATGTTGGCCAGGTCCAGCCTTGTTTCATCGTAAAGAAGCCTTGCGTTGGTGGTTCGAGAGGGTGTTTTTTGGGGTGGGGTGGAGTGTGCATGTTGCTTTGGATACTTGAGGGTGTACATGAAGGTTGAGGAAGAATCACGATGTTGTGGAGGAATACTGAAGGGCACGATCCCATCTAGTTCTTCTGGCGACAGAGACACAAGGGCTTCGTGGGTGCTACATCGAACAAGGCTGAGCGGGGCACGTGGTCGACTTGTTTCGCGAGTAGGAGGATGTGCAACCCGATGACCTGGTTTCATTTCTTTGTGTAGCCACTTGAGACATTCGAGTCCTTGTGCGCTTCATCAACACGCCAGTCGACAGCTCCAAACCAACACGTGGTGACGAAACGTTGATCAGTGAATCGAAATGATGAATGATAGTTTTCGAGTATATTCCAGATAGAGTAAGCGTCGACTACTTTTACATGTTCCTCCCGCCCGTCACAGCAATCGTTTGGCCAGTGACATAGCTCATGTACGGGCTGACGACGGCGAGAATGGCGCTGGCGGCCTCGGTCGCGGTGCCGGGGCGGCGGAGCGGAATGTCCTGGAACGCGCTGTCTTTTCTTCCGTCTAGCTGGGCCTGAGGGATACCCAGAGCGATCTTTGTTCCTGCAAGTCATGGGTGTTAGTTGCAGTGCCACATGAAATCACGATGCATCAGAAGACCCACCATCGCCAAGCGTAACATGACCACCCTGCTCCTTCGCAGCAGTCAAGCGAGTTGCAATCTGGCCATACCCGATAGTGTTGGCTCTGACGCCAAACTGGGGACCCCATTCCTTGGCAATCGTCTTGGTGAGACCGGTGACGCCGGCTTTGGCGAGGGAGTAGTTGGCCTGTCCCGGGTTGCCATTCAGGCCGGAGGTGGAGGAAATGTTGACGATATTTCTCGGCTCGCCGTCTTTGACGCGGAAGTAGGGCGCCGCAGCGCGGACAAGTTTGAAAGGAGCGCCTGCGTGGAGGGAGAGAATTGTGTCCCATTGCTTGTTGGTCATCTGCGAGGAAGGTCAGAGGAGGTTTCGAGATGCTCTGGATATGGATTTGTCGAGCGTACCTTATGGATTACGCCGTCCCAGGTAAAGCCCGCGTTGTTGACAATGATATGAATCTTGCCTCCGCCAAACTCCGCGGCCTTCTTGACCAGATCGTCAATGTACTCATCGCTCAAGATGTCGCCGGGAACGGCAAGCGCCTGGCCGCCCTCCTTATTGATGCTGTCGGCCGTCGCCTTGGACTTCTCTGCGAAGCGCTCAGCTCCTGCGGGCCTTCTCGATACAACAGAAAACATACCAGCGTCAATATCCGAGATTACAACCTTTGCGCCTTCGTTCGCGAACAACCGGGCCGCTTCGGCGCCAATGCCTTGTGCCGAGCCGGTGATGATGGCGGTCTGTCCGGAAAGCAGACCCTTGGGATAGTTGAGGTGGGCAGCGATCTGCTCTGCTCGTTTTTGCGCCATGTTGAGAATATAATGTAGGAATACGAGTAGGATGATTGCTGGAAGAGGAGACGTGACGTGCAGACACGAGATGTACTCGACTCTACTTTTCTTGAGCCGAGGCATCCGGCTGACTTGCTGTCTTCGTGACTGCCTAATACAGAAGGCTCCGGTTGCAGCTACTCCATCTTGCAACACGAATCACATTCATCATGGCTCCGCTCTTGGACGACCATAATGGGGGTCTTCACAACGCCAATGGCAGTCCGACACTCTGTCAAGTCGCCATCATCGGTGCCGGCTCTCGAGGGAATGCCTACGCTGCAGCTACGATTGCATCCAGACTCGGCATCGTCGTCGCAGTCGTCGAGCCAATCGACTTCAAACGCAATCTCTTAGGCTCAAAATACATTTGGAAAGGCCGGAAACCATCTACTGGTGAAGCGTTCAAAGACTGGCGCGGGTTCATCGAGTCTCAAAGGCAAAGTAACGCAGATGCAGCCGGCAGCCACGCTTCCACCTCCCCGCCCAGGGTCGATGCCGTGTTCGTTTGCGTGCGGGACGAACTTCATGCAGAAGTTGTGACGGCATTGGCACCGCTCAATCTGCACTTGATGTGCGAGAAGCCATTGGCGACGACACTACAAGACTGCCTTCGCATCCAGAAAGCACTGCAATCGTATCCGCAGAAGATCTTCGCCATTGGCCACGTACTTCGTTATAGTCCACACAACCTCCTCCTGCGAGATCTCGTCTTGAACCGGAAAGTCATTGGCGATGTGCTTTCGATAGAGCACACGGAGCCAGTGGGATGGTGGCACTTCGCCCACTCCTACGTCCGCGGGAACTGGCGCAAAGAATCCTACACCGCGCCGAGTCTCCTCACCAAAAGCTGTCACGACATCGACTGGCTCCTGTGGATGCTCTGCTCTCCGCCGCCAGGAACTGACAGACTTGCCCCTCATCTCCCAACCACCATCTCCTCCACCGGCACCCTGAACCTCTTCCGCAAATCACGGAAACCCGTCGCCGCCGGCTCCGCAACAAACTGTCTCTCGTGCCCCCTGCAAAACACCTGTCTCTACTCCGCCAAACGCATCTACCTCGACCGCCACCTGCTCAAAGCCAAAAACACCGACTGGCCAGTCGACATCGTAAACCCGGAAATCGAAACCATCCACTCAACCCAAGGCCCTGCCGCCGCGCAACAAGCCCTGCTAACCTCTCTAGCAGAAGACTACGATGCCTCTAAAACGCCCACCTGCGACATCGAAAGCCGGCCCTGGTTCGGGCGCTGCGTCTGGGAAAGCGACAACGACGTCTGCGACGACCAGCACGTCCTGCTCACCTGGGAAGACGAGGATGCAGCGCACCCCGCACGCAAAGCGAAAACCGCCTCCTTCCACATGATAGCATCCACACTCGCGCAATGCGAACGCCGAGGGCGGATCTACGGCTCGACGGGCGAAATCAGCTACGATAGCTCGCGCATCACCGTGCACGACTTTACGAACGATGAGACGAGGCGGTTTGCGCCAGAGTTGCCGAAACATTCGCACCATGGGGGTGGGGATCAGGGGCTGACGGAGCAGTTTTTGAAGGCTGTGGAGGCGGTCGAGAGTGGGAGGATGACGGTTGGGGAAGCACAAGGGGAGTATTTGGGGGTGACGGTTGAGGAGGCGGTGAGGAGTCATGCTGTTGTTTTCGCGGCGGAGGAGGCGAGGAGGACGGCAAGGGTGGTGGGGTGGAGAGAGTGGTGGGAGGATGTGCAGGCGAGGATGGGGTGATGTCTTCGCTGATGAATGATGATATGGCACGTCTTACTTGAGAGCGTATGGTGCTGGTAGCGCATAGTGCTGCAGATTAGACCGTATGATTCTCCGCATTGAAGCGTACGGTTCTCCGCGTTAGAAGCATATGGTACTCATATCGGAGCATATGGCGTATGCCATCGGAGGACATGCTCCCCCAATGTCGTCCCCATACCCAAATTAAATGCAGAGAACAATGAAACAAGGCTCTTCCATACGAGAGAACGCACTTCAAGCCTTTGATACAGCCGCTCACGTGATCCCCGCTTCATCACATGAAAATTCGTCCCGTCTCACCCATATCACCCTACAGCTTCCTGTGGTCGTAATCACTCCTCAATGGCTCTAAAAATTTGAATAGAGACTGGGAGCATATTCGTGCGTGTATAGAGCGTCTAAAACCGGGTTGTATTGCCTCACGTGACCTCAAATACGCCATATGAGGACTAAAAATGCCTCTAAAACCGCCAAAAATCATGATGTTGCTTCCATTCCTGGAGGGTTGTTAGCAGGAAGTTGTAGGAGGGTTAGGAAGGGCTGGCGGACGGAGTTGAACCGAAGACCTCGGCATAGGCCTAGTTTTGAGGCCAGGAGGCCAGTATTACTAGTGCCGCGCTCTACCAACTGAGCTATAGAAGCACGGTGGTTCTTGGCTCAAAGCCGAGAACAATTAGGTCTTATCCAACGGTAATCAATGCCGAAGTACGGCCGAACTGACCAGCAATTCGAGGTACTTGACCAGCAATCCGTCGTGTTCACTTTTGGTGTCAGGACGGAAATGGCGTACCATATGATAGATATGAGGAAATAGCATGTGAGATTGTTAGAAACGGAAGTCAGGACAATAGCAAAGAGATCGCAATAGGAACCCTCGTGCTTGTAATATCTTTGCGAACCGTTGATCAAATAAGGCATCGGGTATCTTACCAACGGCCGTAGCTAGGTGACGAGCATTTTGACCGCTACAATGGCAGGGCATTAGAATAGACAGGCTACGCTTGAGCGTATGCGGTGCGTACGTAGACAATAAGAACATAAAGGAAGAAATGAGCATATGAGAAGGAAATACGGAAGAGAGCATATGAGACGAAAATACCAATCGGAGCATATGAGATGGCCATATGAGATGAATTCACGCGGAGCTGTGAGACGGCCATGAACACGCAAAGGAGACATGGGGTGAGCATTCGAGGTGAGCCTTCGAAAAGCATATGAGATTGAGCATATGAGACGAAAATGCGAGGTGAACATATGTGATGCTCGCAAGTGATGTGTATTACGAATCGACTGTCGCGATGGCAAAGAGCAGCGAAGCCGGAATGTGGGGAGCATATCACGTACGCTGAGGCATGCATGCGACAACATGAGGCACGTAAGGCAGGAACGACCTCGAGACTCTACTGTACTCGACTTTATTTGAATCGCGGAGGGAAAATGATCTGGGAAACAGAAGTTACATGCATTTCTATACCACTTTTTGTGCTAGCCAATGCTATCGTGGTCAACACCAGACGCACGCCATTGACCGAGCATGACGATAGGTAGACACAACCGTCTAGTCCTCCTCCTCCTCATCGTCCTCCACTTCAGCCGCATCAGCTTCCTTGGGCGCCGCGCCCTTGGGCTTCACATTGGTCGCAGGCCCGCTTCCTTTGGCGGTCTCGCCTTCCTCTTCGTCGTCTTCCGGCTCCTCCTCCTCATCAAAGTCCTCCTCCTCCTCGCCTTCAGCCTCTTCTTCCTCCTCATCGTCATCGTCATCCTTGGCAGCTGGGACGGGCTCGGCAGTTCGAGTCTTCTTCTTGGGGGCTATGGGGAGGTTTAGCAAGGGGTTACATTAAAAGATCAATTGGAGCGATTCGCTTACGAGGAGCGGCCTCTACTTCCTCGTCATCTTCCTCCTCTTCCTCCTCGTCTAGTTCGCTGTCTTCATATTCTTCCTCTCTGTCAACGTAGCAATGTCAGCATTTCCGCACGCCCGGGTCACGCATTACAGTGAGTGTTCAATTGCGACAAGTCCTCGTTGCAAGCAAGTCGCACAGCCAGCGCGACTCGCGAACAGAGCAATAAATGGGCTCGCAACGTCCTGGAAGACAATGATGGAACGCGCGAGCGGAGACGACTTACTCCTCGTCCGAGCCGTCCTCGGGCAGAGACTGAAGCTCCTCTTCCTCCTCCTCGTCCTGCTTGCGTTTCCTCGTAGACATTGATGCGATTGGACGGGAGATTGGGATAAGGTGAAGGGAATGCAGAAGGAACAGCGGATGCGAAAGCTGATACAGAGAAGAGAAGGAAGAAGACGAGAGGAAGCGCAAAGTAAAGTGGGAGGGAGCTGGGGGGACGGGCGGCCAGCCGGTCAGCGGAGGCCCCGACGAGCATGGGGCTGGGGGGGGCCTGGCTTCCTTGCGAGCTGCGTTGCGCTGCTGCGAGGGGCAAAGTCAAGCCCCCGGAATTTGGAAGCGTGTTCTGCTGAGCCGGCTGTTCCTGTCGGTCTCCACAGTTTCCCCGTTCCTGGATGATGTGCTCAGGGCGGCTGGCGTCATTGGTGGAGCATCGCCTAGCAGGCCGCCATCACGTGGGGTCGACGTCCTTCCGTTGATCAACCGTGTCGATGATGTGCTGTGGGATGTTGATCTATGTGAGTATGACAATGGTTACAATTCTTCCAGTATGTAGAGTGTAGATGTCGGGTCATTCATGTCCGAGACATCCAAGGAAGGCGCGAGTGACTGCCTGAGGCAGACAAAGCAACAGCCTCTGAATTCCCAGGTTAATGACACCTACAATGCCATTCCATCGTCACCCTCCATCTCTGCCATCGCAACTACAGGGCTACATGTAGAGAGCGCGTCGCTCTCATCTCGACTCTCTGAACAACACGCACATCGCTATCGGATCTCTTGACCCTCTCACCGCAGGCCATCGCGCAATGCACATTCTCGTCTTCGGCGGCACCGGTAAGGCTAACCCTTCCAGTATGGACATATACCCGTCTTCACATCTAACCAGTTCAAAGGCGCCGTGGGACTCTCATTCGTCCAAGAAGCCCTCAAAGCAGGACATCGACTTACCCTCTACGTGCGAAGTCCGTCCAAACTCCCGAAGAATGTGCAGCAAAACATCAACGTCCACATTGTCGAAGGCGACTTCAGCGACATGGAGGCCGTGAAGAAAGCGCTCAATGACGGCGCCGATGTGCTCGTCTCGTTCGTTGGCCCGGCCATTCCCAATAAGGGCATGGTGTGTAGCTATCATGCGACTTGCGTGACGCTCTTACTGAAGCCTGGAGCAGGCCATCACCGAGTTTTACGACAAGCTATTTCCGTTACTGCCGACAGATAGCACGATCAAACGATGCTTCGTCCTCTCAACAGCCTCATACTCCGCGCCCGAGGACAGGCGATCGTTGAAATGGTGGTTTGGCATCCTCGCTATCAAGCTCTTCCTCGGCACCGCTTACAAAGAAATCAACGGAATGAGTCGCGCCGTGACTTCATTGCCAACAGAGCAGGTGGAGTGGACTTTGTTCCGGTCAGCGGCCTCCTCTACATCTTGTCTGACATCTAAACTCCTATCTAATTACCATGTGCAGAGTCCCGGGTTTGACGAACAGCGAAGCCAAGCCTGTACGCGCGGGCTTCATCGGAGACGGGAAATCAGATGGCATCTTCATCAGCCGGGGCAGCATCGCAGTGTGGATTTTGCAGGAGTTGGAGGAGAGGCGATGGGTGAACAAGGCGCCGTCGCTGTGCAATGTCGGGTGGCTTTGAACGCCATTGGGCAGCAGTGCTTGCGTTCAGCTCGTGCCATGACGAATAATCGTTTAAATGAACGATAACATTCAATCACGAACGTCCTGAACCGCAAGTCAACGCACTGAAGGACATGCGAGGACGATAATGAGAAGATACTTTCCCCCCCGATGACAGACATGATTGGCCCATCAAAAAGCCCTTACACAGCCGTGCGCACAACATCCAAACGACTGGCTCGACACAGCAGAGCGGTAAGATTGCGAGGCAGTGCAGTGCAACGCAGACATCCACCACCTCCAACATGATCGTCCGTTTTGTCTGTGCTAGTGTTCCCCCTACCCGGCATTTCGTCATTGCGGTTTCTTGCTGTCGTTCCTGAGAATGTGGAGACGCGGAGGATGCGCGACGGCGATCGTGCATCCATCAATCCCGCTTCGAGGCTGCCTGTACATCACTTTGTCTCCTTCACTTCGATTGATATATAATAAGTCTTTTCCACTTCTTCTTGTCAACGTGCAACAGTTACCTTTTTGAAAAGAAACATGCCTTCATTCTACCAAACAACGGCCATCCTCAGCCTACTGTCCACCCTCCTCCCATCCCCAATCGCAGCAGCACCAACACCTGCTCCTCTCACGAACTGTTCGTCCCCATAACGTAACCGTTCACACCACCAAATCACCCCTCTAACAACCCCTCAGTCCTCCTAATAACAACCACCTCCCCCAACCCCTGCACAAACACCTCCGCCCTCCCCAACGTCTCCGCAACCTCCCTCTTCGACCCCCTCGACCAAACCCCCTTCCTCCTCCGCCTTATAGGACCGGGCTACGACTCACTCCCCCGCTTCAACCTCAGCAGCAGCAACGCAAATGCCTCACTCACCACCCTCACCGAAGGCCCCGAAGGGTTCGGGGAGTATGTGTACACTTCCATCCCGCCGACGCAGGGAGCGGAGTTGACGTTTTTGCCGCCCGGGGCGGGGAAGGCGGTGGGGGGTAATGGGACGTTGGGGCTGAGGGGTGGGTTTTTGCTTACTGTTGATGGGGTTGCGGAGGGGTGGGCGGTATGTGCGGGGCCGGAGGGGGAGCAGGTCGTGAGTTCTTCTTCTGCTTGACCTATTTGAGAGGGGTTTGTGCTGATGTGAATTGTTGGTAGATTGCGTGGAAGAATTCGACGACGGGGTGCGTTGATACGTATATCCAGGCGGTTGCGAAGGCGCCGTACTGAGGGGAGGGACCGAATTCCGTGCACTCTGGAAGTGGTGGGAGCCGGATACGCTGATCGGTTCAGTGTTCGGGTCAATAGCCAGCGCCCGGGATCGCCTTGTTTCTCGGTACAGAGGAATCACGATCCGCAAAGGGTTCAACCATCGTATGGCCCGAAGAAAGGGTGGATATCCTGGGGTCGATAGCTTCATGTCGGCCGCACTCGAGTAGTGATCATTGATGGCCGCTCAGAAATAACAAATCGTCTTCATGAGCCCATTATCACCCTCACTTCACCCCACCCCCAGAATCTGCCCTGCCTCTCCGTCTCCTCACACTGTCCCTCCGACCCGCACTGCTCTCCATGCTCGTCCCAATCCCCGAATCCACAAAGACATCCGCATCTTCGTCTTCGTCATCCTCGTCATCCGCCTCGGTAGCTTTGCCCACATTCTCCGGAAGAGGAAGAATGACAGTCTCGTCCTCCTCATCTTCCTGTTTGATGCGCGGACTCTCGTACCGCAATGGCGGCTGCTTGCTCGAAGTCGGAAACCTCCGTTCGGTATCAGACAGCACCGGTTCGCCGTCCTCCAGATCGCTCTCCTTCTTCACGCCCACTGCCACTTCGTGCATCTCCTCCGCTTTCGTCTGTTGCGGCGGAGCCAAGTAATAGCTGACGGCAGCCCAGGCAATTCCCGTAAACACCATCTCCGTCACCCAGAATGCAAGCGTAAAGACAATGGCACTGATGATGCGATGGTTGTACATCATCCACCTCAACCCGCGAAACCTTGCTTTGAAGACCGCCTTTGCGGAGTAGATCTGCAGGCGAGTGGTACTCTGCACCGCGAGCGTCATCGTGGAAGGCACATTGCGCCAGCCTCGGTCGAACTCCACCCCCTCGAATATGCCGACCGTCAGACTTTCCGCCTCTTTTCGCCAGCCGAGGAGATACCAATGGAGTTCCGTCATCTTATACAACTGGTCCACAATCGGCGAGCGGTAGGCCAGGATAGCCGGACGGCGGGAGCGCGCTATACGATTGTCCGCTTCCGCCTGCCCTGGGACGAGCGTGTCCTTCAACGGATCGATAACACTGCCGGGTGCGTACAGAATCGCATCGAGCATGAAGTTACCCGCATCGCGATTCTCTCTCGTCCGAGGGAGGAGGAGTTCGATGGAGACATCGTAGCGTTGAGCACTCACGAGGTCGCCGACGAGACTAACGGAGCCGTAGGGGTTGGCGACGAATCTGGAGTCGTCGGGGCGGTAGACGTCATCGAATTGCAGGTGGATGGTGCGTTCGAAGCCGATGCGCGGGATGTAGGTGTAGTAGAAGAGGACGTAGGCGGTGACGGCGGCGGCGAGGAGGAGGAGGGAGGTGAGGAGGAAGAGGAAGGTGGTGAGGTAGGCGCGGATAGCGGTTTGGGAGAGGATGTAGTCGAAAGGTTTGAGCAGCGTGTTCTTGGTGGGTGTGATTAGCCGGTGCTGGGAGGAGAGGAGTGTTGAGGGATCTACCTTTACGTGGCCGACCAGACCGATCTGCTCGTCGGTGGTGTCTGCTTTGGCCATTTTGTTTTCATCGCGTCGCCGACATTGTGTGGTGCACGGAAGGCAAGACAAAGTGGATGTCGATGTGGAGAGGCTAGGAAGACGGCGTCCCACGTCCCTTAGACATGTAAGGACGCCCGCTAGCGTACCCGTGTCTGTAGCCAATAGAATTGCTTGAAATACGGGCCGCACGAGTCAAGCTACTCCGCCGTGTCGGTGGGTGGCGATAAGATTCCCTACGTCAGTTCGAGCTTCGAAGATCGCAATCCTCCTCTATCTCGACTCTGCCAATCCCCCCTACTTTCCTCTACTGGACTCTACACACTCCATCTCTTCTGCAAATTCAAATACATTTACCAAACCCATTGGAACTCATCTTGATCGATCCGCGCGACAGCCACCTAGCCATATTTCACCTCACGAGGTAGCTCACCAGCACAACCGACTAGACCAACAGGTCTATATCTTGACACCCCCACCATCCACCGACCTTCGAACCAGACCTCCCACCCAACATGGCCTTACATCGCGTCATCGTAGCGCCCCGACTCTTCCGCCCCCTGGCCCAACCATCCCTCCGATCGCTCGCGGTTTCCCGAAGCTACGCCAGCAAAACATCCGATACATCAACAGACGGAGCATCAGGCAAGAGTCAGCAAAAGGCACAACCGAAGATCCTGAACACCAGTCCTCCCAAAGATGGGGAGGAGTCGGCTGATGTCAAGTAAGTAGGCCGGCTGCAGAACTGCCTCTTATTCGGAGATGGCTACGTGAGCATGAGGGGCTAATAGGAGACATTACTAGGAAGCACAATGATGAAATGGCAAAGCGTGCGGATAAGCCGGCCGAAAAGGTGAAGGATGAGGACGTGGAGAACGACAAGGTCGGCAAGGGCTTTTGGCAGGGTGAGTACTATGCGGAGATGTTGGCAGTGTGTGAGTTTGCGGTATGCTGATTGTGACCTGCAGGTCAAGCTGGGCATGGAGAAGGAAAGAAGTGATTCTATTCGCTTCCGTCTAATGGCCGATTACTGGATGTATACCTACGTTACTGGACAAGGTCCTGTTTGTGCGGATCACTGGGCTGGGTTGGACGTGCTTTTACTCAGCATTCCTAGGGCGATTCTGCAACAATTGCTTCAGCCACTGGCTAGAATGCCGTCTTATCATGTTCGATACCATATTGCTTGACAAAGTGAAGTCAGATGTCTTATATCTGTCCTGTCTGGCGTCTCAATGGTTGACAGGCATACGTGCACTGCCTTCTCAGCTCTGCAGCCATAGCACCCATGGGGAAATTAGGGTGAACATGCCCATAGTAGTCCACAATTGGTGGCATTGCACGCCCTCCATCCAACGCTTCTTCCCATTCGAGAAGGAGCGCGAGCCAATCAGCTGCCTCCAAAGCCAATCCCACGTCTTTTGCGCCTGTTTCAGCCTTTCCAGCCGCACGAATCAAGGGCCGCACGTCACTTGTCTCATTTCAACACCGCCTCCGCCCATCACCACTCAACGCGACTCTCATACCAAACGCCGGCACGCGGAGAAGACAGCGGCGAGAGTCAATTCTTCGCCATGGCGGTCCACGATGCGTCAAAGCGATTCTCCCTTTCTTCTCCGCGCTCCTCTCCTTCTTCCTCTTCCTCTTTCACGTATCGGACCCTACGTGTACTGGTCGTCATGTCATTCCTTTCCTTCCTGTCACTCGTTTTTGTCTTTGCTTTTGGCGCCATCAGCGTTGATGCCGGCACAGTCGCCAAACTTGCTACACGCGATCCCCGATGGGAGCGGAAATTCCTCGCCCCGCGCGACGCCAGCATCAAACTACATCTCGCTCTACGGCAGCAGGATGGCGGTGCCGCGGCCGAGCGGCATCTCATGGCCATCTCTCATCCCGATAGTCCGCATTACCGACGCCATTTGAGGGCAGACGAGATATTAGACCTGTCCACGCCTGCCTCGTCCACCGTCCACGCAGTGGAGGTATGGCTTGCACAGCATGGACTGCTAGCAAGCAGTGTGTTGTTTGCGGGTTTCATGGAAGTCAATGCCACCATTCGACAAGCCGAGAAATTGCTCAATACCACCTACTTTGTCTTCTCCGACGGCCGGGATGAGATTGTCCGGACGGAGTTGTTTCACTTGCCGGATCATCTGAACTATCATATCGATTTCGTTACGCCCACCACCATGTTCCCTCGGCCGGCCATCAAGAACGCCTCCAATGGTGAGTTCAGAAGATATGACTACTCTACGTGCTCCGTTCTAATTGCACTATAGCTCCTGAACAACCTCAGCGTTTCTCTCAAGACCCAATGCTGGGAACCCGAGCAGGCTGCGGCGCAACCGACAATGTCATCCCATCCTGCGTCCGCCAAGTCTACGACATCAACTACACCGCCAAACCCAGCCGAGTGACCTACGCCGTCTACGCCACCGAATCAGCATCCTTCAGCCCCACCGACCTCCACGTCTACCTGTCAGAATACAACCCCCCGGCCGCCGCCGCCAATGCAAACTACACCGTCATCGGCACCGGCGACCCCTCAGAGTCCTCGGGCGGAATAGAAGCGCAATTCGAAACCGCCCTCGACACACAAACGCTCACCGGCCTCGCCTGGCCCGCGCACGGCATCCTCTACAACAACGGCGGCGTCTTCGGCACGCAGCACCCAGGCCAAGTGTACGACCGCTTCGTCACCTTCCTGCAGCAGCTCATCGCCAACACCACCATCCCCAGCGTCGTCTCCTTCTCCGAAAGCATGGCCGAGACTTCCCTCGACCCGGCCTACGCCCGGCGGCTGTGCAACATGATGGCCCAAGTCGGCACCCGCGGCGTCACGCTGCTCTTCTCCTCCGGCGACAACGGGCCCAACGGCGACCAACCGAGCGGCACGCACAGCCAAATCTTCGAGCCCGAGTTCCCCGCAAGCTGCCCCTGGGTGACAGCCGTAGGCGGCACCACGAACCTCGCAGCGGAAGCCGGCGCAACGAAATCCACCATTCCTCTCATCAACAAAATCTCCTACGTCGCGTCCGGAGGCGGCTTCTCCACCCTCTTCGCCCGCCCGGACTACCAATCCCCCGCCGTAACAAACTACACGGCCACTCAAATCCCCGCCTCATACGACAAAGTGAAAGGCTTCAACGCCCAAGGCCGCGGCATCCCCGACGTCGCCGCCTTCTCCACCCTCTTCCCCACGGTAGTCGACCTCCTCACCGTCCCGATAGGCGGCACGAGCGCCTCCACACCCTTGTGGGCGGCTATCGTCACGCTGCTCAACGACTATGAAGCGAGCAAAGGCCGGCCGCGGCTGGGTTTTATCAATCCGTGGTTGTACAGTTTGAAAGCTGGCGCCGGGCTGAAGGATATCACGACTGGAGGCAATAATGTGGGCAGCTGCTATGCTTTGCAGGGATGCCATTTGAGTGAGACGTTGGGGTATAATGTTACGCGGGGCTGGGATCCGGTGACGGGTTTGGGGAGTCCCGTTTTCTCGAAGTTGTTGGTGGCGCTGGATGCGCGTGCTGCTGCTGCGGAGTCGTAGAGAGGACGAGGCTGAATTAACGAAGTTATGCATGTAATAAAGGTAGCCCGTGTGTATTCCATTCATGAACACGTGTCTATGAAGCGTCAAGGAAACAGAGATGAGGAGAGCATATTGAACAGCAGCTGAGACCATTTCCTGCATACGCAAGTCCACTACTCCGCGCATAGAACCCCTGACCACCAGCCCCATCATCAGGCCTCAAAGGAAATCAAAAGAACAGCACAAAAAAACCAAGGGTATCTCAAAGACGAGGATGCCGAATGAGAGAGGAAACAGCAACAACGCCCACCGACCCAGAAAGCAGAAACTCCGCCCGACCCATCCCCCAAACCTCGCGCCTGGTAATGTATACTTTCCGGCCGTTGCGTTGCGTCGTGGCGTGCCATTCAAGCGAGAGGCCCACCAAAAAGACAAAAGAAAAGAAGGTGAAGAAAGACGTGCACAGCACGCCTTGCTTCAAAGAAAAGCCAGCCCGTCCGAGACGCAGCTAGTGAAACGGGTTCCGCGTCAACGTCTGCAAGAGATCCGCATTGTGAATGCCAGCGCCTGCCAAAGAGTTGCCGCGACTGCGTGGTCGGCGACTCGACAGCGGACTGCTCATGCTCTTCCGGATGCCGGCGTGGCTCGCGCCGCTGAGGTCCTGGCTGATGCGCGACTTCCGCGCAGGCGTCATGGGGGTGTTGGCGGCGCCGCGCTTGCCCTTCTGCATAGCGTTGAATTCATGCGTCGAGGCGCGCGTGGTTGGGTTGGAGGCGAGGGAGCTCATGTGACGCGCTTGATATTGGTTGTGGCGGAAGGAGCCTACCACGCCGCGGGTGCGGTCGAAATGGTCAAGCAGGCCGTTAGCCACTAGGACAGCGTCGTCACCTGCAGACGGAGTCATGACGGGATTGATGTTGTCCTCGCTTTCTGACTCGGAACCATCCATGGTCAAGAAGTCCTGCATGTTGATGTCGGTATGGTGGTCCGTCTCGCTGTCGTCTGTAGTGGTTGTGGCGGTGAAGGAGGATTGACGATGGCTCAACATGTCAGGGAAGAGGACTTCGGCGATGCCAGAGGCGTCATTGTTACGGAGAATGTCCAAGTCTCCGTTGAATAAAGATCCAAGGGTAGACTTGGCGGTGAAAGGACGCGAAGGAAAGTCGTCTGCTGCAGCACCAGGGCTGGGCATGGTGATGTAGTTTGTGCCCGGAGGAGTGTCGGTCCGGGTGCTGTGGGCTGTTCGTGCACGCTGCCAAAACGCCTTGTCCTTCTCGAGTGGCTGAGAGGGAGGCAAGACTTTGATCTTCCTGCCCTCGGAGTCGGTAGTCATGGCGGCTCGCGTTGGATCGATCACAAAGGACCCAAGCTTCAGTCCCTTGACGCTCTTCGGCGTGACAGGCCTTGGGGTGGAGGGGGTGGGCGTGGCGGTAATGGCACGCTCCGCCATGGATGGGGTGCCTGGCCGACTCGGGGTCTTGCCACAAGCTTTCTTTCGCTCCTCGAGGCGTGCAATCTGTTCCTCACGTGACTCTTCATCAGTCGCATCGCCGTCATCATCGGCTTGAGTCACACAATGTCAGTAAGAAGTCGGCACACTCTGCAGTCATTCACACATACAATCATAGGTGCTCGAGTCACACTCCGAGTCACTTTCTTCGTCGACTTCAAACGCGAATTTTTCATCCTCGTCCTCGAAGTCGTAGAACGACTCGGTATCATTGAACGTGTTGTTCTGAATTTCGAGTTCCTGCTCCAGACCTAGAGAGAGATGATGATTCAACTTGGCGTCGTCTTGTGGGGTGAACAAATCCGGAAACGCCTCGTTGGGATCTTCCGAGCTGCTGCTCGAGGATGCAGTGACATCAATCTCCTCGAATCGTACTCGCTTCTGGGTAGAATCATTGCTCCGACGGTTGCGTGCAGTCTCTGGCATGCGCCAAATGGCCGTCTCCGCTTCGTTCCATAGATCGTTGTACAGACTGGCGTCGGTGGGTATACCCAAGAATGGATCATCGTTCAGGTTGATTTGCAGGCCAAGGCCATTAAAGCCCGACCGCAGCGAGTCGTGCATGGTGAAATCGTCCAGCGCAAAGGGGTCGTCATTGTTGAGATCCATCCCATCCAGGTCAATCATCATGGCCGTAGCAACGCGGCGGTTCTCAGTGCGCTCAAACTCATCGATCAAATCTTGCTCGGCGGATCGCAGGATGTCGTTTTCATCCTCCTCGACGTCTTCGCCTTCGCTATCGCTCACGTTCTCAACATCGGCATAGTCGTCGTCGTCGTCGCTCGCGTGACCCTCGTGCTCAGCGCCAGCCTGAGCTTGCGTATCGTCAATCATGTCATCGTCTCCCGCATTGAACCCTGCCAGGCCTGCTTCGCCCTCAGCGACAGCACCCCTGGATACGCCTGGCAGGGAAGATACATCCGGCTCATCAGCCGTGCCTTCAGCCTCTCCGACATCCCCATCCTCGCCTTCGTCTTCATCGTCATCCCCGTTGTCTGAAGTTGCCCGACTCGCACCACGGCGAGGCTTGAGCTTGTTTGAAATATTGCTCTTCACTGGCTTGTTTTTCTTTTTGTTCTTTACCGGAGGCGGACTACCCGCGTCCTGCATTTGAGAGTCCCGCAGAACCCTGGAACCACCTTTGGGTTGGGCCTGTGAAGTGGATCTCGCCATTGGAATAAACGGTGGTGTAATAGAATCCCAGGTGAGAAAGTGATGAGAGTGAAGTGAACTCTGCCTAGCGAGCAGCAGGTATGCGCAATCGGCGCACACAAAGTGGTATAGAGTCGCTCCGCGTCGCCTTCGGGGCAACTAATGGCGCTGATTGTGGAGTGGTAGACGTGACCCAGTCGAAAAGAACTCGAGGATCAAGTCGGAAGCTTCGTCGTCGAATGCTTTGAACCAATCGAATGAAGCGATGGCCAGTGTTGTCTGATATGCTAGCCCAGCAGAGCTGAGAGCGAGCAAGAATAGCAGCAGAGTCGTCTCAAGTTCAAGTTGAATATCTCGAAGAGCAGTGACCGGACTGGAGGGACGGGAAGCGGTGCCCATCCCTCCAGCGGTGGATTTAGTGCTCGACGAACGCCTGCGGCATCTTGGACGACGAAGTGGTGAGGTGTGTGTGCGGGTATGGGTGGTGATTTGGTGTTGGGATAATGTGACTTCGGTGTCTGGTGGAAACGGGGATGGGTGTTGGAGGGGAGGAAGAGGAGGAGAAGAGCGAGTCTCGAGGGGAGGGAAAAAAGGCGTAGCTGACCCGAAAAATCGTAACAAGGTTTGGCGCTAGCGGGGCCGCTAGTGCGACGGAAAAGCGGTCTGCGTGGCGGCCTCACGCGAGCTCCCGCGAACAAATCACCGGTTGCGCCTGTGTATATGATGCAGAGTTGCATGCCGCGCACGCGAAGCACCGCATGTACCTGTACAAGCCGTGTCGTGGAAACGGAGCACATCATCGTCTCGTCTGGAGCATTCGCCGTCTCAGCTTGTGACGGCGAAAGACCGGACATTCATAGCATCGCAGCCGGAAGCCAATGACACTCCACTCGATCTTCATGAGAGTGGAGACGTTTCGTGGAGCCGACGGGATTTCGCGCAGACACGATTCACGAGAAGTGTCAACAAGAGAAACGTCGTCCGTCCACTACCGCATTGCAATAGGTACGCAAGTCACATGCCCTGCGTATTGATGACGTCGATCCACGTACAGGGCAGAGAGCAATCAATCACTACAAGCTCAAACTCCAACCACGGAGCGAGCGAGCGGGTCAATACTCATCTTAATCAACTAAGGTAAGGTACAGTAGCAACTCGACCCTATCACAGGCAGCCGAGGAATACCGCTGTCCACATTCGCACGTAATGCGAGCACGCACGCACGCAAAAGCCAAGAATCAAACCCCCCCTCTCCTCTCCCTCACCCCGTCATAGCTAAGCCTAATGAGACTGCTGTGACGAAGGCGAGCCGACAGCACCCAGACTCTGGAAGCCGCCACCTCCTCCACTCCTTCCCATACCCGGTGCTCCGAAGCCCGAAGATGGCGACACCTTGCCTGGGATGGGGCTTCCAAACCCTCCCAAACCCGCCAGGCCACTATCGCCAGGAGCGCCGGGGTAATGTGAACGAGTTTCGGGCGTGGCGACGTTCGGCGTCCACATGACCTCCAGCATATCTCGCATCTTGCGAACATGGAGCTCGCCGCCACCGTTCTGACTATCGCCCTCGGTTTCGCAGATCTCCTCGATCTCGCGGAGAGTGGGGGGCGGGTCAAGAGGTGTACGATTGACTTCGATTTGGCGGAGGAGAGTGTTGACGTCGTGGTAGCCATCGTTGTCGCCTCGACTGCTGGCGCTGAGTTGCTTGCATGCCTGACAGACTGCCAAGCGGATGGTGAGAGGTCGACTGCCGCCCGTGCCGGTAGAGCGCATTTGGCCGGTGCCAATGGTGCCAAAAGCATTGTTGGCGCCAAAGGCGGCATTATTGCTCGGCCAGCTGCCTATGCCGGGCTGAGGCAGCCCGAAAAGACTCGGTTGTCCAAGCCCTGGACTCTGGCCGAAAGGCGTCTGCAGGCTGGAGCTATTCCAGAGGGGAGTAGATCCAAAACTTGATCCTAAGCTGCCTCCAATGGTGTTCATGGCGTTGGGTCGCGTGGGTGCTGCGATGTTCGATGCTCTCCTGTTCTCCGTGAGGCTTGGCATGATCGGCTCGTCCGAGTCGTCCAGCAGTGCCGAGCTCCCAAGATGTCGGGAGAGATCATCGAGATCCGAGTTGGAGCCTCTGCGGTCTTGTGGCTTCACGCTACTCGGTCGCTGAATCGGCGCAGGGTGCGAGCCAGGAATGGGACGGCCGATGGGCTGGTTCGCAGCCGACTCGAATCGCTCCTTGTCGCTCGTCGACTGTTGTCGAGAATGTGAGGTCATGATAGTTCGCGGGGCATCCGCGCCAGGCGCCATGCTTGCAGGCTGACCAGCCGGAGGCGTTCGTTGGTGCGCTTGTTGGGGTGCTTGCTGTTGTGGCATGAACCCGGGCGGTGCTTGAGTGTTAGACGACCCATCGAATGGCATGCCAAGCCCACGTCCTTGCGGCGGCATCATGCCAGACGGCGGGTTGTTCATGCCCAGCGGTCCGAATCGCGAATTCACCGGCGGCGCCTGCTGCTGGTGCTGCCACATCGGCATAGAGCCCCGCGGACCCATGTTGCCGTGCATCATCGAGCCCGGAGGACCTTGAAACCCGGGATAGCCCATCGACGGAATGGCACCAAAGCCCGGCGGATGATTTTGCTGGGGGAACGGCATTCCTGGAGGAGGCTGAATTGTTGGCGACGTGAGCGGCATCGGGTGCTGCTGCTGAGGTTGCGAAGGAGGATGTTGCTGAGTGCTTGGCTTCTGCAGGACCGTCTTGGGCTGCACCATGGTTTCGGTGGGGTGAGGTTGTTGGTGTTGCTGTTGTGGCGGAAAGCTGCTGGGCGAGGTAGACTTGCTCGGAACACTAGAGATTTGCGAGATCGACTGTTTCGGAGAAGATGAGGCGAGCGAACCTTGTTGGGAGGTTTGTCGCTGTTTGGCAGGCGTCGGAGCCTTGGGAATCGCAGGGGTCGCAATAGTCGGGTGTGGCGACGAGACACCAGAGGTGAGTTGCTTCGGATAGACGCCCGGAACAGCGACCATGCCTGGCTGCGATGGACGCTTCTGGATCTGTGGAGGCGGCGGCTGTTGCGGTGTCGACGCCGGTTGCGCGGCTTGCCGTGCAGCCTTCTCCCCGCCCTTGACCTCGCCTCCCTCCGGCTTCGTCTTTTCTTCGCGCTCCTTGTCATCCTGAGCTTTGCGATCCCTTGCCTCTTTCTCCCGTGCCTCCCGATCTTCTCGCTCTCGCTTTCGAGCCTCGTCCTTCTTCGCCTTCTCTGCAGCCTTGGCTTCGCGGGCTTTGCGCTCCGCCTCTTCTCGCCTCTGCTGCTCTTCTTGCTGGCGGCGAAGCTTCTCGGCTTCCTTCTTCGCTCGCTCCTCTTCCAGCTTCCGCTTCTCATCCTCCTTCTTCTTGCGTTGCTCTTCCTTCTTCCGCCGCTGCTCTTCCTGCTTCTTCTCCTCCGCCTCACGCAACCGCGCCTCCTCTGCCGTCTTCTCCGCTTCTTTCCGCGCCTTCTCCTCGGCCTTGGCTTGCTGCTGTTGCTTCTTCTTGTCCTTCTTCTTTTGCGCGTCACGTGCCTTTTTCGCCTCTCGCTGAGCCTCCTGCTTCGTCTCGTCCTCGAGCTCCTCGAGTAGTCTTTGTTGACGCTCCGCAGCAACCTTCTCCTTGTATGCAGTCAAGACGCGCTGTTCGAACATTCTCGCGGCGAATATCTGAAACATGCGCCGTCCTTCCTGCATCCGCTGCTCCTCTGTCAAGCCGCCCTGTAAATCGTTAGCCCGGCGATGCAAGCTTTCACCAACTCCGACTCGGCCACTCACCATCTCGTCCTCTTCGTCCATATCATCGTCAAAGTCGTCCTGGCTATCGTAGCTGGCCTCCTCGTCGTCATACTCATCGTTGGCGGCGAGTGGGTCCTCGTGATTGTAGCCTGGATCGCCCGGCGGATACGCGCCAGGATGACTGGGGTTGGCGGCCGCGTACTCTGCGTCATTCTCCCGTTGCATGCGCCGCTCGGCCAGCTGCTCCATCATCTCGATGAACTTCCGGCCGTCGTTCTTCAGCAGATCGTCCGCGACAGTGAGTAGATTGTCTGCAGGATTCAGCTTCAGCGCTTTGCAATTGTACAGCTTCTCGAGCCACGGTGTGAGAATACCTTTGACGGTGAGGTTTTGGCCGAAGGTTAGGAAGTCGGGCACGCCACTGCGATGTATGGGTTCGATGTCGTCCGAGTAGGCATCTTCCTCATCGGAGTACTCCTCCTCATCCTCTTCATCCCCACTGAACTCCTCATCGTCGAAGTGTTCTTGCAGCTGACTTGTCCGGTGGTGCGGATTGGGAGGCGGCGGTGCTGCCAAGGGATGTGGCCTGTGGGATTCAAGCGGCTCGGGGATCAAGCCGTCGGTGGAGGGAAGGGGTGGGTGGTCGTGGTGCGCGTACTGCTCCAGCTCCTCGTAATAGCCTTCGTAGAGCACCTCGAGTTCCTCTTCGATCGCCGTTCTCTTCCGCCCGCAGACGGTGCACGAGCACGAGTGTTTCTGCTGCTGCTTCATCTTGCGCAGCACGGCTTCCTTTTCAATCTTGAGCAGAGATTTGCGCTCCTCTTCGCTCAAACTTAGCCAGAAGTCCTTGATGTTCTGCCGCTCCTGCTGCGAGCTTGTGTTCCAGATCGACGGGCCGCCGGCCTTGTGCACGAGGTCGTACCCAGCGGCGTGTGGAGGAGGATTGGGAAGCGGGGGCATGTGGTTCCCTAGCAGCTCGGGGTTGTAATCGTGCGGCACCACGCTGCTCTTCTTCTTTTTCTTCTTCTTGTTGCCGGTGGGCGGCGGCGGCATGCTGTACCCATTCGAGCCGGTGTGGCTCGACAAGTAGTGGTCGTAGGTCTGTTCGGCTTCGGAGTAGTCGAACTCTTCGTCCTCGCCATCGCCATATCGGTATCCCAGCGGATCTTCATCATATTCTACGCCTGGGAGGGGACCGGAGGGTGGGGGGAGGTTGAGAGGGCGCGAGGGAGGCGCGGGGGCGGCCTGCTTCGCTCGTCGCTTCTGCTTCTTCCGGTTTCCCCCAACGACACCTTTTGGAGGCCCTGTGATGACTCCGTTTGACGCTGGCGGGGCCGGAAGTCGGGAGTTGTTGGTGGCCATCTTCGCTCCTCCGAGACTGGTGGGGTGGAGAGGGAGGGGAAAGACTAGAGCAGAGCATGAGTTAGTGGGGGCAAGAGGTGAGGTAGATGTAGAGAGCAGGTGAGGTGAAGGGCAAGAGGAATTTGGATGGTGACACGAGACAAGGAACGGCCACAAACGGGGTCTGGGGGCATGGGTGCGCTGTCAAGCCCCTCCGACAAGTCGCACGTACCTGATGCTTGAGGTGTGGCGGTGGAGGTGGTTTGCCGCCCGCCACAACCGCGGAGAGGGGGTGAATGGTGGTGCGGACGATGATGCTGGCTCTGTCGGGCGATGCAGCATGCAACGGGCGAGTGGTCGGGGGTGGTGGAGGAGGAGGTGGTGTCTTGTCACTCTGCTGGCGGCGTCGCTTCATCCCGCTGCTCGAGTGGTGGAAAGCGAATTCAGGCATGCACAAAAGTGGAGCCGGCGGCCGGACTGACTGCTTCCGCCAAGCCCAAGCCCGCCCGTGTGGCAGCGAAGAGCGAAAGTCTAAGCCACACCTCAGACCATCTGCTGCCATACGTCTACCCAAAGTTCCTTCTCCTGCAAACCTCGATATCCTTTACCTTCCCCATCCGCCCTCCGCCGTGTGCACCCTCCCCCCCGTTCTGCGCCGCCGCCGACACCGTCTGCACCGGCTGCATTCTTCGGACAATCGCACCGCTCCGCCCCTCCGCCCGCAGCAGCAGTACTAGGCTCCGCATCTGCGCATTGCGTGGCCCTCCCTCCACCCCGTTACGGCCAAAGCCTCCGTGCTACAGTACCCTATTGGAATCCTTCCCTCCCTTCCTCCCGCTACACAGCATTTCAATTGCCGCTCCGCCTCCTCTCCCCGAATACACACTTCCTTCCTCCTACTCCACCGCTACGGCGCGCTATTGCTCCACGCGACTCCTCCCGCTTGCTCGGCGCCAAAAATAGCCTAATACCCGCAGCCTGCAGGAGGCCCTGGCTCAAGGACTGCACTATAAGAGCTGCAGTCCAGACGTGCTGCATTTCTACACGGCCACTGGAGGCCGGAGCGTGTGAGAGATACTGTGCTGAGCGCCGCTCCATCTCCCTCGCCCCTACCCCACGATGGCACAGCAGGACAACTCGGTGATAAGAAGGTGTGTCTTCCCATATCCCACCTCGACCACCCACGATGCTGATCCTCGCCCATAGAAAGCTTGTCATCATCGGTGATGGCGCCTGCGGCAAGACCAGTCTCCTCTCCGTCTTCACTCTCGGCTACTTCCCCACAGTACTACGCCCTCACCTTCACCCTGCAAGCAACACAGCTGACCCATACAACAGCGATACGTCCCCACCGTGTTCGAGAACTACGTGACCGACTGCCGTGTCGACGGCAAATCCGTCCAGCTCGCCCTCTGGGATACCGCAGGGCAAGAAGACTACGAACGCCTACGGCCATTAGCATACAGCCAGGCTCACGTCATCCTCATCGCATTTTCCGTCTCCGGGCGAGATTCCCTCCAAAACATCACCACCAAATGGTACGCTCCTCAGTGCCCCCAACCATTCACTCCCACTCACCACTGACTTCCTCCAGGCACCCCGAAGTCCTCGACCGCTGCCCCGGCGTGCCCATAATCCTCGTCGGCCTGAAAAAGGACCTCCGCGACGACCCCGTAGCGCAGGAAGAGATGCGCAAACGTTCCGAAAAGTTCCTTACGCCGGAAGAAGGCGAAGACGTGCGGAGGCGGATACAAGCGAAGAAATACCTCGAGTGCTCCTCGCTGACGGGCGAGGGAGTGGACGATGTCTTTGAAGCGGCCACGCGGCAGAGCCTGCTGAGCGCCGACCGAAAGGAGAGGAGCGGCTGCTGCGTCGTCCTTTAGAATCTTTCCCCCCTTCGCCGAAGAGTAGAACCTCTCGGGCGTGGGAGGAATGAGAATTCGGTCCGCGAGGTTTCACATCCTGGCCCTCGCGTCGGGCCAACTTGCTACCGATTAGCGAGCGAGAACAGCACATGCATTCGATTTTCGCGCGGGCATGCATAGCCGGATGGAGTCGGAGAAGATATCGCTCGGTGGGAGGTTCGAGCACCCGAAGTCGATCCTGCGACACTGACGGATGGAATAGAGAAAAAGCGCAGTCGTTTCTTTTCTGGGGGATGCTTCTTTTCTACATTACGAGTTCCGAACTAATGGAAATAACGGTCTTTAAACGTGCTTGTGGTACTCGTGTTAGGAACTCTCACTTCCATATCGTCCGCCTATGCTGTGAATCAAATGACGAGCGAGGCGATGGCACGGGAAGAGATGCTGTGGTACAATTACATTGACTTTTCCGCCCTCATGCCGCATTCTAGTACTACTCGATACAAATACTTCGATTCCCATTCCCGTCATCACAAAGTCATGCCCGGCTGTCTGTTTGACTGAAAAGCAAACCAACCCACAGATACCTGTATGCCCCCGTCTAACAATTTTCGACGCCCACCCGGCTTCGTCGTAGGGGAGAATGCAACTTTTTTTTTGGGTAGGACCGCGGTGGAACAATGTGCAGCCCTCGTATTCACAACGACTTCTTCTCACATAGCGACTTGCACCAAGCGTCCGCAGCAGCAGCGTGATCCTCCGCCTCGGCAGCCTCCGTCCCTTTCTTCTAGGAAGGTCGGGGCAGCTTCACGGGATCGGCACCGCGGCTCAGAATCTCCTCGGTGATGATCTTCTCCTTGTCGTTCCACATCAGCTTGTACGCGTGGCGGATCGTGCTGTCGCTCACGCCCGCCACCGCCTGGATCTCCTTGGCAGTCTTGGGCTGGCCCATAAGGTGCCCGGCCATGAAGATGCATGCGGCGGCAGTGGACAGCGGAGAGCGACCGGCCAGTGATCCAGTTGTGTTCGTTTTGGCTGCGAGCAGCGTAGCCACGTTGGCGGCCTTCTGATCCATGTCGAGCATGCTGCAGTATCGTGCGCAAAGATCGCCCGGGTCGGCAGTCCCGCTGCCTTTGTAGGTGTCGAGTGCGACCACAACACCTGTATCATCATGAGTGTTTAGCAAGACTTCTTGAATCTCCGCGAGGGAGAGGGAGCGGAAGAGGCTGGAAGACTCACCGCCTGCCAGCATCGACGTTTGGCCCTCTCGCACCTTCTCGCGCTTCATCAAGAAATTCTCGAGCAGCTTGAACGTACGGCCGATTTCCTTCTTGCTGACCTTGGTCAACTCCATCACTTCGCGGAACGACCGGGGGACGTTGTTGCGGCGGCAGGCCAGGAAGACGCAGCCAGCAATGAGAGCTTCTTGGCTCTTGCCCTTGAACAATCGACTTTCGTCGGCGTCTTTGTAGAGGTGCTTGGCGGTGTCCACCACGGATGGGGTCAGCTGCCAACCCTCGCAGAGAGCTCCGATTTGCTTGTATGCTTGCAGGAGTTGCTTGTTGCCCTTGTCCACGTTGGACTTGTTGTTCGCACGATACAGATCGTTGCTGCGCATGCCACCGTCACCGAAAGCAATGTTGGTGTTGAGCTGAGCGCCGTTCAGCAACGAGTTTGGGCCATCTCCCACACGCGACGGGTCATCGTTCCCCTGATCATCGTTGGAGAAGGTACGCCACTCCGAGCTCTGATCGATGGAGCGCTCCTGCAAGACCAGGCCACATTCGCCACACACCATGTCGCCACTTGCGTGGTCTTCCACGAGCCACGGGGGATCATCTCTACATTCGCGGCAAATCAACCTCACGTTCAGATTCTGCTGCCACTCGTCCGATTTCTCCGGTTGCCTATGCTCTTCCGGTAGTTCGCCGGGAGACAACGCTTGCACCATCGTTGCCAACGGCTTGCGCACCCTGAGGTGCTTTGAAATGTCGCAGTTCGCAAGACGTGCCGACGCTCGCTTCTTGATGCCCTTGGACGTGATACGAAGTTTGTGTTGCTTAGCGTAGCAGCGGATGAAGAGCGGGGAATACGTTTTGGCGGTTGAGGACGGTGTGAGGCTGCTGAAGATTGGCAGCTGTGAATTCACACAGTCAGCAAGCTGCGCGCTACCGACAAACAAGTATAAAGAAGTTCTACAGACAGGGCGGTAGTGATGACTACCGCCACTGCTCGCCTCTGTAACACCCCAAGCCAGGGGGACAATCACTCACCCTCACTCCTTGTAGATGGCGCTGTGACAAGCAATCGGCGTTACGATCGAGGCAGTGCGTCGAAGTGAGAGAGGGTATATGTGAGAATGTCGCGACGAGGATCCAACCGTTCTAACCAGTGAAGGCGTCCGAGAGACGGGGCGTAGGCACCGTGGTCTCACAGAAGTAGAAAGGTTGGCGGATCGCGACGAGGGGGCGGACAGCGCTGTCGCGGGCGCGTATCGCAGGATCGAGCGAGGCTATCGTCTCAGCGAGTGTGTTGCGCGACTGCTGCACGACGGTGGGCGAAGGGAGAGGAGGAGGGAGTGGTGTGAAGGAATCAAAGAGGTTGGAGGCCGGCGTGAAGACTTTGTCCTTGCTTCACTGTTCAGCGCTTGGCGAGTGGCTGAGTCATATCAACGGACAACCAATCGGCTCTACCCGAGAGAATTTCCTTGGCATTCTCCAGCTTTGCCGGAACGACGCAGACGCAGAGCTCTCCTTCTGCCTCCGGAAGACACGAGTGGACAGTCCTCCTCGACGAAATCACCGCAACGATGCTCGCACAGTCATTAAGGGCTTCGGTATGGTCCATTGGAGAGACTCGAATGCACGGGAACTGACAATGCCCCAGCGCCAATCGCTCGCAAGAGCCCTCCGGCAACAACATGCCCTCCCTCTTCGCCGCACCCTCATCACCCCCACAGCCATTCGACAGGGTATGCAGTGCCCTCTACCCAGCTTTCTCGACTGCTCTACGTGTATCTAACAGACGTGGCTAGCGGACCAAGTGCAAGACATGTACCTGCGCGAACTGAAGGCCTACAAGCCCACCCCAGTGAAGGCGGGCGATGAGAAGGGACACGTCCAGGAGTTCAAGCTCCCCAAGGCCCCACAGTCTCCCGAAGAGGCCAACCTCGAGAACGACCTCAAGTCCTACGAAGATCAAGTGCCCGAGGTGGAAGGGCAGGCGGCCAGTGGTGAGTCGTCGCCTGCGGCGGAGCAGGACTGGTTCGAGGAGCCAGAGGAGGATGAGGAGGCACACCACTGAGCGACATCTCATAGAGGAGCATGAGTGTGGGCGTGATCTGTAATGTACAAATCGAGATTTCTGAGTGGCCCGTCCAGTTCCCCAGTTTCATCCTGGCCTCGCCACCGAGCAGATTTCGGTCATCAACAGATGTGCTTGCCCCGGTGAGTGGATCTCTTATCTTATTGTGCGATGATGACCATCATCTCTTCTCTCCGGCTGCCCAATATACACCCTTACCACGGGACTATTTCGCACAGTGCTATATATAAAGCCGATGGCCTGGTTCATCTCATCTCTACACTTTCCACTCCAAGCACACCATCGATCTCTACAATACCTCCACCATACACACCGCCTCGGAGACCTTCCTCTCCGGCCGAAGCAGCCAGCCCGTCAGCAGTACTCATCCAGTGGCACCAGACGGCCCTCAAGTCCACTCTCAGAAGGGCAACGCGGGCAACAAGCACACCGCGAACTTCAGCATGGCGCCCTCATGGTCCACAAAGGCCGAGAAAGCGCCCCTCCTGCCTCTCACCGCCCAAGACCAACCGACCGCCGCCAAACGGACGGTCACCATCTACCTCAGCCGTGCTCTCATCGGCGAGATCGAACACGCGCTCGACGTCGACATCGATGACAAGGCAATCGAGATAGCCGCCCCGTCTCGCCCTCGTGACTCGACACGCCGAACGTCCGGCAAAATGTTCGTCCTCTCCGCTCCTGAGCCTGTCGACGAATCGTCCATCACGGAACACGTCCTTCTCGCCATCAGCTTCTGCGTCATTCTGCTCGCGGGCGTCTGGGCAACCGCCGTCGCTCTGACCCTCGCCCTTGACTTGCCCGTGGACATCTTCGGCGATGACTTCCTCGGATTCACCTTCCTTCTTGGCAGCGTCATGGCTGCGTGTTTCGCCTTGATTGCCATTAAGAAAGCAAACGGCGAGCCTGTTACGCCGTTCTTGATGTGGAGTGCTTTTCGTGAAGTTGGCAGGGTGCTGGTGTCGATTGGGGGTCTGCTGGTGGCGGTGGCGGTTACTGGTCAGCTCATTGTGGACTCAGTGTTGATGCCTGTCGTCTCCAAGCTGGTGCTGTGACGGTGGTCCAAAACGGGACATGTGGGTTGACTTAGGACAGGCACGAGCGAGTATTGGTAGCCGAGACTGAGAGAGCGCAAGACAGTGTGATTAAATTAATCGACTACTAAAATACATTACAATTACTTGGTCTTTTTCTTGTTCACTCCGCTGGTAGCAAGGTAGATCTATCTTCCGATCCTTCTACCACCCAAAGAACCACCCACCGCTCTTCTTCCCCTCATCATGATCATGCTCATGCTCGTGCTCGTGCTCATGCTTGTGCTCATGGCCCTTCATGCCGGTGTGACGAGCACCGCTGTGGGTGCCGGTGTGCTTCGGCTGAGGGTAGATCTCGGTGGAAATATGTTCGTGATCCCATGTGCCGGTGATCGTGGGGTGGTGGGTGTGCTGACGATGGTCGGTGTGGTGGCCATCATGACTTTAACGAGAGTCAGGTCAGTTCGTCTGCATCTAAGAAGTCCGCAATTCATTGGACTTACGAGTGCTTTTCACCAGGGTAATCGGCGGGGCCGACGCCGTACAGGGGCATGCTACGAGCAAAGACGCCGCCGAAGCCGTCTTCATCACGGTCACCGTCGAAATCGAAGTCTATAGCAATCGAGTCAGCATCTTCCAGTATTGAGAAGTACGAGAGCCTGGCTGCTTACCGTCATCATCATCACCCCAACCGCCGACCTCGCGTGGTCCAAAGCGACCATGGAAAGACTCGAAGACATGATGCTTGGGCTTCGGCTTCTCATGACGGGCCATCAGGTAAGGCGCAGGCTTTGGCGTCTCCATAGGAGCATGCGGGTAAGCGGCCTGGCTGGCGCGGTGATGCACGTGGTGATCATGATCGTGGGCCCGAGCCTGCCAAGCCTCGGCCTTGTAGCGCGCCTCCCTGGCCCTCTGCTGGTAGTACTCGGTCATGTCGTGGTTGTATCCGGCACCTTCGTTATCGCCCTTGGCCTTGCAATCGTGGTACTTGGCGGCGTGGTGGTTCTGCTTGGCCTTGCAGCGGTGGTGCTCGGCCTTGTGCTTGTGGTGTTCCGAAGTAGGAGTACTCTCGCCATGGGCTTTCTTCTCGTGGTGCTTGCGCTCGTGATGCTCAGCGCACTTGCTGTGGTGGTGAGCAGCCTTCTCGTGGTGCTCTTTGGCCTTCTTGTGCTCGTGTTTGGCCTTGTGCTCGTGTTCTTTGGCTTTCTGATGGCACTTGTCTTTCTCCGCACCATCCTTGCCTTCGGCCTCCTTGTGGTGGGCGGCAGCCTTGTGCTCGTGCTCGGCGGCCTTGTGGCCGTGCTCCTTACCCTTGTGCTCCTCCTCCTTGGCCTTGTGCTCGTGGTGCTTGTATGAAGCTGGTTCGGCGTCTTTGCCTTCTTTTTCGTGCCGCTTCCCCTGCAGTATGTCAGCGATGTATACAAGCAGCAATTCATGGAAATCATCTACTCACCTCGTGCTCGTGCTCTTTGGCCTTCTCTCCATGATGCTCGGCCATGGCATGGTGATCATGCTCATGAACTCCATAGCCGTAAGGGCTGTAGGCAGAGTAGGCGGTAGGAACGGGGTGGTGGTCTTGCTCCTCACTCCAGCCAACATCGCGGCGAGACGGCATCCAAGCGGCATGATGCTCTTCATGACGATGGTGCTCATGCTCGTGCTCGTGGCGATGGCGGGGCTCCTCCATGCCATTCCACGCCGGATCCCAAACGTCGGGACGATAAGCCACCGCGGCCGACGAGAGTACGGCAAAGGTGGCGATCGTCAAAGGGGCTGTAAGATGCATGATGCAGGAGATGTCAAATATGGAATAGGATTGATAACTTGATGCACAGGAGCGTCAATGTAGAAAGGACAAATCGGCGCTGGATGGATAGGAGAGGTACGAATATGAAGAGAAGAGAGCAGTCCAGGACAAAGGAGAGATGGACTATATGAGGGCAGCCAAGCACTTCCTGTCAATGGGCATAGGAGAAATAATGAAATACTTTCCGCATTCAGCGTTGACGGTCCTTTGACGCTTTCAGCGGCATATTCGCGCCATGGAAGAACTCGACGATTGCGGAAAGAGATCGCATCTGCCGGGGAGGGCTTCATTGTTCTCCATCGTAGGGAAGACCGAATGGCGTTCGTGGTAGAGGCTGCGTGTAGCACGCCTGGATGATCGTGGAAGGGCGACAGCTCAGGTGTAGTACTTATTTGCGCGATAGACGCCAGTGGATGAGTTCCAATTACTTAGGGTCAGATGAAAGGCCAGGCGGAAGGTTGCGTGGCTGACCTGCAGCATTCCAATGCCCAGGTCTGGAATGCCGCCAGCCCCTCACACGTGATGCCAACCTCTTCGGATTGTAATTCTCCACTGCAATCAGCTTCGTATATATGCGGTCGCGGTCAGAGGAAGCTGGTTGCGAGTAAATGTAGGACGTGTGCGGCGAGCGAGGGGAAAGACGAAGATAGGTCAAGAATTGATGCTCGATTCGGCGAAATTCGTGAGGCGTCACGTGAACAATCTATCGCTGGCTTCGTCGCTGTTTCATCACATCACCGTCGCTGAAGAAATGCAAAATCGCTCAAATCACCGCCCTGCCTGCGCCGTACCCCAAGTCCAGTCATGGAGCTTCTTCAGGAAGCGAATCCAGACTTCTAAGAGACGCATGGCGCGGCGCCTGCCAAACATTCCAGTCAGGCCGCCATCCTCTCGCAAATATCGGCGACGAATCTCCAGTCGACTGTGCAAAAGACCCTTCTCGCGCCTTGATTGGGGTGAAGACGAGATCCAGCGGTGCAAGACTGATGGTGAAATGGTCTCTGGATTCGTGCAGAAGTCTTGATCCGTCTTCGCCAGGTGCCAGGCTGACGTTGTATTCCGACAACAACCTTGTCGTCAGCGTCCGCAGTTCCGTCAAGGCGATGTTCTTGCCGATGCAGCTATACGGCCCGGACAAGAAAGGTACGAAGGCTTTCTTGTGTTTCACGAGGTCGGGGCGGCTGTACCAACGTTCAGGGATGAAGGAGTCGGCCTCGGCGTAAATGTCCGGATCTGTGCTCATAGTCAGCCAAGATTCTCCGTTTCTCAAGACCGCTCGAGGACCTACTTCGATTCAACGAATACAAGGGCATGTTGAAGTTGGTCCCTCCAGGAATGAAGGTTCCTTCTCCAACACATAGCCCTTGAGCACCAACCATGCGATACACCCCTGAAGGACCAGGGGGGTGCAGTCGTAGAGCCTCATTGATTGCGCCGTTTAGATGCTGACAGTGGGAAATGTCTTTGTCATGCCACTCTTCCACTCCCGCTATGCACGCTTGCGTCTCCGCCCTGATCTTCTCGACATCGGCCGGCCGCTGCGCGAGATTGTAGAACAGGTACGTCAATGCTGCGGCGGTGGTGTCGCTTCCGCCCACGATCAGCAACCTTGCGTCGTGTCGAAGGAACTCATCTTTCTCAAGATGTTCTTGGTCGCCAAGGGACTTGAGAACCCAGTAGAGGATACTGCGGTGGTCTTCGGTCGAGGGGTCCGCCTTTTGCTGTGCCACGCTTTGTCTTCTGTGCACTGCCTGCTGCACTTGTGCATCGCAGAAGTTGTCGAATTGTTTCCTTTGCAAAGCGCGTGTTCGATCGGGCTGCACGCTACGGAAGGCGTCGGGTTTCGTGAGGCCTGACAGTTCTCGAGGGAGTAGCATGGTGCTGAGTCTTCGGAGCGGTTCGATGCCCAACTTCTGTATTGCCACGGTGCTGAACTTTCTCATCTTGACGGCGCGCTCGACTTGTGCGTCGCAGAAGGAGTGGAATCCGCCGGTGCCTCCGAAATCGAAGGGAATCGGTCTGAGTAAGATCACAAGCCTTGATCATGTTAGAAGCAGCTTTCAATGGAGGGAGATGCAGCCATACCACATCGGAAACGTGAGTCCAAGTCCCGCCAGGCCTTCCGTGAGCAGCTCCAAGGCGTGATGTTTCTTATTAGTCTCCAACATCTTATAGTCAACGCCGAAGACCAAAGATCCCATGATGTCGAATGAGTAAAGGCTGAAAAGCTCGGACACATTAATGGGAGTCGGTCTTGAGTCAACCTGAGCAACGCGGGCGAGAAATTTGTCGTTGAACTGCGTGACCTTCTTCTCATATTGGCGCAGAGCCTTGTCGGAGAATGCTGGCGACCAGAGCCTTCGACGTCGATGATGTCCCTGAATGGTCCGCTCGTTCCACAGCGATCCAGTCGGCCAGTCAAAGTCGTACCAGCTGCCTTTGGTCACTCCAGCCTTTTCAGACCCGTGGTATGCCGGCTCCACGAGGTCGGGATCAATGATCGACAGTGAATTCGCGCCAGTCCGTACATACGGGCCGTATTTCGCATGCAACGACTCCAGAATCCGATATTGATTGTGACCTTTGCGAGACTGCGAGGCGATCCAGAAATCCGTAAGGCGAGCCGAGTATGGCCCGGGAAAGCGGTTGAGTGGGTTGAAGAAGAGTCGGTAACATAGCGTGCTACTCGCAGCGCCTATCACGTAGCATAGTGTAATCTGTGTCGTTGCGATGCCTGCGAGCCAGAAGGTAGGATAAACCGCTCTCGCCCAAACCACTTGACAAACGATAATCGCCGCGCAGAACAGGCCCAGAATGGCGTAAACGTTGCGATGGAATTCATAGCGATTGAAATAGAAGACATGAGTAGCCACGCCGGCGAGCAAGGCACCGAGTTGAGGCGTGAGACTTTCCATTTTGAGCCGTGAACAGTGAACCAACTGCTGGAGTCTGTCAGGACTATTTATCTCGTCAAGCTCTTGGACAGACAACGCACAGCCCCTTTGCAAATCTGCCCGGCGGACGCGGACGCGCCGCGAGCATAATCAGCGTCCAGTTCCTGGAATCGTGCAAGCGCAAGAGGTATGCAGCTCAAGCTCCATACCCATGTGATAACAGCCGGCATCGGACTGCCATTCAGAGATTTGCAGGAGCAGCGAATCGTAAGGCGGCTAAGCGGAACGCGCTGTAAGCATGGAGGGAGGCTCCATCCGCAGCGGGCGGAGTCTGAACGCGTCGCAACATGTCGTCCTCGACGTGGCTATCATGGCAGTACCACGAAGGTGATGGCGATGCGCTCTCCAATTCTTCCGCGACTGAAGAACCATGCCACTGGAGTCTGATGCAGTCGTCCGCGACTCTGTCAACACTCTTCGCTTGGGAGTAGGACCCTACACCGTCTTTTTTGTCTTTTCCCAAAGAGGTATATGCACGAAAGAGCTTCGGAGTGGAGGAGTGAAGTGCAGCTTTCGACAGCCCCCACTCCGGCCACTCAACTTCTTCCGGGCACCGCGTAGCCTGCAGCTCCCTGAAATGGCGAATACGACAAACTCTCGCGGCCAATTAACCCGGCTTGCAGCGTTCGCCTTGCGAAGTGTCGGCTTTCCATTCGTGCCACGACATCGGTGGTTGGCACCAAAAGCTTGGGCTGCCGGGATGTTCGAAGTGGGCATGCTACGAGAGGGATCGACGCCGTATCGTCGTCGAAAATCGCTGTCTAGCTCGGTTGCTAACCTCGAAGCAGAGCATGCAGAGCAACAACGGCCGTCCCGCATTCGCATGTGCAGGAGTGCTTCCGTCGTACAGGAGAAAAACCTTTCCTCAAAGCAGCTCGGCTATGCCGGAGTGATGTGCCTGCATCGATGGCACACATCTTACAAAAGCTGATCCCGGTCAATTGCTCACCCGATCGCTTTCGTCTGCTAGTTGGATGGCCGTGATACTTGCTCGTCCCGCCCCATGGTCATGGACAAAATCGCAGAGAATCAGCTACGCGTATGCGCGGAATGGATCGAAGGCTTTGAGCACCCGACACCAGAAAGCGTGATCCGACATCGCCATGAAGACTGCGTCCACATCCAACGACCTCGCTCAATGGGCATTCCCATCCGCAACAATGCGCAGTACAGCAAGTATTTCACCAAACTGCTGATCCCGAGTCTGCACAACTTCAAGGTGCGTGTGTCGATGGAAGAGTTGCTGGCGCAGGCGTGCAGCTGACGAGCAATCAGGTGAACTGGAAGGTCCTGAGCAACGACCCCACGAGGAACATACTGGTCTTCTTCGCCACAGCGCACGGCGATAGCGCAGTTGGACCGTACGACAACGAATATATCTGCATCCTCCGGTACACCAAAGACGGGACGCAAATCACGCAGATTGAAGAGTTCCTCGATTCCAAGTTCACGGCCGACTTTTTCGCAAGGCTGTACCTCGATTCTCACAAGAAGAATCCGGCGGCAAAGCTTTAGCTTGTACACGAACGAGTTCTTATCTCATTCGATTTGCTTAGCACTGTACATAGTATAATCTATCAAATGGAGTGACTATCGGTGCTCCTACGTCGTTCCCATGGCCGAACTCAAACCACCCTACACGCGCTAGTAGCATCTCTTGCATAGAGGTAATCCTCTTCTAGCCTCCTTCCTAACATCGATACATATTAGTCCAGGCAACAGATGATTCGGCGTGGAAGACGAAGGCAAGGATGTGGGGGCTGCGCTTGTCTCAATCGGGCAGTTTCGTGAATCTGGCAAGTACTTGTCGTCGACTTCACTCCTCTTCCACTCACCGTGAGAATACACCCATCATCACTTCAAAGTGAGCATTGAGCAAAGACGGTATGAAAGGTGCAAAGCGGGCGCAAGTGCTCGTGGCCGTGTTCCTACCGCCACTGCTCCTGTCTCTTGCTTTCATCTTTCGCTTTCTATACCTCTCGCCCCCGATGTCCACTCTTCCTTCTGGACCCTATCCGGGCGACGGAATCATACCTGATGCTGTTATGGTCTATGATCAGACGAAACTCGTCAATGCTGCACCGGCGGATGTTTGGCCCTGGGTGTTGCAAGTTGGCAAGGGCCGAGCAGGTTCGTTCACACCTTGTACCCTCCTTGACTCAACACGGGCTGAATACAGGACTATTTACAGGGTGGTACACCCCGCAGAGCTGGGAGAGATATCTGCCCAGAAGGTTCCATGCCAGTCGATCTATCAACCCCGAGTGGCAGCAGTTGAAACCCGGCGACCAAGTAGACGATTACGGGTTCAGCGTTGACGACTATTTCATCGTCTCCGAAGTCCAGCCTGGCCGGGCGCTTGTGTACAAAAGCGATCGATATGGTGCGAGCTTCTCATGGAGTTTGGTTCTGCACGATGCGTCCGAGGGCAGTACACCTGCTACCCTGCTTCATCTACGGTTCAGAGGCAAGATTGCGGCTACTGGGGTTAAACGGCGAGTGATAGTCTGGGGTGGCGGTGTGCTTGATCGTTTCACTACGGCGCCGATGCTGGCGGGACTAGCTGAGCGGGCGGAAAAATCAAGATGAATTGGTTTGCAGCACTTTGAGACTGCACCGGAGGATGTATTGCGGAGGAACGAGGCTGTCGACGCTCCTCGACTGCCGGGCATCTCGACCGCTCTCTTCGGCTAACCTGCTCTTCCTCTCTCCCGAGACCCGGGATTTTGCGGGCTTGGTGGTGAATGTCAAATACAAACGTCTCTGATTGGCTCAATCGATCTTGCGGGGCTGGGGTTGGACTCGGGCGAGCCTCGGCCATCCGCCTATATCTCTCTCCATTGACGCCATCTCTGCTGCTATCCTCATAGATTTTGTTGATTTAGAGCCTGCTGGTGGACTGTCATTATTCACTTCTTAGCCAAGACCCTTCGAGCTTCCTTCAATCCATCTTCAGACCCCACTAACCTCGCGACGAACATCCCATTCCCGTGTAAGAGCAGGAGTGGTCGGTGGCAATAATGACGCTCACAGGCGAGGAGATTGCCAAACACAACTCAAAGGAGTCTTGTTGGGTTATCGTACACGGAAAGGCATACGATGTGACTGAGGTGAGTTTCTTCCACCTTTCTGCACAGTCCAACACGACATTGCCACTCTGCATGCATTATTCAAGTCAGCCCGATGAATTCCAGTTGCTAACGACTTATCCAGTTCCTTCCCGAGCACCCGGGAGGGCCTCGAATCATCCTCAAATATGCCGGCAAAGATGCAACCGAAGAGTACGAGCCCATCCATCCGCCCGACACACTTGACAAATACCTGCCGAAAGAGAAGCACTTGGGCGACGTGAACATGGACACCGTGGAGCAGGATGAGAAGGCAGATGATCCAGAAGAGCAAGAAAGACAAGAGAGGATCAAGTACATGCCAATCTTGGACCAGTGCTTCAACTTGATGGATTTCGAGGCGGTGGCAAGACGGGTCATGAAGAAGACGGCTTGGGCATACTATTCCAGTGGCGCAGATGATGAGATTGTAAGTCATGCAGCGGCATATGACCGTCAAGACGTTGGCTAATAGCTTGTCCTACAGACCATGCGAGAGAATCATTCCGCATATCACAAGATCTGGTTTCGACCGCGGGTGCTGGTAGACGTCAAGAACATTGACTTCTCCACCACTATGCTCGGAACGAAAGTCGACATCCCCTTTTACGTTACTGCCACCGCCCTCGGCAAGCTGGGCCATCCGGAGGGCGAATGCGTCCTCACCCGCGGCGCACACAAGCACAACGTCATCCAAATGATCCCCACGCTCGCCTCGTGCTCCTTCGACGAAATCGTCGATGCCAGACGCGACCCCCAGACCCAATGGATGCAGCTCTACGTCAACTCCAACCGTGAAATCACCAAGAACATCGTGCAGCACGCCGAAAAGCGCGGCATCAAGGGCCTCTTCATCACCGTCGACGCGCCGCAGCTCGGGCGAAGAGAGAAGGACATGCGCTCCAAATTCGACGACACCGGCTCCAACGTGCAGAACTCCGGCGGTGACAACGTCGACCGATCGCAAGGCGCTGCTCGCGCAATCTCGTCCTTTATCGACCCCTCTTTGTCGTGGAAGGACATTCCGTGGTTCAAGAGCATCACCAAGATGCCCATCATTCTCAAGGGTGTGCAGCGTGTCGAGGACGTGCTTCTCGCCATCTCTCACGGCGTGCAGGGTGTCGTGCTCTCCAACCACGGCGGTCGCCAACTCGATACCGCGCGCTCCGGCATTGAAGTGCTCGCAGAAGTCATGCCCGAGCTTCGTCGCTTGGGCATGGACAAGCAGATCGAAATCTACGTCGACGGCGGCGTGCGTCGCGCCACGGACATCATCAAGGCGCTGTGTCTCGGCGCGAAGGGTGTGGGCATCGGTCGACCTTTCCTCTACGCCATGAGTGCGTATGGTCTGGACGGCGTGAACAAGGCGATGCAGTTGTTGAAGGACGAGATGGAGATGAACATGCGTCTCATTGGATGCACGAGCGTGGATCAATTGACGCCCGACATGGTGGACACGAGGGCTTTGAGCTCGCACAACACCGGCGTGCCGCAGGACACTTTGGGACTGAATGTCTACGATCCGCTCAGTGGACCACAGCCACAGGCTACGAAGGAGCGATCGAAGCTTTGAGGGGTTATTAGGTTCGTTGTTGGATTTTAGCACACATGTAGGATTCGGTGTATATACAGGTGTAATCAATCGTTCAAAGCATCACTCACTCTATGACGTGCGTCTTTTGACTTTCATCTGACAGCGAAGGGCGCGCTGATCATCGCTCGTAAGATCCACCGTGTTGGCTCTCGAACTCGACGTGGTCCCGCATCCACCTGCTGCATGGGGACAGAGCATGACGAGCCGCCCAGTCTTCTGATGCGCATCTCATCATATTCAGGTATACATCATGTAGTATCATAACTGCCTTGTGATTCAAAGGGCGCGCGACTACATCGAAACTGGACGTCGAGCATACAGCACTCTATAAGAAGGAGCGACATCCAACCAACAAGCCATCACATCCAACAACCTCACTCCACTCGGCACTCACATCTAACACAACAAAACCATGGCATCCCAAAACGACAAAGCCCGCAAACTGCGCGCCCTCTGCAAACCCGGCGACCCCCTCGTCCTAACAAACGTCTGGGATCCTCCAACAGCCAAAATCGTCAGCCAGCACCCGCGCACCCAAGCCGTCGCAACAGCCAGCTACGCCCTCGCAGCCGTCATAGGCATCGAAGACGACGACCTCTCGCTCGAAGACAACCTCGCCGCCGTTCGCCGCATCGCAGCCGTGCTTCAGGACTCTGAGATCCCGCTTTCCGCCGATATGCAGGATGGGTACGGCGATGTGGCGGAGACGGTGAAGCAGTTCATCGCCGCTGGCGCCGTGGGGGGCAATTTGGAGGACGTGGATAATGCTGTGGGAGAGTTGAGGGGGGTGAGCGATGCTGTGTCGCGGGTGGTGAGGGCGCGCGAGGGCGCGAGGGAGGCGGGCGTGCCGGATTTCTGCATCAATGCGAGGACGGATGTGTTGCGGTTTGGGGGCAATATTGGGGATGCGATTGCGAGGGGGCGCGCGTACTTGCAGGCTGGCGCTACGACTGTTTACGTTTGGGGCGGGCCGAAGGGGAGGGGCGTTAGTCGGGAGGAGATTTGGGAGTTGGTCAAGGGGTTGGGAGGGATGATTAATGTTAAGATGAACCTGCGGCCGGGGTTTTTGACGAGGAAGGAGCTGGCGGAGTTGGGGGTTGCGAGGATCTCGATTGGGCCGGAATTGTATGCTCGGGCTATGGATGGATTCAAGGGTGCGTTGGAGAAGGCTGTGGACGGGCAGAGCTTTGAATAGTGCTTGTAGCTTGAGGAGATTAATTGGCATATCAGACCCATCCAAGTCAAGCCCCTTCCACCCGCTTCTGCCCTCTCGAACAGGAGTTCAAGAAGGCGCTCCGGCTTATTTGGGATCTTGTTTGCTCTGTGCCTGTGTGGCGGCATACCGTAGGCTCACGGGAAGGGTGGAGCGGACAGTTACAGCGTGGTGCTGTGGCCAAGGCGGGTATGTGCTGTTTGGATGGCAGAAATTCTCGGGAGAGGGGAGGTATGGACGTTCGAGAGTTGTGATTTTGTACACTGAGAAGCCATGTCCATCTCGCTCTCTATCACTTCGGCGCTGTGACAATACTTCAATCATAACGCCATCGCTATGCACATCCCAGCTCCTATCGTACACATGCCTCTGCTTTCCTCGCACATCGAGTTGGTGTCGGTGTTCTGGGGGTAGGGTAGTTGATCAAAGGCTGGACTCGTGTTAGGATTCGGTGCATTGCGCATAAGTATATCACGAGATGTCGGTACTCACGGAGGAAGCAGGATTTCACTCCAGCTGCTGTGCAAGAATGCCACGCCCGCCTGCGCATTCGAATTAGCACCACCGCCTCTCGTAGGCCTGTGACCGAGGGTAGTTCATACAGCGAAGAAAGCGACGCTGGTGACGACACTCCGGTTCTCCTGCTTCGTGACCTCGTTCAGAAAATTGCGAGCGTAGCCTTTCGGTTGCGCGGGTCGGCCAAGCGCAGTGCCGCGGATTTGGCCTTTGGGTGGCATAGTGATCGCGACGAGATGGTAATTGCGTGAGGCGGTACAGGTGGTGAAAAGTCGGTGTTGAAAGGAGCGAGATGAAGGAGATGGAAGAAGTTCAATCTTGGACGACAAGTGAAGCTTGAGACTTGGCGCGGAAGATCTTAGGGTATCGTAACCCTAGCTACATCACCGCTACATCACCGCCTTTGCCAATGACATAAATGGCAGACGTAACAAGAACGATAATCATCAACTTTGCACAAGCTGTCCTTGGCGATTCAAGACGATACCGTCCTTCCCTTCGCTCATGCCGCTTATCAGGTAGAGGATGACGTTGGAAAAGGCGAACATTGCTCGGATGTCGTCTGTGATTTCCCGGACTTTTGGTCGGTATTGATCGCTGTGTTGGCGGGTACGCGTTAGCACTACGTCTACTAGTCCAAAAACATCCACGGGCAAACTCACTCGCGCGGTTTCAGCAGGAAGTTGAAATGATCCTGTGCCTCAGTGTACGGCTCGTATGGCTTCGCGTCCGCTTTGTCGCCTTGCAGTGGGTATTCGTCAGCGACCAATTCGATCACTTACCAGTCAATCGGACAGCGGAGACTCACCTTCTGCGACAATATTACATCGCACTTTATCCTTCGACACCTCCGAGCTTACCTGTTTGTTCGTCTTGAGCAGCTGACCCACTGCATGCGAGGCCTGGGCATCGATGTTGGCAGCCTGAACGACGGTAGTCACTACCGAACCGCCGTCGATTCCTCCCTCCATAATCTTAGCACACCTCGCGGCCAGCTTCTCGTGCGCGGCCAGCGTGTCGGCATCATCGTCCGCGTTGATGAGATTCACCATCCCATTGATCCGATCCGTCTTGAACACCTTTGTCGCATATTCGATAATCTCGTCTACGGCATTGTCGTCGGTCAACTTGCACTTCCAGAACTGGAAATGACTGTACGTGGATGCGGAGAGCGTGTCGTCTTTCGGCTTGTTGTCGACCCCGAGCACGAGAGCGTTGGCCTTGAGCAGAGTGTTGCTGACAATGACCCCGACGGGCGAGGAGGCATTGGTGACCACGATGATCTTGTAGGCCAGATTCAGTGGACTGTAGCGCTCGATGATGGACATGGTTGGGCGGTGTGTGCTCGCAAGCTCCGGCTACGACAATCTTTGCAAGAAAGAAACGGCGGACGAAGGGGAGGAGTTGGGAGTGGGAAGTAAGTGCGGCTTTATACCGGCTGCTTGCTAGTCAATCCCTCCCTGCGATACAGTTCGCCGACCCGTCCTGTCATTCTGACTATAGAGATCGCCGACGCTCCTCCTTCCCCCCGGCCATCTGCCAATCCTCCCACATCGCAAGCAAGAGTGCCTTCAAAGAGGGGTATCTGTGGGACATTAAGGTAGCGACGGGCGAGAGCTAGTTAAGCTTCACGCCACAGCTGAAGTCGGACTAGACTTCGCTGGGTAAACTCTAGTTCGACTTAATCAGCAGTTGGACATGCGCGCTGCGTATCGTGTCTGCCTCTGTCTGTCTGCACATCACCTCCTCATCGTCAACCACCACCTCTCCATCTCTCCATCGGGCGCATTTCATCACAGTCCCGGCTGTCGGTCATCTCTCCCCCTTACACAACGCCAGAATAGCCCATCATGGCGCTGGACAACTTCTACAACAACAAGATCGAATCGATGAAATTGGAGATTATCCAAGGGCAAGCCATCCTCCGTCGATTAGAAGCGCAGCGAAACGAATACAACAGCCGCGTGCGCCTGTTACGGGAAGAGCTGGGCCTGCTGCAACAGCCGGGAAGCTATGTGGGTGAAGTGGTGAAGGTGATGGGGACGAAGAAGGTGCTGGTCAAGGTGCATCCCGAAGGCAAATATGGCGAGTCTCCTAAACACCATGCAGTACTTCATCGAAAGCTAATCGGTGTCCTCTCTTACAGTGGTGGATATTGCCGACAACATCGACATCGCCAAACTCACGCCAGGCAAACGCGTGACGCTCCTCAGCGACAGCTACAAACTCTCCTCCCTCCTCCCCTCCTCCGTCGACCCCCTCGTCTCCCTCATGATGGTGGAAAAAGTGCCCGACAGCACCTACGACATGATCGGTGGTCTCGAAGAGCAGATCAAGCAAATCAAAGAAGTCATCGAGCTCGGGCTTAAACACCCCGAACTCTTCGAATCCCTCGGCATCGCGCAGCCCAAAGGTGTCCTTCTTTACGGCCCTCCGGGTACCGGCAAGACGCTGCTGGCCAGAGCAGTAGCCCATCACACCGACTGCAAATTCATCCGAGTGTCCGGTTCCGAGCTCGTACAAAAGTACATCGGTGAGGGAAGCAGAATGGTGCGTGAGTTGTTCGTCATGGCGCGAGAGCACGCGCCTAGCATCATCTTCATGGACGAAATCGACTCCATCGGTAGTTCTCGGGTGGAAGGCAGTCAAGGTGGAGACTCGGAAGTCCAGCGCACTATGCTCGAACTCCTCAACCAACTCGATGGGTTTGAGAGCACCAAGAATATCAAAATCATCATGGCCACCAACCGGCTCGACATCCTCGATCCCGCCCTGCTCCGCCCCGGCCGGATAGACCGCAAGATCGAATTCCCTGCTCCTACGGTGGAGGCGCGAGCGGACATCCTTCGCATTCACTCTCGCTCCATGAACCTCACGCGCGGCATCAACCTGATCAAAGTGGCGGAGAAGATGAACGGGTGCAGTGGAGCGGAGTTGAAGGGCGTTTGCACCGAGGCGGGCATGTTTGCGCTCCGAGAGCGGCGTGTGCATGTTACTCAGGAGGATTTCGAGCTTGCGACGGCGAAGGTGTTGAACAAGCACGAGGACAAGGAGATGAGTTTGAGCAAGTTGTGGAAGTAGAGGCTCAGACCGTCTGGCTTGGGGAAGTGGGAGATTGTTACGAATGCATAGCGGGTGATAGACCAGTCAATGTACTAGTATCAGAGCCTGGCCGCCCTTGTGTTGACGGGACCTATTACCGCGTTGTCGTGCTCGCTTCATCAAAGGCGAAATACTTAAGCTTTGACTAAACCAGTCGTGGCACGTGTTTAGCGGAGAACCAGGAATGATCAATAACACCAACCAACCTCACTCTCTTCTTTCAACCACCTGATCTTCATCGATTTCAAGACAGCTAAGTGCTGCCTCACGCAATCAATGCCGCAGCGATGGCGAACCGCCTTCGCCCCTCGTCCGCGTAAGCAAGCCACTGTGGCGGAGGCCGATCACGAGCTCGACCGGTGAAAGCGGCACGTCGCAAAGGTACAGTATCTTGAGCTTGACCACGTTGCTGCGGTGCATTCTCTCCCATCCTCTCCCGTCACTTCTGCTCATCATGATTTCTTTGCATTGTCCGTCATCTCTCATGGGCACGCCGTTGCCAGTACAGAGCTCGGCGAACACGTCCGATTCTTGACCCTTGCCAGCATCCTCGTGCATAGCTAGCACGAACAGGCCCAGCGGAGCGGAGGATATGCTGGCAAATATCGCGATATGGCCCTCATCCGCCTCCTGCAGCGCAAACCCAACGGCGAAATCGGCGTCTGCGAGCCCGCCAGCTACAATGCCCCCGCCTACGGAATCCTCTCTCACACCTGGGGCACAGAAGAGATCCTCTTCCGAGACCTGAAGCCCGGCGCGGACATGAGCAGGACGATGAGCAAAGCAGGCTGGCGAAAGATCGAGTTCTGCGCCCAGCAGGCCGCAGCCGACGGCCTACAGTACTTCTGGATCGACACGTGCTGTATCGACAAGAAGAACGCGGTCGAGCTGAGCGCGGCGATCAACTCGATGTTTCGGTGGTACCAGAGTGCCGCGTGCTGCTACGTCTATCTCTCCGACGTCTCGATCAACGAAGGCGGATGGCAAGAACAGTTCAGGAGGAGCCGCTGGTTCTCCCGCGGCTGGACGCTGCAGGAACTCCTCGCGCCGCGCACCGTCAAGTTCTTCTCGAGAGAAGGCCAGCTGCTGGGTGACAAGTGGTCATTGGAAAGGGAGATCCACGAGACCACCCAGATCCCCGTGCAGGCATTGCGAGGATCGCGCCTTGCTGAGTTTGGGGTGAGTGAGCGGATGGCGTGGGCTACGGGCCGTCAGACGACCATCGAAGAAGACCAGGTGTATTGCCTCCTGGGCATCTTTGAGGTCTTTATGCCTCCGATATATGGAGAAGGAGACGCACATGCATTCTCCAGGCTGCGGGAGGAGATAGAGAAGCGCCTGCAAAGGCATGCGGTGGAATCCTTGCGTGGGCTGCCAGGTTCGTTCAGTTTCCGCGGCCTCTCTCTACCAGAGTGCATGTATTGACGAGCTACAGTTCCCTCGTCTTCGACCGCTCTCAATGCAAGGACTTTAAGCTCAAGGAATCCAAGACTGGAAGCCTGCGAAGACGAAGAGGAGCAAAGAAGGAGAGATGTCGCAGTAGAACCTCATTTCCACACGTCGGGATCCTGTGACCGCACACCAACTTCCTCTTACGATACTCGAGCGCTGCAGGCAGCCGGGATACCGAATATGCCTCCGCCTACATCAATTAGAGCGCTAGAGCTCAAGAGTTTAGATAGATCGTTTGACCTGTGGTAGTAGGAATTCGCCTTACATACTACCTAGACCAAAAGGTCAATAAACCGAATTATACAACGTCCATGTCCAAGAGAAATGTGCCATTTCTAAGTAGTTTCGGTTCAAGAGTTACTGCCGAGACCAACGCCCACGCTCAAGAATGCCGCCAAACATCCATCTGTCAAGCACCAACCCATACACCTCTATAAAAGCAGGCAAGTTCAACCATCTACACATCATTGGGGATATGCCCTCCCCTTACCCGCCGACACGAACGTCTGCTGGAATGTTGGGCTCGAGCCCAGAGCGAGCGGATCATCCGGGAGGAGATTGTTAGTCTGCGGTCGCATCAGCACAAGCTCAAATGCTTTGAAAATTGAACATGCAGAGGGGAGGCTACTCACATCCATGTGGTCGAAGCCACTGAACCAGAACCCGACGACAAACACCACGTACGTGAAGATCAGCGTGCTGCCCTTGAAGTAATTGCTCTTGCCCTCGGCCACCACCCAGCCCATGAAAAACACGCCCAGAATCACCACGACCATGTCCCACTGTGGGAAGATGAGCGTGAACGAGTATTGCAGCACCTGCGCATCGGGGACATCGAGGAAGTACCAGCCATAAACGGCGGAGAAGACGACGACAGTGGGGATCTGCAGGAGCATGACCTGCAGCGCGTACGAGCTGCCGATTTCCATGGACAGCGCGACGTTGCCGTTCATGGCGAAGGCGATGGCGTTGAGGAATTCGGTGGTGTTGGGCACGAGCGCGAAGAGCGTGATGCCGAGGAACTTCTCGTCGACGTCCACGTTCGACAGCACGGCGTCGACGGTCGAGACGAGGATCTCGGCGATGATGGCGTAGGCGATGGTGGCGGTGAAGAGGATGGTGTAGGACTTGACGCGCGACCAGTTGGGCGCATCGTGCCCGCCCTCTTCCTGATGGTCGTGGGGGTCTTCTGGCGGAGCCGCAGCGGCCCCGGTGACGGTGCGTTGAAGGTCTGATTCGAAGCCGAGCGTACTAGGTTCTTGCGCCGGGGGGTGATGTTTAACGGTATCCTTTGACGCGTCCTTTGAATCCTTCGTATCCTTGCTTGACGCGGAGCTTTGGTGACGGGGCAGTGCCTGACTGCCGCTGCCCATGAAGGAGGGTTTCCGCGTGGCTTTCGCGGTCGCATCTCGCGCAGCCACTGTCGCCGCCATCGCCGCCATCTCGGCGATTTCCTGGACCAGTGCTCGGTTGTCTTCGACGCTAAGGCCTTGGATACGCTGTCGGAGCGCGGGACCAGATTCTTCTTCAGGCGACTTGGGCGGCACCATATGAGGCGTAATCACGCTGTCGTCCTGTCTCCTCACCGTTTGAGACGCGCTGTTACCGACCCCGGCTTGTTTCAGGCTCTGATTTAAGATGCGCTTATACATCTGTGAATCCCTGACATTCCCGACGCCAAGCGTAGCAGCAGTCGACTGTCGCGTCAGCGTAGCTCGCGCAGATTCCGGCATGGGAGTCGATGAGCTGAGATGTCTCTCCTCGACTCTGTGCGCCGCCTGCTCCATTTTGACGTCCTTCTTTTCGTCGGGTTCATTGTTCCAAATCACTGCAGCGTGCGTTCTGAGGGTAAATAATAGGCCGACGATGTAGCTGATGAACAGAAGCAGGCTGACGGCCCAAATAAATGGCTGTACTGCTTCCTGGTAGAAGCGAGAACGAATAGCCGGCGTTTGCGAGAAGTAGCATCTGCGACAGTCTCGGCCGGAGTCGGTGGTGTCCAAGCACTGGTGACATTTCATCTCGTGGCTGCCGTAGATTTGGTAGAATAGCGTGGGAGTAAAGGCGCCGATGACGGCGAATAGAAGCATCGTCGTGGTGGCGCCGGCCGACTTGACATTGAAGCGCTGCGTCTTGCGCTTGATGGCGCCGAAGCACATGCTGATTCCGGGCAGGAATAGTATGCCGGCGAAGATGGAGCCAACGATGGAGCCTTCGACTAAGGCGGACTTGCCTTGCATGAGAGCAGCGCAGTAGAGGAACACTTCCACGATGGTGGCGAAGGCGGCGTTGACCGTCGCACCGACACCCATACTGCTCTGGGCGGAGATCGAAGCGACAGCCTGGCCGATGAAGTAGGCCAGTGGAATGATCGAGGCCAAGGCGAGCGCAAAGACAAATCCCTGGTTTGTGAACCACGCGACGATCCCCAATTGCTTGAAGAGCACGTAATAGTCGAAGATAACGAAGAAGACCAGGGCGAGCAGGTTGATGAGGAAGACGTTGGTGCCGTCGACGGTGTACTTCCAGTATCTCAGCCCGACTGCACGGTACGTGCACAGCAAGATGCTGCTGCCAGATGTTCCACGATCCACTCCTGAACGCATGTAATGGCTGTCTGTGTGGAAGCTCATGGCCAGGGGGTGGCGGCGGAGATGATAGAAGAGAAGGAGCGTCACTTTGCCCATGGGGATGGTGAAGACGAAGAACCAGCAGATGCAGCTAACCAAGAAGAGGCATGGCGTGATGAGAAAGTAGAAGGAGAGGAAGAAGATGACCCTCCCAAGATTCCACTTCCCACGTCCGAACAGTCTCTTCTTCGCCTTGTTCCGCAGGCGTTCGGCCGGACTACTCGGTCGTTGTGGCCTTCCAAGCAGGCTGTCGTTCTCGTCAAGACCCGGGACTTCGTCCCGCCTGCGGCCAATGAGGGAGCGGTTGATGTCCGTGGGTCCAAAGAACAACCGGCCTTCCTCGAGATCGCCAGTCTGCCAACGCTCGTACTCGGTGATGCTTCTGCCCTCGCCCTCGTCCTCTTCCACGTAGGCTTCGTCTCGCTCCAGCCGAACGTATTTGCCGAATGGATAGAAGATGTAGTGGGCCAAACTGATCAGAACTCGGCCATACTCGTAGCATCCCGGAAATCGAAAGATGGCCAAGATCATGCAGACCAAGCCGCCGCTCGCTGCGACGAGGCATAGCCACCAACCGAAGATCAGAGTCCAGGCGAAGTTGAAGATGAACAGCGTGCGACTGACATTGCCGCCAGGGGCGCTGTGAATGTCACCTTCCGCGTTGCGTTGCACCGAGCGGCTCTTCTTGTACAAGGCCGGCTTCCAAATGCGTATGCCGAACGGGTGGGTTTCGTTGATAGCTTCTTGTCGGTCTTTCAGCGTGAAACTCTCTGCATCGCTCATGTCTGCGTCATCAGTGTCGGGGTCCGGGGATTCTTCTTCTTCTTCCTCCTCTTCTGCCTCCTCCCCACGCAACGTCTCTTCCGAATCGGCGTGGGGACGGTGCTCTGCACGCTCGACGGCGGGAGTGGTGACGGCGATGGCATCATGGCCTGTGGTCTCCGCCTCGTCCTCCCGCTCGTCGCTCTCCAGCGTGTGCAGTGCCGGCGGCATGGCCGCTGGGCGTCTTCGGATCGTGCTGTCGTGCCGTCTCAAGTGTCGGTCCCGATCGCCCCGATCCCGATCGCGGTCTCGATTGACGACTTCTCTTGACTGTGTTCGTGCCAATCGCATGTCGAGATCGACTTCCTCCGCATCGTCGTCGGTGGAGAAGATGGCACCACGGTGAGGGTGTGCGGAGGAGGGGGCCCTTCTGCCGGCACCGGGCCTTCGAGGGGTTTGTATGGAGGGGATGGTGAGTTGTTGCTGACCGGATTCGGTGCGCATCGAGCCTGGACAAGAGAAGTCAGCTTGCTGCGTGGACTTACGAGACGCTCGATCGGCTTACCATAGTCGATGCGCTGGGGTCGTGAGCGTTGTCTCTGTGAGTCACTGATGATACTGCTATAGCTGGCCTGCATGTCGGCGGTGCGGCCGGGCTCGCTGCCTACACCCGCGGAGCTGGTGCTGGTGCGCCTTGTGTCGGTGCCTGCACTGCGTTCGGGCGAGTGCACGACGCGTGGAGGGGCCGAGGCCCCATCCTGCCTTTCGGAAGGACGTTGATCCATGAGAAGAGATGATGGGTTGAGGAATTGCACGTGTGGCGGGGTCTCAAGTACGTGCAGTGTCAGACGTTGACATGCATATCACAACAGGCTGATAGCGGGCGAGGGATGCGGTCATCCTTCAACGCTGCTCGCTTCGCCGTGAGATGCGCGCTTGGCGGGGTGGAGGGAGATCAATGACGGCGATGGAGCGGTGTTCTTTCCTCCGACAGTGATTCGATGTGCTTTCCAACCGGTGTCATGGGATTGAAGCGCGTATGATGGAGAGCTTCGGGATTGAATGAATCGGGATTGATGCTTTTTAGGTTGCTATCAAGCTTCCGGCACCCACCCATGGATTGATGTCGTCCGCCTTACCTAACCAGTCGTGCACGGACTCAACCCAGGACTACTTCACGCAACTTGACTTCTTCCTCCGTCCTTCATCCAACCTGTCGCGGCCACAGAGCTGAGGCGAGAGAAAATCGCTGCTCACGGGCATCTGTCCAAACACTCGAACAGTGTCGTCGCTCCTCTCAGACCCTTCTCGCTACACTATGCGCGTGTTCCACCCTCAAGCTTGTGTGGAGAATCTGGTACGTCAGCCTTCCGTGATTCTTGTGCCGAGACGTAGTCTGTGGCCATTGTCATTGCAGAGAATCATACTCAATTGAAGCACTCTCCGTGGATGTGTGGTGATCTGGCGCTCCACCAGTCCATTACTCTCCACTCTCTTCTGTCTCCTCCTCCACTTCCTCCTCTTCTTGGCCAATCACCGCTTCGCTCATGTAGGTCGTATCGGGATCATTCCGAGTTATAGGCGAGGGAGGGGATCAAGTGTTGTATCGGACGCTGTACAGGACCCTTCTGCCGAAGCCAGACCGGCGTTGAATCCTTGCACAGTCAGAGTATATGCCTACCGCAGAAGCAGTAAAGGCCTTAGGCATCCCAAAAATGCCCACAATGCTGACCAGCCTTGCCGCCAGCTCAGCTGCCGGATCCCACTTTTCCTCGTCGAGCCATTCGCCTGGAAACTTTACATGACCGCTTTTCTCGTGCTTCTGCTCGCGTCATGAGTTCGAGAAATCGACGAAGACTTGGTGCTGCAGCTCGGTCTCGGGAAACACTAGTCTGACATCCTTGCAACCTTCTCCAGGCAGATCTGCGATGGTGGGCTTATCACGAGACCTTTTCCAGAACACTGGAGCCCGTAGCGAGCCTTCCATGTCGTCAGTTGTCTTGTCTTCGATATGCAACAATGCAAGACGACCACCGTTTGAATTACGAGCTTTCAGTCATGACAACGCGGATGGGAACCATGTCAACGACATGGCTAAATTCTCAAATGCTCTCCTCGTTGGGATGAAGGGTTGACTACGAGTTAATACCCTTGCCAACAGGCACCGGATGTTCGGCATCATCTTTTCTTACATCGCTAACGTACAAACCCCACAACATGCCGTGCCAACCTCGATACGGTGGGACGAGGCTACGTAGAACGGTGAAGATGCTGGTGGCCCGCTGGGTTACTCTGTTACTAAGGTGCTGAGGTGCAGATCGAAATGAAATCGCGATGCACGCCCCGCACCAAGAAGCGAGGGTGACGACCTAAAGAAGAAATTACACGATGGAGACATGCACGTGCATCCACAGCTCGTGAGTGACGATGGAAGTATTCAACGACCTCCAAGCATGATCTGCATGGACGGGCGGGGCTCCGTCAATTCGCAACCATTCGCAATCCTTCCCCCGCCACGCAGTCTGCGGCGCGCCCCGATCCACCCGTCTCGCGCATCTGTGCAGTTCCCCCATGCGGCAACGTCCACCTCCCCTCCCAACCATGCAGGGCACAGCATCTAGATCCACTCCATCGTATTCTGAGCTGCTTCCCACCAAGCCACCGCGGGCCTGCCGATCTCTTCCGGCACCTCTGCTCTCGGACCTGCCCGATGGGGACGCCGTTCGCTACCTCCTGCTGCAAGATACCGCGTTGACTTTCACCCTGCAGCGGCCTCTCCAGCGCACGGTGACCATGCTCAAGCTGTCGAGGCGTTTACCCTCAGCTTGGGATGGGACCACGTCGGCTTGTATGCCTGTCATTCTTCCGAAGGCGTTCGGCGAGCAGGCGCAAGACAGCCCATGGCTTGGGTCTCGACAGATCGAAATGTAGTGGCCTGATCTGGCGCTCGACTGCATATGGATGAGATGTGAGACCGTCTAGTAAGCATAACGTACGGCCTGCAGCACACAGCTACCCCGCCACCACCATCTGCTCACTCTGGCTCTGCTTGCATGTGCATTCCGTTCCGGGGCACGTTCGTCCACGTAAGTTACGCATTGTCCATTATCTCCCAACCCTGCAATGCCGTCCTTCAGCCTAGCGCCGCACCCGTGCTGGGAGGACGGCGATCCGGCACCAGTCATTCGTTCACAGGACGACAAGCACGGAACCGATACCCGTACGATCAGTGGAGAACGACTCCTCCATCGTGTGCTGGCTCGCAATTCCATTCGCCCATGTTGCTTGTACCCGTCAGATCCGAGGATCGTCAGAGATCCGAAGAAGGGATGGCGAGCTGTTTGAGGGCCGAACAGGCTGGGGGTCGACGCCATTGATCTCGCCACGGCTGCATATAACATGCTAGCTTAGGCCCAGAGCTTGGGAGCCACATGCCCTCGACGCCTTCTAAAAGACGACGCCCCCGCGGTGGCTTCGCTAAGAGACATCGTTGGGTTGAAAAGCTCTTAAACTTCTGCTGCTGCTGTTCCTCCTGCTGTTTTGAAGAGACAGAAGAACAACGACAAGAAATGGCTCCAGCTCGAGTCGTTTCTCCATCCGCGCCTCCGGCTACGGCTCCAGCGCCAGCTCTAGCCAGCCCTCCGTCCACGCCAGTACACGCGGGTAACTCCAATGGCGTCCACGAAGCCTCACCGGCGACAATAAAGTCGATGACTTCTGTGCGCTCTTCGTACACATCCCAATCAAAGCGAGTCGTTTCCGGGACCATGGACAGTTCATCGATGCATTTCATTCGCGAGACCGGTCAATCCTTGGGCAAGAAGGGTGCCGCGGAGTTGGGCTTCGGCGTTTTTGAATCCGTGTCAACCACGACTTTTATTGCCTTAGTGGAGTACATTGCAAACGTGCGGCTTTCGACGCTGCCTCATCGTGGATCGACATGGTGAGAGCCTCTGTTGCAGATTTTACTGAATTCGCTGCTCATTCAGCTTCCAGGGACACCGTTTTGATCAGAGCCCTCTATTTCGCTGAAAGGCAATATGGCTTTGAGAAGATCATGAAGAGCTTTGGCTCTGAGGACAGCGGAACTGCCAATCTTGCATACGGCTATTGCAAGCTTCTTCTCGAGGTATTGCAGTCATGACGTTTATCACTGGCGGCATAGATCGCTGATTTATTTTACAGCTCGGACCCGAGAACGCAGAAGCATTGGACAAGGCATTCGCTGTGTAAGTTATCACATTGCTGAACAAACTAAATCCCGCCTGCTGACCGTTTCTCAAAGCCTGTACAAACATGCTCTCGATGTTGCAGCTCTTCTCTGGCGTACTGAGGTGGTCACAACCACACCGCTTATCAGAGAGCAACTCGCATTGATGTACGGAGATTTGCTCACTCTAACATCCGTGGTGGCGACTCGGTATTACAAGGTTGTCCAGGGCACCGCATCGACAACAATGACTCTGGACATCTACGACGTGTGCCACGACGTCATTCAGAGCTTCCGCGATCGCCAGGAGACCGTAATCGACCTCATCTGGGCCCACCAGGCTCAACTGGAGGGACTGGATTTGACCACTGGCCTCAGTACAAAGTCGCTGAGGCGTTGGCTGCTCTCGATGGACACGGTGCAGACCACGCTCACACAAGACCACACCATCTACCTGGTTGGACAGGCAGAGTCGACATGCTTGTGGTTCCAAAAACCTCTGGGCGCTTTCGTGCAAGGACACCGTAAAGTCATGGCAGTCACGGGGCATTCTGGCTCCGGCAAATCGGTCCTCGCTGCTTCGACTGTGGAACGATTGCAGAGGCCTCTTGGACGCAAGACCTTCTCGACGTTGTATTACGCTATTCGTAAGTCCTCTCGTTCCCTGCCTGGATGAGCCTTTCACACGGTTAACACCGCTGTAGCCTCGGATGCCCATGCTGCAACCACTCCGATCTCCATCCTCAAGTCATTGCTCGCCCAGGTCCTCGATCTTCGCATCGGCGATATGCAGACGTATCATGCTGTCGCTCGAGCCTACGAACACTGCACTGTCACGGGTGACGTCAAGGTCTATGAAGACCATCTGTGGGAGGCGCTGGCCGAGGCTTTCAAGCAGTCGCTGGACAACGCCAGAGACCTCATCGTAGTGATTGATGGCCTTGAGGAGATTCATGTAAGTCGATGAACATGGGAAATGATATGAAGGAAAGCCTTGCTAACGTTTACGAGGGTGGCAAAACTCCGGCTCAGGCCGTTTTCGACAGACTTGCCGACATTGTGTGCGATGGCAAGCGAGTGAAGTTGATTGGACTTGCCACCAGTCTTTCGATGCCATCGGGCATTGATACGACACATGTCACAATCACTCGCGAGGAGGTAAGTTGGCTTCTCTTTGCACTTTCCGCTCCCATGCTGAGCTTCGTTCCGAAATAGGTGCACGAGGACATCCGCGCAGTCAGCCTTCGAGCGTTGTCACACTCCCACCATTTCCATCACCGCTCTTCCGAACAGGACCAGGTCTTGGATCGCATTGCGAGAATTGCGGGCGAGTCCTTCGTCTTGGCCATCCTCGTTTCAGACATCTTGCACCACTTGAAGAGCTATGAGGAGATTGTGAAGACTCTCGAGCACTTTGAGAAGACCAAGCCAACCGTCCAAGATCTGGTACACAAGGTCTTCTCCCGACATGAGCCTTCCTCCACCACCAGGACCGTCTTGGGCTGGATGGTGCATGCAGAGCGTCCTTTGACGATCTCCGACATGGAACGATTGTTCACCCATGGCCACAAGCCGGAGCACGGCATCAATGTGCACCACGCACTAGAACATATCCGGCACATCTTGGCCGAAGGCGACTACCTCGCACGCTTCAAACATCGATCCATCCACGAGAGCGTCTCCGCCCTCATCCACAGCGGCAAGATCGTGATTCCCGATGAACACAAGCAAGGCGATCTTCTCATTCGGGCCCTTCACTACGCGAAAGCCGTCCTGCGAGACGATCCAGAGCCCGAGCTGGGAGACATCGGATTCGAGCTCACCGATCGCATTTTCCGCGAGCACCCACTGCTGCCGTACGTCATCATTTACTGGACGACGACCCTTAAACATCATGGCGAGAAGCATCCGAAGGAACTGACCGCCGCGCTGCCGACCGTTACGATCATGGCATTGATCGAACGCATTGTCTGGGCTCACGAGGTGCCTTTCATCCAAGCGGTGGAGATGCACAAATTCGCCATCCAGATCCGTCAGACACACCTTAAGGATCATGAGCGTATCACGCTCCAATCCATCCTCAACGCTGCCCTCATCTATGATGATTTGGGACAGGTGACCGAGGCATCCCGACTGTACTACCAGTGCACCAAGATTTCGCATCGTCTCCAGCTGGATGTCTTGTCTTTGGAGTTGGGACACCGCTTCTTGCGTGTCTCCGAGACGCTCGTCGACACGAAGCGGACTGAGATCATGACGTATCGTGAGGAAGTCTACTTGATCGTCATTACTCTTCTCGTGAAGATTCACGGCAGCTACTCGATGGAGGTTATTCGCATGCGGACCCTCCTCGCGACTTTCTACGAGCACATTCAAGAGAAGGAACGCGCGGCGGCGATCTATGAGTTGATCCACGAAGCTACCATTCATGTCCATGGGAGGGACTCGGATGAAGCTCGAGGTATCTCGGACCACCTCAGGGTTGTGTTGGGCAGGACCAGGGCGGAAGAAAAGTATGTTGATCGCCGCTCACCTTTTGATTCTGAACTAATCATATCGACACAGGATTGAAACCCTCAAAGAGTCCATCTTCGATGATGTGGAAGACGCGATTGACGTTGATTCCCTCGACATCGTCATGATCCACGACCGCCTCAGGATCGCGAAGACTGAGCGAGAGTTCGTCGAGCTCTGGCAAGTGGTGTCCACAACGGCACGCTCAACAACGGCGATCGAATGGCATGAGATCAACATCGATGTTGCCACGTCTTACTCGAAGTTCTTGATCAGCCAGAAGCGCACCACCGAGGCCTCGGCAGTACTGTGCTCCGTGAGTCGAGAGTACCAGTATCATCATGTATGTTGCCTCACAGTGTATCCTGTCAGCATGCAAGCTTGCTAATTGTCCTCTAAGGCTTCCTTGTTTGAGAGCATTTCTACTCGACTGAGCACCGTTGCGACCTCGTTGACGGAGCTGGGCCTCTTCACCGCGGCACTTACTCTACTCAAATCGACGGTCCACTTCCACCAGAGTGCCCACAAGGAAGAGACGGTTCGGACTACTGAGATCCAACGCCAGGTCAGCTTTCAATAAGAACACCGCCTTTTAATCTAAAAGTGTTACTGACATTGTGTTAGATATCTGTCGTGGAGACCAGACTGGTTGAAACTACATCTGTCGACCAGCATACCGACATCCTGGAGCGGATCTTTCGTACTGCAATCAGTGACACGACAAAGACCATTGATATCAAAGTGGTCACGATGGCCAGGACTCTTGCTTCTCACCACGTGGATCGTTTCGAGGTCCGCGAGAGTGTCGAGATTGTCAAATTGCTCCTGAGCCGTGTCTGGCCATCGTTCTTGACCAGCACCTCCAGGAATGTGGAGTTGACCACCGTCTTCCAGAAAGAGACGCTTGACCTCATCTTTGATTTCCTGGTCCCAGGCTACAAGCGACTCAGAGAGCCGGCAAACGTCGAATGGGCTCTGTCGGGAGTGTTCCTTGCCGCCATCACGGCGAAGACTGTGGACTTTGTCCTTATCAGTCGCCTGCAGACTTTGCTCCTGCAGCACTATGACGAAGAACACCAGCCAGACAAGGCTATTGTCACTCTGCAGAGAGTCGTGGCTGTGCGCCGCGCCCACCTTGGAACCACCCACGAGGATACGATCAAGATTCTGTACGAACTTGCACGCCGAACTCATGAACGAGCTAGGATCTATCCGGGCTGGATCGACTTCTACCTCCAGATTGTGTCGTCTCTCAACAAGAGCAACGACGTCTGCCACCCTCAAGCCCTCGAAGCCCTTGAGATTGTCGCAGCGACTTATTGGACAGACGGTCGGTATCACGATGCAGTGGCCTGCTACAGAGTCATTTGGAACACTCTCGTCAAGGAGCCAAAACAGCATGCCAAATTTTTGCAAGCCACGTTCGTGCAGCAGCTGTACGAGCGTTACTATATGTGTCTCGAAAGGACCTCTGCCAGGTACGAGACGCTGTACCAGGTGACCAAGCAGTACCACAGTACCACCGTGGTGATCTTCGGTGAGCAGTCCGAAGTCACGACGAGGGCGATGCTATCCCTCGCACGGGTGTCCAGCACAAACGAACAACATCATTCGGAAGCCAGGAGCCTGTACGAACGGATCTCGAAGACTTCGTCTTCTACCTTTGTTCACTTGGCCGAAGTGCAGACGGCATTGACAGTCTTCTTCGCCCGCGAAATTATCCGCGCCCAGACTTCTACCACGGTCAGTTCGGAGACGTTGGAAAGCGCTCAATCTCGCTCTCTTACGGAGTACCGATCGTCCGTGTCGAAGTTTGGATACAGCAGCACTTCAACCCTGTCCACCCTGCACCAGACGGCGGTTTTGTACTACAAGCAAGGCAAGACGGATGTCGTCACCAAGGAGCTCACAACTGCGACGACGGAAATAATCACCAAGGAGACGTCGTCGAGCAAGCTCATCGAGGCTGCAGAATCGATCGTGACCACCTTCCAAGCCACCAAGACCACGACATACCTCGAGACCATGATCGCCGAGATCCATCGCCAGGTGATCTGCAAAGACACCACCAATTCAAAGAGCTGGGGATTCGATTTGACAAAGTACGGTCGTGGTGTACTTCCATTCTTGGCTGCATTGATTGTCAGATCCTCTGTGGACACAACCATCTCGTTCTCCAATGTCATGGCCGACCTCCTCACCGAGCTGTTCTACTTTGACGAGTATCGCCACATGGTCCACTCCAACGCAAGCCTCCAAGCGATATTGCTGTCGGCCAGCGCTCTTCGAGCGTTCCTTCTCAGGATTCATCGACATGATGCTGTCGCCTCGCTCGACAAAGATGTCGCGGCTGTATTCATCGCCAGGGATGGTTCCAAGCTGAAGCTGCTCAGCAAGGAATCTGCTCGCCTATTCATGGTGGCCATCATGGAGTACCTCGGTGTCCACCGCCGTTCGCCTTTTGTCCGAGCCGTGGTGCTTGCATCCAATGGGAGCATCGCCAAGCTCATGGCAGCTGGGTCGTACGCCGAGGCCTACGACATCGCGAACTGCGCTTTCGAATTCGCCCTCGAGAACGACGCCTACACCGGAGCGAAGGGCATCGGACATGGATTCAACCTCGCTTCCACTCTTGCGGGTATCGGATACTCCAAGACACCCAGCGATGCCAACCTTCGCAGACAGATGCTGCAGCTGTCGAACAAGATCGCCAGGAAAGTGTTGGATGTGTGCAAGCACCAGAACATCAAATTCACCGAGATCAACCTGCACGATCTCAACCGTCTCGTCGAGCTGTTGGGCGTGCAAGAAGACTACGAGACGCTGGAGTCGTTGCTCACAGCGCTGTGGAACACGCGCGAGGCGCACCGAGACTGGTCGTCGACGACAATGGACACCCTGGGCAAGGACTTGATCTACGCTCGCTACCTCTCCGGCCATCCCTTCAAGGCTCTCCGCCTCTGCGAAGACATCGCGTACAACCAACGCCGCACTCACGGCCTGTCGAGCCCGATTACCCGAAAGGTCAACGTCTTGCTTGCGGAGCTGTACTCGTCGATTGGACTATGGTACTTGCAGCAAGGCAACAAGAGCCAGACAAACGTCGATCTCGCCAACCAGTACTTCGCCAAGGCATTGGCGGTGCATGAAGAGACGCTGCGGGTGGCGGTCGGCGTGGAGCGTACCCCTGGAGAAGTCGTCGATGACGACGATTGGGACACAACGGGTGATATCTTGAGGGAACACGGCATCATTGTCGGCACGGAGAGCACGAATGGCTCCTCGGCAGTCGACACAGTGGCGGAGAAGAATGTGGCCAAGACGCATCTCCGCCTCCTCAAGCTGGCCGTCCAACGTCTTGGAGGATGGCCTGGCGCACACGGCGAGCATGAGATGCTGGTGCATCAAGTGCAGAATGCGTTCCCGGAGACGAAGGAGCTGCAAACGCCGGACAAGTGGCAGATCAAGGGGTTTGGGCAGGGGAAGGCTGAGAGTAATGAGGGCACGTTTGCGAAGGTGGGTGAGTGGAGGTTGTTGGAAGCCGTTTAGTTGTGCGTTGTCTGCATTCGCGTTCTGAGGGTTGATGGGTATTTCGCAATTGCTTTAATGATTTAATCGTGGGGTTTGGGCAAGGACGTAATTAGGGATCAAAAGCGTTGCAATTTCGTTCTCGACACTGTCATTCATCTCTACAAGTAGGCCCGAGCAAAAATCGTCTCATCGCAGGGCAGACAAAGCACTGCACGTGACTATCTGCAGTTTCCCAATTCTGCGTTGCGGCTGCCTGAGGCCGAGACTGCGCGACCTCAGCTGACCAGCCGGTAGATCAAGGTTGGACTTCCATCGAAATACGAGATCAACAACGCATGATGGCATGACAAACTTGCTTCTCCTGACATTTGCTCATGTCTGCTATTGTCATGCCCGGTTAGCCAGCATCGAGGGCCGGCAGCATGGTGCTCAGGAGATCTCATAAGAAATCCCGACTCGGGTGCCTGACATGCAAGCAGCGACGGGTGAAATGCGACGAGAGTGGACCTCCATGCGGCCCTTGCGAAGCGAGAGGCTGTGAATGCGAGTATGTCCAGGCTAAAGGAGTGCCCACACAGCGACGATCCGAGCCTGTCAACGGCAGCAACCAGACCACTCCTCAACAGCGTTCTCCGGCCAACTGGTCGCATTCCGAACGCCTTCTCGAACTGGAACTCATGCAGCAGTGGACATCGAAAACATTCAAGAGCTACTGTGGCACCATCGAGGATGAGTATCACAATTGGCAGGTCTTCTTTCCCAAACTCGCGCTCAAGCACGACTGCTTGCTCGATGGTCTGTTCGCCATGTCGGCGTTGGAAATCGGAGCCTTCTCGGAGCACAGCGATTCGCAGGACTACATCGACGCCGCGCTAGAGTATCAAAATCGAGCGAGCGCGAAGCTACGAGAGGCGCTGTCAAATGCCGACTTCGAGACTATGCCCCAAGATCGACATCAGGCGTTGTGGGCGTTGTCCTCGATTCTCATGGTGCTCGCTTTGGCCATGCCTCCATATGCTGTGCAGCCTCTAAGCGGAAAGTACAGCATGCTCGACCACATCCTCACCTATCTGGAGCTACTCAAGGGCTTCGCCGTCATCGCGATGGCAAAGGGCAATCGCATCAAAGACGATCCAATGCTGAACAAGTACAAAGAGTGGGATGAGCTGGAAAGTCTCCCCGTGAGGCCGGAAATCCAAACCGCTTTTGATAGGCTCAAAGCTTTGAACGAGGAAACGTACGGGGAGGGCCGCGCCTCGGGCTTGTGTTCGGAGCTCGTGGCCATGACCAACCACGCCGCTTGCAGACGTGCCATCTTTTTCTTGGAGCAGTGTCATGCCAAATGCTCCGAGTCGCACACCCGGGCGTATGGACTTGCTTGGCCGGTAATGGCGGGAGAGGATTTCATTGCGGCAATGAAGGCGAAAGAGCCTCTAGCGCTGCTAATTTTGATGCATTGGGGCGTGTTTATTGAGAAGCAAAGCTATGGGATTTGGTATGTGGAGCGCGTGGGAAAGCACCTGGTTGAGGATCTTTCGAACGAAATCTCCCTGCTTGACAACGTCAAAGCGAGAGATGCAATTAGCTGGGTGAGACAGCAGGTCGAATTGGACGTGGTGGCTAGCTGATCACCGCTTCTGCCGTGTGGGCGGCTCTATCTATACCAGCGGATACTGTTCGGCATCGTTCTGGAACGATGTGTATCTCCTGCCCGGTTCAACTTTCAGGATCTCCGGACGACTAGGGGCAAGACGTGTAGTTCTGAGGATGCTGTCAGACGCCCCGATGGCCTCCGCGGACACGAACAGAATATCCTTCTCAGGCACATGCAGAGACGTCTCGAAGCTCTTCCGCGTCACATCTCCAAGATGCGTACGTTTCCCGTCATCATCGTATCCAAAGAACCTCCAAGTGTGCGTCTCAGTGTCTCCATTCCAGCTCACGTAGATGGAAACTGTTTCGTCGTCCACGAATGCCGCGATCGCAGGATCCTCATTCGGAAGGCCGGTCCAATTGTAGCGATATGCACGGTAGTTCTCTACGCCCAAATCGAGGAAGCCCGAGTCCATGTAAGCGTGGAAGATGGCGGTGCCGTTAGGCAAATACTCAGTCATGGCGCCTTCGGACCCCCAGTTGACCAAGACGTTCCGATTCGGCAACACCTGCGTGGAGCCTTGAGACTTGGACAGCAGTCCATCCGGGGGATAGAAGCCTTGTACCAGCTCCGCCGTCCAGCTGGTGGTGTTCAGCTTGATGATCTTCCCGCTACTGGTCTTTGCGGTATGGATTCCTTTCCCCGGCTCATCTTCCGATCCATGAGCGGAGTTGTCGTACAGGCTGATAATCTCGATATCACCTTCCTGGTGGAGGAAGCGGGCGTGATGCTGGAAGCAGAACTTGACGCCCTTCCCGAGCTTGAAGGAGCTTCGCTTGCCATCGAGACGCCAGATGATGGACCCGTCTGTTCCGTTGACTTTGTGCACAGTGCATGCGTCTCGGGCGGAGAGCAGATAATTACCCGCCTTGTCTTTGTCGACGGAGTTGATGTGGTAGTAGTCCCAGGCGTCGCTGCTGTTGTATCCTGACCCGGCCTGGCCAGGATTGATGGGGAGAACGCTCTCTGCTGGCGAGATGTGGTCCAGGCTAGACCATTCGAAGAGAACTTTGCCGGTTTCGATGTCGAGTTCTGTACAACTCGTCAGCAATTATTCAGAGATACGTCGACGTTCCTTCTTCATACCTTGGAAAATAGCATCCACAATCCACTGCTGATCGGGCTTTGCCCCGAATTTGGACAAATCGCGAGGCACGGGCTGGTAGATCTGGATCAGGGCGGTCTTTTCGTCGATCACGTGGAACTCATGCTTGTCGGAGATCTTGTGGTGCCCGGCTCGCAACTCGCGAATGGTCTCGTAGTGTTGATCCAGGAAGGTGATGTGGCCGTGGCCGTGTCCATAGAGAGGATTGTGATCTGGGACCGACTGGTTAGGTGACGCGAAGTTATACGAAAGACATATTGATCTGACTGACCACCCTCGAAAGAAGCGAGCACGTCTCGCCCATTCCATCGCACCTTTTGGAAGTTTGTGGCCCAGATGCTGTAATAGCCGTAGCCCGACCAAACGAGATCTCCATTGTCACGGAAGATGTAGGGTCCAGCCTGTCTGGGGCCGTACTGATGATGTGCATCGTCTTCGAATCCTGCAAAGGGGGCGACGAAGAGATAGCCTTGTTCTACATCCTTGGTTGCCGGGATTGTAATGTTGAGTCGTGGGACGGCTAGATCTGATCGTGAACGGAATTGCCAGTCGGCGAGGACAGCGGGGACCACGATGGCCAACAACGAATAGAGGAAAGAGAGACGCATTGTGTTGACTTGACTGCTGTGAGCTGATCATTCAATGGACAGGGAGCAGATTTAAATTATATACCAACACCATCCAAGCTTCCCATCATCGATCAATCGACGTCCCCAAACCTTGGCAGCTGAGGTCGGCAAAGCCATGCGATGCGATGTCATCCAACACGCCCCAAACTCTGCCCGTAGCGCATTGCGTGATCACCGCTTGACTCACGCCGATCGCCGCTCTTCTCATCAACGTGGATGAATCTTTTGCGGCCCGACGACGCGGTGGATGGAGCTCTTTCTGATGCGTTGCCATTGACGGGTCGTCGCTCAACGCGTATCAGGCTCTAAAAGTTTCCATCTCGTTGACTTAGCGTGGTCGACGCTGAACTTGGATTGCTTGCGGATCATTTTTCCTTCCCAATATCTGACAGTCCATTGCCTGCAGCATGGCTCCCCAACATAATGAAGAAGCCGAAACAGGCGCGGAAGCAGAAACCCCAGCAACGGAAAATACACCACTCCTACGAGAACCAGAAGAAGAGAGCTGGAAACCACCGCGAGGCTTCGTCTGGATCGAGCTGGCCATCTTCGCCAACGTCTTCCTCTACGGCTTCGACAGCACCATCACCGCCGCCACCTACGCGATCATCAGCTCCGACTTTGATGCTGCTAATACCGCTTCGTGGCTCACCACGTCCTACTTAGTGACCAGCACGGCCTTTCAGCCTTTGTATGGACGATTTTCCGATATTCTGGGCCGCCGGATATGTTTCTTCGTTGCTACCACGACGTTCGCTCTTGGCTGTTTGGGATGCGGCCTTGCGACGAATGTCGTTGTTCTTAATCTTATGAGGGCTCTTACTGGTTTTGGGGGTGGCGGGCTGATGACTATGGGTTCGTTTGCATCTAAACAGGCCGGTGAACCTCACGCTGACTGTTGACGAACTTGTAGCGACCATCGTCAACTCCGACATGATTCCCTTTCGACGACGCGGCATGTATCAAGCGCTTCAAAATACCGTCTGGGGTATGTCAACGATCTCTTACTGTATCTCAACGCCGAACACTGACGCAGAGACTGAACAGGCTGCGGCGCAATCTCAGGCGCATCCTTTGGCGGCTTGATCGCCGACTCCATAGGGTGGCGTTGGTGCTTCCTACTCCAAGTCCCCGTCTCGGCCATTGCATTGGGCGTTGGGTTCTTCGTCGTAGCCAACCAGGCCGAAGTGGATTCCGACAATCTCTGGAAAGGCATATGGGCCAAGGTGGACATCTCAGGCTCCCTGCTACTTGTGACTGCCCTTTCCGTGCAACTCCTCGCGCTGAGCCTCGGTGGCAATGAGCTGCCGTGGAGCAGTCCGTGGGTCATTGGCGCCTTGATTGGCAGCTTTGTGCTGCTCGGACTCTTCATTTGGGTGGAAGCGAGGACGTCCTCCATCCCCATCATCCCCTTGCGCATGTTCAGCGGTAGATTGTCAATCTCAGTGCAGTTGGCCAATCTGTGCGGTGGTATTGCGGCTTATGCGGTAAGACTCAGTGGGCCGAATACTCACCTATTGCTTTTGCTGACTTTCGATAGTACCTCTTTATGCTCCCGCTCTTCTTCCAGGTCGTCCTGCTGGACTCTGCAACCCAAGCTGGAGGTCGACTCGCGATCCCATCACTTGCTACGCCGATCGGTGGCCTGATCGCTGGGTTCACCATGTCTCGTTACGGCAAACTCATCCCCCTTATTCGAACCGGCTCAACGTTTATGCTGATTGGCAATGCTCTGTGAGTACCTCCTATCTACAGAATGGATGCAGAGAAATCTGACAGGTAGTAGGGTAACATCACTCAACTTCTACGACTCCACCTGGAAATATTACGTCTACATCTTCCCCTCCAACCTAGGGCAAGGCATCCTGTATCCGTCGACATTATTTACAAACATTGCCACTTTTGAGCATTCAGGTCAGACCCTCTATCTTCATAGCGCCTTGAAGACTGCTGACCCGGTCTAGATCACGCGGTAGCAGCTTCTACCGTCTACCTTGTGCGCTCATTGGGCACCGTCTGGGTATGAATTCCTGTATGGAAAGACTCCACACGTAGCTAACAATGATCATAGGGAGTCGCAATAACGGCATCCATTGTCCAAACAGTCCTCAAAAATCAACTACCGGCTGCATTGGGAGATATCAAGGGCAAAGAAGAGGTAAATTCCAGCCGATCAGATCTTTTTGCAAGATAATGCGTTGACATCAAATCACAGTTCATCGAGCAAATCCGGCACTCAGTCACTGCTCTCCGCGATCTCCCCTCGTCAGTCCAACTCCCGGCGAGAATGGTGTATTACGACGGTATCCGTTTTGCTTTCGCTGCGTCGACGGGCTTTGCTGCGCTTTCACTCATTGCTGCTTTGATGGCTAGCGGCAAAGGCTTGAGAAGTACGAAGTAGAGTATACAAATAGAGGAAAAGCGGCGATTCAGTTCAGCCGTATGTGGAGACTTCCATCGCTTTGCCGAATCCAGAAATTTTCTAAGGGACCTCCTGACCTCCCTTCAACCTCGCCTCCTCCGTGGCAAGCCAAGCGTGTATGCGAAACACTCATCGATCTGGGCTTGCCTCCAATAGAACGTTTGGTCGATACTTTGTTCAACGCGGGCTTCGTCCAACTCGTTATGGCAATCATCTTGTGTCAATTTGCTTCGCCATCGCTTTCACTTCCAGCCTCGTCTTCGTCGTCGCCGTCCCAATATTCCGCATCGACGTCGTAGTCGTCGCCATCAACGGGCACGTCGTCCATCCATTTGTTGGCAGCATATTCCGCAATCACCAACGCTACCCGCTCTTTCAACACATGGTACTTCTCTTCCAGCCAGTCTTCAAAATCATCGACGGCGGAATAGTCAGCGTAGAAGGAGTCGGGCTCAGTCACATCTTCCCAGCCTTTCAACGAAACAGTGGCCTGGATATCGCACTCGCCGTCGTACAGCATCATCTCCCGCCACGAAGCTTGGGCCGTAGAGGGCAACTGAGGTCGTTTCACGGGATTGGAGAGATCCTCGTAGTCGTCCAGCTCGCAGTGAATAGAGACCGATGGAGGGTGACTGTAGGAGTCCACCTTGAAACGGTCGAAGCGGGCGGTGAAGCTGTCGGTGCGGAGGACTCCGTTGCACAGGAATGGATGGAGGCGAATGCGAACGTCCCTCACTTTCTTCGAAGGCGGGTCATCGTCCCGTGGGGAGATATACATGGCTTTTCGGAGTCTGGAAGAGCTGTGGATGCTCGCATGGAATTCACGACTGACGCCTGTCGCGACGACTAAGGTCTTCAAAGCCTTGAGCTTATCGTATGTTTTGTCGTGGCAGTCGCTCTCGGAGACGTGCAGGAAGATTTTCTCTGCGAGCTCGGGGATGCCGAATACGCGCTCTGCGATGGAGGGTGTGGTGGTCATGGTGTGGTTTGGTAGGTCTCCAGGATTGTCGAGCTCGGCGTGGTGGGTGTCCGTATGGAGATTCATGTTTGCGGACGTCTGTGAGGTGGGAGAAGAAGGAGTGTAGTGGAAGATGGGAGATAAATATCAAGGCGAACTAGCGCACGGAAGCCTACATTCACGCTCCGCGTGTCACTTACATGCAAGGTTTGAGGTGTTTGGGATGATGCAAACGACATCGCAGTGAATGCATCTATTGGATGCATGGGCCGGGTCAGAGAAGTGATGGGGGCTGTCCATCGCTCTATCGGCGCAAGGTGACGGTCGGAAGGCATTGTGGATGTTATAGACGTCTGATTGTATCATGTCTAGATTGTCGCGATAATATACAGAGCGAAGTCAAACAATGCAGTCGACGCGGATGCAGCTGTCACGTTTCCCCACACATTCCTAGCGTGGCGGAGTGTGGGGGCGAGCCGACGCGTGTCCCTAGCGCCAACCTTAAAACCTCCGCTGCGACATCTCCAGGTGGGAGAAGGGATGGACACGGGGACATACACTCTCTCATGTCTATGTTACTAGACGATACCCCCAGCCTAGCCGGCGAGCACTGACGATGCATGCGGCGACAGCAGATGATGCACCGGCGACATCGGGCGAAGCGGCGAATACACCGGAACATGTTCCTACCACTTCAGCCCCACCCGACCCGGATTCAACCTCTGTAATCTCCTCCGCTCCTGCGACGGATGATTTGGAGCCTGTTGAGGCTCAGGCAACGTCCTTGAAGGCTGATGGGAATGATGCGGCATCCATACGGCCCGTCACACCGGACGCGACTACCTCGGCGCAAACGCAGCTTGCAGCGGGCGGCAGCAATGATACCGCAGACAATCCTGAGAGCGAGGAGCCCGCGCAGAAAGCTTCGCAGGGGGAGGTGATGCAAGGAGTAGAGGCTACAGACCAAGCACCCACCTCGACGCCGGCGAAAACAGAACCTCTGTCAGAGAAGACGCCAGCGCAAGCAGATGCAGCACAACCGCTCAAGCCCGAAGATACGATCCAGGTCACGCCGGCTTCTACGGGACGCGGCAGAGGGGGTGGTCGGCCGAGAGGACGAGGACGTGGAGGCGGAAGAGGCAGTAAGCGGAAAAGAGAGCGGGACGATGATGAGCTCACGGAAGACAGCGAGGTGTATACTCCCGTAGTTACGACTACGAAATCCGGGCGCTCAGTGCAGAAGCCGGCGGCATTCGTGCCGCCACCAGCGTCGCCTACTGCATCCAACAAGCGGAAGCGCTCGTATCGAAAGAATCCAGAGTCGGCTGTCTGCAAGGTTTGCCTGAGGGGAACAAGTCCGATCACGAATATGATTGTGTTTTGCGATGGTTGCAATACGCCATACCACCAGTATTGCCATTTTCCGCCAATTGAACAGGCTGTGGTCAACGAGCTTGACAAGGAATGGTATTGCAAGCAGTGTGAGAAGGAAAGAGTGCTCCCCGTACCCGAGTCTCAAGTGGCCAACTTCATCAGTGGGGAGGGAGCATCACTGGAGCAGGTATGTGCATAACGTTTTGGAAGTGACTAGTTCGGCCCTAACATCCGGATAGCGACAGCGATATTTTGCCAGCCTATCACCTGGAATGCTGGTCACGTTGTTAATCAGGGCAACAACATTGAAGCCCGATCTCCCGCTCTTCCCTCCCGATTTCCAGGCTCGCACAGGCTCAATTGGGCAGATCGCACAACATCAAGGCCCGTCAATTGGCGCAAATGGCCACACACATCCCGGAGCAGCATCCCACCCCGCCCAAATTTCCCACTCCATGCCAACACCAACAGCGTACCCTCAGCAAAGCCACTACGCCATGCCCCAACATTACCAACCCGCAACGGCCGGCGCCACACACATGCAGCCCCAGCAGCAGCACTACATGCAACACTATCCGCAACACCACTACGGCCCTGAAGTCCACCCTCCTAATTACCCCCGGCCTGGCCATGGACTTATGAGAACGCTTCCTGCCGCGCATGAAGATATGCAGTGGCTGGTCGACGATGGCGATAGGTATGGTGTGTTCAGCCATATGTATCAGGTCAATCCGCAGGGCAATGGGCCGATGAGAGGGCCGGCTCAATGATATCTTTCAACGCGGGGATGATGAGGGTTGGTGATTATGGTGTTATTTGTTACATTATGGAGGCATTTATGAGCTCATCTTGATGTGTGTATCAGTTGCTGATGCTATGTTATGAGGCATGGATCTGACAGAGCGCTGCTTGGAGCGTTGTGCATGGGGAGAAGTCAGTGATGGAGCTGTGTCTGGGGGTGAATGGGAAAATGTGTCGTCACGAGTGTCAGTATGCACGATCTCTTCTCTTACATTCACCAATTCAGCTGTGACTTACTACCATTCACATACTAGTCGTCACATCGCAAAGTGTCAAAAGTAGGCTGCTTCTTCCTTCAGACCTTTTCATCTTCACGGACACTTCCCCCATCGCATGCCATCGCAGACGGGGGATCTGCTCTTCAGCCTCTGCAACTTTAACAAAGACATCTTCCATCGCGCTATCGATCATGGACACAACATACACTGGTGACAACGCCGGCGCAGCTGGAACCATGCATATGCAATTGGAGGCAGCAGGGGATGTGGTCCTGGTAGTCGGCGAACCTCCAGTCTACGCCATCATGGTGTCCTCTGACAGGCTGGCGCGCCTCTCTCCGGTCTTCGAAGCTATGCTGAGTCCTGTCTTCCGTGAACGCCTTGCGGGCCAGCGCTCCCTCGAGCCGGAGGAGTTCTATCTGCGCGACGACGACGTGGACGCGATGCTCCACATCTGCCTCATGCTCTACAACCATCAACCCCAAAACCAGCCACTCAAGGGATCGGCCATCCACGGCTTGCTGAAAACGATGGAGAAATACCATTGCCGTGACGCTTTCGCGATGCAGGTGAACGACATGGTGCGCCATCAACTCGAGCAAGACACGCCGACCTGGGAGAGCGCGATTCTCAACACCGCCATCGCCTACCTGGCCGACGACGTGGCGCAATTCAAAGCACACACCAGCCGCCTCATCACCGCCTTCACCATCAAGTTCCTGTCCACGCGCGAGTTCGAAGGCGGCGACACGCTCCCGCTCGACGCGCTAATCGTCATGTTCGACAAGCGCCAGATCGCCAGGAGGATGATCTTGCACAAGTTGCCGAGGGCGTGCGTCAACGATGGCTCGACGCTGGAAGGGGTGTGTGGGGGCCAGGTCGAGTTGAGAATCATCGACCAGTCTAACAACATCGATGAGGTGTTTCGGGCCATGGAGGTTATGCCTGCGCAGTCGCATGTCGGCGCGCTGTACCCTGAGGTCAAGCAGGAGTGCAGTGGGCTGTGCCTCAAGTGCGTCAAACAAGGCTTGATCATCAGGAAGGGGGAAACGTGTGGGAGCTGCCCCGGGGATTGAGACTTTCGACTGTTGTGCGGAGGGAGGGCTGGTCTTGAAGTGAACGCGGAGAAAGGACGTGAGTGAGGCGAGGTAGGGAGCTGCCCGGAATTCTATCACGTGAAATCAACTTCTTTCATGTGACTCTCACCTTCTCCAACTCAGCCCGTTCTTTCCTCTTCAACCAACTCAGCCCGCACCTTCCTCTCCATCCAACTCCGCCCATTCTTTCCTCCTCAACCAAAACTTTGCATCTTCCATGCAGATTTTGCACGTCTCCGCAATACAAATCTCCTGCGAATGTCACCGCAGACGTAGTTTCTAGCCTTCGATTTCTACGGCGTTAAAACCACGGCCTTCACTGCGATACCTGCCATCTCCACGAGTCCATGAACGGTTCTTCTTGCCAGCTTATCCATCACTGAACGCAAACACTACCGACCATGAGCGCAACAAGCCTGGAAAAGCAAGGGAACGACGACAAACCTGAGCCGGAAAGCGTGCAACTCGACGAGCAAGGCGATGTGGTGCTCATTGTGGGTAGCCCGGCAACCCACAAGATTACAGTGTCATCCGTCATGCTGGCGCTCGCTTCTCCAGTCTTCAAAGCAATGTTAGGCAGCAGCAAGTTCAGAGAGGGTCAGGGGGCGAGGAGTGCACTTGAGCCTATGGAAGTCTTCTTGCTGGAGGACGATGCGGAGGCGATGCTCAACATATGCCGCCTGCTCTATCACCAAGGCCAGATATCGCGTGGCATGAAGCTTTATCACCTGCTGCAGACCATGGATAAGTATCAATGCCTCGAGACATTCGCGATACCGGTGGACGCAATGGTACGCCGCGAACTCGAAGAACCTATTGGCGACTGGGAGGAGACAATCTTCTTCGCAGCTATCGCATATCTTGCAAACGATGCAGAAAAATTCAAAAAGATGACGAGCATGCTCATCACGGACTACAGTCGCGACTTTTCTGACGTCCACACTTCCCTCGGCGGCGAGACGCTGCCTCTCAATGCTCTCCTCACTATGTCCGAAATCCGTCAAAGCACTCAATGGAGTATTTTGGTCGTGTTCCCGACGGCATGCGAGAAAGATCATTCAACCCCGGAGTGCATCATTGGGTTTCAGAGGTGGCGAAGGTGGCTTGCAGACTGCCAAACGGTCAAAGACTTTCTTGACATTGTCGGGTCCAAGACACAGAAGAAGGGGGTGGAGACATTCAGGCAGGACGTTGAGATAGACTGCTCAGGGCTATGCCTCAAGTGTGTAAAAGAAGGTCTTATGCACCACGAGTGTGAAACACCGGGGAAAGACGGGCACAGGTAGTCAGGCTCTCAGCTGCGTTACCGAGGGGGTTTCTCGAGTCAATAGAACATGGAGAAATGTTCAGGTGAAGCAAAGTGGGTGAACTTTCCATAGTTCCTTCACGTGAAATCTTCCTCTTTCACGTGATTCTTCCATCTCTTTCTCCCACGTGAGTCTTAGCATCTCACTTCTGCCGAGCCTCACAACTTCCAACTTCACAGTGACCACGGTTGCGCATCGTCTTTCCAACTTCACAGTGACCACGGTTGCGCATCGTCTTTCAACAAGTGCGCTCGACCTCCACCCTACGGTCACCTCATCACCACCTGCCTCAAGCATGGCTTCAACCGCAGCCCGCGCTGAAGAAACGGCAGTCGAGGCAGAAAGTGAACATGTCTCACTCGACGCTCAGGGCGATACGGTGTTGGTCGTTGGAAATTACAGAATCAAGGTCTTTTCCACCATGCTCGCGCTCGTTTCTCCAGTGTTCCGAGCCATGCTCGGGCCCCATTTTCGAGAAGGGTCTCAGTCGCGGAACGCCGCCAATCCGCTGGAAGTTCACCTGCCAGAGGATGAACCCGACGCAACACTCATCATGTGTCACCTGATCTATCATAAAAAAGGCAAAGAAGTCTTCTCAGACTGTACGCTACTTCCTGAGAAGCTGTACCGCTTGCTGAAAGTGATCGACAAATACCAATGCCTGGAATCGCTGTGGTTGTCGGTACGCGCACTGGTGTCGGCCGAGCTCGCCCGAGATGCCACTTTCTGGGAGACCTCGATACTACACGTTGCTATCGCCTACCTTGTGGATGATGCATGGAACTTCAAGCTTGCCACAAAGTATCTCGTTACTCAATTCGAAGGTACAGCGATGTTCTCCGAGGTCCAGAAATACGAGGGCGGCGACATTATTCCTCTCAATGCGCTGCTTGCCATGAGTGAGATCCGACAAAGCGCCAGACACGAGCTTTCGAAAGGGCTTTCGAGATTTGCGGATTACAAGCGACGACGGATGAGCGACTTTGGAACGGACGCGCTTGAGAAATGGAGTGGGCTTGGCGGCGAATCGCTGAATTTCACCATGAGTGTGCTGGAAACTTACGAAACGATCCCTGCGATATCAAACGTAGCAATAAAGGTCGACGAGCTGTGCGGTGGGCTGTGCTTGAAGTGCGTGAAGCAGGGACTGGTCGACATCAGTTCGGGAATGTGCAAGAACGGCCATGAGGAAGGCTAACGAGCTGCTCAGGGCTTGATCAAATGGCAGAGACGCGACTTTTAATGGGAAAGAAAGCACATCGGATGGTCAGATGGATTGCGCTGTATCGGTTCTGCGCCTGCCCTAGTATACGCGCTGCCTGTGGCCGCAACGAGATTACATCGACGAGTCGCAAGGCTGTGCAACCGCAGCTCGAAGGATCGGAGGCATGCGATAGGCATCTACGGGCAAAGCGGGTGAGAAAGCAGCTTGAGATTCATACCAAGACTCATCATATGAGAAGAGTGTCCAATGCAGACATTGTCTCCTTCTTTCAAGTCAAATTGCATGAAATGTGCCGAGACGTGAAGTGGATTTCCTCCCTCGCGTCGCAGATAGAGTTCCTCCTAGCGGGGCCCACCGCATGCGGCTCTGCGAAGTGCTCCGCGAGCCTAAAAGCTAAAAACTGGTGAAGCAAAGTATTTCTTGTCCAGCACCACCTCCCACTTCCACCTCACCCTACCCTTCCCATCTCCCCTCCCTTCGCTCTCTAAGATGGCGAACACAATCGCAGAGCAGCCCAATCTCAAGGCGCATGACCACATGGAGGGCTTGTCGCACAGCGAGGTGCATTACTTCAACAGGTACGCCGAGAAGAAATGCCGTGAGCCTTGCGCCGATGCGATAGCTAACGAGATTACAGTTACAATCACCATGGTGAGTGACGGCAGTCTCTTCTACCCCATCGCCGATACTAATCCCGTCCGACACAAGGCATCCACGAGGAAATGTTGGTCAGTATCCATCCATCTCCCACCGCATCATTGACTCTCGTTTGCTAACCCACCATACAGAAAGATGAAGTGCGCACCAAGTCCTACCGCGACGCCATCTACAACAACAAGCACCTGTTCAAGGACAAGGTGGTGCTGGACGTCGGATGCGGCACATCCATCCTCAGCATGTACATACTCTTCCTCACTCTGCATGCACTCTGGCTCGGTCTAGCTGCGCTCAAAGAATTCTGCTGACCATCGTACTCTCTCCACAGGTTCGCCGTCAAAGCCGGAGCGAAGCACGTTATCGGCGTGGACATGAGCACCATCATCACCAAGGCGAAAGAGATTGTGGCGGCCAATGGCATGTCGGATAAGATTACACTGCTGCAAGGCAAGATGGAAGACGTGGTACTGCCGTTCCCGGAGGTTGATATCATCATCTCCGAGTGGATGGGATACTTTTTGCTGTACGAGAGCATGTTGGACACCGTTCTGTGGGCTCGGGACAGATACCTTCGCAAAGACGGAAAGGGCCTTATCTTCCCCGACAAGGCCACCATTTTCATGGCCGGCATTGAAGACGGAGATTACAAGGATGAGAAGATTGGCTGTAAGCCGTGCCTCGTACTCTCCGCACCTTGATCATCACTGACAACCCGCAGTCTGGGACAACGTCTACGGCTTCGACTACACTCCCCTCAAAGTGACCGCCCTCACCGAACCCCTCGTCGATACCGTCGAGCTCAAAGCCGTGGTGACCGACCCCTCCGCTGTCCTCACCCTCGACCTCTACACCTGCACCACCGACGACCTCAACTTCCGCCTGCCCTTCTCCCTCTCCATCCGCCGCACAGACTACATCCACGCCCTCATCTCGTGGTTCGACATCGAGTTCTCCGCCTGCCACAAGCCCGTCCGCTTCTCCACCGGCCCGCACACAAAGTACACCCACTGGAAGCAGACCGTCTTCTACCTCGCCGACGTGCTGACCGTCGAGGAGGGCGAGACGGTGGAGGGTGCGCTGGCGTGCAGACCGAACGACAACAATCGCCGGGATTTGGATATTGTGATTGACTACACCACTTCGCCGAGTGATCAGAGCAGAACGGCGACTGGACATTGCGAGTACAAGATGTGCTAGTAGGGAGGGACAGCGTGACGACGTTATGACCCCGGCGTTTGTTAGTGTAGACCATCCACCTGGCTCGCAGCTTTGGCTTCGCAGAGCATGTAGAAATAATTCAAAAGGGATTTCATTCTGATAAGCCACTCGTCCTGCTTCTGCTGTAGTTCGCGATGCTAGCGATGTATCTTCTTTGCTCGACCTCTTGTCTTGTGCCAACGCTCAAACGCTCCAGAAACTGGCAAACAACCATCACTTCCCCAAACCAATGCCGCCCTTCATCTAACAACCTGCACACTTCCCCTGGGAGCAGCCGTCGGCCAGCCCTTGGTCGTCTCCCTCTCAATCGGCGGCCTCTGCCCAGGCCCAGCTCCAGCCCCACGTCCCTTATCCGACCAAAACACCCTCCTCATCTCCTTGCAAGCGCGCAAATAATGCTCGCGCACGCCCGGCGTCGGCTTCCACGGATTCGGCGCCTTGTCCCAGCCGTGCGGCACCTCCTCAATCATCTTGTACACCACGTGCTTGTCGATCTCCGGCTGCGTGAGGCGCTCGGCGAATGCCCTGCCTTCGTCGAGCAGCATGTCCCACTCGCAGGTGTGCATGATGATTTCGTGCGGGAGGGCGTTGGCTAGCAGGCCGGTGGGCGCCACGCCTGGGCTCAGGTAGGGGGATTGCAGTGCGATGGTGTTGGGGGGGTGTAGATAGCTGTCGTCGAAGAGGTCGGTGAAGAGCGCGGGAAGTTCTTGATCGGCGCGGGCGGAGGTTGCGCGGCGCTGGGCGCGCGAGCGCGTGTAGTCTACTGGCGGGTACCAGGGGACTATCATGCGGATTTTGACGTCCGAGAGGCCTGGGGTGGCGGTGACGGTTGGCGTGAGGTGGAGTTTGGTTTGGCTGGTGGCGGTGAGGGCGTGGTCTTGGGTTGTTGATTGTGGGGGTGGGGCGTCGGCGTCGACTAGTCTTGTGGTGGAGTTGGATCCTGATGCCATGTAGCCGTCGAGGGTGGGTGCTGCGCCTTGGATGGCGCGCTCTGTCTTTTGGCGGGCGGTCGGCGAGACGTCTGGGACTTCGTCGCGGGGAAAGTTGTTCTGCTCATCATGGAGGCGTAGGGGCACGGTGAAGCACATGTTGGCGCCGGACGAGAAGCCGGAAAGGGCAATCTTGTCCTTATCGATGCCGAGCTCTTGTGCATGCTTGTGCAGGTAGGCTACCGCGTCCACTCCGTCTTCCACGGCTGTGGGAAAGGGGTGTTCGGGGGCGAGGCGGTAGTCGACGCTCACCACCACGGCGTGACACTCGTTTACCACCGTGGTACACCATCGGGCGTCGTCATCTGCCGATCCGAGAGTGAACCCGCCGCCATGGAAGTTGACGACAACAGGATACCCGCCCCAGCGTTTCATCGTCGTACTCATCCTGCGTATCGACGATCCCATATCGTCCAACACCACACTGAGCCTCCGACTCTTCCGCCTGGCCAACGGATCCTCGCTCCCATCACTCGTCCCACTTTCCACCGGCTCGAGGTCCTCGCTAGCCTTATCAATCCACAACCGCCGCTGAGCAAAGTAGTCTCGCGGCGTGTAAAAATAAAGGACGATCTTGCCGGGCTTGCCGCTAATGGTGCTGGGGATCTCGCGGTAGAAGTTGGGTTTCGGCGGGCGCGGTGAGGCGAATTTGTGGAAGAACATGCCCAGGCGCATAAGCACGCGCCAGAAGACGGCTTGCATGTGGAGGATCCATCGCGGGCGGCCCTGGCGGGTTTGGTAGATGGTCATGCGGCGGGGGCGTGAGGGGTGCGGAGGCTCCGGGTCGTCTTCGGGGCGGGTGTACATGTTTGCGGAGGCAATGGATAAAGGAGGGTGAAGGAGGGTGGAAGGTTGAGTGGAGTGAGGGGTGAGGGGGAGTGTTGAGGCAATGGGTAGTTCAAGGATTGAAGGAGGACGGTATGACGCTAAATGGAGAGAAGAAGGCAACGATGAGGGCTTGGCCAAGGCATGGCAGTCACAAAGAGGATGAAGCTGTCACTAATCGAATAAACAACGTCTGCTCGATCCGCGCAATCCGCTGGGCGCAGGGCTGCAGCAACTGGTGACGTTGGCCAGACCCATCTCGGCCGAAGCTTCGCGCATCATCAATCTCGCCACGCGCGTTAGTCATCATTAAACACCAAGTCACGTGTGGTACGTGGTTCAGTTCTTGTTCGCTCCAATGATTTTCTTCGTTACGAATGCTATCAAGAATGCTCCCCAAAGACACACCGCTTGAACTACTCCACCATCCATGCGCGCCTGAACGCTCAGCAACATGCAGTCTTCAATGCAAAACGCCAAATGAATGCAAATCCCGCCTTGAAACCTTCCGAATAAACACCTTCGCATGAACCCATTAAGAGGTTGCCGTACTCCAATCAGCCGTCAGACGAATGCAGACGTAATGCTCAGGCGTCGCTGCCAAGCAACGGAGTCCTCTCGTTCCCAGTATTGTACCCGCTGTCAACGTCGTCCTGCACCCGGATCCTGACCACACTCGGCTTATGCCGTAGCCATTCTTGCTCTCTCGGTTCGTCCTGTCGGAACAAGCACGATGCCACGGGTCGGATCGTATGTTGTGGGCCGGCATGTTTCTGCTTGATCGATAGCGCTTGTATCGCTCCCACCACTGCCACCAGTGCACTCGCCCACCATGCCACGGCCGTCAGATCAATATTGATTCCCACGCCGTAGAGCAGACCGGCCACCGGAGAGGCGATAGTGCGACACGCTGCACCTGTGGAAGCGGCCAAACCGTTGATCTTGCCCAAGCAGCTTGGAGCTGGCGATGCTTCCTTGAGTAGGATCAAGAGCACTGGATATGCGAGGATGGAGAGGCAATTGCGGACCGTCAGACAGACATAGATGCCTGGGTACAGCAAGTTCGGCGGTAGGAGGACGAGCCATGGGACGATGAAGTAGGCGATGGGGTGCAGGGCCGTCACCACCATGAACACCTTCCAGACCCCCAGCCAGCTGGCGGCGAGCGGAAAGATGACTGCTTGCACGAAGAGGGCGATCACCCCGTTCATGGCCATGATGAAGCCGCAGTCTTTCACGCTGAGACCCAGGCCGCCCGCGAACGAGCCAGTCTCCGTAGCAGTGCCAGATGATAGGATTGATATCATCTCATTGCCCGCCGTGACACGGTCGTCTTGCAAGAAGATGGGCAGGAGGTGGTCGAAGGTCATGGAGTGGTAGGTGAAGATGCCCAACGCAATCGTAATCATAATCACCCGCTTGGTAAACACCTTCTGCGCGGCATCGCCGAACACACTCGAGGTCCTGCTCGTTCCGTCTGGGTTGACCTTCCATTCCTCTTCAACAACGTCTTCCTGGACGTCGTTGAATGTGCCGTAGCTCTCGTGAGTCAGATTGCCCCCAGGTGCCAGATCGCTGGGCTTCATCGTCATGGCGGACGAGTCTGCTCGCATGCGCTGCATATGTTCGATTTCTTGCGGCGTGGGGTTGCTCCCAGGCTGCAGCTGAGGATGGGTCTCTCCGAGGAAGAGGTATCCAGCGATGATCGAAATCAACATCAATACAATGCAGATGAGATTCGGTAAGAGGTAGGGGAACCGATCGAAAATGCCGTGAGGAGAGAAGTATTGAGGAAAGTTGTCGACCGGAGTGGCGAAGAATCCTCCGATACACGGCCCTAGAATCGTTCCGACGGACCAGACAAAAGGCATGACGGCATATGCTTTTGCTATTGAGAGTCAGTCTTGCCATTAATCGACAAAGTAGATATGGATGCTTACGCTCGTGCTTCGGATTGGAGACGAGTTCGCCCACCATTGTCTGAATGACCTGTGTTGCAGGTCAATACCAAGTCAACTCAACATCAGAGATTGTCGTGACTTACCCCAATGTTGCCATTTAATGCACCACCAAGGAAGCGCCCAAACAGCGCAACCCAGAAGTTTTCAGCAAACCCAACGACAAGGAGGGAGATGACGGTACCGAGACATCCCATCAACAGAACCGGCTTGCGCCCTACTCTATCAGACAAGGCGCCCCAGAACCTGCAGCAACAATGTTAATACAGTGAGAGTAGTAAGCAGACGTCATCAGCAAGCAACGTACATCCCCGTAATCGACTCGGCCAAGGCGAACGCCGAGACGAGCAGGCCGGCGTAGAAGGAGGCATTGCTTCGGTTGCCGACGTGGAAGTGGAGGACGAGCTTCCAGGCGTATGGGAGGATGGAAGTGAGGGCGATCGGCTCTGCGACGCGGACGAGAGCTGGTGGAGACAAGCGTTAGTCGGGGTGTCGCAGACTCACAGGCGTGATGGGGGAAGAACACTCACCAGAACACTCACCAAGGAGGAAGAGTTGTGTGGCGGGAAACTTGTTGGGGTCGCGGGGTGGGAGTCTTTGGTGTGTAAGTAACATGTTGTGGGGGACCGAGTCCTCTCTTACGTCTGCCCTCCGACTCCTGCAATCTGCTGCACGTCCCTCTCTATCTACAGTGGTTGTTGTTGTGGCGTGGGGTTGTGCTTTTGCCTCGTGACGATATTGAAATCCTCTAGCCCAGCTCTGCTGAAGTGTAGGTGATGGCGATAGTTGTTGAGAGGTGGTTGAATGGTAAAGACCGAAAAAGGAAGAAGTTGATGATTAGAGGAAAAAGAAGGAAAGAGCGAAAGAGAAGACGAAGCGCGGCAATCACCCATATACGAGCGTGACACTTGTGGGGATTGGCAAGTGGGCATGTGGAGAAGAGCAGCGCTATCACAAGACGCAGGATACAATGTACCAATTCGGGTTGGGGTACTGGTGCTTGGAGATGAAAATCCTGCACCCGCGCCGCCACCTCGGCCCAGCGTCTTTTCCCTCTACACTGTTGCTATTCTAAATAACAGAGAAAACAACTGCAAGTGACCTGCTGCCACTCTTCGACTTGCTGAGCTACTCCCAGCCTGACCGTAGCCTGCTATGGCGTGCGAATTGGTCCTTTGTCATCGGCGTCGACCGCCACCGAAGCTCGAGGGAATGTACCGCCGCTAGCGCCGTCATTTCCCCCGTTGATTCGCCCGATCCATGTCCTATCGGGCTTAGCCCCGGGAGCTCGCTGCTAGTGAAGAAATATTCCCACCTCACGTTCATTTTCCGATTGCCGGCGATATGTATCGTTTGTGCGAGCGGCGGTGCGGAGATTGCAGATGATCATCAGAGTTGGGGAAATCCCGCAACCCCGCACAGCTTGTTGGGTCATTATTGCTCTTATCTATGAATGCGATGATCGATTCGTCACACGCTTGCATAGTTACATATCCGCCGGAAGGCTTCCCCGGCCGCCAGACGACCAACTCAAGCCTTCTCCACATCGCTACTCTGTGTCGTCTGCGTCGAGTAGCTCGAGAAAGCGAGCGTCTGAGACGCATTCTCCCGTTTCTTCTTCTCCGCTCGACTCCTCAGCGTCCTTCGCTTAACCCATTTGTAAAACTCCACGCCCATGAAGAACAGCAGCGTCTCGATGAGCACAATTGACCATTCCCAGCTAATGCCGTCATGCTTGAACACCGTCGTGTTCAGTGTCGGGATATACAAGATTGGGAAGATTGTAACGAAGCCTGATTGTGGTGGTTAGTAGAAGTGACATGTCTTGCTCAACGGCAGTACTCACCAGCCATGATCGAGTAGAACAGGAACTTGTTCCTCCAGATATCGTGCATCCATTGCGTCAAGTACTTGGTCGACCCAGGCTGCATGCGGAAAAAGCTGCGTCGCGGATCCAAGCATTCCCACGCAAGGACGAGGGAAGACCAAGTCAAAAAGGCAAAAGCAGTGGCTCGAGCGCGGAACTCTTCCACACATCCTCCATCAATGCTGTCGTTACATCCGCGGGCGTCTCCGATGCCATAGCTGAAGCCATACAACACAAGCACAAAAGCTGCGAGACACAGTGCGCCCATCCAGACCCCATACACTACCATGTCGATAAGCAGCTCCCACGTGAAGATGCCTTGCTTCAAGCTCTGCGGCGGGCGCCGGAGGATGCCTGGCACGGCCACCTCGAATCCAAGGCCCATGTCGGGGATGGCGGATGTAACCATAATCACCCATAGAATCTCTACGGGGGAGATGGGGAACACGGACAGATTGTCGCGGTCCTTGAACGCCAATCCGACGAGCAGAGTGAGAGCCAGGGCCACGTTTTGCGCGAGCAAATGCAGTACGAACTTCTGGATGTTGTCGAATGTCCGGCGGCCTTCTTCAATGGCTGCGAGGATACTCGCAAAGTTGTCGTCGGTCAGGATAATGTCTGACGCATCTTTGGCGACATCCGACCCGGTCATGCCCATTGCGATGCCGACGTCGGCGCGCTTGAGGCTGGGGCTATCGTTGACTCCGTCTCCGGTCATGGCGCAGAATCGATCGCGGCGGTGCAGGGCTTCGATCATTCGCACCTTTGTTGTTGGTGTACATCGTGCTATCACGAGTGGTAAGATGGGTAGAGCATCAACCTCGTCATCGGTGAGGGCGTCGAATTGGGAAGCTGTCATGACCATGGCATCCTCCTTATCTTTGCTCACATGCTTCCGCTTCTCGGGGAGGATCCCAATCTGAGAAGCGATGGCAGCAGCTGTGCCGGGATGGTCGCCCGTCAGCATGTGCACTTCAATGCCGGCTTCGTGACACTGTCGCAGGGATGCGGCGGATTCTGGTCGTGGCGGATCGTACAGTCCAATCAGACCCCGGAAGACCAAGTTGCTTTCGATGGCGTTGCGGTCGATTTCTTCGCCCTCCCGGTACTCTTCCTCGTACGGTCTGCTAGCCAGTGCGAGGACTCTAAGCCCAAGCTTGGTCAGGCCTTCCACGTTGTTCATGACTTGACTGGCAAAGTCGTCATCGAGAGCGATGGGCTCCGCATTGCTCTCGGATACCCAGGAAGTGCAGGACCGAAGGACCTGTTCCACGGCCCCTTTGGTGAAGACGTACTTTTTCTCATCGTGCAGACCTCGATAAAGCACGCTCATTTTCTTGATGCTAGAGTCAAACGGGAACTCCATCAGCATTTTATAGTCTGGTGCTTTCCCGGCCGTCCGCCCTTCGACAGATGTGCGGCGGTCCCATCCTTGGAACCTGCAAGCGAACACCTGAATGGCGACTTCGGTGGGATCGCCACGAGCAAGCCACTCTCCTTCGGCGTTCTGATGCACATGGGCGAGGTTTGCCAACGATGCAACGCTGAGGTAGTCTCGGAAAGCCTTGTTGTCGCGTACCAATTCTGAATAAGTGGCTGGTTGTCCTCTTTCGTTCCCAGCCAAATCCTTGGGTGCCTCCGGGTGATAAGAGATCGCGCCTTTGGTAGGGTTGAACGCCTCGTCGGTCTCTCCAATAGTGTATGTACCTTTGGATGGTATCCAAGCCGATTGTGCCAGCATTTTGCCTTGAGTCAGAGTTCCGGTCTTGTCGCTGCAAATGTCCGTGACCGATCCAAGAGCCTCCAGGGATCGGAGATTGCGGACAATTACTCGCTTCTCCGCCATTCGCTGCGTTCCGGCAGCCATGGTAATAGTCAGGATGACTACCAGCGATGCCGGAATCATTGACAGAGCGGTGGCGACGGCGTAAACGATCACTTCCCGATCACCTTGGAAGTTGTTTGCGCCAAGCACAATGATGGCGCAGACCACGGCGATGAAAAACAGGAGTACAGCGAGTTGCGAAAGCTTCCTCTGTAGTGGAGTGCCAACGTTGACGCCGAGGAAGTTGCCGACGGCGTCGTACAAGGTGAGCACGACGGCTTGCATGTATCGATGCGGTCCGGTCGCGCCGTCGGGGTTCTTCTTCACGGCGCGGAACTTGCTGTCTTTCTTGCGCAGATTGGCAGCGATGGTTCCAATCTCCGTGTTCATGCCGGTGGCGAAACAAATGCCGCTTGCCCGACCTTTGGTGACTGTGGAAGAGCTAAAGGCAACATTCGTCCGGTCTCCCGCACCAAGGTTGGAGTCGAGGACTTGATCGGCGGTCTTCGTAACGGGTAACGATTCGCCGGTGAGTAGTGCTTCGTCGGTTTCAAAGTTGATCGCTTCGAATAGACGAACGTCGGCAGGGATCGTGTCTCCCGTCTTCATTTCGACCAAGTCGCCCGGGACGATCTCTTTCGTGGGAACGCTCATACTCTGACCGTCTCGGACGGCTGTTGCGGTAGGGGAGCTCAATGACTTCAGAGAGTTCATCGTTTTGGCAGCCTGGAATTCTTGGAAGAATCCAATGACTACGTTCAAAACGATCACGCCAGCAATCACACCGCCTTCGATGTATGATCCGATGCCGAAAGAGACGGCCATGGCCAGTATCAGGACCAACGTCATTGCATTGGCGATTTGTCGCACCAGAATCTTGACCGGATTGACGCCCGCGTCATCTCCAAGCTCGTTGTTGCCATGTATTCCAAGCCGGCGTTTGGCTTCTTCGGTGGTCAGACCATCGTCGGTATCGGCACCGAGTTCGTCCGCGACTTGGGACCAGGTGAGAGCGTGGGCGGGCGCGGTAAGGACATGTTCAGTCGTTTCCTGAATGGCGGGAGCCATGCTTGCCTGTCATGTAGATGTGTTCGTAAGTTCAGGTTTAGTGAGGGATAGCGCAAGTTCAGATCTTTCCAAGCGAATGACTAGAAGAGAATGTAGGAAAGATGACTGAGGTATACTTGATCACTCGGCACAGCATGTGGGACACCTTATCATATATGCATTCAAGCATTCAATCATGCCATTCATGACGTGGTACTGGTTGAGAGACTCAGCCTTAGCGCCAAGCCATACTCGGGGACCCTCTTGGCCCGTTGCGCGTGGCATAGTCGTGGGGGATGAAGGGGTGATAACTCGGCCTTGGACTCATGCGGTGTCGGACATCATGGCGCTGCCCACAACGACACAGATCCCGGACAAGTCTATCGAAAAAGTGAGCATTGTCGTGTCACCGCTTGGGCAGACGTTGTCCCGCAGAATTTCGGCCGAGGAAGTCTGCCTGAGGGGGTGCGGGATGGCATGACGGCGGAGCGGACGGAGAGAGCGGAATGGCCTTGGATTGGCGTAAGCCAAGCATTCGCCGCCACTTCCACCGACGCACGCGGTGCTCACCTGAGGCTCCAAGGCGATGGTGTGAGGTCTACACGAAGCGCCAAGAGAGTCAAGGCTGGACGAAGGAGTGACGCGTGGTAGAACCCTTAGGCCGACGCGCCAAGCCGGTATTTCTCGGCCTCCGTTGCGGCATCTGTACGCGATCTGATGATATCGGAACACCTCTCGCAATTGAATATCATCCGAGCTCACTCATTACGACTTTGTCTCGTGAAGTGCAACCGTATCAGCTGATGTAAGTGTCAGGGTCGCACGGCCCGTACAATGAGGGACAACGACGAAACAAAAGGCAGAGGAGAGGTGGCGGCACGGACCGGCAGATGAAACACCAACTTCAACTGCACTTCCACCCTCTGACTGGCTCGGCGGCTGATTGACGAAATGACCGCCCGGCCAACAGATCTGCTCCTCTCCGCGACGTCGCAACAATTGACCCACATGTCATGCGTCAGGAAGCCACGGGGGTGGAGATCGTGCTGGTCTGGTCCGACGGTCTTGCCGCGTCCAGCCACGAGGCCTCTTGAAACTCGCGATCTACGTTGCGCCGAAACGCAAGGCTCTCCGATGGGCGTCAACGCGATGGTGGTCGGGGCACAATGCTGTGTTGCTCTGAGTGCGCGTGCATTGTCATGCTGGTCAGCCTGAGTGCATCCTTCATTTCGTTTTTCTTTTTACTTCCTCTTGTCTTCTCTCTACTGTCCTTGTATCTTTCCTTGAGTCATTCATTCTCTTGTTGTTGTTGCTTTTGTGCACGTTACCACGCTCCTTATTGTCTGGATTTACACACTCCCTGGAGGAGTCACGTTCCTTATATTGCTTATTTCTAATACAAAACACCCACCGGCAATTCTTCGAGCGCCTCAATTGACCCTTCCACACGTTCCAAACACGCAATGGGTATCCTCGAGCGGTCTAAGTCTGCAGGGCTTACAGGAAAGAGAACGTGCAAGAAGAAGGTGGAGCTCCCTGCTCTGATGACTGCTATGCATGAGGACCGAAAACGCTCTACCTCCTTTGAACGCCCCAAGACCGCAGACACTTCTGCCAGCTTCTCCCGTCCACGGACTGTGAATGCCGCGGTAGGGCGAAGCTCAGACCTGCACCATCCAGCCTTCAAGATCGATTTCATGGCTGGTGGCGAGATCTTCAGCTTCCCAACGCCGTCGCTGGTGCCGAAGAGCGCTACATTGCACATTCCGCCATCCGCATTGGACGATCTCCCCTCACCCGCTATCGGTGTTGCTATCGGCTCTGCTAGCCATGCGAGACCTGGATGGGGTCGATCCGCAACGGCCGACAGCGCGTCCCCCCGCATGCCCTCACAGCCCCCTCCAACCAGACCGCCACCAGCTCTACCAAACCACCCCGACCTGGAGATACCGCTGGCTGCGATCAAGCGCAGGAAACCAAGCTGGAGGAATCTCAGCCTCTTATTCGGACGACGGCCCGAAAAGCTCGTGTATGAAGAGCCGCTGTTCAGACTCAAGATGCCCAACGCCATTGAGGACAGGGATATCTTGATTCCCGATCTCGCCGAGCTGCCAGAACGAGGCACCACACCGTTGTCGCCTTTCCGCTGTCGGTCCCCCTCTCTCACCCGGGGGCAAGCGAGATTCGAGTCGCGTGCTGAGACAGACAAGGCCGCTTTGATGCCAAACGGCCAATTCAAGACCTTGCGCTCGCCAGTCGAGATCCAAAAGGACTCGTTCAGCCCGATGTTCCGCACTATCAATGGAATTCCAGAGGACGATGTTTGGATCAACGATCCCCGCAAAGACTCGCCGCTGTCACTCATGTCCCCTCAGTCCTTCAGCAAGCAGGCCGCGACAAATGTCGTCGTGCAAGCTCCACACCTAGACCTGGACCTGCCCGATCCGAAATTCGAGCGATACAGCATAATGTTTGAGAAGCTGCTCGTGGAAAACAGGCCTTCGCTGCTCGAACGTCGACAAAGCAGACTCGGACGAGTCCAATCAGTCAAGAAACTCGAGCTCTCCTCTCACAAAGTCGAACAAATGCCCGTACCACGTCTCGAAGTCAACGGAGTCCCCGAGTCCATTACAATCGCATCCCCAAGCCTCGCAACATCTCTCTCCTACCGAATCGGAAAGAAGGTCCTATCCCCAGTAGCAGAAGCCTTCACAGCCCTGCATCGACCCCGCCCAGTGCAGAGATCCAAAACCGCGCCTCCCCTCCCCACCTCCCCACTAGCCAGAGTCTTTGCAAAACTCGCCATCGAGATTCCAAGCGCTTCGCCGGCTTCAGAATGCCACACCGACTTCTCGCTGCCTCCTACTCCCCTGACATTCACCACGATTTCTGAAAGCGGTTCAATGGGCGACATGGACGAGCAGTGCAAAGTTGCCCATCTGCGCATTCGATCACCCACGGAGCACAGGGTGCACGTCAGCGTGGCGAGGGAAGTCGATGTGAGGAAGAGTTTGGAGCAAGGCCGCGGCTCCATGGAGAGCACGCAACCGCTGCGACCCAAAATGGTGGAGTTGTTCAAGAGCCGCACGAGCACGGCGGTGCTGATTGAGGTTGCGGAGGAGTGAGAGAGCTGCGTGTGTGTTGCCAACGACGCTGGAAGTCAACAGGAGCAAGAAGAGCCGGCGTCTCTATTCCTTCGTTTCATTCCACACCCGAGACGCTGGGAGTCTTTCTCTGGGAGCAGGTTTTGGATTCTTCTGGATTCTGTACAGCTATCGTAGAGGATGTAGAACACCCCCGGCCGTTCGTTATGGAGATGGTAGTAGATCATCTCCCACGTACGTATTAATACCAACCCTCGTTGATCATTCCGCTCTCCAGGTCACGTTGCCGTCGAAGGAATCGCAATGCGATGCGAATGCCAAGTGAACAGAAAGCAGCACACACGACTAAACGCTGGGAACGCCAATCCATACGCTTCAACACCATAAAACACCCGCTAAACACAACATGCTCGAACTCCGCATCAATGCGATGTATAGGGAGGATTGGGCGTGAGGAACGGCGAAGACGCGCTCGTCCCGTCCAGCTCATGAATCGGCTCCGGTCCCGCATCCAGCTCTGGCAGGCCATTGGGACTCATTCGCTTGCGCGCTATCGCTTCGTCCTTGACGCTGAATGGCGCTTCCTGCACGACGAACGGCGCTTCGGCCATGTTGGAGGGCTCGCCGCCGAGGTTGTACGGGTCGTAGTAGTCCTTTTCCTTCTTTTCCATGGTCGCGGCGGCGGTCTGCTTCGCTTTGCGTCTTCGGAGGAAGAGCGCGCCTACGACGAGGGCGATGAGGAGGAAAATGCCGACTCCGAGACCTACCCCCAGGCCGATTTTGCTGCTTGAGGAGAGCCCGCTGCTGGAACTCGTGTGCCCGTTCGAGTGGATCCCGGATGAAGTAGTAGATGACGTTGAGGATGTTGTGCTGGTGGTCGGGTATGAAGAGCCCAGGTAGGTGGTGCTGGTCTTGCCGCCCAAGGGATCGGAAGTCGGGGCGACAGTGGGAGTGGTGGGGATGGGCGGTAGGGAGCCATCGGTGAGAAGCGCTGAGCCGTAGCTAGCAGCGGGAACGGCGGTCTTGTCGTAGATGACCACCTCCGTGGCCATGGACAGCGAGGTGAATGGGCCGATGGAGGTCGGGGTGTCTAAACAGAAGAGAGGTCAGATGGGGAGAGACCCGAATGAGTGGCAAAGGGTAGTATCGTACATCCGCCAATTGGGGTATTGCCTGTCTGGCCTTTGGAGAAATACTGCGTGCTGCCTCCATAGGTCTGCGGCAAGATGAGGTAGGCGGGCAAGGTGTTTGTAGCGTAAATTGCGACTCTTGCATTGCTACCCATCGCCTGGCAGTCTCTTATCGGAACCTGGAGCAGACTGTACGTCGAGCGCCACTCGCAGCCGCAGCTTTCTGGCGACTGACAGGTCCATGTGTCGTTGATGCCGTTGAAGCTCGGGCAGTACTCTAGGGCGACCCAAGGAGATGCATCTGTATCATGTCTTAGTCTTGGCGGTCCAAAATACTCGTGATGTTGGTAGGCAACGCACCAGGATTCCAGTCGCATTTGAAAGGGCAGGAAGGGTCTTTGTAGGATGGGTCGGAGCATCCGTACTGGTAGGTGTCATCTGTTTCGAAGTTGTAGCACGCGTTGCCGGCGAGACAAATGTCGCCTTGAGGGAGGAAGGAGCAGGAGTTAGTGTGCTTGGCGAGAGAAGATGCTGCGATGGCCACGCACCTAGTTTACAACAGGCCGAGTAGCCATTCTCGTCGCATGGGACCACGCCGGCCGACTCCGGCAATCGATATTGCGGACCGGCAGCCCAGTAACAGGCGGCCTGGGCGGATGTGAGGGCGGCGGAGGAGAGGAGGAGGGGAAGAAGGAGGGAGAGGGGGAGGCGGGGCTGAGGGGAGGTGGAGGAAGGCATTGGAATAGCGTCCAACACAGGCCGCTCCCGAGCGTAGTTGATGAGGGTGGGAGACGAAGGAGGCCAAGCGCGGTGCGGCGAGGTGAGGTGCGGTGCGGTGCGGTGAGGTGCGGTGAAGGAGTGAATAAGGCAGCAATGCGAGATGCAAGAAGGAGAGGGAAGTGGAGTCGCGGTGATGGGCGACGGCGAGGTGGCCGCTAGTCCTACACCGGTGCCCACGTACTGAGCGAGCAAGGAAACGGACGATCGCGAGCGAGGCGGTGCGCTATTTGATGCACGGGGAAACGGCGTGCATGAAGTCATTCGTCCAAGGGAGCTAACTTTTTACCCGAATGTCTAAACTGCCTAGGACTGATTGTTCCACGCATTTCCGCCCCCACGCAGCTTCTCGCTTGCACATTCCTCGTCCGCAAGGATGGACTGACGGCGGGATGGTGGATGGTGGCCCTGAGGCTGTCAACCAACCTCACCGTCCTGTCGTGGTTGTGTTGTTGTCGCCTTCGTTTCATCGCGTCGGTGATCTTCAATCCATGTCACGTCGACGGATGACTAACCCCGCCGGACACGAACGCGTGGGCTCGAGTGCAGCCCGTGCGCCTCACCCTCAAACACTCGGCTCTGTCCTGGTCCTACGGTTGAGATGGGCGAGACAGGCATCGTGTGTGTCCATGTTCGGCATTCGACCGAAGCATCTGCTGCCTTTTAGCGACGCATACTCGGTAGAGAGCCATCCGGTCCGCTGGCATAGGGCGGTGCATATTGTGTCCAAATATAACCCAATTTTAAGCTTTCGTCCATGATTGGACCAGTCGAGTCTTGGAGTGGAGACCCCGCATCTCCCTCAGGCAAGAGCGCCACTCCACATCGTGGACTGGACCAACCTCACCCACGGCATGCTTATCTCCATCCCATCCAGCCCACGTGATGCAGCGCCCGGACGGCGAAGGCGACACCTCCCCCGACCGGGGTACGTCGTCGAAGCCCGTCAAGCGACGCGCCGCCCAGGCCTGTGAGAGCTGCCGCGCACGCAAGATCCGCTGCAACGTCGCACAGGACGGCGTGCCTTGTGTGCACTGTCGCCTCGACGGCACCGAGTGTGTGGTGGGCGAGAATAAGCGCAAAAGGTAGGCTTGCCCCGTGTGTCTTCCTGATGACACTTGTTGATCGCTTGACGCAGGAGGCGGGTTCATATCGAATCATCAGCGGGCCACGATGAAAATGCTCCGGCCACGTCCGCCACCTCGTCCCGGCCCCAAGACACTACTCCAGGAACCGAGTTTGGCTCCTACTGGCCCACCAACAACCTGCTTCCACAGCATGTAAACTCGGCGAACGCATCCACCGCACCGCCTACTGGCCTCCAGGAATCTTACATCCCGCCGGGTTCAGGGGGTGCATCGTCTTCACAACGCCTCTCCGTGCCCGGCACCGCTCCATCGACAGTCTTGCCGGCTTGGATCAAACCGCTACCGGAGCGATTTGGTAACGATGACATTGTCTACCTTCAGAACAAAGGTGCCTTGACCATCCCCGAGGAGCAGCTTCGTGACGAGCTTCTCCGAGCATACGCCAAGTTCAACCATCCTTTCATCCCGTTAATCGACTTGCATCAATTCGTCCGCACTGTGAGCCAGTACGATGGCTCGCAGCCCGTCAGCTTGTTGCTATTCCAGGCCATCATGTTCACCGGCATCGCCACCGTGGACATGGCCTCTCTCAACGCCGCAGGCTACAATTCGCGGCGGGAGGCGAGGCGCGCCTTCTACAATCGCACGCGGCTACTCTACGACCTCGATTACGAGGATGACTCGACGGCACAGGTACAGGCGCTTTTGCTCATGACCTTCTGGAGGGAAGATCGAGATGGCCGGAAGGAGACCCATCATTGGATCGAAGTCGCTGTCTCACTGGCTCAAAAGATCGGTCTACATCGCGACCTCGATGTCTCGCCAAAATCAAACCCCCGGAGCCAGCAATTGAGGAGGCGAATCTGGTGGTCAATCTACATGCGCGATATGCAGATTGCCCTCGGCACCGGAACATCCACTCGAATCAAGGACGTCGATTTCAACGTGCCAATGCTCCAGCCTTCCGACTTCGAAATGGAAACGGGTTCCGATGCTGCCTTCACCACCTTCGACTGTCCCGTGATGCAAGATGGGTATCAGCAGCTCCAGCTCGCGACACTGTGCGTCGAAATGGTGAAACTGTCGCTGTGCATTAGCCACATGCTCTCCCTGCGTCACGGCGGATTGGCTTCTCAAGGTGGCCTTCAGACGGCCCGAATGCTTTTCAAGGAGCCCCCAAGCCCAGACGACGACCACTTTGCCGCTTGCGACAACGCCTTCAGAACCTGGGAGTTGAGCCTTCCGGAGGCCGCGCGTTACATTGCCCCTACGGAGCAAGACGTGCAGTCGGGGAATGACTGTGTCATCCTCAGCCGCACGTTTCTATACTTGCTGCGCTGCGCTGCAATCTCGTATCTGCACAGCCCTCGCTTGTCGCAATTGAGCAGTCTCGCCCCGAGCCCAGCCATCCTAGCGGAGATCCAAGTATCGCGGATGAACGTCAGAAACACTGCGGCCAGCATCACCGCACTGATGGTCTCTTTGCAATCCCTCCGCTTGATCCGCTTCCTCCCTTCGCCTACCATCACCATCCTCGTACCCGCCATTGCGACTCATTTGCAGGACGTTCTGGCGCCGGGCGAGTCTCTATCTCTGAAGAGTCTTCGGGACTTTTCCCTTTGCATGCAACTGATGTCCACACTACGCGAGATGTACGCAGCAGCGGATTACTCAACTGCCTTCCTTCAGAACGCCATCCAGCGCGCAGACTGGCGAGCAGACGCCGGTCTCGGCACAGGCGGCACCGACGAAGAGCGACAGCGCTTCGAAGAACTACCCAGCCAACGCCGATCCTCCTTCAAAGAACGCCGCGTTTCAACACCAAGCCAAAGCGCCGGATCGCGGCCCTTCACCACCACGTCCGGCGACGCAGATGCAGACCACGCAGCGCAGCGCCATAACAGTGAAGCCCTCGTGCCCGTGGGGATGAACGACGCCCTCCACATGGGGAACATGTTCGGCCCCTCTCCGCCGCAGATGTTCGATGGGATGGACACGGTATCACACCGACATTCTCTACCTATGCCTTTGCCGAACGGCACTACGCCGAATGCGAATATCGATTTCGATCTGGGTGCGATGCAGGGCGAGGGGAATGAGTTTGCGCTTGATACTACGTGGTTGATGGGATTGGATGCGCATTCGATGGTGATGATGGGGCATGATGGCAGTCCTGGGCTTCGGTGATTGGAGTCCGTTTTGGATCGATGGTGCTTGGAGCGGATATGCCGGCTGGGTTGTATCTATTGTGTGCTGTGATTTCCTTATAATACCCCGGGAGTCATTTGCATATAAGGATGAAAGTTGTGTATCTTGTAATTATGGATCTTGGCCATTTGCTGCACCCTCTCATATGAGCCTCTTACGAAACGCTCAATGCCTTGTCCACGGGAGAAGAGACGGTGGAGAAGGGGCACGGATAGATGATGGCCGTCTTCTGCCTCCCTCGCTCTCAGACTTAGAGTCGGCATGCTATCCAAACACTCAACGCCTTGAGCTGCCCCCACGAATTCCGGAGAAGAGGCATTGAGACGTCTCTATGAATGTCCACATCGCGTGTCTCGCAGTTTCAGCGGGTTTCCAACGCCGACCTCAAACGTCTGGTGATGGAGAAATGCAAAGGGCGGTAACGATAACTCCGGCAGCGCGGCCGCGCTGCGCTTCTCCTCTGGAAACTACAATCGCTCGCATCTGGTTGGAAGGGATTGCCTTGCTACGTAGCTGCTTCTAATCGCGAGTGAATCCATAACAGTCAGCGAATCAATGGTACTTGTTCTTGTGCGCCTCCGACGTGTTTTCGAGGAAGATTTCGATCTTCCTCGTCATCTTGGGTCCTATATCCTCCAAGAACAAGCAAGCAATCATCGCGCAGCCTCCGAAGCCGCAAAGCGTGAGGGCGACAGTTCTGTCACGTGATTAGATCGAGTCGTTCAGATAATTCCACAAGAAGCACTCACCTGAGACCATGCACGTAGCTCTCGGTGAAGGCTGCTCCAGCCGCAGTAGCAATGGCAGTCGTTACGCCTTTGACGCTGGAGACGGTGCCGAGAGGGAGCGCAGCGGCAACAGCCTCTGCGACTTTCTGCGAAGCTCCGGCCTTTTCAGCCGCCTGTACGACATGGGAGGACGCGTAATTCGATTGCACGCTGACGAGGATCGTTTGGAAGACGGTGACGGCTATCGCGCCGCCTCCTTCGCGTGCTACGCCGGCGAGTCCACCCGCAATCCCGAGTTCGGTTTGGTCGGCGCCGAATTGGATATATGTGATCGAGAGGTACTGTGCCCACCCGAAACCGGTAGCAGATAGGAACGCGAAGGCGATTGCTAGTCCTTCCCTGGCTGGAGTTGTGTAGGCGAGAAGCCCGCCCCAAAAAGTCATCCACGTGACCGAAAGTCCCATCTGCCACCGCCAGTGTTGAACCTGGTTCCCAAGGAAGGACAACAAGAGGCCACCGAGGAGAGTGCCAAATCCTTGTACTGTTGCGAGCCAGTAGATGTGCGTTACTGGGGTCGTTGGCGTCGTGAACAGGTACGAGATCATTTCGCCCCATAACAAGTTCTAAGCCGTTCGTCAGCTCTGCACGTCTTCTACCGCATCTCTGGAGCGCTTAACTGACAAGTCCGAAGTAATACATCGTTGTAACGAGCCCTACAACGAACGGGGCGCTCAAAGTACGTCCCTTGTTGTTGGTAAACAGTCGGGTGGGCGTTAGGGGGGCTTTCAGCGGCGCAAATGTCTCCCACAGCCCAAAGAAGATCAGGCACGCGAAGCCAGCGACGAGCAGACCAATCACGCGTGGAGCGTTGGCGGGAACAAGCTGGACGTAGACAATTCCGGTGAGAATCATCGCTGCCGCGGCGGTGAAGGTGAGAATTCCGACCCAGTCCAACGTGCGGAGAGCCTGGTCCCAGGGAGTTCCTCGCGGGTGTTGAGGAGGATAGTAGTAGAGGAAGAGAATCGCGAAGGAGAAGGCGATTGATATTGCCATGCTCCAGTATCCCCAGCGCCACTATGTCCTGCCGTCAGTACGCGTGATTCCAGTCGGAGAGGGGAGAACCCACCGATTCACCATGACGAATGGCAACTCTTGCTGTGACTGGGCCGGCGATGACGCAGAAGAATGCCGCACCATCTGCGAGGACCACGCCAATGTGTCGCCATCGGTTGGGGAGAAGCTCGGGGAGTGCAAAGGCAGCCTAACAAGTCTATGGTCAGCAAGTATTTTCTCCCATTTCCAGAGTGCTCGAACTGATCCTTTGCTCTGGAAAAGCGCGCGAAGCCGTCGGAATATCGTTGTGACTGATCTCGATGCGCTGACAAAAGTCATCGTTACGATTGCTTACCATCTGACAATTTCCAGCCCCAATACCAAGCAGAACATGTGCGGCGATTGATTGTCCGAGACTATGCGAGGTCGCGCCGACGATCGATCCAACGAACACGAAGATGTTGCCTCCGATGATAAACCAACGTCGACCGAACAAATCACTGTTCGCGCCGCATATCATGAATATGATGGCCACCGGAATGATGTAGACGGACGTGAACCTGTTCCAGTCAGCTCTGATCGAACCTTTTCACCTCCCGAGTGCAACAGTACCAAGTTCCGTATCGAGGCGACGTCCCAAATTCCGTGACAATTTGCGTCTGAATCGTTGAAAAGAACGGAACCGGCCAGAATGAGACACCATATGAGAACGCAAGTGTCTTGTAGCAAGTCAGCCATAGAGAATCATTCAACAAGGAGCACAGATGACCGACCATCACGACCAGCCAGGTCTTTTTCGTGACCACATATTCTTGATCTTCCGTCGGCACGGGATATATGTCACGACCAGCGTGTTTTTCGGCGTCGGAAGTCGAGCCTTCGCTGGGCTCCTTGTGCTCATGTTGAGAATCCGGCTGTTCTTTAATATCGTACTTCGCCTGCGCGAGGCTGTCGGCCATGGTTAAGATCTACAACGTCGGTCGACGCGTGAAATGGGAAATGATGGAAGAGATAAGAGACCGCCAACGATTGTCAGACGGAGCCATCGAAGTCAGGAGAAAATGCAAGGCGACGAAAATATGGGGGATCTTCACTGCGGTTTGCCATCATCGCTAATCAATCGCGCTTTCGGAGCCTCTCCTCCACGTGGTTGCCACCCCATGGGACCCCGATATCCCAGCGTCCAATCGCGAGCGTGGCTTGCGTGGAAAATGCGGGGACGCTCACTCCATCGGAAGGCCGGGAGCCGACTGGGCGAAGCTTCCATAGCCACGGCAAAGGCGTGTTTCCTCTGTAACCACGGTTATTCTTGCTCACACCGGCCATGACGTTGGGGGGAGATTTCTTGCCCCGGGTAGAGAGTACCTGTGTACAGCATATGTTTGGTCATATGCCCAATCGTTCTCTGCGTTGCCTGCTGGGGACCATCATTGACCGATTTCGGCGAGTAGAGCGTGGATCCTAACGATTACATCCTCGGATTACTGGTTTTCTTTTCGCCGTCATATATACCTGCGAGACCGAGTATATTCGCAGCCTCATTTCCCTCTTTCAACTACGCATATCCCATCAAACAATCCAACTACTCACCCACCACTACAATGGCCGCCGCCGCAGTACTCCCTCCCCAAACCCTCGAGACCACTCTCAACTACCATCTCGAGGTCGAGCGAGGCGGAGCAGAGGTTTGGATGCCTGGCACCGTCCGGGACAAACGCCGCCCGCACGAGCACATCGCCGCCAACGTCACCAACTTTCGAGGACGCGAGGCCGAATTTTCTGTCGACAAGCAGGGCTTCCAGGTCGATCCGTTTGAGTCGTCCGTCAACGACGTTGCCGACGATTCGGAGTTCAAGGGCCAGTATTACCAGGATGTGTGCGCGCATTTGAAGAAGATGTAAGTGTCTGGCGATGCTTTGGCCGGCGCAACTGTTGCTCACATGTGCTCTAGTACCGGTGCATCGAAGGTGCTTCCCGTCGTGCACATCGCCCGTCGACTCCGCTGGGACGAGGTGTTTGAGGCGGAGAAGGACTTGCCGGATAGTGCCCCTGTGACCGCGCCCACCAGCAATCGCTCCGGTAGGTCTGGTCATGATCGCCATATACATTATAATCACTAACCTGAACAATACAGTGCATGTTGACCAAAGCTACTTCGGCGCGGAACTCGTACGCGACAGCAAACTGGAAGAAGTATCGCCCGAGGAGGCGGAGAGGCTCAAGAAATGCCGCTGGGCAATCATCAACCTCTGGCGGCCCTTCAGCGTCGTCACACGCGACAATCTTGCCCTTTGCGATGCTACCACCGTCGATGAAAACGACTTGACCGCCGTCTACGCCGATCTGCCCGAATCGCTGAGGAAGGCGAAGAGCGGTTACAACTTTGCGGCCAAGTCGCGATCTGAGGCGTGGGAAGTCAAGACCAACCCCAACCACAGGTGGTACTATGCGTCGGGTGTTCGACCGGACGAGGCTCTTTTGATCAAGCAATTCGACTCGAAGAAGAACGGAGTTGCACGACGCACGCCGCACTGCGCCTTCTCGGCCAAGGAAGACTATGGCCCGACACGGCAGAGCATTGAAGTGAGGTGTCTGTTGTTCTGGGAGGATCAGCCGCAGGATTAGAGAATCGATAACTGTACTACTAAAATGAATTAGCTTGTGTTCTATCAGATCAAATCGGTCATTATCTTCTCGATCAAGTCGTAGTCGTGGCGAGCCATATGCTGCACGTGCACGCGACTCGCGCGCCAAACTCTAAAATTAATTAAGCGATATGCCCTCGAAATGCTTGGGCAAACTCCATGCCAAACCCGCCTTCTGCAATTCCTTCGCCCTCATCCTCCACAGACATGAAGCGGCCTCACTACAGATAACCCATCCGGGCCATCCATCATGCCTCACTACGTCCTACCCGTGCAGGCGCAATCCGGCCGCAACTCGCCCAAGGCCCCACCTGCTCACATCTACAATGTCAGCGATCCTCCATACTCCGGACAGCTCCCGGCAGACGAGACAACCTACCGACGCAGCTCTCCCGACACTGCCATCGTCATCGACAATGGCTCCTCATACATCCGCGCCGGATGGCAGTCCGACTCCACCCCGCGACTCCAATTCCCTCCGCTCATGTCACGCTATACAGATCGCAAACTCAACCGCAAGCTGACATTCATCGGCTCCGAGATCTACTTCGACGGAACGGCGCGCGGACAGGCAAAGAATGTGTACGAGCCGGGGAGTAACATTGTGAACAACTGGGATGCGCAAGAGGGCTTGCTGGACTACATCTTCATCAAGCTGGGCATTGACGGCGCGAATGGCGTGGTCGATCGGCCGGTCGTCATGACGGAGCCCTTGGCCAACCTCCCGTACACGAGAAAGGTGATGAGTGAGATTCTCTACGAACTCTACTCCGTCCCCAGCGTGACGTATGGCGTGGACAGCCTGTTCAGCTACAACTTCAACAAAGGCAATACCGGCTTGGTGCTGAGTTCGGCGAATATGAGCACGCACATGATTCCCGTCGTCAATCAGCAACCGCTTATCAGCCATGCCACGAGACTAGACTGGGGAAGGGCACATTGTGTGGAGTTTCTGCAGAGGCTGCTACGATCGAAATATCCCGGACTCCTAGCCTCGGGCAAGGTAAACGACACGCAGATCGAGGATCTTGTGCGATCGAATTGCTACATCAGCCAAGACTACGACGAGGAAGCATTGCATCTACTGGACTGGACGGGGCTGGAAGACCGCGGAAAGATCATTCAAATACCATTCCAGGAGAAGGAAGTGGTGCAGAAGACCGAGGAGGAGATCAGACGGGCGGAGGAGAAGCGTCGGGAGGGTGGTCGGCGGTTGCAGGAACAGGCAAGCAAGATGCGGCTTGAAAAGCTCATCAAGAAGGAGCAGGAGCTGGACTACTACAAGTCTCTCCAAGAGCGGCTTCCAGATATGACGAAGAAGGATATAAAGGCTTTATTGGACGACGAAGAGTTCAGAGATGAGGCGCAACTCGATCGCAAGATCAAGGAAATGGAGAAGAGTATCCGTCGACAACGCAACAAAGACGTTGGCGATATGGAAGAAGAGCCGGAGGAGCCGCCAACCTATCCTCTGTTGGACGTTCCAGATGAAGAGTTGGATGAGGAAGGGTTGAAGCAGAAGAGAGCTCAGCGATTACTGAAGAGCAACCACGAAGCAAGAGCTCGCGCAAAGGCGGAGAAGGTCGCGGAGAAAGCGCGGCAGGCTGAAGTGCAACGACTCGACGATGAGAGAAGAGAAGCCGATCTGGACGCGTGGGTGGAGGAGCGCCGAGCTGCACGACAAGCAGCAATGCAAAAGATCAGGGACCGAGATCGGTTAAAGGCGGAGCTGGGAAATCGCAAATCCCAAGCCAGCCAGATGCGCATGAAACATATCGCCAATCTGGCCTCCGACAATCCAAACGGACGGAAACGACGGCGAGGCGGCACGGATGATGATGGCTTTGGTGCCGATGACGCGGACTGGATGATTTACCGTGAGATCCAAGCGGGCCGGAACGACGACGATGACGATGACGAAGAGGAGGACCTTGGGGCACAGCTCAAGAACATCGAAGCACAGCTCCTGAAGCACGATCCGAACTTCACAGAGGAGAGCACGCAAGAGGCACGATCAGACTGGACCAAGTCCTTGGTGCATGCTTTCGTGCGCGGCCCATGGCCATTCGACGCCGAGAGTGCGAGGGAGAGCAATCAATTCCACCTCAACGTCGAGCGAATCCGCGTTCCCGAAGTCGTCTTTCAGCCCTCCATCGCTGGCGTCGACCAAGCGGGCATTGTCGAAATTGTCGAGAACATTGTCATGCAACGCCTCGCTGGCAACAACGCTCGTGATGATATGCTGAAAGACATCTTCCTCACCGGCGGCTATGCGCTTTTCCAAGGCTTCGAAGAACGTCTGCGCACGGAGTTGCGAGCCGTGTTGCCCGCAGAGGTGCAATTGGCTGTTCGCACGGCTAAGGACCCTGTCCTTGATGCTTGGAAGGGCGCGGCGAGTTGGGCGAGGACGGGGGAGAGCAGGAATGCGTTTGTCAGCCGCGAGGAGTACCTGGAGAAAGGCGGCGAGTACTTGCGTGAGCATAACTTGGGCAATGTCTTTACGTAGGGAGCAATCCGTGCATCTCTGCCGCTACTGTCTACTGAGCGTGGTAGGAACAGTAGGAAACAGAACGTGATAGATGTCAAAAGAGAAGTCATGACGAGCGCGCATGAGCAACTCAATATGTCTTGAATGAAGCTGTGGGTATCATATCAATCTACTTCATCCTGGACATTCCTCATTTCCGCTTCCTGCCCGGCTATGAAGGTTCTTTGAGGCTGTCGGTTGCTAATGCACTCGTCAGTCCCAGATTCCACATCCTCCCGCCTGGTGATGACCTACCTTCAAGATGAAACAAGACGTTCGACTGGTAGTTCTTGAACATTTGCGCCACCAGCTCGATGTTCATGTTGTTCACGTTGATTTCCTGTATCACGTCAGCATCTCTAGAGATCAGACGAAGCGGCATTTGCCTGGATATGACGCACCTGCAGAGTCTTGTTCAAGACCATGACGGCTTCGTTGAGTTTGTCCTATACGCTTAATCAGTGATACGTCCGAATGCAATGGGGGAGCCTGCCTCTCCTTACCACGTTTGTGATGATGCGGGAGAGCAGCAAGCTCTGCTGGTGTTCGTGGGGGCTCTCCTGTGCATGCTTGTCAGTAGTGTAGGCACATACTGCAGGGCTGACCTCACCATCAGATCACGCCTTTCCTTTCCACATAACAATATCGTTAAACGCGGCGTGAAGTGTTGGTGGAAATGGTTGCGCGACACGCGAGGCAAATAGACTTTTCTGCTAACGCCGAATTAGGCAACAAGTCACTCCATGTGCTCAGGTTTGCCCGGGATTTCGATGACACACTGACCTGGATTTCTTCAATAATTACGAGAACAGAGCTGTGATATCTGGACGGGGCAAAAAGATGTCTCCACACGCAGACGTCGCTGCTTCGCAGTGGCTGGAGCAACTCCAGTCGATGCGTGCCGCCATCGCTCAACTGAAGCTTCCCCAAACCAACGGCGACACTGGCCCTTCACCGTATGCCGACCTGGACGACGAAGAGCTCTCCCCGGACTCCGACTCTGCAGACATTTGGGATTTGATCTCCAACGACGAGGACGAAGATTTCAGCGATGAGAGCTTCGACTTGTCGCCACCGAATGAACGCCCTTCCGGCGATGGCGCTTCAAGCGCTTCAGTTGGATCCAGACCTTGGCTTCGCTCTCGCTGCGATGACATCGCCCAGAGTAGTACGGGTTTGTCGGGCGATGCACTCCAGGAACAGATTCTGGCCGTTCTTGCTTCTGACAGCAATGATGATGAACTTCAAATGACTCTGGCTGACATGGTCGGCTTCGGCGAACTTGATTTCGTTTCCGACCTCATCAAATACCGGACATCGCTCACGTCTGAACCGGTCAAATCTCTGGACGGCATTCTTTCTAAATCCGAAAGAGACGCCAAACTCCGAGAGCTGGATCGTGAACACAAATCCGCCGGCTTGGCCTCTGCCCAGGATCGTACCGGGCCTGTCTATCCTCACATCTACCGTGCGCACGACGCAGGCAATGCTCTCTCTGCCCATGGCAAAAAGTACCTCTTACCCATCGGAAGTGAACGTGTAGACCACGAGAAATACGAAGAGTATACGATTCCTGCGGCCAAAGTGGGGACCGTAGGTGCAGACCGGCCGCTGGTGCGAATCACAGACCTCGATGGCTTATGCAAGCGGACGTTTGTGGGCTACACTTCCCTGAACCGCATGCAAAGCCTGGTGTATCCTGTTGCATACAAGACGAGCGAGAACATGCTGATCTGTGCACCAACTGGTGCCGGCAAGACTGATGCGGCAATGCTCACAATCCTCAACGCCATCGCCAAGAACATTCACCCCAACCCCATTGATGAGCCTGAAGCGACCGAGTTCGCTGTCCATACAAACGACTTCAAAATTGTATATGTGGCGCCAATGAAGGCACTGGCGGCAGAAATCACACAGAAACTAGGCAAAAGGCTGGCATGGTTGGGAGTCGAGGTACGCGAGCTGACGGGTGACATGCATCTCACCAAGGCCGAGATTGTGCGAACTCAGATCATCGTTACGACTCCAGAGAAATGGGACGTTGTTACTCGGAAGTCCACCGGCGACACCGAGCTCGTGCAAAAGGTCCGACTGCTGATCATTGATGAGGTTCACATGCTTCACGATGAACGTGGCGCTGTGCTAGAGTCTCTGGTGGCCAGAACGGAGCGACAAGTGGAGAGCACGCAATCATTGATTCGCATTGTTGGCCTCTCTGCAACCTTGCCCAACTATGTCGACGTGTCGGATTTCCTCAAAGTCAATCGCATGGCTGGCCTTTTCTACTTTGATCAGTCCTTCCGTCCAGTCCCACTTGAACAGCACTTCATCGGCATCAAGGGCAAGGCGGGGTCAAAAGCGAGCCGCGAAAACCTCGACAACACCGCCTTCGAGAAGGTCAGAGAGATTCTGGAACAGGACAAACAAGTCATGGTATTTGTGCATAGCCGGAAAGACACCGTCAAGACCGCGAGAATGCTATACGAGATGGCAGCCGATCAGGGAGTTGCAGATTTGTTTGATCCCAGCTTTCACGAAGGCTATTCCAACGCCATGCGGGACGTGAAAACTTCCAAAGGCCGAGAAATCCGTGAGTTGGTGGCCAAAGGCCTTGGAACTCATCATGCCGGCATGCCGCGCTCAGATCGCAACCTGATAGAACGACTATTTGACACGGGCATTCTCAAAGTTCTGTGCTGTACCGCCACCCTTGCTTGGGGTGTCAACCTTCCCGCTGCAGCCGTCATCATCAAAGGCACACAGCTGTACAGCGCAGAAGCCGGCAAGTTTGTCGATCTCGGGATCCTGGACGTCCTTCAGATTTTTGGTCGTGCTGGTCGACCTCAGTATCGGGACACCGGTACCGGCTTCATCCTCACAACCCAAGACAAGCTCCAGCACTACCTCTCTGCGGTCACTCAACAACAGCCCATCGAGTCGCAATTCAGCAAAAAGATGGTGGACAATCTGAATGCCGAAATCTCCCTTGGAACTGTCACCAGTGTACCAGAAGCCGTCACTTGGCTGGGCTACTCGTACCTCTTTGTGCGCATGAGAAGGAATCCACTCACGTATGGCATCGACTGGGCGGAGATTCGTGATGATCCGAATCTTGTCCAACGCCGGCGGGATTTGGTCGTCAAAGCCGCGCGTGTGTTGCAGCAAAGCCAGATGATCATATTCAACGAAACCACCGAAGAATTGCGAGCCAAGGATGTGGGCAGAATCGCCAGCCAGTACTACGTCCTGCAAACGTCCATTGAAATCTTCAACACTATGATGCGACCGCGAGCAACCGAGGCCGACGTGCTGAAGATGATCAGCATGAGCGGAGAATTCGACAACATCCAATCCCGAGACACGGAAGAGAAGGAGTTGATGCGATTGAAAGAAGAAGCAGCTCCATGTGATATTGATGGTGGCATCGGAACTCAGCAAGGCAAGACGAACGTCTTATTGCAATCCTACATCAGCAAAGCAAATCTGGAAGACTTCACGCTGGTCAGTGACACGGCGTATGTTGCTCAGAACGCGGCGCGTATATGTCGAGCGCTGTTCATGATCGCGCTTAACAGGCGCTGGGGTTATCAGTGCTTGATCTTGCTAAGCATGTGCAAGAGCATCGAAAAGCGAGTCTGGCCGTATGAACACCCGTTCCGACAGTTTGATCTTCCCCAATCAGTCTTGCGACACCTGGACGAGAAAGGGTCAACAGCCTCGATCGAATCGCTGCGAGAGATGGAATCTGCCGAGATTGGCAGTCTGGTTCACAATCACAGCATGGGCGGCACGATCTCGAAGCTGCTGAATAACTTTCCAACGCTGTCCGTCGAGGCCGAAATCGCCCCTTTGAACCGAGATGTCTTGCGCATCAAGCTCTATGTCACGCCGGAGTTCCGGTGGAATGACCGCCATCACGGCACGAGCGAGAGCTACTGGATCTGGGTGGAGAATTCGGAGACAAGCGAGATCTACCATCACGAGTATTTCATTCTAAGCCGGAAGAAACTCTACGACGACCACGAGCTCAACTTCACCATTCCACTCTCCGACCCACTGCCGAGCCAGATCTATGTACGGGCAGTGTCCGATCGGTGGTTGGGCGCCGAGACGGTCCATGCTGTCTCTTTCCAACACCTGATCAGGCCAGACACGGAGAGCGTGTATACGGATCTTTTGAACCTGCAGCCACTTCCTCTCAAAGCACTGCAGAATCCGCTGCTGGAGGAGATCTACGGTCAACGATTCCAATTCTTCAATCCCATGCAGACGCAATTATTCCATTGCATGTATCACACCTCTGCCAACGTGCTGCTCGGCTCTCCAACTGGCTCAGGAAAGACCATCGCAGCCGAGCTGGCGATGTGGTGGGCATTCCGTGAACGTCCCGGAAGTAAAGTCGTGTACATTGCTCCAATGAAAGCCCTCGTCCGCGAACGGGTGCAAGATTGGAGTAAACGCCTCACGAGACAGATGGGTCTCAAGCTAGTCGAACTCACCGGCGACAACACGCCGGACACGCGAACGATACGAGATGCCGATATCATCGTCACGACTCCCGAGAAGTGGGATGGTATCAGTCGTAGCTGGCAAACGCGAAGCTACGTCCAGCAAGTCAGTCTGGTCATCATCGACGAGATCCATTTGCTCGGCGGTGACCGTGGCCCCATCCTGGAGATCATCGTCAGCCGCATGAATTACATTGCTTCGCAGAAAAAAGGCTCCATCCGCCTCGTCGGCATGTCAACCGCCTGTGCGAACGCCATGGACCTTGCAAACTGGCTTGGCGTGAAAGAAGGATTGTTCAACTTCCGACACTCCGTTCGACCCGTGCCGCTTGAGATCTACATTGACGGCTTCCCTCAACAACGCGGGTTCTGCCCTCTAATGCAGAGCATGAACCGCCCCACATTCCTCGCCATCAAATCACACTCTCCTGACAAGCCTGTCATTGTATTTGTCGCCTCTCGACGCCAGACAAGATTGACAGCGAAAGATCTCATCAATTTCTGCGGGATGGAAGACAATCCCAGACGCTTCGTGCGCATGTCGGAAGACGACCTCGCCTTGAATCTGAGTCGTGTCAAAGATGAGGCACTCCGGGAGGCGATGAGCTTCGGCATTGGTCTGCATCATGCTGGTCTGGTCGAGTCGGACCGACAGCTTTCCGAAGAGCTGTTTGCCAACAACAAAATCCAGATCCTTGTGGCAACAAGCACGCTGGCCTGGGGAGTCAACTTACCTGCCCATCTTGTGGTGGTAAAAGGTACACAGTACTTTGATGCTAAGATTGAAGGATACAAGGACATGGATCTCACCGACGTGCTGCAAATGCTCGGCAGAGCTGGCAGGCCTCAATTCGACACCTCCGGAATTGCTCGCATCTTCACTCAAGATTCCAAGAAAGCTTTCTACAAGCACTTCCTGCATACCGGCTTCCCTGTCGAATCTTCGCTACACAATGTACTGGACAACCATTTTGCTGCAGAAGTGTCGGCCGAAACCATCGCTACTAAGCAGGACGCCCTGGACTATCTGACCTGGACGTTCTTTTTCCGCCGTTTGCACAAGAATCCATCGTATTACGGCTTGGAACTGTCGGCCGAGGACAACTACACCGTGGCCGCCCAAGAGGCCGCAAATGACTTCATTGTCGATCTGGTTGACAAGTCTCTGGAGGAGCTGGCAGAGTCGCGCTGTATCACGCTGCACAGCAATGGCGACATTGACCCGACGCCTCTCGGCAAGATCATGAGTTACTACTACCTCTCGCACAAAACCATTCGCCAGCTCACAAAAGACGCCAAGCCCAACGCCAGTTTCCAGGATGTCCTGTCCTGGATGTGCAAAGCGACCGAATACGATGAACTACCAGTGCGTCACAACGAGGATTTGATCAACGCAGAGCTATCGGCGAATCTACCACTGCAAGCCGAGGACTTTGGTCTTCCGATGTGGGATCCCCACGTCAAAGTCTTCCTGCTGTTGCAAGCCCACTTCTCGCGCATCGACCTGCCCATCACCGATTACGTCGGCGATCAGAACTCCGTGCTCGATCAAAGCATCCGTATCATCCAGGCCAGCATAGACGTCTTGACGGAAATGGGATTATTGCAAAGCTGCAGAATGATGATGACGCTGCTCCGGTGCGTCAAATCCGCCCGATGGCCGGACGACGGCGCACTCTCCATCCTCCCTGGCGTGGACATCGAGAAAGAGAAACGCAGGATGGAAAGTGGCAAGAAGCCTCAATCGCTCATCGAAGCCACTACCTCCCCCCGCCAAGAGCTAGACGCCGCACTGCGACAGTCAGGCTCATCGTCGAACGACGCCCAAGCTCGAAGCCACAAAGCCCTTGCCCAACTCCCCATTCTGCAAGTCAGCGTGACAAACGTCAACGCGCTCGGCTTCTCCATCAATTTGACGCGAGTCAACCCACCACAGAGCCGGGAACAGCGCATTTTTGCCCCTCGCTACCCGAAGCCTCAAACGGAAGGCTTTTTCGCCTTGGTGGCCGATGCGGCGAATGGAGATGTTCTGGCGCTGAAGAGGATCAATTGGCCGTCGCCGGATAAGAGGGGTCCTGCTGCTGGGAGGGCTAGTCTTTCTACGAAAGCGATGGTGAAGCTGCCTCCGAGTCGCGCGGAGAGGAAGGTCAGTGTGGTTGTTGTGAGTGACAGCTATATTGGGATGGAATGGAAGGTGGATGAAGTGGAGGTTCCGGCGCCACCGCAGGTCGCTGACGGGGTTGTGAAGAAGGAAGCGAAGGGCTCTAGCTAGGATCTTTCTTCCATGCAACTGTGAAATGTATACATGCATCACCTGCGTGTAACGCTCTTCCGCTTTCAACCTCTTCCTTCCACTCAACTAGATTGCTTCCCAGCAAAGGCCAGGTAAGCCTCAATCATGTCCACCGAAACCCTCTTCTTCGTCCTGGGCAGTGCATACTCGAAATCCTCCTCAAGAAGCTGAAGCTCAGCCGGAGCCTCAGCACCATGCGCCCGCACAAACGCCCTCTCCTTCGCCAAATTACACAACTCTTTAATCTCCGCTCCGGTAAAGCCATCCGTGGCCCTGACGAAGCGGATGAAATCAATATATCCTCCCTTCGGAACACCCTTCATTTGAATGCTGAAAATCTCCTGTCTCGCCAACGTATCCGGCGGGCCGAGATAGATCTGCGCGTCGAAGCGGCCGGGCCGCATGATTGCCGAGTCGAGCACTTCGGGCTTGTTGGTGGCCGCGAGGATGATGACGTTGTTGAGCGGACGGAAACCGTCCATTTCGTTTAGCAGGGTCGTGAGGACGTTTAGTCCTTTCGAAGCACCGCCTTCTCGAACAGAAGCGATCGAGTCGATTTCGTCGAAGAAGACGACGCACGGTGCGGCGGCCCGGGCTTTGCTAAAGAGGTTGCGGATCGCGCGCTCGGACTCGCCGACGTACATGCTGATTAGCTCGGCGCCTTGGACGGCGATGAAGTTGAGGTCGTAGGTCTTTGCTACCGCTTGCGCGGTCATGGTTTTGGAGCAGCCTGGTGGGCCGTAGAGGAGAATGCCTTTTGTGCTCTCTAGGCGGAGGGTTGTCATGTCTTCTGCGTAGTCAAGTGGCCAGCCGATGATGTGGTCGAAGCGTTCTTTGATGGCTTGAGATCCACCAATGTCGGACCATTGGATTTGTGGCTTCTCGAAGAGGAACTCGCGCAACGCTGTGGGTCGCACTTGTGTCAGGGCATAGTCAAAGTCTTCTGTAGTGATTGTGATCAGTGGCTTCTCCTTGGGTTGTGCCTGAGTTGCATCCACTTTAGCAACGGCTTGATTGTTCGCCGCTCCGTCGAACGAGATCAGCAAAGATGACATCGATTCGTGGTTGGGCAGGTCTCGACTCTCGAACTCCTCTCTCGCTTCAGACTGTTCTACGGCCTGTTCTCGCGCCAGAGTGATGAGCAGAGCTAGATCTCTGCCTGTGAAGCCGTGAGTGCGGCGACCGAGGTCTCGTGCAACGTCTGCCTCCGTATCTGATCCATCGAGTAGGGCGTCGAGAATGTCAATCCGAGCGACATGGTCTGGAACTGGCAACTCAACGTTTCGGGATAGAAGGCCCACTCCGATGAGCCTCTGAAAGACATCGTCAGGGTTGCGACACGTCGCCACGACCAGGACTTGAGCGCCGTTGAGCCTATTGAATTGTTTCGTCAAAGCCTTCCCGTACGCAGAACCGTTTGCGGGTGCGAGCTCATGGAGATCGTCGATGAGGATGAGACTTGGCTGGTTGTCCAAAGCAGTGGTGAAGGTACTCTCAATATGAGCTTGATTCTTCGAGGCGGATGGAGAATCGAGCTCCAGCTCGTCCAAGTAGAGTACCTTTCGAAATGGAGCGCGCTTCATACGGCTGAGCAGCATGGACTTACCCGTACCTTCGTACCCGTGGATGAGCACGCCGGCGTGACGAGTAAGGCCTTGAGGTGCTCGAGTGTCTTCGATCACACGCTTCATACTGGCGTTGAGGGTCTTGATTTGGTCTAAGAGGCCGCCAATATGCTTCGCATCAATTCCGGCGTAGCCATGGTGGTCTCCATTGGCAGCTGTGGTGTTGGGGGTAACGTCCAGTCCGTTAATGACAAGCTTGGTGTGATCGTTGAAGTAGAACAGAGCTGGAATGCCGGGAGCAGTAGTCGCTGCGTCGACGTGCTCGACATGAAAGCGCTTCCTAATGCCCTTCCTTGCAGTCACGTCAAAATTGGTGCCACTCGCAAAAGCCTCGCAGTTGCCTAGTAACGCTGTCAGTAGTTGTTCTTCGCAGAAAGATGGATGATACTCACTCAGCGTGTGTCCACATCGCCACCACCACTTCTCATCTTCCGTCTCCGCTGCATCACCATTGAGGAACTCTGTTGGAGTAACATCGGTAAGCACGACCTTGTCAGCCCTGGCAATCTTCGCACGGCTCGGACTAAGATTGACGTGGCTGCCCTCTTTGATATTAAAGGCGTGACGTAGCGTGTCGGTCATCTTTGCCGGCTTCTGCTTGGGATTTGCGCCGAGTTTTTCGGTGGCTCGCCATGCGATGCCGTGACCGAGGAGGTCAGTGCCATGTTCGCCGCCCGAAACCTCACACACGTCGCCCACTCTCAGGCCAAGGACGTCGAGCTGTTCGGGTGGGATGTGAATGCGGAATGCGCCGTCGAGGCCTGGAGTCCGTCAGTGCATGATCCGCGTTGCAAGCATATGGCAGGTGACACTCACCACTGTGGGCCGGCAGGGGTCGCACGGCGAAATGCATACGCCTGAAGTCAACCGGTGAGTCAGTATTAGTCGATCGCAGGCATCGATACATGGACGCACCCTTCCAGCGCCATTTTGAGGAAGTTCAAACTGCAGCAGGTAAATGGAGGGTTCAACCTCAAAGGGTGGACGAGTTGAGACATACTATGCTGATATTGAGGGTTTGCGGAAGAATCGCAAGCGATGTTGGCAACACTTCACCTGCAGTCACGGCCTCTTGCCGCTGCAGAATGATCAAGGGCTGTCACCGCCGCCGTCGAGTTATGTCATCCGTCTTCGTCCAAGTGTGGTTCATGTGAATGTGACAAAATAGGAAGGCTGGGCCGGAGAACGTAGAAATCGGGACACTTGTGTGGCAGTGAGGAGTGGCGCGATCCAAAGACAAAACAAGAGGTTCCGAACACGTCTGTATTGTCGCATACGCTTTGTCGGTGTGATTTTGGGGGTGTAGGAGGTGTGAGGCAAGGTCTACGTCCTTCTTCAGTCCTCATGTCGCTGATCGGTGGCTCAAGTTTAAGCTTTGCTAGCGCCGGCTCGAGCCGACCGCAGCTCCCGCACTCGGCACGTCCATTCGAGAGCTCACTATTGGAACACTCGATCATGGACATACGCCCCGATTCATGCTGGTCGTGTCGGTGATTGAAAGGCGCCCCGCCCTGCAAGCTTTTCACCATGCTTGCCACGTCTCCAGGCGCCAGCTCAGCAACGGCCTGCGAAGGACCCTGGCCCAGCGACGATCTGCCAACGATGATGGAGCGGTAGGGAAGAGAACGGGATTGCGGATGGTGGAGGAGAGAGTGGAAGGGGAATTCCACGGAACAGAAAATGGAAGAGCAGTGGGAATGGATGCTGTGCGTCGAGGAGCGCTAGTGCGAAGGATAGAAAGTGGGCCAAAGGGGGAATGGGGTCCATCAGGAGCGCAAAAGGGCCAGAACCGACGACAGGAACTGGATGCTGCAACGTCCGAAGGGCCATCAGACCTCTTCGAACGGCTGTTCCCTGACCAGAAGGCCGAGACACATGGCGCTGGACTAAAAGCACCCGACTTGCACGCCGACCTGCCTCCTCTACCGCTTCCTAAATTTGCGCTAGCACCCGCAGCACGCAAAGCCCGCAAGCGCTTCAAAGAGTATGAAGAAACAGGTATGGCGCGCGGCGCTCTGCGCATGAGAGACGACATGGCCAATCAGCTCGCCGAAACATCCGTGCTTGTCTTGAACAACGCCAGCCCGAACCTGGTCGAGGACGATTTTAGGCGGCTCATACCGCAAGGCAGGCATATCGAAGGCTGGACCTTGGAACAGGGCGACATTTTGCGCATCATTCCCGGCCGCGACCTCGCAACTCTCGCGCCGCTCGACTCCTACTTCCTGCTGTTCTCCTCTCCTCTGAGTGCGTTTACATACCAGGGCCACGTCGCTCGCATCCACGACATTGTCGCTTCGCATTCGCCTGCAGACATCTTCTCGCCCATTCCACCTCCCGCGGGCTTTCGAATCCACGGCATTGATGCTCACACGGCCATACAAAACTTTACTCTGGTTCCCCCGACCCAGTCTCTAGATCTGCGGAAGCTCAAGACGCCGCTCAACAGCAAGATCCAGTCACTCGTCCAACATGGCGGCTATCCTGCGCTTGTGAAGCGGCCGGACCGCATGCCATTCGAAGCGCGACTGACTCTGGAAGGTCTGCCGCTCACGACCAACATCATTCGCCTCATTCTCCTGCAAACGGCTAAAACCCGAGCACTTGGCTGGTCGGGTAGCGAGGATCTGACGCCGCAGTTGTCGAGATGGAAGCCCCCTTCCAGCTTCAGAGGCGCCTACCGCGATGCAGCGGGTAAATGGCACAGTGAAAGCCATCGGCCAGCATATGAAAAGCCCGATGATGATTCTGCACAGGAAAACGATGAGCAGAAGCAACGGACAACGTCACCGGTGTACATTGTCGGCTTTCATACGTCGCGCGCACTGCAGAGCTTCGTGCACTATTGGCACCGGCGGCCCATGGAGGATCCCGGTACCCCGACATACGGACTTGAAGAGGGCGACACACCGCCGATTGCCAACGTCGAGGTCCTATGGTGAAGGGCTTACTCAGCATCCTTCGCCGCTCCTTTTCTGGATGAAAATTGGCGTAGTCCATTCTCCATGGCAACAGTAAGGTCTTTCGCGCGGAGAACACCGTCTTCCCGGAAACTCAGCCTCTTTGTCGTGAATGCCAGCAGACTCTCGGCTCTCGCGCCTTCTACGGCATCGAGAAGTCCCACCGCAACGTCAATAAGACCATCTCGTTGGTCGTGAGTAAAGAAAACACTCGCGCCACACGTGCCGCAATGATACCGAATAACATGCGGAGAAGAGGTATACGCTCGCAGCGTACTAAAAGGCAGAGAGAACGGAACATCGCCCTCGGCGTCCAGCGTGATGTCGATCGCCGGCACAAATGCCCACGGCATCCACTCCATCCCTGTATCGAGTCGGCAACTATTGCACGCGCAGACACCAGCGAGGAACTTCTTCCCGCCATCGCAAAGCCACCACGCGGCGGGCGCGGGCCGGGCTTCTGTCGAATGGTCCGGAATAATGAGATCCGGCCACGGGCAAGAGGCCTGTTCGGACCGCTCAGACGGCCGCGCGATCCAGAATTGGACACCGCCGCATTTGCAGTGCGCGTGCACTTTTTCCGCCCGCGATTCGCGGATTGATGGCCTGTTAGGGGAAGTCCAGTACAGCGGCAATTGCTCCGACTTGCCAGGCCAGCCCGCCCATCTCGAGATTGCCTTGCCATTCACCGAAGGCAGAAAGTCAGCCTGCCCGCCGTCGAGAGTGTCAGCGACGAACTCGTGCGATTGCAGTTCGAAAATGCCGTCCGCTTGCTCCAGCGTGCCCGTCATCGCATCCCACTGCTCCCCTTTTGAGCGGTCATCGCCATCCTTCCAGTAGTGCGAGAGCATGAGCGTGCCGCACGTGGAGCAGAAGTATTGCGTCAGGCGCTTGGAGAAGGGGAAGGCGGTCAGGTTAGCGAGGACGGCGGGGGCGGGGGCGTAGTCCGCGGCGAGTTGGATGAATGTGAGGCCTAGTGTTCCTGTCTGCAGTGGATCTCAGTATCTCTTCTGCGTTGTCCGTTTTATAATTTTTTTGAAGCACAGGGTCTGCGTACCATGTGTCGGCATGAATGGCAGTGGCAGATGCTCAGTCGCAACGGTAGATCTGCCTTCGCTAGCTCGAGCTGGTGGCGTGCTACGCCACATAGGCACCTCGCAGTAACCGTCTCATAACCGTCGGACATCTTTCCGACGAGATGTTGATGTGACAGGGAAAGATGCAAGTTAAAAAGACGAGACGCTTAGTTACAGTAAGGTGAAAGGCGGGGGAGAATATATGCGAGGCCAAGAAAGATCAGCCACTTCCATACGCCCTAGATTTGACGGCTTTGGCAGTAGAACAGCGTGCGCGCAATCGCTTCTTCTGTGCGGATTAATAATGCTATAGAGTCACGTCTATGCTTGGCGGTGAAACGACGCTCGGGCAGCAATGCAGTGGAGAGATAAATGCACATTCACGACGCAGTCCCGCCTCGCCCTCCTACTTTCGCCAACGCTTCGCTCTGCTCCTTTGATAGATTCCGAACGGGCAGCTCTTTCGAGGGCGTAGCCGGGGCACGCATGAACCCTCTCGCAATAAGATATCCAAGGTACGCACCAACAGCTTCCTTCGTGACACCGCCCAGCGGCAGCGGTCGCCCAAGCGCTTGTGCGTCCTTCGACATGGCCTCGGCGGCATTGCGGTCATCAAGTGCAGGCGCTTTCGTGGAAGCTGGAAGGTCGCCTGTGACCATGTGGAACAATCCCAGAAGTGCGAGCTCCTCCCCAGAATCCGAAGACTCGACGTACTCTTCAACTTTCCGCTTCCAATCTGCGTACGGCACGAGCGGCACCGGGTAGCCGTAGTGCTCCAGTATGCCTAGGTAATCGTTGAACGTGAGACGCGGGTGACTCTCGATTTGCGCAACGCTGGCCGTGGGAGATTGAAAAGCGGCAGCAAGGATTTTGCGCGCCACGGTCCTCACGGGCACCATGTTGATCGTGTTGGTGATGTCTGGTCTGCACCCGACTTGCACACATCCCTTCAGCATGCGGATGAGGAAGTCATCGGTGTTGCTCACGCCGCTGTCCTCGTCGCCCATCACGTAGCCAGGCCGAATGATGACGCCGTTCAAGCCACGCCGGCAGGCTTCGCGGATCAGTAGCTCCGATACCCATTTGGTTTGCCCATAGCCAGTGTCCAGACCTTGGCGACTGCCTTCGAGATCATCGGTTTCGAGCACGGGCTGACCGGCGTCTGTCATCTCGACAAAGTGCTCGGAATCAAGCACACTCGTAGAGCTGACGAATGCCAACCTCTTCCCCCGTCCTGTCGTACAGAGCTGGATGCACTCGAGTGTGGACTGCACATTGGCAGCTTTGAGACTCTCGTACGGTGAGAGCCAATGCACTCGGGCGCCGTTGTGAATGATGAGCTCCGCATCCTCGGCGATCTTGCGATAATCCGCATCGTTCATGCCAAGTTTCGGCTTCTCCAAATCACCAATAACGACCTCGAGATTGCCCTCGGTCGCCCACCACTCGTGCCAAAGGCCGTAAGCTTTGCAGGTCATCCTGATTCGTTCCATGCCCTCCCGGTGCGACGAAGCTCGGACGTGAGCGTACACATGACAAGGGCTGCTGCGCATGATTGCTTCGTGCAGAATGTACGCGCCCAGGAATCCTGTTGCGCCGGTCAATAGAATCCGTGCACCGTGGTACAGTTCGGACAGCTCTCGCAGGCTTGCTGATGGGAGAGATGCTGGTAACGCCGCGACTTGAACGGAGAGATCATTTGAATACTGCTCCTGCTGGTGCTCCTCCTCCTCCCCTTCTTCCGCGGCGTCCATTCTCAGGCCGACAGGATCCAGCGATCTGTCAATGTATCGCGCGAGTCTTCGCAAGGTCGGTTGCTTACTCGCCATAGCAGACATCGGCACATTGGCACCTTTCCAACGCTTGTTGATCTTAGGCAAGATCTGCACAGCCATGATACTGTTGCCTCCGAGATCTTCGAACTTTGCATCTCTGGGTAGACTGTCAGCCGTTTGACGGGGCAAGTGGAAAGCCCAGATTTCAGCCAAAGCGTTCTCGGTCTCCGTTCGCGAGTCCAGATCGGTTGCTTTGGAAATGGCACCCAACAGGTCTGCTTCCTCCGGGAAAGGGAGAGCACGTCTGTCGACTTTTCCATTAGGAGTGAGGGGCAGTCGAAGCATGGGAATGAACAAAGTCGGCACAGCGTATGCAGGTAGCTTCTTCTTGAGCGCATCTCGTGCGTTAAAGGTGAGGAGCTCGAAGATTCGCATACGCTGCGCCATCCCCATGCCTTCGTTTGCAGACTCGCGGCGCCGTATGCCATTTGTTGTTTGCACAGTCCGAGATGTCTCTTCTTGCTGTGAGTACCATTCTCTCCACTTCTTCATGTCCGGGACGTAGTATGACACGAGAATCTGCTCCTCGTTGTGGTCGCGTCTCACCAATGTCACATTCTCGCGGATGAGTGGATGCTGTGAGAGATGAGTGTCGATTTCGCCGAGCTCGATTCGGAACCCGCGGATCTTCACTTGGTCGTCTGCACGGCCACAGCACTCCACGTTGCCATCTGGCATGTACCTTCCGAGATCGCCTGATCGGTACATGCGATCTCGCGGACCCAGATAGCACTCGCGCCAGGGCTCGGCAGTGTTGGAAGCCGCCACTCGCTTTTTGTCTTCGTCCACCCACTTCTGCGGGTCGACAAACCAATTCACCACGAACTTTTCCTTCGATTTCGTAGGGTCGCCAAGGTAGTGTTCTGCAAGTCCCCCAGCTCGGACGTAGATCTCACCGATCTCACCAAGCTCGCACTGTCGCTCTGGCTTCTCGCGATCGACGACCAACAATTGGACATCCATCATGCCTTTGCCAGCTGGAATGACGTCCCCCATGTGATCCAGGTATTCTGCGTCCTCATTGAGCGAGGGGAGCTCGTAGTAGGACACAGCACGCTGGGTTTCTGTTGTGCCATACATATTTTTGATTCTGCAGTTAGGGGCGAGCTGTTGCAATCGTCTGCAGTCTCGTTTGAGTAGCACGTCGCCAACGAAGAATGCTCCGTGGAGGCTGGTAACTTTGGGTTCGGTGCTACCCAGGAGAATCTGACCCATGGCCGGGGTGAGATGTGTGACGGTGATCTCGTTCGTGCTCGCCCATGTCGCCAAGCGGTCGAAAGTGATGTACTCAGCGGGTGGGACGATGAGCGAAGCGCCCAAGAAGAGTGGGGTGAAGATGTCCCGCTGGATAGGATCATGCGCAATGCCACTCAGCATGGAAAACCGGTCATTCTCCGACAGGCCGAACCTTTCTTTCATCCAGGGGAAATAGTATGCGAGTGAGAAGTGTCTTCCCTTCACACCCTTTGGCTTGCCTTCAGAGCCGGAGGTGAAAGACAAGGTTGGTGTGCTGTCAGGGCCGACAACGACCCCCGGTAGCGTGGCTTTCTTGGACACAGAATGAGCAAGACAATCTTCTTGGCCGGAAGAAGAGCCTCCAAGTACTGTGCCGTCATTTTGGAGTTTCAATGCAGGTACTTCGGTGCGAAGATCCAGGTTCTCCTTGATCCAGTCTCGCACGCTGCGGTCTAATGGACCCGCATCGCGTGTTGCCTTGTCTATGACCACGAGCGCTCTGGGTCGAGCGACATCCAAGTAGATGATCTGGCGATCTGGCGGGTACGCGGGATCAATGACGCTGAATGTTGCGCCGGCTTTCAGGACCCCCATAACCGCCACGACCAAGTCAACACCACGGTGGGCATAGACCATGACGACTTCCCCGCGCTGGACACCCTGGTCGACAAGGTGATGTGCAACAATGTTGGATGCTTGGTCGATTTGCTGGTAGTTGAACTCCCGCCGAGGTGTGTCTGATGATGCGGTTTCCACCACGCATGTGCGGTCGGGGTGTTTGGCAGCATTGGCGGCGAAGATCTCATGGATGGCTCCCCGGTAGTCCGACCAGTGAAGATCGGAGGTCGGATCCGGACGCACATCGTGCGAGGCTAGTGCCATCTTGACTGAGCGGTGGTTGCTGCAAGAGTGGTGATATATCGAATGAGCTCTCAATGATTTGTGCACCGGTGACGTAGACTTTAAGCAGCTTAATCCTCATTCACCGCCACATTGCAGGCGGAAAGAAAGGTGTGTGAGATTCAGCGGGTATTCGGGCTGTAGGTAGATCGGGCTCTGCAGAGATCTGTCCCCAAACACGCTCAAGATGGTGAGGAATGGCTCGTGTCTTCCAATGGACAGCTCCAAGACTCACAAGCCACAACTTTTCATCGGATCTCCGCCGATATTCGGGCGGCGTTTTAAGGTTTACCTTGCGGGCGATTTCCCCACCGCGCTAAGGCCGATTGTAGACTAGATTGGGCTCTGCCGTAGCACCAGCGGGTGCTTGCTACAAAGTTCCGCCAGCCTTCTCCTTCTCTTCCTTCTTCTTCTCTCCACCATCCACCATCATGGGCCTGCGGAGCGGTCGGAGTAGCCTGACGAGTCGGCGGCGACCGTTAGCCGATGAGGCGAAACGATCGACTCGGCGAAAGATACCGGCGCACAAGAAAGAGGTAGATGATGTGGCTCCCCGACAGCCTGATTTGGAAGAGCTGAGGTCGAGACGCACGGAGTATTACAGCGTGCCGAGTTCACAGCGGAGGAAAGCGGCGTCGTCGAACTCGAGCCGAACCGCTTCAAGACGTTCTTCGAATACCAGTCTTTCGAGACAAAGTCACGGATACCGAAGGCACACAACTAAAGAGACCTCGGCCAGACCGAATGTTGAGATCAGAGAAGCTCGCATAAGTGCGGATGAATACGTCTATGCGCCAAGGAGGGACCCAGAGCAGGATTTCGATCCCCCACACCCCGAAAGGCGAAGGACTAATCGAAGTAGATCTGAGAAATCTTCCACCAAGAGGACGGTCCCAGCCGCACGCAGCGTCCTGTCAACCGTTACGGAAGCAGAACTCACTCCAGAGGACAGCATTTCACAAGTCGGCCGGAGTGACAGGGTTGAGCGAGTCGAGTACTCAGAGCCTACTCGGCCATATATGCGAAAGAGGCGCACCACTTCTTCGAGGCTTGCCCCCCTCCCTGAAGAGTCGGCACCTGTGCCCTCTGCCTCGAAGTCAAGAAATTATCCCAGAACGCCAGCGCCACCTTCTACCTCTGCAACCACCCGTCGACATTCAACGACTTCAGTCCCAGTCCAGCCCCGTCTTGTCGAATGTCTGACATGCGGCGAAGACACACCCTCGACCCGATCTGCCAAATTGGGCTGCGGCCATCGCATGTGCCATGACTGCCTGAGACGCATCTTCGAAATGTCCGTCAAGAATCCGCAGCACATGCCGCCAAAATGCTGCACCGACGCCCACATCCCTCTCAAGCACGTCGACAAGCTGTTCGACACCAAGTTCAAGATCCTATGGAATCGCAAATTCCAAGAGTACCACACCAAAAACCGCATCTACTGCCCGGCGCCTAGGTGCGGGGAGTGGATCAAGCCATCACACATCCACACACATCAAGGCCGCAAGTACGCTCTTTGTCCTCGCTGCAAGACGAAAGTGTGCACGACGTGCAATCACAAGGCCCACAAGTCCAGCGAGTGCCCCCAAGACCCGGAAATTGCCAAGCTGGTGGAGCAAGCAAAGGAAGAGGGATGGCAGCGCTGCTACAAATGTAAGGCATTTGTCGAGAGAGGTGAGGGCTGTAACCACATGACCTGCAGATGTACGGCGGAATTTTGCATCGTGTGTGGGTTGAAGTGGAAGACGTGCGATTGTCCGTGGTTCAACTACCCCGATGCGGTGGCGGATGGTGATCGCTTGAACCACATGCGGGTGCCCGAGCCCGTCCAGGTGTTGTACAGGCAAGTTTTCGGAGGCGCTGCTCGCCCAGTTGACCATGAAAGGCGGAGGCAGGAGCGCGCGGACGCCGACCTTGCGAGACGGCTGCAAATGGCTTCACTTTTGGGGAGTGAAGACGACGCAGGTGCAGACGATCCGGCTGCGGGACTTTGGGGCGTGGGCAATGCTGCCGGCCACTTCATGAATGACGACTTTGTCCTCGATGCCACGAATGTACGCATGAGCGCTTACGGAGACACGAGTCTGGGGCGCAGGGGAGAGCGTCAATCCGGTCGGAGGAGGCGAGCAATGCCAAATGAGCAGGTTGATGCCGAACCTGGTCTTGCGCCGGACTTCCTGGGCGACCAGAGTGTGCTCGGAGGTGTGCCGGGAACCAGACGTCGCCGGACTCGCCCATAGCTTGAAGCAATCTCCTCATGAGGACCAACGAATAGCCACGCAATCATGACAGTATGCATTAAAGCCTCGCCTTCTCCCCTCTCTCCGATCTCCCCAGCAACTCAACAAGATGCTCCACCCAGCACTCCGCGATGGAATGCGTTCCATGCCCAGCAGTCTTGTCAGTAATAGGCAACACCACCGCCTTGCCCAGCTTGACCTTCCCCATCTCCATCTCCAAAATCCTCAATTCAGGCGGATTCACTTGATCATCCGCCGAATTGACCGCCGTCAACGGCACCTCAATCGCCCCTAGAAGCGGCCGCGGATCATAATCCCAGCTCGCATCAAACGCGTACGCAAAATTATTCGCATCCTGACTCTTCATGCCCCTCTCAACCAACGCATCAATAAACTCGTCCGCGCTCGCCCGATCCGACGCAGCTTGCTGCCACTTCAACGGCGAACTAGCCATCCACGCGAGAACATGCAGCGCCGAGCGGAAACCCGGCGGCGGACATCCATACTCGCCTCCCTCGAAGCCAGGGTCCAGCCGTATCGAGTCGATAGCATGTTTGCGCCACATTCGATTCCTGCCTGCGATTTGCGCCGGCAGACTCGCGAGCGGAAACAGCGCGTCCATGAACGTCGGATACGTCGTTCCCCAGACCCACGTGTGCATGCCTCCCATCGACGTCCCGCATACGAGCCGCAGGTGATTCACGCCAAGGTGCTCCGAGACGAGCGCGTACTGCGCGCGCACCATATCCCCGTAGCAATACCGGGGGAAGCGCGCGCGCAGCCCGTCCGAAGGTTTCGACGAGCCGCCGTGCCCGATTCCGTCGGGGAGGATGAGGAAGTACTCTTCCGCGGATAAAGGTTGGCCGGCGTTGAAGAGGTTGCCGGCGAAGGCCGGGGTGAAGAAGTTTGCGCCGGAGCCGGTGGTGCCGTGCATGATGAGGATGGCATTGGTAGCGCGGCCTTGGGCGTCTTTCTTGAGGCAGCCCAGGGTGCGGTAGTGCAGGCGGAGTTTGGGGAGGGAAGAGCCATCTTTGAATTGGAAGCTGGAGATGGTGAAGTCGCCTTCGTGAGAGCGGGGCCAGTTGTTTGAGGCCATTTCGGTTCAGCAGTGTTCTGGGGTTGAGGTGAAGTCGAGCTCACGTTCCTCAAGCTGAAGTCGCGGAAGAGCTATCTAAACGCTCAGGGAAAAGTGTTTTCAGCCACATCACGGGCGGGCACACCATGGATCAAGATCGGAAGTAAACAGCGCGCATGCAGGAGAGGTGCAAGGGTGGGAGACAATTAGGGCATGTCATTTCTAACGCTACTTAAAGAAATCCTCGCCATTATCGGTCGTAACAAGAGGGACTCGCACCCCTCTGCATTCTCAGGGCGCCGCAACGCCTTTTTCGTCTGCCCTGCGGTACGCAGTCAATCCTTCTCGACTATCATCAACCGCTTGGCTCGCTTCCGTTCTCTTCTTTTCTTCTGTCATGTTCCCATCTCTTCTGTTGGGAAATCCAATTGTTCTTCCTTCAATCACAACTCATTCCTCACACTGGCAGCCGACTTGGACGCCACAGAGGCAGCGCTCGCCGCGCTCTTGGACGCGATGGAAGCGGCGCTGGCAGCAGACTTGGACGCCACGGAGGCGGCGCTAGGGCCGGACTTGGATGCCAGCGAGCTGAGGCTGGAGCTGAGGCTGGAAGCCGACTTGGAGGCTTCGGAAGCGGCACTAGGACCAGACTTGGATGCCAAAGAGCTGAGGGTGGAGTAGACGCTGGACAGCGACTTGGATGCTTCGGAGGCGGCGCTGGGACCTGATTTCGACGCCAGCGAGCTGAGGCTGGAGCTGAGGCTAGATAGGGACTTGGACGCCTCGGAGGCGACAGCAGGACCCGACTTGGAGGCCAGAGAGCTGAGGCCGGAACTGAGGCTTGAGAGAGACTTGGACGCTTCGGATGCGACGCTAGGGCCGGACTTGGACGCCAGCGAGCTGAGGCTAGAGTAGACGCTGGACAGAGACTTGGAGGCTTCGGAGGCGGCGCTGGGACCCGACTTGGACGCCAGCGAGCTAAGGCTGGAGCTGAGGCTTGACAGGGAGCTGGAGGCCTCGGACGCGACACTGGGGCCAGACTTGGATGCCAGAGAACTCAAGCTGGAGCTAAGGCTGGACAGGGACCTGGAAGCTTCAGAAGCGGCGCTAGGAGCCGATTTGGCGGCCTGGGAACCGAGGCTGGACAGAGAGTTCGAGGCCGAAACACTCGCGACGGACGCCGCAGAGCTGATGCTGGACTTGGCCTCCTCGGACGCCAGACCGAACTGGTTGAGGAGGTAGTCGTAGTAGTAGCGGCCCTGCGCCCAGACGTCGTTGGTGGCTTGAGCGACGAAGTTGCCGGCGGAGGAGGTGGCGGCACCGTAGGCGGACGCGCCAGAGGCAGTGAGCTGGGCGGAGTGCTTGCGGGCGAGGGCGCGGAGCTCGTTCATCTTGCTGCCCTGGGGCACTTTGACGCCTTGCTTGTCCAACCACTCCTTGACTTGGCTCTCGCTCCAGGTGTCGAGAAGCTGGTCGGAAAGGTATTGTTGGGCGGAGGAAGCGGATTGGGAGGCGGATGCGGCATATTTGGAGGCTTCATTGGCAGCAACGCGAGAGTTGCGGCGGAGGGAAGCGATGAGCTTGTCGCGGCTGGTGGGCTGCGGGGCGGGAATGCCGCGCTCGTCGAGCCAGGCCTTCAAGTCCGACTCGGACCAGGAGGAAAAGAGCCAGTCGCCAGGGTAGTTGAATGTCTCACCGGCCTTGTTAGCGATGGACTGGTAGTTGGAGCGAGCGGTGGACAGGAGGGAGTCGCGGGTGCGCGGGGAGGGGTTGGGGATGCCATGGTGATCGAGGAAGGACTTGAGCTGAGATTCGGTCCAGCTGGGAGGATGTCAGCGATCGTGCGCGCGTAGATACATTGCCGGTTGCATGTCACTCACGTATCAAAGAACCAATCTTGCACGCTGTTGTAAGCATCGTTGGCCTGGTCGGCAGTCTCGTACCAGGCACTCTGAACCTGGCCGGCAAGGCTCTTAACGTCCTTCTCCGTGCCCTTCTTGATTTCCTTTCCTTGCGAAGTCAGGTAGCTGGAGAGCTGCGGCGCATCCCACTTGCTGTAGGGCTTGGCGACATAGTCTTCCCAGTTGGTTTTGACGAGGTTCTCGAGATCCTTGCGATCGGCGGGGGTGGGGTAGGGGATGTTGTTGTCGGAGAGCCATCGCTCGAGCTCAGTCTCGTGCCATTTGTTGTATGCTAGACGACCTCGTGTCAGTTAGTCGGGAACGGAAAGGGGTGTGCCAAACGGTGCGCAGCGGGAGGAAGTCTTACCAGCATTGCCAAACCAGTCGCCCAGGGCGATGGCGCTGCCCGAAACGAGCAGAAGAACGGACAATTTCATGTTCAATGTCCAACGGGGGTGTGGGAGAAGTGTTGAGGATGGAACGGATGGAATTGATGAGGGAATGGAAGAGGGGGAGGGTGTTTGTTGTGAAGGTGAAATGTATGATGAAAGGCGGGTTGGAAAACGTGGTCGTCGAGCGTGAGGGATGACGATGACGTGCAGTTACCTCATCCACATCCATGCTTGTTTGCAAGCTCAAGCCACGTCTCCCGCCCAATGAGGCGTTGCCCCGCCACGATCGCCTCGCCTCCGCAGCCTATCACGCGTCGCCAAACATGTGCACTGTACATGGTTGCATGGATGAAATTTCCTTCAATGCTGTCATTACAGTAACATTATCTGCTGCACTCAGCGCTGCCAGTTCACGTAGCGCATGCTCGTGAAGAAAAGTAACCCCCACCAACTCCAATAATGCAATGCAAAGTGCCCGCTCATCGCGAAGTCCAACCTGCATCAGAGACGCCACTCGTCAACGCTGCTAGGCTCCTCTCCCCAAGCCTTCGTCGGTCCTCAGCAGCATCCACCCGTAATTCCCCAGAATGAGGCCGCTTCTTCCCCGACGCCAACACGCTGAAGGTCGAGTTCTCCGTGATCTCACTGCTATCCAGGCCCGGGCTCTCCCCCTCTATCACGCTGGAGAGGCGGTTGTTGCGTAGTGTCTGCTTGACCGGCGTCTACCGTGTTGCCTCCGCGGAAGTCGTTTGCTCGGCCGCCGGAGCAGGCTCCGTTGTTGATGCCTCTCCTTCCCGGTCGTGGGTGAGCGCCGGCTCTGGCACGGTAGCTTCGTCGGCTGGCTTCTCTGTTTCTGACGATCCCTTTTCGGGGTCATTGGGATCAATGGCGCCACCTGCCGCCGCATCCCGTTCGCGCGCATGCGTCGACTTCGGTCCAGGTCCCTTTTCGGTGTGATCGATGCTCATGAATAGCAATACGCAGCTGCGACTACAAGTCAGCCATAGTCTCGGATACGTGATCTATTGTACGCACCTTGCCGCGACCGACACCCAGCCAAGCCACACAAACACCACCGCAGCGACGGCGCGCCCGTTGTGTCTGTAGATCAATGGTGCCTCTGCATGCTTGGTGTACTTTCTCCACCAGAATTGCGGATCGAAGGGAGCAATATGCGGGACGACATAGGATCGCTGCCTCACGGTGATGACGGTCAGGGTGAGGGCGCTGGCGAGATGGAAAATGGTTGCCAGCACGCCGCACACCTTCCACGCAATCAGCACTCCTCGGCTCTCGTGCCGCTCCGGCCAGATCAGGTCGAAGAAGAAGGCCGCGCCAAAGATGAAGGCGACAAACACGCCGGCGAAGATGTTGTAGCTGCCCGCGCCCACGTAGTTGTTGTTGTACACCTTGACACGGTTCGCGGTGATGGTCTGGATCTTCCTCTCTCCTTGGATGTAGTCTATGGTCTCCGCGTCAGCATGGCTCGCGTTGCACCAAGCGGGTCGCCTGCGCCGGACATACCAGACAACACAGCGGTGCCGAGCGACTCCGAGACGACGCAGAAGATCAGTGCACACTGGTACACGATGAACTTCGTTCGGCGCAGATGGTACTCATTGTTCCACATGTAGCTGCTCTTGAACTTGGACCATTTGATCTCGGCCAGGTCGAGGCCCCATACTACCGGTGCCATCTCGCTATCGCTGCGCGTTCAGTTCGGAAGGATGACGTGGAGCAATAATTATTGCCGAATGTCGAGAGAGGATGGGAGTGAAGACGCAGGAGGAGGAGGAGGGGGAGGAGCGGATATTGAAGAGTAACAAGGGTTTCGAGAGGAGCGTGGCAAGAGCGATGATGTTCACGAGTAGGATGTGTAATAACTAAAAAAGGAAGCAAGTGGAAGGCGACAAGATAGCCTTAGGCTGAGAAACACGGGAGAGTGCGGCTCGCGGCAGTTCACCGTGACGGCGAGTGCGATCAAAGCGGCAGGGGTGACCTTGTCTGAGCTCACCTGACTCAACCCGCCGTTGACCTCATCATCCCGTCGCATCGCCTGACGTTGTTTTTTGATCGCCGAGATGAGGTTGAAACAACGCCCGTGACGACGAATCGGAGGCGTCGGTGAGAAACTTTTGGCGTCGATCTGATGTCATTCCTCTTCCAGCCGGTGCCCACCTACGCCCGGAACGCGGACGGGCCGGGGTTTAGAGTCGTCCACTATCTTTGCCTAACTTTGAGCGTTGCGGATCCTCGCCTGCCGACTGAGGCTCGATTAGGGAGGTGGGCCACACGCACGACTCAGATTTGGAGTGAATAGGTGAATTAGAGAGCAATCGGGTCATTCCAATGTCAGACCCTGACCCAGCCTTATAGAATGCACCATGATGCTTGGTAGTCCTTCAACAACCACGTTTCATGCTGACTCCAGCCCCACTTACTTCCGATCCAGCATCTCGTAGACAGCCTTGATATCTGGCACCTTGGCCTCCAGCTCGGCTCTCGTCTCCTCCCACACACGCTGTTGCGCAAACCGTCCACTCTTCCTTTCCATGAAAGGCGGATATCTGTGAGAATCAATGTTAGCAAGTGCATTCGGCCGCCGTGATCCTTGCTCTACAACTTACGGGTCCATGTCGAAATCCGCCATGATCTGGCCATGCCCGCTCGCGGAGCTGGAGGCACCATTAACCAACGCCGTGGCGCCAATGACCGGGTCTCGCGCGGAAATGTTCATGATCAGTCTCGGGATCAACATCGATTGGTTCGGATTGGTGAGGCCTGTCCAGGAAGAGCCCGGGTCGGCGCTGTTGACCGTCGCTTTGCCCTTCATACGCCCCTGCTTCTCCGCCGCGCTGACCCGAGCGGCAAGTTCACGGGTAAAATACAGCAACAGTGCCTTTGATCGTCCGTACTGATGCCCTTGCGCCAGTCCCGGCTTGTTATTACTGAGACGCTTGAGATATGAGCCAGTGCGCGGCATGCCCATCGTAGGCGAAGCGGGATAGACGCTGAACGTTGTGACAAAGGTCAGAACCGGAGGGGTAGGATTGCCGGGGGAAGACCGTAGAAGCGGAAGCAGAGTCAAAGCAATGAGCGCATTGGACAAGAAGTTGACCTGAATGGACGTCTCCCAGCCCTCGGGCGATTCGCGGCGGTCAAACGAGAGGATTCCGGCCGTCAACAGAACGTGATCGAGGTTCTTGAGCTCTTTGGCCTTCTTCGCCAGTACCTGACAGCCTGCAAAGGTCATCATATCGATTTGCCAAAGGAGAATGTTGGGTTTCGCTCGGCCGTTCGCTGTAGCCTCGGCCTCGATCTGTTCCTTGACCGCGGTGCAGTCCCTGACGTCGACAAGCACCAGAGTCTCAACATCCCGTTCAGCAAACAGCTTTGCCGCTCTCGAGCCAAATGCTCCATTCGCTCCCGTGATCAGTGCCGTGCGGCCTTTGTACGACTTGGTGGTCACCGTTGGCCGTCCATTGCGCTGTTTCAACAGGCTCTGCACGGGGAAGACTTCGGCCAGCAGCCAGGGGATGCCGAAGGTTACAGCTGCGATGACGGCCGATATCACAGCGATTGTCGTGTAGCTGATCGCCATTGTGTCTGCGATCGAGTGCAAACGCAACGAATCTCCTGAAAAGCTTGTGTTGCACGCTGGAGCACCACGCCATAATTTTTGGCTTGCGGCTCTCGCAAGCTTTACGGCCTTGCCTCATTCGGCCATTTCGTACTGCACCCCTGCAGGGTAAGAAGTTTAAATCATTATTACGCCTTGATATGAGCCGCATGTCCCACGAGATCATCCATCGGCACGCTCATCTGTACGCCATCTGTATAACAGTGACACCAGTCCATCATCCTTCGTCCCTGGGATTGGTCTCGCGTTGCACTGGTCATGCGACTCGCTCCTGTTGTTCGGAAAACAACAACATATACACGACTCGCAACTCCCTCCAAGTCAGGACTCTCGCGCCATACTGGTCACCAGCAGCTGCGCACTTTCTGTGCCAGCAGCATCCACTACTCAGGCATGACATCAGCTTTACTTCACGCCGTGGTGGGCTCGCCCCAGACTCCATCCGCCAGACCAGCAGACGCGGCACACAGAAAGCATCACAAGCCCAACGGCAAAGGCTTCCAGAATCCCTGGGCATCGTACATTGAGCAGAGTGGACCACAGATTCTCCTCAAAATCCTCGGCATGCGCATTTCGGGCAAGTGGAAAGACCCAGATACCACTCCTCCGACAGTTCCTGTGCACAAGCCAAACTTCCTCCCAACACGAGAAACAAAAAGCTTGAGGACGACTTGGCTGGGGCACGCCTCATTCTATGTCGAGTTCCCCGGCGGTTTGAGAGTGCTGTTCGACCCCGTTTTCACCGAGCGCTGTAGCCCGTTTTCTTTTCTCGGCCCAAAGCGGTACACTCCCGCCCCCTGTCAAGTCGAAGACCTCCCATATGTCGATGCGGTCTGCATATCCCACAGCCATTACGACCATCTCAGCCATCCCACCGTCGTCAAACTCGCCAAGAAATTTCCCAATGCCCAATTCTTCGTGCCGCTAGGTAATCGGACATGGTTTGAGAACAGCGGAATTCGAAACGTCACCGAAATGGATTGGTGGGAGGAACGAGAATTAACTTTATCTGCGACCGATTCCACCACCAGTGCGCTAGAAAGGGATAATAGCAACCCTTCTCAACCCAGTGATATCCGCGCCACCATCGGCTGTCTTCCATGCCAGCACACGAGCGGACGTACGCCTTTCGACAAGAGCCGCACGCTGTGGGCGGGCTACTCCATCACTTCCGGTGGGAAAAAGCTCTGGTTCGCCGGCGACACCGGCTACCGAACCGTCCCCGAGACTCAAACCACCGAGTTCGACTACAGCGAGAAATTCGACGATCTGCCCAGCTGTCCCGTCTTCAAGGAAATTGGCGAGCTCCGCGGCCCCTTTGACGTCGGTCTGATTCCAATCGGTGCCTACGACCCCAGATGGATCATGAGCCCCATGCATGCCAACCCCTACGACTCGGTGAACATCTTTGCCGATTCCAAGTGCAAGACGGCGCTGGGCATGCATTGGGGCACTTGGGTGTTGACCTCGGAGGAGGTCTTGGAGCCGCCGCGGTTGTTGAAGAAGGCACTCGAGTGGAAAGGGTTGGACGAGAAGGTTTTTCATGTCTGCGACATTGGCGAGAGCAGAGAGTTCTGATGCTGGCATCTGTCAACGCCTTGGAATTTCGTCCGGCGACTGCGCTGAGGATCGCGGCTCCGCGGATACTCATTTCCGCACTGATTCGTAGTTCACCATGTCACCTCCACGACCAGACATCAAGTCTCATGCAGTCGCAGACACAACAGCTTATGATACACATGGAGCCACCGTCAAATATGTCCCGAACATGCGGCTCCCTAGCGAGACCTCATCGCCACGACCAATTCCGCAGAATGTCGATTTCGGCCAGACACTGAGATTTGCGAAGCCCTGCAGTTCGTGTTCGCACCGCTTGCCCGGCTCGCGATCAATACGAGCAGTCTAGGTTGCTTCCAATTCCGTAATGGATCTTCGATGGTGGGCAAGTTGCGGAATCGTGCACAGGTGTATCGTCGTGCGAGGAATCGGATCGTGGTTTCGAAGGATCAAAGTCTCACTTTAGCTTCGCCTCGCTCACCGGACTCCACGCCCATGCAATAAGCTCGAGATGCTGGGATGTCGGTTGCCCATCCTGGCTCCATAGCTCGTTGGAATCCCACGAGGCTGCACCGCTTTCCTTGTCTGTCGGCACAAGATTATCAAGGCAGTCATATCGCAATCTCTCCCAGTCCGCTTCCTTGGGCTTCTTGTCATCGACCAGAGTATTAGCAAGCCTCTTGCCTTTTGGCAGCTTTGCATAAACCTCGGCGAATTTCCGAGCGTTGTCAGATAAATCCGCACCCACGATGCGCGCGAGATATCTCTCCACGCACTCCTTGCTAAGAAGAGGCTTGAACCCATCCCTTCGCAGACTCTCTTTCTGCTCCGGATAAGTAACATCCAACCAATGCTTGAAAACAGCCATGGCCTCATCCATATCCTTGAGCCCGGCGCTTCCTTCGACTTTCTTCTTCATCGACGGATGATGCTTCGCGCGATGATACATTGTGTTCACCGTTTGGAACTGGTAGGTGAGCGAGCGATCTTTGATCAAGTCTAGAGTCCTGAGAGCGGCAGCCTTGTCTTTGAAGCCTGTGCCGTGGATTGTGGTTGATGGATTGTCGTCGGTGTACAAATGCGAGTCCTTGGGAGATTTGGTCTTCTTGTATGGCGCTGCATTGGATGCTCGCTGTTGCGAGGTTTTGGCGGTTTGGGTTTTAGGCATGTTTGCGGCGAGGCTGGATATTGAATTTCTCGACTGACTATGATGAAGATGGCCTTGCCCATTGCTATTGATTACTACAACGGGTGAAGTCCGCATCAATGACGCTTGCATTGGGCCAGAATAACTCGGATATCTTCTCCGCAACAAAGAAGACACGACCACTCTACCACATTCAGCTCTCGCCAACTCCGATCAAGTGGCTGCACTAAAGTGTGACTCAAACGTTAGTCCCCTCACTAGGTTGCAATTCTACGAGTCTGTGCCAATCATTCGCCTGATTACCATGCATCTCTATAAGGACTCGGAGGACGCGTCTGCGTCGTACGGTATTCGGAGTTTCAACCGGCCGTAGCCTTCGGAACTCCGCCCTCTCAGCTCGGACATACGATACGCCCAGCCTTATATAAAGCGACGGCGGTCCTGCAGCTCTTGTGCTTCAAGCAACAGAGGCTAGACACCTTCAGGTCCATTCAACTATACCCAACAAAGCCCGACCGTCTCTCACGGTCCTCAAAATCCACCATGGCCGACGCCCAAATGCCCGACCCTGTCCTACAATCCGCATTAGACATCTGCGAAGCCGCGCAAACCGAAATCGTGCAATCGAACAAACGCCTCGCCGACGCAGCAACAAACACAATCAACTCCGGCGTCCCGCACGAAATCGCCGTCTCCCCCGCGCACGGCCAATTCCTCGCGCTCCTCTGCCGCGCCATCAACGCCAAAAACGTGCTCGAGATCGGCGTCCTCGGCGGCTTCTCGACCATTTGGTTCGCGGAATCTCTGCCTGGCATTCACGTCACGGGCATAGAGTATGATGCGAAGCACCACAAGGTGGCGACGGAGAACACGAAGGGGTTAGGGAATGTGGAGTTGTTGCTAGGCGCTGCGCTCGATGTGCTGCCGCGACTGGCGGAGCAGAACCGCGTGTTTGATTTTGTGTTTATCGATGCTGCGTGGGAGGAGCAGGCGCAGTACTTTGACTGGGCGGTGAAGATGACGCGCAAGGGGGGCATCATTTACGTTGACAATTCGGTGCGGCAGTTGACGGAGAGTAGCGAGGAGGAGCGCAGGCCTGGCGCGCCGGCGGTGGCGTTGATTGAGCATGTCAAGGCTGACAAGCGGGTGACTGCCACGCTGATTCCGACGCTCAACACGCACAAGAAGGAGCTGTTGGAGGTGGTGGATGGGTTCTTGTTCGCTGTCGTGCAATGAAACGAGTCTATGATGCTGGCTGTCAAATGCTAGCTTTTCCGCACGCATATCTATTCCCCTTTCCTTCCCCCCGGCTATGCAAGCGAAGCAACCTTGGTGCAAATCCAAGTCGAAGCATACATATTCACCCGATCCGTGCAAGTGCCCACAGGAATGCGAGCAGCAACTCTCTTACAGCTGAACCCATTGCTCTCGAAAGCGCGAATATACCACGGGTCCAGCCCAGCGGAGCGCAGGAGGACTCGTCCGCCTTGCTTGAGCGCGCTATTCACCACCTTCACCTGCGCATCTGCTTCCGGGCCGGTCGGGTTGAACCAATCCATGCTGTCCATTAGCACGGCGATGGTGAGGGATTCGGGTTGCATGCGTGCGAAGACTTCAGAGAGCTCGTCGGTATGGATGCGGAGGCCGTCTAGGGCGCCTGGTTGGGAGAGTTTGGCGTGCGCCTTTGCGCCGAGATAGGTTGGGTGGCATTTCTTTGTGTATTTGCCTGCGAGGGTTTTGGTCAGTTGATGGCGAGAGGACTGAAGTCTTGACTATCACTTACCCAACAGACACACGAGGTAATAGTGGTTATCTTCGCTCACGAGCGTGTGATTGACGACCGGATCCAGAGTTTGCACGCCGTAATTCCAAATGGCATGGCCGCTCTTGAGAGCACTGATGCTGCCAGTGTTGTCCAAGCCACTCTGATGCTTCCCGTCGGCGGTTGCCTTCGCGCCCTTTGCCAGCTGAAGTTGTTGCTGGTAGTCGTTCTCAATCATCGCTCTTTGCTCACTCGGCACGCCCAACGCCTTCCACAAGAAGCGCTCGGATCCAATGACGAAATAAGCCAGTAGCTGGGAGAGAAGGACCCGGCGGACTCGCTTCGACCAGATCTCGCGCTGCTCGTTCATCGTCTGCGCCTCTGACAGCCGGGACATATCCTTGCGGATCCCGAGCGCTTTTCCGAGCCATGAGATGAGGCGGAGGGCATGTCTGCTGCCACCCGTGAAGTACAGACCTTTTCCGCCAGGGCTAAAGGTCGACTGGCCCACGTGCAGCCAGTAGTCGAAAGCTTGGCTTGACAAATGCGGCGACAAGTTGGTGAGGAGAAGTTGTTGGAAGTTCTCGTGCTTGCCTTCGCCAAAGATTTTCCACATATCCTCCTGGTCAAGGGCCTTGAAGGCAGCTACTTTGAGCTCCAGCAAGTGATTTTGAGCCGGGTTAAGGTCGACGGCGTGGACGCGCTTGGGCCGCTCCAAACAGTAGCTCAAGATGTTGTCGCCCGCACTGGTAATGGCCAGGATCACATCATCGCCCGTGATCTTCAGCAGCCGCGAGTCCACCCTCGAGTCCTCCCAGGTGAAGGCATAGATGTACTCGTCCTTGAACTGGCGATGCTTGGGTAGCGTATCGTCATAGTAGATTCGAGTCTTGTTGTTTTGGTAGTATGCTGCCGGCAGTGGCAAGCTAGCTGCCAGATTGACCACAGCCGTATCGTAAGCCTTGCTCCTGCGCTCCGTGCTCGAACTCCGACGCGGCTTCGGGGGGTTGACACTCTTGGCGTGGACGTCCAGCGCAGAGATGAACGGACTCTCAGTCACCGCGGCGTCCAGAGCCTCCACGTGATGCATAGAGCTGCTGGTTCCTCGGGAGCAGCCAACAAAGATGTAGTAAGGGATGCGGAGTCCGAGCAGGCGACATCGCTTGTTGGTGCTCAAGATGGTTCCGAACTTGTACTCGATGTAATCCCGTCGAGCAGATTCCAAGTTGACTCGGTCGAGTTCGAACCACGTGCGCCAGAACACGCGGCTGATCCACATGCAATGTCTGTCAATGGCGCCGCCGATGTAGTTGCGGCTCTGGAATTCGATTTGGTTCTGAACGTAGAAGTCGACGACACCGACGATGCCATCCGCGGCGAGCAGATTGGTGATGCTGTCGACTGCGGAGTGGAACTCTGGAATCATGCTCAGACTGTAGGACATGGTCAGGAGATCGGCGCCGACGGAGTCTTTGGCGTCTTCGTCGTATGCGGATTGTCCAATGCTGAAATCCCGCCTCGACTCCTCCACGCCCGATTCGTAGTCGGCCAAGTTGAAAGTGCGAGCGTCCTGACATATCACGTGAACGTTCTTCCAGCCCAGGCGTTGGAAGCGTTGACGAGCAATCTCACAGAGAGAAGTGCTGAGGTCGACGAGATAGATGGCATGGAAGTAGGTGGGGACATCCAGTTGGCTTTGCATCTGTTCAATGTTCCATCCCGTGCCACCTCCGATGTCGACCCAGATGGGCTTTTGACGAATCTGGCCCGCTTCACATCTGTATTTGACTTGTGCGGCCACCAGAGCTAGCATATCTTCTCTTCCTTGGAGTAATTTGCTCCGGGTGATGTCGTAGATGCTCGCCTGGGACTTGTAGAAGCTCTCCAGAGCATCTTGCTGGTTCCCGGTGCCATCTCCAGAATGGGGCTTCAGGAAGCAAGAATAGGCGAAGGTGACAAGATGGCTGAATGTCGCGTAGGACTTTCGGAGGAGGCTCAATTCGGTGAAGGAGAGGGCAACGTAGGCAACGAGGAGGACGACCAAACAAACTGTTGGGAGGCTGACCTGAGCCAGTGGCTCAAGGAACAGCGAGGACATGGTAGCGGGGGAGAATGACACGGAAACTTGAGCAGAGACGAGGAGCACGAGGAAGCAGAGGAAAGAGAGGAAAGAGGAGGAAGAGGGACCTTATCTGAATCTCTCACAGTGGATCCGCGTGCCAGGCCAAAGTCAATGGCTTTTTTCGCACGCGCACATCGCAGCGGGTAACAACTGGCGATCCCCCAACCACGGCGCCCCGGGGGGTAATAATGTCGTTGAGAACAAGGGGACGAGGGGGCTTCGCGCGGCCCTATCAGAAGCAGGCACGCTCGCGGCAGAAAGGACGGAAGTTACGAACACCAGCTGGCCTCGCTGGCGTACCGACGAAGACCGTGGGGAATGGGAAGGCTTCGCGTGGATGGAAAGAGGCGCGACGAGCCTGTAGAATGGCGGAGGAGGGGCACGAGCTGGCGCGAGATGCAGCGGGTGAAGTCGCGTCGAGGGCGGCGGCGGCCAATCAGAGCGCGCAAGGGTCCACGTTCCCGCTTCCCCTCCATCATAAGGCTCGACTTCACATGAAAGGCTCCGTTTCGGTTGTCGACCCTGATCGCGACGTCACGTCTTGAAAAGCCGCTTGGCATGAGCTCGTGTGAAAGTAGCGCGTGCCGGTAGATTTATATGGTCAGATTCTGCTTTGCCAGATGTCCACTGAACTACGACTAGAGTCATTCGATTGTCAGACACATCACTCATCCTTCATCTTCTCCCCCAATGCCTCTTCCTCCGCCTCCTTACGCTCCATCTTCTCCTTGTCATTCTGTCCCTTTGGTTCAGCACGATCTGTAAAACCCTCACCTCTCAACACCCCCATTCCCTTCCTCATCATAGCCCCTTGCACAGCACCCGGCCGAGCCTCGTAAACGACGTTCAATAAAGCCAGGCTGGCGACGAAAAGAAGCACATCGCCATTCTTAATCCCCTTCCACCAATGCCTCTTCTTCCCCACTTTGTAAAGCGAGTCGATTGAGAGGCGAGCAGAGTACAGAAAGTTCCCGCGCTCCTTCGATCGGGCAACGAAGGCCCACAGGCCGCCGATGAAGCCGCCAAAGAACCACCGCTGGGTCGGGAGCAGCGAGCGAGGCAGGTAAATGTTGAAGAAGCAAATCGACGCCCACGATGACCCGATGGCGCCGGTGATGAACAGTGCCATCCGCAAGATGCGCGCGGACAGTCGGTTTAGGAAAGTCTTGGGGTCCTTGAGGAGACTCTTGTAAGCCAGGAGAGCGAAGGCGCCGTAGATTAGAGTGAAGAAGCGCACGATGCCCGGAAAGGCGCGCACAAAGTATTTGATATATGTTCGCAGACATGACGGGTCGTGAGGGTGAAGCACGGCGCACGATGTGAATGCCGTCGCTGGGTGTGCCGGCGAGGTCAAGGGAGCCACCTTCTCCAATTGCGCCGGCAGGGCTTCCTTAGCCCCAGGAAAGAGAATCGGCGAGAGGAATGGCGGCCAGTTCAGTTTGCTAATGGCCGCCAGCGCATCGACGATGTCGAAAGTCCCCGGCCACGGCCTGTCGCGGGCATAGTCCTTAGGCCGGAGTTGGATGTACTCGGGACTTCGTTGCATGATGAACTTGCCGTAGTCGGCAGGGAAGCACGAGCGATCAAAGACGAAGGCGTGTAGCAGCTGGCCACATGCGAAGGGCATGATCATCCAACTGCCAAACCACCAAGGTCGCCCGCTGCCTCCGTCCTCCTCCGACTTCCATAGATATCCCCCTTCCTCGAGCGCATTGTACCCGAACTCCAGACTTCGGGTGAAGACGTAGATGGCGATCGTGATTCGCAGTTGGTCCGCCGGGCTCACGCCCAGAAAGCCTCCCGCCAGAGCAGCGCCGACCGAAGGCGTGTAAGCGGACGTGAGCAAGCGGGCGATCTGAGGATTTCGCTTCCGGAACGCAACAGCATTGTCGTCTAGCAAAGACGCTCGCAAGCGATGGAAGAAGCGATGCAACAGCTTGTGGAAGAGCAGAATGCTGGAGAAGCTGAGAGCCAGCCGAGCATCTCCGAATCGCACCGCCGTGCTTTCCACCCTCCTGGCCCCTCGCCGCTCTGCCAACTTGCGCATGAGTACGCCATACCCCTTGAAGCCCAGGTAGACTCCCACAAACACCCTCAGCGCCGCCCGCAAAGCCTGCACATTATCATCCAACCGTACTTCCTCACTGTTGATCGGCTCCGAGCCACGGCGCGTGGACGACGCGCGCTGGTCTCGCTGCCCTGTGATCTTCTCGAAGCGTCGCGGCGACGGCGTGTGTTTCTGGATGCCCGCCGGGGCGCGCGAGATGAGGTATTGATGGAGGAGTTCGTATTCGCGTGGGGACAGGGTGTATCGGAGCGCGGTGCGCGAGATGGGATCGAGCGGGCGCGGTGGGGAGCGATTGCGGCGCCCGCTGCCTCCGCTCGTCGAAGAGCTGGGTGAGGACATTATGGTGATGGCTTGGCGGGATACATTGATGAAAGAGGAGAAGCTCGCACAGCTCGAGGCGCAGAGGTGTTGTATCGCGTCGTGTATCGTCGTCACAGATGGCAGCCAATTGGCGCGTCTCGTTTTGTTATTCAGCCGAGGCTGGCGATCCTTCCACCCAAAACGGGAACGCATGTGCTTCTTCCCAATGGGGAATTGCCAGAGAGTGATGAGGAGAGCCAAGTTATATCTGATGGGCCTCTGTACATTTCACCATGTAGCCTCGCTGCATACATCAGGTTGATATGTACATTTACTCAACATGCGTATATACTGCGGCGATCATAATCGCAGTGGCTGGGGCGAGCCCATTCCGTCCATGCCCCGTAGTAAATCTACAAAACCCCCACCCCGTTAACTGTTGAAGCTCAAGTCATCACGTACTTGGGGCCCTCGCCACCTTGCGGCGTCTGCCAAGTGATGTCCTGGTCAGGGACCTTGATGTCGCACGTCTTGCAGTGGATGCAGTTCTGCGAGTTGATCTGGAACCGCACGCCCAGCTCCTTCTCCTCGTCTTCCACATACTCGTACACCCCGGCAGGGCAGAAGCGATTTTCAATGCCCTTGTACTTTGGGTATTCCAGCTCGGCATGCTTCTCCCAGTCGGCCACTTGCAGATGGACGGGCTGGTCTTCTTCGTGGTTGGTGCCCGTCCGGCTGACGCTGGTCAGGATGTCGAAGGAGATCTTGCCGTCCGGTTTGGGATACTCGATCTTGGGGCAGTCGTCGGCCAGCTTGGTGGCGGCGTGATCACCCTTGCCGTGCTTCAGAGTCCAAGGAGTATACCCGCGGAAGAGAAAAGCTTCGAGTCCAGAGTAGAGGATGCCACCGTAGAGTCCGAGAGAGGTGTGGAAACTGGGCCGCATGTTGCGCACCTGCTTCAATTCCTTCCAGATCGAGCTCTTCCTCAGCTTGTCCTCGTAGTCAAACAAGAAAACTGCGGCCTCGTCTTTCCTCTCTGCCAAGGCCCCATACGCTGCCTCTGCTGCCAGCATGCCCGATCGCATGGCTGTGTGTGTGCCCTTGATCTTGGGAACATTCAAGAAGCCGGCGGAATCGCCAATCAATGCACCACCTGGGAATGCGCATTTGGGGATGGACTGGAAGCCACCTTCGTTCAGTGCTCGTGCGCCGTAGGTGATGCATTTGCCACCTTCGAGATAATGCCGGTACATCGGGTGCTGCTTCATCTTCTGAAATTCTCCATAAGGAGCCAGCCACGGGTTCGCATAGTCCAAGCCGACAACAAGACCGATCGAAACCATGTTGTCTCCAAAGTGATACATCCATCCGCCGCCGTATACATCTTTGGGAAGGGGATAGCCCATGGAATGCACACACAAACCTTTCTCGAACTTCTCCGGATCGATCTCCCAAACCTCCTTGAGCCCAAGGCCATATGTCTGGGGCTCACTGTGCTTCCGCAAGTCGTACTTCTTGATGACTGACTTGGTCAAGCTTCCGTGACAGCCTTCAGCAAGAAGCGTGCAGCGAGCGTGGAATGCCATGCCTCTCTCAAAGGACTCTTTGGGCTTGCCGTCTCTACCCACCCCGAGGTCGTTCGTCGCCACCCCTTTGACTGCGCCGTCGTTGGTATACAATACCTCGGAAGCTGCAAAGCCCGGGAAGACCTCCACGCCAAGCTCTTCCGCTCTCTCACCCAGCCATTTGGTGAGTTGGTTCAGACTGATGATGTAGTTGCCGTGGTTGTTCATCTGCGGTGGAGCAGGTAAAGCGTAGCTGCCAGTCTTGGTCAAGAAGCGCATCTTATCCTTGGTGGCGGGTGTGATGTCTTCGAAGCGGTTCGGATTGTCCTCCGAGTTCCAGTCGGGCAGCAGCTCATTGAGAGCACCCGGTTCGAGGACATTGCCGCTGAGGATGTGGTCGCCAATATCACCCGCCTTCTCGAGGAGCAAGACGCGGAAGTCTTCGTTGCCGGCTTCGTTGGCGAGTTGTTTCAGGCGAATGGCCGCACTCAGCCCCGCCGGCCCTCCTCCCACGATGCATACGTCCACCTCGTCCGATTCTCTTTCTGCGTTCAAATGTATATCATCGACGTTGGCGTAGCTTCTGGGGGTGGTGGTGCTCAGAGCTCTTCGCTGGCCAGCAATAAATGTAGCTGGAAGACGGGCGCGAGGGGTCACACGATGGGTGGCGGTAATGGAGATGAATCTCGAGCTGGCGACTGTGAACGTCCTACTGCCCCGCATGGCCTGCTGCCGAACGGGAGCGAGGGCGATACGTGGCAGCGACATGACGGGCGAGGGTGGAAGAAATGCAAGGCGACAATGCCACTGTTCTTGAGTTACTCGTGCACGACAGAGAGCTGCATCAAAAGGTGGTGTTGCTTCTCCCATTACATCAACCTGACCGAGGCAACATTAACTGGCCGCTGATTGGCTGCCTTACCGAAACGCTCGGCATCCCGTGACTAGCGCTTCCGCTTCTTGGCGGCTTTTTGCGACCTCTCTCACTCCAAACACTCACACACTCACTTGCTTCACCGACTCCATCACCTCTTCCACTGCTATCCATTTAGCGCCACGCATCTCCGAGGGCTACTGGCCATACACAAACCCTGCTTCCGTTTCCCCGGCTCTCCGCCGCTACATCTGAGAGGCCCACTGCCCCAAGGTTTCAAGGAGGACGCGTGCGCCTCACTCTTCCATCACTTCATCGCCTCTCACGGAAAGGATCTCTTCCGCACCCCCGCAAGCCAACATGGCAGAACCTACGTCGGTGTCCAACACTCGCCTCTACTTGGGGAACTTGCCCAGAAGCGGTATGTGGACCATCTATGAACCATCCATCTGCTTTGCGCGCGCTCGGCCATGGCTTTGCGATTAGGACTGGCTGAGCCTGTGTCTTCCTGCTCGTGACTTGTTCCCTGCCAGCCTCTCTACATCCTTGCCTGCCACACCGCTGGACCCGGAGCTGGCGGATCGCTTTCGCAGGAGTTCTGACTAGCGGACCTGGCATCGCTGACTGGACCGTGTGAATCTAGCTACCAAGGCCGATGTTGAGAACCACTTCAACACCCATGGCACCGGTGAAATTACCGAGATCAAGCTCATGAATGGCTTTGGCTTTATCGAGTACAAGGATGCGCTGGATGCGCGCGATGTCGTACCCGGTATGTCTCCTCTCGCCCTGTTGAGCTCGTTGAAGCTTTTTACTGATCGTAACTTTTAGCTTTTCGTAAGTTCCCGACCGTTCCACGTTTGCTGCCGTCTCGACTTGCGCTTCACACCCTACCAACCAACATGCTCTCTTTTACTGATGTTCATCGCTGGTCAGATGGTTCCGACTTCATGGGCGAGCGTCTCGTTGTGCAGTTCGCTCGAGGTGGCAATCGTCCCCGTGATGACTTTCAGGCCCCGCGTCAGGCCCCACGTCCACGCCGTACTGTCCATCGCATGACCATCACTGGCCTTCCCCAGGAAACCAGCTGGCAGGTAAGTGTGTTCTGCATGCATCCACCCCGGCGGAACTATGCTGACGGAGTGTATGAATACAGGATCTGAAAGATTTCGCGCGTCAATCCGGTCTTGATGTGGTCTACAGTGAAGTTGGCAGAGACCGCGACTCCAGCGGCAGCACGAAAGGGTGAGCGATGATCCGACACAACTCAAGTGCTTATACTGACTGCGTCAAGTTTCGTTGAATACGAGACGGCGGCCGATCTTGCTGCAGCTGTGGAGAAGCTGGACAACAGCCAATTCAAGGACGCCACCGTCCGCTGCATCTCTGACGTGAGTCTTCACGGTACAATTAACAGGCATGCAGAAGCTGACTGATGTAGCCCCAATCTGATATTCCACGCCCTCGCGAGCCTCGCTTCCGTTCCCGCTCTCCTGGCTATCGTGGACGTGGCTACGGAGGCCCGCCCCAGGATGACTACTACGACCGTCGTGGCCCGCCCCGTGGATACAGCCCCCGCCGTGATGACTACCGTCGTCGTACTCCTCCTCGCGGTGGCTACTACGATGACCCTCGCGAGGACCGCTACGGCCCCCCACCGCCGCGTCGTGGCCCGCCCATGGACGACTACCCTCCCCCACCCCGCGGCCGCTACCCGGATGATCGCTACGGCGCCCCACCACCAGCCCGCGGCTATGGAGAGCCTGAGCCGTACGTCAATGGGCACGGAAGGGAGCCCTACGGTCGTCCTCCTCCTCCCCTCAGCCCTAGGAGGGAGGGTAGGGGCTACGATGGAGGATACCCCGAGCCGAGGCGCTACTGGTGAATATCGTCCTTTCTTTGATTGTCCTCGCCCCAGTGCTTTTCGTCCGCGTCGTATTGGCAAGCACTAATCACCAAAAAGATTGCCTTTCGGATGAATGGCATCGGCCAATCGGCGATCAACTTGCATGCAATTAACGTCGAGGATGGAAGGGGGGGATTTATAAGAGGGTCGATCCGGCGCACATCCACGGCGAATGCAGAGTGGTTTAAAGATCGAGATTGAATGCCCAGTGTGTGGTGAACCAACTGGACGTTGCTAATTCCACATACGCCCATCGGCAGCCAACGTCACATCTCTGCAACTTGGCTGTCCCGGGAAGTTTTATTAGGCGGGCAGTGTAATTGTTTTGATAGTATCGACGTATCAAAAGCAGAATTGTCCTGTCTCCCATTCTAAACGTCCACGTAGGCAGGTATAATAAGATGGGAAACAGCAATGTTTCGACCTGGAAACGCTGCGGCGTGAAGTCATATTGCTGCCTCAGGCCATCAGAATTCTGGTTTGCCTTCGCAGCCACACGTCAGTCACTCATCACGCTGACCATTCCTCTGACATCCGCTCGTTCTGCTCGAAGAATTTATCCTCGCACACCCAGGAGATTCCAGATAAACCTCAGGCTGCCGCAGGCTTGACAAAATCAACCGCCTTCCTCCCATACCTTCCGCCTCGCCTCCCTCATCACACTGCAGCCCGGCGCCTAAACCATCATGGCGACCCCGGCCGCCCACAAACGTCTCACCCGCGAATATGCCATGCTCGAAGCCAACCCGACACAATACATCACCGCCCACCCCTCGGAAACGAACATCCTAGAATGGCACTACATCCTCACCGGCCCGCCCAGCACCCCCTACGAAGGCGGCCAGTACTGGGGCACGCTGGTCTTCCCCTCCGACTACCCCTTCAAACCGCCCGCGATCCGCATGCACACGCCCAGCGGCCGCTTCCGCTGCTCCGAGCGCCTGTGCCTCAGCATCTCCGACTTCCACCCCAAGAGCTTCAACCCCGCGTGGTCGGTATCGACCATCCTGCTCGGCGTGCTGTCTTTTATGTCGAGCGAGGAGATTACTACCGGCTCGATTGTGGCGTCGGAGGCGGAGCGGAAGGTGCATGCTGCACGGACCCGGTGGTGGAATAGCACCGGTGGTGGCAGTACGTCGAGGGCGATTGCGGGGCAGCAGCAGACGCAGAGTAATGGGAGAGGGTTTGGGGCTATCAAGGCGGGAGATGGGGGCAAGAGGTTCCGCGCGCAGTGGCCGGAGCTGGACGAGGAGAATTGGAAATGGATGGAGCAGAACAACATCGATCCGCAAACTGGCAAGAGCGTGTCGTTGCTTGCGCAGAGTTGCTCGCCGGAGACGGATGCGATCAGGAGGACGGTGGCTGGTAGTGCAGCGGGACTCGGTGCTGTGGTGGAGGGCGGGAGGGAAGTGAGGGATGTTGGGCAGGGTTTCATCAGAAGGAATGCGTGGTATCTCGCCATCGGCATGCTCTTTGCATATGTCATAATCGCGAGATTGTTGAACGATGCATAGGCCAGGCTGAGTTTGATTGATCTCTACTTTAGCGAGGCGGCGTTGTGATGAGGGCTATTCACTAGATACCTATCGTTGGACAAAATGGGTGAAGCATTTGAGCTCACACAAGTTTGAATTCCTTCTGCGCTGAGACGACTATCTGTTTGATCGGTACGTAATGCACGCATTCTTCCGAAACCACATGATGCATTTGGAAATGGCACCAGCGTTCCATCCGCAAAACAAGCCCACCGCACATGACTATAGACGACGACCACGGCGACCACCCTTTCTCCTCGTCGAGTCGGAGGGCGTGGGGGTGACGTCCTCAATGCGACCAATTTTCATGCCGGAACGTGCCAGAGCGCGGAGAGCGGACTGTGCGCCGGGGCCGGGGGTCTTGGTGCCGTTACCTGGGGATGACGTTAGTAATTGCTCCGACGTAAAGTCTTCGGATATCTTATTGTTGGACTCACCGCCAGTCGCTCGGATCTTGACGTGCAGAGCAGTGATGCCCAACTCCTTGCATCGCACCGCAACATCTTGCGCCGCCAACATGGCTGCGTATGGAGAGGATTCGTCACGGTCTGCCTTGACCTTCATGCCGCCAGTGACACGGCTGATGGTTTCGCGGCCGCTGGAATCACCCAGGTTAGCCTATGAACCATGCATTGCAAAAAGCCACATGTGTATATGTGTTTTTCCTCCCCAAATCTTTTCCATTGTGGAGTCGATTGTGGCGGTGGGTGGGTGGTGGATTGGTTCACACGTACGAGAGATCGGTGACATGGACGAAGGTATCGTTGAAGGAGGCGAAGATGCGAGCGACGCCGAAGACGAGTTCGCCTGGAGGGTGCCTGCACGTTAGCTGGTATGTCCCGCGGTAGACAGATGCGGAGGTGTGCGTGGATGAACGGACCGTCTCTGACTTGGGGACCGAGAGAGATGTTCTCTTGCGCAGCGCGCTCGACCTTCTTCTTGGGTGCCATGGTTGTGAATGTGTAGTGGCGATGTCGTCGTGGGGTAGAGATTGAACGTGAAGTCGTGAAGAAATTCCGCTTTGTGGGCGGAAAATTGTCGGCGGAAAGTGTTTGCCAAGGCCGAGCTTTTGACGCTCGGACCACCTCTAAACCACACGAAAACCTTCCATCCACTACACGTCTAAGTTTCCTTCCAACACAGAACGCGGCACCTTCGAATGCGAGTTTTGGGTGCACGATTTCGGCTCTGTGCTTCTTCGTCTTCTGCATGACTCTCGTGAGCGAGAGCTGCAAGTATGGAGAAGATGCAGGAGGCGGTGGTTGGCATCATTGGCATGGGAGACATGGGAAAGATGTACGCCAGGCGGATCAGTGATGCAGGCTGGAGGTAGGTGCTTTCCAGCATCAACAGATGGCCATGAATTCTACACGCAAGGTACGAAGCTGCTCTCTTTTCTTACCCTCCCGCCTCCCTGCACTGATGACTTGAGCGCATTTGGCTCGAGAATGGTTGTTCTGTCACTATTTGCTACCGTCTTGGTGCATTTGGTTCAGACCTCCGTCACTGATGTCAACTCTCAGCTACCTAATTTACTATTTTCTGATTCTGCTCCCTACACATTCTGCTTCTACTGCTATTTTGACTGTACCATCTACAGCGGCTAATTGATGTGCACAGGTCTTGACTCTTCGCCTATGAAAAGGCTAACAGCTCCTTAGCGTCCATGCTTGCGATGTCCCTGAGAAGTATGAAGCTCTCAAGGCCGAATTTGCAGAATCCGTACGTAACATTGTCGTGCTATGTAGCTCCCATCTAGATCTATGCTGAAAGGTAAGCAGCGAAATGTCACAATCTTTCCCAACGGACATCTCGTCTCCCGCAGTTCCGATTGGATCATGTACAGCGTTGAAGCAAAGAGTATCGATGCCGTTGTCGCCGCCTACGGCCCTTCCACGAAACTCGGCGCCGTGGTAGGCGGTCAGACGTCTACCAAGGCCCCGGAGATTGCTGCTTTTGAAAAGCATCTTCCGTCGGACATTGAGATTGTCACTTGCCACTCCCTCCACGGCCCAAAGGTGGATCCAAAAGGCCAGCCACTGGTCATTATCAACCATCGCGCATCTCCAAGGGCGGTGCAGCTAGTGGAGCGCATCCTCTCTTGCTTCCAATCCAAGATGGTGACATTATCGGCCGAGATGCATGATCGAATTACGGCAGATACACAAGCGGTCACTCACGCCGCCTTCTTGAGTATGGGTACGGCCTGGCAGGCCAACAATCAGTTTCCCTGGCAAATGGCCCGCTATGTCGGCGGCATTGAGAACGTGAAGATCAACCTCATGCTGCGCATCTACAGCAACAAGTGGCATGTGTATGCTGGTCTCGCCATCTTGAATCCGAGTGCGAGAGCGCAGATCCGCCAATACGCCGAGAGCGTGACCGAGCTTTTTAAGCTGATGCTGGGAGGCCAGCGCGAGGAGCTGATAGAGCGTATCCACGCTGCACGTACAGCAGTGTTCGGTACTGAACGAATTGAGGGCCAAGAGCTGCTTCTAGAAGACGATCTGCTGGATCGCTTTAGTTTGGGAGAGAAGCCAGCGGAGCGGGTGAAGAACAATCAATTGGCTCTTCTCGCCATGGTTGACTGCTGGTGGAAGCTTGGCATCGTTCCTTATGATCATATGATTTGCTCTACGCCGGTAAGTGCTCCAGACGTCCAACGAATCCCTTCTTTAGGGACCGTCAAGACGTCAAGACACTGACTCGAGCACAGCTATTCCGTTTATGGCTGGGTATTGTGGAATACCTCTACCGCAATGAAGAGCTACTCAACGAGTGTATCGAGACCGGCTTATATGACACTACCTTCCGCTCTGACGACCTTGAGTTTACTTTTGCAGCAAGAGTAAGTGCCGTCCCATTCATCTGCTGCGACAGGCTTCTAACCATCGATATTACAGGACTGGAGTGAACGAGTATCTCTCGGCCACATGGACGGCTACCGCGAGAAGTTCGAGAAGATGCAGAACTACTTTGCGCCGCGGTTCCCCGAGGCGACGAAACTCGGCAACGAGATGATTCGGACGATTGAAGCGAATCTAAACGACCGAAGGTTGAAGCAGAAAACGCAGACTTGAATTGCAAACGACAAATGTGCTCAGCAGTGCGCATCGAGCAGATGATTGCGGCAAACCGTTCCATTACCCTGCCAGAGTCCATCAAAGCCACAGCGCAGACATCAACACCCTTGTCCTCTTTTCACGGACCCCCGAGATGTTCGATTTCCTAATCGAAACCATCCGATTACAATACGAGAATTCCTTGCACTGCAACGACGCCGAGGAACAACGCGGCAGTGAGACCACCCTCAATACGCGATGCGGCGCCCACCGACTTGGGTGTTTTAGCACTGTGCGCGGCGGTGGTGGTGGTAGTGGCCGTCGTGGTCTTGTGCGAGGGAGTATGTCTGGACGACTTGTGGACGATAGAATGATGGGAGGAAGCGGAGTGCTGGGACGAAGTCGCATGCGTCGACGAGGCCGACTTGGTGCGCGAATGCGACGCGATCGCGCTCGTGGAGCTCACAATCGGTATCGGCGCGCTGAATCCGCAGTACGCATCCACGGTGGCTTCCACATCGTCCTGATCATCCTGACCGCATGTTTCTCCCACGGCCGACAGGAAGGTGGGGTAGAGCTGAGGCCTCTTGCACAAGCAAGCTCCTGCATGGCCTTTGCAGCCTGCTTCCTTCATTTCCGTTTTGAGGATTCGCTCGCCGCATTGAGGTAACGAGAGGGGAATCGGTCGCGGTCCGGCGGGCTTCACTTCCGCTGCTCTTGCGACAGTCTTGGGGCCAGGTACGACTGTGAGGAACAGCGCTGCTAGGAGCAGAAGCTTTGCGTTGTTGTACATCTTGGGATGATTGCTTTTCGCAATACGGCTGGGAGGACGATTGACGCTGACGAAAATGCGTAGGCGAGAGATGTTGTTCGTTTGGCTGGCTGGCTCTGCACTCAAGGGTAGCCTCGCCATGCGCACCATTATATCTCACCTGCTACCTCGTCCATTCCGAACTCTCCATGATCACCGGGATACCGTTCGCAATGTGGAATGCGAAAGCTATCCGAACTCTCGGGTCCGGAGAGTCGCTGGAGCGACTTGGAATGTTGCGTCTTCTGCCGTTTTCGGAAGAACGTCATACGTGGTCTGAGACCGAAAACGTCCTGGGAAAGCGCAGAATCGTTGCGTGCGGAAGTATAGAACGACATTACAATTGCTTTCATTTTATGGAGGCAGGGCGGGACGATACGCGTCAAACAAGAAAGGCTGCATTCGTACTGCCGTACAAGTTGGCCATGCCCTCTACAACCCAACGAGCATTCGTTCGCAGGTTCTGGGCAAGGCTGCCGTGTGACGGCAAGAACGAAAGCTCGTGCAATCGCCTCTTTCATGGACATATAACTGCAGAGCCAGCTATCTAGATCAATACGACTTCTATGTCTTCGTTCTTCACGTCGCATTCCCCCATTCAATGAGCAAAGCGAAAGTCCAACCGCTTGTTCCCCTCGTCCTTCGTCTCGTTCAAATACGTCTCCCTCTCTTCCGGCGTCATGGCAGCCCACTTCCTCTCCCGCAGCGTATTCTTCCGCTTGTAATAGTACTTCGTGAGCACAAACAGCGCAATCGACGCAAAGTTCAACGCAATCAGAATGTCATTCCCCTTGTGGTACTTGGGCGCATCGCTCGTGCGATAAATATTCGATGCAATGATGTTGCCCGCCTGCACGCACATGTTGTACGCCGCGGCGCTGACGGAGCGCGTGCGAACGGAGCCGCTGTTCCGGCTTGCCCATGCGACTACGATCGCGTGGCAGTAGGGGTAGCTGAGCAGGACGTTGATGATGGCAAAGGTGCCCCAGGCGTTTACGCTTGTTCCCGACCACCAGCGAAGGGCTATGAGGCACGGCATGATCCAGATGCACATGATGCTGGAGACGAGGGCGCGCTCGTTGATGCGCACGCTGAACCAGGTGATGGCGAGGAGGGTGAAGCAGCCTGCTATAGTGGAGGGGATGGTGAGGAGGTTGGTGTTGAACTGTTGATGCGTGGTCAGTGGGAGTTTCTTCACTAGAGGAGTGGGAGGGGATACGCACGGTGCTGAACCCGACCTCGCGAAGGCTGAGTGTCAGGTAGATGCTGGGGGTATCGATGCCGATGTACACCAGGATGCCAATGAGGTAGATCTGCGGTCGCGTCAACATGGAGTGCGCACTGGGAGGCACGGAGAAGGCACTCTTACCGGCCACATGTCATAGTCCGTCACCGTCTTCCACAAGGCTTTGGGTGTGATGCCCATGCGGTTATGCATATCACCTTTTGTCGGATCGTCACGCAGTACGCGATTGACGGCGATGCTGATTTGACGGTCGGTGAACCATCCCTTAGGCCGGAACCACGCCTTAGTCTGCACAATGGACGCAGGCATGAGGAAGAAGGCGGCTATGCCGACGATCAGGGTGAACAGGCCCTCGATCAGGAAAAGCCACCTCCAAGGCGCCCAGCCCGCGGCATGGATGTGAAGAATGCCATACGCAGCCAGCGCAGTAACGACGCTGGTGAAGCCTTCCGCCACCCAGAACCAGCTCAGGCGTATGGCCAGCTCCCCGCTCTTGTAGAAGTAGGACAGCCACAGGATGAGGTCGGGGATGAAGCCGCCTTGCAGGATGCCAAGGAGAAAGCGAGTCGCGTAGAAGGAGCCTTTGCCGTTCAGACCTGCTTGACTGGCGGCGACGATGGACCAGATGACCATTTGCGCGGGGATCCATCGGTCTGGCCCGACTTTCTTCGAAATGAGCTGCGAGGGGATCTCGGCGCAGAGGAAAGAGAGGTAGAAGATGGTGTTTCCTGGATATGTTAGCAAAGAGTAGATCAAGTGTCGGCCGATGTGGACCAACCGGTGTTAAGATTGTCGGTGGTCATGTTGAGATCCTTGAGGAAGTTGTCTGATAAAGCATTCCCCAGGTTGGTCCGATCGATCTGCAAAGCAAAGAACATGAAGCAGGCCCACGTCGTGACGTGCCAGTCGAGTTTCCAACGCAGGCGGCGTTCCTCTTTCTCGGTCCATTGTAATTGAGCATCGAGCACATGTCGACACTCGTACTGCGCCTCTTCGTAGACGCCTCGATAGTAGGCCTCGACCTTTGGGTCCAAGAAAGGGTTGTCGTTGAGACGCTCGACGAGGGGCTCACCAGCGTCCGAAGACACAGGGGACGAGGTCAAGGTGACCTCTCCGAGCTTCTCATCATACGAGGCCTTGTCGTCCACGACGGACTCGACGACGGCTTGGATTGCCATTGGGATACAACGTGTGGTTTGGTGACCGCACGAAACAACTGCAGATCAACGCATCGCTTCATTTATAGCCCAGAGCCATCTCAGATCGCCACCGGAGGGTAGCAACTCCACCTACCCTCAAGGGTTACATGGCATGCACTCTGCTTTCCAATGGGTGGACCGGGTATCCGTAACCCCCCGGGCAAACGACAATCCGTGCTGTCGAAAGATCAGCAGGCTCGCACGCCATCGATCGTAAGCTGCAGCAGTGAGCCCGCATACTCGTGGACACCATGTGGCCGTCGCCCGGACTGGCGGCACAGGACGGTTCGCGAGAACGTGGGGGGCCGCAATGCGTGGCGATGGCGTCGAATCATGGCGTGCGGATTCCAAAGGCGGGTGCGGCGTGCGTGGTTGCGAGACGATGGCGGGATATGGCGTGCTTGGCAAGGCTTGACGTCGGCCTTGCTGTTTTGGGAAGGTAGAGAGATCGGACAGATAAGAGGGACGTGCATGTTCATTACCCGATTGCCGAACACGTTGTCTGGCTTCTACCACATGCGTGAATGAATGTCTAACGAGTACGAATGGCGCCCAGAAGAGAGGGTGACGCCTACGGCAACGAGTTGTGCGCATGTGCAGTGAATGACGAAGCCCTCGCCGTGGACCGTTCGACCCCATGCCCGCTAGGGAGGCGGGTTCGGAATACGAGACAGCCCAGAGCGCCCTTGCAAAGCAAACATGAACAGTGATGACTGAGGGTGCTTTGCTGCTTCATAATTCACGACTTGTATTCTTATGTACTCATCTGCTAGGGAGAGAAAGCAGCAGTCAAACCAGCCCCACCTCAGTCAGAGTGCTCCTCACCCCTCTCTCGGACTCTGGTCGTGGCGAACTCCGAGAAGTCCTCCTCCTCCGCCGCGCCAAGCGGCAGGCCAGTCCAAGGCCGGCGCCTGATGTACTTTGGGGGTTCGCGAGACTCCTTCTTCCACGGCTGCCAACACAGGAGGACAATGGCCAAGGCGATAATCAGCAAGCCCACGCGCAGATACCATTCTGCGGCCATCTTTGCCGCCGCAGCGTCGCGTTTGTGCCAGCTGCTGGCGCCTGCGTGGTCGAATAGCGGCGTCTTGACGGCTCCTCGCAGCATATGCGGCGCCAGATCTTGCTTCTCATCGGCCAGCACGAATACCCGCTTCTCCAGATGGCTGTCGTTCCTCGTCAATGTACTAGTGTAATCCATCCAGGCGTTGGAGAAGAACATGCACCCCGTGCTCAGCATGTTTTCCACATAAGGCAGACCCCAGGACAAATGGCTCCTCTCCACTCGCGCGAGCAGGTGTGTCCAGAACGGATGTCCCGGCCGCGAGAGGATGAACGCATTATTTACACCCGCGGGGGACGCACCAGGCGCGAGAAAAGGCAAGTCCCGCAATCCATCGAGCGGCTGCAGACACGTGATGTCCATGTCGAGGTACACGCCGCCGTAGTGCTCGAGCAAAGCGTAGCGGAGGATATTAGTGCGCTGGATCGTCTGTCGATAGCCGGAGTATCGCGGCCAGAGGTGCGGGTAGTGGTGGGAGATGAATTCCGCCGCATCCGAATCGTTCTAGATCTAGTGGATCCAATTGGGATGCAGGGTTTGGCAGCTTGTGATGGCTGCGCTGGTATTGGTGAAGGGAGTGGGGTGGCCGTCGGTGAGGAGGATGCGGTGCATGATGCGGGGGATTTGAGCGGATGTGGTGTTGAGTTGTGCGGTGGGGGGGAATGCGTTGTTGTATTGATAGACTAGTTCTGGGTATGTTTTGAGGGAGGGGTAGAACGATTTGTACGTCGTCACCACTTGGCCGAGGACTCGCAAGTGTGGTCGGATGGCGGTCAGGGTGATGAGCAGGAGTACGACGAAGCCGCAGACTGCGCGTCGGTGCTGCATTGTGGCAGTTGGTGGGGTTTGATGTGATGCGTGAGAGGGTAGCGATATGACAGTATTGGGATGTTGCAGTGGGTATGTGATGTTGAAGGGTCGGAGAAGGGTAAGACGTGATGTTGGTGGATGAGCCTTGCACAAGTGGAAGCCACCACTACTGAATTTGCAGTCACCTCCCGATGCAAGGAAGAAGGTACAAACGTGATTGCGCGAAAGCGTGAGGGGGACTCAATGACTAGGCCAATTTCAGATACAAATAACCACCCTTGCATACATTGATGGCAGTTTTGAAACCGACAAGGCTGCAAGGCTGTCAAGCTCGCCCTGACTAATCTCAAGACAGTAGCGAGCCGCCCTCCGCATCAATCCTCGAACCCGTAACATACGCACATCGCATGCTAAACAAGTACGCCTCGGCCGCTTCGTCCGCCGTCCCAATCGTCTTGACCAAAGTCTTTTCCGCCATCAACTGCGCGAACTGCTCGTTCCCTTGCGTAAAGCTATCCAACAGCGGCGTCTGAATGGCTCCCAGGTTGACCATGTTGGCGCGAATGGGCGCAAGATCGACGGCCAGGCCGCGAGCGCCGCTTTCCACGCCGCCGGCAATGCCGGTCAGCCGACCTCGGCCTGGAGACGGGCGGTAGAGGAGCACGCCGCCGGTGATGGTGATGCTGGAGTGCCGGCTGACGGTCATGTAGTCCTTGGCGAGGATGGACAGGGTCATGGGCCCGAACAAACGGGCGGTAGCCACGTCGTAGACGTCGTTGTTGCTGTGGTCATCGGCTCTGTTGGCGCCTGGTGCTTTCCCGGCCGTCCAGACGATGTGGTCGATGGGGCCGCCGAATTTCTCGACGGAGGCCTTGAGCAGCGCCTTGACGTCGTCGAACTGCGTGTCAAAGTTGCCCACGTCGCCCACGACGTAGTCGACGGGTGCATCTCCGGACTTTGCTTGGGCCTTGGTTTCCTTGACTGCCACCTCCAGCTTGTCTTTGCTGCTGGAGGAGAGGATGATGTGGGCATTGGGAAGGTGGGAGAGAGCCAGCTTTCCTACGGCTAACCCAACACCCGTGCTGCCTCCGACGATGAGGACGTTGTTGCGTGCGTTCTGAGCCATGTTGGAACAAAAGTTGCAATGATGCTAATGTATACTTCCAATGGATAGACAGAATATATACATCCCTCGTTGCACATCCGCAGGACGTGTTTTCAGCCCCGGCCCCGTTCGCCTTGCTTACGGCTTACCAATTCCATCCCCTCAGTCCAAGCTGCTGCGAGAACATCCGTTCGTGTCCGCTGCCGGCGGGCGTCGTTGAGTCGCATCCTTGTGCGGGTCCGTACTGCTCCGGCGGGTGTTTGTGCGCGCTCATATCCCTCTGATTACGGATGCCTCGTGAGTTCATCAAATGGATGGATTAGTAATGTGTCAAGCACGACAAGCTTTGGGGGAAAGCTTCAATGGATGAAACCCCTGCCGATCTGCCTCATCTCGCTTTCCCCGTGATGTCACTCGTCGGCTGTCTCTCTGCGACAGTATGGACTTGTGATCTTCGACTGAAGGGCAGAGGAGGGCAATGGTGCTCTCCGACTCCTGGAAGTAGATATCGTCAGTACCACACGTCCATCCACCCCATTCGCTAGTTGAAACAGCATCATCTGGGGCCAACACACGCCAGCCCGACCCTGGCGCCAGCGATCAATCAGGGTCCAATGGAATTTTAGTGCGCGCGCGTGCGGGCGTGGAGGAAGCTCCGTCAATCAGGAGAGCTGTTCGTTTGCTTCCTCCCCACTGCGCCTCACTCCCCTTGCTGCATTCCCCTCAACCCTCCTCCCCTCTCCTTCACTTCTACACACACCCACCTCCCTCACCTTTCTTCCAAACAACACCACAAATCATGGCCAACTACGGCGGAGGCTACGGCGGAGGCAGAGGAGGCTACGGCGGCCCTCCAGCCGGCGGCAACAACTTCCAAGACGAACAAGCTCGCTTCACCCAACGCAACCAGTCCTACGGCAACTACGGCGGCCCTCCCGGCGGTGGCCCAGGAGGCCCCATGCACTCTCCAGGTCCAGGCGGTCCCATGCACTCTCCAGGCCCCGGTGGTCCTGGACCCCGCGGCCCCCCACCGCCAGGCGGCATGCATCCCAGCGGTGCCCCGCCTCCCCCTCACTGCCCGCCGCCCTGGCGTGCTCAATGGCACGACCGCGATCGTCGCTACATCTTCGTCAACGAGCAGACCAGCGAGACGGTGTATGATTTTGAAGAGGTGCGGCGTCGGACGGGCGGGGCGGGCGGACAGCAGTTTTACCAGCAGTCGTCTAGCACCACTTACTCTGACCAGCAGGGTCGTGGACCTGGGTGAGTGATAAAATTTACAATGGCAGTGCCGAGGGTTGGGGGATCGATTGACTGACTGCGAGTAGATACCCTGGCCCTCCCGCTGGACGTGGCTACGGCGGACCCCCTGGACCCCCCGGACCCCCAGGAGGCTACGGCGGCTCGCAATCCTACTCCAGCCAGCAAGTCGTCGGCCAGAGCGGCAGGGGCGGCCCTCCTGCTAAGAATCACAACATTGCGTACGGAGTCGGAGGCGCTGCAGTTGGGCTGGTCGCTGGCGCGGCTTTGATGTACGAGGGCGAGAAGCTTCGTAAGGATACCCAGATACCCCCGCCCTCCTTGTATTGTCGTAGACTGACATGACAATCACCGCAGATCATGATTTCGAACGCGACAAGTATCGTGTTGAGGGAGATGCACGGCGCGACGAAGAACGGCTTCGAGACGATGGTCGATATGAGGAGCGGAGATTCGATGACAACTATCGCGATGATGGATACCGCGATGATCGGCGAGACGAATACCGCGACGATCGCCGAGAAGAATATGTGCAGCGTGATTACGTTCAAGACGATTATGTGCGCGACGATGTGGTCAGGGATGATTACGTTCGAGACGACGTGGTCAGAGACGATTACGTTCGAGACGATGTGGTCAGAGATGATTATGTGCGCGAGGATGTGGTGCGAGACGATTATGTGCAAGATGACTTCCAGCGCGACGACTTCCGTCAGGATGATTTCCAGAGGGACGATTTCGTGCAAGAGGATGTGACGTACGAGCAGGTCGACGACCAGAGCTACACTGACTACTGAGTTTGGTCGTGCAGCGACTGCTGA